TGAATGTTGGGTTCTCCGTGAGGAAAATTGCGTAACCTTAGCCGAATTCACTTGGTAATCTTTAGGCGAATAAGGAGGCCCAGGAAATGTGAGTTTCACGATCAAGTTTTTTCCCCCGTACGTCTACGATAGATGAATGTAATATCCGTGATCCGCAGGTACTGATTCGAGCGTGTTATCGGACTCGGCCGCTCCTGCAGATATCGCGATTGACCAGCTGCAGGCACTGTTTTAGCCTCCTATGATATCTTCGAAAAATTTTCTTGTCCGTCCGTCCCAAGTATATAGCTCGGTACGCCCGCATGTGCAAGAAATCCTTGGCTATGGCAATACAGGTTCTGAAGAGTATTATTTGGCTACCTAGTTTTCAAGCCCTTATTAGGAAATTTTATTTGGACATTTTGTAAGCACAGACACCGTAATAAATCGGTATTCCGTGTCCGTCCGCCTGTTTTGTTCTAACTTCACGGCGGTAAATAACGGCATACTTTACTGCTATCGATAACTAGTGTCACCCAGGTCTTGGGCCCAGTATCAGAAACGTGTATACCGGGGTTAACCCAGAATCAGCCAGGTTCCAACGGGAAGATACAACCACGTGGACTTCACGACGGCTCTGAGGCTGACCCACAAAGGCTTGACTCCTTCTTCCTCTAACTGCCTATCATCGCCTCAGCTTGCGACGATGGATCGAGTGGTCTGAGCCTCTGATAGGTCGGCTACAAGGATCCATCGACTGCAGCGAGGCTTTTGTCTACCCACTCCTTTGGGAAGGCCTAGCTGTGACTGCGGACGAAAGGACTACAGTGATATTGTGTGTGGGGACATCAGTGTTGATACCGCTCTGTTACATCTGGATCCATGAAGATAACATTGGCCAAAATATTTCCTTATACTTATTGAAACCCGTTTCAACCAAAGAATGGTGGGTCTTGTATCCCGCGAGCCGAATTGTTTTATTTCTAACAGTGACTGAGGCTTGGCCCACGCGATGGCTTGCTCGAGTCCACAAATATCATCCGACAATGACTCGTCAGGCTAGAACGGAGGTCAGAGTTGGAGATGGTGATGTGGGTCATCACGAATGTTGCTGATGACGACAGCTCCCCGGCCGCCAGTGCACTATATCACAGTCCAGAGATGCACGCACTTCTGGCATCAACGGTGTAGTAGTAAGCTCTTCACGGCCATCCGTTTATTACACATCTCAAAGCCCACATTCCGCTAGCGAATCTTAGCCGATCAATATTCCCGACGGGATCACACATCAGATTAAGACCTAATTCTGGAATCCAGTACCCATATTACTTCGTCACATGCAGTTCAGTTTCTAATCGTCCAAGTGCCGTGGGGAAACAGGGCGAACAGCTATGACGAGCCCTGTACGTACGTAGCATCATGCGCTTTGGGATGAAAGCATCAATTTAGACGGCATCCTTCGGATCTGGTTATCGTGCCAACCGGCACATCCAGTATGCAAATGATGCTCGCCTTAGCCATTTTGGGAATTCTACCCCATCTTCCCAATCCTGTTCCTGGTTCCTGGCAATCTGACATGGGTCTGGACACCCTCTTTTCTTACATCCAAGGTCCCAAAAATGTAACGAGGACAAGTGCTGACAAGTTTGGGCATAGCAAAGGACGAAAAAGGTGAACACCCTCACTTTACCATGGTCATCTTTCGAGCCTCTCTCTGTTCGCGGATCCACTCTTCGGTTCATTGACCAGTATCTTTAAGGCTTTATATTTAGAATTACCGATTCCTGAAGCGGGATCTTGGAATCAGCTGATTAATATAAACACCCAGGTCAACTAATACGAGGTATTTTTCTTACATAACCAAGCCGTGTCAAGTCCAAGAGGCGCCCCGAGCCGATCGATGCTACCCGCGCCCACTCCTTGAACTCATTCTCCTTAGCAATTATTATGGAATATCAACTACATACATATATATTTACATACTCGATGCTTCGGTAATATACCTTGTGGGATCTTCTGGGTCTGTTTAGTTGACCCCATGAAGCTACAAAGTACCAGCATGAACCAACCCCCAAGATTATAAATCCAAGCTGACTAGTATGTGGTCTAGCGGAATTTGCAGACAGATGAAGCTGTGAAATGCGAATGACTTATGCAATAGCCAACAGATAATATAGACTGGGCCCCAAATTCGGCGAACACGGTCCCAGCTGGTTATAAGATTCAACCAACTTCTTATATTGTCAGTGGTATACGAGAGAGTTTGAGGAACTCGGTCAACATAGTAATTGTCACCAATGTACATACCTGATGCTGGTATTAGGACTAGGACCAGGACCCTTTTGGCACCAATAAGACGATCGCCATCCTTTGGTCGGGCACTCCACGTTTGAGAATCCGCAGCTACAGCTGCGCAGCAGGGATCTGCGATTGCATGGGGTGCACGATTACATTACAGACTGACCAGGAAACCTCGATTGGGACCAATATCTAGCTTTTATCGATCGTTCGCCCTCGACAAACTCGTTCGATGTCATTAGACGTAGTCGGTACCCCTGAGATACACAATCGATACATTTTTACCTATCTGCCTTGTCTGCTCGAAACCTTCAGCCTCGTTCCACTGTCTCCTCGGTTCAGGTTACCAATACCGGGTTGAATTTTGCTGATCTATACACTATATGACCAATTGGGTCTATCAGTAGTTACGTATTGAATAAATCTCAGAGAGAGTGGGAAAGAGATACATTCGATGTGCTGAGATCGCCATTGATCAATACCTACCTATACGAATATCGCTCGGATTTAAAGAATACGCCCTCCACCAGACCGAATTCGGAGCAGTCCACCCTTTTAATTTACACCCATGATAGTTAAACCGCAAACCTACAAATGGACAAATGTACAAACCTGCATTGCATTGGCATCAGAGTATTCAACATGCGACAATTGACCCCAACCAGAATTGAGATTTTCCTGTTGTGGCATAGGCCGATGGACGTGCAAATATCGCTCCGTTATGTTTGCTTGTTCCAGAGTACTTTGTTTCTGTTCCCCGCGCCCGCTCGTGTTCGCCAATGGCGGGCTGGAGAGTTAACCGATACACCACTATACACGGCAGACATTTTGGTGTTTTATCTATTTTGTTCGTTTTCGTATAAACTTTACCTAAATCGACGATTAATAGCACCCACTAAAACAAAGATTATTCGAGACCATGGGCATATCCGCGGAATTTCCCTAGGTATGACCGTTATCCGTTCTTACAACCTTAAGATAATGCGGGATTTGCCATAGTGAAGCTCGAGAGGCAGGAAGGTCCGTGAACCACTCGAGCCTCCCTCTCACCCTTTTTTCGTTTCCATAGATTCAAATGTTTCATTGACTGAAGCATGGCCATAACTAATAAGCACTTACACACCTCTGGCTCTGCCGAAGAGTCTTCCTTAGCACGGACACTACACTATATCCGTTCCCTATCCTGCATCTCTTGTCACGCTTACGTACTGGCCGGGATATGCAAGGAAAAGGTTTTCCCTGCTGCATGCGCGGTGACTTGCTTCTGAACCCCAACCCATTGCTGCTATTACCTGGGGTTCGAAATTTACGAACCGTATCAACGGATCCCTCAAATCCGTTCATGCTATGCAAGCGGGTTGGTTTCCCAAAAGATATGGTTGCATTGATTGCTTGGGAATATTTTCGAAGCACACCAAGTTTCATCCAAAAGATTTAACAGACAAAATTGGCGACATTCTTGCAAAACTTAGTTTTATCAGCAGACCAAGCGCATATTTTACCCCTCTCGATATTGCATTAGGAAAGATATCGCTAGTATCCGCAGATTGCGCAATCAGAAATGCAGAGAGATGAAAAGGTTGAGCTCCACGTTTGCTCGATCGCGAGCATCTAACTGAACTATGCATGCCTCACTACCCTCTTCTAATATGCCCCTCGCAGCATCTGTATGTATGAAGATAGCTGCCTGGAGAAGCTTGGGGATCTAGATCACGAGATACTTGCCTGGTGCTTGTGTACCACCCTGCAACATCGAAGGGTTTCAGTTCACCATACATGGCGCATACCAGCCTGCATCTATGGCTCATAGTGACATCAATCTATTGCCATTGCGCATCGACATAACGTTTGAAGACGCTCCCGTAGACGATCGGGTGCCGGACGTGGACCATGTTCATGGTACCCTATGGGAATGCAAAGTTGAGATTCCGCACAAAGCAAAAAAGTTCATGGCTCCCTTACAAACTAACTTCCAACAATTGTCTGCCTTTCATATCCTCGACATGTCGAGTCGGTAATCGCTTCGGTTGACCTTTCTAGCAGAATTGACAAAAGCTGGGCGAGAATGCTGGTCCGAGAACCCAACAAAGACATGTCCGGCTCGGGAAGGCGGGTGGAACCCGGGAACGTCTTCGGGAACCACTTGGTGGAGCCCAGGATTCGAGCAACCTCCAACGATGCCAAGAATTCCAACCTGACCTCATCCAGCTTTGACCTTCACACACACACACACACCTTCACCAGCTCACCTTATCCCAGCCGCCCAACGTCTCTGGCTTTCAGCCCAACCAACATTGTCATGCACGCGCGCGCGCACTCCATATCCGCATGAAAGGTCCCAGCTTCTTGGAATTAATCGATGAACGCCACCAACAAGTTGACCAGGGACAGAGCAAAGCGTTATTAATTCATTCATGATCTCCATTGCGCCGAACCCAGTCACGCCTCTGTGATTGAAATTTCTTTCCAACTGAAGGATTGGGAGGCCTTCCCACCAATAGGGCATTACATCTAAACGAGAGACCTATTCCTGTGTGCGAAGCTTGTTCCTACACTTTAAAGCCTTCCCGCAAGTTGAAGGTGTTTCACGCAGCCACATTTTCAAGACAGATCGAACCAAACTGTACCGATCTCCCAAAAAGGCCTCGACGAAGTTCCCGAACTAAGGTTGTATTAATAAGTACCGTAGCAACAGCAGGTATACAATCGGCCGATAACAACAGATGGCGCCTCTTCGAAGATACATCAAATTAACCCCCCAAACAACATTACAAGCTCAAATCTTCCTTGAGGACCCAAGCCTTCTTCATACATGGCTAATTCACCCTACAAATCCAGCTTTACCTCGGATCATAGACTCACTGAAAGACCTCATCCTGCCTAAACTAAGAGAGGAGAGGGAACGGGAAAGAACTGGGGCCGTAACGAAAAAGCAGCAAGCTGTCAAGGATGTAGTTTCCGGTAGCGACTTCGAAGTAAGCGTGTTCTTCAAGGATGGCACGAATCGACATGCATTGGTAATGCCACGAAGAGAGTTTCTGGCGCCCAAGCCGGAGGGGGGCTTGAAGTCGAATTCCAGCAAGATGGTTCTGGGAAATAAAATGTTGGATGTCGGCGAATCGGAGAATGGCGGCGAGCAAAATACCGGTCAAATCGCTAATTTAAGAATCGAAAACGAGGAAGAAGAGGTTGATCTGTATGCACTTCCACTAGTCCTTCCTACTGAGGCAAGTGATGCGGAGGTGCACCAGGCAGACGTCAATTCGGTACCAGTACGTCGGTCTCGCCGAAAGACACGGACGCGTGGAAATTCTAGTGACAAGGAAGATAATGCAGCCTCTCAAAGATCCGAAGACGGGGATCGAGCTGAATATCAAGCCACAACGCCCACCAGGCGAGGGTCTCGCACACGAAATGACGCCACTCGGAGGAATACTGGCAAACAGAACCAAAGGGAGCCTATCACAATCGATTCTGGCTCAGATTCCGAAGCTGAGATTGGAGGAGGCGTCGGGAAAGACCCAGTTGAAGAAACGAAGAAGCCTCTTTTTCGAACATCGTATGAGGCATATAAGATTTACGGGAAGATCTTGTATCTGATTGTGAAGAAGCTCGATATTCCGCAGGCGACCGGCCAATCAGAGCAAATATCCGAGACAGTGGTTACGCGGGACATCCCTATTGCACCAGGCATTGAAGATTCTGGAACTACGGAAGATGTGATGGAAGGCTGGATGTACATGTCCCAAGTCATCCGGGAAGATAATGACTTGTAAACCTTTGTCACACTGCTCGGTATTTTTACTCGGATTTAATCGGTGTAGCTCTAAGTACCAGGACCAATTCAGCGCTATCATCCAACATTGCAAGCCACCACAAAAAGAACCAGCCACCAGAATGCTCAAATTGGTGTCGTATCACATTTCATATTGGTCGAAATCGCGGCAATTACGTGAGAGTTTAAGATCTCACGCCACATCTGCATCGCAGAATGCCTCCCAATTGATTTTATCAAAAGCCACCGTCTCAATCCATTCACCGAATACCTACTGTCTTCCCGACCCTGTGGTCAGCCGTACTGTTGCCCTGCATGCGCCCTGCGCCGTTTTTCCTGCGGAAACTTCCCCAGAAAGATCCTGAACGAACAAGGAATTGCCCAGAAGCACAAAACTGTCCTCCAGACTGCGGAAACGTATCAATTTCATCGGCTGCCACGTGTGCTGCTCTTATCTATGGCATTAATATGAACCTTGCATGAAGGCCTGAGCGTTGTCGTATTGAAGATGTGCACAACCCCCTTACCGCTTTCAGATTCAGCTGCAGGTAGTGAAATTGCAGGTCAATCTGTTTGTTGAGTGCGGGAAAACGACGAGGGATTCCTCCACCCTGAAGGCCTTATAATCATGCGACCATTTTAATATACAATTATAATCCAAGCTCTGCGCAGGTTTACTTTCATGGGTGTGTGTGTGTGTGTGTATGCTGTGAGACCACTTTTAGATTCAAAGTCCAGACCCATCCAAATCCTATAGCTGCAGGTCCGAGCTGATCAATAATGTTAAAAGAAATACGAATACGGAACATGCGGGGAATCGACAGGAGACTTTAACTCTTAACGCGCCGAATTCGAGATCCTAAACCACTCATGTAGCGTCGCTTTAATGCATATCGAGAATCATTGCCTCTCCCACCGAGTCATGCGAAATGGAATTGCTAACCGCTCTTACCCTGCATTGGGAATTTTGAAGTCCTTGCGTTGACCTCCTTCGCCTCCCCATGTCTTTCACTTAGGCGAACGAGAATTACAAAAATTCGAAACATCAGCCTGGTCCCTTTCGCGACAAAATTTGAACCGACAACGGCATCCCCAGCTTGACCAACCCCAATGTCACCAATTGAGCTCCATGTCTGGAACAGGGCGTTCGGACTGCCGTCCCTAGACCCCGAATGTCTTGCGGCAATTGCTTTCCTGAGCTCTGCGATACCTCAAGACCTTTGGGTACTTGTGGAGAGTAACAATGCTGGTGTTTCGCCGAATGGTAAGGGTTTCCCCCGGGCACTTCTGGCGTCCTTGTAGCTCTCTGATAGTTATCATTACTAACAGTTTATATTCCGCAGGATCATTGCCGGCACTCAAAGACGGTTCACAATGGATTGGTGGCTTCGACGCGATAGTCTCGCACCTCAACTCCAAAAGCGCAGGCGGTTCTGATATCGATAGAAGCCTGACGGGTCTGCAGAAGGCCCAATCTGTAGCGTACGTCAAGTCCAAATTACACTCTATTTCATCTAATAGTACCGAAAGATACATGACATCGTCAATATACTATCACATACCGTATTGTATACAATTGATACGATAGAAGCTGATTTCAAAGTATATTCCCAGATACCGCTCCTTCATCCGCAAGACATGCCTTCCTATAACCTCCCTCTCCCTCTATGTCACCAGCAAGAACTGGATAAACGTAACCAGACCTCTATACTCTACCTTCCTCCAATTCCCCATCCAATATGAAATCCCACATACCCACCACGCACGAGCAATTGCCTTAACCGCTCACCTTACATCCCTCATCCGAGACATAGCAGCCGAAGAGTCTCGGCCCCTACAGCCGGTTTCCACTGCCTTTGCCGGCATCACCACTACTACGGACAAGTCTATACCCCAGGAAAAAGAAAAGATAACGACTCGTGTCAGACTTCGTAACCTACTGGCTGACTTCCTAGACCCAATCAACGAGAAGCTTGCAGGACAAAGTTACTTTTTTGGTGGTGCATCTCCTACCACCATCGATTGTTTGCTCGTTGGCTATCTCTCCCTCTTGCTCGTTCCGGACCTTCCATCTCCCTGGGCGAAAGAGATACTCCAAAATGAGTTTTCAGATATAGTTGGTTATGCAGATAACTTAAAATCTGCTTGCTTCACACAAGATATAACCTACGGTACTCCAGACGAAAACGACAAACTAACGTTGATAAGCTGGACGAAACGTACCATCGAGGAATCACCTCGATCATGGGGCGTAAGCGATGAGATTCCACTCAACCAAGAAGGTCACAAAGCTCGGTCAACAGCGTTTTGGGTTGCAGTGCAGGGAGTCATTGGGTTGGCGGCGACGATTGGAAGTGTAGTTGCTTATAAGGCGTTGACGACTGAAGGGAAGGTAGATGTCGAGCTTAAAGAGGAAGTTGCAGGGACAGAGGTTTACTCGACGGTCAGGGGGGCCGTAGGGGATGTAGAGGGCACCGGGGCTTCAAATAACGGGGCCGAGGAGGGGAGACTCCCGATATTCAGAGCGGAAGATATGCTGGGGCTGTAGTCGGGTAGTCGGATAGTCGGATATTCGTCCAACATTTATGCCCTGGGTTGGGAATCAGGCAATCAGCAAGTTCGAAAGAGAAATGTCCTAGAAGAGCATCTCCCAAACCAACTTTTTCTGAAAATTGGCTTCTTAGCGTCTTGCGGGCCGGTATACTAGCGTATTCAAAGGTCAGATAAGCCCCGTCTGTATTGATACGACCACGACTCGTGTCATCTCAAGACTACATTATTAAGGCAGGAGCCATTGTACATACATACATACTTAGTTAAGTATGTTGCCATCCAAGCACAGATCATCCCCTCCCGAGCATAAACCCTTATCTCCAGAGAAGTTAAGCCGAAGGACATTCCAGGGTCAAGTCCAGCTATAAATCCCTATCGTAAACACGTGTAAGATTTGATAGGCGTTTGGTCGACTTAACCTTGCCCGTCGTTAAGTCCATTAGGAAGACGAGGGGGGTGCGTTTATAAGCTTAATCCTATCATGCGGGATATATATCGTCCGAGGCTATTTGAGTAACTACCTAGATACCTATTTCAAAGGGATAAGCTGTGCTAGTGGTCTAGTTTTGATGCTGAATAATTATAGAGATTAGCTATTGCCTAATACTGCACATATTGTCGTGGACCTGCCATATGTTTATACTATTCCCGATACGTACATGAAGGTATCCATCGAGACCGTTCCAATATATAATCACGCATTTGTCATTCGAACAGGCTTGTCAAGTATCTACACATCTACGGACGGACCTATATCGAGGTCAATGGTACTTCTTACTAGATTTCCCCTCTTATTTAACGAAGGGGGGGTCAGTTGAAAGGTCCGGCTGTTTTACATCTTATGATAAACTTCTAGCATCTTATGCAAAAAAGAAATTCATACCGGCCAATGGTTCTGTAGCCAGGTAGCTTTTTTGTGGCAGTTGCGTAATCATGGTATTATCAACAATTCCTTATAACAAATAAAGGATTTCATGATACACTATGTGAGAGTGTGTGAGAGTGTGTGTAGTGGATAGTAGTAGTAGCCTCGAAAAGCCCTCCCGTCAAATAGTATATAAGAGAAGCAGAAAGGTAGAGTGTGTGTGAGGGCGTAAAAAGGCGTTAAGAGACTATGTAGGCATTACAAGAAAAACCCGACTGAGGATAAAAAAGTGGAAAAAAATATGATATCACAGAGAAACACCCGAAAAGAGAGACAAAAGACAAATTAGTAAACAGCCTTCGTTCTGAGGACATCACCGAACTCATCCAATGGACTCCTGGCAAGGGTTCTATCCTTCCACAAATTGGGAGTAAGGAAACCGTAGGTGTTGCCGACGGCGACGAAGGTGGCCTTGAGGGTGTTCTCGAGGGTCTTGGTCGAGCCGGAAGAGGATGTGTAGGCATCTTCGACACCAGCGAGCTGGAGGAGACGCTTGACGGCTGGGGAGGCGACGAGGCCGGTACCACGGGGAGCTGGGATCAACTATAATTTCATCAAATTAGCCTGTTTTCTTGGACTAAAAAAATATTTCGATTGAGTAGGACCATGAAACATACTCTAACAGAGACGGAACCACACTTTCCGCTCTCCTTGGCTGGTAGAGAGTGAGGCTCTCCGAGAGAAGAACCCCAGTAACCTCTTCTGATTGGCAAAACGGAGAGTTTGGCGATGATGATAGCGGCACGGATGGCAGTGGCGACTTCCTTGGAGGTCTTGATACCGAGACCAACGTGACCGTCGGAGTCACCAATGACAACGATAGCCTTGAATCGGGTACGCTGACCGGCACGGGTCTGCTTCTGAACTGGCTTGATCTATTCGTTGTTTAAAAAGATTCAGTTAGATATATGATGCGAATTTGATATTGAATATTCCGTATTGTTCTTATGGGACCAATTATCCAGAATCTGTCTTTTAGATCCCCTTGGCTCCCTCTTCCTCCTCATCTCGAAATCTCTGGGGGTAAAGAGAAAATGAAGTACCTTCATAACCTCATCCTTCAACTTTGGCAAGAAGAAATCAACAATCTGGTACTCCTTGATTGGTAGGGAGTGGAGGTAGATCTCCTCCATGCTCTTGATCTTGCCGGCCTTAACAAGACGTCCAAGCTTGGTAACTGGCATCCATTCCTTCTCGCTGTCTGGCTTTCCACCGCGACGGGCACCACGACGTCCACGTCTTGGACCACGGTCTCCTCCTCGGGATGCGAAGCCACCGGCGGCACCTCCTGCTGGGGCTCCTGCTGGAGCTTTTGCTGCGTCTGCCATTGTGATAAAGAGGTTTTTTGAGTGTTGAGGTAGGGGGTGTCGGACGGGTGGTTGAGGTTATTCGATTTGACGATGATGAAATGTCGAAGTTGGAGATACTGGCCCAAATTCAATGAAACCAGCAACTTTGGTGCGTTGAGTTGCCTTGGTGGTGGATTTGAAGACACGCTATTCCATATTAGGAAGATCTTATCTGATCTGATGATAAGGGCACACCAGCCCTTCGACAACACAAGCTAGGTATTCCCCACCTCGACACCCACGAGCATCTACTTGGGTATGTGTACGCATACGACATGAAGACGTGAACACGGCATAGGCGACTACAATCGCGAGAGAGGACCAGCTTGGATAAGTACTCTAGCTATGTTAAAGGGGAATTCTTTTCTGCGTCATTAGATCATCTGAAGTTAGATATGATATATGCCAATATTAATCATTGCACTACATTGATATTGGTCCTAGATGGCCTGAAGTATCATCACCCGGAGCCAAAACACCATATGCTTTGTAGAGAGAGATTACTCTCTGATACACGAACGATACCTTTAGCCATATCTTGTAATTCAAATTGGATCTGTAGCGCCAGTTCTCTGAAGGAAACTAGGTTAACATGATATTACCATTAACTATTTTCATTCAGGTCGAACGGTCCCAGCTGGGGTTCATCTATACACCCGTAGACAGCTCAGAAGACCTTACGGATTGGTAACATATATAAATGGGCCAATCACGATCTAGTCCATAGAAAGTAATGGAATTGTCGTGGAAGGGTATCATCAAGAAGTGCTATATATCGAGACACAAAACTGTACCGTCGATTTATTGAGTTCAATGGACAAGGTCCTAGCCTGGCCCGGTTCAGGCGATCTAACACTTCTCGACATCCGTAGCATATATACCCCATACAAACATCGAGTTCAGTATACCTGATCGATTACTAGACGAAACGAAATACGCCGGGCTCTAGATTGATAATTCTTTTCTTATTCTTACTATAAGATATCTAGATTTTGAGATAGAGGACCATGTTGTATTGTAATTTTGTAAATTGACTTCCCAACCTTTAACCCCCGGACCAACCAGACTAACGAAACTGGTGTCAGTGTAATGGAAAACGGAATAAGCTTTTGCCGTGTATTTTAGAGCCCCCCACGGATTCCGGGGCCCCTCCTTGCAGGCCTGCTTGACAGGTTACACAAGAAGTTAGACATTTTTTACGGCTTCAATCCATTGTCGATGGTACTCAATTGTCTCGTCGCGCCCACGGGCTCCTCTTGTTTCAAGGCTAATACTTGTAGATCTATATAACTATCCATCTTCGAATCAACAATACGAGGCACTGACGATTAGATTCAGATCACGTCATAAACGGTGTATCGTCATCTTGCTTATAGATTACTTAGAACTTAAAGGATTCGTTTGAGACAAAAATCATATTCAGACTCCATATCAACAATATCGCGAGATTTATACTTACAAGGGAGGCAAAAAAAAAAGAATAAAAAAAAAGCGATATAAAACAGAAAGGAAAAAGCTATTCCGCAGCAGCCACGAAATCCCAATTGAAAGAAACACAAAACGGGGCGTCATGCGTCTTTCCTTCCACCTTCCCAATATACACCCGTTATTGCGAAATGGGCTACTTATACGCCCGAGCAAAAAAAAAAATCATCAACTTAAGTCGAGCGGGCGTAGTATCAGGTCGGATCGAGTATTAAAAGTATATTATCTGGGAGTTTAGAAACGACATAAAGAGAAAACGACAAAGGGAATCAGCCGAGAGGGAAAGCGAGGTGCACAAAAAAAATTCTTTTCAGACAGTAAAAGTTAATTCAACAAAGAAAAAGAAGCAGAGGAAGGGAGCGTGGCAGGTGGTATCTGTAGGATATATTCTGATAAGGAATCATGGAGAGTTGTGTTGGTAAATAGAGTCCTCCAAACGCCAAAGAAATATATTCATTTTGCTTATCGGCTGTTTCTTCTTATCCGGGTCGGCAGCGAAGAAAAAAAAAAGTGTGCCGATGTTGGTTGCTAAGTAAAGCTATAAGGGAGAGCGCGGCCGTTACGATTTCTTCCATGGCTGTGTTACAGCAACAACGATGATGACGATGATGATAATGATAATGACTATAGCCATGCGTTAGTAACAAATCTCCGCAAGTATAAACATCGGCTGCCACATCTTTAACTTACGAACGAGGAGCAAGCACCACCACTTCTTCCTACGGGCACCTTCCGCCGATTTGATAGCAGTGTCGAGCTGCACAACTGCTTGTCGGGTGTCTTCCTCCGCCCTGACACCGTGATCCTCAATCTCTTTAACTACTTCGCCTTGTTCTTCAACAAGCCTGTTCATATCCTCGAAGAGTTGGGCGAGTTCAACCATGGTCTTCTCGATCTTCTGGATATCATTGTGTCGGCTGCGGACTTCGGCAAGAGCGGATCTGGCAGCACCTGTTCGGTTACCCTGCATAGTCTGTTCCGGTTTGTTAGTAGCATTCTCTCACCATTGATGGGTGGGTACAACATACAGCTTGAGTAAAGATCTGTGCATTGGGGTCGGCCTCCTGGATGTCTCTGATCTGATCCTCGGTAGCGTTTGGATTGGCAATCCTATATTGTCGAACAAGTAGTTCCCTCGACCTCTTCTGGTAGGCGACTTCGATCTGTTGGTAGTTGGTCAAGGTCTGCTTGAATTTCCTCTCAAGAGGGCCGACCTGGTTCGCCTTATCCTGGTCGTGGAGAGCTTCGGTCTTAAGTTGACGGATCTTGCCGGCCATGGCTCGGTTCATTGTGGAGATTTCAGCCACGAGAGCATCGATATGGCGCGTTGCCTCGGCCGACGAAGACTCATCGACATGGCCTAGGGATTCACTCTGGAGCCTCTCGAGATCGGAGATTCTGCTGTTGATGTCCTCATCCATCTGTCGGAGTTCGGCGATTCTGCCGAAGAAAACCTGAGGGTTTGTAGCCTGCTGGTACGGCTGTCCATTGAGTGGTGCCATTTCGTACCCTATTTCGATAGCGAATGATATTAGCCAGATGTCCTTCCCGGCACCAATATAATTGATCGGGGTTTTCCAGATGGGAATGCAAAATACCTCCGTTGCCACTTTGCTGGCCCTGGCCCTGATAATTAGACGGGCCATATTGGTCGTTGTTGTACCCTGTGTTCTGCTGCGCGTACGGGTTTTGTTGACCGTAACTATTGAAAGGAGAGACCACCAAAGTCAGCACCGAGCGGACACACTATAAACTCCAATCGAATGCCCGACACGAGAAAAGTCGGCGATTGGTATCAAACGGGGAAGAATTATCGGGTGGCGTAATTAGTACGTACTTATACTATAATTAAGGAAGGAGAACAATAGTCAGCGACACCACTCAATACGTATAGACGGATTTTCCCCCAACATGACGAAAATGTATATTGACAGAGTCGATGTGATTACAAAAAAAGGAAGAGAAGGAATTCTATAATTATGCAGGCGATTTCACGTTTCCGGTGGATATCGGATTCTTCGAATGCACGATACGTCGGTGGTAGTTCGCGAAATGGCGCAGGTTGAGGCCATGGCAACACGAAAATAAAAGGGGCCAAGAGAGACTTACACTCATTTTGAAGGATATCCACCGACCCTATTTAGATATTGTAACAAGGGAAAGAAAAAGGAAAAAGACAAGCTGGAGAGTTGTCGGAAGAGGGCGGAAATGTTCGAATTGGTCGACAGGGAGGTTGGATTTCTAGATTTTGGATATTTTGGATTTGGTTGTCGAAGGGAGATGGAAAGGAAGAGTTCTAGAATTAAGTGACGGAGGTTAGGAAGTTAGAAACGGGGAGGAAATGGTGGATGGGATGCGTGCGAGGATTTATTTGAAGAGGGTTTGAGTTGACATTTCTGACGGGCAGAATCATATTAATCAGGCAGAGAGGGTAATAAAACAAGCGACAGGACAGGCCAGGACAGGCCAGGACAAACAGGCCAAACAGGCCAACGGTTGGCTGGCCGGCTGGTTCAAAACAGCAGGACCAGCCTGGCACAGACTACCTATTCAGACAATTTGGTTCGCAAAGGGGCTTTACTCACTGAGCTTCTTGTCCAGCCGATGGGAATTCGATACACACGTCAAACCGGGTGGAAACAGTGGACTCCGAGCGAGCCAGAGAAGCGGGGATTTAGAATTTAAACGTTATATCGGAGAAATCAAAATTTCTAGAGAGAGATGGGAGGGAGGGATTCGTGAAAAGGGAAAGAAACTAAGTAGATTTCGATTCGATACTCCGCTGGGATCCTTTAGATACTTATATACGTATATACAAAAGGTCTCTTCACAGATGTAAGCTTAAATGGACCTGAACTGACCTGACCGGGGGGCAACTGGTTCGATGGGGCTGAGAATTTAGCTGCATGACACCCGCTGTTGTATTTGAGTTTTTTTTTGGAAGACAAGACAGCTCTCTTTTCCCCATTCACACTGTCCACCTACATACATACTACCATCCAATGGTGATAAGCCCATACCTGGGGGAACTAACGGCATTGTATGGTAGTATTGTATGGTATGGTATTGTGAGGACTCAGCCTGATTGTCGATGGATTGCCAGGGGAGTTGGCCTTGCAAGCTTGCCACTGGACTTTCCATCCCGAAAGAGGTCCCAAAATGCATCAAAAAGCTGCAATTTCCAGCCTCACACTCGACTCCCACTCTTGGCCCCATAATAGGTATATACCATGGCGCCTAATTAAGGCTACACCCTCCCTGCACCACCACCACCACCACCACCACTAAGAGACAAATATTATGAACATCAGGAATCAACGTATAACCAGCAGGACGGAGGTACGTGCTTGAATCGATTTCTAGACGGCTACAGCTTACATAAAGACCAGGAACGACCTTCCCCAGGCCGACCATTGCAAAGCCATCTGCCTCTTAATTTCTAGATCTGGCTACCACACACCGCATTGCACTCACTCTTTCTCGCATATCATATCTCTTTAAATTGGGATGACGCTTACCGGGTAAGCCAACAGAAAAAGGGTTTTAGATCGCCAACCTGCTTGTTAGCGGGTTGAAACATGCGATTCGAGATTCGTTCTTTCTCGATTGCATCGATATCGTTTGTGAGCCGTATCTGTGCGGGTTTCGTGATTCCCAATTTAGACTCTTGGCCAAGCTTGCAACGTACAGTTCCTCCCCATGTAAAGGGACCTAGTCCGTCGATATCATATGCACGATTCGAGTATCCACGTAAGTACCTACTTACTAAGTAGGTATGTACTGATATACATCTTGAAATCTTTTATTTCCCCGAACAGTGACTTATTCCGACCGCGAAAAAAATGTGGGACTCTTTCTCTTTTCATCTTCTAAGCTTAGCTTGGAAGTTGCTTGTGCGATTCCCTTTTCCTTGGATGATCGATCCTATAGCGAGGGATGTAGACTGGGTGCATGTTAAAAACCGCGTATACACCGTCTACCCAAATACGCCCAGTCCACCCGAGACTTCAAAATACATCTTTCGGATCCCAGAAGGGAGAACAAAAAAAAACTTTTCTTAGAAACCCTCAAACCTCATGATCAATCGTTATAGTACTTACATACATAGGATACTAGATCACCTCATTCCAAGCCCATCGAAACGCGCAATCCCATGCTATGTGTGCACCTCAAACGTTCCATCCGCATTTGATACTATCCGCACATGCAACCCACAGTTTCGCCTCGCTTGTTTCACCAGACTAACTATTCTCAAAAAGATTCTTCTCTAGATATTTTTATCCTTTTGACAGTTCCTTTATTTCCTTCTTTTCCTTCTTTCTTCTTTTTTTTTTTTTTACTCCCCTGCATGTCACAACCGTCGGTTACATATCGCCACCTGTTTTCCCATTGACGAAAAAGTTTCAACGATGTAGTTTATACATTATGTACCTATTGCCTGTTATGTAAACTTAGGAGAATCAACGGAGGCCGGCTTCGCGAGAAATGAAAAACAAAAAAACGAAAGAAGGCCGAAGGTAATAGTGGGATTACGTACCCTGCTTATGCTTGCGTCGACACCGTTATCACTGCCGGCCGGGCCCCTCTAAAGCTAAAGCTTAGCTCGAGCTTACAAGGATCCAAAGACAAAAAATAATAGTCCGTCAATACTTTCCGTTACAAAGGATAGCGATACTGCAGTGTATGCAGTGGCTTGTTCCTGGATACCTGAAGTAAAAATATAATACCCCCGTGAATTCTCTAGCCACAATGAACGATCGACATCTTAGCTAGCTAGCCTTGTTCTCGTATTATAGTACGTATACTAGCTCTGGGTGCTCGATAATGACGAATCCTGAAGCGCAGTTTCACATATTCTCGTATACTCCGGCTTCTATACTGAAGTCTTCTCTATATGGATCGTCTTTCAAAATCCGCATTGTGTTAATTCCACAGCGGTTAAAAAAAAAAATTAAGGACATGCACCACCCATATATGATTTACGTAACCAACCTCCCAAAAAGAATACATCGTAGCTAGATGATTGTAATCATCTACCGCATAGGCCCTCCGCTTGCACGATTATTGTAAGTCAATTAAATTGTGCACTTCTGCCTATACCCACCTCTTAGCCTCATCGACCACATTCCCACTCTCGGTATACCCCAATCTCTCTTTGACCTCCTCAACCATTGCTTTATCCCCTGTGTTCTTCCCAATATTATCACTAATCTTCACCGCTGCATGTCCCATAGCCGAAGAAAGCTTAATGACAATATTCAACGGCGTAGACTTCGAATCGTCGCTTCGGTGTACGAAATCATCTAATGAAGCTCCAGTTAGCGTTTTCATAGATCGCGATAAGCGATAAAAACGGATAGAACCCACTCGTCAAAAACGTTCCAATACCAAACGACGGTATCAATCCATATTCTTCTGCATACTTCTTATACTTCAAGACCAACTCCACATTCAACGAATCACTGAACACTACAGATTTTGGCCCCTTCACTCCAGCGCGATCATAAAACTCACGGATCCACCTGACGTACTTCTCAGGATCGCCAGAGTCCTGTCTAATGCCTGAAAAGATCTCAGCATAGCTCTTCCCATCTGCACCCTCAACAGGGCAAGACTTCGAGAACGCTCGGAGGAACTCCTCGGTGCCAAAGGTATCGGTAAGGGCGATGGCGAGTACACCGGGTCCGAAGGTTTGTGTCCACTTGAGAAGTCCAAGCTCGCTGGCGTTTTCGTAGCGGTTACTTTCGGCGGCGATACCCATAAACCATTCGTGTGCGACTGTGCCAACGGGGTTCAAGTTGTGACTAAAGCCATATGTCAGTGGGAGGAGACCCAAAATCATATATAAAAAGCAAAGAACCTACCGATGGCAAAAATGAACATTGCTCGATGCGTTAAACTTCCCACTATAACCTTCGTTATCCTTAAATTCCTCCCTCGCTTTTATTAAGCCTTGCAAGACAAGATCTTGCGCATGATAGCTTCTTCTTCGACGGGTTCCAAATTCTGTGAATACCGCCCCGTTCTCCAATAAGACCTTGGCCTTTTCGTACGCCTTCTCTACAATCCGTCATCCATTAGCAAACTTGCAACAATACTGTCAAGACACAAGAATAAACCAACCAATCTGTCCCTCATAATCCCAATCCGTATCCACGAACTTGAAAAACGCCTCACTGACCAGCACCAGCAGCGGAATCTCGTATAGTATAGTCTCGACCCATTCCCCCTTCACATCCAACGTAAGATCCCCGGCATCATCAGGTCCATCTCCACCATCGAAACTAATATCGACCTGCTCGTCCGGGAAGAATCTAAACTTCTTGAGGTATGCTATATACGTAGGCGGCAAGTAAGGACATTTCTCGTGAAGGAATGCTTCTTCCGAATCGGATAAGGTGATGTTTTGGAGTTCTAAAAATTGGAAATGTGAAGTTTAGCTGTTGTCCTAATAGTCGAATTGATACCTTTTTGGTGTAAACATACTCCCAATTTGTATCTTAATCCACTCGAATGCCTTCCTGTTAAGCTTCAGATGAGGTGTACGGTTCGTGTAGTGGTATGTAACGTCTGGAAGAGCACACAGGTTTGTGTTAGCGGGACCCTTGTCACATGTATTTTGGCGACATTAATGACGTAGGATTGCGTACCGGTATCAGGGTAATGCTGTAGGACGGCACATTGCATCGTCAATTTGTACAAATCGGTATCGAGCAATGAGAAGATGCCCTCCGGCAGTGCTGCATTTTGCTGTAAGGTTGCTGTTGCCATGATTGAGGAGTTTGTTGGGGGCGTCAGGGTGTGTGGATTTCAAAGTGGGATGTATGTGAAGAGGTACAAATAGGACGTAGTGGGGTGTTTGGTGGGATATCCTTTGCTTTGTCCTAGATATAAGTTAAGCCTAGCTAGGTAGCGGGATTCCTAAACGTTAAAAGCTTCAGGGCTGATGCAGTAAAGGATCACAACCTCAATCAGTCGACAAGGCCCAGCTCCTCTTTTAAACTCCTACTGAAGACATTTTCTACGGTATTCTCCTGGTAGCACCGCGATACCAATGGCGCAGCCGTCATAATCGACATTGTGAGCCTTATAACCTCTTCACGTGCTATGCCTGCCAAAAGAGTAGCCTGAACATCCTTTACGCGACTCGCGACTTTTTTTTCCTCTTGGGCGGCCATTGGAATTGAATTGTCTTGACTTGCCTAGCTCAGCTCGACAGCACCAAGCTTCTAAGCTTCTGCAGCCCCGGCTGAGGGGACCCTGGCTGACCTGTTTGCATCGATTCAGGTTTTTGGGGCCAGAAACGCAAGACTGTTATTTAGGTCGGGGATATTCCGATGAGCGCCCAAAAGAACTTGGGATAGATCAACGATTCTAGGCATATGAATCCTTTGCTTGCAGTTAGATTAATAAATGCTTTCATTGCTATCTTTTATAATTTTAGAAATCACAAGATCGAGGCTGTCATGTCGACCGCTGGGCCCCGCAAAGGAGATGCTGCATTTGTCATAGTTGCAATATTAATGCGCGGTGCGGCGTAGCCTCGCATTGGAGGCATCGGTGGACGCCGTGTTGCGATATTGTTTGATGTTGGTATTTCCTAATTTACAACCCCTGTTTATTGCCTATTTGGGGAATTATGAGGGATCAAACCAACAGGTAGAAGGGGTTTACAACACATAGAGGCTGTCTGCACCACATAGCAACAAAGTCCTGTATCCTGATAACAACAGCTAGCTTTGGAGCTGAGGGTTAAAGATAGTCTCGAGACCAGTTTTAGATAGTTTCGAGGCCCCGAGACTAGACACCCATAGCCTGGTCTCGAGATTATCCACACACCTGGGTACTTATTACTTAGGCAGATTAACTTCCTGGTTGCAATTAAGTAGCCTCTTGCTCCCACAAATTAAACTTTTGGAGAGTAGGATGCTTCCAGTACCCAGTCGAATTAATATCCAATTCAAAGACTCAACCGACCTGGAGAACCAGACTAGCCTACCTAGGTAGTTACCCAAGCACTTACACTAAAACATCTTCATTCTCTTTGCAGCCTTGAAAAACGTTTCTACCTTCAATAAAGGAGCACACCTAATTTTTGACCTGTCTTTGTCCTTAGCGTACCACACTGCGCATTCTCGGTCTGAAAGCGGCCTCTTATAGATATAGAATCAAATTGTGATACTTAAGTTCTATATTATGTACATATATGCATATGAGAGGCCTGTTTAGTATGCAAGAGCCAGAGAGGAGTCGGACATATACGCTTCATTAACCTTCCTTCACAAAGTCGTCTAATATCTCTGCCCCTCGATCACCGAGAATGCTATAGTGACCATCTCCTTCAAATTCCAATAGTTTAGATCCTTTGATAGCCTTCTGCATCTCTCTTGCTCCATGCACCGGTGTACTCCTATCCTCAGTCCCAACATACAATCTTACACCATCAAACCTAATATCTCCTAATTGAAAATCCCAATCCGCCACTAGCAATACTGAATCCTGCATAGGTCCCTCACAACCGTTCTCAAATGCCTCCATCGTACAATCCACGATTTCTTCGATCGCCTCTTTATCCTGTGCCACCAATTTATCCTTCTCTCCGAGATCAATAGCCGTATTCCCAAGATCCTTCCTCCAAAAATCACGTCGCTCCTCAACACTCCAACTCTTCAACTTATTATCAAAAGACCGTCGAATATATGCAATATTAAAAGTCCAGCTCAGATACCGAACCAAATGAAACCTCATCCAACCATGCCAATCCATTCCTTTAGTAGGATTTAACTTCCACGGCGCAGAACCGGCAATAACACCCACACCTGCCAACCTCTCCGTGGGAATCGAATGGGCGCAGGCAAGTGAATAAGGTCCACCACCTGATAGACCTATAACACGAAACTTTTGTATCCCTAGGGAATCGGCTATGGCGATTACATCTTGAGTGTGGTCTGTTAATGTGCGGTTCGGGTGTTGGGATGATTGTCCAAATCCAGGACGGTTTGGAGCTATTATGCGGATGTTACGACTTGAAAGGTGTGGGACTAGTACGGCGGCTTCGAGGGAAGAGGATGGACTGCCGTGGAGGTAAAAAAGAGGGGTGCCGTTTGGAGGGCCGTAGGTGCGGTAGGTTAGTGTACGGCCGTTTTGGAGAAGGATGGATTCGAGGATGCCTTCTGTGGGGTGTGAAGGGGAGGATTGGAAAAGGGCATTTGGGATAGTGCCTGGGGAGGCTCGAAGAAGAGATATGGGAATGAGAAATGAGAAGTCTAGTAGTGTAGAGAGCTTTCTTGTTATATTGGAAGCCATTAAATGTAACGTCCTAGAGCTCTTGAGTATATGATTTCTTGCAGAACGATTCTTTCTCTGAATGATTCGAAATTCTTTAGAATACAACCAGGTCTTTAGTAACTTAATCAAGCTCCGAACTTATACAGTTGGCCAAAAGGAAGGAATCTAGCTTAGTATTTATGTATCTGTCAGCTTTGATGTTTTGGCTTCAAGTTATACATTTGAGAAGAATGTTATTAGCAGCTGTGCAGCTGCGCAGCCACGCGTGCTTAGAAGTAAGGATGCTGGTTCGCCGTCGGAGAGCCGGCCTTGGTTGCTAGCCCCGACGCCCTGGGTCTAACTCGTTGTCCGCGGATTCCGCTTACTGATTGGTTAGGTTAATCGCTGTGCGGATAAAAGCTTAAAGCTTAGTTCTAAGTTTTAAGTGTTCGATTCGAGCCGCATTCACACTTAGCCTAGCATGTAGATCTTAATGTTCAGGTTGCAGGCACGAGACATACATTATGCGACATGTAATTTGTAATTTAGAAGGTCAAGGGTATTTCGTTTCTTGTTGGAAATCAAATTGCCATTGTAGTCTAAGGCTAAGACTCCATACTCCGAAAAAATGATAGCTCATGACATATATTATACATGTACGATATCCCTGATTCATCGAAAATATACATTCTCCCCGAGACCGCTCCGACCCACTCCACCCTGCCTAATCATGCCAATCTATTACTTTTAAAATGCACATTCACTTGCTGGTGGGTAATGATCAAGAAACAGTCGCCCGCATGCTAAAAGGTTCCGTAAAAAAAAAGGACATCCAGGGGCCAGACACTTTTGGAAATAAGTGAATAACTTGCGCGAAAATGATATTATTACTGGGGTATATTTGGCTTCTTGTCGGTCCAGTCGTCACCATAACTGTAGCCCTTTGCGATGAGGTCGCAGTCGCCGTAGTTCCACTTGAGTCGGAATAGTTCTCGGCCCTTGTCGATCCAGAAGTTTATACTATTTTGGCACATTCGTTAGTCTACCCTAAAACCTTGGGTTACGAAAGGATAGGTCAACTTACCCTCTCTCGAAACCTTTGGGATTTCTCCAGAAAGGTTCACCCTGTCCACCGTCCTGACGTGCCTGCCAGTAATTTCTACCGCCGTTATTACTCTGCTTCTCCTTCATCATAGCCTCCAATTCCATTTTAAGATTGGTGAATCGAGTTGTGTTTAATTCTGATTCATGGCCCTCTTCTGGGTATAGAATTGCAAGATCCTTGAGATGAGAGCCAACATCGTAAATAAATCCGGCGCTGACAGGATCTTGAGTCCAATTTCTCATGGTCAGACGGGAATACACGTCGCAATCGGTCATATAGAAAGGTATCTAGAGCTTATTAGTCGTATATTCGCGAGGGTACTGCTCATATTGTAATGCCTTACCTGGGTATCCCAACCACCAACATCCTTCATAGCTTCAACATTTACTAGAGTAAGCCAGTCATATGCGAAGAGCTTCAGACCCCAATGGCGTCTTTCTTCCAATGTATTCGCCAAGACTTCGACAGCCCTCTCGTATACACTCTTGTACTCGGGGAGTAATTCATCGGATAACACTACAACATCCATGTGGGACCAGAAAAAGTAGCCCAAATCCTGCTCAATTGCGTAGTTGATAAAGAAATTCTGAAGCTGGGCGAAGCTTAGGAGTGTCGGAGTGCGTTTAACAGAGACGCCAAGCTGCGTAAGTCGCGTGTGGTTCAGGTACCATGGGTTCTTAGCGGTGAGAAGGCCGCGAAGCTATTTTAAAAAGAAGAGACTGTTAGCAAGGACATACTCAAGGTAAACCAGTAACATGCCAGATGCAACAACGCACATTAGAATCCATCACGCCAGTATTGTCAATTACGGTAAGCTGCGAAGCGGGCCATCCTGCTGCGAGATAAGAAACAACTGCTTGTTCCAAAAGATACCAGTTGCGCGTAAATCCAATAAGTAATGGCGTTTTGAGATTAGTTTCCCTGACGATATTTTTCGGATTGATCTTGGGAACTTTGCCGGCCTTTGCGAGAGGGAATATTTCTTCCTGCCATGCTTGCTCGGGGTTCCCTTCTTTCTTTGGTGGTGGTTCATCCTGTTGTGGCGGGGGTAATTTCGACTTCCAGCTATCAGGTATATGTTTTTGAACGAGATCGGGTCTGACGTGGTTGGTAACAGCTCCAGAGAGTAAGAGGAGAAATAAGAAGGTGCCGCCAAAGGCCAGTATTGCTCTCCTATTGAGTGAAATAGGAGGCATTGTGAAGTATTAGAATTCTATATTGCGAGGCGCCTATTTGATTATTTAACTAAAGCGTGTGTCGTGAGAAGGTGGGCATATATCCGTCAAGGATAGAACTAGGTGTTGTTTAGAGGACGGTAGGGGAAGAAATAAGTTCCAATGGAAGAGACTGAAAAGAAAGAATTGAACAGGAAAAATTAAAACATTGAAGATGTAGAAGAATGATGCTAAGGTTGCAAATGCCGGGGATAGAACGAGTTTTAAATGAATGACCGGCAGTGCATGGTTTTTTTTTTTTTTTTTTTGATTTTGCCGTCCGCTGCACCGTCTTACGGAGAAACCTAGGCTTTTTAGATTTTTAGTTACAGATGCGACGCCAGATGCAACCTGGTAGGCCAAGTACACCAAGATTACGTCCAACATTGATATACTTTTACTAGCCTTGATAGGGCCGCAGGTTCTCCTATTTAGTTGCAGCTGCCCTCGTTTTATCTTCAGAAAATCCGCCCTGGTCAGCACTTTGCTGTGGTCTTGTCTGCTCGCTACGTCGTGCCACGACATGTTAAACTACCTACACAGTACTCTGTGTTAAATTCGCGAAGCCTCGTAACTCGCATTTCTTCCCGAGTATGTTTCCTCACATGGGTGACCACCAGCCAAATGCGTAGGAAGGGTAGAGATCCATGTTCATTGCAGGTCTGGGATTGAAATAGTTGCTGCTATATATGTACGGCGGGGCTTATTATTACAAGCGAGGTTTTTTGAAACCGACATGCTGGCCGCGAAGATATAACTTCCTTAAATCGACTATGACTGCTTCTTTTTGACAAAAGACTTCCAAGCCTTTTTGTATAGGGATATAGTATGCGTTTAAGGGGGCTCTCGTCTCACACCACATCCTTAACGTTATAACACTGGAACTAGAAAACTCGGGGTTCTTTCGATACTTCCACCGATGCTTCGTAATGGATGCAAGGGTGTCAAAAGTGGGTGTGGGTTTTATAGGTTCAGAATTCGCTACGTTCAGAGAAATAGCAATTTGACAAAAACTCCAATATTGAGGATCCGGTTTTTCATGGATGGGGCGCACCCTTCCGAATTCCAGACCCCTGACAAGTTTCGAAGATCCTCGAAGGGGTTGTCACCCAAAACACGATATTCACCATCCGGTCATGGAAAAATATCGTGGGTAGATACGCGGTTCAATAGAAGATATCTTTCGCACGAGTTTTTCGATTTTTCGGAATTTTAAATTGGATGTAACACACCAAGGTCTCCTGGTAGGTAGTCAACTAACTAGTCCGAAGTTGAGTTGAATAGCTTTGTGAGGTCTCAGTTCCAGTGACCCACTGTAGCGCCAAGCGCCCCACGAACTGGCGAAGCTTTCAAAAGGGTTAGGTTTCTTTTTTAGGAAAGGAAGGCCATATGCATACATATATATAGCTGACATTGAATCCAGTTGGATATCGATATCTATCGTCTACTATATAGCTAGCTAAACTGATGAAGTTTAATAATCGTGAACACAGACGATCACCCTGTGTGTAAATCAAAATACCCCAAAGTTGTCTCGTCGCCAGACTCCTCAACTGTGCCCCATAAGTATCAATTTATATATAATTATATCAGTTTACATCGTTGCAAGGGTGCTAGCTTGAATTCTATTCGATCGGCTGCATTTCCAAGCCTCCAAGAACATTTGATAAGATAACACATCTCTCTATTCTTTTTGTAATCGGTATGTTCCGACGCGGCACGAGAACACAAGCCTGCGGCTAAATATTTGCAGGTGTTTGGGGGAATTTTTCCATGATCGCTTTGCGGGGTGGTTCGATGCTATAATTGTTATCAGTACAGTGTCCCTTGAAAACCAAGCCATCAAGCTATAATCAAGAATATTATCAACTTACGCCTCGTAAACCATTTTTCCGAATCCGATAGGGAACTCTAAGAATTTACATTAATCTTGGTGACTTGGATTGTTGGATATCTGTTTTGGGTGGATGATATACCATTAGCCTCGTTACCAGTCGTTAAATCCTTCCACGTTTCTTCCACGAATTCATCCAGCGGCATGCCGATTTTTCCTGCGCCTTTCATGTCTGTGGCTTGTTAGTCTAATATTCTAGAACGAATGTCTACCAAAAGACTATCATGGATCTTTAAACTGTTCTTTACCTGGCTGGTTGGTTTCATCATGTAGTTCAGTTTGAACTGCAGGCTATGTGCGTAGGGGGTTCTATGGTAAGCAAAAGTACATACGATGAAACATAGTTATTTAAGTACAAAGAGCAGATCCTACCGGCAGTATCTCAAGTACCTTCACAGAGGTGCCATTGAGTTGATTCCGAAGCGAGAGAACAAACTGGTGCAATGCCGCTTTAGTCGCACAGTAATTTGGACATCTCGCAAGCGGGACCATAGCCAGAACCGAGCTGACATAGATTAGAGCAGACGATTCCTTCTTCAGTAGAAATGGAAGAAGAGCTGTTGTCAAGTGAATGTAGGATAAGTAATTGACAGTTAGTTCCTCAGTGATAACATTGAGATCGATGGTCTCGGGCCTAGTGAAGTTGAAGCCGCGTTGAATGCCTGTGGTATTCTATCGATCAGCAAGGCGTCGAGTCGATCATAGATGCGCAAGCCAGGTGACACGGAGGTCAAGATGATCCATACCTGAATTGAGAAGAACGGCGTCGATATCATGATGTTCCTCGGTCAACCTTCGTGTAACCCGACATGTTAGACAACACACAATATTGTTGTAGTTTTCTGCGCAAGCGGGGTGCACTGTAATGGACGATATTTTCGAATGCAATACGGATGGCGATGAGGAATTAACTCACCTCTCGACGAATTTGGGAATATCTTGAAGTTTGGTAATATCGAATACCTCATATGCACCGCCGTTTTGTTCGGTAAACGCCCTGAGGCGATCCTCTCGTCTTCCTGTGACGACGACTTGGATACCCTCTTTGAGAAATCTTTCTGCAAGAGCTTGACCAATGCCGCTCGTGGCACCGATTACTAAGACTTTCTTATAGTTAAAGTTAGACATATCGATTGAAGGCTCTTTATTAAGAGAGAAAGGTTCCTAGCGAGGTATTCTGAATGGTTTTGTGGATGAGTGAAGGGACAGGAAAGAGCGTTCGACAACTCATTTTTATACTTCAAGATGATTCCGGATTTAGACACTTTCCCTAATTAGTAGTTTTGGGTAACAATATAGGGCCGCCGAGACTTAACGTTATAGCGGTTAAAAAATAGAGACTCCAATTGGTTTTGAGTGATACAGGGCAATGGTCTTTGGCTGGTTATACATATTAGGACTGGCATATAGCGTACTAAGGTGAAATTGGCTCCTTGGTAGGTTAATAAAGAAGTAATTAATTGGAAATTCTGATGTTCTCAAGCTGAGAAGATATGCGATACCAGCACCCGTCTAACAACTAGACTAATGTGCTACTAGCTAACATACATAATCTTATAAACTGGTATCTACCCGCTAATATGTAACATGAATTGATTCTAACGCCTTGCGATATCTGTACGCTTCCAAGACTCCACTTCCCGCTCCAAAATAAGGTAAATACCAAATAACTCCAAGACCAAACAAACTGACTTGTCTCTTTGCGACATTCGGGAACAATACTAAAATATCTTAACCACCGCAAAACCGCTATCGGAATGATGGATCAGTCGCAGCCATCCCCACCATCCAAACAATAGCCACAAACTCAGTGAAACTTAGCCACCCTGAAACGCATTCCCGCCTCGCTGGTGTAGCAAACGACAAACTCCTATCCCAAATAGTACACAACCTCTCACTAGGGAGATCGCTTGATATCAACCCCATAGCTACTGCATGGTACGTAGCTAGCTCTCTCTTCCCCTGCCCGTCTGGTTTCACTTTCCCACATGCCGTATCATACTCCACAACCTGCTTCCAGAGCTGGCGGAGTGCACGCTCAATTGGAATATTCCATGGAACCTTCATAGTCGCCGCGTCCGAGTAACCGTACATAAGACACTTTTCCGTATCATTACAAGTAAACTGGAAGGATTTATAGAATTGAGAAAAGAGAGACCGGGTTTGGAGGCGCATGACCTCACGAGTGGGGTGTGTAAGGCCTGGCGTAGAAGGTGCCCGTGTCGGAAGGGAAATTCTGCGAGGGTTTTGATTCGCCGTTTCTGGGAACCGGGCGTATATCAGGGGACCTGAAGGTGTGGATGTAGGCGTTGATGTAGATGTAGAAGAAGTTGGACTCGAGACTGTTAATGCTGTCGCCGATGGCGAGGATGGAATGGAGGATGTTCTGAATAGCGATACTGAGGGCACAGTATGTAGATGTTTGGTAGGAAGCGGCCCCGCCTCGTTTGTTGAGCTCAAGGGTAAACTCGGACTTGAAACTGCATTTTGATGACCCAATGCACCGTATATAGCGTCGTAGGATGGCGGATTTCGAACAGTTGCCTCCCCTGGGCGAAAGCCATCCGCTACATAAGAGCTGTCGTTTGTTGTAGAAATTTGGCCAAGTTGTAATTCGGATATTGATCTGGGTAACCCTGGGATTTCTCCTGAGGGTAGGCTGTCTGATCTGAATCCCTTTAATGGGGGGGTAATTGGGAATCCATCGGTCTCGGACAATATACTCTCTGTAGGGGAATCCGGCAATCCAACTGAAGCATCGAAGCCTCGAAACCCCACCAAAAATTTCTCTTTCCGTGGATCCGGAATCACTAGTTTCGATACTGGCTGTTTCCCCTTCGCCGCTGCTGAACTTGAGCTCCCCACTCCCAACCCCGAATCCTTCAGAACTTTTGTTCCGGTTTTAAGGATTGGCAATGCCATTTTGAGGTTGACGTTAATCGGAAATATCCCTTCTTTCCCGCTGAGAGATGACGGAAGGGTAAATATATTCGAGGCTTGGGCACAGGATTGAAGCACGGGGAGCCCCGATCTAGTATTACTCTCGCTGCTGTCTGGTCGAGTCGCTAAAGTTGACGGTAAGAGGACTTGTAGCATCCTGACCGCTTTAGCTCGATCGGTCCTGGAGACTCAATGTTATACTGTCTTCGCACAGACGCAATGCAGTAAGATCCTAAAGCGCCCTCGATTGTATAACCAGAACGGAATCGGAATTATTGCAATATTGGCAAATTAAAAGGGTACCCCGTTTCAATTGTGCCAAAAGGGCATTGGGGAATCTTAGCGTTAGGATCGAATCTATGGCTAGGCAACTTCGCAACACGACGGTCGGGTTAAGCTCGATAGTGAAGATAATCGACAATGATGAAAATGGAAATGCTTCTTGGGAATGCTTCAAAAGAAGGCAGCCCCGCCCCCTCTTAAAACATGATGAAATCCTCGGAATCGGCACGCTACAAGGAAATCAAAACGCAATTTTCAAGACTATCGTCGTGAATAATTTCATTGAATGTTTCACGGTTAAGTTTAGGCTTGAGCCGCAGAGGCGCTAGGTTGCCCATATGGCAATGGTTTTGTGCGCTTTTGGCAGGGCGGTGACGCGTCAGAGGAGACCAAGTGCCTGGTGCCCAGACAAAAAGTCACCAAATTTAGTCAGCTCTTGTGGGAAAGGACGACAATGGTACTTTCTGGTGTCGTAAGCTACCCTGAAGACCTCGTTTTATGGAATTCTGGTTGCGTAGGCCTTTTGGAATATAAAACTAATGTGGACCGACTGTAATGCGACAGTAAGCTTGATTTGTTAGCCAAGGAGACACTTTCCTATTTTGTAGAAATCGACTTCTTGAAGGTGTCTTTGTTTTGCAGCCAACCCCTTCTCCCTAGTAGTATTGACGGACGTTATGATCACCATGTCAAATTCTCCTGGTCTCGGTTGTTCAAGGTTCCTAGCTGGCCAGACGTATGCAGAAGTTTATTGGCAGCTGGCCAGGAAAACCCAGCCTTAGCCAACGACCCGATCCCGTTCACGTTTGGCACCCGAGCTAGAGATCTTGCCTCGACAAATGCGGGGCGAAAATCCCGCCATTGCATCCAATTGCATCTGTTGGTCAAATTCACGAGGATCAACTTAATACAATCCGTGATATACGGACACATTACTGTGGAAAGAAATCCTATTGCCCAACTCCGGCCGTTTGGAAATGTAAACAATGACGGAAGTTTACAAGGAAAAGATTATTCGAAAATGGACCGACTCTCGTACGGGAAATGGCCATGGTATAGCTGACTATAAATTTGAATGAATTTAATTTCTTCCTTCCCGTGACCTCGAGTTGAGAGCCTTTTCGTGATGCAAATTTTTATGAGCGGGCTTGGGCACTCCGGTCGTCCGCTATAATACCTTATACTACTAGTACCATTTGACCCCTTTGCATTAGCCCCTCCTTGATTACAAGCCTCCTTGATTGCAAGACCATCATCGATAACACCATCAATCGTTGACTCCTCTTATACTCAAAATCTCCGTTCCGTTCTACCGCCGTAGACAACGAAAACGATCTAAATTTAAGACCAATCTCCGCAATGAGGGCCTCTCTGTTGGACGCACAAATTTTTCTTTTGGTGTGGTTCGGGATAGCAATCCCCTGCCTGTCAATCAAGGATGCCTGTGGTAAGCAAGATTCTGCAAGAACTCAGCGGCTATTCACAAGCAACACTATCGAAGGCTAACATCGTGATCAATTGAATAAAGGATCGATACCTGCCACAATAACGCCGAAATTTGGACTTCCTCCCGTAATAGATATAACCGGTTGCCCTTGTGGAAGTTTTTGTTTCGATAGTTTCGATAGTTTTCCGAGCTTGGAGTACTTAATATCTTGAGTTGGCGCGCCTCGGTTCGGGTCGAAATTTCGGTTCACAATATCCTACGTGGTACAATCTATTACATACTAGTATACTACATAGCTCTTTTCGGCGATATAGATTTATATCAAAATTATCAGACCTCGGCACTATTTGACGGATTAGAAGACTGGAGTTCTCCGTCTGCTGGCTAGGTGTTATTGCGTCTACCGGAATGTATACAGGGATTTAAGGTTACTTGTTCTAGATCTAGCTAGCTTAGTGACGTCTCGTGAGAGATGATTTGACAAGCTTCACAATTGACATAGCATCACCACATTCTCATGATCATTCGTGCCCGACTTCCTATGCATTTAACCATGGAGCTAGCCAATTAGTCTACCCCGTATTCGACCCCTTTATTGGTGGGGAAAGCATTTTTTGTCGAACGTTTCGAATTTTGATATATCACTCGTGTCATGCAGCCACTCTCACCGCCAACTGGTCGACTCGCCCAAGCAGACCAATCTGATATCTCGCATCCTAAGCCCGTTCTATTTTTTTGGTTATCGTAATGTTACTGTGTCCTTGCAAGGACACTAAAACTTGTTTGAAATAGTCGCGAATACCTGCTTATCGCTTTTTGACTCGGCTACGCATAATGTCCCTAGCAAGACAGATAAAGCCAACTGCATGTAGGAGTTACATACACTCTGGGGTGCGTCAGATTCATGATCTTAGTTTCCAACCGGCATATGCGATAACTCATCTCGTGGCAAGATGGTGCAAAGATACAAATGAATTGCGGATTTTTTGGGTATTGCGTCGACACAGGTTTAATTAGTCATGTATGAATACAGTATTTCGAGAATCTACCGAATTCGTCTTCATGCCCTCGCCTGTTGTAATCGATATCTACTTTTTGTGTCATCATGATGAGATAAAACAAACACAAATATTAACTCGCCGTCTAGAATTTCCGCGGAACCAAAAGCTGGAGAGTAGTCAAAACAAGGTTAGTAGGGGATCCAACGTTGGGGATCTCTGGCAAAAAGCCTAAGAGGGTGGGCTATTTCTTTCCATAAACAGATTTGCCTTCATCTCTTGGTCCCTTTGGAAAATCTGGGGTAATGCATAAAGCAGGAAGTTCGGTCTCGGATACGTACAGCGCCACCTCTTTTAGGCTTCTAGTGTGTGGGCTAGCTCCGAACTAACATAGGTACCTAGGTTGCTGCAATCTCATCTTACGCTCTATCACGGGGGTCAGGCTGGCGAAAGGATTCGTAGACAGAATTTGAATAAGAAGCACTGATAACAGCCTCGGGAGGGTCATACCGAGCCCGAGTACTCCGTACGTGCCTCTTCACTTGAGTGATTTGTTATTCGTCCGATCGATAGCGAATTCGATAACGAATTGCGAAAAAAAAAAAAAAAAAAAGGACTTCCAGCAGAAAACAAAGAGGAAAAGTTAACACGGGACCATGTATAACTTTCTTCATATCTTATTGAGAACTTTATAATCTAAATTTCGCATGGAACCGCTATCTCTCGGTTGATATATGGGCTGTACATGTATTAAAACATCGTCTATCACGATTGTGTGATTTGGCCTCTTAAGCTTTCATTAGTGAGCCACGTGTGGGATAGACCAGGCGGGTGGATATCGGAGTAGTCCTAGGCCAGCTGAAGCAGCATCGACAACGTATTTACATACATGCATAGAGTAGGAGTTTCGTGACACCTGACCAAATAATTGGGCATCAGAGTCAGGAGCAGGAGCTATACTTCTGTAGGTTGAGAAAGGCGTCCTATCTCGATTAAGAGCTGCCAAGTCAGGATCTAGACGACCCCATTTACGTAAAATCCCATTCAGCCTTTTTTCTTTTCGTCATTCAATAAAAGTCTAGCATCATTTAGATAATAGCTGCTAGCTATGTAGGCCATATCGAAGGGGAAAAAAAAAAAAAAAAAAGGAGCCCCATAGTCCAGCAGCGCGAGGAGAGGTGGGCACGAAAGCTCAGGTCCTTTAATGCATTGGGAGTCAAATACACAAACTGTGCAAACACACCAGATCGATACAGCACCTGTAAGAAGTACTTAATCAAGTAATTAAGTGGATATAAACCTCACCCCAAAAAGAAAGCCACAGTCTGGGGGACCGGTGTGATAGCTACTTGTCGGAACTCCTAGTTCGGTCGGTCTCGTCGTCGTGGTCGAATTGGATCGAACAATCGAGCTTGTCGGAGCCACTCCCGGATGCAAGCACTGTCCGAGTCGTCCTGGTCATGAGGTCTTTTTTAGCTGCCACCAACAGCCATCCCCCATCTCTCCAGATAACGCATGCCTCCGGGTTCGCCTGCCTGCCGATAGATGGATGGATGCACCGGTGAATTGACTGGTGGATATCGTCCGGTACCTTATCTTTGAGCTCTCACGCCATCAGATAGGGTAAAAGTTATCACACCATTTCGGTCGAATCAGGCGATTTATTCGCCCCAAGCCCAACCTAGCTGCTAGCTGCTAGCTGGTCGATTTCTTCTTTAATTGACAAGAGTCCGATAGAAAGTCGATACGGGATAGTGCCAAACCAAGCTGCTGTGATGGGAGTGGTGGTGGTGGTTGAGAACCAATTCTCTGCGCATGCCCCTCTCCCTTGAGTCTGGGCAGCTGCGAAAGAGGGAGGAAAAAACAAGCAGGACGGTGTTCTCCTAAAGGCATCATCATGCAAGCCAGTATAATCGTTTACGTATTTTTCTATCTGGACGTTCAATCCTATCAGAACGGAGATTACAAGCCTTGTTATCTATATCTGATCTACATAAAATCACGTAGTATACTTACTTCCTTACTTATATACTATTCTTTCTTTTCTTTTCTTTTCTTTTTTTATTTTCCCGTTTCCTATTCGTATACTTTGGTTACCCCGTATAAACCTTGGGAGGTTCCCTGTTAACCTCACAGAACTGCAGTTGGGATCCTTATCCTCAGATGTGTATTTGTATGGCAGTTGCAGTCAAGGAAGAGGAGAAAAAAAAAAAAAAAAAAAACATCATTCATTTCCCTATCACCAGGATCGAGCACACATATAAGGAACAAGGCTCCGGAACCAGGGTCGACTAACCTTACGGCAAAAAGCAACAACGAACTCCTCCATCGATTACAGGGCCTGCAGATGCACTTACCCAACATGTGGGTCCGTTGCTAGTGTCTACTCCATTTGTTTCCCCATATCAATTCAATCAACGAGCCAAAGCTAACCCAGTGTTAAACTGCGGGCACGCTTTAGGCGACACGAAAGAAAAAAAAAAAATTATAGGGAAAAAATTCGGCCAGAGAGAGAAAATAAAAATTCTTGTGTGAAATGACGACTGCGATTGATAGATAAGGTCACATTCCTTAGTGCCTCTCTGAGCACTGAGTTCTAGACTTAAAAGGTTTATAACGGATTAGCTTTCGATACGGGACCTTCGGAGTCTTTTCACTGGTATCTCTTAAATACGATACATCTCACCGGTTCGCCCTCTAGCCTGTCCTCATTCCTGCACAGAGATCCTTAGCGTTTAGTTCCGCGGCTCTTTTATATATAAATTACCGTATACGCCTTCGTTTTCCCCAGTTGAAGACATCCATATACCCGACCTCCGCTTCGAAGTTGCGGGCTTTGCTCTGGTCGACCGGTCCCAGTCCCAGTCCCAGTCCCAAAGTTTATATATATATCATTCACATCAATTCGATTTTTCCCTAAGAAAGTTTCTTTTTTCTTTCTTTCTCTTTCTTTCTCCCTCGCCGATACTTCCCCGGATTCTTGGCTGGCTATCAAACCAACAACACGAACTCCAACGTTTATCTTTATCGATATTCTTCCCAATTTAATCCCATTCACAACAGCTTTCGGGCTCGTCATACCTCTAATTAATCATATACAATGACTGCAATTCCAGGCTCTAGAGGCACATTAGTTGTGATCAATTCGACAGGCCGTCAGACGTCTAGTGTTATCAGAGTAGCTTCTGCTATCGGATATAGAGTTCGGGCACAGTTAAGATCGGCGACCAAAGGACCCAAAGTAGCGCTCGCACAGGAGCTAGCATCGCTGCAAAACGTTGAACTAGTTGAAGGGTCATTGAGTGACCCGAATATCGTGAACAACTTGTTCAAGGGAGCAGATGTCGCCTTTATCAATACGACGTTTTGGGGTGACGAGGTAGCCATCGGCATGTCTCTGGCGAAAGCGGCGAAAGAGGCCGGGATTAAGCATTACATCTATTCAAGCTTGACGGATCACAAGAAATGTTGGGGGAATCATCTTCCGCATCTTCCATACTGGGCTACGAAACATCAGGTTGAGGAATACATCCGGTCAGAGCTCCTGAAGGATATGCCTACAACCTTCGTCTATGCCGGAATCTACAATAATAATTTTTCTACCTTTCATCATTTGCCCTTATGGGAGCTGCAACTCGCGGACGAGAAGGATGGCGGCGGATTCGTTTGGACTGCGCCATTCGACGAAGACTACAAGATGCCATTCCTAGACGCAGAACACGATACCGGCCCAGCCGTCATCCAAATCCTCAAGGATGGCCCCCAGAAGTGGAATGGAGCTAGGTATGTAATCAAAAAAATACTCTCTGGACTCCCGTATGTTCCAGTAATTATTTTTAACTAATATATATCCTAGAATCCCACTGGCTTTTGAGTACCTTAACCCTAGAGAGATAGCGGCGGTGTTTACAAAGGCGTTAAATCGACCGTTTACCTATAAGAAGGCGGGGCTTGAGATCAAAGCAAAACTCCCTGATGGCTATATGACACAAGTCCTTGCCATTGCGGAATTGTTTGGGACCCATAGAGCGGATTACTTCCCTCCAGGTATGACCGCACCAGGTCCCGCAAGAAAGATATGGCGCGGATGGCGCGGACTTGAAGAATACGCACGGGAGGTTTTCCCTATTGAAGAAGCACATAATGGCAGAACATGGATGTACGGGGATGAGGAAGATGAGGACATAATGGATGGTGACGAGGAGTTCGACGAAGAAGAAATGGCTGGCAGTCCCGAGAATACCGTTGTCGGAGACGAGGACACAGCGATCTACAGCTACATTGGTGACCAGAAACATTGATTGCTACTTCTATTGGCGTACCGGGGCATCAAAATTTCTTTGACTACATATTATGACGACATTTTTACGGACCATCTTCTTTTTTATTTCTTGCTGCGGGAAATCAATCACGATATCCAAGCATCGTTCAAAACCACATTTTCAGGCGCAATTCAAGGACCACCGGATATCCCAGCTTCTCCACCAATCCCCCTCTTCACCTTTTTTTTTTTTTGTTTCTGAATTGCAATATAAACCACCAAAAAAAGTTCTTCACGCAACTCGAGTGACCACCGATATTTCGGGCTAATCCTCAACGTTTTCCCTTTCTGTATGAGTTTGATTTGGGAAAGTTTTACGCAACTAAACTCCACACCCTAAAAAAATCACCAACCAAAAGTTCTTTTCCCACTGCATGCTCTGTGCTAAGGTTGATATCTTTCAAGCGGTTTTTGGCGTTCACTCTCCTCTTTTACTTTTCGGCTGTTATTATTCTTGTACGTATAACGTGGGAGAGAGGGCAAGGAAGCAAAAAACAAATTACTACGTGGCCAGATACCATCCATTGTACTACCAATCTGAAAGTATTTCCGAGGAATCAATGATACATTCGCCATCGTATACCCTAATTGATTCCCGAAATAAGCTCTTTTTTTTGCGTCCCCATCATGAGCCAGTCCGCTTTCGTTAAACGTCATCCCATGAGGACGTGCAGTCGTGATATAGATATGGGGTTATGCTATAGTAGCAGAAAAAAAACCACCAAACCTTGTTTCTTTTTACCTAAGATTTATGTGATGAAAAAGGGACCGTCAGAGCTTAAACCCACCCACGCAGGCCAAAAAAAAATTTTCGTTTATGACTGCTAGACCTAGAGCTCTACCAGGTCCTATTCGTTATGGTGCCAAGCCGTGTAGGTTAAGAAAGGTCGAAGACTATGGAAGCCTTCCTGGGGATCTCTTGGGTCTTACATGCCGCCAGCTTATCGAATTACCCTAGCTTAGCTATACCGGTCTCGAACGTGTGTGACATGGGCTGCTGCTAAGATTGGCTCGATTCACTTGTCCTTTTTCGATTCTCCTAGGACCCAGAGGCGATTACATACACAAAATCGAGAACCACTGTCCTGTATAGCCGGAATTTTTCATTCACGGGACCAAATGCAAAAGGACTCTTGCCGACACGGAAAACTCTCCGAAAGGGCTCACTGTTACCCAATAGAACCGCCCATGAGGAGTGGTAGCTCGGTTTCCTATTTGCCCAGTAGCTTACCCGTTACTATCCCCTTCCAACAGTTGTGTTCTTCGGGTGTATGCGAACCGGCCATATATCGAAGCTTTTTTTGGGGGGTTGGTATGTTGGCTATTATACATCTTCACGCATATGATACAATGTTCAAACCGCATGTTTCTGAACCAGCAAGATCATAGGAAGGATACCTAGGTCCTTGATCTTTCACCCCCCAATCCCGCCTCATTCACACACCCGCCAAACTCCAACATTCTACTGCCTCATTATCAATCCCGTTCCCAAGCGATGCATTGTGAATCGTAGATCCACCCGCTCCACCGCCTCCTGCATGTTTCTGATGCCCATCTGGCACCATCAACGTAACCGCGGCCGCGGTCGCCGCTGCCACACTACTGTTGTCCGTAGAAGCCGGAGTCGCAATATTAATACTATTCGCAGAACTATCCCCAACCGGGGAGCTGGACATACTAGATGTCGAGCTCCTGATAGCTTTCCGTTTAAGCATTTCTGCAAGCTCTACTTCATCCGGATGTAAATGTGCACCAGCCTCACGTAGGAGTTTTACATTCTCGGGGTACCCCGCGTCCGCGGCCAGGTATAGTGGGGTGTGGTTTTCGCGGTTGCGGATGTGGACTGAGGCGCCGCGTGAGAGGAGGTGTCGTAGCACTTGACTGTTCGATTGGATTGCGGCATGGTGCTGAAGGGGTTTTAGCGGGATCACGTCAGCTTAGGATGGTATGAGAAAGCTTCGGGTGGGCTTTTTTAGATAAAGGGAAACTACTTCTTGGGACGTGGCTACGGTTACGACTGGGGACTGCAGTTTCAGCTTCATACATAGAGAGGTCACGCATACATATTATTTTCACACTTGAGCCAGTCATAGACCCTGAAGTGGGTATGGTATGGGGGGCAATGGGTAACAGCAAAACGCCCATGCATGATAAGTAAATGTGTCCACGAGATCATAGTCTCTTTCTGGAATCGTCTCTGGAATAAAGGAAACAATAATTGACTTTTAAGAAAAGGAAGAAATGAAGTATCGAATAAACCAAAAAAGAGGATCCAACCAAGAATAGAATGAAGGAAATTCAATTCAAAGATCCCACGCCATAAATGCATGAATGTAACAAAAAAAAATGGCAGGTCGCTAAAGAGATAAGATAGGAAACTAAGAGCATTTGCTTTCTTTCTTTTAGGGATTGGGGTAGATTGGGGGAAGTATTGCGACAGAGACTCCAGAAATGACGATCCCGTGATACGCACTCACACATGCATGAGGACACACTCACTTTCATACACACCTTTTACTTCACGTTTTCTATCCTATCCATCTCATCGATAGGAATTCGGTGCTGTAAGTGGCAAAAACTGCGGTGTCGGTTGCTTCACACCCGATACACTTACAACATCCTCTCTATTGCTGAAGGGCACAACCATATCTACGCACTTTCGATCACAAGTTGCAGATACTGAAGCACGGTCACAACTGCAGTCCCTCGACGATGCCATCGACACAGAAGTAGAATCACACGGTGAAGATTCTAGGGAAAACTGGACGTCGCTTACCAACGGTGTTCTCCCTGCATAGTCAACCTCGTTGAGTAACCATCCTTCCTGGGCGACCAATACCCTCTCGATTTCGTCCAGGTCGCCGTCTCGAATTGCGTATCCCAGACGAGAGATAGATTCCATTTTTGGAGTTAAGCCAGGATGTTCGAAGAGTGTTTGGGATTGTTCGGTGAGTTCGCCACGGAGGGAGTGTGACATCTGGAAACGGATTTGGGTGTCCGTGAGGTTTTTACCCAAAAGCCATATGAGCTTTGTTAGGGCGGCTGGTAATACGTAAATATATTAGTATATGGGGGAGGGATCGGAAGATGGATACTGGCGAAGAAAACATACCTTCGGATGTTAGATCGTGTCCGAATACGACGCCTGCTCGACCTAATGCCGTCCCTGGGGCATATAATGGACTGACAGTGCCAGTTAGGCCTACGAAAATACCCCAGTTATTAGCTTTAGAACCCCGATCGATAAGTGGTTTCTCCGATAATTTACATATCGGATATGACAACAGATAAAACATGGAAATGCTTATCTTGGTCATAGGGAAGGCCGGGTGAAACTTACACTGTGTAACATTGACGATGATAATTCCTCGTCTGCATGCCTCGCCTAGGACTTGTAACAATCTTTCATCTTCGGGCAGATTCCCTGCACCGAAGGTTTCCAAGACCAGTCCCTTCAGGTTCTTCAGATTCAGCACGCCTTCTACCATTTCCGGTAGAATTCCTGGGAATATCCGTAAGCATGCAACCTGTGCATCGAGATTCTCTTCGACTCGGAATTTCTCGATTACATTGGGACGAGTTATGAGGTCCCATCGGGCTGTTGTATTAATCCCAACAGTTGCAAGAGGTGGAAAATTTGGGGATTGAAAGGCGGCAAATGCTGTAGCATTGACTTTCGTGGCACGATTCCCACGATACAATTCATGGTTGAAGAAGAGACAGACTTCGGGTATCATGAAATGGCCTGCAATGAGAAGAGAGCCAAGTAGATTGTCTGTGGCATCGTTTTGGAGCTCTGTCATAGGTGTCTATATGATATGTTAAATTTATTACACCCACTGCCATAGAATTTATGTTGGTTTTCATACCTGGGATCCACTGTATATGAATCCAAGCTGAGATTAGCATCTGAGTTTCCATAATTATTTGTGTGACCATGGGTGGGAGTTTGTGTGACCTACGTTAAGATGACCGGCTTGCCGAGATTCTGCAACATAAAGCTCAGTGCCGAGCTTGTGTAGGCCAGAGAGTCGGTGCCGTGGAGGACGATGAATGCGTCGAACTCCTTATAGTTGTTATATATAGTAAATGCAATCTTCTTCCAGCCTATACCTAAAGCGTCAGCGATATTTTCTCGAGACATCTTTAGATTTGACAGGGCAACTACACAAACCTTTGGCATTTATACTGCTGCTATCTAACAATGGATTGAATTCAAGCACGCAGTATCTGATTTTTTTACGGTAGCTTGTCAACGGGGTCCTCAAAGATTTTAAGACCTTTTCTTCGCCTGTATCTGTTCGAGCGACTAACTCCTTCATCGGAGAATTATCATTAAATGATGGCCGGATGGCCAAGCATGAGTCTAGGAAACCTTCCGCCTATATGGTTCAAACTGATTAGAATCGACACTATTTTTTTGAAGATGTTATCTTGGTTGAGGGACCTTGATAACGGGATCGGGTGTGCACGTACGGGTATGTAGCCGTCCGGGCTTCTACGCATGCATATAGTACCCCCTGGCGATAAGACAACGAATTATTAGGACCTGGTTTCTTTCGATCTCGCTGGCATAGATGAAATCATGATATTGGAACCTATCTTATCATGAACACGGGCACGGGAGACTTACCAGTCATGATAATGAGGACTCTAGATTCGGCAACTGCTTCTTCATACTCGATGAAGCTCTCCCGACGCATTTTCGCAGTAACCATTTTGGACGATACTTTATGTTTCTTTCACAAAGTATTGTGATATGTATTTTATATATATTAATATATCTATATATATGTTAAAGGGGTTGGAGCTTTGTCGGTGAGGACAAGGATTTTTGAATGAATAGGTGAATTTGAATGGGTGATAGTTGTTGGATTTAAGAGATGATGTTGCGAACAAAGTGCTTGTACCGAATTACTGATAAGAACCGATACAAATTACAATTCAATTGCTCTTTCGACACTAGCATGGTCCTTGGTTTTTTTGGAATGTATATGAGAATATCATACTAAAGAGAAGATTTGAGAGAAGGATGAGCTCGAGGCCTTATATAATCAAATAAAGATAGATACTGACTACCTAGGCCTAGGTAGCTAACAATTTGTGCTGACTGGTGAGCTCATGCCTCAAGGATATCGAAAAATGAGTTATCTGGGGTGACAAGAGAGGCGTTCTAGAGAATGTCCGAAATCGCCTTAGCAAAAATCAATATCACGGGTCGAATTAATTTTTGTTTTTTAGAGCTTTAGCACTCAGACATTTTTTTTTCCTGGCGGAAAATCTATAAAACTCTGTCGCCATACTTTGTCCGTTCCAGGAAGGGTGTTTGTTGGATTCGACGTTCCATTGATAACCGGGAGGTATCAATTACCCCATTGTAACTGTGCCCATGTCTCTCTCTGGTTTGTTCCAACCAGCGGTTCCGGTTCGTTTAGGGAAATATTTTCTTTCTTTCTTTCCTTATCTGCCCAGCATACAGGGTAAGGAGATGGGCCGAGAAAAAATCGGAAGGGCCGGTGATAGGAAGAAGAGAGTCCCTATCGCGTACCACGATGGCATGGCCATTGGTCGGCCTTGCATATTTTTACGAGGGTGAGGCATGCTGTGAATCGAAGCATATCACCACCACCGTGCAGCTGGGCTGGCTGAGAGCTCGACAAGCGGCCTGGAACGTTTGAACATTTAGAATACCGAATCTAACTACCTGGGGCTGCAGGTACGGGAGTCGCCCGAAAGTTGGGCCAGAAGCTTAAGAAACTTTACTTTGACACCCAATCGAGCCAGGATTCTCCACGATTTTGGGAATTCAGGCGTCCGCATGCCCAAGGATGATATTCAGCGGCCCTCCAACTCTGGCTCCAGTTCTGGTTCTAGCTCCAGTTCTGGCTCTTCAGATCTCTCAGCCGTCGTGCGATTTGCTAATGAATTGGCTAATGCCGCTGCCTGTATGACCTGGCTTAGACCTCAACAAAAAGAACATAAATTCCTGACATATACCTAAGTACTTGTGTATATGTAGTAGCTACTGAAGTAGTTGGTTGTATGTAGTTAGTTGCTCCTCTTGATCGATGGCGCGAGCTTTGGATAGGATGATATGGTGATGCATGAATAGTATACTTAGGTATCAGAGCGCTGTGGTGGATTCCATCCATACTTACTGACATACCATACATACATACATATGCATCGGTCGGGAGAAGACGGAAGGGCAAGCCGGGGATGGCTGAGAGGTTTGAAGCGCTCCTTCGTGATGTTCATATTTAGACCGTTGGACGCGAATATTATAGGCTCAAAGGGCAATATTTTAGGTAAAGAAGGGGTAATGAGAACTTCCAAAGTCTCCGACCGAACATCACGAGTCATATTGAAGTAATGCTTCGTCAAGATTACGACCGACATCGCCCATGTCTTGGTATTGCCCGACCCGCCCTCTGCCCGCACGCCTCTTCGCCTCGCCTCGTATGAAGCGTCGTCACCAGCTAGCCAACCAGCTAGCTTCTTACTATCACCTTCTGAAGCTCTGATGATGCGGGGACATGACAATCCGTGTTGAGTATTGCGTGAGACTGCTCTTCTCAATATGGAATCTTCCTCTAGCAGCTGGAAGGAGTTCCTTCCTCTCCTTTCCCATTCCATCCAACATGGCAAACTTTTTTTTTTCTGACACCATGAGCCGGCTCCAATATACCTGTCACCAACAATGGTAGACCCTGGTAGGTAAGTGCTTACCTGTTTGGCTTGCTGAATCTAGCAATTGGATATCAGATCCAATGTATAATCTAAGTATAAATTTGATCCTGGTCTAACCCCGGATGTACTATGTAAGTATATATTGCACGAGGAGCTATTAATATCGGGCCATGCTAACACCCACCATCTCACCCTCAGGTTTCTAGACTTGTCCGGAATGCCCCTCAATTGTAGCTACATCAAAGATGCATTCGCACGTGGCGTCGCATAGGGGGAAGAGAAGAAAAAAGGGATTCATCTTTCATCACTATGAGATGGTCCCAGAACATCCTCCATGGAAGGTCTCCAAGCTGGAGCGCTCGATCACAGATGTATGAATGCATCTCGAAAGTTCTCTAAGGTCTTCCTTTGACGGCTTTTGATATCTTTTGATATCCTGATATGTACCAGCGCAGCACAGTGCAGCGACAAACCCTGGCCTGTCCTGAACAGGCCATGGCGGCGAGGGTGTGCATGTTTCAAGCGAGGGAACATGGCCTGAGCTAGCCTGGCTATCAGTGATTGGCTAATTTCTCATTTGAAGATTCTGGGCGTCCCTAAACGGTGCCTGGCCTGTTTTAGCCTTTTCATGATGGGGCTTTTTCCAGAACTTCGACATCTTACCTTTTCACCTTCCATTCGAATTCTGCATCTTCCATCAACCTCCTGGAGGCTCCCTTTCCGCCACTTCAACCCCCGCCAGCCTTATCCGGATCCTCTATCGATCGAACAAGAATCTCGAGATCATAATTTCTATCAGCTATCTTTCTATCTTACTTGTATTTTATTACATTTTCCTACGGCAAGGAGCGGTGTTCAGAGCCTCGGTTTTGGTGAATTGACTATTTGGATCCTGTCCTGCCACCCTTTTTGACTTTTTGGTTTGGCTTGAGTTTTGCATTGGTTTTATTGGCATTGCCACTTTGAGAGTGACAGACAGCCCAGCCCAGCCCAGTCTGCCCTGTATTACCTGGCCTGGCGAATTCAAACAACAAAACATCAACCTCGAAAAACTACGACTTTCTTCATCACCGCTTCTATCATCATCTTATCATTATCATTATCATCATCACCCATATCACGAACATCACCATCCTTCCATTTTCCGTCTTCCGACATCCCGTCACCGGCAGCACCACGGGACTCTATTTCGAAACCGCATGGGCCGGCGATTTCTCGAGAACCAACAGGACACGGTGCAGCCGAGGCGTTTAACCGAGATTTTTGACATTCTCTTCAACGAAACCTCCATCAAATCGGCGACTCGAGAGAGCCGTCGCGAATTCTACACACACCTCCCTTCACGACTGGGAAATAATTAGATGTCTTCTCAGCAATCCCCGCCTCCTCATCAAGGTCCACCGTCGAACCGAAACCAACCTCCTTCGGCTTCCCGGTCGATATCACCTCACAAGAGGCCAAGAACACCCGACTTTTCAAGGGAGCCGCCTAAGGGGCCACGTGCTTATCTTACACATCAGGGAGGCCCGCCGGCTGGCGGCGCCGGGAACAATAGCTATGGGGCAAGGGCACCTCCTGGCCCTCGAGGGCGGTCTCCTCCTCCTCTGGGACCGAGGTCTAGGACAACCGTGGGACCTCTGAGCGCAGGTAGTGGTACGTGACAGTGTTTCATTTACTGGTCGTATCTCAATATACCATTTAGATACGTAACAAAATTCATTGGGGTTCTTTATGCTGATTTAGTATCATTCGTAGGAATGAGCCCAGTGAATGACAGCTATAATGCTTTCCGGGAACGTCCACCACGCGAATATGATGATTATACTCGTAATCGTACAATTCCACCGCGAATGAGGGAAGGGCCTCCGGGGGTTGGTATAGAACGACGACAATCGATTGGCGGGCCTATGGGTGGGCCGTATCCTCGTAGAACATCGCCTCCTCGGAGATCAAGAAGCCCTCCGGAGAGAAGAGGATGGAACGATCGGATTGAGAGGTATTCCCGGGAGGATTTTCGTGATAACAGGGACAACCGAGAAGATTATTTCGCTAGGACTGCGAGGGAGGACCGTCATTTTCAGCGAGAGGGTCATCCACGTGATACAAGGGAGCGCGATTACTCTTATTCCTCGTCATATCGACCGGAGCCACGGGAACAATATACTAATAATACCCGAGAGTTCCATCATCGCCAAAGCGTTAGCAGCCAAGGCCTGCCAATCGTATCACCAGTTGACGATCCGAATAAACTCGCTAGGGAGCAACGGGAGCGAGAGGCTGCCGAGTAGGTCCAAACTTATCGGTGCTTGGGTATTGTGTTTGGCCTTTGTTGATTGCTAAAATTTCGATTCGTCTTTTTAGGTATAAGAAACGTCGGACAGCTGGTCCTCGACCAAATGACCCTCCTGAGAGAAAACGTTCCACTCACACTAGGTCGCCCTCGCCGTCCGGTCAACATCAGACGACCCATTCACCTCCACATACTGTTTCTTCTCGCTATACCTCAAATCCATCCCCTTCGACTAATTCGCCTCCACCACTTTCAGATCGTAATAATGAGAGAACCTTATCTGATACACCTTTCAAGTCCGACAATAATCAACCCATTCAAAGTGCAACGCCACAAACGCCTCACCCACCGCACACACCGAGCACGTTTCAGCGGAATTTAACTCGACCAACACCCTCCGTTCCAATCCTCTCTGCTCCTGCACCTCCAAGTGTTCCATCATTTAGAGATATCCCGCTAGGTCCCCGTGCTTTATCCAACAGCTCGCTTAGAACGATACCAACAGGTCCGAGGATACCTCCAACAGGTCCTAGGTGGGATAAGGACAAGAAAGACGGCGACAAAGACGACTCTGGGACTTTGATTAAGGAAGAGCCGCACGAGAAAACGATAGATGACAAACCACCTATTGATGAACCTAGTCCGGTCGAGGAGGGTGAGGTGGTGAATAGTGGCGACGAGAGATCGTTCGAAGGAGACCACCGAGAGACCGAAATGGAAAATACGAACGATTTCCGGAAAGAATCGTCTTCCTTGGAATATAGGTTTGACCGGGTTTCAGGGGTTCCTGCGCTTCATAACGTCGCAGATGCTGCAGAAACCAAGAAGGATGTTCCAAAAGAAACATTTGTCAAAGAGGCGCCACCAGTGAAAGAACCAACTGAACCTAAAACTGTGCCGCAGGACAAGCGGCCTTCCACAGCTTCCGACAATGCCATGCGTGATCAACCTTCACTATCCGCCTCACCGACTGCGAAGATTCCTCCAACTATCCTATCGCCCTCTACAGAATCTGCGAAGTCTGTCCCCGTTCAGCCTGCTCATTTTGCTCCGACATCGCCCTCTCAACCATCCCAAATATTACCCCCCTCGGTTCCTACAGGCCCTCGAGCACAGTTTAACAACCAATCTGGTCGCGGTGGTGGAGGTCCGTTCTGGGGTCCTCGTAGAGGTAACATGATGGCCCCAGGGTCATTTGGCAGAGGAGCTGGACCGGCACCTTACTCTATTAAGCGTGAAGAAGAGGAGCGACGCCCAGGCCTCTGGAATTCGGGTCGTGGGGCCATGGCTGGTGGGCCATCGAGCCGAAATTTTGCACCATCCGGGCCAGCAGGACATTTTGGTCGGCCAGGCCAAGCTTTCACCTCTCCAAAGTTGACTAATGCAGAGCTAAGAGCTGGGAGAGCCCCTAGTGTTGATAGCGTTGGGAATCAGAACTCTGAAAAGGGACAGGAAAGCGCTGGAGTATCGGCCATTGAAGGGCCTACAAGGCTTGTGGAATCCCAGGACATCGTGATGGAAGATGCACCCCAATCTGAACCAGTATCGACGCCACTTCCGGAACCAAGTGTCAAACAAGAGAGCCCTGTCGAGGCCAAGCCGTCAAATGACGATGTCAAGGCTGAAACTCTGAACGAGGACGACGATGCACTCACCTCGTCTGATGTTACGAAGAGAATCGAGGAAATTGATCAGCGTATAGGGGCAATTGAATCTCAACTCAATGTACTCGACACACGAAAGCAGAGCAAACAGGTTGAATTAGAACAAATGGACATTCGAGAAGCTGAAACGGTGGTAAGGACTGTTCGAGAGCAAGATATCGAGACGGAGGCGCCCAAAGCAAACACAGAAAATGATGCTTCGACTCAGGATATCCCTAAGCAGGATAGTTTGTCTCCTTCTCTGGCCGCAGAATTCGCCGCTCAGTCGATGGAAGATAAGCCAAGGCTACCAGGACCGATGGATAGTTCACCGGAACCGGAGCAGCCGTCAACTCCAAAGATGTTGCATGACCTCTCCCCAATCGTTAAGGAAGATGAAGATGCGATGGTCACGGACGTTAAGGAGGAATCGAGCGCTTCGGCCAAAGAAACTTTCGATACATCATCGCTACCCTATTTCATCCCGGGCCGGCAACGGGAACCCGTCGAATATGAATTCTGGAATGCTAATATAAGCCAACATTCAAAGGTCGAGGATATTCTTGCCAAGCACATTTTGGAAAGGAAGGCAAATATTGAGGAGAAGACAATGAAATTGAGGCAGGAGTATCGGGACCATTTGCCCGGTTGGAAGCAGGATTGTGAAAAGCTGGATTCCGAGGAGAAGCGAAACAAGAAATCAGACTCCGAACCTATTGACACAGTACCCGCAGAAGCCGTGCCGCCGGCGGTAAATTTGGAGGTATCGGGAACTGCAAGTCTCGGTCGTAGAAGTGGACGTGGCGTCAGTAGTGATTTTGTTAGCTCTGAATATGAAATCGAAAGGATAATGAAGTTGTCTGAGAAAGAGGAAGCCGAGAAAGCCGAAGCTGAAGCAAAGGAGAAATATGATGACTCCCGCGAGGCTGTGGTTCCAGATATGATCCTCGATCCCGACGAGAAAGCTAGACTCCTCTACGTCGACACGAACAACATCGTAACTGACAAATCGGCTGTCAAGGGTATCTTCAAATTCGAACGCCCGGCTGACAACTGGACGGAAGAAGAGCAGAAAATCTTTAAAGAGAGGTTCGCACAGTTTCCGAAACAGTGGGGTAAAATCGCTCTCGGTATTGAAGGCCGCGATTACAAGGCTTGCATTCTCCATTACTATCAGACCAAGCAGCAGACAGCTTATAAGGAACTCGTCAGGCCAGCGAAGACGACCAGACGTCGTAAGCCGGGCCGCACTATCGCTATCACCAACGCTCGTACAACGAGAGCCAGAGCATCTGCAGCTACTACGCTGTCCGAGGCGAGGCGTGGTACCCCATTAGAGGACGAAGATGTGGATTCTGAGGATGTACCGACACAGGGTAGACCGCGGAGAGCTGCTGCTCCTGTGTTTGGAGACAATGATGATAACTTGACCCCTGGTCCGAGCGGGAAACGTCAGGCAGGTGGAAAGCCGTCAATTAACGTTGAAGATGTTTCTACGCCGACCCCCGCCGAGAAGCCTACCGGGAAACGCCGGGGGGGTCAGAAAGCGGAAAAGGAGAAAAAGGAGAAGAGCGCGTCTCGAGGAAGGACACCAAATGCAACACCTGCCAATGAAAAGGCTGAAAAAACGATCAAAAATAAGGGAGATCTGCTTCAGATGCCGCAGGAACTGACCGCTGCTGGTGCCCTGGCCAACATGAGCGCTGCCGCTCCCGGCACTCTCACGGGGCTTTCTAATGTTCGCGGGTTTAATCAGGAGTTAATTCAACCAGCTCCTCCATTGAAACAAGAACCTGGAACGAAGTTAGAAGACGACATTGGCCGACTCCAACAACCATTTGTTACACAACCCTATCTTGATCCTCATAACCGAATGGCGATACCGGCATCGGGCATTCCTCAACCGGAAATCGTGCCTTCACGGCCTCTTGCTCCCGGAAGAAGACCTGGAGCTCCTGGGGGTCGCGGAAGAAAAGCGGCCCAGGTCGATGAAGATGGGGTTCTAATCGCGCCTGTAACTTCGAGTTACTGGTCTGTCCCTGAAACACAGGATTTCCCGCAGTTGCTAGCCTCTTTTGGTACCAATTTTGAGGCAATTGCGGAGCACCTGGGCACCAAGACCACTACCATGGTTAGTTTTATAATACCCGTATCTTTATAAGTACAGCGAGAGTCGTTAACAATAATTTAGGTGAGAAATAATTACCAGAGGGGTTGTGAGCAGGGTAAGGACTACCAGAGGATTGCTGAAGAGGCAAATCGTAAGATCGCCACGGGAGAAGCTGTTCCTGCCCCTCCCCCTCCAATCCTTCCTTCTTCTAAGAGGAGATATGACAATTCGAACTCGCAAGCCAATCGCGCCGCACAAGCCCAAGCTGTTGATTCAGATACCGAAATGATCGACCCAAGCGCCAGGAAGCAACCTCAAAGGCTCCCGCCACAGGGTACTATCTTTACGCCGAATAGGACAGTCGCAGTAGGGCCAGAAGCTAGGATCCCTGCTCAGATACAGTCAAAACCCGGGCCTAAACCCGGGACCTTCAAAGAAACTCGCCCCTCCCCACGGCCACCTGTCCCATTCGTTCAGAGCGGTACCGGTATTGAGGATTATAGACCGGTCATCCCACCACGAGGCCCGATAGAGCCCTCTGGGAAAACGCCTGCCCAAGCAATACAGATTACTGACATGGATGATGTGCCATCTCGGCAGTTTCCCGGCTCCCAAGCTAGTCATCAAAGAACAATTGATCTTGAATATGAAAGAAGGCAACGACAGGGAATTCAGGATCCTCGGGTTATGTTACAGCAGCAGCAAGAACACTTGGCGCGTCAGGAGCAAGCCGCTCAGTCTAATAAGATAGCACAGCAACAACCTGCCCGGCAGCCTCAAGCAGTTCAAGCTCTTCATACCCAAGCCCATCCAACCCAGATCTCTATCCAAGAACAGCCAGGCGCCCCAAGATTCGACCCTCGGGACCCTCGAAACGATCCTCGAGATTCTCGCCCCCAAGATCAGTACAGAACCCAACCCGCTCATCTCCAAGATCTCGTGAAACAGGAGCCGAGAGAGAAGCGAATCAGTGGTGAAAAGCTTGTTCCTATGCCTGGCCTTGAGCGACACCCAGTCCAGCATGCATTCCAAGAAGAGAAACGGCCAAGATCTCCCCCGATCCAGCGACATCATTCACCCCAGGTCTCGACCCAGGCTGCACCGCGGGCTGCGCCTGATACAATGTCTAAAATGGTTTTGGGGCCGACTTATAAGGATGAGCGATCACCCCCAAGGATGCCTATTGAACAAGTACAAGGCCAGCCACATGTCATGCATGTGCAACAACAGACCCAGCAAACAACCCACCGGAGACACGATTCTGGAAATCACAGTACTCCACCAGCGATCCCTTCACAAGGCCAACAGCAGCACCTTCGAACAGCTTCTTCATCTAGGCCGCCATACCCCCCAGCCCAACAAACCCCACCTAGCGCTCCAGCACCACCCCAGCAGCCGCAGCAATCACAGCAACCACCCCCGGCAGCTGCTCCGCCAACCGCTCCATCCAAGTCTGTGTTCAGTCTCGCTTCGATCCTTAACGGGCCAGAAGAACCATCGCGTCCCCCAGCCAGATCCACAAACGAGACTTGGTTTGGAACCAGTGCTTCATCCTCGTCGTACCCAGCTCGAGACCCCCCGGCCCCTCAACGGCCTCAGCCGGAGCCCGTTTCTCACTATAACTCACCCAGCCTTTCAGCAGCTGTCCCTCACTTTGGTAGACACTCGCCAACCCCATCTGAACCCCTCTTTCACTCACAGAGGGCCCCATCTTCAGTCCCTCTTTCACAGGGCCCGGTATCTGGTACCATGTTTCAGAAAACCTACCCACCGGCTCAAACGCGCACACCTCCACCCCGATCGACTTCGCATCCGAATTATCCACCTCAACAACCTCCACCTCATTCTCAAGTCCCCCCTGGCCCACCTGTTTCCTCGTATCACGATCACCCTTCCCGGCACCACGCTCCACCACAACGGGACCCTGGAGTAGATCCTAGGGATCGTGATCCGCGCGATCACTTTAGTCAATACCCTTCTTCTCGTCAACATCAGTTCTCACCACCGAACTATCAAAGTGCCTATCCTCCCCCTCCTTCGTCACAGGCACCGCCCCCGATTCATCGGGAACCGATTGAGAGAATCCACCCAGATAGGACAATGCATCAACAACATCCACATCATATTCAAACACAACAACCTGGTGGCTACCCACCTCCGCCTCAGCAGTACCATCCTAGTCGGCCTGGCGAACAAGGCCCGCCACCGTCATTGATGCAACCTAGTGGATTCTACGAATACTCCGCCCGACCGAGGCAGATGGATAGCCATGAGAGAGGAAACCGCTAAGAATAATTTGTATGCCGTCACAGCCCGTTTTCCATTGTAAATAGGGACCATGAGTGTCCACAGTTTACCTCCATTGTATTCCTATTGTTTCTTTGCCGTCTATGAATTGTCTCATTTACCGTTTTTGCATTCTCCTTTTCAAAGTCATGCTTACGAATGGGGTTATTTGGTCATCATGAATCGACATTCATGGCACGGAGTCGAACGTCTTTATTAGCTCTGCAGTGTGATACTCATCTCTTCTTCTTCTTCTTCTTTTTTTTTTTTTTGATGTTTCCCCCCTCCCCTTCTACTGCCTCTCACACAAAATTTTAAAACGTTCTCCTTTTCTGTCCTTATGAAGTGCCTAGTGGTATAGGTCGAGGTCTATATCAATATGGGCTCGACACTCAATAAATAACATGTATTCAAAAATTATTTTTATAAGCTCCATTTGTAGTGTGCGTGCCTGACCAGGTTTATTTCAAGGGTTGCAAGCCAAGTCAGTAAGCTTTCGTACCGCGGATCTCGTCAACCGCGAAGCCACTTGAATATCCAAATATTCATGGTAACCCAACTCAACCAGCAGTTAAATCTGGTGCAAAATCTGGGGCAAGACGAGCGCGCCAAGAGGAACTCACTTCACTCTGCATGATGCTGTCGCTGCGGAGAAGCATTGGCAACGCGATCATGCCGCCCCCGCCACAAGGTATTTGGCATGCGGCTGACAAAAGCCTGTGGAATATAAAACGTTCACAATTATAGGGGGTTTTGAGGTCTTAGTTCATCCTATGGATTCGAGAGGGATTTACTTTTGGTTCTTGATGAGTTTGGGACGTTATAGAGATAAATACATGTTCTGTATTCTTTGTTAAGATGGCAATAACAATCATTCGAAGTCTATCGATATATTCCGCCCTCACTTTTTTTCTATCACTTTCAGCAACATGGAAACCTACCTATGCACAACTGTCAGAAAATGCGACTGATGACAGGCTCACCGTAGCTCTTGGGACAACAAGTCGAACTTTATCAGCACTTGGAACGTTAACGAGGGCTCCTTTACCTACCGAGTGTTTTTCGTTAGGAGGAGGAGGGAATGCTGCTGCTGTTGGAACTCGGTTTCAAGGATGTGATGCTGAACGCCAGAAGTCGTGTTGTCCAGGTGGATATTCCACGGATGGGTTCTATTATGCAACTGAATGTCCTATGGGGTATACGCCCCGGCCGACGGATCTTGATACGGCGGTGGGTGCTTTTTCTGTGGATAGGACGAAGGATAGTGTGGCGTTCTGCTGTCCGACGTGAGTTAACATATATTACTTCACCCCTTCTCAGTACCTTATAAAATTGGTATACATGATGTAAGATGGCGTTTCTTGCAATTTATTTGTGAGAGAAGTTTTTGCATTGATGCATAGATGGTCATGCACATAGAAAAAAGAGAAAAAAGAGGATAAGCTGGTTTAAAGAATTCTAAAGGTTCATTGACTGACAATACTCAAACATTCTGGCCATACGATAGTCCAAACCCAAGCAGCGGATGGAGAGAATCCGGATTCTACATGTCCGATGGGCTAATATGTAACTGGGATTCAATCGAATCTGGAATATCAACGACGGTTTATAACCGAGCATTGGCATCTGCGATTGTGATTGTCATGACTGACACTTTACTTCGGTTATCAGCATCATCAGCTGGCACTTCTACAAGAGGCACGGACAGGAATAACAGCCCAGCTGAAACAAGTGGTTCGGCAGGAGATCAAGGAGGGACAAGTTCAGGAGGGATGTCAAACGGTGCGATCATCGGTATAGCAGTGGGAGTCGGATTTCCGGTTTTGGCGATCATCGGGTTTTTGATATATAAGTTTGGTCGTGGTGGGGGCACTAAGAAGGAGGAAGGAGATGGAAATCAAAGAGTTGAAGAGGGTGGAGTTGGGGGTATGATGTATTGATTCTGTTGATTTCGGCTTCTTTCAGATGCATAGAAGGCCATGATTACTCCATTGTATTGGCTGGAAGAAATTCCGATCAGGCTGATTCTGTCCTGAATACGGTTTCGTGGCGCTTGATGTGAACTACGAGTTTGTACCTGTCGGGTATATATTCCTTTCGTTTTGTTACTCAGATGTTCGTCGTAATAATTGACTTTTGTTAATGTATAACCAAGAAGTCTTGGGATACTCATCTAATATAATTATTTTTTAAGCATCGCGATGGCTAGCTGCTGAAATGTAGTGGGATCTGTGCGCTTGCAGCTAGCAGATGTATGCATGCATTTGGCGTTCCTGTAGGCTGTATGCTCGAGGCACAAGTTTACCAGGACACGAGAGGAAAACATTAAAACATCCATGGCGTAGATCATTCGCTCAGGTCTCTCGTTCCAGCGTTCGTATCATGGAAGATATTTGGGTACGAGAGGGGTACGTGGCTGGTCCGTGCACGAACATATTACTACCATTCCGGAGTTCCTATCCAATGGATTGGGTATTTTAGATGGTACAGAAACGTTTGTTGATGCACTCACGAGGATAAATATGTTGGGTAAATTGTTATATAAAAGTGCTTCCGGGTAAACTCGAACGTTTTAAATGCAAGACGATCGAAGACGGGGAACCCCCAAGAATTTCGAAGAGTGGGGTTCTTTTGTTAGCATGTTTTAATGTGCGCGAGGCCAATTCACCAAAAGATGGTGGTGACATTTTCTAGACCTTAAGGTACCTTGTGATTTAAATTTTTAATGTATGGAGATAAAAAAGTTTGAGAAGGTTCTATGCCGGTAATCGAAGCTGCAGCTTCCGTCAAAAACTTCCAGCGGCGGCACAGATGTGCTGCAGGTGCCGTGTTGGTAATCCTTATTAATCCTCCTCTTGATGTTAATATTTGACGACTATTGATAAAAACCGGATTGGCACTTTCGCACATGAACTTCTTCGGTCGAAATGGTTAGGGCTCCAAGATTGTGGCGTGCTCGGTACGGAGTGTATCTGGAAAAGATAGAAAGGATAGATTGTCGGCGCACGGATGGCAGGCGTTCTTCCTGAATCTTCCAAGGCTGTATCAAACAAATCAAAAACCGCAAATCGGAAAGAAAAGAAGATTGATGCATTGGTGGGTCATACACCAGTGGGGATATATATGCGTTCCTGGAGAAGCATTTCCAGGTGAAAAATGTCCGAGCAATTGTCATTTGTATTATGCAGGGGGTCACAAATATGGTATACTACGTACGGTCGACGTCGAGACCCACAAGAATATGTACTTACTTTGCACGTATAAGGTATACCCCGCGGAGTTTAATACAGCGTTCATGCACTTCTATAACTCTATCAGTGTCGAGTCAGGAGACCCTATATTATATTCAAGTATCAATATATACCACTCTTGTCATTAAAATGGGGGAGGAGAAACAATGGTATGGAATAGGTTTATGTGCCGGCGAGGTTCCTGTCAGTTTACTAGTCCTAAAATGCGAAGTCACCCGGATAAAGGGCAAAAAATCCTCGATTTTAGGCAGGATCAGGTCGACACGGCGCACTGACGTTTAAAAAGAAAAAGGGATTTCGGCGCCTATGCACATTGAGACGTTATGCACATTGCACATGCACACAAAGGTCGACTCGAACTGCTTTTCAGCTGCTCATCATATTGACAGGACTAGCCGACTCGTTCCACAGAATTATGGCTGATGATGGCTTTCGGTTCGGCCGTGGTTCCATCGCAGCCAATCGAGGAACTGGCGCTTTTTTTTGTTCGTTTCTTTGATGTGGTATTTGTGCACTGACAGCTCGACAATTCTGGACCCACGGTGGCGGAATCCCTCGAGTCGCACTCGCGAAGAGAGTTTTTGCTCCCCCCCCCCGGAAATAAGTTAATGGGCATTTTGTGCCAATGGGCATTTCGGTTTACGAGACTGCCAATCGCTAGGCATCTCGACTGTGTCAGTGGCATGGGGGCTAGTACTCTGCATACAGCACATAGGACCAGATCTGAATGCCACGCCGTAAGTGTGGGGTTTTGTCTGAGGGAGCAGTTCGATCAGTAACAGTTACACAGGCTAAAGAAACGTGGAGATGAATCAACAACACAGGATTGTTTCGGTAATTTGAGGTTTGAAGGGATTAACTATGGTCTTGGGAGCTTAGCTAGGAAAATGAGGCCGATTTGATAGATGGATGGAGATCGTATGTAGCTGGTGGTTTAGACAACAGCATGTGCCGCGTCGTAAATTACTTGACGGATGACTAGCTCGCACCGGAGTCCGCACCTTTTTGGTATGCCCATACGCAGATGAGAGCTGAATAAACGTTAGGTGCAAGGTCCCGGAATTCGGTTTGGCCCTCATTCAGGGACCCCTTGCATTAGACTAGTCGAATCAGTGCCACGTTTTCTGCGGTTGGAGGTTTCAACCAGGTTCCAGGATCTTGTTCTCATGTTGGGAGCAAAGAAAGAGGGCTTTTCTGCCACGGGCCGAAATAAAACACAACATGGAAAGAATCGAACACCTGATATTTGATAGTATGTACTAAGGTGTAAGTGAGGAGTATTTACTATAGAGAAGGGTAATATATGGTACATCTTCTAACAAATAAGCCACCGCTTCGTCACCCCAGAATTGACTTTAAGTGATGGGGAAGTGATGGGGAAGCTTGGCCTGCGAACACATGATATAATTTCAGATATCTGAAATGCGAAAAAATAAAAAGTTTTCCCCAACTTCAGATCAAAACACAACCCAAGAAGATCTTAACCTTTATATCGACTTGGCGAAACGGCTGGTAAATCGATCTCGAAACTTTGGCACAATTAAAATGTAAAATTTGGTTAAGATGTGTGTGTGACTTTGTTAGACTTGGCCGTTGGCATTTGTAGTCATGAGGTCCTCGACACCGCAAAATAGAGATAGTGTCGGGTAACATAACCAACATTATATACAACTACTCTCTAGCAAGCTTTAGAGTGACATAAAACTGGACCTGAATCGTCACTTTTATGGTTGGCGCAGCCTTGGAAGTGTCACTGGATAAATAGCGGTCGCCTATAGAGGTGCCCAATCTCGTCTGTTCGGAAATATCATTTTTACCGGCCGCCCAGTGCCGACAACAGCCTATCGCTTCGAATTCGTGTGCTGACTGATGGCCCACAATGTCGACCCACAGAAGTTGAAATTGTGAAATTAGTCTTCGCAGTTACAAGCTAGTGTATTTCCAGGATCCCCCAGACCGTCGGTCGAGGGTCTAACGCAAGTGATACTTGTTGATGCAACGCCTCCATTTCTCCTTTCAACTGCCTCGGAGCTAATGGACGTATTGTATAGGAGCCTAGAGCAGGATGTATAGATATTTGTAGTATACTACTGCTAGGGAGCGATTGACAAGGTAGACCATGTCTAGCTACGCTCCCAGTACGACATTTTACAATGGTGTAATCTTGAATTCCAAAATGATGATCATGCAGAAGTTTCTATTTTTTGAGGCATCTCATATAGGAACTAACAGAATTTTGGTAAAAAGCATATCGCTAGTAAACCTCCCTCGAAATGGGTATATTCGTACATGTGCATAGCAAAAAATATGTATTAAACGCTTTTTTCTTAGCGGTGCTAGTATGCTTCAATAGATGCGGTCGTAACTCAATAAAGGGGGCTAGGGTATTTGTGTTTTCTTTTCGCAACAAAGGAAAGTCAAGGAGGGTCAAGGGAGAATTACATTTGTAGTTTTCGAGACTGGGGTGTGCTAAACAAAAGAAATGGTGCGAAATAGCTTCATGAAGAACTCCAAATCCGAGAGGGGTATCCAGACGCCAATGACCAGAAAGTGAGAAAATAAGAAGTCAAGTAGCAGAGCGTACCAACAAATGAAACAAACAAAAGAAAATTTAATTAACTATTGGCTTCCGATCTTGATTCGATTTCTAGGAATGCTTTCAATAGATGGTTTCTTCCTGAGGAACCCCAAGCCGAAGTGGATACTTATGTCCCTCCACATCAGTTTGCAACTAGCCCATGATGTTACAAGGTAGATGATGAAGTTCCATAAACCTTGGGCTGGAAGTACGAGGGCAGCAGTGAGATAGAGAGCGAATTCCTGCTTTTCGGGGTGGATCAAGGCATAGACACGATTGGTTGAACTCGGTACCTAATTTGTACTGTTAGAATTTGAAGTAAAGCACTTGAGGTATTCCAGTTTACACATACCCAAGTAATGATGAGACCGATGAAGAAGAGGAAAGCGCATCTAGTATATGCCCACGCAGCCGCATTTGCTCTCATAGTCTTTCTGTTTGCAGCAAGAGCTCTTCGGTTTGAATTAGGTGGAGCAACAGGAACAGCAGTAGCAGTCTCAGTCGCTGTCAATGATGGCTTGTTCGTACTCGAATTAGAAGTAGTAATTGAACCAACAGAATGTGAGCGACCGTGTCCTGGAACTAGTTCCTCTTCACCATCGCGATCACTAGGAGCATGCTCAATGTCACCGACCGACTCGGCCTCGAATTCGTGTTCGTTGTCTCGAATATGATTTTGACGTTCACGGCTTGTTGCTTCAATTGTAACTGTGTACTTGTACGGCTCATTTTCGCCGGCAAGATAAGTGCATCCAATCGGTTCCGGCTTTTCCACATGATCGATATGGGTAACCGTGGTCATTTGAATAGCCGACAGAGGAGACTTTCCGGATGGTGCGGCATATGAAGAAAGCTCGGTCTGACTGGTGGACTGGGTTGGAAGATGCCCATGCCTTTGGTCAAACCGACGAAGGTCGGTTCTCATACGAAAAACTGTTTTCCCAGCTGCAACATAGAGGACGAAAGTAATAAGAATAATGATCCTGATTTACGTAATTAGCGACTGTTATTTCTAATCATTTGGTGGTATATCATTTGGGTACTTACCAGACGGGACCATAGAAGGTCGCCAAACGCAGAACATCATACTCTTGCGAAATCCAACACCAAAGAGTAGCATCGCCATATACAGGACCTTTGCCGGGTGAGCGCACAAAGAGGAGAACAAGTCCCGATATCAGGGGTAATCCAAATGAGGCTCCGACATAGTAAGGCTCCAATTTCCTCAACTGAGGCGAGCTGAATTTTCTGTTGACGGTCAGATACACATTTAGTGCCATAAAAGCGATGAACAGGGCATCGGATTGCAGGAACCTATTATATTCGTTAGCATGTGTGCCGATTCCGATATTTCCAAGCCCGCTACCCCGGATTTCCACAAAGCTTACGTTTGAATAAATAATCCCTCTATAGGCGAAGAGAATCTGTTAGTATGGCCTGACATTTTCATCTCGGTCGAAGGGAACATGCAAGAACGGCTCCACTTACGCATGTTACACAACGCAGAACCTCGCCCAGCTGCTGGGCCGGCTCTAGCGATTGAGGTCGCAACGGTGCAAAGGATGTTTGCTATTGCAGCATAGAATGCAAGTCTGTTGATTGGCTTGTGAAATCGTGGGGACCCCAGGAAAGTGACGATAATGAATGATGCGCCGAGAATTGACAGAACCGAGGACATTCGCTGTACCGCCTCTATGGTCCCAATTTGACCTGGCGTTAACTGAGTCATTTTGTCGTTTGTCCGTTTGTCCAGTTCCCGCTATCGATATTTTTTTTGGTCTGGTGCGAATTTTGGAGAGTTCGAATTTCTGATATGTCTTTCCCAATATCTTCTTATACTGATATCGAAATTTTGGCTTGGCTGACGGAGTGATCTTGATATATCTAAGACCTTGAGGTCTATTTCCGGTAATATGTCGTCTGCAATGTTCCTGAGCTTCGGGGCAGTTGAATATTGAAGCCTGCAGCAGGGTAGCTTTATGCCGGCACCCTATCCTCCTAAGAGGGTGCTCCCGTGGATAATAGCCGTAAACGTCGATGAACGATAGATGATGAGAGAATACAGAACCGAATGGTTCCAAGAGAAAGCCCCCGGCGGAGAGAAAGCCTGGAGTTTTTAAAAGAAATGCAGCAAGGGAAAACTTAAAAGAGTCTTGTAGATCCACAAGGGCATTCCTGGTTGTCGCCCCACCATTGTCGTGAGGGATGGATCGAGACATCAGGGTATAGATATACTTTTGGGCAAGGTTCTCCATTTTCCTGGGGACTTGTGCGCATTATGCAGTGGATTGGGGGAACTCTGTTAAGTTTGGACCCCGTATGGGTACAGTACTTTGCCTGCTTGTCCCAGACATCATTGGAAAACCCACACTCCATCTTGCCTCAAGACTAGCTCGTACTGCAATATTTCACCGGCAAACTGGCCGAAATGACTTCAGCAAGTTGCTAATCTGCATGTAAGTCATGCACCATGTACCACCAGAAGGAAAGGCCGGCTAGCTGCCCAGTGCTTTGAAACGAAAGTATCGTGTTGGAAAGGTAAAATGCCACAAAAGCAAAAAGTATGCTTCTTTCTGAGCTAAAACCGGCACCACACCCTCTTCGTGACCGCTGAACGGGAGACAAAATGTCCAGACCCCTCCTTCAACCATGCGTGTGATACCCTTGCACACCCGCTGTGAAATTCGTAACTTGCACGTTTTTCTGAAGTCACGAATGTTCCTTGTACCCTGCCACCGCTATTCTTTCGTTGGTATAGATTGCCAAGGGCTCAGGTGCGCCATGGATAACGAAACGATAGTTGGCTGCAAAATGCAAGAAAACTCACATTTGATTACTACTCCACTCAATGATTCGAGTGCTCAGCCCGTAGACGTCCGAGTTCCTCATGTGATAAGTGGAGACATACTTCCCCTATGATTATCCGGGCCGCCCTTCTTTGACAGAACTCACTTCAAATTCTTCACGCATTGCATTGGCGAGAGCGCATCTGTATAACTTCTTGTTTTTTCTTATTTTTACTGCGCAGTCGCAGAAAAACATAACTGGGAGAGAAAAAAAAAAAGTTATTCCAAAATGTCATTGAATTGCTGAGTATTGGTATCGCCCTGCTCCAGTTGCGCAATTGCGTCTCTTGAGCTCGCATATCACTTCAGATATCTTTCATTCCTATTTTATTTTTATTTTTTTTACCTTCCAAAGGAGAGGCGAAGCTCCCGTTTCGAAATGATCTGTTGCATATATGCAGTTTCTACTTTAACATCGGTTGATAGTCGAATCAATTGGCTTGGTGCCTGATGCCAGCCGACAGCGGCCTTCTGAAATCCCACGCAGAAGCCCGAATGAAACCACGGCTTCTATTGCGGTCCGCTTCAATTCGAATGCGGTTTGCGTGCGCCCTCGTGGCCTTGTTCCTAGGATCTTCAAACGGTTACTTATTTTGAACCCTAAGCACTAACGAATCCGACATTAGAGAAATGCCATAAATATCAAATTCTTGCAACGGCTTGAACGAGGCATCGAGTTAATGCACAATAGCTACAAAGGCAAGGGAACAGAGGACCACTAAGCAACTTTAGTCGGGTAGATCTTGCGAGGACCCCTACCCCCGGAGAAGCAGCAAAATTGCGGTCAAATCAACTTTTAATCCGACCCTTCCAATAAAATTTTTTGGGGTCTGTCGATGACTTTGGGATGTGAAAAGAACACTCTGAGCGGACGCTGTCAGCATGCAAGTGCGGGCGAGAGAGGCTTGTCACCGTCTCGCGTCCAGGCGAGAACTAAGTATACATCCTAGGAACCTGACAGATACTTTCACCGGTTTTGGAAAACTTTCCACCATGACATAGCTGTATACGGATAATCTCTAATTGGTGGGTATAATAAAATTTAGTTATCGGCGGATAACACAGTCAGAATTGTAAGAGCTCTAGATCATGAGGCTATCATATTCAATATTGGGAAGCTAGTCGCTGATACGGGGAATCCATCAAGGACATGGGCTTATTGTCAATCACGGAAAATCAAAGCCGAATATCGAATGAGTACCGATATCCGAAAAGGAGTTGATTCAAATTTTTGAGGCAAAAATTCGCCAAAGCGTCTTTTGCTAAAGTTCCATCATCTCGTATTGAGAAATTGCATTCTTAGGGTTTGTACCGATAGACATGTCGCTAGCCAAGTTACCCCAGTCTAGAATAATCTCCACCAAAACTCTCTCCGCAAAAGCCTTAGACATGTCTCCACTTCTCCATATCTCCTAGTGTCTCCACCCACTCAACAGCGATAACATGGAGATTTATGGGGAAAGCTTGTTCTACCAATCCCCGAGGGTTCTTGCATCTCGGATTGATGGGATTTGGTATTGTTCGATACAGTACCCCTATTTCTCTCCTTTGCCCCCGTCAGCTTAGAAATATTGAAAAGGAGATCTTAGCCTTGAACTTCGCATTCTAATACTCGAAGAAGCTTTCATTTTGAGAAACCTTCCTAAAGCCAAGAAAATCTCAAGGCAGCAAAATCTCGGACATCGCGAGCAATAATTTAACGAGGGCGGAAACTTTTTGGAGGACAAATTTAAAATGCAAAGTAGCAAAATGTAGAAATATGTCACTATGTGATTGAAAGGAAACAGGATATGAAACTAATCGCTAGTATGGCAGGACTTTCTCTAGCTCTGGCTGCGTACCCATTATCGATATGTCGCAGCATCGCCGCTGCATGCACCTGCATAGTTTGACAGTTCAAAGCTTCGCCATTATATGTATACTTACTTACTATACCCTAAGAAAATTTCCCGGAAACTCATAATTATATAAGTGACGCAATTCATGACCATTCCTAACTATCGACTTTGTATACTAGGTACAAGTTTGGATGTAACTATATATGGTACTATACTATAGTACAACTGATATCGTACCCAACTTTAGAAGAACACTAGTTTAGCTTTGGCTAATGCCGCTAGAACCTTCACCCACCATGTCCATTCGTCAACTAATCAGTATTCACACAAGAGTGCGGGCCCCACAAAAATATATATCTGAAATCGCAGTTACCGCGCCATGGTATTTGACATCAAGGCCTATGCAGGAGAGGCGATAAAAACCCAGAGGACTTTAGCAGCAGTTTCGCTTCAGACTCAGGAACTGCACTGTACTGGTTCAACGGTAAGCTTAGCTCGGTGTTACGCAAATAGATGGAATATCCTGCATCAAGCTGCTCCTCCTCCTAGCTCGGTTCGGTTACTGTCGCCGTGAACAGCGCCCCCACGGCTCCTTCGATTTTCTAATCCACGGACTGATGCCCAGTATTCTCAAATAAATGGATAAGACTCGCTTCTAAAAGTGTTAATAGGTATTCTCAGGACGGTTTTACTGCTGGATGGCTCGAGCTCGACGGAACGGAAGCAGGCGCTCCTTCCGGGATGTTGATTACTCATGGTATATCGTTGATATACCTCTAACGGGATCTCACCCGCATGCAGGTCATTCTGTGGTTAACGGGTTCGTCACAGCAACAGCAACGAAAGGCTACTCGCTTGAAGAAGAAGGGTGATCTCTCGGCACATATTCCTTTTATTGTAAGGAAAGCTTCGCCCCGCTACCAGACTGTTTTCCTAGAAAGAGTATTAAACCAACCTATCGGAACTTTTGGAACCAGGTTGATGGCAGCCAATGATGTGGGTGGATCCGCGGAAATCGAAGCCCTCCTCGCCAAACCTGCATGGAGATATATCAAGACCGATTCTGTTGACGGTCGGGGAGGGGAGGAGGTAAAGTTTTATTTTTAACAGAAATAAGCGGCCAATGTGAATTCGTGAACTCATGAGCGCAGCTTGTTTTCAAAAGGCTAAATGAAACGAAACAGCATCAGCAGCCACGGAGAGGAGTTCGAACGTGATGTGATGTTGCAGATGCATCGATGGCACGCAGGCTGCGGGCCCCACGACGGCGCTGATGTCGGTATCTATGAGATATCTGGATACGCAAATACGTAACATGAATGACTGGTTGTACATGTTTTGATGCTGCGGTCGCAGAACTACATAGAACCCTTTGTTGCAACATTCTCGGGACAATTTCCTGCACGATCATGCTAGGTTTGCTACTGTTTGTTTTTCGGCTTCCAAGTTTGATGTATGTCTACGGAACTGGCACTGCAGCAGGCAGTGTGGGATATTTTTGGCAAGGGAGCACAGCTGGACCTAGAAGAATCGATACGTATATCTATTGTGAGAAAAAGGTCAATTGCCTAATATCGACATCTCGTCGTCTAATGCCTGCTGCCTTGGCCTGCACGCTGGTTTGGATCGACTAGGTCTATTTTCGAGGGAGTTCCTTGTTCACCACATACTCGGGGCCTAGGACCAGGACATTATCCATGGAAACTGTTCATACTAATTTGCATAAGGCTGGTGGGGACATCATACGTCGACTATCTAGTTTTTGATAGCGGGGCGGCTCGCTACCAGATATCAAAGGAATTGGCGTTCTGTTATCGATTAATATTCGTTTACAATATGACTCGCCGCGGCACCGGTAGAGTTCATTTTGCATCCGATATCATGAAATGATTACTCAAGTTACAGCTGGCTACTGGTTAATATAATATAATATTGACCAGGGAGGCTTACTCTGATTCCTTTGGCGGACGAAGGATTCGAAATCTCGCAATTCTTCGCAAATCAAGATATCGAAGGACGTCTTTACTAATGATGCGGGCCCGAATCCCATCGCCCATTCACCAAAGCCGATTGCGATATATATCAACATTATATTGTAAAGAATTGATATCTTAAACGTCCCATCGCACTTGGCTGCGATGGGTACACAGCATAAATGTGCAGAATAGATACTTGCATATAGCTGCGGGCGAGGTCAAAGCACACTCAAATCGGATATAGAGCAGGATTGTGCGGCAGCGGATGCACCTAGACGAATTGATGTATTCGAAATGCTGTAGGCCTGCCATCGCCACCACCGACCAAGGTCGCCGGTATAATATCTGCACATATAGGCGTATGTGTAATTCACTGCCTTGCAAGCCTCGTCGTAGCCTCGAAGTGAATACCCAAATAATGATTCTCACAGTTGCTGCACTGATTTGGCTCCAACATCTGACCAACTTCTAATTCGATATCGTATCGAGAGATGTATTGTGTTCAGCTCAAGGGTCAGCTGCTTCGGATAACTTTTCGTGCAACATGAACATGCGTGAATTTTATAGGTTTTGTATGTTGCACCAATAGACGAAGATATCACGATATTAAACCAGGAACTCGGAAACAAGTAAGCCCTCTTGTTATTGAGTAGACTTGGTTCGGCAGGAGCCGGTTTCGAAGATATCAACTTCAACAATGCATGACTGAAAAGGCTAACAAGGTTGACATTTGATGATTTAATTGCATGCGCTTGGTCCCGTGGGACTGATCAAAAGGCTGAGCTTTGAAGGTCTGATGTCAGCTGTAGCTGGGTTAGACAGAACGAGCATCTGGTATCTCATATCTTTGGTTATCAGAAATTGAATCCTTAGAAATGGAGGATGGACATGAATAAAACCGTGAACTTTTTGTGGTGTTTATGTGGCAGGCTAACGCCAAGAGGAAGCTGACCATTTTCTGGGACATTAAGTGCGTGGGACACAACGCACTTTTGAGCACCAATGGCTAAGCCCCACCCGTAGCGAGTGGCGCACCCAAGCTTAGCCGCAATCAAGCTCCCAAGAGCCGCGAGGCCCGCCCTGATGTCAACATACTCCCTATAGCTCATACATCCGACGACCAGCATACCATATTCATCATGCCGGTACGAATTGCTTCCTACAACCGCTTTGGTCTATCTTTTGGATGCTGATGTATCTTAGGCCTATCATTCCAGCTTCCTCAGTGATACCGATGTCCGGATAATAGGTACGCGATCATACGTTGTCAGCTATGGATTCCCCGCAAACCAGCTTCAGAACATCGATGTACTCGACCAAAGCTAACAGAATCCTCTCTCGAAACTATAGGAAACTTTGGCCTCTTACCTCTCCGGACTAGAACTCGTGGCCCTGCCTATACACTTCCGTTACTCGGGCCTGAAGATGACGAGATCCATGTCGATCCAGAGTCGGAGTCTTACGATATCTTGGACGAAACTTTAGTGCTATTCAGGGCAAATACTCTATTCCGAAACTTCGAGATCAAGGGACCAGCCGATCGGGTGTTGATCTATGGTATCTTGTTTATCAGCGAATGTCTGGGGAAGATCAAGCCGAATATGTCCGGAAGGGAGGCCGAGAAGGTAATTGTCGAATTCACTTGCAATTATGAGTGGTGCTGGTCTCGTTCTCAGAGCGCTGTGGGTTTTAGAAGGGGCAATCGGCGTGATAGATTGGCTGACAATATCATGGGCTGGTTCTGATAGGCACTGAATACTTTGGCTCTTGAACACTTTGCATTACCTGGTGATCCGACGTTCCCATTGAATGCTCTGTTCGCTCCAGCTAGAGATAGGAACGAGGCAGATACTCTTCGACAGTATATCAGCCAAATTAGACAAGAGCTTACTATTAGACTGTTGTCGAGGGTATACTTTGACTCAGCGACTACCCCGTCGAAGGTTCGAACTCCGAATTCCTCAGTAACGAATACCTTCTTTGGAAACATGACTAATTCAGCTTGAGTCTTTTACAGTGGTGGCTTAGCTTTACGAAGAGGAAGTTTATGGGCAAGAACTTGTGAGCTTGAGCATAAATACTAGGCATTTTATATGGCTTGATAGTCTAGCTAGCCGTATGTCGGCCTTTTTGCAAAGCTAGTATCTCACCTTCGTCTTACTTCCGATCCCTTTACAAGCGACTCTACATTACATTACAATCTATTATATTTCTGAAAAGTGGTTCTGAACTACATCTTAAGTTCGTAATTATAATCGGTGTTCTTTCCGAGTTTTATACGCTATAATTATCAACATTGATGGGTATAAAGTCTATATATACTGTTATCTAATACCGTGCTTACCCTCACGTGACCGCATTGCGAGTGTTTGCGTAACTTGGCCACCTTCTGGAAGCATCGCTAAATTCGACGCCGCCGCACCTGCCTAAATTTTCGGCCTTTGACAACCGTGTTAACTCAACCCAGACAAAGGACCGGTCTCCTTTTCCTCAACATCCCACATCCCCAGTACTTAAACCTGGGCCCATTCTTCCCTCTGGTCTTCTTCCCTACCACCGGTGTCCCTACTGAATTTATTCCATCAAATTCATATCGTCTTTCATCTTCATCGACACAATGTTCGGCTTAAACCCTCAAATGTGAGTTTCCCTGCGACGTAGTCAGAGCGACGTAACCCTCGTGACACCCGCAAAAATGGAATCGGATGCTAACGGATTAATTTTATAACTTCAGTTCAAACATCGTTGTAGTCCTCGGACTGATGCAACTCGCGAAGAAGATACCTTTCGAAGATGAGAACGTCCTGTGGGCTGTCCGTGGTCTCTACATCCTCTCCAACATCGTCATTGTCTCTCTGTACTTCTATGTTGGAAAACAGATCAAGAAGAAGAATGGTAAGTTAATATCACACACTCATTTTTACCAGTATAAACTATACGTATACCGATAATAGCGAACCAATGCTAATTTTGTTGCCTGCGAATAATAGACATGACCACCCTCAAATATGTCGAACCTGCCGCCCCACTCTCTGGTGAAGAACCCAAACTCGTCACTACCACCATTTGCCAGTACGACGAAGGCCAGCTGAAATCTCTTTACAAGTCCCAATTGACCGGCATGGCTATGGTTGGATTTATGCATCTTTACATGAAATACACCAACCCACTTTTGATCCAGAGCATCGTTCCATTGAAGGGAGCTCTCGAGGGTAACCTGATGAAGATCCACTTCTGGAACCAACCAGCTGCTGGCGATTTGAAGAGGCCGTGGAAGGCTGCCGGATTCATGGGCGCCGCTGGCGGGGAGACTAAGAGCGACAAGAAGAGCGTTGAGCAGGCTGAGAAGTCCTTTAGAGGAGGTGCTAAGGAGGAGTAAAATGATTACTTCTTTTAGTTTTTTTTACACTTTGTCTCTGCAACGAGCAACATTCATTAGCTCTTGTAGATGGATATTTAATGTGTTTTTTACGTAATGATGGGGTTGGGCCGGTTTACTGTAGATACTTCATATATCGATAATTCGGGGAGTCATTAGTAATAAAAGTTTCAGCAGTCACATTAAGATTCAAGATTGAGTGACCTTGTAGCATTTCCTCTTATCTACTACCTAAGATTCACCCTACTGTGCAAGGACTTTGGGAGGCAAAAATCATCTTAGGGTACCACGGGAATGGTTCGGTATTCGGTGTTCGGTGTAGCGCAATTTAGGCAGGGATTTCGGTGGGTGTTGCGAACGCGTCTTCCCACCAAACCCAACCGCAACCTCAGCTCTCGCGTGTTCTAAGCTTCATTCGACCAGGCCAGCAGCTTCAATACTACTACCCACGACTAAGATCACCTTTCCCGGATACTGCACATAATCTCATTCAATAGTCCTAACAACTCTCGATAATACTAGCCATAATGTCGGACGACGAAATGGATCTCGACGACGGCCCCGTCGATACGGGTATAACGTTCTCGACAATTGAAGCTAAAGGCAAGCGGAGTGCTGCCAATCTACCAGTAGAGGTTGGAGATTCTTTACCTTGGTGAGCTCTACAAATGGGTCTACTTTTCTATAGCTTATTCTTCTAAACGAAACTGTGAGATAGGGTTGAAAAGTACAGACCGCAAAGCCTTGACGATGTATCCGGTCACGAGGACATTTTAACTACAAGTACGATTCAACCCTGAGGAAATATCTATTTTAATGACAATGCTAATATAAAATATAGTAAATAAGTTTATTGCTCAAAACGTATGTTACCGAAGCTATTGTAGCTATATCACATCAGGGACTTACTATTTGCCAGAAACTACCACATCTTCTCTTCTATGGCCCTCCCGGAACCGGTAAAACATCTACAATTCTAGCTCTTGCTCGACGAATCTATAATACCAAATCCGAAGCCGCTCTCCGCCACCATGTCCTAGAGCTGAATGCTTCCGATGACCGTGGCATTGATGTCGTCCGAGAACAAATCAAAACCTTTGCCTCTACAAAGCAAATTTTCTCCTCAGCGAAATTAGAGCCTTCAAATACAACATCTTCGATCGCACAGTTCAAACTTATCATCCTGGATGAAGCCGACGCCATGACCTCGACTGCCCAGAATGCCTTAAGGCGTATCATGGAGAAATACACCTCTAATGTCCGATTCTGCATTATTGCGAATTATACCCACAAACTCAATGCAGCCCTATTATCTAGATGCACCCGCTTTAGATTCTCTCCACTACCGATCCCTGCATTACGAAGAAGGGTGGAACATGTTATAGATTCCGAAAATGTTAGAATCGATGATACAGCTGTTGATGCACTGTTACATCTCTCAAGGGGCGATATGAGGCGTGCTTTGAATGTACTACAAGCCTGCTTTGCAGGATCTACGCCACTGGATAAAAATGGTGTCGCACTATCTGGGCCGGATGTCCAAAGGGATTTGATTACCGAGACATCGATCTATGATTGTGTAGCAGCGCCGCATCCTGAGGATATCCAAGCGATAATGAATACCCTTTTGACGGAGGATATAACGACAGCTTTGATTACCGTCAACAGGATAAAAACGCTAAAAGGTTTAGCCTTGACCGATATTCTACAGGTAGTAGCGGAGGAGTTATGTCGGCTGGAGGTTAAACCGCACGTAAGAGTTCTGTGGTTGGCTGGTATGGCGGAGATTGAGGGCCGGGTAGCTGCGGGAGGCAACGAGAGTATTCAAACGGCAGGTTTCGCTGGGGTAGTCAAGGCCGGAGCAGAAATGATTGCCAAAGGGTAGTATTTATGTAAACCTTAAAGAAATAAATATCATTCTACTTGTTCGCAAGGCTCCATGTTTTGAGACAACCTTAGCGATGTACAGTTCAACAATTCTTATCAAATTGATCGACGATTTTAACATCCACTAAGCAGTCTACGGTTTGGAAAAACTGCTTCTTCTAAATTAGCTCTGCACCAGCACCATGTATCTTCCCAAAAATCTCTACTCCTTCCCTCCCAAAGGCAGTTCCAACCCCAACTGCTGCCGCCCCTGCCTTCCTCATCCTTTTGTATCCTGCTTGGTCTCCAACCCCACCAGCTCCAATAACTATTATGTCCTTAACATTTTCATGTGTACTCTTGTCTAGCATATTCCTAATGGTAAACACATTACCTAAACTCAAAGGGTGAATACTCTCCCCGGCTAGTCCGCCTACCCCGGTGCCCGATGCAGACGCAATTATTGGGGTCAATTCTCCCTCATTTGTAGTTGGTAGGTCAAATTCGTAGAATAAAGAATTCCCCAACGTATTGGTAGCAGTAATAAACGACAATATTTCAGGGAATCCTTCTACGGCGGATATCAACTCGTCGAATTGATTTTGGTAGGTATACGGCGGCGTCTTGATCCCCACCGGTACCATAGTTACATCCAAAGATTGCTGTAGGTTTGATAACCCTTGTAGATATGGTTTTAGGCCTGCAGAGGAATAAGCTGGTGGCGGTTTGTTTGGGATGTTTGGGCATGAAAGGTTGATTTCAGCGTAAACTTTGAATCTCTTTTCGTGTGCCCATTTTGAAATTGTGGAAACCGAGGAAGTGACTTCTACGGATGTGCCAGTGATTGAAATGATGAAGGGCTTTGATTGAGGGAGGTCCGAGGAGGTGATGATTGATTCTATTGATGTGAGATAGTAGGAAAGCGGGTGTGGGGAGTATCCGTAGGTGTTTAGAGATGATGAGTTTGGGAGGAATGCATGTTGGTGGATAGAAGGGTCATCCTGGAATCCTGTGACCGGGAAAGAAGTACGGGTCGTGACCGCGCCAGTCGATTCGCTATCGTATATAGCTTGGAGGTCTGATAAGGTGGTTGCCCAGGGTGTGGATGTATTTAGGAGAGGTGGAGATATGGTGATTCGAGAAGTCATTGTAATATCATATTATTCTATCGCGTGTCGGAGTGCCAATCATATAATTAATACTGCAGTGATGCCAGCAGGTGAAATCTTTATATTGACGACGCTTCCAGATGAAGCTATCGATTCCGGCGCCAGCTAAGTATCCAATTACCCAAGAGTATCTCTATCAGGTGCTAATTGCTTACCAAATATACGAGCAGGTTTGGACTAAGGGAGGTGAAAGCATCAATATTGTCCCAATACAATTTAATGGTGTTTAGATCTTTTAACGTTAACGTAATTACCTAACTTGCACTTGGACGTCCGTATATAGGTGACCTGTGTAACATATATATAGGAGACGAGGAAGTTTTGTGTTACAGCTCAAAATGCAACAAAGTCGTTTCGCCGCACGGCTGAATTTTCGATGCAATTAACGCTCGCACTCCACGAAGCCGATGACTCGAGGGACGATATCTTCGCAAGTGACGATATCGGTGGGGTTGGCTAGTAGCCTGTGTTACGTCTTGTGGTCCTTATCTCGTAATCCCTGCCTTCACAGTTTGATGAATGTCAATTCTGACCTCCGCCTCCATCAAATAACGACCCTCGATGGTGTAGTTGGTATCACAACAGGCTGTAAAAGTCTTCAGAAGTTCACTTCTGATCAATCGTAACCTGCAGGTCACCAGTTCGAATCTGGTTCGAGGGATCTTCTTTTTTGCTGATATTTTTTTCGATTTTTTAAAAATTTGCCTCAATCTTCTTTTGGATAGCCGGTGTGAACTGTGTGCAGGGATTTGAGCCCTAAAACGGGCAGGTTCGACAGGGGTGCGAATTAATCAATGTACCAGGATACCAGGAATATGAAAGACCTGGAGTTAAAAAGTTTAGGGTTGAAGCTTAGTTGGGCAGTTGGCCAAACAACGATGGATATCCAGATAGAAGTAGTCTTGTTCCCAGACGTCACAAAGTACTAAATTTTAGAGGAGGCGGATCGACCTATTTAGCAACATCGGCCCACAGATCTCCTTGCAGACTTGGAACGACCTGCACGAGCAGGCCGGGGTAGGTTGAGAGTTAGGTTCGAAAATCGCCGTATAAGGAACGAAATAACCGTTCAAAGATTCAATCATAACGATATAGCTCCCGGCCAATCCGTAAAGAATAACGGAAACGGGGTTCCATCAAATTGTTATCAACGCGGCTCCAAAGGCTCAAGGCTAGAAAAGAGATTTTTTCTTCCCAACCTATAGTACGCCTCTTTTCTTTTCGCTATCCTTCGACTCTGCCCTCACATCTGCGCCTGGTCTCGAGGCTAATCCTTCGAGGGTTATAATGCTGGCGGTGCATGCATATGAAATATAGCAATGTAGCAATGTAGCAATGTAGCGTGTAGCGGGGCGCGGGGTCAAAACTACTTACTTACTCTATAGTATAGTACTTACATGAGCGATAGCCTCTGCAGGCCTAGTTAAGAATCTCTTTCAGAACCGTATTCCGAAATGGGTTAATCCCCGAATAAAGGCCCCTAAATTTTGGAATGCAGGGCTACAAAAGCTAGAAGGGCATAAGTCGGGAATAACAACGGTTATCTTTTCCCCCGACGGCCAAAAAATTGTATTTGGGAGCCTCGATAAAACAATTCGTTTTTGGGATAGCAAGACTGGAGAAGAAGTGAAAACACTCGAAGGACACACAGAGGGTATTCGAAAAGTCGCATTTTCCCCTAATAACAAATATTTGGCATCAGCGTCGAGTGATCATACGGTTATAATTTGGGACGCAAATTTGGGAGAAAAACTAAAAATTCTTAAAAGGCATTTCGGCGCAGTTATTGACGTTGCCTTCTCCCCCGATGGAAAATGGCTGGCATCAGCATCAGCAGATACGACAATTCGGTTGTGGGATATCGACGCTATAATTGGGCGACGAACTCCGGCCACAGAAAAGCCCATACGGGTTTTACGAGGACATACAGATATCGTGTTATCGATTGCTTACTCGCCCGACGGCAAACTATTAGCATCAGGATCGGCATTGCAAGATGATGCAGTTATACTTTGGGACGTAAGAACTGGCAAACAGGTGGGAGTTTTTGATGAATTTGGTGATGAATTTGGGTTTCCAAAAGTCCTATTTACTCCCGACGGCAAAAATCTAGCTATTACGACAGATATCGACGACAGATATACTACATACTGTGTGGCAAATTTGCAGGAAACCGGGAGCTTCGATCACAGCCGAGGCTGCTTTAACGCGATCACATTTTCTCCTAGCGGTAAAGAGGTAGCGCTTTCAATGAGGAATGGCACAATTGAGCTCTGGGACACTGAAACAGGCAAAGAAATCACAACCTTCGGAACACACGATAATGATGTCGTTACAGCTGCATTTTCTCCCGACGGTAAAATCTTGGCATCAGCGTCACTCGATGGTAAAGTTGGTCTCTGGGACACAGCAATATATTGCGGCGGGGAGAAATTCAAATCGGATTCATGGTATAAAGCTGACGATTTGACAACCAACACGACAATGATCAAGACGACAGACGAACATGATGACGCCGGCTACGGTTTTGACAAAGCCATTTCCAAGATTGTTTTCTCTCCAGACGGCAAACAGGTAGCATCGGGAGCATATGACGGAGAAATCATTGTTTGGGATGTGCGAACGGGACGGCTACTGAACCGTTTCCGAGGAGGCACCACTAAAATTTTCAACCTTCAATTCTGCCCAGGCAATGACAACTCGATTCAATTGATAGCATCGACAATCAGTACGAACTCAGGGGCCAGGCTTTGGGATATAACGACAGGGCGGCAAATACACTATTTGAAGAGCGACTTCAGCATTGACCAAATATGTTTCACATCCGATGGCGAACGTCTGGCGTCGTTAACAAGGTCCGATATATCGCTCTGGAACGTAGAAAAAGGGAAAAGAGTCAAAAAGTTTGGTGCGGACTTTGCTAGGTACCGGTACCGGTATACGTACATATACCCGCCTAGCGCAATGACCTTTTGCCCTAATGGCAAACAGCTAGTAATAGCACGAGAGGGAGATATCCTGGTCTTTGACATAGCAGCGGGGCAGATAGTGCAAAAAGTTGATATGACAAAGAATACCTCGTCTCCTGCGAGGCTACCTGCTCTGGCCTGGGAAAAGACTATCAAATGCATGCATTTCTCGGACGATGGACAACAGTTGAAGACTGACCAAGGAATTTTGGCCTTGCCCCTAAATCCGGACACCTCGGGGCGTGTTTCCCTGAAACCTCTGCCAACGCCACCTATCCTCTACAGTGATAGCGGTGATAATGATTATGACTGGATAACTCAACGTGGTCAGAAATTTCTCTGGTTGCCGCCTGATTACCGTGGCCGCTGTTGGGAGCGAAGGGGCAGACTTCTTGCTATCGGGCGAAGCTCTGGGGTGGTTGACTTTATCGGGTTTCCTATTCAGCGGTAGTTACCTAAGTAGGTAGATCTGCGGATGGTACTGGAAATTTTGATCAATATGCGTATTCATGTGGCAGTGCCCAAGCAGCTATGTTCTTTGGTTCCTCACGAACGGCATATATATCCTGCTATTTTGATCGGGGCTTTGATGGATGGTAACTACGTACCGACATAGAAGGCGGTATATTAGACTTTTATTTAAATATCAGGCTAATTACATGGTATTTTGGGCTTGCTGGTTACTTAGCTCTATAAGCTGTAGATATATACAGCAGTCCGGGTGACGGCGGAGCTGCCACGAGCTTCTTGTAGAATATAGGGTGTCAAACACGCCGAAGAATCTCAATTTTGGTGCTGGTTCGAGCTACCACTAAGATTAGTGTATAATTTGCTTAATTAACGCCAAATACAAGATGGACATAAATGAGGAGACCAATACGGTACTACTAGACACCGTTGAGTTGTTGCTGTTGGATTTTGGATCTCCACTTTATACGGTGAGAAAGACTTGATCATGAGTGAAAAAATGTAAGGCAGAATGTTTAAATATGATTGAACTGGCAGCTCTTAGTTCAATAAAAGGTGGGACTAGTTAATAAAATGCTAGATGTGATTTCTGATAGCTTCAAAATTTGCAAAAGATCTAACTTCGAAAGATCTAGATCTATGGAAGAACAAGTTAACCAGTTGTTGACGTGTTGGAAATTAAAAAAGGAAGTTTATGATAACCTAAAAAGAGTAAGTTTGTTTGTCTTAAAATTACCCAAATAGGCAGATGTAATAAAGATACTTATTTAGGAAAGATTGGCAAAATCAGGAACAGATAGAAAAGCCCGGAAGAAGCGACCCTGAATCGAAGGGTATTTCGATATCCCCAAATCAAATGCAAATCGATTGCGGGAAGCTTCGATAGATACATTTTAGAAATTAGAACTCCGTTCGATCCTGAATTCGAATTCGAACCGTGATTTCGGTCTAAAATATTTGAAGCATGAAGCCGAGGTTCTCAAAAATACCATGACAATGAGGAGCTACCCAATTGCAACCGATCCAGTCAATTCTTGACAGCGCAGTCCACATATCCAATCCCCAGGCCAGCCTGCATCTCCAAAGCACTCAAATGTGATAGTCTGACGTTTCGTCGACGTGTTCTTCGTGATGACTTCGCCCGCCCCGTATCCACAGCGGGGAACCATGGAAAGCTCATCAATGAATTGCCTCAATTGCTTCGAAGGAATACGGTATTGAAAGAATAGTATGGCTAGATAAGAGGCCCTCGATCCGGTAGCTAGTCCCGATTTCCACGCGAGACCTCTAGCTCTAGTTCTGAGGCTCGCCGCGATTTCGTAAACACTTTTGAACAAATGCGCCAACAGTGAAATTCCTTAATTTAGGTATACTAAGTTTACTAAGATTATTTTTATTACTAAGTCTAAAAAGGGCCGGTCCCTTAATCCTCCTGAGATGTCCTCCGTTTCCCAAGACCTCGCTTTCTTCCTTAAACATTTCGTGGAATGCAGTGTTCGTCCACAAATCCAGCTTCAACTTCAGCTTCAGCTTTCTACAACCTCGAGTTTGGCGGAGAGGAATTACAACGCAACGCAGTTACAGTCAACGAGCGAAAAGATGGATAAGATCGAGGATAACTCGAAGTTCTTGCCGGCCGTTCCGAGACCTAAGCCAATCGACATATCTCATCACTTGTCGCCGTTGGCTAGAAGGTTTAAACAGTCGAAGTTACACAGCTTGTACAAATATGGTGCTAGTAAGGATCCTTGTGTTTCCCCATTGTCGCCATTATATTATATACATTGTCATTGCGTGGAAACCGTTACTCGCGCCTGGCAAAATGTTACGGTAACCCGTTAAGGGATTATCGAGTTCTAAACGATGCTATGCTTGAATACTGATACGATGATTATATAAAATAGTTCCCGGAATGGCCAATCTTGCCGGCGGCATGCCTCATCCTTCCTTCTTCCCATTTGACACCCTCTCCGCCACTGCTCTCACTCCGAACCATTTTACCACTACTCTCCATACGACTTTCCTTCAACTCCTCGTCTCTATCAAAAAGCCTAGTCACTTCACAATCCCCAAATTCCCTCCTCCAAATTCCTCAGATCCCTCTACAGATATATATCTCGCACGTGCGTTACAATATGGCCCTTGTGAAGGCCTACCAGTACTTCTTGAATTTATTAAGGATTTTGCTGTGAACTACCAACACCAAGGGAAGATTCCGTATGATTCGCCGAGTGTTATTATGACCAGTGGGAATACAGATGGGTTTAATAAAGCACTGGAGGTATTGGCGGACCCATATCGAGGGGATAAGATCCTGATGGAAAAGTTTGCTTATAAGGGTGCTGTGAACAGTAAGTTGCCGACTCCGGTTTTAGATTTATCGTATTTCAATTGTTGAAGATACTAACGATGATATCATGGCAGCTGCTGCTTGCAGAGGAATCGACGTCGTACCGGTTGACGTCGATAAGGAAGGTATGGTTGTTGAAGGAGACGACGGTCTTCAGGGTATACTTGAGTCATGGGATGTCAGGCGAGATGGGCCTCGCCCCCACCTTCTATATACTGTCACGTAAGTTAATCTATGTTTTGGGTGTTATTTTAGAGACGTAAAACTGACAAATTGCAAACAGAATGGGTCAGAATCCCACCGCCGGCGTTCTCAGCGTCAAGCGACGAAGACAAATCTATGCACTCTGCCAGAAATACGATATAATAATTCTTGAGGATGATCCATACTGGTTCTTGCAATATGACCGCTTCACCGAAGTTCCAGATAATGATACCTTCTTGTCAACCCTGGTGCCTTCCTATATCACTATCGATACCGACGGGCGGGTCCTGCGGTTTGATACGTTTTCCAAGACTATGGCACCAGGATGCCGACTTGGCTGGATGTTAGTATAACCATTTCCGGACCCAGTGGATAAATATATACATTTATAGATACAGACGCTGATAAACACCCTCTACAGCATCGGCCACCCCACCATAGTAGACCGCATTCTCCGTCTCTCCGAACTAACAACCCAGATGCCCTCCGGTGCGACCCAAGCACTTGTTGCCAAACTTTTGGTCCATACATGGTCCATGTCTGGTTGGATAACTTGGCTCTCCCTCCTCCGCCACCAATACGAGTCTCGAATGAATACTCTCTGTATTTCTCTTGAGGCTGGAAAAACAGTAACAATGATCCACCTGAAGAACATTCGGCTGAAGGAGATCGTGGATCAGGATGGGAATGTTATCGATAGTGGAAAATACAGTTTGGTCCACAAGGCTGTGAAAGAATTATATGAATTCGAAAGACCAATGGGGGGAATGTTTGTGTGGGTCAGGGTATACTTTGAGATCCACAGACTTTATGATGGGATGAATGGACGAGAAATAATGAAGGCTCTTTGGGAGTATTTAACAGGCGAGGAACTCAGGTGTTTGGTATGCCCCGGGCAGGCCTTTGGGGCGACTGATGAGATTGAAGAACGAGAAGCATGGAAGTATTTCAGGCTCTGTTTTGCAGCTGTCGAAGAGACTGAGTTAAAGAGGGCAAGTGTGGCGTTTGGTAATGGGGTGAAGGAGTTTTTTGAACTGCAGGAGTTCCCGAAGAGGGATGATGAGGAGAATGCAACAGCCATGGATCTACGTATGCCACAGTTCTGCTAGGTTGGGATTTGATTTGGATTTGTTTAGCTATGCTATTATTTTTGGGAGCTATGGGGTTTGGTCGTATATACTTTGTAGGTATTGGTTTTCATTGGTTAATGATGGATGAAGTTATATATTTTGTGTAATATAATGAGCAGATTGAACATGCAAGGTTTGGGATAGTAAACAACTATATTACAAGATACTTCTGGGCCATTGATAAAACCTGCGATTAGAATGCGGCCTTATGCGCAGGCCTTCGGGGTCCCATTGCGCTGGTACCCACGCATAAATGTACTGTATACCGAGTCGCCTGATACTAATACAATCAATATATCCATGCTGACCATAGAGGAATGATAATCCAGATCGTGGTATTATAGGTTACATTAGCCAAAAAACAGAGTAAGCGATAATACATCGCAAGTCCAAACACTTCCCTCTGCCAATATATATATCAAAAGAAAACGAAAACAAAGAAAGAAAGAGTAAGCTTTGTTGAAAGATCCCAGTCAGATAGTCATCACATAAAGACCGCAAATATCATCAACATGCCAATTCTAAAATGCCCAAAAAACGAGGTTTATCTTTTGTTCTTCCTGTCCCACCTTTTATCCCGGCCCTTGAGATCCGGATTCTTTTTCTCGCCATCTGGTAGGTGCCTCTACTGGCCATCCCACTGGAGCGGCATCTCTGCGCCCTCGATTAGCTCGATTCCTTGTTCATCATCAACGAGCTTCGCAAATTCTTCTTCCGTTAATACTCCACCACTTTTAGAACCCTCCGGTCGAGGAAGTGCGAAGACTTCTCTCGATACAACCTTGACTTGCATGAGCACACACCCAGCTACATGCCAAATATCTTCTAAGGTTTTCAATGCTCCAACACTAAGCCTTATTCTCTCCTTTGCCATAAACCCTTCTTCGCCGTATAAAAGCCACGAGCAGGCGGATAAATGGACAATCGCACTTAATGTTATGATGCACGTAAAGAATGGCGTGTGTTTAATAAGCGGTGTTGGGAGAGTTATGAGTTTTGATATTGCGTCTGCTGCGCGGATTGCTTTCGTCGTGTGAAAAGCGACGGGTTTTGATGTTGTTGTCCATTGGGTTGGTGGTGTACAAGATGTTTCGTCCGGCACAAGTGAGATGGCGAGATGCGATTTTGGTCGGTGTAGGTATATAGATGCACTAAATTACGGGTCAGGTGTCATCCGGGTAGCCATGGTTGGGTCAGAAGGGCTTACGCATTTATCACCATATGAGCTTGAAACAACATCTCATCCACTCTGCCATCTTTATCTACCAGTTCTTTCTTCCCGGCTGGTAAATGCAACATCCAATTCACTAAACTTGTATCTGCAGAGTCTACTCGAGGGTCATCCGGATTGTCGCTTCCGCCACATGCCAAAACTTGACCTAGTATCCGTACCGCTTCGACTCTGTAGGCATACGATGAGAAAGGCCGGTTATCCTCTGAAAAATATCTTTCGTCGAAATCTACCAATGATCTTGTGGGTGGTATTCGACTGGATAGATATTCTTGTTCCTCGCAAGGCAATGGAACCGTGCATTCTACGCTCCATAGCCTGAAGCAATCTCTTTGGTGGACTCCTGCAAATATTCCATCTAAGAAATATAGTTCCCACCATGTCCGCCGCCAGCTTTCTTCTATCACCGGATCGCCCTCGCCGGCTGCTTCTGCAAACCCCTCAAGGTTCATACCAAGCTCCAAAGCCATTTCGATCGCAATATCTTTGACTTGACCGCTACGTTCTTGAAGATTATCTGCATGTAGGCCTATGGCGAACAGTAACATCGCTTGTACCGTGAATGAGTTCCGCGGCGCATTTTGTTGAAATAATGTAAAATCTGCAGCATCTCGAAATGATTGATGTGGGGCAGAAGGTGCATAGAATGACCCAATGAATCGCATAACCGGTAGTAGCTGTGTAAGTTTAGCTGCTGCGGTTTTAATAAGATACGCGGGTGGAAGAATGAAAGGGTGTGCGGAGTGAAAATATGCATAGTAAAGTTGGATCAAATTGGCGGTCGGTTGAGGCGGGAAATGATCGTGGACTGATGCGAAGTTAGTCGATCCCCGATAATGGTTTCTGACATTTTCCAATGCATTTGGGGGAGGAGGTCCCGGGTTTGGCAGATTCCTCGACACTGGTGGCGAATTCGTAGGTGATACTGTGGCGTTCGAGGCGGCGGAGACAGAAGCTTGTCGAGTTTGTGATGATGCACGCGATGTTGACCCTCGTTCTAGACAGCATTGCAACTACATGTTAGTTTACGCCTTTTTGCATTCTAACATCCTCAAGGGACCACTTCAACACCATCATTCCACCTCGGAAAAAGCAAAAAGAGGTATCGAAGTTGAGGGGCGATGTCGTGAGAAGGACTGGAAATTGTACCATTACCGCCACCATCACTCATGACCCCAAACCCGCCTTCCCCGCCACTAACACTTCCTGCCCTGCTCTGGGCAGAAGTTCGTCTCCTACTTCCCTTCCATCCTCTCCTACTTTTGACATATAGACAATCCCTGGTATCGGTCACACATCTTGAGCAGCTGGGTGTGCCAGCATCGCATTTAAGATGGCGGCTCCGACACTCAGTACACGCTAGGGGGACAGGAGGAGGGCCTACAAATCTCGCGACTCTCAAATATGGCTGGCCGCCAGTGTTACCAGACTGTGGTGGTGGAGGGGATGCTTCGACTTTCACGCCGCCTTGCATGACATCGCCGCCTTCGGTGTATATCGTTGAGGGGATTGTTTGAGATGGTGGTAGAGTGGCAGACTGCGGCGATGGGAACAGAGATGGTTGGTGTATGGTTTGCGGCGATATCAAGTATTCTGTAGTTGTTGGAATACTAGGGTGTGAGTTGGATCTTAAGGGGAGGGAAGGATATCCCATTCCATTTGTCGGTAAGCCAGTGGTAGGCAGCACGCCGACACCAGAACCAGGGTATCTGTAGGCTCCACTTTCTTCCTCATCATAATTATCTGCGGATGGAGGAGGGGGTTGCTGGTGAAGCTGGAGATTTTGATATTGGGCGATTGCGACAGGTTGTGAGAAGTCTGGCATCGTGAGACGTTTTAGATGGTATAGGGGACGTGGAGCTATTAAAATCGATCAGGCCTTCCAGGTCTTTCCTGGGCCACTTCCTATCATGCACCTTGTAGGCGGGCGGAAGAGCAAGCTAGGTTGTATGCACAATAAGACTGACACAGCACTGCTTCTTTTTTTTTTTTCGAATGAGAAACCAGGGCAAGAAAAAACGAATGAAAGAGAAATGGTGCCTGCTTGTGAAGTGAATTGTATTCCTCGACGCCGCAAGCGCTCAAGGGCGAATTATCGCAGATAACGATTTGGCGTTACACAAGCAAATATTGGGGATATTGATATCGAAAGCAAAAGAATTGTTCTGGAACCGACAAGCTGGTGACGATGTGCTGCTGCGCGGAAAGAATCGATTGGGCGATTAGCATGGTTGTTACGTACAAATAATTGCTAGTTGCAGTAACTGTCAAGAGGAGGCAGACGACACACCTCTAGGTATCCAATGTGGGCAATCCGATATGTAACTTCAGATGACAAATGGGTTTTAAATGAACCGCGGGTTTAATCAAACACGAAAAACTCCGAAGCTTGGTTGAGGAATTTAGGTATTTGGGGATGTTTGGGGAGCTTCTCCTCAGCTCTTCCGCAAGTTGAAGGCGTTCGTAAATGATGCGAACCCGCTTTCTGAAACTAAGAGGCAACCGCGAAGAAAACGGTGCCTGGGACTGTGGACTTTGAATCTGAGTCAAGGCCCTGTCAAGAGCCTCACTGTACCTGGATAGCTGTCGGGATTACGTGCGTTAAACTGTCAGGAATTTTCTTGGTTCATTCGAGAAAATGATGCGTAACAATTAAAAAGAGTGGTCGGCGATCATGAAAAGACGGCGACCAAGCAGGCAGATAAGCAAGAGGAGTCGAAAGGGAAATAAACCCCTCTCTTCTCTTGCTAATGCGAGTCCCGGCAAGCTAGCAGTTGTGCCACGCTATCGGGTGGAGGGCATGCCGCTAACAGTCTTCGATAGGGAAGGAACGAACGGCTATTAGGGAGGCCCTCGCAGGATAATGAAGTGCTCCTGGAAATAAATACTGACATGCATCCCCGCTTTTCAAAAGCAATGGCCTTGCATCGGATTCATCTCTTTATTTCATTCTCCTGAAATCGTCCTGTTCCGGTGCGCAGCAAACAAAAACGAAGGATGATTCCTGTCCAACTCCTCTCCAATATCTCCGTTTTCATTGGAGCTCAATCTTTCGATCACCAGTGCGATTGGGATTAAAACCGATATCTGTGCGGAGACCCCCACTATCAGCAGCGACCTTTCCACTTTTCATCCCACCCTCCTTCAGGGCCTTTAAGATCAAACCACACAAGAAACTCTTGGGTGACTAGGTACCCAACTGAGAGAGATTGAAGCTGTGCAAACTCACAACTCTCGATACTCGCGGATGCCTAGTACTCGGCCGGTTGATTTTGACCGGCTATCCCACGGCATTCGATTGCTGCCGTATAATCAGATGCTCTTGTCGATAGATTTATGAAGAACCATTTCGCTATGAAGGGTGAAAAGCTGATTCGCCCCTGGTCGTCCGACTGCGGTTGCTTATCATCCCGCGCTGCCGACTCCAAATTCGGCCTAGTCAGGTGGCCGACTCGTCTGAAATTCCCAGATTTCTGGCCCTTCCGGCCGTGGCTTGAAAGCCTTCGGGTTTATGTCGTATCTTTGGAATTATTAACACATTCAAAAATATGCCGAGATATCCATCCGGGGCTTAGTGACCGTGACTTGAAAAACTTTTCACTTGTTGTCTGTGCAAGATCGTGTATACTTCTATAGCTCTCGAATTCAAATGTATACGATCGTATAGACCCGTAATCTAGTGCTCGTTTCAGCAACTGGGGTTGACATCGCTAGAAATGCATGGGGCTAAGGGAAGCTTAGATCCGGCCCTGGTTTGTTGATCAGCCACAAAAGCCTAAAAAACATGTGATCGAGGCACTATATTCACGATGTTTCTTCTCGTGAAAGAAACGTTTCACAAGATAGAAAGGTGGTGGAGATAGTGGTGAGTAATTCGTGTCGAGGCGATATCGGTATAGAAATCCTGAAGAGAGAACTGGTACTGGGGGAGGCTGAGACCAGGTTAAACCTCGTCACGAGACCAGCAGCCACATCGAGCGATGGCAACACAGAAAATCCAACAATCCATAGCTTTAAATAAACTAAAGCACCCAAAACACCACATATATTACGCACTATTGCGATCGTCAGTAGGATACCTTAGAATTATATTATATTAGGTAACTGTCGCAATTCCAACAGATGAAGATCGCGGTATGCTTCGAATTGTGCAAAGGATATATCAGACGTACATATCAACTGGCAAGAAGATAACTCGTTACTCATACTCCTCCATGCATCACCGGATATCAACACCTCTCGAGTCTCCCCTTTACCTCTCGCTGGCGAGTGTCAACAGACACTACATTGTTTGAAAGGGAGAAGAAAAGAGGTTTCTTGAATTCGTAAAATAGCTACTCGACTATCCTACCCCATATCTACCCTGGAAAGCTGGATATGATGGCTTTAATTTTTCGCAAATTCAACACCCCCCTTTTTCGTACTGCTGCCTCCAGCAAGTTTTGTCATTTTAACCGCCCCACTAAGAAATTAATACCTCACTACCGCTTTAATGTATGTCTCAGTTCCAGTCTATAAACTAATCTATTCGTCGACGCCGTGGTCTATGTTTCTAATTCAACTTGCCGGGCAGACTACAAACAGCGGTCCTTCTACGGGGGGAAATCCTCAAAAAGAAAAGGACGAATCTAAAACGGTTCCACCCACCTACAGACGTCAACTTTTCTGGATAGGTGCATTCGAATCTATAACGCCCGCGGTGTTTATTCTTGTTTGTCTCGAGCTCTGGGCGGGGTGGGATGATATGAGGACTTTAACCAGGCTTGGTTGGCGACGAGTTTTAAAAATAATCTGGGATCGTTGTCGGCGTCTCTAAGTCTAGCCTGTGGGTGAATGCAGCTTACGTGTCAAATGGGGTTTTAGAGGCGATGATATGGGACCAATTAGCGTATATAATCCTATTTCGCTTTATTGGCGGCGAGATCGATGCCCACGAATACTGGCCCTGTTAATTGTTAACTTGTAGCTGCGCTGCAACATAGCCTCGAGAATACTCTGCAACCTATAGATGCAATTCATTATATCTTTGAAAGAATTCTGAAAAATTACGGTTTTCGGCCGGCACAACTGTACAAGGGCTCCTAGCCTCAAGACTAAAAAGACCACAAGTATATTTTTGAATAAACACGCAGTATTATTATCAATCCATTCACCTTTATGTCTGAAAACTAGTACGCGTATACGGCGGCGGCCTTGAGGTCATACATGAAAGCTACAACCAATTTGCATGAGTTCCCATGCTAAAAAATAACACTGGCTCGTTCAAAGCTTCAGAACCCCGTAGATTACACAAATTCGCATAGGTCAAACTTCAGACACACCCACGTTGAGGCTCATGCAGTAATTATAAATTTGATGTACCACAGGGAAAAGCACCAGAGAATATAGCGCTGGGATACCTACTATATATGGTTGGACACAGACCTCCCAAGGATTAGTTTTCCCTCACGATCGACTTGGCCAGGACTTTCGATCCGGACGGTAAGAACGGCAACTTACCGTTCTCACTCCCTCCCTCCCGCCGCCATGATACCGCACCGACTGAAAACAACTTACCGTATCCCTGTAACTCTGCCGTCTGCCTTCCGGCTTCCTCGGGTCTCGTTACACAGCGTGTCCCAAGCCGGCGTCGTGGATTTGGATTAAATATCCCTCTCTGCAAAATGCACATGCACCAACGCCCACGGGATTAAATGAAAGCATCTTATTCCGCAATCCAATACAGAAGAACTCTAAAGTTAAGCATCATGTTATCCACTGCGCGACGAAGTGGGTGGGGCATCCGGTTCGTTCCAGCAAATAAACTAGCGACAGGTCGTTCGCTTGTGTAACATATACATGTATGGTGGGGGGTAGATGTACCCCCCAGTACTCTGTTTGATGATTCACAGGGAAGGGTATATGGTACGTATGCGGCCCGTGTGGTCAGAGATATTAATCGATTGATACAGATTATCTGATCCGGAGCCAGGCCCGCCGACTGTGGTTGTGTTACACATTGTATTGCATATTTTCACGGGACTGTATACCTCCTTGGCAGCTCCGAGGAGTTGGATATGGCTGAAAATGGAGTACCGACCAATGCATTTACGTTCAGATCCTATGTTGCTTCTCCCTGCAATTACCTGCGCCTATCCAAGAAATCTCGAGGCCAACTAGCTCTGGCCATGGGGTTGATCATGATTACATGCATTAATCCATGCTATAGTTGTCGGCCTGTCCAAGTGCACAGATATCGTCGATTGAAGAAGAACATTGTTCAATTGCGAGTAATTACTAACTAGTACTACTGCTTTGATAAAGAAGACTAAAAAAGGACATGCAAACAGGCTCGGTATCAGCTCTGGCCGATGTTTAAATTGTCTGTCGTCACAGGGGGATCCACAATTGTGGTAAGGCGAATATGTGCATGGTGAAAGCTCAAGTGCAAGTTTGGACATGAAGTTGATAGAAGAGAACCCCCTGTAATAGTAAATAATAATAGAAAAGAAAAGACAAAAGGCTGAGGAGCGATTTTAAACAGGAGGTATTAAGAGAATTAAAGCTGAATGCTGCGGTGGTATCTTTTTGGCTGTGAACAGGTCAAATGCAAAGCGTGAAGCAAAAAACACGAAAAAAGCACCAAGGAAACTTCAAGAAAACAATGTCGAAGCACTTTTGACCCAGAAAAATGTAACGTGTCGCTTAAACTTTTAAAGTCGTAAAGTCGTGAGGTGTAAAATTCGGCAAGACTATTGTGCATACCGTGACGAAATCTCGAGATGCCTATTTACCGGAACGGAAGATGCGGTCAAGGAAGCCACTGGAAGAGCCGGTGCGAGTCATTGGCTTTGGACTAAATCCGAGCGAGAGACGGCGTTTGGTGTCTGCAGACGAGGCCTAGAAGGATCCATGCGTCAATGTTTGCTCTATTTGATATGCAAACTAAATCAATTTCATTACAATAGGGACTTACTCTCTCTCGACTGGTCGAAACCCTTCTCTCCCTCTCATTAGACATCGACAAAGATCGCTCCATCTTGACCATCTTGTCAGTCTGACGCTGCTCAGTCTTAACCTTCTTTTTGTGCTTTCTCCTTTCTTCTTGGAGTTGTTCGAGCTGTGGAGAGTATTAGCTTGGTTCCTACCAACCAGCTGACATAGGGCTAAGGGATTAACGGAACTGAAACATACCTCTTCAAGATAATTGTTTTGTTCAGCACTCCAAGCACGATTGGCGGATTTAAGAAGCCTTTGCAACTCCTTCAACCTCTCTTCCTTCCTATCGGTCCACTCGACCGAAATAGTACTCATTCCGTCCATATCATCACTATTGCGACGAACGGATTCCTTGAAAGTGATACGAGAGGCTTGGGGAGGAGTTTCACCAGGTGTGTCAAAGTAAATCTACCTCATACTATTAGTCTTATTCTCACAACTTGAACACTTACAGTAATCAAACGTTTACACGGGGTTAAGAGGCTCGGATAGAATCACAAACTTACCGAGCGATTGATGCTAGTGTACGGACCGGAGCGGTTTCGCTCGGTCCGAACCTCGTGTTCGACCTTGTCCAAGGCAGCATGTCTGTCCTTCAAGGTTCGAAGAAGACGAAGGTTAGCTGCAACCAGCTGTTCGACAGTGCTCTTCTCAGAGATGTCGAGCCTCGAAAGTTCTTGGAAATCCTTGACGGTCTCAGAGAGGATATCGGCTGTTTGCTGAATGTAGTCGTTAACTTCATTCTTGCTAGCAGTTGGCGAGTCATCCTCCCTGTTGGAGACAACAGTCTGATGGAGGTTGGTGATAGAAACATTGACATCATGCAAGGGCACGATGCGGTCTGCTGGAGGCGCCATGGCAGTTGTATCCAACTGAAGGTTCTCAGAGGACCTGTTGGTTGGGGTCTTTGCTGGCGATGGTGGCATGTGGCTGACGAAGTATGGAACCTCTCTTGAGATGGGAATAGTGACCTTATTGAGACTTTCTTCGGACATAGACCTACGGAGGGACTGTGAAGATGGCGGTCGGGAAGGATCGTGAGTTAGGTAGACGATGGGTCTATGGAAGTCTGGGACTGTGAGGACGTTGCTGGATACGGAAGCCATTGTTGATGGCACTGGTTCTTTTTCTTGAGGTGGATTAAGATGGATTTGAACGTTCCAATCGATAACTCGGGGTCTGACGTCTTCTGTTCGACGTCGAACGTTCCAAATTACTCGCACAAAATCAAATCTTTTTTTCTCTCTTTCCCTTTGGTTAAAAGCCGATTCCCAACTCTCCTCGAACGAATGAACGAATGACTATCCAGAGAAAGATATACTAATGATGAATATGAATAGATATGGGGGGATGATATCGCAATTAGGGCGGCCGCTGAACAGATGGTCTAACGTCGGGTCTACCTTCCTTGTAATGCATGAAAGGGACCTTGGAATATCGAAGAGCTACACAAAATCGAAGGCTATTGAACGACTACGACCTGCAACCAGGCTAAAGTAGTAAGGAGGGAGTCGAAGCCTACGGAGCCAACCGATTGGCAAATTGTCAGCCTGATATTCGTCGTTTTATCTCTGAAACATAAGTTGTGAACGTGCAAGCCCTTCCAACATGCAACTATCCGACATGCTACGTTGGGGACTGCATTGGGGCAAGTGGTAATAAATTAAGGCAAACAAGGGTCTCCGCTTCTTGCTAATGCTCACTTACCGAGAGACAACTAATTTTATAGGGAAGTCCGAAAAGTCGAGGAATTTTGCGAATATACACTAGTAGAACATCGACAACATTTAGTTTCACAGCTCTTTTGTCGAATCGGGAGAACCGGTCATGTCTATATATACCCTAGAAGACCGAAAGTCGCCGGAAAGAAGTGGGTATAGCTTACAGATCTGCGGACCTGTGGGCCGTGGATTTGTCCCCGGATATAAATATGGGCTTAGTTTATTGACCGACGAACCGGCTTTAGGAATGTCGCAAACGGCTTGTCAGGCTTGTCCGCTTGGCCTTAAAACTTTGTCCAATCCCCGTGCACTGTCGTTGTCCTTAAGGGGTAACAACCTTAAAGTGGGCTACCCAATCGATGATTCGAGAAGTGACGAAAAAGTCAAACAGATACGGTTATTTTAGAAGAGTCGCAGCTAAGATATGCGCGTCTGGCTTGGGAGCTTTAAAGGGTCAAAGGAAGACAAAATAGAAAGTTGCAGGTTACTCGAACAGCTTCAAGAACAAGCAAAATCCACGTCTCCCGAGGTCGTTGGGAGATGTCCGAAGGAAGACAATGTGATAGGGAAGGGCTCACGGTTGGATTCGCAAAAATGTGGGCCTGTGGTGTTTCGAGCTTGGGAATACCCCAGAAGAACAAGATTGGACAAGAGTCTTGTGTCTCTTAAGTTTTCTTAAGATCTTATGGTCACGATAATGATCCTTTATCGCCCAGACCCGACCAAAGGATGGGAATCTGTCCTTTTATAGCTACGCCACCCCTTTCATTCGTAAAATATCCGTCGAGGAGATTCGGTGAGCACCCCCCTTGTTAACGTTGTCTCGAATCTCAGGCTGAGTTGTGGACAAGATCCAGAACCTCACCTGATAGCCCAGACCTAGGATGCACATTCATGAAACTTGCTGGTGTGTAACTGGTCAACCTTGATCCAACCTCTATCCTATCCCCCCAACCGAGACTTCTCCCTTGCATCGTCTCGCCGAAAAGGAATTCCGTCTACACCTACGGACAGTCATTAGATTTACGAAACTCATGATGGTTTTGAAAGGGAAAAAAAAGAAAGAAAAAAAGAATACCCCGGCTGTAGTATCCTATTCGATCCCGTATACTAATATCAGAAAAAGTAAAATCCTCAATAGGGCCATAAATTCTTTGAACGTGGCGCGCAGTGCCGCATATGCATAACGGGGATACTGTGTGATTTCGTCGACTGGGTATCCTTGGGTACCAAAAAGGCGGCCTGCTATTGGACTACGTCGAGGTCGCTTGGAATCTTGTTGGGCAAACGCTGCAGATTTTCAACCTGATGGGTGGCCCCCCATAAGAGTAGCAGAGACGCCATGCATCCTTGGGGGAAGGAATAGTAACTTCGTGCATGAAATAAGTTCGAATTGAAAGAAAAAAATTTCCAAAACTTCTTGGGGTCTGAACATCTACAAGGCCAAATTCATTGGGGTTTTAACTTTGAAAAGCCAATTGCCTTTTCCAGGACCCATCGAGCACACGAACGATCCAGAATCTGGAAGTATGTCTCCAGAAGATTTCTAGATCGAAACGATTTCGATTGATATCCATATTGTGCCTAGACTCTGCAAATTGCGATTAGTCGGGGAAGTAGAAACTGATCATGTCGTGAAACAGACCAGGACGGCAGTTCGATGAATTCCCACGGTCTCGAAAATCCCCCGACCAGCGGCGAGCCAGCCATCGTGAGCACCATGTGCAACGTGCTCTTCCCCAGAGGTAACAAACACGACTCTCTCGTGCTACTACAAGGAAATCCGATCAATTGGGTCCACGAAACGCAGCAAGAACGCCGAAACAGGTAGCAAATAAGTCCTCGTGATCGATTTTCTGGGTCTTTATGTTCCCCAGATGTGAAAGCACTGTGACGACGTACATATACCATGTATGTGATTATAGTGTGCACAAAGGTAAGAGAATGTGGCCTAAAATCGTGAGAAAGGGACGATACTTGCTTGACCTGGACCTGTTCCCAATGACGTGGTTCGCCATTATATGTCGAATAAGCCGTTCGCAGCGTCGTGAAGGCGAAGCCAGATGCATTAGCGGGCTGTCTTGTCCAAAACGACGGGCGGAAGGTACGGGTGCTTAGCTTAGCTGCGCTCACGATTCCTGCCCCAGACAACCGGTCAGCCGACGTCCGACCTGCAACAAACAACCCGCAACTTGCAACATCTTCAAAGCCCAAACCGCAGAAAGAAGGAAACATAACGGATTCCCCCACTTCCTTCTCGAGAAACCATCCCACACTTTACATATGGGGGTAAGACAGAACGGGGGAAGATTTCCATCGAAAACAGAATAGCCATCGATGCCCAATGTGAAGCGAAGGGGGGGAAATCCGAACTTGGTCTACGTACCTGACAGGGACAGTCATTGAGTTTCAAGCTTAGCAAAGAAATACGTATTGGGAAGTTTCTCACCATCGAATTACGAAGGTAAATCGTCATATGCTTGTCATTTCAAAATATTCCCACAGATTACCCCAAGTTTTGACGAGACTTCTAGGAACTTCATGGCCATGCATTCCTTGTTGTGCAAATATGCCGTCCATGTGTCGGGGCACCGATCGAAAATAACACCTACACCCCCCCCTCTTTCGAGATCGTAGAATCTCACTACATCTCCTCCATTTTTGAGGGATATTCCGACATGGGCTGCTTCTAACCGCTACTTCCCAGGAGGAAGACGTATATCGACATAACGGGATCTAAACTGCGGAGAAGAAGAAAATGGCTAGGCAAACCTTCGATTCGTAACAGACGGAAAGGACTACGCATCTAGCTAAGCTCTCAACAGCTAGCTCGAATTCCCCAGGTACCCACATCGCCGTTAGCTCAACGTGTCGCATCTAGAATCGATTCTTCGTCGATCTCTTTGCTTTTTCTTGATTGTTGTTTTTTTTTCGTGAGAGAAATCGTGGAGAAGACGGGTTTCGTGGTGGGACTGCACACTCGAGCTCTTAGGTCTTATTCAAATTATTTCAGCATCAAAGACCCACTGACTTCTTACTCTCTCTCCCCCACGCCCACATGTCCGCTTATGGTTGAATCAACGTTCGGAGATGCATGAAGGAGAAGCTCAAGGTAATGGAAAGAAGCAAATGGCTGCCTCAATTAGGTAGCAATTGACAACACGTGCAAACCTTGCAGGTACTGGAGAGCAGACGAGACGACAGGATCCTAGAACGAGAAATATCGACAAGGGGACATGGTTTATTCTCGCAAGGTTGAAATTATTATTATTATTTTCTTCTTCTTTTTGCATAAACCCAGGTTTTCTCGGAGAAAGTACGAGGGGGGATGGGGGTAGCAAAACATTTTTTTTTTTCGTTGGATTGATACTTTTTATGGAATATGGGGATCCTGAGAGTTTGGGGTATGGGGAAGCGAGCTTAGGAAATATCCGTGAGCTGTATTATGGAGCATACATGTTCACGGGGTTGGTTGTGACAACTGTTAGTGTTACTAAATGTGATGACTAGTTGTGATATATGCTTGGGCTTCAGTGATGAAGAAATTGTGATGTTGAATATGCGCATATGCATCTGCGCAGTGCCTTAAGATCTCAACAATTATTTCACGGATTCAAATGCAAGTGCCTAGGTAATATGCCAAATAATTACGGCGATTATCTCAAGGCTGGGACAGCATCATCAATGGGGATATAAAGATAGTGGAGAGTGTAATTATGTACAATATATACAGGAAAAAAATAAAATTATATACAAAAAAAAAGAAAAGCAAGAAAACAAATAATGCAAACGCTAAATACAATAAATGGCAGACATGAGACGCAGAAAAGCAAGAAAGCAAGAGAGCAAATAACGCAAACGCTAAGTAATAATAATAAATGGCTGTTAATGATAAATGGCTGTTAATGATAAATGGCTGTTAATGATAAATGGCAGTTGATGATAAATGGTAATAATGATAAATGGCAGAGATGCGATCTAGAATTATAGAACATAGTTAGTTCAAGCTCAGAAGAGGTGAAATCTCTTGAAGAACAATTGGAAACAAGTTGGACTTACATGTACAAGATCCACCACCTCTGCAGCCCAGCCTCTCGAGACGTCCCGCACCTCTCGCTACCCTATGTTGAAGATATTTAGAGTTAGTTATCGTAGTGCTAGAAAGAGTCAGTAGGAGTTTAACGATTATCTTACCCGAAGGGCACATTATGAGGTGCCTCTTGGGACGTCGGAGACCACCAACACCAAAGGTAGACGCCCCGCCTTTTTTCTCCTATCATTCGGACGACATTTACGCTATGAACCATCCTCGTTTGCGGGTAGATAGCAAGACTGGTTCGGTGTGATGCCTCCGAAATGTATTCCCCATATATGGAGAACACAAATCTCTAGCATCACCGTCACCGCGTCCCTCTACCCCTGGTCGCCTCATGGACTTGGCGACTGCAAAACGAGGAACTACTAACACGCGATTCGCCCCAATCCCGGGTACGACGATTAGATTCCCAGGCCTAATCGCAGTACCCACCAGGAGCGAGACGGAAGTCGCAACATCTCGCCCATGGAACGTCACACATCCGACCCATGATGACATCACCCCCCTCATCTCTGGGCGCATCTTCCCACATCTCCTCGTCCGTTTGGAACTCGACTGCCTCATTAACGTCTGGGAAATAGAGGCAGACGTATCCAAACGGCCAGTAGACATGGTGCACTACGGTATTCCAGTCTTCCCGTAGCACCGATGCTTCTTCCGGCACAATTAAATGTGTGACGCGCTGGTTCCCCCCGGTCGTCGACAGGACCCAGTTTCGCAAGTACTCTGCGGCTTCTGGTATCTCTGTTGGGTCCCGTCGAATTTGCACTTGTGGGACCGGGGGAGAGGGATTGGGGGCCATACCCCCCGTTGGCTGGAGCGGCACCATAAGCGGTGGCCCAGTGAGCTCGAAGTCCATTGGACCCGAGTCAGCTGGTGCCACCGCTGGCACCGTAACAACCACGGCTTGGTGGGGAGCGGGCGGCACCGGCAGCACTGGGGCCGTGGCCGAAGCTACAGTAGTCTATACAGAAAGGTATGTTAGTCGAGTCCGTCATAGAAGGTTTGAGGAATTCTTGGAAAAAAGATACTTACAGCAACTGGCTGTACCCCATGTGCCGAGGGGGGTGCCGTTACCTTCGGCACAGGCTGGGTGCTCCCCGAAGCTACTACAGCTGGTGCCGCTTGCTAGGCGGCTCCAGCCGGAGCGACGGTTTGCGGCTTAGCCTGTAAGCCGATGGTTGGCAACCCCCCATTGCCGGTGCCCGAGGGCGTGTTAGTAGAAAGGGCGCCCTGGGTCGACTGGTCAGCGTCCGAGACACCAGTCATCTGATTAACCCAGGCCGAGGGAGCAGCGAGAGCTGCTGGCGGCCCTTTTGGTTCCACCTTGATGGCGGGATTGGACGGGTAAACCTGCTTTACCTGCTTCTTCTGGTTTACCCACCGCGTCCAATCCCTCTTCTCAAGGCCCGGGGGCAGCTGATCGGCATGCTGCCCCCGATAGACGTAAACGTCGTGATAGTTCACTTTTTTGCCATTGGAGACAAAAAAGTGGGGCGTCCACCAGACCCACTTTAAATGACAGATCGACCTGTCTCGTCGGTATTGGCTTGGGTCAGTGTTGGTGGTCTCTTTTTCGAGAGGCCAAGCTGCCGAAGCAGCAGAAGGAATTGCTGGTTTGGACATTCTACGCTTATGTCGTTAGACTCAAACCTTATTTTCTTCAAGGACAAGCCTACAGTATAGGCAAAGGGGAGAGAGAAGACTGGTGGAATGAAGGGAAGGGAGTTTGATGAAGTGATAACAGACGCGTCGATGAGGAGAGCTGACGTCGATGAATGGGAGAAAGACAACAACAACCTGATGAGATAGATGGAATATGAAAGAGGGAGATGAAATTGGAGAATTGGAAAGTGAATTGGTAGAAGGAGGGAGGTGAATTGATGCAATGGAAGAGGGGTGATGCAAAAGCCGTTGCAAAGGGATTGTACTTACTTTTGTTGGGAGGAGGTGGTGGTATGTGTGTGTGTGTGGTGTGTGTGTGTGTGGTGTGTGTGTGTGGTGTGTGTGTGTGTATGCATGTGTGTGTGAGCGGGATGAAGGAGAGAGGATAAGAGGGGAGGGAGGAAGAAGCCAGAGAGGAGGTCCTTTATGCTCGAATCGAGGGAAACTTTTCTCTGCAAGTGTGTCACGCTCGGTATATCCAGAATGTAGGCTGAATGGACTGTGTTGTGGTGTTGCAAGTAATGTGTTGTCCTGCGGTCAATATGTGTTGCATTTCCCCAAAAGGCAACAGCTGCAAAGATATGCCAAGATCATACTGCTGGTGCCAAGCATATTGGTGCCAAATTTGTCGAGAGCCAAGACTGTGCAACGCAATGCCATGAATGGGAGCCATGACCAGCTGCGACACGAGCCATCCATCATTGAACAAGACCACCCACAGTGTATCTCAACATCACATCATACTCCGCATATAGAAGCTCAATCAAATCTCTCACGGGCTGCGCTTGTCATCAGGGCCAGCCATGGCGTCGAGTTATAACATTGAGCCTCAGCCTACGTACGTCATTTCGCATCTCCTAGACGCGTGAGTATAGCTAACCCGCGAACCTCAGCGGCAAGATCCTTCTCAAAACCTCCTCCGGCGACATCCAAATCGAACTATGGACGAAAGAATGTCCCCTCGCCTGCCGAAACTTTCTTCAACTTTGTCTAGACGATTATTATGTTGGCACAATATTTCACCGACTAGTCCCCGGATTCATTATTCAAGGCGGAGATCCTACAGGAACCGGTCACGGTGGTGAGGCGATCTATGATGGAGGGCTTTTTGCAGACGAGTTCAATTCCCGGCTACGGTTTAATCGTCGGGGTCTGGTAGGGATGGCAAATAGTGGACGGAAGGACGACAATGGATCGCAGTTCTTTTTTACACTGGGAGAGACGCCAGAGCTGACGGGGAAAAACACGATGTTTGGACGGGTAGTTGGAGATACATTATATAATGTGATGAAGATGGGGCAATTAGAACTAGAGGGAGCAGAGGGCAGTGAGAGGCCTATGTATCCGCCCAAGATTTTGGGATGTGAGATATTGGTCAATCCTTTCGAAGATATGAAGAGGAGGGAGACCAAGGTCTCGACAGCAGGGAAAGAGGAGAAAAAAGTGGTGAAGAAGAAGAAACCGAAGGGGAAACAGATGTTGTCTTTCGCGGACGGGGAGGATGAGGAACCAATGCCTGTCATCACAAAGAAGAAATTTGATCCTAGGTTTGCATCGAAGCTATTAGATGTCGAGGAGCTGCCGACAATAAAGCCGAAAACAAGAGAACCAGAGGGGGAACCACAGGAAGAAGCTGAGCCGGAGCCAGCCCCAGAACCGACGGTGTCAAAAGGAAAGTCTAAGAGGGACAAGAAGCGCTCACCATCCCCTGCTCGATCCCCGCCACCCGAGAAAAACGAACTCGATACAACGAAAGAAAAGATCGAAGCAGTCCGGGCATCTCTAAAACGACGTGCAACCCCACCCCCCGAGGAAAAGCCGAAGCAAAAACAGGCATCTCTTCTCGCTCTCCAGGCATCTATGCTGCCAGCTACGTCGATACCAGCACGCAAGCGAAAACGCGGCGCCAATAATGTCGATACTGCGTATGAAAATAGTCTGCTCGAGGCGATGTCTAAGTTTAAGTCAAAGCTCGTCGAAGCAACGAAGAATGCTCCTGAAGAAGAGGAAAAGGAGGAGGGCGCCATCGACGCAATGGATCTGGACAACGATGCCAAGGCTGAGAGCGGTGGTATTGACCCAGATGCTGATGAGCAGAATACATGCGATCTACATTTTATACCAAATTGTAAATCATGTAATTGGCATGAGAATGCCGAGGGGCAAGAAGTAGAGGATAACGATGCAGGTTGGCTGTCGCATAAACTAACGTTTGAGAAGGATAGATTGGGCAAGGATCTGACTTGGAAGAGGAAAAACGAAGAAGAGTTGGTAGTGATTGATACCCGTGAGAAGGCAAAGGAGGTCCTCCAAGATGATAGGAAGCGGAAAGACGAAAGACGGGGCGGAAGGTCTTCGGCATTTAGGTCTGATGGGCATCACAGGAGCCACCGAGATCACAGAGATAAGGATAGAGACAGGGACAGGCGGGGCGATAGGGACAGGCGCTGATTCTTTGAAAATCCAGCGTTGGATACCCGCACATCTGTGGTACTCACTAGGGATCCAAAGCCTATGACACTATAATTTGGCCTTCTGACCTCCTAGGTATGTTCAAATGTACATGTACTGCCGACAGATATTTTCAAATTATCTACCCGACAGCGGCCGAAGTTTGACCCAGCTGGCAAAGCATTTAACAATCACTCTATTTTTTCTGGCTTCAAATTTATTGAACCCGGCTGTTTCCCCTTCATATCAAAAATTTGTACAGTACTAATAGCTAGAATACCCAGATGCATTTATGACCGATATTAATCGAGTGTGCTATCAATACTAGTAATATTAAACACAATGCGGGCTACAGAACACTGACTCCCTCCAATATGCATTACCGTGATCTATTTCCCCAAGCCTGTCTAAATATCCCGGAAACCTCCTTCGCCACCTCTTCCTTCCCAACCTTCTGCCTCAAAAACACCTCCAAATCAGTCCAAAACTCGTCACCTTCCAAAACCTTAACCACATCTCCAACCTCATTATCAACATCCATCTTCACTGCCTCCTCCGCCGTCTCGACTTTCTCCACAGCTTCAGCTACAGCCGCTGTATCCGGTAAGGGAGTCGATGATGAGGATCCAGCAGTAGGAACAGTATACCCTCCCGTAACCATAACACTGATCGTAACCTCGCCACCATCCTCAGCGATCTCGCTTAAAGTCTTCGAATCTCCCAAAATTTTGCCCTTAATCATCAACCGGAGCTTATCCGACGGAACTCCGGTTTTAGCTTCGATTATGGTTTTTATAGATTGCACCGTCGAGGAGAGTGGATGGGATTCTAAAGATTCATTGATGAATTGAGGAGGACGCAGGGTTTTGAGGTGGATTGTCGCAGAAGCTGGTTGTGAGGGATCGCGAGGTTTGGACATTGTAGTGGGGAGCTTCGGGAGGGTGAACTGTGTGTGTGAAAGTATATTTCGTTAGTTATTTTCATAGTTCTTTAGAATGGAGTGTTCTTTTTGGGGTAGGTGATGGGGGTGATGGCGACGATGACGTGGGGGGTGGTATTGGTGAAGCACGTACTAGAGCCCTGGGAGGCAGCTTTCTTAGGTCTTCGACATGGTCTGGAGCTATTGTGACCGGTTTGGAGGAGAGAGTTATCAAGACCGACTTCGCGAAGTCGATTTCAGTGGTTTTGGTGGCCATGGTGGGCGGTATTTGATGGGATGACGAGATGATGAAGGACGATGGCGGGGTGAGAGGTTGGATGTTGGAGCTTTGGAGCTTTTGTCGTCGCTGATGCCTGTTAAATGCAACGCAGCTTGGGTGTTTTATCCAACATACCAAGGATGCAGGCAGGTTCATGGTCAACTCTTCTTGTACTGTACATCGCACGAGGAGATTACTTTCACGGGGTGAATTGAAGAGTATTTATATACCATTAGACTCTGTTATCAATGTATCTACTTCATTATAGAGGAATAAATTATTATACATGAAGAATCGAACTTTTGTGGATGTTGTGAAGTAAATACATCTATCTTTTGCGCCAGGTTCAAATAGACACCAGAGTGAAAGCGAAAAGAGTAAGAGAAAGAAAAAAAGAAAGAAAGAAAAGGGCTGGATGAAGAGTGGAGATATTTCCATACAGCAAAATCATCTTCAATTTTTGTGTGTTGGGGAGAAAAGTAGATATTCACAGGTTGGAAAGGGTGGAAAGGGTGATAGGTGGTAGATGAGAGAGGCTCGTTAAACTCCATGAATATAGACATCCAAAAATATACAGGCCATAAGGAAATATTTACCATGTCTGCTCATATGCTAAATGACTGGGTTGGACTGTCCGGGGATCGTGCGTTCAAAAAGAATATTTAGTTCTTTAGAACATGCCACCGCCCATACCGCCCATACCGCCTCCCATACCACCAGCTGGTGGTGCCTTCTCTTCTGGAGCATCGACGATAGCAACCTCAGAGGTGGCGAGAAGGGAAGCGACACCAGAGGCGTCAACAAGGCCGGTTCGGACAACCTTGAATGGGTCAATGATACCAGCAGCAATCATGTCGGTATATTCTCCCTTAGCGGCATCATAACCGTTGTTGAAGTTAGGGTCAGCCATGACGTTAGCAACGACAACGCTACCCTCCTCGCCAGCGTTCTCAACAATTGTCCTGGCAGGGCGGGTGATGGCAGACTTGACGATGTTGATACCAAGGTTTTGGTCTGGGTTACCACCCTTGAGCTCGTTGAGGATGGCAATAGACTTGAGGAGAGCAGTACCGCCACCGGGAACGATACCTTCCTCGACGGCAGCACGGGTGGCGTTCAAAGCATCGACAACACGATCCTTCTTCTCACCGACCTCAACCTCGCTAGAGCCACCAACCTTGATGATAGCAACACCGCCCTGTAGCTTAGCGAGACGCTCCTGGAGCTTCTCTTTCTCGTACTCGGAAGTGGAGGCGTCAGAAATGACACCACGGATCTGCTCACTTCTCTGAGCAATAGCATCAGCGGAACCTTCTCCATTCAAAATGATGGTGTCCTCCTTGGTGATGGTGATGCTGCCGGTGGATCCGAGCATGTCTGGGGTGAGCTTGTCAAGCTTGACGTCGAGCTCGTCGGTGAAGACGATACCGTTGGTCAAGACGGCGATATCACCCAAGATGTTCTTTCGGTTGTCACCAAATCCAGGGGCCTTGACGGCAGCCACTTGGAGTTGGCCACGGAGCTTGTTGAGAATGCAGACGGCCAAAGCCTCGCCATCAATGTCTTCGGCAATGATGACAAGTGGTCGTCGCTGCTGGGTAGAGAGCTCAAGGGCTGGGATAATGTCTTGAACAGCAGAGATCTTCTTCTCAGAGAGGAGAATGAGAGGCTTCTCGAATTCGACCTTCTGGGACTTGGCGTCGGTCATGAAGTATGGCGAGATATATCCTCGGTCAAACTTCATACCCTCAGTAACCTCAAGCTCATCCTCGATGGTCTTTCCCTCCTTGACAGTGATGACACCCTCCTTTCCGACCTTCTCCATAGCACTGGCAATCAACTTTCCGATGTGCTGGTCGCCATTAGCAGAGATGGTAGCAACCTGAGCAATCTCGGCGGAGGTAGTGATTTCTCTCTTGTTCTCCTGAATGTATTTGATGGCAGCTTCAACGGCAGCCTGGGTACCTCTCCTCAAATCCAGTGGGTTGCATCCGGATGCAACGTTCTTGGCAGTTTCGGTAAAGATGTAGCGGGCAAGGACAGTAGCAGTAGTAGTACCGTCACCAGCAATCTCATTGGTCTTGCTAGCAACGTCTTGGAGCAGACGGGCACCGAGGTTTGCGAAGGGGTCCTTCAATGTGATAGCCCTACGGAAGTACGAAGTTTAGCATATGATTTTAGGATCGGAAATCAATGAACATGGAAAAAAAAAAAAAAACCTACTTAGCGACTGTAACACCATCCTTGGTGATCTTTGGGCTGCCGTAGGGGCTCTCTATCAGAACATTTCGTCCCTTGGGTCCTAATGTGACGGCAACAGCCTTTGCCAGAGTCTCCACACCCTCGAGCAGCGAAGCCCGACCCTCGATTCCGAATTTCAATTCCTATAGTGACCGTATCGAATTAGTCTTTCGAAGTGGGGTGATCGGAATGGCAAATTGTATTACGAATACATACCTTGTGTGCATATCTTTTCTGCTGTAAACTAGGTTGGATAGCAGTAAGTGGACGAAGTCTTCCTACAGAGCCGGATCTCAAGGAAGACCGCGCGGTCGATGCAATAGCCCGATGCATGATGAATGACGAAACAAAATTTAAAGTGAAGAAAGGAAGAAGAAAAATCAATTATGTACGATCCTCAAAAATGACGGGAAACAAAGCTAGCAAAAGATGCTATTTTGTGAAAGTTGCACGTAAACACGCAAGGGTATCTCGAGGAAGAGGGAGGGATAAAGATGGGAGGGAAGAAAGAGGGAGGGTGGATCGTGGAAAGATTTTGCGGAGAGAAATTTCGATAGCTCGGCCTGTTCGTGGAATGTCGCAGAATCAAAAGAAAAAAATTTGATAGTGGCGGGAAAATGTGTTGTGTGTGTGGTTGGTGGGCTGTGTTTGCTTATCATAAATTTCCTGTTAGGGAAAAGCCGCGGTAATGGCGCTTCTCGTGAGCTCTATTGGTGGAATTCGTTCAAGGTGTACTGTACTATAGATTGAGGTTTTTTGAATTTTATTTTATAAAATTTACTGAGGTACTTAGTACTGAACTCTAGTAGGTGTATGCCTAGCACTTAGTAAATATATGCAAAGTTTATCTGATAGGTCTGATGATAGTGTGGTTTCAATAGTAGGGTATACGTAGTAGAGTAAGGAACAGAATTCAGAATATAACCTTATCGTAGGTGCTACTTTAATGCTAATAGAAACATCGTAACGTCTTATAATAGAACTAGACCAATCTGCGTATACTTCACAGGTTGAATTCCATACATATGATACTTCCTTGAGTACTAAGCTTGGTATAAAGTATGTACTCAGGTATATATATATATATACTTAAGAAGTATATATCAGGGCTACTGCTATATACCTAATTCTTGGGTTCTGGCGCCGGCTTCTGACCCGAAATCGCGGCTCGGGGCGCTACATGACATGCCGTAGGCACTAAAATCAAGTGATGAGATGCTCCTGCCACCAATCCCACGGACTGATGATAGGCAGCTGTATCTACATGTACCCGGGTACTTCTTGCCTCCGACCTACAGGCATCGAAGAATTGGAGTAGCAACGTCATCTGAGATATGTGTATGATTAAATTTGGGCTGAGGGCGGCTGAGCTAAGCTAAGCTGTGCAGCAGGAGTGAGAGAGAGAGAGATAGCAGGCTCTCCTTCGGTACGACAAACCGTATGCATCATCCTAAAATTCGACCAGTCCATCCGAGGGAATACCTACCAGGTACCTTCTTAACCCTCAAGGATGTGATGGATGTAAGTAGTAAGTTGGTCAGGATCTAAGTATGTGCTCAAGGAGACGGTAGCAATAGCAAGCTTAAGCGGTGGTTTGAGTGGGGCCACCCAGGAAAAACATATCGAACGATATCCAAGCAGGGAAAAGCTGCTTGCCAGCCAGTCCAAAGCCAAAACTTTTTACACCACATTTTCCAGTCGTTCGACCAGCTCGACCTTTCCGTCCAAACCCCTTTAAACACCCCACTATTCCCTACCATCGACTCCCCCGTCATCCTCGACAAAAAAAAAAAAGAGAGTCCGCAGACCCGTGTCCGTAGGATCAAACTTCATCTTTGGTTTCGTTCAGGTAAGCTTGTTCCTTCAGAGTAGTATAAATACCAGCTTTTACCGTCGTTTCGTTGAGGGGTCGCCAGCTACGAGCTACCCATTATTGTTTGACAACGACGACGACGACAACCACCTATCTGCCCCTCATTGACCACCCGAAACTTACCACCAACTTCGTCATTAGCTCAATAGACCAAATCTCTCCACCAAAAATCATCGAAAATGGTATTATAGTGATCCTTCTGAGGCAATGTTTCATCTCGACGCGTTACTAATGATGACACTGTTGATATGTAGTCTCGTTCAGGGTGAGTTTGAATTCACGAAACTGTACAACCCCACCTTGGTACCTCCCAAGATCGGAACGAACAGGATAGACACCCTTCCGGTGGCATAATGACGAGGTTTGAAGGCATTTCAAATCTTTAATCATTCGAGCTGCTTCTATTAGATCCGATATAGGGGACCTTGTGCAGCTCTTATCACTGACTGGCCGTTCATTCAACTGTCTTCTAGCGTTGCTGTCGCTTCCGACTGCGTAACAACCTTCGAGGAACTTAAGCTCAGAAAGTCCTCCCGGTACATTATCTACAAACTGAACGAAACCAAGACGCAAATTGTTGTCGACAAGGCCTCTACCGAAACCGACTATGAGGCGTTCTTGACAGATCTTCCAGAGAATGACTGTAGATGGGCTGTCTACGATTTCGCATACAAGCTCAGCGAGGGTGAGGGCGAGAGGTACGGGGTCCACATATCAATATCGATGATTTTGGATATGGTTTCGAGTACTAATTGAGTCTGTAGAAACAAGATTGTCTTCATTTCTTGGTCCCCTGACAATGCCCCCGTCAGAGTATGAAACCTACAAATTCCCTTTTTATATTAGAAGCCATAGAAAACAAGACATAGAATAGGCAGCTAACCACTTAACCCTTATAGAGCAAGATGACCTATTCTTCTTCTAAAGACGCCTTGAGGCGCGCTTTCAACGGTGTCGGCGCCGAGATTCAGGGCACCGACTACGCTGAAGTTTCCCACGAGGCCCTCCTGGACAAGGTTACTAGGAAGTAGATGGAATGTATTGGGCTCCGGGACCACTGAACCTCGCCATGCTACTCTTTTTTTGGAAACGGAAATTCTCTATACATACCTTGCTGCCGATGCGACTGATTGGATGGTTGGGATTATCTAGCAAACCTCGCCGACTCTTTGTTCCGTCTTATTTTTCTGTTCGCGACCATTGTCCTTTCTGTGAAGCACGTTTAAATGAGAAAGATCTTTCATCCCGGGAGGTCCCCTTTTGTCTTTTCGGATGAGATACATTTCTGCGTGCCGCTGTTTCTTTTGTCTCTAAGGTCTATGGATACATGATAATACGCATACAGATATTATTATTTTTTTTTCTTTACTAGAATCACCACTGACCCGATATCCGTGGCAGCAAGAAAGAGCTCCCGAGAATGAACCCGCGGCGTATCGGCCGCAGATTACCGGGGAGGCAAAGTTGGCCAAGGGAACAGGAGGATTGCGTCTTGAAAACTGCCTACAAAAACAGATATCAAGTCTGGCCACATGTGACGTAGGATCCAACTGTTGATTCCTCGAGAAAAACTCTACTGTGAGAAGCCAAAACCGGCGGGCTGAGGTCGTAAGCGCGTCTGAGGTGATATATGCTGCTGTACTTGGGACTACTTGGTATTATTACTGGAAGGGAAGAGAAAGGAGTCGTTGCGAAGGGCGAGTCGAGTCATGAATGGGCAACAGTGATTGAATATGAAGGGCTGCTGTGAACAACAACAGACAAGCGACCGGCTGCCCCAAAAAGCCAGCCAGCACAAACCAACCTCCAAGTTTTCCCCCTTCGCTCGCTACAACTCAACTCAACCTTCTCCTTCCTCCAACCAACCCACCTCACCATCCAGTCGCCGCTGACGTCTGTCAATATCAACCAGTCCCGACCTGCAAATAGCACTAAATATCCTGGATTTTATCGCTCCCATCTTCTCAGGTAATTCGATTTCCATAGTACCCTTCAGCGACAAGATTTTCGTTTTTTGCATTTTTTTGCATTTTTTTGCATTCGGAGACCGGCTTTTGAATGGCTTTGGATGTTGGCGAGGGATATGTCACGGCAGGATAACTTTTTTTTGATGTTTGTTTTTAACATGTCTTCGAACAAGCCTGTCAGAAGGAGAAAAAAAAAAAAAAAAAAAAAAAAAAGAAAGTCAACCACCAAAATTTTCGGGCTGTGATCCGAGTCGAGTCCTTTATCTGCTGTCTATCGCCTCGGCTCCCCGACGCATGCATGGAAGGGACTGTTGCTAATACTGTGATTTTGGTCAATGTTTAGATAGAACCCCTCACGACTATCCTTAACGACCTTCCGTCTTGATCCTGACCTGATTCTAATCCAATATCCATTCAACAACAAAAATGACTGGCAAAGGAAAGTCCATGGGTGGAAAATCTGGCGGAAAAGCCAGTGGTGATGGCGTCCACAAGACACAAATCTCGCATTCGCAACGGGCTGGTCTGCAGGTACGGTATTCTAGTTGCAAACCCCAATTCCTTTCTTTTTCCCATTCCTCTGGTTGTTCATCGTAGACGCTGTTTTTTTTCTTTAAAAAAAAATCCTGCTTGCTGGCCTGCTTGCTCGCATGGCCATGCGACTGGGACCCACCAATCACATAGCTGCCACGCAACACCATGAGGCTTCCCCACACTCTGCTTCCGTTTGACAGGCGGCTCTTTGCTCTTGCTTTTGCCCCCTCCTCTTCTATCCTCCGACGTGCAACCATTATCACGCGAAGAGCCCGTTTTTACTGCTTGGGAGGACTTTGCTCTAATGCTTCTTCGTCTTTCTTCTAGTTCCCATGCGGTCGTGTCAAGCGTTTCCTCAAGAGAGATACCCAGGGTCGTATGAGAGTTGGAGCTAAAGGTGAGATTCTTCCGACGAGTTTCATCGAAATTCGAACACGTTGGCGACAATGCGTATCGTAGACCTCGTACTGATCTTGGGTTTTATGACATTGTAGCTGCTGTTTACGTCACTGCCGTTCTGGAGTACCTTACTGCCGAAGTTCTCGAACTCGCTGGTAATGCTGCAAAAGACTTGAAGGTCAAGCGTATCACACCTCGCCACTTGCAGTTAGCTATCCGTGGAGACGAAGAACTGGACACCCTCATCCGAGCTACTATTGCCAACGGTGGTGTTCTACCTCATATCAACAGGGCTTTGTTGCTCAAGGTCGAGAAGAAGAAGAAGGGCGGTGCCACTTCATCTTGAATTTGAGATCGTCTTCATTTTTCTTCTTTGTCTTTGAATCACTTGCTACCAGAGCCTTTCCTTTCAACTCAACCGAAAAATGCCATCGACTTTTGTCCTTTTGAATAAACGTGGACTTTTGACTCGACGCCTCGCAAAACGGATACCCCGCTCCATCTTCGAAATTATGGAAATATGACTTTACTCGAACTTTCAAAGCTAACCGTTAACTCTACTCCAAAATAGTAGCCTCAACTTAGATTTCTCCCTCGTCATTTCCGACGCCAGGACTTTCTTCTGCGAGTGCTTCTACAACCTTCCTATATGGTCTCCATCACTCCTCTAACATTATTGCGACTATGTTTCTTTACTTCTTTCCTTGAATACTGGGACCCCATGTGCTTTGGTAGCAGCTCCTTTTCTAGCTTTTCAGTTCTCAACGGGTAGCGGGTTCTTTCCTTTTGTCTTATTACATGCGTGTGGCATTCTGAGGGGCTTTTTTGCTTTTGTTTTTGCGATGGATAGTTGTACTACGGACGTCCTAGACGGAGAAATACAATAAAAAGACAAAAACAAAGATTTCTGTATAACCGTTGAAAAATTCTGGTTGGTGCCGTTTTTGCGCATTAACCCTGTTCTCTTCGCCTTAAGGTTAACAATTTTCAGCTTTAAATTTTGGCTGGCATCCTATGGTTAACCAGCCCTATAGCTACTTATATATCGCAATGGCGTATTTATATGTAGTGTGAACGGCCGCAGGAGAGTATGCAGCAAGGGACATAGCTCTTCCCGCCGGCTAGCTCCACCCTTCTAAAACGTAGAGTGCTGTGCAAGTTGGTTTAATTTATAATCATGCAGCTGCGAGCTAGCCCCGGCGGTGCTTAATTGGTTCATTCGCGAAATCGAAACTAGTTAAAGTTTTTGAGGTTACGTCGATAGTCCCGAAGGATATTGATGTGCAGACTGCAGCGGCCCTGTATAACTCCGGACCTTTTTAGGGCAAATACTTCAATATTTTCCGACCAAGGCAAATACTATACTACTAATTTTTCGATACCTAAGCTAAGTATCTACTTAGGTATAAGTGTATATCGGGTTTAAAATTCCGCGCTGGTACACTGACGTTATAACACTATTAATGCATTAATTTTTAGGTTGTAATACCTACTTACTTACATACATACTTAAGTAAGTACTCAATATATACGAGGCTGGTTGCGGGTTTCTCGTCATTATGATGTATTTGTGTTCTCCTTTCTTTTGCAACCTGAATATGATCATGAGGCTAGATTTTGGAATTCTGAGACGGTGCACAGTAAACGGGAAATCCAACATATCCAACATATTCGAATTTCGGATTTTGAATTTCGAAGGGTGGTCAGAAGAAATGCAAGTTAAAGGTACGCAACCGTCCGATTTATAGTTTCAAGTTCAAGGCATTACATGGGAGGTCGAAGGCGGACCACCTTGCATGTTTTGAAGGAATATGCTGCATGATCGAGGCTAATGATCGGGTAGATATCTTTTTTTCCCTTTTAAAACTGCACAGGCATTATTACCTAGTAGGTAGAGATTACATATGCATGTACTTACATGTACTTGCATTACCTCTTTCCCCCCCTAGCACGTTAACGAAGTGAATGAACGTTTGATCAATTGGTTAATTGAAGCTATACACAGTCCCCAGACTAATACACGGTACACCGAGCGAAAGCTTAAAATGGCTGACCTACCACACCAGTGTCATGTGACCTTGTATCAAGATGGCAAGGGGTTTATGGTATTATCCTGTTATTACATAGCTGGGCCTATTAGTTAGACTTATTAGTCGTTTGATTCGAAACAGGAAGAGAAAGGGGTGTGGGAATGTAAATGGACGAGCAAGGGGAGACCGCAGGTACATATCGGCCTGGAGCGATGTGATTGGAATCTCGATTATCGGAAAAACCCAGCGAAAGGATTCTGTTGCAGCTTGCAGCTCGCCTACGAAGTGTGATTTCGATTGCAGCGCAGGGCACCCTCCGTATGGGAACGGGCAGCGTCGACCCTGGTTGATTTTGTGGTATCCGGTTGGCACCCATTTTATATGTAACTAAGTACTTACATATCAGGAACCTTCTTTTCTTTTCTTGTTCTGTTCTGTCTTGTAACTGTATGTACATACGTAAATTTTGGGGGGTTCTACGGTCTACGAGAAGCTAGAGATGGGCTTGCGAACCTTGCAGAAAGATTCGGGAGCTAGCTGCCGATGGACGCGGATGTGAGTGAGTGTTCTGGACTGTCAAGATGCCTTCCACATCGATCCAGTCGATAGGAACGGCTTTTATATCACATCGTTGTTTTCCCTATCTGAGACTTCATCCCTCGCATTCCCAACTGTCTTACCCCTGCAAGAGCAGCTACCTAAGTACACTTACATAGTGGGTATCCATTGCGAATGGAAGCTTTGGGAACTGGAACGGGAACCGACTGTTCCAACGAGATATTAAGGAGATCTTAGCCCGAAGTATCCAATTGGTACTCCATACATTTCTTGCCCCCTCTACTTTGTTTCTTTTTGATATCATGAAAGGTGAACTCGTTCATCCAGGCCCGCAACCAATTGCATGCATTAGTTGAGATGGAGCTGCTCAAAGTTCCCGCTCCCGCGCAAGCCCTCCCAATGAGGGAATTCAAACTAACGGGATGATAGGATAGCTCGCCTTTTTGCCATGAGGTTTTTTGCAATAAGGGACTTTAAAAGATCCAGCTAGTGGTCTCGGGACGGGCAATACCTAGTTGACATGAAAGGTTTAGTTGTTTTCCCCGACAAGCTAAAAGAGGCTGTCGTCAAACTTGTGCCGAAATTTGAAATGAACTCTTTTTTTTTTTTAATTCAATTGGGGAAACACCTCTTTTGGGGTGGGATTTTATTTTTTCCTCTTTGTAAAAATTTCTGCCCTGGTTGATTAGCTTGCTAGCTCTCCGTGTACCCCTTAATCATCATGTTACTAGTTTAACGGGGGCGGGCACTTTCATGGAGACAATTGAGCACAATTTTGTTTTTTGATTTGAGATGAAGAAAGAAGGAGCTCTGTTCTACAGATAGGTATACATCTCAAAGGGGTGTCTTTTTTTTCTGGCTAGACTGAATTCTTGTGATGTTTATGGAGAGTGCATTAAGTGGGTATACGTACGTTTTTGTGATGTTCAATGACAGAGATGGCTGGTCTGGTGTCGAGGTGGTTGCTGTCATAGGACCTGTAGACGGAATGATAAATTGGGAACCTAGCAGATGCGTCTATGCGGTTTCATTCGTTGGATTGTATCCCGTCCGCAATAATCAAAAAACGTGAGATAAATTAGGAAAAGGGTACCTTTTTTTTTTTTTTTTTTTTTCACAGCCTCTTTGTTCATCGATTTACCGTACCGAAAGAAACAAAAAAAGAAGTCTCAATTTCCTTTTTGGCGGGTGCGTGCGTGCGTGTCTACTATATTTGCAAAAGGGAAACGAGATGAAGGGAGAAGCCAGAAGAACCCACCATGAGTCGAGTTCCGGGCGGGTCCCATGCGCAAGCGCGCCGAGATTCGATAGCCCTCTAGAAGGATCATTCAGACCCTCTGGAATTGGAGTGTTTGAGAAACGGGATAAGACATGGAAGCTGGTTTTTAGCTCGAAGGTGGATATGTTGATGTCGAGTTGCTTAAGTTCAAACGGACAAGGACTATCCGTCGGGTTCGTTCTCCTTACCCCCTTTAAGCTTGTGAGTCTTTTGCGTATGTATAACAAAGTGAATCGAGGGAGATGATTGACAAAAGCTTGCGGCCGACGGGAAGATGGTCGTGTGTATTCATGTGCGACCATATATTTGTGTGTATAAAATTTATATATATACCTAGTGCAAGCATATGGACCGGTCCCGTATCCGGTTTTTAGTAGTCTGGACCTTTGCATTGCATGTTCAGATTTGGAGCAAGAGAAAATATCGACCCAAGTGATTGTCGTGATGTTACGCCGCAGCATTTATCATTGGTGAGACGTAGGCCCGGGAAGAGAAGGGAAAGGGATGGGATGGGATGGGATGGGACGGGATGGATTGACTCTCTCGAGCATTTGATATTGCCCTTTCGCCATCGACATTCTAATCCCTTGCCCGAAAATCTGCCATCGGACCCAGCCATCGCTATTAGGTACTGTGTAGTGGTATTGGTGGGTCCCACACATGTATCCAACGACACGGATCGAGGGGAGAGAGGCAGCCAAACAGCCAATGATCGATTGGAGGGGACCCGTGCAGCAGGTACTCCAAGTAAGTTCGATGTGAAGCAAAGCAGCAGCGGACCGGGTAGGGTTCTCCTGAATTAAGGGCCAAGCTTTCCCCGAACATGCAGCCTGAGATCCTGTTCTTTTTTTTTTTTTTTTTTTTTTTTTGGTTCTTGAATGAAATGATGTTTTCTTCTTCGTCCACCTACCTCATTTAAAGGTCGATAGGTTATATTAGTCAAGACGTTAAGGCCAATATTAGAGAAGGGGGTGGGACGTCCTGCCTGCATCGCCTCTCGCCATCTCCTTCCCGCGCGCGGCCTTTACATATATCCCCTCCTCCTCCAGCTTCCTTGCATCTTTTTCTTTTGATATCGTTTTTTGTTCTTTTAGCCACTTCAGCTTTTCTCTATCGCTCGTTCAGGTCATTCGTAACCAAAGTCGTCTATATCAACATCGTCACCATTATCACCACGCACCAATCATCTCACCACCATCGTCATATATTGTATTCAGGTACGTAGTAGTTGTAGTCACTAGTCACTAGTCAGTATAGCTATTGGTTAGTTGGTGGTTAGTTGGTCAGTCAGCAGTTAGTTAGTTACAATCGGCGGTTGTTGGAGATGAGTTCGAGTTCAAGTTTCATTTCGAGTTCGCCTTACATGCCATCCTGTTGACTGTTTGCCGCCTTGTCTCGACATCTCGTCTATAAACTGTCTATGCCCCCATGGCCATGCGACGTCAGCATCTAGACCTCCTATCCACTTACGCTGGTCTCTTCTTCCGTTTCCCATGACTTATCCCCTTTCGAGCTTGTCAAATCGTCGGTTTGCACGCTAGTTCTATAGTCTGGTGTCGTGCCTGTTCCTTTTTTTCGCTGCCAATATCTGCTAGCTGAGATCAGTTGGGCATTTAGCGTCTTCGACTGTTCCTTGCTCGAAACCTCCTGTCAAATTTCTCCTCTTCCGCCGCAACCCCATCACCCCCCTTCTCCATCACCCAACACCATCACCAAACCGTCATTCCTCCCGTTTCCTGACTTCCATTTAGATATTGTTTTGCCTTTATTTCTGTTCTTTGGTATTTCCTTGTGTTTTCGCCTTGAGACAGAGCTCCGACGCCGGTGGGTAGACATCGAACCACAAAGCGTGCCTGCTTCCGTGCGTAGTACTAGTGTTGAGGAGGTTTCCGCTAATTCAGTATCGCTGTCTATCAGGCGCCTCGACGCTCCATCAAATCTTCCGGTCTTATTCGCTTAAGGTCACTCGCTCGATTACCGTTTGAAGAAGCACGAGGGCTTGAAGTTGAGGGTTTCGACAACGAAAGGTTCTCTGATACCAAGAGTCCTCGCTATCAGGTCCCGCCGTACGATAATCATCCTCATTCATCCTCATCAACTGGCTCTAGTCGACTCGACATCGCAGCAGACATAGTCATATCTGGGATTCCGTTCCAGCAGTTTTAGAAGCGTAGCCCGTCGAGAAGCAACTCCGGATGATACCGAAGCATATGACGAGTTAACGATATATACGCCGACTTTGAACGTTACGAGACCCACGCTGTTGACGACCTCACTTGTAGACGCTTTACTCTAAAGGAAATCTAAAAGGCTGGATCTCACAATCTCTCAAACGAACCGCAAGCAGTTTCCAAAGTCTTACGTCTCCTTGGGATCCCCTTTTCGATCAGGTGCACGAAAACTGAGTTCAGCTTCCCTTCGAGACCTGCACCAGATCGCCTAGTTTCTCGTATAGAACAGTTCTTTAATCTTCAGCTTTCACGGATACGTTCGACACACCGGGTTAATATCATTGTAATTTATTTGGCTTTGGATTTCCTTTGCATCATATATTGCATCTGCAGAATTTCCCACAACTACATAAACCCCTTTTACTCGAAAAACGATACAGCCGCTGTTCAAGACCTGACGACACGCCCCTTACAAGTTATAACGGTACCGCTTCAACGTTCTTCTCGTTTTCGATATATATACCACGACCTTGTTTTTTTGTTGTTTCTCTTTCTTTCCTTTCTTTTTCCTTCTTTCATCAAAAAAGACTCATACACACCCCTAGCATTTGGTTTTTAATAGAACCTTTACAATGGCCCATCCGGACACCTATTACGAGATGGCGAATAGTCGCTCGCCGAATTCACGACAACCTCAGGTGCAGACCCTTCACCGACAAACTTCCCGTCAATTTGATCAATACGCCCCAGCTGCTATGTACCCTACGGATGATCATGCTGCCCGGTATGACCCGAGTCGATACGATACCACCAGGGTTGGTACTCGCTCTGTGAGCTATGGGTTCGACAATGCTACAGCTCAGACCTGGAATGCGCAGTCGTTTGGATCTGTGAACAATACAATGGGCTCCCTTCCTGGCAGAGGCGTTAAAGGCGTTGCCAGGCAGAGGAGTGCATTACCTACGGTTAGAATAATTTCCTTGGGAAGGGGGACGAGAGACAACTACTAACACGAATTGCTATAGACGTGGCTAGATAGCACACAGCTTCCTGGGGTCAACCTTGGAATGGGTGGAATGCCACCACTAGGTCCTCAGCCGCTTGAGACACGATCTGACGATGATGAGTTGATTCCAACAGCTATCGTTATCAAGAATATCCCGTTTGCTGTCAAGAAGGAGCAGCTTGTCCAATTGATGACTGACCTTGATCTTCCTTTGCCGTATGCATTCAACTACCATTTCGATAATGGTGTTTTCAGAGGCCTTGCTTTTGCAAATTTTACTACAGCAGAGGAAACAGCGGCTGTTATAAACATCATGAACCACTTCGAGTTGCAAGGGCGAAAATTAAGGGTTGAGTATAAGAAGATGCTTCCATTGGCTGAACGTGAGAGGATAGAGCGAGAGAAACGAGAGCGAAGAGGACAGCTCGAAGAGCAGCATAGAGCCCCGGTTGGGCAACAGCAACAGCAACTCCAACACCAATCTTCTATGCAAAATCTCATGCCTAGTCTTTCCCCTCGACCATCTTCGTCTTCCGCGCAAACGCCTAAGCAAGGTGCGTAAAACCTCCAGCGAAAGCTATACTCCTGTTGTGATACTGATCCTTTCAAGATCTAGAAATCGATTTGAACAACCCTCAAACTCTTCAATTTTACTCCCAACTACTATTATTCCGCGACGATCATACTCGAGAAGCTCTCATTTTCCCGCCCACGCTATCTCCTTCCCAGCGAAGGATAGTTCATACTCTTGCTCATCACATGTCGCTCGCGCACATCTCGAGAGGGGCTGGGGAAACGAGACAAGTCCAAGTATATCGTCATAACCCGTCGTCCGTTCAGAACATATCGCCTCCTAGCATTGCTACAGTTATACCTGTAGAAACTCAGCAGAGAAGAACGCTAGCGAGGGCTACAACGATGGATTTTAGTGAGACCAGGAGTGCAGATGGTGGAGTTGGGATATACTCCACCATTGGCAGACAGGGTGGGTTACTCGATGTCCCAAACTCTCCTTCCGGAAAGGATGCTCAAAGTAGAAACAATCTTCGAGCAGCCAAATCATTTGCCGATCTAAGATCGTATACCCCATCTCCGGTACCTACGTCCGCGAGCTTTCCGATCCATCTGGGCCAGAACGCCTTGAAGTACCAGCAACAACAACAAGCACAAGAATACACGAACGGGTCGTCGACAACACCTAGCCTAACACCAACAGGATCGAATAGCATCAATAGCATCAATGAATCTCTGTTAGTAAACGGTTTGGCTGGCGTATCCTTAGGGGGCGGCCTTGGCATTGGCAGCGGGAGCTTACGTGGGGATCCCCGTGACGCCCGCGGACTCCTTGGATCTGACGGCGGAATGCACGGGGCTATTGGCGGGCTCTCACCTTCGCAGACAACATCAACACGAAATTTCAGTATGGCAACTTATGACGACCAGCGAGACCGAGGGTCCCAGATCCTTCCATCAAGACAGCCACGAGGTCCCGATTCCGAGAGGAGTGTAGGATTCGGTAGAGGAAGCGTCCGACAGCCGAATATGCAGGGTAGGCAGAACATTGCGGATCTTGATGGTCAGCAACAACAATCAGTCGAAATTACGGTGGAATAAAGGATATCCTTTATTATATATAAAAAAAATTGGGTGAAACGTGGTGTTTAGCTGTTTTTCTTCTTTTCGTAGTATATGTGGACTTTCTTTTTTCTTCTTTCTCTTCTCTCTTCTTATATCTCATATAGTAGTAACTAGTACTTCGTGTGCTTGTCCTCCTTTTTTTTTATATTTTCTGTCGCTGGAACCATGGATGAACGAACGAACGAACAAACGAATGAACGGCCGGAAATATAATCTGGTATGGCATGATCACGAGATGTTATGATGCTGAGGACGCTTCGTGTCGTTTTTATATATCTACATCGTCTTCCCCCCCGCCCCCACTCACAGAAATACTCTAGCCTTTAATATCAATTCCTTCCGCTTCATTTTCTTTTTCATTCTTCGATCCCCCGTCCCAGGATTCCTTTTGCATACATCATTTTTTCCTTTTCGCTCCTCAAATAATATTTGTAAATTCAATAGCAGCAGTATTAAAAAAAAAGAATGGAAAGCTTAGCTGAATAAAACAATGTTCATTGGTGTCATGTGCATAGCTTGCTATGCGGCCTAGCGAAGTTGTGACTAATTGTATGGTTTTGTGCGGCTCAGGAGCGCGGTTTGACAGGCTCAATCCAACCTTGAATTTTCTGGTTGGCTCTTTTTCATTTTCGTCTCAACATCAACCATTCCATCAACTGCCTTAGACTCACTGAAAACTTCCATCGATCTCATCATTCACGATGGAATTAATCCAGCCGAACGACGAGGTGCTAATACAGCTACCTTCTGAAACCACCAAGCTGGTCAAAATAGTCCCAGACTCGTACGCGCACAAAAAAAAAAAATCTTTCCATATCCGATTGACCACAGAGAATATCAGCTAACGATATCCCCAAAAACCCCTCGTTTAGCATCATCGGCTTAGGCAAATTCGGCTCCTTCCCTGCCAATAGTCTTCTAGGACGTCCGTATTATCTAACCTGGAGCATTCTCGACGGTGAAAATTTCGGACTCGAACCAGTCCCCATTTCCGAGCTGAACAGCGAAAAACTCGCTACTCATACCGTTCCTACTACATCCTCGGACCCGGCGAAAGCTTCTAAGAAATCGAAGAATACCGATAGTTCTACTCCCAGCGGGGTTGATAGTCCTGGACTCGCACTTGAGGATACGGCAATTGGTGTACAGGTTGGCGACGATGGTGAAGAAGACGATGAAGATGTCGCGCTTGATGCTGGGATGTTGGAGCAGGAGCTAGAGAGGGAGCAGAAGCTGTGGGAGGCCGAGATGAAGAACAATCGGGATATTCGAGACGATCAGACGGCGCAGAGTATGACTTGGCAGGAAATTGAGAAGTTGAAGAAGAGTGGTGGTACAGGTAGTGGAAAGGTCTCTTGATTCTTCAATCTTTTTTCATTTCAAACTATCCTTTTCTTGGTCAACTTGATTGATTGATACTGCAAATCAATTGACTAAGGAGGGTTTAGTTATTGCTTAAAAAATAACATGCTAACGGTGGATTACCTTCGGCGACTATTAGGAAATCATTTCGCGACTGCTCCAATCGCATGCCTACATTGATAAAAAGACCGCCTTCTCTTTGGCGAAATACACAAAGAGGAAGACGAACAAATACCTCAAACGTATTAGAGTCATCCCGGCCGATGTACCGAATTTCACAAACTACTTGATCACGCAGAAGGAACCGCTCAAGATGTTGGAGATTAGAGATGAAGCTATGGGTCTCATGATGAGTTGGGCTGATGTCAAGTGGGGTGGACGGTACCTTGTTATCGACGACACGGGTGGATTGGTAGTCGCTGCCATGGCCGAAAGGATGGGATTACTGGCGGGAGAAGATGCAAGGGCGCCCAAGAAAGTGTCGAGTGCGAGGAAACGGAAGAGAGAAGAAATGGATGATGGAAAAGATGCGAAAGAAGAGGAAGAGGCTCTGGTCCCTCAAGCTGAAGCCACCGGGGCTCCAGAAACTACAGAGGCTGCACAGAAGGAAGCCAATGATAATCCATACAATACTCCTATAAAACCAAAAACCGGCTACGAACAGACTACGGTCCCAAATTCGAACACAATCACAGTTCTACATACCCAAGATCAGCCGAACCTCTCTCTTCTCCGTCCCTTCAACTTCGACACCGCCAACCTCATCAACACTACCACCCACCCACTCTCAACCCACCTTCTGTCCCTTTCATACCTTCAGCTACTTTCCCCAGAATCAGACGTAACTCTTGAACGTCCGCAAGTAATCCCAGACCCCGTTTTACGCACCCTCAAATCCGTAAAACGCTCAAACTACCACCGAAAATGCCGTCGCCAGGAGAGATTGCTAAACATAGTCTCCTCAACTCGTCGAGGCGGTTTCGACGGCGCAATTATCGCCACCGGGATGGAGCTTAGTGGTGTCATAAACACTGTTACTCCGTTGCTAAAGGGTAGCGGACAACTCGTGATTTATTCTCCTTCCGTCGAACCTCTATCAGAAGTGGTAGATTGGTGCAGCACCCTTCGCAGAACAGAGTTTATGCGTATCAAAAAAGAATCAGAAACCTCGTCGTCATCGTCGTCCTTGACACAGCCACAACTCCACGTCTTAGATCCGGATAATACAAATCCGGATATCGACCCAGCTACCTTGGAAACCTTGAAATCGTTACCAAAGTTGCCAGCTCATACCTCGGATGAATATTTCCCGATCGATCCCACGAATTTGCTAGCCCCGACGATTCATACGAGCCGCGTGAGGACCTTCCAGGCGTTACCGGGGAGGACTCATCCGTTGATGACAAGTCGGGGAGGGAGTGAAGGGTATGTGATGCATGCTACGAAGGTGTTTCCGATATTGGAAGGGAAAGTGGAGGCTAGAGGGAAGTTTGGGGGTAGGAAGAAAGGTGGTGGTGAAAGGAGCGGTGGTAGGGATAAGGAGAAAGGAAAGACGAGTGCTAAGCTGAACGGGAAGAAGGAGGATGTGATGGAAGTTGATGATCTCGATTGAATAGTAGGTTAGAGGGGTTCTACGAGGGTAGAAGTTACATCTATCATGCGACACATAGACGGGTTGGGCTTATGATTCGTAGATTTTTACCTATGGAGCGGTGGATAGAGACTAATACGTAAGAGCTACCTAGGTAGCTTGGCTGTAAATTGTATTATTAACTAAATTCTGGCTATCATGAAGATATTAGAGGATATCAAGAGATGTATGTATTCGGTACGGTTGTATGATACATCTATTTTAAAACCCAATGTACAAGAAACTTAAAACACATGAACTCCGGATTTCAAAGCAAAAACTATCTTATGCGTTTTAGGCTAGCGTAGACACGGAGACTCGAGAAATCCATAAGCTAGTATCCGTGTAAGAAGTAAGAAAGAAACAAACATAAAAAAAGCCTAGACGCCGTAATGAACTCCTAGTAATACCATCATAATCCTCCTATCGTCGTCACAAAGTCTTGGTAAGACGAACATGAAAAAAAAAAGTATTAAGAAAATTTGGAGATGAAAGAAAAAAAGTAGGAGGATATGAGAAATGCCAAAAAGGATAACCAAAGTAAAGATGCGTCATTAGTTGTTGAAAAGCCTCAATGCTGTTCTGAATCCCAGTGATTTGTCGTCGGATTTTCACCAACCTTAACTCTTGGCTTAAACCATCGTTTCAGAGTCCGTTGAAATCGTCGAAGAGCGCACTACATGATCGAGCATTTCTTGTCGTCCTCGGATCCCACGGATTGCCCGCCGGGCTTTCTCCCACGGGCAGCACCGGGGTACTGGGAGCTAGAACTTTGCCCGTACAATGAGTTCATTTGGGAATACGCACTAGTTTGGCCTGGGCGAGTGAAGCTTCCAACACCCTCGGAATTTTGGGTAGGGAACGAAGAATGGCGGCCGAGGCCACCAGGCCCTGGAGCGTCAGGCTGTGGGGTGAAGGCAGCTGGATTGGGATCCGCTGCTGCGTAAGGAGGCGGAATCTCTTCTCCAGTTGCATTATTTGCGGCGTTTCTTAACTCTTGGGCCTGTCGACCGGTTGGGCGTGGTGGTTGGGCGGGACGGTGACTAGCGGAATTTGCTCTCGGTCGAAGCCCTGTTGGTGGTGGCGGTTGAGATGAAACTAGAGATCTCACTGGGGGCTGGTTTGCACTCGCGAGGTTTTGAACTCGAGCAGGATTCAAATTCTGTCGGTTTTGCTGTGTTCTAGCTGCTCGTTCCTCTTCTTCTTGTTGCAAATGTATGGCCAGGGCGAGGTCGTAGTCGGTTGTATCACCTGCATCAGGGGGGACAATCGGTGCTGTTTCTGGAGGGATTAATGATTGAACCGGACGACGCTGGCCAGAGAAGCCTGGAGGAGGAGCTAGGCTACTTTGCCTAGGCTGGATCTGCGGCTGCCAGCCACCATCACCTCTATTTGGGTCCAAGATGTTGTCGGACTGTCTTTGGGATACGTTATGGTTTCCATGGCCATGCCCAACCGGCCTAAAATCTCCCGAAAAGTATTCACCACCTCTTCCGGACGCGTCCACTAAGCTCTCCCAAACAATCTCTTCATAAGAGGCGTAACCACTGTCTGTGACTAAAGTGTAAAGATCTCCGGTTCGCTGGTGCTTGTAAAGGGTGCTGAAATGGTCATTTCGGAAAAAGATACTCCAACTGCCAGGTGCGAGTTTCGTTTGCAAAATATTCAATCCATATGCTGTCATCTGTGTCCCCGTCGCCTCTAGGAAATCTTGGATTTCGTGTGCCTTTGCGACAATTTCATTATCTTCGGTTGATATTGGCTCGCCTCTGGACCCCTTTTCGAGAATAAATTGCTGTTGGATGATTATATCCTGAGCCTTCTCAAAGTCTCGAGCATATTGGACCAAGACTGGGAACGTCGGTGACGTAGGGGCTGGCAGCCACCCGTGAACGAGGGGAATATTGAAAGCTGAGTAAAGTATGAGCTCCCGCGTTTGTTCAAAATCACCGGGTTTAGGCTGTGGCAAGGGACGGTTCTCATGAACATTTCTACTTCTCAGGAAGTCATCTGCCGAAATCTGGTCGTTAACGAACTTCGGGTTCACGTTCATCCCCGTGCGAAGACCTAGCAAGAATTTGAACAATTCAGACAGATCTCCTGTCCATGAACCGGTCAGAACGAGCTCTTCGCAAACGACATTAAGCAGAAGCTCCAATGAAAGAGTCTCTCGAATCCGAAGCCCCTCTGAGAGCACCAATGTTTCTCGAGAAAGTGACAGAACATTTATAAGCGCAATCAGTGGACATGGCCCATTTTCATTTTGAATGAGTATCGACGATTGTGCAAGTTTGTTCGTGGCAGGATTTAGGAAACGAATGTGCTTGATTTGGTATGTTTCCAGAGGTATCGTTGGCTGTATTGCTCCTGCTGTAGCCGACTGAGTGGAAGGCTCTGAAGCGACTGGGATTGGCGCCTCCGAGCTGAGATCAACTTGTTTGTCGGTGCCGGTTTCTTTTATTTCGGCATCCAATAAGCTCGGTTGCGGATTACCGTGGGGGATCTTTGGAGGTGTTGGCGGCTTGGGGGGGATAGGAAGATCGGTAAACGGGTCCGACTCGGCAAATTGTGCAACTGGCGGTTGGAAAGGCTGCGGAATAGGGCGAGGGACCGATTGTGGTACTGGTTGCTGGAGCGGTTGGTGTACGGGCGGAACGGGATACTGTAAGGGTAACTGGATGGATTGTTGTTGAACAGGTGGCGGCTGTGTGACTTGCACGCTCGGTTTCTGGGCAATCGTGCCTCTTCCGCGGTGGAATTCGTTCTCAAGCTGCTCTTCCAGGGATAAATGCGGCTTGCCAGGGGTTGGCGATCCTCCATTGGTAGATACCGGTGACTCCCACCACTCAGGACTCTTCGGTGCTTCTACAGGCTGTATTTCACCGGTGAAGGGATTTATCTTCGGCCTGTTGTCGCCGTCCATGTGGAAGACTCCATCCTGATTTGTGGAGATCGGGTAAAGCGGCTGTGGAACGACATTTCCAATGGCAGAAACAGAATGACTTCTTGGTGCCGATGCATGGTAGCTACTAGGAGGAGTGGGCATGAAGCCATTCAAAGTAGGTTGAGGGTTCAAATTCTGGGTAGAAGCCGAAAGATAGGGTGCCGTGCCAGGACGGCCTGTTGTGGCGCCGGCACTCGTTGACAAGTATGAAGGTTGACCTAGATTACCTAAAATTAACATCTGAACAACCAAACCAGAAGCTAAAGCAAAAACAAACCTGGATAACTTCCATCGCTCTGGCCTGTACGCTGTTTCTGAAGCTGTCTGTAAGGATTATTATCGGGCAAAGAATCCTGTAAAGGCTGAATGTTGAAGTTTCCGGCAGTGGACATTGGAGGAGGAACAGGCGGCATCGGCATCGGCTGCAGATGCGACTGGTTTTCAGGAACTACTGTCGGAGGAGGAGGGACGATTGCACTACTTTCGTCGATAGGGCCGCCGAAGGGATCTCCGACGGCCCCTTGTGAGGTTTGCTCAACGGTGACCATTTGTCGATGAGAATGTGGTTGGAGCGATGATGGCGATGAGGGCGATGGTTGATGCGATGAGGTTGGGGAAAGATGGCGGAAATGTGTTGCGGTGGTAATTTGATTGATTGATCGATATCACGTTGAGCGAAAAAGCATCAACGGCAACAAGTCAAAGTCCAAGACGTACGTAACCTCAAGATCAGACGGGATGTATATCTGGTACTCCCTCTGAGTGAACTTAAATATCGACAAAGAATAAAGTTAAATTGAATGAGGAAAGAAGAAGAAAAAAAAAAAACGAGAAGAAACAGGCAGATGGGGAGTTTGATCGAAATGGGAGGAGAAGAGAAGCCAGAAGGCTGGAAGGATTGCGCCGAGTCTTAGCCTTCTCTGCCTGGTCCTTCGCGGAAGCTGTTGACCAGCTGCCGGCCGACGGGCATCAGTTGACCCCAGGAATTCTATAGGCTGTGCAGAATCGAACCGTCAAATTAACTTAACTTAACTTATAGCCTCTGATTACCAAGTTTCTTAGTTAATTAAGAGACAAGTAGTAACTAGAAGTTATAATAAGGCAGCTTGATCGATTCTATTTTATGTATATTATCTATAATGATAGAAAACTGTTGAAGGTAGACAGACGGCAAAGCCAGCCTTTCCTAGGAATGCAAATGTATTACTTCCCAGTCTTATATTCGAATTCCCGTTCAATGCGATGCAGTCGAGCAGATGCAGAGGCATACGTAACCGACCATGTCCAGACGCTGCGACATAACCAATTGGAGGCCAGGTGAACGCGTACTGCCGGGATCCCTAGTGCCATGCGCCACAGCGATGGCATGGCAGTGGCAACTTTCAACCGATAAACTATTCCATCTTTGAGCATTTTCTCCATACGAGTTACGTTATGTTCCAGACATTTCCCATGTGAGGGTTTGACGCAGTTTTCTCATCTAGATCTGTGAAATTTCGAAACTTTGTTCTATTAATTATATTAGATATCCCGTCAGTTGATATAAATGTGAGGCAGTAATCAGGAAGAGCGTACATTAAATAGTACCATGTCAATCTATATTCTGTATATTCTGTTGTATACCGGTGATATACACAAATATATGCTGCATTGCATCGATTGCAATATAATAGCCAGAATATGATTAGTCAGCGTCGACATGTTGGATTTTATGCTTGCCAACGCAGAATGATTCCGACGTATCAAGGTCACCAGCATATAGGAACTTCTGTCAAGGTTCAATTCTGGGTACTAAAATTCATAAAACAATAATATCTCTTCTGTGTACAGCAGTTCTCGCAGGATATATAAGTATATATAAAAACATTCTTGAGAATAAAACTTCAAAAGCAAAAACAGTGCTACTCCAAAACCACTCTATTCAAAGTAATAAAAGAAATAAAATTTAAAAGAATTGAAAGCATGCAAGCCAAGGTTTTAAGAAAGGAAGAAGAAGGAATCATAAAAGAGCAGCATAAACAGACATACCAATAAAGCAAAAAAGGAAAACCCATACCAAATACTGCCCTCAAATCTTCTCTTCAAACCACTTAACCAAGTGGTTAACAGTAGGATGCCCCCAAATTAGTGTTGGTGGCACTGTAACTTTCAAGGAAGTCTGCAAATGCTTCCTCAAACTAACTGTCATCACTGAATCCATCCCCATCTCCGTCAAAGCCGTTGACGGGTCAACGTCCGCAGCACTCGGTAGCCTCAAAGTTTTTGCAACGCACTCTGAAATGGCATTTTGGAGGTACTCCTTCAACTCTGGTCCACTCTTAGGAACAGGTGCCTTCTCACTGACCTCACCTTTAGAAACGGCTTCGGTGCCACTTGATTCGGCCCGTTTGCGTGGCGCGATCTCATCCAGAATTGGGAGGGGTGGGATTCCATTTTCCTCCACCGGAAGCGCTCGTAGGACGACAGCCTGGTGGATATCATGCTTGATAGCGTGCTCCCAGGCCCTGAAAGCTTCATCCCGACTAACGGAGGTGATGCCCTTAGCCTCGAGTTCGGCGTTGATGTACTCGGTGCTGCTAGCCATACCCAACCCATTCCAGCTTGTCCACAGGAAACTGACAATATTGTCTCCTTGGTTGCGTCTGAAGTCAGCGAAAGTATCCAAGAAGGCGTTGCCGGAAGCGTATGAGGCTTGACCTGGGAAACCCAACAGCTGACCACAAGAGGAGAACAGGACAAAGAACTCAAGAGTCTTTGGTGGGAAGAGCTGGTGGAGAGCCATGGCTCCAGAAACCTTAGGAGCGAGAACTCTGTCGAATGACTCCTTGGTCGTTTCGGCGACAAGCTGGTCTTCTAAGACACCTGCGGCATGAACGACACCACTGATACTTGGGAGATCGAGCAAATCTAGAGCTTGTTCGAGTCTCTCGGCGCCATCTGGCTTGGAGATATCGGCTGCTACTACGTGAATGGAAGCACCCAGCCTCTCCAGCTTGCGAATTGTAGAGATGGCCGAATCATCATTAGAATCGACCCACTTTCGGCGAGGAGGCAAGCCACGTCGTGAAACAAGAATCAATCTTCGGGCGCCGCTCTCGACCATCCACTTAGCGGTCTCGAGTCCCAAAGCTCCGAGTCCTCCGGTAATCAAATAAGTACCTTCCGCAGTTGGTGTGAAGGTTTTTTCTCTTCCAGTGACAATCTTGGAGCGTGGGACAGGTCGGAGTCTGGCAACTCGTGCGACTGAGTCTCGAACTGATATCACATCGACAGATTTGACATACTTGACAGCTTGAAGAGGGAAACTTTCGTCATCGGTGTCAACGAGCCCTCCCCAAACCTCAGGGTGCTCTGATGCAATGATCCTGGAGAGGCCAACTAGTGGACCTTGGGAAAGAGAAGAGGGGCTAAAGGCTTCGAAGAGTCCTTGAGTGATGCACCAAAGTTTGGAGGGTGATTTTTGGTTGACGAGGAGCTTTGCGATGTCCAGAACCTCGCTGCAGAATGTGGAGGAAAACTTTGCGGTATCTTCTTCGAGATCAGATCCACTAGGTAGGTAAGCAACGATGGTTCCCTCGGAACTCAAGTTTTGCTCTTCAAGTCCTGCAGGGTTTGGCACAACGGTTGTGGATACCTTGCGTTTTTGGAGGTCTTGGATGTAAGCAGCAACTCTATCGCTCTGTTCGGACACAAAAACGACATTTTTCAGTTGGAAACCTTCTTCCTCAAGTTTAGCTGGGGGCCAGGACATTTGGTGGACTAAACTCTCCACACTGCCACTGGCTCCAGGTGTACCTTCAACAGCAGAAAATCGCATTCCGTTGATATGAGCTACCTCATGTCCTTCCTCGTTGAGAATTGCGACATTAACTCTCCACATCCCGGTTTCAACAGTGGTATGGATATAAGCAACCTTAGGAATAGATCCAGGAGTGATGGCCACTTCATCGATTTGAGCTGGCATTCTAAGCACTGGCTCTTTGTAGAAGATTGAAGATCCAATAGAAGTTGCTGCATCGAGAATAGGAGCCCATGATGACACGTCCCAAGGGATGCTCTTTTCCGAAGATTCGGGGGCTGTGTCAACTCTGGACAACATTTCATCTCCCTCACCATAATGTTCAGTGACTTTCCAGGGGAAACCCATATCTGGCACACCGACGGAAGCTAGATAGTCCGTAGCAAAACTTGGCTTAACAGATGGGAGCTTCTTCTTTGTGGCGGAAATGTCAAGGCTAGACTTAGACCACTCGTTATTAGCGACATGTCCGGTGGTGTGTGTTAACCAAGAGGATTCGGTATTGTTGTTTTCTCCTTCAGAGGCTTGTAGTCGAGAGACGATTCTGACTCTTCCTTGTTCTTTCACAATTTGGATGTTTCTTGGAGCGCTCATCGCAACAGGAACACGTAGGATAACGTCCTTAAGCGCATTGTATTCTTCACCAGTGTGTAAGAAAGTATTGAGTAGGACGGCGGCTGGGACAATTTCGGTTCCATGAAGAGGATGGCTTCCGGGGAAAGGTCTTGTAGATTCATCGAGAGTAGTTGTCCACATGGTGGTATCACTACCAACCACTTGGTGCTTGGCGCCCAATAGAACATGGCTTTTAACGTCGTGAGTAACTGATTTGTTAGGTTGAAGAGAACCGGTTCCGACCTTCCTCCAGAAAGGATTGTGCTTCCACACAGTGGTAGGAACGTCTCGGGTCCAGTCCCCGGAGAAATTGGCTCGAAGATCGATAGGCGCGCCGTGACAATGTAGTTTTCCGAGGGCGAATAGGATACACTTCCTCGAGGGCTTATCACGCCTTAAGGTTGGGAAAATCACACCGTCACTGTCAGCTTCGATGATAGTCTCGTTGATAGAGTGTGCAATGATGGGGTGGCTAGAGACTTCGAGGAATATTCCAAAGTCATCCTCGAGAGCAGCTTTGACGGCGTTAGTTAAGAGGACAGGCTGGATCATGTTATCGATCCAATACTTCTCATCGCGCAGATTGTCCCCTCGGGCCTGTGTGAGAGAGGTAGAATAGAGGCGGATTTTGGGCTGCTGGGGCTTGATGTGTCCGGATATAAGTTCAAGGAGGGGCTCTGCCAGCTCGTTCAAGACTGGGCTGTGGAATGCAACATCGGTCTTGACCCTGCGGGCTTGGATGTGCTTGTCCTTGAGAGACTGTTCAAGTTCATTGATAGCTTCGATGCCTCCAGAAAGGACGCAGGTATTTGGTGAGGAGTGAATAGCGACTGCAACTGCACCGGTTTGACCTTGCTCTTCGAGCTCTTTAACAGCGTCTTCAGGTGATAGATCAACGAGGATCATGGCTCCTCTTCCGGCCACAAGACGATACAACTTGGCTCGCTGCGACACAATAAAGGCACCCTCTTGGATAGTCAGGCATCCAGCAGTAACTGAAGCTGCGATCTCTCCAACGGAATGTCCAATAACGGCAGCGGGTTGTGCACCTTTGGAACGAAGAACAGCGCTCAAACCAACTTGCATGGCGTAAGTCAATACCTGTTGCTTGTCTGTAGTCTTGAGGTCTCCATTTTCGAGAGCCTCGAGGGGTGAGAAGTTTAGGATATCCCGCACGATATTATCAATGCTGCTGACAGCACCATAGAAAGCCGGTTCGCTCGCTAGAAGTTCTTTCCCCATGTCCGTCCAGTGGGCACCGTGACCTGAGAAGACCCAGACTGCACCTTTCTTACCATAGTTGGAGACCTTTTCTTTAATCATCCAGGGGCTATCGGCATTCTGGCTACCTAGTTCAAGAAGTTTCACCGCTTCCTCACGGTTATCGGCGACGACAGCGCACCTATGTTGATGTTGCGAGCGGCGGTATGCTAGTGTATTTGCAATATCTGCCAAAGGTTGTTCGGTTTCTCCAACCCACGAGGCGAGTTGGGCTGCTGTTTCACGAAGTCTTTGAGACTGTGGTGCTGACCAGAAGAGAAGATAAGGTGCCGCATCTGCGTATACTACATCTCCAACTTGGTCTTCGGGTCCAAAGTTGGGGGCTGGGGCCTGTTCGATAACAGCATGTGCGACAGTTCCACCATACCCGTACGAACAGATTCCTGCCCTTTTTCGGTCTTGGACCCAATCAGAGACACCTCGAATGACCTCGAGGGAATTATTGTCCCAATCCATCTTTCGGTTCGGGGTTTGGAAGTTAGCTTGTGGAGGAAAGATACCGTTGCTGACAGCAAGAACGGCTTTGATTAAGCTCGTTGAGCCAGCACCGGCTTCAAGATGGCCGACATTGGGCTTAACGGAGCCAATTTTGCATGGTAGGTCCTTTGGTCGACCGGCTCCAGATCCATATACTGATGCAATAGCAGCAACTTCACAGGGGTCACCGACTGGAGTCGAGGTAGCGTGGGCTTCGACAAAGGCTACCGATAATGGGTCTACACGAGCAACGGAGAGAGCTTTCCGTGCCACTTCTTCCTGTGCAACCTGATTCGGAGACATAATACCATTTGTTTTTCCATCCTGACCGACAGCGCTTCCTTTGAGAACCGCTAGAACCTTGTCACCGTCGATGATAGCCTCCGATAGTCTTTTGAGAACTAAAACCGAAGCGCCTTCACCACGGCCGTATCCACTTGCAGAGTCATCAAAGGATCTGCAACGACCTTCTGGCGTCACTGCACCTGCTTCGTCCAAGACCCTTGTCAGGCCTGGTCCGATGAGTGCGTTAACTCCACCGACGATAGCTAGCTTTGACTCTCCAGCTAGTAAAGCTTGACGTCCGTGGTGTACAGCAACAAGACCAGAAGCACATGCTGCGTCAACAGCTGTGCTAGGGCCGTGCAAATCAAGTGTATACGATATTCTATTAGGAATACCACAGAAGGCTGTGCCGATACCCATCCAGGCTTCGACCCCGGGGACATCCTCAAGAAGCAAGCGAGAATAATCATCTGAGTTAACACCCATGAAGACAGCTGTGTCGCTGCCAGCTAGGCTTGTTACAGATATACCAGCATGCTCAAGAGCTTCCCATGTAACTTCAAGAGCTATCCTCTGTTGAGGGTCCATAAGCTCTGCTTCGAGAGGGGAGATGCCAAAGAAGGAGGCATCGAAGTTCTCTAACCGGTCGAGGAAGTATCCTCGGGATGTGGTTTTCTTGAGAATTTCGGCGTTCCTGCTATCTCGACGGAAATATGGCTCCCAGCGCATCTCTGGGATTTCGCCGGAGGCATCTTTCTTAGAGAGGATGGCATTCCAAAATTGTTCTATAGACTGAATGCCGCCAGCCAGACGACATGCCATGCCGATTATAGCAATGTCATCTTGATTGTACTCCTATTGTTAGATAGAAGGGTTAGCGTACCAAAGCTCGCACAAGACCAGTGGGAATTTATATAGAAGGTAGGTAACTAACATGGTCCATATCACCTAGTGACGTCGCAGGTGTGGAAGTCATGGTGGGCCAAAGAAGTCAAGTCAAAAGGTTGGTACGAGGAACCCAAAATATGCAGGTCCAGGGAGTGAATGTCTTCTGATTTGCGCAAAGTTTGGTGATACGGCGTCAGTCGTCCCCAATGAAGTAGAACGGGTGGACTGATTTAAGTATGATTTAAGTATGATTCTAAAGCGTTAAAGTATAAAATCTAGAAAGAAGAGAAGGTTTCAGGCGAAATGAGAAGAAGAAAGTGAATGATAAGAGTAAGACGGTAATTAGCGGTTAAATTGAAGCCTGTATCCAGACTGAAGATGAAGTATATAAAGAGTTAGATAAGTTATATAAGCTAAGGCTGACTAGCTGGAGGGGTCTGAAGTTTAGATGAGCGTAGCTGAAGCGGAAAGCCTATAACTTGCAGGAATGTGATACAGCGAGGATAGTTCACCGGAACGAAATCCCTAGATTGGTTTGAGGCTCATACTTTTATAGCAAGATTCCAAAAAAAATTTCCCGTATGTGTAATATAATGAGATCGTAGTGCAGGGCTAGGCTCGTCCGTCATGTGGCAATGCAGGACCCGAGTACTTCGTACGGATTACCTAGGCCCAATGCTCTCTGCGAAGTGCCTGTAAGACGAATCAATGATTGCAGTGCTTCTTTGAGAGGTTTCATCTGACGCGCCCAATGTGTCCTCCAGGCGAATAAGGTATCCACTTCCGTATCAGAGCCAACTGCAACGGAAGATCTAGCTTAACTGCTGAGCGTAGTCGGCCGCCTGCCAGCCGTTCGCCGTCTAACCGGAGTCACAACTAGCTCGCAGATAGGCTACAGAGATGACTATTCTACTAATGCCAATGCCAATGTTAACATTTGTTAAGATTTTTTTATTTTTTTTTGTCCGGTGAATGCCTCCTCGATATCGCTGCAGCTTACGATAGCCGTCTTTGCTTTTCTTTGGATATTCGTTTCCATCGTTCCTTTGGAAGTTTCTTATCCGATACTTCCCCTACTCCCTGTAGTTGAGGCTTGAGACAAAACTTTTTGGTACACCCTAGTACCAGTTGACCAACATTGCAAATGTTCACGAGGCAATTGCGATATCTATAGTCATGGTGTTCAGTTATGTTGCATATTGACCCCGTACAACGAGTGCTCCGGGGCGAAACCCATGTTCTTCACTGGGAACTTTCCCGCGCCCCCGATAGACACACGGGCCATGGGCTCCGGGGTATACACCCCACGCCCACGGGAACTCCTTGTCTATGTTCTCCGGCATATCTGCAGGTCTCAAAAACATGGATAAACATACGTCCGCCTCGTATTTTCAAACCACTAGGATTAAAGTTTCGAGAATGCTCATACAAGCATATTCCTTTTGTTAAGGCTGGGATGCGGGCCCGCTCTAATGCTTATTGGAACGTCAGCTTATTCGTGATAGGTTAGCTGTCTATAGAAGCCACTGGACGCAATGCATGCATAGGCCCAGTAATCTATCAAGGTCTGTATCTCCAGCCGAGCACAAGCGTTGATTGAGGGAATTATATACCGTTTAACTGTTACGTTACACAGGTGCAATGGCACTCTCCGTTTTCCAGACCCTTGATCGGCTCATGCACGCATGCGTAATGGATAGCCGCTAACTGGGTATTAATTTAGTATTTGGATTTCAAATAAGGAAAAAAATAGAAACAGGCAATTTTAACTCTAAGCTTAGTGAAGCAATCGACTTTAGTCGGCTATCTGTCTAGCTATGCGGTAAGACGATCCGAATATTCTATCTTTTATGTTTCCGCTTTGCTCCACAACTATGGGGCTTCTGGTTACAATTAGCTAGTAAAAGCCCAATATCGCACGATTGCAACAGAGGGAATTTTTTCACAATAGCTCTGTTTTGTTACTATACTCTCATTGTATGCACAAACATGATTCCAATCAACATTTCACCAGCGACTGTTGTCCTCTGCGGCTCCATAGTCACAGTATCTATCGCCTATGTTATCTTTGTAGTTGGCCATAGACGGAAGGGTTTTCCTCCGGGACCGCCGACTTTGCCTGTTATCGGAAATATCCACCAGCTTCCTACTACAGGTGCCCACTTCAAGTATAGCAATCCGTAGTTTATCTAACATTTATGTGAGCAGACGAAATGCTGACGGGATTACTTATCTAGATTTACTGAATGGGCGCAGAAATATGGTGGAATCTACTCTCTCAAACTTGGAACGGGCACTGCTCTCGTTATCACAGACCGAGAGATTGTCAAAAAGTTGATGGACAAGAAGAGTTCTATTACTTCTGACCGACCGCCATCATATGTATCCTATGACTTGATCACCAAAGGCGATCACTTGCTTGTGATGCACTACAATGAAACTTGGAGGAAAATTAGAAAGTATATGCACCAGTTTTTCAGAGAAAGCGAGTGTGAGAAGAAGCATATTACTCTTCAAGATGCAGAGGCGACACAAATGATGTTGGAGTTTCTTGAGACTCCGGACAATCATAATCTTCACACCAAACGCTTTAGCAACAGCATCATATCCACTCTTCGTAAGATTTCTTAATCTATTCGTTAAGATGGGAAACTTGCACTAACCTTTATGTTCAGTATTCGGGCTTCGAACACCAACCTACGATAGCCCTCATGCGAAACATCTCTACGATATAATGGAGCGTTGGTCTGCGGTTATGGAGCCCGGGAACACCCCACCAGTGGATATCTACCCAATTTTCAAGTATATCCCAGAGAGCTTGTTCGGGAACTGGATTTCGAGAGCATCTGGCGTCGGACGCGATATGGAGCGATTGTATGCAAACATGATATCTCAGTTCAAGATCAGAGCTGAAGACCCCAAGATTTCAAGGACCCACGAGAGCTTCTTTGACATTCTTTTGAGAGAGCAAGAAAAAACTCGCGAATTTACCGATCACGAGATTGCGTTTATTGGAGGTGTTCAATTAGAAGGTGGCAGCGATACCAGCGCAAGTATTTTGACTGCATTTGTCCAGGCCATGGTAAATTGGCCAGAGGTACAAAGAGTTGCTCAGGAGGAAATTGATCGGGTTATTGGTGAGGACCGTAGCCCAACTTGGAACGACTTCGCAGCTCTGCCATACATCAATGCGATTATGAAAGAGACGCATAGATGGAGACCTGTCACACCCCTAAGTTTCCCCCACTGCTTAACAAAGGGTGAGTTCCTCTTTACTCCCGGACTTATTCAATTCACTGACATAAGATTATTAGATGAGTACTTGGACGGCTTCCTCCTTCCCAAGGGAGCCACCATAATCTTGAACGTTTGGGGTATCCAAAACGACGAATCGGTTTACCCACGCCCCGAAGAATTTGATCCTTCACGTTTCAAAGACCATAAATTGCTCGCTCCCGAATACGCAGTCTCAGATTGGAAATTGCGCGATCACTACAGCTTCGGCGTTGGTCGTCGAATTTGCCCGGGGATCCACCTAGCCGAGAGGAATGTCTGGCTCGGTGTTGCCAAGCTGTTGTGGGCGTTTAAATTCGAAAAAGCGACAGGAGCCGATGGCCAGCCAATCGAGATGAATGTCGATCCCAAAACCGGCTATACGGAAGGCTTCCTCCATTGTGCCTTACCGTTTAAATGCAAAGTGACCGTCCGTAGCGAGGAGCGGAGGAAGACCATTCTCAAAGAATTCGAGTTGGCTAAACAGGTTTTTAACGAATACACGGGGTAGGTTGAGGCCAAGATGTATTGTGTTTTACCGGCATCTTGTACTTACGTTAGAGATTTGTCTAAATTTCTGTTTGGATTGTTTATTGTTAAGTCGCCTATGTGGATAACGTTATGCTGCTGCCGTGTACCGACTGTACCGGGGTGCGTCTCAAGCTTCAATCGATTTTAGTTTCTATTAATTAGTGTTGCCCAGATGATCATGGCGCCAAGAGTCACTCACGCGAGCACTTTCGAGACGCAAGCGAGGTTGACTTTCATAGTTGGACAGTCGCAGCTGCGATAGTGTACTTGTCGGCCCAAGTTTCCGAGTTTGCAACATCGATCGCGATCGATCGATCGAAAGGGCTTTAATTTGAATTCGAGCAAAAATTGATTGCATGGTGAGAATTTATCCGTCAAGAGACGAGACGAAGCTGCTCAACATGCGTTGATTTTGTTGCACTTTGACAGCCAGATCGACTTGATTAACTACTTAAGTAGGTAATTAGTCCCAAAGTCGGTTAGTCTTGATGATATCGGGAGCCGGGGCCGGAACTATTTCCCTAAAATCTACAGAACACGCGGCTTATAATATGCGTAATAGTTTGTGTAACAAGACTGTTTAGGTTCGCTATCAGACCGAAAGTGAACTTCAATCTCTAAGTTTAATAAAATTTTCTGTCTATCTAACAAATTATCATCATTGCGCAACTTGGAACCGCGGGAATAACGCTTCCGCATTTCCACGGTTGATTGCAGCCCTCTCTTCTTCTGAAAACTCATATTTATCGAAGCTCTCTGTGAAGTATTCTATCCCTTTCGTTGGTGCGTAAGGGAAGTCGCTTCCAAAAAGTATATGGCCTGGCTTGGCGAATTTCAAGAGCAGCCCCAAAGTAAACTCATTTCCGCTAAGTGCAAGATCAAAGTAGAACGACTTTGCGTCCTCAATAATTTCATCCGTGGATAGGCCGTTCGATTTTCCAAATGGCGTATGTGGCATCATTGCTGCCACACGGAGGGCCAAATATGGAAGCGTACCACCTGCATGCGACAAGATGATCTTACAGTTCTTGTACTTTCGAACTGTTCCGGAAAGGATGATATCCATCGCTGTCCGTGTAGTCTCGTGGGGATAGTCAATCATGGGCTGAGGAAGCGAGGGCGCGACTAGATTGGTATCGACGCCGTGGGTTGGGTGTACAAAGACGACAGCGGAGCGGTCGTTCAACTCTTGCCAAATCTCCTGAAAATCGGGGTGGCCAAGGTAGTGGTTATCGGGCCCATATCGGGTGAACAGCGTAACACCATCGGCCTTGAGCTCATCGATTGCGTAGCGGATTTCCGAAATGGCTGACTCTTTATTCAATAGAGAGGGTAAGGCCGCGAAAAACCCGAATTTCTGCGGGTTGCTATCCCTGACTGCGGCTGCGAAAGTATTCGTTTTCCTTGCCAAACTTGCAGCCTCTGAAGGATCTTTGTGAATGGACGGACCCGGTGCAGTCATTGAAAAGATAGTTGTTCCAATGCCGATATTTTCCATCAGAGTCTCGCTGGATTCCAATGTCCATTTTGGTATCGTCCATCCACTAGGATCACCACCATTCGCCTCCAGAGCTAGCAGATAAATTCGTCAGCGCATCTGACTCAGAGGATATGTCACTAATATGGAATTCATTTCCTTACCTTCAACATAGAAGTCCGGCACAAAGTGGTGGTGAACGTCGAATTTCGTCGGATGCTGAGACATTTTGTGAGTACAACGAATATTATAGTATACGAAGTTTTCTGAGTTCTAAGATATCTGGCCCCTCGAAAGCTTGATCAAAACTAGTTAATTATAAAGCTTTAGGAGAAGGCTAAGTCCGATGTCAGACTATTGTGCCAATAGGTCTCGTGTGTACTAAGTCCGTCGGATTCGAGACTATGACCGAGTTACTCAAGAAGCGTCGGGATCCGGAAAAACAGTGTTGCGTTGGTTTGAGCTCATGAGCTCGAGCGGCAGATGGTTAGAATAGAAATCAAAGTCGCATATAATTAGTACTCAATTGGTGCTTCATAACAGGGTGGGGGGGATTACGAGGACGAGCTACGATGCAGCTAGCTCATGGGAAGAATTAAACTTGTCTTGCGTGACATGCTGCAGAGGCTTATGCTGCTTACGACCGGGTTCATCTTAAACCCTGCAGCGCCTTATAATACAACATTGCCCAATCCCCCCCCCCCACCCAACCGAAAGGTACACGGTAGCCCTGGTGTTACATCCCTTGGTCGCGGCCTGGAGGGGACTCTGTAGCTTCCGCCCGAAGTGAAAACAAAAAACCAAACCTTTCGTTGGGGAGTACGGTAGTTCTAGAGCTGAGATTGCATTGAAGCTAGCTAGATAGTATTGTAGTTATTGTTGCAATTCTGCCTAGCGTATATATAAACTACGTGCTACACGATGCAATGCACTGCTTTACAAACACCCACCAAAAACCAAGCTTACATTTGCTGCAAACAGGAAGATTTAATCTTTATTTAATTTTTTTAATTTTTTGGAGGAAAAATAATATTCTGGTTTCAATTTTTGATACCACGTCTTGTAATAGACTGGAACTGGAAGATGTTTGCCCTCAGTCTCCTCTTGTTGCCTTTGGGGTATATCGTGTATTTGATAGGGCTAGCCGTATATCGGATATGGTTCCATCCTCTATCTAAGTTCCCTGGCCCAAAAGCAGCTGCAGTATCTGAGTAGTACGTAAAACTATATCAAAATTAAACTGGAGAAAACATGCTAACTTCCGCCATTGTGTAGCTGGGAAGCATGGTGGAATATATGGCCACACAAAGGAGGGTGTCTCTTTGAAGTAGAGCGCTTGCACGGAGTTCATGGTAGATATCACTTTCCGTCTATCGAGAGAGCAAAAATGGAGCTAACAATCATATCTCAGGTGCTGCTGTTCGGATGGGACCGAATGAAATTCATGTTAATGACCCGCGATACTATCACGAGCTCTACCGCTTGGGTTCCAGATACTACAAAGACCCCGAGATGCACAAGGTTTTGGGTGCTCCATCCTCTACTGTTGCGGAAACCGACCCAGTCCTCCACAAAATCCGCCGTGGTGCATTGGAGCAGCTTTTCTCAAGGCAGAGTATTTTGAAACTAGAACCCATGATTATGGGCAAGGTCGAACGTTGGTCGAGCAAGCTTGAGGAACACTTTCAAGCTGGAAAACCTGTTCCAATGGAATTTGCTCTGAAAAGTTTGACTATGGGTGAGTCAAATATTCGGTATAGCCGTTAGGACTTGAACTGACGATATCAGATATGGTTACAACTTTCGCCTTCGGCCAAGAGTTTGGAGCCGTTGAAGATCCAGGATTTATGTCGATTCCCGTGCGCCTCTTTAGAAATTACCTAATGAGCCTCCATGTCATTAAGGCATTCCCCTTCGTGAAGCTTCTCCAAGGTCTCCCATATTTTATTGCACGACATATTTCCCCTACGGTTGAAATGGGCCGCCATCTTGAAGACGTATGTATTCTCGGGGTCTTAGGCACAATTGGACAATATGGAATCAATGGCTAATGTGACAACGGTGCATATAGTTGAGTGATGGTCATATCAATTCCTTTGTTGACAAGTGGCAAAACGGAGACAAGCCAAATTTCCCCACGGTTATCGGGCGCCTTCTGACACCTAACGAAGACAAAGGTTTCCAGGTACCGTCGAAGCAAGGTATCAAGGACGAAGTCATCACACTTGTGTCTGCCGGCAATGATACTACTGGAATTACTTCCATGGTCGGGCTCTTCCAAATTCTAACCAATCCTAAAATTTACGACCGTCTCTTGGCTGAGCTGAAGACAATTTTGCCAAAAGTTGACTCTGTTGCCCCATATCAAGAATTGGAGAAGCTCCCATACCTGGTGAGAAAATCCCTCATAGAGTGAAACCCAAAGCTCAATCTGTAGCCCAATTGGAGGCTCAATGTTATCAATCAAGGCTAACCATTCATGTGAAGACCGCTTGTATCAAGGAATCTTTGCGATACGCCTCAGCGGCGGCTTCTCGAACACCACGTTTGGTACCTCCAGGGGGTATCTACCTCCCGGATGGCCGCTTTGTTCCTGCAGGAACACGCATTGGAATGGCTATATACCTCATTCACTTTAACCCAGACTTGTTCCCGAATCCTAGAGTCTTCGATCCGGAACGCTGGCTAAGAGATCCCGCCGAAATGACAGTTCAGAACAAATTCTTGGTTCCTTTCTCCAAGGGCACCAGGGCCTGTATTGGAATTAATCTAGCGCACATGGAGCTTTACACGATCATGGCGTACCTCATTAGGCGACATGACCTTAAACTTTACAACACCACCGCCAAGGACATGGAGTGGTGGGATATGGTAATTCCAGAATTCAAGGGCACATTCAAAGCATGGACCGGCAAAAGAACCGAGTAAAGGGCTAAACGGGATTCCAAATCTCTGATGTTTTTTTTTTTTGTTGTAAGGATATTTCAATTTGTAGATTAGGAGGAGGCTCCAGGAATAGAAAATCTCAAACCATTTCACTCAACCGCTTGCCGTAAAACTGTCCAATGGAGGGTTGAAAATTACAAAGAGTGTTACTAATGCCGGAACTAGTCCTTGCACTATAGCTATGTTAAAACCTACCCTTGAGCTAGTCTAGCATGTGCGTGGAAAATTAATATTTTCAGGATATCCCATGATAGCCCCATACTGCAACACCCCGTATTCTGTTTCTCCGTGGTAGCCTACGTCCCATTTTTCTGGTTCAAGTGGAGACGAATATTAATTGACGACCTACATGTATACACTGGAAAGTAAAATTCGTTTGCAACTACCGTAGTGTAATTTGGTGATGGTATCAACGGAAAAAATTATGATACGATAACAATGCAACCGCTGTCACAAATGCGGTGATATGATATCTGCAAGGCGAGAACTATTGTGCAGACCATCATGATTCACAGCCCCACCAATGCAATGTTCCAGTTGGGTGCGCTTTTAATCGGAAATACGATAATTTTCACAGGTTGTAGGATTTAATCTCGACAAGCAAAAAAAAAAAAAAGGAAAAAAGAGAGAGGAAAAAAGGAAAAATATCGAGGGCCGTCGGAATTCACATGCCCTTGACGCATAACGTCAATGGCGCGATATTACCTCAACTAATATAGAACCCGTCTAATTCCCGATGCTATCAAGCATGCATGCTGGCATCGAAAAAAATAAATAAAAGCAATGTGGAGTTGTGGCCCGGCGCAAAGTGAGGCCGTTATCTCTGGAGCCGTCCGGGCTATGGGGCACTCTGGGCCATTCATGCAGCATCAACAAGGATATTTGCCCTGGACCTGTGGCCCAGAGCCCGGGAAAGGTTAGCAAGTGGGCCTGTCTCGGCTGTATTGGGTGGGAAGTTGAATTTAAGTATATCTTGGCGACGCCGATTACATAGAAAGTGGAGACCTCGTACCGATCCCGCAAGCCACCGATGTCTTACTTCCAGCTTCTCGACGGGGAAATTCTTATCCACTTTGCCTTGGCCGCCTCCGACAATGCATAGCTCGCAAATGTCAGGGCTGCCTTGGCATTCGCATGTGCAACAAGCATCGAGTTCGCCGTGTGAGTACGTAAGATATTAGTACCTGTTCCTCTGGCAGGGAAGGGAGGCTCTTGGTACCTCAGAAAACAATCGGCCCGATTTCCGCACCACCAAGTTAGCCACATTAGAGTTTTCTAACAACTACCGCAATTCGCTAGGGTGAAGACGAATTTGTATATAGTAACAACACTAAATGTGATCGAGCGATGAGCATATCAGCCGCGTAATCTGGCTTCTGCCGCAGTTCCAGTTGAGGCTTCGGTATACCCATGATATTCATGCAAGCCTCTCGAGATCTCGCGTAAATAACGCCAACTTACACAGTAAGCAGTAATGGAAACTAACACTTGCTTCTTTGTATTGTCAATTTGCCAGTCATCGACGGTCCTAACGATATGCAAGTAAACTTGAGACACCACAGGATCTTTCCATTTGAGCGACGCGAGGAAAGGAAACGCAAAGATCATGAATTCAAGCGGAATCATTTTCCGATCATTGTAGTACTAGTTGAAGTCACTCTACGTAATATTTGTCAAAATTTTCCTTTGGGCCGCAATTAAGTATCGTTTTAAGTCGCTCAAGGCTGAGATATTGATCTAATGTTAGCCAACCGGCCTTTACCAACATGCATGCAACATTGACCCAGTAACAATTTTGCAGTTTTAAGACGTCTACAGCTTACTTTGGTCTGAATTAAAGATTGGTTTAAGATGATTGAGTAAGATTAAAAGAGATTTAAACTAAACTGACAAGGTATAATTATACATTTGTATACATATAGGTAATATAATGGTTACAGGATCTATGCATTTTTGTATCAAATCGAACTCGAAGTCCTAAAATTTCCAACTTAGATGCGACTATTTTTGGAGCGGGAATAGCTGAATCACTCTCTCGTCCAAAGATAGCCGTTCCCTTGCAGCTTTTGGAAAGTCTGAGACGGGTCGTATTTCTTCGAAACCTGAACGATCTTGTTGAAGTTTGTAGTTCCGTAGCTTCTCAACACTTTTTGGTCAGCATAAGCGTCGTTCATGAACAAGTATGGCAAATATTTATTTTTCGACTTCGCGAATGCATCGGTTTTGTCGAGAATGAATTTACTCGCATTGAGGACGAAGGCATCATCAGCCGGATTCTTCCATTTTGCCACGATATCGAGCCCTAATTCAGATTGTTTTGTTTAGTCGGAATTCGCTACCAGTATTACACCATTTTATCATGGGTAAATTCGAGGACTTACAAATGTGGTTTTTAGCCGGGAGTCCGAGTATATTGCCGCCATATTGGTCGCCTTTAGCTTTGAGGCCGGCTCCGATTGGCTGGGGCACCCACTCCAATGAGGCATTAGCAGGGAGTGTCGCAACAACCTGCTGCCAAATGCCGTAGGAGTAGTTTAGAATACTCTCGTCAGTCTCGAAGCTGGTTACTCGCGTGGCATCTCTTTCCGGTTCAGACGAAAACCCAATACCGAGAGCGGCGACCAACTCGGTAATTGTGGCAAAACCAGGAGGGAAGAATGGAATGGAAGGCACGCTGTAGAAAGGATCGAAGGCTGAGGGCCGAATAACCGGGTCTAGGTACAAGAATACCACCAAGTTACCTTCTACACGGAACGAAGTGACAAGTGAAGCTTTAGTGTCGAGACTGCCATTTCGTTGGTATTCGACAAGAGCCTTCATCAATGCAGGGTATTGGTCTCCAGGATACAAGACAGCCTCGTAATACAGAGGTCCTGAGTATCTTGTCCGCAAGTCGAACTCGGTGACGATTCCTGTACAACTTTGTGTCAGCGTTGGGTTTCCGACCCATTTTGGGTAAAAATAAAGGTTAGGCTACCAAAGTTAGCAGAGCCTCCTTTCAAGGCCTGGAAAAGATCTGAATTTTTTGTGCGAGTCGCAGTAACAATCGAGCCATCGGATAGAACGACTTGGAACCTTTCGACGGTGTCCGCGCTAAGCCCAAACTGTCCGCTGAAGTAGTTCAGCCCTCCTGCGGTGCGACAAAGATGCAAAATGTTTCGTTAGATAGCTGAACGGACCCCTCGCTAAGAGAATAGGTTGGTTACACATACCGCCTAGGACCAGTGCAGATCCAACAGTCCCGATTCTTCCACCGATGACTGTTACGTTGTAGGGCTGAAGATAATTGTACACAGCTCCCCATCTATTACCCACGCCAATAGTAGCAATTGACTTATCAGAGCTCAAGCTGAGTTTTGTCAAGTTGCTGAGTGAGATCAAGACAGCATCAGGCCCTGCACTCGAAAATCCGGGATTTGCCATATGGCCACCGCTCCTAACGCTGAACTTGGTCTGGAGAGCCCGAAGAACAATTATTGCCTTCGAGACATCCTGGGCATTTGCTGGAGAAACGATACAAGCAGGATTCACCCAACATGTTTGAGACCTAATTGATCCGGGTTTCAGTAGGGTCCGTTTGATTCGGCTAAGGTCTACAACCAATATGCCTCGAACAACTGATCATCGAGGTGCAGTAGTCCAGTACAAGGGTAAACGATAGGTAATCTTACCATGTTATTTCTGTCAACGCAGTATAGCCACTTTCATAGACACCCGTAGACTTGGAACCAAACAACTTCTCGAGGACCACGCAGGTCAATCGAGGGTTTCCTAGAAAGTTTCTCTGGTCCCACAGAGAGAAGTCTGCAGGATTGACATTCAAACTTTTGAGGGTTGTGGAGAGATTTTCGGCAATGGGTGCAGCATGAAGTAGGGATGCAAACCCCAGAAGCCCGTATAGTGTAAACCGCATCGGGAAGAATGACAATAGAATAAGATACTTCAAAATAGATGATTTTGAGATTTTCTGGTCGATGAACTCGAAACTACCTGGGTATGGAGAAAGCGCTTTCTAATTTCACGTTCTATCGATGCCACGACTGCCACTTTTTAAAACAGACTGAATCCTCCTAACTGCGCTCGCTTTTTACCCTTCGTGCCTCAAACCGGTCTCAATCAGACCACTATGGATCTATAATTACAATGGCTCAATTGAGGCTGAAGGGGTATCTTCGTTTCGCTAAAGCTAAGATGCGAACGCCTCCAAATCATCTTACGTTAACGTTGCAGTCATTACATACAGCCTTTTCATCTCGATCAAAAATCCAAATATTCAGAGCAGCCGGGTTCTGAAATTACGAGGCTGAGTTGAGTATGAGACTAGAGCTGAGGACCTATGTCATATAATTCCACGTGACTTGAACCCTGTAAAGGGGGTTCTTTTTTCCAAAGTCGAAGCATCCAATCATTTAGTTCTTTGCATCTGGCGATTTCGGAGCCGCGTATTATATCATTTGAAGTTTGGAGGGACCCTTGTTTGAACTAATCCCGAGATTTGTCTCCGTTTGGGCCGCCAGGATCCTAGGATTTGCTTCTTGCATTATGGGGTCCGGCAGTTCCCACGTCGGTCCCAGGGCCAGGCGGGCTCCCCGAACCATGCATCGATGCACAATCCCGGGTCCCAACCGGCAACCTGACCTTGTCGTATTCGACGCACTGCAACGAAAAGCTAGAAAAAAGAAGTATTAGTTAGTACAGCTTTGTGCCGATGGTTCCAGCATAGATATTATATTAATTTTCGGAAATGTTTCGCCGGGCTTACTGTACCTTAATATGGATCGGAAAACAAGCCCCTTGATAGGAAAACTAGTTTTGAATGTGCGTGGGGTTCGTCTGGCTATCTGCTTTTCGTATTATGCCAGCTATCGCTGCAGCTCGCACTTGCGAACAATTTGCTTTTAGTAAACCTTCTCTACCACCCGCGAAGAAGACTCAGTAGAATTAAGTCGTGTTCGCAGTACGTGCATCAGTTTCTTACATAGTTGAATCCAAGCTCGTTTCATTTATCCCATAAAAGAGCATTGCAGAGGGTATGTTTTTTTAAATCTTACCAAAGGCTCAGTTACATGTCAACTGACAGTAAAAGTTTTCCCAACTAATTTGAATCTAGTCTTTGGCAAACTTGCAACTTAATCGATGACGATTATAGAGAATATCTCTTATACACATTTGGCCATTGGGCTGATAGCTTACAATGTTATCAAACCTTTGTATGGGCTTCATGTAAACCGTAAAAAGGCAATAGCTACTGGGCTGCCTTATGTGTATACAGCGGTTTACGAATGGAGCATGGTATGGCTTCTCGTCAAAGAAATCGCCTGGCCTGTTCTGAAGGCCCTCAGACTTGGCTGGCTCGTCAAGTACTCGAGACCATCATGGAACTTCGATGCTAAAAATAAGGTTCACGAGGACTTGGGCGACATCTTCTGTGTGGTGAGTCCTGGTGGGCTTTCAATTTTTGTCGGAGATCCAGATGTCATCTGCGAAGTAACGAAGAAGAGAACAAAATTCCCACGCCCAGTCAAGAGCTTTGTAAAAGTTATGGGCTACTTCGGACCCAGCATTCTTTCAGTAAGTCCCAAAATCAATGACGAAATGAACTATCGATTTGGAAAAGATTTAGCTAACAAGAACTTCACAATTTCAGAGCGAGCATGACGAATGGCGCTTCCACCGGAGAGTAACAAACAAAACTTTCACGGAACCAAATCATAAGGTGGTATGGTTCGATTCTCTCTATCAAGCTAGCGCTATGAGAGATGAATGGCTCTCCGGTCTTGATAACATTACCTCAAACAAAGAGGGCATCATTCACAAGATGGGCTCGGATTGTATGAAGTTGGCCCTTCACGTAGTTACCCTCGCTTCCTTCGGCGTCCAGATTCCATGGACGGCGCAGAAAGATGCCATCCCCACCGGTTACGAAATGAGTTTCCGCGAAGCATCCGAGTTCTTCCTTGAACATATCGCAATTATGGCCTACTGCCCCAAATGGCTTTACAAATATGGCCCCAAACTAGCCCAAACGGCTGGTGTCGCTGCCAAGAATATGCGAAGACACATGATGGAGCTTATTCAAATCGAAGATGAGAAACTCCAGAATGGCGAAGACGGCAAAAACTTGCTCTCAGCGATGTTGCAAAGTGACGACCCCGAAGCTCAAGCAAAGGGTGGAAGTGCTTACGATACGGCCTCGGTTAGTAAAACTGGTGTCCGAAAGGACTTTGTGATGGGCAACAGCGCCATTTTCCTTCTTGCGTAAGTAACTCTTAACTCACCTCCGTACTTATGTCTCTAGTACTCTTTATCATATGACTAACATATCTGGGTATCTTTATTACAATATAGTGGCCATGAAACAAGGTAAATATTCATTTCAATCATTAAAAGTCATTCTTATATCGATTCGATCGCCCTATGGTTCCGAATACTAATTGATATCAATGACTATAGTGCGAGATCTCTTGAATATGCCCTGTTTCTCTTTGCAATGCATCCAGATGTCCAAGAGGAAATTTTCGAAGAAATCGACGAAATTCTCGAAGGCGTCGGAAATATTTACGACTTGAAATATGAAGAAGTCTTCCCAAAAATGGTAAAAACCAATGGAGTATTGGTAAGAAACAGGCTGCGAAAGGAGAAAACAGCTGCAAGTCAGAATTACTAATGCTTTCACGTTTCTAGTATGAGGCCACACGTCTATTCCCCGTCACACCATATATCCCGAAGTCCACAGAAGATGTCGTAGACAGTTGGTTCATTTACAAAGACCAACGCGTCGACATCCCACCTGAGAGTATGGTCGCTTTGAACGCAATTGGTGTCCATTACAACGAACGATATTGGCCAGAGCCATACAGATTCAAGCCATCCCGTTGGTATCAAACTCAGAAACAGGAGGCCCTTGGAATTTCCCCACAAGATACCCTCCAACTCTCCGGATCAAACACGGATGCTGCCAGGCTCTATCGGCGTGGGACATATCTTGGCTTCGGAGAGGGGCCAAGGAATTGCCCGTAAGCACAACCCCACTTCTGACATTATATTATCAATAATCACAGCTGACTATCTTGCTCCACAGAGGAAAACGTTTTGCCCAAGTTGAGATCATGGCGACATTTCTCGCATTATTTCGAGAGCATCGGATGGAGTTGGTCCTGGAGCCTGGAGAAACCCACAGGGATGCCTTCGATCGTGCATGGGCGGCTCTTCAGCGCAGCAGGATGGTTATTACGCTTAACTTGTTTGAACAGATCAAGGTTAAACTTGTACCTAGGAAATAGACCATAGAGCCGACGGTTAACACCGTTGACAGGGCCTTTAGCTCAAAGTTTACGTTTACGTTAGAATTCACATAATTAAAACCCGCTCGTATAATTTCTTTATTTTTGAATACGGGATATGCCACGAATGCTAAGGATTCTGGAAGACACCGTCTTACATCTGTCGTTATCATTGAGGTTTAGTGCGTACGTGCTATCGTTAGGGGCAATGATTAGGGACCCTTTTCTGGAAATACCATCCCCTCGAAAATTCGAAATCCCATCTCGCGCATTATCAAGGGTAGAATTTGCCATATTTTCCTTTTTTTCTTAGCTTGTCTTGGCTGACCCCCTTCTCTAAGCTTAAGCTTTCTATACTAGGCTGAAGGCTCAGAAAATTCGACCCTGCCAGCGCTCCTTGCTTGTAGTACAGGGGTTTGAGGCAAAGTGTGTCTCTGGGGTGCTGCCAATACAATGTAAATCGTCAAACTATCCCGGGATGACCGCCCGCCGACACCGAAATCCAACAAGTTGGGTCTCGGCGTAGTCTCGAAGCCAGACGCCGGGTCAGCCACCAAAAAAAGGTGTGTTGTCACACGTTTGGCATCTGCCGAAGGCAAAGTCTCGGCGACCAGGAATAGAATATATCCCGGGGTCTGACCCAACACAGGAAGCATCACAGTATGTATGACTAGCTTTACGATAAGCCCTCGCTTCCCCAGCTGCGATCTGTACAATTTTTTTCAGCTGCATATACGAATTCGGTTTGAGGCACTGAACTCATTCATTTTCTCTCCCTTTTTTTTTTTTTTTTTTTTTTTTTTTTTTTTTTACGATTATGCGAAATAGGAAAACATATGCCGGTACCCTTTCTATCTCACCTTGACTTCAGTGGCTCTCCGAAAACTACATGCCCATTAGTATCATAATTCATTCCATTCCAGCCGGGTCCAGACCTCACGCCACTATCGAAAGATCTAAGGACATTGTATTGAAAACGCTGACTTGACGTTCATTCAAAAGCCGAAATAATTCAGCGATTTCTTCGAATTCGCAAGAAATAAAATAAGCTATTCTCGCTTCTCAGAAGGAAAAAAAAAAAAGCCAAAGTCTACTTTTCTACATCTATAACGATAAACTAGATACTCTTCGAAAACTAAAGCTCTGAGAGCTCTATCCATAGGCGCATATCACATACAAGACGATCATTATCAAAAATGGCACCGTGCATTCCAAAGAAGTATACGGCGGGTCAGAACCCAGTCACAAAGTAAGTGGAGCGAAGCTGTCTACGTGCCAACACATTGGTTTTGTGGTATTTGCTAACGACGAGACCGATGCCAGATTCGAGGGTGCATTCGTCGTTACCAAGATGGACCCCCCGGAAGGAAGATGCTTCTTATTCCACACCGTTATAAACGTCAACCATCATCGTGTCAAGGCTCTTGAGAAGTCTGGGAAGAAACCTCCAAAACACTTCCATCCCAACCAATACGAATACTTCAAAGTGATTTCCGGGCAGCTCACAGTAGAAATAAACGACGTCGAACACATCTTGACGCCTGAAGATGGAGAAGTAACTCTAGAGCCAGGCCCGCATCACAGACTATGGGGAACTCCGGGACAAAAGAATGATAAGGTCGTTTTCCTTATTAGTGCCAGTACTAATGCCAGAAGCTACCAGCTTGATCAAGCATTCTTTGAGAATTGGTATGGCTATCAAGAGGATATGATGATGCGTGGCACTGCCCCTGATCTAATTCAAGTCTGCTGTGTAAGTTTTCGAGAGTTTTTAGACCCGGGGTAGCTTTGCTGCAGTGCTAACAAAAATAAAATAGATGTTCGAGGCTGGTGATTCATACCTGTCGCCTCCTTGGTGGGTTCCATTCAGACATTTCTTTGGCTATTGGCTTACAGTCATTCTTGGATATTACATTGGTAGCTTGCTTGGGTATCAGCCGTTCTTCCCAGAGTGGACTACAGATTGGGATGCCGCTTGCGACAAGATGGCAAGTTCTCTCTTGCAGAAGAAATTTGCGATCAGAGAGCTCCAAGATGTTGTAAAAAAGAATTTTGATGCGAATGGAGACCCTTTACCCGCCAAGAAGCTCTTGTAGATGAGATTTGTAACTAGTCATGCGGTCATGGGATTTTCTTTTTTAATAGTACATGCGTTTCGAATATTTCTATAACAAGTTATTTCATCCAGAAGTGCGATTAGAGTACATGTATATGCGGGTGTTGCAGAAAACGAGGAGCTCGAGATGTTGTGTAACTACCCTGGAAGGCAGAGTTAAGTTTCTCAGCCCTGCGGCACGACTCGAGCTCAAAAACCTTCGTTCTATCAAAAATTGAAAATGTACAAGTCCATGTACGTATACGGGTGTACTATCCTCCTGAAATTACTTGATAGAATATCTGTCATAAAGTTTTTTTGGCAACAGAGAGCATCGAATTCAAGCTTACCCCCCCAATTTGACAAAATCGCATGAAGCCTTTCACAAGCGCAATGTTGGAATCCGGACCTGTCGCAATCGAAAAAATGGCCGACCCGACGTTCCGCAGACTACCTATCTCCGGAGGCTAACAGATAGGCAATTGATTGCGTACCTTGTCAAGGCTGAGTTTGACGGACTTAAGCTTCTCCTCCTCTGCCGGAATTTGCCGTCTATCAAAAATAATTTTGTTACTTCGTCGAATTTTTGGAGATATAGGTTTGCTATTGGAAGATTTTTTTTTTCTTCTGTGTTTCATATGCCGACGGCCCCAGAACTAAAATTTAGATATTGCTAACGTTAACGCTAAGTTAGCAGGGTAACACCGGGTGTCTAGATCATTGCATATACCGGGTCAATGCAGGTTTTCTCGCCGCATAACACGGCAGCCTGCTCAGCCCTGGGCAGGATGTTTCCAGGTTATGAGACCCCCACGCGAGATGTTATACTACATGTGCATGGAGAATCGTCAGCAAAAAGGTCTCAGTGCGATTCCCGCCGCGCGCCGTAATATTATAGTGGATCTATGTCCCCGAAACAACTGGTTTTAAATTTCGTATTACGGGTTACTGAGACATAGTATTTTGACAAGCTCCCCGGAAAGTTTTCCGAGGTCCTCTGGATTCGAAAAGTTCATCGTTGTAGACCCTGAAATAGCTCCCCGGGGAGGGGATCTTTAACTCTAACAATTAACTAGCCAACCGTAAGATTTAGACCCAGGAGTTTTTTTATGCAATGCGATGCGATGCAATATGTCGGAAACTAGTCCCGTGTGAGTGTTCTCACATAATCCGTCATGAACTGCAAGGGTAAGCTATATCCAATTGCAGTGCTTCATACCCGAATTTCTAGAAGCCGGAAACGTTATCTTAATATAATTTGAATTCAAAGACATGTGAAGATAAAAATTTTTATGTTTTTAATTAATTGACGCGGCATCTTTTTCCCGTATTGATTGATATCCAGTGCTTCCCTCGTCTCCACATCTGCCAGCTTTACTATAGCAAATTTGCAAGCTCGTAATCAGCTAGCTTTGTGTTCGAGAATCCCAAGGTCCTTTACTTATTATATACTATCTTATCAAGAGCTTTCCCAGTCGGAAAAGTCTCATATGGAGAGCATTATTGCAAGACCACGAACTCGAAGTTCTGCTAAAGAAAAGACTCAGACAATGTCCGCAAAGAAGATATCTGCAAATGGCAACAATATTGCTGTTCAAGCAAAATCAAAGCGAAATACTCCTCTTGGAGTTATCAAGCTAGCTAGGCTTCACACCCTCGAGTCGCTTCTATGTGTCTACCCAGCGAGTAAGTATTGACTTCCTGCAAACTGCGATTCTCTCTCTTCAAGGTAGCTTTGCTAACGTAGGAGTTAAAATATAGTATGGGGAGCTTGCTTGAGTGCAGGGAGTCACCAGAAGGTTTTCACGCCATCATCATTCCTCAGCGTCCTTTTTGCAAATTGGATTAGCATGACAATTGCACATATGGCATTCTGTACCTTCAAGTAAGAAAATTAAAGACGAAAATTCTCAAGTTAAAAATCCCAAAGGTTACTGACATACAGGGTGCACTGTAGTGATATCGTTGACCGAAACTTTGATGGAAAAGTCGAAAGAACAAAGGTTCGACCTTTGCCAGCTGGAATGATAAGCCTTCGATCAGCGATCATCGCTTTCATCGTAGAAATGGGCCTTACGGTGTACATCAGCTATGCCACTTTAGGTTTCGATGGTGCTCTTGTTTGTGCTCCCGTGTGGATCGCAAGCACAATCTACCCATTCATGAAACGAGTTGTTCAATGGCCACAACTTGTTTTGGGGCCCATCATCGGAATGGCAGTTTTCCCTGGCTGGGTTTCCGTCGCTGGAAACTTGGATACACTTCGAGACGCTGTTCCTATGTTCCTTGCAACCAGTGCCTGGGTCGTCTACTTTGATACTATCTATGCAACTCAGGTATGAACAATACAAATGACGATTTTTTGCGGGCTTAGCAACTAATGGGTATACATAGGATACAAACGATGACAAGAAGATTGGCGTCAAATCTCTGGCGGTACTTTTCCACAACCACATGCACCAATTCCTAGGATTCCTTGGATCGATACAAATAGCTTTGTTGTCGTTTACTGCGCGCAAAGCAAACATGTCTGCACTTTTCTGGTCCTTGGGGGTCTGTGTATGGGGGTTGAACATCCCATTCCACCTTCTTTCGTTGGATACCAAGAATCCTAAAACTGGAGGCAAAGTTTTCCTGATGAATATTCTCTTGGGACTCTGGATCACCATTGTTTGTGTTATCGAGCTGTGGACGACTACTGTTATGCACTTGGATGTAAACGATTTCCTACTTAAGACGGTCGTGCACAATATTACTTTGACTGCACAGAATATCAGGAGCAGCGTGGCGTTTTAGGTACCACGTTGACGAAGGATTGAAGGGGAGAGTAAGACAGATCTGCAGAATGTAACGAAGACTTTTGGCCAGCTCCCACTGAAACCATGTGTTGGAATCTGCGAGAAGGATGGCCAAAATTCTACCAAGTTTTTGTTTGTAAGCTGCGAGTATTGCAGACTTCGATGTTATACTAAAATCCATCTAGCTATTTCTTTAGTGCATGTTCTTAGCAATGAAACTATATATTTTCATCTTATTCAATTGAGCCTACTGGGCTGCTCAACATAGCACTATTTGAAGATAGTTAGACTTATTGAATAGGATTTATACATTTACATGTTTAGATCTTGTAACTCTATCTAATATGCTGGGTCAATGCTGTACGGCTTTTAGATGAGACCTCTCCAGTATCGATATATTAAGATGAAGTTAACACAACTACGTGATGTTGCCTCGTCGCGGGAATTTTCAACTTGTAAATAAAAATACATATAAATTTCGATCGATTGACCAACTGGATGATTCTAATATCTCAACTATCTATAAGACACAAAGAAAAATGCTAGAACATGCAGATTATAGAATAACACAATCACTTCCAAGTTTGGATAGAGCCCTTGGATCTACGTGTTTCACCAACCACCACCCCGTATCGCCATTCGGCTGCTTAACATTCCGACTTATCGTCAACGCCTTAGATATCGAGTAAGATTCATCTGTATTGGCATCTTGTTTTGGGTGGCAGACAACCGAACTGTTATCGTATGTCTCGAAATACCCTTGAGATATCAAATCATCTAGTCCCCAGTATGCACTAGAATCGAGGTCACCATCCCATATCTGTTCTTGCGCACCGAGATAGTTGTAATGTGGGTTTATCATCTCATCCCAGTCATGCTGAGATGCAATACCAAATTCTTCTTCTTCGTTTGTATTTTTCTCTCCTGCGGGATTCAACTCGAATACGCTTGTGTCCTCAGCATAAGGGCTGGAAACATCGTAGTAACAAGTCGGAGTAGCTATAGGCTTTGCTTTTTCACGGATAGAGGAGGCAATGGATTGCTTTATTGCAACTTCTTGAAGCCTCTGACGCCGGTTCTTTTGCTTATGTCGTCGACTAGGTTGATTCTGATGACGACTCTTTTGTTGTAAAATGTGAGATCTGATTGATTCTACTTCTCTCATCAAAGACGATGGGATTGGGTATGGTCCGATGCTTGAACTTAGAGTAAGTCCACTATCGTTTGATTCTGGAGTAGATGGGGTAGCGAGTTCTTCCTCGATAGGTGATAGAGATGATGTGCTTGAGCTTCCTAGAGATGGAGTTCTTTGTGGAGATCTAGAAGAGTTCAAAGAGGGGAGCGGCGTGTTTCCGAAACATAGAAAGCGAAGAGAAGTGAACATTGCGATAATATATTACTCGAAAAGAGGAAAAAATTTAAGGATAATTAACAAATCGGAATAGGGTCAAAAAGAGCCTCTTTAATCTATAGATCTAGATCCAACTTCGTGAACCCGATTAAATTATTGATCGAAGGGACTAGGAGTTGAGTGGTAACTTTGTGTTGTCTCGTGTTGCAAATTTTCACGGGCCTCGGGGCGTGCTCAAGACAAGTCCGCCAAAGTAAATGTATAATCTATTAATCTCGCTATGGATCCTTGTGAACAGGTGGGGGAGGGGCAGAGAAAACCCGCCAGGGTATTTGAGTTTGAGCCATCGAAACCTTTCTCACTGCTTCTTCTTTTTCTTGGTTTTTTTTTTTTCCTGAAAAGAAGCTGACTGAGCTCATGAGGCTGAATTCACGAACAAGCTACATGTTACCACGCTGTTCCATTCCTATATTGTAACTATCTGTAGAAGCAAAGTCATTGTGCAAGGTATCTGCATTTGGGAATGTTACTCATGTACGCATTTCGTGGTTCATCTGACGTCCGAACGGTCGTGATACGGCCGGAAGCAGCAAGAGATATCAAGAGCTTCGAGGCTAAAGCCTCGTACAAGGGCTGATGGACGGGTGTATCGTTATAGCCAGCAACTGATCAGACGGCATCACCCGGACCACAGGATTCCCCGGATCACAGACCACAGAGCCTAAAGCCCAAGGGTCGAAGACAACACTGGGCTCCCCGAGCAATGATAACCGGCCATAGTCGGACCCACCGGCCCCACTAAATCAATAGTTAGACCCACACCAAGACCCACCTGCCGAAGGCCGCGTGCTCCACTCCCTAAAACAGCGCATTCGCAGACTCGGTTGGTTGACTGAGCATTGGCGAGAGCAAGAAAAGGATCCGTGCATACCCCTGCTGGGTAGCCGACATTAATTACCCTGGTGCCAAGGTTCAAAACCGCTCTCACCGCTGTGAGAGCTCCCTCGTGGGGGGAGACATTCGAAGCGCGAAGACGGACAGCCAGATAAGAGCCAACCTGCATGCGAAGTCGCATGCAAGGTGCAGCGGGCGTCGGGAAATATCTATGACGAGACGATAGGTGTGCATAAACATTTAAGCCTAGCAAGGGCTTCCTCCGAAAGCAAGTCAGTTCACGTAATGAAAGGTGGTGGGGCCGGCATCCGTCTGTTCAGAGACTAAAGTAGGTACCGAATTACGTATATTAAACCGGCAGTCATGGTGGCAGTAATAGTAAGAATAGTAGTGTGTTTCGCATATTTGATCGATTGCGATTCGCTCCAAGGTATTGCGTGCGATGGGATGAAGCAGGCCGGCCCTGTCCCGTTTAGCCTTTTCTCTCGTATATATGTATGTGTGTGCCTGAACTAAATTAGTATGCTCCAAGGAAAAATAGGTAAGGAAAACCGGCCTTCGCTCCGCCCAAGATTATTTTAAGTGAGACCGAAGTATAGGATGAATGTCTATGATTCGGTTGAAAGATAGGAGGTAAATAAGTAAGTCAGTCATACAGCCCATGTAAAAATGTGTGCTGTAGAACGGGTAGCCGACAGGATCGCACCCCGGACATCGATGCGATGTTTGTCTCGTATTCCTCATGGAAGAGTTCAGAGCCGGCATTGTTGTTGTTCCGAGCCAGACAGACCTCGCCAACTTCTGCCTTGCGAGCTTGAAATCTTGTTGTTCTTCGTGGTGTTTCTTTCGGCCGGCCGGTTACATAATCGTCCTATTTGGGGTATAGCAACGAATCCATATTATTAATCTTGTTACACACGGAACTTGTCATGTCAATTGCCCGGCTCTTCATGCTCCAGAGCTTCTCCCTCGTTGCGCTCTGCTGTGCTTTGCTGTGCCATCTGGCCTGTCTTCCCTTTCACCCATCCAACTGAGTTCTGAGCGCTGGCCCTCCATCAATTCTTTGTGTGAGCCCTAATTGATAAGTAATTATTCTCCACTCTGCTGTTACTGCCGCTGTTACTGGTACTGCGCTGCTATCACCACCACCACCACCATTTCTATCTCCACTCCACCAGACGTCCAAGCACGTTCGCTTCCATTGCCACTGCATCGTAGCTTTCTATCAAACCTCCCCATCCTCCAAGTCGTAGTGTCGCCAACCTTAGATAGCTAGCAATCCACTCAAGTTCTAAGCTCGCGCCTACCGGCTACCAAGATAATCACCTCATCCATCATCCCATCATCTCCATCGCCTCTTCTTTCATCATCTCTAGAATCACCTCCAATATCTTCATCACCTCCATCCAAAATTAATCAGAAAAACCATCAAGAAAATCCGAAAAATGGCTCCAAGAATCCCAAGCATCCCATCTTCGACCGACCTGTCGGGCCAATCTGCTTTGGTTACAGGCAGCAACACTGGCATTGGCTTTGAGAATGCACGTCAATTTCTACAACTCAAGGCATCGCCTGTCTACCTCGCTGTCCGAAGCGTTGAAAGGGGCCAGGAGGCCAAGAAGCTCCTCCTAGATGACCCGGAAGTCAAGAAAAAGAACCCAGGAGCCGTTGTTGAAATCTATCAAGTTGACATGGCTTCTTTCGATTCTGTTGCTGCCTTCGCTCAAAAGTTCAGCGAGGTCAAGAAGTTGAATATCGCTGTCCTCAATGCCGGTGTCAGCTTCTTCAAATACATTCCTACTTCGGACGGATATGAAACCGTTCTCCAAGTTAACTATCTCTCCAATGCTCTCCTTGCTACCCATTTGCTCCCATTGTTGAAGGCCGGAGCTGCTGCTTCTGGGAAACCATCCCATCTCGCCTTTGTCTCTTCCAACATGCAGCACATGACCTCCCTCAAGAAGAATACCATCAAACCCAACGAGAACATTATCGATTGGTTCAACAACAGGGCTAACTTCGGCATGGATCGCTACAATGTCAGCAAACTTCTACTCACTGGCTTCACGAATGAACTCGCTTCCAAGATCGACAGCTCGCAAGTTGTTATCAACTCAATGTGCCCTGGCTTAGTCGCTACCAACTTTGACACCAATTCTCCTTGGTACTTGAAGTATTTGATGAAGGGTGTCAGATCTCTAATGGCTCGTACCCCCTCTGAAGGAGCCCGAGCCTTGACTTTGGCTGCAATTACTGGAACCGAGGGTAACGGGAAGTACTATAGCGATGGAAAAGAAACACCGTAAGTCAACCTAACTAGAATATCCCCAAAGATCGGGACATCGCTAATAATCATCTTTTACAGTTCTGCCGCGCTTCTCTTGACAGAAGATGGTAAGGCTTTCCAAAAGAAGTTATGGGACCAAACACTTGAGCGAATCCAACAGCTCGACCCAACTTCACCTCCTCCAATTTAAGCTTCTCGCTTGGTGCGCCCGATTTTCTTTTCTTTTTTTGTTCAAGCGGCTTTTACAATGTAAAGAGCCGCAATTTGATGGACCCCTACCCAAAACTTTTAATGTCCCTTAGATCATAATTCGCAATCAGAATGGCAGGTTTCTATTATTAAGACGCAGTGCGATACCCTTGCTCCAAACAATGTGAGAAAGCCTGGATAAACCCCAGAAAAAAAACTCAACTTCTCGTATATCTACTTAGCCTATAATGTGTCCTAGTGAACTACTCTTGGTCTTCCTTAGTAAATAGTATTGCGGCTCAAGGGCATCTAGGTCCATGTCAGCTAAAGTACTCTTCCAACCCATAAATTATGCAAACCAACGTGAATTCGGAGGAGCCCACGAGTCTGTAGTAGTCAACGCTCCCCAAATCATACCCTTATGTCCGGCCGATACCCATCGTTATCATGTTGTGGCGCTCCGCAGCCCTGCAAGCGAACCGGAACCGCTTGTCACGGAATTCAAATGATAATTTAACGTTATGGATATGTGTGCCGAGTACGAGAAATCTCAGAAATCCCCTCGATTTCTGGCTTGGTATGGCTTATAACCGTCTTGTCTTTGGGATATCTCATCTTGATATCTCATCAACTAGCTTGAACCCATCGCAATAGGTGCTTACCCTGTCGGACTGGGTGCTGACAGGAAATGGTCATGGCTAGTAAGCGTTTTGAGGGGCTCTAGATCTAGAGGCTGTTCACAGGAACCTTGTCTGGGAACTTCCGAGTTTATAGGTTCTTTTTTCGCCGAAGTTCGACGCAATTGCAACCCAACGTTTTGTGATAGATCGTACCTAGTGCGAATTCTATACTCTAGGCGTGCGGCACGGATTATCTAGGTGTATATAGACTGATCGATAGTGCCATTTTAAAAATTGTCTAGGGGCTGTCTTCTATCCCACCCTCAAGCCGTTTACCTTGTAAACTTGCCTTCCTTATATATTTTTGTTTGTTTGAAGGGTATATCCTTTATTCCGGAAAGATGTTTGAAAACACACTACAAGGTGCCTTGATAGGGGTCACGGTGATCCCCACTCTTATTTTATCGCTGCCAACTACATCGTTTGTTAGGTATGCCATATATCCCCTTCCAGCTTTGCTGGTACTCAGGGCTCTGCTATGGCCACCAACAGAGGGGCTAGCAAAGGAAACATACCTCCTTGGTCTCCTCATGACAGACACATCCTTCAAGATGTTCGATTATCTTTATCTGCAGGGCTACAATGCGCCTGCTAAGTTCCTCCAAGTCGATAGGGTCGGAAGGACTATTACAAAAGTCCATGAATATCCTAAAGACACTCTGGGCCAAGTCAAATGGGCCCTATCGTTAGTCACCTCCCATCGAGGGATCGGATGGAACATCCAAGTGCCACTGCAGAAGATTAAATACCCTTCTTCTCGCGTAGCCTATATATTCGAGTCCATGGTTAGCATCCTGTCTATATACTTGGGATTATATACATGTGGTAGTCTATGCGACTACATGGTCCAGGTCCTTCGGAAGGAAGCAGACTCACCGTATCCTTGGGTCTATGGCCTTTTCAAAAATTCCATCTTCCAGATGGTGGTCGCATTCATGGGGATCTTTGCCATGGTATCGAATAGCGTTTTAGTTTATAACCTGGCACGCATGATCTGCGTTACCTCAGGAATCAAGGGGGATTGGGGCAAGATTGAATCGTGGCCGAATATGTTCGGGGGGTTCGAGGACGCCTGGAGTATTCGGAATGTCTGGGGAAGAGCATGGCATCAGAATCTGAGAAGGGTATGATATTTGAGTTTATATATCCCTACCGATCGAATCTACAATGAACCACAAGCTAACAATGGATGTCGAACACTCAGTGCTTGACTGCACCAGGGGAAAAAGTCTCTTCCCTAATCTTCGGTAGCTCTCCAAAGCTCGGTCGGGTCCCACGATTGATCAGACGATACTTCCTTGTATTCTCCGCCTTTGGGGTCTCCGGACTCCTACACTCCCTTGCAGTGTACTACGGTTCCAAAACCGACACCATGCCGTACGAAGATTCAACTCCCCTCCATATGCGGCCCGGGTGGTATGTAACAGGTTATTTCTTCTATATCCAACCCTTCGCCATCACCCTCGAAGATTTCATCTGTTGGGCCACGGGGACATCCACGGAATCCAAGGGTGTGAAAGCAACGAAAGTTAGATGGTTCGTTGGCATGGTATATACGTTAACCTGGTTCACCTGGGGCACAGCGGTCCTATGGATTCATCCCCAACTTGCGTCTCTTGGCTACCAAAGGACCTCGGACGCCGAATTGGGTTATGTTCATATTCTAGTTTCTACCAGTGAGGCAGCATCTATTTTGCCATTGAATCCTTGGCCTGCAGTAGTTAAAACGGTCAGTCCGACGTTCTGGGACGTGTATGGGTATTTTAAAAGTTCAGGACTTGGGGGATATCTTTACCTGTATGCGTATACTACCCTTGAGATACTGGGTGGTAGCGGGTTTAATGTATTGAAAAGCGCTAGCAGTGTGGTGTAAATACATCCGTCAATAGGGTTCGCGGTTAACCGGCTGCTTGGTTTCTAGAATGTTTATATGTCGGGGGGATTTGATGTAGATTAATAATCGAGCTCGGATAGTAGATGTTCCGATTATAAATGCTTAGAATGCTGTAGGTGTGCATCTGTTTGCGCTTTCGGTAATATTACATATAAAATAAATTAGCAGTCCCAACAGACAGTACAGCCACACAATCATATCCCAGCCAGTGTAGTAATATATTGGATAGAAGCGTGAAATTTGGGAAGCGCCTAGCTAAATAGAATACATGAAAATAAACTACCTGTGCAAAATACAGGTAAATACAAGTAAAGTATGAAAAGAGAGAAGGAGGAGGGAGAGACATTCTCTAAACGAATAACGGTCTACACATGCATCCTTTTTAAATTTTTATGCACATGCATGAATCTAGAAATGATCGAATAAATACAAAAAAAAACGGTATATGAACCTCGAGCGTAAGAAAGTATAGATCTCGAAGGCGAACAAATAGCTTAATACATACATCAGCTGATATCATATCGAATCAATGATAAATTAAAAGCAGTACTGCGTAGTATATATTATATATCTATCCTATTAATCAAGCGCAGAAATCCAACAGAACGAAGGTTACACAAACTACCATGCAGTTAGAGAAATTTGAATATTTTTGGTTTCCGGTTAGGAGCCCGACTGCAGCCTGCAGATGGCCTCAAGACTAGATCAGGGGAGTGTAATATAGATCATTGGCCTTGTCCATCATCTAAGCTGGTAGTTCTGGTCCTAGTCTCAATTGTCGTTTTCGCCCGAACGGGCATCATCGTTGGGGGTGGTGGTAGGGTTGGCAGTGTCCCCGTGATAGTTCCGTTTGCAATGGGGGGAAGAGGAGGAACAGGAGGAACGACCAGAGGAGGTGCGCAAGGGGCAGGTATACAAGGAATAGGGATGGGAACCGGCATAGGGGGACCTGGCACCGGTATTGATATTGGGGGAGGACACTCAACGGGATTGTTATTCCTTTCCGAACATTTCTTAAAACTTCCCTTCCCGGGCCTCGCGTCCACAACGAATACATCGCATGCGAAGGAGCATTCCACTTCTCTCGTCTGATAAATTCCATACATTGTTAGTAAAATGGTATAACACACGCTTGTATTACGTTCAATACTCCAATTCGGGTTGGGGGCGCAGATAACTAGACTAGGCGCAGATGAATTTTAGCTTACCTCAACCTTTTGGTCCTTGGTTTTATCATAAGTAGAGGGTAAAACAAACGATTCACCGTCTGTTTCCATCTCTCCCGACCATTTGGTCCAATCGGTCTTCACATTACACCAAGGCCCGCTCCCCTTGGTCTTGTCCCCTACAAACTTCCGCCCGTCTGAGGGATTGGAGTTCGTATGCCATTCTAGATCCCCATAGTTAAACTGCAAAAAGTCCCCTCCCGTGCCCGCGCCCGGCGCAACTTTCATTTTATAAGGGAAAACTTTGGAACCAAAGCGACAATCGCTTTGTTCTTTCGCATGTACATTACTACAATCCCCGAGGGTTGATTGATCTGAGATTACCCTCCCGTTTGCATCGAAGAATGTGCCTTGGATGCTGTAATTGAAGGGAGGTGGAAAGTCTAGAGGGGTATCACCCACAGTTGCATCTCTTAGGCGACCCCAGATTATTTTGACAGAGCACTCGCCAGGCATGAACTCATCTGCAACCTCGACGCAGAGTTTATCAGAGCCCGCAAGGGCAGTTGGCGCGATTCCGAGGGTAAGAAGAGAAAGGCTCAGAATCAACGTCTGCATGGCTTTGGGTTTCGAGCCACAATTGATTAATTGAATGGGATCCCAAGAGTAGAAGAAGAGTTAGAGATGGGATTATAGTTAAGGAAATTTAGCTTAAGGGTGCATAGAACTTTGTTTACTGGGTTTGGTGGCTATAGCTAGCTAAGATAGGATTATGGTTTTGAATTCATTCCACCGGGCACCATAAACCCAGTTATTTAAACATCTGCATCAATACCTGTGCTCCGTTAAAGGCGATGTAGCTAGGCTACTGTGGTAGCAAATTAAGTTTCCTAACAGTAACATGGCCATTCAGTGGCTATGTTGAATAATATTCTAGAACGGTTATTGCGACTGTCGACACCACGAAACCTTGGTCTCACGATCTCCTGTGGCACGAATATACTCAGGCGAAATTGGTTTTCACGTACACTAAATTCGAACAGATACATCCTCTATGGCTATTGAGATGCAAAGCCGGTTTGAATCGTTCTGTCGAAAAGGCTTGTAGAATTGTGTTTAAACACCCAGGACATGAAGTTGCAAAAAATATGCATGAATATAGCCCACTTCTTGTTAGACATCGCCTCAATTAATTCTTAAGGGTATTTTGTTGTATATGCGGCGGAAAAGTTAGTAACAACCTATAACTTTGCGGCAATGCGTTTTGAGTTCTTTTGTGTTATAACGTTATAGACCTACCCGCACGAAGAAATCCTACAACTAGAATTCAACCCAACGGAGATCAAATCGCGCAGTAGGGAAATCTAAGTATTAGCACAGAAAGATATATGAAAGATAATCTTCCTGTAGTGTTCCATACAGGATATATGCGTACGTACGGCGTCTATCCAGCAACAGGATTCTGAAACCAGCATATGAGAAATAGCGCAAGGTTGGTCTCGCTCTAGCATCTAGGTCAAGAATACAATGCTTTCGTTAATGTAACCTAGGGAGTCTTATACAAATCTTGACTCGAATTCCTCCAACAGGGGTCACATTGGTCGAACGAATCCACAACCATATTCTCCTCCTCCTTCTCATCCTCCTCTGCCTCCTCTTGTTTTTCTTCCGCCTTACCTTCCAGACTTTCGCTTTCTCCGCCCATAGGTCTGGAAGTGTCATTAGCGGCCATTGGACCAATAGATTTAACTGCGCCAATACTCCACAGTAAATCGTTCACATCTTTTATTTGAGGGTTTTCGCAAACTCTGTGATCTATATATATTGTATTAACTTTAAAATTGGCGGAATCTAGTAGATTTTGAAGATTTTCTGGCGTGGTCTCGACTCCTCCATAAATGAGAATTGGGGCAGCGTAAGAGACAGCGGATTCGAGGGAGCCCATGGCCCATATCTAGACAAATATTGAAATGCTTTGCGGAGGGTTAGGCCAATTTTGCAGTTGTCGATGATCTTGTATTTGTAGAGTAGATGATAGGGTGTAAACTCCCCATTCCGAATAAATCCTGAAGGGGGGAAAAAATACAGCTATGCCTTTAACCTTGCCCCAATTTCTAAATTTGACGTTAATATGCCCCCTTCTAACTGTATCTTCAGATCTTCTACCAGATTTTATGAGTGCTTGCGTTGTGCGTGGTATTATGTGAGCCTGGCACGTTGCTTTTTCCGCCGTCCAGCCAAAAAGATTTTTTTTCTAGTTCTGAACTTTTTTCGGTTCGATACCACCGCGAGAGAGCTTCAACGTCTTCGCTCTTCACCACCAATTCATCAATTTACCCAAAAACTCGTCTACTCGAGTCGCACATACCGTCGCTACAATGGGGAAAGGCCGTTCAAAGCACCAGGGTCTTCCAGACCCTATCGAGATGTATCACCCTCACCTTGCGAAAAAGCGCAAGGTTGACGATGAAGACGAGAAGCCGTCGAAACGAAAGAGAGGCGATAAAAAGTCAAAGGCTGCTCCTGTAGTATCTGAAAAGAAGAACGGGAAGGCTGTCAAACAGGCCAATGGGACAAAATCGAAGCCTGCCGCCACTTTACCTGCAAAGAAAGGAACGAAGGATTCTGCGCCGAAGTCTAAGGCGAACGGCAAGAAGGCCCCACCGCCACCATCAGATTCTGATGAGGGAAGTGATAATGAGGATATGGAATGGGAGGATGAAGATAATGAAGTTCCGGAAGGGAAACTAGATTTCATGGGTCCCTCAGACGATGAAGATCTCGACTCTAACGATGAACCTAACCTCGACTCCGACTCCGAAAACTCGGTTTACGACTCTGGTGATGATGAAGCCCGCCCAATCTTCTCAGACGACGACCTTTCTGGCTCGGACGCTGAAGAGCAGCTCACAGCGGCCAACATCGCCGGTCTAACTCGCAAACTCGACCTCCAGATCGCACAGGAAGAGGAGGAAGCAGAGGCTGAATTTCAAGAGCAGATAACCACAAATATTGGCGCTGATGAAGTAAAACCTTTCGTTATCGGTGCCGCAGCTCATGATGAAGATACTACCAAATCTCTCACATCTCTCACACCGGACCTCGCCCTCCTTCGTACTCGTATCAACGACGTTGTCCGTGTCCTCGAAGACTTCTCCAACCTTTGCGAAGCCGGACGTTCCCGTACTGACTATACTGAGCAAATCATCGCCGATATCTCTGCATACTATGGTTACAGCCCCTACCTTGCCGAAAAACTCTTCGACCTTTTCTCTCCCTCTGAGGCTCTCTCTTTCTTCGAAGCAAACGAAACCCCTCGTCCTCTAGTCATCCGTACAAACACCCTAAAAACACATCGAAGAGACCTCGCGCAAGTTCTTATTAACCGTGGCGTAACTCTTGAACCAGTTGGAAAATGGTCGAAAGTTGGATTGCAAGTCTTCGAATCCCAAGTGCCACTCGGTGCTACACCAGAGTACTTGGCAGGACACTACATTCTCCAAGCCGCATCTTCGTTCCTTCCTGTGATGGCCTTGGCACCACAAGAAAACGAGCGCTGTCTGGATATGGCCGCCGCTCCTGGTGGAAAAACCACATATATGGCCGCTTTGATGAAAAATACCGGTTGTATCTTCGCAAACGACGCGAACAAGAACCGTGCAAAGGGTTTGATTGGTAATATTCACAGATTGGGTGTGAAGAACACGATTGTTTGCAATTATGATGCAAGGGAGTTTCCAAAGGTTATTGGAGGGTTCGATAGAGTGTTGCTCGATGCACCATGCTCGGGAACAGGTGTTATAGCAAAGGATGCAAGCGTCAAGACAAATAAGACAGAGAAGGACTTTTTGAAACTACCACACCTACAAAAGCAACTTTTGTTGGCAGCGATCGACTCGGTAGATCATAATAGCAAGACTGGAGGTTATATCGTGTACTCAACTTGTTCGGTCACTGTGGAGGAGAACGAAGGAGTAGTGGAGTATGCGCTGAAGAAGAGGCCAAATGTCAAGCTGGTGGATACCGGTTTGACGTTTGGTGTTGAGGGTTTCGTTAGCTTTAGGGGGAAGACATTCAACGACAAGATGAAGATGACAAGGAGATACTATCCGCATAAGTACAATGTTGATGGTTTCTACGTCGCAAAATTCAGGAAGGTAGGACCTAGTCCGGCCGGAACAGCTAGCGCTGTACCAGAAATCATTGAGGAAGCGGAAGAGGGCAGTGGAGCCATGGAAATTGATGAAGAGGGTAGTGAGAAGGAAAAGGAAGAAGGTAGAGCAATTGACTGGTCGGAAGACGAGGAAGATAAGAAAATGATTGAGAAGAATTTGAGGAGGCAGAAGCGGAGAAAGGGTATTGACCCTCGCGCCGACCCGTCGAAAGCCGGCCAAAAGAAGAAGAAAGAAGAAGAAGAAGCCCCCAAGGAAGAAGATGTCAAGAAACCACAGGAACCAGAGCCGACAAAGGCAAACGGTGAAGAGAAGGAGAAAGATAAGCTAGCAAAGTCAACCGGTGAAGAGAAGAAGAAAGATAAGCCAGCAAAGACAAAGGGAGATAAAAAGGATAAACCCACAAAGAGTAAGGGCTTTGTAAGAGTATCAAAGAAGGCGTAAGGCGAGACACGATAGATTCTACTGCATAATAGGCTATTTGGCCATGTTACTTTTTTTTCTTTCACTTCTATACTTGTATTATACGGATACAATCTACAGTATATATCAATACAAAAGCACCCTGATAGCCATTTTAAATTATTGTTGTACGCTTACACTAATCCCAATCGTCATCGTCATCATCCGCTTTCCTAATGGCAGAGCTCTTTATAGACTTCTGCCTCTCTTCTGGTTCTTCTTTCCTCTGCAATCTAAAGTCTCCTAGCTTGATAGCTCCAACGTCGACTAATAACTTCTCGATGTCCATCATTCCGCACTTAACCCCACCGAGGGACTTCAAAGTCACAACTTGCTTCTTGATCTCTGTATCCTTATAAACCAATATTGTGGGACAATTCCTTTCCGGGTACCCTTCAATGGCCATATCCGCCCTCATCTCACAAAACTTCACATCCGGGAACTTTCGCGCTGCCTCCCGCCATATCTCCGACAAAAGCTTGGATTCCGTATTCGCATACGACGCCGACGACAAATGCACAAACACAAAGTACTGATTCGAAGATTCCGTCACATCCTTCGCGTAGTCTGGCTTTTGTAACGGGTATACATTCCCGTGTGGTGAATTCTTTCCGAGGGTAGATAACTCCTGTAACCGCTTCTGACGGTAACTCTCTAGGAAAGCTTCATCTTCATCGTCTTCGAGCTCGTCGAGTTCGTCGAGGTCTTTGCCTTCCAGACGGTTTTCGTGAGCAAGACGGGAGGCTTCGATCAGAGCTTCCTGGATCTTGGCGGTTGGGGAAGGAGGTCGTTCGGGGATAATGCCATGTTTACGGAGAATATCGTTCCTGTATTTGGAGAAATGAGTTTAAGATATTTGCTCTATGCCGGGTAAGGGAGCCCGGGTTGGCGGGAGAAGTTGCGGTTAGTTAATTAACCTTGAATTCGGATTTGGTAGAGGGGTTGTAGCGGGGGAGGGGCACTAACCATTCAGTGTCGGCATTTGGGTTGTCGATCGGGACATTAACGGGCATATCCATCTTGACTGATATGACTGCGAGAGTCTCGTTTGAAACAAAGTTGATGATGAAGATGAGGATGTAATGGGATAGGGATCCAGAGTCGCGAACGTGGGCAAATGGTGGGTTAAATGTTGGTGGGGCACACTTCACCGTTCTGGTCATGCAGAGCCTCGCTTGTTAGGTCGGAGCTGCACGCGCAAGCTTGACTTCCTGCCTAAAATATCTGACGACGCGGCTACCTAAGCTAAGTAGGTATTGAACATGATTCAATGAACCATTCTGAGACTGAAAAGAATTCAAACGCCGGGTATATATTGATCGAGACCACGACTAAGATATCGCAAGTTAGGGAATATCGAAATCTGAATAAATCATACAGAGTATTCCGCCTGTGACCCCAGAACGGAGTTACTCCAGAACGCCAGCCAAGTCAAAATCCTTAATTATAACTCTCATCCTGATTTTTACGGTACTACATTTATAGTAGAGTCTAAAACGAGAAAATCAGCATAAAATTCGAATCTAGAAAGAAAACTCCAAAACTCAATCAATTTGAATTTGGTCATTTAATTTTTTTTGGTGCCATTTGATTAATGTTACGGCTGTAGCAGTGCAGTCTTCTATCGAAATTCATGCCACAAAAACAACACATAAAACCCTGATTATTGAGGCTCAGATCTGAAGTTTGAAACTTGAGATCCAGGGGATTTGCTTGACATTTTGGCCGTTGGTTTATTATATATAAGACAATAAATATAATCTCAGGAAGCTTTATTACATACTACGTGTGTCAGCCTTGGTTGTTAGCAAGACTTTGTAACCCCGTAAGTGCATGTTTGATAAATGAAGAATTCGAAATTTGGGTATCTTCGGTAACTGCGTGCTATATTTAAAACAAAGGGATAACACGATATCAATCAGATCACCATCTCCAGATCGCGATCGATCTATACAGTTAATTGGTAATTGCTTATCATTTCCACATGTACAGTGCGGTCTGTTAGCCAATCTGTGCCACAAGAGCCCGATCGATCAGAACACCAAATTTATTGTTCACGGCCATACACGGTTACAATAACAGAATCAGTATTCATAGCCGCACACGGCAATGGAGGCGTAGATACTGATTTATCACTAGCACCATATTGAGGCCTAGACATATAGGTAGTATTATACACGCAACTGGTTAAGAACTGGTTTGCTTGCTGTGTATATCTGCGGAGCGTTAATTTTGTGTCTCTCTCTCTTGATATTTATCTTTATCCTGCTATATCGGTGGAAATCGCAGGCAAATATTTATGTCGAGGCTCAATTCAAAGTTTCACCTCGATAGCAATCAACGATATCCAGTGATTCTAGTATCTTTCTCTTTCTTTAGGGGGGACCTTTGCATTGCATAGCGGCGTACTCAATTCGATCCATAATATCAGTCGACGGGTACTCTTTCTTGTGTAACCACGAACAAAATACAACATGCAGTTTAAGAGTTTCACATAGAACAAATAGAGCAAATAAAACTTTGGGTGTACCGGAGCCAGAAAAAAAAAACTGGGGAAGGAAATGGGCGAGGTAAAAAGTCACTAAGGGAATACTATCACATTAATTTCTGACCTCAACGTGGCAAGTTAGCCTCTATTAGTAAAAATAGATATTCTATTCGAGCTTAAGTGTGTTTGAATTGAGTTGTGCCACCATCTCGATGGTATACGTATATACAATCTTAGTTTCGTTCCCATACAACCTGAAGGAGCAGCGCTGAGTTGGAAACGGCTGGTCAGCATAGTGCGGCGATAAGAGACAAACAAAAATTCCCCTACGGTTTCAATTGGTAAACTGAATTTTGAGGATGTGATCACTAAGCACATCTTTTGGGTCGGGTGCTTTGCGGGGCGAGACTTGTTTCAGTAGCCACTAGCTAAGGCAAATTCGTGGCACAGAAACCTCCATATTTCAGGCAAGTTATGGATGTTCCGTTGAGACCTATACAATAGCAGCATCGCCAGCTGAGCTCTCCTACAAACGCAACCGAACAACAATACCGTTAGTTTGGGCTCAAACTATAGCTCTACAGGCCCTATGCAAATATTCAAATCCCAGAGCTGCCTTAATATTCAATTTCCATTTCAATATCCCACGACGTTGACCCCAAAGAAGTTGTATTTCCAACATGCCTGACGGCTCCATTGATACTCCAACTACCACCGAATACCTTGGCCCAGAAGAGGATAGGTTCTCTGGCATCAAGAATCCTCGTATGTCTTCACCAGCGAAACCCTCAAATCTAGGAAATTAAAAATCAATGGCTGATTTATATTTAATTTACGACCCTAGCCGAACCAAAATTGAAAATCCTAACAGGAAATGACGCCCCTTGGCCAGGAAGTAGCTACGTCATCGGATACCAAAATACATCAAAGGTCCTGACATTTAAGGACCAAGGCGTTATACTTGCTGAATACGAAGGAAAGCCAACGCAGCGGTGGGCGTGCCATGCTCGAGATGGCTGGTTGGGCTTCGCAAACGACCCAGGTGAAACTACGCGCTGGCTTGGCTTCGACGATATAAACAAAACTGACCCGCTGCTGATCTGCTGGGCCCCTAATATCAACGGTAGTTGGGAAACGTTTTGTGTGATGAAGAGACCTGAAGACGGTTTCCTTGTGTTTAAGAGGGTTGACGAAAGGTTGAGGCCGATAGGAACAGGGCCGGATGGGAGTCTATCTGTCAGAGGAAACTGGTATCATTGGTGGGGATTCACGAAGATATCTTAGAGATCTAGTTTGAGGGAGCTTCATTATTAGTACAAATTGACCGGAATGTATTCCCGGGCCCTATTTAATAAATACAATCGCTGGTTAAGCAGAGCCGAAATAGATCCCATTTCGAAGATATTTCTGATTAGACCAAGCACCAGCTCCCGAGATCTTAAGCGGATGGTGATAAAGCTTAGCTTACCAGTAATAGTACGTAATAAAACGCTGCTAATAATCGCATTTGCAAAGGCCAGGCCGCACGCACACCTCCTGCAACGCAAGTTACCGCCTGAGTTCAAGGCTAGCAAGTTACATTATATTCATGACGTTTCATTGGATAACCAGCTATCAGGCATCATTTAGTAGGTTACGCCATAGCCCTCAGTCCAGTACGTATCATATACACCCTCCTTAGCGCCTTTAATCAAGTGGGCAGTACTAAAGCAAGGCTCATTTATATTTTGAAGTACGTACGATAGAGCTAGCTTGAACACTTTTATCGAAGGAATCTAAACGGACTATACTAGCTGATTTTCCAAACTTCCTCCACCGGCTCACTGTAAATCTACCCCATGGATACCCCGAAAACATCGATATCGGCATACGGTTCGCTACCAGACGTAGATCAAGACCACGTCTCCCTCCAAGCGAGGCCAGTCTCCCTCCTTGAGGGACTTCTACGCTCTCAGAAACTAGGATCAAGTAAGTTATCCGTCTGGAACTCCTGATATAATGGTCCTAAACCCGACCCTTGATGTGATATTTCTATAAAGCTAACATATGGAATAGACGTGCCACTACAGCAGCTGACATTAAACGATGCACCGTGGCCTGGAAATGCCTACGTTATCAGCTACGGCGATACGTCCCAAGTACTGACGTATCAAGATAAGAAGGTTGTATTGGCAGACTACGAAGGGAAACAAAGCCAAAGATGGATATGCCATTCGAAAGACGGGTGGCTAGGCTTTAATAGCGAACCCGGGGAAACAACGCTGTTTATGGGATACACCGGCACTGATCAAAAGCTTGTATGTCAAACAAGCAACCATCAGGCGCATGAGATGTTTTGTATCAGAAAACGACCCGAAGAAGGATTCCAATTCCTTACGAGGAGCGGAAAGGATTACAACTTCTTATGGCCTTTAGGTAAAAAGGAAGATGGTCAACTCGCTGTTATAAGAGGCTCGAAGGATTGGTGGGGCTTCACAAGGACTATCTAATAACGGCGTTTCTAGAACTTTGTGAAAATAGACTAAAGCGCTATCGAAGCAATGTAGTTTACATATAATAAACTTCTGGAACCTTGGAGACGCGCAACCGTGCTGGGCCTGCTCTGGTACCGAAGCTAAATCTATAAATCTAGGTAGTTATATGGGGGCAATCCCACGACTAGATTTAAAGGACGAACATCAACGCCAGAGGGTCCTACAAAGCACTAGATCAAAGCAGAACCCTTCGGAATTAATCCTGCAAACTACTAGTACTTAAGTACCTAAGTACCTATGCTTCTTATCTCGTAAACCATAATCATTGGATCAAGCTTGTGTTGCAGATGTGGTCCACATCGATCAGAGCTGCGAATTCGTCTATGTATAACTGCATGCATAGCACACCATGTACTATCCCGCGATTGCTACTATAGACATATTCTTGAGAACAGCTTAGATCTTTGCTGAAACGAAAAGTATTTTCCAGTTTCTCCAATTTCAACTTCGATCCTGTGTTTCTTACCCTAATCTACTATAATACATCATGGAATCCCCGGGATCCCCGCGTACCCTAAATTCATGCGATTCTTCTAGTGTCCCATACCCGGAGGAGTTGGCCTTTCAACTTCAAAGCCTAAGAATCAGTGAGTACCATATTTATACTTTTACATACACCTAAGCTTTTTGCAAAGTTGAACGTTCGAGCCGATGAATCAATCAAACTCCAGCCGACGACCGGTTCTAAAATATATAATAATAATATTATAATTGGCAATAGATATCGATATGCCAGTCAACCAGTTGTCCTGCAACGACCCTCCATGGCCAGGCCATATCTACGTAATAAAATACCAAGACACTTCACGAGTTATGACTTACGATAGAAGCAAAGGGATCGTTCTGGCGGCATACAACGGGGGATCCAATCAAAGATGGACTTGTCATTCAAAAGACGGATGGCTTGGGTTTGCAAATGACCCGGGGGAGACTACGCTTTTCATGGGCCATTACGATAATAGACAGGAAAAGCTTCACTGCTGGGTAAATCATCACCTGCCGGGAGAAATGTTCTGCGTCAGGAAGCGACTGGAGGATGGTTTTCAGGTTCTGGGTCGAATTGGAGGGAATCTTCATCCTGTGGGGTTGGATGAAGCTGGGGATGCGGCTGTTATAAGGCACTCAGAGGCCTGGTGGGGGTTTACTATGCTTGCTTAGGGGTGCTTATGATAGCTGCCAAATTAGCTGATGCATGGTATGGAATTGCAATGAATTTTCAAGCATCTTGATATCGATATCGATATCCTGCACCCGACTACTAAAAGCGTTGAAGCTGTCGGGTTTTGTCTCTTCGAGATTTTGGGTAGTTCGGTTCAATTACGGACAAACTCAGAGATTTGGATTTAATATGAATACTACATAATCTATGTGGGACTCTATGCAGGTACTTACGTGCTTGATACTTAGTCTCGGAGCCAGAGTTAAGTACCTATGACTTAAGTTAACTGCTTGAGCGCTCAAGTATTCGTTAATTTGAGTACTGTACCTAATAGGTAGTCTACGGTCCTTTGATAACCCAATCACATCTCGTCCGCTTGTCGCCTAGACTTTCGAAGTTATCAATTGTTGACATCAACCTAGCTTAGAGATCATACACATCCCACGGCCATTTAAAACACCAGAATTTCAAAGATAAGATCCCAATCACAATTAATATTATTTTAACCGTTCAAGTCAATCCAATGGATACTCCGACCACCTCAACCTATGCCCCTTCAATCGCAGATACCGACCAGAATTACTACTCTGAGGTTTTTATATCAAGTAGGTTATTGATCCCTTCTAGTACTAGTCCTCATTTTTCCCGGGCACAAATATCCCAAACTAACCTACCAATACTGCGAAGGAGACGTAAACGCGATCCCCGAACTTACCCTCAATGATGCCCCATGGCCAGGTCACATCTTCATAATCAGCTATCAAGATACAAACCAAGTCCTCACCTACCACAAAGAAAAAGGCGTCGTCCTCCAAGAATACGACGGCAGCCACTCTCAGCGATGGATCTGCCATTCAAAATCAGGCTGGCTCGGGTTCACAGCAAACCCCGGGGACACTACTACATATCTTGGGCATTACGATTGGAAACTGCGTTGTCGGGATACCATGATTAATTGGAACGGGATGTTCTGTGTAAGGAAACGGTTGAAGCGGTTGGATGGATTCCAGATATTGATGAGGGGTAATGACGATAGTTTATGGCCTGTTGGGGTGCATGAAGATAGCGATGTGGCTGTCCTACAAGGTTCGGACGCATGGTGGGGCTTTACAATGATCGCTTAATAGTGGGGCCGGCCAGCTACCGTTCAAGAAGTTTCACCCACGGTTCTCTTCCCGAGAAAGAGAGGCTTTTGGAACATAGTTTTCATTGTCCGCCTGTTGATATCTTGCAATTTGGATATAGGTGGAAAAGGCGATATCCACAAACCTAAAGCTAGAAAATACATTATCAGAATGTAAGTAAAAGATGCCAAAGATGCGCGATAAAGGATATGTCGAAAACGCCGAAATGCCAAAGAAAAAGCGTCACTAGCTATCCTAAGTACCAATTTTTATCTTGAAGACCTCATGGAATCAAAAAAATGCAAATACCAAACCCTTTCCGCACTCCGGCATATCAAAGGCATTTTTGCCCATATTCCCATATAAAGAGTAGTCGAGATATATATATAAATCGCGGATATACCCCCTTCCAAAAGATATACTAATACCCAATACCATGTACCATCGCCGTCTGCACCCCTTCGTTCCACGACCTTGAGTACTCTTCCGTTTCCTCGTGAATCAGCCACTCGATGCCAGCGATTAGCCTCTTCAATGCCCTTTCAACTTCTTGTTCGCTCGTCAATACCATTTCCTCCTCCTCTGTGTCGGCATAAGTATTTGCTAGTCCCATGATTCCTCTCGGCTGGCTTCTCGGTTTGACCCATCCGATAGGCAATAACATTCGCCGACGGAGTTTAGAGTCGAGAACAACGATCGCATCGAGGGCTTGTCGGCCACCGCCTAGAGGATGGAGTAGGCCGAGTGAAGATGTAAGTTGGCGGGTGCCGTCGTATACTATTTAACAGCGTATATATGAGTACAACAAAGCTCACATCATGTAAGCTAGGTAAAGGTCAAGGAGTCCCTACTTATTGGTAGCGACGACACATGCGCCGGCGGTGGGATCAACGAGACTCCATACACATTAACCTTAAACGTCGAAAGCAAGGACGAGACAACACTATAAAACCCGCATTAGGCCAAATAATTAACCTTCCGATTCTTGAATTCCGAACTGCGATCAGAGGGAGGGTAAAAAAAAAAAAAAAATTATGTTAAATTCCTCACCTCGCAGCATGAAGGTGATCAATCGTACAACCCAAAAAACATAACATCGTAAACCGGCTCCCATCATGAACTAGCTCCGTAAACCGGCCATCGTCGCTGAGTCTGTCGTACCCGGATTGTAAAACACTGACACTCGCATTTTCCGCTCGAGGATCGAGTTTGATCGATTGTTCTATTGTCGTAACGTACTCAGGACACGCGGTCCATTGTTTCGCGACGCGAGAACGTTTATGGTCGACGTTGAGGTCTCCATCTCGGGATGGTGGGCGCGACGAAGGAGGGGATGGACTCGCTTGAAGGATTGTAGCCGACCGTTTGCGAGAGAGCGAAGAGTTTGGGTCGGACGGGGACATGGTGGTCGTCGACTTGTTCCGCGACTGCTGTTTTGAGGAGGAGACTACGACGATGGTGGTGGGCTGATCCCGGGGTAGCGATGAGCTGCTGTAACGGCCATCGAGTTGCATCCTGACCGGTTCCCTCCCTTCCTTCAATTAATATACCCCTTCGGCCTTCTGTGCCTTCTGCTGCGGTACCTCTCCGACCTAGGCCTCGTAATATTGCAGGGTCCGGTGTCTAGGCCTTTTTCAGCCTCAAGGAGGAACCACCTGTTGGCTAATGTTGGGCAGAAAATTTGTGGCCTGATCGCTCCTGGTCGTTCGAATATGGGCGACCCTGGTTTCTCATTCGACCGATATCTCCCGGTTATGATCCCCTCTCGAAGTGACGATGTATTGGTTGGTAATGCCCACCATCTTACCGGACACGGCTTGAGTGTAATGATCGACCCAGCTTAGGCTAACGGCTCCGCTTTTTTTCTTGGTATGAATGCCAAACATGGGGTACAAGACTGGGGTGCATTCGACGTCGGTCGGCTACACAAGCCATTGTCGCTTTCCCCCCGACGGACTAGTCAAATTGACCTAAGTATTTGAGTTCACTAAACGAAATCGTGAATGGTAGCAAGATTAATTGTATTGCGATGAGGGTGAGGACGCTGGTCGTAAGTTCGTCATTGCTAAAGCTACAATATCGCTGTTATATTCACACGACCGCAATTAATTCCGTTGCGGGAACAAAAGTATCCGAGGGTCCAAGAGCCGAGTGCTGGTTCGGGACATCGGCAACTGCAACCTCAGAGATGCGTACCATCACTAGTAGTAATAGGGATCAAGTCTCAGTGGGTCTGTGTCATCTCTCCCTTCTCCATAAAGCACTTCACAAACGCCACCAATGGGTATATCCATCACTGCATCAGTTCCTGTACTCCAGTAATCCTTCCAGTCCCAGCTTTCATCTTGATAATCCGCCTGTTCTTGATTTGAAATGTTAAATTCATACTCTTCCTCCTTTGGCATTTTGACTTGGTTGCCAAATAACATCTTGCTTTTCCGCTTCTTCTTTCTCCGACTCATAGAACCAGAAACTTTATCAATCGGTGAATGATTCTCTCCGCATGTAGAGGGGGATGTAAGTCCCCCATCTGGATGCATAGTCCGTTCTACAACATCATCGAGAGACTCCCATGTTTTCTGCTGGTAAGCGGCACTACTACTTGATCGACGAGACCGCGCGGGGGTAGGCAGTCCGCTAGATTCATATCCTTCACCCTGCATATCCACCCCTCTCAAGAATTTCCGGTGTTTGCTTTCATCGATCTCGACGATAGCCATCTTTGCCACTTCATCCACAATATTCTCTAGGGATGTAAAGGGCTTTGTCATGTACTCCGTGTTGTAAGATGCCAAAGCCACGTATATGTATAGAATTATGGCGACTATATACGCTGGAACCGCCAATGACCACCATCTGTTGTAAAAGTAGTGAATTCCGAGATAGTGGAGAACCGGAGCTGGAAGGTAGGACCATAGCAGGTACACCACTATTCAATTCACTGTTAGGATCTGAATATACTACAAGGGCCGAGGGTTGCAAGCGAGTAACGTACTGAATGCCAACGTGCTCGTTAGGTATAATACGAAGCCATAGTACTCGTAGGTTGGTACTTTCGGAGCAGCTCTTGGCGTAGACTGAGCTATTCGGCTTGAATTTGCAGCTTCGCTATCCGACGAGTCCGGTGTCGCAGGACGAGAAGGTGTAAAGGGAGGCCGAAGAAGTGATGTAAGAGACGGAGACGGAGGCAATGGCTATGTCGCATATAATTAGCACGGTTTGGATATAGTTCGAGCTCATTTGAACACTTGCATACCGTAGGGGGTCGATTATAGAATGGCGGTAGAAGGGTCTGTGCCATCGGCGACTCGCTCGGACTCGGACTATCCTGCGAAGAACTCGTAGAATCCGACGAGACCGACGACGAACGTGATCTCGAACTCGAAAAAACCTTTGAGAACGGTGACCTAGGCCTAAAGCCTGGACCTCCAGACGCTAAGGAGGTCCAGCTGCGACGGCGGTCGTCCATAGAGCTCAGCGTATCGGGCATCGTAAAGTTTCCTAGACCGATTAATCGATAGCCTAGTATTCGCAACTAGCCCCGGGGTATCATTTAGAAATGCCGGAGCTTCGAGAACCGTGGTCGCAGGTAGTCATGTTGGAGCGGTGAGGTAACGTTGCGAAGTCGCGACGTTTGCAATGCTCCAGCATAGTGCAGGTTCGCTTATGCCAGGTTAAGGCTGGCTGGCCAGGTGTCCAGCATGGAACGGGAAGGTTAGTAAATTCCCACAAACAGCTACCAAAATTCAAATTCAAAAAAATACAAATAAAATGAAATAAAATAAAATAAAATAAAATAAAACTTGCCCAGGCTAGTACCATGCCGGCCTTTGCAGAAAAAACTTCCGGCGAGTCAACCTCTCGGTGCGATATGGCCCGCAAGCAAGACATTCCAAGAATCTGATTTGATCAATGATGGTGGAAGGCGGGGCAGCTTCGACCGGAGAAACTTATAAAACAGTTATCGAAAAGGGTAGCCGAAAGTGGGCGGGATGCAGGCATCCCGGCCAGTCTGTCGGGCCTCCACACCCCGAAGAACGAAGCTAGTAGCTGCGCATTACCTACTTACCTTTCGGTATGGATGGGATGGCCATGGTCATGTACTACAAGCACTGGATGAGGGAATGGTCTGTGAGGAGCTTGTTAAATTCTGCTTTTTCTTGAAGGATCTTATAAAGCTCTACTCCCCAGCTAGGTTTTCCCATTTACATTGGATGCAAGCAGTTGCAGCAGAAGAAGAAAAAGTATACTCCCGAACAATTGCAATTGAACTTACTAGCACTAATTGCAAGTTAACTACACGCGCGACAATCGATAATCGATAATCGATAGCAAGAGGTAGCTCAATTATCCCTCATTGTGGGGTTTCTGCTGTTGCATTCAGACATCACAGACAGCTATGGCAACACACGCCCAGAAGGTCGTCACGGGCTTAAGGTCCAATTGGACCTTCAAAGAGACAGATTCGTCCGAAGAATGGCTCGAGACTGCGCAATTCCCAACCAATATCCATCTTGATTTGATTAAGCATAACAAGTAAGCATTTGATCTTCTTTTATTCCTCTTTTTTGGTTTTGTATTTTTCATTTTTCTTAAAGCGTATTTAAACGAGCTCGTATAAATGTTACGACACCAATCATACTTCGAGGCTTCACTATCCCCAGCTTCTAGCTGGAAACCTCTCTTCGCATTACGAAGAAGAAAAGAAGAAGAAAAAGGCTTGAATTAATTGATACTAACGGATCAATGTTAAAATAGGATTCCGGATCCTTTCTTCGAGCGAAATGAGCTTAAGGTTGGCTGGGTAGCTGAAAAGTTCTGGACCTACAGAACTGTTTTCAAATCTCCAGATGCATCCGCCGCATCCTACCTCGCCTTCGATGGCTTGGATACCTACGCCACTGTCTTCCTCAATGGCAAGGAAATCCTCAAGAGTGACAACATGTTTATCTCCCATCGGATTGATGTTTCAACACTGCTTTCCAAAGATGGTGGTGAGAACGAACTGTTAATCAACTTTGAGCCCGCTCTTGAACGCGCAAAAGCTATTAGAGATGCTCATCCCGAGCACTTCTGGAAGTGCTGGAACGGCGACACTGCTCGATTGGCCGTCAGAAAAGCACAATATCACTTTGGGTGGGGTAAGTATCCAATCGAATGCAAATGCCATCTCCGTCGTATCCATGAGTAGCGGGTCCAAGATGCTTCGTAGTCTCGTTTAGCTTCCCTTGGAAAGCTACTAGCTAGCGAATACGAGGATTTTTCAAGAATGAGCTGATTCTGATTGGTGATCTCGTGCCCTCAAAAGACTGGGGTGGCGTCTACATTACCTGTGGTCCATGGAGGGATATTCGACTGGAATCATACTCGGCCCGCCTTTCCGACCTTGTAGCTGCAGTCAGCCTTACCGACGACAACAAGCAAGCTACGGTAAAGGTGACAGCGCATGTCGACAGTCCCGCGGATGCAAAAATTGCTGCATCAGCCAAGGTTGTTGTTTCTATAACGGGAGCACGCGGCATTTCCGATTCAACCGTGTCCTTGGAATCAACTGCAGAAATTGAGGCTGACGGTACTTCCGTTGCCACATTTAAAATCGACGACCCCGCACTTTGGTGGCCTCATGGATATGGAAAGGCAAATCTCTACACTATAACTGCACAGCTCTTAGGACCTAATAATACAGTTATCGACACTGTTACCAAGAAAACTGGACTTCGAAAGGCTGAGGTCATCCAAGAAACGGATAAACATGGCAAGAGCTTCTACTTCAGAATCAACGGAATCGATGTATACTGTGGAGGCAGTGACTGGATCCCAGCCGACAATTTCACGCCTCGAGTTACTAAGGAAAAATATAGGGATTGGCTCGAGTTGATGGTACATGGCAACCAAGCCATGATCAGAGTATGGGGAGGAGGTATTTTCGAAGAAGACATCTTTTACGACCTCTGTGACGAGCTAGGCCTCTTGGTTTGGCAGGATTTCCTCTTCGGCTGTGGGAATTATCCGGCATTCCCAGATATCCTAAAATCCGTTGAGATTGAAAGCAGGCAGAATGTTATCCGGCTCCGTCATCATCCGTCGATTGTTATCTATGCAGGAAACAACGAAGATTATCAATTACAGGAAACATTCGGGTTGACATACGACTATGAAGACAAGAATCCAGACAATTGGCTTAAGACGAACTTCCCAGCCCGTTACATCTATGAAAAGATTTTACCAGATATTATGGCGGAAGATGGTAATGGGGTTTTCTACCACCCTGGTAGCCCATGGGGTGATGGCAAGATTACTTCTGACAAGACCGTTGGTGATATGCATCAGTGGAATGGTATGCATGTCTATTTTAATTTTATAACTCATACAATTGGTTGACAGCTCCACTCTTTAGTCTGGCATGGAACCCAAGAAAAGTATCAGATTTTCGAGCATTTGGGTGGTCGTTTTAACAGCGAGTTCGGCATGGAAGGCTTCCCTCACATCCAAACTATAGATTCATTCTTATCACCCAATTCCTCTGAACGATACCAACAATCTTCAACCGTCGACTTTCATAACAAAGCAGATGGACACGAGCGTCGAATCGCAACTTATTTAGTCGAGAATTTTAGAACCGTTGAGGACTTCGAGGTACACCCTTCAAAACCCCAGTGTCACCAACTCATTAAAAAGATACTCCGAAATCTAACCGGTGGTATGTGCACAAATGTCTTAATTTTAGGGATTTATTCATCTTTCACAATTGGTTCAATCGGAGGCTCTCGCTTATGGGTACCGAGGCTGGCGCCGACAGTGGGGAGATTCACGACGCTGTGGTGGGGCCCTGGTCTGGCAGCTAAACGACTGCTGGCCAGGCATATCCTGGGCCATCGTGGACTACTACCTACGTAAAAAGCCAGCATACTACACTATCGCACGTGCACTACGACCGCTGGGCGTGGGAATTCAAAGAGAACATTGGGATTGGAGTGTCACACACGCAAGACCATTACCTAAAACGAAATGGGAAAGTTGGGTAACAAGTTCGAACTTGGATAGTGTGAGGGGTAAAGTCGAGGTTCGGTTTATCTCCATTTCCACCGGAAAGGACTTGGCGGAGCCTCTAGTTCAGGAAGATCTTGAGATCGTCCCGAATGGAACCACGGATAAAGTTTTTATTGGAGAGGTGGACAACGTTGAGAAGGAGCCGCACGTGTTGTCAATTACGCTGTGGGTTGACGGCAAGGTTGTGGCGAGGGATGTGGACTGGCCACAACCCCTCAAATATCACTCATTCGAGGACCGTGGTTTGAACATTCGATTCGACCTACCTGAGAAAGCCGACGGGAAAAAGAGGGATGCGCAAGGGAAGATTGTGATCACAGTTGAAAAGCCATTGAAGGGGTTGGTCTGGGAGGAGCGGACGGGTGTGAGGGTCAGCGATAGCGCCATCGACGTTGTTCCCGGCGAAGAAGTAGTCGTGGACGTATTTGGCCTCCTTAAGGGTGAAAAGGAGTTGTCTTGGAGATACTTGGGAATGTAAGCCGATGTGGCGAAAAACACCACACCGACGAAACACTCCATCGTATTTCACAGGATCTTCGTCATGGGCCCGGGATAAGTTTCGAGTATAAACGGGTTTATGGGTTTTGCTGGGCGGTTCAATTAACCGAAAAAGAGGGTATAGATTGCTGTACGAGGCGAGCTCTTCCCTGTTTATATCCAACATGCAGATGCGCCTAAGGAATTGGAGGAAGGCAGAAAAGGTCTTTTGTTTATCCTAGACAGGGATGCAGAGTTTCAATTATCCAGTCTTTCGATTCATGCTCTCGTGATCCTTAAAAGGGCGTCTCTTGTAATTTTTGTAATCCCCCTCACCCAGCAGGAGAGTTAAGTGTGTGCGCATTTGGTGGTAAATGGTTGGCCAGGTTAATTGGTGGAGAAATTATGAAGTCTGAAGTCGAGGTCAAACCACCAGCAGGCCAGGTTTCACTTGACCGCCCATATTGCGACTAACTAATGTTCCAAGATCATCCTTGAATTCGAAAAGGAAAACAGATGATTTCGGGAAAGTAAAACTTGTATCTTTATGTAAAAAGATGTTTACCTTTAGTCCGGATTATTTGGTTTCCCTTTTCAAACAGTTTTTCCATACCGGTTGTCAGGTATATATTCCGAGCCGTGGTCTGTGTGCAAGAAACCCGTCCGAGCCGCTGATAATCTGAACGCCTATACTCAAAGAGGAACCAAAGCCGGAAGACGGGGCGTGCATAACATAGCAGCCGATACGTTTTGAAGTCTCGAATCGAATAATCCGGTCGTCCTTGACATTTCGCAAGAGAGGTCTGTTCGCAACTAGATATAACGGTGAAGCGAATATATGTTTCTGGACCGGTAAAGCCATGGTAGTGGTGCGGTTACGCACTTACATTACGGTTAAAAAAGAAAACAACAGAAAAAAGGAATCGAATCTTAAGCACGTCCACGAAACATATGCAACTTCATATGCATGGAGTCAAAGGGTTACAAGTTAACTAACCTTCGATCAAGAAACTCTCATCTTTCAGGGTCATACGATACACAATAATGACACTCCGCGATGGTGTGGGAAAATGCACGCAAGGTCCGATCACATCTCCAACTGCCCGTATAGCCAATTGGAATTTCTGGCCGATACATCCAGAGGTCCATAATACGGACGACCCGGAATGGTGTGCTAAAACTCCAAGTCAGGTTCGAAATTCAACTGGCCCACTTGCCACGGATGCCATAATAAAATATGATCTTCCCAGCTCCTTCGAAATCGAAAACCTGGGTAAAGCAGACATAATTTATGTGATATGGACACTAGCCGAGCTAGCATGCCGTCCGCGGACTAACGAGCTTAAGGCGCAGAAGTGTGTCAATTCTGTGGCTTTAGGCTGCTTGGTCCGTTGGAAACATGCTGATCGAAGGGCCATGTCAATATGTTAGCGACGACACCTGATATCACGTCGGACCTGTCGATGGGGGATGTGGGGACTCACAATTGCAGTACCATTGGCACCAATCCCGCTGCTTCTGGCTCTTGGGTGTTCGAGTGCATTGTGACCTGCAGAGAAAGCGCTCAGACCCTCGAAGACACCCTTCTAGAAAAAGCTGAGAAGGTGGAGCCATGCGTAATCCAGGCAATCTTTCCGCGCTAGCTCTGACATGAATACATGTACAGTACAGGGCCCCACATGCAGCACCAGATATCGAAGGTGAAATGTAGGATCACACGAAAACGAAGTGAAAGCCACCGGAACTCCGTTTGGGGGCATTGCATAATGTCAGTGTATGTAAGTACTTGTGCTAGCCTCGAGATGCATGCAATGGAAGATATAAAAAAACACCGTCGGTGGGTAGAAAGCTTCGAAAGCTCCCCCCCCCCCCCCTCCCCCAAGATATCTAATATGATCTATCTATGTATGTACGTATGTATGTACTTCCCGGTACCTGCTGTGGCTGCTACGATAGTATCAATCTAATATAAAAGCTTGGTACACAACTAGTGTGCATGTACCTGATCGGAATTTTACAAGGTGTAGACCTGTATAATACCTGCTCGGTGTACTTCGATCCCTGCCTAAAAGCTAGTTCACAGGACAAACGACCCCCGGATAGACATGGTTTACCAAGCCTTGTATCTGCACTGCGAACTCGTTTCGAGGCCGGACGTTTAGGAACACCATCACGGCATATCCGTTAACGTAAAAAGAGTAATAGTAGTATGTCAAGCGTAGAAAATGGCTTAACCAGGGACAACTTCCCTGCAATTCCATGTTCACGAGCACGTTTCGGTCTATCGAATACGGTGTGCATGTGGTAGATAATATTATAAACGATAAAACCAAGCCGCTTCGACGGACCCGCTATCAGAAACGTTTAAGCCTGTGGCAATTGCAAGGTGCTAACGGAAGCCTTTTAATAATGGTTACCAATCGACCAGGCCTTCCTGGGTATAATCTGATCGATAAGAAGTACTACCTATTGAAACTCAACCGACAGGCGTCTGATGATTCGGAAAGAATGGCGCGGTTCCCAAGGAACCAAAGTTCTGTTCTTACCGAGCCGTTTCGAAATCTCAATTTAACAGGGCTTCATCCCCAGAAATTTATGGAGTAAACCTGGGGTAGTTTTAGTACGAAGCGTCGAGGTACAACCAAGGACCGGGCTGTGGGGCCAATCCAAAGGATGATTCGGATTTTGCTCTGTGTGGATTGCATATTGCTGATAATGGTGTATGTCTGTATGTAAGTTCTTAGCATCTGCATGATACCTTTCGGTCAAGGGACCGCCTATAACCTTGACATAACCGGCTGCTATCCAACCACCTTTTACTTCCACTTCTAGCCAGCTCCGAGTTTTTTTTAACTTGACAATTTCAATAATTTTGCAACCTCTCTTTCTCCGCTTCGATCTAAAAGTTGACGCTCAGGACTTCTTTTTTTTCGTATTTATCTTGCAGTGGTGTCGGGTTTGTTCACTTTTGTAATCTAAGCTGGATAATTGTTTTTTAACCTCGGACTCCCTCCTCCCACCGTCGTATGTATTTTCAACTCCCAAAATCTTGACCGTGGCGAAAGAAAAGAGTAAAATAAAAACCTGAAAGAAAAAAAAAGAGAGAAAGAGAGAAAGAGAGGGAGAGATGGATACTCGTACTCGAATGGCTTCACCTTACCAAGTTCTAAATACACCTGTTTCTGCGGGACCTGGAATGGAATACCCACCAGACTTTGATCGTCAACATCTTCAATACCAACAGCAGCAGCAGCAGCTCCACCAGTTGCAGCAGCACCAACAGCAGCAACATCAGCATATTTTTCAATCAAATGGCATAACCCCGATAAACACACAAATGGTGTCAAAGGCACATGGATCGAGCATTTCAAGCTCTCAATCGCCTACAACGGCGATCAGTGGAGGAATCGCTGGCCCTGGAGGATCACACACGCCAACGACACCCACAACGTCTTCAAAGAAGCCACCGGTGGGAGCGTGTATGTCCTGCAGAAAGAGGAAGGTACGGTGGAATTGCTGTCCAAAATTTCTGCACCGGAGAGCTTAGGACTATAGACTGACGGAATGTCCGTTTTTCTAGGTAAAATGCGATAACAAGAAGCCCTGCGGCCAGTGTGTCGCTCACGATCGAGTCTACGATTGTCTATACGTGCAACCGAGGCAGCGAGTATATATCACCCAAAAGTGAGTGAACAGTAGCATTTCCCCTGCCAATTTTTTCGGCTTTCTCTTGGTCTTTGCTTGTATTGTCTTCAGCATCTTATCATCTACATTTGAGAATATCAATCACGTCAGAAGGCCTGGAGAGGCTCTTCACAGCTGTTCCTTCCCCAGCTTTTTTTTTTACTCCAATCTCGTTGACCACGTCCCACACCGTTTCTCTCCACTGTTTTCCTCAGATTGCGGAGCGAAGGAGAAAAAAATACTAAGCTCCTCTCGCGTCTTTGATTACTCTGCCCGATTTTTCTGCTTTTTTCATGGTTCAGTGGTTGCCTCTAAACATCGTTGGTGGGTCGCTACTTTGTATTGGTCGACAAACCTTTGCATGGGGTTTGGCGCAACCTTTAGCCTTTTTCGAGAATCGCCCTGTACCCAAGCACTTCGGACCAAGTAGCTCCGTCCAGTAGGCCTGGTCACACTGCTGCTTCGGGAGGGCGTCCCGAAAGTTATTGGTTTGCCAGGCTCGTATCACCCCCACAAGCATTGTCCGTTCCAAACTATCTCCACTTCTTCCCTTATCTTTCCTTGGAATGTGTTGACTACGGTCTTCCAGAGCATGAAAGAACAGCCAAGGTGGTGCTGGGTATGGGCCTGCAAGACCATCACGAAGGGGTTAGAAAAACCTTTAGCTGTACCTGTCGCGAGGAAACGGCCTGATACTTGCAAAATCAAGAAATTCGGATAATTTTGATTCTTTTCGTTTTTACAACAGTCAAAATGCATCAATTCCCTCTAATATCGATGCGCCTTTTGATTTCGTCTCTCCGACTACGCTGCGAATATAAATATGCTTACTATCTTGTTCAACAGATACACCAAGGAGTTAGAGGAACGAGTGTCTATGCTCGAGGGTTTGGTTAAACAACATCTGCCAAACATAGACATCAATACTTTAGAAGGTTCAGCTTCGTCGCCATCTTCTCTTTCTCAGCAATTATCCCTTAGGAGCGGGGCCTACTCAGGAAATTCCGTGACAACCGATACCACGGATCCTGATCTAGGGGAGAAGACTCTTCCTGAGGAGACTCCTTTGCATTGCGACGGGTATGAATGGGATGAGAAACAAGTCTTTAATGAGATTGCTTCTGTTGTTGATGGAATGGCCTCTCTATCCGTCGATGTCGACAAAGGCTCGTCTTATCTAGGAGCTTCATCTGGTGCCGCTGTGTTCCGAATTGCACGACAGCTATCAAAAAGACAAGGAAGTTCAGTATCCGAATCGTGGAGTGGTCTAGACGTCGATTCTTGTAATTCGTCACCTTCGATACAGGGCCAGGGCTTCGGGATACCTAGGATGATACCGGCAGGGGAGACCAATGGGACTGGCACGCCGCCTTCTCACGTCGCGGATGATTTGATAAAGTCGTATTTCACTTTCTTTCACAAATCATATCCAGTCCTCCATGAACCCACTTTCCTTGCCCAATATAAGGGTGTCTTGCCTCGGCCTGTGGATGGATCGTAAGTCAATTAACCTCGATTCTCTTGAAAACTCATGTCTCATTTACTGATTTCTTTCCTAGATGGCCGCTAGTCCTTAACATGATCTTTGCGATTGGGTCTTGGACGAGCTCTACTACTCCTAATGATCTCGATATATACTATTATGAACAGGCTAGACATCACCTTACAGCCGATATTTTCGAGTCGGGAAGGTTGGGAATGGTCCAAGCTTTGACCCTTATGGCGAACTATCTTCAAAAGAGAAACAAGCCAAACTCCGGTCATATCATTATGGGGATTGCCATTCGTATGGCACTCAGTCTTGGACTTCACAGAGAATTCCCAGATTGGAATGTTGCTCCCCTTCAGAAGGAGATTCGTAGGAGAGTATGGTGGAGTTTGTTTGTTCTCGATGCTGGTGCTTGCGTGACTCTCGGCCGCCCAGTGACATTTGGCGACGGTACATTGGGTGCACTCAACGTCCGGCTTCCATTAAACGTCCAAGATGAGGTAGGTTAATATATTTCCCAGCAGAGCCCCCCCTCCCCTGCACCCACTCATACCATTGTCGAAAACTTTGCATTGATAGATTTCTTAAAGCTCATTACGTCCGCACAGGATTTCCCCGCTTCCGCTGCCATGATCCCGACGCCTTGCAATGAACCGACACCCTACAGCTGCTTGATAGCCCAAGCCACTTTTGCCAGGGTGGCGGTTAAGATACATTCTCGATTATTGGCTGGCAGCCTATCTTCGTACGAAGAAATCCAGCCATTTGATGAGATGATAAATCGATGGGCAGCTTCCTTGCCAACGTATCTAGCTGTTGATGAGTCGCCCAGTGAACCAGCATGGCTAGCTTTACCGAGGGGAATCTTTTGGTGGAGAGCTCGAGACCTAAGACTCATTCTCTATCGACAACTCTTTTTTAACCTCGTGATGGAAGGAAAAGGCGGAAAGCGAGGATCCGTCGTTGGAGACAGCAAAGACAGCAAACTCTCTGAGAAAACTAATGAGAAGGTTATCAATATTTGCAGAGAGGTTGCTAAGCAATCCATCAACGGAATCCATAATTTCTATAAAACTCAGCCTCATAACCAAGGTGGCACTTGGTATGTGGTATACTTTATTTTCTCTGCGGTCTTCATCCCGCTAGTATCACTGCTAGCAGACCCACTTGAGGAAACCGACGCATCAGGCTCAGAAAGCGCCAATGCAAAGGACTGCAAGGAGCAAATCGATAAAGTATTATGGGTCATGCATGCGGCCAAGTCTGTCATCCCGGCAGCAGGTCGATGCATTGACGCCATAAATTCTCTGCTCTCTCCCTTGACCCAATTCAGGGACGTCGGAAAAGATCAAGCGAATAGTCAGGAGGACAGTGCCATGACATCCATACAGGATGGCGAAACCACCATTCACAGCAACGGATTATTCAATGCCGACGCTGGACATCCGAATGCTCGGTCGACCTTGTCAGTCATTAACGAGCATCCGCAAACCCAATACAATAATAATGGAAACTACGATTTCCTGGAGCAAGCCAACTTTGATTTCTGGTTGAACGGCGGAATGGTTAACAGCGTCGACCCAAACGCTGCTAACAATCCTGTTAGTCCTTTCAATCCGAATATGGCTACGACGACATATGTGCCACAACAAGGCCAGATTACCTGGCAGAATGGCGATGTGGTCGGTAGCATGAGGTCGAGTTGGTCTGAGTCCTATTGGTAAAATCATCTACCACTCTACATGATGTTTTACATCACCCCTTTTCATTTCACTGTATCATATTATTAATTTTTATTACCTTTGTGTCGTACCAGTCATTCCTTCTATCTGTTGTATTCTGTACCAAAAATCTCGTTGTTGTTTTCCGAGTTTGTCGCCATCTATCTGCATTTTGTTTTTTTGTGGGAATATTTTTTTTGTCACAGGCGAAAGGGATTGGCCTTCACTGTTTTGAACAAAAAAAAAGTACAAAATCTATTCGTTCATTTATTTACCTACTCTTTTCGGGTATACCATTGGAAGTTTCCGCAAATCTTTTGGGCGTTATCCATGCGTTTGAGCATTTTTCTCTCGCAGGTATGCGTGGTTCTTGCTTCACAGTTTTACCTTGTCTATACATACTTAGGTATCTGCATTTTTTTTTTTCCTATTTGAGAGTATCGGAGCTTCACATTGCATCTTATCTTGCGCTCTTCTTTCTTTGTATATTATTAATTCTTTCGTTCGTTTATATAATTTTTCTTCTTTTTATATATATCTTAACTACTCAAATATTCCCTTTAGAACCCGAAGCAACGGACATGCATTGTAGGTCTTTAAAGAAAATGCCCTCAATATAGCCTCAAAACTTAATTGACTTTCCGAACGAAAGTTAATCTAAAAATATGGCTATGCATACACCTATGAGTTCCTATACAACTTGAAATTGAACAGGCTTTACATACTACATATCACGACATTTGCAAAATAATAATAACCGGTCTTAGAGCTCTGGGATACAAACTGGGCGCTAGATCTGGCTACTATGGGCCAGTTTTGCGTTTTTACCACGCAAAACCAGGACGTGGATTCTTGGGCACGCGGGTCAAAATGGTTCGCAATGGGAGGGCTCCGCACTAAGTCCTTTTTAAAAAGACTAATCAAAAACATCGTTATGCCGGGCTTGGGAACGGGGTTTAGATATAATGAAGTCGGAGATGTTGTTCGCTTGGACCCAAATGATCCTCATAGCCTTGTCAAGGAGCTAAGACGGCGGGGCCTAGCCGGCGGTGAGTTTCAAAATATTTTTTATATATTTTTTTCTTTCTCCTTTTTTGATTTCCTTATATGATGAGGTTTGCTAACAAGCTTTATTCATTTATTCTATGAGATACTAGTTATTGTATGGCCAACTGAAACATTTGTAATTGGCGGCTTAGGTCAATTATACTTGATCGAGGAAGATGATATACCCCTTAGTATCGTTCGAGATGCCGCCTGGAGTGTTGCTGTATATCCTGCTAGTCAGGCCCGCAAAGTGGCGCTTTATGTTGGATGTGAGGATTTACGAAAACTGGCGTTCAACCATCGATGTCCTGCATTCCTTGGGGGTAACCCCGGAGTTGATATAGACACTTCCCTTGCTCCGCCACCTTACAAAGAGAAGGCGACGCCTCAAGAAAAGGTTGAAGATCTAGAGTATGTTAGCCCCTCCCCCCATCGATACACTACCTGTGGTAATATTATACTAAAAGATAGCTTTTAGATGGTTTGATCCCACCATAGTCAACTCCACGGGTGACTCTCGGTAATATCATCGAGATTATTTTCGAGGTTGTTTAACCAGCGTCATGCCCCGTATGATATACGTTCTAATTTACCCACGTTGTATCGATAGCCACAACGTATGGCATATCGTTCACCGAAAGTATTATATTATTCCCCAGGCTAATGGTATATTAATTCAAAACCCAACGTAATAGACAGTGGATGTTGTCTCGTACCCAGACCTGGGAGAGTGGATGGACTATATTTAAAAATTTTTAGGACCAAGATGGAATTTATTACCGACGTCAAGTTTCAGAGCCAGATCGCTCTGCTGTCAAAAATCAGACCTTCTCCAATACCATGGCCACTAGAACTACTCCCCGGCGGAATTCAGGGCCGCAATTAACTTCGACGCCCGCGGTGGGCCACGGTAGCGCGCCTCCATCCCGAATTTTTGTTCTCCCGATTCATCCAATCCCATATTGCAGAGCGACGCCGCCAATTATCATAAACCGGTTACCTAACGACCCAACAGATCTCCGGTATCTCCAACAGATCCGGAACAGGTACCCTCGATGGGTAGTTTTGTTTTGTCGTGAAAATATATTTCAACGGGTTATGGAAATCAAGTGGTTGAAGATCGTTCATATGCTAAGTGTGCTTGCAAGCCCTTGAAACTATATGTAAGTTTTTTTTTACATTTTTGCCCGTTTAGACTCTCTTTGTTGGTGCTTTATCTCCCTAGCTAATATCTAAGGCATCCAAGGCCCTGTAGAACATCGAAATCGATAGAAACAAAGGGGAAGATAGAGGAAGGGAAATGGGTCAGGATTGCTAAAATGTGCCAATTGCGCAATATTATAGCACAACTAGGTGTACTGCAGTATTTAGTACAAACTACATACTCAATCTGTATGGTATTAGTCTGATTTGGCACTGTACTGAGGTGCCATAAGATATACTAGATTAATTTAAAACTCATACCAACTTATCACTAAGCAGTCTCAGCTCTAACCAATATTTCGAATCAGTTTCACAAAATTAATTAAGATAGAAAATATATCGAATCCAAAACAATCCCACCAAATAGGTTTAACTTTGCCGTACACAAAAGAGAAATAGAAACTAAAAACCCCAAAAAACTTACGCGGCCATGACGAAATCCACGGCACCTTCCCGTCCCCAAATGTGCAACCTCTTCATCCTTTCCAACACAAAAAAGAAACATAACGTTGTGTAACATCCCCAAAATGGCTCTAGCCAACCACCACGTGATCAAAACTGGAGATACCATTTCTAGCTTCCCAAAACCCGGCTGAAATGACTGACCGAACGCCGTGCAACGTTAGCCTTGATAACTCTATAAAACCAACCGTTCCTTGGAGGGAAAAAGCCCCCCCAGAAAATTAAATAAGCCTAGAATTCGATCAGCAGCACTTCCAAGAACTTAACTTCTTCTTCAAACCCAAATAAACCAGTGCGCCGTCGACATTACCTAATTACCACAAAATCAACGCATGTAACCATCTCAGCCCTTCCATAGACCTCATCCCAAAGTTACATAGACGTTTATTGAACGAAATAAAGAATAAGACACAATAACAAAAAAAAAGATGAAAATAATAATAGTAGGCACCGGCATCTCCGGCCTAACAGCCTACCACTTCCTCCACCGCTTCCTAACCCCTCTCCTCCCAAACCTCCAAATCGATGCCTACGAATCCTACAAATCCCCATCAATAGGCATCGGCGGCACCCTCGGTCTCGCCCCAAACGGCCTATACACCATAAAACTAATCTCCCAAGAAGCCCACTCCGCAATTCTCGCGTCAGGTTTCCCCTGTGCTAAATTTGAATTTAGAAATTCGAATGGTAAAGTATTGGGTTTAATGTCCACGGGCTCCCCGGATAGATACCCTGGTACTGGTGGAGAGGTGATGCATTCCAGAGCTGCTATATATGGTGAGATTTTGAAAGTATTGGAGGAACAGGGGGCTAGGATACATTATGGAAAGACGGTGGTGGGTGTTGTTCCGAAAGAGGAGGGAGTTGAGGTTACTTTCAAAGACGGAGAGGTTGTGATGGCGGATTTGGTGATTGGGGCAGATGGTATTAAGAGTACAGTACGGAAAGCGGCATTTCCGGGTGTTGAGGCACGGTTTGAGTATGAATAGCACCAACTACTATGCCCATACATATAGCCGGGATAACTGACCAAATTCTCGGTATTTAATACAGAGGCTTAGTAGGAGTCGGTAGTACTATAACTTATAGCGCAGTCCCAAGCAGTGAACACCCAAAGGAAATCCCGTACGACTACAAAAATTCAAAATACTCACCCACAGTCATGACCTTCGGGAGTAATGGATTCTTCGGATACTCACCGATAAATTCAAAGACCGGAGACGAGGGACGCTATCAATGGTGGAGTACAGCTGAATCAGATAGCGAGGATAGAGATCTTCCGATCGAAGAGATTGAACGACAATTGTTGGAAAGACATAAGGATTGGGTTAACCCGGAAGGCGAGAAAGTAATAGATAGTATTATCAGGTGTGTTTGGTTATTTTTCATTGCTTTCTAGATCTAGGTTTCAGGCAGAGACGACTAACCGTACGACGATTTGACATTATAAAGATTCGCCATCCAACAGCACAAAGATAGCGCAGAAACAGATCGATCTAAACGAATTTTAGTTTTGCCAAACTACTTCATGCAAACTATGGAGCAGTACCACAGCGACGACGGGAAAATTCTCTTAATGGGAGATTCTGCGCATGGTGAGTAAAAAATATTTTCTGATTAGACCTATAGTTCACTCAAATGTTTTTTGTATACAGTCATGCCGCCGCACTCAGGCCAAGGAGTCTCTCTCGCCTCCGAAGACGGTTACGTCTACGCTCGACTTTTAGCACATGAGATCCAGCGAACAAAGGCCGCCGAATCAAAAGATTACAAGACCGCATTGTCAACCGCCGGAAAATACTACACCGAAATGAGAAAGCCGCGGAGTGACAAGATAATGGCAATCGCAGCAAAATCAGGAAATATGAAACGGAACCTCAGCTGGTGGGAAGAGAAGTCGAGAGATTTCTTTTTCGGATTATTCCGTGAGTTTACATTCTACCCAAGAATGGTTATGCTTTAACGGTGAGAATATATACTGATTTATTTAAAATTACAGTAAGATTTGCCCCTGACAGCATACACGACGGGACATTTGGGTACAAAGTTGATGAGGAAGTTGATAAGTTTTTATCAACGAAGTCGTAAAGACTATTGATATATATTGCATGACTGAAAAACAAGAATATAAATCTCCGATCTTTTTGTATTATTTCCGGGCAAGCTTAGCTTAATTCCATTAAAAGCACAATCTCCACTCTTCTTTGACTCGAGAACCCTGTGATCCCGTGCCTTCAAACAACGCAGAAAATACAACAAATATCAAATGGATAGGACGATATTAACTCACTTTCTTCCCTTCAATAAAAACTACCTCATTTCTTTAATAAAAGTCGAGAATAATTAAAAAAAAGGTCTCAGACATCTGAAGCCATGAGCACTAAAGAGAACAATTTCCCATGCACCCGACCCATGCCATCCACGTACCAGACGAATGTGCATGGCACCCCCCCACAAGGCCACCTAGAAGACGCACAAATATTATATCGAAATACCATGCCTCAGACTTCACTTAACTAGGTAGCCATAGTATTAGTCTTGTATTTAGGATACCCGTAACCTAAATTTAGTCAAAAGAAAGACGACTAAAACCATGCCCTTCCCGCAAACCCCCTACACCTACACCGCCCATCTCCTAACCACCCTCCTCCTCCTAACCCTCACCTTCCACCCGACCCCAACAACCGCCTACTACCAACTAGCCTCTCGCAGCAAACGCGGCGAATGGTTCGGAAACTTCCCAAAGTACACCTCCGGCAGTCGCATGGGCGACAACAAAGTCACCAAATGCATCTCCTACACAAACACCAGTGACCGCGGTGCCGTTATCGCCGTCACAATCTACAACCAACCGGGATTAGGAACCAGCGCACCCGTATTCGCTTTCTACGAGGATACCGTCTGTGGTGGTAAGGGATCCGGGGCTAGAAACCCCACTTTTGTTGCGGTTTTGGATAAACCGTTTGCTGGCGGGGAGGATGGCGAGGAGGAGTACTATAACCCTGATGACGTCGATGGGGTTTGGTTGATTAATCTACTTCAGGCAACAGGAAAGGAACCGACGTTTAAAACTATGAAGGCGTTGGATTATGCTTCTGAATTGCATCCTAAGGGTTTACTCGCAGGAACGGAGGATGATCCGGCGCAGGTGATATATAGATGGAATAATAAAGGTGTTCGAGAACGGAATTACATCACGGGATCGGTTGTAAAGATCGAAGAGCCTGGTGGGATTATTGAAAGACTAACTACCAGCTCGGATATGTACATGGCTATTCGAGATTTAACCGAGCGAGCACTTCGTCCCGGGTCTGAGAATATTCCAAACCCTTTACCCAAATATTTTCAACAAGTGGTTAACGGGGAAGTTGCTGGTGGTTTGACAGCGCCATACTTGGGTGATGCTATAAACAGCGAGGCTGATATCAGAAGGAAGAAAATAGAAATGAGAAGACAGAGTAAGCAGCAAAGGATAGAAAACCCACAAGGGATAAAAAATATTCTGTCAGCGATTGAAAGGGAACAAGAAGGAGACATGAGTGATACATCTGTTCAAGTCGAGCTTGAGGATTTCCTTGCAAGTTTAGATGACGATGAGCCGGAACCACGAATCGAGGAGCCGAAACCACAGGCTCAAGAACCAGAACCACGAATTGAAGTCTCAGGACCACGGATTGATCTTGAAGGGCCTGAATCGAGATCTGAAGAATTCGACCAGCTCCGCAAAGACCTAGAGCTAGAACCGGCAGCAGCGACACTAGACCAATCAAACATCATCCAGCAAGAAGCACAACCCGCCGTAGAGGAATTCGAAGGCGATCTTTACATGGATGTCATTGGCGCCAAAGTACTACCCGAGAAACAGCTCATCGAAGTAGAGTACGGCGGAAGCGAAACACCAGATGACCAAAGACTCGTCAAGGCGCCCGAGCCAATCGACGACCTCGATAGCCAGGACAGTAGAAATAGTGCCCGTGCCCGTGCCTTCCAGCAGTTTATGGAAAAGGCAGCAAGCATACAACCGGGCCCGGACCAACAGGTAACTGAAACTATACCCCCAATAAAGACAGAATGGGAATTGGGAGATCCAGTTACGCCTGTCTCGTTAAGGATTCGGCCCGATGGCGTTACCATAGTACCAAACCCCCAAAATCAAAAAGTTCCCATTACCCAGCCTTCCAAAAAAGCTCGAGTCCAGCTCGAGGATCCCATAGTAATATCCTCAGACGGATCCGTTGCTGAAGAGGAACCACGAGCGGCAGACGTCATGGAAATAGAAGAAGAAATAGTCCAGGATGCTCAAACCGGACAAATTCTACCCCAAGCTATAGTCGAAGAACAGGTACAAGAACAAGTCGAAGAACAAGTCCAACAGCAAATCCAAGAGCAAATCCAAGAACAAATCCAAGAGGAAATCCAAGAACAAATCCCCCAACCCCAAAACCCCAATATAAACCAAGAAGAATTCCCAATCGAAAGAATCGCCGCAGTAGACGCAATCGAAGAAGAAGAACCTCTAGCTCTCCAAGAAATCCAACAATCAATCCAACAATCAATCCAACCCCAACCCCAATCCGAACAATTCCCACCCCCGCAAGCAAGAACCCGGGAGAGCGGTGAATCCTCCCAATCGGCCCTCAGGTTTCGAGACAGCATGATGGGCTTTCAGCTGGAACCTTTCATAAGAAGGTCCAGTACTTCGACGGGTAGGAGACCACGTGGTAGTCGACAGTCAGAACAATCCTTACCACGTGCATCTTTCGATGACATAGAAAACCCACTGCCCGCCTCAATACCAAATTCAAATGATAGGATAGCCTTGGAAAGTTTCCTAGAACAAGAAGATCAGTTACCAAGGGGTGAAGGCTCATTTGAAAACTATGAAGGATTTGTGGCCGGAAGAAGGCGGGGCTCGGGTAGTCCACCAACATAGGGATATACCATGTAGGTTTAGACATATATGAAACAATGGAAGAGACTGTTTATTGCGTAAGAAGCTCGGGAATATATCCTTTTGTAGTAGTAAAATAGTTGTGTCGATATTTTTGTTTCTCATAGAACCCGTCTTTAATACCGCGAAGCAGTCCCGTCGCCTCGAAGAAAACACCCCGCTTCGTTTGTACAAAGAAAGCTACCCAGATAATATATTACAGGAGGAAAGGGTCAAAAGGGGGGCAGTCAAAGATATACAATGACCAAGAAAGGAAGAAAAGAGGGCAAGACAATCCGCAAAATAGAAAGAGAAAGAAGGGGGTAAAAGAGGAAACGCAGCAACCAAAACCTGGGAAGCCTATATACCTGTGCTTTAATAATAGAGTAATAAAGAGACGTCAAAAAAATATTATCTCTATTTCGGAAAGAACCAAAAGAATTTGTTCCAAGAAGATAGGCACGCTAGCTATCGTAACGTTTTGTGCCCATACATAAATAGAATAGAGGAGGGGGTAAGGGCAGGGCGAATAGTGTGAGGGAGGGAGTAATTTGAGGGTAAAAGAAAACTAAAGAAGAGGGGAGGGGAATCACAATACACAAAAATAAGGCATTACAGATTATTGTAGGAAAAGATAAAGAAACCAAACTAGCAGAAGAGATCGATCATCACCTCGTATAAACCTTTACAACTCCATCACCACCACCGCTGACGACCCAACGGCCATCTGCAGACCAAACAACGACACAAGCGCCTTCTTCACGCATAAGTCTATGGGCCGGAAGTTCTTGAATACAAGCTCGCTTCTCCAAATCCCAGAACCTAAGTGAACCATCATGAGCGGCAGAAACTAGCATCTTTAACTCGGTCTGCAAGGCAAGTGAAGAAATTGCTGCAGGGTGTGCGAGCATGTTATATGTGCATTGTCCTAGAATCCGTCAGTAAAAATCAAAGAAATACTATATATCTCTTCATAAACATACCAGAATTTGCATCATAAAACCGAACAAATCGATCCTCGGTACCAGCAATAACGACGCCAGTGACACCATCACGACCTCCACCAGTCGCTCCACCGCCAACAGCTTCTTCCTCAACGCCCTCCTTCGGGTCAACATCACTGATTCCCAGGGTGGTCGCAACGACGGTGTTAACACCCGTAGCCGGTGTTCCATCATATGACTCTAAGGAGCTCATCCCAACCAACTCCTCGCCGGTCTGGCTGTCATAGATCAAGACACTCGCGTCGTTCCAAGCAACGATGAAAGTCTCACCGGTAGGTGACAACGGAGTAATAGCGGTTGGGGAAGCTCCGCCTTCACGAGAGATTGTAGTAACCAGGTGAGACGAAAATTCTTCCTTGCCGGCAGAATTCAGGAAGTTGGATTGGGTACTGCGGACGCTACTATGTGCAGACTTGACAGGCGGAGAAACAGTCCAAATTTTGATAGTGCCGTCGGCGGATCCACTAACAACAGTGATTCGGTCATCCAACCGACTGATTGGCAGGACACAAACAGCCCAGACGACGTCGGTGTGACCGACGAGCGTAGCTCGGGCCTCAACCCGGCCCTTCTGCCAAACCTTCACCGTCGTATCGGCGCTTCCTGAGAAGATCCAACCCTCGCAATCATTGCTAAGACCGCCGGAGAGGCTAGCAGTATGAGAGGATGCTAAAGAGGTGACCATAGCTGTATGACCCCTGTGGGTAAAGGTGCAGGCTACATCCACATCCGACATCCCCGGGTTCAAATAGCCACCAGGAATAGTCCATCTCTTGATAACACCATCATCTCCACCACTACAGATTTCAGGCTCGATAGCTGATCCGCCACCAGTGAACGTAATAGCCCTGACAACATCTAAATGCCCTCTCAATTGAAACTTGACCTTATGACTAGTACCTGGCTCTTGTTTCAAAGCACTCAGCGCAGCTTCTTGCGACAGCCGTCGACGAGTAATAGACTTTCTACGAGCAGAGCCCGGTGGAGCAGCTTGCGGCTGTTGTTCGGTAACTGGTGGTTGCGGCTTTTCCTCTTCAAAATCCCATGCATCGTCCATAGACTCCGTGGCCGCAGCTTTTGGCCTACCAATTCTACGAAGAGAGATACGTCCGGTATCAGCTGAATCTAAGGGCTCGCCAAGAGCATCGTTCTTATATGTGACCTTTTCGATAATTTCATCTGGAAGCTGGGTGTCGACGACAGACTGGGCTTCAGAAGGAACCTGCTTGGCTATAACATGGTTCTGTCGGGTTTCATGGGCGTGAGAGTACGGTAAATTCGTATTATTTGGTTGAGAAGTTTGATGTGGTAGTGCTACAGGAGGGGATGGGAGGATCGAAATCGGAGCGGGGTGCAGGGACCTCGAGAAAGCAACTCCGTTCCCAGTCGGCTGTGTATCAGGGAACTTTTGTATCTGCTGTGATGCTAGCTGGTGCGGGAAAGGTGGGATAGACGAGATCTGTTGCTCCATGGAAAGCGGAGCACCTGTGATAGGATCTATGTTCTGAGGAGGATTAGGAGGAGGTGGGTGGTTCGGGGGGAGAAGAAGGTAGGTAATCTCCTTGAGACATTCATCGAGATAATGTCTGCTCTTCTTTCTCGCTTCTTCTGAACGTAAAGAGATCTGAGGTATCTCGGGAATGATATTTTTCAGCTGATCTAAACCCTCGCAAGAAATCATCATTAGTAAGAACCGTCCTAAAATCTTAGAGGGCGCTCAGGATAAAATCCGTTACCTTCAGAATCTTCAGAAGCTGCTCCATTCACCTTCGCACTCTTCGATCTACGCCAAATCACCCCAGAGACCATTAGCCGCACGCTCAATCACATCCGCCAAAACCTGTATGCCACAGAAACCTACCTCTCTTGCTTCAGCGCTGATTCCAGCATCTTAACCCTCTTAAGGTATCCCTGCTGCAGCCTCTTAGCCGCCGAACTCTCCCCTTCCAGCTTAGCGATGCGAGCTCTCATCTCAGCTCTTTCTATTTCCCATTGATTCCGCTCACGTTCATGACGATGCCATTCGGTTTGGAGGAAACGCATGACACCTAGGTAACACCATAAAAGCCATTCCATTGCCGTGATCCCCAAACGAGGACACAGTAGCTCAAAAAGTCAGCACTCATGCCTTAAGAACCAAAAAACCAAAATAACAAATAATAAAGATATGAAATTCCTAGAAAAGCTCAAAAAAGAGCTATTCCAGAGCTCCATCTAGAATACCAAACAAACTCGGGAAGTAGGAAAATCCCAGTACTTGCCTTGTAGGGTATATTCAGTCCCCGTCGGCTGACCAGGGTGAATACCAGCTGGAGCACCAGCACCTTGTGCCCCTCCTCCATCGCCTGCGCCGCCGGCGTTATGCGACTGCCAAGCCATTGTATACGATTAAAGTTGAAAAGTAAGGTTGTAAGGGTATCGAAAAGCGAAATATCAAGGAATTTTCAACTGGGTTTTTGGTCGGGGCCAGGGTGTCGTGAGAGGTAGGGAGGACGGACTCTGCAAGCTGATCCGTTTTTGCAGGGGGATCGAGACGGAGGTCAGAGAACGAAAGTCTGGGTCGTGACGGTCGTGACAAGGGAAGGAAGACGGTATTTCGAGGAGGGTAAGGGTATCCCAAGACGCGATGATTGGTAGCGATATGAAGGATAGTGGGTAGGAAGCTGGTGCGATGGTTTGGTTGCTTGTCGAGGGTGGTGGGATGCTGGGGAGGTTGTTGAGGTTGTGTATCGATAAAAAGGGAGCTGTGGCTTCTGCGTTGATAGCAGACGACCAACGACAAATCTGGTTTTTGCGTTGTTCGCCAAATGCGACCCCCCCAAAAAGGGCTCGTCCTCAGCAGCAATCATTACGTAATCCCGCTCCTGTGACGGGGGAGATATGTAATTTTGGAGGGACTGGAAGTCCTTGTTCTTGACCAAGGTAAGACACTATAAAGAAGTATTCATGGTATCAGACTGGAGCTCCAACTAGTTATTGAGCCTGGGAATTCTCCAAGTTCAGGCTACTTTTGTTGTAGATATTGCGTTGTGTAGAATATTATTAATTAGAATCAAGTACTTAATTATTACCAACTACAATTTATCGTGACCTCTCATTCATTAATCATTCTACAACCTCAAAATGGACCTGAATATTAACCTAGAATCGATCGCACTAAAGTGCATACGACAGCTCAAATTTCTTTGCACGCTTATTCAAGTAAGGATCCATAATAAGCCTTGCAGCAACCAAATAAGTCCAGCTTTAATCCGACGACAGAAACTCCATGTATTCCTGTTACAAAAACGAAAGTGCCAAAAGGAAAAGAAAAAAGAAGAAAACGCCAGTCCAAACACATTTCAACAACGGAAGGAGAAGAGAAAGGAGGATGATGATGATGAAGAAGAGGAAGAAGAAGAAGAAGCAAACATCGATGCTATTGAAGAAATCATAAAATCAAGTCCCGTATTCCTTTAATAAACAGTTCTTTTTGAGTCATTTTTAGGCTTTCATAAAACAGCCTCGAATCGAGGAGTAAAAACTAACCATTTGTGTCCCGTCCCAATGTTCTAATGCCATGTCATATTGAGGGAAAACGATTTGAGATATATCAGTTATGAAAGGACGAATGAATGAGTCGAAGGGAAAACAATTATGAGTTGCAAAAAGTGCATTACAAAGTAAATATGCATGGCTTAGGATCGCCGAATGGGAAGGAATTAGAAGAAAACGAATAGGGGAAGAAGGGTGAAGAAGAAGAAGAAAAGGAAAAAAGGCGGAACAAAAAAAAAGAGGATATGAAACATACTTCCACAGCATCATATCCTCGCAATGGTTCTCGCGTACAAGTTGGGAAGAAAATAATACAACAGTAGAAAGATCGACCGCAGCTACACCGCAGGCTACACTTACCCCCTATAAACCACAAAATCCGAGGGTCAATAACCCTAGGTGCACCACGAGGACCCATAGTATCCCTACACTTCAGGGGTCTGGCCACTACCCCTATCGACTTCTTCGACTTTTTGTCCGGGTTCTGGCGTCCCATCCACACTATCGATATGGGTATTCAAAACTCCGTTCTCAATAGCATTCTGGTCCAAAACAAAGTTCTCTCCTCCCATCGTTGACTCAATATCCTTCAATCCATCATTGAATGTTTGTAAACTACCAGGAGACAAGGCCGCAATCCAGTTATCCAAAGCGCTCCCATCCTGGAAGTTGAAATTGTCCATACCACCCATATCGAAGTGCGGAATATCGTCAGCGTGGCCGGCAAGGTTCTCAACATTCTGCTGAAGTTCCTTAAGACTTTGGTCAACAGCCAGTTGATGTTCTTCTAAGCTCCTTAGCTCTTGATCCGAGGGAACAACAGGAACAGGAGTACTGCTCAGGGCACCACCCAGAGCCAGCATCGCCGGATTATTTCTAACAAGTGCGGTGCTGGGGATCGAGATCTTTCCTGGAGTAGCAGCGGGCGTAACCGAAGCGTGACGGACAGATGGTTCCTTCTCAGTCGGAGTATCTATCTCCTGAAGACGACCCATATCCTGCAAACGGCCATCCTCATCAGAAGAATCAAATTCCGGCACACCCTTGTGATTATTAGCGTTACTTCTCCCATCTTCTATCAGGTAACGAGTACGCTTAGCCGGACGGGCGTTGCCCAAATCCGCTGCAGGGTGCTTGCCGAACGTTGGGATGACAGAGTTGTTAGTTTGAGGCATCATTCCGTTCTGGTTCATACCGTCAATGTTCTTATTATAGACGGACGCCAAAAATTGCAAAATATTGGATATAGACATCTCGTGGCGATCGTGCATCTCTTGAAATGCAGTAGCCTGCTTAGTAAGTTGTTGGTGTTCCTGTCGAAGTCGAGTAATCGCTGTCGAAATCATGCTTTGCTGGTTCTTAAGCTCATTAAGTTGAGAAACGATATGATCGACAACTGCGTGTATTCCATTATAGGGCTGGGCTGGTCCACTTGGTTTGATATTGGTGACATGGGCGGGCCCGGGTTGCGAAGGGTTTGGAGGAGCGTAAAATTCCTGCTTACTTGCTCCGGAGGGTGTGTCTTCGAGCAGTCGAGGAGCGCTACCGTTGCCCCTTTCGTTCTCATAATGATCATCATCGCTAATGATATCATCGTCACTCTCTTCCTTCACATTCTCGAGCTTCTTGCCACTTCCGCTCTTGGATTTCCTCCCAGCCTTTGGCTTCTCGATCAAGAAAAGCATATCTGGGTGACCGCGTTTGAAGTATTTATGCTCATATTCAAGTCGGGCCTTCTGTCCATCCATCGAGGCCTTTAAAGACCCGTCTGTCATTCCGACCTTCTTGTGGAAATTGTACATATTAAGTTGTCGAACGAACGAGGCAAAATTGTTATGCTTGAAGACTCCGGGGATGAGTTCCTTAGAGAATCTATCCTCGTCGAGAACAATAAAGGAATCCCCATCTTCAGACCAACGAATGATGTCGTAGTTGTTCTCGTCGTTTACAAATCTAGAGAAGAGAAATAATCACGTCAGCATCCATACCCTTCCATGAGCTCCCCTCCTCTAAAGCACACGAGCAAACACCAAAAAAAGATCGGTAATATGCATAGAATAATCTAGAAAACAAAGTTTGCTAGATAAAAGCTAGGAAGGGAAAAAGATATACATACGTCGCAACTTTCTCCACAAATGGAGGAAGTTTACTCTTTTTCTTTGATTTAGCATCCGAAATCCTCTTCTCCAAATCTTGGTCTACTGGATACGTATCCTCAGCCCCAAATTCTTCTGTCTGCTGGGCCGCTGTAGTGCCATCAAGGTAAGTGTTTCCGAACCCGTTCCCAGGCATTCCGAACGGTCCCTGTTGCATATAGGGAACGATCTGGCCACTTTGGAAGGGAACTTGGTTGAGGTTTTGGTTAAGATTCTGGTTGAGGTTCTGGTTAAGCATGCCGAAGTTCATGTCTTGGATTCCGGGAGCGGCATACGGGTCGGCCTCGAAACCGGATTGGTCTGGTTGGATATCCGCGAATCCTCGCTTACGGGGATTCATCGTATGTAACATTAACTCTTCCGAAGGAAGGTTCCTCAAGGCTCGGTATTTTCTTTCTCTTCTCGACGCGATAAGAAAATGTAGTGATTACAGAAAACAGGAAGAGAGCCGGTATCGCCTAGTTAGGTGCAGAAAAATGTAGGAGAATGACCTTTTTTTTTTTCAAAAAGGAAAAAAGTAGTGGAAGAATATATTCAATGCTAGGTCGATGGTCTATGCGAGAAAAGAGAAGCAGAAAGGGAAAGTCACAGGAGGTGATCTTTATAAAGCCTGTTTCCTTGAACATAATCACGGTTGAAAATGTTAGCCTGGTGATGCGTAGAAGCTACCGTTAAGCAGGGGAAGGCTACGGAACGAAAGAAGACGATAGATTGGGCTGTACACGCTATGGAGTCGTACCTAGATTGATGATACCAAAAGTCGAAGGAGCGCCGAAGGGTCTCTGATAGAACTCTCTGGGTGCTGGAGTACGAGTCTGGATGGATATATGATCTCGGCAGCACTGTCGGAACCTTCTCGCCAGGCTAAGCTTTTTCCTCGGCGCTCGCGAGCACGGTGGGTGGTAGTACTTGTGTGTACTAGTGTACCGTAAGCAGTGAGGCTTTTTGAGATCGTCGATGTTGGATATGGATATCGTATCGTCAATCGGAATCGTAAGGATCAATAGGCAGTTGAAACAGTCCTAACGGAAAGGAATTCAATATCTAGAAAATTTAGCGGGGTTTTTCGCGGTTGATTCGTTCGTCGGACGGGGGAAGCCCGCAGCAGTTGCGCCTTTTACTGGGTGCAGAAGGGGACATGTCAGCACCCCCCATCGCCAATAGTAGGCGGCTGTTACCCGCGCAGGGGAAGACAACGGATGGTCTACACACACCTGTTTAGGAGCTTTGGATCGCCAATTCAATGGCGAAAAATGAAGCAGGCCGGAGGATCCGCGACAGCTTGTAAACGGATTCGTATCGGGTATGTAGATGTTTGAAAGCTGGGACTCGGGTGGCGCTTTGATCTTCGGGGTGGATGCACACCTGTCGAGGAGGCTAGACAGAATTAGTCGATGGAGATGAGGATGGCTTGGGGAAACGGTCGCAATCTGAAAATTCCAAAAGTGGTGACGTTTGAGCTTCGGCTTCAACAACAGCTTTGAAGGCCAGCCGAAAATAGCAAATTCTTAGAGACAAACAAATCAAACACAACACTCGCAACAACTCCAAATAATAAAATCCAACAGGACAAAAACAAGGCTCATGTGTTGCATCGATTCTATTAGCTAGCATCGATCAAAGCTAAGCTAAGGCCTCCCTTATATATACGCTCATCTCGCCAACTTATAGATACAAGTGAGTACTACAGACTTCATAAAACTTCATTCTCCATAATAATGCGAACCAAATCACTGACTTCCGCACGCTCTAGGGGGTTATTCACCCAATTCCTTGATTGGGATATCATTTCGCTGATCAGGCCCTTCCCAAACAAGGCGCACATTGCACACACAGATGGCCCCCAGGAAGGCTGAGAATTGAAGGAGCAACAGGATACCAAACAAGCCTCCCCCCAGCAAAGAACACATTAACATTCGAACAATCTTCCAATACGATGGGTTGGTCAGCAGATCTGGTAGCCGTTGGTTGGATCAAATAAACAATCTCAAAGATCTGCGTTATCGATTAGGGATGCCCCACACCAGATTGCGAGGGAAAAAAAAAAAAGAAAGAAAGGTTGATCACCCCAATGCGATGCTCATCATTGAAAACCTGCGGTACACAGGATATCCACCTGCATCGAGAGGAAAGTAGATACAGATTACAGTCATATTGTTTCTGTTCCCATCAATGAGACGGTCCTCAACAACAGAGGTTGATGGCCCAACCATTGGGACAACTTCACCCCGCCTCACGGCCCCGAACAACAGCCTCCGCGAGTCTGCTCCCCACTAAGAATGTCCGTCCACACTACGGTCGTCAGATGGCCCAAGCACCAGGTAAGTCAACCAGGAACGCAGCATTAGACTGTCAAGACGAGCAAGCACCAGGATAAGTCAAGGATCATACACGCTAAACACTTACATAGTACATCATGTACATGTCAACATACATTCACAAATCGGAATGGCTCCAAGCAAGAAACAAAACCGTTCAATCCTTGACAGCTACCTGTATCATACGACAGTAATGGTAGTCACCTGTCTGACGAATGCACTGCCACGTATCTACCATCTTCCAAAAACCCCTCCCCCCACCGGAGCAGGTCGCTAGACCAATTACCCATGGCATATGATCACTACCCCTCACTTCGCAGGATAAGCTTAAAGCTTATAAGGCTCATCAAGATAAAGGACATATTCATATGTATCCGCAATAAGTGTTGTGTTAGTGAATAATATCAAAACAATTATAGACTCCGCGAAATAGAATCTCTGCTTTGGCAACCCCCTTTTGTCGCCTTGTCTTTTACCTAGTTTGCGGCTTGGGGATCATATCTGGATGAAAGGGTCAAAGGAATTAGAATTTGATGGATTGTGGTCATAATTCGATGACTCCAATCTAGGGATACCCCATCCAGTGAAGTTGTAGTTTAGTTGCTGCCAAAGCAAATCGAAAAAATTCCGCCGCCACCAAGGTATCACAGCATATTTTAATTTTACGAGTGCACAATATAAATTCCACTTGGAAAAAGATTTCATTTCGTCATTGACTAACCTACAAAGCCTTTGAAAAAAAACACAGGAGTGATTGGTAGGAGAGGGTTGAGAAAAAAGGCTCTTTGTAGAGGAAGTGGTCTGAGTAATGTGATGGAAGGTAGGATTAACATGACGAATGCGTGTCAATTTCTTCCAAGCAGTGGTTCAAATTAATAAAATGAAAAAAGAGTAAACAAAGGATGAACACAGACCCCCCCATATATAAACTCCTTTTATCATGAAAAGAAAAGGAAATAAGAAAAAGAAAAAACAGTTTTGCATGATTCATAAGAGACGTGAACAAAGGAAACGAGAAAGAGGAAAGCGATGTACAATTCCGATTAGAATTTTATCATTTTTGTGAAGACAAAAAGAAAGAAAAAAGGGAAGATATTATAGAAGCACTGAAAAGGTAGAGTTGACAAAAACTTTTGGATATGCGAATTGTTTAGTCGACCTCCTCAACAGTTGGGCCATCGTCACCACCAGCGTGGGGAGCACCACCAGCGGCACCGGGAACGCCACCTGGAGCACCACCAGCACCGTAGAACTTCATCATGATTGGGTTGGCAACACCCTCGAGTTCCTTCTGCTTGCTTTCGAACTCGTCCTTGGTGGCAGTGGTGTTGTTGTCGAGCCATTCAACGGTCTCGTCGATGGCCTTCTTGAGGGTCTCCTTGTCAGCAGCATCAAGCTTCTCTTGGGCAGCTGTCTCTCCGAGGGTGTTTCGGAGAGAGTAAGCGTAGCTCTCAAGTTGGTTCTTGGCCTGGATACGACCGGCTTCGGCTTCATCCTCAGCCTTGTACTTCTCAGCCTCAGCCAACATGCGCTCGATTTCCTCCTTGGAAAGACGACCCTTGTCGTTGGTGATGACAATCTTGTTTGTCTTACCAGTTCCCTTCTCAACGGCAGAGACGTTGATGATACCGTTGGCGTCGACATCGAAGGTAACCTCGATCTGTGGAACACCACGAGGAGCAGGTGGGATACCGGTAAGTTCGAACTTTCCGAGAAGGTTGTTGTCCTTGGTGCGAGCACGCTCACCCTCGTATACCTGGATCAAGACACCGGGCTGGTTGTCGGAGAAGGTGGAGAAGATCTCGGACTTCTTGGTTGGGATGGTGCTGTTACGCTTGATGAGGGCAGTCATGACACCACCAGCAGTTTCGATACCAATGGAGAGAGGAGCAACGTCGAGAAGGAGAATTTCCTGGGTCTTGGAAGAGGTGTCACCGGAGAGAATGGCAGCTTGGACGGCAGCACCGTAAGCGACGGCCTCGTCGGGGTTGATGGACTTGTTTGGCTCCTTTCCGTTGAAGAAGTCGGAGACCATCTTCTGGATCTTGGGGATACGGGTGGAACCACCGACCAAGACGATTTCGTGGACGGTAGCCTTGTCGATCTTGGAGTCTCGGAGGACACGCTCGACTGGTTCCATGGTGGAACGGAAGAGGTCCTGGCAGAGTTCCTCGAAACGGGCACGAGTGATGGAAGTGTAGAAATCGATACCCTCGTAGAGAGAGTCAATCTCAATGGAGGTCTGGGCAGAAGAAGAAAGGGTTCTCTTGGCACGCTCGCAGGCGGTTCGGAGACGACGGAGAGCACGAGCGTTGGAGGTAAGGTCCTTCTTGTGCTTCCTCTTGAATTCCTGGACGAAGTGGTTGACCAGACGGTTGTCGAAGTCCTCGCCACCCAAGTGAGTGTCACCAGCGGTGGCCTTGACTTCGAAGATACCTTCTTCGATGGTCAAGAGGGAGACATCGAAGGTACCACCACCGAGATCGAAGATGAGAACGTTTCGCTCACCCTCGGCCTTCTTGTCCAAACCGTAAGCAATGGCAGCAGCAGTTGGCTCGTTGATGATACGAAGAACGTTGAGGCCAGCGATGAGACCGGCGTCCTTGGTAGCCTGACGCTGAGAGTCGTTGAAGTAGGCTGGAACAGTGATGACAGCGTTGTTAACGGTGCCACCGAGGTAAGATTCAGCGGTTTCACGCATCTTTGTCAAGACCATGGAAGAGATTTCTTCTGGAGTGAAGGTCTTCTCCTCTCCCTTGAACTCGATTTGGATGATTGGCTTGCCACCCTTATCGATGATCTTGAAGGGGAAGTGCTTCATGTCGGACTGAACCTCAGCGTCAGCGAACTTGCGACCGATTAATCGCTTGGCATCGAAGACGGTATTGTGAGGGTTCATGGCGACTTGATTCTTGGCAGAATCACCAATCAGACGTTCGGTGTCTGTGAAGGCAACCTATTACAATGAAAACCCATGTTAGCATATCCGTCCATAACCGTGTTGTTTGAGTTGAGTTGAGTTGAGTTGAGGGGAGTTGGGTTGAGTTGAGGGGATGGTGGGGTAACGCGAAGCTGCCCCACCATGGATGAAAGAGGGAATTGAAGGAAGGAAGGAATGAATGAAAGAAGGAGGGATTGCTTTAACTTACGAATGATGGTGTGGTTCTGTTACCCTGATCATTGGCAATGATTTCAATTCTGTCATCACGGAAGACACCCACGCAGGAGTAGGTGGTTCCCAAATCGATACCGACAGCTGGAGCCATCTTGAATGTGTGAGTGTGTATATGAGAGGTAGAAGAAAAAAAGAGGTTATCGAAAGAGGATTCTAGGAGAGAAGTCGATTGGTTGGGTCCTTGATTAGCGAGCTAGAAATAGAACAAAAAAAATTGGGTATCTCTGCAACGGTTTAAAAAAAGGAAAAAGCAGGTGAAGAAGATGAGATGATGAGAATGGAGAAGAAAAGAGCTGAGAAGTGAATCGAGCTTCTTTTTTATCTATTCAAGGTGAAGGTGAAGGTCAAGGTGATGATGATGATTGAATGCGTGTAGGTGAAGTGTACAAGCAAGTGTTGGTGGAATTGTAATAGAAAGCAAGTAGTGAGGTGTAAGAGGAAGAGGAAGAGTTGGTTGGAGTGGAAAGAGAGGAGGAGGATTTATACGGGGATTTGAGACGCTAAATTTTTTTTTTTTGGGCAGGATTCTTACCTTGTTTCACGGATGATGGACAGAGAGAGAAGAAGAGAGTAAGAAGTAGTGGATGTGAGGTGGTTGTGGATGGTTCTCGATGCTTCCTTTGTTGGCCTTTTAAGAAAGGCTGGCAGAATTTTCGGAGTGTCGTTCGATGTGGTTCTGCGGGATTCCAAGCTGCTACATCATAGCCTACCCCACCAATCACGTGACCGTACTATCATTCTCTCCACCTCGAATTGATTATTAGTATTAGTATTAGTCTTAGTATTATTATTATTATGAACCTCACGTCAAGAGCTCACACAATTCGAGCTGACTGACAAGGCTGGTGCTAACGAGGTATTAAACTATTACTAAAATACCGAGATACTCCAGTAATCCCATGCATACCATATGCACGATAGTCCTAGAAGGATTCAGATCCTCGGGCATGACACACACACACACACTCTCTCTCTCGACAATATAACGGTTGCGGATGTGCGTGATCTCATAGGATCTGATATGAATATCGATACTTATCGATTAAGAATAGTAGTAGTAGCTTAGTCATCAGAACAGAAACACACAAAGAAAAACGTGGATGAAGACGCCAAGACTGCAGACAAAGTCGATCGAAGCAAAAAAAATGCAACAGTTCTAGTGTTGCCAAAGAAACACACTACTACTCTATGCACTGTGTACCCCTCATTAATATAATCTGAGTACTCTACTATCGGGTATATAAAATAGTAAAATAATATGACCCTCGAAGACCGCATCGCCGCACTAGCCATAACAACCTTCTCCTCCCTCCCCGCAAAATGCAAACCCCGACCCCAAGAATGGATCCCCATGACAGCCATCATCCTCCAAACATCAGACGAAATCCTCCATTTAGCCTCACTAGCCACAGGTTCCAAATGCATCCCCTCCACAACCCTTCCCAAAGCAACGGGCCTTGTCCTTCACGACTGTCACTCTGAAATCCTCGCCCTTAGAGGTTTAAACCATTTCCTTCTTCAAGATGCTCAGCAGATCCTCACAGACCCTGACTACCAATCCCCGTATTTAATATACAACAACCGTAACAATTGCAATAATATTAAGAATAATGATAATAATGATGATAACAATGACCCGGATACCCCCCCATTCACCCTCCACCCCTCCATCTCAATCCACCTCTTCTCAACCGAACCACCCTGTGGCGATGCAAGCATGGAATTCATCATATCAGCCCAACAAGACCCAACCCCTTGGTCCCTCCCCACCACCACCACCACTAACAACAACAAAGAAAACACCCCACACCCCAGTAACCCCCTCCCCGGCCGCTCCTACTTCTCAACCCTCTCAATCGTCCGTCGAAAACCCTCCCGTCCAGACGCCCCTCCAACCCTTTCAAAATCCTGCACCGACAAACTAACCCTCAAACAATTCACATCCGTCCTATCCTCTCTATCTTCAATCTTAATCTTACCCACAAAAGCAGCTTATATAAAAACATTTACAGTCCCATTCGACAAATTTAATCAAGAGGGTTATACCAGAGCTTTTACCCCATCCCCCCCGAATGGAAGACTTTCTACCTGTATGCATCTTGTCGATAATACCGGTATAGAAGACTATTCATTCCACCCATTATCCCCCACTCCGCTCTCCCAATCCTTCCCATTTACCTCATATCCATACTCAAAACCCCCTCCGCAAGATACGACGACTAAAGCCTCAAATATCTCGACATTGTACATCAACCACCCTCGAACTAAACCTATAACAGAAGTTCTCATCTCGGGTGTAAAGCAAGGAAATGCCCAACTATCGACCGTTCGTGGTGATAAGAAGGGTAGCGTGGTCTGCAGAAAGAGAATGTGGCTATTCTTACGTCAAATAGTCGATCTATTACCATCAAACCAATATCTAGATACCAAGACCAAAATAGAGAGCAGTAGTACATATTTCGAATTGAAGGAAATAAATATACATAGCACACAAAGCAGGATTAAGATGAAACACATTCTCACGGGAGCATTGAATGGATGGGAAAGAAATATTGGAGACGATGATTGGGGCCTCTGATTCTGGATTCTCACCAACTATGATCATTATTCAGTACTTAAGTACTAGTCTAGTTGTTTCTTAAGTACAAGGTGTACATGTATGTCCATACCATTTATGATACCCCAGCGTGTAGGATATAAAGAGAAATCGAAGCGGGCAAAGTGTTAGAACTAGAATTCAGGTTCTGCCAAACATTAATATTCATAACAATAAAAGAAGGATATAGGTACACATGATCAATTCCCAAGACACCAAAATATCACCCTGTCCTCGCTGCCGTCTAAACTCCAACGAACAAATGGTAATCTAGCCACGCTCACGTAGAATCTAATACCTTCTTACACTCTTTCACAAGCATCCTATCCACCTGTCCCCTCAACCTTAACGCCGTGACGAACTTATCGAATTCTTGGCGAAGGGGCGTCGGCTTCAAAGCCTTCTTGTTCAGCCGACAAAACCGTATCAGACAGTCGTGCAAATGGTGACTACTTCGCGGACTATATTTTCATTTAGTCAAGTCGTATTCATAAAATTATCGTATAATAGGAGATCATACCCTTCAACCATAACATGACCTCCCCATAGCTTCAAAAATTCCTGACCAGCAGACGAGAAACTTGACTTCTCAATCCTCTATAACAATAGTTTAGCTTAGACTTCTTGTACATACTTCAAATCACCTAAGTATCTACTAACCTCATTTATTTTTGTAGTCACCCAGTTCTCATCAATATCATCGTCACTTTCACTGACATCATCCCCCGCCGTAACAGTCTCTCTCGTCACAAATCTTACATACCCTTTCCCATCCCCCCTAACCGGAGCAATACACTTCCTTTTCTCTACTTTAAAATTCAAATCCGGTACAATATGCATTTTCCTCAACATCCTACCAGGCGCATTCATAAGCTTCCGTTCTGCTTCTGGGACCACCACCCCTCTGGCCCACGACGTATCTCCCTTCAAATACTCCCCCAGGTTGAACGCTCTATCTCCAAGCCCTTTCGGTCGAATCCACGTAAACTTTCTATCATTATTCCCAGGAGGTTGAGAAAACCGTTTACCCTCCTGGACCGCCGGCTCCACCATAATCTTGACTAAATCTTTATGCCATTCTGATGAACAAGCAAAGTACGTGTGTGTATGTAATAGATGAAATCGTAACCGATCGAGACTCTGAAACGTTGTGTTCTGGCAAATGACACAGGTGTATGTACTTCCATGATAACTGAATACGTACAACTTGTCATTCAAATTCACGGTGGAGTGTTTGTGAGCATCTTGCTCATCAAAATTTTTGATATGACCACGAAAAGTATAATCGATGCGGATCTGTTTCCGACGCTTAGGCATTAACACCACATTCGATGTATTATGTTGTTGTTGCCGTTGTTTTTTCTTGCCATTTCCGAGGATTTGGTAGTTGATACTTTTGTTCCAGCCAAAACTGAGCTTGAGCTGCAAGGTCTCTAAGTCTAGGTCTGTATCTGTATCTAGCTCAACTTCGCCAGTTTTTACTGCTGCCACGGTTGTCTCGCTCTGTCCGTCATTGCAGACTAAGTTTTCATCAAGTCGTAACCGTGTTTCGTAACTTCTTTCTCCGCTTGTGTTTTCAGCCAAATCTGCCCCTTCACCAGCTTGCCCTAACCAAATCCGACAAACTATTTCGTATCCTGAAGAGGCAAATTTTTGGTTGCCGTCATCTTTAATTGCAAATGTCGATAGTGGAATCACGAAATGCCGCTTTAAATGAAGCGTCTGTTGATCAGCACCCGAACCGGGCCTGGGTAAAATCTCCGCTGTTTCCGTCAATAGCTCAACTTTCGTCTGTTCCTCTTGCCCTCTTGGCTTTGAGCAAGCATATCGGGAACTAGAGCTCGAGGATTGAATCGCGAACAATTTTATCTCGCATTCCTTTGGTTGACAACCAGTTCTCAGGAGCTCCCTATAGAACGTTAGCACCATCATAATTCTCGTAAGAACAAAACACAAAAGTTAGTATGAAGAACAAACCTCATAACCTCAACTTTCAACCCGAATTTCACCTCATCATCAATCTCCGGTACGACCCCCAACCTTCGAACAATCTCACACATTTTCCTCGGCCTGCCATCCCGATTCCAATACTTCCTACTCCCTTTCCTTCCCTCGTTCTCAGCTTTCAGAAGCCTTGCTTGATCACACAGTATCCTAGTAATATTCCTCTCCAAAAAAACTTTTTGCGAATATTTCGCAAAGAAGTTATAGAGAAGGAGATTGCCTTGGTAGGCATCGGATAATGTGAGCGGCGGTTGACCCAAGCTGCTGGCGTTGTTATTGTTGTTGTTATTGTTGTTGTTGCTGCTGCTGGTATGAGTATTGCTGTTGACTGATACCGACACTCGTGCCCCTGGACTACTGGTATAACCAGCCCGGAATCCAGAGTTTCGAGACCTTGCCCCAATCACTTGAGCTAGAGTTGGTTCTCTCTTTCGCCTCATATCTGCTGTTAACTTTGGACTCTTAAAAGAGATCGAGAGAGAGGGAGAGCCTTAGCTAGCTAGAGCTAGCTAGCCTTTGCAGGATGATATCTCGGTAATTCAGAGCCAGCTGTGCCAGGATGTCACGTAGTACCGAACTCAATTTGAAGCAGCCGTGGCCAGCAGGCTTGATTGAATTCAAATTAGATTGCATGAAGCAGCAACAACAGTACCAAATGAAGCTTTTCGGCAGCCTGTCACACGTGGGCACGTGATCTACCTTTCACTTGGGTGAATCTAAAACATGAATCATTAGTTAAATTCAAAGGGCGAGAAGATAATGAGTGATATCGTACCTCGGTCTGAATGTTCATCTCCATGGCCATGGTCATCGTCATTAAGGTGGTGGTGTATGGAGGATGAGAAAGGTGGAGGGGTTGTGGGAGGAGGGTGTGAAGGTGAAGCTTAAGGTGAAGGCGCTACCTTTACGACAACATTCCAGGAGCTTAATATATTAATATATTAATATGCAACAATTTCCGCGACTGTGGAACGATCTGTCACTGATCGGATATCAGTAGCGTTACTGTAGCCCTCCAGCCGGACTTCGGATCATCAACTCTGGCTCCGAATCCCGGATATCTCCTTGAATGCTTTCGTTTTAGCTTGAGATTGAAGCATGAAGGTGATATTAGACTTCGAATTCCAGGTGTTCTGGACAAGAAACAAAAAAGAAAGGTATATACCTCCTCATTTGAATAAAAATAGTAAAATAACAATAGAAAACCGGGTACGAGACAAAATAAAAATAAAAATCCCAAAACATGCGATAGTAATATGATGACAAGCAAATGCACCTGCACCGTTGTGGTAATGAAAAAGCATGCCAGAAACGCCATAAACATGCAAAGAACAAACAAAATTGCGCTATAAAAACTCCAAACGTTACAAGAAACCCAAAAAAACTACGACTCATTTACACAATACTATTCTTCCTCGCGTTCGCTGCCGCTATCGCCGCAGCAGCTTCCCTCGCCGCCAAAGGTATTGTAGGCGAAGATGGTCTCCTCCTATCAAAAAACCTCGCAACCTTCGACGGTTTCGTCAAACTAACCGCCGACTGGTTCCTGCTCTCCAGCTCCTGAGCCTCCCGTAACTCCAAATCCGATGCTCTTTCTTCAATCACATAAAAACTTCTTTCAACCGTAATATCCGTCAAAGACTCGTTCTTCGATCTTGTCTGTTCCAAAGATCTGAGAGGTCGTGCTGTGGTATCCAATGGATCGACATCACCAAGTGTGCTGGTCCCACCTCTTGACCTCCTCCCTTCCCCTATCTGGGAGTTTAACTCCACGTAGTCCGGCATGATAATTGTTCCTCCACCAGAAACTGTTGCGTCTGCGGAGTAGCTTACGAATTTAGCGGGTCCCTTGTAGATGTGATTTCGTTCAAAGATGCTGATACCCAATCTGGAGGACCTTGCTGTGCCCTTTCGTGATCGGGTGCTGTAATTCCCACGTGGGCTATGATTGTATACTCTTCTTAAGACCTGAAGCATAACTTGGTTTAGTGCTGGAAGACAGGCGATTATAGCAGCCAAAGAACTTTCAAGGATCCCCCAGAAGGCGACAGCAGTAGCATTCCATGTTAAATCGTAGGAGTCTACCATGATCTGGTAGAAGACAAAAAGACGAATGGCGCTAAATATCATAGTGAAGATACCAAGTATTAGAAGGGATATAAGGTTGAATTTCTTGCCCGGTGCGAGGGGTAGTCTTGCAAGGATAAAGAGAGGAGGGAAAATCGTAAGCGCGTCGAGAGCCATATGGCCTGCTATTAGACCTCCGTAGACAGCTGTCGAGTGGGAACCGATACAAGTTCCGTCGTATTTATGCTCCAAGTCAAAGGTTCTCGAAACTGACGTGCCGCATTCGAAGATCTGGACTATTACGCAGGCGAACAGGAATGCATAAGATAGCCCTAAAACCGTTCGAAGATATAGCTTTTGACCTTCGGATTGAAGATGTGCTAGTCGTAAGAAGAGGTGGAGGATAGAACATCTGCATAGATGTAGAGCGCAAAACCAGAATATGACGTGAAGAAATTGCATCTAATAATGAAGATTAGGACTGCCAGAGATACTATAAAGTCACCTCGAGGTGTACAATACAAGATACATTTGTTGGAGCTGGTAACTTACTATCAAATAATTATGAATATCTGTCAGCGAAAGGTCGTAGATATGGTATCCCAAGCCAGTGCCCAAACCAGCTATACCGCGAGTTACAAATTAGCATCGATACCCAAGTACTTCGGACATATACATAATTCATCCAGAATGTTACTCAGACTTACCAACCAAATTAACAACATTAAAACCACAATAAGATAACTATCCCCCAAAACGCTCACAAGTCAGCAAAACCCTCTTCCCATACATATGCAGTCTCTAAACAGCTTCAGTTATGGGTTAGACATACAAACGCCGCAATCATAACCCAATCATCCATCCCAAAAACGCCTCTGCTCCTAATCCATAACCTCAAACACACAACTATTGTCGTAATAGTACACATAACCAGCCCGGCCACCAAACAATAAAAAGAGTTGATCGGTGGAACATATTGTGGATCAACTTCCAGCGGGAACTCAAAATCCTTAGGAAATTTGTTGAACAGTGACAATATCGGTAGAAGAGCTGCCCGATCTTCGGGCGTCTGAGGATGTGGCGGACCGCCCATATTGAAAACGAACCCAGTCGCTATTGAGGGCAGGAACTAGTGGTGCTATATGTTGATATTAACTCGACCTCGTCTATTATTCCCTTCATGTATTTCGTATATTATGTATGATTCGATCCTGGTATTGTCGATTATATTTCGTTGAGCCCGTCTTCTTTCAGATATATATCGTGAAAAAAAAAAAAAGCAATCCCTCCACCCCTTCCTCCAGATTTCATTCCTTCCTAGCACATCTTTAAAGTTGAACGCCGCGGATTCGGTATATATATAGAAATTGGGGGGGCAATCCAGCAATGTCGAGAATATCAAAGATGTGTCGCTAAGAGCCTCACTTGGGTCGCAACCACCAAGTTCCAACGAAACTAAGAGTAGGCGAATATAAAATTATAATTATAAAAAAGGAATGAGAAAGAGGAAAGGAACCCATATTTTCCAACCATTCCCATTATCGGAGGGGACATATCAGGTTTTGTATCAAATGTCCGATTTTCTTTCCATCGTCAGGAAAGTGGGCACTGATCCCTCTGCCTGGGAATTCGAATTGCCCATGATCATGCATGAGGAGAGGGCAGGACTGAGCGTGTGTGCTAGTGGGGCGATCTAAACCAATTATGTCTCCGCGAGGAGGTGGAAGTATGGTTAGTCCCTGTAGCACCAACAAAAATCGTAAAGCGAAAATCACTTCGAGACGACCAGATCCATGGCTCAATAAATTCAGGTGACAAGCTGAGCCAGATCAACCACACTCCTTCATGCAAAAAGTGGGTTTTGGGTAGTCGGTGAAAGCGTTTCCGGCTGGGATCATGGTGCGAAACGTGGTGAATTCGGAGCAGTCGACCAAATATGGCATCCTAGTAATTTCTGATCCAAATGTTCCGGCGAGGAAAGATTAAAAGATAGACAGTGCACAATCGAAGGCTTGCATGTGGGCCCGACCAGACGGTGGAAAGTGTCTCAAAGTGCCAGAGATATTTGTTTCAATGACTTCTCTAAGTCCACGCCAAGCACATGTACGATCGGTTTCTTGATATTGATAAGGCAGCATCGATTCGAGAGTGGATGTGGCAACATAAGGAGAATGGTATCGATCGAGCATGAAAACGGCAGAGGTAATGAAATGACAATATCATTTTGTTCGTCTTTTGTCGCAAACCTCCCCGACTTCCATGTGCCGCAATCCACCAGTCCAGTACTAGTTCAGTTCAGTCAGCCGTTTCGAATTTCTTTTGTAGAACCAAATCGAATATTCGCCTCCGCCCGATGCCATCGGCATTTGAACAGGCGGCATTTGCAAGTGGGTCGATAGCGCGCGCACGGTCTCAGGAACGGAAATCGCACACAACAAACTATTAATTCCCATGTGGAAAGATAAATACTTGGACACCATACATAGTACACAGTGACTAATGCGTCGGTGAAACCGAATGGCCGCCTTGAAAGACACTTACATGGTGCTGCAAAGGTCAGCTTTGCCTTGACGTCTGTCTGTGGAGACCGTTAACCGGTAGCGCTGCTCTGACTGATAGCTTTCCGGCCCGAGTATTGGTATCATGGTGGGTACTGAATTCGAAGGTTGCTAGTAACCCTCTTAGATATAGATTTGCCTCGATATCATCTCAAACGAGGATATACGAGATATTGATGCTATCAGTCTGTCGATATTTCTTCTACAGCCAATCGATTATATCAAATATTAGTTAAAATATATCGCAGACATGTCGACAGTCATGCATGGTCATATGACCATCCGATAGAATAAACAGCGAGAAGTCTCCATGTTGACATTGATATGCCATAACCAGCTATCGAGCCCTGCACTAGTTCGCAGACCCAATCACCTGGTTCTTCTAAATTAACGAGGGTTTTCATAGTACGAAAGTGCGAAATTGCATTCTATATTTACCCGTAGAAAAAGCCACGAGGCTCTGCGATCAAAGATATAGCTGGGATACTACTTCCGTCAAAGATCAATCTTACTTCACTAAATTTACCCGACGCAACTGCCTTACATAGTAATTGATCGTAGTCCCAGATTAAAATATAACATTAACGTCAATTTAATAATCTCGGTTCATAGGGAGCATGGAGATGCACAGGCCACATGATGGTAATGATTAAATTAACGGTCGCAATAAAAACATTTAATATAATCTTCTTCATAGATAATCCATAGGTGTATAGTGGAATCGCAATAACATTAATAATGACGAGTCAGCACCGTATAGGCAGTAATGCGCAACGATATATCTCAATGTCAGCATTTCATAATACATACAATCCCACGATTGTGATCAGATCTTCCTAAATTACTTCTTACGAGGGACCATAATGCACTTGACGAGTTGCTTTGAAACATGGCATATCCTCACCCACAAATATCTCTGCTACACTCCCCTGCCAGCTACAAAACGACATTTGTATACGGTAGATTTTATATAGATCTTTAAAGAGAGGACCGAATAGTGAATTGAGATTTTGATAACTTTTTGCCACTATCAACATAGAAAATACAGCATTTTCACTGCGCATGCCTTTGAAGTCTGTGGAGTTGAATTCTGATGCATTGTGCGCGCACTTGCAGAGGTACTTTTAAGAGCTAAAGATACCTCCTAATGGTATTATAACATATACAATTAAAATACAACATTGCTTCCCACCAGATAGCCATGTGAGCTCCTCGACATACCATACCGAGTTATCAGGTCGAATGTGTCTGTCTTCTGGCTCTAAGTTAAGCTACCGTTGAGACTGAGCTGCTGCCCAGTAGCTAAGGAACCGAGGCAACACAATCGCTGCCACCAGCAGGTTGATCCCTGATCCCTGCCACATACTTCCCTCGCGTAAAGGTCAACCTCTGTCGCTGCGACAAAATTTCTTTTAACCTTTCCCAGCCAGCTTTAAAAAAAAAAAAAAAGCTTCATCGGTATCACCACCATCACCATCTACAGACCTCCCCACTAACACCCTGGTAATAAACCCCCAATCCAGGTCGCATCTACTCAATCTACAGATTCGCGATATTTTGGTAGCCCATATAATCTCCTCCAAAATGTCGGCCGTCCTAAAATCCGTCACGGACGCCCGTTCTGCAAAGTCCAAAGAAGAATCTACAGACTCCACAGGTCCCGACAAGAAATTTCGTCAAAGGGTGCTCATCCTCTCCTCACGAGGTGTAACATACCGGTAATACTCATATCCTCTCAATCTACAATTAAACGTCAATGGAAATAACTAATAAAAATAAAAATACAGCCAACGTCACCTCCTCCAGGACCTAACCGCCCTCCTCCCGCACTGTCGCAAAGACTCAAAATTCGACACAAAATCAAAACTCTTCCAACTGAACGAACTAGCAGACCTCTACAACTGCAACAACATCCTCTTCTTCGAAGCCCGTAAGCGCGAAGATCTATACATGTGGATGTCAAAACCTCCCAACGGTCCTACCATAAAATTCCACGTCCAGAATCTTCACACCATGGAGGAATTACACTTTTCCGGAAACTGCTTGAAGGGCAGTAGACCTCTTTTGAGCTTTGATAAAACTTTTGAGAGTAAGCCCTATTTGATGGTTGTGAAGGAATTGATGTTTCAGACTTTTGGCGTGCCTAAGGGTGCGAGGAAGAGCAAACCGTTTGTGGACCATGTTATGAGCTTTACCGTCGTGGACGGGAAGGTGTGGATTAGGTGTTACCAGATCTGTGAGGCAGAATTGGGGAAGAAGGATGCTAAGGAGAATGGTGCTGAGGGAGACGAGGAAGAAGCCGATGAGAGGAAGAAGAAGGGCAAGAAGACTGGACGCTCCGAAACAGAGATCAGTTTACTAGAAATCGGACCCAGACTGGTCTTGACCCCAATCATCATCCAAGAAGGATCATTCGGCGGACCCATCATATACGAAAACAAGGAGTACGTTTCTCCCAACGTTCTAAGAGCGGAATACCGAAACAGGAGGGCCCAGAAATTCAACGTCAGAAGCGCACAAAAGGTCGGCAGGGAGATCAAGAAGAAGGCCCTACGGCTCGACAAGCACCGCATCGGAGGCGGTGGAGGAAAGGACTGGGAGGAGTTGCAGGCTGGGTTGAAAGATTTGTTCCAGGACGACGATTAAAAGTCTCTATATGGTATCGCATATTGTACTATCTATGAAAGTCCAGCTTTGGCGAGTTGAATTCTATTTACACCTAGGGAGTTCGGTGGAATATGTATTACTAGTATCATTGTTATGTACTTCTTGTTCATCATAAACTAGACTCTTCCGTGCCCATAATCTGTAAGAATAAACTCGTCCTTTGTAGGAATAAACTGAAACGCCATGATAATCCCATATTCCCGTATTCCATCCATCCGTCAATAAATATAGATCCCAGCCGCCATAAAAGGATAACGCCGTAGCCCGCCGAGGGTATCAAATTCCGTTATTAAAAAAAAAAAACTCAAACCGGGAGAAAGGGTGCTATCGCTAGTTTTCCATGTCATCCACAGACCAACTTGAATCATTCCCATCTTCATCTTCATAGGCCAGCCTATCGACCTTGAAGTCTGAATCCTCATCACTATTATATCTCGCCCTCTTAGACCCAACGACAAAAGTTTGCGACTTCTGCGTTCCCCTTCTTTTCTTAGGATTGGACCTGCTCGGCGATGCCTCCTTAAGTGCTGCGGCCTGTTTCCCTTTCTTCTTCGGAGAAGCTCTCTTTGGAACAGCTGCAGCCTTTTTCGGGCTCCTCTTCGTCGGCCGACTCTCAGACAGATCCAAGAAATCGGCCTCCCTGAGTTGATTCCCCGTAGGTCTTGAATCATCCAAGCGAAACAAAACTCTTTCACAAAGCCCAACGGTAACGTTGGGGTCCCATTTGACCTTATGCCCCTCACTCTTTTTCTTCGCAACAAATTCCTTCCAGGCATTCCCACGGCGATCCAAGAACGCCATAGCGAACTCATCGCCCCATCTCCTCCTACTCGCAGCACGATCTCTCCAGCTCAACTCAGGGAGGATGCACCAAATATCAATTTCCCTTAACGCCATGAAACCCCCATTTCTAGCGGTATCAGCCATTCCTTCTAAAACTCTTTCACAATCAGCGGCAGTCCAATTACCCAGGCCTCGCATAATCAAACTCTCAAGAGTTTGCGGCCACCTCGGCATTGGTATTTCGAGTAGCTCAAGCTCTTCATGACTCAGAACCCCGGGGACATCCTCGTAGAGAAGCCTCTTAAGGCTGGGCGTGGCGGTGTCTAGGATGCTCAGAAATCCGGCATAGATGCCTGGGCAGTGAATGACCTCAAGCTCTTCAAGATGTTTCCCACTCAGTTGCAGGAAACTCTGAAGATCGATAGTGTTAATATTCTTTAGATCTTCCAAAACAAGGCGCTTGAGTTCGTGAACGCCAGCAAGCTGGCTTAGGAAGTATGCGTTGACGAATGTACAGTCCTTCAAGGCCAGATCCTTGAGGTATTTCAAATGCCCCAGAGAGCTAGCAATAGTGGCAATTTGTGCCTCAACCTCGCCCTCTTCCTCGTCGTCGCGGTAATACTCGAGGGGCGTCGGGGTATCAAATCCCGTGATCGTAAGAGCCTTCAATGATTTGAAAGGCTCGACATCCTTATGGACGGCATGCAACCACCCAAAGCCCCTCTGAGTTCTCGTCTTCTTCTTAGGAGATTCATCACGAGTGTCATACTGGGCCGCAATAGCCCAACAGAGCTCACCATCCCATGTCCAGTCTTGCAACCTAGTGCCATTGTTCTGTAACGCCGTAAGAACGCCCGGGTCCATATCTGGCTTCCGCCCCGAAGCGTAAAGGAGCTCAGGGCTCCAAGGACCCGAAGAAACGCAAACGCCTGTAACGTGCGTGGACAGTTGGACGATATCCTGCAATCCAAACTTGAGAAGCTTGGTATCACAGATCTCCGCAGAATGTGACTCAATTCTCCGAACCTTCCTCGAAAGTAATGGATTTGCTTTCAGAGCATCGAAAAATTTGCGAAGCCGGGAGATGGGAGTCATAGGAGGTGTATGGTAAAGGAGATCGTTGGCGGGGTCTGCAAAGGCTTTGCAGGTACGAGCAGCGTTGGCGAGCCATGCATGGTCAATTGGGATCGAATTGTTCTGCGAGTTCGTAGCAGCAAATTTGAGGATAGGAACGAGGACATGGTATGGCAAGGTGGCCCATGGTGGGTATTTTGCCTGTCGTGGTGTTGTGAAAGCCTTTGTACTTGTACTCGAGCTCGAGGTGGCGGACTTTCTTGCCCGCTTCGTCGGAGCCAGGTTACTAGTGTGAGCCGAACTACGGGTACGTCTCGCAGCTGGCATAGCGGATATCACCTAGGAGGCAAGCGTTTAGGTATATATCGTGAAGCTGAAAGACGATAGTAGACAATTATGTCGAGCTCTGAGGTTGGTGATGAAAGCGAGCGAGTGAAGGATAAAGAAGATGGAGCAGGTCGCCTGTCCAAGTCCAGCAGCAGCAACTTGACATCAATGCGACACGCGCAACGCAAGCCCGCTCGGCTAACAAGGATCCGCAACGCATGCCAAGACGCCAAAATCCAGGCACCGGAGATAACACACCTATCAACAGCTATGTCGTCTTATCGCCGAGGCATATCAAATTCAACTTCAAACAGACCCATACCAGAACTATCTCGATAGCTGTCGCGCAACAGCATACCTCAAGATGGGCTTCTGGACCCGCCAACCGACCGCCGCAAAGGACTCATCGGCTCCAATCGAAGCAGCAGCAGCAGCAGCTTCCCACCAATCTCCCAATGATACACCTGCCGTCCAACAGAATACACCCAGATCCCGCGACGATGTAGCCGAGGAAGAATTCTCTGCTCTTCTCAAAACTCTCCACGATGAAGACCCCTCTCGCAAGGAGGCTGTTCCACAAAACAACTTCCAGGATACATTATATCCAACTACCATGTCCTGCCGTGAAGCCTTCGATGAACTTTACTTCTGCTACTCTCTGGGTGGCCAGTTCAAGAACTTGTACCGCCATGGCACCTACCGTCAATGCGAGGATAAGTCAGCAGACTTTTGGTTCTGCATGAGAACAAAGATGTACGGACCAAATACAAAGAAAGAAATGATTGTCAAATATCACAAAGAGAAGGAGGCAGAAAAATACAAGAGGGGGCCGAGTTCAGAGGATGTTTGGAAAGTAAGAACAGAGCCTCTGGAAGGACAATTCATGGGAACCTTTGGAGATACCAGAGAAAAGGAACCTCACGAAAGAGATATATAGACACTGGAAACGAACTTCTGTAATTACGGGTATGGCGTTATGATAGGAGAAGGCGAGTGTTCACATTGTGTATATATTGTAATCTAGAGTCTGTACATATTAATCATCAAAAAGTCATCTCATGCGCACATGTAATATCACTCAAAACGGTGAGAGGAATCAGATAAAATCAAAATTTCAAGCTCTGTCGCTTCTTGTCAAAAATGTCCCGAATAAAGTACCGCCAAAGGAAATTAGAACGGAAGAAAGAAAAGAGGATTTCAAGAATCAGGAGCAACACTAAGCAATACTTAACAAAGGAAACCGTAAAGCTCGTGGTAATCATTAAGAACGATTAGAAAAGAAGAAGAAAACATCCTTATCAACCAAAATATCCATTATCCTAACCACAGTACCTCACAGCTTTTCTTTTTTATTTTTTTATTTAGTGAGGCCCATATCCTCCAGGGGGGACACCTCCAAAGCCTTGCTGGCCCTGAGGTCCGGGTGGAGCGTAGCCTCCAGGCGCTTGGTATTGTGGCGACGGTCCACCCTGCGGCCCACCATATGGAGATGGACCACCATGTTGACCACCGTGTGGGGATGGGCCACCGTGTGGAGATGGAGCACCATATTGCTGTTGACCAGGGATTTGGTATCCTTGCTGTGGAGGGGGAGCACCGTACTGCTGCTGGCCTGGGGCCTGGTAAGTCTGGGGCGCGCCGTATTGCTGCTGGGGTGGAGCACTGCCATATTGTTGTTGAGGTGGAGCGGAATACTGGCCCTGTGGTCCACCTTGTGGGCTTGGAGCACCATACTGACCATAGTTTTGAGCGCCTGGTGGTTGGTATACCTAATATTTGACGAATTCTATTAGCGACTCCTCGAAATACTTGAACTATTTCTTGAGCCCTTATGAGTAATACATACCGGGTTTTGACCACCATATGTAGCATGTCCTTGATAAGTCGACTGTCCTTGATGTCCATACTGCTGTGCAATACCGGCCTGCTGGCTATGGGCGGACTGGCTTCCATGTCCACCCAAGAACCCAGAAGCCATACCCATCAAACCACCGCCACTGCCATGGCCACTGCCATGGCCACCGGAAGATCCGTGGTTCTGTTTATTCTTTCCACCGCCCAAAAGACCACCAGCAAGGCTGGCAACTTGGCCAAAGGCGCCTCCACCACCACCACCGCTCGATCCGTGACCGCTCTGCTTATTCTTTCCACCACCAAGGAGGCTTCCGGCAAGATTGGCAACTTGACCAAGTCCACCACCACTGGATCCGTGACTCTGCTTGTTCTTCCCGCCGCTACCTAGAAGACCGCTAGCAAGGTTGAATGCACCTCCAAGGCCACCGGCACGAGCAGTCTGGTCTTGAGGACCAGGGGTATACTGCTGTGGATTAGCATTAGGATCGTAAGCAGGAGCAGCATTAGGATCGTAAGTAGGAGTTCCTTGGGTTTGTGGAGTATAACTCTGAGGGTTGTATTGGTTTTGAGGAGTAGCGTTGGGGTCGAAGTACTGGGTTGGCTGTTGTTGGCCAGGCGAGGTAGCCTGCGGGGTTTGCTGCTGAGGGGTTCCGGTGGGGTGAGGACTTGTAGCGGTTGTGTTTCCGCTGAAGCTAGTGATAGGAGAACCCTGTGGGACGTCCCACTGGGTGGTGCCGGTAGACGGCTGGACGAAGTAGTAGCGCTGGTTATTTGGATCCCATTGAGCGATCTATATATAAATGGGTCACATATATGGTTAGCAGCGTGGTTTTAATATTGGAAAATTCCTCGATAGGCAGACAACTAAATCAGGAACAAAAATCACGAGGAGAAGACGTACCCATCCCTCAGGAAGAGGAGGAGGAGCTTGTGTAGGACCGACTGCTTGCGCGGGGGAAGCACTAGTTAGCCCTTGCTGTATCGGCTGTTGCTGTTGCTGTTGCTGCTGCTGCTGTTGAGCCTGGGGTTGGGTGGCTGTAGAAGCGTCTGCCATTGCAATTGCTGATGCTCAGGCCTTCGGTAACTATTAAACACTTGACTAACGAAGAATGATTCTAGATTGATGATGACTTTGGATGGATTGAAGACGGAGGGTTCGAACAAAGACGATTCAGAGAAGGGAGGAATTAGATGGTACGATGGAATGGAAAGGGAACGAGGGAATATAAATAAAGTAAAGCTTGTTAGTTAAAAAGGAGGGGCTGCTGTTAATACCAGGCCACTTCTGCTACTGCTACCGCTACTACTGCTCTCCTGTTACCACGACCACTACACAACTGAAATGCCAGGCACCTCGATGCAATGAGCTTCTTCTGCACTGCCCACCGCGCCAGTCTGGGACCCATGGCAAGGTAGGGCAAGGTAGTCTACCCATTGGTACAACAATCATCCATTAACTTGCGGCAATTCTCCACCTTTAGTTCTCACGGAGTCGTACATGGACGGTACATGTATTGCTGTTGGCAGTTAATTCTGGCATCAGTCTGGGTCTGCATGGCGGGACTTGATTCTCAGGGTCCGACTCCCACCCATCATATTAATTTACTAGACGCCTGCACCAGTCTCATCTGGGCAATCGAATACCCCAATCATTATGCACCGAGGTCAAAGGGGCCAAAGAGCTAACGAACTAGAAGGCAAAGAAAAATGCAAGTGCGGCTGGAACAAACACCTCAATTGAAAAGACTTTTGCTTTGTGACGGGAGCATACCAACTTGACTTGAACGTACCAATTAAGCAAAAAACTCATGAAGTTGCTGCGCCTCGATAGCTTACCCGTCCACAACCACCCAACAAAGATTTATACTGGTGCTACAGCAAGGTAGTCAAGCCACTCTTGTCAACGAAATTCGGGATATCGTCGACGGATTAGTACACGATGTACTGCCGAAAATCGCCTTGTCCTGGGCTTTCCGACGGATATTGTTTGTGGCTGTTAAGTCAACATGAAGCTTCAAAATCAACAGAGCGTTTCAAACTGCACAGCGCTGTGGCTCGACATAATTACTAATAAATGTCCGGGCAGATTATATATCTTAAACTGACAAGGTAAAAGATCTGAAATTCATTCGATCTTTCGGAACCCTGTCCAGCTGAAAAACAATCACATCTGTCTCCACTGCCATAAAGAAGAAAGATTGAATTCTGCCTCGTAAGGTCCTATGCCCGCAGCGTAGACCCTTCGAAACCTCGCTTCGTGATACGCATGTGTACACTTCGTTTTTGGATTACACATCGAGAGACTTACAATAAGCGGAGACCTTCTTTGTGCTACATAAGCACTTCTATACGGACCTAGGCACCAAATATGTACTTTTGAGTATCTTGCAAAAAACAAGCTTTTCTGAAACCACATGCATGGGTTCAACGGGGAGGGAATGGACATTCCAATGGCTTGATGGAAAATTCACCCCTCTTCTTCATTCCAGCCGCATGCATGACGACGCGCGACCGCATGTGAGATCATAAGAGAAGCGCTAGCCAATTCCATCTGATGGTACCTGACCTAATCTCGCACAAACTGTATATAGATAGCTTCTAGATGATATCAATCTAAAATCCTGTCTCAGTATACTAGGCAATGCGCTGCACATGCGTCTTTGGCCTGGTTTTCATAATATTATAGGACCTACTTAGTAGGTTGGTGGCTTTGAATTCTACAGTAATGATGCCAATGGGGTACTTCTCAACGACCGCTTCATTAAAACAATTTATTAACATGAATCAAAAGACTTCTCCAGTTCTCGGCTTATTAAATATAGGGAAGGGAATGGAAGGGAAGAAACCATATATAAAAAAGGTGGTGAGCTGCCTCTTTTCTTTTTTGAAAAAACACTAGGGGATATCTTTTGAGGAAAGGAAGAAGAAAAGAACGTTAAAAAAAAGTCTCTATGAACGGCAAAAGGGATGGGATTTCCTTTGCATTTTACAGATGCATTACCAATTCAAGTTCTCCCATTTCTTTTTCTTTTTTTTAGGAATTCCCAAGTGTCAGGTGCAAAAGAACAAAAGAAACAGAAAAGAAGGAGGGCTAATGGATACCGACAAATACACACGGGATGAGTTTATGATATCAGCGACGGGTAAGCTAACGTCAGTCGTGTATTTTCATTTCAAAACGCAGTGACTATTGTGAACAAAAACCCAATGCGATTCGTTTAATACTCTGCCTCTTCACCATCATCATTACCAACGCTATCGCTGGCAACTTCTTCATAATCACGTTCTATAATATCAATCTTGTCAGCAGCCATATCATAAATTATATGGTATAGATGGGGGAGAAATCACTTACCCAAAGCAGCAAGATCCTCACGGGCCTCGGAGAATTCACCTTCCTCCATACCCTCACCAACGTACCAGTGGACGAAGGCACGCTTTGAGTACATAAGATCGAACTTGTGGCTGAGAGCGCCCCAGGCCTCAGAAATGGCGGTGGTGTTGCTCAACATGCACACGGCACGCTCGACCTTGGCGAGATCGCCGTTGGGAACCAATTGTGGTGGCTCGTTGCAGATACCAATCTTGAAACCAGTAGGGCACCAGTCGACGAACTGGATGGTCCTCTTGGTCTTGACGTTGGCGACGGCAGCGTGGACGTCCTTTGTGACGACGTCTCCACGGTACAACAAACAGGTGGCCATATACTTTCCGTTTCTTGGGTCGCACTTAACCATCTGGTTAGCAGGTTCGAAGCAAGCGGCGGTGATCTCGTTGACGCTGTTGGCCTCGTGCTGTGCCTTGGAGGCGGAGATAACTGGCGAGTAGGCGACGAGAGGGAAGTGGATACGGGGGTATGGGACAAGGTTGGTCTGGAACTCGTTGAGATCGACATTGAGGGAACCGTCGAATCGGAGAGAAGCAGTGATAGAAGAAACGACTAAAAAAAAGATGTTAGTATAAAGGGGTATTGTGACACTATGATATCATATTTAATTCTCACCCTGAGCGATCAATCTGTTCAGGTTCTCGAAGTTGGGTCTCTGGATACCCAAGCTCTTTCTGCAGATGTCATAGATGGCCTCATTGTCGACCATGAAGCTGCAGTCGGAGTGTTCGAGGGTGGTGTGGGTGGTCAAGATGGAGTTGTATGGCTCAACAACAGAAGAAGCGTTCTGTGGAGCAGGGTAAACAGAGAATTCGAGCTTGCACTTCTTTCCGTAGTCAACGGAGAGACGCTCCATGAGCAAGGCGCCAAAACCGGAACCAGTACCTCCACCGAAGGAGTGGAAGACCAAGAAACCTTGGAGGCCGTCGCAGTTATCTAAGGTATGGTAGATTAGTAAGCGACCTTTGTCATGTTTAGGAATATCTGAGACATACCAGCAACCCTGCGGACTCTGTCGAGAACTGTGTCAACGAGCTCCTTTCCGACGGTGTAGTGGCCACGAGCATCTGAAATCACGCTAGTTAATACGCATATTCACTTCTACATTGTGCATAGTGAGGTTCGTACAGTTGTTGCTAGCATCCTCCTTTCCAGTGATCATCTGTTCAGGGTGGAACAGGGATCGGTAGGGACCGGTACGAACTTCGTCGACGACATTTGGCTCGAGGTCGACGTAAATAGTCCTTGGAACATACTTTCCGGCACCTATACGTGTTACTTGTTAGGAGCTATGTTTCATGCTAGCTAAGAATGGTGAGGACATACCAGTTTCAGTGAAGAAAGTGCTGAATCCATGATCACGAGGGCCTTCTTTCTGAGCAGCGGTCAGGTAACCATCGGGCTATACGAAGCATTGTTAGTCCCATCAAAAGCTCAAGAGATGTTTTTCAAGTCACGAGACGCGTCAGAGAGTCGGCTTACCTGGATACCGTGCTCCAAGCAGTAAAGCTATAGGCGGAGAGGGATATATCATTAGCATGGGATGAAGCAGACTCGAAGCTATATGCTCCTATTCATTCTTCCATCACGGTCTTACCTCCCAACAGGAGTTGGCGATCTGGCAACCAGCCTGACCGACTATACATCAAAGAATTTGTCAGCACTCGAGCTTCGTCGGGGACGGGAGGCAATTGGGCACAAAAGGAACCACGATAAGGATAGGAGGGGAGAACAACAGACATACCGTTGATAGAAACGACTTCACGCATGATGAATTATATTTCGTTAAGAAGAAAACAAAACGGTCGTTACAAAAGGGACACTTTTCGAGGGTATAAGAACGAGAAACGATATGAAGGGAGGTAGATGGGTTGGGGATGAGATGGGATGAGGGTGTGGACAGGAGAGAAGAAATAGTTGAAATTTGGCTCGGGAAGGGGTGACCTGAGTTGAGAGGGAGCTAGCTTGAAGTGGAGAGCACCCACCACCACACCAAACCACACACCTGTCTCTGGCCATACTGTGCTGTCCAGCACATTATTAACCACCCTGATTGTTTACTAACGACTCCACGAGCAGGTACCTCCAATCACATACAAGCTACCTTAACGGGCCAAGTACCTCTCGCTTTTCTGGCCGTCGGCGTGGCACCAGCAAGCAAATTTTTTTTACTGCGGGTGCTGTTTACGTTCTGATTGGACGTGTCCCCCCAAACACAGGGGACCCTGCAGCTTAGACTCCATGTACTCACTCTAACTAGCGTGGCCAGCAAACAAACGAACGATACGGACTGCAGTTACGGAGAACTAGCTGCTTGCATGTGCATGAGAGATAGGTAGCTACTTAGGCAAGTCGCTAGGGGTATTTGTCGCTCGGTTCAATGCCACCCGGAGTTCCGCTGTGAACCAAGCGTATCATATCGTTCGGATCAAATCGATACAGCTATCACGTACTTACTGAAGTACATGTACCTAAACATACGATGGTTGGCCTCGACGCGTTCTTCCTTTTGTTCGCATGGTTGCTTCTCTGGACACCTTCAGCCAATGCGAATACAGAGAAAATCATATTCTCCGTTCCCGATTCTCCTAATAGTGCTTTGGAAAGTGTGATCGACGGATCCAAATTCAATGTGATTGGCTTGCTATCACCAGCGGAATCGCCAGAAAAACTGCTTCTACGGACTGAACTTCCACGGGAATTTCCATCCGAATCTGCGCCTCACGGTATCGACTCTTGGGTTCACTTGAAGGGCTTGAAACCGGGTGCTCGATATGAGGTCCGAATCTGCTGGGCAGCAACAGTACGTTCTCATATATTACTACATCCCAAATTATATCTTTATTTATTGCGCAAGGGGCTGATTTATGCTGTAAAAAACAACAGACTCCGTCTGACTTCTGGTTGAGTGTCCACTCGCCACACGATCATAAATATAATTCCGATGTTTATCTCAAAATATCAGCAATTGCTGATTATTATACCACAAATGCCACGCTCATGGACAGGCCGGAACCGGTCCTGGTTGACATCATCCTCGACGAATTTCTACTAGGAGTACTACCCCGTTCTCTGCTCAACGTCGGACTCTTCATTGTCGTAGTGGCTGGGGTAGCTTGGTACGCAGGGTCCAAGGTGGTTCAATGGTTGGATGTCATTACAACAAAGGGCCTCAAAGATAAAGTCGCGTAAAGCTCTGGGATTCTCTAGTATCGACATTAAACGATATGTATCAATGCTTAGATATACACGGTACGAGGGATTAAAAGGAACGCCTCGAAATCAGACTCAAACCTCAACAAATTCAGGCTCGACATATAAATCGAGCACCCAGATCCATCTCCACATTAGTCCGGGTAAAGCTTACGAGCGATAAGTTGAGCAACTAGGCAGCAGCAGCACCATCTGTTTTGGCTTCCCCCGAAATTCGGACCCCATTGATGCCACGATTGATAGAAGCACTCAATGGCTTATCGTCGTCGTCATCGTCGTTATCATCTCCAGCATAGTCGCCTTCGGATTTCGCATTTGCACCATCTAGCTTCTCGCCAGTCTCATTTGCATCCTGTGGCTTCTTCTTTACCGTCTTCGCCTTCTTTGTTCCCTTCCCACCCGCTGGCTTCCCACCCTCTTGGTCTTCGTCACCCTGCGTTTGGGCAAGATTTCTTTTGAATCCATAAGGGTGTCCCGGAACCGGTGGAGCAGTATAGTAGTTGCCCTTTGGCTTGTGTGGAGCGGAAGGTTGGACAGCGCATCTTGAGTCTAGGGCTTTTGCTTCACGCTTGAGCTTGGCGATCCTTTCTTCGATGGCTTTAGGAGTCGCCCCTTTTAATATTATATTAGATGAATACATTTTTATGTATTTTAAAGGAGTCAGGTTACCTTCAAAGAGCTTACAAAGAGCCTCGCTGTTATATGATTTGGCAGATTTGTCGATTAAACGGATCAACAGCTGAAATTTGATTAGAACAACTGTCAACGCCATATCTCTATCTTATGCATATATGATTACCTTTCGATCGTTCTCTGGGGTCCAAACCTATATCCGGGGGCGGTCAGGTTCAAAGACACAGCGATGTTGGGCGGAAAGTCAAAAACTTACAACTTTTCCCATTTTTGCACCGATACTGTAAGGATATAACCAATGTAGTATATTCTAGTAAAATTCCCTCAGATAAGGGGGTACGGAAATATGGGATTGTGGAGAAATACGGAAAAGAATGGGAGAAGAAGGGTTCACAAATGCTATCTTCCTAGATTATCATGTTGATAAAGTGCTCCTCATAACTAGTGCTGGCCGAGATGCTGTTCCCTCAAAGCTCCCAGCTTTTGAGGAAACTTCAGGACTGCTTTTCATGTGAATCGACAAGTTAGCTTTAGGTTCTCCTGATGGGCTTAAAGCAACCCTGGTCCCTTTGTCCTAGTGCACCAAAGATGGGGGTTTCAGCGGCCTCTTCTAGCTTCTGCTCGGTTGGCTGCATCGACAATCGTCATGGGGGCATAGAGCAAACAATGCCTAACAGCTGAGCCCGTAGCCTAAAATTGGGGATTAGGGATAATATTATAAGTGGCCTGGAGGACACTCACATCTGCCTTAGATCATAATGCTGCCTTCAAACTAGTTTAGGGAGCCTTCTTGCTTATCACCTTTATCATGCTGCATGCTGTACCTGTGGCATCAAGCCAGCTGTAGCCAGCGAAGTTGACGTACATATTTTAAAATTTTTCACATGCCCTTCATGGATATGTACCTTAGAGATGGTAAATAATGATATTTTTACCAAAATTCCAGAACTAACTATTATCATAAGGTTGAAGTTTAATCATATGGCTCATTATCGAAAGTCCCCCCAAAACACTAATACATGCATAACGTGAAGAATACCAAAATCTTGTGTAACATCAAACTAGACTAAATTCCAACATTACAAATTGACAGCCAACGATATCATTTTCCGATATTGCATCCTTGTTAAAATGTCCAAAACCGCTCCACTCTTCAAATCAATTGGCTATACTCCTAGCCTTTACTTAGCGATCACTGCCCGATCTTCAAACTACCAATTTTTACTTTTGCCTACTCTAAGACATCGGTACTCTCTTCCCCACTCTCAACCCCCTGCTCGACCACTGGCTCAACTTCCTCCTTCACAGCTTTGCTTCTTCTTCCACGGCCCCCGCTACTTTTTGGGGTTCCTTTGGCAACTTTGCCCTTGGGGGGATTCCTTTTCTTAGGCCCCGGGTTGGGTTTAACCTTCACTGGTGTCTCAGGAGGAGTAATTTCACCCCCTTCACCTTTGAAATCACCCTCGCCGCTAGCTTCTCCCGTAGCTGAATCCATAAGATTCATGGACTCAGCACATTCGATTAATTCCTTTTTGACTTGTCCGAAACGAGTTGAAGCAACCTTTGCATTCTTGAGACCCAAGCGTTTGGCGACGAGGTCCCAGTCGACTTGCGAGGCCTGTGTATTGGGGATTCGTTAGTATTTAATCTTTTCTCCTTCCCAGAGAAGGTGCGATTATTGATAAGAGGCGAGGATTTACATCTAAACCAAAAGCATCTGGTCGTTTAGTACTCAATAGAACTGTAATGAGGACTTCGACGTTCTTTCCTTTCTTTGCAAATGATTCGCAGGTTTTATCTCTAGCTGGGGATTGGGTGGTCGTAGTTGCCTTGACAGGTGCCATTTTGATCGAAACTTTCGATTTTTAAAAGAAAGATATATGGGGGTAGTGTCAAATGCACAAAGAGTATGGATTCGAGACCTAGATCTGTAGAAAATAAAACTAATGTGAAATATTTCACCAGAGGAGAGATGGTTTTGTTACGATTGTCAGGGATGAGCGCAGTAGTATTTGACTTGACAGGAAAATAAGCCTAATGGATAGATTTGGAAATCTTTGGTAGTCTTTGGAAGGGCCTTTATATATTCAGCTTCTAGAGCCTGGGTTCATGGGATCCCTTACCAATACGCATGCTAGTATGCTGTGGAATCAACTAGTTACAGGCTAAGGTCATTTATTGGTACGGGAATCAAGTAGATCCAAGAAAGTCGATTCTGTTGGAATCTACATAGTTGCAATCGCAATATTGGCTATCGTTCCGGGGCTATCTCGGGATCTTACATGTTGGTTCCATAAACCTGAAAATGATGAAAATGGCAATAAAACAATGTTGGGGATCCCCCAAAAATCCAATACAGGTACCTCCAACCTTTATATCTCCACCAAAAGAGAGATTGGTAGTTATAAAGCAGAATATGAAAGAGAAAACGAGGAAGACTTGTTATTTATCTCGATTTTAATTAGTAAATCGAGCTATAGGCATTCCCAAACAACTCCGAATCAGAGGTCCTGAACCTGTGCTTCGAGGGCGTGAGGAATCTCTTCCTCGTCTCGGTCCTCTGAATAATCAACCTTTCTCTTCTTCCTGGGGGATGTCTTGGTAGAACGAGCCTTTTTAACCTTTGTGGGCGAGGCTGTGCTAGAGTTTCCCCCATCAATATTCTTCTTAAGTCTGGTTTTGAGGTCCCAGAGTTTCTTATAGGCAGCTTTTTGGCCGTTCAAGCCAGAGGCCGCTGCAATTTGATCCCAGTCCATAGCTTTGGTACTATATTTGTAAATTACCGTCAGAATTGTATTTGAATATATAATCTGTAAACCCTAGACTCATAAAACTTACTCGCATTTATCGAGACAAAGAAGTAGAAACTTGACCGTCTCAGCTTCGCTCATGCTTGGGGGCATTTTGAATGATATAATCTTAGAGAACTCATTAGTTAGTTCTTTCATTTGTCCGTGTCATATTCCATGTTCAATCCTAAGCTTGAACACAAAAGATGGTTTATCAGTTACCCTTTGAATCCTGAAAGCTTGATCTCGAGACACGAAGTGATAGAACAATGAGACGAGGTTCAATGAACTCTTTTTGAAGGGCTCAAGGAGTGGATAATTAAAGGGCTCAATCGTGGCAGTTTTGCCTAAGATGTTTTAAGGAATATAGTATAGTATAGTACGAGATATCTCAAGGAGCTACTAACTTCGAATTTCGAATGACAGAAGTCGATGGGGATAAAGTAGAACCGAATTGAAACGATTAGAAGGCAGGACGACGGGGTTTTTATAGACAAATTTCTGTTCAGAGCCAATGTTTCCCTAGTCAAAAGTTTCTTTTAAACCCATTAGCACGAGCTGATACTGCAGCCTACGTTTCCATCTCGGTGGTTCTCTTCTGATGAAGTCGACTTGTAGACACATCGACATGATTAGAATCGACTAACTGAGTTCCACAGCATCAATCGCCGCCAACGGTGTTGTTTGTTGTAGTTTTGCCCCCCAGGGCACGAGCTCTCGCCGAACCCCGAGTATCTATACCAACCCCAGAAATCCGATCACTCCCCGAAACCAGGCCAACTGATCACATGGTGAAGACCCTGAACCCTGTCCAATCCATGTCCCTACCAGCTGCACTCTCCCGAAGAAATGTTGGATTTTTCACCTTTTCAACACGCTAAACAGCCCTCTCCCTGACACTTTTCCAAAATGCCCGACTTGCTTGCCGTTCTCCTTCAACGAAAAACCCGTATTCAAAAGAAAAGAAGAAAATAAACTCACCGAACCTCGACGGGAGTCAAAGACGAAGCTAAGGACGGCTCGTAGCGCCTTAAACTCTAGCTCTTACTTTTTTTATCCCGCTTTCTTGATCACGAGGACTTTTATACCAGGGATTTTTTTGGAGATCCGCGCGTGGGGATGGTCTAGGCTAATTGATTCTACTAGTCGAGGAGCGGGCCGACGAGAATATGGCTATCTGTAACAAGGTATACCAACGGTACCTCGAGTGAGGGGCAAAAGGAGGGGTATTAGATAGAGGAGGGGCAATAATCAGCTAACGGGAAGATGTCGCCATGCCGAAAAGTTAAAGGGACCTTGTGACAGCCGTTACTTTCTTGACAGTCTAGTATAGCTCTTCCAACCAGGATTTGCGTAATTGCCCCACCTGTCTATCACCATCCTGAAAGTTGGCTGTGATATTCCGACGCCGTGGTCCGTTCGTCTAATGTTCGCACTTGCAGATGAACATGTACATGCATCCGCCGTATGTGCATATTAAGAAGAAACTAGTATATGTGCCGTCTGTGCTTCCCATCAATTAGCTGAGACTAGAACCTTGCCCGCTCGGATCCGTTCGTCATGCATTACGTTGCATTGCATTGCGGAAGGCTAGAAGGCAGTTAGTATTTTGTTGTATAGCTGTAGTTTCTTCTTTTAAAAAAACAATTGTTTCTATGTCAACATCCCTGTTCCGGGTTCTGGTTTATTATATACCTGAAGTTGGTATTCGATTCAACAACACTGATACTCTCAGCCTCGACCAGCTAAACCGATCGATCTTGTACATGATAACATTGTCAGGCAATATTCGAGGTACATGTGCGTGGTCCTGTATCTACTAACCTATCGGAGACACTCACGATTTCGATACCCGGACACTGATAGGCGTAACCAGGATCTTTCTGCAAGGAGGGTATCGAGACGATTGAATTGTGAGTCTGGATTTGGTCTGAATATGCGGACATGTACAAGTCTCCGTAAAGCTGCATGAGCCTTCACAACTTGATCTTCAGGCATGGTTTTTACTCGATTTTTGGCACTCCGACAGCACCGGCCGATCGATCTATCACGGTCTCATTTAGTTTACAACATGTTGTTCTAATTTCGGGCATATTTACAATTGTTATCTTTCCAAAGCAAACGGGCCCATTAGGATTGATAAAACTACTGACCTGTAAGCATCCGGCGATCAAGACTCTCGGCTTAAGGCTATGACGACAACGTTAACTTGATAACCTTGATAGACAGGGTTTGATGCAAGTGCTCATATGATCGATAAAATATTCGAAGTTCTTATGAATCATAACATGTGGCGTTAACGCATTGTGAATTAAATGCTAGATTCACAGAAACGGTCCCACAGCAGGCTACCTTTTTGATTTAGGTATAGTCTTGAGGCTAAGAAAAACGGAATACAGGTCGAGGGACTAGGGATATTGCGCATCTCGAAATTCCGGGAACATCTAGTCTTTAGCCCGGGCCCCGGTGTCCCCGAGCATTTCGTGTCATTTATGCTCGGTCTCAATGTCCTCAAGACTCCGAAGTTAACTAGGTATGGATATAAACCCACTGATTGGTGTAATTGGTCGAGATATCGCTTTAGGCGGCGAGGCGGTGCGTCTGACCTCGAGACTTCCAACAACGCATAGAAATGTTGCATTCTTTGGAGGTAGACAGCATGAGCATAAATTAGAAACTTCGAAAGATTTCCTTCAGCGTAACTTTCGATTCCATTCGACTAAATTATAAATCTAACAAAACCCTTACGCTCAGAAGATTTCATATGACTTGTGCACATCATCACTTTACATCGACAAAAAGCCACAATACCAGCCCAAAGCCAAACTTACGCAGACTTATTCTTCTAAGGAATCATCGACGGCAACCCGTCAAACAAACTATCGAAATGGTGAAAGGGGCATACAAAACTGAAAACTGTGGGGCCTTTCTCCTTTCAATAATTAAACACTCAGATTTGAAAGTGGTAAGCTTTCTATTTTTATTGATTAATTATTCTGTTGGTTCGATCAAAAGCCTTATATGAGATTTACAGGTCCAATACGAAGCCGTCGGTCAAGAACATGGCATTACAGCTCATAGCGCATACTGCCGTTTCAACGGTATCAAGAACGCTCTGAAGGCAGAGTCCCAGGTTGAAAACACTAAATCTGAGAACACCGAGAACCAACCTGTTCAGATCTCACCCTCAAAAAAGCGAGGTCGAAAGGCAGCATTCCCTACCAAGCCAAAAGGTAAAAAGGCGAAGGAGAGTCTCAATGCAGCTACGGGGCCAGAGTTGTCTGGTGTTAACGGTACTGGAGAAGATGGATTGGACGAAGATGATGAAGAGCAAATTCTTTCTTCTCCAAGTAAAAAACAGAAGAAAAAGAGAGTAGTGAAGGTTGAAAAGAGAGCTTACGAGAGCGATGAGTCGGACAATTGGCTTGAGTGAATACATGACTTTTAATAAGAGATATGGGTTGTGGTCTAAACCTCGAGCTATTTGCTCTTTTATTACATATATTGGCATATCTGTTTTATAGTTTGGGGATTAAATCTGTCCACGAGGGTGGTTGATACCGATGTTATTTTTCTTAAGAAAATTGCTGAAGCACCGAAACTGAGTTTATTTTCAAAACATTGGATTTTAAATAGTATTATAGTATCAACAAAATAGCAAGACATCTGTGGCCAACTGGCTTCTGGTACGATGACAACTCTGCTGGTTGGGAACTATAAGTGCCAAGTCATACTTGGATATTTATTTGCTCATAAGTAATTGATCATGATACTGGAACATGGGTATATATGTACCGTCCATAAGTCGAAGATCTAGAAAAGAAATTCCTTAGATTACATAAAGATCGAAAAGTTAACAATTCTAGAGAAATCACATCTTATAAATTTATAGTAATACATGACCCTAATATTCCCACCGACTGCTAACCTTGAACGCCAAATTTCGAAACAGAAGTAACTCCAAAAATAATTCTAGAAACACCCGTTATTTTTGTTGCAAGATTCTAAAATGGCATTCCCGTCATTCTCGCCTGCATCATACCAGAAGCTGCGGCTATTGGCATCGAGTTATGTGCTGGAATATATTCTCGCGGTTCCATCTTGATAAAAGGAACATGAGAGCTCGGCGTTTGTACCGGCGACATACTTGGTGTGGAATGCATAGAGGTCGTGGAAACAAAGGAAGAGGCCGACATCATACTAGTATTTGGGGAGATCATGCTAGTATCAACTGTAACATTCTTCTTCCTCCTTCCAGTCGAGGGTGTTTTCGGTTTCTCAACCCTGTTTGCTCTGGGCTTCTTTGGTGTGACCGGAGCGGTCTGGATTGATGGTGAATGTGGAGATTCGCCATCACTTCTAGGGCCGTCTACGATATTGATTGGAACACCAGCTTCCGCGGCCTCTGCTTTTTCAATTGCTTGCTTTAAGCGCTGGTAGCGCATTTGCGCAGCACCTTTTTTGATTTGCTTCTTGTCTGCGATTGCCTGCCAATTTATCTGGTTTGGAATTAGTGATGGTCCTGAGGATGATGAGGGCTTTGGGGCATATTTTATTAAACTTAGTGTACGTACCGACTTTAGATCCGAGTGCTTGATGATATCAAGGAGGAAGGAAGCCTCCTGGGTGTGTGTAAGTTTGGCCGGCATTCTTGATTTTTTTTTTTTCAAAAAAGTTTGTGAATATAAATTTGAACACGAGGAGAAAGGTATGGTCTCGTATCTCGAGTAAAAGCAGAGATTATTAAAAATTCGAGAGGAGATTGGGAATCAAGAATCTCAGAGGTTTGGCTAAAGTGCCTAAGTAATTGATTTGTCTAGGAATTGTGATTGGGTAGGTTGTTTTGTAGTGTCTTCACACACAAGTCGTCACTGGGAGAGGTTCCTCGGGCTGCTTCATATACCCAACCGGATCGTGCGCCCCCACAACCCCTCGAGTCATTTTCATACCTTTCAATCTAAATCATGCTGGAGGAAAGTCAATCTCCAACCTCTCCAATTTCAAAATCCAAGTTTCCATGATATAATAATCAATGGTGGAGTTGTGAACAGAAATCCCCAACTTTTGGGGAAAAGTTGGAACGAAAAGGTGAAATCTCCCCTCCGATTTGCTTCAAGTCGCATACAACGTCGGGGACAATTTTCCACCCCGCTCCCCGTCATTCGGGGCGAAAGCCATCGTGCCACTTACATTCCACGCTAACCTCCCGTTTCACATGCATAAATCCCCGCTCTGTCTTTCGTCTCCCTCAAGTCGGGGAAGCAGCACACCAACTTTTGGGCAAGAATTGGTGGGATGGACACCAAAACCTCCCCAGACTTGTTCGCTTCGCTTGGGGATTTTTGCCCTGACGGTTGGAACTTTTCTGCTCAAGCCTACCCCTGCATGGACCTTCAGATCCCTTGTCTAGATCCAACTAGTGAGCTCACAAAGAGTAACAGGCTCCACTTGGATGAGAAGTACCGTCTATCGAGAGTTCATCATCGCGGAACCGGGAAGCGTGATAGGAAAAAGAGATTAGGCCGGGATATATGTTCTGATGGAACATCCGTTCCCAGATAGGAATTGTAATGAGTTTAAGATGTGATAGCGCTAAGAGGGAGGCCGCGACCTTTCCGAAGGCTGTTTTCTCCTGCCACCCCAACATTGTTATTGGTTTTCATCTGAATATCTCGGCTTTGATGCATAAGATTCGACCTGGGAAACCTGCAGTTAAGTTGGGGTCGAAACGATCGAAGCTTGTGCATACGTCCGCCCGCAGTGCAGCGTGAATTTCCAACATACAACACGTATACATGTGCCGATAAAGAGAGCCCTGCAGAAACCATTCGGCTCGACCAGTCCATGACCACCACTCTTCAAAATTTAAATCCGTTTTCTGAATTTCCACAGCCTTCCCGGAATTTCCCTTTCGTTTCCACTTGAGTCTATCAACGTAGAGCTCTATTCCCTCAAACTCTTGACTCGATCGCAAGATTTTCGATCCTTTTCTTGCGTAATTCGCACTCTCCACCAATATCATCCGGCTCTGTCAGCTTAAGCGCTTGTTGCTCACCGGTCGCACTGTATCTTCAAGATGCCAGCTTGGACCATAGAAAGCGAGCGCGGACTGCTCCTCACTATCATAAAGTTATTAAACATCTCACAGCTCCCAAAATGGGAGGAGGTTGCCAACGAGATGGCAGCACAAGGTCTACACTTTACACCAGAAGGTTGCAGGTATGATACAGCGAACATATCGTTTCTACTTTTATTAAAGTGCTTGAATACTGATATAAAACATCAATCGTTGCGGGTATACAGACAACATTTCCAGAAGATTAAAAAGCCATCCTCTAAAACGCCCTCTACCCCTAGGAAGGGTAATGGCGGTGTAAAGGGCGCGGGCATCTCTAAAACCCCGACTTCTTCAAAACGGAAGCTAGCACAAATGAACCACGATCAAGATGATGAAGAAATTATTATGACCCCTTCCAAGAACTCGAAAACTGGAAATAGGCCTGCCAGTGAATCAGCTCAAGAGTCAAAGAAAGTAGTGAAGTTGGAAATTAAAAATGAACAAACTGCTCATATCTGTAGGTTGACTTTGATATAGTCCCAAGTTTATGGCCCCCCTCAGTGTATCCTGACCCACTTCTACTTTTTTATATAGTTAAAGCCGATAAACCTGACGAAAACGGTGTAATACATATTTCTGACGATGAGAGGTAAATAACAACTGCCCGTAATGAAAATTATCTATGCTAACTATATCCATAGCCTTTACAACGGAGATTAGTGTTCCCATTGATAAGAAATTCTAATCGTTCTCTATTTATTACCAAGCATGCACTGTACATATACTTTATTTCAGGAGCGTTTATGATTGCTCAACCAACCATGGCACCTCAGTCATGGTTCATAATTTGAATACGGGTTCTCTTTAGCGATCAATTGGTTGTCTATTGTTTCGCAAGTATTATTCAAACAAAATTTCCCATAAAAAGACTACTTTTTAGTGATGATAAAATCAAATCAGATGCACTTCCCAAATACATTAAGAAAATATCCAAATCCGTAGACTGCCACCTGTGTTTTCGATGCATTTAAATAAAATCAAGGCCCGCCCTTTAGCCAATTAGATATTCAAATAAGAAAAGTTCCCAATTCCCGAGATATTACATGCTAAGCAAGATACAAAAAAACCAGAAAGAATTAATCAAAACAAAACCTACAAGAATCATAGTCGTTACATATTTCATAAGATGTGCTGATTAAATCCCAAATGCTTAAACGATGACGGAAACAGAAATAACGCCATAAGGAGATCTCGAGAGTCCACCGATGTGAGAATTGCGACCATAAAATCGCGGCAATTAACTTAGCAAAATTCGAAGGGGATAGTGTCAGTCCCAAAATGCTCGCCCAACGAGATTGGGTCAAAGGAGTGTAAAAATTCGACATTCTCAGTAAATGGCGATTGTTGTTCAGACGAATCATAGAAACTTGCGGTCGTAAGTGGGGATTGGTGGTCAACATCCGGGTTCGTAGAGGCAAAAGAAACTGTAACTGCTGGTGTAATTGGGACCTTTTGCTGGCGCCTCCTCTTCTTCGGAGAGCCTGTGGCTACGGCATCGATGTTGTATGTTTCACTTCCAGCATCTGACTCTAAACTCCTCTCAACATGCTCCTTTTTTATCGTAAGAATATCCTCCCTCTCGCTACGCTTCCGTTTGGTTGGAGTCGCCTTTGTAGGAGTATTTGGGACAGAGCTTGTGGAATTAGAACCCACATCCCCTCCCAGGCTCCTTAGCTTAGAAATTCTATGGCTTACGGCCTTTGCAGTACAACCTATACGTGCCTGCGAATTAATATTCTATGCATAAATTTCGGTATTTATTTGAATATAGACATACCATTTCCCATGAGTTTGGCGATAGCTTCGTGGTTCAGTTTTGGGCTGTGTACCTTAAGCACGGCCATGAAGAGCTGGTGCGGTGTATTAGCATAAAGACGCTCGAGGTTCAGGGGTGCGGCAGCGCAATTTACCTGAGCATCAGCAGTACTATCCCAACGCATTTTGGCGAGTATGAAGCTGAGTTTTTGGTTTTGCGAATAAGTTTTGGGAACTGAAGTCCAAGTTTCAACCAGGCACTGGGCTAGTAACAACTTCAAGCGAAGATACTAGGGATCCTATAAAGAAAGGTTCGCGAACTTGTTCCGACAGCTTCTAGAAGCTCACGTGGGGGGCCGTCCACAGAAATGGAACCTTTCTCTTTTTAGAATTTATTTTAAAACTTCTGATACCTCATTGATTGGGGAGATTAAAGGATATGAGAGATTTCTACCGATAAGAGAGGGCTGGGAAAGATTCTATCAGGATACTCGCCACCTTTTATACTCTTGACTTTCCGGGTACAAGTGACCTAATTCTGTAAGCCCACCCCAGGATGTAGGGGATTTCGTGCTATAGCAGGGTCAAGATCCTAATGGTGATTTTTCCCCTTCGAACTCCCAAGATCCTCATACGTTTTGTATGGTGATCCGTTGGGCATTCTAGGGTAAAAGAAACCCAACCCCACAGATGGAGGGCATACTCGGAATACCCTTAGCTCGGGGCTCAGGAAACAGAAAATGGGACCAGCAATCTTCAGAGACTTATTTTTGGACATGATTGGCTAGACGGGGTATCTTGCCATGCCATCGAGCTAAGGGAGAAGATCCGCTTCCCCTCCACGGAGCCTGTCCGTATTTGTTCTTTTTCATCCGGATAGACGAACTACCTACTAGCGGGTAGTTTCAAGTGTAAGGGCTGCCTGCATGGATGCAGTGGCGCTCTCACGGATTTTCTTCAGCGGAATGGTTGTATTTTACTAAATTCTGCAAATCGCCTGTCAGGCGAATCTGCCCACCCGTCTACGTCCTCTCGTTTAAACGTTTATAGACACAAAAACCGTATCACAGCTTCAATCGGGGTCGGGTTTTCTCCAACTGCGCGCACTCAGAATCATTGGATCTCCTCGAACTTCAACGACGAGATTCTGCCCAGCCATTCTAATTTTCCACCAAAAGCCAAAGGCCAGCCCGTGGCGCCCATTGACGTAGGAAACGTTCGAATCCTTTCCAGGTAACCCCATCACATTTCCCAAAATGGAATATTAATTGGCCGCCAACCTGCATTCGCGTTGCCAGGGGTCGACAACATTGACCAACTTCCACGCGACATTGCCAGGTTCAATCGAGTTAAGTTCGTCGATGCCTGGACTTCGTAATCATTGATCAGGACATTCATGTAACACGTCCGCGTCGCGCTCATGTCCGACTGGGAGTGTGAGCTGTCGCCAACCTTTTCAGGCGATAAAAAATGACTCAAGAAGCCAATTCAACAAAATATTCTCGGCCGCACCGACTGAGGAAAGGACCGCTTGGCTTGATCGGTGTCGATGATCTACGGTGTGTAGTAGCCGACTGGTTCTCTCGACCTCGATTCTCTGCCAAGCAGAATAGTGGATTTCGGTTCCGAGACCATCCAACATGCATACGGCCTCATGCATGTTGTAACCCGCGACGGGCCTTGGGGAGCAGCTCGTCCGTGCGGCTCCCGAAGATTCCTACAATATGGGAGTAGTTAGAGTGGTCTTGCTCTGGATTCTTGTAGAAAGCTCAACGAGAGATTCCGTCAGAGACGGCCAACTAGCCCATCGAGGGATCTAACGAGCCCTGATTTCAAGTTGAGATGCAGCTCCTCGTCGATATCACCCCGCATCAAATTTCCCGCGTCGGAATTTGATTCGCATCAGACAACTACGTGAAGTCTGGATGTGAATCGACCTTTTTAGCTCAAATGGTCGACATCCGGAATCTTTTATGCATCGGTAGCTGTTGGAACTTTGAGGACGTCTCGATGTTTGCTGGCTCTGGGCAGCTGTTAACCTACCCGGGCCTTCGGGAAGAAAATACCCAACCGCCACCCCAAGATTGTATGGCATGTATTGGTAGAATTCCCTCCACTGTGGTGGAAAAAACCAGGCCTTGCCTTCCAAGGTTACCTGGCTTGTGCTAGATCGTAATGCGAAGTATAAAGAAAGTTGTATCCCTTTCGTTTAATTGCTGGTGTAGGTAGCTCCTTCTACTCGATCCCAAGGTTTTAAGAGCATATCCAGCGCAACACACTTTTTTCGGAACAATACCACACGTTACCTATACACACTCCTCTCACGGTTTTCGAATCTTGAAATACATTCACAAAATGCCTGTCAAGTGGACTGCAGAGAATGACCATTTGGTATGAACCCGCCTCTTTTACAGAGTTGTTTTTGTCTTTTGGGCATAGGTTAACGAGATCGACATTGTGACATTTAGCTTTTACTCACTCTGTTAGAGACCCATAATGTCAGAGTTGACGGGGAGAAAATCAGAGCGGCATGGCGTAAGTAGTACTATATTTACACTATGCATTCTTCTCTGCGAGGTATAGGAGTATTTTGCTGACTTTATTTCTTCGTAGCATTAAATGGAAGTGAAATACCCACTGCTCGTGCCATAAGGGAACGCATCACAAAGATCCGAAGTCTTGCTGGAAGCAACGTGAACAGCCCAGTAAAAGCTCCGGTCTCTCACGTTAATAACGGAGTCAAAAAAGAGTCATCACCCAAAAAGAGAGGTCGTCCACGCAAAGTAAAACCTGTTGTCGATGAAGACGACGAAGAGTCGTTGAACAGCTGCAGCCCAGATCAGTCTTTTGCGAGTACAATCCGAGACGCCACGGATGTCACACCGTCCCCTACACCTCGTAAGAGGCGAGCTGTTAGAGTCAAGACGGAGAAGGTTCTGAGACTTGATTCTGAGGCATCTGATGTTGTTGACTTGGAGAGCTCTGGTGACGATTTTATTCCTACGAAGTTTGAGGAGGATGAGGATGACGAATACCTTGGTGATTAAAATTTTACACACACACTAGCCTGGAGGAATGTTTGGCGATTGTTTTAGAGATTTTTGGAGTTATTGAGATTTGGGTGTATCCTTTTGCCCTTTGCCTTATGGATGGATTTCTATTTCTCGAACACGTAGCTACTATTATTTGGGACTTCTAGCCTATATTCTTTTCGACTTCTTCAAGATGAGCCTAGTTTTGCATTCATTTTCACGACTGTCTTCTACTAAGTAAACTTCAGTCAGTCATCGCTTTTCATACTCATACTATCTGGACTGCTTAAAAACTGAAAGATATATGTCTCAAGGGTCCTTGCAGGAGACTAGTCTCGCTAGTGGCTGACGGCAAACAGCGCCAGAAGCCTGATCCCTATCGCTATCCACTAGAGTATCTAGAACATCAGCGAAGTTTGCTGCTCGGCAGGACATCTTCAAAGAAACATGCGAGGACTAGATTGAGCTCTAGCTCTCCTAGATCCCAATCCTCCACTATAGCCATAGTAAATTTGCAAAAAAGAGCAAACACTCCCCACCGGATCTTCAGATTTATAAATTCAGCTTTTGGATCTGCTTCTCCGTTTCAATCCTAACATCCTTCACCATCCTATTCAGCTTCCTGTTAAGACCTCCATAAAGTACATCGCAGTGATTCAGCAGCCCATATACTTCTAGACTAAGATATCTTCCCTATACATTCTTATTCTTATCATTGTATGTACCCAAAGTTCAGCTTTACGAAGAAAAAGAACAAACTAACACACCCCCTCTAAGCTTTACAGGTCTATAAAGCTATACAACAGTCAAGATGCCAATCACCTGGACCCCAGAAAATGTCTCCCGCCTCTTCCTTGTCACTCTTGCCGTCCATCACATCCATATGGACTACAAGCAGATCGCAGCCGCCTTTGGTGGTGACGCCTCCCCCCGTGCAATTGAAGAAAAGATGAAGAAGCTTCGTAAGGAAGCCCGTGAATTCGGTGACGGCACCCTAGACTTCCTCGTCAGTCGAGGACGCAAGGATGGGGGTGGCAAGTCGAACGGGAAAGGCGGAGCTAGCAAGGCAAAGCACAACAAGGGTCGTGCGAGGCCAATCAAGTACGAGGACGGCAGGATCAAGTGGGAATATGATAACTGTGAAGACGATAGTGAGGGAGAGTCTGGGGGGCTAAGTTCACGTGGGTATGGAGACTTGATGGAATGTTATTTGATGAAGAAAGAAAACAAGGTTGAAGGAGGGGTAGAGAATGGCGGGGCTCTTGTGGGTATGGTTGTAGATGGTGCTATGGAAGCCAATCCTAATCCATACTACATGGTCGATCCCATGTTCTCAACTGGAGGCTACAATCAACATCAGCCGATGCTTAGTGAACAAGACCAGCAGTTGCAAATGGAAACCGATGATATCAGGTCGGTTATGGACCCCATGCTTACGAACGGCTTGAGCAATATGAGCTTTCAAAATAATGGAGCTGTTGGAACGGTTGAGAACGGCCTGCAGGACGGGAGCACGGCTAGTCCTTTAGCTTGGGAGCACAACCAAGATTTGAGGGACTTGAATAATGAGTTTAGGGCAATCAATCATAGTGAGCAAGGTGAACTCATGGTTATCGAGGGAGGTATGCAAATCCAAGTTGGCCATGAAGATCATGGGATCAATAGTATGCATGAAGAGGCGGACGGGGGCCGTGCCGATGTTGGCGGAGTCCAGGACGAAAGGATGGGTGCCTTGTCTGAAATGGTGACTGGAGCTTCGTCATAGACGTCGACAAGCATAGATGGGCCATGCATATATGCATATAGGTGACTTGGAACTCTACAATAGTCATGTGGACCGTGCCGCTCCTTAGGAAGCCTGAAAATATACGACCCGGTTGAAAAATCATCGTCTTGTAAAGCTATGAAGATACGAATGTTGGTTGCTAAACGTTAGACTCCTAGCTACTAGGGCTACTATACTTTGTGATAGTTGGCGTAAATACCAATACAAGGTATATTTACACATTGGACGAACCCACTCGAGACGAGAAACTAGCTTGATCTTTTCCGTGACGACAACATTCTTGGGACATTTCCTGAAGAAAGTGTGGGTGCAGTCAATCTGGACCTGCATGTATCTTGCATTATGCTTGCTTGTACCTTCGTTTGGTTGCAATTGCGTTGAACAGTCCGTTCCAACAGCCTTCGGGCGGACCCTAGTCAAATGTTGGAAACACACTGGACTGCTTCGGGTTCGGGCACGGTACGGGGTCCCCACCGGTGCAACCTCGCATCTGAGCCCCCGCTTTATCATGATATTAAACCACTTGCTTGTAGGCTCTGATAGTTGTGTCTCTCTGAAACTTCAATTTGAAATCTCATAGTGTGGTATTTTAACATAAATATCGCTGCTGGAAGCTCGATATCCAAGTTTTTCGGCTTCACACATCATATGTATTCCCCATCATAAAACAGCACTACCACCTTTATCCAGCTTATATTACGAGATTCTTCTTTGGCTATCACTGATTAAAGGTATCATATAATTGCGACCTCTCTTAAGATCTTAAGTGCCTAAATTTAAAATATACACATAGGAGACTTTAGTCGAATGTCTGTTAGGCTTGTTCATTTCGTATCCAGTACTACGAAGTTTAAACATAACTGACTTTATATATATCTAGACCCGCTTTCAAAGTCCTTCAATTGCAAATAAACTCATCCGCAATGCCAGAAAGACTTGCCGCTTGGACACCAGAGACAGATCGGATCCTCCTTTTGGCTATCATCGCCACCACGGGGAGCCCAAGCCTACCCACGATTGCCTCATTTACTGGCTATTCTCTAAACAGTCTCAGGTGGAGATTCCAGACGCTTAAAAAAGAGGCAGCTTCTCTTCCAGATAAGTCCCAAGAGACTAGTTCCCACGGCAAATTCTCTCCTCCAACCTCCAAGAAGAGAGCAAATCCTGATTCTGATAAATCCCCACCTATCAAAAAGAGGAAAACTTCTTCTACTAAAGGTGGAAAAAGAAAGAATCCCATCTTTCATGACACCAGCGATGAAGAACCTCCTACTCCAGTCTTTACTGAGAGTGAGGAGGAAGAGGAAGAACAGACTCCACTCCTCTATGATGATTATGAAGAGGATGAAACTGATACTTCCTTCATCGAGCCCGTAACACCGACTAAACCACGGCCTCAAAGAAAGGCGAAACCAGCTCCCGGGTATTACAAGCTCCTCGACGAAGGGAGCGAGCCAGAGTTTGAAGAAGGCGAGGTTGATGAATCACAAAGCGAATAGTCCTAGATCCTATTGGAATTATTATTGGATATGGAGGCTGATATTTGCCCATTAAAGCTTGTTTGAGTTATAGTCGGTTCGATTTGTTTATTTAATGGCTCTTGCGGTACCCATCTCAGTTGGGCCGGCTTCGTATCATGGGTTACGCTCTTGAGACTTTTGCAACTTTCAATTCATTTCTCGCACATCATTTATTTTTCAAGCGGACAAAAATTGATGGAATTTGGAGTTCATGCCAAATCTATTTGGCATTACATTACATGTATGCACAAAAGAGAGCCATTTAGTGATTCGTGTTTCAGTTAGTATCTCGAGACTAGTATTTCAAGATACAATTCAATGGTTGTTTTACGAAATTAGCTTCCTTTTTATTGCATTTGATTCCTTCAAATCAAATTCCATATTTATGCAGATTTGCACCCGGAATAATATAATAGCCACAATCACCAACTCAGCTATACGCTTAAGCCACAGTAAGTCCTTGCTCACTTCTTTTAGATATTGTTCACAAATAGCCTGAAATATATTCCCTCCTTTTGTGACATTTGGGAACGAATATGAGTTGGAGTTTGTTGGAATTTGCCCGGGTTTGACAGCGACCTCATCATGATCATTAAACAGGGGATCGTCCCCGGTGCACCCAATCCCGGGGGTGCCGGATTCGAGGCTACAGCTAGGCCTATCCTCGAGGCTAGGCCTATCCAAGTTCTTTCGATTCGGTGTGCATGCAGTGCAGGGGCCAATTCCGCCACCAACAGCTCCCTGTTCAAATACGATATATAATCTTCCCAAACCGATATTCTCACGGATGTCGAATTACTAGGGTTTCAGCCAACTTCTTCGGCCCATTCATATTCACCCTAGCTAGCTAAATCGACGCCATGCCTTGCCGCTATATAAGTACATACATGCTTGTGCATCATGCAGAGTTAAGAGAATTCGAAGCTAGAAAATACTGCATATGCATGGTATATACCGGTATTGTTAATTGCATATGCCGGTGTTCCCTTCTTCGCTACCCGTCTTTCGTTTCCTTTTTTTCGTCCGAATTTCACACTAATCACATTATTGAGGAGTTACTAGTACTTTCTATCGATATGTCGAGTATCCTTGGACGGGATAGATTTTATTCCATGTGACCGACTGCAGGAAGCCGGAAGATACCCTGGATTTCTAGTATCGCATGGAGACTACCCACCACATCTTTACTATCGATAAAACTAGATCATTGTACATGGATGTAATTGTATTCGATTCAATCTCTTGCAGGAAGTACCTACCTAGACTCAACCAAAAAAACAAGAGCGGCACAATCATCTACAGGGGCCAATATCGATAGAATCCAGGCACTTTAGTCCTCCATTTCTCTCAATAGCATAGCCCCCCCCCCTCCAAGCCATCCCCCACTAGCATAAAATATCAAAAAAGTGGAGACAGCAAGTTAAATCTATACTATCAAGGAAATCGTCCAACCATACCCACATCCACTTCCCGTCAGTCAAGATCATCTGCCCACTATGCCAATATCCTGGTCTTCCGAGAATTACGTCAAGCTGCTCTCAGCTTTGTTAGCCGCCCACCCGGAGCTCAAACCAGACTATGAGAAAATCGCCGTTCATTTCGGCGACGGTGCTACCTACGATGCCATCAATAACTGCATGCGTCGTATCAGAGCCAAGGCTGAAGAACTACGCAAAGAAGTCGAGACCGGTGTTAGACCGAATGTGACCCCAAAGTCTACCCCGAGGAAACGAAATGCCGCCGGCCAGAGCAAGGCGAAGAAAGGATTTATCGAGGAAGATGGTGACGATGAGGAGATCCTTACGCCTTCTAAGAAAAAGGCGAAACTGATTGAGGAGGGTACGCCTGCTTCTATCAAAAAAGAAGGAAATGGAGGTGTTCGCAAGAGAGCCCCAAATAGTGTTATGGCGGCTACTATCATCGATGTTTTAGATTCAGATGATGAAAATATTGGACAGGGCGGAGTTGCGGTCAAGCGCGAGGTCAGCTCGGCAGCCATTAAGACAGAAACATTTGAGAATACAACAACTTACGATTATGATTCTGAGGATAATTATCGGGAATAGGCATATGCATGAGGAGATTTTGTTGGGTAAAGTTATTAATTAATTTTTCCCTTCTCGTTTTGAATTGGATTGGATCTTGTAGTCGGTTGCGTAGGATCTTTAGTCAGATCTAGCTTCGAACCCAGGGTCAAATTACTGCACTCGATTTGCGGTCTGCATCTATGTACTTTGCTGGTGGAATTAGTTTGTTTTTCTTGATAGCTTTCATCGATCTTTTTAGTTACATGCTTAAGAATTAGTCTGGTGGTCGCTCCGGAGCGTTCGCATATGGTACCAAAGGCAAAGGCAAATGCATGGACTAGTATCAAAGCTGAATACATAAGATCAACCCTGTAATAGTACAGTTTTGTCAAAAATCTAAGTGTAAGCAAAGAGAGCAATGATCATATGAGCAGATTTCAATGCAATACCTTGTAGGTACAATATGCACGATCCACAGGTACGGCAGAAAATTTAGTGACATGCATGCATCATAAAAACAAGGTATGTTCTAGCGGGGTAAAGATCGAGTCCTGTGTCACTACCTAGTTATCGAGAATAATCGGGCACCAAAAGTTAAATCGTTGGGTTAACTTGGAAAGTCTATGGGGGGAATATCGGAATGGTTCGCAGAGAACCCGGTAGACTTATCTGGCGAACACCGTGGGGGACGTTCGGAATGCATAGCCAGGTATTTTCTTGCCAGATAGAAATCCATAGACAACTGTGTCTATAAAAGAATGTCCTAGACGCGGATCGATTCTCCTCTTGACATTCTATTTCGCATTATATACCTACTTAATTAGTATACAGTTACGCCTCCCTCGAACTTAGATATCTCAAATACTAGGTTTAAGTCTGTCCTAGACAAAAGCACCCATAATTTATCTCTTCAGAATTGTATTTCGAAATGGCACCAAAGAACCCCTCAGCAGATGATCAGTTCTTGTTTTTGATCAGCTGTGTCAAAAACTCAAATAACGGCAAGGTAAATGATCTATGATCAAGTTCATCATGGTTATGGCCTACTTTAAGTTACCTAACTCGGATTTTCAAGCCTGATTTTAGTCTCGTAGCCAAGGAACGTGGAATAGTATCCAGAGGGGCAGCGTAAGTTACAGATCACTGCTTCTTAAGATCTTCAATAGTATATAGTAATATGAAAGTTTAACAATTGTTATCAATCTAGTGCAAAGCGATTCTCGAGGATGATGGCAGCCCACGGGATATCTGGGTCATTGTCAGGCGGACAGACATCCCCTAAGAAGGGACTCAAGTCTTCGCCGATGACTGAAGACGAGGAGGAAGAAAAGAGCGAAGAGTCGCAAGGAGTGATCAAATTTCAAGAGGTCAAGGCTGAAGAACTCGCGAATACATCCAAGAAACGTAAACGTGGAGGACAGCAACAACAGGCCCCTCGCAAACGGGCGGGTAGGAAAGCTAAGCCGGCACCTCTCTTCGAAGAGAATGAAGAGGAAGAAGAGGAAGAGGAAACTAGAGAGGATGAATAGACCTGCTCTCGAGGATTTATCTCACCTTCAAGCGAAGAGGACGAATGTGAAGATTTATGGGGTTTGGTTAATGCACCGGTCCAAACGTGTTGTTTTGTGTGTTCTTTTTACTTTGGATCGCTGAGTTGGGCACAAGCCGACGGAGGCGGATGAGAAGCTCATTGGTGAGCTGAGCTCTACTTGGTGATGCAAGTTAAGTCATTGACCGACCGACTGATTTGATTGATTGGAAGTTATCGAAGTTTGTATCGATACAAATTTGTTTTAAGTCGACGTACCAATAGCCGTTATCTTTTTGAGGAATTGTCTCTGCTGGTATCATTAATTTCTTCCACTCAAGAATGATACTTGATTGATTAATATTTCCATGATCATGTTATTAGTACAGTACTCCTGATTCGAAGCTATTCTATTACCAATACAATGCAGTTCTCGTTCCCCACCGGCTGTCGCTATCGGGTTAGAATACACCCCGGCCCCTACACCAGTCAGAATCATGCAGGTCATGGCGGGGTTACGTTACCTCCCAATGCATCGTCACATTATCCAGACCACAAGCATGTCGTGCTATTGGGTCTGGAAGCGCCTGCCCAAAGCTGCCATCTCGTTCGTCGGGGATTGTGTACGGCTGTACCTGTACAGTTGGGGGGGGAAGTGGGATGATCAGAATGGGGATAATATAATATTGGTGAAGCTGCTGGCTCAACTGGCGGGCTTAAAACGAACCCCACGTGTTCCGTACCGTACTGCACTGTACTGTCCATACTAAGCAGCTGAGGCTGCTCGCGACGCTGTTCGTTCGTTAATATAGTAATACTCCTAGATCGAGGTAATTAAGTAAGTAGTAGTAGTAGTAGTACTTAGCAGGCATATCTGAGGTGCTAAGCAGGGTGTAGTCGACGACTCCGCACCCGCCACCTGCCCCGAACCTCACCTCACATCACCTCACTTCACTCTGCTTTACTCCCAGACATCCTTCACATTACACCCACCCACTCTGACTCCGAAACATACGATCAAGCAGCTCTGGCCGGCTCCTTTGTCAGCCAGACTTCCTCCCTGTCATTTCTTTAATTTCACTCACTCAAACTCTCAATCGTAGTTCTTGTAGTGTGCCTCTCTAGCTTCATTTGGTCGTAAGCCAAGCGGAGGTCTGGCTTGCTTGCTTGCTCCTGGTAGCCTGACCAAGACTAAGACCCACGGCTTCCCCATACAACCTCGATACCACCATAAACCCCCCAACATTCCTTCTGCATCGGCATCCACGTTGTGCTCGCTGCTGCATGTCGCAAACCCGGAAGCGACATTCTTCCATCTACGTCTTCCTTACCTTTCCTTAAACATATTCCGAAAGCATGTCGGAAATAACGCAGCCTTCCAGTACGTACATACATACATACACATATCATATACACATACGGGAGCATGGCCTACCGCCTGCCTTCTTAGGCCGGCTCGGTCGCTCGCCCTTATAATCTTAGAATATGGACTGGAGGCTAACATCAATGATATTTGAAAAGCCGGGCAACCGAATCTCGTCTTGTCACCGGAGGAGAAGAAGGTGTTTGGCCAATTATTCCAAGCTGCCGATACACAGAACCTAGGTGTAATTACCGGAGAACTTGCCGTTAAGTTCTTCGAGAAATCTGGTCTCAAACCGCAGATCCTGGGCGAGGTACGAGATATCCCTCGCTGAGGACATACGAAAGGCAGATAAATGGAATTGATAAGCTGAGACTGTGAATAGATTTGGGGTATTGCAGATACCGAAAACCGCGGACTTCTCACAAAAGTCGGATTCAGCGTCGCCTTACGGCTCATCGGTCAGGCGCAGAGTGGACAAGCTCCGCGCCCAGAACTTGCGCAATTTCGTAAGGGCCTAATCCTTCGCTCTTGCAATATTATCAGTCGTTCATAAATTTAGACAATCGACTAACATCTGTGTTTTCTGTACAGCCGGGCCCCTACCGACCTTTAAAGGGGTCAATGCCAATTGGGCAGCTCCAGGAAGCCCACAGGCGTCTTCCCAAGCCCAAGTTCAGCAACCACCAACAAGTCCTATTCAGCAACAGTTATCAGGAAGTGGCATTGCCGTTCCTCGGCTATCCCCTGAAGATGTTACCAGATTTATTGAATTATTCGAGAAGTCTGGCGCCGTCGACGGACTTTTACCAGGTGAGAAGCGATACAGAATTCTTTATAAAGGATATAGGTATTGATTTTTTTTCTCTTTCTTCTTGATAGGTGAATCGGCACGCCAAATCTTCCAGCGAGCGAAGCTCGCAAACACTACTTTAGGCTTGATATGGGGCCTTGCAGATAGACAACAGCGCGGTGCTCTCGGGTCCAACGAATTCGTCGTAGCCATGCATTTGATTCAATGCACTATGAACGGATCTCTCCCTGTACTTCCAACTTCCCTACCCCAAGCCCTTTTCGATGCTGCCAGCCGGAGCCCACGTCCCCCAACCGGGGACGGACGCCAGCGCCCATCTCCAGGCCCGGGACCAAGAGTGGTACCTCCCAGTATCCCAACCGTTCCATCAATTCCCCGCCAATTTGGTGCCACTAGAGCACAGAGCCCGCTTCGACAGCAGTACACACCACCTCCGATGCCTCCACCTTCTACTGCTCCACCTGGGCCAGTAGATATACCATGGGCAATTACTGCCGTTGAGAAACAAAAGTTTGACAATCATTTCACGGATGTGGACACCGGGAACAAAGGGTTTATCACGGGTGAGGAGGCGGTGCCGTTCTTTTCTGGATCGAAGCTTCCCGAGGATGCACTGGCCCAAATCTGGGACCTCGCCGATATCGAAAAGAATGGTAGCCTTACTCGCGACGAATTTGCGATAGCGATGTACCTGATTCGACAGGAACGAACTCGAGGCACAAATGGCAAAGGGCTTCCAGACGCTCTGCCTTTGAATCTCATCCCTCCCCATTTACGTCCTTCGCTATCATTTAATGCTCAAGGTATGAATTATTTCAGTCGTTTAGTCCCATAAGTTACTAGTGCTAACTTTCGATCATTTTTCTTAGCATCTCCTAAGCCTCCAGTACCGTCGCCCTTCGATCCTCCAGCAGCTGAACCACCAAAGTCAAACCTTGATGAACTCTTCGGTTTGGACGATTCATTCACAACGGCATCCTCAGCCCAGGCTAGTTCGTCTGGTGCTGCACCACTGAATACCACTCTTGCTGGTAGCAACGATTATCCTGCCCCACGTTCTCCTCTTCCCGCACCAGTTCCCACTAGCACACTTAGCTTCCTTGGGGGCACCAAGCCTTTTGTTCCGTCTAGCTCTTTTGGCCAAAACATGATTTCGCCTTCGGCTACTGGAGGTACTACCTCCAGCAAGGACACGCCATCCCATCTTGATGACTTGCTAGATCCAGAAGTTAACAAGAAGCTAACATCTGAATCTACGGAACTTGCCAATTTGTCGAACCAAATTGGGTCTCTCACCAAGCAGACCCAAGATCTGAAAATGAAACGTTTGTCTGCGGATCAGAACCTTGCCAATGTTGCCAACGAGAAGCATAACATCGAGTTGAAACTTGCACAATTGCGACAATCGTATGAGCACGAAGAAAGGGAGCTGAAGCGTGTCGAAGAAATCTTGGCTACGTCAAGAGCTGAAACGACCCGCCTTCGAAATGACTCTGTCATGCTGGAGGCCACACTTACTGACCTCCGAAATCAGAAAGCACAATCTCAAGCCGCGTATGATGCCGATGTCAAGGAAAACCAATCTCTCAAAGAGAAAATGAGAAATACCAACCAAGAAACGGCAGAACTAAAGAGACAGCTAGAGAAGTTGAAACATGATGCAAGACAACAAAAAGGCTTGGTGGCTATCAACAAGAAGCAGTTAGCTACTTCAGAAGCTGAACGAGAACGAGTGAAAGGTGAAATAGAGAAGGAGAAGGCTGATCTTGCTACCAGCCTTAGTCGTACAACGAGCCCTCAGCCTCCTGCTAGCCCCACTCTCAGTCAAACCAGCACTATGTCTACAAACCCGTTCAATGCAAACCCGTTCCATAGGAAGAGCCCAACGGCCCCTGTACAAGAAAGTGCAAGTGTGGAAAGCCGTTTCCATGATCGTGGTTTCTTTGAGTCGGCTATTCAATCAAGCTTTGCATCGCCAGCGTCAAACCCTGGCCAGAATGCTTTTGACAACGTCTTTGGATCCTTCAGCGCGCCTTCTGGCACAGGGCCACCACCACCAACCTCATTTTCTCGACAGAACACCGGCAGCAAAGACCCCGCTCGTAGTATTACGTTCTCTGCTCTATCAGCTACCGAAAGTGCTTTTGGTGGATCCACGCCTCCGACTTCTCCTCCTACCTCCTCATACTCATCCCACACAGCCGAAATTCCACCATCAGTTGGCAGCCCGCATATAACCTCTGCATTTTTGCCCTTGACTCTTAACAGAGCCGATTCTACCACTAGTTCCGTTCAGGTTCAGGCTTCAAGCGAGTCAGCTTTCTCTCGCCCAGAGACCCCGACAACAACTTGGCCGGGAAGCCTGCAACATGAGCCCAAACCCGAACCCGAAGCGGATGCCTTCAAGCCCTCACCTTTGTCCCATTCAGCGATACTTGATCAACAAGAACCCAAGAAACTTGAAAGAGCACGAACTGGGTCAACAGCAGGTGGTAGTCCCGTCGCAGCCAGGATTAGCGATAAACGTGATTCTGCTTCCGACTTTGGTAGTGTCAGCCCGAGTGTCGCTCATATACCAGGGGCATTCCCGGGAATAGATATCACCACTCCGATCAAACCCACTGCCACGGGTGAAAGCTATATGAGCAACCGAAGCAGGGTTAGCCAAGCCAAATCTGAGCCGTTGAACTTTGGGTTTGGAGGACAGGATAATAGAGGTTCCCAGGCCGCGAAAGATGATTTCGATGCGGCCTTCGCTGGCTTTAGTCAGGTGAAGCCCGAACGTCCTGCTACGAGCAACCAGGAATTCCCACCTATCCGCGAACTCCAAAATGACGACGAGAGTGACACTGCTAGTGAGACCGGGGGGTTTGATGACAACTTCACTTCCGCAAGTCCCAAAGTTGTAAAGACTACTGGGGCATCACAAGCTCCCGAACAACCGCCGTCTGTCCTTCCAGTTCCCGAGTCCAGCATTGCTGCATCACTCGTCTCGAACTCCAGCACTCCCCTCCCAGGCCCCAATGCCCAAACTTCGCCACCGACCTATACCTCGACGACTGGTGGAGCAAACAACGATACCTCAGCCTTCCCACCGGAATTCACTAACCTGTTGCCACCCCGGACCGACCCCATTAAGACGAATACCAATTCCCCCCCGGCTCAGACCGCTGGCACTGCTAAAATGTTCATGTCTTCTCCAGCCATGACCCCGCCAGCGACGACAAGTAACTTGGACAGCGTTTTTGGACCGGCTATCACCCCTGCTCCTCAACCTACTACAACCGCTCCAACGAGTTCTGATTATAGTGCATTCTCTTCTGTGCAGTCTAAGCCCGCCACTCAACCAGCCACACAAGGAAAATCTGCATTTGATGACGATACCTTCGAAAGTGACTTCAAGGACCTCGGTGAAGCGCGCGAGGCTAATAGTAAGAGCGATGAGTATGACAACTATACTACTGATCATGGCTACGCTGAGTTCAACGACGTATTTGATTCTCCTGGTGCAGCAAAGCACGTTCCGACTGCTCCAATCGGAACAAAGAATATCCCCGACGATGACGAGTTCTCTGCTTTCCAGTTCAATACTCTCCAAACCACCCAACCGGCTCAAAGTAGCAATGATGATTGGGACGCCCTGTTTGCCAGCCTTGACAAGCCCGGCTCGTCGGGCCAGCCAGCCAACAGTGGTCCTTCAGTGGGACAGGTCAATGGAGGAGATGCCCGTGCTGATGATGCATTTAATGTCACCACCCCACCGGCGGTTACGGCCAATTTAACAGGTGGAAAGAAGGTCGATCCGGATGTGAGAAAGCTACAAAATATGGGCTTCTCCGAGGAACAAGCTACTATGGCGCTGAAGAAGTTTGATAATAACTTGTCGGAAGTATGTTACTGAATATCATATCAATTTATCAATACAGTACTAACGCGCATTTGCTAGGCTACGAACTTTCTCCTTGATCTTCCAACTTCTCCAGGATCACGCTAAGAGCTTGAAACCTCGTGACGAAATGTCGCATCTGTAGAGAACACCTTCTACCCCCCCTTCTCGGGTCGTGTTATTTTGTCAAGAGTTAGAGGTTTATTACAAAACTACACCGACCTGTTTATGTCTTTCTTTCCCTCCCCTCTCCCTCACTTTCTTTTGGAAGTTTATATATATTCACTTTCACTTTGGCACCTTCATTTTGGGACACAAGCATGTGCATTTAGCAAGCGTAGTTTGGAAACACCCCCTCCACTTTCCCATCAGAATTATTTTCTTCCAATATCTTATCGATATGTATCACTTTTCATTGCATGCTAGCTCGTATAGTCTCTTTTCAAACGCCCCCCTTTCTGCCAGTAGCCTTTCTTAATTTCATATGATCAGATGCGTCAGAAACACCACTGAGCCATGCTTTCATACAAGATTGTCTCGTTTTCTTGAAAGCCCTTTTAATATTTGATGAGAATTATAATACAATTCAAGTTTGTTGGTGATGATAGCCCAGTTCTTAACGCCTTGATATCCCCGAAACCACTGGTGCGCAAACAGCCCTGTCCATTCCAAAACGCCAACAGTATATTTTGAAGATGCAATTAAAGGTTCGCTGCCTCAAAGGCTATCTGTCTGGAACCATGGGTGATAGATCCGGGTCTAGACAAAGACCGTGAAGAGCAACTTGGTTTGCCTTATGCTCGGAATTTCTTGAGGACAGTCTAAAGACAAGGTCGAGTTTAGTATAAGTTTCCTAGGATCTCTTGTAGTGGAGGGGGTTGTCATACATCCTTCGCCTTCTTAACATTTCGCGCCGTGATTTGCTTTTCCCCAGACGCCTTTGCGTCTATCCCGGCTTCCTTAACGAGCCTATAGAAAGTATTTGTTATTAGTTTGTTTTAATAGTGCAGAGGTTGTTTGTTTAAGTGTACTGTTCGAGAAATAGGGCGTAGTCGAGATATATCTAGGAAGCCAACCGAGCGTACGTCAATTATCGTGAACCCTTTGTTTACTCGATTGATTGTCCAAACATACCAGAATATCAGCGTTCTTCGAAATGTTGCAGCCGGAGTGGGCCTTCACAATGCGTCTAAGGACATTGCGAGGGTATTGATTTGTAGATTTAGAGGCAGCCATCACCGAATAGTTTGCATACTATAGTATACTAGGGGGCTACAATACGACGTACTAGGTTGTAGAAAGGATCGAAGGTTGAAGAACGAAATGGATGGCTGCTCAGCAACCAACACAAAATCCTTCATAACAACCCCCAAGACCTGACCGTTCGTCATTGCTCTTGTTCGTCTGCCACAAAACGACCACACGACAATTTCTCGACTCACAACTTGAACCTCCCTCTGCAAAGCATACTATCATATCCCACCTTGTACCCTTCCCACATCAACATTGCGTCTTTCTTCCTCATCATCATCACTATTATCGTCACTACCCGTCCCCGTTAGCATCATCCTGATCTCATCTTCAAAACTATAAAAAAAATAATCGTTCTCGTGGAAGCAAAGTGTCTTGTGCTGCTGTTTCCTTAAAATCATCCCTCTTCACCTTCGCCTCTCCTGCCACAACCCCACAAAGAGATAAACCCTTCCAATCCACCAACTTCACACAACAATTCATCATCAATACGTCCGATTCGGATTCTTGTTACCTTCGATTATTACCAAACTGAAACTAAATTCTACAGAAATGGCGCGAGGAAATAAGAAAGCTGCTGCCAACGAGGGCTCGGGCACCTCGACTCCCAAGGCCGAGGAAACCGTCCAAGTCACCAAGGAAGCTGTTGTCGACGCCCAGGCCTCAACCTCGGTTGCTTCCGAGAAGCCAAGCGCCAATGGCCCTACATCTAATGTTTATACGCGAGAAGTTGAGAAGTTAGTATATACACAGAAAGCTCCCCGCATTTCCTTAAGCCCCAGATAGCTAATTAGTACTTTTGTCTATAGACGCCTTGCGAAGTGGTCTAAGAAGAAGGTAGCTCCCTTATATAATACTAGAAAAACGTTTCGAACGCGAGTTGCTAACGTGGTTGTGTGCTTGTAGCGTGGCATCGAGACAATCGAGGCAAAGATCGCTGGCTTAACTCCCCAAGAACAAGGGATCACCAAGCTGATTAACAATGACGAACGAAAGAAGCTTGCTGAGAAAACGACGGTTGAGGAACGCGTAAAGGAGTACCAGGAGCTCGCTAGTGGCTTGTTAGCTGTTGCTGTAGCTGAAGAGAAGACCAAGACTTCCGAGAAGGAGGCTGCTGAGGCTGCTGCCGCCGCAGACCTCGCAGCGAAAGTTGAGGAAGCGAGAAAGGCTGGCTATGAAGAAGGGTTGAAAACACAGAAGGAAGCTCTCTTGACCTGTTTTCGGTTCCTTCGGTTGGCAGGCTATCGACGTGCTGTTCCAGACGATAATGTGGCGGAGAACGAGGCCATTGAGAAGGTGCTTGTGATGGTCTACAGCTCCGAGGAGTCTGCGACTGCAGCTATCGAGAACTTAGCAGCGAGCAAGGAAGAGGTAGTTGAAGGGTCTGAGGGAGTTACATGTAGGCCCTTATTCAAACCCCCATAATACGCGGGGACACGTGCTAACTTTTTACTGCAGACGCCAGAATCAAGGAGATAGCCAACACCTTGCATGCCAGCCACGAGGATGAAGAAACCGTCGAGCCTCCTTCAGAGGAAGTTGCTGCTGTCCAGACATCTCATGACCTCGGAGAGTCCACAGTTATTGTCACCGAGGCTGATACCGACACAACGCCTAAGGATACCGGAGCTCCTCCTCAAACCTTGACCGAGACTGTGGAAGCCACACCTGCAGCCCCAGCGGCTACCGTCGTAGACGACGGCGCAGCCAATGCTGCTGCTGTTTCACAGACTGGTGAATCAGCAGAAGAGTGGGATAGTATCAAGGCAGGCGGGGAGTCATCTAATAATGGTGCATCTGCTGAAGAAAACCCTGCTACCAGCTGGGCAGACCAATCTCACGAAGAGTCAACCGCAGAGCCAGCAGCCACACAGCCCGCTGAAGGCCGCTTCCAACAGGTTGGTGGTCGCGGTCGTGGTCGCGGACGCGGCGGTCCAAGACAAGACGGTCAATCTCGAGGCGGGTATCGTGGCCGCGGTGATGGGTATCGTGGACGTGGGGAATTCCGTGGAGGTGACCGAGGGAACTTCAGAGGACGGGGTCGTCCATTCCGTCCCAGGGGTGACCGAGGCGGATATGGTCAGGGCCCAGCTCCCGCTGCTGCTCCTGCCCCCGCCCCCGCCCCCACCCAGTGAGTCTAGGTGGATCCAGGTGCCCCCTTTGCTCCCTCTCTCCTCTATGTCCCCTCTCCCCAATGATTCGCTTCTCTTCTCCTTTATATAATACCAAAACCAACTACTATCACGAAAACATCGACCCAGCGACATTTCATAGCTATATATCTCCAAACCCCTTTAGTTTCCGTTGTCCCATTGTCTTCCCTTTGTTCTCATATTTGCCCTCCCTAAGAAAAAAAGTCCATAGGCATTTTCTGGTTCTGCGTTTTTCTGGCTACATTTATTCACCAGGCTGCATTATTAAGCCCTGTAGCGTTTCCATACGCGGACAAGAGCACTATCGCTATAATTTTTAAAAACGCGAAGTCTTTACCTGTCAGCGATTTTTCTTATGTTTTGACGTTCTGAGGGTTTCGTCATATCCAATACCCTTACAACTCCCACGCTATCATTAGTGCTTTCGCCGGCCATGAAGTCGGCCAACATCTTCTACTTTGGCATCATGATATCAAGCCTTCCCTCGTTCCGTAACACCCAAATCCTCCTCCAACCCGCAATACTCCTACCTTCAAACTCCCGTAAAATAATACTTTAACGCTTGTCACGTCATTCCGCCCCATCACTTCTAGGCTCAGGCTGTTCTCTTTCCGCGCCGGGCCGCTGACCTGTTTCTCATGGAAAGACACACATATTCCCTCACCTCTCCAGCATGCTTCCGGAGACTGTCATATCATATCATATCAGATTTGTCACATGTATGAAATACCATGTAGTATATAGGTTGAAATGAAGACCTTGACCCGGACTTAGGAATCCAAAGATCTATTGTGAGATACAAAGTATGTGGCTACGTATACGGTGTCGGTTCGGTAAATTCTTCCGACATCCTAAATGTTTGATACAGTCCATATCGCAGCCTTGACATGAGGTTGGGTCTGTGGCTTACCCGTCCTCCCCATTGGCGCTCCGCTATTCCTTCGGGCGACCTGTGTTGTTGTCAGAGTGTCAAAATTCCCACACACCCTCGCCAACCCTCAAAATCCTTCCTTCTCCACCGATCTTTTTTTACTCCCTTTCACATGTATTCTTGAAAATATCTCAACAACCACAACATCTGAAGATTTCAAACTTGTTGGAACTGCCTTCAGGAGGTTCATATATCGTTTTGCGACGCTCCGATTTTTTCTGGGGGCAACGTTACGGAAGTTTCTTTTTTCCATGTGTACTTCGGTGACGTGTCTGACTATTTCCATCATGGACGTCAGAACACGAGATTCTCGATCCTATGGATCGAGGGGCTAATAACAGTGGAATCCGCCTCGGAAGAGGCCCTGGAGACCTGAATTGGGGCTCAAAGACCTATCCATGACTTCGGGAAGCTCGGAGTGGCCTGAGAGGGATTCAGGAGGATCTCCTCACAGCCTCCAAACAGAAGTCTCCCACTCCACACCGGGGAAGGTCGGAGATTGGATTTGGTACCGGCCTAAGTATCTCGGGAGAGATTCATACATTTACAACTTCTAGGGAGTTGGTTTGCAGATGCTTTCTCTCGGGGGAGGGACCTGGGGAGGTTCACTCTGCAGTGCAACAACATGCATTTAGGAAAGTACCTAGGTATGCATAAAGATTCTGATCAATGCAGTCGAAGGTATGGGAGCCCTTTCACTATCCCAATCGCCCCATAACCCCTCCCATCCCATGATCATGGTTATCATCATCCCAGCACGAATGTTGCATTTGCCATATCGGTGGCCCGAGGTTTAGGGTCTCATATTGTTTGTTTTATGAATACAAGCGTGTTGATTGGGTGGAGTATCGCCATGCCCCTTCACCAGGCTTGGTTGGACATCCCCCCCCATTCTCCTCAGATGAGCTCATCATCATCTTGCTTTTTTACTATTACTTTGCCCCTCATCACAAGCACCTTGGGTTCCGAAGTGCGAGAGTGGATGGATGGATGGATGGATGGTCTGGTGCAGAAGTGGCATGACCATCCTGAAATTGACACCACCGACGCCTTAGAACCAAGATTCTTCGGCCATGGCGGGGGGACAGGGTAAATGCATGATTGTGGAAGCGAGGACGATGAGTTCCTTGATCACCCGCATCGAAGAGCATTGACAGGCTTCCCTCCTTCAGCGGGAGTACCTGCATATCCGAGAGCAGAGCATGAGCATTCAAGGGGAACCAGAACTGCCATTGTCGACACGTGGGGACAGACCCCTCAACACATTGTGCAAAATGCAACAAAGTGTCACTCCGATACATGAGTGTGGGGATATAGCGAGGGGTAAGAGAGAGAGAAAGAAAGAAAGAAAGAAAGAAAGAAAGAAAAAGAGATCGATGTCTTGGAATACGAATATTCTCTGTCGTTTTACTCACCGGGTTTTCTATTTTCTATTTTCTATTTTCTATTTCCGTTTTGAAGTCGAGGTCGCTGCAGATCGTCGACGTCGACGCACGATACCTTTGTTGTTCTGTTCGTCGCTGCGGGTTAAGCCAAAATTGGAACTGGCGGTGAGAAAAGGGATGTTCTCCTGCTCTGAAGAGAACGCGCACATTTGCCGAGCAGCGAGCACACCCTCAATCTTCTAGACAGACAAACATCGACGATTTCGAGATTTCGCAGATGGCACGAATGATTCTCTAGCTGGTGCTACGATCTTTTTTTCTCGGGGATTTCTTGTTGTATCTGAGACCGGAGTGGGTCTTCTTTTTCCTTTTTATCGCACGTCGGGTACCACGCCATTCATCGACATCCCACAATCCCAAGCCCACGGAACGTTAACTGCACACGCAAAAGCGTCGATTCGGCCGCTCTTTAATTATAATCTTGACGGACGATCGAGACTAAACTGAACTGGAACTTATCGGTTCTTACCAGGGCAAGTTAAGGTCAGTCCATCATCAGCCAATTCTGGCCTGTTCCGCGCACTGGAATGTATGCAACTGCAGCCAATCTCCCGGACATGCCATTTCCATTTCCATTTGCACGCCCCAGTCCTGCTGCTTCGAGTACCGTCCCCCTGCAACCCCTCCCCAAATAGCCCGTCAAAAAAATATGTGCTTCAGTTCTTTGTCTCTGGTCTTTATCTCTCCGATCTATCTATCTATAGTTCCCATCAAACGACAGTAATCTCATTTGCTTGCATTCATCTACAACCTCACGCTTTTTCCTGTAATTCTCCCTCCCAGTTTGTTCGTTCCAATTTCCCTCCTTTCGCATCGTTCCGACGTGAAAGTCTTCTTCGATCCAAATTGGCAATTGTGCGGTGACAAACTCGTTTTTCCCCCGTTTTCCCTGCTTGCGAAGCAAAGAAGAAGAAGAAGAAGAAGTGGAACAAGAGGAAGCAGTGGAACAAGAGGAAGAGAAGCAACCCCGGAAACCATCAATTACATGCAATCAATCCGTCTTCAGCACCACCGTCCACCATTACCACCCATCGCATCCACTCTAAACACCTTTCCCAAGATCTTCAATATCAAATCTATCGCTAGGATCCACCAGTAACTAACAGTACTAGTCTAGTCTAACATCAGCTGCTCCCATACTTTGCAAGCTTTCTCGCAAGGTCATCCAGCCTGGGTTTTGCCTCTTAAGTGTGTTGTGTTGATGGGTGTTTGACACTCTTCCAACGTTCATCAGCCATGGCCTCTCCATCCGCCGAGGTCGACATCACCTTAGACGGTCTTGAATCCATCAACGTTCCAACCAACCAACAACCTTCCGAATCGCTTCAACCATCGAATCCAACAATGGAAGCAGCTATGGATACATCTAAAGATGATGAAGAGCCTGATATCGGCCCTATCTTCCCTGACCATTACTACGGTGATGGGAAGATTCCGGTCTTCAAGCCGGTGAGTTTGATCTGCTGCTCCCATTTGATCTAATGCGACAAGCCACCTGGGTCGCGAGTCCGGGGTCTTTTTAGCTACCTATGTCCTTGATATTCTTGATCAAGGACTTAAGCAGCTACTAGGACATGGTATCCGGCCGTACATTCCTAGACTCTGCGTTTTGTCCCGCATTTGCTTCTTTTTACCCGGTGATGCTGATGAGTATATTTCCTCATAGACTATGGAGCAGTTCAAATCCTTTTACAAATTTATCCAAAAGATTGATCACTATGGGATGAGGTCGGGGATTGTGAAAGTCGTCCCTCCAAAGGAATGGTAAGATATATCGATTACACCTTTTCTCCGATCCCATTTCTGCCTCGGTCTATTTGATATTAGTCGCATATTTTCTTCGTTTGTTCCTACCATTCGACTGCTACCTTCTCATGCCATTATATCATATTCCCATACTAACTTTCCCAGGATCGACTCCCTTCCTGCCCTTGATGAAAAGGTCAAAGATATCAAGATCAAAAATCCAATCGAGCAACATATCGCGGGCAGCACCGGCTCCAGTGGTACAGGAATCTTCAAACAAGAGAACCTTCAACGCCAAAAGACATATAACCTCCCTCAATGGCGAAATCTTTGTGATTCAAGTGACCATCAACCACCAGCCAAGAGAGGAGAACGTCGAAAAAACCAGGAGTTTAAACCGAAGCCTAAGCCTAAGCCGACTAGGACGACGCGAAGGAGCACAACTGCGGCGGCGGAGGAAAGCTCAGAACAGACTCAGAGGCCACTTACCCCTCCTCCTGGTGATGAGACACCTGTTGCTGGAACCCCTTCAAAGGACGAGGAAGATACCATGGAAGCTCCCTCCTCCGTTTCTAAGAAAAAGAAGGGCAGACAACCTCAACCAAGGCCAAAACGAGTCTATATTCGTAAAACGAAGGAGGAAATGGAGGAGGCTGCTGCAGAAGCTGCGGAAATCTGGAACGGGTTCGACTATCGATTTCCTGCTGCCGCGGAGTTTACCCAGGAAAGATGTGAGGAACTTGAGAAGCACTACTGGCGAACATTGACATACAACAACCCTCTATACGGAGCCGATATGCCTGGCTCTTTGTTCGACGAGACGACGACCTCCTGGAACGTTGCGAAACTAGAAAACATCCTGGATTGTTTAGGGGCCAAATTGCCCGGTGTCAATACTGCCTACCTGTACCTCGGCATGTGGAAGGCGACCTTCTCATGGCATCTCGAAGACGTTGATCTCTACTCGATTAATTATATCCACTTCGGCGCGCCGAAGCAGTGGTATTCAATCAGCCAAGAAGATGCACCCAAATTTCACGCGGCAATGAAAAGTATCTGGCCGGGTGAGGCCAAGAAATGCGACCAGTTCCTCCGACATAAAACCTTTCTGGCATCCCCGTCATTCCTAGAATCCCACCATGGCATCAAGGTGAATAAACTCGTACATCATGAAGGAGAGTTCGTCATTACTTTCCCATACGGGTATCATGCTGGTTACAATTTGGGATACAACTGCGCGGAGAGTGTCAACTTTGCAACGGAAGCTTGGTTGGACTATGGACGAAAGTCAAAGAGATGCGAGTGCATTGATGATGCCGTTTGGGTTGATGCAGACGAGATCGAGAGGAAGCTGAAAGGCCTCCCTACGGAAGACGAGTGGTCTTCTGAGGACGAGGACGTTGATAGCGACGACGAACCTACTGATCTCCCTACACCTCCCGAAAGCGTCGAGGGTGACGGAGCGAAGAAGCCGAAGCGCCCCAAGTCGAGCAATAAGAGAAAGACGGATGGTGAGGGCGGCCGAATGGTTAAAAAGATTAAGGTCAAGTTCGGCACGCAGAAAACTCCGCCCGTGAGTACCCCCTTCGACAGCGATATGAATTCGACACTAACAATCATTAGTGCGTTCTTTGTCCGAATGAAGCCCAGCATGAGGAGCTACTCACCACAGACGAAGGAAAGAAAGCTCACAGGTATCTTCACGATCCCGATAGCTTCAAATATTTTAACACCAGGTGCTAACAATTTTCATTCAGATTATGTGCCATGTACATCCCAGAGACCTTCTTCACGACGGACCCGGAAACGAACGAAGAGAAGATTTCGAATGTTTCGGCCATACCTACCGCCAGGTCGAACCTCAAGTGTTACTACTGTCGTGCCAAGGGTGGTGCTTGCTTCCAGTGTTCAGAAACCAAATGTGTCCGAGCTTATCATCCGACTTGCGCGGCACAGGCGGGTGTCCTGGTCCAAAATGTACTGTTAGCCTCGGAACCCGACGGTTCTGGCCAGGAGGCAACAGCACCACAAACTGAGCTCGACTTCCGGTGTCGATTCCACCGGCCTAAGAGACCGAAGGACCATACTCCTGACGTTCTTGAGGAAGACCAGATCATTATGGAATTCGCCAAGAAACTTCAGCCAGGACAGGTCGTTCAATTCCAGCTATATCTTGGGGAAATGTGTGCGGGTATCGTACGACAGAACCGGGCATCGGAGCATATGTTGCTTTTGGAGATGTTACCGAAAGGGAACCCCTTCGAATTGGAATGGAAATATGTTCTACCGTCGTCTATTATGAACACGGCCCCGATTGTCAAGACGAAGAAGTCGCGGGCTTCGGTTCCTAGCGTCAGAACAGATGCTAAAGGGAAGAGAGTTGCCGTTGAACCTAGGAAAACGGACTTCTACGCTGACAAGCCGCAAGTGGGTGATCAATTTCTCCCCGGTACCACTAAGTATACATGGCAGGAATTTGGGGACTTTGCTGTTCCTCCCAACCCACACCAAGAACCTGCAGTGAAAATCTGGTATTATGTCGGGGAACAATCCACCGAGAATATCCCATCCTGGACGAAAGATCCTAGTGTACGTGTAGGCGATAAGGATGCCGTTGAACCGCATCTACAGCGAAGAAGCGGTAATGGCGAGGGTCCTTGTTATATGACACAAGCAGAGGAACGGGCCAAGGCAGAGGCATCCCTAGCAGCCCAGCAGCGTGCAGGGTACTACCAGCCACTGCCGGCCCAACAAACACAACCAGGGCATCCAAGTGGAAAACCAGTTCCCCAGCCTTTCCATACGCCTAATTGGCGACAACCTCCTCCAGCACAGCCTGCGGGACCTATTGCTAGTACGAGTAGCGGACAGAGATTTGTTGTTGCTTCTGCGAATAATGGACGTAGAGTGTTCTATGTAAGTGCCCTGCTCGGCGTTGTGTTCCTGGTCACGAGACTGGCTGTGTGCAAGATCGAAATATTTAAACAGCTCTTCTTCTCTCGGCATCTGGCTTCTAATCTGACAAATATTCTTCACTCCACAGAGTCCCCTTCAACCAACAACTTTTCAGAACTACCAAGGCACCACGCATCGTGTCAGCTACAAACCTTCAACTCCAACTCCAATCCCCTCCTCCTCTCCTGGCCCTCCCAACCCAAAACCAGCCTCCCAAACCAATCCCGGGATGTCTGGGACTCCGACTCTAGGGCCGAATCCCTACTCGGCCAACCCTCAGCAACACCCAAGTGCCCCAACCCAGCACGCTCAACAACCTCGCGCGACGCCTTCTTAGGCCAAGAATCCTTCGCCTGAGGAGGCTCCGCGTGTTGAGTTCATCAAGCATCTTGTACAAACCTGGGGGACAACCTACGCCAGGAAACCATATCATGTTATGGTCTCAGAGCTCACTGAACGCATTCACAATTTGTGGGCTATGGGACATCTACCTCCACCGCGATCAAACCTCGAGCATGACCGCAAATATTACGTCATAGATACTATTTCTCGCGTTTTCGAACTTCTCAGGGCCTGGGGAGGCGATATCCCTCCCCCAACTCCCCCACAACCTAAACCTCAACGACCAATTGTACCTCTCAGTGACGAACAGCTTGCCAATCTTGCTGGCGCCCTCAAGATTTCTTCGCCTGCCACCTACCCCCAAACCGAGGAAGAGTACATGCAGGAATTCGTTGAGGAAGTCAGCAAGTGGGGACTCAATGCCGACGACATTTTGCGGAAAAAGAATTGGGGAACTTGAGCTTGCCAACTCCAACCAACCGTTTGTCCCGTCTTTAGCGCCTAAGATTTCTCACCAATTCTCTTCTCAATCGACGTTTCTCCCAACCTCTTTCGAGGCCGTTCTTTCCTCATCAACCTTCTTCATATCTTTTCTCCCCTAGCTAGGCGCTATTCACGTTGGGCTTTAACTTTAATACCGATTTAATCAAATCCCTTGTGCCTTGATCCACCTGTCCCTGTCTCTGCTTCTGTCTCAATGGTTTTTTCTTCCTTTATTTCTTCTTTTGCTTTTTTGTGGTTTGTCCATGTCCGGGTTACTGGTGTTCACTGGCTCGATTTCGTTTCCCTTTCTGATATGTTTGCTTCATGGCCTCTATATATATTATCTCACTGTGCGAGGGACATGCTACGTTCCTGTAATGAACGACTCGATGATTGACTGATAAAACTAAGCTATAATAACCATCCTTACCACTCTTTAGATGAAGTGGATGGGTCAAAAGTATTACTATGGAGTCCATTGCCAAGAACTTCTTTTGCCGTGGTTATAGGAAACGTTTAAAACATTGCCGTAATCTGCGCCGAATATTGACGTTGCTACATACTAACAAAAAACAACAAGGGTCACTGAAGCTCCCGTAATCCTGGAGCTTAAGCTCGCAGCAGATGTCGTAACCAACCCTGGCTTCCTCCCACCACAACAAACATGCATCACTACCACCACGACCACACTCTCTCATTCCTCAACCACTCCAATGACCGACCTTATCACTCTGCTCCCGAACATATATCGTACAAACCCCGCTTTACAACCGCTACTCGTCCGCCACAGTCCTTCATTCGACCAATGCGGCCTAACAACCGTCGATCTCGTGACTCTTGATCCGAGAACCATCTGTCAACGCGCTCGGATCAGTTTAAATGATGTCAACCGAATTGTTGAAGGTGTTCGCGACGCTTTAAACGCTGATACGCTTGGTGGGCCGGTTAATGCGCCTAATATTCGGAGTACGGCTGGGACACCATCCGCCACGCCTTCGGGGACACCTAGTGCTACCAGTGGCGGTGAAGGGGTTACGAATTTTCGAGGAAGGAATATGGAGGCTTTGAGTCGACGGCAGAGGATGGTTGAGTTTGGAGATGATGGGGTTGATGGGCTTTTGAACGGGGGCGTCATGACGGGGAGTTTGGTGGAGATTGTTGGAGAGAGGTACGTTATTATCATTTTTAAAAAAATACTACTTTGACTATTACTTTTGTATTATTCTTAAAAAAGGGCTTTTTGATGCTGATTCTACGATGTTATTATTATTATTATATATACAGCGGCGTCGGCAAAACCCAGCTTCTACTCCGTTTATGCTTCTCGATCCAACAACCGCCTCATAACCGTTCCGCGATATACATCTGTACGGAATCGCAAATTTCCACGAAAAGGATGGTAACCATGCTTGAAGATCTAGTTTCAAGAAAAGTCCCGGGGTATGCGGCTCTTAGTATGAATCGGATACAAACCGCTATGTGTCAGTATCTTGAAACACTGGAGCATATAGTGAAATACCAGCTACCGCGTGCGATCGAACAGTTTAAAGCGGGATTGGTGGTGGTGGATAGTATTGCTGCGAATTTTAGGGTTGATGATGAGGATGGTACCGGTGATGGTACCGGTGATGGTGCTACGACAACTGCGAAGGGGAAGGGGAGTAGGAGTGCGAAACTTGCGAGACGGGCGGGGGATATTGTACGGCTTGGGATGTGTTTGAAAGAGATGGCGATGAAATATAATGTTGCGGTTGTGGTTGCGAATCAGGTCTCTGATACCTTTGAACCGGCGTGGGTTAAGAGGAATAGAGAGATATCGACACAGTACCAGCAGCAGCAGCAACCTCCATCTTCTTCAGCTATTGTTTCTTCAATCGATTCGAGTATGGGGACTCAGACTCCTACCACGCAATTCGGACAGGTGGTGCACACCCAACGGGCTGCGTCGCAGGAGATACCATTGACTATGTCACAATATGGACTTCCTACGGACGAATTGATGATGACTTATGATTATCAGGCGAAGTGGTTTAACGGGTGGGGGGAGGAGATTGATGATATTGCAGCGGTTGGGGAAGGAGGGGATGAGGTTTTGATACAAGCGTTAGGGAAGTTGAAGACACCGATGTTGGGGATGACATGGACGAATTTGTTGGATGGGAGGGTGGCTTTAGTTAAAGGGAGTGCCAGGAGGGAAGATGGGGGCCTTGTAGGGGAAGATGGTGAGGGGGAAGGGAGGACGAGGAGGTGGGTTAAGGTTGTTTTTGCACCGTGGGCGGAGAGTGGGGTTTTGTTGGAGTATGAGATTTGGGAAGGCGGGGTAAGAAGTGTGAAGACTATTAACGAGGTCATTGACGAGGTATCATGATTTCACAAGGATATGCGTATATGAGGGAGAGCGGGGGTTCTTTTACGTGCATGCTGCATTACAGATTGATACTTCTAGACTTGGGGGGTGTTTGTGTACTGATACCATACTGCCGTGGATTTAGCGTGGTGTTTCTGGCGTTCTGCTTCCTGTTGATCTTACATCTTCCCAACAAAGACATTTACAAAATCTGGAATTAGACTATAGAAGAGGAATGAAATGTACGAAAGCGGCTTTTCATTTTCGAGATTTCATTTTCGTTGTATTCTATTACATCAAATTGTAACCATTTCCACCTGAATCGAAAGAAAAAAGTTGTAGAACGCCAGAGAGTGGGATCATGAATATTGACCAACAGTTAACGCCGGTATCCCCAGAAGTATTGAATATGCATTTCCCATTTGACCCTCGAAAAAAGAAATGCCTTGAAGAAGCTAGATCAAGTGGACGAAAGGGATAATAATAAAAATAAGGAAAAGACACGAAATATCGCCTACTAGTCGATATCTATGGTCTCCTTGCCCCGTAGTGTTCTCCCGGAAGACTGGCCGGTGGATGTAGCTTTACCCTTTCCCTTCGGATCGGCTGACTCGTCCCGATCCTTTCTTTTTGAAGCGGCACGCAAAGATTGACCTTGACCGGAGAATGTGGTGGCGTTTGCGGATTCGGATTCGGATCCTTCGGTTTTCTTCACAGGGACGATTTCGTATCCAAAGAATAGAGTACCGGGTGGGAGTCGAAGTGGGACTGGTGGGGGTTTTCCATCTCTCATCAATGTTGCAGTGTCGATAATCTTTCCATTTGTCGGAAGCTTAATGGAAGGTGTTGGAGGGGCAGCTACACTCGTAGGTGGAGGTGGAGGTGGGGCAGGAGTTCCTGGCTTGGATTTGCTCTTTCTGTTGACTAGCTTTTGGCCGGATCCCGAGAATGCATCTGATGGTTTGAGATGCTTGCTACCCGATGAACCTGGTGCTAAATCTTGATATCCGATCTGAGCTGCCATGGCACCCTGTCCTGCGTTTGCTCCGACCCCGCCAGCGAGGGCAGAAGATGGTCTTGTAGAGTTCACGCTACTAGCTGGTTTACTCCTTTCCGGCTCAACATACCCTACCGGAGCTGCGAAGTCGACTTCGATATCCGTTTCGACGACTGAGATAGCACCATTTCTGACATTTGGCTTTACTTCCAAAACAGCGATTTCGAAGATTGTGTCGTTGTAGGAGAAGGAGAAAACATCGTCCTTTGTCAAGGCTGAGAAGTTACGGAGGGCATTTTCGAGAACGGCCTTTGGATCTGAGATGTCAAGGAAATCAACGGATTGAGGTTGAAGTTTGATGAAAGATCCTGGAGGGAGATCGGTGGATTTGACCTGCATTAGGTCACCGGGTTCTAGGAGGAGGGTTTGCATGATCTAACAATCAAAACGTCAACAGTCTTGTCATATATATACTAGGTAGTCTCGTGCTATGAGAATAGTACGATACAATGGTAGATTTTTATAACGTACCCACTGTGGTAAATATATCCTGCCTTCCTCAGCCACAAACTCGAGGACACCGCAATGTGTAAGCTTCCCTTTGCCGTTATGAAGCTCGAACAACATGGGATACGAGATATGAAGACGTGTAAGCTTGTCGAGAGCACTCGGAGGCATGATGACTTTCCCGCCATAGTTGAGGTTCTCACGGCCGGTGGGCATCATAGCTACGGGGTAGCAACGGTAATACTCGTCGAAACGGCGTGTGGCGCCCGACCGGCCGATAGGACCGTCGAAATCATCGTATCCGTAGCCGCCGTAGCTCTGGAGGTAAGAATAGTAGAAGTACATGTCAGCGTCTGGATCCCTTTCTGTTTCTGAGTCCAAGTCTTGGTCAAAGGCTGATCCTGAGTCAGGAGGACGGCGACGACCAAGACGACGGATGTTTCTGAAGACGTTCATGGCGGATGCGATAATGATGGTGATGGTGATGGTGACTGTGAGAAAGATGGAGAGAAAGGTGGACTTACCATGGTGAAGGTAGATGGTTCCTGAGAGGTTATCGAGAGCTGAGGTTGAACGTGGCGGAGGGAATATCAGCAGCGAGGGAGCGGTGATCAGTGGTAAGTGGTCAGTGGTGGGTTGTACGGAGCACAGAGGTTGAGGGACGACGGACAGGAGGGACAGGTGGGATGACGACAGCACGCCGCCCATTCATTCATCCACCGTGCACTGACTAATTCGCCGCTGACTAAAACAAGCCGCTACTATATTTTATATTTTACTAGAATAGTCAATGATAAAAGCAGTTTATCCAGCTTCACAAAATTCAAAGTTAAAATCCCTAGTAAAGCAATTAAGTATCTCTGTAGTGAATATATGACAAGCTGGGCTAGATCCTGGTGGGATTCCATAGCAGGTGCAAGTGGCATGGACCAGGGTGAGCTCAAACGCGTCTACCAAACCAAACCATCTCTTAAACAACTTCAACTCATCTGCGCCGTCTCGCAAATTTCCTCAAACCATATCTCCACCAACCTTCACGACCAATTCCGCATCACTACATCCCAATTTATCCGCTTGAACTGAATCAAAACACATTTCCTATTGCTTTAATATTAATTCAACGATGGTACTTCCCCTCCGCTAGCTAGGAAAGGAATTTTTCTAAAAGAAAATCTTGCATCTCATACTAACCACCTTTAAAACGACCAGCAAGCTATAACTACAGTCTCTGAATCCAGAGACGTCCGCGGCCTCAACCTCATCGCCTCGCATTCTCACATTCGTGGCCTCGGCGTCGAACCTGATACCCTACAACCACGAACCAATGCCTCACAAGGTCTTATCGGCCAGGAAAAGGCCAGGAAGGCCGCTGCCGTCATTCTCCAGATGGTCCGCGAGGGAAAGATCGCTGGCAGAGCCATTCTGATGGCTGGTCCCCCTAGGTACGCGTCGTAATCTATGCCTATCACTAAACGGTTGTCGCTGACGGATTTGAATCCAATAGTACCGGGAAAACAGCCATTGCAATGGGCATGGCCCAAAGTCTTGGGTCCGACGTTCCATTCACCATCCTCACATCCACCGAAATCTTCTCGTTAGAAATGTCCAAAACAGAGGCTCTCACCCAGGCTTTCAGAAAGTCTATTGGTGTTAGAATAAAAGAGGAAACAGAGATCATCGAGGGCGAAGTTGTTGAGATCCAGGTTGATCGTACCGTTACTGGAGTAAGCAATCAATTCCTGGGGATTCGGCGGCAATGAGAGAGTCAAGAGAGCTAAATTGGTTTCGCATTTTATAGGGCACGAAACAAGGTAAACTCACAATGAAAACGACCGATATGGAAGCTGTCTGGGATATGGGCGCCAAAATGATCGAAAGTATGTCCAAGGAAAAGGTCATCGCTGGTGACATAATATCCCTCGACAAATCTTCCGGCAAAGTAACGAAGCTCGGCCGATCATATGCAAAAGCTAGAGACTATGATGCGATGGGGCCCGATACCAAGTTTTTGCAGTGTCCGGAGGGGGAACTCCAGAAGCGACGTGAGGTGGTCCACACCGTTTCGCTACATGAAATCGATGTCATAAACTCCCGTACTCAGGGATTCTTGGCTCTGTTCTCTGGCGACACTGGTGAGATCAGATCGGAAGTTCGAGACCAGATCAACATCAAGGTCGGGGAGTGGAGAGAAGAGGGAAAGGCAGAGATCGTTCCAGGTGTTCTGTTCATTGATGAAATCCACATGCTGGATATTGAGTGCTTCTCATACATCAACAGAGCCTTGGAAAGCGAGTTGTCACCGATCGTTATCATGGCTTCGAACCGAGGAACAACAAGAATAAGAGGAACAAACTACAAATCACCACACGGACTTCCAATCGACTTGTTGGACAGAGTGCTAATTATCCCAACACCTGGTTATTCGACTCCAGAGATTGAGCAAATCTTGTCGATAAGAGCCCAGGAGCAAGAGGTTGATTTGGAACCAACTGCGCTTTCACTTTTGACAAAGATTGGATCGGAGACGTCGTTGAGATATGCCTCGCAGCTCATAACTACAGCTAATATGATCGCATCGAAACGACCCAAGAAGACGGTTACGGTTGATGATGTTACCCGTAGCTTCAAGTTATTCCTGGATACTGGTCGCAGCACGAAGGTATGTTTTAGTAGCTTAGGACTTGTCGAGACTCCACTGAACACTGGCTTACTGATCAATTCTATTTAGTACTTGGCTGAATATGAGAACCAATTCATCACGGATTCTAACTATACTGTGAATGGAGAAGATTCAATGGAGTTATCCTAGTGATAACCGTGATATTTTGTACGATATTTAGCAGGATACTTTTGATGCCACCTAGCATAGTGGGTTTTTATGATCTCGACCCACTTAGACCTGATCGAGGACGGTCTTACTGTTTGCTTCTGAAATGATACCTTTCCACGCTGCCATAAATTAATGATAAGAAATGCAAGAAAATTAATAATTCAATTGAAGAAATATGTTAAAGGAGGATCCCGGCGATGAGGGCTCATAGGGAACCTGGTCAATATTGTAATTCGCCAACAGCTGTGGTATTGTGCTGTGCACGCTGTTACTATGTGGATGCCCTCATTGGGCGCAACCAACGTATTTGTTTACACCATTAATGCACTTTTCAACCTCACTCGCTCTCAACCTCAACCATCGCACACTCCCTTAACATCACCAACCAATTTTATCTAGAGTACCAACATTCGTCTCGATGATGAATGAATGACCGTCGATAATCGAACACCAATATCCGAATACCTTATGCATATTTTATACGAACCTTTAACGAATTGAACATACGAGTATCCAATTGCCAAAATGATGAGCCTTGGGTTACCTCTGCTCACGCCTCGTGATGTAGGTTTTCATGCTATCTTCATCTTATATTTTCAAAAAGATTTTTTTAACTAAGATTTTTTTTACTACTATATCATAGACTCAATCGCTATGGTATACTCCATCCCATACCTTCGGCTACACCGTCCCTCCGAAACCTACCTCTACGCCCCTCCTCCAATCCACACAGGCGACGCCAGCCGCTGCGAACCAACACAGTCATCACCAACAATACCGTGCCCAACGCGATGCTACGCGCTCTGCACTCGCAGCCTATGGGCCTTCAGCTCTTCAGCAGCTAGCAATCGATGAAGATGCGGTTGAGAAAAGAAAGCTCCATATTGCACGGTTCGGAGCGACGTGGATTAAACCACCTGGAATGATGAAGACTTTGCAAGGTGTTATTGATGAGGAACTTGAGAGGGCCGAACAGATGGCCATGGAAGGGGAGACTACAGTTGATGAGGGAGCTTTCGGGCAGGATATTAATATGATCGGTGGAGAGCCTGTGGAGATTGTTGGGGAGGGAGATGGGGAGGAGGATGATGGGGAGGATGGGGAGGATGAAGACGTCGAGGAATTGGAGGTTGGGGAAGAAGGACTGATGGAGGAAGGAGAGGTGGATTTGGACGCCGATATCCCCGAGGCCGATAGCACTGGTTGGAGTGAGGACGAAGAAGAGGAAGAGGAAGAGGACGAAGAGGAAGAGGAAGAGGACGAAGAGGAAGAGGAAGAGGATGAAGAAGTTGTGGAGATGGATGGTGAAGAGGAGGGCGAGGAAGAGGAAGAGGAAGAAGAGGAGGAGGAGGGGTTTGAAGAACACGAAGGCGAGGGAGTTTCAATCTACGAAGAGGGTGAATCTGGACTTGACGAGCTTTCTGCTATCGCCGATACGACACAGGGTAGCATTGACGAATTCTCAGAGATTGGAGATGGCTCCCCGCGTCCTATTGTCGCTGGGCATGTTCAACGTCGAGTCGACACTCCAACTTCAGCAGCTCGACACGTTGGGCCCCCCGGACATTATCAAAACATCCGAAGGCTACCTGCAAGAATGCAAGCATCCGGAAGCTCACCCTTGGGAAGGCAAATTACTACGCCTACTAGTAGGACTACGCGACGGGGAAGAGCTGCGCCAATTGCTGACAGTTCTGTGATGTACATGTCTGGCGATGAGATGGAGGTTGACGATTAACAGACCTCTCTGATATTCTGTCATGGCCACTTTCTTCCATGGTCGTCACCCCCGCTAGTCTTGTTCCCAGACTATCCTCTCCCTCCTTCTCTTTCTTTGTTCACAGGGCCGTTTTTTGAAGGGAGTGAAAGCCGGGCTTCCCTTTTGACTTTGCTTTGAGAGTGGGATAACATCTTTATGACCTTGCGACGTGTCTTTTCTTTTCTTTTTTTTTTTACAATTTATTTGTCCTGGCTTCCCCTTTACATGAATACCGGTATACGAGGACGACTAATGCATTGCGAATGGCGTTTTTGGGGGGTGTTTTTGGTGTTTTCCTTGACTGTACTACTAGCTACTGCTACGTTAAAAACTACTATCGCATGTAATTATTATGGAGATACACGAAAGGTAGAGAGTCTCGGCAACGGGAGATAGAAATCCATAGCTTACAATACTAATACTAACATACTCCGATGCATTTTGAAAACTGAATCGTTCTAGAAGGCCGGCATGTGTGGAGGCCAGCTGCAGGTGTCGGCAATGGGGCCTGACGTCGGTATGAGACAAAGCATCACATGATGATGGGTCTTAATGGGATCATGCCGGGTTTAAAGAAGGCACATCCGGCGCATGTCTGTCTGTGTGCATAAGCATAAGCACAAGCACAAGCACGTTTAATTAAATTGGAGACTCCAAAGGTTGATTTAGCTTTGTTTGTTACGTACCCGCCTGGTAATATCATATTCTCTGTTGGGCATTAAGTAAGTCCTTGTTATTATAACTGCTAGTGCAGTGCAGTGCCTGCATCTTTGATCTTGGAACGACTCATTGGTATTAATTTGCTTTTGGATAATATTTCCCCCTCCAAGAAATATAAATAGGACCCGGCAGGATTCGATTTCATTTTGATGGATACCCAGTATATATAGTTATCTTAACTTCACTTGAGGCTATCGTATCGTATCGTATCGTATCGTACTATCAATATTCTACTACACAGTAAGTTCTGTTCGTAAGTACCTAAGCAGGTACTTAAGCACTTGGTTTTTCTTTAGATTAAAGCCGCTTCTCCCGGAATGAGGCTTTTATCCGGTTTATAATAATCTCTGTCAAGATATCATACTTGTAAACGATATATCGGACTAAGATCTGAGCCGACTCGTAATATTATTTGGAGGCCAAGTGCAAGAGCGAGTGAAGTTGCATTGTGGTTGTGTCAGTTCCTGTTCCTGTTATCTTGAAACGACATCGCCAACATCTGGCCTCACACACACACCCTTTCTTAGCTTGTTCTGGTCCTGTCTTCCTTCCCTTTAATTATTGCTTCCCTTTCCCATCACCATCACCATCACCATCACCACCATCAGACACACAACCGTTAAGCCTCAAACCCTCTCCACCCGTAGCTTCTCCCGCTCTATCCCCGGATATCCTTACTCGTCGCTAGCCTCTTTCGCCAGAGAAAACCGAGGAATCTTTCGCTTTTTGCTTGGGAAGTTAACTTGACTGTTCCATCAGCTGATAAAAGGGCCCTGTTTCTCCGACCCCCAATCTTCCGAACTTCCCAAACCACCTTCGTCATCACCATCACCAGCACCCATCTACCAGCATCCCCAGCCTCAAAAAATATTGTAAGCCTCATTTGTTTCCCCCAAGCTCCAGCCGAGACTCGCTTCTGCTTGCGAGCTGTTTTCATATATATTATCTCAAGAGTTAATAACGCCTACTAACGTTTCTTTCAGAACTTTAATTTAGAGCTTTCCGACTCTCAAGCAACATCATCATCATGAATCCAGAGTGTATGGCACCTCCCTAAATAACCCTTTGATATCTCCATCAGAGCTCTGCAAGCAGCTTGACTGTCTCTCTATATCCCTATTTTCCCTTTTTGCTAACTCTGTGTGCTCGGCTGTCCGATTCGTAGATGTATCCCTTTTCCTAAGTCCATTAGGACATCTACTGTCCCTTGCTGCTGCTCCCGCTGCTCCCTAAGCGCCTCCGTCTGCCCCCCCTACCCCCTGTTCCATTACGCCATCTCGCAGATAGAGCACACGCGACTCAGCTTCAGATCAAGCCATGGCTTCACCTACCTCTCCGTCGGAGCAAACTCGCTTTCCCGTTCTTCCAACTTCTCCAACGTCTCCTTCTTCCCCATCAGCTAGATCGAACAAAAATAAGCTAACCAAGTGGGGCGATTCCGCCCTGGATTTCGAAAGATACGATTACCTCTTCAAGCTCCTCCTCATCGGTGACTCTGGTGTCGGCAAGTCTTGTTTGTTGCTCAGGTTCGCTGATGACACATACACTGAATCCTACATCTCGACTATCGGTGTTGATTTCGTAAGATATCCTGAAAATTACAATATTGGAAGCTCCTTTGACGTGTTTGCTGACTGTTTGTGTAGAAAATTCGTACAATCGAACTTGATGGCAAGACCGTAAAGCTGCAAATTGTAAGTCTGGCTGTTCTCCTTTCTTTCTGTCCTTCTTTCTTCTAAGGATCTTCTTTCTTGATTGTCCTACTAACATTCTATTTTCAGTGGGATACTGCTGGACAGGAGCGATTCCGTACTATCACTTCGTCATACTACCGAGGTACACCAGTTCGACAGATCTTACGAAGACAAATGAGAAGACTAACAAATTGTTTACAGGAGCTCACGGTATCTGCGTCGTTTTCGATGTAACAGATATGGGTAAAAACTTATCATTTCCTTTATACTTGGTAAAATTTATGGCTAACAAACAACCTTTGTAGACTCCTTCAACAATGTTAAGCAGTGGTTGCAGGAAATCGACCGATACGCTACAGAAGGTGTTAACAAGCTCCTCGTCGGAAACAAGAGCGATATGTCTGATAAGAAGGTCGTGGACTATACTGTCGCAAAGGTACGGCTTCCACGAACCATCCGACCGCTCGTTGTAATTCACTAACATCGGTTTTTCTCTTTTTCAAACAGGAATTCGCAGATAGCTTGGGAATCCCATTTTTGGAGACTTCTGCAAAGAACGCCACAAACGTCGAACAAGCCTTCTTGACCATGGCCCGACAGATCAAGGAACGCATGGGAAGCGCCACCCAGAACAACAAGGCCACAGTCTCAGTCAATCCTGGCCAGCCGGTCAACCAGCAATCCAACGGGGGTTGCTGCTAAAAGGCCCCGGGGTCTAAAGAGGAAAATAAGAAAGAACTGGAAAAGCAATTGAAGAAAAGATGGTAGAGATTTGTTGTTTCGATTTGGACATAAAAAGGGACACTGCGAATTTTATATTTGAAACGAAAAACTACGATAAACGGGCTGATATTTTTTTGTCCGTTTTTTTTATGTCTATTAATTGAAAGCGCTTCCTTTTCGCAATACTCCGTCTTCTTCGCTCCCTTTCTTTCTTTCTCTCCTCTTCCTCACTCGTTTTCCATGGAGAAAAACCCGCCATCGTGAGATACGAAATACTCCTTCTAGCCAATACGATAGAAACGAATTAAGACGGCTGCGTCTGTACCAATGTCTTGGTTTTGCGAAACGAGGGTTATCGGGTTCACGGTTCTAGGGAAGGGAAAGTGAGAAATGAAACACGAAACGAAACGAAACGACCGATCAGGAGAGGGGTGCTAATGGCATTTTGAGGGACTCTTCGTCCTTCGTTGGATCGCAACCTGTACTACCATATATTCCTTCTTCCATGTTTCTTTTTCCTCCCCCGTCTTTTGTTTCTTTTGGATATCTTTTGCTTGCTTGATCCTACAGACATCGTTTCGTGTTTCCTTTCTCTTCTTTCCTTTCTCTTTCTCTTTCTCTGTCTCTGTCTCTTTCTTGGCCTTCCGGTTCCCAGCTGTTGTTTAATTGTTTATCCGCCGGTTGGACGGGAGTTCGTTGTTTCGTCTTCTGGATTTGGCCGTCTGTCCTGTTGCTTCTCTTTGCAGTGCTGTTGATTTTATATTTGTTACGGTGGAAATATGAATAAACGGATCTTACTATCCTCTCGTTCTAGATCTGACCATTCTCCATGATTGATTGATTGATTGATTGATTGATTGACCGTGATCATACATTCTATTCCTCGAGGTTTACACTAGGCCGGACACGTGCTAGCTATACATATATTCAAGTAGGTAATATTATTTCATGAATTCATCCCAACTTTTTAGGTCTTCAGTAACATGCAACAGCCAAGACCTTGGGGCGCTCTCTGACCCGTTTTTTTCCCATGAAGGCGAGGCTATGGCTGTTAATTACGATGATTACCACTTTGCATCTTGTTAGTTTGTTCGGGGAACATCCAAAGAAGGCAGGTTGGTGGCTGTTAGCTAGCTAGTCAGTCTATTGTGACATCGGCTTGGGCCGGCGTTTTGGCCGCAACTTGCCCCGCAATGGCCGCAATGCAATGGCGTGCATCCAAACCGAGTCGACCTGTTTGAATCTGTCGATAAGCTTCCCTTTCCAACAAGGTCCCCATTGCCTGTCCCTTCAACTGCTTCATTCGGAGCCTCAGGTTTTCTTTTCTTTTCTAGCTTTTTAGTTCAAGCTTCCAGGTAAGATATGTATTTTTATTTGTTTTTCTTTTTGAAATCAAGATTTTTAAAATTCTTTATCATTCTGAAGTCTAAGAAAAGAAAGATTGAGATCGTTCTGTGCACGTGGGATCCTGATGTTGACCCCGCCGCGTACCCGAGCACCCCACATTGCTCTATTGATACTTCTTACCCGTCATCCATCGTCCCCTCTAAAATTATCACTTAGCCCGATTTAAATGCAACGATCTTTCCCGCGGATAACTCAATCGTTGACAACTTCCCGTTTTAGCTGTTCAAAGATACCAATATCGCGCAGGTCGAGTGCCATCCCACTATTACCTGCTCGTACGACTGCGCTCCGGAAACGATATATAACAGCGCTTGGAACTTTCTTAGTTCCCAGATCCTCTTTTACCACTACTACTTCTATTTCTACTACTCCCACTTCTACTTCTATCTCCACAGTATTTACTACTAATAATACCTCTCGTACGGTAAACACTGTTTGTTCGAGGAATACAAGTCCGTTTTTGGGATCGAAGTTTCGGAGTTATTCGACTCCGTCAACACAGTTCGTTGGAAATCCGGAATATACTAGCAATATGACGCGAGACGATAGAGACGTGCTTCCTGAGGAGTGAGTTCTATTGATATATCCCCTCTATCTTTGTTTTTTATAATTCTAGGATTTACTAAACAAACTGTACTACCCTTTTTGGGGCTTCTTTTTTCTGGTAAAATCACAGAGTGAAGCCAATTCACTACGACCTCTCTATCTTCAATATCGATAACAAGGCTTTCACCTACTCTGGTACCGTCACTGTCGATGTGAAGGTTACTCAAGAAACCAGTGCGATATCCATCAATGTCAAGGAGCTGGGCGACTTGAAGGCTACTATCACCGTTGACGGTGCCTCACAAGAAGCTGCATCTATCGATGTCGACAACAAGCGTGAGAGGGCTACTCTCAACTTCTCATCGCCTCTTCAGGCTACCGAGAAGGCTCAATTGAAGCTTGATTTCACTGGTATCTTGAATAACAAGGTAAGCCCCTGGATTTTTAAAAATGCTAAAATATATGAGAAAAAGCATGCTGAATATAATTTAAACGTAGATGGCTGGCTTCTACCGCTCCGAATACAAAGTTCCCGGTACCACCGAGGCCACCCACATGTTCTCGACCCAATTCGAGTCCTGTGACGCCCGCCAGGCCTTCCCATGTTTCGATGAGCCAAACCTCAAGGCTACTTTCGACTTCTCCATTACTGTTCCAAACTCATGGACCGCTTTATCCAACATGCCAGCCATCTCTGAAACCCCAGAGCCATCTGGAGATCTCAAAGTTGTCAGATTCGAGACCTCCCCAAAGATGAGCACTTACCTTTACGCCTGGGCTTGTGGTGAATTTGAGTACGTTGAAACCAAGACGGAAAGGAAATACAATGGCGTTCAGATCCCCGTTAGAGTCTATACCACTACTGGGCTCAAGGAACAAGGACAGTTTGCCCTCGATAATGCGGCCAAGATCGTCGATTATTTCTCTGAGGTTTTTGATATTGATTATCCACTACCCAAGGTTGACATGTTGGCTGTTCATGAGTTCTCTCACGGAGCTATGGAAAATTGGGGCTTGATTACTTATAGAACTACTGCTGTTCTTTACGAAGAAGGAAAAAGCGACCCGAGATATAAGAATAGAGTCGCATACGTTGTTGCACACGGTATGTTGAAAATCCATCCAAAATGGTTTCCAAAAAAAAGATAGCCTATACTAATCCAATATATGCTTGCAGAACTCGCCCATCAGTGGTTCGGAAACCTGGTTACCATGGACTGGTGGAACGAGCTCTGGCTCAACGAAGGTTTCGCAACTTGGGTCGGATGGCTGGCTATCGACAATTTCTACCCAGGTAATTTCCATTCCGATCAAACCTTCTTTTTCTTACTTGATACATGTTACTAACATAGCTCATCTTTTTAGACTGGGATGTCTGGGGTCAGTTCGTTGTGCGTGCCCGCAGAGGTCGTTAAATACTCCTAAATATCCATGCTGACTTATATGCTCTAGGCTGAATCAATGCAAACAGGCTTCCAATTGGATTCTTTGAGGAGCTCGCATCCTATCGAGGTTCCCGTCCGAGATGCTCTTGAGGTTGACCAGATCTTTGATCACATCAGGTGGGTTTTTGTTGTATTTTTTTGTGACAGGATACAGAGACCTGGGTCAATATGCTAACTGAGATTTTGGGATAGTTACCTCAAGGGAAGCAGTGTTATTAGAATGTTGAGCTCTGCTCTTGGACAGCAGACTTTCTTGAAGGGTGTTTCTAACTACTTGAAGAAGCACACTTATGGTAAGTCCAGATACATTGGGAATCTTAACTTATATTCTAACATGTGAATCAGCCAATGCCACCACCGATGCTCTCTGGTCTGCCCTTTCTGAGGCATCCGGCCAAGATGTCAACAAGATCATGGACCTCTGGATCAAGACCACCGGTTTCCCCGTCCTTGATGTCAAGGAAACCGCCGACTCTATCACCGTCCGCCAGAAGCGTTTCCTCAGCACTGGTGACGTTAAGCCCGAGGAAGACGAGACAGTTTGGTGGGTTCCATTGGGACTTACCTCTGAAACTCTCACCTCAGATGCCAAAGATACCGTCACCGCCCTTACTGAGAAGGAAACAAGCATCTCCGGTGTGAACACCGAATACTACAAGCTCAACATCGGGCAGAACGGTTTCTACCGTGTCAACTACCCCGTCGAGCGATTCGCTAAACTTGGTCTCTCTCTCGACAAGCTCAGTGTAGCTGACCGTATCGGCCTCGTAGCAGATGCCCAAGCTCTAGCACTTTCGGGCGACGGCTCAACTTCCAGTCTCCTCAGTCTCCTCGAGGGAATGAAAGAGGAAAGCAATTTCTTGGTCTGGCAAACTATTGCTACCGCCCTATCTGCCGTCCAGGGAGCCTTCGGTTCAAACCCAGAGATCAAAGCCGGACTCAAGAAGTTCGCATTGGAATTATACTCCCCAGCTGCCGAAAAGCTCGGCTGGACTTTCGCCGAAGGTGATGACTTTTTGACCACCCAGCTCCGCGGCCTCCTCATCGGTGCCGCCGCAAGTGCAGGTCACGAGTCCATCATCGCCGAAGCCAAACGCCAATTCGAAGCTTACTTCTCCGGTGACGAATCCGTCATCAACGCCGCTCTCAAACTCCGAGTCTTCAGAATCGGAATTAGCGAAGGTGGTAAGGAGGAATACGAGAAGGTCTGGGCCGAATACCTCAAGGCCACCAGCCCCGACGGCAAGGAAATCACGCTTCAAGCTCTCGGAAAGGCCAGATCCGCAGATCTGATCAACGACTACCTCGAGAAGATGGTTGGCGACAAAATCCCAACTCAAAATACACACTATGTTTCCTCATCGCTAGCATTGAACGGCGATGCTAAGCCATTGGTATGGAAATTCGTGAAGGAGAGATGGGATGATATCTTCAAGCTGTTGAGCGGAAATATGGTTCTCCTTGATAGATTTGTTAGGGTCACACTTAACAAGTTTGCGGATGAGACGATTTTGGAAGAGATGAAGACTTTCTTCGAACCAAAGGATCAGAGAGGGTATGATCGTGCCGTCAGGGTTGCGATTGATAGCGTTAGCGGTAACGTTAGTTGGAAGAAGAGGGACGAGAAGGTTGTTGAGGAATGGTTGAAGGAGAAGGGATACTTGGCTTGAATCTTTAGGGTCAAGCTGGCCGCAAGATTGTGAGCTTATGGGAGGGATTTTGGGATATAACTATAAATATTTAGTTGATAGGAGAAACACGCACAGGAGCGGCTCCTATTTTTTGTGACAGCTAGGCTATGGGACTAGAAATTACCCAAACACTTTGTAATCATGGCGGATTATTCTCGCTAGGTATATTGAAAATACAAGACTGTCGTACTTTGGTACATGTTCACACTTATCTAGGTACTTACTTACCCAAGTAACCGCCTGGATTATATATATATACATCGTATCTTATCGTGATTGACTAAACAAGACATTCTATTCCAATCGAGTAACATACAAAGTACTCCATGCTCCGCTAATCTAGCTGCCCGATCGATTATTAACTACCAAAAACATCAATCTGAAACCTGGTTGAATACTTATGGCACAAAGTATTTACCAATAAGCCAATCGCCATAGAAGATTCCAAAAACTCGGTCGAGGAACAGCTTCCAATCCTCTCGGATCTTCGATTTTAATCTTCATCATCTTCCCGTTTCGTAATCTGTACAATCTATTTTTTTAACCAAAAGAAATTAACACCGTAGTTCGTTAGCATATATATACATTCCACCTGATTCTCTTAATAGACTGAACCATATGTATATATAGTAAGTCGGGAGGAGAGGAGGGGGGTTAGACATTTACTTACCTGTGAGGTTCAAATCTAGTCTTCGGAACCCATGATCCAATAGCTGGTTGCCAATCATGACCCGAAAACTCCGTATTTGTAAACGCTTTCGATCGATACTCTTTTATCAATATCTTCTCGTAAGAGTTCGGTACATATGCTTTAAAATCTTCAAATTTCACTTCTCGTAATGGGTATATCTCGAAGGTCTATTCGCTCGATTTGATTTTCGATCTCATCATTAGCAATCCTCTCATCTTTTTATATATCCTGTTGAATGGAAGCATCCCCTCTGGCTACGTATACTTCAAATAGTTCCCATTCAGATGGGGGAAAGAAAATGAAGGCATAAGGGGTAAAAAGAAAAAAAGAAAAGGTTACCTTATATCGATGTAGATTTTTACAAGAAATAACCCCTGGTCTTGTCACACCGTGGGTCTGACTTAATCCCGTGATATCGATGAACAATCCCGTACTTTTATCGATCCACCGTCCGTCTATAAGATTTGCGGCGGTACCTCGAAGACGATTAGTCCAATATGGGTTTATATCGAGTAAATAATCTCTTTGAAAATTATCTTCTTCGAAATTGTAGGTCCAGGTTGTCATATTCATATTTTCGGCCATCGATTTGAGAGTTGCCTCTGATACCTGAACGTCGAGGTCGGTGTCCCTGTTGAAAAATTAATATGAAAGTTGGATCGTTAGAAAGAAAATATTCTTTTATAAGAAGGGTTTAAAAAGTTGCTTCTTTGGTGTTCTTACCATGGTAGAATCTGGGAAAGGATTTGGAGAAGTCAGTGTTATATTCATATATATAGCTTGATGTTTTGTGATTTCAGATAATATTGATTTATCGTACCCGATTGTTCCACCACCAACCAAGAAGAGTGCCATGGGCTAGCCATGTCTCGATCCCCTGGCTTTGAGTCCACTGAAGCCATGCCCGGACTAAGTGTGTCAAAGTTCTTTGTCGTTCTTCATCCGTGACGAACTATGTAGTCCAAAATTATCGTTAGAGAAATTCTCATATATAAAAAAATGATTATGTGGATCGATTTGTGGATTTATAATTTATTGAACTGACATACCCCGATGTAATATCGACCGTCGTAGTGACCCGCTGCAGCGACGCTATTTCAATGATTTCCCGATTAGCGGTGCAATGAATTTAAATTTAACGATCAATATTTGGGAAAAAAAATATATTAATTACCCAGGTTCCTCTAAAAAAACAAAAGAATTAAAGAATTCCGTAAGATATCAGTCAAAGAAGAAGAATAAGAAGATGGAGAATAAAAGAAGATGGAGAAACATATATCCAAAATCCCCATTGACTACTCACGAAAATACTTCGGCTCGCCCTGCTTCCGCACCGGCGGCTCCATAGCCATCTCCCCAATTGCAAGTTTATGATTCTTCAACTTCAGCCGTTTCGCATTCTTTTCTAGATTCTTTTCAAAATTGATCTCCTTGATCATTGGTGGCTCTACCACAGGATTGACGACTGCGCATGTAGTAATTGTGGTGTACGTAACCAGGATCACTAGCAGTATGCTAGGGATATAATTTTGTAAATGCATTATAGCATTATTGTTACTATTCTTTTATATATTTAGTATAGTATATACCTTCGCCGCCCCAGTGCACCCCGGTGCTATATAACGAATGAATGTTAAGAGTCTGGTTCGGTAGGATGTAACGGTAGGACAAAAAAAAAGGAAAGAAGGGGCGCCACCCCGGGTATGGTGGTGCACTGTCAACGACGTATTACCCCGGGTAAAATAGGGCTGCCACCAGTGGGTTTATGTAACAACTGGTAATTAAGGTTAGTTAATGGAGGAAAGAAAGGAAGATATTAATTCAACGAAAAGAGAAAAGTCAAAAACGGGCTATATATTCGTCCTCGTAGAAATAAATTCCAAGATTGACAGCCACATGGTAGGGAAAGGAGCGATCATGGATTATTTATGGGCATGCTAATAATAACTTCTAATTTTGAGGACCCCAATTTATTTAAACAGGAAAAGGGAAAACAAAAAGAAAAAGAAGAGGAGGAAGAAAGGGTCAATTGCTAATTGCCAATTGCCAACGGCCCCCAAGAATGCCCGTGCCGTAGTGCCGCGTACATTGGCGCACACGACCATCCCTGGTTTAGCCTTCAACAAGGATATCTCGGGTCTGGTTCCGAGCTAAGACCAAGCTTGGTGTGGGGCCCGAATTGACGTTGAATTTGATTTTGGAAAGCCCGAACTTCTTGCCTTCCGAGCCAACGGAACAGACGTCTACGATACCAAAAAAAAGGACGGTACATCTATCAATTATCTATAAAGTAATCTTTAGATTCAATATCTATCAACGTCCCTTCAAAACTGTCTTTCAAAACCTGAATCTAAAAGCCCAAAAGCTAATGACATCATCCTATAGCTCCCTAAAAATATACAACAAAAACAACACATAACCATCAAAAATACCACACTGGCTTCTATCCTTCCCAAAAATGAGCAGCCACTACGATTCCCTCCTCCAAGCGGCCGAATCCCTTTGCAATGACTTTGCTACCAAAGCAGATCCGCCATCAATGTTCTCCCATTTCGCTTCCACAGTCACCGCCTTCGAACATGGAGACCCACACTTTGCACCATTTGTCGGGCGTGAGTTTAAAGGCCTAGACGGAATGAAAGAATATTTTGGACTTCTAGGGAAGTATCTAGCATACGAAGACATGAGCTTTGGAGAGTACTTTGTGGATGAGAGGCAAAATAAAGTCTCGGTCAAGGGGAAAGGAAGGTTTACTTGGGTGCCTACGGGTGTTAACTGGGACGAGGTACTGTAATCGATCTGAATATCTACATTCCATAAACAGGGCACTGATTTGAACTAAACTAAACTTCACCGTATAATTAAGGGCTTTACCTACACCCTTGATTTTGCTAGTGAAGATGGCAAGCTTAAGGTTTCAAGGTATCAAGTATGGGCAGATACTGGCGCCCTGTAAGAATTGACTCCTCCCTTGCAATTGGGGATCGATTGCTTAATATTCCAGAAGCTGACACCGAGATGGCTGGTTGTAGGTACCTCGCAAGACTAGGCCAAAATGTCGAAGATATCCCAGCCATATCAAAATAAATACTAGTAGCTAGAAATGAAAAAAAAAACCCCCCAAGTTGGAGCAATACGAGAGGTCTGTTTTTTATAGTAGCACTACTGTTCCATTCAGTTGAAGCTAGCTATGTTGCTATAAACATAAATTTGCAAAGTAATCCCAGCGCCTGTATTTTTCATGTCGTAAAAGAGAAATTGCAACAGAGCGATTTGTAACGTATCAGAAAGAGCAAGAACATTCGGTCGGTTGACTGGGTAAGAAAACATTCAAAGCATGTACGCATAGTAGACAAACAAGGAAACACGACGGAACGACGGAGGATGAACAATAGTACCTAAATGCCACAACATAAATGCTGCAAGAAAACGTAGTCAAAAAAAAAAAAGAAGACGTTAAAGGAGCCAGCAGAAAAACAACCCTTCTTGGTTTTAATCGTGTTGAACTTTCTGCTTCTTTTTCTTATCCATCTTCCAGATCTCAACCAGGGGGTCACACCCCTGGCTGAAGGCCTCCCGGGCGAGGACCTTCCTCTCTTCAACGTCTTTTTTATGTTGCTCCAAATCACTACAGAGTTTCTTGTACTTCATCTTCGTGGCTATTCCAGGTGGTGGTAAATCATTCCAAGGGCGGTAGATAACCGGCAAAGGTCCTAGAATGATGCAATCTGGGTCGTCGGTACAGATGAATTGGCTTGGAGGAAGCTTGTTTCGTTCTTCGATCCCAAAGATCGGGAGCGTTCCATCGACTGCGACCGACTAGATCTTGTCGATGTCTGCTTCTTCGCCTCCTTGATCGCCCTTCATCGGGTGCCTCTTGATGATGCCTCCGGTTACTGGAAGCAATGTTGAACCCGTCAAGTAGATGTCCACTTCTCGAGCACACTGGCGTCCTTCATTGATACCCCTATTCGAATGAAAGGTTAGTTCTGTCTTATCTTGTCATTTCCAGGATTCTCTTGCTTACCAGACAATTAAAGATTGACCGCGATGACAGTCACCAGCTGTGAAGACTCCTGGAGCAGTTGTGGCATAGGTACTCAAAGATTCAGTTTTAATATTGCCCCTGGCATTTTTCTCGACATCACTCGATAAAGCTCTCTCTTCGCATCCAACGAATCCCATAGAAAGGAAGACTAGATCACACTCCCAATATTCCTCAGAGCCTTCAACTTCAGACATCTGCCACCCCTTCATAGGATCCTTTTTCCAGTCCACTCGTTTCGTCGTCAAACCTTTGAGATTACCGGCCTCGTCACCGTGGAATTGCTTTGTCACTATCTTGTAATCACGGGGGTCTTTTCCGGTATGCGAAAGGACTTCGGTATGACCATAGTCAACACGGAAAGTTCTGGGATACTGTGGCCAAGGGTTATCTGGAGCTCGTTGGAGAGCCGGCTTTGGCAAAATTTCGAAGTTGGTGACGCTAATGGCACCGTGCCGTTGGGACGTTCCGATGCAATCGTTTCCTGTGTCTCCACCGCCAATAACTATGACCTTCTTGCCAGCAGCACTGATGTATTTCCCGTCCGTTAAGTTCGAATCCTGCAAAGACTGTGTGTTTTTGTGAAGGAACTCCATAGCAAAGTGGACACCATTGAATTCACGGCCTGGAATATTCAGATTTCTGGGGACGGTAGCCCCAGTGGCAATTACAACGGCATCGTATTCTTTTCGAAGTTCGTCGAGGTTCTTCTGGCCTTCTTGTCCGATCTCAACGTTGCAGAAGAATTCGATACCTTCAGCGGCCATAAAGTCAATACGACGCTTGACGATAGCCTTGTCGAGCTTCATATTTGGGATACCGTATTGCAGCAAGCCACCAGGACGGTCACTCCTCTCGAAGATATGGCAAACATGCCCAGCTTTGTTCAACTGGTCAGCAGCAGCAAGGCCGGCTGGACCAGATCCAACAATTGCAACACGCTTTCCAGTTCTGACAGGTGGCGGGCAAGGAACCATCCACCCCATTTCGAATCCTCTATCAATGATAGCACACTCAATGCTCTTGATTCCGACTGGATCATCTATAATGCCGAGAACGCAGGCACCTTCACAAGGAGCAGGGCATACTCTTCCAGTGAACTCGGGGAAATTGTTTGTCTGGTTGAGTTTGTCAAGAGCTGCCCTCCAATCATTCTGGAAAACGAGGTTATTCCAAGAGGGGATAACATTGCTGATCGGGCAGCCAGTATCGGATTGACAGAATGGTACACCACAATCCATACAGCGGGCGGTCTGGTAGTGGAGCTCTTCATCGTTCAATCGCTTGGATAATTCTTTCCAGTCCTTCGTTCGAGCTCCAGGGTTGCGATATTTTTCCGACCTTCGACTGTATAGCTTGAAGCCCTTCGTTTTGTTGAGTAACAAGGCTCTCTTTTTCTCCGCTTTGGAATCAGTGACACTCTCTTCAATATCGGTGGTGAGTGGTGTCTCGTGTTTCTTGGCTTTCTCGGCCTCTTTGCCGTCGGTTCCAGGAGCTGCCTTCTTCTTGTCCTCAACAGCTGCCTCAGCTTCGAGGAGAAGAACTTGACTTTTAGCTTGCTCTGCCTTTTTGGCTTCTTCTAGAAGGACGCGCTTGTAATCCGTGGGCATGACTTTGACAAATCGAGGAAGAACTTGATCCCAATCAGCAAGGATTCTCGATGCCATCTCACTCTTCGTATAGTTCTCATGATCTTCGATGGTGCCTCTAAGCCATTCGACGTCGGTTGGCTCGGTGACTTCCTCCAACTCAACCATCTCCATGTTGACTTTAGTGGCAAAATCACCATGAATGTCGAGAACAAAAGCAAAGCCTCCAGACATACCGGCTGCAAAATTGCGCCCAGTACCTCCTAAGACTACTACTCGTCCACCTGTCATGTATTCGCAACCGTGGTCACCGACACCTTCGACAACAGCTGTTGCACCAGAGTTCCTGACTGCGAAACGTTCTGCAGCGACACCTCTGAAGTAACACTGTCCGCCCGTGGCACCATACAAACAAACATTTCCGATAAGAATATTCTCCTCTGCCTTGAAGGTGGAGACACCAGGAGGATAGATTATGATACGGCCTCCGCTGAGACCCTTTCCAACATAGTCATTGGAATCACCTTCCAACTCCAAGGTAATACCCGGGGCAAGGAATGCACCAAATGACTGTCCGGCGGAGCCAGTCAAGTTGACATGGATAGTATCCATGGGGAGACCGCTTTCTCCGAACTTTTTGCTGATACGATAGGAAAGGGTGGCACCTAGAGCACGATCGATGTTGACAATTGGTGTTTCAATCCTAGCAGGGAGCCCCCGGTCTAATGTTAACTCGGACTCGTCGATGAGTTTATTGTCAAGACGGACGTGAAGACGGTGGTCTTGTCGTCTAACATTGTATGTGGCTACGCCTTCACGTCTCAAATATGCAGGGGCAAGCAAATTCTTCAAGTCGATGTTGCGAGTTTTGGCAGTTCGCAAATCATCCCTAACTCTTAACTTCTCGGTGCGACCTATCATCTCGTTGATGGTTCTGAATCCCAGTTTTGCCATGATGGCGCGGAGTTCGTTGGCAATGTAGTAGAAAAAGTTAATAACGTGTTCTGGCTCTCCTTGGAACTTAGCACGGAGTTCAGGATCCTGGGTAGCGATTCCTACAGGGCAAGTATTCAAATGGCACTTTCGCATCATAACACAGCCCATGGCAATGAGCGGTGCAGTTGCAAAGCCCCATTCTTCAGCACCGAGAAGACAAGCGATAGCGACATCACGGCCGGTACGAAGCTGACCATCGGTTTGGACAATCACACGGCCACGAAGATCATTCATCACCAGTGTTTGATGGGTTTCTGCAAGACCAAGCTCCCATGGGAGACCTGCATGCTTGATTCCAGTCCACCTCGAGGCACCGGTACCGCCGTCGTGACCGGAAATGAGAATATGATCAGCCTTAGCTTTGGCCACACCAGAAGCGACGATACCGACACCTTTCTCGGAAACGAGCTTCACGGAAACTCGAGCGCGAGGATTGGAGCACTTCAAATCGTAGATAAGTTGCTTCAAGTCTTCGATGGAGTAAATATCATGGTGAGGAGGAGGGCTGATCAAACCGACACCAGGTGTCGAGTGACGGGTCTTAGCAATGCTCCCAGAGACCTTGTGGCCGGGCAGCTCTCCACCTTCACCGGGCTTAGCTCCTTGAGCCATCTTGATTTGAAGCTCATCAGCGTCAGCCAAGTAATGACTAGTAACACCGAATCTACCCGAGGCGACTTGTTTGATAGCGGAACGTTTGGTATCACCGTTTTCGAGAATCTTGCTTCTCTCCGGGTCTTCACCACCTTCACCGGTGTTGGATTTACCTCCTAGCCTGTTCATGGCGATAGCTAGAGTGGAGTGTGATTCCATGGAGATAGAGCCGTAAGACATAGCGCCAGTGCAAAATCTTCTAACGATCTCTGTCCATGGTTCCACTTGTTCGATTGGGACCGGCTTGGAGCTTTCAAAATCGAAATCCAACAAACCGCGAAGGGTGCAGTTCTTGGTTGATTCATATTCTGCGCGGGAATATGCCTCATACGACTTGTCATTACGGGTACGAACTGCATCTTGAATGTTTGCAATACTGATGGGGTCGTTGACATGAGCTTCTCCGCCATCACGCCAGTGGTATTCTCCGGTCTCAGTAAGACCGGGTACAATCACAGCTTCTCGAGTGGGGAAACCTCGTTCATGGAAGGCAATGGCATCCTCCGCAAGAACGTCCCAGGTGATACCACTGATTCTGGAGGCAGTTCCTTGGAAACACTTATCGATGACATCCTTATGGACTCCGAGAGCCTCGAAGATCTGAGCTCCCTTGTAACTTTGAAGGGTAGAGATACCCATCTTGCTCATAACCTTCAAAATACCACCATTTACAGCTTTTTGGAAGTTCGTGATGATATCTTTATCTGAGATTTTCTTTCTGATGAGCCTGTCGCGATTCATTTTCAGAAGGATGTCAACAGCAAGGTATGGGCAGACGGCATCTGCACCATAACCGACGAGGACACACATGTGCTGAACTTCACGGACTTCACCAGTCTCCACAACTAGTGCAACCTGTGATCGAAGCTTCTCCTTTACAAGGAATGTGTGGACTGCACCTTGTGCGACAGCCGCGGAAATCGGAACCCTCTCAGCAGAAGTTCTCTTATCAGAGAGAATGATGATCTTGTAATTCTCCTTGATGGCTTTGAGAGCTTCTTCACAGATTCGGTCAAGAGCTGGCACGTATCCATCCGCACCATCAACTTTGGCAAAGGTTGTGTCGATAGTGTGGACTTTCCAGCTGGGATAGATCTGCTCGATATTTTTCAAAGAGGTGAATTCTTCCACTGACAACGTTGGGTAGGGAAGTCGGAGTCGGCTGCATTGTTCTGGTGCCATTTCTAAGAGGTTACCTTGAGGTCCAACATAACACTCAAGCGACATAACAATGTCTTCTCTGATAGGATCGATTGGAGGGTTTGTGACTTGGGCGAATAGCTGACGGAAATAGTCGTAAATGAGACGAGGTTCCCTGGACAAGACAGCAAGCGGTGCATCGTTGCCCATGGACCCGAGAGCCTCTTTCGAGTCAATTCCCTAGGAAATATTAGTCTATGGGTTAAGTAAAAAGGTGCGGAGTCCCCTTACCATTGGTGCGAGCAACAAGCTGACTTGTTCCAAAGAGTAGCCAAAGGCTTTGACTAGTGGATCATTTTGAAGACTTCCTTCTGTCAACTTGGGAGACAGATCGGTTCCTCTCTTCTCGTGAGCCTCGAGGATTTCGGGAAGTGAGATAAGATGATCACTGATCCACTGCTGAAAATTGCAGCGGCTTGATGTGCTCAGCTTTAGTTCCTTGTCGTCAACAATACGTCCTTCAACCGTGTCGACGAGAAGCATTTTTCCGGGCATAAGGCGACCCTTCTGGATCACGCGCTCGGGTTCAATTTGGATTGTCCCAACCTCTGAAGCACAGATAATTCTGTCGTCATCGGTTACATAGAAACGACAAGGTCGGAGACCGTTCCGGTCCAAGTTTGCACCACAATAACGACCGTCGGCGAATGTGAACAAAGCTGGACCATCCCAGGGTTCCATCAAACAAGCAGCCCATTCATAGAATGCAGCCTTCTCAGGCTCCATCAAGGTATGACCTTGCCAGGCTTCGGGAATCATCAACATTACAGCTTCGGGGAGCGTGAGGACGTTGTTGATCATTAGAAGTTCAAGAACATTGTCGAATGCGGCGGAATCGGAACCACCTCCTTCAATGATGGGATAGAGGGATTCTAAGTCGGCACCAAACTTTTTGGATTTCATCAAGCCTTCACGAGCTTTCATCCAATTCTTATTCCCTCGCAGGGTGTTAATTTCACCTATGGTTATCAAGCACCTGTTAACAAACAGCTCTACGAATCATCACTTGCACGACATTGCAATTCACACCTCACACCTCACACCGAATGCACGTCCCCGTGTCTCACACCGATTGAATTAAAGTCACAAGGATCCAGAAACCTACCATTATGTGCGGCCCATCGAAGGGGTTGAGCACGATCCCAGCTGGGGAAAGTGTTGGTGGAGAAACGGGAATGTACCAGCGCGAAATGCACTTCATAATCCACGTTTACAAGGTCATAATAGTAATTGTAGACCTGAACAGGTGCTAACTGGCCCTTATAGACAATGTTCTGTGGGCTCAGCGAGCAAATATAGAACCATTTATGCAAACCGATAGCATGGGTGGCTCTCTTTCGCAGGATGTACAATTGTTTTTCGAAGAATTTTTCGTCAAATTTAACATCAGAGTCCTTGAGAACAACCAAAGGTTGCTCGATATGAGGCTCTCGAGATTTAGCGGCCGGTCCTAGAAGGCTGCTATCCTTCGGGACGGGGCGCCATCCCACGATCTTCAAACCAAGCTCATTGGCCTTCTCTTCGAAGAGAGCTTTGTTCTGGGCTCTCTCCTCAGCATTTGGAGTGAAGAAGATGTTTCCGACTGCATATTGACCAAACGGAGGCAGTGTAGTCTGGAGCAAGAATCCAAACTCCTTACGTAGGAACTTGTCCGGCATGCTAGTCATGACACCAGCACCGTCACCGTCGCGGGCATCGGACCCTACAGCGCCTCTGTGTGTCATGTTACACAGCAACGAGCGAGCTGCGAACGCGTGTTAGCAGGGTTTCGCGAAGTATGGGAGGTAGTGAAGAGTCTCGTACCGTCAGAGAGTGTTTTATGGGATTTCTCTCCTTTTATGTGTCTATAAGGAGCAAAAACCAGGTCAGTAAGAGGAAATCTTTTGTTGAGAGAATGGATGAGAAGCTACATATACTTACGCTACAAAGCCGACACCACAGGCATCCTTTTCGTCTTCCGGATCATAGAGACCGTATGGCATTGGCAATGCGCCTGCCCAGCTTGGGTTTTCTGGGGTATTGTCATATTCGAATGGGTGGTAGACTTCCTCTTCGACCTCAGCACCTTCGGCCTCATAGAGATACTCTCGAGGGATCTGGGATGCCATTTTGAAGGGTTGAAAGGTGACGCAATGATTCAAAGAGAATCAAACAAGGATACTACGAGATGAAAGATGTCGCGGAGAGGTAGTAGACGGAGAAGAAGACAAAAAAAGGATATTTGAAGCTGTCGTCCGTTGCAAAAATAATTTGGAGACAGAAATATCCGAGAGGAAACAGGCGGAAACAGGCAATGAAGAATGATGAGGATGAAAACGGGAATCAAAAAAGAAATAAAAAAATAAAAAAAGAAACGGGGTATGCCTTTGGTTTAGTGGTCGTTAATTGTGAGAGAGGTGAGGGGAGGAGGGAAAGAGAAGTTAGAACCGTTACTTGTTTAACTGCAAGTTAAGGGTTGGAGGTTTAGATGGACCGCCGCCAACGCGGGTGCAGCGGTCGTCGACGAGCCAATTGACGTCGAAGGGACGTCGAGCAAGTTATCAAGGGTTAGTGCACAAGCACAGAGTCGTTTGTACTATCTGGTGATAATGGTTTGATGGTGGTTAGAATCAAGAGGTGGGGAGGTGATGAGGTGGTTTGATGGTAGATGGTAGATGGTTGCTGAGAAGTGGAGGGTGATGAGGAGAAAGATGGTGGTAGTGGTGGTGGTGGTGGGAGGAGTAGTTGTGCTAGTCGTGGACTACTTGGTGGTCAACTTGGAGGAGGGGTATTCTCAATTATAGCCAAATTTATTGGACAACGACCGGAAACGGGGGAAAGGAAGTGAATGTGCACGGCAATTTTTGGAGTGCGAGAGCTTCACAGTCTACGATGGATTTCACCAATTAGTTTATCCCCTTCCTAAGCTAGGACTCTGACTGATCGATGGCAGCTAAAGCAAGTATGCAACTGACAGTGGAGCTGCTAGAGGAGGAGGAGGAGCACGACGACTTTTGTACTTCAAGCAAGCAAGACGAGAACGCAAATGACTTCAAGGGCGACAGGCATTCACGGATGGTGGGGGGCTACGTTATTGGATAACGGGAAATCGGAGCAGTATGATGCTAGTAAGTTATACTAGTTGCTCGACCAGGACCCCGGCCGGGCATGGCAGCCAGCCCACGGCATGGAGCATGGACAGCTGCAGCTCACAATTAGGGCGAGTGCTATTGGGGCGGCTCGCAGGCTGATGGGGGTTGATTTTCTGCACTAACCTTACATACTTTAGCTTCCCCACACCAAGTCTGAACCAAGGTCTTGATAACGAATGGGTTTTGCTGTATTGGTCCAATTCCGGAGGCTTTCCTTATGAAGTTTTTATTTGTAGCTAAAATGCGGCGCTCCGATAAGAAAAACCCGAGCTAAACAAGCTTGCATGCTGGTTATGCTTCCCTGCCGCGAATCCATCCGATATACATAAATGATGAAACTTGCTCTCTTTCCCTCACTTCTCTTGGCCAGTCATAATTCATTCATATCATTATTTGCTTAAGTAATGGAATCGGTGAAACCGTATTATATATATCGCTCTGTGCATTGGGGATCGATCAAGATCTATTGAAGCAAAAACACTCGCTTGTCCGTTCGTTTGTCGATAAAAAAAAACACTCAATCGGCGGACACATGGACGCCGTCTATAATATTTAATATGTGTCCGCGTCCGTCGTCCCTATGTTCCACATGTATGTCCGGAGTAGCATAGACTTTTCAGATCTTCCACCCCGTTCTTCAAATCCTGGCTAGAAGAATCCTACCCGACCTCGGAGACTGCCAACTCTCCGCTAAATCAAAGAGTAGGTGAGGCACATTTTGTGCAAATATAACAATCTACATTGAATGGCAAAAAAATGTGAGCGAGGAAAGTGAGATCCAGGCGGGGCTTCGCAATTGGGTAGTTCAGCATGGCCCATGGCCATCAATATGCACCCCACCCAGCACCCGAAATCTTTCCTTGCATCGGAGTCGCATGCGGTGTGACAGCTAGGGGAACGACTTTAAATTCCCAATGCCGCTTTTGAAACAAAAGATCTGAGCCATACGTTCGCAAGAAAGGGAAAATAACCAAAAGAAGCTTCTTTGTTCCCCATCTTGCATTTCCTATCGAGTAACAGAATTCAGGGTCTGACGTCTGGAAGTCCCAAAGTGGATCGGAAGTTGGTAATAGCTTGTTCCTCACTGGACCAATTCCCGAAAGCGAGCTGGGCCAAAAGCGAAGGGCCCTTCCCCGATGTCGGTGGGATCCGGGTGGCCAAGGGCGGTTTTAAGGCCAGGGTTATGCTTAAATTCACCCGTGGATTTCCCTAAAGACTCCATTTTCAGTCCAATGTTCCGCAGCGCTGGATCCGATGCATGCCCACAAATTTCCTTTCGATCGTCTAGTTTTGTTAGCCCAGCATTCACCCAGATCGCCGACTACCGAAAGAAGCCTGCGTCCTCACCCGATATTTCCCGCGAATGCTTGCTCGTCTGCTTTATACCCAGAAGAGACCACATCTCATCCTCTTTCATTTTCTTCCGAAGCCATTCGCAGGTGTGCCCTATAGCTAAGTATTTCTTCCGTCCAGCCAGAAAAAAATACCATGTGACGGAAACATACCATTTCCACATACACACAGAAGAGAGCGGCGAGGAGCTCTCTTCAAGCTCGAAAGGAAAGGAAAGGAAAGACCAACATTCTCAAGTAACAAACTGTTGGTTCGGAAGGGAACTAACAGAAACATCAAGCTTTTCAATCCGTAATTCGCCATACTTCCGTACCGTACTTAAAACATGTAAATTGTAAATTTCCAACAAATCCAACGGGTACACAAGATTTCCCCAGACCAACAGGATCATGAAAGTGGGGTTTCAATTCCCAACTTTCCCCGTCGGCCCTTTTGGCAAAAATCTGAGGCACGAAAAAAAGGCCCTGGCAGGCAAGGGCCACCACTTAAGCTTAAGCGACCTTGCCGCAGGTGTCCCACCCCATGCCATGGGCGGCGAGGCATTGAGCAGGTGATGAGGAGGGTCGTAAACGGTGCCCATTGGCTTGTTTCCTTATCGATATCGTCTATGCATGACGTCGGCCCCACCACTAAAATTCTCGCGACGTCAGGATTCCATAAGCCCGAAGAAACACATGTATGTACTTACATACATACTCCGCAACAGCGCAGGAACATACCGAAACATTTTGCCTTTTTCTTTTTTACCCCAGATATTTCCGCCCTTATGAGACCTCACTATATCGAGTAGCTTGTTTTGTTTTACTGTGGAGTAGTAGAACCGCGGCTGGGAGGTGTGGCTGTGTTGTCAATATACCGACCCGACGTCGACAAGCTCAAGTGGAAAGCCTGTGTGACAATGCCCAGCTTCTGACGTCGACTGCGACCAGAAATACCACAAACCCAACAAGAACAACCTCAAAGGGATACATTCGCATCGATCATATCATTCTAGGCCAATTGGCCTCTTTAGAACATCATGTTCTCACTCTCAACCACCCGCGCGCAATGTCTACGTCGTGCATACCCTCGTTCTATACGACAGTCATGGCGATTCCAACCTCCAAGGCGTCACGCGACAGCGACAGCCATACCGACAGGAGCCACAGGAAATACGGACCATGTCGAACCTACAGAATCTCTATCTAATGTTCTAGAAAGCGGATTCATAGACCTCAAACCAAATGAAGGACTTCTATTCTACGATAGTAAGGCACCTCTAGACATTCTTATACTTATTACCATTATAATCTACTTGACTAATGAATATTGATACGTAAAAGATATCTACCCCGTCTTCTCCGCCTTCCTCGATACCCGCTTCATCCCCGTCCGTCTCGACCAAATCTCATCCGCCGAAAAGCTGATAAAATACTCAATCCCCAAGGAGTTCCCCATAAAAGTCAACCAAGTAATCCCACGTGTCAAAGAAGGCGGTGCATTCGTCAAATTCGTAAAACCTGCGAACACAACCGATCGCGAAGTCGAACAGCAAATGCAAAATTTACTCCAACAAAACAAAATTCGACCGTGGTATAGTCCGTTCGGTCAAGTTCGATGTTTCCTAGTCGAAGGGAGACCGTGGTTGGAAGATCTACAAAGATTTCCTGCGGCGAGATTAAAAGTTGAATTCGAGGGACAGGATGTTTCTCCTGAGCAGTTATATACGACGTTTAGACGATTTGGAAGGTTAATCGATATCAATCCGCTACCAAAGGACTCGAAGGAACTGCCAAGATATGCATACCTTACCTTCGGGAAAATCCGAAGTGCAACCGCAGCGAGAAATTGTCTTCACGATCTCAGAATAAAAACTGCAGATGGGAAAGAAACACAATTGAGAATTTTATATTCCCGAACTGTAAAGGCTCATACGATCAGAAAGTGGATTATTGACCATCCAAAAATCGTCCTTCCAATAATTCTGGCTTTCATAGCAGCAATCGCAATAGCGGTATTTGATCCGTACGTCATGAAAACAGTATACCAATCAATAGAAGACCACTCATCTTAACTGTCTTTAGAATCCGCACGTTTTTCGTCGAAGCCCACATCACACACTCGCTAGACTTCGGATCCAAAGCATGGACATGGTTCAAAGGCGCCGCATCTACCTATTTAATCCTCAACAAGAAACCAGGCACGGAAGGTTCCGGAGACCTATCAGTCCTCTGGGAAGAACGAAAAGAAACCGTCGAAACACTTAAATCATGGCTACTAGAAACCACAGAAACCGTAAGTCGATACCATTCACCCAAAATCGCCCGTGTTCAAGGAGTATTCTAAAAAGAAAAACTTTGATAGTTCATCGTAGTACAAGGACCCCGTGGATCTGGAAAGCGAGACCTCGTTCTCGGTGACGTTCTGAAGGACTGGAAACATACACTCGTTTTCGACTGTGAACCCGTTCAAGACGGCCATGGAGACGCTCAAATCATCAGGGCCGCAGCAGCTCAAGTTGGTTACAGACCGGTATTTGGCTGGTTAAACTCCATAAACAGCTGGGTCGATCTCGCCGTCCAAGGTACCCTAGGTACCTCAGCCGGCCTCAGCGAGACTCTAGAAAGTTAGCAACCCCACCCCCCAATCTTGAAATCTTTCCCCATCCAAAATTCGTTACTAACACCCACCAGCCCAATTCACCAAAATCCTCCAAAACACCGCTACAGCCCTCAAAAATGTCGCCATCTCCCAACGCCAAAAGACCGACAAAGACATCTCCCTTAACGACGACGAATGGCTAGAAGCCCACCCAGAAAAGCGTCCAGTAGTAGTAATCGATAACTTCCTCCACCGCACCGACGTCGCCGGCGAAAAAATCTACCAAAGACTCTCCGACTGGGCCGCATTACTCGTCTCCGCCAACGTCGCTCATGTAATCTTCATGACTAACGACGTTTCATTCTCAAAACAACTAGCAAGAAGTCTTCCAGATAGAGTCTTCAGAACTGTAATGCTAGGCGATGCATCCCCTGAAGCCGCAAAACGTTATGTTCTATCACATATCCACAGCGGTATGTCAGATGAAGAAAAATCAAAGGAAATAGAAGAACTAGATAGTTCGATCGACCAACTCGGCGGCCGTCTAACAGACCTCGAATTCCTCGCCCGAAGGATCAGAACCGGTGAAATGCCCGCACAAGCAGTATCAGAAATCGTAAAAACTTCTGCGAACGAAATCTTAAAACTCTACTTCTTGGGCGACCCGGCGAAGAGGTCATATACCAAAGAACAAGCGTGGACACTCATCAAGATGTTCGGAAACGGCAAAGAAGACCAATTACGATACAACGAAGTTCTTCTCCACGGAATTTTTAGCAAAGGTGGCGAAGAGGCAATACAAGCCCTCGAACAGGCAGAATTCATCACCATCGTTTCTGCGGAGGGTAGGCCTTGGGCTATCAAACCCGGGAAACCTGTGTATCGCGCTGCATTCAGGAAATTACAGAGCGATAAGGTCTTACAAGCAAAATTGGATATTGACGTTGCAACAGAGTTGACAAAAACGGAAACAGCTAACGTGGCTAAATACGAAACCGAACTCACGACGTTGGCTCAACTTCCTTCGAAGCCGTGGGAGATAGCTGCTAGGGTATCATACCTACTAAAGAAGCTACAAGCGAGTCAGGTGAAGATCGAACAGTATGAGAAGGAAATTGGAGCTTTGAAGAAAATCCTGCAAAGCGAGTTTTAAGCTTGATTGTATTGGTTTGGGGTTCGGAGTGCGTGGAGATTGAAGCTATCATGCTTAGTCCCTTCGATATCGATTGCTCAGAAGATAACGGTTTTCTTCTCTTCTCTTGTTGTACATAAGGCATACAATACCCGTAAATTACCCCTCATTATAGCTACTTAGGCAGTTCTACATATCCTATATAACAATGGCATGGATAAAACCCATCCTCTCACTATTATATATTAAATCAGTATATATATGCATATATGCTCCAAATATATCCCAAAGCTGCGAGAGACCTAGCGTTGTAAATTTCGCGTTGTCCGTCGCCACCAACTTCGCGCGCGAAATGACTGCGTTCGTCTTGGCGTCCTTGCTCAAGCTTCCACATTCCCCAAGCCTTGCCTCCTCCTCCACCAATTGAACCACCCAAAGAGTCTATACCACTCTCAAAATCCCACGATGTCCTCACGCCCCCGTCCAAAGGCCACGGCAGCTTCTAGCCGTCACGCTTCCGCAGCTTCAAATACCCAATTCGATCTCCGAAACCCAAACACGCTCGCTGCAGCAGAGCAGGACGAAGACTATGACGCCGAAACAGCCGCGATCCTAAATTTTGATGAAATCAGCGGACAATCGAGAGGCGTGAAGCGAAATGCAGTCAACTTGGATGGATATGATTCTGACAGTAGCAACGAAGGATTTGGAGGCGGGAAGGAAGATGGAGACGACTTGAAGGAGTCGAAGAAGAAGAAAAAGAAAGAAGAGGACGACGATGATGACGATGATGATATGTTTGGTGGGGATGACGATGCTGATGGCGAGAAGATTGGTGACGAGAGCGGCGATAAAATACCTGGGAAGAAAAAGAAAGATGTTAGGTTTCTGGACATTAAAGACATCGAAGGACAGGAAGACCAATCCGACGACGCCGACTCAGGAGATGACGAGGAACAGCCTGAAGAAGAGAATGAAGAAGTAGATGAAGAAATTGGAGCAGGTGGCAAGAAGAAAAATGCTCCTAAAATGGACGGATTCAACATGAAAGCCGAAATGGAGGAAGGAAGATTCGACGACCAAGGAAACTTTGTACGCAGGGCCGTTGATCCGGATGCAGTACACGATTCGTGGCTCGAAGGTGTCAGCAAGAAGGAAATGAAGAAAGCAAAAGAATCACACGAAAAGCGAGAGAAGGAAGCTAAACTGCGAAGGAGAGAAGAAGATGAGTTGATCACTGGAGAATTGGTATCAAACTTGATATTATCCCTCGAACGAGGGGAGACGGCACTCGAGGCCCTTGCTAGATTGAATACGGGAAAGAAGGTTACAAAGCCAAAGAAATCATGGCAAAAAAAGAAGGGTAGAGACATGGATATCGACGGCGCTACTGGAAAGGAGCCAGAAGATCCTAAGGAGAAGGAACGGAAAGAGCAGATCGAAAAGATTACAACAGCAGCTGATAGATTGTTATCCCGAGGGTTCAACGAGATATACGACGAGCCGAGGGAGTTCCTTACCAGGTTGTATAAGAAAGAGACCAATGAAGACTGGGTCGAACCGGTCAGGGAATCAGCGCCTGACGAGACAACGGAAGTAGTGGACGAGTGGGAGTATAAATGGAGCGATGGCCAGGGTGACGGTCAAATCCATGGCCCATATGGGGGTACTGAAATGAAAGCCTGGAAGGAAGCCGGCTACTTTCAGGAAGGTGTAGTATTTAGACGGAAAGGCGAAGACGAGAGTGAATGGACAAGGCTTCCAGACTTTTAATTGGTGTTCCATTGGCCTTACCACCATCATTTATCTTGTATAATAGAGCAGCTACCATATGCATCATTTCTATTAGGCATGGAGTTCGGAGTCTTTCTTTATGATATAATGAACACGAACTTCCCAAATTTATAAACTGCACTCTTTTTTTATTCGTATTTACCTACCTACTTAGTATGTACGTAAAAACTATCATGATTTACAATAGAGGAATATGGATCTATAGACTAGAGTTACTATAATGTTATATTGGTCTAGTTTATAATTTAGACGGTGGCCTAGTCTGCAGTACGAGACTAACGGTGGCCGAGAGATATTTGTTAACTTAATTATATATATAGAACTCTAGTGTCACCTTTACAAGCTTAGCACACATGTATTACGGTAAAGTATGATACCAATGGAAGATATTTTCTGCATCCCGGCCCTTGTAAATGAAATTCAAGGAGCCCGAGCCTCTAAGAGATATTTTTTGTATTTTTTCTCCCATCGCCTCCTCAATGATATTACATGAAGAGCATGTCCGCCCAAAAATGAAGCGCCACGCTGAAATGTTTTTTTTTGTTCACCCTCGCCGATTTTTCTTTAGAACACAGATATGGTTCAGGGTTCGGCTTTGAAAAAAATAAAATTATGGGATCGAAGAGAATACCTCGCACTCCAACTCCCGACTGTTTCTCCATAAAGCATCCCAAGATCCCTCCGAGCAAGAACGAAAATGATAAAAAGGAAAAGTAAAGCAGCAGAAAGGCGGAGATTCCATGACCAAATACCACCAGAGCGGTCATGATAAAAAAAAGAAAAGAAGAAGGAGCATTGGTTTCGGGAACAGCAATCAAAATAGGTTGTGCTGAAGAGTATCCGATTCTCGTTCACAAATTCGATGAATCATTAGGATTTAGGATGGCATTTGCCATAGTTAGGACAGAGAAGAAGAAGGAGCAGTAAAGAATAAAGCTAAACGAGCAACAAAAAGGAGTAACAATTGATAAACCGGAGCATTTATTTCATCGTTGCGTGGTTGTTGTCAAGGGACTGGGAGCCTATTTGAAAAAAAAAAAAAAAGTATATGCTCCATTTACGTAAACAGTCGCCTTGCCGCTTGGCCAATCATTATGCAGCATGTCAAGATACGGCATAAAGGATTGGTATGAGAGCTTTAGTTAGAAGCCCTGACCGGTTGTGACTGCGGGTGAGTCTGCTGCTGCTGCTGCTGCTGCTGGCCGCCACCGCGTCCTCTTCCTCTATAATAGCCTCTGCCACGCCCACGGCCGCGCCAGTTACCACGTCGGTAGCCACTATCAACAGATCCTTGGCCGAATGTTTCGATGTTCTTTCGAACCTCCTCATTTCGACGGTGGACTCCGGGTCGACCATCAGCGCCAACCTCCTTGGCCTCAGCACGCTCTTTGTTCTCACAACTTATATTATCGAAAAAAGAGCTGCCCTTGTTATAAAACCCTCCTGTTGGTGCGATGATAGCTGGTTGATCAACTGATGGTTTTCTTTCGGTTGATCCTTCTTGCGCATCAGTAGTTGATGCGCCGTCCTCGCCATCAGCAACCTTAGTAAAGCGAGCGTTGGCCAATTCGAAGTCGTAATCCGTGGTTGGGACATTAACTTTCCTGGGTTGGTGAGGGGAAGCGTAAGGAACCCCACGTCCTCGGCCTCTGCCGCGGTATTGAGAAGAGGGGATGTTATTGTTATTGTTGTTTTGGCGGTATTGTTGGTTTGTACCATTTGTTTGCTTAAGCTTCATCGCTTGAACCTTCCTTTCCAAATCAGCAAGTCCAGGAGAGTCTGAGGCTGGCTGCGCTTGGGCTAGGGCCTGTTGAACAACTGGGGCTGCCGGAGTAATCGTTGTAGTCGTGGTTGTAATAGTTGTGCCCGTTTGTGTGTGGCCAGGCTGAGAACTTCCAAATGCTCCACGGCCACGAGCACCTCTTCCTCTTGTTCCCGCATTTCTGGGGCCCGTAGGTTGAGTTGGAGCAGCAACGGTAGTTGGCTGAGTCAAAGCAGTGGTAACGTCTGGCTTGGATTCCAGAGGTGGTGGGGGGGGAGGCTGTTGAGTTGGAACAGCTCCCTTTGGTTCAGGAGCTGTGTCCTTGTTTTCAGCAGTGGTGACTGGAAGCTCGACCTTGGCCTGGGTGGGAACAGGAGCGGGGGCGGGGGCAGATTGAGGCTGCGCACCCGCCTGACCAGCAGTTCTGTTTCGGTTATCACCTGGCGGTGGGGCTTGGCCTGGAATTTGTGGGCCTGGTGGGAATGGAGGGACTCCATAAGGGAATGGACCAGCTGGGAAGCCAGGAGCACCCGGGCCACCTGGGAATCCCATATAAGGAGGCTGTGGATAAAATTGACCACCAGGTCCGCCTCTTGGACCACCCATTGGACCGGGAGGGGGATAAAATCCAGGTGCAAAATTTGGGTTAAATGGCGGCTGGTTTGGGCCGGGCCTGCCGTTCTGTTGATAGTTGAGATGTTGAGGTGGGGGGTAGCCTGGGGGCCTTTGAGCCTGCAACATCAGGTCGTGTAAGCAGATGAACGACAACAATTGGTTCAAACAACTCTTGGGTAAATAATGTTCAATGTTGCTGCAATCAGAAGGAAGGCAACGGAAATCTCCGCATGGTTTTGCGCTTTAGGACAATGACAATAAAATTGTTTTACATCCGAAATACTTCATCATTTGACAGAAAAAGGAAAGAAAAAAGATATAATTTTTTTTTTTTTTTTGGTGAAAATGATTTGGTGGGGAGGTGCTTCAGACTTACGTTGATGATGGCGGGGTCATTCGGGAAAGAGGGTTGTGGTGGTGGCGGCTTTGGGGCAGCCTCTGGGGCCTCCATCCGCAAATCCTTTACATCGCTACCCCGGAAGACGATGTAATCATATATCTCATCGGTTCCATCGACTTCATTGGCGGGATCATCGCAGCGGCCTTCCGTTCCGTGATTTGTGACGTTCTCCAATCCAACAGTGGAATTTTCAGAGTCGATCTGATGGAGAGTTCCGACATAGCTGTGGGTCAGACGCGAAGTTAGCTGACAGAAAGACCACGAAATAACAAATGGGTAGTTATTAATCACATACCGGATATCGCTACGCGAGATTAAAGAAATTCGGGATCTATAGACGGATAGGTATCATCGTTAGTGGGTTGATTGCTTCACAACGTGGGAGCAATTGGCAAGGTGTTTTTACCCGATGAATTCGGACATTTCGAACGACCGATTACGGAAACCAACACAGCTGATTCAAATGGAAGGGATTGAAGCTATTAGATCGAGTCAAAGAGCCGATGTATATATTCTTGATATTAAGTCGTAAGAAACGTTAGAGATGGCTGAGAAAGACACGCGAGAGAAAAGAAGCCGTGAAAAGACGTTAAAGCGAAAGAAGCCGTGGACGAGAAGAGAAGAGAAGAGAAGAGAAGAGAAAAAAAGAGAAGCGAAGAGAACAGAAAGAGAATAAGAAGGGGATTCGTTAGGAGATGAGACGTGGACGGATGATGGCGTGAAGTGGAGGAGGAAGCGAGGGAGGAGATGGAAGATGATGAAGATGAAGATGAAAGCTGGAGAGGATGATGTTGTGGTTGGTTGGAGATGGCGGACGGTGAAGAAGAAGAAGAAGAGAAGGAAGGAGCAGAGCCCGTCAGGTTTTGTGCCCGCAAATTTGCGCCCACAACAACACCACCACCGCCACATGCACACAATGCAATGCAATGAAAGCTAAGCTAGTACCAAGTAACAATTATCTATTACTTAAAATTCCCATGCAAAAATGGAGGAAAATATGAAGGAGACAAAGGAAAGGAAAGGGAAAGAAGAAAGCATTGCATTCCTCTTCAATCGTGGCTCCATATAACAGTCCCCCGATCACTAGTTCTAGTAGATATATTCGGTGCATAGCATAGCATAGGATACCTGGGACGGTGACGTTGGTCACAGAGCCAACGTCAACTGCAACACCTCAACACATTTCCCCGGACTCCACATGCTTGCTCCACCAGTTCCTCTGTAGTGCATCCTTCACGATAGAATCACCATCACCATGGATGCCCCTTCAACCCCAGCCAGCCAGGTTCTTGACGAAACCGACCCTTCAAAGCAAGAAGAATTCTCCCCTGAAGATGACCGTCTCTTTCTCTCTCTAGAAAACTACTGCTGGGAGGATGATCCGGAGTTCCAGGTATGCATATACATCATAACCTCGGGTACCAAATTACCCCAGATATCGCCTACATATAACTAATTTCATACAACATCTTATGAAGTCCGGCCTTACCCAAATTCTATCTACGACTACAGACCCAGTACAAGTCCGACATCTCACCCGACAGGCCAAATGCTTCTTCTACTCCCGCAAAATCTCCCGTCCTATCTCCTTCCCTATCTACAGCGCTTGGCTGGACCGTGAGGAGAACTCAGCGCCCAGATGCCGCTCTCCATCTTGTGAAGTTGGCCCACCGCTCGACCCCACACCGATAGAGTCAGGGAGTAAGAGTAACCCCAGTATCCCATCCGATACTCCAACAGATAGTACTGCAGGGGACCCAAACGGAGATGATAAAACACCATATCCAACTTCTTTTGCACAGATTGTGGAATTGATCACATCCGGCAAGCCAATTCCTGGTATCAGGGAAATCCCAAACACCCTCAACGCTGCTCCGCCGACTCAGAATAGTGCACAGCAGAGAAGGAAACCATGGGAGGTCGTAGCCACCCCAGAAGGTGGTGTTGATAGCTTACCTAGCCCTGCACCCACCCCTGAGTCGTAGCATTATAAATATTTCTCATTTGCTATTTTCGTCACGTTGAAGATATGGAGGTGCTCGGAGTTCTGGATTTGCTATAATACAGTTACATTAGGGGATATCCAGGGATTGCGTGTCGAGCTAGCCTAGAAAACATGCCATACAACCTACACCCCAAAGTGAATATCGAATATTAAAATGCCACATTACAAGGCATCTTGAGGACAATCTTTTTAGAATTAAAAAAGAAAAAAGGAACCAAAGCGACGCCGGTTGTTCACGTGTGTTCGTAAAAGTTACGCGCATTAGGTATCGTATGTTAAAGAGGAGGATAAGAATGCAAAAGCTGTAAAAGAACGTAAGGAGAAAAAGAACAAACAGGCTGTATGAGGAAAGAAACCAAAATGATAACAAAACACTTGGATTTTTTTCGTCTCCTCCCGAATGAAACATTAAACGCCCTGATATACATTTTCGAAGCAGAATATATAGCAGGAGGAAAAGAAGAAACAGAAAACAAGGAAACATAAAGGCATTTTTTGAGACCATCCCATTCTTCTCATGCTTTTCGCAAAGAAAACTTTTTTTTTTTCGGTCATGAATGAAAGGCATTCCCATCGTTATGAAAAATAAAGAAACACAGATTAAGAACCCGTGGTCAGACCCTTGAAAACGAAGCAACATTCCCCTACATAGCAACAGACTGCATAAGCCGTGCGGTGACCCTGCTAAGGCCTGCGACTCTCTTAAGGATCGACGCCCCCGGGCTCTCTTCAGACACAGCCATATAGAACTGTTGCAAGCGGGAAACGAGAACTGCTGTGATTCTAGGCAACATCGTTTGGGTATTATCCTCACGCTAAGTTGGGGTTTTAGTGAATGTGCATTTAAGGGGAAAGTAGTAAACAGCCAGATCAACTTACAATAGTGTGGAAATCATTCAAGCAGGCCTCTAACCACGCCAAGCGTTCGTCTGTATAGGTATCGAGATTCCCAGTAACACTTGCGGCGATTGTAAGAGCGACGACCTGGCTAACCTTTGGAATAACATCGTATGGGTTGTATTTGACAATAACATTTTCGAAGTAGTAGTCTTGAAGTTCTTTGCTTTGGAGCCAGGTCAACATCCCGTTTTCGAGATCGCCACGTCGGATCAGGTTCTCAATATCATCGCCCACCAGTTCAATCTCCGACTTCGCAGTCATCGGTGTTGGTGGAATCGAAGGATTGGTAGCACCTGCTGTAACTGCAACTGCGGCTGCGGCTGCGGCTGCGGCTGCGAGCTTTTCTTGATTAGCTAGGAGTTGTTGCTGCATCTCAATCATACGGGCAGTAGTAGATTCCAGAGTCGAGATGGTTTTTGCCATCTCTGCGACAGTGGATGTCAACTGTGCAATCTTCTGTTGGTCCTCCTCATGAACTCTTCGTGCCTCTTTGAGAGCTTGGGATGATTGCTTAGAAAGTTGATTAGAGAAGACTTTAGAGATATTATCTCCAATGACTTCAAAGGCTTGCAGAGACTGCTGCAGGTTGTCGCGAGCGGCTTGGTCCGTATCTTGTCTCAGAGGAGTAAGGATATTCTCAGCAACATTCCCGAGAACTGCCTTGGAGGCCAAAGCCTTCTCGACAGTCTTTGGGACGGTTGCTTCCATATGTCGTATGATGCTGTCAGACAGAGCCGCGGGAATATTTTCCACAAGAGCTGATTTGATGTCAATAGCTAATCTTCCTAGATGCGAAACAAGGATCTTTTCGACGGTCGTCTCCAAACCAGTTGTCAATGTGTTAGATACCACTCGCAGAACGGCTTCCTGTTTAGCATCGGATGCGGCTTGTTGGACGCGACGATCATCATCAAACTTGCGATCTATTAGAGAGGATTGTTAGCTACTAAATCTAAGGGACGACTTTTTTTTACTATTTTTTTTTAAAAAAAATATGCAACAACTTACAGAGGTTTCCTATTTCCTTCGAAAGGGCCTGAGTGAATGATGTATTGACAGCTTCTTCAATTTTCTTGACCTCGCGTTCAAGTAGCTCGGGAGAGATACTAACAGTCGACAGAGCTACTTTCTTCTCCTCCCGGTCTTTACCCTTATTTTTCTTCGGTTGGGGCGCTGGTGACGGTTCATCATTCTCCAAGGCAGGTCCGGCAAAGGAGACAGTGTTGACATCCCTGCGTGGCTTCTTGCCACGGCCCAAGCCGCTCATAGAAGCAGCCTTGCGTCCCTGTCCATTGGTGACGGGCGGCTTTTCCTCCTGCTTCTCAACAACAGGTTCTTCTTGAGGTTCGACAGCCTTGGCTTTCTGTGGTTGCTGGTTTGGAGCCTGAGCCTTTGGAGGTTCTGGAACAATAGGGGCGAGGGTGGTTTTCGGTTCCTCTGTCTTGGTGGGTTCCGTAGGCGACGTGATAGCAGGAGGGATAAGGGCGGATAGGGTACAAGCACCGGTAGCAAGAGCATCAAGACCTTTCATCACTCTAAGATTGCTATCGAAACCAATGTCCTCCTTGGAAAGAGAAAGACAAGTGAGTCCTTTAGTATGAGAAATGTAGAGCTCAAATATGGGTAGCTTTGCATCATCGCCTGGTAATTGGAGTGAAGACGCCGAATCAAGAATTTCAAGAGAGATGAGCTGTCCTCTATCGCCTAGAGAATACTCCACAATTGAGGACATTATCGCGGTCGCGTCGAGTTTTGGCAAATTGGGTGACTGCTCGCTGACAGCCTTGATGAAGCCGGCTTGTGAAAATGGTTGAAGATTGTACTTTGGAGTCGACAAGTGGATGAACGAAATTGTGTTTCTATTCGGATTCCCGACGACGATAACGCCGCTCTTGGGATGGTAGCTCAAAGAGCAGAGGCCGTCGCTTCCGGAGGAAGAAGTCGGGAATCGAAGCTCTTGGACGGCGCGTCCTATCGCGATGTCCCAAAGCTGAATCACATGGTTTTGTTGCAACCCTACAATCAAGTACCTCAATGCTTGACGTCGTTCGTACGGTTGCTGTTTGTCAACAAAGATGACGGATGTAGCCTTATACATCTCACCTGGACCGACGGCAGAGCGTGTGAGAACAGGTTCCGTCAAGATCCTAGCGGTTTCCGAGGGGTATTCCAACTCATCCTCTCCACGTTCGAATTCGACGAGCCTACTGACGTCCCAAAACTTGATCTTACCAGCCTTGTCGATCGTTACAACCGTAGAATCGTCTTCAGAAAAGCAGAACTCCTTGGAAACCTTTTGTGTGTCAATGGTGCGAGAGTGGTTTGCATGATACGCCGTGTCGTTGATCTTGACGATGCCACCATCCTCGTCGGCGTATTGGCGAGCAGCATCCGCATGGATCAAGCTGATGAAACGACCGCGGCCGATTGCGAAAACCTTCGGATGGCTCTGAGTAAGATGCGTCCGAGATTTGGTGAGGCCTCCGTTTTGGTCTTGGAGTGCCGAAGGCGGGAACAGGAAACTTCTATTCTCCATAACCGATTCGTCCATCGGGCCATCAAAGCCGTCGAGTTCACTCCACAGGACGGTTCCGTTGACGCCAACGGCCAAAACTTGATTTTCCTTGCCCAGAGCAACATTAACTGTTCGTTCGGTGCTGTCTTTCATCAAGACAACATCTTGGCCATCCTCCTGTCGAATAATTCTAACCCCACCCTTGGATTTTCCTGTTGCGTAAACAATGTACGAGGGCGAGGCAGAAATGAGGTTGCGATCCATCTGATCCACATTACGGGTCATCTTGGCGATATCGCTAAACCTCCCACCGGGAACGGTGACAGTTGGAAGGGCATTGAAAGTGATCTGGGAGAATGGTTTCATGGGGAATTTGTAGATCGTAAATGTTGCCTTCTCCGCGCTAGTCTCCAAGTTTTGAGAAGCCCCAGGAGTTGTACTCTCGAGAGGTACAGTCTCAGGCGACAGAACAGCGGTTGGGGGTTCAACAATGGTTTGGACGGTGGTCGCTTGAACAGATGTCGCGACAGTTAAAGCCTCGGCAGTGCCAACGACGGCATCCTCCTCTTCAGGCCCAGCCATACCCTCTACAACATCAGGAATGTCCAATTGAGCGTTATCGTCAAAAAGCTCTTCATTCTGATAAGTACCAGTATCCTCGGGAGGAGTGGTATTGCCACCTTCGAATGGGTCCGTCTCACCATCGAACACGTCGGTTTCACGATCGAATGGATCCGCGACATCTTCGACGTACGGTTGAGTTAGCGGAGGTGTATGACGTTCGACATTATTCGCGACGATATCGGTGAGAGACGCTTTCGGCTCCACCTGCAACACGGCTACATCCTCAATAGCGTGGGGTGGTGGTGGGGAAAACGGAAGGGGGATGTTGGAAGGCGTTGAGAGACCAAGGGGGTTAGCGAGAGAAGGGCTGCTATGGCCGTTGGTAAGAGAGGCCTGTTGCATCTTGGGGGAACGATTGCGTGGATTCGTTCGTGAAAGATGTTCAAAGGGGTTGACATAGGTGAAAAGTGGCTGCTTGACGGGGGGCTGGTCCAAGCCTGCAGGCGCCGTGTCTGGAATAGTAGCTCCAACCGAACTTGGCTCACCAACGGGCGACGACTATATTGGGGGGTGGTCGATGACATGTTAGACATAACTTTAAACGACGCGAGAAAGATTTCAAGATAGCATAAAAAATTTTATTTTTTAATAATAAAATAATGATAATTAAAAAAGAAAAAGAAGAAAAAGGAGGGGTAGAGATGTAGCTTACCTCGGGAGACTGCTTATTCTGCTGGCTAGAGGCGGACGCGACACTACCGGCATCATCTTGAAGTGGCTTGCCTCGTCCGAGTATTTGATGGAGCAGGTCGGCAGCGGCCGGGTTGGCGACTTCTCGAGGAGCAGGGGACATGATGCTTCGCGGATCATGGACTCCACCGGTGCTATCAGTTTGAGGTTGTTGCTTTGGGGCACTGGAAAGAAGCGATGAAACCAGATCGCTGAGCGGCTGGTCATGGGCAGGCAGCGACTGGCGAGTGGGCATAGGCTGAGGTGGAGGTGGAGGTGGAGCAGTGGTAGGACCATCAGCAAAACTGGTACTCCTGGCACCTTCACGAACGGCTTCAAATCTTAGTGGCAACTGAGGGATATTATCGACAGAGCGACGTCCTTGATGAGCAGCCTGCTGGCCAACGTTCCCGCTGGTTTGCTTGTGAAGAAGACCCATGAGATAGTTTTGCGGAACCATAGGATCGCGGTCATCGGCACTAGAGTGACGGCCATGTTCGGCGCCTAACTGACGATTGAGCTGGGTGGGAGCGTGTGATCCATAATGCATTGGAACGTGCATTGCCTGTGAGTCAATGGAACCGAAATGAGGCTGAGGAGAAAAACTGGTAGGATGGTGATGTTGTTGATGGAAGCGATGAGCAGTTGGGTGAGCACTGATAGCGGATTCAAGAGTCTGTAACAGCGAGTCATTGCTAGTATTACGCGCATGTCCATACTCGATTCCGAAGCCCTGAGGCATTGCGCCATAGCTGGATCGCTGGGAAGGAGGCAGCGAACTGTAAGATGGCTGGTGATGGAACTGAGGATTCGATGAAGGGCGGGATGGATGTTGTTGTTGTTGTTGTTGATGAGGGGAGGAGGCACCGTTGGCCCCAGCTGGTCCATTGGATCGCAGCTTATCGAAGAGCGAATCAAACGATGGCCCGGGACCGGCCATTTTGAATTGGATTATATGTATGTCGTGACAAAAGCGAGCGCCTTTGTTTGAAGCAAAAGAGCCGTTGAGGTTGGTTGGTTGGTTGGTTGGGTTTATTAAGAAGTTCAGTCAATAAGTAGTTAGCGGGAAACGCCAAGAGCCCGTTGGAAGCACAAGAGGTCGTGTTCGCGACTTTTTGTCCAGGTTAAAGGGAAAGGGAGAGAATTAAGGAAGTAAAAGGCTAGCAAAGGCAGGAAAGATGCCGATGAAGTCAGATAGTTATGGGAGATGATGGTGAAGTTGGTGAAGTTGGTGAGGTTGATGAAGTTGATGTGAGGAATGAATTGTAGGTGGAGAAGAAGAAGAGGAGGAGGAGGAGGAGGAGGAGAAGGGAGAAGTGATTGGTGGGAGCGGAAGGGGAGGATGAGAACAAAGTGAGTTGGATGCGTGAAGATGGCGGAGTTGTTGGAGGAGAAATAGAAGGCAGCTTTTGGGTTGAATGAGCATCACATTAATTAACATATTACACATTACATATTACATCTACAGGATACATCTACAGGATACATCTACATCTACATCTACATGACATCTACAGGATACATCTACATAGTCTTGTAACTACTGGTAATATAGAATATAGATAAAAGGCAATGATGACTTGTCACCGTCAAATTTAAACCCTCTACGTAACCAATACCCGCTCAGCACGTTCAACCATTTTGCGCCTGCGAGGTTTGACTCTGCCGGTTGAACCTCGCATGGACATTCTTATGCGACCGATTCCATACTAAGTACTTACTTAAGTAGGTACCAGGTATCTTCTACTTCAACATCCGATATTATCTTCTATCATCACCAATGTACCAGGTACAGACCCTTATCCACAGACAGCTGAAAATCAAAAGCGAAGAAAAAGAGGAAGCTTAGCCTAAGCGAACGGCCAATTTCATTTCGTGCATGTTCATCCTGTTCTGGACTGGGACTTAGACTGGGACTCGTCTGCAGCTGATAGTCAGTCTCTACTGCTTCCTTACTAATTAAGTATTCAGCATCAACAGCATCAAACACCTCCAGCTTTCGCCTTCTTTCCTTCTCCATCGACATCTTCATCTTCATCTCCAGTTCCCATTTCATTCATCGATCCCACCATTCGTTCCCGGTGAACATTAACTGTTAAAACCCCTTGTATCCCCGATTAACTAATCAAGAACCATCGACGACGACGACGACGACGACGACTTCCTTTTACCTACCTACCTATCTACCTACTTACTTACACACATACTACGTACACCATCCTCTTTCTCGAGCTCAGCCGTCGATAGTTACATTTCCATACTTCCAGAGCACAACAGTAGCAGTCGTCCAGACGGCTAAGCTCCCAGTCCTCCTTCACCATGTTCTGCCTACGGAGGTACGTCAGTCATTCCACCTCTCCATTCTTATTCTTATTATTACTCTTATTCTCGTTCCCCACTATCTACTCCTCCTTTTTTCAATCATGCTAACATTAATACCCCCATTCCCAGTTGGCTCCCGCTCCTCTTCATCCCTACGTCCGCCAGTCCTGCCTTCATCGTAATGTTTCTCATCTCCACATACCTCTTCCATAGACCCTGGTAGGAACCCGCAGATCCCAATCCTTCCGAGTAACTTCAACTTCAAGATTTTTCAAAAAGATACTAATTTAAATATAATAACCCTAGTCCATACTGTTCCGTAATAATGCTCATTCTTTTCACATCATCCTGCCAGTGGTCCGACCGCTGTTTCCTCGATACAAATAACGGTCACTGGTTCGAACCAAGAATCCTCTCCCATGCTTCCGTATCCAGCACAAGCTCCACAATAGCTCCCGGTCCCGGTCTTCAGCTTCCCATGGGAGATCTAGAAACTCAGGTGGGACAGTGGACAGGTCTGGGGCTAGAATGGTTAAGAAGTTTCCTGGGAAGTAGGGAATGGAGGGTTCCGTGTGTCGATGTGACGGTGAGGCTATGATAGGAGGTAAGAGGCGACGAACGGATGGACAGACGAGGAAGATCAAGAAATTTTATTTCTTGTGTAAATTTTTGTAATTTTGCTTTTCTTGTCTTTTGCTTTTCGTCTTCCTTTTTTTTTATTCTTCGGGTAGTTTGAAAGGGGAAACAAAAACGGGCCTATTAGACTGTGGATTGAATCATTTTTTTAGTTCTGTTTTTTCTAGGCGGATAGCTTTTATTCTACGCTCTTTCCCCTTTGCCCTTTGCTGCAAAATATTCTTCGGGGGCGGTATCGATATCCTTTTGTTCTTTCTTTCTTCTCGGTCTTGCTTTAGCTTTATCATTACTACCACCACCACCACTACCACCACCACCACTACCACCACCACCATCATCATCATCATCATCATTATTGTTTTCACCGGTTTACGAGATTACCTATTCTCTAGTATTAGGATCTGGTCCCTTCCCGGTTGGTGTTCTCCGAGGGAGGATATGAATTTGGACGGTACATATATGCAGACCAGGACACGCTATTATTGCTAAAAGGTCAATCGAAGCCTCCTTATCAGAGGATCGATATCGGATTAGAACCTTCAGTTTATATGTATTATTACACACTATCTATCATTCGCTTGCAAAATTCAAAAAAAAGATAAAAAGGATGAGGCTAATAACAATATCGAAATGCTAAACCCCATTACCAATTATAACCCATAAACGCCCATACTTGAGTACTTGCTTCAGAAGTAAGTAAGTAAGTAGATATGTCAAGCAGTCCCACTACTGCTATCCTTCATCTTCTTTGCCCTCTCCTCAGCAGCTCTGGCCGCCATAGTCCTCCTGTCCTCCACATCAACTGCACCCCCACTTCCTGCTCCTCCTAACACAAAACTGCCTCCGGTCCACCCACCGCCATCCGCCTCCTCAACCAACAACCTCTCCCTCTCCTCCCCCTCCCACAAGATCCTACCACCGTCCCCACCACCCTCCAACGTCCTCCCACCATGCCTCCAATCCGCCTCCTCAACCCCCTTCAAAATAACCTTATACAACTCCCAAAAATCCCTATCATGGTCCCCATGAACATTATGCGCCAACTCATGACATAAAGTCTTCCTAACCGTTTTATAATCCCTATACCCATCATACCTATCAGTCCTCAACCTCAACAATATCTCCTCGCCCGCATTCCTATTCAACCCTAACGTCCTACTCTCATGCGTCGTATGTTCCGCCGGATCCATTTCCGATAACATCCCCACCGAGAATTTATGTTTAATCATAACAGCTTTTATCCCCGGATCTGCCGCTAATTTTCGAAGATAGGTTTCTGATCTTTGAGGGTTTGGAAGGTGGGTTAGGACCCTGATGGGACCGAAGGTGTATTTACTCTCATTGGAGGATGTGGTGAAATCCACCCGACGATGGACAGGTTTTGCGGGTTTGATGGGTCCCGTGCCGCCGAATTTTCGGAGGGTTGAGGCGGAGGGGGAGTTTGCTAATTTTATATCTTGGATTGCGGCGTTTGAGGAACCGATTAATAGGATCTTTTTGGGGGGCTGGGGGAGGGTGGTTATTGGGAGGGAGTCGTCTTTTAGAAGACCGAGTTTTGGGGCGGTGAGTTTTTGGTATTCTGGCGAGATGGAGAAGGTTTGTTGGATTTGGAGACGGAGGTCGGAGAGGGTGGAGTGGGTTGGCAAGGTGAAGGTGTGGGATTTTCCGGAGTGGGTTATGAGGATCGAGTGGGTGGCCATGGTGCCGTCGTCGTCGTCATCTATCAGTTGGGGTTCTGAGGTTGGATCCATACTTCTTATTATATTATATTGTATCTCTTTGGCTTCCGGGTTGGAATGTGATAAAATAATAATAATAATAATAATAATAATAATAAATAGATCTAGGTTTACAGATCGAAGGTCTCAAGGATGGGAGAAATGGGATGTCCGAGTTATTTATGCAGTGCAGTGCACATCGATCGAAGTATCTCCTGCGCTGCACCCTGCTCTGTCACCTAACTCATGTGAAGTACTTATGTATGTGCGACATTCTGCGGGCTTCCATCTGCGCTTCTGACAAATCACGCTGACACGGGATCAACACATATCAACCGTTGCATTTTTCATATCAATTAAATCCAGTAAATTCAACTCAACCTCCTCAACTAAAGACATTTGCTCGGGCTCAAGACATAATATATGTACGCCAATTGCAAAAGAAAAGAAAAAAAGAAAGACAGAAAGAAGACAAAAAGAGAATCGACGACAAAAAGGAATCAACCGAACTCAAAGTATCCGAAATATAAAATAAAAAAAAACTAGCCGTGATAAACTATACACAGATGAATATTCGAATTCGAATTCAAACAGAGAACAAAAAACACAAATAGGTATCTTAGTAATCCGCCAATGGTAATTTCCTACCGATAGAACGCCTAGTTGTAACCTGCTGTCCAGCCGTCGCCTCCTCCTCCTTCTCAGACAATAACTTATTCAAGCTTCCGACGTCGAAGTATCCGTCTATCAAATCCGTTAGTATAAATCTCCCACATTTCGAGGTAAAAGGATAAAAGATAACTTACATCCGCCGAGCATCCCGCCCTCACCATCACTCTCAGACGGTGAGGAAGTACCGCTGGCCATCTTAGTAATAATCTCCTTACCCTTCGGGGTCTTCAACGGGGCAGCAGCTTGCCTAGTCTCAGCCTCCCTCGCCTTCGTAGTAGATGGCGAGACAACCTTCCTGTTCAACTGCTTGAACAGGTACCTCACATCCTGCATGTAACTATGCAGGGTATCCACGAATCGCTTCGTCTGTCTGTGCTTCGAGCTAACACAAACCGAGATCGAGTCCTCCTTGATGATGTACCCAATTCCAAATCCATCAGCAGAAACAGGTCCGAAACCGAACATCCTAAGAGCCGGGTTACCGCAGTTGGATGTGGAAATGATGGTGGTATTGAGTTTGTCCCATGCTGAATCCGCAAATATAGCTGGAATGTCACGGGCGACTGCTCTACCGCTACCGGTGGAAGCAGTTGCAGACATCTCGGATATCATCGACTGTCCACCAGGGGATCCGAAAGGTACTTCCTGTTCTTCACCAGAGACATACCCATCAACCGATGGAGAAGCACATCCTTCATCGAGAATACCTCGTTGCCATAGACAGTATAGAGCATACAAATGCCTATCCTGTCCCAAGCCCTTAGAACATTGTCTCGTTCTCTGGACGTGGCGTTCGCAGGCAGCCTTCAGTGCATCGATCTTAGCCTTGGCTGGCGCATCTTCACAGAATGTGCGGACAAAGTCGACAACTTCCTGGCTGACAGTTCGGATAGCCTCGGTCCTGCCGTGTAAGAATTGTTTGGTCATCGCTGGCTCATAGGTACACTCGACCCGACCGTAAAGAGCGTAGTAAGAGGCTTGGAAGGCCATTTGGACATAGGCGTCTGGGGAGAATCCCATGGTCTTGATGTAGTTGGAACCGTACCCTTCGAACTCGAGTGTTTGGAACTCGTTCTGGTTGATCAAATCGGCCAATCTGGTTTCTGCGAATCGCAATCCGAGGGAAAGTTCGGGAACCATAGTCCACTCCAGCTTATGTGGTGTTGTGCTAACGTTTCCGAACGACTCTGGGTCACGCTTTGCCGGGTCGGGAGACACCGAGGCCCATAGGGAAGGCGAGCCGCCGTGAATGGTTTTTGCAAATCGAAGAATAGTATCAGTGTAAACATCGCTGACAAATCTCAACACCGTATGGCCGTCGACACCGGTATGTTCGAAGTTGATACCCGCAGCACCGTTCTTGCAAACAATGATTTGTAACTTGTCATACCATCGGTTGGTACATGTACCGACCTGAACACCCTTTTCGATAACACTGCTACCGCACAACATGTTGGTCGAGATCTCGGCAAGGGATTCGGGCGAGGAATCGTCCAAACAAAGAACGAACAAAGCCGAGTCGACGATTTGAAGACACTCTCGGTTGGTATTGTCCTCGTGGTTGAGAATATGGTCTCGCATTCCTGCCCAGACCCTACGATTCTCAGTGCTGAGAACACCAACTGCTGAGCGGGCAGCTTCCTGTATGGGAGTTTCCATCGCATCGTGCATGATAGCCTGGAGGTTATGGACAAGATCCTTTTCAGACATAATCAAGTCCGAGTTGTCATCCATAACATCAAACCAGTAGAATTGCGATCGACACATCACTACAACGTGTCTGGCTTTCTCGTCGGTCTGCATCAAGCAACCATTCTCGGTCGGGATTCGGGCGGCTCCGAAGAGGCGAGTGAATTGGTACTAGAAAAATATTTCCATCAGCTTTCTTTGAATCATCACAATTCGAAAAGCCGTTTTTACTCACCATGCATAGTGGTGTTCCTCTGACTGTGTCTGCTGGGAGTTCTTCTCTTCTCAAAGCTCTGATGAAAGCCAACGAAGAGACAACTAGCGAGGCCGCTCTTGTAATCTGGTTGTTACGTGCCGGAGTTGGGTCGTCGGCAAGCAAGAAACTGGTATATTTATTAGTATTATCCTGAAAATCAATCAACATGATATATAAGTAGGTATATAGTACTCACAATGGATTCAAGTTAAGCACGACAGCTGGTGGCAACAATGTTAATATAACGGACCAATATTTTCACGATAGATGTAATTTAATAACCAACTTACGATTGTCATAATTGAGATACGAATCGTACCCTATAGAAACGTTAGCATACCACTCAAGTATAAAAGTAAAGAAGAAAGAGAAGTGACATACAGAACTGCTCAATATAACTCGTCTGCGAAAGAGAGTACTTCTGCAATTTGTCCTGCAAAACGGGCCCGACGGTCTTTGCGAACTCCCTCACAACTGCGATGGTCCTTTGGTGCTCACGATGCGTCTGCAAGGGCCTGACAACCTCCAAGTAATTCTGCAAAGTCTTATCAAGATCCTGAATTGGTAACTTTGGCAGATTATCTTGGTACGAAAATGTCATCTTCTTCTTGTTGGCCTCTTCGGTCTTTTGCTGTTGCTGTTGAAGGGCCTTGAGAGCAGCAGGATCAGCTTTGACGGAAGGGTCGGCATCCTTCGCCAACTTTTCGTCGATGGATGGCATACTGAACAACCTAATAGGCATTTGTGAAATGTGAGCCTTCTGCCCTATAAGAGTTTCAACTTTGCGAGCCGCAACAGGAAGATCCTCGAGCTGGTCGGTGCTTGAGGCAGCGGTGGAAGAAGTCGAAGGACTTGTTACACTATTCAAGGTAGAGGTGGTCTGTGTTGCGGAGTGTGTTGCAGAGGGACGAATGCAACAAAGCAGTGATCGAAGGAACGCCATGCCCAACACGCCGGGCAGGGAAGTCTTTAAGTATCATGAATTCGATACGGGTATAACGGGTATGAGGAAGAATGGTAAACGCCATGACGGATGGAAACAAAATCAGGAACGAAGCATCGGTAAAAGGATATGTATACTACAAACACCATTATAGAGGAATCTAGTATTACTTTCTATAATGAAACATGGTGAAATAGTGACCAGGGCCCGGACGAGCGTCTGTGACTTTTGCAGATGATTACCGAGGGAAATATTTCGAAATGTGAATATCTCCAGGTCTCCGAGCTAAAAAAAAAAGGGTCGAGAGATAACAACAGGATGCAAGAAGTGGCTCCCTTTCTGGGTCTGGGGGCCCCATGGAGAAGCCAGCTTATGTATTGCACCGTATGGCCACCCCAGAGGAGAGGAGTTCGAGGGCAAGAAAAAGCATATGATCGATATATCTGGGAATTTGGCTCAACTGGGGATGTCACTTACGCAACAAGAGCAAAAACGACCTGGTCAAGCGACTAATCCTTCCGCGCAGATGGATGGTGGAAGTGATGCAGCGCTTCTGAGACCTGACTGGCTAGAATATGCAAGTAAGGTTCTTCGAATAGAGGGATTTAGAAATAAAAAATGCAACAGATCTAAGGGATCAGGAAAAAGAAAGAAACCGCGGGAAATAGAGGTGGGGAAACGATGTGGGTAAGAAGTTGGAACTTCGTTCGTTGGTGAGGTTTGGCGGGCTGCTTTCAGACAGATAGTTGGTCAACGTTGACAGGACCCCGTACTACTACTACGTAAATACAATTGCAACCACCGATATGACCTGTCGCATTTGCCTATCTGGGATAGATACGAAGTGGGGCAATGATGTAGACTAGGTACTTGGTTAGTATTCTGTGAGACCAGTGCAGCTACGCAGTGCTATGGTTACCTAACAGTTAGTGTGAGTGCAGTGCAGTGCAGCGCAGTGTACTACGTACGGACAGGATATCGAAGGGTTTCGTTCGTTCTCTCTAGCTCTCTCGACGACGTCGTTTTGGATTACCAATAATGCTCTGGAATGCAACTGGTCAGGGCGGGTATTGTACAGATCCTGGATGTAACGGTCGAGTCGAGCTCTCTCTTAAGGACCACTATATTGTGGCTATTGGTATGAAAAGCTTGATTTCCTTCCAAGTGGCCAGGCTCCGAGGGTAGATTGCGATATATTGATGATAGTATGCGTCGTCCAACGTGACGGCCGACGGACGAAGGGAAAGCTCGAACAGGGTTTAAGTTTGCGGATAAACGTGGGGTTCGCATGGCCAGACAGAGACAGGCTTAGTCTGGGGAAGCAGACTATGCTACTTGCATGTATTGTACTATACTATACTGTCGACCGACTTGACCCGACTCGTGCTCGAGCTCGTGCCCCTCATTAAATTCTTTCACATGAAGATCGTATGTACTTACATTAGGTATGTATGTACATGTGCTGCAAGGTTCACGGGGGATATGTAATGTATGTGAGTAAGTAAGTAAGTATGTGGGTGTAAGTACACACATTGGCCAAGCCTGCGGCAAGTGGGTCTCACCAACCAACGTCATAAAACAGATTCGTTCTAATTAGCTAGTACGTAGCATGCAGCTTTTATTTTTTAATTTTTATTCTTATTTTTATTTTTATTTTATTTTATTTTTTCTTTTATCTTGCCTTCAATCCGAAGTGCTACTGGAATTTTACAATAAAAAAACACGAAACTTCAGAATCAAAATGCCCTGATTATCATGAGATTTCATCTCAAGTCCGAGATAAATAATGGCATTCCCCGCGGGGAAAGATAGAGGCAAAAAGAAAGCCAATTCCAGTAGTCCGGTGGGCAAATTTGGTCCGTCAGCGAACACAAGACATGATATCGGATGAACGGATATCCACCATTCCAACCAAGTTCCAGCCCTGGCTCGCCTCTAGCTCTATTATCCCAGATCCGAGCCTACCGATGGCTAATTCAATTTGAGCTTGTTTCAATGCAGTTCCACTAAATCGTAAAAAAAAGAACTACTTTGTACGGAAGATTGTTCTTCTTTTGTCATGAGGAAGCACTTTCCGCGCCGCACTGACCTCTGTATCGTCGGTTTTTATCACCGTACATACATGTCAATGACATGCAGATTTGCCAGATTTAAACCACAGTTTGCGATGAAAGGGTAAAATAAAACATACTTAAGCAGCTGAGCACGTACCATATATGTCGGCTGGTCGATATAATAAATGGTCAGACAATCACGTCTTGATGCCTCGGATTATCTGATTGTCCGATGTCATCTGGATCCTGACGAGTCCCCGCCGGAGGGCCGCAGCTGCGTAGGCTGTTTGTTGCGGCAAGGCCCGTGGCCGACACACTCTGCGCCTGCAGTACTCTCATTTACTGAGCCATACATAGTACTTACTATATGGACCGGGGGTTTTTTCTGTGCTATGCAAAGCTTAGGATTCCTCGAAATCGCAGAGATTAATTAGCATCGTGCAGATGCCGGAGCTAGTCTCCCAAACTAGTAAAACCTCTTTTTTTTTTTTCCTTCGGCGGTATCAATGCAATGGGCAGTCGAGATGCCCAACCGGGCGATGACGGGGCGTACCATATGCATAGGCACCGGCTCGACAGCTCTCTAAATTTCCCGTCCGTCAGTATTCGAGATCTTGACAATCCGGAACCGAACATCCGCCATTTTCTCGGCCCGCCGGTTTCTAGTATTCGACGTTTGTCCTTTCCGAGCGATGATGAAGAAGAGGACCATGAAACCCGAAGACAACTTGTCACCGAGATCACAAGGGAAGCTACGGGCCTGGTTGATGATGTCCAAAATGACACAACTGCCGCAACACATATGCCGGTCGAAGTTGCCGTGATCAGACGCTGGCCGACGAGGGATGTCACCGACGACAAGATTCACGATTGCTACGTGGATTTTATTCTCTGCTGCAATCCCGCTGTTCCGGATAACTGTGATACGGCTGAACTACGCAAGTCCTTTAGGGCTCCACCCAAGAGTGATGGTGTAACATTCTCGGTTTTCAAGCTCTTCCAATTGATAAAACGATTTGAGGAAGGAGATATCAAGACCTGGATCCAGCTTGTAACGGAGCTTGGAGTGGAACGAAAGCAAGACCAGAGTACCCAGAAGGTCCAACAGTACGCTGTGAGATTAAAGGTACGTACATACCTTCTTTCTCCCCATTGCATGTTCTGCTGTCTGAGCTGTTCTTGGGAGCATACTAACTTGATCCACTCTGGTTGAATTCAAAGAGATGGATGCATGCCATGCACGTGGATGCTTTCTTCGAGTATTGCCTGGGGCGCCCCCACGGTTACTATACGGACATCCCACTCAGTCTTCCCACGCTTGATGACGAAGTTCGTGATGGCGTTCCCCTAGAAGAAGATCTAGCCTTGCGAGCCCTCCTACCAGAATACCGTCCTAAACGAGGGAGACGGAAAGTAGAAAGAAATTCCATCGACTCGAGCTATATGAGCATATCTGAAAAAAGACACAAACAACCGCTTCTTCCTGCGACGTTGCCTAATATCTTGTCTCCAGAAGAACCTAGTCTGCTGAATTACGAAGAGAGCCATGTTTCCAGCTCCCTGCAGAAGGAAGACAGAATCCGGGATCTTGATCCCCTCCAACCAGATGCTCGTCTTTGGCCGGAACTAAGAATCCACAACTCGCAACCCCTGTTCCATTCGATCTTTTCTAACCCCTTTGACACTTTGCATCCGGTTGTCCCTGGTGGACAGCCGCTTCGGTGGCATACTCCCCCAAAGCCGTTTGACCTAAGCCACCGGCCCGGCGGACCTCATGAAAGGATCCGCTCGGTACCGGTTCAGCAGTTCCCGACCCTTAAGCGCGCCCGACGGAATCATAGGCTGACTGTTTCGTCAGCCTGGCCGTCCTTCGGGACCTCAAGGGGAGGGAAATCTCGTGGCCGCCCGACTGGGAACCGTGGCGCCGCAGAGACTTTGTACACTACTTTTCCGGCGAGTCCGGCGAGCTTGGAAGTACAACTCAGCGACCAAGGAATCAATGTGCCTCTAGGACCCGAACTCTCCTCGACAACTACTGCAATCGACGAACAACTGCAATTCGGCTCCAAGGCTCACCAAACGATACTACCACCGATCATCCACCCGCTTGAAGACCCCGCGTACGATCATAATGTCGAAATCCCACCACTTCTTGAGAGAGAAATATCATTCGATCCATATAGCGTTTTAGGAAGGGGTGAAATGATTAAAGAACAACTCGCGACTCACCTGCTCACAGCACCGCAGGACGACATGACCGTTGGCCTTGCAAGATCACTCGCCGATTCCCTGGTCGATGGGGTGATGCAAGAGAATAATGATAGGGTGATTGGAACTACTTTGCGTCCGCTGTCAATGCTCCTCGGCCTAGATGCATTGGATATGCACGACCTTATCATCACTAAAGATTCACCGATATCTGAAGTTGAGAGGCTAGGGAAAGAAATATCATTGTTCGAGCGATATCGGGCTACGGATCCTGAGGAACAGAGTTTGCACGATCTCATCAATACCGACGATAGTCCTACCTCCCCACAAACGATCGCAGCGACGAATGATCAAGAGAATAGAGCGCCCATAAACGTGAATCTAGAAGATAAGTACCAGATATCCTGGAAGCTCAAGCTTGGATCGGTAGTGGCATCAGTATCAACCTCGGTGACACTGGCGGATAAGCCACAGCAGGCTGTTGAAGAGGAGCAGCGCCTCCCAGACGAATTTGAGGTTGACATGTTGTTGAGTGATATGGAAACCGGCAATCCAAGCCCAGGATCCTTTCCAGGGAGTACATCGGATCTACTGTTAAATGATGACATTGAACCACCACTAGATGATTCGATTGACTGGAGGGCAAGGTATTTTGAGGCCCGAGAAAAACTTCGAAAAGTGGAGGAAGAACTCGAGCGACTAAAACACGATCTTATCGCGCGTGTTATGTCATAGATTGCATTGCATTTTCATTTAGCGTTTCCCCCCTTAGCGACTGTTGGTTCTGGTGTCATCCTTTTATATAATCGGCGTTATACTTGCATTCGGATCTAACATTAACAACTTTTTCCAGAAGCCGTTTTGTGTCACAACTGAATACAAACTCGTGCCCCCGATCGCGATTAATTATTAAAATGTCAGTTAAAAAGCACGTTATCTAACTGGGTGCGTTATATTTATGTTAGATCGATCTGTTGGATCATTAGGCTGTCGGAAAGACGTCCCTTAAAATCCTTCAATTGAAAAAACCCGGTTATGTCGGATTTGGATCAGGGATTGGCTGAAAATAGAGCCAAATATACAACATCGTTCTAGAAGAGCTTCGGCCTGCCAAGCGTATCTTATCGCGAGAGGCTGCGTCTTGTGGAGGGGCTGCACGGTCTGTTGAGTTAGTAAAAGGGGCGCACTAACTTTACTCCGAAGGCTGTTCCCTTTTTATTTGCAGCAAAAATTCTGCACATTTGTTATAGTTACATGGCACCTTGATTATTTTGATTTCAGCCTCAGAAGTCTCAGGCCGTGAATTCAAATATATTAGTATCCGCTTGCACAGAACTGCACTATTCCCTAGAAATAATGTTATATAGGATATGAGATACGGTACTACCAATGATTCCAAGTACTATTATATCCTAGTCTGGTGTTCATTTGAATCGAATTGCCTGTTAAATACCCATACTTAATAATACATTCTAGGTATAATGTACTATGTAGTAACGTGGTGTGATATAAAGTAAGGATATAAGAATAGCATCGCGAGACACCGCAATCTCGAAACCGTCGCCTTTTTACGCCACAGCGATGCCACCAAATTAGCATGTGCATACGTAAGGACAGATATCGAGGAGTTAAGGAAGACCCCGGCATGGGTCGGCTCCCCAATTATCACTTAGTACGACTGTAACTTGTGTACTTGTTAAAATTAATTTACGCTGCTGGGTGGATTGGACGCATCGCCAGGGCCGGGAGCGGTTTCGAAGGGTGTGTGTGGCCTCGTTTGGTTTGTATTTGGCGGGAAGTGAACAGATTGCCCGTTCAAGCCCCATCTTAATATCTAAAGTCCTGACCACCACTGCACCACCACCACTACTCACTCCGATTATCATCACCATCAAGGTCCGCCGTGTCCGTCTCTTCCATAGATTACCTCCCCCCTATACACCCGCTGTCCGGGAATATTCTCGTCTCAAAAATATTGGTAAGCTTTCTCAATTGACGTGTATCCTTCGTATTTCGTTTTTATCCTTTTCTTGCATGACGTATATGTACCCGTACCTTCCAAGCTAACCTCGGACGCGAGTCTGTTTGAGCAAAAAGGGACCACGGACCAGCTTCACATCTCCCGCCTGAGAAGGCAGCACAACAGCCATGGCTACAACAGGGTACGCCGGTCAGGTCGACGGCGAACTCAAGAAGAGAGGGCCCGGTGAAAGCCAGGTTCCCCTCGTTCCAACAAGTCCGGATACCGATGCTAAGAAGAAGCAGCAGGCTGGTAAGCCTGCGAAGGTACGCTCGATCTGTCCCACGACTCCCAATTGGCCACAGTCATAACTAATGTGCGCTGCTATACAGAGTTTCATAGATGAATATGAACATGTCTTCGTTTGTTTATTATTTACAGCCGTCTCCATCTTCACTAGATTATGGAAGATTGGCTTATCTAATATCGTGACATGGGACGAAGCCCAGTACGTGATAGCTACGATATACCGTTTTATGATACCCCGGCTGACGTCGCCTCCAACAGTTTTGGTAAATTTGGTTCTCACTACCTCAAGAGGGAGTTCTACTTCGATGTCCACCCACCTCTCGGAAAGATGTTGGTGGGTCTGTCTGGTTACATGGCTGGTTACAATGGCTCCTTCGAATTCAAATCTGGCGAAACATATCCCGAAGAAGTCAACTATACTTTCATGAGAATCTTCAATGCTGCCTTTGGTGCCCTCTGCGTCCCCGTTGCTTTCTACACCGCAAAAGAATTGAAGCTTTCCAGATATGCAACCTGGCTTGTTACCCTGATGGTTCTCTGCGGTATGTGGGGTATTCTGATAGTTTACGGGTGCTTTTACTGACTCCATCAATTTAGAAAACTCGTACACCACCATCAGCCGTTTCATCCTCCTCGATTCTATGTTGCTCTTCTTCACTTTCACTACCATGCTCTGCTACGCCCGTCTCACCGCGCTTAGGAACCGCGAGTTCACGGGGCAGTGGTGGCTTTGGCTCATCCTTTCTGGTCTTTCAATCGGCTGTGTCAGCAGCGTCAAGCTCGTCGGTCTCTTCGTTACTGCTCTCGTTGGCCTCTACACTGCCGAGGACCTCTGGAATAAGCTTGCTGATACTAAGATGCCCGTCACAACCTACGCCGCCCACTGGGTCAGCCGCATCTTCGGTTTGATTATTCTGCCATTCTGCGTCTATATGCTCAGCTTCAAAATCCACTTCATCATCTTGGAGAATTCCGGCCCTGGAGATGCCCAGATGAGCTCTTTGTTCCAGGCCAATCTCAAGGGCACCGACTTCAATGACAGCCCGCTCGAAGTTGCTATCGGATCCCGTGCTACTCTCAAGAACATGGGTTATGGTGGTGGTCTTCTTCATTCCCACGTCCAAACTTACCCAGAAGGCTCCCAGCAACAACAGATCACTTGTTACCATCACAAAGATGCCAATAATGACTGGTTCATCTACCCCAACCGCAGCCAGAAAGACTACGAGGTCGGCGAGGATCTGAGATTCATCAAGAACAACGATGTCATCCGTCTCATTCACGCCCAAACCGGTCGCAACTTGCATTCCCACACCATTGCTGCCCCTGTCACCAAGGCCGATTACGAAGTTTCTTGCTACGGCAACACCACCGTTGGAGACGAGAAGGATCACTGGAAAATCGAAGTTGTCAGGGATGCTGCATCTAGAGATTACAGCAAAATCAGAACTTTGACCACCGCCTTCCGTCTTAAGCACCCCGTCCTCAACTGCTACCTTAGAGCCGGCAATGTTAATCTCCCACAGTGGGGTTTCAAACAAATCGAAACCTCTTGTGTCAAGGAGAACAACCCTCGAGACCAATACACCCACTGGAACATTGAAAGTCACTGGAACGAGAAGCTCCCACCAGCCAAGAAGGATGCGTTCAAGAGCCCCTTCTGGAACGACTTCGTTCACTTGAACGTTGCTATGATGACCTCCAACAACGCCCTCGTTCCCGACCCAGATAAGCAGGACGATCTAGCTTCTCAACCATGGCAATGGCCAATCCTTCACGTCGGTTTGAGGATGTGCGGTTGGGATAATCACAGTATGTTCCCCCCAAAAAATTTTTGCCTAGTGCGCAGCAACAACTAACGGGTACCAATAGTTGTCAAATACTTCTTGCTCGGCAATCCTGCCGTCTATTGGGGCGCATTTGCCAGTTTGTTTGTTCTCGGATTTATGATCCTTACCTACCTCGTTAGATTCCAGAGAGGTTTCCCAGACCTTACACAGGACCAAATCGATCACATCAAGTTAGCCGGTTTGTATCCAGCTATTGGATGGGTCCTCCACTTCATCCCCTTCGTTATCATGGCTCGGTAAGTGCTTCATAAAATCACAGATCAGATTGGACTTTTTGTGCTGACAATACCCTAGTGTTACATACGTTCACCACTATTACCCGGCCCTTTACTTCGGTATCCTTGTCTTCGGCTTTTGCTTTGATTGGCTCACCAACCTGCTCCCTACCAACGCTCGACTTGCCTCTTTCGGTGTCGCGTATACCATTGTTACCGGGCTTTATATCTACTTCATCCCAATCTGCTTTGGCATGGTTGGAGATGCAGCCGATTACGCCTATTTGAAGTGGTTCGACCGATGGAGAATATACGGTTAAATTGGAGGGGGTTGGAATTCTGAATATATTTATGACTAGTCTTGATTTATGACCAGGGTGTGGAATATTCAGAAGATGGGACCTTATGTCAGTAATACGGAGGGTCTGTTCAAAAAAATAAAAATGTCTTATAGGTCTGGGGAAAAAGTCATAAGGGAAACCCCAAAGAAAAGTTTTTTACTTTGCCAAACAAACATGTTAGCCTCGAGGCCAATCAATCCGTGGAGTAGTACTTATTGTCGTATTTGCTACTGAGAAGTCCACAAAGCCTCCTCTCCTTTTTCCCTTAACCTCATATCGCAAGGGTTTTTTTTTTCTTTCTCCTTTTAGCTGTTCCTCTCCTCCTTTTCTTTTATCTCTTTTTTCCTTTTCCTAATTATGTGGTCTATAAAATTTCACTGTCGATATTATCTATCCTGTTTCTCTTTTTCCTTTTCGGTTTACAAAGTTGTTTTCTTTCTCTCTTAGCTTTATCGTTACATAAAACATAAATAGGAAAAGGTCTTGATAATGATTTCTTTGGTTCCATAATTTAATCGATACCGGGTGCTACTTGCTTTTCATAAAGTGTACTTCTCTAATGGAGTGCTGCATCTAATGTTATAATCTTAACCATTATAATATACGCTTTTGGGTCCTCTTTCTTTTTCTAGCTAGGACCGAGAGAAGTAAAGTAGATCGATACAACTCTGAACCCGGGTATAGATATATATATAAAGAAGTGGTGTGTGATTTTGGTCCGTTGCCGGTGGTACTATCTACAGGTGTCGCAGAGAGGATATCAAATAAATACAGTAGAAATGTCGCTAGAATATACATATACACAAGAAAGAAAGAGAGTAAGAAGAGTAACCGCTTTTTTGATTTTCGTCAGTGAACTCCGGAACGCGAAAAAAAAAAATCCAAAATCAACCAGTTGATATATACAGAGATGAACCCTCCCACCTTATACTCTTTTGTTACTTTAGAGAATATGTGTGTAATTCCCGAACTAACTGACCGTCCCATGCGGCCTACCGCCGTCCCACATCCTCTCGAATGCTAGACCAGGTACTTGCTGCTTCTCCTCCAAGCTGCTCTTTGCCTTTTTCAGCAACCATTCTGTAAGTGTAATAACTTTTGAATGTTGCTGTACTGCTTCATCTCTATCCTCTTCCACGTCTTCAATGATATGGGTTTTTATCCTCCCCTTATCATCAAATTCAAAAATAAACAAGCCGCAGAAGTCACCGGCCAGTGTGAATCTTGGAAGCGAATTGGCGACGGCCGAGAGGGGATCTTCTTTCTTTGGTTCCGTGGATTTTGAAGATGGTGTTGTATTAGATGTAGTCGACGCCGTAGTAGGTTGTGTATCTCCGTTTCCGTTTCCGTTTCCGTTCCCATTAGGTGAGCCACTAGCCCTCCATTTAACGATCATTCGCTCCCCGGCTACGTTTTGCGGTCCATCATCTTCGTTCTCGATGGGATTGCCACCTTTTACCATCCTTATTGATAGGATTTCCAAACGGACTTTGATACCTGGTATTCGACCCCATACTACTGGTGATGTCCACAGAGCTGCTATGTATGCCATTCTACCGCTGACGGATGGGAGGTGTGGATGTGTCGATGGGAACAGCCGGAGGGCTATGGATGGTGAGAGGATTTCGCTTGGTAGAGGGGATTGGAGGAGGGTTGGGAGGCGGTCTTTGAGGATATCGATTGCTGGAGCGTTTAAAATTCATTGTTAGACTCTCTTTCAGCTTTTATTTTGTTTCAATTTTTTTTATTTCCCATGGTTTTGGAATGTTTTTTGGTAGATTTAAAGAAGGGTGACATACTCTTTCCTAGGTTTAATGTTCTTTCACTAACCGGGTCTTTGTCTTTCTCCGACCCAGCATTCGTAGATGAAAACAGTAACCCATTGAAAGGTGTAAGCCCATTGACCGTCCTTGTCGATAGAACGGAGAATATGTTGTCCTTTTTCGGTAGGTATGATATCCCTAGTACCTTCTCCCCCACCGCCACCCCCGGGTGTACTATACTTCTCGACGCCGCTGGCTGTAAGGGCGCTAGTGAGGATGTGTTATATGGGAACCATACTTCTGGTGATTGCTGTTCTTGTTGTGAATTTTCAGATAGTGGGTGATGAATCGAGGTGTCTACAGAAACATCGACGGATTGGCGAGTATCGATTCGTAATGCCGATGCTTGGGGGATGCTGGAGGTGCTAAAGGCGCAGGGTCTGCAGAGAACGAGGGAGTGGCGAGGTTTGAAACAGTGCATTTGGGTAGTTGCTAGTGGGGGGATTTGAGATGGTTTCGGTGATTCGACGGGGTATTATTGAAGTGACATGAGGGGTTGGAGATGTTTCTTTGATGATGATACCGAACGGAGGATGTCTTTATGAAGGGAGGATATGGATCTATATTGGTTTACGTTATGACGAAATTAAATGGAAGTTTGGATTGAAGGCGTTGTTGGAATTTGACTGTTCTGTTCTGCTCTGCTCTGCTCGCTTACAATCTACCGGGATTCCATTCGACGGACCGGACATGGCTCGTGCATGGTCATTGCATGGGTACAAATCTTATACTTATACATGGTTTGTACACATTCGAGATCTCGAGAATACTTCATGGCATATGATATATGATCATGCATGACGCATGTTATAAACAGTCATATTAAATATATAGATACTGTCGATAGTATATCATATCATCCACTCAATCATCTTCTTCAGCCATGAGCTCTGCAAGTTCTGCTTCCTCTTCCGCGGTCAACATGCTATTCGACCGACTTCTCCCAATTGCCCCGCCCTCGATCTCCTCGTCATCAATCGCACCTTCTTCATTCCTGTGGGCCTCTTCCACAGCAGCCTTGACATCTGCAGGTTCTAGGGACCACTTCCTGACCGTTGCATCCAATGATACGCTAATCAAGTCATTCCCGACCACTGAGATCGCGGTAACCACATCATAATGTCCTGAAAACTTGTGATACAGCTTACTAGTCTTGTATATTTGAGTTATCATTAGCCAAGTATCCCATAAATAATTAGTATAAAGAATGAATACTCACCCCAGCATCCCAAACCCTGATTTCCTCATCACTGCAAGCCGTAATGACCCACCTGCCCCCAACATCCATCGCTACATCATTCACAAAGTCCTTATGCCAAAGTTCTGTATCTGGATCAACTCCACCAGCACTACCCTCGCCCTTCTTCAATCCTTCCAAGGCACTCCTTTCAAACCGCTTAACAGTCATATCTGAACTCGCAGTCCACAAATCCTCTTCTCCTTCTTCACCCAAGAATCGAAGACTGTTTACACCGGTTTCGTGTTGAATAATCTCGCATTCCTCGGTTACCTTCGTCGTAGTTATACTCCACTTCTTGATCTCCCGTTTAGAACCAGCGCTGTAGAGTACAACTCTCTCTGGCGTAGATTCTACAGGATCTATGGTGAGGGCTTGGACACCCCTAGAATGTGACTTTAGAACGTGCAGCCTTTCTGCCGTTTCCGGGTTCCAGATGATTATTGATGCATCGGAACTGGCGGATATTAACATAGGTTTCGAAGGTAATATATCCGTAAAAACAAGTGCTTTGACGAAATCATTATGGCCCTTAAAGGTTTTCAAAATCGTCTTGTCCTGCGTGGAAAAGGCGTGGATGTTCTTATCCCATGAACCGGTATACAAAACCGACCCATCACGGCTTAGAGCCAATGATGTAACCGGCGCTGTATGTCCTCGGTATATCCTATTAGACTCTTTCGGATCCTTCATCAAAGAGAAGAAAAAAAATCATTTGTTAGCTTTCACTTCCTTAATATATAACTCGGTAACTACTAGCAGCAGCGCCTTCTTACAGACTTGAATATTCAGTCTTCTCGCCACATTCCCTGCTTCTGCAATATAAACATGTGCCGGCGACGAGGTATCAGGCTGCAAGGCCAGAATCTTGGTAGGCACGGTTATGGGCTGTCCTTTATCTTTGAGTTCCTTCTTCTTACGCGCTCGACGCTCGGCTTTCTCGAGAGATTGGCTACACACTCGGGTTAGTCTCATACATATTCAATATAAAATGGCATTACCGGGGATTTAAATATAGGAGCTTACTCTGATTGGAAGAAGTTACGGGGATCACTGGAAACTGACATCTTGACGGACGATGCAAGGGGAATGAAATCAAAAGTGAGGGGTATCACGCGTGGAAGAGGGGCAGTGAATGGTGGGATGTTCGAGTTAACGTTTTATACTCCAATGATGCATCCTTCGCGACAACCAACGCAGGATCCACGCAAAAAATAACATGGATTTGGTCTTCAATTCACAGGTGAATACCTAGTACTTAAGTAAGTGCCTATATCACATTGAAACCCCCAACGACCAATTCGACGAGATTATATATTTTAATAAACTTGGCTAATTGTATTGGATACCGAAAAAATAATAATTCATAGCAACTTAAATTATTAACAAACTGTGTGAGTATCTCTCAAACTAATCTCTATACGCAAACGGGCAGAAATCGTAAAATGCCAGCCAACATCCTCTTCTAAGTACCAAGTAGTAACTGTATACAATATATCCCAGACTCCAAATGTCTCCTCGAAAATGCATACATAGCAACAATAGTCTTCTAATCGAAAAGATTTTTTTTTTTGACTTCAAACACCCCGCCACACTTGCTTTAAAACATCTCCGCCCGTTTCGCTGATGCTGGCAAAATACGAAAGAAAATAACCCATGGCTTTTACCGAAGAATTTCGTCTGTCTCTTATTGCAATTTAACCTAATTCTGCAAATTTGGCCTCAAGTTCCTCGATCTTGCTAAGAGGGACGCAGGTTTGGTTCTGGCAGACTTGGACGATTGGTTTGGTCGCTGCGCTTTTGAGAATATCCTTCAAGATCTCGTTCTTCCCGGTGAACCATGTGATATCATCGCTCTTTTCGGTGGGGTCTACGACTATAATTGATGTATTCGTGAACAACTGTGTCCTGAGCTTCGCCCGGTACGCCGAGATAGTCGGGTCCGACTTCTTGCCCGCGATGATCACGGTTCCGGTCCCGAGGTTCAAGGCGACAACCGATGGTAGCATGGTTGAAAACAGGAATGGATGTTGCATCAACTCTGTTGAGAAGGCGTTGCACGTCTTAGAGGCCAGGAAGGAGAAAGAAGCGTCTCCAAGAAGGCTTCCGAGTTTGTACAGGTTTGCAGCTGATATGCCATTTGTAGATGGCTCAGCAGAGTCCAATCCTGTACATTATTAGTCCATGTAATGGAACGAGATGTTGGTTGTAATAGCAACACTTACCGTCCTTAAGCCTTAGGATCAAATCGGGCGCATCACGTTCTGTAGAAAAGAAACCACCTTGAGCTTCATCCCAGAACAGCTTTGTTTGCGCAGCTAACATAAATCATGCGTTAGCGATGTAACCGTATTATTGATGTTGCATTAATGCAAGGACTAACCTTGAAGGCTATGCGCCCAACGTAACCAACCCGCATCAAAAGTCGCCTCGTATCTATATAAATGTTAGTGTTAAGTCGGAGAGATTAAATATTGAATTCGAAACAGGGTATCCATACAAGGATATCAAACCATAAATAAGGTATGCATAGTCATCCGCAAATGCCTTCGTAGCCCCCGGAGTCTCCCGCCAAACACGCTTCAAACCAAGAGTCCTCTGGTCAAATACATTCTTCCTAATGAACTCAGCAGCTCGAATTGCCTGGTTGAGATAAAACTTCGACTTCTCAGCATCAACGATTTCAAGGGCGGCAGCAAGCCGGGACAAAGCAGCAATTGCAAGTCCATTCCACCCGGTCAGAATCTTGTCATCGAGGATAGGGCGTGGCCTTTCTCTTTCCCTGTATTCTCGGAGTTTTGCTCGCCCGTTCTTGATCTTCTCAACGATGGCGGTTTCGCTGAGCCCAAGCATGGAGCCAATCTGGGCTGGGGTTTGAGATATCTGTAGAACATTTTGATGTAGAAATTCATCGTGAATATCCCTCGCCGGGTCGACATTGCCGTCCGTTCTAACACCCCAGTACTTAGAACAAACTTCTGCATCCTGTTCGCCTAGAACTTTGATAAACTCTTTCTTATCCCAGACGTAGAAAGCGCCCTCTACATAATACACATTAGTAATGTATTCTATACGGCAGTTAAGATCGACTATATACCTCTCTTCTCGGTATCACCCTTTCTCGCATAGGAGTCAGCATCCTCAGCGGAATAGAAACCACCATCCTTATGACTCAGCGGGCCCGAGCACAAGTAGTCGGCCGCATCGAGAGCTGCATCGAGCATCTCCCTGTCTTTCGTCAACAGATATGCATCAAGATACACAGATATCAACTGAGCATTATCGTAGAGCATCTTCTCAAAATGAGGGAGACTCCAATCCGCAGTGACAGAGTATCTTTCAAAGCCATTTCCTATATGGTCATGAATCCCACCGCGACTCATATGCTGTAATTATATTATCAGTATAACTTTCACCCTCGTCCTTTGTAAATATGCTTTATCCCCTCACCCTCAGCGTTGTCACTGCCATAAACTTGGCTCTTTCGCATTCAACGTCGCCAACCACATCCTCAACGACTGATGACAGGCTGCTCAACCTAAGCAAGAAGGCAAGATTTGTTGGAGTGGGAAACTTGGGCTCGGTGCCAAATCCGCCATGCGTGGTGTCATAGCGGCTAAGGAAGTGCTGGTATGCCTCCTCGAGTAGATCGATCTCGAGAATCTCTGCCCCATCCTGGTTGCCGCCCTGCTCCTTTAGACCCTCGTCCTGTCCAGTAGGTCAGAATCGGTATCGCCACACACACTGCTAACAGACAAAAGAGTACGTACTGAGAATTCTTTGAGCTGCTTCAGAATATCCTTGGCCGATGCAAGACATTTATCCTGCTGTTCCTTCCAACTATACATATTCAGTTAGTCTTAGCTTCGCCATACGAATATTCCAACTAGGCGACCATACACTTTGACAATCTTATCAAGAACCTCGACAAATCCAATCTGGTCCTTCATTGACGGTCCATCGGTAGCATTTGGCCCAGGCCAGTATGTCCCACCAAAGACTGGTTCAAGATTTGGGGTTAAGAAGACGTTGAGCGGCCATCCTCCAGAACCCGTCGTCGCTTGGACCTAACCGACCAATTAGTCAGGGTCGGATCCCATGGGGGTATGTATCGATCCAGAAGGCCCACGTACATAGTTCATGTAGATCCTATCAATATCCGGTCTTTCCTCTCGATCAATTTTGATAGGGATGAAGTTATCATTGAGAATTTTGGCGACATAGGCGTCCTGAAAACTCTCTCGCTCCATTACCTATCCTAGCGTCAGTTTCAAAGTCCTTCTGTGAAGATCGAAGACTAAGTTTCGGATTATACGGAGGCATACATGGCACCCTACAAGTGATCGAAGAGCTAGAGTTAGCCTTCATTTCGCCGCCATCGAGGAAGGATGAGCTCCTACAATGACAGGCAGCATATCCACTGCTCAAAAATATCAACCGATTCTCACTCTTCGCCAGTGCCAAACTCTCAGGGGTCCATTGTTGCCATGCTGTCAAATTATTGGCGTGGGAGCGGACCTAGAGCAACGGTTCTCGCCAGTCAGCAACCGTGACATTTTGCCCCGCCATGGATCTCGAAACGTGGGGGCGGGGCTTAATGGTTTTAAAACGTAGATGAACGTACGTATGGGCTGGTACTATTCGCAAGCTGGTTGACAAGCTTGAGTTTCGATTTACCGCTATCACCGCTTTGGAGGGGTATCGAAGTCGCCATGCTGATATGATGGCCTTTTTTTTTTTTCGGACCGCGGCAGGGTGAATGCTGTTTGATGCGAAAGATGGAAAGTGGATTCGGCGAATGGCGACTGGGATGTTGTAGTTTTCTTGGCTTTTAAGTGGAATGTGTGTTGAGACCTCGGAAGGATCTTGATTACGACAACAAGATGGAAACTAGTAGATCTAGCGATATAAATGTAACAGCAACAGTTCCAAGGAGGAGTAGGATGGTGGAGAATAATGAGGGGGAGGAGTGGCGGTTGGGAAAAAGTCTCAGAACTCGGTGTTTTATAATGTCTCCGGACTCGTTGACGTCGAGCCAAGTTAGACTTTACAAGCAAGCTGTCACATTAACAATCATTAAGTTCTTGCTTGTCCCCGAAACAGCAAAGACGACCCGACAGCTACCACTAAGCTTCGACTATAGTTCCCCTGCAGGTTGATTGGGACGGGTGCCGGACCCATTCGGCGAGCTATTGCGCAAGAACCTCGTTACGAACGTATGACGGTCTTCCCTACGAACCCAATTTTTTGACATATCGTTTTCTGCCCAGGGAAATATACTCTTTGGGATTCTGAAAGGATTTGCCGAAGCTAAGCCTGTTGAACTTCGTTCTGTGGTTTGACCGAAATAAATAAATGGTTGTTTGCATTGCAGTGGATGCACATGCAGACGTGTGTGCGTATGCACGTCAAGTTAGACGGTTAGCCACTATATTTGGACTTAGTGAGCCAGCTGCAGAGCCGTAGTACCCCTAAATTAATAAAAAACAGCCTAAGGTTGCAGTACAATGAAATAGTATAATCTGACAGCGAACCGGCGCTGCCAATAAATCTTGTATATCTCATGCATCCCTATGTTACAGGTAACTCCAGGTGACAACATGCAGCGATTGTATGGACATAGTCGGGTCGTGACGTCTCTCGCACTTATGATACAGTTCTCATGTCTTCAAATCACTTGAATTCGCTACCGCTAATGAGATGCACTGGATAAAAGAAAAAAAAGGAAGTAGTAATACATAAGAAGAAAGTGAATTAACATAAGGAAATGCACAGAAACAAGGATGTTTTTAAACAAAGGGTTATCCGCAAGGAAATAAAGGTGACCACAGAAGGAAAAATGAACTATTTCACAAGACCCCCCAGGTCACTTAGAAGAGTGAAGTCCCTGAGTCGGTACAAAAAGGGTCCTTATAACCTCCAGTGTAAAGAGATCATTTGGAAAACGAATTTAAATTTGTTTATCCGAGATGGAATTTTTACATCTGGACGTTTTCGGTGAAGTACTGGCCGTTGTTTCCGACGACGTTACCGGGGGTCCTGTACTCGCACATGAGGTACTGGCTGCCACCGCACTTTCGGTTGTAACAACCGATTTCAGAGGTAGCCTTCCAGATAAGTTGGGTGAAGTGACCGGTAGACATCTAAAATATTGTTAGCATATGCTGAGACAAGAGGGTATTCAATTCGAGTGTTATTTACCTGGAAGCCTGGGGAGGCAGCATTGTATTGGTTCTTCTCTTCGTACCAAGCGGTGATAGCAGCTTCGACACTATCATAGCCGAAGGCAAGGTTCTCGCCGTATGGACCGCCAGAGTGATGCATGGTGCAGTCTCCGGTGTTCGCCTCGGCATGTGAGGCCAACTCTGTGCTCCAGACGAGTGCCTTAGCACCGTGGGCAGCTCTGAACTTGTTGTGGGTCTCGAGACACTTCTGGTCATCACCGACTGGGGCTGGGGAGACTGGAGCCGGTGCTGGGGCTGGGACAACAACTGGAACAGGTGATGGCTTTGGAGCCGGCTTAGGGGATGGAGCTGGGGCGTTGTAGACTGGTGGTTGGTAGGCTGGAGTCTCAACTGGTGGTGGGACATAGACGACTGTGGTCGCCTTTGGCTTAGGAGCAGCGTGCTTTGTCCTTGGGGCAGTTTCGGTGACATAGACAGTCTTGGTGACAACTAAGTCAACATATTGGACAGTGGTGTGCTTGTTGACCTTGCGAGTGCATTCCTTAACAGGATAAGCTAGGGCGCTGGCAGCGAGCACAGCGATGGAGAGGATGACTGAACGCATTTTGATGGGTTTAGAGGGTTGATTGGTTGCTGAAGCTAATTGAAATCGAGGATTCTATGAATGTGGGATTTGGAAAGTGACCAGGCACGTAACCAAATGAATTAATCGTCGATACAATCCGTCAAGGAAGATGAGACGATGGTGTTTCTAGGAAGGTAAGGAGAACGTTCTAGGAGAAAGAGGTTGATGTTAGAAAGGATCATGTCAAATTCGTCATTTTGGTAGGTGGTGAATGTATGGATTGTCGAGGAGAGGTAAGTATGTGTTGTGCCGTGTTGCATATTTGCATTGGCAGTGAAACAACTCGAACTTGTCTTCGAGGGTTAAGTTCCAGGTACCAAGAATTGAATATCATGTCACATACTATATATGTATGTCACATCACATCCATGTGGTTGATTATTTTAAAATAAAAATATAGACAATTGGAGGAATGTAGGTGTGTGTATATAATATATAATGCATCCTGCATATAGGGAGGGCACCGCAGAGTTTAGAACTTACAAATCTTAGTAAAAGAAATAACGACTGCAAAAGACCTGTTGAAATTTGACAAGAGACACCTGGTCGACTACTGGATTGAACCTGATCCAAAGAATCGCTACAATTTACTGAAATAGAAATTGAAGAAAGAAGCTTCGAACAATAAATAAATAGAATTCAACCTCGTCAAGAAGTTAAGTCGTAATGGAAGACAAAATAAAGTTATTTGGAAATATCGAGCAGCTTGATATAAAGGAGTGTAATTGGTGTTGATTCCGCACGAAGGAGTGTAGCGCTAAATCCAACCCAGTGATCGAGACCAGAAGCCTGCTTGAAGTTTTGAAAAACAAAAAACCGTCGGTTGATGGCTTGAAGAGGAGGAGGAGAGAGAGGAGAATAGAAAAGAGAGGCGCAAACTTGTGCAGCAGGCCGATTATTTAAAACAGGCGGCGCTATTGGGAACCAGCGAGCGATTCCCCTGGCTGATTCTGCTTTGACTTGTTGTACCTTGTACTGTGTGTGTGCACTGTATTGGACTGGCTGTTTGGGCTGCTTGGCTGTATGTCCGGTTATGGTTGCAGTTGCAATTGCGGTGCCGTCTGACAATATGAACCGCTGTCAGTGTGTCTCATCAAGGGGCTGATTAACCTTTAGGGGAGGATGATAGGTTACGCAAAGGACAAGGCCCCCGAATCAATTGGACTCAATCCCTTCATTTAATATCCTTGGGTTTTTCTTTTGCGCAGGGGGTGAAAGAGAGGTTGGCTCTTGCGACTCTCTAGTGCCTTGGCCCAGGCCCAGGCGGGCGTCTGGATTGGCCCCAAAGTGATGGTTCCTTGCAGCCCGAGAGACCCAGACCTCATGCAAATGCATGCACCGAATCGACCATTTGGAAGCCAGCACATGTGCCCTGCGTACCTGCCTCCGGGGATTCTCATCCCGCTTCCCATCGATTCGATGTTTTGTTGAGATCTACGCTCGTTAACGGGGTTGGACATCATGGACTTGCTCTTCAAAGATCACAACAGCAAAGAAACACTGCGGTACGCGGTGGAAGTGGCGTCTGTTCATGCACAACGATAACCTTGATATCGTGTCGAGCTGTGAGCTGTCCGCCCAGGCTTAACCACTTAGCAGTAGTCGATGGTTAGCTGGGAGGTTTGAGAGCTGTTGTGGAACGAAACAAAATGTGACACTCGATGTCAACAAGCGTCGATATAATATTGATATCCCTCGCTAACTGGGACGGTTGACAGACTTTGCAATCGACCGATGAGATCCCGTCTTGCATGACCAGCGCCTGGGCAGGAGTACGTAAAGCGAGGAGGCGAGTGGCTGGAGGGGGTTCACGATGTTGGGATCCGAATCAGAACAGCACACATGGCAGTCGTGAAACGATGTTTGAAGCTATCAGCTGGGTCGACGTCAGTCCGTTTGAACATTTGCGTTGGTTGGCTGTTGGTGTAACAATCGGCCGTGTTCCTGATGATCTGGCCCATCCCAACGCACCGCATTTGGTATCGTTGGAAGTTCCAATCCTCGTCGATTGTCTTTCTCATCTCCTCCTGACATTGTATTGAGCTCCCCCCAACCAGCATCCCAAATCAACTAACCTCGAGATCTCGTCACGACGAAAACTATATGTATTATTCATGGAAACTCAAAAAAACTCAAAAAAATTCAGAAGGCTGTTCGTAGCTATAGCCCGTCCCGCTATAAACTCCGCTGCAGCTCTCCATCACATTCGAACGCCTCACCGGAGGCGGAAACTCGAGCCTGGTGTGATCTTAATCACATCCTAAAGCTTCGATTGTCCTATGTATATCAATACCTATTCTTCTCATCAGAATCTTAGGAGGCTGGTGCTTGTTCCTGCATGTTTCCCGATCCACCGCTGGCCGAAGGTGACTTCCCATGCACAGAGGTAACCGTCTACTGCACAGTACTCTATTCTCGTTCCTGGCTTGGGAAGACCTGCAGGGTCAGCATGGTTTTGTCTTGACTTGCGGGGTAAACGAGAATGCTGACTGGTCGGTACCAGCGAACCCTGTCCAAGCCCTGTTCTCTACCAGGATTCCGTTTCAGGTTGTCTTGCGCCCGTTCCTGGGAAAGCTCTCTGTTTAGAGGCCTTTCATCACCGGGCATGAAATCAGCACTTAAGCCCCGATCAGAAAAGGGGCAGACCGCAGACGCTGCGGCTTTTTTCCTTTTCTTTCTTTTTGTCGTTTTAAGCATAAAACTTCCAAATCGGATATCAAAGGATGTTGGATCGATTCGAGAGCTTCCTCGGTATGCAAAATGTGATAACAAAATGGAATCTGGCTATCGACAGAGGTCTCTGATAGTTGATGCTTAGGAAATCGGACATTCGTACCTGCCCGATTCCAAAACCCGCTATCCCATTGAAAGAATTTGAGTTCGGGTATCACTATCGATGGTGCATACATGTCGATCATGGCTAACGGAATGCCAAAAAGAATCTCGCTACCATTACCAGCTTTTGCACTTCACTCACGATGGAAAGGAAGTTCTCCGAGACCCAGCCATTTGGAAAATTCAAAAAGGGTTGGAAATCGTAATAAACTGGCTGACCTGCCTGTTTTCCTTCCTTCCTTCATATTTCCATCTTGTTAATGCAAAACATCGATTACCGATCAAGCCATTCATTCTTTCTTTCCATGAATTCCTTCCCGCGTCATCAATCGGGTTCTGCCTACCGACATACAATTAATGGGAAACTGCGGATTACTCCTCGTGCAACTTGACAAATCCTTTGACGTAACCCCGGCTTTTCTTTCTCATTCTCTTTGAAGGAAGTTTGCGTCTCGGTAGCACGGCCGGGCCTGCAAGCACGCTCAGTAAACATGTTTGAAGATGTCTCTCTGAGCTCGAGCGAGAGAGGGAATGCCATCCAGAGAGTGAAAAAATAAAAAGCGCCAGCCCTTGCAAATTAGCATGTATCATCGTGAAACGCTCACAACACCCAATCACAGCTCCCGTACAGGTGCCCCAACCGCACCGCCCAGGTGCCATCGGAGAGCTCGAGAACAGAAATTTTTAATTTAAGAATCTTGGGCTTGCAGCTTGTCAAAAATCGACAATATGCAGACGTCAAATCAAAAAGACAGGCGTTACGTATTAGCGGTGGGTTGCTTGCAATTGCAAATCGATCTAAGCGACCAAGCTTTTCAGAAGGTAACATCGCCAAATGTTTGTGGAGATTCAAAAGACACCAAAAATATGGAAGATTCGAGATTTTGTGGAGATTCGACCCTTACTTACATGTAAACCTCCCCCTTTCGGATTCTAAAATTACACGATCACAGGGCACGCGGCTCTGGGCGATTAACAGTCATCTCATCTTCCTATCAAATCAAACCTGCCATGGTAAGATGGAAAAGATAGCACCCAAGCTTTTATGCGATTAATGCACACAATGCCATTCTCTTCGGATTTAGCAGGTGGGATATATTCAGCAGCTAGCGGGCTGTCAGAAACCCCCATTTTTAAAAACATGCATCCATCTTATACTACTTGGGATATATGCGCCATCGCTTTCGCCAATTGGTCCTAGACACTCCTATTTTTCGACACATGGTTTTTTTGGCGTAGACCGTAAACAGCCATTCAGCGACAAAATGTGAATGCACCAAGCTGAAAAAACTCACAAAGGGCGGTTGGTTTGAATTAATTTCGTATTCGAATATTCTTTTTGGCCTCTAACAACTAGATTACTCTCTGGATGAGTTCTTTTGCGGAGAGCTTTGTTCCGCTGTTTCCGTAGATTAGAAAAATTAAAATTGATACCGGTTCCAAGACCCGAAAATTATCAATATCAAAGTCTTGTTATACTCACTCCAGACTTCGTAAATGAATTCCAAGAATCTTAGGTCTGTCTGCACATATTACATATTGGATGAAAGACCCTTTTTTTTCTTGTTTATCCCCAGGAAAACAAGAATTAAAGTCTGCCCCGCCAGATGCCATGCCCCATAATTCCTGTCGACAAGCAAGCAAAGCAGTCAGTTCCGCGTCGCCCCTTTAAAGCTTGTGGGAAATAAGGCCTTGTGGGGTTGTACGACACCATCCCTTCCAATCATCATAGACGAGTGGCAAGGATTCGCCCGTGGATACTTTATTCGAAGGGAATTAAGGGATCTTCGGACACGGCTTCGAGTGCCCGGGAAAGAGGTCGTTCTTTCTTCCCTTTCCTTTCCTTTTCGTTTTGAATTCTGCCTGCTGGATTAATCGAATTCAAGCGATAGCCGAAAGGCTTCAATGTAAAGGCCTCATTTTGATTGCCTTTTCCACCCAACGGGTTAACAATTGCGTAGATCCCGATGGCTTTCACTTCCCTGCTCCTTGATCAATATTGAATGAATCGATTCACGTGCAAGTGCAATTTTAAAAAAGACCACAAGAAAGAATCAGGACTCGAGTTAGCTTACGTCAACGGATTGTGCACTATCAGCACCGCCTAGGTTACATTACAAAGTGCCACACGCGCCCGCTGGTAAAAAGTTCATGATCGATCGTCTATGTATAATACATCTGCCCTTAAGGCCTTTCTAAACCCAGAAAGAAAGGAAGAAAGGAAGAGAAAAAAAAAACACCGCTCTAGGTATAGAAAGACATTCTCCAATTACCCAGCCAATCCCCTTATTCGATAAAAGGGATAGCCTTAACCGCCATATCTTAGCTCTTGGTGGCGATCATATTGCAAGTGTCTCTCGTTGAAGGAAGCCGAGAATCTGCAATGGAACCCCCTTCTTTCACCACTCAGGCCGCCAACTTTGCCTTAGCCCGAGCCCTGATTGTCATACTGTAGAATGCATCTTTGAAAGCAAACAGGAAAGCTGCTGTAATAACGGATTGGAGTAACTTAGGCCCAACGCCCTTGTATAATCCGCTAACTCCCTCCTCGTCTACAATCTTCTGCAGACTCCCAAAAACGCTTGGGTCCCTATCGGCCTTTTCTGCGACATGCATCCGCGACTTGACGGTAATATATGGGTATGTGATACCCGTAGCAAAGAGTTTGCCAATGGCACCCAAGTAGAAAGCATCCATAGGTGCAAGTCTTCTTCCTTTCTTCTTCTCAACAAAGTTCTTGAGCTGCTCGAAGATGGTATATTGGAGGATGGGGTTAATGACAAGCACCAACGCTGGAATAACACCGGCGAAAAGGGCTTTGAAACCCTCGTTCTTGAGCAGCTGTCGAAGAACACCAAATGTTCCAAGCGGCTTTGTTGGCCGCGGGTTCTCAAGAGTAGGTAGGTCGGAGGACGCCTCGCTCTTGCGAGCTGTCATGCGAGTATTGACGACCCTGAACCAGACATATTAGCATTTCTTTCTTTATCAATTAATATTACAAAGCAAACTCATATAGGCTTCATATCATACCAAATAGGATTTGTGAGCAATACAGTTGCCGACCCAGCCAAAGCTCCAGCTGCCATGCTCTCCAACGTTGACAACTTCTTTCCCAAGCCTCTCCTGACATTGGCATTCTCGAAGGCCCCTCGGGAGAACTCATACCCTAAAAAAACGTCAGAAACCCATACTTTCTTCTTTATATAATCACAGCAACGTACAGTAGTAGTACACAAAATTCGTCACACTGATCCCAAACAGGGCCGACTCCAATCCGGCATATAATCCAGAAACACCTTCACGGGCGATAATCCTGCGAACGGCATCAAGAACCGATGTTTCGGCTCTCTTGGCTTCGACTTGAGACCGGGTAGACAGGGTGATAAGTGGGTAGGTTAGGACCATGGAGGCAATGCCACCACCTGTGTTCGAGTTAGCATTCCCAGCTAGTACAATGGATCCAGTTGTGCGTGAAAACACATATAATTGGACATACCAGCACCTATAAAGCGAGCAGATCATTAGTTTTTGAAGCCGAAATAATATAATTCTAAAAGACGTTTTATCCATACCTGCAATAGCATGGGCGACGTTATCAGACATCTTGGAGATTGTGGCGTTCAGTGATTCGTAGATTCGCGAATTCGTATAGCCCTGAAAGTAGATTTGTTATGACGAAAACAAAGGAGCGTCAAGAAACCCGTCGTCAAGAAAATATGGGGAAATGAAGAAGTCAGTGAAAGTAGCAGAAGGCAGTTCACGTTCAAGTCCAAGTCCCAGTTTAAAAGTTCGAGGAAGACGTCAACGTTAATGCGTTCCTAGCGTGTCGGCAAATCATATGGCATCGAATAGACCCCAGTTCCTTCTTTTGGTAGATGCTTGGATGCCCCGGAATTTTGCATGTGGCAGGCGAGCGCGAATCGAGGAAGGTCGGCAAGCTGCCTAACTTCGATGTTCAAATCCCCCTTCCATTTTCAACCTCGGTTCCTGTTTCCGAACTGTCCAACACACAAACGACCACAGCTTCGGGGCGAGAATTAGGTATATCACACCTATCATGAAAATCGAAATTGTTGCCGCCTTTGAAGCTTTGCGCAGCAGTATGGAGATATTCTTTCATGTCATCATCCTTTCATTTATTTCCATATCCAAGAAGTGCGATGCGGTGTGTATATACGTATATTGAGCACAAAAAAAAGGAAAGAGAACTTTAAAACAGTACAAAAAGTTCAATATCCAAAATGTCGCTACCTCCCTGTAGGCGGCACAGCCGGTAGTGGTGGACGTTTTTTGGAAGATATTCTAGGAATGGGGAACCAAGGATGATAGGACCCTTGGTCAATCTCAACTTCGGCATCTGCTACCGTATTCGTTTTAATCGCTTTTAATAGCATGACAATAGCAACACCTGCCCCGATGCAAGAACGGAGATACTCTCTCAAATTCTAGTATTGGAGGATATATTATTAGATTACGAAACTTTAGAAGCTATGTGACGGATAGAAACCTACCAAGCGATAACCTTCTTCACAGAGTAATGCGTGCGAAGAAGTGGCGCTCATCTTACTCAGGAGATCGAAGTTTTTCCTCCCCTCTTTTGTGTTTTCCGACGCCATCTCGAGCATCTCGATTGTCTAATTTTAACATGAGATTAGTCTCGTGATCAATACGGTTTCATTGAAAATCTTACCTCGATATCGGGGTTATCGACAAGAGCCTTGAAGTCCTCAAAGGGAACAACATCTGGACATCCAATTGTCAAAAATGGCTTCATCCGTAATTCATACCGCATAACATCAGTAGAATAAGGTTGCGGAGGCGTCTTCACAAGTCCAAGTCTTGCAAGTGCCGTGTACAACTGTGAATTTGATATCAGTATCTTTTCCCATAGAAGGGACGAAGGAGTATCCTTACGAAAATCATTGCGCTACAAAGTTCCTGCAGGGCGGCGGCTTCAAGTAAGGTGAAGTTCACTGTAGCTTGGGCATTCGCGATATCCTGTGCTGAAGCAATGCACTCCTTTGATCTCGTGGCTGCTAATGGAGAATCCACGGCAACTCCTGGGTGAACAAAATGCCGTATCCGTTCCAAATGTTGCAGGCGGGTACGTAAGAAGTATTGAAGATACCTGTAGAATATCTTTAGTACCCTAGTAATAGTTTTAGGTTATTGCAGTTTGAAATAACGCACCAGTACATTCCGGCAAATTCATGAGGTAAATAAACCTCCAGTTCAAATCCCAGGAAGATAATCCATTCCATTTGCCTTAATTTATAGTGATAAACCCATGAAGAGAGTGAAAACGCATAGGATATATTATCATTATGCAGAACAGGCTCTTCCTTGATAAGTTGCTGTAATTCCCCGTCTATTTCCTCGCACTGATAGATATTAGAGAAGGATAACTGAAGAGGCGTTATTCAAAGAAAACTTACCTCTATTTGCAATGCATCCCAGTCAACAATTAGGTGGCAAAGATTCCTTCTTAGCCTCGAGCGATTCTGGCAGATAGTTCGGTAAAGGGTAATGTACGACTATATATCATTAGTCGTGACTCAAAACGCTGACTTTTTATATAACGACATACATTTCCGGCTCGCTCAACGAACCATTTCATCCGCTGGTGGATCTGAAACCGAGTATCTGATGGCATTTCAGAAAGTTCATTTCGAGGATCAAAAAGGTCATCCGCTGGTAGACATAATTCTTTGACGTCCTCGAGGAGGATATGGCTTATCTGCATACGACCCAAAGCCACATGATTACTGAAAAACAAAGTTTGTAAGAGTGATCTAACATATGTTGACGGCTGCGGCTTGCGAGCGGTGAATCTGAGAAAGAAAGTCTATACCATCCCTTGTTAGCTCGCAACTTCGGATTGGTACCATGTCATTAGTACATACCATAAGATTCGTAGCACCAGAGTAAGTCAAGACCCTCAAGATCTCCTTGGCATCCTTACACAACCTCGAAACTATAGTGAATGCCTCTTCGAACGGAATCTGCACTATCGGGCGCGGAGGGACTGTGCTAGCTAGTTTCCTCTGAACAGCGATACTGAACACTGAAGGAACAGCTGTGCCTAGGTTCCGTGTAATGCCAATAGTTGATAGCAAGGTTATACAACCATCCCAATTCGAGCGCTTGTCAACCATCTCCTTGACATCTCGAGATAATTCCGTGAGAAATAGCTTTCGAAAGGCTAGACGGGCCTTAAGTGCCATTTTGATGTTATTAGGCCATGGCGCTGCGGTGCTATCGACATATTCAATGGCAGAGACTAGAAGTTTATTGATCTCGGCGACGGTTATGAAGTCTAAGAGTGAAACGTTATAGGTTTGTGTTACGAAGTCTTCTTCCTAGCGAAGAGTAATCATTAAGCAATGCGGCCAAAAGGCATTCCTAGTTGTTGTTGTTGGTGGTACTAACCTCGTAAGTATGCTCAGCAAGAATCTGGAGATTGACACGTTCGCAGCATTTGATGAGACCGACACAGTATGCTCGAAGGACTACGTGGAGCAGTTGATATGTTGGGGATCCCGGTTGATGGGTCTCCGAAGGTGGTAGATTGAACTTGGCTTCTTCGAGGCTTGAGGGGTTCAAACTCAGTAAATTGTCGATATACAAGCAGGTGAAAACGGTTTGCGACAAGGCAGCGCCGTCATGCCATGACATCTGGGTTCAAAGTTACTATACGAGTTTCTGCTGACTTCTATTTGTCGATAACGCACCTCGCTCGATAGTAATTGATCCATTATGCCAATGATTTCCTCGGGGAGCACAGGTTGATATAGTTCCGACGGGGTATCATCTTCGCCCGGTTTAAGCAGGCCGCTGTCCATCTTCGGGTCCATTATCTAAGAGGATTGGTAAGTACAATGATGCAGTTTCATATTCGTAGTTATTGAAATATCGAACCTCCAAAGCGCCGACTGCCTCAAACAGAGTGAAGTTTGGATCTTTTACCAACTGCCCCACGTCCAGACCTACACGATTGGAATATCAATAATTATATTCTACAAAGATATATTATATCATAGTTTGGTACCTTGACAGGCCTGCCGAAATAGTTGTGTCACATCCCTATAGCTTGTGGATGAAGGTGACGATATCGTCGTAGTAGTGATTTGATTGCCCTCGATGGACTTCTCGGACACGTGGAGACGTGCAAACGCTATAATATCCGATATCAGCGTGCGAAAATTCGACATATCAGGAATAATGAGATGAGTTTACGATCAAGCACAGGGAATAGACCGGGAGGGCAAGAAATACTGACCGTCGTTAAAGCCCCCGCTATTGTTCGCCATCTTAGGTATCCTGGTGATTCCTCTGGAAAATGCACCGGATGGTAGTAGGGCTTAATTTTTGTCTCGGGCAACGGACGGGGGAAGCGTTTATGGCGTGTGTGGAGCTTATCAGCTAATGGAGTTCGGGATTCGATTCGAAAAGATGCATAAAGATGGTAATGGTATGGTTGTACGTAAACTCGAACCAACGGTCGACAGCTCTTAGCTTGCTTGTTCTCTCCGAGTCAATTAATTGTCCCGACAGGCCAGGCCAGGCCAGGGTACTAGCTACTTAAGTACTTAGATGCTTAAGTACCTAGTATACTACTGTCGGTGGATGATGCATCATACTTCGTTGGTCGCCGCATTGGTGGGGGCGTCGCTTTTGACAGCGCTCATTTGTTGGATTATTTCTGCCCCTCTTGAGCTCTGCTCTTCAGCCAGCCTCCAGTCTGCAGCAGCCTGAGAATCAAAGGCACCAATCGGGCTCGGTACTGACACTATCTAGTATTTTCACTTTAAATACTATATGAAAGCATACGTAAGATGAATCTAGGCTATATTAAATCCGGAAGGCGACCCTGTCATGGCAATTTTTTTGCGAAGCCGGAGTTCGGAATACAGTGCATATATAGATACGATTACCAAAGCGGGATACCTGGAGATACCAAATCAAGCGTATCTACTGGATATTGGGCTGGGGGCAGTTAAAGTGTAGCAATAAATCACTATCCAACCTAGATAAGTATGCGGATGATATCCAATATCATGGACAATAGATGGTTTGTGTGTAGAGTTCTTTTTGGCCAGGCTCGTGGTTGACAGATAGCAGTGTCTGCCTTTTATATTTCAATCCATTTTATATGTACAATCCCGTAGCCCCGCATCTCCAAAATGCTCGTATGTACTTTCTCTATGCATCCTTCAGAAAATTTAATGAGACTGTCGGTTATTTTCCATCCTCGGCCATTTACTGTTCGGAGTTACCCAAGTACTTGGCCTCCTGTTGCTTGCCGTTCTATAATGAGCATATAGTTAGCACCCGATTCTATTTATCGATGGTACCCACGCGTTCTAGAAGTATCGCTGATTGAGGGTTGTAGATTGGGGATATCCACTGGGATAGAGTATCAGCCACGTACCTCCCATCTGGAAACCTTCAATTCGTTCCCGCTTCGTCGCTCGGCAGCGACACGAGCCTGTTCCTTCAGACTTTTTCGGATGGCCTGAGCGGCGATCGAGAGGTACTTGTTGTAGCTATATAGTTTCAGAATGATATGTCAGCCAATTGAGTCTTCGGAGACAGCGGTGGAGGAGATATCGGCAATCGGGATGTGTTCGGGAGTCGTAGCTGGATAAGGTAGTACGTACCTCACGCCGGCCTGTTTCCACGCGAATGCCATGATGGTTATGGTAGGTTAGGTGAAGAATTGAATATGAAGGAACCGATGAGGTTTTCGGGTTTGGAGGTATGGATGGTGGAGGTGAGGGTGAGGTTGCTTGACCGATGATGTCGACGTTTGGACTGCTAAGGTTTTTGGCGGACCAGCGGTAATTTTCCGCATCGGTATCTCCACCGCCCAACACAAATAGGCTTGCACTTGTACCTGATCTAGCAGCCGCCACTAAATTTAAACATACAGCGAGTTTACGACGGTTGATGATGGTCTCGTAGGCTGATAACATGATTTACAGCAATTTAATGAGAAAAAAAAGAAGTAATTGAGTGTGTATATACTATAGCCATTCATCCGAACGGACTACGTTTTGAGGATTAACTGTACAAGAATTTGAAAAAACGAGACGTATTTTTCAAGGCATGATTTTAGGGAAACTCAGCATGCGGAGGCAAGCGTCGCTAGCTGTAGACTTAAGCAATAAATGATCTATGTGGGGCAAAATACTTTATACATTCAAGCCGATATCAGAGGCGTATGGGAGGATGTGAAGGTCACCAACGGTACCAACGGCGGCCTTGCCGGCAAGAATGGTCGAAGCGGCCTATATTGCAGAATAGTTAGGGTGGGAACAAAAGAGCTCGAAGTTGGACTATCACTGACCTTCTTGACACTATCAAGGGTAACGCTCTCCAAAGACTTAATGGACTCCTGAACTTGTGGGATCTTGCCAGTGGTGATAATGCTTTGACCGATCGACTCCAGTGAAAGAGCGTTTTCCTCAGCGGCAGTGTAGAAATCAAACTTGGCATTCTGGATAGCTCGCTTGAGATCTTCAGCAGTGATGCTTGATACACTCTTGATGGCGCTCACAACGTCTGGAAGGGCCTTGACAAGGGAAGATGCAGGGCCGTCGACGGCGATATAAAACAGACCGGTGTCAGAATAGGTGATGTTCTTGGAGACGGCTGTAACACCTGGGTGTTTCTCAATGACTTTTCCTAGGAGGGAGTTTCCTGAAGACCACTTGATGGTAGATTGTCCTCCTAGAATGTAGGATAGGATGCTCAATTCGGCCTTGAATGCGGGGCCTCCAGCAGATCCTGGGAAGGCGATAACCACGGAGTTTCCGGACCTAGACCACGCCCTGCTCTCGCCACCATAGTAGGTGGGGGCATGGGCCGTGAGAGCCTTTCCAGCTGGGACATCTGCAAAGAACTCGGTTGTGTACTTGTTGAGTTCGGCATGAGGAACACCGGAACCAACAACAACCAGGTTAGATTGGTTGAAGGCTGCGCCGGCGAAGTCGGCAATTTCCTCGACACCGAAGTTCTTCCTGACAACCGAGAGCTTGTCAAGGCCTAAGCCATGGTGGTAGGCACTGGCGTGAGCGGACTCCAATGCGACATAGCTGGGGTTGGAGTATGCAACGTTGACCTCATTCTCCATAGTGGGTATTACCCGCTCGGTATATTCGTAAGCTTGACGCGGTATTCCGTTAACATAAAGGATCCAAAGGTGCTATTATGTAGAATTCGAGAAGATCTTACGGATAAGCTTAGTCTTTGTAACGACATCGCCCAAGAGCTCAGCGAAATAGGGTAGGTCGCCCCTAAGAAACCTGGCCTTGTAAACGATGTTTTCCCTCGACAGAGAAGTTTCCAATACACCACCCATGAGCTCAACTTCTCTAGTAATGAATAGAGAGGATCGTTTTAAAGTGCTCTAAATGTGTCAAGTTTCAGCGAATGAAACAAACCAACATAATTCTATTTTCAATCCTTCTAAATGCCGTACCTTGAATGCGAAGTGCTCAAGCGCATGAGAGAGACCGGGTAATGGCTGGTATCTGCTACCAGCTTTTATAACGACGGCTAAAGAAGAAGTGGGAGAACCGGTGTCCTTAGAAACAGTTTTGGTACCGGCAGCCTCCGAGACTTCATAGGTGAAAGGCGCAGAGGCTGGGGAAGCAAAAGCTCTCGACTGTTGTAGGGAAAGAGACGATGGCCTTAGCCATTGTCTCGAAACCCCGCGAGCGACTGCGTTTCGTACAGGGAACATCGGAACCGCCGACTTTGTAAAGGAAACCGGGTGGAGGAGGTCGAGGAGGAGGGGCTACACTGCCTGACAGATTGACCGGTTAGTATCAATTGGACGACATGGACGTCAACTCGAGACAATGGAAGGGTACGATCCGAAGCCACTTACGGTAGACGGATGTCTTGAAAGGTAGGATTAGGATATGTCGATATCTAGGACTGGTAGAGTCGAGTCGAGTCAAGTCGGGATCGGGTGAGTTCTTTCGAAAACAACGTCACGGATGTCCAACAGTATTTTCCTCGGCCGCTATTGGCTGGCCAGTCCCCGCGAGTCCCTGCGCCCCCCGGTCCAGTCTTTTTCTCCCGGGGCCCTGGGCAACACAAAAAAATTAAATGGAGATGCGCAAGACTCACTGTCATTTTTGTCATTCTTCGAGTCCATCAACCAGTCCATTTCATCACCATCAACCCTCATCGCTTTCAACTTCAACCATCAGCTGCAGAGCCTTCTATCATTGATCCGGTCCGTCGCATCATCACTGTCTCCTTGAACAACGTCAGCTTGGCAATGCCTTTTTAGCGATACTTCGAAGGAAACGAAACACCACAAATCCTTTTCGAAAACGTAACTTCAACCTCCGGGCCATCCCAAAATTCACGAACAGACCAATCAAGGTCAAAGCATCCAAATCCCAACCATGCCTTTCTTATAGCAATCGCACTATAAATCTTTCTAATACAATCAATATCAACGGGACATCGATATTATACACTCATAATGCAACAAGTTCGTGCAATCGATAAATTCTTCCTGCGTATTTATGGCGACTAACCCACAGATGTAGAACGCAGCTGAACTCTGCACCATCCTCGTCAGAGATACATACGGCGAACTATCTTCGGTTCGTTAGGCACAATAAATTCCATCTACAGGCTCTTCTAATACTGTGGATTCTTTTAGAGGGTTGTCGCAGCCTTGCTCGAATATGGACGTTCGACATTATACACCATAGTCCGACGGGTCAAAATCCCAGAAAGAGTCGTAAAGCAAACACTGGTGGTCCTAATACAACAACATCTCGTCTTACACTATACTAACGAAGACGGTGGCCGCGATGCAACTCACTACGAATGTAATTGGCTGCAAATCTATGAGCTTTTGCACTCTGGTCGGATGGTTCGAACTATTGAGGAACGCTTTGGATCGGAGGTAAGTTGGCTCTCTACAAAATGGCAGGCTCCCTGTGGTTCAAACTGTCTAACCATATATACAATGAACATAGGCAGCCTCAGTTATCAGCAATTTCCTATTACTCGGCCATGCTAGAGTTTCAGATTTCATTACAGCATACGGTATATCCACAAAACCAAAACCAAACGCCGTTTTACCCAACGGAACCGCCATTAGTGCCTCAGAAGCCACGGGGACAGCGCCAATCACCAGTGCGGCCCAAATTTCGAAACACATTATAACCTTGATGCAGGCGAAATTTCTCGTCCCCGTTCAAGTTCACCATATGCACCCATCAGTAGATACAGAGAACGCAATTAGGCAAAGGGTGACGGCTGAGCAAGCTGGATCCGCAGCTGCCTTGCAAGCCAAGACAAAGAAGGCTATTGATGAGAAGGTTGCAGAGAAAATGGAGGCTTTATCAAGTGATCTCGACAATAAGAACTTTGGCTTGAAACGGAAATCAGACCAACAAGATGGCAGAGCGCGTAAACGGACAAAATTTTCGGCCGCCCAACCTATAGAAGAAGAAGAATGGGAAATCGATGTTAGTTTAAAAAACGAAGAGCGGAGGCTTGGAGAAAACGCTAACATTTGGCTTTTAGGGTTCCATCGTCCTTCGAGTCAACAACGCCAAATTTCTCGCGATCTTCAGGAACGAGGAACTTGTTCGGTGGGCGGAGTCTCGAATAGGAAAAACAACATCTCTTGTGTATGCGGAACTCCTAAAACATCTTGAAAAGAATGTTGTCGGACATCGAACAGAAAAGGGATTGGTGGATGGCGGAAAGAGTATGATTAAGTATCGACTTGCAATGAAAGCTGCTAATGTTCTCTACAGAAACGGTTGTTTCGACTCTCGATATCGGCAATACTTTGAAAAAGGATATTGACTTAGTAAATTCCATCGCCGCTGGCCCAGCTATGACGAATGGACACAAACGCTCAATGACAAATGGGCACTTGTTCACTGCAAATGACGAGGAATCGGAAGGCGACAGTGACGACTACGATTTAGACGCAGATATAGACGGTGACGATATGGGGATGAATGGAACTCATGAACTTTCTTCGGCGGCCCAAGAGAAAAAGGAACAGTTACAAAACATTAGAAAACATTTGATGTTGTTGGCTGATGATCCCAACCAATTCGTCACGAAACAAGAAGGAAGCATGCAATACGGTGGGTGGACGGTTGATACACAAAAGTTATGCGAGGCACTACGGATCCGGGAACTTGAACAAATTGTCGAGGAACGATTCGGCGGTATAGCAACCCGCTTGGTTCGAATTATCAAAGACAAAGGCAAGATGGACGAAAAGGGCCTTGCAGATACCGCATTATTACGGCAGAAAGATATCAGAGCGCATCTCGGCGTATTACACGAGCGGGGTTTTCTTCATATCCAGGAAGTCCCAAAGACGGCGGAAAGACTACCCGCGCGGACGTTCTATTTCTTTTATTTTGATGAGAAGATGTCCAAAATGGCCATGTTGAACGACTTTTACAAGGCTATGAGTAGAATTTTGCAGAGAATAGATCATGAGAGAAGTCTCAATTCGATGCTGCTGTCTAAAGCTGACAGAACAGACGTCAAAGGCCACGAGGAAGAATTATTGACGAAGAAGGAACTGACTGATCTAGCTAAATGGAAACGGTCGGAGGAGAAGCTGTTGGCTCAATTGATGAGAGTTGATAGGCAGGTCATGATGTTTAGGGATTGGTGAACTTGACTCGGGTCAATTCTCTATTGCCCCAGGCACCACTAATACTAAAAAAAATACCCCAAGGCCTGTTTACATGACAGAGTAGTCAATTTGTAATATATCGGTTATTTTTGCAACCAAAAAAAGACAAAACCACATGTAGGATTTTGCATTCTATGCTGTATGATAGTATTAGCTCAAAATCATGGACTGAAGTGTGCGGGTATGTATTAGTCCCGAAGGGAAAGTTCCATACATACGGCAATAATCTATCCGATACGGGTATATATACGGGTGAACATTAACCCTCGAGAGGGCAACGAGATGCGCATGCAGACCTCGGTCTCTCCTGTACTCCTGATTAACCCGAGGCCAACGGTTTACACCGCCAAAGCCTCCGTTATTACGCTTATTGTAAGGAGATTAATCAAGTGGTCCGATTTATAGTTGATCCGATTACAATATAATTACTTAGCTAAACCGACTAGAATTGTTAGGTTAGAATCGACGCGGTATACTAGTAGCATCGTTAGAGTATTTTGCATATGTCTGTTAATATCGGGCGCCTTTGATGACCTCACGGTTGGACAGATCTATAAATCGTATACTAAGCTTACAAGGTTATTAGTTGATTTGGCATAATATAATTCATCAGGTAGTCACGGATATCCAGATGCAAAGGACAATACAAGTGGGACATTGAAGCCTGCCGGCTGTATCCGTAGAAGCAATTTTGGTATATGTGGTATTAACATGATTGTACACTCAAAAAAAATGTAAAGGGCTATAATAAAGAATAATCTACCGCCGCGCCAGGTCTACCTTTGTTTCTCGCGAGAGACAAAACCACTAATATGAAAGTAGTAATAAGAATCGCAATATAAAAAGGTATATACGTATATCAAAGTAAAGCATGATACAAGAATAGAAGATAGAGGGTATTTAGATCTTGGCGTTAATAGGTGATTCGGCGTTGGATTCGGCGTACATGGCATCGATTTCGGGCCTGAACTTCTTAGCGGTTTGTGGCCTCTTCAGTTTCAGTCTGCGGAAGAATAGCTTGTTAGTATTGCGATTAGATTTAAATAGGGAGGGGTGGTTAGAAGGGACATACGTAGGAGTAAGCAATTCGTTGTCGACGCTGAATGGTTCCACATCCAAGGTGACGTTTCTTATCCTCTCGAAACCAGTCAGCTTCCTCCTCTTAGCGACCTTGTCCATATCCTTCAAAACAGCCTTAACAACAGCCTTCTCTCTGCAAGCTGCCTTGATTGCGGCAAGGTCAGTTGCCGCAATTTCTTTGTTAAGGATCTTGGATGCATATGGAGCGAAGGTGTCGGGGTTGACACCGAAAACACCAACGAGGAAGGATTGTTGAGAATCACCGTGACAGTATGCCATTGCGAAAATATTAAGGTTCGCAAGGTATACGTTCTCAATCTTCTCAGGTGCAACATATTCTCCTTGCGCTAGCTTCAAGATGTTCTTGACACGATCGATGATAGATAGTCTGCCAAGGTTGTCGAAGGAGCCGACGTCTCCGGTGTGGAACCAACCTTCCGAGTCAATGGATCCGGCGGTTTGCTCCGGAGACTTGTAATACTCTCTGAATCGGGTGGTTCCACGAAGGAGAATTTCACCACGTGGATACGGTTTGTCCGTAGAACGGTAGTCCATTTCTGGAACATCCATGAGGCAGAATTCCATTGTTGGGGTAATGGCACCGCAGTTTCCTGCGGTATAGTCACCAAATAATTGAACAGTCCCAACTGCGTAAGATTCGGTAAGACCGTATCCTTGGAAGAAGTCGTTGGCGAAGCAAGCACGAAGGAATTGGAGAACCTCTGGAGAAATTGGGGCGGATCCAGTGATCATTGTTTGAACTCTGTCAAATCCAAGACCAGCCTTGATCTTGTTTGACCAGATACGGTCATAGATAGCGTGCTTGTTTGTACCACCTGACTTCATGTTGGCGAGCTTTGTGTCAACAGCACGGCGGGACAGGCCACCCTTGAGGCCAGGGGCATCGACTGTTAGATTTTTGATACCAGCATAGAAACGGTTGTAAAGACGAGGGACGGAGCAGAAGGCAGCTGTAATCACTGTCAGTAAACATCATTAGATTATGGTAAATATAACTTGAGATCTTACTTGGGCGCAATAGTTTGATATCGTCTCCCAGTTCAAGGATGTTTCCGTGGAAGAAGCCAATAGCAGCACCTGCACCCAGTGCAGCCTGCTCTGAGACTCTCTCATAGATGTGTGCTAGTGGCATGTAACTGATCATTACGGAATTATCGGTTTGGGGAGCACAGATCATCGATGTTGCGAAAGCACCAATTGCATTCCTGTGAGTCAAAATGACACCCTTGGGGACGCCAGAGGTTCCTGAAGTATAGTTGATGGTGATAATATCATCTGGAGAGGGAGGAGCAAGTGGGCGTGGATGCTTCTGTCCAAGAGCCTCAACATCGAGAAGCGACAAGATTTCAACACCCTTCTCTTTAGCCCATGCATTGAGAAGATCCTGCTTTCGGTTGCCGGGTAGCTCGCCGTCATCGATAGAGTCCATAGCAATAATGTACTTTAGGGATGGCAATTTATCCTTCAACCCCAACAGGGTTGGAATATGATTAACGGTGGATGCAACAGTTGGGATCTCGCCGTGGTTAATGATGTACTCAGTTGTCGAGGGACCAAGAGTGTCGTATATGGAGATAGTGAAATTGCTATAGGCCATTGCGGCAAGGTCAACGAGCTGCCATTGTGGCATATTCGGACTCCAAAGGCCAACACCGATCTGACGATTAGGGAGGCCGGCCAGTTCGTGAAGCCGAAGGATACCAGCGCCAATATCAGTTCTCCTCTGCCTGACAGTGCCGTAGTTCATCCATTGATATGCGCCCCATGTCTTCGTGGCACGGTCATATTCTCTCCAACCTAAGCAGTTTGAGTTGGGGTTTATAGCACATCCAGTCTCAAAGGCTTCATGCTGAGTTCTGACCCGAGGATCAAGAGTTTCTAGAAGAGGACCGTCTCCGACAGCGTAATGCCGGTACGTAGCGGAATAGCCAGGCCTTGCAGAACCGGGAACGGCAACGCTATGTGGCTTTCCCGGTGCAGGTGCATTGCAATACTTTAGGCGATTAGCCTTGGCAACTTCCGTCATGATGTCGGTTGGTGATTAGATCTGAGAAAGCTGAAGGGCTGAGGCTAGTGTGTAAGAGTAAGAGTCTGGAGATGTGGAATTAGAAATTTCCCCAGGAAATCAAATAAACTGGGGATCTAATAGTTTAAATAGAAAAGAAGGAGTTAGCGGGGAGGTAATGATAATTAATGTTCAGACGGGCTCACATGTTCGCGGGTTGAGTTTCAAGCTTTGGGCGGGCCTTCCTTACCTGGATGTGAGCAGACGAGCCGCGGCAACGGCGAGTGCGACAGATGTGTTGGCGCGTTGTGTGGTAGTCCCGGTTGTTGGTGAGATCCGTTGATGGGATCAGCCCTGGGAGACGTGGGAGGGACCCGGAGCAGTGGCACGCGTGTGCTTAATATATAAATCTGTACAACGATATGGTACGATCTCCGCACTGCACTATCGACTTCACTACTGGCTGACTTCACTACGGTCGACGGCGTATAAGTAAATATATGTATGGGGAGGAAGGGAAAGGAGAAAGGGCCAGCTGTAAGAAAGCATTCGCTCTTTAAGAGCCGGGCAGGGATACTGCACGTAATATGCCCAATGTTGGAATATCGATTTCTATCCCGAGATTTTACCCCGGCCGAAATATACAACTGAACTCTCCCCTAGCTCAGGTTCTCTCCGTATTATGTACATGAGGTACATCTACACATACTACTTACTATGTACTCTCCGCTCCGGTCTCGATTATAAATTGCGGAGAAAGGCTCGGATAGTGCAATCACGAAGCGGGGGGCTGGGGCTAATCCAACCGGGCTTGCTGGATTACACTGAAGTCTGCGGTTCAACTTGGGTTTCACATGCCGAAAATTCTCACCTATGAAAATGAGAAGCGTACTGTAAATACGATACATCATCGCATGGTTGTATCATCGACTTATTGGGTCATGAGATACGAGCGGCCGAGAGGTGTGACCCCGCGGTATTTGTGTCATTAACATCATTATTGTCTGTTGAACAGTTGAGGGCAATCTTGCAATATCGGAGCAGCCTCTTATTTTGAGGGTATGCGCATGTGCAATATATCTCAACCGTAGAGATATCTTGGGAAGTATTCCATGCCACTAGAAGTAGTTTGATTGTCGATGCATGCCGCTGGACAAATCTGGGTACATCTCCGACCCTCTCAGATCCGAAACCTATCCAATTGCCCCAGGGCTAGGCCTAGTTTTTCCTGCTGAACCGAGGTAGATACGGCGAAACGTTTGCCCAGAGGCCCACCGACCCAAGCTTTATTTTGTATAGGCCAATCCTATGGTGCTCCGCCGTAAGAGATTGTCTAATAGTCCAAGCTTCTTCTTCTAACCTCAATTTCATGCAATATCCGAATCCGAAGGCGGTTCTTGGAGCTGGGTGGCTGGTGGCTGGTGGTACAAGTCCACATGGTCATCACCATCGTAGGGAACATGCATCTGGTAGGTATTGCAAGTACTTACATACTAATTATGTATCTTGCTTGCATTTGTGATAGCGGGAAGAATGCTTCAGAACGAGGCTCGTGAACCTTGTGTGACCGCCGGTTGTGAGATAATATTAGCACGGCTGATATAGCACAAGCCCAGGCTGGGAAAGTTGATCGATCAATAGACGCGTGGTGGACAGCTGGGTGGCTGAAGCGTGGCAATAGCTCTCCACGATTCGGCGCGCGTTCAACGAACAAACACCACAAGCTTCATAGCTTGAGCTAACCTGGTCGACCATAAAACCCGATGACAATCCGACAATTCATAGTTGTCACCACCATTACAAAATGCCAGACGCTGAGATTAAGTTTGCTCGTATGTTACTTAGATATATCGGCCAACTGATAAAGAAAGTATAGCTAACATCATTACCCCATAACTAGACACCGTCGGCCCGACCTTCGCCACATATACCCCGGACGGAAAATACCTTCTGACCGCTGGACAGAATATAAGCTTGCGCAAATTCACACATGGGTCGCCAGATGAGCCCATTATCTATGATAAAGAGTATGGGTCTCATACGGGTATCTCGACTAACGTATGATTAAACTCCTCGATAACATTACTTTCGCCAATCACTTACGTATCAAGCGCATAGAACGAATCCCTTTTCACATCCTCTGAACATGGTTTGGTCGAGTCATATTCAGTACGAATGATGACGGACAACCAATTGATTACGCGATTCTCACTGGCAGCCAGAGATGTGGCTGTTACACCGGATGGGCATTGGGTCGCTGCGTGTGGAGAGTATGTTGTATTCTCCTGTATTCGCACTCTGAGAATCCTGGGTTTCTAATTTTGTCATATTACTAGCGACATAAACGTCAAGGTTATCAATACGCACGATCCGACGAAACATATGATTCTACGACATCATTCTAAGCCGATAAAACATCTTACATTCGATCCTACCGGATCATTACTTGCATGCTCGAGTGTTGATGGAATTATCTATATCTACTCCCTCACAACAGAGACCCCGGATCTACTGCACAAAGTAATTGGGACAATACCGGAAATCGATGTTGATAGCGAAATATCCACTCGGGCAGTATGGCATCCGGACGGTAGAGCCTTTGTTGTTGGACAGAATAACATGGGTATGTCGACCCGAAACCAATATTTGGGGCCACTACTGACGGAATATGGCCACAGATATTGCGGTTGTGTCTAGACAGGACTGGGGCGTAAAAAAGCTATTCGCGGGTGGTCATTCAAGCGACATCACTGCACTTGCTTGGTCTAAAAATGGAGGATTCCTGGCTAGTGGTGACTCCAAAGGCAACGCCATTATCTGGGAATCAAAGAGCCAGAACATCATCTCTAAGTATGAAACAAGAAGCCTTAACTACCATGCCGTTCCTTTACTGACATTTTTTAGAACCCATTACGAAGGAGGAATCACATCGATTTCCTGGCACCCTACGGAAAATGTGATCACATATGGCACAAACCAAGGAACGGTGTACATTCAACCGGAACCTCTGCCTTCGGATCATGAAAAAACACTAAAACTACATCTTCAACCCGCTCCCGGATTCCTGGCTGTAGGCGCAGATTTTGTACGACTAGAGAGACGCAGCGAGCAGGAGGCTCGGCCTAATAGACAAGAAAAGACCTCAGTTGATGACATCCTTGCTGAGCTCGAAGGAGAAGACGAGGACGATTGGCTAGAGGATGACGATGGTGCAGGTTATGGTGAACGGAATGAGAACGGAAAGCGAAAGGCAGGCGGGTTGAGCCTTGGAGTACCGTCGATAAAAAGGCACGCATACGGGTCGTGGTCGCCAGATATTCATGAGCCAATGCAGCCTGGAAGCACGCCTTGGAGGGGGGACCGAAAGTATCTTTTCCTCAGCTTAATAGGTTTTGCATGGACGGTCGACCAGAAAACACACAATACGGTTACAGTCGAGTTCTACGATCAGGAACAGTACCGAAATTTTCATTTTACTGATCCTTTACTCTATGATAAAGCTGTTCTAAGTATGTGGTTTCATCACAATCTGAGTGCTGTACACTAACTTCATGATAGATGAGAACGGTTCATTATTTTGTTCACCTCCCGGCCGAGGCAACCCCGCACTATTATTTTATAGGGAGCACGAAACATGGGGCATTCGCCATGAGTGGAAAACCAGGCTCCCGGACGGCGAGGAGGTTGTCTGTAAGTATTCGATAATGGCTTGCTTGCTCAGTTACTCTACTGACAATGAATACAAGCTATTGCCTTGAGTAGCGCTTACATCGTTGCTTGTACATCGAATGGCTATATTAGAGTCTACTCACTCTACGGTGTCCCGGTCAAGGTATATCGACAGAAGCATACCCCTGTTGTGTCCTGTACCTCGTGGAGAGACTATGTTATGATTCTTGGCAATGGTCCCGTTGCTGCGGATGGACGGGCCCAATTAACATATACCATCGAGAATATTCGAAGAGGTGAAGTCATACAGAACAATGATGTGGTCGCAATCCCTGACAAGGCGACCCTCAAGAATTTGTTCTTTTCAGACGATGGGGTGAGAATACGATCCCCCTGGCCTTAATTCCTGGGAAACTTACTAATACATTCTTAGAACCCAATGGTGTATACATCTAATGGAGTACTCTTGGTACTACAACATTGGCGAAATCCTGGGCAAGCACAATGGGTACCAATTCTCGACACTGCACATCTGGACAGACGAATCGGGGGTAAAAAGGAAGAATCATACTGGCCGGTTGCTGTATCACAAGATAAATTTTGTTGTATTATCTTGAAGGGCGGCGAAAAGTACCCATACTTCCCACGGCCGCTGCTCAGTGAATTCGAATTCAGAGTACCAGTTTCCAATCCACCAGAGGAAGACCAGGCAAAGAACGACCCTATGGCTAAGCTTGAAGAGTCGTATGTTCGAGAATCAGTGTTGGTTTCGTTGGCTGAGGATTTGGTCGATAATACGCGGGCAGAAGAACACGAGAAGATGGACGTTGCGAGGAGAAGTGTCAGCATTGACAAGGTCTTGTTGCAGATGTTGGCGTTGGAGTGTAAAGATGAGGAGAAGCAGAGCAAATGCTTGGAAATCGTGGGTTTGATGAGACAACCAAGGACATTAGAGATGGCGATCAAGGTTGCCGTGAAGTATGATAGACATGCACTGGCAGAGAAGATCGAGGAAATGAGGAATCAGATGGAGGAGGATTAGTATACATTCTCACCGATGCTGGATTTTGGTTTGGCAATTAAGCCACAACGATATCACCAGAAGATGCCAAAGGCTTGATGTTTCAATTGGCATTTGCTTCTGCCTTTGTATTTACAAGAACCAGCGGTTCCTTTAGATATAATAATAAATACAATAAACCCAAACACTCCAACGGATATATAACAGACCCCTAGACCATCCCATCCAAACAATTCATTGTTTGGACATGATCTAAACATACTTGACCTTTGTCCGCTCGTGTATTGGGATCTTGCCTTCCGGTGTTCCGGGAATTGTCTTCTCAAGTCCCTGATCAAAAGGTTAGTATATGCCGCACTGGGTACCAATAGTACCCTAAAATGAATATGGATAACCGTACCATCTTCTCAAAGACGCATGTGTTCAAGAACTTTTCCTGTGGCCGACACTTCCATAACTGGTGATTCTTCTTTTCAAGACAGTCCCAATGCGCTCTGAACTGTTGAAGGCAATGTGTATTTATATCTTCCAACCTATGCAGCTCCAGTATACTATAAGCCCTTGTTCCTATACTTCTTCGATTTGGGTGTGAAGCGATTCGGGATGGAAAAGAACGTACACCGAAACTGCACATCTTGTAACTTTCCGCCCCTCCCTCATGCAATCCAATTCACCTCTACCGGGCGATTCGTCCTTGCATTTCATATAGTCATCGTTGAAGGGTCGGCATCGAGCACCGATGAAAAAAGCAGCGGATAGTAAGGGAGCGGATGAGGCGCCGACTTCTTCAACTTTTGGGATGTTGTCGGGTAGAGGGACGGTGTCGACGAGGACGTGCTGGTGGAATCTGCATGTTCACAGGAGGACCAACGGTCAGTTACTCGCTGAAACTTCGGATTGAGATAAGGATAGCGTATACAAACCGTGGTTCTCTCATGGCTGCAAGGGGTCAGTCGTTTCGAGGGAGCAATTGGACGCTGGGAGCTCGTGGGATATGACGTCTCGGGGGATACTAGGCTTGGTCAGGCGCTTTCGGTCGAAGGTGGTTGGACAGACTCTTTGGGACGAACAAGACAGACCTGGCGCCCGAAAATGTGTTGCGGTGAGGTTGGAAATTTGGGGTTAGGTTGTGTGAAACGCGTCTGTCGCATCTTCTTCATCAAACGACTCGACGACGACAACATCGAGTCTTTGGATCCTTTCTTCCTCTCCCATTGACGTCGCACCAACACCACGGCATCGGAATAGAATAATATTCATAAATACACACTCATTGGCGGTATCAGCCACCCGTAAAGCAACCACGACCTTCAGGTCCTCTCTTCGCTATCCGAAACTCGAATCACCTCGAACATTCATAAACAACATCAAATATGTCGATATTCGGCCCATCGACAGCAGGAGGCATGCAGCCTAGCCAGGGTGGCAACTTCGGAGGCGTGAAAGGGCCTTCGCCATTTCTACCATCCCTCGGTGGGAATACTGCATCTGCAGGAGGTCTTTTTGGGCAAACCCAACAACCTCAGCAACCTCAGCAACAGATTGGAAACACAGGTGGACTATTTGGCCAAAGCACTACGGGTACTGGAGCTATGGGAGGCGGCCCTTTTGGTCAGACGGCTACAAACGCCGGTGCTATGGGAGGTGGATTATTTGGCCAGACGAACAACAATGCTGGAACCTTCGGACAACCAGCAGCGTCGACCCTTGGAGGGGGTGGTGGTGGGATATTTGGTCAGCAGCAACAGCAACAGCAACCACAGCAGCAAGCGTCTTTGTTTGGGCAACCGCAGCAACCGCAGCAGGCACAGCAGTTGCCTTCCTTAGGATCGGTGTTTGGAATGCAGCAACCTCAGGCGAATCTATTTGGTCAAAGTCAACTACCTGCGCAGCAACAGCAATTGGCCGCTGGCAGTATGTTTGGAGGCGGGTTACAGAGTGGGTTTGGACGGACGGTCAATCAACCACCGCCACCAACACAGACTACAAGTATGTTCCTCCTAGATTGGTCTTCCTAGAGGCTATTATAATAGTCTAACATGGTTTCGCGTACGTAGCCGCGGCTTCGCTAGTCGCGGGTCAGGTGGAAAGAATTTGGAATTTGTGGAACGTTGCTTCGCCAGACTGTCAGTTCCAGACATATCTCTATAACCAGGTCGACAATGAAGCCCTGGCAAACTCGTATGAGCCTGGACCGACGGAAGACAAGGTCAAGTTCGACGCGGCCATGAGAAAGCGACCGAACCCAAAGTATGCTTCCACTCCTGATCACCAGAGCAAGGTTCATTAGCGTAGCTAACTCTTTATAGGTCTGTCCCTGTCATTGTTCGCGGTTTTGATGATCTTAAAATCCGGATGCAACAGCAAGAAAACCAAATTGCCGTCTATCGGGCGACTCTCCACGGCATAAACAACCGACTAACAGAGTTATCGAGGAATCATGACATCAAAACCACAATCAAGTTGGCTGAGGCTTTAGCTAGACATCAACAACTGGCCCATAGGACACTTTCTCTAAGCGCAAAAGTCCAAGTTTTGAAGAACAGAGGTTATGCACTACAACCAGAGGAGGATCAACTGAAGAAAAAACTAGAGGTTTTGACGAAAATGGTTTCGGATCCAAGCGTTAATGGAAGGATGAACGAGATCTGGGCTAGAATGCAGATAATCAACCAAAAGGCGAAACAGATGGAACATGAAATCAGCGAGATGTCAGTAACTGTCGACCCGGAGCAGATCCAGAAGATGGCAACTGTATGTTCTACTCGCCCAAAGCTCATATACCTTAAACCTTTACTAATAATATCCGGACAGGTACTTCAAACGCATGAGAAGGGTATCAAAGGTCTTCGAGACGAATTACAACGTCTTGAAGAGGCCTTCGGGCAGTGGGAGAAAGAGAAACAGGCCCAGAAGGACCGTCAGTTCGGAAGATAGGATTACCTTATTGACGCACCTTCTGACCGAAGACTTTAGCATTTTTCACTTACGAGGGTCTACATGGTGAACATTTAAGCGTGTTGATATCGACCTCATACTTCTTGCTTCTTATGCATCTAATTCTATTGAGCTCCTAAACCCGCGCTCGATTTCTCATCTCATGTCTTGTTTTGTTTAGGCAAGCAGCGTGAAATGTTCCCCCAGTCAGCGACATATCTGATTTCGAATTTGGCGTTAGGAGCATTTGATTAGTGGTTCATCTGCGTATGTCTGTCTGTCTGTCTCCTCGTCCGTTCTGTTCTTGTACGATAGGATATCGATCGATTAAAGGTCGTAATATATACACGAAAGGCCATCTAATGGCGGTATGATACAAGAAGGTCCCAATGTTCTGTAGGTGAGAGATGTAGTCGCAAAAATTAGCACCGATGGGAAACGGTGTGTGCCATTAAAGCTATTCCAAGGTGATGCATCGATGATGGAAAGTTTTTTCCTTAGATGAGTTTGCGAACAAAGTCGAGAGCGAATGGTGCTACAGACGGCAGAATGTTAGTATAAAGATATTATCTAAGTACTAATAGTTATAACCAAGACGCCCGGGGTTTACATACATAAGTAGAGAACCAGACAAGTGATTGCCGCATTCTTAACGGTGGCAGAGGACTGGATTTCAGCCTCTCTGATCTCCTGCGGTGATGGGGGCTGCTCAAGTCCTACACATCGACATTCGTTAGCTACGCAACGGCTTGTGGTTCCTGGACAAGCATTTGACTGGTATCTCACCTTGTCCGCTAAACATCTTGTTGGATTTCAAGGGAGATGGGAGGTTATGTTATTGTGGTGTTTCTTGCGTGAAGTAAATCAAGGTTGATCGTGGTAGAGGATGATGTTGATAATTCAAGGTTATTATCTGCTAGCCGATGGATCAACGCTTAAAAAAATTCGGTGTTGAATTTGGTTGCAGTTGTTTGTCGCTTAAGCTTTCCTCATCGTTGCCTCAGACGCGTTTCGACACCTTCTATCCTCTCCAACCACCAGCTTCAAGAATCTTCCGCCTCCATCACCAACAATCCTTCTATCCAAACAAACCTCTACACCAATTGACGATACCCTCAAACAATCAAACAAGCCATCAATATGTCGGAGATGACGACTCGAGATAATCCGATTACGGCGGATGCTTCTTCAAAGCCTCCAACACCCAAAGGCTTTGGGGATAGCATCTCGGACATGGAGATCAGCGACAACGAACCCGAACCACCTCGCAAGAAAATAGTTACCCACGGACTCGACTCCGAAGACGATGTCGTAGCTGTCGACCAAGCCGGTCGCTCAGCCGACAAGGATAATAACCTCGCCGATGCCGACAGCGACATCGAAGACCTCTCGGACCTTGAGGCAGACTTAGACGAAGAGCTCGCAGAGCTTGGAGATCTTGATGATGACGATGCCGATATGGATGGAGGCAAAGGAGAAGTTCTCATCGATCAAGATGCTGTTCGAAAGATGGGTGTTCATAGGAGAGCTCCAGGAGAAGCATCAATTAGTCGCAAGAAGAAGGAAGCTACCAGGAGATCGCGAAAGACAAGAGATGACACGAGAGATATTGGTAGCGACGGAGGCGAAGGGCCGGTTAAGGAATCGCGTCCTCTCACAGAAGCCGAGCGTATGTGGTCGATAATCCCGAGGTTTCTTCGATGTCGGTTGCTAAGTACATTCTGCGAACAGGAAAGCTGCAGGATCTCGATAACAAAATCTCCAAGGCCACGAAGGCCCCCAGGAAAAGAAAGCAGGAAGGAGTACGAAAATTTTCGGTCCCTGCATACTAGATCGTAGGAGCCTTCGCTAATGTTGAACTAGGACTCAACGCATTGGGACGATCTACTCGCAGATTTGACAGCCCGAATGACTTCAGCTGTCAAGCATGACATCCAAGATAAGGAGGCAGGAAGGCCCGCTACTCGGAAGCTTACTATGCTTCAAGAGGTTGTCGCGGCGTTCCGCTCGAGGGACATGCGAAACAACATGGATGGTGAAATCCTGAAAGCCCTGCGATTCTGGCTAGAGCCTCTGCCAGACCGCTCTCTCCCAGCCTACGACATTCAACGAGAGTTATTCCAAATATTGGTTGAGATGCCCGATATTAAATACGATGAGCTCCGAATTAGCGGGCTCGGAAAGCTTCTAAACTTCTACATCCGTGACGCTCGTCCACAGCAGCACATTCGATTCACTGCTCAGAAACTTTACGAAAATTGGTCTCGTCCGATACTTGAGAAAAGTAACAACTACAGACATCGTAAGATTGAAACAGCAGAATTCGATCAAAGGTATGTCCCAGCGCCTAATTCACCTCTTTTGCAATGGCTAACATGCCCGTGTCTCCCCTCAGCCAAAAACGAGCGAAAACCAAACTCAGCGACCTCAAGGATAAACCTGATGCTCTGGCTCCACCACAGCTTAAGAGCAACCGCACTCGTGTACCTGACGCAACTCCACAGACATACACGATTGCTCCTAGATCCAAACTTGTTGCACCGGATTTGAAAACTGCTCGTCCCCTTGGTGCTAATGCTGAAGATCAAATTCGACGATTGAAAGCACGTGCCACTGGGAAGGTCGGTCGCGGTTCTGGCCGAGGTGGAGCATAGAATGTTCCCTTCCAGCTGACTACGCCGAAAATATATATGGAGGAACACGTCCCTATGGGTAAAGCTGCCCCACGGCCAGCATATTTGAGACGATGGGAAGCAATAATGGAAGCCTCTAGGGCTAAAGCCCGGGCTAAATTAGACCTTCGCTGACGAATTAGGGGTTTCCTAATACTACTTCATCGTGCAAATATCGACCAGTGGTGGCCCAATACGAACCCATACGACGACGATTGAAAATAATAGCGGCATGTTATTTACCTGAATTTTTTACTTTCCCTGATTCTTTGTTTCTTTTTCATGGTGTCTTCCGGCGTTTCGGTAGGTGCATAGGGTCTTCCATTCCAATTCTGTTATGCATGCCCATGTTTTGTATTATATTCTCGTTTGCAGGGCCAGAATTGATAGAGGGAGAAAAGAAACATTATATTATTTTAATCTACCTTTCGGTAGCGACCTAAATTCCACAGTCTTGCTCCGCATCTTTAGTCCGTAGATGGGGGCCATCAACCGCGGCGTCCTAGTGATCTTCGTATATACGTATTGACTTTTCCTGTAATCGTTCTATGCTATCCTCCTATTGGTTTACCTAGGGTTTCAGCAAGTCCTTTTTTTTTACAGACTGGACCTTTCGTCTTTTCGTTCCAGTCCCTTTAGAGGAAGGTCCGGCGTTGGGCCTTTCGGGACCCGCTTTTCTCTTCTTCGATGCCCTACCCTGCGGGCCCAAGGTATCCCCAGTTGAAGGGGTTGCCTTGGGACCCTGAGAAAGGGTGGGAGCGGGAGGAATATCGGGATTCCATCCCGTATTCACACAATTGGTACACCTCATTTGGAGGTGTACAATCCGATTTCTGGACTGTCGCTTCACACTGATACATGGCATCTCTGCCTCTGGATCCCATGATCTCTTTTTGGCCGTTTTGCAACGTGCCGACGGTTGTGGGGAGAAAAACTTGTGACCACATTCAATGTGGTGGTGAAGGTCGTACCAGCACATCGTTTCAACCCTTTTTTTTTTCTTTTTTCTTCTTCTTTTTTTTTCGATCGAGATTGTGAAAGTGAGGCTGGTGAATTTTGATATTAAGGAATGTTTTAAATCGATGAATCGATAATATTGATACTTATAAAGAGAGTGGATTGTGAGATATATAGACAAAATATGAGGTTGGATGGGAGTTAGATGCTCGCTGATGGGCCGAGAGGTGGGTGATAAGAATAAGTGCAGAGGATGTAGATGATACTAGGGTCCTTAAGAAGTACCCAGTATACACAGACATGAGGGAAACTTTTTTTATGTTAGTGAATTATGTTCTATTAATCAAAAGATTTGCATTTGGGGGTTTATCAATATGAATATCATTGTCAAGGTCGTGAACTTCAGACAGATACACAACACGATACATTGTTGTATTTTCAGCACGCTTGGCAACGAAGGTCTAACCGGTCTCTTTGAGGGCGCCGAGCGCCTGAGTATTATTGTGGATCGATTATTGACCATTTGTTCCATACTAGTAGGCTACTGGAGAAATTACATTAATTCTGAGACTGCTGGGGAGCAGTTGACTTTCTCGGGATTCTATAATAAGTATTAGGGTATCATGGTTGTACTTTTATCGTTTAATACTTGCCGGCCGTATAATATATCTGTTTCACTAACACTTCGCATAGTGAACCGCAGACCAAAATCGATATCTTTTTTGTGTTAATTAAGAGGAATGTATGGATATCCATGTAAAATTCTATTCAGATAGTCATGGCTCGCGCTCTTCTATATATATATAGTTAGAGCTACACTAATAGACTGTATATACTTATATATCGTATAAAATATTCTTTGACGCTGGCGGGCAATACTGCAGAGCACTGCAATTGCGCAACCAAAACCTAAACGAGTGACCGAAACCCCAACAAGCTTGACACACGTGCACACCCCCAAGCATTACAACCAACCCGCATCAATGGATACTCCCATAGTCCATACCGTTAGACCGCCTGCCAGGGAGTAAAGGTTCGGGCTAAAATAACCAGTAATACACAATATATGTCTCAGTCCCCGCTAAATCTTTCATTCATGTACGCAAAAATATCAAAATCGTAGACAGAGAGTAAAGCTCAAACACCAAAAAACAAAATGGACAACGAAGACATCTACGTCTAGTAGACCCCCTTTTCTTCAGAGGTAGGCGTTACCTTCTTTCCTTGGTCGTGGCCTTGTTCTTCATCGTAAAACGTGGAGTCGTTATCCTCGGCAAGGATGACTTCGGTGATTTCTTCGCCGATTTCGTTCCATGAATCGGAGCAGGCTGGAGCGGGGAAGAAGTGGTTCAGGAGCCAGTATATCCCGGAGGCGGCTATGAACCCAGCAAAGAAGTTCAGACGGTAGACATATGTTGCACCGATCGGAACATCCTTTCCGATTGCGCCAACGAATCCGACGACTAGATTGTTTCTTATCAGAATATGTCGAATAGAGGGGGTTTAAAGGAAAGCGATCTTACTATTTGGAAGAATACCACAGATATATGCGGTATAGCCTCTCCAATTGAAACCGAATGAAAAGTAATACGGTCCGGTTGATTTTCCAGAGTATAAATCCCTGATTTGAAGGTACCCTTTCCGCACAAGATAATAATCCGAGATCAAAACACCGGCAATAGAACTGAGGAAGACAGAGTAGGCCGAGAGATAAGTAGTGAAATTGTTTGTGCTTTCCAAGAGGTTCCACGGGCACATGGCGATACCGACGAGGGCGCAGATATATCCTCCCCGTCTAATGTTGATGAATCGGGGTAGCAAGGCGGTCATATCAGTACCCGCGGAGACGGAGTTCGCTGCAATATTTGTACCAAGCTGGGCAAGGGCAAAGGATGTTGCGATAAAAAAGACACCGACTCGAGTTCCAGTGCCGCCATCGTCCAAGAAGAATTTGAGGAGATCAAGAGGGTTCCAGATTTCTTGGCCGTAGATTACGGCACAGGCTGAAGTGGTAAGGATACCGATGAGGGAGGTCAGGGCAAAGCCAGTAGGGATAGTGATAAGCTGTGACCACAGAGCATCGGAGGGTTTCTTGGCGAATCTCTATACGTTTTCATAAGAAGTTAGCAATGCACTCCTTCAATTCATAAGTGGGACGAGTTCACAAACCGAGAAATCAGGGTCATTGACAATCAAAGTTGCAAAGTTAGCAATGGAAGACATAATGCCCTGTATAACACCCCATGCGAGAGCACTACCGCTGGCCTTGGCTGGCTGGTGGACAATTTTCCCAATACCACCAGCCCGTACCAATGACCATACCAAGAAAGCAATACCTAAACAGTGTTAGTGCCAGGAATTCAACCAAATTTCTTGGTTTCATTGATCCTTACCGGCGACAGGAACGATATAAGACTTGACGGTAAAAAGATGCCGAATTTGATGAACAGGGAACCAAATAGCTGGCAAGGAACAAAACCAGAAGAGGAAGAAAGATACGAAATCGCGGGTATTGAGGAGAGACTAGACATAATGTTAGAATACAACATTTCGGAGCGTAGACGTCGACACATTGAGGGCCTTACTCCTTCTGGCGCATGGATCTATATTAATAAAGTCACTCATCAGCCCCCTGTTCATCATAGATAACAAACTGTTGGAGTTGGAAGATAGGCACTTACAGTATCAGGAATATTATCCCAGCTATTCCAGATACTACGAATCATCAAATACACACAAGTACCTCCTATCCAAGCCTGCACACCGTACCAGATACACGCCATGGCGGCACGGTTGAAGACGGGCCATAATGATCCCCATATTCCGAACGAACTCCTAGCGGCAACTGGGAACGATATGTGGTATACGGCACCGATACGACCTGTTATACAGATAAAACAGCCTGCAATAAAGTAGCCAACCCAGACAGTAAGCCATGCCTAAGATGAATCATGTTAGAATGATAAGGTTCGGTAGTAATTGAAGTTTGAGACAAACACCAAGGGATATGTACCTGCCACCAATTGAGACCAAAGCCGACAATGGTACTGGCGCCAATCATCCTGCGCACAAAGTTTAGCTACTATGTAACGTGACAGAGCTTCGTCCGAAAAGCAAAACTTACCATGTGTTAACATTAAATGAGTCCGAAATCCAGAAGAAGACGAAATTGAACCACTGCCATTTCCTGCGTGCTGGCTCAACGGGCTTCAAATCGTCGTTCAGGAGAAACAATTGCTTGCTAGAAAGCCCTGCCTCATTGTCGACCTCGACCTTCTTAATGAATGCGTCTAGTTTGGCACCCATTGTGTGCGTTCCTCTTAGGGAGGTTAGAAGACTATGATCTTCTTCGAATCGGTCGTCTTCGTCGGCGTAAAAAGAATAGTTCAATGAACTAGAAGGGTTGTCCTCCGCTAATAATTCTGCTGCAGGACTAGGACCTTGTGAAGATCTTGAAGAAGAGGAAATTCCTGGGTTCAAATACTCCAGCTCAAGCTCGAGGTCTTCGGTGGAGTAACCGAGGGATCCAAGGGACATATCTTATACCAGGATACCGGAACGCCTGTCATTGCGTCCCAAATGCGTAAGTTGTACTGCAAATGTAACAAAGTTTGCGACGGCCCTGCTCGTGTGTGAGACCAACGGAGGACTTTGCATCTGGGTGGGGGGTGGATGAAGGTTAGACCCCATGTCAATGGCCATGTATATTATCTGAAGATATGGAACGCACAGAAGCGGTGTTAGGCCGAGCTAAGCAGGATGTTCGCTGGATCATCTCAATCTTACCTCGACAAACCTTCTCTCGTCTGATCACCGCGGAAGTTTTTCTCTACTTTCTGCGTTTGCTTCTTTTCAATTCTTATTTTTTTTTGTTTGATATTTTTTATTTTTTAATTTTTCGTATGACTTTTTGCCTTCTTTTGCTTTCTAGGATGAGAACCGGATTATTGATATGCATGTAACAGGCAGTTTGGCCACCAGAGGAAAGCAGATGTCGGATGGGAGGTACCAAAGATAACAAGTAGGAAGGATACTGGAGAGAGGTCTCAGCTTTGGGCGACAGGGTTCACGCGAGCTCAGAAAATCAAGCAAGTTCAACTTCAAGACTTCCTCGATATGAAGGTTACGTAGAATCCCTGTAAATATGATTGGTTCGGCGAAGAGCATCCACGCGGGTCCCCTGTCATTCGGCCACCCTCGCCGCCATTTCTCTTTCTCGATACGATCGAGTAAAAGCCGATTGTGCTGCCGCCGCGGGGGAACACTGATAAGCTAGCACCTTTCAACAGCTGCAGCCCAAGCCTCTGATAAAGGGTGGAACATTTTTTTAGCTTCATATACTACCCTTCCGAGAACATACGATATGATATTTTCAATATTTTTCTTTTCTTTCCGCCGTAATACTCTTCATTTTAGGCAGCATCCCCACACCCGTCCGAAAGAATTTTCTTTCCTCAGTCCATTTCGAACTGACAGTTCGAATACTGCTAAATCTTATTCCCGATAAGATTTCGACAAGATAAGTGGGATTCTTTTAGTGCATGCAAAAGCCTAAAGCCTTCAGCGCGCTTGAGATTTTAGAACCCGGGCTATTCTCCATCTTCGGACATAACCGTTCTAGGCTTCTCGTCCGAACCAGAAATGCTGCGCTGATAGTCGCAACTGTTATTACCCAACGGTCTGCCGTTTTCCGTTTCAAGAGTTGATCAATTGAGGTACCTAAATGCAAAGAGCCTCGAGATAAGCTTATCGGCATTGCTTAGTCGCAGGAGCTGCAACTTACAAAGTCGCTACCAAGCATCTTAGTGCAGAATACATACAGCTGTACAGCACAGAAGAGAATGGCATACCAGCCTGCAGCATTTCCCTGCACACACCTTGAAGTATATGATCAGTTGATGATAGACCAGGATGCTGCATTTAAGAACCCTTGGGACCCCAAAGCTCGGGATGGCCGTCTGGGCAAATGCATGGATCCGGCCAATTGATTTTGCGACTTGTACATGTAAGTCTTTCGATACCTAGCGGAATCTAACGAAAAATTCGACCGTTATAACACTTGTGCTGGTGATTATAATTACGCAGCCCTTGTGCCTCGAACTGTCACAGCCCCGTCGAGGCCATAAAATATCACAAAGTCAACACAAACTGTGGAGGCTGGATTACATGTTGAATTGTTTCGCGAAGTACTTAATTCCGAATCTAGAACCAAGTTTCATTGGTGTCGTGAACTAGACACTGGGGTGACTTCACTTGTAAATTGACCGGGGATCTAGATATATGTAGAAGGGTATTATCAAAATTACTCATGCTTTCCATGAGCTAGCTTCTTAAAATACGCGATGCTCTGCAGTGGGATGATCGATGAATGGTACTAGTCGAACCGCAAAGATATCCAAGTTTCATTTAGGGGGGAGGCGGTAGCATGGTTGTAGCTTGGTACAAAAATCCGGTAGCGAGGAATCACACTATTGGTCTAGAATCGTGCATTGAATAAGTTCTCCAATAAGTGTAACGGGCAGAAAGTAAAGGCCCATCTCCATCTCCATCATGCATAAAATCATTTTATGGATGCTCTGGTCGGAATTGTCGACCGATGTGCTGGGCACGAAACAAACTATATATAAAAGCTAGTATAGTCTCGTACCCCAAAGCTAACTATGAAGTACCCCAACCCACAATGAACATATATTCAGCCCCGAGGCCCGAACTAGATGCTCTAAGTTGTTCGTGGTACCATGGTACCAGTAAGGCATCGGTTCTTGTATATTGGTCTATGTATCCGGCTAAATAGCTAAGGGCCACTCATCGATGTGACTTAGAGTTATACGGCCCCAAAACAGGTCTACACGAAAGAGGGGATCTAGTCTCAAGCCCTTAGAAATATGCGCAACCCAGACTAGTAATTAAATTCGAGAGCAGCTAGGTTTGAGAAAGTAGTAATATTGTGAGAGCGACTACAATATATGTAGAATCGATTCAATACTGTTTTTCAGATATCAGTATTCGCTTCGGACTTGCGTTCAAGGGAGGGCTAAAACAAGCAGCGCTGCTACCACTTTAAATTTCAAATTCTCGACGAAATAAGTTTACAATTAAAAAAATTAGGCCCATGGGGGAGGGAGTCAGTGTTTAGTACCTTCGAATGGGGAATTTGTAAGTGCGGAGAAATGATCCCTTGAACTCGTGCCCGTCTTGCCTCCAGACCAATCGCTAATTACTCACTTCTATCAGTATCAAAAATATATATTTCCAATAAAAGTTTAACTTGTCTTCAGCTGCAACCGTCCAATCAGTCTTGCCTAGTTTGTGTGGAATTACGTGCAGATTACCTGCCACACTGCACCGCCTGCACAATCGTGGCTTGTATAAGTGTGGCTCCTCGGATTTGCCTGCTGAATAACTTGATCGTGGAATGACGTTAGCAACAACAGATGCTCGAGGAAAGCTTAAATTTTAAGATTTTCGAATCTAGCTGTTAAATTTATTATCTCTTACGCTAAGGGATTGATTGATGACATAATTCAACAATATAATGATGTTATAATTGGTATACACATTTCATTTGCGATCGAAGGTTCAGTTCAGTTCGCCAAAGACAACCTTCGATCTAAGGTATCCATTTTTCTACCATAGTATGTACGTAAACGTACCTAGGTAAGTACATATATACATATGTACTTACTTAAGTATCTACCAAATTTAGCATTCAGATTCTTGCATTAGTATCAGGTGTCGGCAAAAGAGGGCGGCTGTGTGGAATTGTGGAATCTTGGAACTGCAGCTGTGCAGCTGTGGCGTGGTTCGTGGCTGGCTGAGCGAATGGTTGCACAGGATACGCCATTCCAGGCCAGCGCTGATGTATCTTGGCCTACGCAATGTAGCCAGATGTGCGCATCGAATCCAGCGACTGTCAACGGGCCCAGTTGTCATTCCTGTCACTGGAAAATTATATAAAATCCCACTCGCTCTCCGTGACCATTTACAGGTGCTCTTACGATAAATTCAAGAGAATCATCAACTGCACAACCTTTTAAACTTCAATTCGATCTCACAATCAGAGCAATCCATACAAACTTCAAATGTTCGTTATAATTACCCAGGCCTTAGTTACTTACTTACAGATCCCTCCCAACACATTTCCTAGCTCATTAATGCGGAGTCGCTGATCGGATACGATGATAAGAAACTTAGAACATAAACCACAGACCGCATAAACAATTACCATGGGTTTCTTTTACTCCAAGTCATATGGAGGCAGGCGCGCCGGAGGCGGATTCACAGCTGGAAAAGGTGGCGTCCGACCCCACATCCGGTTCGTCATACCCTTCCCATCTAGCCTTCCATTTATTACCGCTGACCGGGAACGAATTATTGCTATTTAGATTCAGAATTTGCGGCTTCAACTGCTTCCGTTAAATCTTTCCTGGTTCCCTGCGAATTCGTAAGCCACCCCTCAACCCACAGCTTAAATTCGGAAGGACTATCTTGTTGATTCTTTGTTCTTGGCTAGGCAGTCATGATAGTAGAGGAGCGATTTATTTTTTTCATCCCAAGTTTTTCTATTTCTTTTGCGGTTTCTGGAGAACCTTTCCTAGCGTAAACGGTTGATTCTTATTCTTCTTCTTCTTTTTCTTTCTCCCAATGGTTAACGGAATGAACTTTCTTTATGCCTGCTTCTACCCTGTAAACGCCGGGTAATGCATCAGTTTTATAAACTTCAAATACATACAACCGCTTCCCAATTTTATGGATCGTGACGATTCAATTAATTCTTCAGCCAGGGCTATCTAATACCCCGTTTTTTAGTTCCTTTTCTTCCTTTTCCCGCTTTACTTTACTTTTTTTTTTTTTTCGTACCTCACATTTGATCCTCCTGTTGATACAGCCGCTTAGAACGGCCAGTTAGTCAGCCGGAAAACATTCTGTAAACGGTTTCTGCCGCGAGATAATTAACGGCCGCTCATGACATCGTTTTCTCCCGAATTGCCATTGAGTTCCCGTCCTGGACAAGGGTTCCGAATCCTGTAACATATTATTAATCCGAAGAAATTGCGAATTCTACGTCAAGATGAAACGCACCGATGTCCAATGGTCAAGATATAACACTGGTAAACGATAGTACGATTGATCGTATTTGGAGGCATTAACCTATAAGTAACTAGCAATGAGCTCTGGAGAGACGAAGTGGGTTCGTGTTACTGGAGCAAATTAGGCAATGCTGGACAATCCCAAGCCGAACGATTCTTAATAGCTTCGACTTAAACTGCGCATCGTAACTTTGATCTTCCGTAAATATTCCAATGTGAAGGGCCGAAAGTGCTGGGGCCTTGTGGCTTTATAATTAAATTTCCCAGTCTCGCCACACTTTAGCCAAGGGGTCGGCCTAATGGAAATAGGGCGAGTTCTAGGCCTTCAGGAGCAAAATCGACAGGTTCATCCATGCTATCTATGAAACTTCCATAAGATCTCGAAAGATTTGAGGGTTATTTTCGAGAAAATTCGAGGACGGGATACCCACGTTTGCAATTGTTTGCACAACTTGTACTTGCAAGGCCTCTGTTTTCTTTCTTTCTTTCTTTCTTCCTTTCTTTCTCTCTCTCAGGGCATGGGGGGGAGTGCAGTGTTTGGTCAGATCATACGGTACCGTTTTATAAATTTATTTCGATCGGCCCTTAACTGCCTGGGATTCGATCTGAAAATGGATGATGCATGCGCAGGCTGCATTGCATTGATAGCTTCCCGAAAATGGATCACAGTGGTGCGGACGGTTCAGTTAAGTACCCACCCCGCTGCAGGGAAGTGTGATGAGACTGACCCGATTTATTGACGGCTTAAGCCTCTCGAAGGCTTAGTGTAAACCTTCAGAGGGGCTCGAGTGGTTCCTGGCTCGATTGCATGAGCTCTAACAGGTGGTGTCATTCAGCATGTAAGTACTCCGTACCGTAGTATACTTCCCTACGGACACGGCTATAATATTAATACCTGTTACATTTCGGTATACAATTAACGGACATCCAGTGCCAGTACAGTGCCAGTGCCAGTGCACATGTAAGACACAGGAATAGTGTCGATTTCCTCACTGCTTCGGCCAGGTTGCGTCATGACTCCGGCTTTTATTCGTCCACTCGGATACTTATGTATCCTGATTGCTTAATATAGTCCTCGTTCACGTTTTGGTTTCGAGTTATCCGTTCGAATCAGTTCTTTTTTTATTTATTTTTTCACTCATATACTCCAGACAATACAATACGGTTTGGTATTATATTTGGCGGTGGTAGCCTTGTGATTGACGACCCTCGTCAACCCCCCGCTGTTAATGCATCCCAGACTTCTGTACAACTTCCCGTCTCCCTGTTCCCCCCCCCTCCTCCTCAAGCCATCAGCCATGATTGACATTCAACCTCGGATTCATTGCCGCTGTCGACTCACGGCACAGTTCAAAAGTAAGGAATGTGTGCTGGATTCGAAAGGTGCTCAAGGTGTGGCTTAATTAATTACTTTTTCCACCTTTTGCCTGTATGTGTTTTTCTTTTCGAAATCGATGGGTCCCGTTCGATGGCAAATAGCAAGTCGTCGTGTGTTCGTTCCTACATTGAAGAATAATCCGGTCATGCATACTATAACGGGGATTGTAGTGTTATAGCTTGACAGATATACTTCTCTCTTAAGAGCAACGAAGTATAGTGTAGACTAATCCTGCTAGGTATATACTGGTAAGCTACTATAAACGGAGGGCGGAAAGAAGGAAAGTCAGGATCATGGTGAGGATAAGCTGCGTAACGCCAGAGTTAGAGCTTTTTATAGAGATGGAAAACAGGTGACAGTGCTGAGAAAACAGCCATATAAACTCAGGTATCCGGCCACGACATAGATGCGGGCCATGAGATACTTAGTAGTATTGTCTTTTCGGATACATCCATTCTAAACAGCGTCGTTGACTTTTCTCAATTCTTTTTCCTCTTTTTTTCCCCCTTCTCCCTTCTACTGTCCCTGCTCTTCTCACCCCTACTTTAGCAGGTGGTATAGAATTAGACCTGCTGCGGGAAAGGACCGGACGAAATTATTCGGAGAGATCACTCTCGCACAGACCTTCCCAGCGAGTCTACGCTTTCAGTTTTCTGCCATCAAACAGCGTCGTCCGTCTACATATAACCTACTAGTGCTGCTGCTACCGAGCCTGTCGTTGGCTGCGAGGTGCAATCGGGCGCTAAGCCTGCAAGGCGTGCGGCGGAGCTTCCTGCATTGAAGCAAGTTTAACAGTGCTTGTGCAGAAACCTACTGTTAGAAGGGCCGGTCTAACAGTTTTCGAGTCCAGACGCGTGCGAGAGTCTCGCATAAGAGCTGCACTAGTGCTGTCAGTCAGCCAGATCTCGGTGAATCTATTCGGCACCTGGGTTCCCGTCGTCCTTAAACTCGATAGTAGTGCAGTGGTGGTGTCTTTCTGGACCCTACGTATACAAACAAGTTGAGCCCCAGATGCACCCTTGGAAAAGTTATACACCGTAACTCTCCTGACCGTATACTTACCTGACTTCGTGCCCCAGGCCCGGCTTTCGTTCGCCTGGCTAAAGCTTTAAAGCAGTAGACTTAGCCCTGCAGCTCGCGTGACAAGACTGTCAAGTCGAGAGTTTGCTTTGCTGCAAGTAGGCCGTTTCACCTACTTTTTTTGGTTCCAGCCGCATCTGCCGCTATTCCGCAGACACAGGTACGTTGGCTCAGCTTCCGCGAGGGCGAAATCGAGCTCCAGCAGTCCTGTTTTTTGTCCAAAAGAACCCCAGTTCAGCAACCCATTTTCGCATTTTCAGGGACAAAAAAACTTCCATGGTTTTTTAGCTTTAGGGGAGTCAACATTTGTTTCGTCCCGCGCTAAAAGAGTGTACGAAATATGATAGTTCAGTTTCTCCCGCCCAGTGGCCACTCAGACATGGCGCCGAGGTCGATTCTGGTGATAAACCCCAATTCGTCGATTTCGATAACCAATTCTCTAAGGCAGATGCTAGAGCCTCTAGTTCCAGCTGATGTAGGTGTAATTTCCAGACCCCGCGCACCTAAACAAAAAAAAAAAGAACACACCGCCTTGCAGCGCACCTAGAACCCTTATCCCTGCCTGTTAATGCATTCCTTGTCGAAGATGCTGTTCCGTTGAGTGCTCCGGGTACTGATATTTGTCATGAACATGTTTTTATGTCTCGATAGACGATCCTATCTTTCTATACTGGCCCCCCTACTGCGCCGAAGTCTATCAACGACAACGAAACGTCGGCGCGTTCAGCCGATATTTGTCTCCCGGAACTGATATCTATGCTCCAACTCCATGCGGGTTTTGTAGTCGCCTGTTACTCAGAACATTCTCTCGTACCGTTATTACGACAGTATACCAAAAAACCGGTCGTGGGTATTTTCGAGGCAAGCATAACACACGCGCTGCTGCTGAAGGGTCCTGGTGGCTGGGGTATCGTTACAACCGGCAAGATTTGGGAAGACCTGCTCAGCATAGGTGTAGGGAACTTCGTTGGTGAAGACGTAGGTGGGTTTGAGGGTGTGGAAAGTACTGGTCTGAATGCCGATGAACTTCATTCTGTCGGCGACGATGAAGTAAAGAAGAGGATTGGAGACGCGGTCGTCAGACTAGTAGGTCGAGGAGACGTTCGAGTGATCTGCTTGGGAGTAAGTTATTCAATTTTTAAAATTCATACAGAAGAAAAATTCGTATACCATAGTCGTTCATTCTGAATACGACCGTTAGGAACAAGCGTATCCATGTCTGCGACGCAAGGATAGAATGGAATATACTAACAGACTGTTTTTGCTATAATAGTGCGCGGGAATGGCTGGCCTAGGCGCCGCAGTAACAATGGCCTTAGAGCCCTTGGGCAAATCGGTATATATAGTTGACGGAGTGAAAGCGGGGGTAATGCAGGTAGACAGCCTGATAAGATCTGGGTACGGAGACGAGATATGAATCTTTCTTCGTAAACGCACTTTCGGTATTAAAATCGGCAATCCTCTTGCTTACCACCAAGTGCGAGAAAGAATGAGAATATGAACAGCTTTCCTTTGGCCAATGGGTGGCCGGTTAAACCTCTCTTTCAATACGTTTCTTATAATGGATCATTATCATTTCAAGCTTGAAACTCGATCTAGGGTTGTCAAGTTCGCAAAATGGGCCATTGGGCTAAACAAAGCAAGGAAATACTCATTGGGCATAGCCAATCCAATAATTACTGGTATTATAGTTCCGTTTTGATTTGTGCTTCTCAGGTGCATATTCTAATAGTATGTTGACATTATAAAAGCTCATTCGGGTGTTTTTCTGTCATGATCCTGAGCACACCCGTGTGTCTGTTGTAAATAATTGGGGTGCAGGAAGCCGAATCCACACGAGCTTGTCTATTTAGAGGATGGGCTTAAGTCTTGTTGCAGAAATATCTTTGAAGCCAGGCCGGGATCAAGGCTCGAGGGACGTCAGGTGTAATTTTACATGTCTGTCGTGGACAAGGAAATCACTGTTTAGATGATCACGAATCCTTGAAGGCACAGGGATCTATCTATACGAGCCAAAATTCGACTCTGGTGGATCTGAATATTCAACAATCTCGGTTTCTTCGAGTTTGAAATTTCGAAAATGCATGGAATTCGAATTAGAAGCTGCTGACTATTGGCAAAGTGTATTCTGGACTGGCGCCAGGGGACACTGATCACACCTAGATTCCGTTGCCTCCATGTCTCGTCATATGCATGATCCATGCTTGTTCAGGGTGTGGGAAAAAGAATCCGATACTGTTGAATATGGCCAAGACAAAAAGGCTTCTATTGTGGAGGAACCAGATGCCGATGCCGTATCTTCTGACCCCTGCTGACACATCAATATTATCTCATACCTCAGAGAAAGGTTAAGAATTGTGGAGGCTGTGGGGTTAGAGGATTCGAACGCTCATCAGAAACGTTTCCTGTTGCAGCTGGTTGAAAGAAGGGTCACTAGCGACTCCAAGCAGTTGTGCGGCATAGTTAATTAAGTGCTTGTGATCGAGGTTGCGCAGTGTTCGGTAACGTATTAGCTAACGTACAGCCCTTCGTACGTGGCCTGCGCCTGCGAATGTTACCTAACCACGTTCTTCCCACTCGCTTCAACGGCGAGCACTTGAGACCCGAACCCGAGAAAATGGTCCGTGCTTTCGCCGTGTTTATTGATTTCCAATCTGGGATTCGATTTAAAGACTATTCACATTCTGTGTTTGTCAGACATCAGCAGGTGCGCTAGCATGGTGATTTTTTATAATTATCCAAATTTGATTGTGAACACCATGAAAGTATAATATCAAAGCCTGCTACATATGCATTGTGCAAACCCGTGATAGGTTCTTGGGCTTCCAACCATTCGCCTGCTGTAACTTTTGGCTTGTTTCCCCAGACCATGTGGGGTCCGAACCCCTTGTAGCAAACGTGAACTCTCGGGATCATGAAACTTAGTTTGAAGCCAGTTGCAGTAAAGTTTAGCTCCGAATGATGTAACAGTGCATTTATATTCATTGCGAGTCTAGGTTCTGGATTAGCGCAGCGCGTTATGATAACCAATCTTAACATATAACATCGCAGATAGGAAAACCTCGTGTATATACGTATATAGGTTTTATGAGTTATAGGCGTACACGAATGCTGAAACTAGGATGTGAGGATTTTTATCTACTGGCTTACCTCAGTACTAGGAATTTTGTGAGCCGTGAGCTGTAGATCGAAGCCAACCAGCTAAAGCGAGGCTTAACAGCAAAACTTCCCTCGATATTGCGATCACATCTAGGTACTTAAGTAGCTGATGTTTCTGTACCTACCGGCATATTATATTAGTCCCTCGCTCAAGTACATCGGATATAAGTTCTGGATTCCTTTTATTCATCAATCGTCATCGCCTGCAAGCTTGCAAGACTATGCGATAACCTTAATATGCAATTTTGAATTCGGGTAACCTTGTTAACTACTAAGGTTGGGGGAGTGCCGATTATTGATTATTCTTCGCTATAGCTCGTTGGAGAATACCGATTGATACCGAATTCGGGTATTCGAGTAGAAGAAAAATGATCCGATTCTATTGCATCGTTCGATATGATCGATAGTATTAATTATCATAGGATGTGCCTAGACGCCTTCTGCTGGGTAGCTAGTCGAATATAGTATACATACGAAGCGTATATCATCGGAGAATGAATGTCCTATTGTACTTGAACTGATTAATACAATCGATTACGTATAGTCTGTGTCGCATCCGTCTAGTCTATTCATTATTGAGCGATTCTGAAAATGGTATGACGTCGAAGTCGCAGTTGGTATCGTTACACATGGGCAATTCAAAGCGAAATCGACGATTAGATAATCAACAAACCGCCAAGGCTCGGCAATCGGGCTCCTGAGTTCGACCTCTAGCTCGATCCCCAGCCCATCCATCGCACGATATCGCTGCACCCGGATCGCGATCTACCTGTCCGATCTAGATATATATCGTCCACGCCACGCATCGCGTCCCTAGCCTACCAATGGCAACCAACATGTCTCCCCTACGCGCTCTGAGCCCTGAGAGATGTTCAGGATGGTACCCCGGCTGACTCTGCTCCCCATTCTTCGACATCGTCCCATCCTGATCTTGTCGAACCATCGAACTACCAAAATATCAACCTGGATAACATATCTATTCTCGACGATGCCTCCCAAAGGTTCAAAACGTAAAGCTAGTTCCGCTGCCGGCGCTCCAGCCAAACGGACTATCCTCAGCTTGTTGAAGGTCGAAACCAGTGACCGGAGCTCTTCGCAGGATATCCGCGATGAGGATGCCAACGAAGCCTCGACGGTTGTCAAGGACGAATCTGACGGCGATAGTGTATCTCAATCGCATGTCGACACCGCTTCAGGGCATGAGGAGATCGTTCTTCGCGAGTTTTATCCTCCAGAGATGTCAAACGAGCGAGTTAGATCCTACAAAGATGGCACAATAGAACTGCCGTATACCGAGCTGACATCGGCCTTAACGGACACGGAAGCTGAGCGTGTTAACTTGGCACCAAAAAAGGCCGTAGCTCACTGGTTCAGATGGGACCTACGACTTTCCGACAATACAGGCCTTCATAGGGCTGCTGAATCTGCAAAATCACAGGGGTTACCTTTAATATGCCTCTACTTATTCTCCCACCAAGATTTCCATGCTCATCTTACATCACCTGCGAGAATCGACTTCTGCCTCAGGACCCTGCAAATTCTCAAGGACGACCTTGCGAAGTTGGATATTCCCCTGTGGGTCGAAGAGGTGACGGACCGAAAGCGTACGCAAAACCATGTCCTTGATTGGTGTGAAAAGTGGGACGTGGGTGAACTTCACGCGAACATGTTGTACGAGGTTGATGAGCTGCGCCGAGACGCGAAGCTTGTCAGGGAGGGGGTAAAGAAGGACATCAGATTCACTGTACACCACGATACATGTGTCGTTGAGCCTATGGTCTTGCGGTCTGGAGCTGGGAAAACGTATTCCGTATTTACGCCGTTCTTCAAATCCTGGGAGCCGTATGTTTACAGAAACAAATGTGTTCAGGATCTCTTCCCTCCGCCGGGGAAGAATGATCCGAAGCATACCGTGAGGGAAGCCTTTGCAGAATTATTTTCTCAGACTTCTTTCCCCACTCCAAATCCGAACAAACGTTTGGAGCAAAAAGAAGCCCAACGGCTAGCAAAACTCTGGCCGGCTGGAGAACATGAGGCTAGGTCTCGGCTCCGGCGGTTCCTGGACGAACGAGTTTCTAAATACGTGGACACGCGCAACAGGCCTGACAATGATAGTGGGACTAGCGGTTTATCCGTCCACTTGTCCGCTGGAACTTTGAGCGCTCGTCAGGCTGTCCGAGCTTGCATGGATCACAACAAAGGTAAATCATTGGATTCTGGACATCACGGTTGGATCCGTGAGCTCTGTTTCCGGGATTTCTACAAACAAATTCTGGCAGCAAACCCGCACGTTTGCATGAACAAAGCTTACCACGAAGAATACCACAAGGTCAAATGGGAATACAACGAAGAGCATTTTCAACGTTGGGTTCAAGGGAAAACCGGGTATCCGATCGTTGATGCAGCGATGAGACAGCTGGCCACGAACAAGTATATGCATAATCGGTGCCGAATGATTGTAGCGAGTTTTTTGTGTAAGGATCTTCTTTTGGATTGGAGGAAGGGTGAAAATTATTTTATGTCCGAATTGATCGATGGGGATTTTGCTTCGAATAACGCTGGATGGCAGGTAAGTTTTGAGTTTGCTATTTCTAACTCTTACAAGCGTTTGTGTGCTGACAGGTATCTTGAAATTTATAGTTCTGTAGTTCTTCGGGAACGGATGCCCAGCCGTATTTCCGAATCTTCAATCCTTTGACTCAAAGCGAGAAATTCGACCCGGACGGAGAATATATCCGCCGCTGGGTTCCCGAACTCAGCAAGCTGAAAGGGAAAGAAATTCACGATCCTGCCAGTCGGCTTTCTCCTGCCGAGTTCAAGAAACTATCTTACCCTAAACCCATAGTCGAGCACAAGGCCGCTAGAGAACTGGCACTAGAGAGATACAAATCGGGGCTTGGAAAGAACACTCGTTGAGCTACATACTCGTGCTTTCGGGTAATAGCTGGCATTTAGAGTCTAATGTTCTCTTACATAAAAATATTTAATGCATCCTTCTAGTTGCGAGCGACTTTCTTAGGACTTTGTAGTGCTTTTATGCACAGTGACCAACAACCCCAGAGATCTCAACTATCCCAAGATTCTGTCTTGCGATTGTCGTTACAGCTCTTTTGAGAGTGAGGAGAAATGCCCACAGTGAATGCTTTCCCGGTGTCTTTTCTGCGACTTAAGGCTTTGACAACCTGCTCCTTCGGGGGATGTGGTTATCAGAGCTCTTTTATAGTGGACTATTACTGGGTAGCTTGTGGTTTAATGGCTTTTCTCAACTTACAGATCCTGGGGAGAATAAGGTACGGTATGGCTATCATATCGTTTTATAAACATCGCTTTCTGATGAGTTGCTCGTATATATCTTCCCATAGATCCGTGGAGTGCAACACAGATACGGGCGGTACAGGTATAGTTCTTTCGTTCAAACCAAACCCAGTAACCGCTTAACTTGGCGGTTGAGTAATTGAGGGACCGTATGCTGTAGATCGAAGTTTGATTTGTCGAAATGGTTGATCCGTTGTCTCCATAAACTCGTAGAGACAGATGGATATATTATCTTATAAAGCGAATGCTACTGTGTTTTATAAGTTCCCTTGATGTATAAGACTACAAACAATATTAATATAACGGGAAGAGCCTCTTTAATGGCGTTTTTTGTAATTAGTAACTCGGGACATCCTGGCACCGGCTTTGGCCCCTGCATCTGCAATTTTATTCAGCTGTCGAGGAATCCTCCAGAACTGAACCTCGACAGCAGACCGCTCAAGCCTTCGTAGTACCCCTAGCAATTCCTCCCACAAGTCACGGTTTGCAACCAGCCTCCCTTTGCTGGTTACCCATCCCTCCTGAACCCACGTTCTGATCCATCTCGTGATACCGTGAACGACATATTGCGAGTCTGTAGCGATGGTGATTCTTGTACATGCTTCACCACGCCAAGCTCGATGATCCAAGGCGGCAATAACAGCACGGATTTCAGCTCGGTTTGAGGTTTGCAGACTCTCTAGTCCACTCGGACCAGTATCTTCTAATCGGAAGGATACGAAACCCGGATCATTTTTATCCGTTTCGTATTCCTCAGTAGGTCGATAGTAAAATGCACACCCGGCAGCAGCATCCCCCCCACCGTTGTTTAAGCATGCTCCGTCAGTATATATCAGAATATGCTCATGGTCGTACATGCTTCTAAAGCGTCGACAAGGGGTTTCGAGTGAATTGTACCCGACTTCCGCTGGGAATAACGCCGTTGGAGTGGCATCTTGAGGATGTGGTGTAAACTCTTTGATTTCGGGTATGTATACTGTATTCGAGATGACTTGACTATTGGCTATCGTATGACATTTCATGGCGTGGGTTCTGTGGTTGACCTGCAGTGTTTCCGTAGGACGGGGTTTCCCGTACGACTCTGCCGGCTCTGCGAGACGGCGGCCGCCAACAGATGGATTTCCTGGCGAAAAGTTAGTTTATGTTATTGAAGGCGAATCAGCCATTGTTTGTACATACTATACATATGGCCGGACATATTTAGGATTGTCTACGGTGGAGGCGAGATTATGTACATGCGAACCTATATACCTGAAAGGACAGCTGATGGGTATGCATGCAGAAGTATAGGAAGGTCCAACGAAAAGAGTTGGTGAAGACGAGGAAGCCTCGAATGCTGAGAGCTGGATGGAGTTTATCTATCGCCTTGGTGACCCCTCTTGGATTAATTCCGGGGTGGGTTTGGATTCGAAGTGGACCCGAGCATATCAACCAGACTAGTGATAATCAATAAGTGTGTTGACTATGTGGAATTTTAGTCTTGTGTACATACAACGTGGATCATGAGGGTCGTGAGCTGGCTGTCAGTCAGCTAGCGGCTTTATCTCAGAGGTTCACTTTTTTTCAGAGATCGCTAGATAGAAAGTATTTATATACATATTCTGAGTCAGAACTAGAATAGACAGTTACTTTTGTCAATATATATGATGGGAAAGGCTAGATAATATAAACATCTGAATAATAAATACTAGGTAAAAGGTAAGATTGGAGTGTTTTTTATGGACGCTGCATCCTAGAAAGAATGTGAGAGACAACGACACAAAATGCCCAATAACGCCTGTAGCTTCCGCTGTTCAAAACAATTACAAAAACCTCCTCTTATTTTTTCCGAATTTTAAACCCAAGGACCGAATAAGCCTCCCCAGAAAGAGTAAGAAGAGATGGGGGTCGTGAAAAGAAAAAAAAAGGTTCATTATATATCGAAGAAACTCGTATCACACCCGTTAACCTGGTTCGCATTATTCTTTTTAAAAGAGTCCACCCCATCTTCCCTGGACTCTTCCGTTGCTTTCTGGATCCGTTTGGGCCTTTTTACTCTTTTCTAAAGCCATCAAACTTTCCATCTTCTGTAGGGCGAGCTCAAGCAGCTGCTTCCTTTGCTGGAGGTCGACGTGCTTCCTGATCTTGGGGTCTTCTCTGGCGAAGGCCTCAATTTGAGCCTGTGAGAGGTGGCGGCCTAGCCGGTGGTCGAGTTCTCGAGGGAACTATTGACAAGCTATTAGTACTAGATCACAAAGAAGTGATTGGTGCGTGGGGAACATACGTTATAATAAAACTCTGATAGGAGCTCGACATTTAAGAAGAGGACGGCTGTAGATGTCAACTTCTCGGCTACCACGTCCATAAACACTTCTGGACAAGAGTATTTATTGTCCTTGGTAGCACAGCCTTTGCTCTTGACTGCTAACATCCTCATTTTGATGATGTCGGCTCGGTCCCGCAAGAAAGTACCCTCGCGTCCTATTATCATAGATCTCGTTAGTAGATGCTTATTGATAGGTGAATGCGATAAAAAAGTCTGGATATTTACCCTTCTCTAACATTGCTTGGCTAAAACCTAGCGCCTCTGTCCCCTCCTGCATCTCTGGAGCCTTCCCACTCCTGATCTTGTCCACAAAGGCCATAGCACTACTCAATTTCTTCCCCCCAATTTGATCCCTCAATCGTTTATACGAATCCTCGCATGCCTTCAATTCGTCTTTCAATAGCCTTTGGGCGTTTTCACGACTATTTGACCATTCTCTATCATCGACTTCGATCTCAAACTTATATGGCTTGATGCAATTTTCAACTTGATCCGAAGTAGCATAGAACCGCTCATTCAAGATTTGGTTCGTTGAATCTTGAATCGCTTTCTTCGCAAATGGATGATTTCGGAACGTAGAGCTTTCGATCAACTGATCCATTTGCGTAGACAACGAGTTTGCAACCACATTTGTCGCTAACCTTCCAATTCCCAGCTTCGTGAGTGCACTGGAAGAACCATCCAGTTTCCGGTGCCAGTACAACTCATCCGGTTCTACTTTAGCTAGCTCCGATAGGGGATGCTCATCCGAACGGGCCTTCTTAAGATCCGAGATTGGCTTGTTCCAGTAACGCTGTGCCAAGATATCGAGAACTCTTTGGTCAAGTTCTTGTTTTAGTAGCATTCGAACTTGTGGACGGCCAAAAAGCTCGGTGAATTCCTTGAACGAGTGTTTGAACGAGTCGAGAGACTCGGCAAGGTAGGTATCTGCGGTGAGGGGGCGGTCGTTATATTGAACCTTGAACTCATAACTAGCTTCTTCTAATTCTTGGTGGATTGCATCCGATGTGCCTTGTAGAGACTGTGCCATTGTAGCTTCAAGTACTTCCATTAGTTTTCGACGAAGAGAGTATGTACCAACAGTAACACCGGACTCCCCACCAAACTGAGGATGTTGACCAAAGAAGGCGTTCTCGTTCTTTGTAATGGCGTTAAGAACATTGACTTGTCGACTGAAGAGACCACCAGAATGTGGGACTCTGCAGACCACACCAACATATCCTAGGCGGAGGGGGTAGTTCTTGTCCTTAAGAATGCTTGAACCACGGTCAGGGTCTACAAGATCCATTTTCGTAATCACACCAATTGTCCGTTCGCCGCGAGGGTCTACTCTTCGACTTGCACGAAGGGCAGTAGAGTTGGCGAGATCGACGTCGGCGGCGGAAACGGCGAGGATGACATTTGGAGGTTTGATATATTTGTCGCACAGTTGGAAGATTTTAGCTTTGAGTTCGTCGGGCTGGTCGAGGGCCGAGAGTTGGATGTATCCGGGGAGATCTATGAGTGAAAGGTCCGGTACATTCTTGGAGTAAATAGTAAGTCGAATAGGGTCATCAGATACGCAGTCCTTCTCGGGAACAGCCAAGTTGAGATCCGTCAGTGTTCGTTGGATATGGGAGAAATCGGTAATTTTGCCCAAGTTGAGCGTTGGGAATTCACCATATTCCACAGAGGAATCAGGTGTATTGACCAGTGTTAACTCAATTGGCCGTCTTGTAACCATGTTGGCTCCTTTCGGTAAGAATTCATGTCCTACGATCGCTTCCAATACTGAGCTCTTGCCGGAACTCTGGGAGCCGATGACTACAATCGATGGCAGTGTAAGAGCACCAGTTTGGCCAACCCTCTGGAGAATTGTCCGGATTTCGATCATTTTACGAGTGAGAACCATCATCTGGTCGTCCCTCGCGGATTGTTTGTCATCCTCCCCACCGGAGTATCCCAGTACGGCGGCGGTAGCAGCTGCAGTTTTTACAGCATGCTTCTTCGTATTCGGGTCCTCGTCCTCCGGCCCCTTCCCTCCCTTCCCTCCACCTCCACCTTCTCCGCCGGCGGCTCCAGCTCCCGATTTAGACATTGCTTGGTTCACCGATTCCTGCATCTTTGTAAACCAACCCGGCTTCTCTAACCCTTCGATCGAACTCACGACACCCCCAAAAGCTTCCTTCCCAGAGTTGAAAAAACCTGACGCCATTTCCTTGCCATCGTTGAGTATTCCAAGAGTCCAGTTCCCCGCCTGGTGTACCTGATAGTTGACATACGCAAGTCCAGCAATAGTAGCGCCTCCAAATGCCGCAGGTATGCGCACAAACTTAAGAAACAGCCTTGGTAACACCCTTTGGAAGCTTATCGGCCGAACGGCGGTGACTTGTGTGATAGAACGAAAACGTTGTGCGGAGAGAGATTCATGTCGTAATCGGGGGAAAGCTTGGTTCCGTAGAAGGCCGGCGGCATTTGTACGTGGAGCAAGAAGGCTGTAAGGTCGTGAAGAAAGTCGGAGGGACTGGGTAAGACGAATGTGGGGTCTAAGTTGCGGGCCGGTGGCTCGTGAGGCAAGAAGTCGCCCGCTCATGGTGAGGAAATTGCGGCGAGAGGAATTTATTGTGACGGCATGAAGTGTTATTCGGGATGGGGGTATGCTAGCTGAAGGTATTTATGGGTTAGGATTAGAGTATGTGTTTTCGTTGCTCGGTATATTTTTTATGTGAGTTGAAGAAGTGAAGGCGTGGTGGGGTGTGTCGATGCAATTTTTGAAGTTTGAAAGCCAAGTCGAGGTTGATTGGATATGATATCTGGAAGCTGTCTGTCACTGATGTGTTGGCGGCCGGTCCCCACGGGCTCCGGTAGGATGTTCGGGAACCATCTGGGAGATCCCGTGGCTGACATAAGTCAGTCCCCGGGGAAACTGCAGCTCGTCAAAAGGCGCGATCGACTGTGGGTTGCCTTAGCTGAGGAGTGAGTGCTGTGTGACCACTCCAGCTCCTAGTTACCACCACCAACACCACTAACCACAACTGCCACTACTTCAACATCATGAGATCTAACCTCCTATCGACAACCGCAGACGAATCGATTACTTGACGATCAGCCGCCAGCCGACATCTAGCAACCACCGCTTACAATTGCAGTTGACTACAGTCCTTTGCGGTATTATCCGGAGTGATTGCGCCGATATAGGACAAGATCGCGTGATCCAACGGCCGACTCATCCCATTCGCCGTCTGTTTGGGGGGCCTTTTATTAGAGTCCAGAGACCAATTCTGTGATTCGATTTGAAACTCGACATCTCGCTTGGTTCTGGAGACCTTTTCTAACGACTAGTACGACATCTAGTTCGAGATGGTGGGTTCCTTATTATCTAATGCATTTGTCATAGCTTGGTAGCCAAAGCTAATCAGCTACATAGTGTCGCTTCTTGATATACAAAGGCAGGCAGGAGATTCTCCTCGCCCATCTAATCCTCAATCCTACACATTCTATTCTCACACAATCCTATGATTCCAGATTACGGCTCGACACAAGAAGACCTCACAACGGTGATGGGTTTGGCATTGGATACTACACCTCACAGGAACTTGGTAGCGAGCCATGTATATTCACATCCACGACTCCAGCATGGAATTGCACAAACCTCACAAGACTTGCCGAAAAGACGACTTCTTCACTAGTATTCGCTCATGTTAGAGCTACTACCACCGGTCAGCTCTCGGAGAGCAACTGCCACCCCTTTAAATACAATAGCATAATGTTTATGCACAATGGAAACATCGCTTGCTTCCAAAAGATTAAGCGTAATATTGTGCTAGATATCGAAGAGAGATTCTTCCTTGTCGTAGAAGGAAGTACAGATAGCGAATGGGTATGCAGCATTCTTATAATATATACTTCAAGTTACGCAAATGCTAAATATATCGCAATTATAGGCATTCGCACTTTTCCTCGACTCCCTTACTAGGCTTGGTGTCGACCCAGCGACAACTCCACCCAATGGCTTCGGTCATCAGATTCTCCGTCAAGCCATGCTTTCTACTATTAACCGTCTAAACGAATTCGGCCGTGCAGCTGGCATCACCGAACCATCGCTCCTCAATTTTGCTGCAACGGACGGCCATTCCGTTGTTTGCACACGTTACATTAGCTCCCGTACTGACGAAGCCGCAAGTCTATACTTTAGCTCCGGTACCCGCTTCCATGAGTACAAAACCGGGGGGTTTTACCGTATGGAACGACATGATCGTGGGCAAGATCTAATAATGGTTGCAAGCGAGCCGTTGACATTTGAACGTGGTGATTGGGTCACCGTGCCGACGAACTCTATTTTGTCAGTGAATAAACAGACAGTGCTGATTCATCCAATCATCGACGAGTTTTATCAGAGCGATCCAAGTTACTCTAGGAGCACGCAACTAGCAGAGTCGAAGGGGCTTGTGGGTGTTGGGCCAGCAGATCAGCAGGCTGAGGCTGAGGAAGTGCTGTCTAGTAACAGTCTAGAGGAAGAGCCTGTGGTGGTGCTGAGAGCCGAGCAAACAGCCCCTTGAAGGTGTTTCTACCAGTGCTAGGTTGCGAACTTAAGGTCGGGAATGGGTTATGGGGCGGTAAAGACTTGATGTTTGAGGAGTTCTGGCGAAGGATATAGACTGACACATTTGATTTCCATTTTATCTTACCCTACCCATCATATTGACTATCTTTATATTCTTTATTGCCTGCGATATATCATTATTGTCATTTCAGAATATTTTATACAATTACTAGTTATATTACCACACTCGGCAACCGGCTCATGCCAAAGTAATAAAAACATGCTACTCCAAACACCGAAACATCCCCGTCCCAAACTCCTCTGTTATGCAACCATCTTCTCTCGGCACCCCCTCCTCGTTCACTTCACTTAACAAACCTCTAACAAACCTCTTCACCCCTTCCATCTCCACTCCACTAACTTTCACTAACAGAAACCCTCTAACCGACGACGCCGCCCACAGAACTCCATTATTCCTCGCTTCAACTTCAATTCTATTGTGTCTCCTCGAATCATCATCCGTATCCCACCTCTTCTGACCAATCCGTGGTTCATTCGCATATCTAGTTTTGATATACTCTATTAACCTCGTAAATGGCTTCCCACGGATTACTGCAGTAGCAAATATTGTTTGAGAATCCTGTCTTTCTCTTAATGTTTCGTCGCCGCATAACAGTTCTCCGTCGAGGATCATGGCGTCTCGTAACAATAACCTCCCTCTTACGTTTTCACCGTCACTACCACCGTAATCATCACTATTCTTAACCCCAAAAAACTCATTCCTACTCTCAAATCTTTTAAGACTCCAGTGTTCATCTCTAGCTGTTCGTCCTTCCGTGACCCAATCTAGGACGACAAGGGATGAAGTATCGTTTGTTGTATCTTCGAGTTCGAATATTTGATGTTGGACGTAGTTGCTTTCGGCGAAAGGTTGGACTGGGTCTGGGAGAAGGAGGAATGAAGCGCCAGGGTGGATGCGGACCGTCATGCGCTGGATTGTGGGGGGTGATGAAGGATCTTTTTGTTTGAAGATTTTGGTGCTACCTGGGTTTTGTAAAAATACATTGTTAGTATGTATTTTTCTTTAAGACTCTTATGAAATTTGGCCTATATAATCTTGGTAATTTCGAAGATACTCAAATTGCAACTTTAAAGCTTTGAACTTTTGAGGCTATTGTATTCAGCGATTCCACCAAACCCCAGGTGCAGGGTAATTGCGCACGCGACATCAAAGGGTTTAATTTCTATTACATAACCAAAACTACCACCACATCCCAAGTATCCACCAACCTACATACGACAAAGGATAGAAAGGAAGAACAGTAAGTTAAAAAGAGGAAGAAGAAAAAAAACCCACCCTGCGTCTGTAAACACAGCCGTCCTTTACTCTCAACCATAACCCTCAAATTCACCTCATCTCCAGAAACAAGTCCCCCACCATAACTCAGCACAAACACCGTTAACGATTTTGCCCATTGCGACGGCGCAGGCGAGATTAGTTTCAGTGGATATTTGTAGTTTAATTGGTGTAGTGTAAGCTTTGACGGTGGGAGGACTCGCACGTGGATTAAGCCATCACCGGCGGAGATGGAGGACCCTGATGTTGACGGTGGTGGTGTAGGTGCAGTGTTGGTGGATGTCATGGCGGGGTTTTCTCTGGGTCTTTTGTATATCTGGGCGGCGGGAAGGGTTTATATTCAGGAACAGAACATATGTGCATACATGCTTTGTGTGACCGATCTGCAGATGGGCAACACAAAATACGGCTTACCGGATCGTGGATTGTTGGATTTTGGAGTGGGAATTAATGTACGATGCGCATGCATGAAGGGAATGTATTATGATATTTGAGATTCAACATGGGTCTAAAGGGATATATCTATTTAACTTTCTTCGCTGTAGGTGTTTACTGTAAACTCTATTTGCCTGTATAAAAAGGACAGAACGAAGTCAGAAAAAGGAGAGGAAGAAGAAAATACTATATCCGTCGAATCTCCACCCTCGCACGATTATATATCCTGTGCTTCAGCGTAAATTCATCATCAGGCGGGGGTACAATATTTTCTTCCTCTAGTATCTTCGTCGGAGGCTCTACAGTCATAAATGCATAAGTCCCTGCCGTTCTCGTCGTACTCATGAAACCCGGATTGATGGTAACAACTCCATTGACAACCTATCCCAAGACAAAATATTAGCAAGACTTGGCTTATATAACCCTAGCATCCATTGCCAGTATCTCCTAGGATATCGTACCTTAACAGTTCCAGGTAATTTACTGGATAGAATCAACACATCTGGCTTGATATTTCCAGGGAATTCGGCCAGTCGCATCCATTGTAAATCTACCGGGGTGGTATACCCGACCTGCGAGGCTTCAGGCGCGGGGAACAAAGGATAAAAGTGACTCGACGAGATGACGTAGTTGGCCAATCGATGGAATGTATTCATTTCAATCCCCTTTCCTGAAGCTTTGACTTCCTGCATATTGAGGTGGAAAAGAATATCGGCGCTGGAGATTCCAAATTGTATTTCATTGAGGGCGATCATGCAAGGGTTAGTGAGTAATTGAACATTCTAAGTCAAAAGTTAGTAGTCTTCAAGGCTAAGGTTGTATTTTTTTCTTCAATACGACGTACTGGTTGTAATCCCAATAGCTTTCTCTGAAAACGATCCTGCGGGAACGATACGTGTTTGGAAACAGCATCCCTCGTACTTGGCACTAAAAGAACCATACTTTTCGTGATCCTATTAAGCTGTGACGTGATTTTTTCCTTGAACAAGTCTTCAAGGACATATCCTGAGAAGTTATTCATATCAACGGGGAAATCCCCAAGTTTGACTTTTGGATGTTCGGTGTCGATAAACGGACCCGACAAGAATACTGCGTCTGGTTCGGTCTCTACAATCTTGTCGACTAACTCTGTTAATCCTTCAAAATCTAGGTTGTCATCGGTAGTATACGGGCCAGCCGCAATGAAGACATTGAAGTTCCCAGCTGCGAGTTTCCGAAATTCTTCTTCCATGTCGCTAGGTTTAGAGCCGGCGCCAAAGTATGTTGGCGGGGTTAATACCGATTTAACAAGTAATTTATCGGCCGTCGGGTTCATTGCTTTGAAAGCGACAGTCATTCCAGGATAGAATGCATATCCCTTGAGCGCACTAAGGTCCAGCCTAACTCTTCCTCCCTCTCCATCTCCTCGGGATGCCTCGAGCAGTAAACTCGCCTCATTACTCCTTTTTTGCGATTCCATCACGTCGGTAACGATTCTTCCAACAACGACTACTTCTTCGGGTAGCTTCGAGCAGGGGTTGCAGAAGTCCTCGTTTGGTATGTTGTGCTCTTTCTGGATCGCTACTGCGTATTCTTCAATTCGGTCATCGAGAACTTGAGAGCCCGCGACGAGTTTTTGGTACATGGGTTTGTATCCAAAGTTTTTTGCTTGGATCAGGGCCGCAAATTGTACTCTGGACTCATAGCCTGGGTAGCCTGGGAGTGGCAGCTCAGGTATTTCTATGTTAGGATTATAGACTTCCATAACCTTGCCAGGATCTGGGCGGTTGCGGAAGGGTACTGAACTATTTATCAATGCGTTAGCTAGTTTGAAGCTATCAAGTAACGGAAGAGTTTAACGTACGTTATAGCTCCAGGGGTTCTGAATCCTGGTCCAGGACCGACTGGCGACGATCCTACAGCTAGTTTACTTGTCCTTTCAGCAAGCGGTGTTTCATACCCCGCCTTTTCAAGTTTCCGTTTTGCTGCACTGGGTCCTGCCGACCTGGGGGTAGCAGGCGTCAAGCCGTCCAACCTATGTCGAATCCCTATCAGTATATCTATTATACCACCTTATCCTCCCTAAACGAAAGCCGGTTGAGAACAAGATCGTACATATTAAAGACATCGCCAGTGCTCTTTGCCGTCCTCTGCACCCCTCTTGCTGCCGGAGCTTGTGCAGACTTCGATTTGGCCCTCATTTCGATTTCAAATTGTTCGCGCGCATCATCTTTGAAGGTAGTGATATTCTTCAAGTTGAGCTTGATGTCTTCGCCCATTTTCAAACAGTATTCTTCCCATTTGAAGAATAGATCTTCAGCATCGATATTGTATATTCGCAACATATTCTGTAGCTCAGCCATGACTTCATCGGGGAGTTCGCCGAACTTTTCAGCGAGGTCTTCCGGGGACGACATTTTGGCAGCTTTATCTGTGGGGCTTTCGTGGGTCTAATGTATCGGTATGCTGGAGCTGTCTATAATCAATTACGTTAGATATTTAGCTTAAGCAATGGAAATATTGAGGCTGGGACCTACTTGTAAATACAGTTGGCTACCTCAAAATTGGTATTGGTACCGGTTTCGTGGAGCTCGAGAGCTTATGAAGCTGTTGTCGAGAAAGTCGGCCTGTCCTTGTAATAAATACAAACGCGTTTCTGATGTAAAAAGCTGTCGCCAAAAGTTACAATCCATTCAACCACGCGAATCAAATCCACCACCACCGCCACCATATCACTATCACCGCATTGGCTACTCCTACTGCACCTGCATACTAACAACTAGATGTAACGATAAGTTTCAGATCTAATTTACCGAGAGACTTCAAAAATAGTATCAAGCCAGTCGGTTCCCGGCCAATTGCTCCAATGCAGTCGACAAATTTTATAGAACACCAAATCTCGGGTCCGCCGGCCGCTTTCAGGCCGGAAAACCCCTTGGACAAGCTGACCTTGCAGCGCGATCGACCCAGACCCACATAACATCAACGAGCGAAAGGGATGATATAAACCTGTCCTCCGTCCTGTCTGACTTCATCTCCATTTCCATCTTCACATCCCACCACCACCCCGAGTTATTGCCCAACTACAAGTCGGTGCATACATCATTGTCATAGCTCTTGCCACTAGGTTCAAAGACATCGAATAAGCCAAATAACCTTCTCTCCCTCTCGGACGATACGTATCAACCAACATCCCATCTCCCACAATGTCGACAGCAGCCGTCATAGCCCCAGTCCCGGAGGAAGAAGTCCTAGAGACAATGAACGAGAAAACTACTCTCGACGATGCTCCAGCTGCTTCAAAATCATCATCAGCCGCGCAGGTTACCTATACAACCGCAGAATCCGAGCCAACAAATACCAAAACCACCCCCTACGGCGCTCCAGCTGCATCTGCCACCATCCCTTCTCCACCAGATCTTACCCTGGAACAAACAGCTTTATACGCTGAACTTCTGAAGCAATGCAACACCATCACCACTGTTGCCGTCTCCACGGCCAAAGACGCCGAGAAAGTTCCACTCACGGACATCGATCGCATCTTCATGACCAAAGAATGCCTCCTTCGTTACCTTCGTGCCACAAAATGGGTTGTAGCAGATGCTAAGAAGCGTATCGAAGCTACTTTGACTTGGAGACGTGAGTGGGGTCTCGAATCTCATACCCCGGAGTACATTGAGATCGAGAATGAGACTGGTAAACAAATTGTCTTCGGATTCGACAACGAATCCAGACCCTGCTTGTACCTCAACCCTTGCAAGCAGAATACCGAGAAGAGTGACCGTCAGATTCAGCACCTGACATTTATGTTGGAAAGAGTATTGGAGATTGCACCACCAGGTGTTGAAACACTAGCATTGCTCATTGACTTCAAGAGTGCTAGCGCTGGTCAGAATGCTACACCGGGACAAGGGAAACAAGTTATGAGTATTCTTCAGAATCACTACCCGGAAAGATTAGGAAGGGCATTGGTTGTCAACAGTACGTTTTCCAAATGCAATACATCCCACATCTCTATTTTCTAATTTAATCACTAACATGACTGGTTTACCAAAAAATATAGTTCCCTGGTGGGCCAAGGCTTTCCTTAACCTCATCTGGCCATTCATCGACCCCATCACTCGTCCGAAACTCAAGTTCAACGAAGACATGTCGCTTCATGTGCCTAAGTCTCATTTGTTGAAAGATTTCAAGGGTGAGATCGACTTTACATATAACCATGCCGCATACTGGCCAAACTTCATCAAGCTCTGCCAGGAGAAGAGGACGCAATATGAAGAGAGATGGAAGGCCAATGGAAGCCAGATCGGGGAGAGTGAATTTTACTTGAAGGGCGGAGAGAAGTCGAAGCCACTTGCCACAGAAACCGCTGCTGCCCCCGGGCCTTCGGTGGAGAAAGTTACTAAGGAGATAGAAAAAGTGACTATTTAAATAAAGTTTACGTGTATCAATATAGGAGCGGCGGCATTATCCTTATTTTCCCTTTTCACCTGTTACATAGACATCATAGACGGTTATAATACAATGATTTTCTCAAGGGCAATATGCAATCGCTATGCAGGTTTTCTCTCTCTATCTAATACATCATACCGTCTTACAGACGTTGCAAAATTCTTTTTTTAAAAATTCTCCGTACCCTAAACGCCAATATGAACCCCCAGAAGAATAACCAAAAAGTAAAAAGATTTCAAAACGGCTTCGCAACCTTCCTCTCCTCCACAACTCCAGTCCTAGTACTCTTCATCTCCTTCCAATTGATCGGATACATCGGATCCCCCATTTCCGAATCCGCCATAATAACCCCCAACTCATTACTCGCCGTACTCAAATAATAATTACTCTGATCCCCCAAACTGATCACTTTAGCTCTAACGATATCCCCCGGTCTAAAACTATTAAAAATCTTGACCTTATCGACCTCCGTAAGCCTAACATCTTGAACTCGGATCACTCCCTGGAATTCATCGCCGCAGATGTGGTTGTTTACGATGAAGATCGATGCTGTAGCTTGACGAGGGTTGATCCGGGTTATGCGGCAGAGGACGGTGGAGGAGACTTCAGGCAGTAAAGTGGCATTGGTTTCTTCGTCGGTTGTAAGGACCGGTTTTTGGACTGAAATTGTGGGAGGTACAGCTGTAGGTGTGGATGTGGATGTAGATGTAGATGTAGATGTGGTGGTGGTAGTCGTCTGAGGGTTCGTGACCACTTGCCCGACGAGCGAAGCGATGATTTGACCGTTGAAGACGTGGACGCCTTGGCCGGGGATGTAGGCGCTCACGGGGCCCAGAGGCTGGCCGGGGACAACGAGGGAGGTCATAATGATGTTATGTTGGTGATTATCGACGGGAGCATGTTAATGCGACGGGGTTTTATTTTTGGTTGTTGGTGTCGCAAAAAGAGAAGAGCTTTGAATTCGAAGAGTTGGCTCTCTTTTGGGAAAGCAACCACAAAACTTTATTTGGACAGCTTGTGCAACGCGGACAAGGCGATTTTCATAGTATCAAAGTGGAGAGGAAATTTAAAGTTAAAGTCATGTTAGTATCGATGCAGTCGATACCGATTATGTTATGAAGTCTAAGGTAGATCTCGGTCTAGAGCGATGTTACGTTATACAGTGATCGAGTTTGTTATATGCCACTCGAAAAAAAAGATTATAGCATTCTACAAGGCTAAGAGGCGATGATAAGACATCTAGACGCAAGGAGCACTCCTCCCCTTCGAAGAAAATTATTATTCCAAATCAGAGTTTCTCGTTGTGTCCCGTCCTTTCCATCTTTGGGGATCCGAGAAATCGAGTAGGGTTCCCATGAAAGGGGTAACCAAGGGGAGAAAGGGGAAGAGAGGTGTATCGTACATCATCAAGTTAAAAGATGTAAAATGTAATGAAAATAGAGAAGAAGAAAGGGGTTATGAAATAAGATATAATAATGGAAAAAAAAAAGGGTGCAGGAGTAATGGGGCAAAGTGCATGCTAAGGTATGTTATTAAGAATGGTTATAAGATAAGCACAAATGAAAATCAAAAAGGTAAAAGAAAAATATGCAAATGGCGAGGAGATGCTCTGTACAAGGCCAAAGAAAAGGGAGGACATAGGGAAGCAACAACCTAACACAAAAACGGTGGGGGGTTGAAGTAAGCACGCAAGTCAAGGGTATCTCCCAAGAGTCGCTTCTGTAAACTTAAATAATAATGATGAGGGGCAAAGATGTACAAGGAAAGGTATGGATATGAACTCAAGGGAAGTCGGGGCCGAGGTGGTGCATGCAGACGCCAAAGAAACACAGACAAAGGAAGACGGGGAATGCTGGGGGGGCTCGAGTGAGCTATGTGATAACGAGATCGAGGAGTTCGTTGGGTTTTAAAAGGGTAAAATCGCAAAACTAAAAATGATAATCGGGGTATAACAAACTGTCGCACATGAAGAATCGTGAACAATATGGGGCCGGGATTGGTGACCGATCCAGCTGTTAAAGTGCGATTTAACATCCAGGGCGGCCTTTCACCCAAGTAATAGTAAGTGAAATAGTGAATTTAGGCGATACAGGATCTCACAACTAAAGGCGATTGTTAGCGATGAGCCCTTTTATTGATGGAGCGGGGTCAGTATCTTACCCTTGAGAATGTTGGTTAGCTCCTGGTCGTTCTCGCAAGCACATGCAAGGACCCCACCCTCAATGAGGCGAAGATTTACACCTACGGCCGCTGTTAGTTCAACATAGCTAAATCAAATCCAGCAAACAATTGGCTTACTATTAGGCAGCTCTTGTTCATCGATATCCGGGACCATAGCGGCCATGACTTCATTTTTGATATTATACTTTCCGGTTTGTGGGGAGTTCTATGCCGACAGTTAGTATCCCGATACAGATAACAAAACAATGTATGTATTTGACAAACCTCATCAGCGCTAAGGGTGAGGTACAGCCATGTGTCCGAGTCGATTCTAAGATATCGTCGCTTCCAAAACATGGTATTGGGCAATTGAACATTTACCCAGCCTGTCAAAAGGACCTTCTTTTCGATTGGGGCTGGTGGTGGAGGCGGTGGTGGAGGTGGGGCCACAGAGACTGGTGTAGTTGTGGGAGGGGTGATCGGCGTGATCGGTGTAATCGGGCTAGCCGTCTTTTTTGCTTTTGAAGATGACATCCGCCGGAGCAAAGGTGATATCTTGCTCTTTGGGCTGCCATCAGCAGTTTTAGGTGGGATATCTTCCTTTTTAGGTGCAACCGTTGGTGGTTCTGCGATAGTGGTGATATTAAGGCTGCTAACTGAAGCAATAGATGCCTTTCTAGGTGGAACAATACTAATTTCTCCGAATGAACCCGCTCTCGCCTTGGCCGGCGACCAGGTACCTGTCGGAAGGCCCTGCAACTTGCCATTGAGCTCGTCAGAGGTCTTCTTGTTCAACAGGAAAGGTGAATCTATTCTCTGGCGAGGAGTCCCTGAAAACGCAAGAATGTGTTAATGACATCAACATAGACTTCGATGAACAGAACAAAAAAAAAAAAAAAAAAGTGCTTGGAATATATCCAAATGGGCTTACCAGGGGAGACCAACGGTGAAAGATTAGGGGAACTAGTACTAGTCTTCAGACTGTTGGTACGAACGGGCGCGAACTGTGGGGTTGGAGAGGAAGGACGTGAGCGTTGTGGAGGCATCACTGGCGGGGAAGCAGCGGCTGGTTTATCTTTGGAAAGCATTTCAAGTGCCTTGATTCTTTGCGAAACACTACTAGAAACGCTGACTTTCCGAGACGATGCTACTAAAACTGGCTTTTTGTCTGGGTTATTCATGAAGGGAGCCGAGACCGACCGTGCAGTCTCAATGACGGGGACTTCGGTCGACGGGAGCCGATTATGGGATTTTGGCAACGTTTGGTTGTCAATATAATCGGTAGGGGTTTTCGGGTGGAGCATATTTAAATGTAAGAGTGGAGATCGAGGTGGAGTGTCATCTCTTTTGGGTTCCTCCTTTACTTCGATAATTCTCGAGATTATTTCGGGTTGAGGATTTTCCTTTGTTTTTGGTGATTCAGGGGGTGCGGATTTAGGAGTTGGGAGGAGAAGGGTAGGAGGTGGAGGGTGAAGTCGGGTAGTGATACGGTCCTCTCCGTCATCCGTAATGGTATTGCTTTCGATGGACTCGCCATTGAGGTCGGAGACACCGTATGAGGACTCGGATTCCTTATCAAGATCATCGGAGAAGCTCTTCTGGGAGTCGTGCTCGGTTGAAGTACTAGGTGCCTGCGTGGGGGAAGGCAGCGTGTTTTCAACGGGCGTAGGCTCAGAAGTTGCCGTATATGTACCCTGTGTTGGGGTATCAGGAACGGAACTAGTGAGAGACGTAGGTTCGGAAGGGGTGACAGAGGAAGATGAGGATGTTGGAGGCGATCCGGCCTCGGTGAGCGTGGCAGACATCTCGTCGGGTGAGCTCGCGTGGGGAGTGGAGCCGATCTGAGTGGTGGCAGGAGGATGAGGGCTCGTGGAAATTGGCGTGGTTCTAGCCTTTGATGATTTTGATTTGGACCTTGATCTCGATACGGATCGGGTTGATTTTGTTGATTTTGTTGACCCTGAACGGGAGGGTTTCGAAGTTGAAGATGAAGAAGTGGGAACGATGGTGGTGATGTTTTTCGGAGTAGCTTCCGCTGCGTCTTGCTGTTGCTGATGCTGTTGCTCCTCCGCTCCTGGCTGATGATGAGGAGTCGTCCCTACTGCCGGTATTCCTGCTCCTGTTACTGATGTTGCCGCTAGCGCCTTCTTCCTCAATTCCAAAGCCTTCATCAACCTCGCCTTTTCAGGAGAAATTCCAGAAGAAGAGGCAGAGGCTGCAGCTGCTGCAGGAGCTGCACCAATGGGGTTTGCGAGGTAGAAGGCAGCAGCGGAATGGCTGCTGGTACTCAGGGCACTTTTAATGGATGTGAACGAGGGCGTAGGGGATAAAGGTGCAGAAGGGAAAGGGTTTGATGGCGTGGTTGTGTTGTTTGCGCTAGCAAATTGTAGGGGTGGTGGGGGGCCGGGGTGGTGGAGAGAGCCCTTTCTCTTACTGGCTACCGCACCAGTAGCCTCGAACGGTGCTTGAAATTGAAACTGCAATTTCGAGTGATTCGAGCTTTGACTCCCCGACCTGGCTTTCCTTGTGGGAATTCGAGCCGGAAGGTGGACGTTTTTTGGTACCGATGCCGTAGGGCCCGATTTCGACGTCTCCTTATCCCCAATCGCCGGCCCGGACCCTGTCGACGACGATGTATGCGGCCGTTTGTGCCAATCCGCGGATGGACGCGGCCCCAGTTTCACTTTCGGGGCGTACTTTAATGCTAGTTCTGCATATATGTCTTCTGCAGTCGGCCTTCCTGTCGTTGAAGATGTAGATTTCCGTGGCGGCCCGCCGTCCTCTCGTTCTCTTATTAACGAGTCCGTTCGAGTCAATCCCAGCTCGTCCACCGTGTCCAGAACATGGAAATCCTCTACTTCTTGCTCGACTTTGATAGGTTCGGGCGCTGATATTTCCACCTCAATTGGCGCTCTTTTCCCATCGCTAGATACACCCGGATCATGCGTAGTAACAATAACTTGCAAGCCCTGCTGGTTTTCTACAACCTTAGACGTCGTGGTCGGCTCCGGTTTAGGTTCGGCTCCCAGCGTCTCAAACCCTTCCTCGGACGTCTCTTGGATATCAGTCAGCCGTCTTTGGCGTAGTGAACTAGAGGATGACGATATCGAGGCTGTTGCCGTGTGCGTCGAACAGGCCGTTGTGAGGGCTGCATCTGTAAGTTCTTTGTACGACTTTAAAGATACCGTAACGTCGCAGGGTGAGAATCGTTCGACCACGGATTGAAAGTGTACTTGCGATCGAGCTGCATTTAAAGTTAGTTTTCTTGTTTTATCTCTCTGTATGTTTGCAAATCCGATATGTTTTTAGTCGTAAAGTTCACTTGAAGCTTTTTCCAATTGAACTTTTGATAATCGAATATCTATATCTATATCTGAATATGTAGTATATACTTAAATATATACTTAAGTATATTTTAAAAAAAGGACATCGAAGTCAGATATATCTTACCTTTCAGTACTCGACTTGTATTATCCGGTACCAGTTTGATCAGTATGTTCCTCCGGCGATATCGAATAAATCCATATATTGGTGAATCGTCCGGCTCGCTCGATATCAGCTCCCTCATGTCCTTCACGGCGGACGCTCCCTTCCCCAGCAGCACAATATCATCTCGAGTTTCATATTTTAATAAGAACCTATTTCCATAAGCGCATCCGGAAAGTTAGTAGCTAGTCTTTTTGGAACATCAACACAACGGGCGACTTTTCGATTTCTCCTCCCTTTGATCCGTCGTCCAGAGGCGCCGGGATTCGAGAGCATCAAACCGGATCGGATAGCAGAGAGGAAGCAGGGGAAACGGCATACCATCCTGGTTCTGAACATGCATAATCGAAGGCCTCCTTCAATGCCTGCGCATCCAGCCCATTCAGCGCCATGAGGCAGTCATTCAGAGGTGGATGTCAAGCTGTTTGTCCAGCGGGAGGTTTTTTTGTCGATGAGTTGGGGAAGTCAGAACACTTTCTCGGCTGTCCGAATATGGCTGCGCTACTGCTGAGTGGGCCGGCTCCAAGCTGGTGATGATGAGAACAAAAAGGGAACCCGAGTCGAGTTGAGACCAAAAACACTTCAATCCAGCTCCTGTTTCGTGCGGAACAAAAAAATGTGAAGGAGAGGGGATAAGTTCGAGGGGTTTGGAATTCGAATGAGGATGTCGACGTAACTGCGTAATCTTCGTTAAATTTTGTTTAAAACCGGTTAAGCTGTGCCTTTGCGACTATCGATTATTTTTGTTTTTTCTTTTCTTTTCTTCTATTCTTTTTTTTATGTTTTTTTATTTTATTTTTCCGTACTCTTTTTAAAAAATATCCTTCTCTGTTGGCATATGCACCTGCAACGTTCGAGAGTCGAATTGGAAAAGGGAGAAGAAAGGAATGCCAGGAGGTGGTTGCCCCAATCGCATGCGAGAATGTCGGCGCTTTAGGTTGGAATCACGAGAAAAAAGGGCGGAGAAAAATCTTATAACTTAAAACGAGCAGAGAGGGGAGACAAGTCAGGTCAAGTCAAGTCAAGTCAGGTCAAGCCGACTGTGAGTAGCGCCCACTGTCACCCACCCACCCAGAGCCAGACAGGGCGGGAACGTCACCCAGGCTCCAGGTCCTCTCGTCCTGAATTACTTAACTATCAGTCAAGCAATCCAAACGGCGCGTGTGAAAAGGTCCTCCAGCCCCTTTAGCAGGAGGGTCCCTGGTAATCGATATGCAGGGGGGATCTTTGGTCCCCGTCGACAGATAAGAAAAACGGCGGCAGCGTTGGTTGGTCGGTTGGTCGGTTGGCCGGTTGGTTGGTTGGTGGTGGTCAATGCGATGGGTAAGTTAAACTTGTACGTCAGGTAAGTACTTCGTAGGTAGTTCATGTACCGATTATCTGGAACGTAGGTCAGTCAATAAGAGTATATATTACCTATTACCTAGGTAAGTAGGTACCTACCCTTACTCACTTGGAAGTCATCCAGTCGGATATATATAAACTCCATTCCCCCAGTTAAGTCACCTTAATATAGTCCCGGAAGCTTTAGTTTGTATGTAAGTAGGTAGTACCACCTGCGTAAGAAGCAAAAGTTTGCGACCAGTTCCATGCATCCCAGGTGCTTCATCCGATTCGTAAGTTAGCCGGGTCCTCAATTCAAGATCTTGTAATATCGGAAACCGCCATCGTGGTCACCCAATTAATCGTCTCTATCGATGAGTGAAAGTACTAGGCTGAACCAACGGTAATTACTAATTACAATACACTACAATCTTAGAGGAGAGGAAATTAAGAGAGCTCGGGTCATGATATCATATTTTATTTGATTACAATAGTTGCTTGGTTCTATTGAACAACAACAATACAATGACATGACTTGGAATTGACAAGATCCAACTGGAACCAGAACTAGTACCAAAGCTATCCCGGCCTGTGACTTTTAACATTGCATCCCGCGATACCCCTCCGGTCTGGCCAGTCCAGTCCTGTACATGTATGTACTTAAGTACTTACTATCGTGTGCGAGCAAACTAAGTTAAAAACGTGATTGATCGATGCAATGGAAGTGCACCCGTAACAACGGCTCTCGCTGCAGATTCCTTGCCTGGACACCTGCATGCTCATGCTTGCGCTTGATCATATCTTTATAAAAAATAAAAAATAAAAAATAAAAAATAAAAAATAAAAAATATGAAAAAGCACTAAATTCTCCCCCCTGAAAATGTTCCCGCGCCACAATGGGAATTCGCAAACATATCGCAAGCCGGGTCCCTTAACTAACGTTTTTAGCAAACCTTCCAAAGCATACTCATCCAACCAGTCAGCGAAATGCTGTGTGCTGCATGCAGCGACGACATGGCTCTCTCCCAAGATGCAGATTCCAAAACACTTCACAGCACACGTGCGTATGGAATCGTACAGAATAAGCACACGAGGGGGGGTTCCGCTCTACTGGAACTTGAACCCGAAAGTTGGTTAGCATCATGCACAGTTTCGTAAGCCCGAGCAAGCTAAACTCTGATCGAGCCCTTTGAGAAATCCGCCATCATTCGAATAGGTATGACAACTGTGAAAACAGTTGCCACTCGGGTCCGAGCTGCCATATCGTGGTTCCTGCAGGGTTCTCCACAATTATAGCATCATGAATGCGAAGATCTTTCTCCTAGAAGAATCCTATCGTAGATATCAATTGTCAAAGTGATGCCAGTATCGTGTCAATTGCATTGCCCTAGCTTTCATACATGTACACTGCAATTTTTTTTCCTTCTCTTTCCCCCCTCGTTTAGGGAGAGGTTGGATGTGCGTTATTAATGTCTCTCCCCCCTTAGATTTGTAAGGCCTTATCCATGAGGGTATATGCACCCGTTCCTACCGGCTGAATGGTAGTAGCTGCATCTAGTTATCCCGCCAGAGAGCTTCAGCCATTAATTCATGTGCAAGCACGAGCGTCGCTCGGACTGTCCACTACGATACATACGTATGCCCATGGACTCCAAACTGCGAAAAAAATTCTATATAGCCGAATCAAACCTGTTTCCCCCCGCCATGCTCAAATCACAGTCCGATGTGGGGAAAATTCGAAAAGCTTGGGCTGTTTTGTAATATAAATTAATATATTTCTATCGATACCGCAATTAAATAGCAGTTGGTCTTTATTACTCTGTCTGGGGTCCCTGAGTTTTTTGATCCAGCATGAACACCTGACACGGGCTTAATTAGCCTAATCATCCAGCTATTCCACACCCCAAACAAAACAAAAAAAAAGATCCTGGATAGTACTTACTTAATTATGAGTTAACGAGAAAAAAACGGGAACCCGAAACAGAGCTGCCGCAACACATGGTGGTCGTCTCCAGACTTTTGTAAAACTGGGTAATTGAACAGTTGGCGAGACGGTTGCTGCGCAGTTAATATCAATCGTCCCGGGATGTTGGGACTCGGTTGCCTTGCCTTAAGCTGGAGCATCAGAATCCAGAAGCTCCGTAGGATCTCAAAGGAAACACGCATCGGGCAGGTCAATTGCCCATTGTTATAAAAAAAAACACCATAGCTTAGTGTGTATAAGCATAGCTTAGCTTAGGTGTTACTCGGTATGCATGAGAGTCCCTGTTGTATTCCATAAATACACGCCTGTCACGCTAGCTGCGCTTCTCGGTGGAGAATTTCCGACGCCTTGGAGGGCCGAGGCTTCTATGGATTACGGATTCTGAAACGCCGTAAAAGCACGTATCGATTGTCATGCCGTTTTCAAATTTAGAAGCGGGAAGCTGGTACAGCATGGTGGGGACCCGTTAGCTGTGAAAGGCAAGTCCTGCCATGCAGCTTGTCATGGCGGCCACAGCTCAGAAGCTTGTGCTTGTCAATTTGTAAGTAAGCAAGTATTCATGACTGGAATTTTCTCCAGATCTGGAGCCATCGCCTTCTAAACTTCTTGACTCCAAGAGTTTGTTCTTTTGCTTTTTCAATTTGCCGAAGATCTGAGTGGCGTTTGGAATTTAAGCGGCGTCAGAGTGGGCTTGGTATATACTTAGTTATAAAATTTATAAAACCATAGGATGCATATGCATACGGACCAGACATCGATATCATACTAGTCTCAGTGACCTTCTTGTAGGTATGCTTCATATTGAGATTCTGCAAACCACCCGCCATGTCGTTGCATGCGCAGCACAAGACTACCGCCATGTAATATATTGGATGCAGATACCCATTTTATTGTTAAGGAGAGAAACCTCCCCCCCCCCAAAAAAAAAAAAAAAAAAGACTTTACAAATTTATCTCTCACACTTAAATATTATCTCGTAAACTAGAATAAATGCTGCTGCGCAACGAGATAACTTAAATACTCGCCAACCTAGCGTACAGGATCCTAGGAAAGCCCAAGGCTATCGTCATATGGGGCTCCGGCTTTAATTGCAGTTCTAAAGGGTAATCGGCTTTACAATTACTAAAGACAGTGTGTGTATAGACATGAAACTATAAGTGTGTATATAACATAAAAAAAAGGAAAAAAGGAATCCCGGCGCATTAGTGTAATTCATAAATCTGAGGTGGGTTTTGAGACCCCGACTCCCTACTAACATTCCATCGCTCCGATCCATTACCTGGCAGCTCCCATGGAGCAAAAGCATGCCTGGGATTTAGGTGTGCTTGTGGATATCGATATTGTTGCTGGTGGTTGGGGGAACTGCTCTTTGGGGATACGGGTATCAATGATGGTGTTGGCATTGATGGTAATAAGACCATCCTCTTTTTTCTGCGCCAAACTAGAAACAAAATAATGAGTAGAACCACGGTACCTGCTCCAGCCGCAATACCTGCTATTGCCCCAGTCGAGATTCCTGCCCCCGTTTTTGATGTAGGTGAAGATGCGGAGGAACTCTCTGAAGGAGGAGATTGCGTAGTCTCAAAGGGGACAACCTTCCAGGTGGAGTTCCAGCTCTGTATCCATATATCGTCTCTCGAGGTAGGCGCGTCTAGGCTTATATCTGTCTTACTAATACTTCGAATATCTGGACTGGTATAGGATGGCCCAGGCGCCTGAGCGATCCAGAATTTGCGGGTTTCATAAGACTGAGCGATAAAGGCCGCTTGGTAGAATGCTCTCCCCAGAATAGCTCCGTCACCGGACTCGGTGTCAAGTATGGCACCCATACAAGGAAAGTAGGCTTGAGTAGTCGTGACGAGTGGAGCCGTCAGGTTGAGATCGAGAAGTGCAAAAGGTATCTTGATTGTGAAATTCTGAGAAGCTGAAACCCGAAAATCAAAGGAGAGGTAGGACGAAGACGTGACTATTCCCTGATACAGCGGGTTACTTGTTTCCCAGAAATAGAAACCCGTAGTTCTGTCGAATGTCACAGGCAATTCTTCGGCAATAGCATCGCAGGTTTCCTGAGGGAGCACTAGATAAGGCAAGGCTGACTCCAATTCTACCCTTAGAACCTTATCCTTCCCATTCGACAAAGGATTGACCAAAAGGTTTGATTTTTTTTGGTAAGAAAAAGGTGATTTTCCTATTGCTGTATCGATATTCATGCCTATTAGATCCATTTTCTTTACAGCGTTGGAGTCTGCATCAAAACGCTCAATTGGCCCAGAGATTCGAGATCTATCATAACCCCCCCAAACCAGTGAAGGAAGCTGATTGAGTTTTGCGGATGGATAATGCATTCCCCACGACCGTGATGCGATCACACCGGTCTTAGCGAGATTGTTTAGAGGTATAACTGGACGATAAGATCCGAAGACTGCACAGGAGAAAAATAAATTGTAAGCTGATCTGGCAATATGCATAAGTAAGTTCAATCTAGTGGTTGAAATATATCTCACCATGTGCATCATCTACAGCTCCCAAGGTCAAGAATCCGTTGCTCATGCCGACTTCTTTCCTCCCGTAGAATAGAGATACACTTTCTACCCGTGAAATAGACGCATTTGCAATAGTGACACGAGAAAAGCCATTCCCGACTTTGATTTGGGCAAATTGCCCATAGTTTTGTCCTTCAGCATCAAAGAGCGACCCATAGGGTATTGTGTCTACTCCTTTCGCGTTGAATCCGATAGTATTCGGATAAGTGCTTGTGTCTGATTCATAGTTGTAAAGACCGCCCTTTTTAGATACACAATCCGGGATATCCTCGCAGACAGTAGTAGATAGGATTGTAGGGGCCCACTGGCTTCCTGGGAAAAGGTTGACAATTTGTTCATTGCTGCCGATGGCCACAGGGACTGTATACCATGGACCGTCGTATCCGAAAGACTTGCTCGTATCAAATGGCATTTCAAGGTAAAGGGCGCCATGAACATTTATGAAGTACAGACTCCACAGTAGAGTCCATAATGGCATAGGAAACACAAGGAAATAGAATTGGGACTTGAACATCTAGATGGAAGTCAAGATGCGCAAATGAAGTATCGAAGTAGATGCGTGGCACGCAACCCGATATACCGGTGGCAGAGAGCATCCAGTAAATAACTATTAGCTCTAAGTATAAATTATAGACACGGCACGCATCAAAAATATGAGAATCGAATTAGGAGCTAACTAGAGGCGTACAAACTATTGAGGAGAAATAGGAAGCCCGAAGGGGGGTGACCGTTATTAATTATTCTACAGATAATAGGTACTTCGAGCCTTTCTGGCGTCCGAGTCGCACATTTTTGTTCTCAACCATATATTACATCGATCTCCTTCAACAGGAATTTAATTGGGTCCTGCACGTCAGCAAATGAAGCACTGAAGCTGGTGCAGGCTCCAAGTGAAATACGAATATCTACTAGGATAGGATGATATAAATCGCTAACCCGTTATGGTGATTTGTTGGAAACAGCAACCCTTGTGTTCTTTGACGCATAAGCGTAGCACAGCTCGGCTTCAGAGCGCAAGGTTTCCCTGAATGCAGACGGGTTTTGGAGTTGGTGGCCGAATTCTGACCAATAAACAAGCCTGCTTCAGATGGTCGGCGGCTGGAGAGTTTCCATAGGTTTGGCTATTTGCATATTTGATTGAGCCAGAGGGTATTTTTAGAGGGCTGAGAATACGGAAGCGTCGTACGGGGCTAGATAGTATGTATATGATTGTTCTCTACCTCCATTTTCCATCTTCATTATGATTATCATCGGCAGCAAAAAATACACACAAACAATTAATAACGATACTAACAGCATCCAAGTAGTGAAGCATTCTATTTATTCTTTATGAGGTGCGATTCAGTTTGGCTCTAAGATAAGTTCCAAGAACGCGAACGTTCAGGGTCTTGTCTGTCTTCAAGTGGGCGCGGTTTCTAGGCAGCGGCGGCTCTGCGGATTCCAAGCATTTGGCATTCCGGCGTCAACATGAAGATGCACTTGCAACTGTGGCGATGGGGCCTCCGCTCTTCAACCACAAAAGCTATCGTGGTTATATTGATGTTTTTGGTGTTTTTTCACAATCTACCCTTGCGAGATTTTGGGGGGTTTACATATACAACCGCCCTTATCGCACCAAAACACCCGATCGATCGATTGATATACGAACAGCGTCTCCGGTACCAAGACTTAGTAAAGCGGCAGTCAAAGAACCCCGAGGAAGCTATCGCCAATTATAAACTTCGATATAATAGAGATCCACCAACTGGGTTCGCAGATTGGGTTCGATATGCCTTACAACAAAATTCTATCATCATTGACGATTTTGATACTATTGAAAAGGTGCTACATCCATTTCGACAACTGGATTCAAAACAACTTGAGTCTAGAATCAACTCAGCACGTGGAACAGGTTCACGATTACAGACTATTTCCATCAAAAACGGAAACTCGTCAGTATCGCCGGAAGGTGTACCGATTTTGAATTCATTGAAGCCTGTTTTGGAAAATCTTCCTGATATGACATTTCTGCTGAATGAGCTCGACGAACCACGAGTTCTAGGATCTCAACCGGATAAGGATGATATCATATTTCAAGATTATGGGCGACAGCCTTCCTGGACACGTCTGACGACATCATGCCAAAACATATCAGAACAGCAACAACCACACTTCTTAGAATCGATCACAACCTCTCTCGACCTGTGCCGCAATCCAGATTACCAGGACCAATATGGAATGTTCACTTCGCCATGCACTTTCATCGCGACGAAAAGTTTAGTTCCGATTTTCTCAGTCGCTCGGGTTTCTACTATGCACGACGTTTTAATCCCAGGACATGATTACCACGTCGAAAGCTTTCTAAGTAAAAATGATGTCGATTTTCGAAATTTTAGTTCAAAAGAAAACAAACTTTATTGGAGGGGTTCGAATACAGGCACATATGCAAGTTCACAGATGAAATGGGAAACAAATCATCGAGTCCGATTTATGCTCAAAGCCCGAAATCTTACCAATGCCGATCTTTTCGATGTTGGTATGACAGCTTATATCCAGTGCGATTGGGATGTATGTCAGGCTATGGAGCAGGCTTTTGGACGACCGCCAAGAGCTGATAAGAACGGTTCCTTTCGATATAAATTTGTTATGGATCTAGATGGAAACGGTTATTCAGGACGTTTTTATCGACTTCTGCAAAGCAATAGCGTTGTTTTCAAACAAACACTGGTAGAACAATGGCATGATGACCGCCTTTTTCCTTGGGTGCATTATGTCCCTGTTACTATTGGGATGGATGAAATTGAAGATCTTATCAGATTTTTCTCGGTTCAGGACCGACAAGCAGAAGAAATTGCGGCTGAGAGTACTTCTTGGGTGCGAGCTGCTCTGCGGCCAATAGATATGATGATTTACGAATACAGGTTATTGCTAGAGTATGCTTCTTTGTTTGAGGAAAGTTGAACTTGGAAAAGCTCAATGCAAATACACCTCTTTCGTTGAATTCTTTCCATCCCATTTCTTGACGATGTTCTGCTTCTTCCTTGGTTTCTTCCTCTAGGTGTTCGGAAAGGATACTGGCGTAGCTTTTTTCCCTATTTTTTTTTTCAAGGTTTTAGAGTCTCGGGGCGAACGCAATTTGTACAAGCAAAAAATTCCTTATTTGTCTTTTTTTCTTTTCTTCTCTGTCACCATCTAAGATGCATCAGGGCATTCTAAAACCTCGAGTGGTATATATTGGGGGTAGGCCTTCTCGCTTTCATCTTCGTCTTTTCTTCTCCAATTTACATCGAGCAAATGGCTGAAAGGAAACATATATGTACATACACATACCTACAATCTAATTTAGAAATATTAATCACACCGTCTTGTCTGGTACAAGACCACTATCCCCGCCCTTTCCCAGAATCGTAGCATAGTACAAAGGTCGGATTGCTCAGGCGTCCGTAGTGTGGCTTCCGCTACAAGCTTTATAGGCCGTTGTCGGAAGCCCCCCAAATTGAAGCGAGGTGCCCGTACACACATATATAAACAAGCGCTTCTGCTCCAGAATAGTACCTACTTACCTACCTACCTACTTAAGTACTTAAGTAGGTACTAGGCCTAACTAACCTTAGTAGTTACTAATAGCAACAGCAACAAGCTCTAGCGCCGTGTTGGTGGAGAGAAAGTGTGTGGTATTTTGTGTAAACAACACGGAATTGGACGTCCCGATTTGGGTTGTAGATCTTCAGTCTTGTAGACCGGTAGATTTTCAATATCATGGTGTTGAAATTCATGGCTTCCACATGGATACTAGACACAACCACACTTCCTTCTCGCCAACGCTCAAAGTTACCAAGACTGTTGCCCGCAAAAGATGGCTTCGCCAACCAATCATGGCGAAGAGGGTAATGACCTGCCATACTCTACCCTCAGTCTTGCCTTTGTAAGAAGCATCAATCTCCTCTAAACCGCCCATGTCCTCATTTCTAACAATTGCCAGGCTTCATTGATATTCTTGAACAAGCCTCCAGAGCTTAGCGTACGAGGTAAAGTCTTACTCCAATATCTCCTCTAGCTCTCGATTAGTACCTGATATATCTTTTATATAGAGTTCATCTACTTTCTTCGAGGGTGCCTTTCCAGTGACTCGGAATCTCAAATCAGTCCGTCTCTGCGCATCTCCAATGATACATACTGGCGAAACGTTTGCAAAGACAAAGACCAAAAGATCCTCGAGCTTGACCAAAGACTCATAGACGCCAATCTCGAAAATCAACGGCTCTTGGAACAACTTGAAAGGCAGAATGCCAATGATAACGGAAATATTAAAGGTAAAGGGAAGGCGAAGCCATCGACTGCAAACCTCGAACAACAATCTGCAGAAGCCCATTTGTTGAAGTGGGAGCCTATCAAAGACACTTACGAGAAGCTCTCTTCCGGTATCTATCCGTAAATAATATCCAAAACCCCTTACATGTAACTAACACCACCCTACAGGTCATGAAACAATCTTCTTCATACTCCGTTCGCTCCATTACTCCAAGGATGCCAAACCCATCACCGTCAACATTATCAAGCTGTGCAAAGCGATCTCGACTAAAATTCACACTCTTTGCACGGACGATAAAGCCAACGCCAACACCAATGGCCAAACCGGTACCCAACAAGCCCGCAAGACCCGACAATCGGATGCCGCGAGGGTAAAGCAAAAGCTCATGGATGCAGCTTGGGTAGCAGACGTCACCAAAGCCTTCGATGACATCTTCCGACGTCTCTTCATGTCAATCGCTCGTTTATCAACCTTGCTCGAAAAGGAAGAACGTCAGATCATCAATGCGGCACGTAATGGTGTCACCGAAGCGGTCTCAGATCTTTTCTGCTCAGTTCTTGATTCTGTCCATGCAGCATCGAGACGATTCAATATCGAATTCGTTTCAACTTCGAGAGATGTTAGAACCGGTTGTATCAAGATTCTTCAGTCCTTCATCTCAACCCTTAATGGTGAAGATGAGCTCCAGGGTTACATCCTCGAGGCAATAATCTACGTTATTGTTGAAGCTTCCGGGAAATGTCTTTGTATCCCTAAAACATCCGACACCACGGACCAGGACACACTTGCAAAGGAAGGAAGATCGCTACGAGAAACTTCAGTCTACGTCCTCAGGCTCCTGAAAATCACCTTACCACTCTACAGAACCCAGCTTGCCAATAGCAAAATCAACCGAGTTACGGGAAGTCCACGAAACGCAAGCCCAATTATGGAAGCTGCGAAGCGTAAGTTCCACGATTATGTCATGAAAGGATTGTTTGGAGAATTCAAGAATCCAGATTGGGACGATTTGAAGTCTTATACCAAGGAGAACTTGACGGACATTGGGAAATGGGGAGGTGTTGGCATTCATGACGATTTTGCATTCGTCGATGAAAATGGCTTTGCGAATCAGGTTTGGGAATTGTTGGAATTGGAAGATTTCGGCTTGGTCTGGTGAACGGAAATATTTGCACGCTGCCTTTTAAACGATGTCAATAGGATTCTTGAAAGCTCTTGGTCTTGTATTGGTTTTGAACCACAGTGTTTGAAATTTAGACTAGCTAACAAGACCGCTCAATAACGTTGACGAAAATTTGTCCCACCTCCCCGATAGCTGGTCATAAATAAAAAAAATCCCTAATAAGCAGTTTAGTATCGTGGAACGCCCTTGAATGTGGCAGCTAATCGCTGGACCAAATACTCTCCGCTACTATAGAGAAGTTAGCCGGCTTTAGCCCATACATACTCACATATTTCAGCATATTCTAATAAAGAATTAAACTTACTTGATGCCAGGATACTTCTTTCCCCCTTCTTCAGCGGACTTGCCCTCAGCATATGTCCCAGGAATAGCCTCGATGAACTTATCAAAGTTTGGATTGCAAAAGTAGGCTATCGAATAACGCGGCGGGTATTCCTCGACCCCCTCGTCCTCAGCATGCGGAGGCTCAACGACTTGATGCTCGGTTGATTTGATGGTATCGTTGGACCAACGAGCCAGAAGATCCCCGCTATTGATGACTATTAATCCGTTGTGTTAGTATACGAAATCTACAAAATATATCATCACCTAGGTATTCACAAGGATCTCTTTGAAATACTCACCGATAGTTCCCGGAATAGGCGGCGCATCAACATACGTCCCCTGCGGACTACGAACCTGCAACCCACCATTCTTCCCGTCTTGAAATAATAAAGTAATAGATCCATAATCCGTATGCCTCCCCGTTCTGACCACATTCTTCCCGGCCTTGAACACACTCTTATGTTGTTTCGGATAATGCAATAACCTCAAGTTATTATCCCCACCATCAGTATACTGATCGAAAAAGTATTCATCAATCCCCATCCCCAGGGCGATGCTTCTCATAACCTTCATATGTAAATCTTTACATGTAAGGAAGAACCCCTTCATCGCGTTTGTAAATTCCGCCCCATCGGAGTCCATATGTTCGGGCCAGTTATTGGGAAGACCCTCGACGCCTTCGCGACCAATTTCGAAGGTTTCTTTGAGATCCGGGGATTCTTTGATCATGGATTCGACTTTATCGGCTTCCGTAAGGAGGGAGGTCTTTTCGCGGCCTGGTGCGGCGTAACCGCGGTTGGCTTGTGGGGTTGTCCATGCCAATTGGTTCTTTTGGTCTTCAGGTCTGGCGAAAAATTTGGCGGACTATTGATCAACCAGTTGATTATATTAGACTACAGTCTTTGAGGGGGAGGGGGGTGATTATAGTGGATTTAATTAAGTGCATACATACGTTTGCGAAAACGTGGGCTACAGTTTCGTTTGATATATCGTAGTTCTTTTAAAGATCATGAGGTTTTCGTTAGTCGACTGTCTATAGCTATATCGAAGTCGGCATCTATCATACTGACCTTGATATACACGAACCCCGAGTGTGTAAACCCATGCAACATAGCCTTCGCAACCTCCAATTTCTCCTCATCGTTTCCATGTAGATACCGCGAGAAATCGATTAACTAATGAAGTATATTGTTCAATTAATTATCCATGAACACCTAATTAAGTCTAGCGATGCAATTCGAAGTTTCTAAATTGGGACAAGTTGTGCAAATACCGGAAGGTCGAGTCCGTCCTTCGACACTGCTGTCGTAGCGGCTGCCATTTTTCTTCCTCTTCCTCTTCCTCTTCAACAGGCTAATTAACCCCAAAAAATAGACGGATTTAAATTCTATTTCCCCCCTTGCGTGATCGAATGGGAAGTAAGAGGAAGAAGGTATAGCGGCGAGGCTTAAAAGCTTAAAAATATTAAAGTTCGAACGAAAGCTCGAAGGTTATTACGAGATAGAAATTATACAAGTAGCTAAGCTATGTAAGTAAGTATACATCAGAGGGGAGGTGGGGAGATATCCAATCTTTAAATACTGCTTAAATTTAAACATAGAATGGATCTTCTCCGCATTTTTTTGCATTGCGCCGCAGAGGTGCATGTGCTATCTCATCGGACCCTTAATTCTGTTTTATTATTAAAACGGACAAAGTCACTGGCGGGGCATTTGACCGAAGTACTTGTGTACATACATGTACACTACCTATACAATAGACAAGTGTGACCCTCGCCGACGGGGTTCTTGCAGCTACTAGATTCGGGGGACTGTGTGGACTGATAACACTTGAGAAACTACCGGAAGTAGTAGTGCGGTTTTGGCAGCTACCCCGTTATTTTTCTTTGATAATCCTGCTGGGAACACGGGCTTGAGTGACGCAGAATTCAAGCGAAAGGCTTGTATGCACAGTTTTCTTTCCTTTTTCCTTTTTTTTCCTCTTTTACTATTTTCAAAAGAATCCGGAAGAGGAAGTTAAAAAGTCTAGATATCTGATAAAACCGACGAATAGAACGTTCATGTGGGGGGGGGGGTGTTTGTGCATGTAACAGTTGACAGCTGCAAGCCTTGTGAGACATTTGGTTATCAGCGTTATCTCGATATCTCGGTTGGTTTGTATCAAGCTCATGGATGTAAGTACAAACATGTACATGTACCAATTCCTTGGCCGATAACTTTAACAGTAAAATCGGGAAACCTGTGTTGTAAGTTGGACTGAATGCGTTCCATTCGAGAAGGTGGATATTGGAGATCATCGATCAGAGGGAGGGATGCCGCTGTTAGTCGGTGAAGTCGACCTTCTTGACTGATCGAAATGGTATAAATATCTGTGAAACCCGGCTGGGGAGGATTTCACGGGTCGAGTGACACTGAATTGCACTGCACTTGCCGCTTGCGAATAACACGTACTTACATTCCATGTTGTTATCCGAGGGGCAGCTGTGAGACTTCAATTCATTCTGCGGGATCGATTAGATATCACCGTTGAACTCCACACTCAACAAAAATCAAAATATTTTTTTGTTATAAGCATTCTCCAGAGGTTCTTTTTAGCCTCAACCCCCCCCAAAAAAAACCCCGTCAATAACTTAAAAATTACCATTTGTTGTTGAATACCCATCCCGCAACCATGGCTTCAAAAGTCGTCGACGTCCACACCCACGTCTACCCACCCCAATACGTCTCAATCCTCAAATCTCGCTCAAAGGTCCCGTATGTCCGCGACACCACCCCGGGCCAACCCTCCCGTCTCATCATCCTTCCGGGTGAAGATGACCCTTCAAGCGAAAGCACCGCCAAGGGCCGTCCAATCGGCCCGGAATACTACGATATCAACAAAAAGATCGAATTCATGGATACCCACGGAATCGATATCTCTGTGATTTCGTTGGCGAATCCGTGGTTGGACTTTTTGGACCGTGATGAAGCAAAGGGGCTTGCGAGGGATGTGAACGATGCTATCGATTCCATGTGTGATGCGCATCCAGGACGGTTATTCGCCTTTGGAGCTCTTCCGTTGTCTGCACCCTCGGAAGTCATTGTCGAAGAAATCCATAGGCTTCCGACTTTAAAATACACTAGAGGTATAATCATGGGAACCAGTGGCCTAGGGAATGGTCTCGACGATCCAGAGTTGGATCCAGTATACCAGGCACTCGAACAGGAGAATATGACGATATTCCTTCATCCACATTATGGTCTTCCGAAAGAAGTATTCGGTCCCAGAGCAGCCGATTATGGTCACGTACTACCTCTAGCACTCGGCTTCCCATTGGAAACAACGATTGCGGTGACAAGAATGATCCTTAGCGGTGTATTCGATCGATTTCCAAAGCTAAGTGTGCTCCTCGCACACAGCGGTGGCACACTACCATTCCTTGCTGGAAGATTAGAAAGTTGTATCCTCCATGATGCGCACTATAGCGGGCCGGAGGCGAAGGTAGAATCCAGAAGAAGCGTATGGGATATCCTCAAGACGAATATTTTGTTGGATGCTGTCGTATATTCGGAACTAGGCGTCAGGGCTGCGGCGATAGCTAGCGGCGCAGATAGAGTACTATTCGGTAAGTGGCCTAAAGAAAGAAGTAAAGAAATAAAGAAAGAAAAAAACGTGGCCCGTCCGGTGCCTGATAACGTGGTTTGTAAGGGAAATGATCTAATGTTGCCTAGGAACCGATCACCCATTCTTCCCGCCACTAGAAGCCGCCGAAGGCGAAGAAGAACAGAAATGGTTGAGCGTTACCACGAACTACAAGGCTATTAGAGAAGCTTTTGGTCCCGAGAAGGAACAGGCAGAAGCAGTTCTTGGTGGCAATGCAATTCGACTCCTTAGATTGACCACGGACTAAGCACGTGGGGGAAAGACTATTACAGCGGCACGGTTACGGGCCTGATTTTCTGGAAGGTCCATGATTCGACTTCATGGGAACGAGTCAGGCGCTCGCGCTCGCATACCAACGCATTAGCATTGTTGTAAATACTCCGCTGGCTATAGTTAGCTGACTCGTACGATATCCAGGTGCTATGTATCAGTGATAGTAGGTGCCTGAAGGCCATTGCTACATAATCACAATATTAATATCTAAGAGCTCTTCATCTGAGCAAAAAATTTTGAAACGGAAGAACTTCTGGTCCTAGCTTTGACTTGGCGATATGGAACTGGTTTAAGCTTACATACATGCATGAAGTGCATGCTTCATATCTTCAAGCTAACTTGCTAGAAAACTTGCGTCTCGCTATTCCCACTGTCTCGGGTAGAAATTAAAGCCATGGAAAAGCACAAGGATTTAAGGAGCTTCGACGGATTTCCCGTCGCAAATCTTTTTCACTAGAGTCCACAAAAAAAAAAATTAGTGGAAAAAATTTCTTCTGATGGGTGGATCTGATAATCTCTTCGGGGGCCCCTTGGAGGCGGGTCTCATCGATGGCGTTTCGATCGAGTAATTATTAGCTAAAAGATTGCTTTCCGCGCGTTTAAGTTTTTCCGCTGTCAAGTGGATCCCCTCGTGGGCTTTTTAACTTAGCTTTTGTAAGCTTTTGTAATTTTTGAGGTGCCACACACCGGGCGGAGTTCGGAGACGTTTCTTGGGATCTCTGATATCAAAATCATATGATATCTGGGTGGTTCAGTTCATGACTCGGGCCGGGTCGGGTTGAAAAGAATAGAATTTTCGGCATGCATGCAGTGTCACCGGCTCATACATGCACGCACATATACCCGTTTGCTGCTTCTGCCGGGTGCGTAAAGCAGGGATTACATCATACCACTACCGTCTACGGCCAACGTTCGGATCCGAACTTTGGGTTTTCCTTTTAAAAAAAAAGTTTCCAGAAAATGACTTTTGAGATAAGGGGGCAGGTATTTTTGGCTTCTGTTCTGGAAAAGAAAATACACAGCTCAGTTGATTGCTTTTTTTGAACTTATGAATTCCAAGAACCTGCATAGGGTGTATTCATGTTTTGTGGAAAGTGGTCCGGAGAACAATGGCAATTGTGAATATATGCAAGATTACATCGTATGTCTTCACTTTTCTCCCAGTCGACATGTCGGGAAGGTGACTATGGAGCACTATCGTGAGAGCTCCCGGCCATAATGTTTAAGTAATCATACATGCATCCATTAAACCGGGCCATTTTGCTTTGATTTGGCGGCGGGAAATAATTTCCTTCCAGAAGAAAGCTTGCAATTAATTGGGGCGCTGACGGCATGTATCCGGCGCATCCATCGAGCAGTCACATCCGGATATCTCCCCCAGCCAGCCGGTTAGCTAGCAGAACATCAAACGACTCAGTTGCATTTTGTCTTCCAACCGTGTTGCATTCGTTAAAGAGAAATTTTATTTACGGAATCCCGTCATCAGCTAACTGCTTGGCCATGGAGCTTTCAGCTTCAGAAAGACAGTACTATCCCGTCCCCGGAAAAATCTCTGAAACTTAGCGTCGGACGGTGGGCTCTGGGAGCCATTCGAGATGCCATATGCGGATCCAACTGTCATCCAGGGGCGACGGCTCGGCAAGACTCCCCGGAGCGCGGTCAAGGCCTTTCGGTTCAAGCAATCAATTAAGTAATCATAAAATCTTCAACAGTGACGAGCTCTCGAAATGTCTGAAACGTAAACGAAGAAAGAAAGAAAGAAAAAAAATCCTTCTTACTTGACATAATTATATTATTCGATTTTATCAACAATCGTAATTATCAGCCAAAATCTCGCGATCTCAGGCATTCACTTTAAAAGAATAAAATTTTTCAGTTCAAGGGCGGCTGGAGTGGCGCTGGTAAGCTAAGTATCAGCTTTCGATGCATGGCTTTGTGGATAGAAGTCAGGTGTTTGGAATGTCGCTACCAAAACCCTGGATGAGATCATTCATTCCTTTGCGCTGCATAGCCAATCGTTAGATGCTCGTGCACGATCATGGTTAAGACTAACCACTTAGCTAGTCTCGCTGATATGATCCGAACACTCTGTATCTAATTAACCCAAGTTTAACAAACGCCCTTTTCGAACGGACATTGAGAAATCAGTTTCGGAGAAGCCCGTCCCCTGATCGATATGATGCTTGCCAGCCCTATTTTTGAAAAGAAAGTCGACCAGGGCAAAGAAAGAGAGGAAGAAAAAGAAGGCAAGGGCATATGTTCAGCTTAGCACAATCGGGTGACTCTAATGGTCTAGAGCACTCGTTTAACGTTTGTCGCAATACTTGAACACGGTGGAGAGAGAGCCCGCCAATAGGAGGGGAACGTGCTTGGCTAGCGATCGCGGGCCTTTACGTAAATGCCGTTCATGTCGTACTGCACTGGCGTTTCGTCTGTTTGTTAATTAAGAAGACGTTTACGTTTACGACCCATGACTGACCACATGGTCTTGGGTATATGGCTTATGGGTACTCGAGTGATCGTTGAATTTTGGGCTTCAGTACTTCCGGAGCACTAATAGTATCTCCGAGGAAATGATGGATGGTGATGTTGTGCTCCTTTAAATACTCGCGTTCCGTCCGAAGTTGGTTTAATTTTGTAAGAACTATGTGTAAATATAAATTGTCAAAGGTTCGCCGTTAGTCCAAAAAAAAAAAAAACGCGAAAGGATGGGTCATGAAATGCTGTAATTGTTTTCTAATTCATACGCACATTACACTTTTAGGTTTTTCTACGACTTACACATTTATAGTTCTAACAAAAATCTGGGGAAATCGGGCTTGCAGGGTTAGCGTGCGGGGCGGACTGCTGGTTTGATCGATTCTAAACGTCTCGAGGATCATATCGAATCAAGAAATCTGGAAGCTAAAATGGTGAGGGGATGGATGCACAACAGCGAAACCCGCATCGATTCGAATGCTAAAATCGTATGGAATGGGAGGTAGCTTTGTCCGGTACATTGCCATGTCCTGATCCGACATACTCGTGTACTCACGAAGTGTCATTTTAGCATAAGTACGTTGTTGGATGTGGATCAAATATCATGTGCTATCGTCATTTGAATGCTTCGAGACGAGCCGCCAGAAGCTACAGATATATCTGATACAGAAAATAAAAGGCTCGTTGAAAGCAGCCGATAGTTGACAGGTCTGATTTCTTCTTGAATCCAATAAATTGCCTAGTAACTTTCCATGTATCCTATACATGGACCCACAATCAAAATATGTTCAAGTGTCTTGCGACGTCGGTTGATACATTTACAAGAACCGAAGCATATGATGTGATGTGATAGGGCGGTAAAGAGTGCCAATGACCTAAGAAATACTAAGCCGTATAACCCACCAGCCTTGATTTCGTTCGTTCGTTCTTGGGACAAGATACAAGATACAGGATACGAGACTACACGGACATATGTAAGTAAGTATAATTTACAAACTGGCAAAATAGGACCTAGTTGCATATAGCCAATGCAAGTATCTGAGCCTATTCGGTCGAACAATTGTGTACAAGTCTGAGTATTTCGCTCATCAAAAAGACCTTTCGATAGAAATTTGCGTTTTTTTTATTTTATTTTTTTTTTTATTTTTATTTTTGTTAAATTCTTCTGTTGGGAAGTAACTCGCATTTCGATTTTGATTTCGAGTTACCTCGTACGGGTAATGGTCCGCAATATGGTAAAACCGACCCATGGTTAGAGCCTCGTATGACAAAGTTGACAATCCTCCATTAAACGAAACCGCAAGGCCTCGATGCGAATCCAGAGTGCGAAGGAAGAAGTATGGTGACGGTAACCCAGTTAACCGGTCGTCGTGCGAGAGTGAAAAAAATTGCAGCAGAGTTCCCTTTGAACGCAAGGCCGGCAAGAGCAAGGCAAGGCAAGGCAAAAAAAAAGCTGGCTGGAATTAACCTATGCAATGATGCAGAAGGTCCCGTGTTCCAAGGGATGGCATAGCATGGGATGGCATATGGGCCCTGCGGGCAAGTGCAGGGGGAATGAAGGACTAGTGCGCGAGTGAGTAAAAAAGGAAAAATTTGCCATGTCTTGGGAGAGCTCCAGCAGAGCAGCCAGTTCGGAACCACAATCGAATCGATGCCATGAGCGGAGGGGTAACTGGTCTATTGCAAACCAAGTGGTGGGCTGACCCAGCTGCCCCCTTGCTGGCCTTCCCTGCTGGCGTGCTGCACCCCGGACGCGAATAAGCTCTTTCAGCGCAGCTACTCTGTACAAACGCTGGAAGGAAGAGAAGAAAAAAAAAAAGAAGTTGTCTTTGTCGCAACGTGCACAACTGAGGAGGATGGCCGACAAAAAAAAAGGTTTTGTTCTGGGTGAAAAAGCAAAAAGGGACTCTACTCACGTAATAGCTGGTGATTGGCTAATGTTCCCGTTGAACTTTCGTCAGATGGGAAGCATGTTTCTTTCTTTGGTGCCGGTTGGTATCCGAATCATGGCTATTAACTAACTTCGGGCGGGTTTCTTTGAATTTGTTAGTGGTGTGATATATAAGAAGCCCTCCCACCGGGAGGTATCACAAGATCTTATACAACAACTACTACTGCTACTACTACTATACTGACTCAGGGTTTATGAACTATCACCTGTCTTTCGTTTACAATTATATCTGCATCGCATTGCCTTCGAACTAGCATAGATTCATATCCTTCTAGATCATTAGCATCTTCAAACCATCAGAACAATTACAAATTCTAAACATCGAAGCTAGAAATCATTCATACTAGTCTATTCACACTATCAGTATCATATTATCCAACATCCTCAACACGCATTCGAATATACATCCATTCGAGATCGAGATTTATATTATATACATATCTTTTCCCAGATATCGATATCTCAATATCACAATGCCCTCGCTCATTCGATCCTTCCCTGTACCCCATTACGTGCCATACTCGCACAATGGCATGCCGGGGACAATAGTAGACTTGGACTCGACAAATACCAAGCCCCGAAGCACAAGGACATCACGATCGTCGAACCGAGATAGCGCTGACTACTCGATCCGGTCTTACAAATCTTCAAAGTCCTCGAAGTCCTCGCAGGAGAGCATAACCCCATTGGCTGGGTCCTTACATGTTCAGATCGAATCGCCACCGATTGTCTGCTACGGACCGGCCAGCGAGTCTAGTGGAGCTTTGCTATCCGGCATGCTATGGTTAACTGTTGCGCCGTGGGAAATAGACTTGGAAAGCCTCAAGTTGACCTTTCAATCTACAGTCACAACGAAGAAGCCAGTTGTATTTGGCTGCCCAGACTGCACTTCGAAGACAACAGATCTTAACACATGGGATTTCGTTACGGGTACGCACCCGGTATCGCATGGTTTACACAGCTATCCATTCAGCTACCTCGTACCCGGAAACCTCCCAGCCACAACAGACTCTCAATTGGGGTCGATAAAGTATCATCTCTCCGCCCGCGGTGTCACAAACCACGGCGAGATCCTTCAATTCGCCCAAGAAATCAAAGTTGCCCGCTCGATCCTCGAAGGCAATGACAGGAACTCACTAAGAATCTTCCCGCCAACAAACCTTTCGGCCACATTGACACTCCCCTCGGTCATCCACCGTGGTGGAAATTTCCCCGTGGAAATGCGCCTCGAAGGTGTCGTCACCCGTACCAATTTCACCAGATGGAAGCTCCGCAAGGCCACTTGGAGAATTGAAGAAAAATCCAAAATCATCTCCCCAGCATGCAAAATCCACGCCCACAAGATCGGAGGCGAAGGGAAAGGTGTCAAATACGAAGACATCAAGGTCCTAGCAACCGAAGAATACAAAACCGGCTGGAAATCCGACTTTGACACCTCGGACGGAAAAGTTGAATTCGGTTTCACCGCCGGAATCCCAGCATACATCACATCCACCGATGATGTCGACAATACCACCGGCCTCACCGTTTCTCATAACCTCGTCGTCGAATTAATCGTAGCGGAAGAATACTGCCCAAAGAACAGCAAACTCGTCACCCCCACCGGTAGCGCAAGAGTTCTAAGAATGCAATTCAACATGAACACCACCGCCCGTGCAGGTATGGGTATCTCTTGGGAAGACGAATGCCCACCACGATACGACGACGTTCCCCAATCTCCACCAACATATCAAACTCTAGTCTGCGAATCTCAGTCCGTGGAAGATCTCCACAGCATCTAAACAAACCGCCAATCTGTCGTCTCTTTTCATTTATATCATTTCCCAATCTTCATTTCATTGTATCATATTTACCCCATCCCCATCCCCACCCGCATTTTTACGTAATTGTTTTGGCGATCACAATTTTTCTCGAATAATACCGGCGCAATATCTGGAAGGAACAAGGATTTTTTTACTTTTCTTTTACCGACGAAACAAAAAAGCAGGCCTAATTTAATCATTCACCCATGAAGTTGATGTTTATCTGTATTTTATGGGTCTCTTTTTTTCGGACCCTCCTATTATTATTTCTTTTTTGGCGTTATTTTCAAACCGGACTGAGATACGGACTGGAGTTTCATTTTTTTTTTTTTTTTTTTCCATATCATTTTTCCTTTGCATATCTCCATTCGATGCGGAAAATACCCCCTTACATGTCGAAATGTATTTTAGAAGCATGATTACCACCACACTACCCCACGATCAATCAAATCAACCGATCTATTGATATCAATCATATACCAAAAACATCATAATTCTTAAGAATCAACATTGAATTCTCCGCAAATGCATAATCTAAAAAACTCCCCCAGTTTTCCATGATGTCAGCGTCTCGAATATTCTCATGATGTAATCATACCTTAAAACTCCCGCCCAAGAAAATGCGCCGGGCTGGGTGTGGCGTGATCGACGTTGCAGGGACCACCAACATGCAACAAGCATACATAGTAGGCGAGCAGCCAAAAAAAAAAAAGGAAGTCAAGCATGTAAGCTCGAGATCGTGGTACAACTGTATCGTGTATCTTGCGGGGAGACGAACGGGGTTCCGAAAAGCTGTCCTCCGGGAGCTCTCTTCCTTTTTTTTTGTCGTTAATTTAAATTTAGATATTTCAGTGTTATTATCGTTTTATATGCCTATAGCTGGATGCATATGTTATATTCCCGACGAGTTATAGGCAGCTGGAAGTGTCAAATGGCCGGCCTGTCATGTCAGTATCTACTATGCATGTATTATAATCCGGGAGAGATTTCCGTTCGGTATCATGATATCGATATGATTTGCAGAAGGCTTGGTATTATATATATCTACAGTTGCATGAATGGCTGTTTGGGGTATTCGTTACGAAGGATGACAGTGAATTGATATATTACCTCGCGCGGAGTTTTTTAAATATTGTGATATTGATATTAAATTGATACATAGTATTGTTGGTTTCTGATACTATACCATTACGTACGCGTGTGTTCTCTTCATAGTCACTCGGCCTATTATACAGCATCAAAAAAAAAGACATCGAAACGAAGCGATGACTATTGCCCGTCGACTCTCCAAAGCTAGTCAATATACTACCAGTAAATCTTCACCGGAGAATTTCTAGAAAACTAGAAAAAGAAAGAAGAAGAAAGAAAAAAGCAACTATGGTTGAATATATGTAATAAACTCGCTCTCACACATAAACGAATGATCGAGAAAACTCTACGATATTTCCATTCTTGGCGATTTAGATAGACAGGCCTTGAAGGCTACAGGGGGGTGTGAAGCTTGTCTTACAGGCCTTTTTTTTTTTTTCATGAAACAAAGTTTTGATATAACGGGTCATCGGAGGCGGCCGATAGGTCTATCGATAGTTTGCGATAGATACCTAGGTAGATGCCGCGGAGCCGTTTCTAAGCACATCCTTTGAGCTTCCATGAAAAGCACAAGCCCCGTAAGGCGAAACGTATATGTATCATTGAAAAGTCTGAGATGGTGACTCAATCAATCTACTCGAGATGACTTGCCTTTACAGGTTGCTGTAATAGAGGTGGGCTCGATTATAGTGGTATAAAAAGAAGATTTTTTTTGAGATGAAAGACCCAAATAAAAGCAACGCTCACTGCCTTTGTTCCAGATTCGTAGATACCGCCCCACCCCCCAAAACGCCGCGCTATAGTGATCAACAGAAGAAACCCATAATAGATTAAAACAAGAGGGAAAACAAATGGACGGAAGTCACGTGGTTTCGTATACATTAACGTTGAACTCCCATAATGGTTATAGTGGTAAACATAATCACTGATGAAGTTTCGGTAAAAGCCATGAGCCATGGCCATGGGGGCTAGAGATGATATCAAGCCTTTCCCTTTCCTTTCCCTTCGACTCTCTTGATTAACTTGAGTTCAAGAGGAACTATTTCTTTGATGACAACCTTGCCCCTGCAAACTGGGCATTTCCCTAACTTAGCACTGGGACGACCGAATCTCAAGGTGGTTTTGATACAATCGTTGCAGAATAAATGTCCTATCGTGGTATTAGTATCAAAGGAAGATATACAAATCAACTTAGGGTAGAGGTGGAAAACATACCGCATGACGTGGCGCTCAGGTTTTCAGGATCGTCCAAGCAGATAACGCACTTAAAGTCTGCAATCCTCCTACGGGCATTACCTTCTTCCCGCTGCGTTTTGATCATTTGTTCGTGCATGATTTTTTGAATATCGTCATCATTCTCAACGTTGATCATATCAACGACTTCGAGGGGCTCGGTTTTGGCTTTTTTAGACGCTGGTGATGATGCTGTTGGCATTTTTGTTTCGGGATGGGTTCGTTTGTGGTTTGTTTGAGGGGATGGTGCCGCAGGTTGCGTGGTTGCCGTGGGAGGAGGGCGGGAAGGCGCTTGGTTTGCTGTAGTCGCCCGAGAAGGTGCTGTAACGTTGGCGTTACTTGTAGTTCGCGGCCGAGTACGGGAGATTGCAGGAGCTATAGGACGAGCGGCCGCGGGCTCTGGAATCTCGTCTTCATCTTCGTCTTCAATATCCGAATCCTCATCGTAATCTCCGTAATCTTCAATGTCGTCCATATCGGCCGTAGCGTCAGAATCTAGACTGGAATCCTCCGAAGAAAGATATGCTTCGTTTGTGTGAAGATATTCCTCCATGCTGTCGAACTCCTCACCTTCATCATCATCATCGGAGTCCGTTAGGAAGACGCCGGGCGAATCTGTTGAGGAAGTGGTGTTTGAAGGAGTTGTCCCGAGGGAGTTGGGAATAGAGGATGAAGAAGCAGCAGCAGCAGCACGGTTTCGTAGCTGGCGAGAAGGTTGAGGCCGAGACGGAGGGGCTCTCGGTCGGGATGCTGTTTGTGTTCCGAAGGGATGAGGCCGAGACATGGTTTCCGGCCTAAAGGCTGTACCTCGAAATGACCTATTTCCAGATCTTGCAGCAGTTGTCGCCCGTGTTCGTGTCGCCGGAGAAGATGCAGTCAAGTCGATGATATCCATGGCTATACTGTTATAATATCGTGGTACTCTACTGTGGGGCGACGACGATGTGGCGATGTAGGTGGTGTCGAGTTGGAAGAGAAATGTCAAACAGATGGTGTGAAGAGAGGAGAAGAGAAGATGTTGCTATAGTTTACTTATATACTGGTGGATGATGCATGGTTGGACAAGCCTGGCCCCTTTATCAAGGCATGGAGGAGACACAAAGATGTTGTAAGCTGGACGGTGTGGTCGACAGTGGTCGTCGTCGTTGTCGTCGTCGTTGTCGCGTGTTGGTTGTTGGATTGGTTGGTCGTCGAGGAAAGGAGGTTTGTTCGAGAAACACAGAGGGATGTTGGTGTGGATGCGCTTAACTCCTAACGCCGACTGTACATACTGTGGCTCTTATCGATAAAGAACCTCGAAATTTATATTTGTAACAATGCAACGAACAGGCCAGGTACACTATTACCTATTAATAATGTACTGGATTTAATAATCAAGCACTTCAGTATATCATGACGGGTATTATAATAGTCTATATTGTTTTCTTCGGGTCGTTACGAACATTGGCTAGATTGATATTTAAGGTCGATGTTCAATTGGGGAGCTCGACACTATGACATAGACACCACCCTAGCCTTAAACTCGAACTTAGACCCGAGTAGTTCAAATGGTCTCGAGACCTCCTACTGAATAGATTATTGATCGAAACTGAGACTAGAGAAGTCAGTAGTTGGTAACATCTTGCACAGATCTATCTCTGGTTTTGCTTTACTCGGGTACTTGATGGATCGTGGTAATATACATGAACGACATTGTGACCCTTAGGACCTTGAAGGAATTTGCCCTGATCCTGACATGGATTAAGAATGTCAATCTGATGCAGGTTCGATCGCATCAGTTATTCTGTCATTGGCGGGGCTAACTTTAAGCGGGCTGCAGAACCCCAGTTTGGGTTGGTCCAGCGATCTTTGGGCAGCAGCTAAACCTTGCCCATTGAAAATTTATCCATGTGCTTCTTTCCTTCATCCAAACTTAACTCTTCTCCAACCGCCACCGTAATCAAGAATTACTTACCTACCCATCTGCAAAGACTTCGTTCATAATGGTCGCTGTGTCATGATCATGAACTTACCCATATACCTTACTCTACAATCAGTAATACATATAGGCCGGTGATATGAACCGTACACTGCGATTCACGCGAGTCGCACCCCGCCAGCCCACCTTCTCGCTTCTTGTACGACCACATATTGCTCGACAGCAGCCCCTCCGCACAAGATGGCAGGCCATAGAAGCGGTCCGGAGAAATTCCGGACTGTCTGCTCCTTCGTCTTCTGCTCGGGATGAGAATCTAGCCGAATTATCAAAGTATCCAATCTCTACTCCATCGGCATCAGTGTCGCCACGATCGGATCCCACGGAACCTATAACTTTGGATGCGACGTATGCTTCTGTTACAAAGGCTTCCAACTTGGAAAAGCCTAAAGCACGTATGTTAAGGATATTATCTCCTTCTGGCCGTCTTATCCTTCTAACTCTCTCTTTTTAATAGGATTCAATGAAATCAAGGTTCAACATATCAGCGACCAGCTCCACCGACAAATCTTCGGGAACAATACCGCACAACCGGTCGACGAACAGTTAGTAGACCTAGCGAAGAAACATCTCGATATACATGACCTGCTCGGGAAACAATCGGCACCCACCGAGCCTATCGGCTTTGAGATGCCGAAACTAGTCGGAGAATCTCTTGACGAACATTTCTTCAAACTAGGCTCTTATACCGGAGACCCATGGCTAGGTTATGCTAGGAAATTTGCACAGTCCAATATTCCGCTTCCTCCTTCTCAATGGAATACAAAAACGAGTGGATGGACCAAGTACGGACGGAATGGAGACGTTATAGCCGTCAACTGCGACCCCCCTCAAGACGAAATGCTGTGCTTCGACGTCGAGGTTCTTTACAAAGTCAGTCCCTATGCTGTACTAGCCTGTGCAGCAAGCCCGACGGCTTGGTACAGTTGGATATCGCCATGGGTACTAGGGGAGTCGACCGACAACAAGCAGTTGATATCCCTAGGAGACCCGTCGAAAAAACGGATAGTAGTCGGCCACAACGTCAGCTACGACCGTGCGAGAATCGCAGAAGAATATAACCTCAAACAAACCGGTACCTTCTTCCTCGATACAATGTCGTTACATGCTGCCGTCAATGGCATGTGCTCTCGCCAGCGCCCTACGTGGATGAAACACCGTAAAAACAAAGAACTCAGAGAAAAGCTCGCTAACGGACCGGATCCACAACTCGCCATTATGGTCGAACAAGCTGCCCAAGAACTCGAGCCAGAGATTTGGGTGGACCACAGCTCTATAAATTCCTTGAAGGATGTTGCAATGTTTCATTGCAATATTCAAGTTTCAAAGGAAACCCGGGACATGATGGGCGAAATGATGAAGGTGGAGGACCTAGTCCCGAAGCTACAGGAGTGCCTAGCATACTGCGCTTACGATGTCAAAGTCACACACGATGTCTATAAGAAAGTTCTCCCACGGTTTCTCGAAACATGTCCTCACCCCGTCAGCTTCTCGGCTCTTCGACATATGGGCTCTTTATTGTTACCCGTCAACCAGTCCTGGTCGAACTACATTGCAAATTCTGAGGCTATATATAATGGACTTGTGACCAAAGTTAAGAATCATCTTGAATCTTTAACGGAACAGGCGGCAGCCCTTAGCTTTGGTCTGATGTCTAAAGGGCCGAGGACAGTTATCGGCGATCGCATCAAACAGCTGGGTGAGGAATTGGCTGAAGCCAGCGCAGTTTATGGCAAACTAGTGGCAGAGGAAAATGAACTGCTAGGGAAACCCAAGAGGGGACGAGCGAGTAAGGCATCTAAAACTCAAGCAGATGCAGACGCTAAGACTGGGGCGGAAACTCGACTTGAGGTTGAACCTAGTCTCATAGAATTGCCCCCAGTGGCTGGACCTTCGGAAACAAAACAACGGAGGAGAACCGCAAAGAAGGTGGAGAAGCAAGATGATAATGATTTGAAAGAAAAGACGGAGGCTCTGAAGAGATTAGGGAAGAATAAACTCAAGGCAACAAAAAGAATCGATACGATAGCAAAGGAGGCCACAACCCTCCAGAAGCAACTAGCCGACGACAAGATCCTAGCGGATCGGAATATTGAAAATATCCAGCAAAACCCATGGTCCAAGGAAAATGCTTGGCTCAGCCAGCTAGACTGGGGGGGAAGGGAGGTCCGATATAAGAAGCAAAAGAAGCCTACCGACCCTCTTGTTCCCTATGCGAAACAAAAACTACCCGGTTACCCAAACTGGTATAAAGATCTCTTCAAAACTTCCACTGACATGAGCATATCAGTCCGGACTCGGGTCTCAGCGTTGATGTTGAGGCTTCAATGGGATGGTTATCCATTGGTTTGGACGGATAAATATGGATGGACCTTCCGAGTGCCTAATTCCGAGGTTTATAAATACACAAATACGCCAATGGTTCAATGCGATGTGCTGGACTTGATCAACGAACCAAACCCGCACGTTGCAACCGATAATCAAGCTGTATACTTCAAGCTTCCTCACAATGGAGGGAAAGATGCAAGATGTGTTAATCCTCTCGCGAAGAGCTACCAAAGGTACTTTGAAGACGGAGTTTTGACTTCTGAGTTCCCTCAGGCTAAGGAGGCCCTTGATATGAACGCCGCGTGTTCATACTGGATCAGTGCTCGTGAGAGAATCAAGTCACAGTTTGTTGTTTGGGAGGACAAGGGGATCGGTAGGGACATAGGCTTCGAATCGCTAGAAGACTCCAAGATTTCACAAAGTAGACTAGCAGCGCATGCAGTGAACCTCGCTACAGAACCGGGCTCCGAACAAAGTGATCAGAACGAACTCGGGTTGATATTACCCCAAATCGTTACAATGGGAACTATTACAAGAAGGGCCATCGAAAACACTTGGTTAACTGCTAGTAATGCGAAGAAGAATCGAGTCGGCTCTGAGCTCAAGGCGATGATTCAAGCACCCCCAGGTTACTGCTTTGTTGGTGCTGATGTTGAGTATGTCCAATTAATTCCTCTCCCATACCTAAGAGAAGTACTAATAAACTATAAAATAGCTCGGAAGAACTTTGGATTGCTAGCTTGATTGGCGATGCTGAATTTAAGATGCACGGAGGCAATGCAATTGGTTTTATGACGCTCGAAGGCTCAAAAGCTGCCGGAACGGATATGCACTCCCGAACAGCATCTGTATTGGGGATTTCGAGGAATAATGCCAAGGTGTTTAACTATGGAAGAATTTATGGCGCAGGACTAAAGTTTGCGGCCAGTCTCCTCCGACAATTCAACCCAAATGTCAACGAATCACAGGCGAATGAAATTGCGGGGAATCTCTATGTTGTTACTAAAGGCATCAAGACAACAAGGAAATTACTCTCCGATAAAGCTTTTTGGCGTGGGGGCACCGAAAGTTTTGTTTTCAACAAACTGGAGGAGTTTGCTGAACAGGACTTCCCCAAAACGCCAGTCCTCGGGGCAGGGATTACAGAAGCATTGCAAAAGAATCACATTGGTAAAGGTGCTTTCTTGACTTCACGAATAAACTGGGCAATCCAAAGTTCTGGTGTCGACTACCTGCACCTACTCATCGTTTCCATGGACTATCTCATTCAACAATACAAACTCAATGCCCGGCTTATGATAACGGTACACGACGAAATACGATATATAGTTCAGCTAGATGATCGGTATAAAGTTGCCATGGCTCTCCAAGTCGCCAACATTTGGACCCGGTCTATGTTCTCTCAACAAATGGGAATCAACGACCTACCACAGTCATGTGCATTCTTCTCTGCGGTCGATATCGATCATGTTTTGCGAAAAGAAGTCGATCTTGATTGCGTAACACCATCCAACCCTGACAAAATCAAATCTGGGGAGTCTGTTGATATGGAAGGTCTTATTGCAAAAGAAGAAGCCCAGCTACCGCTTGGGAAAGAGACTATCGTTGCTGAGAAGCTTGCAGCCATCAAGTACACGCCTCGTGTACCGATTTTGGAGCAACTTGCTCAACAAACCCAGTCTAATATTTACCAAATGAAGGCCCAAATCGCTAAAGATGAAAAAGATTTGACAAGGGTCATAAAAGAGCTGAAGATAGAGGCCCCGGAGTTGATGAGAGATACAACTAAGGGGAAAGGGACAGTGTATGATCCTTATGCTTGGAGTGACGAGGGCGTCGATACATGGGATCTAATAAATTTGCAGGGGCTTCCAGTAAAACATAGTACTAAACAGAAAGACTACGGGTGGAATATTCCCGCAATGTCAAAACCTCAATCAAGCCCGAAGAAAAGCAAGCCATCTCAAAAGCGAGCCGCTAAGATGTGAGTTTCGTATGTCAGTGACATTTAATTCCGTTTATCTTTCTTTTTCCCCCCCCTTTCTTGTACAGCCCTATTTGCTATATTTTCGCATGCAGATGCGCGTATATGTTCTTCTCCTACCCACCCCTAACATTCAATCATCTCTCTTCCTGTTTCTTTCGCTTTTCTCTTCGGTCAAAGAGGACCATTTTCTTTTCGGTGTGTTACTTTTCATCACGGTGGTGTCTTTGGGGTTGCATTGTAGCTGGTTTTCTTTTTTAAAAAAAAGTTTGGGAGACTTTGATAGCATTTGAGGGTGTTCTGTGGCATCTTAGCCTTCTTTTTGGGTTACCTGCTCCAAATCCCCGATATCACCGTGACTCGGGGATTATAGGGGTTTTGCGGTTACTACTATATAGCTATATATTATACAAATTTAATAAAGTAAATACCTATACCGTTTAATCAACTATCCTCATGGTACCACAGGAACTACATCGCTATATTTGTAGGATAGGCTAAGCTATGGTAAATGTTGTAAAACACAATGTAAAATCATACGTATGCCGCCCAACCTATTCTAACAGTTAGCAAGGAAATCCGAATTTGAGATGAAATCCCCGAGGGAGGAATATGAACTTACCTCCGTACAGAACGGCCAAATTCCTCACATCGCCAGCCTCCGTAATCAGCTCGTTCACCGTCGCTTGAACGCTCAGGGTCTTACTCAGCTTCTTCATAACCACAGTTAAAGCTCTATCTGCCTCACTCGCATTCGTAGTCTCCCCTGTCTTCTTTGCCCCGGCATCATTATTCTGCACGCTCAACTCCTCCTGCATTTTCTTTGCTCTGATCGGAGAAATTGTCCACGAGTACAGTGGATCATAACGAAGGACGTCTAGGATTGTCATGACGCTGTATGCTTCATCACGTAAGACTGATAATGTGAATTCACAACAACGTTGGAAGACACCCTCGGTTTTGGTGACACCCATGCCGTCTACTATGTCTCTTGTTAATCGGAAGGGGACGACTTCTGGGACGGGTAGTACGCGGCCTTGTTCGAATGCCACGCCCAAATCGATGTGTACTACTTCTCCGCTTCGCTCGTCTAACAAGATATTATGACCGTGACGATCCCCTAGGCCTAGGATATGGCCCAAGATTGATATTGCAGCTGTACTTCTTGTGTATGCAAGACGTTTGCTGAACCATTCATCCGGCCCCACGAACTTGTGGAAGAAGAAGAATCGCATGACGGGTTGGAAGTACTTCATTACTTGTTCGAAGACTTTGACCCTGACTTCACGTGATTTATCTTGTGCTTTTTGAATTTCATTCCTACATTGTCCGGCTCGCCAATCCTTCGGCCTATAGCGTTCATGGGTTGGAAGGAGGTATTCGTGGAGTGGAACCGTGTGGAGGACGAATTCTATAATACCACTTGTGGTAGATAATGGGACGACTTTATAAGTTCTGATACCAAGGTTTCTTTGGCGGGTGATTCTACTCTTTTGGAGTAACTCGCTGACTTGTTCAAAGACCTGTTCCATGATTGCGTCTTGACGAAGGTCATCGTTTCCACCCTTGACGAGGAGTTTGTAACGTTGACCGTTTGATGCTCTACAGGCCAAGATTTTGGGCATGCTGATACCTGATGCGATACCAATATCCGGTTCGAACATTTTCATAAATGCTGTTTTTGTATAAGAACAGTCGGCACGAATTTCCACACGCATCGTTGGAGGTGCTATTTTGCATTTAGGAATGTCTTGGTCGAAGAGTTTCCAGTGTCGTGGGAAAAGTCTTCTGAATGATACACTGCTGGTTTTCTTTTCTACCTTTTCTTGTGCGAGATTCATGAAGTGCTGCGTGGCTAGGCTTATATTGTGGGTTAGGATGCTTGAGGCCCCATCTTCGGCGAGCATGCGGAGTAGACGTTTTGCTGATGCTTGACGGCCTACGGCGGAGGGATCTTTGTTGTCTCTTCGGATTGCTTGTCGGTCCAAGGCAAGGATTTGGTACATGCCGTGATACGGGTGATCCCTACAGATACGGAATATGAGTTGGAAGAGGTGCGTTTGGAATGAATCTTCATCGTTGAGTAGACGGGAAGAAAGTTGGTTCATCATTGGGATGAATTTTCTGGATGCTACTTTCGCCAGAGGGGCAGCGTTTACTGCTTCATTTGCGCCTTCGTTCGAAGAGTGCTCGAGCCAGAGGGAACAGAAGCGAGTGGCATCGCTGTCGTAGTCGTCGCAGGTTATTAGACATTTTAAGTAATGTTCCAAACTCTTTTCGAGGAAGAGTTGACGATTGTTATATAAGCGTTCGTACTCTTCCCTGTCGATTGTGAGAAGGACTTTCGCTTTTTGACGGTAATTGCGAAGACTATCTTGTTTTGGACCTGAAGTGGAACGGACTAAACGTTCAAGCTCTAAGTATTCCTCCTCTTTTTGTTTCATGAGTTTTTCGGCTCGTTGGAAGTCTTCAAGGTTTCCTTGGTCTTGTAATTGGGAGTTGCAGAACATGGCGAATTGGTGATAAACTGTACCATCTGCAGGAGTTACGAGACCCTTTTCAAGTTCACTGACGGCTCTCACAAAGTATTCTTCCATGACAAAGTCCGGTTTTCTGAGACGGGCCTCGGCAGTCCATGTGGCCGTCTTTGCGAGAAGTTCTGGACGACCGATTGGGATAGCTTGCTTGAGGTAATTGCTATCCTGGCTTGACATCTCAAGTAAGGGCTGCAGCATGCCTATAGCTGGTAATGTCTCCCCTTGATCCCATAAGACGCTAGCAGCTTCTAATGTCGCCGCGGCCTCAATTTCAACTCCAATGTCTCTACATGGTCCAATCATCTCACTTAGAGAAACCGAGGTGGTCAATGACTTTTGCAGGATACTATGACTGCGTGAGATTTGGCACATCTTGATCAGCGTCTTAGCTTCAAGGAGTCGAGCGGATTGAATTTCGACCCGCGCGTTGGCTCTGAGGTGGGCCCGTTTGACCATGGAGCGGCAGATTGCCATTCGGGCAGAGTATATGTCATCAACATCGTGGAAGCTTGCAAATATTTGTTAGCAAAACAGCTAATTGAAATCCAAAGACGCCCGTTTAACATACCTTCCAGTTTCCATCCATTTATCACGAGAGTACAAATTGTCATATATTCTGCGTAAGGAGGTACCATCTTCGGCACTTAGAACCTCTTCAATTTCCCATAGCATTGCCAATGTCCGCATGCTAGCTGAAAGCCCTAAGCTTGTCCTTTCTGGGGATAGAACTTGCTGTAAACATGCGAGGTATGGCTCGTTCAGGTATGTTGCAACAGCCTTCATCTCCGTTTTGATATTTATAGATTGCAAGGCTTTGTAAATCCCACTGGAGTTGGAAGTGTAACTATCAGGACATGGAAGATCCCATTGTTCAAGTTTCCAAGCTGTTTGGAAAGTGTTATCCTCATGCCCGCCTGCTCCAGCCCCCCCAGCTTCGCCTTGAGATTGTAGGGTGCTGAAAGATAGAGCATTCAAACCGATTGCGCTTAAAGCGTTTACGGTCCCGACACCAGTCTCTGCGTCAAAAATCGGATTTCCTGGAGGCAGATGCAACATATGGTTCTCCAACCGTGCGCCTTGGAAAGACAAACTCTTCCATCCGTCATTCTCGAATGCAAATCTTTGCATAACTGATTTCAAAGTTTGGGTTTTTTGAACGCCGTAGTATGAGTCGGGTTCTCCGGTATTTTGATAGATCTTGAGGAGAAGATCAGTGTCTTCAAAAGGCTTTCCTGTACGAGAAACATGAAGTTCGACGAACATCAAAGCGATTTTGAAGAGATTGCAGGTTGCCGCTGCTCGGGCGACATCTCGATAGTTCAGCTCGATCCAATCGTCTCGTTCAGACGGTGTAGCTTCGTCGGGCACCCTTTGAGTTCGCAAGTATAGTACTCCTTCTAGCAAGATCGAGGTATAAGGAATCACATCTGGCGAGCAGTTCGAAAAGCAGTCATCAAATAAGGTCGAAATCTGTGTTCTCACCTGCTTCTGATCGCTTAATATTTGTTCTAGAAGCACGATATGAAGTAGGTAAGGTAAGGCTTTCTCTGAAAAGTCGTCTACAGCCGATAATAGTGGTCGTAAGTTGGCAGATATGCTATCGTCCTGGATATTGCTAGATAACCAGATAGCAACTTGTTTAACCCATGTCTTTAGTTCCGGCAAATCAGTTCGCTTCGAAACCCTCAATGATTCCGGTAACCTCGCCGGTCCGTCTGGAAGTGAGTACAAGGGCGGCTGCATTGCCATCCATCGCATGGCGGTGATAACTTGACCAGAAACGTATTTTTCGACAATGCTTTCCTTGCCGTTCCCCGAAGATGCATCTCGGAAAACTATGTTGCGAATAGTCGACTCCGCTACTCCAACTTCGTCTTTCGCTGCGCTAGTTAGATAGGTCTCGACGAGCCTCAGTAAAGAGATCTTAGACGCAGTCCCTTCGGGTAGAACCTGAGAATCCTTAATTAACAGGTCTTTGACCCTACTCTCCTGCGTCCATTCGTCAAGAACTATCCCACTAGCTGCAAACGAGCGTCCGAAAACTCGAGCTGACCAAAGGAGAAATTCATCACTTGTTGGAAAGCTGCGACAGATTCGAAAAAGGATCCTGCCAATGTTGAGAGCCTCCTTGTCACTTTGGACCCACTTTTGGGCAGTGAAAAGGGATCTATGGAAATTAGCTCCAAGGATAGCATAGGCCGTTCGTTTTGTCACCTCATTCAACAGCTTCTCGGAATTGCTATTTTCGTCTCGCAGCAGGCTTCTGAGAAGGATATTATCCGACCCAGGGTTCTGGCTATCGATAATCGCGCTCGAGATGGACTGGAAAGTGGATTGTTGGTTCTCATTGATAGTCGATGATTTATAAGTCTGTAAGTATTCAGCGAGCCATCTCCTAAATGCGACTGCACCATCCCTACAATCCAACATCTGTGCTTGTTTCGCTGGTGTAGATACTTCGGTGTCAATGAAGGAGTTCATAGAAGCCAGAATCGTAAGGCTGGAAGACAATACGAAATTTGGAACCTTAATAAGGTGGTCTTGGCCGGACGTGAACAAGTATTGAAGGATACCGATCGTATCTCTAGTGCATACAGGGTCGGTGAGATATGGTATAAGGCCATGGATAGCGAGTTCCAGTGGGTAGCCTTCGACTGCTACTCTCCCTGCAAGTGAGATGATGAATCGAATAGTGCGGATAACGACGCAACTCTGCATACTTCCTAGTGACTCTCGAATCATCTCTAGCTGTCGCCTCACGATGAATGTATAAAGAGGAGCATCCCACATTGTACCAATGTTTCCAAGGTTGACCTTGCTGCAGATGTAGTTAACTGACGTAACGATAACCCTCGGTTTGAAAGCCGGTTTGGTAACCTGGCCAAGTTTTGTAGTCGAGTGATTGATCAGAAGGATAGATTTCATAACGTCCCAAGCGGCACCTAAGGCACCGTTCCGGGCGAGATGATGCTCTCGATTTCCACCATCCTCTTGACTTGTTTGCGTCGACTTTTCGGCGTCATCATCCTCGGTGTAAATTTCAAAGAATGTAGAAAGGATCAATGCTAGTTTCTCGCTCACGAGCTCACTATAAGGTCCGTCTCCAAGACGCTTTCGAATTCTTCCATCCGCAGTGCCTTTGCCAGATCTCTGGTTGTTATCTTTTCCAGAACTCGACGCCCATGCCGTGCTGTATGCTATGATTTTGTGGAAACTATTTCGGATCAAAGATTCGTAGGGAACCTGGAGGGTTTCCGAAACCTCGTTCGCATCGTCGTCTCGGCTGAACATAAGAAGTTGGGCAACAAGCTCCTCCTCTGCATCCGCATAGAGTTCTGCGAGAGTGGCGTATCCGAATATCGAGAATGGAAACTCGTCATTAAGCTTTGCGTCCTCTTGTAAGAAGAGGTGAATGAGATGTGATTTAAAGAGCCCGAATACTTCTTTAGGGTCGCCGTTCTTGATAGTTTTCGCCACGCTCGATATCGCACGGGTTGCATATGGTTTGGAGTGTGGAACCTTCCATGCAGTTTCAAAGATATGGAAAACAGCATTTTTCATAACATGAAATGAAGCCGATATTAACTTCGACAAGCTGTGTACTCTCATAGCAAGCCCTTCTAGATTGTCGATATCCGCTTCGAGATACTTCGTCACATCATCGTAGACACGAGCATGGAGCTCGATGGAGTAGAGAGAAAACAAAGTTGGCAGGTAGTCGGCCATCAAATATCGCACCCGCATATCCTCATCTTGTAGCAGCCTGAGGAAGTTTGTTTTCAAAGATTTTGACCCCTGCGTCTGTCCGTACTCCATATTCACAGAGAGCATATCTTTCAGTAACTTTGCAATGGCCATACGTATCTTGTACGACAAGGCTCTCTTATCTAATGCAGCCAAAATGAGCCAGTTATATATCGAGCCGCAGTTGTTATACAATGCGTCGTCATTTTTCTGGGGTGCCCATAGCTTTGTGAGATTGGTTAGTATGCCGATGCAAATCATTGTTCCAACTTCGCATCTTTCATAGTCGTAAACAGAGAGCAACTTGCTGCCGATTGACTCAACCAAAACACCAAGCTCGCTCCTTGAGAGGTTCAATTCTAGACCTAAGAACTCGTCTATTATGGGTCTTGATAATATTAGTTGGACCGGAGACAGCTTTGCTAGGAATAGTGCAAATTCCGTATATGCTTTGTTAGAGTCTCGCTCCTGGGATACTGACGCATGGAAGCGGAGGGCCTCATATATTGTCATCTTTGAAGTATTTATGGAACCAATCGCCTCGTAGAGCTCCCTAGGCATGTCGTTAAAGGCTTGCTCCTCTGCAGTGGTACCATCTCCAAGGATATCGTCGAGGTCCATCCCGTCACTGTCTTCATCGTCTCCTAACCCTAGCCTAGCCAGTTGTAGTTTTGATGATATGACAACATCGAGCGTCGAGAGAAATTGAGTCAGGGCATTGTCCTCAGCTAGTTTCCATCGATGGTTTTCCAACCCCTTCGTGTGACTGGCAATCCGTGGTAAGAATTTATTCACCCTCGACATAATACCACTGATAACATCGACATCAATTCTCTTCCAACTAAAATAGTCTTCAAAAGTTGATCTAACCCTTGTTAGCTTTTTAAAGAATGTTTCGGTGGTCTTCGTCTCAGGTTGGTTAAGGAAGGAGCCGAAAATCGAGATGACGGCGAGGAAATCAGTCACTCCCTCTGCACCACTCCGACTAATGTTTTTTGTATTCTCTTTGTCTTGCGATATAGGCCATTTCTCGTAAAATTCATCGAGTTGTTGACTTGAGAATTCAATCATTTGAGTCTCAGCTTCCGTAGACCTCTTCGTGACGGCTGGCTTGGTCCAGTATTTGTTAGTTGAGGGGCCCTGCGACTTTGGAGCGTCTTCCGAGCCCACGTTTCTGAGAAGTAGGAAAGAGAGAGGGTTTAGAGAGGCAGAGCTCCTTTCTATGGTTTGCCCAATGGTCCCGCTTACAGCATCGGGGTATATAGTGTAGGGATAGTACTCTTGCCCACAGCAAAGCGACACAATGGAGCTAATTTCTGGGACAGATGCCTTGTTTTCAGTTTCTCCCCACATGGTTCCTAGATTTGGATAATATCGTCAGAAGAAAATTCGGCGTATGGGAAAGGAATGTATGAAATACCCGGTCGCCATTTCATCAGGAACCATTGAAAGAGTCTTGTTTCGAGATGAACTTTCGAAATTGCGGGATTCTCTCTTCGGCGTCTAACTATTTCATGCCAAAATGCAATAGTGGAGTCGGCGACAAGGGCAGGACCATGTGCCTCGACTTTTGATACAAGGTCATCAATAGAATCTCTAACTTCCGTGAACGCCAAAATATTCTCCGATAGCATGATCCGAAGCAAGTGGCAGGCCGAGCGGCATGCCGAAGGAGAAGTTATATTCCCCATTGCAGTTTTCCACAATTCCAGGTTATTCAATGACTTCACGAGTTCTTTAGAATTCGGATTTGAATAAACACTGTAATGAAACATTAGTAGGAGAACACAAACTATGTATCCTAACGGGCGTGTATACATACACTGCCAAGACGAGCATTGCCCATGATGCGCATCCAGTGTCTTCATTTGAGCACAACCGTGCAATTGTCTCAAGCCCTCTTTCTGCTGTTGCAAGATCAGGAATCCATTTATCGAAATAGAAGCTAAGGACTTGCATCGCCAGAATTCTAGAAGCCTCCTGTGGGTCTTTAAGTTCACGAAGTGTATCGTCCAACTTGGAACCAAGCCTCAGTCGTTTTATGCCAACGCCGCCGATATTATCGATGTCCATGGCTTGGGTATTTTCTTCAAAATCCTGCTGGAGGATGTAAATGATAGACGCCATTAGCTGTGGAATCATCCAGCCATGTTCATTTTGAACTCCCGAAGCCCCGGGGCGAAGTGCGAATGTGGAAGTCCGCAATGGACCGTTTTGAATAGGGTTCGAGGGTAGCAAGCATTCAAATGCAATTTCATTGATCCCCAACAGATTCTTTCTGGGACCGCTCGTATGCCCCGTGGCTATCTTCCCTAGGACTGCTGTAAGATTTCCGCGGAGCACGCTCTCCGAGGGAGATTTTAGCAAGGAGTGTATGTGAGGAAGTCCGAGAATCAGATGGACCACGAGGTGCTCTTTCATCGCAAATGATTTTGTGTTCTCCCAATTTCCAGCAAAATATGCCGTCGTTCGTCTCACGATTTTTGCGGTATACTCCAGGTGGTTAGCTGTCAAAGCCTCGAGTACCGAATTGAGAGTCAGAAGAGCATTGATCTCAGTGGGACGAAGCTCATAGACAATCAAAACGATGTCTACCAGTTGGGGCAAATGATCTCCTTCAACAATGAAGGCCTGTGGCGTCGAAGTTACCGTCTGGAGAAGGTTCAAAATACTAGTACCAATGTTACCAAACCCCTCGTTTCGGTCTTTCGAAGTACCAGGTTTCGGTACATAGCTGCGCTCTTTCTCTATGCGGACTTCAAGATACTGGCAGCAAAGTAGAACTAGTTCGACCCAATCGTCTTTAAGCAGATGTTCGGCGTGAGAGCGGTTCACGAAAAGCGAACTCAAGACTCGAATATATTCCTCAACGACAGAATTGTACTGGTCCTCATGGATCGCTAGCAGCATCTGGGTACAATGCGCTACTAAAGCCTTGACAGCTTTATAATTCAACCGATTGCTGCATTTCTCGACCACCATCCTGATCGTCTCGGTGTAGTCTTCAACTTTGGCAATATTCACCCTGCGAGTCGTGTCTTTGGCTTGTCGGGAGGCCGCAGCCTTTTCAGCTATGGCGGCTTTAAATAAATTTTCGAGCATTTTATTGTATCCCTTCTCTGGGATGCTGTATCTGTAATTGAATAGTAATTAGGAACTTGTCTGCACTTTATTTAACCATACAGATGCTGTAGAACTCACATAAAGTCGGACTTGAGAATCCTATCGCGAAGTTCTGCAAGCCCTTGCGTCAATTCTATTCCAAATAATATACAAACATGAGAAGTACGGACCCTTTGCACCGGCCTGCCTAGCGGTAGACTTATCGGACTGCAGGTCTTCTAGAAATATAAATATCGTCAGCATGGGGTTGCGATACCAGTTGTGGAAAGGTACTTGCCATATATCTTTATTAACTTTGCCTCAGACATCTTGACCAGTTTTAAAGACGCTTATTTGCCTTATACCTCAGGTTTTTAACTGTTTAGCAATAGGCGTGAAGCTAGGGATTTTTTGAATTTGACTGTCAATCGATTATGGATGTAGGTAAATGAATTGTGTTAGACTGTTGGATTTTGGTAAAGGAAACAATGCATTTCATCCGCTTAGACGCTAATAACAAGACTATGGGCGCTGGAAAAGCTAAAAGAGTGATAAGAAAGAGGGTCGATTCTTGGTCTGACGGGGAGGATGGGTTGCAGGTGAAGTGCCAAAGACGTTATTTTATATCGTAGTTCTGATCTGAGGTGCAACTTTGTAGGCGCACCCGCCCACAAGGCCGATAGATCTATAGAGTCCTCTGGGTGTTTCCTTCCACTGAACTGGGATTCAGCACCACGGAATTGGACATGCAAAAACCCTATCCAGCCTGCAAACTAGACGCCTGTTATGGTCAAAAATCACCTGTTTGTTTGGTCTCTGAAACTGGGAATCCGGCGTGGAATTTGATATATAGATCTAATAGCAGTGCAGTGTAGTGCCAACCCAACCTTGCTATTCGTATATTGATACCGTCGTTGAACTGAAGATAACTACCAGTATAAAAGTCAGATATGCTTAGAGCATACAAACGTGTAATTAGGTCGGCTCTAAATAGAACGAAGCAGTTGTGGAATTTCCATAGTCACAGTCAGACAGACAGCGCAGGATTCAGCCAAGTACTTTTTGTTCGAGACGCTGCTGGTTGTGGTTACTGGGGTGCGGCTTTCTAACGACGCGTCTCTCCACCCAAGAAAAAGTTCGGCTGCTTTCGACATCATCCCATCCCAGAACACTCGAGTCGTACCTCCCACCGACATCCCTACGAAGGTCACAAGAACCTCACCTAAATCATACATCCTGTCGCGATATTCTACGGCTCCGAACCGTTACCTCTAAAACCAACCTACGGAAATACGCGCACCAATCGCATACCTCACTCTCAACATCCTGGGCGGCTGTTGGATATAGGGATCATCAACAAGACGTGCAATTGGCGTGCACGAGCACGATCTATTGCATACAAGACGAAAGCATGTCTCTGCCGGCGTGGTTACTATCGGACTTCGAGAGTCTGCACGAAGCGCTGCTTGCAATCGCAGAATCGAACGGTGTTGGGTCCGACACTCTCGATGACTTGTTAAGCCGACATCAAGATGCGCTCAAGCAATTACTTGACCAACGCCCGAGGAACGACGAAAGCAGGAAAAGGTTACAGTCAGGTGAGGATGGACCTGGGTAGAATGTTTTGCAAAGATGAGGGGAAACTAACGGCGGGGATGTGAGTAGGCAAAGTTCAGCTATCTGACGACGAATATGAGGTAAACGAACTTTTCGTCCAAACAACAGTCGAACTGTCAGATGAATTGTCCTTAGACGAATCACTAGCAGCAGAACTCCTTTTACTTGGACAAGAAGAAAGCACTAGCCTAGACCGGGAACCAAAGCAAGCAGCGGTGATTATTTTTCATAGACGCCGGCACTATATCGCAGAATGTATTCGACTTATCCTTTCGTTGTCGTCCGACAACGACGTCGACCCAGAGCTACGGGCTATCCTAAAGCAATCGGCAATGACAATCGCGGGGAGGGGGACGAAGTTTGGCGATAGAATCATCAAGACGATGGCAACTATCCGGGAATGGATCCGACAGCTCGCCGACAAGCATCGACTAGTGGGCTTCCATAACATCCCAAGTGTGGCGGAGATCAGAGATGTAATAGTCCTGCAGGCGAATGCGTTATCACAGCAGCATCAGGCCCTCGCCCTATCATTGACTTCTCTGATCCGACTAGAACAATGCGGCATCCCCGAACTGGATTCCATAGTGGCTGGATTGAAATCGCAAAAAGAATATGATGTTCTTCTCATCCATCAAATACCACCCTTTCTAGCCATAGTTTCCTTTGTGCTGTCACCCAGTACAAAAAGCACCGTCACTGAGCTCAAACAGAAACATGCAGAGTTCGTAAGATCAAGCAAAGACGACCGCTGGGACCTCCAATACGTCCATGCTGCTGTTCATCTGTCCTGGTTTACGGAGATGAACGGCCTCGCTAGAGATGCTCCTCCTACACTCCCCATCCAAATCAACTACCAAAAAGACATTCACGAACCTTCGAAGCTAGTTCTGTCTGATGGAGGGTTGGATTTTATGATGGCTATTGCTGCAGATACAAACCCTGCAACTCAAGCAGAGGCTTCGAGGGAAGAATTTAGACGATTTTTGCAGACAAAGACGCCTATACAGACTAGTGAAATGGTTGGGCTTTTGTCTGACTTTCGGATAGCTCTTACTGCCCAGCTTGAAAATTTCATGGACAGTTTCATCAGCAACATGGCGGATATTTTGAAAGAAATCAAAAATATCGAAGAAGAAGATCATATGATTCAACGGGAAAGTGCATATAATCTGGAGAGATTCTTCATGTTTATAGGGTTTTTATTCCGGAACCGGCCAGACGCCGGCATGACCTTTTGGGGTGACCGGGAAAGCAACCTGTATGGTTTCCTAACGTGGGCATCTCAACGTCAGACACCCGCAATGGCCAGTGCCTACTGCGATATGCTTTCTTCCCTAGCTTTCGGCCCCGACAGCGCACAGATGGCGGACCAGTTCCTAACTGAGGATACGACGATCCAGAGCCACAAAGCTAAGCGGCCGCAACAGGTTTCCTGGGATTTTATATTCCAGTCGCTTCAATATTACGTAACGCAATTACGGCCGCGCATCGAACCCCCCCCCCCTGCCATAGGGTACCGTGGCATGCCCCCTCCAGTAGAGCCCGCGGAGCTTGATGAAGACAGCATAAGGGTTATTGATTCATATCTCCGTCTCATCACTCAAATCATCACGTTCAACGATTCTGCCAGGGACAGGATATTCGAGAATGCGACAGCTCAGTTAATACCTACCTTAATGGAAATGTTGGATTCGCCACTTCCCGGAAGCTTAATCGCATCTATATTCAATACCATCGCTGGTTTCTGTCTCGCTAAGTCCGAGAACGACAATATACAGTTGTGGGACGCCGTTGACAGATGGATTATGGTCCCCCCACCCAACGCTGGGCCAGGGATGCCAGCCCTTAGGACAAAACCCAATGGCTACATGACATTCCTCAAATCTGAAGTTGTCACCACGACATTTGCGTCAGCCTTGGCCTTTGTTAAGCTTATGACGGCTTTGATACGCCCCACCGACCCAAACCTGACGGACGTTCTTCCCTTTCCAGAAAATCTGGGGAGTACAAACAGGCTCCCTGGCATCGATTTTTACGTGGATAGCATTGTCGAAATGTTAATTGAAGCAGACAAACAACTCTCCGACAATGAGACGCTTTTACTCCAGACAGCATGTCTAGATTTCATTTTGACCGCCCTGCTATCATTCGATGACCAGCTTATCGTCATAGCCAATACATCCTCCATCGCAGTTGACTCTGTGATGAAAACCACTGACCTCGCTACTTACGTCAAGCTACATCCGTTCTCAAGATTGATGGATCATCTTTTTAGCGAGGGAGTCCTAGGTACTCTCTTCTCGATTGTCCGCAAAGGAGTGGATGCTGTGGCGGCGGCGGAAGGTACAAAGGAAGACTCACCTCTTATCCAAAGCATTTTAATGGCCATCCAGATTATGACGATTATAATGGATAAGGAGCACACATTTCTCGAGGTGGTACGGCCACAACTGTGGAAAGACGACAATGCTCCTCGCAGGAGTGTGGCAAATACAGCACTGGCGTCTTTTGAGACGGCTGTTCTTTATCACCTCTCCATCATCGTCCATCTAGGCCTCTTAGGCGGGATGGAGTATTCGAGGCTAGCTGTAACGTCACTAAAACTTCTGACCACTTTAGCCGCATCAACTACAGTAACAAGCACACCAACCTCGCATTTCAGCAGAACTAGTGGCAAGAACCGGTTGCTCACCATTACTGACTCTGAAGGAGAGTCAAGGAGGATAGCTTTCGGGTTCATAAACGCCTTAGAGAAGAGGATTGACCCTAGCACAGCTGTAGAGGGGCAGTTGCACCCTGATATAATTGTGAAGCTTGAAATTCTTTCATTTTTGAATACTTGCTTAGCATCAACACCCGACAAGCCGACTCTTGCTCATTTAATCCTTGGCTTCTCAATCAATGATAATCGGGTTGATATCAGCGAGGAGCCGAGCGGTATTGGCTCCGGTACCTCGGTTTTCCACTCTGTCCTTAATATCGCCAGCTCTTGGGAAGAAAGGGATGAACAGGGAACAATCTTTGATGGTGAACTTATGGTGTTGAAACGAGCGGCGTTGACAGTTCTCCATTTCCTCTGGAAATCGAAGTTAACTTACTCGGATACTCTTTACATTCTCAGAGAGAACAAATTCTTCTTCGCTCAGTTTTCCCAAGAAGCGGTCATCAATAATTCGACTATGTGGGATGGTTTTCCGTTCACTGCCCCGGACTTCTTCTTCAATACATCTGTGGACTGCTGCCGTGCTTACATCGACTCACGGACGTACATTCTGGACTACCTAGCTCTAGAGCTACGCCAAATGTCGCTTCTCGGAGCATCGAGCTCGCTCAATGCGTATTACCTTTGTCTTATGGGGGTTACAGACGCTTTTGATGTGAGGTTAAACCACGCAAGTCTCCTTGACTATCTCGATTTCCTCGAATTCGATGTGGAGGGTGCTTTCGCCGCCCCCGACTTAATGCACTTTGGAGGTTTAAACTTTTCGCCATATTTAAGGAGCGCTGCGGGGCAAGAGGTTGAACAATATAATATCGATAATGTTAGATCAATGCTTCAACTCCGGAAATTAGAGTTGAAGAAAACCGGGCAGTTTGGAGGAGACGCCGAGGAGCTTATGGATATCGAGACCGAGCAAGTTGCAGTATATCTTCAGCAGGACAACAACTTCCGACAATTCAAGGTTTCAAGAACTTTGTGCCTACAGCACTGGTGTAGACTTGTCATTGCCCTTCTCGAAACCTCCCTCTCAGACCCCAACACCAAGTCTTCCTACATCATGCAGGCTTTGCAGACGGTTATTCCCAAGCTTGAACAGCACTGCGGCAACGACGAACGGATAACAGCTGAATTGACTGTAGTAGCACAATCGCTCATCTCCAATCTTGACTTCGAATCAATAAATTTAGGTCGAGAAAGAGGGGCTGATGTTGCCCACGACCGTCTTTACCAACTTTTCCGCCTCGCATTACGGGGCGCCCAATCGCCTATAGCAAGTTCTAAGATTCGCGAGGACTTTTATGATATCCTATGTAGATACCTCAATGGTATGGCAGGGTTGTCATCCCAGTTGTCCATCCTCAATCGCCGTAGTCTACAGACCATTCGTGGAAGCGGCGAGCGATTCCTTGAGATCTTGTGTAACGACGCATATGTTGGGGCCGGCACTTGCAAATTGCTTGCCTTGAATCTACTAGACGCACTTGTTTGCCTAAGCCAGGAGGAGGAATCTACCTATATCATTGACGTCTTACGAAGGCAAAACCTGATTGTGGTACTTGTGCAATCTCTCAAGAGTCTCGACCAGGAGGCGCTGCAGGTTACTGATGGTATGCTATCTCCCACCCTTCATGTGAGCACATTGCAGTTTTCTAACTAGCGATTAGGTGGCCAATCTTTTATGACGCTCGTTAAAGCCATCACCGGGCTTCTGTTGCGACTCTCTCGAACGAAGCTTGGAGCCGGTATGGTACTTAGCTCCGGTTACTTCATGATTCTCAAAGAATGCGGACTGTTCACAATTGATCCTGACATCGGTATTGGTAAGGCTGTCCCCATTCCTATAGATTAAATCCTTACATCAATTAACTTATTACTTCGGGAATAGCTTTTATGGGTGGCAAAAACATTTCTAGTTACTACGATTTATTATTATCTTTCGTCCGGGTCCTTGTCTCCTGCTTGATCTGCAAGGGTCTCTATAATAAATCGGACCTTATACAGACGCAAAGATTCTTGGCCGATAACAGAATATTAGTGTCGTCGATACTAAAACGAAACGCTAATATTGGAGGTGTGCTACCGAACGCGGGCGATATGGGGCCCCTCGTTGATATGTTTGTGGTTTTGTACTCTATGGTTGATGCTGCCGCCGAGGTATGTAGTTTGAAGACGATCCTTTGATGATTCCGGTACTAACAATATTTATAGGCATGATTCACGTCAACTGTCCTTGCATTTAACTATTTTTCCCCCTTGTCCTTTCCTTCAATTTCTATGGCATTGGCGCGCGCGATCCTGCGTAAAGCGGTGCTAAGAATCCCAATACATGAATCTTCATTAGCGAGTTTAAATGTTTTCTTTCTTAGACGGAGTTGAAAGTTCCTCCAAGACGGCATTATGTTGACCGACAGCATATTTGTATCATGTAATATAGTCACAAATAGTCTTTCGAAACTTCTTTTATCATGGATAATGACCATCTACCTAAGCACCATACAAGCCTTAAATCTATCCTTCTGACAAAAGAAAGAAACGGCAGTATACTCCACAGCAATACTGGTGCATTTTTGTTTACGAGGCAAACTACCAGGTGCTCTGTAACACCCATTGATCAAGTATTAATATATGTTCCTCATTTCTCTCAACAGAACACATCGTCGCCGTGGAGGCTCCATGCCCTGTAAACCCCGATTTTTCCGTAGAAAAACGCGAGGAGATACGTGAAAGGTATTCCATCTCATCTATGTGTCCACACTCCAATTCCTGGTGCTGTAATTAAGTCGAAATGAAGCTCTAGCATATGTATAGATGATAAAATCTTTTTGAGATGGAGAGAAAAAGAGAAAAGAAAGAAATTTTGTCAAGGAAAAGTTTGGTGAATTTAAAGGCCATAATGTCTTGGCATGCGGACAAACATGAGGTGTTGCTGTATCGCGGGACACACAGCTCCCAAACTTCACATGGACACCCCTTCGAATTCACCGTCGAAATTCACACAGGACAATTTGAGAAACTATGGTAGGCCGTTCATTCTTGTGATTTTTACATTTATATGAAATCAGCATGCTGTGTTATAGTGTTATGATTCTAATAATTACAAATCATCCAGCCTCCGAAGAAACGAACTCCAGCTGGTCCTCCGCCCAAGAAGAAGCCCAGAGTCAAGCTAGCTCAAAACCTCAGTCTCACTGCGGAGGAGGAAAAAGAAGTGCGTGCTGCCTTTGGATACTTCACAGATCCTGAAGAATTAGGGAACGATGTGATTTTATCCAAAAACCTGAAAAAGGTCTTTAGGTGAGATTTCATCTCGTCTTAACCAGATATAAATATACAAGAACGAAGCTAAAGAGTTCATGTAGCGCGTTGGGCTTCAGTCTTTCTACTGGTGAAGTCAGAGATATTCTAAAGTCAATAGACCCAGATGATGAAGGGTTTATCACATATGAGCTATTCCTTGAGGTTGCAGCAATGAAGATCAAGGATCGTGATAAGAAAGAAGAAGTGGAAAAAGCGTTCTCACTATTCACTGGCGGTGACGACGAAGGTCCCATTACTCTACAGCATTTGAGGAAAGTCGCGAAGGTCCTCAATGAAAACGTAAGCGACGATACATTGAGGGAGATGTTAAGAGAGGCATCAGCCAGCGGTGGAATGGATGTCGACAAGTGAGTCGTAACTTTATCATCTAACTTGACGGGTGTGGACCGCATCAACTAACGTTATGACGGCTTAAAGGAGGGACTTCGAAGATGTCATGAGGAGGGCCGGTATCTTATGAACGGCATTCATTTCGTCGCCGATTCCTCATAAACTTCTCTGGTTGTGAAGACATTGATATCGATATAATAACTATCTACTACGGGCATTAATGAGAGGTATGGACCGAACAACGTGTGACAGCCGTTACCATCGAATTCTTTGAACCCGTTCCTGCTGCTTCTCATTCCACGGCTCCAGGGCCCGACCCTTTGACCTCAATGAAACTCCCCCAAGACCTTCCCTCTGTTGTGACTACGACATCATTTGGTTCGGGTTGGCGTGGGTGCCATGCTAGCGTGGGTCGTAGCGCACCTGCCGGATGAGATTTAGACCGGGTGCTGTGCAGGACGCCAATGCCGTTGCCCCTTTGCCCATGCAGGTGCAGAAATCGAGAGCGTGCAGAACGAGAACCCAATATGACAGGCAGATAATGCATGTCCGTCGGGGCTACATACTGCGTGCATGGAGTTTTTCAGTGAGCCCGATAGGCTGGTGGGAAATAGGAGGTCGTCGAGACACAACACTACGGTCACTGCCACCACTGTTTTATCTGTCTGCTAAATACGACTACATCGAAAGAACATCACCAGAATATCAGTGCAATAAAAAGAAGAGGAAAAGGCCACAACATTTAATTACAACTTCAACTTCACCTCCAAATTCAACATAACCCCAGGAATCCAACCGTGAAGAGCCCCCTCAGCTTGCGTGTATCCAAGCATCCCTGACTTTTGATCGTACAGCCTGGACGCCACTTACGCCAGACTATATCTTCTCTCCATCTTCCTTATCTCCCTGTGCCGTATGCATTTGGAGAACTCGATCATTCCTCCTTTTGCCATCTCTTCGCCCATTCTTCAGACTACATCTCGAGATTAGGACTGCATACTCGTTCTCGAAATAAAATACAATAAAAATCCAATTTGAAGGCCCGTACGTTCGGTCCGCATGCGGGCCATCTCTGTTCGCGAACAGGAATACTAAGCTACCCACCTCCCTCGTTTCAACTTGTCCAATATTGTTCCACCCCCAGCTGCTGCATCTGGAAAACACTCTCTCCCAGGCACACCATCGCCTGGTGAGCACGCACGGTGTTTAAGCCACCCACAGCACCACAATGACGACCTTCAATAACCTTCCAGTCCCTCTCCCTCCAAGGACTCCAACCCCTCCCACACCCCTTCCTGAAGAGCCTTTCGTAGACGACGACGGGTACGACCAAAACTCACTCACACCGACCCCGAGTAGACTTTCCTGGACATCGGCCGACTTTCAGGGAATCAATATCCAGGCTTCCTCTACGCCCCCTCAAACTCCCTCTTATTCGTACGCTCCGTCGCCAACAAGGTTCAACGGAACTCCAACTTTCTCACCCATACGACAATCCAGAATGAACGGCTATTCCAATGGAGGGTCTAACTCCTCGACGACCACCTTGACAACTACGGTCAATGGGACATCCACGCCGCCCACGCGCTCGCCATTCAATTTCAAACAAGTAGTCATGGCGCCACCGACGAACCCTGGATCGATGAACCAGCAAGCAGTAAGTTCTAGACTCAGATATTAGCAAGAACTTTATCAAATTATAGTTCAAGCTTTGACCTAACCTTGTGTTACAATCTCTCAATAGAATCAACGTCGTGGACATCGATACAAACGGTCGAGTATGAGCCATCAGATCTTTACTGAGCCGAAACCTCGAGCTCCACTCGCAGTCCCACTATCCCTACCGATCCCAACAATCAAAGAATGGCGACAGAGCATGACGAAAGAACAGAAGATCCGGTTAGGGTGGGGATTCGTCCATTTCGGGATTGCAGTCTTTTGCGCTTGGAAAGGACATGGCTCGTTAGCTATGACGGCTTTGTCGCATTTGGTGATATATGATGCAGTTTCGGCTGCTTTGTGTGTCGTTGTTGATGTCTTGAGTAATTTTGATGTCTGGAGTAGAAGTAGTATTAGACATCCGTTCGGGTATGACTTTCTATCCGGCGCCGAGCAAAGGGAATGCGAAATGTTTAACAGGAGTGTGTGGACTGACAGCATTTTATTATGATAGGTTACAACGAGCTGAGGTTCTCATTGGCTTTGCCATGTCGGTCCTGCTACTCTTCATGGGATTCGATTTAATCCAACACGCTGCTCAGGATCTTGTCGCTGGATTCCAAGGAGACGAGGATCACGAAGGACATGGCCACTCCCACGGCGGTCACGGCCACCATAGACATCAACGAGTCCCCAACGGCACCATCGATACCCATGCCCTCCTTGTGATCGGAGCAACACTCGTTTCTGGAATCGGTTTAAAAAATCATGTTCGTATTGGGAAAGGTGAGATAAGATCTAAACCTATTGATCTCCACGATAAAAACTAACATCGTTATATAGCTCTCCGATTCGCATATATCTCAAATCTGCCTTCCATACTCAGCAACCCATCCCATTTCCTCACATTATCGTGCTCGGGACTTCTTTTCCTACTCCCGCTACTCTCCGTCACCATGTACGCCTGGGTTGATAGGACGCTATCCTTGACAATTGCTGTGTCAATGATCATACTTGGATTGAGACTTGTCAAGATCCTAGGCAGCATGCTCCTCATGCGATATGGTGGCGAGGGAGTACCAGAGGTCATTAAAGCGGTAAGTTACATATATTCCTTCGTTCGTTCATATATTATATCCTAAAATATGGGATGCTAATGAAACAATTTCATAAAGATCGAGCAGGACTCGGCCGTAACTACAATCGAAGAAGCCTCATTCTGGCAAGTTCACTACAGCCTCTGCATGGCTAATCTCAAACTCCACGTCCATCTCTCAGACGCCTCGACCGAGGTTAAGATCCGAGAAAGAATCAGCAGACTCATCAAAGACCGCCTAGGTGGAGTCTATGGAAGAGGTAAACGGACCTGGGATGTGACGATTGAGATTGTCCCATCTAGTTAAAAATTTCCTTTTTGTTTGGACTTTTTTTTCTCTCTTTTTCCCCCTTCCTCTTTTTGATGTATTATCATCTTAGATAATGTTGACGGCCATCAGGAAGGCCGTTTTTAAATCGGAATAGAGGGAAATGTGTAATGCAAGTTCTGTTTTATGCCCCTCCAGAAATATCCTGTACATATATATGCGCTACACCATTCCCGCTTTCCTTTTGAGATGCATTATTGAGCTCGTTGACACGTTATGGATCATTACAATTTTTTTGCTCTGCTCTGCATACACGGGGGTCATGGATCATTTTATTTATTTATTAGCATCGGTCTTTTTTTATACAAGTTTTATTCGGTAGATAGACTTCTTTGTCTGTCGGTCTAATTCTCCCTTTTTTCTTTTCTTTTTTTTTTTGATTTTGTGAAGTTTCGATACACCACAGAGCCATGACTGTTTTTGTTTCTGGGACAAGATCTGCTTGTAAAACCACTGTTCATGAACCTAAGGGAGGACCTGGGGTCCTTTGTATGCGATCGATAATGTTTAAACTCTGCTGCATTATGTTACTACTACTACTACTACTACTACTACTACTACTACTACTACTACTACTACTACTACTACTACTACTACTACTACTACTCTTTCGGCAATTGATACAAGGTAGCTAGATTTATAGAATGTAATAGAGTTCATTGTCTCATACGTCTCGTGTGAATCCATCTGATTTGGGAATTTCTTCTTAAAGCAAAATTTTTAATTTTGACATCGAGTTCATGTAATGTATTTGCATTAGGTAGTCTCGTACGTATTCAGACGGTGTGCTTTGTATTGCAAGAATGGAAAAAAGACACGGACGCAACGCAGAATCGCATACTGAATTAACGTTTTTTTCTTTAAAAAAAAAAATGCAATGAACAGGAAAATTGAAAATAAAGCAGGAAAGGAAGGAAGGCGTATTACGAAGCCAGTAAGCAGAGTAGTTATCCTCAAAGTAAAAAGAATGAATCAATGAAATGAAGCACAAACCAAAGAAGCTAACACCTGAAAGAATACATTTTATCTATTTCTTTCTCTTTTGTAAAAGAAAACCCCCCCCTCTACCCGGAAGAATGGTGAAGTTTCTCCTTAATCCTTTGCGACAATCCTTTCTTTTCGGTATGAGAATGATAATCGGAGTTGTCAGTGGTGGCGGTGGTGGTGGTGTTATCAGTGGTGGTGGTGTCGGCAGTGATGTTTTCATTACCATCCGGAGTCTCGGATGCGGATTTGGAACTTGATACTGATAGACGTTTGTTTTGGTGGCTTCCGTGGCCGCCGAAGCCGCTGTGGTCGACACCGTACCCTGTAATATCGTATTTTTGTTAGATTTCTACTTTTTATATGTATCGGTTGAATCATTTCAAGACTTACATTTCTTTTCCTTCTTTGGTTCACCAGAGTCACCTTTACTGTCTCCGTGGGTGATACCCTTCTCGTCCATCAATCTAGCAGCTTCACGGGCAGCTCCAGGGCGCTATAGTACATTATATTCTTGTTAGCTATCTTCTAAAAATCTAATTTTACGATAACAATGAACTTGAGGGTTTGAACTTACAGTGGCATCGAAATCCCCACCTTCGGCTGCCAAACCAGTACTCTTCTCATATTTGGTCCCAGTGCCTTCTCCCTTGCTCTCATTCTCCGAGTCCGGTAACTTCATACCCCCTGGACCTCCAGCTCCACCACCCATTGATCCGCCGCTAGCACCAGAGACATTGCTATCGCCGCTACCGGTTAAAGGGGTATCTGGTTCAGCGGTGGGTTTGCTACCACCTTGATGTTGATGGGTGTCCTGCTGAGCTGATGAAGGGTCGGCATTGACGCTTGGTTGTGCACCAGCCGAGCCACCGAAGCCGGTATTGGGTTCGTTTGATGAGCCTTAATAGTCGTCCCATAATCATCAGTACATCTTCTTTAAGTCTTTTGATCTATGATGGATAGAAATTTACATACTGAAGGGATTTTGATTTGTACCCCTATTATCACCGGTAACATTTGCGCCCTGTGGTTGTCCACCGGTAGAAATGGGACCTTGGGGACGTTTATTGGTATCGATATCATGATCTTGACCGGGTTGGTAGGCACCTTCGGCGTCTGGATCAGATTCTAGACGGCCGTTGGATCTTGTTTCTGTGATTTTGTCATCGATCATGGATTTGTGGATTTCGGAGTGGTTTCCGTGACCTTTGACGGTGGTGCCGTTGATATTGGTGTTATTGTTTGTGGTTGTGGCAGTATCGTCGCCCCAGATGGTCTCCTTGAGGGCTGCGGTGGCTTGGTTGATTGTTTCCATTTTGACAGGACCTTTTTTTCTTTCAGTTTTTTTTTTTCAAATTTAATTTAATTTAATTAATTGTATTACTGGTATACTATGAAGGTGGTATTAGTGATTGTAGATGAGGAGGTGGAAGAAGGGTGTGCATTTGGATGGTGATGGTGGTGGTGATATCACTTTCAACAACCAGAATATATATATATATAGATAAAATATTGATTGAGAAAAAGGGTTCAGTACCTTGTATGCTAAGTTTCTTGGTACAAAAGCTTGTCGGATATCGATCTTTATAACAATAATACGGATAACGGAATTGTATTTGATTTCCAAAGGGAAAAGGCAGGCAGTTCACGTCGGGGTGTTCTATATATATACTAAAACTAATGCCTTGGTCGGTTTCGGCACAGACTTGTTTATTCCATGGCATCGATTTCAACCATGATCAAATGACTTCACCGGTTTCGAACCTTTAGGATGTTTCTTTTTACGTATGTATGTACTTACCTAAGTACTTTACTTACTTCGGCACTCTGTCACTAGTATACTTGTAATACAAAGTACCCATGTATGCACAATATGGAGATATGGACCCCTCACACGAAAAGATCTGGAACCTTTCTTGGAGATCGAAATCATGGAAGATTCGCAACGGGCTAATGCAATGTACATATACATCCATGACATGCATCCTATAGGAAGTTTTATACCATACCAATCATATTCCGGGTTTCCGGCCTCGTGGGATTCGTTCTGATATCGATCCGTCCATATTATATACTTAACTTACTTGGCCGAGTCTTCGAGTAACACTTCACAAGATTCTTGGACTTTCTGATCTATCGTATCACAATTTAAAGCTGGAGTCGTACCAATTCATCAGATATCTACTCTCTTTCCATTATAAATAAGTACTTACTTAATTAAAGTACTTACGAGGTATACACATTTTAATATCGAACGAATGTCCGAAGGTTCGAATCGGGCGTGTTGTGAAGGGTGTTGTGAAGGGACGTCATCCGGCTGCAATTGTGACATCATTCGCTTGTTTAGCTTCAGAATCGTAACCGAACATCGACTAAATTCGCCACGCCGGCAGCTTAGTGGCTCGTACTATACTTTTGTTTTATAACTGTATAAATTTATAAAGATGATGTCGGTGAAGATGATGGTGCATCCAAGAATGAATCAAGGTCGTTCAAGGAAGGGGGAGAGAAGTACTTCTGTATGTATGTATGTATGTATGTATGTATGTATGTATGTATGTATGTATGTATGCATGCTATGTACTTGGATGCAATGCAAACCTGCAGGTCTGCAGCATGCACCAATCGTGTCAGTCAGTCAGCCTCCAGCTTGTCCCGCCGCTATCTGATGACAAGACTCGACTCGAGGGATAATATTCGAAGAATGTATGTATGCGCCATGAAATGCCATGAAATGCGCTGTTGACAAGCTTCGACAGTCCGAAACAATAGAAGGCTTGTTATAATGACTAAGTAAAGTATCCTTCGCAGCCCGCTTGGCCAATTTGCCCGTTTGAGCGACGCCGCTCGGATCCCGGCAGCTGTCTCTGTCTCTCCTATTCTTCTTTGTATTCTCAGCCCGCGCCTGCTTATGATAACTCTCATTATTATACACACGCACGCATATGCACACCTCAACCTGACTCCGCCGTCTTCTGTCGCTCCCATTCGCTCGCTGTCGTCCAACCACCCTCCATCCTCCCCCTCTCCCTTTCTCTCACTCACTCCCTCTGTCTCTCTCTATATCTCTGGTCTTCTCTTTATTCCTTTCTTTCTTTGTTTCTTTCTTTCAATTTAACATCGGGTACAATATAGTAGTATCTCGATGATTGTTCACTCGTTACCATCCCACCCCGACCGTCATCACCTCAATCCAACATGATGACCTCCAGCGGAAGATATCACCATAAGACCTCCCGTTCTGCAGAAGAGGAGTCTGACCCAATCAGTCCCATCAGTCGTGTGAGCACAGCTGAAGGTTTCGGTAATCGTCAAAAACCCGGTGCGCCCGGAGAAGTTCGTATCTCCTTCGATAATGGCAGGAGTTCCATCCTTCCGGGCGACGATGACAGCGACACCACATCAACGGGTTCGGGTCGCCGAAGAGCCTTCCGCCGTCGCGGGAAACGCATGACCGCTTCTCGAAACTATCATAACCCGACGAAGATCATCGGCGCCGAACCTGGGATCTCTGCTACTCAGGAAATCGACTTGGAACTATACGCCCGGTGTGGAATCACTTGTGTGGATTATGGCATGGACGATATGATCACTACTGAATTGATCAATGAGACACTCCCGGAGTTTCTAGCTCGACCGCGACCTAAGTGGGCGACTGTCAGATGGATTAATGTCAATGGACTGTCCTGGGATGTTATCAAATGCCTTGGCCAGTACAAAGCTCTCCACCGTCTGGCAATCGAGGACATTATGAATACCCACTCTCGCTCAAAGACGGATTGGTATTCAGACCACGCCCTCGTAGTCATGACGCTGCAGAAACTCGTCCATCTCGATACCACCGAAGAAGAACATAAGAAACAGAAAGGCAATTGGTTTCAAAGTTTGTTCGACGTACCGGATGTAGTGGATAGCGATGACGATTCGTTCCCGGAAGTGCAGGGCCACAGCGACGGAACCGAGACCAAAACCATCCAAACGCTTCAAAGGTACCACGGAGGACCGAATTACGAACGCATACTCTTTATGGAGAAGAACTCTAGTCTCGCGCAGAAGGACTACGCCGTGGCTGTGGAGCAGTGCTCTATATTCTTATGCGACGACAATACCGTCATTAGCTTCTTTGAAAGTTCCGCTGACGATATCGAACCACCAATAATGGCTCGTTTATCGTCCACCAATACCCTGCTGCGCAGTTCCTGCGATGGTAGTATGGTCGTTCAAGCCATCATAGACGCCATCGTCGATCTTTGCTTCCCCGTAATCCATGCATACCAGGATACAATCGGCGAGCTAGAGCTTAGCGTCCTAACGGACACATCCCTCCATGATACCCAGAGGTTATACATCCTAACCAGCGAACTGGCGCTTTTGAAAACGACAATCCAGCCGCTGACGGGGATCATCAATGCTCTTCGTGATCACAAGAGGGATCCTACTAAGAAAGGAAATAACTCCATGAGTCAATTGACATCCGTAGGAATCTCGCCCATTGCGCATACTTACCTTGGCGACGTGCAAGATCACACTATCGTTTTGTTGGAAACAGTGGAAACAATGAAGAGGTCAGCTGATAATCTTACGTACGTTATCCTAATTCCATTCCATCTCCCTTTTGGTTCCAAGGGGGGGTTTGTCCGTACTAACCTGAAAACAAAAGCGACTATATCTTCAATACCGTGGGTAATCTACAAAATGAGAATATGAGACAGTTGACTATTGTCACGATATTTTTCCTGCCGTTGACCTTCTTAACTGTAAGTGTGCTCCCTCTAGGTAAGAGATTATGCACTGGATAAGATAGCTTATGTTGTTCGAAAAGGGTTATTTTGGGATGAATTTCACCGAGTTTAAAGGAATCGAAAGGTCGGATGCGTGAGTACTATCCAAAATAAACGAGTGTCTGTAATTCGAAAAACCAGTGCCATTGATTCTAACTGGGTGTCGTATAGTTTCTTTTGGTACCTTGCCGTGCCAATCGGTGTAACAACCATGCTAGCATTATTGTCAGCTATTCCCATATTCACTACCCTCCCATGTGCATCTATATAGATACTAACCTCCAAAATAGAAACGGCCCACTCGTCCGCCAGATCATAAAACTTTTCCGCCGCCGTCAGATTAGTAAGGTCCGGAGGCTTCGAGAAAGGCAGGAACGCAAGGAACGCCCCCGATTGAGATTGAATGCCACCCGACGTTTGACCTTTGGCCCTAGGAAAGCTAAAGACAAGTCCTCGACCAAGCAGGCCAACGGTGATATGACAATACCTGAAGAGCCACCCATGCCATCGGGGAGTGAGACGATTGCAAGAGATATGGCTTTCAATGATGGGAGTGAAAGAATTACAATTGAGCCTTGAGTTCTTTGTGGGGGGTTATACGTTATAGATATAAACTTTGTCTCTTTCTTTCTTTCTTTCTTACTACACGGCGTAGTCAGGACTACGTTTTTGATGAATTCCTCCCTGTTATCCGTTATCTTTATTCAAGGCAATGTCACATTCGTTTCCAAGCTAAAAGTCTGTCGTTTTTTTCATTCTTTTTTTCAACAAAAAGATTTATATCGACTTAGACTACTACTGCTGTTAATTTTGATTATAAAAACCAGCGGGGTTTTTGGAGATCAAATGTGTAAATTATAAAAATCGAGCGATTTATTTATTTACTGGTATCCTTTTTTTTCTTTTCTCTTTTTTATCTATTGTTCACAGGCCAGTCTATCTTACCTGCCCCCAGCGTGGACCGTCTACAACCGTAACACCGTCTCTCCTTCAACCCTTCCTCGCCCTCCGGCGGCTCGAGGCAGTATATCCTCGCATCCGCATCGCCCACAATACCGTCATTACCATTACCACCACTACTGCTACCCTCCCCACCCTCAACATCATCTCTAACCACATTCCTAAGCTTCCTAACTCTAGGATCTTCATCCATCGGCAACCCACAAATCTCACAAAGCCCCAACCTTTCGACCCTATCCCTATCATCCGCAAACTCCAACTTTGCAGCAGTCTTTACAACGTTAGTAGACAAATGGGCGTTAGAAACATCATCGAAGAATTTCAGCATTATTTCGTCTATGGTCTGGTTTTTGGCCTTGATGGGTGGCTTTTGTGGGGATGTTGCGGTTTCCTGGGAGATTATTGAGTAGGGCCAGAGGGAGATGAAGGTTGTGTAGGATATTATTTCTGATTTTGAGAGTTCGCGGAAAGGGCGGACGATTTTCGCAGAGCCTTTTGTGGGAGGGAGGGTTAATATATTGGTTTTGTTTGATGAGCTGGTTCTGGGAGTGGTATATGTTGATGTTTTTTGAAGGCTTTAGAAGGAGAGTATCTTAGGTTGACTTAGATACTACCAAAGCGTACAAAAAGTATTTCCGTATACTATTACCACAGAAGCTAGGATGAAAAAGAAAAAAGAAGAAGGAGAGAGTGGCGTACCATATGGTGTTGGACCATCTGATATCAGCCACGGCAGCGCATGCCCACGGCCTTTCGTGACCTCTGCTAACACCATAGCGGCCATCTTTGTCATCGAATCGGCAAAGAATATGGCTTCACAATCCCTCTGTTTTGCGAGTTCGATGATCAATCTTGTTCGGAGGATGTTTATTAGATCCATCTGTGAGGCTCTGGAGTTGAGAGATGAGAGGAGGGTGCGGAGTTTTGATCGTGGTGGTTGCGATTCTGATGTCGACGATGTTGTGCTTGGGTCGATTGATAGTTCTGATGTTGTGGATATTATTTCATCGACTGGAGTAGTAGATCCTGAGATTGTGTATATTTCTTCCAATGGGACTTTTATAAATTCAAATTGTGTGTATCTTTCTTTTAATTTTTCGAGACATTGGTCTGTTGTTATTGTATTTGCATCTGTGGAGGAGGTGTTTGTAGAAGTATCTCCTGTGACGGCGGTTTCGTCGATATGTACGACGTAAACATCGTATTCCGATCTCCTCGCTCTTTCGACTTGTAAAGCTCTATGCCAGTGTAATGTATCTAATAGAACGGTGGAAGATACGCCTAGTGAAGTTGCTAGTAACAATTTCTTTGTGGTTTGGGAGTGTTTTTTGACACGGTAGGGTTCCATGTGGCGGGTGAATTTTGTGCGGACGTAGATTTGGAAACAGTCTCTATGATTTCCGTTTGTAAGTATATATATACATAGTCACTTTGTATACTTTGTTAATCTATACAAGAGATATAGAAATGTAGAAAATGGTGAATGGTGGGGGGTTTGATGGTGGGGTTCCTTTACCGACAGAGAGCTTCGTGCCGCATGGTTATCTCTGGTGGGTTGAGGTTGCAGCGTTTGCAGAGGTTTTGTGCGGCCTTTTTGGGGAGTTTGGCGATATCCGCCATTGTTACTTCGAATTCCATGATGATGGATAAGATGTCGGATTGATATTAGAAGCTAGATAATGTCCTTTTTTGTAGTTAAGTAGGTCGATGGTTGGCGATGTAGAATAGATGAAGAGAAGAGAAGAGAAAGTGGGATGAAGCTAGCTAAAGTAGAAAGTTGAGCTTGGATGAATCACAAACTCAGAAATTTCATTGGCTGCCGTTTGGGCAACGCAGGTTTTGGAGGCAGTTTGTTGGATATAAAAGACACTACCGTACCATACCATTGCATTCGTTTGAGGCACAAGGTTGATATTATATTCCTGTTCATTCAAATGGAAGTACTTACATATATCTTCTCTGATGAGATCTATCTGACAGAAGTTATTTCATTTACAGTCGAAGCGACCCATATTATAATCAATGGGAGCGGTTAGTATTATAATGAGTACTGACTAGAGAACCCTTTGGCCGTTGTGTATCTTTTGGCAGTCTTCTTCTTCTTCTTCTTCTTCTTCTTCTTCTTGATTTATATTATTCTATTCTATTCTATTTTATTTTATTTTTATAATTATTAAAAAAGATAAAATGAATGAAATGGATACTCGTCCTTAACTATTCAAGTATCAGATATTTTGAAGTTATCATTAATCCAGGCTGGTCGAGTGCCAATTCGCTAAATTTGCCCAGACCGGCACCCACCCAAAAGCCAAACGACCATCGCGTCGACTAAACTGCATCCACCTCACTCACACTCCTCCAAAAACCCGCGAACGCACACTCACACTCACACTCACGCACTCTCATCAACATCCACAACGGGCCCGCTTCAACAAACCTCAATTCGACCCTCCCCGAAGGACCTCTCCGTTACATCATCGCCTTTTCAATAACCTACATTCGATCCTTCCTCCGACACAATGGGTTCCATCGGTATTCCGCTAAAGCTGCTGGGCGAGTCGCAGGTTAGTCATCTCACACGAGCTTGAAGAAAAACAGCTATACAGGTGGCTAATCAATTCATAATAGGGCCACGTCGTCACCCTCGAACTCACGTCCGGCCAGGTCTATAGAGGGAAGCTGCTCGAAGGTACCCTGCCTCCCTCCCCTATACTATCCTACCCCGTTATCGAGAAGGAGAAAAGAAGAAGAAAAAAAATACTAATTATGGAATTCTTGAGGGAAACAACAGCCGAAGATAATATGAACGTTCAGTTAAAAGATATCACCGTCACTGCCCGTGATGGTCGTGTATCGCATTTGGATCAGGTCTATATTCGTGGATCGCATGTACGATTCTTTATCGTGCCGGATATGTTAAGGTGCGTCTGTTATTAACCCTTTTAAAAGCAAGGTTTTTGGTTTTGGCTAACATATAGTTTTTGTTAGAAATGCCCCAATGTTCCGATCGAGAGCGGTTCGTGGACGTGGTGTCGGTATGGCCAGAGGAAGGGCTACAGTTAATAGGGCGAAGACACAGCAGAGACGGGGAGGTGGTGGTGGTGGTGGCGGCGGTGCAAACTAAAAGTCCGTATATTTTTTTCTGATACGGGGAAATATACTGTCAGGCAAAGAAACTCCTATCGGTTGATAACTACATGAACAAGTTTTTTTCCAAGCGGTCATGTATTAAGATTGATACCTACGTTCGGTGGGAAAAAAACAAGCTAGTGGAGAAGATGAATCAAAAGAGAAATTGATACGTTGTGGTGTGTATTCTAGAATGGGACGATATTCACAATAGATATACTTCTCAAGAAGTCTTATATATAATTCTATTCTCTCTCATCGTATGCGTCCGAGATGGTGTTTTATCCATTTCGAACTAAATGTTGAAGTCCATGTTCATCATTGATCCTCTGTCGCCCTCTGTCGCATGGGAATACGAATATCACCCGCCAAGTAACAGCTTACTTAGCTCACACAGCTCCCCTGCCGCGGCTATCACCATCCACCTTCGCCAGCTCCGAATTCTTCAACCTCTACATAAACACCCCCCACCAAAAACTCTCCAGCCAACGATGCCCGAACGAAGAATCCTCCTCGTCGGAAGACGGGACTCGGAAATCCTCCAATTCCTTGAAGGTCCGTATATCATACCCCCCCCCCCCACCAACTCCTAGCTTTTACTAACATATTTCATATACAGCCCTCACCGGTTCCCTCCCCTCCCACCAAACCGCAGATTCCCACGCAGGATTAACCCACTCCCTCACACTGAAAACCCAATACTACACCTCCACAATCCCCATCTGGATCGATGAAATCCTATCCCCGACAGAATGGTCGACAGCCTACTCCTCCCCGGAAGCCAAAGAAGTACGACAAGTCCTCGGTGCGATAATATATTGTTTCAAAAAACCCACCTCTGATTCCGAAATATCCGACAGTATCAAAGAAGATATGAAGGGATTGGAAAAAGTTGTCAAGGCTTGCGGGTATAGTTGGGATGGAGTTTGTTTGGCGGTTACGATGCCTCATAGTATTCAACCGCAGGTTGAAAAGGCGGCCGAGGAGTGGGAGGAGTTTATGATGGATTTTGGGTTTGAGTTTGTGGACTTTGAGTCGAAGGGGAGGAATGATTATGGAGGTAATTTTTCCTTTTCGCCTACCTTACCCACTTATGATATGGAATATTTCTTTTTCATATAAAAATAGAGGGTTTGAAGGGGAAATTGGAGATGCTAACAGATGGCTATTTGGCGGGTGTGTGTGTGTATAGAACCTACTGGCATGGAAAGATTAAAGGAAGCCTTGGAAGCCAACGATTGGAACGCTCCACTATCATTCGGACTCGACGACCTAGACGACGATGAACTCGACGAACTAGCAGGAGAAGATCCAGTCGACCAAGATGGAAATGTGAGAAATGGGTTAAAACTCGAAGCCAACGAAATGGAACAAGAAATGTTCGGTCTCCATCAAGCCATCTTAGAGGAAACGGGTGAAGGTGACGACGACGATGACGACGAAGAAATACAAGTTGAGAACCTGGAGGCTGCTATGCAGAGGTTACAGACTGTCAAAGGTATATATATCTTGTTATCCCTTCTAAATTCAAGGAAGAGATCTATCTATCATTTACCCCCTCCCCTTCTACTTGTTTCTTTCGGGACCCTTCTATGGTTTAAAGTCTAGTTTTTATTAACAATTGTATACCCTGCATTAGATATGGTCGCAGAGCTCCCCGACGACCAAAAACGAGTCTTCGCAGCCAAAGCCGTCGCCGAAGTCATGAAAACCCTCTAGAACCCCTAAAGAAAAAGAGTCGACGAGCAATCCAGCTTTCTTCTAAGCTAACACACACACACGCGCACACACCCAGAGAGAGAAATATATCCACATTACAACCACCACCACCACCAAACCACATAATGGACCACCAATTCCCACCTTCAAAAAGGAAAAGAGAAGAGAGAAGAAGAAAAGCCCCCGCCTTTAATTCCTCATCGGCTTCTTCCCTCTCATCATCTTCCTCCTCTGATGCATCATATGCGTATACATCACATATGCACCGGGCACATAACTCCCATAAAGCACCGCTTTCTCAACCAAAGCCACAACGCCACTAACCCCCTCCAACTCCCCGAGACTTCCATAAATCTCCCAAGCTTCACTTAATATCCCCACCGGGTACAATATGAAAAAAGTATTATACCTCATGGTGGTAAGCCAGGCTGGCGGTTCTCCTTGGAGGTTTCGAGCATAATAGGTGTATCGGATTACTTCGGTGATCGACCAGGCAAGGAGCATGGTCGAGTAGGCTGTGGAGGTACGCATGGATTCGGGACAGAGGTGGAGGATCGGCCAGACGAGGTTTAGACGGGAGGCGACTTGGACTACGGTTGTTGTTAGGGGGGTGCGGACTATGCCTGTATTATATCCGCAAAAAAATAGATTAGTATCATCGTCGTCATCGATTATCATCATATAGCTTCATGGAGTAGTAGTAATGTATAGTGTTTAATAGTAAAAAAACAAATATTCAAGGGGAGAAGGAAAACACTTTTTTTTATATATCTAGAAGCTTATAAAAATGGAAGAAATAGGGAAAGGAAGTAAAAATTACCAGCAAGAGCATGCACGATCTCCATCGTCGCCAAAGTCTGTGTCCATTTCGTATACTCTCCAACACCTTCATACACCTTCTCGGGTCCTTCCCGGATGTTGATCAGTATCGTGCGAACGAGGACTACGGCCCATAATGCGGAGGATAAAGTGTTATAAGCGACTAGATAGTTGGCTTTGAGCTTAAGCTCTTGTCGTTGCTTTGCTGGGGGCCGGGAGGCCATTGTATCTTTTTTTGTTGTATTAGGATTATGTATTAAAGATTATTATTATTGTTATCGTGATTGCTGCTGATAGTTGACTGTAGAGATGGGTTTTGGAAGTCAGGAAGTACGTAGTATGCTGTGATATCGCGATTGGGCGGGTTGGGAAGGTTTGGTTGGTTGGTTGGTTGGCTGGTTGGTTGGCTGGTTAGTTGGAAGGTGTATGTCGATAGAGGGTTAACGTCGGTCGATATCAGCTTAAATTCCCTTCCTTAAGCTTCCTTCTCGCAAGTCAATACAAAAGTCGGCCCGTTGATGAATAGACAAGATCCTCCAGAAGCTTCAAAGATTAGATCAATTGAAATCAAAAAAAAAGGAATGAATGATATCGAATCGAAACACAGTATAATCTATACGCATCAGTATATGTAAGTACCGACTTTTTTTTCTCCCCTTCACTAGTTTCGTTGGGGCGCGCGGCTTTCAACCGAAAATGCAGAACCGTCCACGAAATGCCCAAATTGGCAAGCACCCACATGCTCCCGAGGCCCTTGAGCTTGCTTGCTTGACTTGACAGCTCGCCTGGTCGAAATACACCACGTAGTTCGAAAGAAATCAATAGAAATGGACCGGCCAATGGATCACTGGTATCTAATTTATATCGTTCATTCATTGGTTCTTCTGTGTCTCTCCCCTCCTTCGTCCTCGTCATCTCTCACTAATTCACCGACTCTTCGGTTTTCAGAGGCTTAAAAAACAACCTCACGATCACGGTAAAAAAAAAAAAAGGAACAGAGACGCTAACAAATCAGGAAACAAAAGGAAAGAATTAATACAGTAGAAGGAATGGGTATAAATAAACGCATAAAAGCAGACCAGCGTCAGTCAAAATAGCAGAGGAAGCGGAATATCAGAAAACGCCACGCGATAATGATTACCCTTCACCCATATGAAGAATAAGTAAAGAAAAACCTCCCTGAGAAAGAAACGCCACTTCATGAAGCCCTGAGGTGAGATGGGAAAGAGAAGAATAAAGAGAAAAGGAGAAAGGAAAGTGGAGAGGGGGTGATAAAAGTGCCTGATGTTGTAAAATAAACCGGGATAGTTTCAATCGGGGATTCCAGCAGAAAATTGTTGCGAGCAATTGCATGTAAGTAAGAAGGAAATGAAGGAAATCATAGGCGAGAGAAGAGGGGGGAGTATGTCGAAAACGTTTGGGTGATCCCTTAATCATGGGTATAGTTCCCAGACAAACTTCTTCCCGGTAGTGGCTTGTTTACACCCGTCGATGGCGCAAGAAGGGTACTTGCGTTTTCTCCCTTTTTGGGCTCGAGGTTGACTGAGCATAGCATTTGCACATTCGCCGCAGTAGCACTATATCGAAAATCGAATTGTCAGTATAATCTACTCCCCTAAATACCAAGGGAGGGATATACAACTTACATGGCCACACTTCATTACCCAGATCTGTTTCTTGATGTCATCGTCAGAGTCCCCCAACTCTTGGTCACACATGGAACATCCAATTGCATCCTCGGACTTTGGAGATCTTGTGAACCCTTTTCGAGCCTCCTTGATAGGTGGGTCTTTGCTGTGAACCTGTCCAGTTATTTCGACTTCGTTTTGTGCGGCAAATCCAGGGAGTTGAAACCAATCCAAGTCCCGCCCGGGAGCCTGGAAGAGACCGTTCCTGAGAGGGAAGTTCGGGATATCTGGAGGGTCCCTATGTGGGGCGAGAGGGGCCAAGGGGGCCAGGTGAGAAGCACGATTCTGGGAACCGGCACCGAAGAATCCCAGACGGTGGAAAGGCATGCTGATGTCCCGAACCATCTCTAATATCGAAAGACCTGCGCTAGCTACACCTCCAATGTTAGGCCTAAGTCGTCCAAAAGGGGCGAAGAGTAAATCGTCCAGTGGGGGCTCGTCTGGTGGCGCACCTGCTCTATTGGCGTGATGGTGATGATGGTGATGATCATGGTGGTGATGATGATTATGCTCGTGGCGCGGTGGTTGGAATGGGTCCCTTGAAGGTTGTCGCACTCTGGGCCGGTCGAAGTTTACTTCGATATCGTGAGCCGAAATCTCCTGGTATAAAATCCGTCCAGGTCGTCGCTCCTCGCGGGGATTATCATTTTGGCGAACAGGTGGCGGATCCGGAATTGCGTCAAGATCAATAACTTCAGCATCAGGAGGTCGACTAGCAGGAGTACGGCGGTAACTATCCCTATCCCTTTCTAGCTCTCGTTCTTGTTCCCGTTCTTGTTCCCTGTCTGGATATCTGCCACGACGATCTCTGGCATTATAGGGTGTATGTCGGCGACTAAAACGACCAGGTAGAGTGGTTGCTCGAAGAGGCGGCGAAGGTGATGTAGTCAAGTCGATGATTTCAGGTTGGGGGATCTCTTCGTGGCGGCTGCCTACTAACCCACGTCGTGGTCGACTCATCCTTCCCGCTTGAAAATACGTTCGAGGTTCTGATTTGTTGAAGTTGTTGGAGATTCAGGTGGCAACTACGGTGCTGTAGCGGGGAGCGAGGTATGGTTGAAGTTGGCTGGAGTATGAGGTGAGAGAGAAGAAGAAGAAGAAGAGAGAGGGGAGCAAAGGGTTAAATATGCCAGAGAAATTGCTAGCGTCAAGTTAGTCCAGGCTCCCAGAAAGTGATAATTTTCGAGCACTGTTGGAGGGTATGTATCTACCTAAGTACCCAGCTGTTGGTTGACCTCCTGACAAGTTTCCGTTGCTCAGGCCTGTACCTCCTAAACACCGTCAGGCTAAAAAAAACACTGGAGCTTTTAACTCGAGGTTGATTACTGTCTCATTGAATGTATCGCATGACAGGCGCTTTGCAGGCAAATGGTAATATCGAAGGGTCTGGAAGTGTAGGTAATGGTGTCGTCGAGTAGGTTCAGTGTAGGTGAGGAAGAGGAGGGGGGTTTTCGATTGGACGCTGCGCAGTTTGACCTGAGGTTTTTCACTTTCCAGTTTCCGGAATTAATAGTCCCTACCAGAAACAACAAAACAATTAATTCAATCGAGAGGAGATAGGGACGAGTGGGAATCTACAACGTCAATGGTAAGGTTCTGGTGTCCAAGTGGGAAGGATAAGATGGTAATGTTGATACCAACGTTGTTTGTTGATGCTCAGAGCGAGTCGAGCTGAGTCGAACTGAGTTGAGTTGGGTTGAGGTGGTCGTGAGTCGTGGAGATGCAGTGGATGGAGAAACCAGGATGGCTGTCCGTAACTGTTCAGATGAGGCTTAGTAATCGGCCGAGACTTGGTGGCCAATTCCGTGCCAAGAGCTAGACAAAATGGGATCCGGGTTGCGAAATGGGAATAAGTTTATCTCCTCCTCTTCCTCAGAGATCGACAGAAGATATATATAAAAAAAACATGTTGGGGAGGAAGTAACGTGATTTATTATAGTACATTGCATGACAGCTTGATAATGGAAACAAGGGTCCTCGAATTCTAAATCAAAAAGAAAAGGTCCTGATCATGATCACCAACATCAAGGTGATTGTCCCTTCGTAACGGGCTCTCAATTTCCACCCCCAAGCACCGTAATAGTTCCTTCACTCGATAGAGTGACCAAGGATTCCGCTCTCGCACCCCATGCTACAGCAACTGCTGGGACGGCGCTTTGCAATGGCACGGACCAACTCTTCGATGCCTTCGAATAATGTTGGACTGTAACTCCTTGAGCACCACCTGTCGCGAGGTATTGTCCAGTATAATCCCATGCGATAGATTCAACCACCGAGCCAATCTCAAGGGCCTTGGTCATTTGGCCCTTCCTCAAATCCCAAAGAGATACAGTATTATCCCCCTTGCATGCAACTGCTAGCCAGAATCCATTCTCGGAGAATTTGAGCGACTTAACAGGTCCTCCCAACGGCTCGAACTTAGCCAGCACCTTGTTCTCCCTTGTATCGAAGACTTCAACTGTTGCATTCTGTGTACCTGCTCCAAGCAAGTGACCATCAGGATGGAAATGCGCACTTGTGAGAGCTGTAGTTCTTCGTGTTAGCATCTTTCGTGCCTGGCGTTTGTTATATATATCGGAGTTTATAAGGACTTACCGGAATCAGTGTAAACTTGTGAGACAGCCTTGCTGGCTGCAAGATCATAGAGAACATAGCTCTTGTCAACACCAACCGACCCAAGTAGGCCCCCGCTTGGGTGTGCGCAAATACCGCTAACTTTGCCTGCGTGTCGCTCAAACGATATGCTCTCATTGCCACTTTCCTCCCATAATCTTACGACACCAGATGCAGACGCAGTAATAGGTCGAGCGCCCCACCAGGCCGCGTCAGTGATTGCGCCATCCTGGGAAGGCAGAACCCGCGACAGATTACCTTCCGAGAGAGAATATACTCCAGAAACACCATCGACACCTCCAACCAAAGCTAGATCCTGCGATGCATTCAAAGATATCGAGGCCCCTCCAGGGTACAAAGGCTCAGAAGACGATACGGATGTGAAAGAACCGATTGTATCAGGGACGGCCCAGTCAGCAGGTACAGGTCGTTTACGACGGCCGGCGGAAAGCCTGTATACACAATTAGCACCAAACCTGTCTTTTTCGGATCATAACAACTTACTCGGTATGCGTAGCACTGATTCTCTCAACAACATCCTCGGGGACATCGTTGCTGTCGACTTGCATCTCATCCCCACCAGGCGCTGCTACAACCCCGCTAGCAGTCACCTTGGACAGGGCATCCCTCGCCTCGTCGCGTTCCTTGATCAAGCGTCCAATAACTCTTACAGCTGCATCATGCTGATATAGCGCTGTACTTAGCTCCTGACGCGTCTGGGCAAGTTGTTGTCGGAGGGTATACGTTTCTAAAGCCAATGCATCCCATTCATTCTGGAAAACGGAAAGTAGAGATGGTATCGAGGTGATTGTGGGAGGTCGAGGGCGGACAGTTCGGCTTGCTATAGCACAAACAAATGGTGAGTTTACATGGGTTTCACATAATCTCGTGACTGTTAGCTAGGACGTACTTTTCAGGTCGACGAGGTCCTCGAGTTTGAGCTCTTCGCCTGTTACAGGATCTTTGCCATGTTCTTGGATGTATTGTTCTATTAATCGCTTTTCGAAGACGTGGCCTAGTAAATTATTCATTAGGTTCGAGAACTGGAAACCTGATCCTGTTTGGTTGAAGACTCACCACTCTTCGACGAGATGGCAGGAGTTTGTGGCGTTTCGCCGGAGACTATACAATATTATATGTCAGCCAGGTGTTACATTTGACTACGGGAGGAATGTTCGGCATACTTGCGCACAGCATGGTGATTCAATTGGTGTGAGTGGAAATATCGTGAATATGGAGGTGGAGGATGGAGATGAATTCGAGGTGATGGTGCTGGTCGTGTTTTTTTGCAGGGATCCGGACTGGGCTGGCTCGCACAACGCACCTAGCAAGCCTGCAACCTTCAGTAGCAGCTTCTCGCGAGACTCTTCACTGGCAAGGTACCTAGAAGTATATATAAAGAAGTATACATACATCTAGATAATCCGAATTACGTACATTAAAACCGTCGTTTTTACACTCAAAATAATCTATAGTCTTTCTTTGCTCTGAGTGGTCTTTTCGATATTTTAAACCTTGGGTAGTTGGAATTCGAAAATTAAGCAACCTTCAGGCCGAAAGCCTAACAGACCACACACGCAACCTCGACATTATGTTAAAGATAGCTGTTTTAGTTTTTCGATTCCTACAGAACAATAAAAGATTGAGATTGGCAAGTTGCATTTTGTCATACGTACTTAAGTAGGTTATATATAAGTACATACTGAGCTTCGAACGGGGGGAAGCGACGATATTCCATCAAGTCACAATTAAATTCAAAGGCTCTTTATATAATATTACTTTAGTCCGTTCCTAATCATAATATCACGATCCAAATATGACTTGTGCAGGGAGCCTGAAAACGCCTGATTACGGCCCCAAAGGTGCTGTGGCGTCTAAGTCCAGTCTATGGCGTCCGATTCCTCGGAAGCGATGTCCTTCTCCTTATTGTCTCGTCGCTAGGCTCCTCAGCTATATACTCCCTTCATGAGCTAGTAAGCCCATAAAGATATATCTATTTGAAATGATCGATGGGTCAGCATCCAGAGCCGAGTGGATGCAATGACCTCTAGTTATACAGAACTCTGGCCGGGTCAGCGCCGCTGAGTCCGATCCTAAAGACTCGACTGGGCGAAACTAAAGCCTTTGGATACCATTTATCGAGGAAAGCCCGGAACCATATGAGTTATCATTCAGTCGTCGCCAAACGATAGCTTGACCTTTTGCTTTGGTCGGGGCTTCTTCTTTTTCGGTGCTTCGTCCCCCTTGTCCTTTCTGTCGGCTTTCTTGGCCTCGTCGTCTGAAGCTTCCGCCCCGACAACCTTCGCGATCTTCCGTTTTTGTGTTTTAACGCCTATCTCGAGAACCGAATCCTTTGATTTTTCATTCTTAGTCCGCTTTGATTTATCCTCGAGGTCTCCTTTGGATAATTTGTCTGGGTCAGCCTCCTGCCCTTCCTCTTCTTCTGAAGACTTGGCCTTTGCAGCTGTTTCCTCTTTCAAGGCGTCGAATTCTTTCCCAGATAAAGTTGTATTGTCTTCGAGAACGTAGACAGGTTCATCTTCTTCTTCTTCCTCAGGGTTGCGCTGCTTCTTCGGTCTATTCAACGGGCGTTCTTGATACACCCCAGCTGTCTGTGCTCTCAGTCGCTGTAGAAAGGCTGGTTCCTTCGATTCTGTTATTTTTTAATAAAAAAGTCAATTCAGTATTCAGGACATATATTTTCTTTCCATTTACAAATTCAGTATATGCATCAATATTGAGACACCAAACGTACCGTAACTTAAATTCTTATGAGCCATAATTTGCGCAATGGTGAGAGAATATAAATGTGATTTTCTAAATCAGCCTGGGTAGGTAGACAGGCAGGCGTTTAGCCCTGGACGTAGAAGTAAGTTCTTCGAACTGAAATCAAGCTCTTAAAACAAAGATGCGCAAGTTGGACACAGATTCCGGAAGTTGCCTTTCAGGGCCACACCCGCTAGACAACTTTCGACGACCACTTTAAGTAGGTTTCAGGGACACCGCCTTCCAAACGGAGGTGTCTACCCGACGGTACAGAGGGTGTGACCCGTGCAAGGGGGGTGTGTGTGGGAGATTTCTGGACTGTAGTGGAGTGCAGGTCAGTGTGGAACTGTGTTCCAGGTTTCAGGTTTCAGGGCGACAGAAAAGCATAAAAAAAATTTAAGAACAAAAAAAATTCTTTCGCCACATGGCCATAGACGAGTTATCGAGAGTTCGAAGCCAGAATGTCGGGGATTGGGATTCTGTTTCATCCACAGGCTTATTTCAAGCGACCAAATGAGAAGGTTGAACTGGCTGATGGTGGTGGCCGTGCATGCAGTGCAGACATGCTTGGGTAGTATACGCACAGTGCGGTGTAGTACGTACCTATCCCACCATAAGACACCACCACCACCACCAATGCCCTCGCTCGGAGTTCCAATTTAGATTCACAAGCGGATTTCTTGGTGTTCTTAGTTTCGTTTTATTTTTTTTTTTTAATTAATATAATATTGCCCTGCTTGCCCAGGTACATTTACATATAGGTACAGTTACATACATCGTATTGCCCCGTAGCATGAACCAGAGTATGAGCATGAGCATTAGCCATTGTCCTTGACCAAGCATCAGCATTCACTACTTCGTTCTCATCCCCCCATTCATCTTTCCTCTTACTCCTCTTCCTTACTCAATTCGCCCGTCGACGACAGCCTCTTCAAATCTCTTACCCCCTGTAGACTCCTATGTCTATACATCTATCGATTCTGCAGTATATTATAATATAAAGCTGTATCCTGTGGTGGCCGCCATCCCCTTATCTACAGACACACGCGTTGGACGGATTCCATGTTCTAGCCCGTTTTTCGGCTCTCCTTCTCAAACGTGCTTTGCGATATCCCCTACTATCCGCTCGAAAGCTTCCACTACCCCGTCGGTTCTTCATCCATTTCGACTTTTACTCGATCTCCTTCCTATCAATCTGGTTCATATCATCGGTATCTTGGTTTTCATCTAATTTGTTAGCTTTTCAAAATCCTCATTCGCCTTTTTTTTCCCCTCCCGTCTAGCTTCGCCAACGTGGACTCGATAACCGTCTCCCCTTTATAGCGGATCCGGCCCCCTCTGGGGCTCCATATCTGTCTGCGCTTCCACCACGCCATCATGGCTGCCGACAATCTCATAGGCAGGAGAAGAGGCTTCCTGGACTTCATCCCGTTTCGCAAGCTTCAACCATACGGCAAAGGGTTCTTCTCGAAGCGGATTCGCCTCAATGCTGGTTCAACTGTTACAATACCCCTGGCCGTAGTTGTAGCTTTCCCAGTTCTCATCATCATCGTCATCTTGGTGCTAGTAAGCCTACATTCTGATTCTCCGGGTGTAATTCAAAATCTACCTTTGATCAACAGGGAGCCTGGGATTTTGTAAGTTTTTTCTCCTTTCCTTAGAGTTTTTTCTTCTCTCTTTTTTTTTTTAAGGTCCCTTCATGCGAGTGTCGTATGCCCAACGCGTTTCGGAAAAAAAGTTGGATGGGCAGCGTGAACACAGCTAATTATAGATACCTTTTCACTATAACTACAGAAAAATCAACGAAACGTACGATAAGCCATTCGTAACGGGCTGCTTAGAACCAGCCGTCGATCTTCCGAGAGCAAATGCAGCGTTTGTCGTTCTGGCAAGAAATAAGGAACTGGATGGTGTAATCCAGTCTATGAAGTCGATCGAACGCCATTTCAACCATTGGTTCCACTATCCTTATGTCTTCCTCAACGATGGGGAGTTTAATGAATCCTTTAAAGCCACGGTGAAGAAATATGCGAGCTCAGAGGTGGAATTCGGACAGATCGATTCTAGCATGTGGGGTTTTCCGGACTGGGTAAACCATGATGATGCAAAGGAAGCCATCGCAAAGCAGGGTGATCGGGTAATCATGTATGGTGGCATGGAGAGCTACCATCACATGTGTAGATTTTACTCAGGGTAAGCCTCCTGCGTCAAGGAAAAAAGATAAATGATTGGTCTGGGGATGCTTGATAGCTAACTCTAAATCCGGGTGGCAGATTCTTCTATAAGCATCCTCTCCTCGAGAAATACAAGTGGTACTGGCGATTGGAGCCGGATATCAAGTACTTCTGCGATATCACCTAGTAAGTTCGACAATTTAGCACCAAAATTAAGAGCCCTCGGAACTAGCTAACAGTTTATAGTGACCCATTTGTTCACATGGAACGACATAACAAGACTTACGGATACACAATTGCTGTTAAGGAGCTGAAGGAAACGGTCCCGAATCTATTCAGATACGCCACGGCATACAAACGGCTCAATAAAATTCCTACAACTGGCCTCTGGGACATGTTCGCTGATCAAGCTGAGCCGCCGAAAGAGGAACCCGAAAAATCCGACGATGCTACCGAGGACCTCCCGAAAACTTCACCTCGAAAACCACTGCCTGATATCGACGGTGAAAATATGGAAGGCGAGAAGTATAAGTTAGTATAAATCTTTTGGTATAGGGTCTCGAGCAAAGCTAACTGGGAGGCTTAGCATGTGTCATTTCTGGAGTAACTTTGAGATCGCAAGACTTGACTTCTTCAGGAGCAAAGAGTACGAAGACTTCTTCCAAATGATGGATAAATCAGGTGGTTTTTGGACAGAACGGGTAAGCTACCTGAAAACGCGAATATTTTCGATGATTGAAAGTTAATTATTGTATAGTGGGGAGACGCACCGATTCATTCATTGGCTGCTGGAATCTTATTAGACACCAAAGATATCCACTACTTCCGCGACATCGGCTACCGACATACTACTATCCAACATTGTCCCGCGAACGCTCCTGGAAAACAATTAACACGCAAACCATTCTTTCACACGGAAGACATGCAACGAAATAAACGACTCGCGAAAGAGGATGATGCATACTGGGCTAACTACGACACACCGAAGCACAATGGTGTTGGATGCCACTGCCGCTGCGATACCGATATCGAAGACGTTGAAGGCAAACCCGGTAGCTGCACACCTGAATGGGTTAAAGTTGCGGGAGGTTGGCTACCGGAATAATGATGCAATTTTCAACTCCTTCCTACCAGTTGCTAAATTGCATTTTTTTTCCCCTCCGCTGACTTACTCTCAGCGCATTACATACGTACAGATAATGTTTGTTATTACCCGTTTCTAATGACACTTTTCCTTTTAACATACATATATCGGACTTTAGCCATGGTATTTATAGCTTGTTTCTTTTGAGGCATTGGAGTTTTTTTTGTCCCTTCCTCCTACCCCCCTTCACCATTCTGGCGAACCGTCCATGCGCATGCGGGCATCTCTAGCTGAACTTTTCATTTCTCTTTCCTCCATGTGGCTTTTATTCATAAATGTACATAATATAAATTCTTCGGTTTGGCTATGCGGCTTCCTTTCTCCTTTCGTATCATGAGACCGCCTAATTTCTTCTTTTCTCTTTCTTTTTTTATTTTCTATATATTTTTTTTCTATATATTTTTGTGAGGCCTTCGCAACCTATTGACTTCGTTCTTTAAACCAACCAACCACCGACATGACCCCGGCTGCCCTCTTTCAGTATGAATATTCTTCTTTTTTCTTTTCTTTTTACGTGTAAAGTTTTAAACATAGGCAAAGATACTTTGCATCCTGTTATCCTTAGAGGTCTGTAGCGTTGGAGAATAACCTAACTACTACCTAAGCTTAGGTACTAGGTTCTAGTTAAACCTATTCATAATACATTACAGCTCGAGCTCTCGTATATAATAGTTTTTTTTTTTTTTTAAAAAAAAAAAAAAGACTTAGCCTCGAACCTAGAAATGACGCCGCGCCGGCTGGCTGCCAGGTTCTAAGCTGTGTATGCATATGAATGTACATACACGAATACGAGGTCCCTTTACTATAGATTTACTGATATATACTTGGACGGATGCAGCTATACGTTTCACATTTAGTTAGAATGCAACCGCACACCTCTCTTCCCTACCCTCCTCCCTCCCTCCCCCATGTGGATTACTTCCGCTCCCGTGGTATGGCATGTTCCGTTTGTATTAGTCTATGCCACATGTTAAGGGTAGATATTAATGTTATAGGTATAAGTAAAAGTTGATGATTGGTTGGTTAATTTTTTCCTTCTGTCAATTGAGGCCTTTATTGCGTGAAATTGGAGACTGGGGTGGTGAGACGAGGGAAAATACAACATCTACAACGCAGGTTTTTGGGTAGCTGATATATATAACTTATTTGGTCATGGCTTATCTCGTAAACCAGTGGCTCGTTTTCGACGTGTCGGTGATTATTAAATTTAAATAGGGTGAGAAGAGGTATTTGGATAGTCTCGTAACTAAGTATTTGGAATGGAGTATAAGCTATATATGCGTATATGGCATTAGGATAAGTATATTTGAATCTGGTCTGGGTACGATTTAGTCATCGATTTCTCTTTAAATTTTCTCTGAATATGTAAAGTATCGACTCTGGCTAATCTCCGAGAGTCTGTAGCTTCTAGCTATTAACCCGCACTTCGGGGGTATAAAGTATGAGGATCTACACCATTGTAGTTCGTATGCGTAAGCCATTTTCGAAGCCCGGTCGAAGATATTATGTATTAATACAATTTCCCCCAAACAAAAAAAAAAAAAATACAGAAAACGAAAGTCCCAAACTTCAAATCGTAGACCGCATTGTACAAAAAAAACCAAACGACAAAATTTGGAAAAGATCCCAAAAAAGATAGCAGAAGGCCCCGCGATCGCTAGAATAAATCATTACTACCGCTATAAACTCATGATAATTTTTTCTCTCATAGAAAATCCTCGGTTTAAAAAAAATAAAAGGATTGAAAGAGGAAAAGCCAAAAAAAAAAAAGAAATACCATTTTATCTTTCAAACTACTTTGCTTCATCCGCGCTGCCTCTGGCAACAGGTAACTCCCCATAATGCGCCGCAGAAAGCTCATAAACCGTCGTAGGTTGCATTAACCGCTGCGATTGCGCTGTCTCGTGGTCTGGATACGATCCTCCCAACTCTGCTGGCGGCGGGGGAAACATGTGGGATGGCTTCCTCCTCGCAAACGGCCAGAATATTCGTTTCTTTTCTGGATCAGTAGGATCTGTGGCTGTATGATCCGGTGCTACTGGAGGTGTGGAGGGACGTTTTCTGAAGAACATGTGGCGGATGATTAATGCTGCGATGATTAAGACGGCGATTGTTATACCGACTGCTATTCCGGCTTTTGCGCCGGATGAGAGACCTGATGATGGTTGTGGGGTGGAAGTTGTGGAACTAGAACTTAGTGGAGGGTCGGAGTCTATGCCTCCTGGGCTTGTGGGGTTGCTATTGGTGCCTGTACTTCTGGTTGCACTGGAGGTTGAGAGGGTGCGGATGCGGGTTGAGATTGTGGTTGGAGGGTTTGGAGTACAGTTATCGACGGAGAAGGAGAGGAAGAAGGCACCGATTGAGGTACATTGGTTTTCGCGGATGGCGGTAGGGTCTTCGGTACAATTCTCGTCGCTATAAGCAGATACTATTTGGATAGAAATTGGAATTATATTAATTTATGTTTTTCTTCTTCTTTTGAATAAGAATGTATTTGGGTTTAGAGTTTGGTTGGATTTATAAAGATGTATATAAGCGTATGGAAGGTAACGTTACAGCATTTGATTTTTAAGGGATTAGGGAATTAATTGGAAATTCTATACATACTTGTGCAACCATGGCCGAGAAAGGCTATTGTCAGCGACGAAGCATTTGCTGTTGCGATTTTATGACAAGCCCCGTCCGGTGTACCTGGCTGTCGAGGCCGAGGCCGTTGGACACAATCTTCGTCGGTGTATGCAAAAATCGAACTTTCGTTACTTGTATCCTGTCCAATAGTTGTTCCGGCCAAAAAGAGAAGGGAAAAGACAAGACATAATAGTCTTGATAGTCGGAGGCTTTCGGACTTCATGATGCGTATATATCCCTGACCGTGGTTGATATCGATATTCGCGAATTCGTCTTGGTCTTTTGTCGAATATATATTAATGTAATGGTACCGTATGCCGCTAACCGACGCTTGTCGAATATAATTTCCCTTTCGACCTCCCTTTGTACAAAAACCAACTTCGGCTCTTGTTGGAATCGAAAAAAGCGATATTCGCGCTCTTAAATATTTAAATCGAAGGGTTGGTCAGATCGAATATGGCGTTCTTAGTATTATTGTGAAATCGAGTTAAATATTGAACCAGCTCAAGAGGTTTCCCCACATAGCAAGGCCAAGTGAAACCAGTATATGGACCCGTTTAATACCAATTGTCGTCAATAGCGAGTTCCTCGTAGGGCTCCGTTGTCCTAAGCTAAGATTTCCCCCCGAGACATCCAAAGCGCAAGGGAAGAAAAGAGAGCCGCAGAATTAATTCAATGACAAGGACAATTGTTTATATATATATAGGCTAGGTATATATAGAACTGAGCCCAGCTTGCTGAATTTAATCCCAAAGAGCTCGAGCTTCTAAAGAATGAAAAGAATTGTGGATAAATATAAACGGAACCCCGGTTGTTAAAGCGGTTCTCTCCTACTTAAAGGGTACCAGCGCCAACAAAAGGAAAGAAGAGAAAGAGGGAGAAACAATAGGTATTGGATGAGTGGATGGTGTAAGACGACCAGCCTCTAGTCTAGTTACTGCAAGGAGGGAGCACCCCGGGGTTTAAAGACCAGGGACGGAAACTTGGCTCATTCTTATCTGCACCTACCTTATCTGTCTATGAGAGAAAACAACAACAGAAAGGGCAAGGGAAATTTTCAATTTATGGAATTTCGAATATCAGCCGCATAGGAAGAGGTCAGAAAATAATTTATAAAGTGTTAAAACTATCCAATAATCTACGTGAACCTTGGGATGTTTAGACGTTTGCATGAGTAATCGAAGAATTAATTGTAGACTAAACCTCTGTGTACTGTGTCAGGGTTGGGTCATGGGTGGAGAGAACTGTTGGACAAGGCTTTTCATATGATATTTTTCCTTTCCGGCATCCCATCATCCGTTTCTCTCGACAAATACTCGATTAGTTGCCATTGGGGGGCGACCACAAGGCCGAGGATAAAATGGGGGGGGGCAGCCTGACCACCATTTTAGAAATAAATTCTGTGCTTGCGCCGACTCGACATACTTAGCTGCTGCAGCAGCGATCTTAAGCTTGTTACATGCAGCGCCAGGATTGCAATTGCGATTCCCGTCGTTGGACTTGGCCGGCCGGGAACGCCATAACTCGTCCACCAGGAAGATTCCGCGATATTAATGCATACTTCTGTCACATATAGTGTTCACCCCGCCAATAGTTCTGTTTTTGACTGTGCTTTGACTCCAAAGTCGGAGGACCGACGTACATTTTACCCAGCGGTTGCAGGACGGCCAGGCTTGGGTCCAAGTCGTCGGGTTCGAGTCCTTCTTTTCTGTGAGGGTCGAAAAAGATATACCATGCATTCGCATTTTTTTTCGCCGTGCATGGGAAGCTGCAGATTGTTCAAATGCCAGCGCGTGTTTTTACGGCCCTCCCGGACGGAGTATGTCTGCGCATGGGGTACGAAAATTGTGAGGACCATCCTTGGCTTCTTCAATTTCTTTCTGATGATTCGAAGTATTATGACCCTAGAATCGAATCGTTTATGTTTCCAACGTACCGTGCCAGTGTTAGCCAGCGAGGCTACCTGGGCAGAAAAGCTTGATTCGAGTGATCGAGATCCACATGTTAGTTAGTCGGTACATAGAAATTAAATTAAAAGTTCGCAGTTCGCGAAAAACTTAACCGTATGCCGATTCCGACTCCACAGTTGGTCCGGTCAGCAATTAACCAAAATTGGACCAGGTCGTGTTGGTCAGTGGAGTCGAGTCGGTGAGAGCCTGTAGGCCTGTAGGCAGCTGGTGGATGCTAATGGTCGAGCTCATGACATGACATGACATTGTAAGTACAGAGCACGGATCAATTGCAAGGTCGGGCTAATGCAACAGGAATGAAACACGGACCGACCACCGCAGAGCCGCATTTCACCAGTCATGTCCTTGTATACATCTATTAGATATATAATGCCATGACAAGGCTTAATATTAAAACAGTCGAGAAGGGTTCTGCATAGACGCCTATAGCTAGCTACGGAACCGGGTGTATATTTATAAATAATATATCAATCAAAAACCCTTACCTCTATTATAAGTATATTCTACGGCTGCAGGTTGTATTCGCATGGACGCCAAATATTGGTGACAAAGAAATAGTCCGAAATCCTATCATGCATGTGCATGTTTCGGGCGTCTCATGTCGGTGTTTCATTCGGCCTGTAGATGAGTATACTATTCGAGTACACTCTTGATACAAGATGTATCTACCTATACACTAACTATTTCGGATTCGGAGATCGTTATGCAGGTAGATGTATATTAGATAAATACTAATACTAGTATACTATGAAAAATCTAGAAATTAAAGGATCGCAATGGAGTAGACGTATACTAAGTAAGTATACTCATAAATTTAAGATTTTGGGTGAACTTTAGCAGAGACTGAAAGCATGCAGGTCACGTCACGTCAACAGCCGTTGCATTGTCGAATATTCACTACCTACGTAAGCATCGATTCGGTATCCTTAGCTTGCATGGGATACTTAACTTATGGATGTATCTTCTTGATACACCATTGTTCTCATATTGATTTGTTTCTCCAAAGATATTAATATACTGATCGTATACTATATTTGTACATGTAAGTTAAGTAGAGTGCAAAAACACGCCAAAGCTAGAGCCGTGACCGCGCGAGATCTCCGCATCAAAGGAGGAAGTGGGGTGATAAGCTCAGTACGACAAACTCGATCCGGCGAACTGACAGCCGTTTGCTAGCTGGACCTCTTTAAATTTTTATAATTTATTATCTACTATTATCATCATTAGTTTATAATGGTGTCTAGGATTCTCCTTGAGGTTTCTTTTTTTTTTTTTTTTTTTTTTTTTTTTGTTTTGAAGAGTAGCTAGTAGTACGTAGCCGGACTTGAGCCGGTGAGCCCCGCGTTTTAACACATTCTCGGAGCTTCGAGGCTGCCGTCATTGTCATTGTCATTCTCTTTCACATTCACATTCACATTCACCGTCACAATAATATTAATCACCAGACAGTCTTATCTATTCCTACGAGGCCCGTCGTATCGACATTTACAGTTCATACTTCGATACCCTTGATACCCAACTCAACTAAGATCGTACTCGATATCCTCGAGGGTATAGCTGCTAGTTGTTCCCCGATCTCTGGTAGGTGGTGCTGTCCTGTCCTGCTTCCTTTTACAGGCTGTTGGCCATTCCCGGTTAGACTGCCAGGATCCTCATCAGGTAACGGTCGGGATCCTGTGGTAGCCCTCCATCTGCACTGCACTGTATCTCAGTCGAAGTCCCAGTTTCTCAATCATCGATTTCAAAGACACGAAGCAATCTGCATATTAATTTACTTGCTTAACTGTATTCCTTCTACTTCTCCTTCCCCTTCGTGTTCATACTTTAATCTCATACTATCCACCTTTTTCTTTCGGAGCTTGTAAGCTTAAGCTTGTTCATCAGCCCTGTTTGTCCGCCCGCTACATTTGGTTGCATTGTTTGGCGGGGTATCACTGGCTGTCCCTCTCAAACTATCTCATGGGCGCAAGGCTCAGGGACACTGGCAGCACCTGAACTGAACAAGCTTCAAGATTATTCAGTCATAGCTATCCAAGTAGCTGGCTGTTCTCCATCAATACCTATTTCCGTCCGAACTTTCCACTTAGTAAGCTCCTTTCTGCTTGTCGTGCCTTCCAGCTCCATCCATTTGCCTGTCTGCGTTCTTCTCCCAAACCAGCCTGCGTAGACATTAATACGTACGATGACTCCAGACAAGGCTTCCCAACTAACACTCTGCCAACAACTCCATAGGATCCCCTATTATCCCGCCGAAGTTCTGAGCCGCAGCCAGGACTTCAACCCTTACATCTCGATGTCTAAGAAAAGTCGCAAGATGATTTCCCATCCGGACGATAGTGATGACGGCCTCCTAGGCGAGAGCACTTACGAAATACTGTCAGACCTCTCTATTCCAAGTCACTCGGATGACGACGACGATGACCTCTCGTCCCTCGCCTCCTTAGCTGAAGACACTGCCGATGAAGACGAAGAAGGCGAGGGTGACGAGCAGGAATTCCTTTTCCCAAGTCCTAATTCCGAAGTTCCAAAGGAAAGTCCCAACGAGGATCTTCAGAGCTCGACATATCCCGAGTCTGTTCCTGATGTTCCCGATACCTTCGAGTCTGCCGGTATACCCTCTTATACCGGCTTGGACCAGCACGAGCCTCCTACCGTCCACAATGTCGTCAGTGAGGAATCGCTCAGCGATGTTACCATCCGTTTCGATGAAAAACCCGTGCCCTTGGGACCTCAGTTTACATTAGCTCATGATCTTCAAGAGTTTACCGGAGAAGAGTTTAAGGAAGTCCTGGCTAGTTCCTCTGCTCCCGAGGATGTAAAGAACTTATATTCTCTTCTTCGGTGTTCGTTAGCAGTTGACCCACTCAGCGTCAAGGACACTTTCCGTGTCCTCTACGTCGGTGATGAGTCAGCTAAAGACGAAATCTTCAGGAAAATCGGGGCCGCTTTGGTTGTATCGACGTCCTACGAAAGCCTTGAAGATTCCAAATCTTCGGCCCGATTCAACGTGGTCCCTGTGACATCATTTGGGAACTCTGCCTCGACACCGGACGTCGAACTCGTCGAGTCGTTCGGGTTAGAAATGGCGGTGGATACCTGTGCCTTTGCTTACCCCTCAAACGATGACACGGATCTCGACACATTGTCTCTAGTTATCAAACCAAGGATGCTTGTTCGCTCACGTAAGGCTGGGGCCGGCTACAAGCTCGACAAGTTGGAGGCTCCGGGCTGGAGACTCCCCGATCTTGCCATCTTTTATTGTGAAGCTAGTGATGATGCTCGTCAACGTGCAACTCGATCTTGTGCCCGTTCCTTCCTTTCACGCCACGGCGTCCCTTTCATTTTCATTTCCGATAAGAAGCTTTACAAATCGACCGAAGAATTCGATATCGACTTTCATGCCCTCCATATAGCTATCGAAACGCGTAAGAGGACCGAGGACGGCAAGAGGCTACGAGAAGTTTACAAAGAGCTTCCGGTAGATATGCATAGCTTTATCAATGTTGATGTCCAACAGCTCAGCAGGAATTTGGCAATCATTGTTAAACAGAGGGACGAGGACGAAGACCGTTCAATGGTGAAGAGCATGACGATTTGGGATAAGTTTCAAGAAATCATCGAAGCCTTCGAAGGGAGGACACAAGATCAGGCCTTCAACGTTGGTATTGTTATCGTGGCTGGATTGATACTCAGCACTATCTGCTTGGCCCTCTCTGTTGTCTTCGTTTCTTTCTTGAAACCTTCTAATATTCAGCTGGAAACCTCTACTGCATTGATATCGCCGATTCAAAACTCCCTCACATCGAAGTCTCAAATTTCCACGAGCTTGAGCGTATACACTTCGACATCTACCACAAGCCTTTCTGTAACGAAGAGCAAGTCACCATCTACCACTTCGGCAAAGCTTAAGAGCTCCACATCCTCCCCTCCAAAAGTCTTACCTCGGGTTCCTTCCAGTATCATGACTGCTGGTATCAAATCGTTGAGTGTTACTGACATTCCATCGCTCCCCGCCAATGAGTCAAATGAGTTTGCTATGTATACCATCAGCGACGGTCATATCGTTCTTCGAGCACCCACAAAGTTCGCATCTCTAAGATGGCATCCGAAGTTGATTGTCCACGTCAAGAGAAAGAACCATACCGTCCCGGTTGAGGTTGTTACACTTTTCCGTGGCGTCTATGCCGTCAAGATGGACTTGAGTGAGGCTTGGGGTGTTTTGAACATCACAGTCAAAACGGAGAATAAGCCAATCATCAACCAGTCATTCATCCTCGACCTTGGAAACCCATGGTTGAGCACAATGGCTTGGAAAAGATCAATGCTCGCCACATCTTCAGACTTACGAAAGGCTGTCAACAAGGCATCATCAAAGGCAAACGTTTACGCCCAAAAGATCCAGGAGACCAGCAAGCAGCAAATCAACATCTGCAAGAAGGAGGTGAGGTATTTGCAAACGGAAGCCGTTAAGTTGCAGCAAGAACTTTCCAAGCAGTCCAAGGTTGCAAAGAAGACGGTCGAATCTCAACTCAGGCTTTGGAGGAACGGGTTCGACGATTTGAAAATCGATAATTATTTCGACCGGAAGTCCCTCAAGAAGTATGAAGACCAGCTTAAGCAGCAGGTCAAAAAGGCTCGCAAGAACGCCAGTAGGCTTTGGGTTCGTACCAGAGCCTCTAAGAGAATCGCTAAGAAGCGGGCGCTAAAGGTCTCGAAGAACTCGGTCTCCTGTGGGAAGAAGGGGAAGAAGGGAAAAACTGGGAAGTGTAAGAACAGCAGATAGGATATACTGTTCTTGTTCCAACGCTTCCGTCAAATTGTCGGCTATTAGGTTCTTTCACTTCTGCTGCTGTGCCATCCCGACCTATTCTTCCTCTTCCCCTCGTCCCATGCTTCATGCCTGCTCTTTCCCTTTCTTTTGTTAATTTTTTCTTTCTTTTCTTTTCTTTCTTTTTTGAAAACCCTGCCCCGCTTATATTCCGGTAATAGGCTATCGCAAAATCGCCGCTTTTTTTTATTACCCTTTTAGTTATTTGGTTTACTTGAAATATGACGGACGTATAATACACGCCGTTATTCAGAATGGAGTGTATTTTTGCAATTTACGGATGGAAGGATGGGAAGGACATAGGGGGGCTCTGGGACGGGGGGGAACGGGAAATTTGTTTCGGCGCAGTTTGGAAAGGAAGGGACCATCTATTCTTGTTTTTTTATTTTTCTTTGATAATCTCTCATACATGCAGTATGTCTGTCTTCCGGGGAAACTGGTCGGTTCTGGTGTTATAATGGATTTTACTTGGCCTTTTTAAAATTGTCCGGTCTTCGTATTATTGACCTTTCGTAGCATATACCCTAGACGTCATGATATATCGAATCACAACGCCAGTGAAATAGAATCTATAATCTAGCAAGATATCAGCTCACCTCATGTGTTCTCCAATTACATTTTAATGTTCTACTTTTTTAAAAGACGCAGCATACCCGGATCTCTAATTATCTTGAGGCCTGGAAGCTCATGACAAGGGCTATATAATACTATTATAGCAGGAGGGATCTAGATCCTGATGTGTTGCATGTGGGGTTTGTTTGTCCGTGGACTGTGCCCCTGGTGAGAGGGGAGCTAACAAGCACCCCTCCTTGGAACCGCTTCTCCTTGCATCCAAACGACACCACCCTCTCGCATGATTATAACCCCCCATACTCTCTCAGGAACATCGCCATAACTAGACCCATTCCTTATTGGTTCAGCTTCAAACCGTTTTACGTATGTATCTGTCTATCTCCATTGTTTGCAGCGCTTGGACCGCCCTTTCTGTCTTCTGTAATATTTGCCCCGCCACGCCACCGTCGTTTTCTGAACAGAAACCCGACCCTAAAAAAAAAAAAAAAAATTATTATGAAAAACTTTGCAGGAGCTTTCCATCGGAGCTTATAGCTAACCGCCCAACGCCCTTTCATTTTCTCAGGAACCTACAACTCCCATCTTCATCCAAAATCCCAATATCCTACAGAACGATGTCGTCCGACGCTAAGCCTGTCGATACTGCCCCTCCAGCTGAGGAGAAGAAGCCAGCTACCGAAGAGGCCAAGACCGAGGAGAAGAAGGAGACTAAGCCTCTCGATCTCTCCAGCGGCGTCTTTAGCATGTTTGGTGGTGCTACCAAGAAGCGCGAGGAGAAGCCCGACGAAGGAGACGATGAGCCAAGTGGTTCCTCGAAAAAGAAGGGTGGCGATGAAGAGGTTTGTTATTTACTTCTCCCTACTCTCTTTCGTACTTCGCGATTTGATGATCAGAACTGACATGACTCGCTTTTTACTATCTAGGATCAAGTCGAGGAATCCCCAGATGTCCATTTCGAGCCCGTTGTTTCTCTCAAGCCTGTTGAGGTTCCAGTAGCTGAGGAGACCGAGGATTCCACCTTCAAGATGTACGGATTTATCTATCCCAACGATAATAACAGTTTCGAGAACATCACTAACATTCCTGGTGCAGGCGAGCCAAGCTCTTCAAGTTCGATAAGGACTCTAGAGAGTGGAAGGAGCGTGGAACTGGTGACGTCAAGCTCCTCAAGCACAAGGCTAACCTGAAGACCCGCTTGGTTATGCGAAGAGACAAGACCCACAAAGTCTGCGCCAACCACTACAGTACGTTTATCAATTAGCAAACAGTGCAAATTCCAAGGGCGGGAGAACTAACAAATGCCAACTATGATATAGTCACCCCCGAGATGAAGTTAACACCAAATGTTGGAAGTGACAGGAGTTGGGTCTGGAACGTCGCCGCTGATGTCAGCGAGGGTCTTCCAGAGGCACAGACTTTGGCTATCCGATTTGCCAATAGCGATAGTATGCAACCTTCACCTGAATTAAATTGTTAGAGCGGACATCATGCTAACAGGGTATGTCTAGATGCCAACCTCTTCAAGGAAGCCTTCCTTAAGGCACAGCAAGAGAATGAGGCTTTGGTCAACCCAACCAAGACCGAAGAAGAAGAAGAGACCAAGGCTTAAATTCTACAAGCCCTGCTATCTTATGATCGGCGGAACGGCTTGCTACGTTTCCTTTCGACGCTTCTAGAGATCATATCCTATGCCCCCAGACGACATCCTGATTTCATATCATTATGCTATAGCTACCCTATTCCTTCACCCCATACCCCACTTTTGATTTGATATCTGCGCTTGTCCTACAACCCTCCCGTTTGGTTTGTAAACTACAGATGACAATCTTGTACGGGCCTTGCCATCAAAAAACAACCCGGCTCGGAAATATACTTAGGAGATCAGGAGAAGAGAACTAAGGAAATAGGAGCCCTTCCATCCCTGACCGTTATTACCTGAATAGATTATTCGGGCCTTTCCCTTTTATTACCCTCCCGTCAAGTTAATCGTTCCTGTCCTGTAGTCTTTTAGATGTGCCATGTAAGCCAGCCTTTTTTTCTTTTTCCCTTTGAAGTTTCGAACGTTTCCTAGAGATGATGAGATTGTAGCCCTGGATTCCCCAATAGAAGAATGCATTTGCTCCCTCTACAATTACAATACCTTGTTACTGTTACATGCACATACGGTAAAAATAAAAGTGCGAGAGCTTGAAGCTTTCTTAAGTGGCCAGATCCTGTTGGAAAAAGAAGCGCCAGGTCTTGGCATCCGCTAAGGCGCGTTCTCCAAAAGAGAAATCCAACGGGCACTCGTCTTGATTTTCGCCCTTTCATATAAAACACATCCCATCGCGAAAAAGCATAGTGTTCCCGTTCCCACGTCTTCAATCTGATACAGACGAAATTGGTCCCGACAGAAACACCCAGAGCCGTGGATATTCGTAGTCGACATACATTGCGAACGGCCGGCGCATCCCATATATCCCTCGTGTAACGACCAAGGAAACGTACCCCAGACCGTATATAATAGCTATTATCTGTCAACGAAGTTAGGCATACCGATATCCGATATATACGTTACACGTCTACGGCCCATATTCTTGAAATCTCGGTTTAATTGCTTTTCGGAGTTTTCGGATCCTTTCTTTCGGCCTTTTTTTCAGTTTATTTTTTTTGGAATTGGGATCATTGTTACTTCTTCTGTTTGGTTTGCTGTTGGAGTCAGGGTTTTGAGAGTATCAATTAGCTGGAAAGCTTAAGCTGGGCGGTGTATTGAGTCTCGGAGTATAGATATTCAAGATGACCGAGGTAGGTTGTTTTACTTGGATGGAAGCTGGGAGCTGGCTAAGGAGATGCTCTCGTGATGAAAGAGAGACCGAATTGGAGATGTAATTGCAACACAGTCAACACGAGGTGGCGATGGTTGGTTGCGTGCAGGTTGGGTGCTCTTGGTTATGGGCCGTCTGACTCTGGCTCTGTACCACCGTGCATAACCCGTCTCACCAACTCCCTTGCTGGGTTACATTCTCTTGGTCTGACCTTGCTCATCAAACCATCAACCAGCTATCGTATCCACTGCACTTCCTCCCCACACCATTCATCTTCACATAGCCTTCCATTCTACTGTCGCAGCTCTATTCTACTTTCAACAGTGCTCCCAAAGCTAAGCAGAGATGCCTGTCCAGGTCAAACGAAAAGTTAGGTTGACGACTACCCAGTCCGTCTTGTAAGTACACCTTCATCCTCCTGGTGTCCTACTTTTATCCATTAAATTGTTTGTACTCACATTTATTGTGTGGAATAAATACAGGGATGGGGCCAAACCCGTCGCCGAAGGGTTCCCAATGCGAGAATGGGCTATTGTCATCCATCTCCTTGATGAGAAGGGGAATGAAGTCCCTGCCAACTGCTTCGACAAGGTCACATACAAGTTGCATCCAACTTTCCAAAACCCAAACAGAGGTATACCCTTCTCTCTCTCTTTTCCTATATACTTTTATGCTTTATGGAAAATTGGATGCTGATGACGTTTATGGACAGTTATCAAGCGACCCCCATTCAAGCTTTCGGAGCAAGGATGGGGTGAATTCGACATGGAGATCGTACTCCACAGCGCTGACAAAGGCGGTGACCACACTATTAAGCATGATTTGCACTTCCAGCAGCCGAAGTATGATATTACTACTACCATAGTAAGTTGCCCCGCGCCATTATCATCATCATTACTATTACTACTAGTTTTTCAAATTATCTAACTATGGGAAATTGTATAGACCTTCAACAATCCAAAGCCTGGTTTGTTGAAACTTCTGCAAGCATCTGGACCTGTTCCTGGCTTTGATGGTTTGGGTGAAGCTGAGCCGCCAACCAGAAAGTCGCAGAAGGCGGCCCCTGAGGAGAAATCTAGCAAGAAAGCCAGTCGCAGCATGAAGAATGTAAGAGGCCCTTTGTATAAGAGGGTGATGCAACTATGGTTTGTGAATACAGGCTGATGTTTTATCTTATTTTTATAGATTGACATGGAGAAGCTAGCCGATGGTTTGCCAAAACTAGAGGAAGATGATCTTTTGAAGGTTGTCCAGATGGTTCATGAACATAAAACGCCTGACACCTACATCAAGAATGATGTCGAGCGTACGTTTCCTATTCATTCACCCCAAATATTGACGTCTTTCTATCCATTGAGGATATTCTGCTAACTTCTAGAAAAAACGGTGGCACTTATAGAGGGCGAATTTCATGTCGATCTGTACACTCTTCCAGATCATCTTATCAAGAGTCTGTGGCAATTTATGACTTCTAAGATTGATGTTTAGACGTTTTGCATATCTCCTTGATGCTCTCTCGCACATCCACACATAGCGCTTTTTTTTCTTTTCTTTTTTTTTACTTCTTCCCTCTAGTTCTTAGATCCTTCCCGATCTTTTTGTTGGGATCTCTCTTGCTTAGGTTCTAGAATGTTTTGGAGGGAAGAGGAGTTTAAGAGAGAGAGGGAGATTTGGAGAGGCCTAAAAGATGGTGCTTTTATGTATATTCTCCTGGAAGGAGGGACAACCTCTTTCTTTCTTGTTTGGTGTGGGATAGATGTGGGGAAGATATCTTCTTTTATGTCGTTTAAATGATTCAAATTCGAGGGCTTTTCTGCTTTTTTTCCTCTCTTTCTTTCTTTTTGCTCCTCATACCATTGGTACGGCAATCGGTTCTTGCTCCCTCGCTCTCTCTTTGATGCGTTATGATATCATTCAATCAATAAACGTGAATAGTAATTTTGAAAATCTTATGTATTTTAGTTCTTTCCTTTCCTTTCCTTTCCTTTCCTTTCCTTATTTCTTTTTTTCCTTTCCTTTTGTTTTGTGGAGGTATTTGTATTGTATATTGGTGTATCTTCCTGCCTTTCCCCCCGTTTTTCCTTTCCATGGATCAGCATCGACTCACTATATATTAATTAGGTATATGTGGTCTCGTCACTAGATAACTTCGGTAGTAGTATAATATATTATAGTATATATATTGTAATTTGGTATCCATTCATGAATTCAAGTTAAGTTGAGTGAATTCATGAATTCACATACATAACTAACACCCGAAGCTGACATGGATAATATTGACTGATATCGATCGGGCCGCTACTAGTTAACTTGCGAAGCAGTAGCATTAATTCTAGTAAATTTACGAGATATAAGTATTTAAATTTGAGATCGTTGTTTCTGTATTATTATATTAAGTACAGTATACATACATACACACATATAAATATGTAGTAGGTATTCATTATATTCCTTCGGGACCACCGGGGCCTTTGACCTTTCTACGTCTTCCTCTTCCTGGTCCCCTTCTTCTTGTTGTTTTTCTTCTTTGTATGTCCTTCTTCTCTTTCTCTTTCTCCTTCTCATACTAGTATAATTCTTATTCCTATACATTCCTCTTCCCTTCCGGAAGTTTGATTTCCTTTCTCCCTCTTCCATTCAATTTCTTCTTTTTTTTTTCAACATATATATAAAAAAAACCTTTTTCATCAATTGCATGTTTCTAGGTGGTAGTGGTAGTAGTAGTAGTAGTAGTACAATTGGGGGCGGGGGTATAAGATGCCATCTAAAAGACCATAAGAAATGAAGATGTTAAAAAAAAAAAAGGGGGGTCATGAACGAGGGGTATCAGTTAAAAAGAGAGATCTAGTGAAGCGAAAATAGTTGGAAAAGAAAAAAAAAGGTAACTGAAAAAACGGAATTGGTCTAATGGGTGTTTCTGACGTTATCGTAAGTATTGGCTTTGTGGTGAATGTTATTGTACCGACGTGAGAATGCGTGATGTTAGGAAAAGGGTAAAGGGAGAGGAGATAAAAGAAGAAAAAAAGGCTAAACGGGAGCGAGTGGATACACATAAAAATAAAAAAGAAACGCCCATCCCTCCCCGTCAGTTATTACAAGTGTACGCTGTAAAAGGAAAGGAACAGAAACGTAGAAATGAACATATATCATCACTTCCCTTCTCGTCCTCTCAGAGGCTACAAAAAAGGAGGGGGGAGGTAAAAGCAAGAGCACCCAAACCGACCCATTAAGTGGATGTTTTAAAAGGCTTTGTTGCGGCCGGATATTATAAAAATAGTGATTTGCGAAAAACTACATCCACTCACGAACACACGTAAACAAAAAAGTAGAGCCTTTAAATCCATCTACCTAAGGGTCAGTTTGGTATCTTGAACACCCCTCTTGATAACCTCCTCAACTGGCCACCTGGGCGCAGCAACCTTTCCACCTTTTGCAATCCTCTCAGCTTCCATCTCCGGTGTCACCCCCTCGGGGAGAGGGATAGCTCCACCAGCGATACCACTCGACAACTTCAAGTCCAATTCATCACCAACCTCGTCACAAGCTCTCAATAATCTATCAAGATCGTCTTTGTTATGCGCTGCTGACAGACAGAAACGAACACGAGAGCTGACTAGTGGAGTGGCGGGGTATCCGACGACGACGACTGAGATCTTGCGTTTAAGCATCTCTCTCGAGAAAGCTGGCATCTTGGCGGGGTTGTAAAGCATAAGAGGAACAATTGGGGAGTCATCATGGCCAAGAACGATGAATCCAAGACGTTTAAGACCAAGGCGGAGGTAACGGGAGTTGAATGCTAGACGCTGAAGACGCTCTTCGCCTTCGCCAGTGTTAAGCTCTCCAGTAATCATTTTCAGGGAAGAGGTGATCTGTGTAACGACACCGGGGGCGGGAGCCTCAGACATAAGGACACCAGCATTGATGGCACGGAGTTTATCGATGATGCACTTCTCAGCAGCGATGTAACCACCATTAGCGCCGAAGGATTTGGTAAGAGTACCCATGAGGATATCAACATCGCGGGGATCAACACCGAAGAAATCGCAGACACCACGGCCGCGGGGACCCAAAGCACCGACGGAGTGAGCTTCATCGACGAAGAGATAGAATCCATACTTCTCTCGAAGTCTGACCAAGGCAGGGAGATTGCACATGGTACCTTCCATGGAGTAGAGACCCTCGACGACGACAAGGATCTTCTTCCATGGTCTGTGGGTTCGTGGTTGACCTTGGGAGATATACTCGCGAAGCTTGTTTTCCAAGTCGCCCATGTGGTTGTGCTTGAACATATCAATCATGGCACCAGAAGCACGAGCGCCGGTACGAATGGAAGCATGGTTGAGTTCGTCAGAGATGATAAGACACCCCTTGCTAACCAAAGATGAGAAGATCCAAGCATTTGTACCGTAACCCATAGAGTAGAGGATCGAAGCCGGTTTTCCGACGAATCGGGCAATAAGAGCCTCACAGTCCACGTGAAGATCCAAGGTACCGCCGTCAGATCTGGTTCCGGCAGCGCTGACACCATACTTGCGGATACTCTCTTCAGAAGCATCAGCACAGGGACCCTCGGATTGTGCGAATCCGAGGTAATTGTAGGAGCTCATATTGAGAGTTTCGATCTTTTCTCCGGTCATGTTGAAGGTGTCATTGTAGTCCTTGCTCTCACGCCCGAGAAGTGTGATATATCGGCCGGGAACACCAGTGATTGGCCTGCTGAAGCAGTCGTCGAGTCTCTTCTTTAGTCTTCGAACGTAAAAATTGTCGAAATCGCTGTTTAATGCAGCATAACCCTACGGCTAGTGTTAGAAGACGGGGCTGGTTATTGGATGGAGCTATATGAAACCTACATTTTGAGCTTTAAGATTGGTGTACTTGCTGCTCCTGAATCGCTTGCCGAAGAAATCCCGAACATGCCCGAATATGATAAGGATAAGATAAGAGAAATAGGTGGTGAACATGATGAAGTACGGAGGTTCATCTTCTATGGGCTCCTCGAGCTCTCCACCATCGTTATGTTGGCTGACATATTTGTGGCTCGAATGCAAGAGAGGTCCGAACTGTGCATGCTTCCTAGCGGTCCGACGAGCTTCTTCCGGCGAAAAAACAACCATTGGTGCTTCCGAGGTATGTTCTCCGGTAGCGGTTGATAAGGAGATGGTCGGCAGGGAGATACTAGGGGCGCTTTTCGGAAGTGCACCAGGGTAGGAGCTGGAGAGTTTAGTCTCACCCGGCGAAGGCTTCTGTGAGGACGCAAAGAATTGCACGATCTTATTCGTCGTCCTCACAGTTGCACGCTTCGGGGTGTCGATGATGCTGCTAACGGAGCTCGAAGCTTTACGAGGCATCGGGAACCACGTGTGAATTTCACAAGAAAGCTTTTGATGCCTTTCGAGCGAGATATTCGGTGCGTGGTCGTCGTTGGTATTTTTTTTTTTTTTTTTCCTTCCGGAAAGGTGACACTCAGATGGAGACAGAGACGTCTACCAACACTGCAAGATATATAGACCTTTCTTCCCTTTTCAGCTTATTTCAACAGAAGAAAAAAGAGCAGGCAATTCTATCAAGCAGGCTGTAGGACGATGATCTGGCTAGAGTTGGGAGGGAAGGTTGGAGAGGAGGCTTTGTGAGGGGGTGGTGGTCAACCCTTGTAGCAGCTCCACTTGGTCGGTTGGTGTGGCTTCTAGGATGGGAGTTCTTTTACTGCAAGCTTGCCCAGATGTTTGTCTGCGGTAGGATGCTGCAGACAAGGGCCGCTTGGGAGCAAAAGAACTGATGAGAAGATAGGTAGAAGCTAGAAGTCTGAGGTCACTGTTGCCGTTAGCTTCCGAAGCTACTTGATCTACTTGGGAATGTGGCTGTGGGAAGGCTTTGCGTGTGGGAGAGAGAGAATATGGAAGTGTCGTGGAATGTTGGAGATTGTGTTTTTGGTTGGTGGGAAACAACAATAATGTGCTTAAATGGACTTACAGATTCGATTGAAGCTGACTGAGATTGGAGAAAAAGAGGAAGGATAAGAAGAGGAAGAAGTATATTAATGATAATAATATAAATAAAAATAAAAAAATAAAAATATTAAATATATAAAATATTAGATGGTATCGTGAGAGGATCGATTGTCCTGTCTGGAGGATGAGGATTGATAGTACTGTGATCTGGCAAAGTTGCAGTTGCAGTTGCAGCAGCAGGTCAGCCAATCGCTACGACTTTCTGTCGAGAAAGAAAGGATTTCCGAGGTTAATTGAGCGAGGTAGCCTTAGTCCGAAGGGAATTCGAACAGCCAGGTATTATTACTATTAGGTATATTATTAGAATATGGAAGTAAGTATTATTATAATTAGGGGAAGACCCCAATTGAGGTCGTTCTTTTTTGTTCGTTTCGTGGATGTTGATAAAAAAGATGGAACAAAAATAAAATCAACTAGAAAATAGGAGTAGAGATGGAGATAGAGATGGAGATAGAGGAAGAGATAGAGGAAGAGATAGAGGAAGAGTAAGAGGAAGAGGAGGAAGAGTAAGAAGAGTAAGAACCAAGTAGGATAGGACAGGATAAGAAGATGATCGCAATCGTCAATAAATATTATGCAGTCCGGTAAGACTTAAGCGGCGCGCAAACAACTTAGCCAAAGTCCCGTCCCGAGACTTTCGTAACTACTACGTATTCTTTCTCTCTTGCTGACGACAACGACTGTACAACCAAATGAAGAGAGGCCGAACAAAAAAAAAAAGAAGATGAGTGTATCAAAGAAGAGATTGTCAGGATTGAGGGAAAAATAAAAAAATAAATAAAAATTATTATTGTTATTATAATTATAAAAGTCCCCTACGGCTAGGGAAAGCAAAAGGAAGGAAGTCAGAGTGCTTGAGGGTGCGAGACAACCACAAGTCGGTCGGCACGAGGCGGATCTGTGCATGCGCTGGGAACGGACAAGACAAAAAAAAAAAAATTATATTATATTGGACCCAGCAGGAGAATTTTTTAGCGTGGTAATTTTACTTTGCTCCTTTTTTGCTGTGTCAGCACCAAACCGACGCGGCTGGCTGGCTCGTTCGCTCGCTGGTTGGGTGGGTGGGCCATGGCTGGCTGGCTGGTTCTCTTTCGCGAGGGATTGCCCCTGTTCTCCACCGAATCCCTGGGAAAGGAAAGGTCGTTGCTAAGCTTATTGGCCAGTATTGGCTCCCGGATCTGAATGCACCCGAGCCTTCCGCTGTGCTCTGCTGTGCTCTGCTGTGCTGGATGGAGCTAACAAGTGATAGAACTCTTGTTATCGTGCATATATACAGAAGAAAGGAGTCGTGTGATATTCTATGGTCATAGAATAGAATAGTAAAGGGGAAAAATATACAAGAACGCGAAAACCCGCCAGCCTCATGGCCATAATATGAATTCCCCACCGTAGATATGGATCTCGTACGCCGTACATGAATTGGTGAAACTGGAAAAAAAAAAAAAAACTAGAAGAAAATTTGGAAGGGTCGAAAAAGCTGATGGTCTAAAAAGGAAAACCTCGAAAGGGAAAGCTTCGAGAAACAGAGGAAGGATGAAGAGCTCTTGGTCTCTCCCCTTACTCGTACATAGTACAGCCATGAAGCAAAAAAGTGATCTATAGCGTTCTTGGTCTCATCCTCAGAAACATAAGAGGGTTGGAATGTCGTATGTGATCGGTGCGAGTGCGAGGGCCGCCTCAAGGCTTCCTTCCAAGACCGTACTTCCGTGCCCTCCTGTCCACGCTCCCAATGACATTTACAGCTTCCTCGGTGCCCTGAACGACCACACTTGGTCTTCCCGATCCACCACCAACATTGACAACCTTACCGGTAAATACCTTCTCCGCGATTCGTCTCAAATCGTGCACTGTCAATTTCTCAATCTCCTTGCACATCTCGGCAGGTCCAATCTTCCGTCCGTGGCATTGAACCTGCTTGCCTAAATCTTCCAATTCAATCATACGGCTCTCCAGGTTCATGAGCAACGACGACCGAAGTTGGTTTTTTGCCCTCTCTACCTCGGATACCTGCAGAGCATTGTAACCCGATGAAGTAAACGTATTCGCCATTTCTCGAAGTACGACGTCCGCAATGGCTCCGGAGGCCTCTTTTTCGCAAGAGGCTGCAATACCAAACATTCCAGAGTCATTGTATGAGTGATGGAAAGCCACACAGCTCTCAATCCAGCCGTATTGATTCAGAACGTTGGTGTACAACCTCGAGTACATGCCCTTTCCGGGACCGCCTGCGGAGAATGATCCACCTCCACCCAGAAGCGTCTGCAGCGTCGCCAGAGCGTAGATATCCTTGCTAACTATTCCGGGAGTTTCGAAAGCGATGTAAATGTGTGTTAGTTCCTTGTTTTCTCCAGGTCCGTATTTCGGTGCGACTTCAGTTTGCCCACCGGTATATAGGGATGGGACTGTGAGGTTTGGGTACGGATTTCGTGGATCTAAGTAAGGGTATGCGTGTGAGGCGGATGGCGAGGCAGTTGTGGATAGGTTCTTCAAAAATGGCATTTTAGAAAGTAACGTCTTTGGGTTTGATGATGGTAGCGGGGCCTGCTTCGGGTTTGCAGAGGATGGTAACGACTGTGCTGCGCTGGCAAGCTGTGCGGTCGATTTCATGCCGCCAAAGTACTGTTCAACCAGCTTGATCGCATCCTGGTGCTGTACTCCTGCGAAAGCCACCACTATCCTCTCCGGCTTGTAAAAGATACTTCTGTACTTCTCAATCGTGCTTCTGTCGATAACTCTGAGCCGTTCTTTCGGGCACAATAACGGGTTTCCAAGAGTGTTATTGTGGTACGCCACTCCGTGCAAAAGCTCCGGCAATATTAGTTCGGATTTACCCCAGATTTCCCCAATTTCGTAGTCGGCGGTCTCCAACTGCTGCTCCACTTCCTCTTGGGTGATCAGAGGATCCAGTATCGTCTCTGCTAGTAAACCCATGGCCGTGGACACATCATGATTGAAAACTGCGGATTGGTACATTATCGATTCTCGCGAGGAAATGCACTGGACGTTGCCGCCTAACCGTTCTATCGACTCGTACATGCTCTCCATGGTTCGTTGCTTCGTGCTCTGTAGTCATAGAAAACGACACACCCCAAAGAAAAATGTCAGCCGCCAGGGAAGCTTTGAAATCACACGAGTAGTACAGAAGGGGAATTATCGTCTACGGACCTTGAACGCCAACCGATCGACTATATGACTGACTCCACGCAAACTGTCATCTTCGTATCTGGCACCGGCATCGAGATATACGCCGACACCGGAGAAGTGGCCGGGCATGGCCTCGGTTGCCACCCGGACGCCATTTGGTAGTGTTGTGACTTTTTCAAAATCTGGCGATTCCTGAGCAAAGTCGCTTGAGTGTCAGTGTATGTGTGGAATGGTCTGGAAATGTCGGATGATAACGTACTGCTGAGGAAGGCTTTAGTGAAGCAAAAGAGCGTCGGTATGTCGGGTTGGCTATTGGGGTTCTGGGTAACCGTCTGGCGGCTCGCAAGCTGGTTCTGAACATGATTATGATAAAGCGATAATTGAGAATTGATCAACGATGACAGCTTGGTTATATCCCCGGTAAGGAAGACAAGGTCATTCCCGAAATGGAATGCCCTTTTTGATTTGATTTGATTGTTTTTTTCGAGGAAGATTGTGGGGATTATATATCTGGGGATGGATGGACTGGGGCGGGCAGGATTTGGGGATTTGGGGTTAGCAGTTGAGAGTAAGTAAGTAAGTTAGGTCGGGCGAAAAATGCAATGGAGATAAGGAACCTTGTCGACACAGAACAGGAAAATTTTCTGCGGCGAACCAACGCAGCTTGGCTTAGTTAAGTTCCAGATTACCAAGTGCATACCTACTAGTACCTAGCTTGTATACTACCAGACTGTACTACTGTGACAGTCTTAGTTGCATTGTAGACCCTTAGCTTTGTAAGTATATATTGTATACTACCAATGTGACCTGTCATATCAACGATCATCATACATCCTTTTGAAGAGTAAGTACTTAGATAGACATTGCATGACCCCTGGTAGACTGGAATTGCTCATCTGCATGATGCATATCGGGCAACTACTTCCTTGTTGGTTTTTTTTTGTATCGAATGCATATTTCCCGTAGGTACCGACTTGCTTGCCCAGCTGCTGCATGTTGGGGAATGTTCATGTATCGATATCTTGTCCACTGACTACCAGGAACTAGCTGCTATCTACTGTACTAAGTACTTAAGTACTTACTTAGCTGGTCCATCTGTAAGGGGACATAGCATTATCACTAAATAATGATATAATGATATAATTATTCAATACGGGAAATAGCTTATCTCGTACTACATCGTAGCTTCTGAGGGATGGTATCAGACCAAGGTAGTACTAGGTAGTAGTATAAGTTAAATGCAAAGTGTTGCCAAGAAATGCGGCTCTGACAGCGTGTGTTCTGTGTGTGGGTGTTGCCAAGCCTCAGCGCAAAGCGACGCGACTTAGTTTTCCCAAAGCCGAGACCGAAACCAACACCGTTCTCATCATGCAAACCACCACCTCCATCGCCATCCCGACTCGACCCTCTTCTGCTGCTGCTGTCGCTGCCTACCATTCGCATTGTACAGCTCTCCGTTTTTTCTTTTAGGTAAAAGGGCTTTGAAGCTGGTTTGGAAACTAGTAAAATTACTAGGTAGTGGTCTGGATAAAATTAGTAAAACTGCATCGTCCGTTCGAAGAGCCCCCCCGGGTGTAGTTGATATTTTGGCTGGCGGTTGGCATCCTTCCGGCAACGTCAACTGGCCGCTACGTTACGCTATTACTCTCTGGCCGAGTCCAATTGGATCAAGATGGGACCTAAGAATCAATACACTGCACATCCTCGCGAGTTTGATGAATCCGATATCGATCGCACTCCTGAATATGAGGCCTTCATAGAGGAAATCCGCAAACTCCAAGAGGAGCGAGGGTAGGTCTATGCTGCCACCTCCTCGAGGTCTCCTCTGCCTTTATATATACTTATATAGACCCGAGCTTACCTTTCAATGATTTCGATAATACTAGTGTAACCCATCTTGGAAATTTGGAGCCAGACCTTCAACGGAAAAAGGTCGACCTTTTCAAGCTGTACAAAACCATCGTCGATCAAGGCGGATACACTATCGTCTCGAATACCACAGGTATTAACTATACCACCAGAACCACCACAACCACCACCACCGATACTACTCGGGAAATTGAAACTGACGATACTTTTTTAAACAATTTTCATCAGGGCTTTGGAAAGAACTCGCCGTCAAATTCAATCCTCCACAACACAATACCAATATCGGGTTCGTCCTTAAGACGATCTATTGGAAAAACTTAGGGTATGTCGGTCACATAGTACTAGACAAGTACACACGTAAACTGTTGCTATAGGTACTATCTTGTAGTTGATATCGGGTATTGACTTGGTTGTTAGGGCATACGAGTGTATTCATCACTGGAAGGCAGACGCCCCAAAACCGGAGATCTTGGAGCACGTCTCGGCAGCTGGGTCAGAGCTTGTTGGAAAGATTGCCCCGCCAGCAGCTGAGTCCAGCACTCCAGGCCTTTTAACTAGAGGGAGGACTGGGACTGAAGACCCTGCTGCGGCCTCAACCCCGTCGGGCAGAACCCTACGTGAAGCCCCCCCAAAGCGTCAACTGTTCCAACCTCCGGTGCCGACACCAAAACCGCGTAACGTTCAACCTCCTACTCAATCTCCCACTCCCCAATCCACCATCACCAACGGAAGAAACGCGACATCCAACAACGTTTCATCTACCAACATGTCGCACCATCAATCAAACCTCCCTCCGCTTCCTCCAATGGACATCACTCCTGTCCCTACTCCGTACAGTCATCCTCGGAATTTCGCTCAACCCGAGCCTGATCCAGCTCCACCAACCGTTTCGCAGCAACTTCCTGCCAATTTTGGGCCTACCGATACACACAGAGCTGTAATGAGTTTGTCGAGTGGGATCCCCGCAGATGTTTCCTGGGCACTTAAGTACCTGCTAGAGAGGTCGTGCCACCCCCAGCTCCAAACGCTCCGACTCAAAGAAGAGGTCCGCCTTGGAGGCTATCTTATTGATTTGATCCTTGCTTGCGTCAATGCTGTTAATGACAGGCAGGTTGGCAAGGTCGCCACTCCATGGAAGCCCTCCTCGTATGATCCATCTCGCAAGGTTGATCTTACCTTGTACAACAAACTCGCCAGTACCCTAGAGACTCAAGAGTGGGTCGCACTGATGGAGTCTGGTCTTTACGCAGCCGAGATTCTGCGAAACCTCACAACCAACCCGCAAAACTTTCCGTTGATCAAGGAAAATGTGACCTCCTTACTTCAATATCGATCCGATGCCCTCCAAATCCTACTCAGTGTTCTGAGAACCCCGCGCGACAACCAATATATCGACCTCCAAACTGTCTGTCTCCAGATCTTGGAATCCATTTTAGCCGTGGGTCAACATGGAAAAGGGGCGGAGCTCGTCGAGCTGCTCTGGCCCATCATTCAGGATAACGGCCAGGTCATGGTCACGTCGGCCCTCAGTATTCTTGTCAACCTTTCCATGCAAGGTGAGGTCGCGTGCTTGGAGAATACACCACCTGAAGTTCTAGAGCATCTGGGGAATCTTCTTATGGTCCCTAATGAGGCCATTCTAGTCCCAACTCTTGACTTTTTTTATCACTACACCTCGATCCCCACAAATGTGGATGCTTTGCTTTCAGGACCTAGACCCTATGAGCTATTGGAGCAACTTGCCCGGCTCCTTTCATACGGCCTCATAAAAATACCCCCCCCAATTCTTCCTCCGGTTCAAGGGCAACAGGTTCCACGAAAGCCGGTCCCTGAGGTCACGCCAAATATTCCTAGCGATCTCTTAGACGACATCGTCAAACTCCCGGAGCCTCAGCGAGCTATTTGGTGGTATGTGTACAGTAATAATTCACCTAACCCGTATGGAAGCACACTGTCTAATCACTTATCGATGATAACTAGGATGCGCTCCAGTTTTGAGGCTAACCCTCATAGTGAAATTACCCAAATCGCCTTATGGCAGGCGTACCAACAACGATTTGCTGCCTATACCAACACTGGCCCAAAGCCGCAGCAAATGCTCATCGCGAACGACTTTATCAAGAACGTCAGCGCCGCGTTCCCAACCGCGAAGCCTCAGATGATCAAAGGTGAGAAGAACAACAGGTTTGTTATCAACGGTATCGCGCCGCGCGAAGTCCCAATGGGACTTGATTACAACAAGTATTCAAAATGCTTTTGGACAGAGGACGGGAAAGTATGTGGTCTTTTCTTTCCGACTGCAGTAGAAACTTTCACACATATCGGCGAGAAACATACCTTCCTAAACAAGGACTCCCAAATAACGGAGCAACGGTGCTGCTACAAAACCTGCCTCAGATTTCACGACAAACCAACGACGAATAAAAGGGAATTCTTCGCCCACCTTCGTGGCCATATGCCTGCCAAGAAGAAAGATCCTTTCATTCGTAATAGTAAGGGCGAGATCCAAAAGATCACGACTCCGACTAGGAACCCTCTCGATGCGCCGCCTCAATTCCCCGGTATTACCTGGACTGTCGAGATGCCTGCAAGAGACCAACCCGAAAACTACGGCGTCTACATCATGGCTGCAAAAGTCATACTCAACATTAGCAGGGTCCAGCCATCTGGTGCGGATGGCTTACTTCTGATCAGAACCACGCTAGCAGAAAGGTTGGCAGCCACCCGAAATGGATATTTCGCCCAAGTATTGTGTGATATCATCAGCAATACCACGCAAACCCTCCATAAGATCGTGGAAGACGATATTCCCATGGTCGATGGTATGGACGGTTCGGATGGGTCACCGTACCCAGTTTAGCTAGCTACTCTTCTATTCGAATTATTTGCCGGTCATCACCTCTGCCCACATCCTCGTTTGCTGGTTGCTAGTAGCCAATGCACCTGAAACCCGATAATGTTTTTAATCCTTAATCCATACCCCATCGCCCTCACCATTCTTCTATCAATTTTCCTCATTTCCTTCTGTTTCTTTCCTTGATTTTCTTCTTCCAGGCTTGACTTTACCGGTTCAAGGGCATTAGAGGCGTTCATTTGCAAAAGCGATGCCTATTCTGTCAAAATTCTTTTTTTTTTTTTATCCGGTCAGAAATATTTATATCGGGTGTTCTCCCCGCTCGAGAGCTTAAGAGGCGTTCTCAATTCTTCCTTTTCATTTTGATTAGTAGCAATTCTCTGGGGGTAATGTGGACTCGCGGCTATGGATGAGGCATGCCTCTACCCACGATAAGCACATGTATGTAACGATGGAAGGAGAACTCGTTAAGACAGTCTATTACAAATAACCATCCCATCATAGGCGTGCATTCCAAAGGCAAACCCCGACTCCGGCGCCAGACATCTCGACGACAAGTCTTGGCGCGGCTGCAACACAGAAACGACGACATGCATGGAGGTAACGTAAAAGTACCTGTTACAAAGTACATAACTTACTTAAGTAACTACCCCCAATGAGAGAGTGTGGGATTCCTTCCACAACCTAGTCCTTGTGACGTAAACTAGTCCTGAGATACTATCTAATAGATTCCATCGCTTTCGACCTCCCATTGTTCATCTTCTCTTATTTTCTATCGTTAATCATATCATTCAATTAGGTGTTTTCTTTTTCCCCGGTTGTTCATGCGACCATCCACTTCTTCCAAGAAGCCCCCACAAAGTCCCCCCAGAAACCCACATCCCATACCTAGAGTTCTAGTCATCCTCAGCATTCTTCCTGCAATCCTGGCCATCATTATCTTCGGTGCGGCTCCTGAAGCTTTTTCTCGGGCTCAAAGTTCCATAACCCGGTTATTTGCGAATACCGTCTGTACAAACAAGCGGATCGGATTTATTTGTACGGCTCCCGGATATCGCAGAGTGGCAGCTGTTTCTCGAACAATGGCTACTACTACCACCTCTACTAGCAGTTTACCATATGAGAAGGAGAGAAGGATAGCAGAGTTGGCTGTTCAGCGGGCGGCGATTCTTTCGAAGGCGGTTTATAATTCAAAGGTTAAGGGGACTCTTGAGAAAAGTGATAATAGTCCTGTTACCAGTACGTTTTCTCTTATATATCCTCTACTTCTTTTTTACTTGTTTCTCTCCAAATTTTCCTTGATTTTTTTGTTTTCCGGATATATATGTTTTTTTTCTAATAGTTGAGGTAAAACAAATAGTCGCCGATTTTGGAGCGCAAGCTCTCGTCTTCGCCAGTCTTCGCAATAACTTCCCAGATGACAATATCATCGGTGAGGAAGACTCGGGAGACCTTCGATCGAATAAGGAACTTGCTTCATTAGTGTTCAAGGCTATTACTGAAGCTGTATACTCCAACACCACAGGTCAATCGTCGTCTGAATCCAGTTCTTCGAACGAATTGGGGGTTATTAACAATGAAGCCGAAATGTTGGATCTCATTGACAAGGGGGATTGTACGGATAGCGGCAAGGGGAGGGTATGGGCTTTAGATCCTATTGACGGGACAAAAGGGTTTTTGAGGGGTGGTCAGTACGCTATTGCGCTTGGATTACTAGTTGATGGGGTTGTAACAGTTGGAGTTCTTGGGTGTCCGAATTTGGGAGAGGAAGGAGGGGTACTGTTGAGTGCAGTTAAAGGACAGGGGACTGTCGTGGTAAGTTTCTTTTATATACGCTATTTAATGTTTGATGTTTTGGGAAGATTATCAAAATGCTGATGGTATATTATAAACTTACAGAGACCGTTGACATCAGACTTCTCCACCCTTCCTGACCCCTCAAGAGTCACGATGAACCCAATAACCACCACATCCGATGCCACTTTCTGTGAAGGCGTAGAAACCGGGCATTCGAACCATAACCTTCAAGCCAAAATTGCCGCTGGTCTAGGAATCACAAAACCATCTGTTCGATATGATTCTCAAGCCAAATATGCTGCGTTGGCATTGGGAGAAGCAGAGATATATTTACGTTTGCCGAGTAGTATGAAATACGAAGAAAAGATATGGGATCACGCGGCGGGGAGCTTGGTGGTTGAAGAGGCTGGAGGGGTGGCGTTTGATATGTATGGTGAAAAATTGGATTTCACAACCGGTAGGACTTTTAAGAAGAACAAGGGGGTAATTGTCATGCCAAAGGCGATTCAGGAGGATGTGGTCAGGGTTGTGAGGGAGGTTGCGATTGAAGTATATGGAGGGAAGAGCTCCTTGTAAAGAAAGAAAAGAAGGCCTCTCTGATATATCTATCGATAGCCGTAGCAAGCTTTGTAGATAGGAAATACCTAAGAGATTATGGTGTACTCTATCAAGACATGGGAATTGCAAATTGCTTTGCTATATACAGCTCTTTAGAGGAGAGCACTTCGATGAGAAAAAATGATCGTACATAAAAATCTGTAGCAAAAAAAATATACAGCAAAGATAGATACCAACAAGTCTATTTGATCTTCTTTGCCTTCAACTTAATCGTCTCATCATTCACAAATATTCCTTTACCCTTATACGGTTCCGGAATTCTCCATCTCCTAATCTCTGCCGCAAAACTATTCACCACTTCTTTATTAATTCCTTCCAACAGCAACCTCGTCGGCACAGGAGCCGAAGCTGTAACACCATCCGGTACCCGTAACATTATCGGGTGCGAATAACCCAGTTTTAGATTAACAATCTTCCTACCCTTATTAAACCTCCCCGAACCTTCTTGAACAATAGCACGATAACCCACACCCACGAATCTAATGAGTGCAGCGTGACCTTCCGTTACTCCCAAAATATTGTTTGCGAGCAATGCTCTAGCGGTACCCCACATCTGACGTTGGGGTTTCTCAGTTGGGTCGTTGATTGTGATTACTGCCTTTGAAGATTTGGCTTCTTCCGCGGAAGGAGATGTGTCTTTTGGTGGTGTGGCGATCGAGATGTTTAGGAAGTGTGGAATGGGGATTGTGACTTGGCCGAGGGGTCCTTGGACTGTTACTGTTCTGGGGGGGAGGGTACGGGTTGTATGACGGGGTGGTGGAGGAGTGTAGATGCTTAATGAGACGTTTGAGGGGATTATAAGTGGGGAAGAGCCGACTTTTGAGGAGAGTGGGTTTGTGGTGGAGAATTGACGGGTATTAGTGGTGGTGAGGCATTGGCGGCAGATGGAGGGGGTGTCGAGGAGGGAGAGGCGCGAGAGACGGGTTCGGAGGGTTGTGGTTGACATTGTTATTGATGTATCGTTATGTTGATGTCATATTCGGGTTTATTGAAGAAGAGAGAGGAGAGGCCAATTGATTGGGACCTCTGGTCTTTGGATGTCGATATAAGAGGGAGAGATGAAGTTAAAAGTTGAGGTTCTTGAAGCTTGAATGATTGTCGCTAACTTGTGATCTCGAACGTTGAAAAATGCGAAAGTCGTAAATTACTGTTTTAGGTAATTATGTATTTAACTTGAATTAATTACTTATTTTGGAAATTGTTTGCTTTCTGGTGTTTGCCCTTTTCGCTGTGCCACCAACGCCTTTTGGTGTCGCGGCAATGAGTCCTTGCATAACACCTCTTCCTCTTCCATCTTCGCCCTCTACATCCTTCCCATCCCTCCTTCTTTCCTCATCGTCATCGCCATCACCGTTATCATCAACTTCTGACCCGGTGTCAGAATAACAACTACTACTACAACTTCAGCTCCTTACATACACCTACACCTACAAATATACCCATACCAGCTAGCGACGTGCTCAACGTCCACCATCACCAACCATGGGTGGCGACCTCAACCTTAAAAAATCATGGCATCCAAACCTCCTCAAAAACCAAGAGCGAGTCTACGAGGAGGAGATGAAAGCTCTCAAAGAGCGTAAACTTATTGAACAAATGCGCAAAGAGAGGGCCGAAGAACGTCAACTACAAGATCTCCAAGAAATCCAAGAAGCAGCTGGTGGCAAGAAACGACCCGACCGTGTGGATTGGATGTATGGCGGCCCCTCCTCCGGTGAGAATGGCCCCGTTACTGAAGAACTCGAGGGTTACCTGTTAGGGAAGAGAAGAGTAGACCAGATCCTGAAAGGGAAGGAAGAAGAGGAGACTTCGGCTTTGAAGAAAGATGCTGGGGAGGGTAGTTTTATGGCCGTGCAGAATGCGAACACAGTTAGGGACACGGCGAATAAGATTAGGGAGGATCCTATGTTGGCGATTAAGAAGAGGGAGCAGGCGGCTTTGGAAGCAGCGATGAATGATCCAAGTGTTAGAAGAATGATGCTGAAGGAGTCTGGTGCGGATGGGAAGAAGGACAAGGAGAAGGATCGCCACCGAGACAGAGACAGGGAAAGGGATAGGGATAGGGACCGCAAGCATAGATCCTCGAGACACGATGAAGATCGACACCGACATAGGGACAGGGATAGGAGCCGCGACCGAAAACACCACAGATCCCATCGAGACGACGAACACCATAAATCTTCACATCGGGACCGGGACCGTAACCGTGATCGTGGCCGGGATGATGAAGACCGACACAAAAGCAGTCGACACCATCGCCGCAGCTCGAGGTCTCGCTCCCCCCGTCGACGTGATGAGAAGAAGGCTCGTTCACGCTCCCCACGGCCATCGAGAGATGAAAAGCGCTCCCGTTCTCCAAGAAAGTCTCGTGAGGAACGTCACCAATCTGGAAGCCACTCGCCGATTCATCACTCCAGGACGGCTTCTCCGGTCCCATACAAGCAGCAGCGTGAACGCTCGCCACCGAACTACGCACGCCGAAACAATGATCGCCGTCCGGCCCCAACATCCAAACCTAGTCAGGCAGACGATGATAGGGCTGCCAGACTCGCTGCAATGCAAGCCGATGCAACCGATCTCGATGAAGCCCGCAATCGCCGTCTAGCCGCCTTGGCTGAACGTGATCGCCAGGATAAAGAACAGGATGATTCAGCCAGACGAAGTAACGCCAAATGGGGCGGAAAGGGTTCGTTCATTTCCGGGTTGAATCAACATGCTGGAAACCTCGATCTAGCCGAGCGGGTTAGACGTAGCAAGGGAAGCAGGAATTTTGTTCGAGTTGGCGGAGATGATTGAGCAGCTATTATTTAGAAGATTATGCATTGGGGAAGGGAGATTGTTGTGCTGTATCTGTTTCTATTGCATATTCAAGTGGAGTTTTTGGCGTTCTTAGGGATTGCCAGAATGGCGAATCGACGTTATCCTTTTATTGTCGTGGACGCAAGGACTTTTTTATCTCGAGAATTGCTTAAACGATGTATATTATTAATTTGCCGAATTTAGGCCAAATCAGAAGCTTCTATTCTATGTTTCGAACTTCTGCTTCCTATATCTCTATCTTGCTGGTAATTCTAACGATCCGTATGTCCTCCGTGGTGCTTTGGGACTCTAGTCCACCAAGACACAACTATCGACGCAACCAAATCCGGCCGCTACTCCTCCTTCTTCACTGGAGCTTCCTTTCGTCCTTAATAGCACGCCGGCTTCTTCATTGTACACAATATCTATATCACCAGGTTCTCCATCCTCTGCGTCTTTCCAAACAACCGCCCCATAGACCCCCAATTCTCCTACTACCTTCCCCTGCATCATCTCCCCATTCCTCATCACCAAATTCTCCACCTCAGGAGGCCGTATCAACTCCATCAAAATGTAACCTTGCCACTTCTCTTCTTCCAATCCCCTCAAAAATTCCGGGATCTTATCTTTATAGATATTATTTCCTCCGCCTTCCCTCTGCGGCTTCAGCACAAACCTATGTGGTTCTTCGAATGCCAACTTTCGAGCCTTCAATCCAGCTTCGGACTCATCCATCGGGTATATCGCTGCAAAGGTCTCAAATATCCTTTCCACAATACCCTCTTCACCCCTTTCATTGCCCATGAACTTCTCCAAATTTTTCTTTTCGGCGAGTACCTGCTGTACTTTCTTCGACCCGGCCAACTGTGTTAAAATAGTCGGACATTTGATAGCTCTCGATTCCTCCAAAAAGTACCTAGTATTCCATTCCTCCTGTCCCGGGTAGTCACCAGGTCCATACCCAGCCCTGTAATACACCACCGAAATCTCATAAACCTGCTGTTTCCTCCCATCGAACGCATGCGGTGGTACAAACAATAACTCATAGTTAGGCCGTACATGATGTGTGTACTTCCTAATCTCCTCGAACGTCACCCTAAAAACCCTAATCCCGTACTTCTGTGTAAGATGGTACTCCAACCACCTCTGATCGAATGCATTTCTTTCTCCATCTTGAATCACAAACATTATTCCATAAGAAGAATTAGGCCCTACTGATGCTGCGGTCTCCAGTGTATATTTTGCATCAGGCGAGACATCTTGAATGTATACTTCGTGAGCCTTTGCCAATCCCTCCGCTAATCTTTCAAGTGCTTCGTTCCGGGGTAATGATAAATCATTGATATAATCTGCTGTCGGTGGGTAAGCACCACTTCTCCATAGATATCGATGTAAATCCGATACTTTTGAAGCTAATGCACCGAATGAACTTGCAATGGTGTTGAACTCGACTTGTCGAATCCCTAATGGCGCGAATTCGGAATCTGAGGTGTGGACCATGTAGTCCGAACGGAATAGTCCTAGGGAGTATTTATGATGATAACCGTTTTCGGATTTTAACCGGGTGTGGATGGCCCAGAGTTTTGAGATGAAGTCGTCGACGAGGGAGAGGGAGGTGCTTAGATCTCCTAGCCATGATTGGTCGGCTGCTACACGGGCGTAGAGGAGGTTGCAGAATGGTTGGAGGGAACGGGCTTCTTCGAAGTGGGTTCTGGGGAATGGAGACGGCCAGAGGGTTACCGGTGCTGGTGTGGCGAGGGAGTTGGAAGGGTTGGTGGGGATGAAGGTGGGGGCGGGGCGGACGATAAGACCGTGGGAGAGGGAATAGTCGGTGAAAGAAGTGATGAGGTAGGAGAGTTGTTCCGCGGTGAGGTTTGGAGGGTATGAAGGGTATGACGACATTATTTCGAAATTTTTATTATTTACTAGTAATTGAAGCTGTTGTTTTGTTGTAGTTAGGTAACTAGTGATATTTTCGAATTCGGATTTCGACTGAAAGGATGGGTCGAATTGCGCAATGCAATGGCGGGAAAACGGGTTCAATTAGGCCCCGTCAGGATGCGACCGGGAAGCGTAAGAGACCAATTGGCTTGGGAATTTAATTAGTAATTCGATTGATTTATAACATTTGAAAAGCGGGCTAAGTAGAAGTACAAATTAAGTACTTTGGAGGGATATTTGAAGCATGAAGCCTACGGTCTTAAATCATCACAACCTATATTTTCCGGGGTTTTATAATCAACTGGATCACAGTTGGTTGCACAGACGAGATCTGATTTCAAAGCAACCCGCAGGCCCGCCCTGTAGCCACTCGACATAGTAGGCAGGCCAATACAGTCCGAACCATGCCCACTTCGGCCTGGAAGGCCCCCAACGCAATATTTCCAACAGCACACTCGACTTTGACGGTCGTTTTGAAATTTATACCTAATCGATATTTTCTTTTACCGGATTGCTTTCATTAATTTGCTAGACCCGCCATATCCAAATTTATTGGAACGATGGTACCATGCCAACTCCGAATACTTTTTGCCCGATGGAGGGTAACACTTTCAAAGAGTTACCCAAACGGCATAGGTTGCGAGTGTGTTTGAGATAGTGATTCGAAGTCGATGGTAGAGGGGTCACTTGATACATCGAATAGATGTACTAACGATTGAAATCATTTGGCAAGAATAGATAAAATAGAACATCATATCCAACGTAAATTAGGAGCCCTGCAACCGTAACAACTGAATGGTTGGGTCCTTAGTACTATACTCTGAGATTTCAGCTATTGTTATGTAGCATTAATTGATCAATTGGTCAAACGCAAGTCAAATTCCAGGCTTATCGCATTCTGTGTGTACATGTATAGATGCAGCATTGAAACAAGGGTATATCAGTAGCCACTGTCTCTAGGACAACTGAGAAAATATATATAAAAACAGAAAATATATTTGTCTTTAGAAAGGCCCAAAGCTAACGACTAGCCTAGCTAAAATGAACTATAAAACAAAAATCACTTGGATACGTCACGCACTTCGTATCTCGAAAGAGCCGCTAGAAAATCGTCGTCATTATCATCATAGCCAGCTTTATCGGAATAACGAGCTTTATCGGAATAAGGTTCTGCGGGGTCTTCTAATTGCTTAGTTCCCAGTTCAACAGATTTCGACTCCGGCTCCGTGGAGTTAATTGGACCCGGGGACAGGACCACAGGCGGATTCGTAAGGAAACTCGAAAACCTCGATAAATAACCCAGAGCGCATTCTTTCAAGTCATCCTCCTCGGGGCCATTTTCCAGAAACTTTTTTTCCATCTCACTTTGAACTTCCAATTCAAACATTCTACACGCCATCGCTTGCATCAGTTCCTCTTTACACTTTTGTAACAACATTGCGCTGTACTGCTTAGCAGAATGCCTTTTGGAGTACTCTTGAAGGCCCGGATTCCGTTTAAGTAGACAAGGTATTAAATCCGACGGGAGGTATGGTATCTGCGCCTCGTCGCAATAAAAGTCCTTTAATCCTCGAACCTCCACATCGCCAAGTATATGGCCCTTAACCCCCTCGGATGGCCAGGTTGGGGTTAAATGAGTCCCCAGGCCACCTTGTTCGAAACACTCTCGAGTTCCACAGAGACTCAACTTTAAACTCTCCAAATTTTTGAATGGATGTTTCGCGAACTCATCCCACCATTGTCTTGGGTAGTGAGCGACGTGAGCGAGTGTAAGTGTTTTCACATTTTCCGGTATTGGGATGAAAAAGGAGGAAGAAAACAAAAAGGTATCTAGTCTCATAGTGTGCAATTTTTTCAAGTTTGAAAAGGCTTCTCCCAACCCTTCTAATTCGGAATGTTGAATCGTATCTTCAGACGGTGTAAGCTCAAAACCGAGACCTATCGGTCCACTTGACAAAATCTCGAGTTGTTCCAAGTTGCTCGTTCGTTTTAATAGTTCTTGGAAGTCCTTTATTTCATCAGATATTGTACCCCCGGGTGACCAATACGCCCACCAATCCTTATAACTTTTCCCAAAGAATATGGCGAGCTTCGTTAATTTACTTGTATCGAAAAACCGTGTCATATTTGCTGGGCTCATGCGACTCGATAGAGAAGTAATTGAGAATTCGAGAGGAGAACGAGTAAGTGAATAATGTTTGAGAGCGATAAAGAGTTTAGAAAATAGCACGTCTTCGGAAACTAGAGAAATCGGAATTATTCATGTCAAGTCATTGTTCAACTGATAATATATATCTTGAATTGTTGAAAATGCTTACCAGGCTTACTGATATATAGTTCTGCATTCAAAATATCCATCTTTCCGGATTTAATTGCAATATTTATGAGGTCCAAGAAGTGACTTATATCATAGGCCGATGTTTCCGTTTTCTTTTGATTATCCCCATCGACGACTGTAAACTCAATATGTAAGCCCCGCGATCTATCGTATTCGGAGCTTCGAAGAACCTCCAGGTCCTCTATTGGTACAGTTGCGCCCCCCTCAGCGTGCAATTCTTGGAATTCTGAAATGGTTTTCACCGTCTTCTCGTCGATTATTCTTGATAGAGAGTAAAATGCCACTTGGCGAATATGCTTGCATGTTGGTAGGAGGCTCACTAGGTCCTCGAAATCAAGAAGATCGAAGACCAAGAGAAGAACCTCGGTGGGCATGATTGAAAGCGACATTTTTTTTTGCTAGAAGTGATGATTTAAATGTATAAACCGAAGTAATTTTGTCTCGTACACGGACCTGGAGGGGTCAATTGATCGGTTTCTTCGCAAACACGAGGGTGAGGGTATTACTGTGTTATATCGATCGAAGCTCGACGAGCCAATGGAGTGTAGCTATTATATCGTTACAGTCTGGAGTCTGGAGTCAAGAGGCACAATGGGTTGAATTCGTGAAGCTCGAAGGTTGTATTTAAATAATCTGTGATTTACATAAATTCCCGAATACAGTCATCATATTTCGCGATAGTACTCATTGTATTGAATCTCCCCGGTCCCAAGCGGGACGATTGAAACTTAGCTAGCCAATTAACTCAGCAGTGTGTGAATCTCGAGGTCACAGGTGCTGTTGGCCGATGCAGTGACACAACACAGCCCAAGGAATGCGCGCCAGAAAAAGTGCAGGCAAGTTTCCCTCCGGACACTAAACATCGTGACCGCGTGCGTAGCCAAGGCGTGAGTCATATTTAGCACGTTTCTCCTTCCACGACTGCCCATTTATAACGTTTGTGATTTTCATCGTGTCCGGAATAGTGATATTGCTTTTCATTGCAGGATCCAGAATTCCAGAATGTACGAAGCCTTGCAATGAGTTTTGGCGTTTCTATTGATAAAATACCACATAAAGAATTGCCAACGCATAATAAAGTCTCGAACTCGGCTCCCGTTTTGCGTTTAGACTAAGTGAGCACTCTAAGCTATATATTATAGATTGATCTATGCGCCGATTGGAACATTGTCAACTTACTATATGGATTTTAGTTGGATTAATATTCACGTTGTCAGAAGAAGTGATTGTGAACGCTAAAATTCTGTGATATTCAAGTGTGAAAAATATACATTGGTCTGTTTAGAGAAAGTCCGCGGCAGTCTTCCATAAGGGAACCAATCGGCTAGCTCTCAGATCCAAGGGTATCATAATGTATATATAAGAAAAGAAGAATAAGAAAAATGAAGAATAAACAAATGACAAAGAAAAAGTAAGAAAAGTAAAAAGGAAACCCTTAAGGGGAGAGAGAAAGAAAAAAAGAAATAAGTAAATACTCAATGGAAACCAACGACATTCCGATATATCTACTCAAGCAGCCGAACCCTCTGTTCACCTTCACTACATGTCACTATAGATCTGGTAAAAAGGAAGAAATGGAAGGTGGTGCTTGGGAAGATGAGATATATCCTCAAGAAACGGTCGGAGGCCGAAAGCCAGGCCCTAATATATGCACCCTAATATAAATAAAGAAACTCCGACAGAAAAAAGGCAAAAGATATCCCATATAGTATATCGTTACAACCAGTCTCCGGACCCCGAAACATGGCCCTATTCTTTTATACAATAAGCCTTAAAAGTCATCCGCCTTTTTTTTCGCCTAAGAAGCTTCTCTTTTGTATTGCATTCGGAAAATGGGTTGATAAAGTGAATAGAATTTCCAACTCTTGAAAGCTCCTTTAAATGGCACCCAATCCTCGCTTCTCGTCGATCCTTCTATATCGCCTCTGTTCCTTCCTTTGGTTGATAACCATAGCAGTGCAGCACAACATCACAAAGTCGAGGCCGACGATTCCGAAAAGAGCAGTGAAAACAGTGTTGAAGAATTCGTCCTCGAAAGCAGTGAATGGACCGACGCATGGCTTTGTCTGCGAGGCAGCCAAAGCGTTAGGGCAGACCTTGTCGGTAACGAAGAGGGGTTCCATGGCAGAGACATAACCGCAGCATTCGAACTATAAATATTATGTGTTAGACCGGAATTCAAAATGAAACATTTCATGCATAAAAGGGGATCACAAAAAAGGAAGGCGAACCTTTTGCTGCAACAATGTTTGGACGGTCGGTCCAACATCGATCCAGGCCTGGTACATCTGCGCTCTCTCGGTGAGAGTGTCGACCCAGACGAGGATACCCAAGACCAAGGAATAAACGGCACAAACGACCAACATCCAACCATGTAATCTCAACCAAAAGAGAGACTGTGGTAGTAATATTGCGGGTAACGAGAACATGAATGCCACAGCGCTGATAATACCATTGGCGAAGATTGCTACCCGTTGACAATTTTATGTATTAGCATATAATTTATATATCACATTGTTTACGGATGTACTACTTACGAGTGCAAGGAAGATAGTAGAGCAAGATAACGTATGGTGAGTTCTCAACATCTAATTTCATGGTATCCATATGTTGCATGAACAGATGGCCTGCGATAATGAGCAATATCGCACTGGCCAACTGGAGAATGTCGAAAAACAGAAAGAACCCGAGTAACTTGTTCATCTTGGCGGTGTTCGTGATGTATTATTCCCTAACGAATGTCGGTCGACGATGGAAAGGAAAAAAAAGGTTGCCTCCTCTTTTTCCTCTTAAAGTCGTACTGAGTCCCCGAAAGAAAAAATCCCGCCCTTCGAGTATATATATCGATCTACCCCCGCTTGCAATAAAACTGTCGACGGTATATCGGATTTTAGGTAATGATAGTCGTATCTTAGACCGATTAGTCGGACCAGTTCTGCAGATGCCAGCTCAAAGTGGGATCGTATGCCGGGTAACACAAAAAAGGAATAGACAAGGCCAGCCGAAAAAATAATTAGTGAAAAATAGTTCGAGTCTACTTGCTCAGCAAGGTTGTCGAATATATTAAAAAGTTGATGGTGATAGGTCGTGGTCGAAAAGAGAAACTATAAGCCCAATGTATAACTAACAGAAGCGAATGAAAGGAAAGTGAACGCGCAGCGTTTACAAAAACGAGAAAAGAATGTAATAAAAAATTATGAAGAATAGAAAAGAAAAAAAAGTTGGTAACTAGCCCAACAGATGATCCAAAAACCAGGAATCAGGAAGAGATGACGAGAAAGAAAGGAAGAGAGGTTTTGTGAGAGCCTGGAGGGATTAGCATTCTTGATATATTCAGGCAGGTTTGTTCGTGCTGTTGCGGCCAGGAGCTGCTTGGCGGCGTCCCTGTGCCATCATTCACTTCCAAAGACGGGCGCAGGGTATCATCAATTGGGACCTTTCCCAGGAAAGATTAGACGATTCAATTGAAAGACTCTGGCTGAAGCACCTTGTTTCCCAGTAATATTTCTAAGGACCTCTCTTAGTCGAGGGGAAGGTGTACGACTGCCAAGACAAATGTCCAGGAAGTTTGAAGCACTTTACGTCGCCTGTCTTTGCTAGATCCAAGGTAGCAGCACAATCGTACGATATTGCCGGATCCGATCGTTGAGGACACTATGTCTGCGGTGTAGAATGTTTTAAGCTGGTCGGAGCACTGTCTGGACAATGTTTAGGGTGACGGGCTGCCCTAGCTCGGAAAGCACCTCCCGAGTGGATTCCCCAAGCAGATAATTCCCCGAGGTGTGGCTCAGGGCCGTTAAGCTGCGGGTCTGCTTGTTTGAGGTTTCCTCCTTCTCTTCCAAAGATGTTTCCAATGTTTCCCAGGCTTTAAAATTGCTGTGTAAAAGATTCAAATTCAAAAAGTGGTCTAAAAATCATACGATGAGAAATATCTGTGGAAACTTGTAACGGTATTAATATTGTCGTCGCGACACTCCAAATAAGAGAGAACTGGAAGGCTTCAACCGTAGTCGCAACCCTTTCCGGCGCCAGTGACACAATGATACTATTCTAAGCTCACCGGATCATCGAATTCCAGCCTGTTAGGCGGCTAGAACAACATAATTCCGCCAAGGAGATCTTTGTTTAATCCAAGCTTAAAATTCTTCGATAGTCTTGTGGCACGATGGTCATGCGATCCGCAAGGAAAAGAAATGATGGATGTTTCCTATCCAAAGAAACATCCTTCGAAGGGAAGTTTTTTTCTATCCGTTCGGTTTTCTCTTCTCTCGCATGAATCATGGCATGCAGAAACAAATCTCGTCTCAAAGCAGTCCTGTCAAAAAAAAGCCCAGACCCCTTCGTTGAAATTCCCTGAGGCGTTTCGCGTAACAGCCCCAGGATTGAACCAGGAGCTCACTCTCCCATTGGCTGTATTTCTGTTCTAACGTCTTGGCGTAGCTGAGCCCCCGTAGCACCGTCAAAGGCTTAACTTCTCATGCCAAGTGTCGTCATGGGAAAGTTGTTCTTTTTCCTCCCAAATATCCCTATGGATATCTCGGATGGAAATTTCGGATATCAAAACGTTAATTGACAAGTGGTTCCGGTTGCTCTTGTTTCTTACGAGTGCAAAGATTCGCGTGGCTCTTATGTATAGATATCGGCCTAATATCCGATGACTCGAATCAATTGATAACAATCGAAGAGCTAACTTAAATGTTAAGCACTCTGTGCATACGTTCGCGAATTCGGGCTGCAGGAAGCTGTGGCACAAATCTGCATCTTGAAAAGTTTGGACGAAACGGGTAACATCCAAGTCGCCGTCAACACACCCATATCGATAAAGCGAGCCAAGGGCGCAAACTGTTGTGCAGACTGCGCCGCCAGAATTTTTTGAGACCAATAATCTTGTAATTTATTTCTTGCCTAAGCTGCTGCGGTAATAACATAAAGCAGAAAGTGCTTCATTACTACTTTATCCATTTAATTCCATGGTTCCTCCGCCTTTACTCTGTCTTTGCATTCAATTTTTCTGACATCTTTCCTGTGATCTTTAGCGCACGAGGGGCATCGAGCTTCGGCATGAATAATTCAACCAACTAGATAGAAGATGTGATGTGAGCAAACCTCGGAACTTCGAAGGGAAACTGGGGATATTCGATTCGCGAAACTTTTAGCGTTGCGAGTACATACCTGAATCTTGTCAGCCTTTGAAAACTCGTTCCCTTTCTTGAACAAGTTATCAACGTCTTTCCTTGTCTTGACCACATGGTTCAAATATTCCCCCTCTTTCGCCCCGAAGGTCTCTAAAAGTTTAGTGTGCTTCCATGGCTGAATGTCGTTATATCCGGCATCCTCTCCATGGATCATTCGCTCAATAGTGTAACCCTCGTTGTTGATGATCACAAGAATCGGCTTGAGTCCGTGGCGGATCATAGTAGAGACTTCATTACCTGTCAGCTGGAAAGAACCATCGCCGACGAAGAGAATGACTCTACGAGAAGGATCGGATTCTTTGATCGCCAATGCAGCACCTTGGCAAGCGCCTACGGAATAGCCAATTGAACCCCAAAGGACTTGAGAGATGGCTGTGACTCCTTTAGGAAAGCGGGTCTCGATGATGCCAAAGTTGGCCGTGCCACTGCGATACATATTCATTAGCAATGCACCTTTCTCTACGACCAAAATTGAAAACTGTTCGCGCTTACGTCTCTGTAATAACCACATCATTTTCTTGCAACCAGTTCCCAATGTGTGGCCAAAACCAAGAATGGGTGATCTCCTGGCTATCTGATTTCTCAGCCTCCTCGTTTTTGAGCACAGGTGGGGCAGATTTAGCGCTATCCGTGTGTCGGATTTTATGGAAATCCAAAGAATTCAGGAGTTTCTGGAGGACGGATTTCATTGTGATGCCGGGGTAGGTGGCATATCCAATCTTGATGTTTTGTGAGCGAATATCCATGCTTGGAATCCCGGGGACCGAGACTTACCTTTGTGTGATCAGAGTGGAGCTCGATCGTATTCTTCGTGCTAGTACGATACGTGAAGCCACCACTGTTGAAGTCACTCTTCAATGCACCAATTGATATGATAAGATCTGCGCATTCAACAGCCCCTTTGACATCCGGTCGAGAAACCGATCCGACATAAACCCCCCCAAATCGTGGGTTGGTCTCATCGATAGCACCTTTCGACTATTATCCAGAACCTTCGATAAGCTTCTTTTCTTTAAAGTAATCTTTCTCGGGGGCTACGCACCATTGGCGTAGCGAACGCAGGCAACTGAGACTTATCGATCAAGTCATGAACCTCGTCGACAACGCGGTGTCGAATGGCACAGGCATCCACCAAGATAATAGCGTTGTTAGCCGCATATACCATCTTGGTGATATTTTCAATAACATCACGTTCGATCTCAGGATCATTCTCGGGTAATTCCAGGTTAATCGGGGTCTTGAGTCCCTCGGCAGGGATTTTTCGGAGGACCATGTCGGTTGGGAGGGCTTTTCGATTGTGACATTAGCTAAAGCTCTATATCAAGTGATTAATTTCTACGTACCGATGTATATTGGTTGGGCCGAGACGTAGCATTCTATGGAACAGTATTTATTAGTATGATATAAATGTATATATGTTCCGATCTGGGAATACCTCTCAGAGCGCGATCAATATCCTTCGCAGCAGTAGTCGGGTCATTGAGATTGACCAGTTGCGACGAGATGTTCCTCGACATGTTAGCGAAGACGGAGAAATCGCCATTTCCGAGTGTGTGGTGAAGAAGTACGCCCTGTTTTTGCGAGATAGTTGAAGGAGTGCCGACAACGTGAACCACGGGGACACGTTCGCTGTAAGAACCGGCGACCTATTATAAGGAATATTTAGCGCTAGTTTCAACCAGTTTACTTACAGAGAGAGTAAAACCTTACAGCAGCAAGAGCAGACAGTTCACCGACACCGAATGTAGTGATTAAAGCAGAGATTCCTTTGATTCTAGCGTAGCCATCCGCAGCGTAACCAGCATTAAGCTCATTGCAATTTCCGACCCAACTACGGTAACGTCAGCGAAATCATCATAGAGAATAGAGTGTATCTGGTAAGTTTGGATTACTTGAGCCCAGCGTCACCAAGATTATCTAATGCTACAAGGTTGTAATCACCGGGAACACCGTGGACAGATCGAATACCAAGCTGGTGTAGACGCTTGAAGAGATAAAGAACAATAGTCGTTTCGGCCATTTTTTGCGTTGTTAATGTTGTAGTTTATCACGTCTTACCGAAAATGGGTAATGACGTCGAGGGATCCTGGCTTAGGAATGTGGAAGCAAGCGGATCAAACGCGCGATATCGAATCAATGGATAGAAGTGAACGTGGAGGCCGTCTGTAGCAGTGCAGTGGAAATATTTATCCGTGAGAATAGAAATTTGGCGATATTTTATACTGCTACGGAATTAATATAATAATGGAGAATTGAAAAGGGCCAAGAATTACAAGAAGCACATCCCTCGTTGAATAAATACGGATTGAATAAGATCTCTGAGAGAGAGCATAAATTCTATTTCTCGTAATTCTCCAATGCAACTCCACATGCATTTTTCCGACCCTCGTTCCTATCGAACCCGACCTCCCAGTCACCGCTTTAACCAATTCGAATTAGTGATCGTTGAACAGGCCACTCCCCCCTCGCAAACGTCATCCGTATCTAAGTACCTGTCGCTATTCGGGGATTTCATGGAGAAAATCTTGAAGAAGTGGTGCGATAGATATGCAAATCCCGGACCCGCTAGCCTGAAGCCGTTATCCAGACGGGACGTTTTACGCAGCCGGACATTAGGGCATTCTTAGTAATATTGTTCAGCATTTTTGCGTCCGTGTACGCGTGTGTCAAGACGGTCCACTAATGTATCGGATTCTTCCACGTTGCATCCTAAGATATGGTTGACGATGGTGGGATCTTAATTCCGTGACCTATTGACATTTATCGCTGCAGGTCTGTTAGTGTAGTACTGTGCAGTGCATTGATTGATGATCTCTTCCATGCCCTCTCAGCTAGTCCTTGCCACACTTTGTGTCACCTTTGCGTTGTTTGTTGGATTAAAGACATTGGCGCCAAGTCTTCTGGCCGTTGGTGATGCTTCCGTCGGTCTCGAGTCTCGATCTGGATCTGGTCCGGGCTCGAGATGTTAACCCGAGGACACTTTATAGGTGGTCAGTGATTGTACATTAGTAGCTATTATTTCTCATGCACTGAAGATACTAATTGCCTTTCCATTCAATCTGCTCCACAAAAACTTTTGGTGATGAGATAGGCCAACAGGACGATGAATATGCATGCTGTTTGCGCGAAACAGATTCGAAGCTAAGTCTGGATGTTCCAAGCCTGTCGTCTACAGGACCACCTCAACACAAACACAAAACACAAACCTCAAACTTCAAACCTCTCTGTGTTCTTTTCTCCAGTTTTCGAAAAAGACAGCTGCTTCGAAAAGTTACTGCAAAATATCCCCAATTTCCGATTTACTTTTAAAAATACCAACAAGGTAACGTAACTCACCTCGCCCGTTGGTTGCGAACATTACCAAGACATCTTCCTTCAGACCATTTAATTTATTGACTGAACTTTCGGCAGAATGGATAGATTTTCCGTGGATCAGAGCGGGACAACCACTGCCCAAACTAATGATGGAGCTGTTATGACAAATGTCGCCGTTTGGACTCCATCTGATGAAACAGCATTCGAAAATGCTCGCTCTGCCACGGTTTTCACGCGGATAGGGACACGACATTCGCCGGATGAACTCAAAGTTGTTCTAGATGCAACACCCACCGTTAAGCAAACTTTCTGCTTATCAGTGAACAACGTGCTATTGATTTTCTCGGACAATATTGAGAGCCATAGGGCCGATGTAAGGGCCGTTCTTACGATGTTGCAGGAAAATTCGATGAAAGCAGATCCTCGGGATTGTGTTTGGGATGCTGGGGAGGCGACGGATGCAGGAATTAGGCTGGAACAAGTCGGGGAGCACAAGGCCTATATGGTCGTCAATACAGGCCGACCTGGAGCATGAAGTCGGCTACTATTCACCGATCCATTATCATGCTCTCAGTTTGTTACGAATTCCACATTGGTAGGGTTCGGTTCCTGCCTTGAAAACATACAGGGCTAGGTAATTTTTTCACAACTCAATTGTGGAAGATTGGTTATGACACTTAAGATGTCGGTCATCGATTTTGATGTATTCAACAACAAGTAGACAAAAAGATACCTGATTTCGGCGAATTCGCGAAGTGCGAATTACCTTGTACTAGCAGGCCGGGACAAGACAAGTAATGAAAGTAGAAACTAGTGACTTAGCACGGGTCATACACGTGGTACTATCCGAACATGTGCACCAAAAAAGCCTGTAAAACACGTCCCCTTGCGAAATCCAAAGGATATATGAGACCATTGCTCTTGGAATAAATCCTCAAATTTTGTAAACTCCCTTTGTCGAGGCTCTTCAGATCGCCCTGAATACCAGCCTGTTCGTCTATCCCCATCTCCTGGCAATATTCCAAAAAGTCGTATATATTAATATAGTATTCGGAAAGTACCTAAATATAGGTTAGTACTGGAGTAGACTAATTATTTCTTATGTCGCACAAAAGCGATTTGGATATTGTAAAGATCAATCAAAGCTTATAAGAATTTCCTTTACCTTCTTACACTTCGTTATACTCGTCGGAGGGGGATCATCTGGTTCGAACATAGCCACCAGTCTCTGCCATGTCTCGAGTTTGTTACCATCTCCGAATCTCGTGGTGAACTCCGAGTCAATCGCTTCGAAGAACTTCCTCTTCTCTGCCAATCGCTTCTTACGGCGCCATTTCTCGGCTTTTGCCAGATCATCGAATGTTTTACGGATGTTTAGCTTCGTATCGCTGTTGTATTTGAATTTTGACCCGGGCCTAGATGCGTGCTCGTAAAAGTACTGATCCACCGGGGTTCGCCTTCGTGGCGCAGTTGAAGTCTCCCCGGTCGCATCGTCATCTGATAAGGCGATATTTGAAAACCTCTGGCTCAGGCCATCGAGAGAGTTGTGAGTCGCCATCCTATATTCGCTTTAATTCCTTCACTTCCACCCGATCTGACTGCACTGATAGGGATTCTGAGATTATTCCCCCTCATCAACCTAAGTGAGTTAACTGGAGACCTGAGTGTTTTCTTCCGCAGCTCCCCGCAGTTAAGTTGGGGTACTTAAAGTTAGTCTCGTATCCAATAAATTGAACGTTAAGGCAAGAGCCTGGTCATATGGGATGCATGCCTTCTAGCCAATAGCGGATAATCATGTGTACGGTACATCTTGAGGTCATGGCCCTCACAATCAAGTATCAATCTTAAGCAGCTGTGCCACGCATGTACACCTAGGCTCCTGATCTGTAGTAACATCATGCAGGCATATGCCTAATGCTTGTTATGTGGTTGACTAAACGAATATTCGAGAGGTGGTCGATTGTTTTGTCTCGCGCCGTTCTTGTTCCCTTTTCTATTCTAGCTTAGATATTGTTATATTATATTCTGATCATTAGGGTAGACGTAAAATAAATAAATAAATGAAGTAAAATAAAATAAAACCAATTTTTGATCGGAGCATTGAATTGCATGGCCTGGCTGGTTCCGGGATTGAAAATTAACAGCCTTGTTGTGATTCTGGTGTTGATCACGTGGCAGGGACTGGCTTAGCCTTGTATCCGGACAGTGTGCTTATTATGCCAAGGCTGATTCACTAAAGGGGTTTTGCATTGGCGTCATGGAAAGGGACTTGGGAAGGGATCGGATGAATAAGGTAAATTAAATCAGGGCAAACCAAATGTGTTTTCCAGTCGACACTGACAACACCACAAGATGTGATTGAAGCTGTAGAATCATGCGCTGGGAGGGTCACCAACAACATCAGTCTGCGGGAGCGCGATAAATAATCAAACAGAATAGTTAAGTAGTAATAATGTAACAAAGGGAGCCCAGTTTTTATTGAGATCCAGACCGATGAGTGTGAAATATTCAATTTTTCATTCGTAGACTACAAGGTGAAGATATAATGATCACGAAGCAGATATCTCTAAATGCGGTTGGAGACTGCTGTAAATGATTCTACATGTCCCGATGGGCTGGACAGGTCTTTCGAGACTACGATATCGAGAATGAGATCTTTTGCGCTCCACCAGAGATTGCATCGCGTGCGCAATTTCAGTTGTATTGAGGGAATACGGGCTAACTTTTGTACGCGCCTCTTTTTGAGGAGGCTGGGGAGAACTTGGGTTTTGCGAATAGTACGCGGCGGTGCGCCTCCTCTTGAGGCTGGAGAAACGCAGAAATGAGGCTGGAAAATATCACAATGCCTCACCATAGCTCGAGGTCAATGCCTCACGATCAAGGAGATGCGACCCAGTATGCAGGCCACAGTCAGACCTCGGTCTCTAAGGGGACTCTTTCATATTTTAAAAGTGAGGTTCAAACCCAGTTTCTATGCGGGTTTGCGTGGTAACCAGCGAAGCCATGGAGTTTCTTGCAATTTGGTTGAGTCCCAGGTGCCATTTTCGAGTGCCAGAAAAGTGCCAAAAGTGCCAGAATTGCAATTAAAAAAGTGGTCCGCGTGCGGGGATTCAAAGAAGGGTTTGGGGTGTGCCATTTTCAAAAAGTGGCAAAATGCCGAGCACAACACAAAAAGCAAGAATGGCACTTTTGGCACTTTTGGCACACCAAAATTCTGGTAAAATGGCCATCACTTTTTTGCAGAGATTTTCTGAAAAAGTGGCACCACCCAAATTATGTCTGGTACGGGCGACAGCATTCGACAGCAGGACTTTGCAACTAAAGAAGAATACTTTTCTCCATCCAAGTTTTTCGCAGCCGCACCAGCCCTGCACCAGCCTCCTCCTTCCAACTGTGGCGAGTAGCACGTGATACTTACATGGCTTGCCAAATCTCTCGTACAGAGTATTGCAAGCTCATGTTGCGGATTGGAGGGGCGCAGAAACCTTCAACCCAAATTAATCAGGAACGTCTAGAAAATCAATTTACAAGGCAATTGGCACTGTTACGATGGGTGGCGGAAATGTTTGGAGAAGAAGATAACTCTTTCTTGTAGTCGTCTACACTCGAAAAAATATTTACTTCCGCGAGCGTGAGGCTGTTAAAAGGTGCCTGTATACATGCTGATGTGCACTGGCGGCACAGTCTGTTCACAGGGTTGGTGTAAGTAGGAGGCCTCTTTGCTTCGCGCGGGAAAAATTTAGGGGCACAGCCAATATCCCACACAGGACATGAACGCTATATCACGTGATGCAACACGTTTGTCCGTGGTGAACGCGTTGTTCCGTCCCATCACCTGACTTCTCCATTGATGCACCACCCTATCCATCGATGATGATGACTTTGGAAGCTTCGCGGTCGATACAAAGCCAATCACTTATCGTCCTGCACCCCTCCTGATTGGCCCCTATGACCTGAAGCCCGAGTCTCTCTTCATCCATTCGCCATCCCTTCCTCCCAACCGGACACCATCGCGAAGTACATCAACATTCCAATCGTTTGTAGACCTAGATGCCTTATATGTATGTATGACGGGCTAATTATATAACCATCTTGTAAGTTATGAAGCTACCCTTTTCAACGATGCTTCAGCTAATAATAATTCATTGGCTCTAGTCTAGAGGTGAATCTGCACCGTCAGAATGCCTCCCTCAAAACCACCACCAGTCACTAAAAAAACAACAAAACCCCAAATACAAGACGATGATAACATTGCCAATATCAGATGGAGTAAGGCATTAGAACTCGCTCTAGCCGGCCGTATGGTGGATGAATACAATTCTAAATATGTTGCCAATAAAGCCGCTACATCCAAAAGGTGGGCTTCTGATATCGGTATATTGGACGCTGATCCGCGTGGGAAAAAGACGAAACATCATATCACGAAGATGGTGTTAGATTGGAAGAAAACTTGGGATTGGTCGCAGGGGACGGGACGGGGGGATATCGAGAAGGATGGATCCATTATCAGCCTTGAGCAGCAGTGCCTTGAGAAATGTCACTTTTTCAAAGCCCTGTTGCCGGTCTTCGGGAATAGTTCATCAGTACAACCGTCTGCTCAATTGACGAGCACTGGTATGATTTCGACAGCTTCAGTAGGGACTTCACAGGTTGGAAGTGGGAACCAAAGGCAGGCCCCCGAGGCGGAAGCAGAGGCCGATGCCGAGGCTGAAGACGATGATGAGGAAGATGAAGCCGAAGAAGGGGAGGAGGAGGAAGAGGCGACGGTCGAGTGGCGCGAAAGTGATGACGAAGACCAAGTCTCAAAGGGGGGCGAGGACGAGGAAGATGACGACCAGCAAAACCGCCCGAAAAAAGCCTCATCTAAGGGCTCAGCCGGGCAAGATACTTCGCTATCGCGAGCAGGCTCTGCAACCCCTCGACAGTTCATGAATTCGGCTGCTACACCCTCAAAAGCCTCTTTTGGTTTCCGCGGAGGGAAAAGGATGTCAGCTATTGATGAGATGCGAGCTATGATCCAGGCCCCCGTCGAAGCCCAAAAGGCAAAATACGAAGCTAAAGTGGCTATCGCCAAGTCGGAGCTTGATAAGGAGAAAGCCCAGAAGGAGCACGAAATAAAGATGGCTCGTCTGAGTATTCTGCAAAAGGAGCAGGAACGTTCCCACGAGATAGCTATCTTGAATGCCAAGTCTGAAATCGATCATTACAATGCGGAAATCGAAAGGTTGAAGCTGAAGCGATCGATGGGGCTGGACCTCACTGACGAAGAAAAGAATTTCATTTGCCAACCGGCACCCAAGATGCCTACCATCGAGGCTCCGAAATCTATACTAGATGACCCGGACCTCATTATCATAACCAGCCGCCCGGTTGCGAAGCGATCTGATTCTGTTTCAGCCGTCAAACGAGAACGTGAACCGGAGCGAAAAGGCACCAAGAGGAAACTAATGCCGGACGCTACCCCTAGCACTACTATCGGTTTCGAAGTCACGCGTACGCCAACTACCACTCAGCGCGGCCAAATTAATGATGTCACGCCCACCGTAAAGCGCCCCTCGAAAAAACCAAAATCATCAGCCAACTTGCTGGAGAAACAATCCGTTCCGGATTCGAATCCAACACCACAGTCTTCGACCCCAGCTCCTTCAGACGGTGGAACCTCACCAGCGATTGAACCTGTGCTGGCTAGGATACAGCGGGCCAGTATTACTACAGTCAAAAGTAATGATAAGGTCGGTGATAAGGTCGGTGATAAGAGTGGCAGTAGGGCTACCGCTAAGGTGGGCAGGACGCAACTGGAACCCCAACCAAACCAGCCGTATGCCGGCCCGCCTCAACCTCCTACACCATCTCAACGTGCCCCTTATGACCCCAACTATCCTGATGAGTTTTACCGCAATGTGCATGCAGAAGAAGATGTCCTCTACAACGAAGGATATCAACGGATGCTACAGCAAGGTGGCTCGGTTATGATGAACGAAGCCTGGCAGGGACACGGATACGCCCCTAATAAGAATATGTATCGTGAATTTGAGCCTACCGGACCCCAAATGCAAAGGTTTTATGGGGAGGACCAGTTATCCATGGATGACCAAGCTCTTCGTCACCAACGTGGTATGTTCTTCAATAGCCCTCACCCTGGTAGATTCACGGGTTCACGTGCTGGTCATCCACGCCACCCTGCTATCGGGCATCACCCGCACCCTATGCAATATCCTCATCCATATCATCCGTACCCTCACCCTCAGTCTTTCGGAGAAGGTGGTCAAGCTCCTGTTCCCGGTAGAATCGACTACAGGTCAACTAGTCCAGATACTGTAATCACAACTGCTTCGGAAACTAGAGCCGATCCGTCCCTCGAAGAAACGGCAGAGCCATGAGTTTCGAGATTTTTTGATTCTGAACGATGTTTCATGACGGTTTCCTCTGATTCATTTCCTCTTCCTCTTCCTTGCATTTTTACCGGCGTTTGATCCCACCAGCATTGCCATTTCCTCGTCAAAAGCCTCATCTTCGTCCATTACTCTCTGCATTAGCGCCAGGCGTCTTGTATGTCCCCTTCTTTCGTCCTTTGACATCCTAGCTAGCAACCCCGGGTTTTCGACTTGAACCGACCCGTCTATCGCTCCCAAATATTCCTCATCCCTTTCCCTCTCCTCTTTTAATACCTCCTCTAGCATTTCGGTTGTTGGCTCCCACTCATCCCTAAAATCAACTAACATATTATGCAAAACCACACACGCACCAATCCATCGTAGTGCCTCCGATAGCTTCTCCTGTGAGACTAAGCGAACTGGGAGTCGCTGTAAAGACCTAAACCGTAACTTAAGGATTCCAATTGTGTGTTCGGCTTTGACCCGTAGACTGGATAACTTCCAATTGAACCTTCTCTGCTCCTTCGGTGGTTTTCCTGATCTTGGCTGTTTAAACGGAATAATCAACCTTTCGTTCAACGCGTACCCCTTATCACCAAGGAGATACTGATATTGGTTTTTGAAAAACTCCTCGGGTTTTTGGAAGAGATCCGTAACCCTGAACGCCCTTTGGTCGGAAACACTGCCCGGGAATAGACTCGTGAAGTGAGTTATTCTGTTTTGGTCGTCACAGACGACGGTAGCATGTTGGCCGTATGCATGTTTTCTCATGTTGTAGTAATTTCTTGCGTCTTCCTTTCCGAATGCTGGGCGGGTAGCAAAGGGGAACATTGTACCGTCGATAAAGCCCACGCAGTCTTCCCATACCGCAAAGTCCTTTTGCCTTAAACGTGCTTTCATAGCAGCCTGCTCCTCAACTGTAGGCCATCTAACATACTCTGACCACAGCTCCATCAACGCACCAGCCACTCTCTGAGTATAAAGTACCACCGTCCCTTCCCCGATTCCGAATTTCTGGGCAATCTGGCTGACATCGTCCAATCCACCAAATCTGCGTAACGCGATTTTTAGTTGTAATTCTGCAGAGCCCTGTCTGTCGCCAAAAACTGGGTTTGTAGAGATTTTTTGGAGGATGAAAGCGAATGCATCGGGATTGACACGGAAGTTCTGGCGGAAACGGTCATTATCGAGGTTTGGGACTACGTTTAGGTAGAAATCTTGGGTTCTGGGGACGGGGAGTCGCGGAGCAATGTATCTTTCGGATTTGATTAGATCGAGGAATTTTTCGTTTGCAAGAACGGTGAGGATTATTGATTGGCAAGAGGAAGAAGATGAGGATGAGGATGAGGATGAAGATGAGGATGAAGATATGGATGAAGGGGCAGGTTGATGGTTATTCTCGACATTTTCGTCGTTCTCGGTATCCTCGGTATCGGTGGGAGTGTTTTCGAGCCTTTTGGTGTATTTGTCGTGGAGCTTGACGTAAGCTTCGAGAGTGCGAGGGATATACTTTAAGAACTGTTCGCCAGTCGTGCGATTTAGTTCGGTGGTTAGCTGGTCGATGTACCAGTCGATCAGTTCTTTTCTGACGCTCGTTCTAGGCATGTTCTGGTGGTGGTGATGCAATCTGGGATGTGGTGATATTAATATATTGAACAAGGAGAACACTGGTAATTCAACTTGGCTGCGTTGGGACGCGCATTCCCGTGATATATCCCATTCCCAGCAATTCCAGTTATAGTCTGTTAGAATTCGAAAGACTTTCGGTAGTTACTACAGCTTCAAGACCGACTACCACTAACTGGGTATGTAGAATTTGCGCCATGAACTCCTGTCAGCTACCAGCTGTGGAGACCGAGGTTCTTGGCGTAGTCCAACCGAAGGACTTCAGGCCGAATTCAACCGTCGGGCGTCGAACAACATGCAACATCCTCCAAATTTATCTCGTGAACTTGCATATACTTCAACCGTCATCAAGTAACAATGGCAGCTTCCGAAGTTTTCTTTGGGCCTTTCAAGGTCTCGACACAGGTAAGATATCCTCGGTATAACCGCTCTACCAGGACCACGTTCTAACCGCTATAATAGGTTTTTTATAAGACAAGATTGTCCAGTATGCATATGAACTCTGTTTGAGGAAGATATACAATATATCTTGTATTCCGTCATTCGCGTTTAGCACCTCTAATCTCAATGGGGGAACAGTGGCTATAGTAAACATCAAACCAATTCTTCCCGGTCATGTCCTTGTCTGTCCGATACGAGTCGTTGCACGGTACAAAGATATGACCAGTGAAGAGGTATGTCACAATCCCACTCTTTACCAGCTAGTTTAAGAAAGAACTTACAAACAATACTCATTCGGGGCAGTAGGTTCTGGATCATGCTTTGGCCGTCCAAAAAGTTGTGAAGGGTATTTTTGTCTTTCCGGGCTTAAATCCGCCTTAGCGGGATTATATCGGCTAACGCCAGTTCAAGTGATTGAAAGAATTTATGGTACTACTGGTACAACTATCGCTATTCAGGACGGAGGTTCCGCTGGACAAAGGTATGCATGATCTTTTCTTATGTACAAATTACCCCTTCTTCTTCTTCTTCTTCTTTTTTCATTATACTATAACTAGTATTCACAGTTTGGGGTATAATCTCTGATTTGATTAATTAACCAGTGTCCCACATGTCCACACTCACATCATTCCTCGCAAACTGAACGATTTCCCGTCAATTGACGATGTTTACACACATCTTGAAAGCCCGGACAGCAATGTCGGCAAATTCCTGGAGATCCAACGGCTGAGAAAGACAGTCGAGGAACAAAAGAAGGAACTTGTAGTCGAGAGTACGAGTCGGCCACCTCGGACGATGGAGGAAATGGAGGAGGAAACCCGGATGTTGGCGGCTGAGATTGAGAAGGAAACGGGGTCGAAGTTGTAGAAATTAATTGTTTACTGTTCTGGCAGTGGGATGTTGAGCTCGGAGACGAGTAGTACAACGGCTCCAAGACCCCTCCGTAGGTCGGCATGGCCGACATCATGTGTGTCCTCCACAAGCCCCCATTGTTCGATCTGGAAGTCTGTTTCTAGATTGCATGCTTTTGCGGCGTCTTCCACGTCCCATTTTATATCTGCAGTCTTTCTGTTTTCCATAACTAGCCTTAGAGCGACAAGTAAACTCTTGCTGAGGATCACGGCGCACTCTAGGCCGACTAGTTCCCACGCCGAGAATTTTGAGATCATATCTCGCAGTATTTGTTTTGTTCGATCCGACTGGCTGCTAGGGAGGATACCATGGTCACCGTCCGATAGCACGAAGTCTAACTTGTCTTCGCCTTTCGGTACCGGGATATTCTCTTGTGCCCATTCGATGATATCATGGGCTACGTCTAGTTGTCGGTCTCGTAGTTGTTTTTCTCCAGCTGCGGCCAAATGCCCCCCTCTGGTCGGACTGATCATAAATACCGTATCCGTATCCAAATAACCCATAACAAAGTCCGTGATTTGTTCCCTCGTATTCCTGACATCAACCTCCCCCCCTTCCTCTCCCTCTGAAGTAGCCTCGATTGTCTCAACAGAGGCCGAATCCTTCTCCGCAACCTCTAGATCAATAGCCCGAGAAGTCAACGACGTCAACGGGATAAAATGTGACTTCAAAGCCTCCTTTGAGTTTCTCATAGTCGCCCATTCGACTTGTAGAGCATACGCCAGCAATGGTTTGTTGACCGGTACTGATACATCGTTTTTCGCTGACGTCTTGATAGACCGGGCGTCTAGAAGGATTTGATACCTTCCGTCGACTACTTTGAGGTGAACATCTTCCCAGAAACGTTCGGTACGAGGTTTGGGAATGGCGGCTTGTCGGAGACGGTTACGAGTTATGTATTCGGGTTGGGGGACTGGTGGGTCCGGTGGGGGCCCATCAACGGTTCCACCGAGGGGTAGAGGGTTTGCATAGTTGGAATGGGTGGTGTGGATTTGTCGAGGGGCAGCTATTCGGTGAGCGAGAGGAAGCGGACGGAAGGTTGCTAGAGAGGTTGTGCAGCGCCAGCAGAGAGACGGCTGCCTCGATGCCCGCAAGAGCGATATCGACTTCCTTTTTATCATCGTGTAATTTCAACTTCCCTCCCAATCGACTGTCAATAGTAAAGTATTCTAAGGTATGTGTATAAACGATAGTGAAGTTGCAATTGGCAGGTTTGCATTGGTGAACATCTGGGCCGCCGAAAATTAAACGGTGTATTTCCTAATCTAGTAATTCTCAATATCATTTCCTGATTGGGTGTCTAATGGACCTGGCATGGTTACCAACCCGGACCCCTGCAGCGTTGACGCCAAACAAAACACCGTTCACCGGTTGAACTCAAAGAGGAAGAGGAACAGTTGAGACTTCAACATTCTTTATCATCCCACCTCCACCCCCCTTCATCCCTCGGACGGATGATATCTTCAATCGCGTCGCCTTTGTCGCATGTTCGCGGTCTTATCTTGACGGTCATCTCTTAGCTATATTAGGCTTCAAGTATTCGGATATACGAAGTATTTCGGACAACAGCTGATACGAGGCGAACTGCTAGGGAAAGCTTCGAGCATTCCTGCAGTACCTCAATATATCCTCCTCTAATCTCTATCGACAAGGATACCATACTTAGTGTCTCTCTATACATCTCACTATCCCTGACTTCCTGCCAGGGGATAGATTGCTCTAAACCTTCTACGATAATTCCATCCACCAGAACTCTCTCATAAATACCTGCTATTTAGAGCAGAAAAAGATTATTAGCCATGTTCACCACAAAGCGCAAGATCCACAATCTCCTCCACAATGCTACCAACCGTGGTACCACCGCTCCCTCCCTCTCAAGCAGCCCCACGAAGTCACCCACCGCCACAAGGACCACCGTCATTGATGAACATAACGATGCTACAGCATCAGAAACCACATTAGTCGAACCTCCTAAAGATTCTACCCCAACGAAGGACGCCTCGAAATCCATCTATCAGCTTCCAAAGGGTAACAACAGCCTAACATCCCTTATTGACGAGTCTATACGTAAACGACGAAGGGTGGAGCTGGATCTTGCTAGAAGCAAGACTATGGCTCCACCGCAATCATCCAGACCAACGACACCAGGCGGAGACTCGCGAGCGAGTTCCGTGGCCCCAAGTGCCAGCGGCACTGGTACTTCACCTAAAGTTATCAAAGTCGCGGCTGCGAGATACGCTCCTTGGGATAGAAATGAGTTCTTGCAAAGGCTAGAGACCTTTAGATCTGTGTCTAACTGGAGCTCAAAGCCCGAGAAGATCAACGAAGTCGCTTGGGCGAAGAGGGGCTGGATTTGTATGCAAACTTCCAAGAATAGGGTCAGGTGTACCAGTCATTGCGGCGGCGAACTGGTTGTGAAGGTCGATTTCGATGGTTTCGAGGTTACGGCGGAAGAAGTTGAAAATGAAGATGAGAACGATGACGAAACTACCGAAGAGAAGAGGGAAAGACTTGACGCTTTGATTACGAAGTACGAGGAGCTTACTGTGAGTGGCCATGAAGATGGTTGCTTGTGGAAAAAGCGTGGTTGTGATAGTAAGTACATTATCCAAGTCGAGCAACTTCTCTTCCTATCAAAAAGGCTAAAGGGCTAATGATCTGGTAGAAGCGATATATCGACTCCCTCTACAACCTGCAACTGAAGCACGAAACGGTTTTTACGCCAGGTACAAATCTCTCACCAATGTCTCCGATGACCAGCTCGTTATCAACCTCACAAGGCCAAATGAAGTCGATACATCCGTCCTAAACCTACCGGAAGACATAGGAAAAGAGCATCTTAAACAAAACGCATTGGTTTTAGCCTTATTCGGTTGGTCCAAAGAAGACAACGAATCATCTGTTGAAATGGTCAAATGCGATGCTTGTTTCCGTCGGCTCGGCTTATGGCTCTTTGTCAAGCGCCCGAGTGTTACAGAGGAAGAAGGCGACGAGTTCAGCAGTATGTCGCGCCTTAATGTGGTTGACGAACACAGAGAAGTACGTTCTTAAAATCAATCCTCGACTAATGTTTTTTGTGCTAATATGCCAATGCAGTACTGCCCCTGGGTCAATCCAGCGTCGCAAACCGGAGACCATGCAGGCTGGGAAATTCTCTTGAGGATATTGAAGAGCAGTATTCCTGGGAATCTAGTCGCTGCTCCATCGCCGGCTCGTCCCAAGACGGCAGCAGTTACTCCACACAAGACCGAGGAGGAGCATAGAAAAGACGACGAAAACAGGTGGAAGAGGCTTAAGAGTCTAAGGAAGTCTTACGGGTCCTCTTTTGCGATGTCTATCCTTGGCGGAAAGAAAGGCGACAAGAACGCTGCGGCCAGCAGCCCTTCAAAGGGGACCGCAACTTCCTGATTTTCGTCGTTCCTTTTTCTAAAAAGTTAAACTTTGGTTATGTTCATGTATATGTCTTTCCTTAAGCTTCCTCTTTTTATTCATCAGCGTTGTTGTTGGTTGCAATTGTTTGCAGTATCCGCGACTTATTCGGAGTTTGGCGGTGGGGATAGGATTCCTTTTCTTGTAGGATAACCAGATATCATAATACTTCTCTCTTCCCGTTAAACAGGCATGTAACAGAATGCCGTCAAGTATTACCTGGACATCATTACATACTTTGCAATTGGATATATCGTTTGGCAGGTTCCGGACGCCACAAAGTTGTTGAACATCGGCATGCGTCGGCCTTGGCATGTCCTGAGCTCATCTATTGCTTCCCCAGATTACCATCCCCCCCGACTTGCAGGAAGCTTAGCTCTATGAACCAATATTCCCTTCTCGCCATATGACTTCTCTCCCTCAATTCCTTCCTTCATTCTCCATAATAACTCCCGGGCCTCCTTCTAGAGTCGTTTGGTCACTATAATGTCTTTTGCCGCGCCCTTTCGACGGTCGTTGATACCGAGAACCACACGAACGATTGCTTCGCGATACCCATGTTCGAAACGACGATGTTTTGCATCGGTAACCTCGTCAACCACAACACCCGAAGCGCCTAGGGAGCCTGAGGGGACCAGGGAGGTGCCCATGACTGTTGGAGATGGGGGTTCTGGAACTGTACGCCCTGTACGACAACGCCATGGTAGCGATAGGTATGTCGAACAAATAACAACCATTTCAAACTGCTGGTGATTTTTTTTTTTTTTATCCTTCTCTAACCCATTGGTCAAATAGATTGGTTTTTCCTGGTGCTGTGAATAGTAAATTCACTAATCGTCTTCAATTCCGCATGTCCGATCCCAATGAAGCGATCGAAACATATCGTGTCATGGACACCGAGGGACAGATTGTCGATGAAACCCATGGTCTTGACTTTGAGGGTCTAAAAGAGCAGACACTTAAGATGTATAAAAGCATGGTTACAAGTGCGTATATACATTCAAATCCCTAAAGGAAAGGGAATTAAATTAGTTCAATTCTAACATAAAATGAATATAGTCTCGATTATGGATCAAATCATGTACGACTCCCAACGACAGGGCCGTATCAGTTTTTATATTGTAAATGCTGGTGAGGAGGGTATTGCAGTTGGGTCAGCCGCGGCTCTTAGCGAACAGGATGTGATTTATGCGCAGTATCGAGAGGCTGGAGTGTTGATGTATAGAGGGTATACGCTTGAGGAGTTTATGGCGCAGTGTTTTTCGAATAAGAATGATGACGGGAAGGGGAAGAATATGCCAATTCATTATGGAAGTCGAAGATTGAACTTTGTAGGTTCTTTCCCCCCTTTTCCCTTACAAGCGGAGAGGAGGGGATGGGTGGTGGTTAGTGATGAGTGTTATTTTGCTAATACGTAGATGTCTACAGCACCCGATCAGTTCTCCGTTGGCTACACAGTTACCACATGCTGCTGGCGCTGGGTGTAAGTATTTTAACCCCCCCCCTTAGAAAAATTTAACATAGCCGTTAATTCTTCATCACTTTAGATGCTCTTAAGCTAGAGGGAACCCCTGCTTGTGCTGTCACATACTTTGGTGAAGGTGCTGCTTCAGAGGGAGATTTCCATGCAGCACTCAATATTGCAGCTACCAGAGGTTGTCCTACGGTCTTCATTTGCAGAAATAATGGTTATGCAATCAGTACTCCGACTCTAGAGCAGTACAAAGGTGATGGTATCGCTAGTCGCGGTGTCGGATACGGAATTGATACTATCAGAGTTGATGGGAATGATGTAAGTTCACAAAACCTACCTACTACCTAACACTAAAATGTCGTTTTTTATAAAAGTATTTTTGTTAATATACATTTCATCTACAGGCATGGGCCGTCTACAAAGTCACCAAAGAAGCCCGGGAAATCGCTATCGCCCAAAAGAAGCCCGTCTTGATCGAAGCCATGTCATACCGTGTCTCCCATCACTCCACATCCGACGACTCCTTCGCCTACCGTGCCCGCGTGGAAGTCGAAGACTGGAAACGTCGTGATAACCCAATTACTCGTATGCGTAAGTTCATGGAACTACGAAACTGGTGGGATCAAGACAAAGATACACAATTAAGAACACAGGCTAGAAAGGATTTGTTAAAGGCTTTCAATGCGGCCGAGAGGGAGAAGAAACCAGCGATTAGTAACCTTTGGGAAGATGTCTATGATAAGCCTACTAAGGATCAGTGGGCACAGATGGAGGAGATGAAGGATATTTTGGATAGGTATGGGGAGGAGTATGACCTTGATATGTATGATGGGGGTAAGGGTGGGGTTGTTATAAAGAAATAGATCATGTTATATTTTTGCCTTCACCCTTTTCAAGTCTCTTCCTTTTTCTTTTAATTTCACCCTTAGATGGGTATCATATTGTCACTAGCGAAGTCTCTAGTGACGAGATAGCCGGACATCCTACCTAGCTCATGATTTAACCCGCGCGCATGTATGATAAGGGGTTATATGGCGACGGCGAAATTCAATACCATGGTTCTCAGAAGCAACTAACCCTTTTCCGCTTAATCAAGCATTGTAAGGATATGTGCATCGGTGATAAATATACCAAAAGGACTGCGTTGGATGTTGGATATGAGTTCCCAATTTACTGAGGTACCATGATACTCAAATAACTACAAGATACACAGCTGCGCTAGGAATATTACCCGGATAAGGATAAAAAAAAGAAGAAGTCAATTCACCCAGAAATGAGGTGAGTTCACTTTGAATAGTTGCCTGTATACCTCCTTATACTTAAGTAATTTATGTAAATGGCCACGTCCGGTGTCGAACCGGCTTCTCGGTCCGGACGACAAGCGTCGCAAACCCGAGCGTACACCAACTACACCACAAGGCCTTTCTAGACTTTTCAGCAAATTGGGGGAATGTCGATACATCGTGGTCAATAAAAGAATAAGGTCCGGACGTCCCAGCTCCGGTCGTGGTTGGAAGTCGCAGAGCTAAAACTATAACAAAGAGCTGGCTCACAAGCGCAAGCTGCGAGATTCAAGACGGGAATTCGAACCTGTTAGCCCATGGGCCCAGCTAACCTCGAGACTCAGCCTTCAAAATCATCAAAACATTACATGCAGCCTGTCGGACCTGCGATCCAAAATACACCTAGCCTCGAAGGCAAGTATGTATGCCGGGGGAAGAAACTCAAGATAGGTTTCATTCTAACCAGGCGAAATTCACCCGCATCTCGCTTATGCGCCGGCCTTTCAAAAGGGGAACTGTTGCTTGTCGGTATACTCGGTTGACATCTAACAGACGCTAAGCTAAGCAGCTTCAAGGATTCTAGTCTCCAATAGTACCATAAGTGCAATCAGAACGAGGACGAGCAAAAGAGAAGACCAGAGAAGACCCGATATTCTATCATCCTCATACAGGCTGGCCATGGACCGGACTCGAACCCGTCATCTCCCGCATTCTATACGTGGTCGCGTTGCCATTACACCACAAGGCCTTTCATGAAATCCCATTGAAATCTACCGAATCCCACTAAAAAAGTCAACTGTGGAGAAGCCAAAAAAGTAAGCTCCGTGAGAGCTTCGAGAGCAGTTCTCCTCCCGTGAATGGACGTGTACGGATTCGAACTGTAACCTTCCAATCAGGTATCAACAAATTGGATGTGCTTCCAACTACACCACAGGTCCGATAGTCTGAATAGGAGGGTTGGATTCCGTGGTTACTTGTCTTGTCAAGGATCCTGCGTATTGATCCGAAGTATCTCCTCAAGAAGTAAGCAAACAGATAAGAATTATTTAGCGAGGCGGCCTCGGCCGCAAGCTGATACATGTTGGAACTGCCTCAAAAGCCATACTAGAACTGATGCAGTTTGTATCGGCCTGTGCCGTACGTCAGACGGTAACTGGCCAACGTTGGCGTTATTAACATTAGTCCGGGGACGCTCACCTCTGCCTTGGTGTTAACTTGCATGTGTTCACGTCTATAGCTAGCTAGGATCCTTGGAGCTGCTGCATGCATGCTGCATGCATGATGTCCCCCAATGGGTTTGATGCAGGTAGCTAGACGAGCGGTTCCACTTTGTGATCAAAAATACAGATACATGTTGCAGGTGTTAGGTACCTCCCAGCTCTTGATTTTTATATTCAGCCCAAGGATTCGATTCCTGCTTCTGATAATTATATATAGCGGGAGGCTGGCTGGATGTAAGACCACATGCCAGACTTTCATCCTATGCTTCCCCCCACAGTAATCCTATTCCAAAATCACAATCATGGCAAACTTACTCTCATTGCCCACCGAACTTCTTATTCAAATATTATCTGATGATTCTATTGCTTCTTCAGACCTCTGGACCTGTCGACAGGTCTGTAGGTACTTCAACAATGTCGCAGAAAAATGTTCAATCAACTATATTTTCCAAGTAGATGCTGTCAATCACCCAACATGGAAATTGGCCCGCTGCCTTCTAAAAAATCCCGATCTTGGAAAACGATTCAAGTCCATAAAGGTTACCTGGAGCCGACGTATACCGAGGAAACCTATGACTTGGGCACCACAATGGAAGTGGTCAGACAGTGACCAAGAAAAACTGACACAGATTTTGTGTGATGGGAATCCAGGGAATCGTAGTATATTTGGAGGAATAAGCAACGGGCTAAACTCCGAAGCATTACTTCCATTCGTACTACTTTACACTCCGAATCTGCAATCCCTCGACATGGGAGATGCAAAACTGGATATCATGGGCCCTTACGTATCTGTTGGAGAATCGGAGCGTATCTATCAATACTGTACCGTTGAGGGATCACAAAACTGGCGGTCTCGAGTTTCCGGCTATTCACTGGATCTTTGGAACCCTAGTATCCCGGAGGAGGTCCGTGAAGATGGCTGCAAAAACCATTATTCCTTCCTATACCTCCACATGCGTCTCGATCCCGGTTGGCTCCCCGGGTTATCCAATATTACTCATCTCGCACACGGATGTCACCGCACTGGTGGATATTTCGATAGATGGCCTGCTAGCCATCTCATCCTCATGATGCTTCTTCCTCGCCTGGAGACTGCTCAGTTTTATGGTGCAACTATCCTCCGTCTTGATGGTACCGACCTACAAGTCCATACCAACCCGTTAGAGTTGGATATTGACCCGAAAGTCATGTTTCAAAAATCAACAATTAAACACCTCGAACTCCTAAACTGCCGCTTTCGAAAACAAGACTATAGATCCATAGCTCAAATAACCGGATCATTGCAGTTTTTCAAGTGCATACTCGAACACGAAGAAGTTCCATGGGGAGACTATGCTTACGAAAGCGATGTTCATGACTTATTCCGTCTTTATAACAGTAACACCCTCAAGAATGAGTTTATACAAGTTAGTAGAGCTACAGGCGAGGATAAAGATCCGAAGGATTTGGAAAAGAAGATCGATTATGGGCCTGACGATGACTACTTCTACGATTCTGACGGTGGCCATTTTTTACCTTATGTGGATGATGAAGATGGTTGGACATCAGGCTCAGAGGAAGATCATGATTCGTCTAATAGTCTTGGGCCTAGTCACTTTGGGGATGGGGATGCTTCTGATGTATTTAAGTCGGATGGATCTCAACAATCTCCTTAGTAGATACTTACCCCCCTAAAGTTGGAGACATTACAATCGCTGGGGATAATCCATCCTATTTGTTTGAATCCATGGATATGTCACATATATCTATAATACATACTTATATACTTAATTTCTGTACCTTCAAAACCTAGCTGTGGGTCTGCGCATATGCGCGCTAACGTTAACGCATACATGGTTTTCTGAATTGAAGGGACTCTCGAGCTCTCGATCGTCCCCGCGGAATCGAAAGGTCGAAATTAACTATTAATATATCAGTACTCGGAGCGCTTGAAACCAATGAAGGAAGTCTTACAATATATATATATATGCGTGGTGTGGTGCTAAACTTAGTCACTCTCATTATATATAATATTATAATATTATACGATGGGGCTATGGACACCGCCCATTGATAAGTACTATAGCCACAGGGTATGCAGTGTGCGGTCTGCAATAATGGATACTGCCATATTTAGAAATCGACAAAGGAAAAATGAAGCCAGAAGCTAGTATGGTAATACATGTACAAGACGGGCAACAGTTGTACAATTGACTAAGCTAAGCTATGCCCAATTGAAAATCGATTGAGAATCAAAACTTCCATATTTGAAAATAAAATATTAAGCCTAAACAAATATGGTAGTCTTTTAACTGCTTTTGAACATTTGAATTAATTGTTCGCACTAACTGCAAACAAAAGTGGTCTCGTTATTGGCCAATCAGGCGAGCCAAAGATCGAGCAACCCAGTCGAGGGGCGCTGTGGGCGCTTACTGACTACCCACCCATGCATATGAGATCGATAAATCCTTCTGTCTGTGGATGCCACTCTCCCTTTGTTGACTAGGCCATAGCCCAATTCCGAAGGTATCACATCGCCGCGGCTACTAAACTAATCAAACCTTGTGATAAGATTTTCAAGGTCATGAAAGAAATGCTTGGCCTGCACAATATATTAAATTTAGGTGCATGCACACATGGATATCGGATGAATCTCTGGAGCAAGCACACCAGATGACCAGCCTCATTAGCAATCGATAATGGTTATCCCTGAGATTTAGCTTCCAAGTTGGTTTTATATGCCATTTAGCCTTTTCACCCAATTAACGGAACCCGGCCTGGAAGCTGTGCCACATGCCATGATAGGATATATAGTCAGAATACTACTCAGAAGCGTAAGGAAACAGTACCATTCCTTCTGCGCATCAGGCTCTCAATTCCCTTCGTTTCCTCTTTTTTTATATTTTATATATTCCAAAGTATCTGGATTTATTATCGTCTAGCGCTAGCGCTAGTTAATTTATATTAGTTTTATTAATTTGATCGTGTATTAACACGAACGCTAGCCGTCGCTATTAAATTATCAATGTCGAACGCTGGCACAGCGCGGACGCCGCCCACTCACATTGATCTAGATCTTCGACGTGAAGAATCCGTCAATACGGACACATCTAGCGGCGTAGTTATCGTTAATGGTGAAAGGAGGCACGGCAAAAAAAAGAAAAACGATACTTTAAGCAAGAAAACCTCAGAATTATGGTTCAGGTTGTTCCTCGCAGTATGCGCCAGCGCATTTATAGTTCTGCCGTTTTTTGCATACTCGCTAGATGGAAAAGAAGTCCAACAAAACGAACAAGGGAAAATAGTGTTGGAGTCAATTAAATGGGTAAGTCATCTGTATATTCTTGACATCCGTATTTGGCTATAGTTCATATGGGTGCATGGTTGGACACATCGGTGCTAATGGTGCATGGTTTGGCTTAAAGGGACCTACTATATTTCCGATAATCTTCGCCGCAATCGCAGGCGGATTTCTACAGGCTATCGCCCTGAAGCACGCCCAGAAAGGCACTGAACTAGGCACACTCGAACAGTTAACACGAACCATAAACATCTTCAGTGCCATCACGACTCCGTATTTCATCAAGACATACAACTGGCTCTCTCTTATTCTTTTATTACTTTGGGCTATATCTCCATTGGGTGGCCAAGCGTCACTACGCCTGTTATCCACAAAGGTCGTTACCTTCCAGAACCCGACCAGTGTCCGTTTCCTAAGCCCTACGAACATAACCAGCTATCTTTCCGAGGGTACCCGTAATTATGGAACCTGGAGGGCCCAGGCCGAAGCAGTCTACAGCGCAAGTTTGTTGGGCATAGGATCAGCGAAAACCCGTCCTGTTGACCTTTGGGACAATGTCCGAATACCAAACATAGAAGTTCTGGAGAAGCAAATGCCTAACGGAACGGACGGTTGGTACGACGTTACCAACAAGAACACCACCTATTCATCGCTCTTAGGAATTCCGATCCGAGGGCTTACTGAGAACATCACAGTAGATGTTCAAACAAGCTACTCGAAAGTCGGTTGTTCCTTTTTCGGACTTCTTGACAGCAAAAAATGTTTCCAACACGAAGACGACCGTTGTCTTAACGTCAGCCATCCCCACATCCCAGATTGGTATTTCCCTTTTGTGGACCCCTCTACCAATTTTGTGGGGTACGGCAGTTATCTTTTCGTTGGTATGAATATTAGTCAGGCCGCATACGAACTTCCCGGTGGCACTACGGCTCCAGATCCAGTGGACATAATTTTCGAATCTGGAGGCTTAGGCGGGATGTCGGTCGCTAGGTGTAAACTCTCGCAGACATACCTTGACGTTCAGGTGACTTGTCGTTCTTCCAGGTGCGCTGTTTCCAAGCTCCGCCGCTTATCGATTGGAACACAGCGCCCGCCGTTGTTCTACAGATCTACACCGGGAATAGCTGGTACTATCTCAAACTTTGTAAGAGATCTCACGATGGTCTCAAAAGCAGGAAAGCCGCTATTTAGCAACACTAATCAAGGCTACATATACAACCCTGATGATCCCTTATCCTCCATTGGCGACTGGGTAAACATTGCGGATGTGGGGATTGACAACTTTGAGATACGGATGACACAGTTAGTCAATACTTTGATGTTGGCTGCCCAAGGCCCGGCGCTATTCAACACCGGTCACGATATTGAGGATGACGTTTTTTCTGAGCGTCTGGGACGAGTTGTTTCCGCCCAATTTTCTACCGGAGAATCTATGACCCAGCAAGAGTTATTCATCTGCTATAAGGACTGGGCCGTATTGATGCTATTCGCAGCCGTGCTACTGTTTGCGATCGGAATCTCAAGCGCAATCATCGCATATACTACACTAGCCCCCGACACACTTAGTTCCCTTTCAGTTCTGGCGGCCGAGAGCCAGTATTTTGATATCGAGAGTAAGGGTTCCACGCTTGATCGCGACGGGAAAGCTATTGCCTTGAAGAGCCGGTTTGTAAAACTAGGAGATGTAGAGGCGTCTGGTGAGACAGGATATATCGCCCTTGCGACAGTGGACACGGATAATGTAACGGTTGGAGATCTGAAAACAGATCGGGTTTATAGGTAAACGTGCAACAAGACTATATCAATTTCAGAGGCGGGATATTTTACACCAATACCTGTTATATATTATGGCATCAACATTGTATTGTACGTAGCTTTTTTTTTTTTTTTTTTTTGTTCGTAGTCTACCTTAACCGACTTAGCGAGTTTAGCCTTGAGGCCATGATTCTCTTGATTTGAAATTTATAATTTTGGTTATACATACATTGTAGCAATCTCGGACACTGTAGCTGCATACCGCCTTAGATTAATTATTTAAGCATGAGATGGTGATAATACTTGAAATTACCATTTAGCATTTATTCTATACATATACACAGCTGACACAAAACTCGTCTTGTCGCTGGACTTAAAATTGTAATACAAAACCTATTCAGTTAGGAACACTACAAATATACACGAGACATAATTACTATAACCAGTATATTAGAGCCCTCGGCTTTTAGAAAGTATGTCTACATGCCGCTAACTAGAATTCGAAGCTTTGACACGAGAATACGAATGTGAACAATAACAACACAAAACAATATGTTGCATTTTGCGGCACTGACAAAACCGTCTCGTAACCAATACAAGACTTTGACATTCCCAATCTTTATTTGCTGGATTTTGATACCATAGCTCGGAATACTAAAAGCTTAATCCACATTCAATAAGACTGGAATGATGTTCTTCGGGTTTGGGGCAGCATCTGGGCTCTTCGCTAAGTCACTAGGCACTTCCAAGTAAACGTTAGTCGACTCTGTGGGTAAATATAACATGTAGCGTGTGCGTGGCACATTGGAGAATTGTCAGTACATAGTGTAATCTGAGCGCGCTGCTCTGCGTAACATTTGTCCTATAGGTAGAATTATATTAATTACTTAATTAAAGTTGTTACCCCGCACCTCACCGCGAACACTTAACGCTAACAAAACAAACAAAACAAGATTATTAGAGGAAGAGGGAAGTAAAAAGAATAAAAATAGGGAAGGGGAGCTAAAAGAAAAAAAAAGATAATGAGCAGGCTTGGATTCGAACCAAGATCTCCTTCCGACTATGAAGGAGTGTTTCCACGACCTTCGATTTGCGAAGCTGTGTGTTTCCAGTTACACCACGAGCTCTTCCCACGAATGAAGTGATCTAAAATATACATCATATTCGTTTCTACCTCAGCCGAGCCATGTAAATACTCAATTGTAGTATAATTATAATATTACAACGCGTGCTGTCTACAGCTGAAATGCTCATGTACATATGTGGTCCTTAGCCTGACTTGGTAGTCCCGAGACTTTGTGTTACACATTTTAGTAACTTACGGTCCGGAAGTATCCGTTATATCCAACTCTAGCTCATAAGCATAAATTGCGCACGGTTCTGGCGAAGCTTGACACCAACCTTCCTCGGGCTATGAGAACTAACATGTCATCAACACTGCCCCCGCGATACACTATCCTAGTACGAAACAGTATGGAAAAGAAGGAAGAAGTTACATGTATAACTTTGCAAATTGGTTGGAAAAAAAACTAGAGTAACGCCTGTGCCTATGAAGAAGGCCCAAATGCTAGTTAGTCCGCGGTCTCGCATGCATGCCTAACAAGATAGTACGTTTCCCACCAGCTACTATATCTACGATATATCAAAAACAAAGTGACGTACAACGAAACCTGTAGCGTAGTTGCACCAAAATAATCTAGAAATTTTATATATGAAAAAAAATCCACGCGGTATTAATATAATATAGCCAGCGCATAATCCAGGGTGCCTTCAGGAGATTACACTGTACAGCCCTAAGTTTGGATAATGTTACATATCCTAAGTTAAGTTAATTGCAAACACACGTCCCCATTACACCGCTGTTTCTTGTAGGGGAACTGAGAATTATTTGCATCGCGTCGTTGGTGGCGTATCAGCACTAGTCCTGTTTCAATTAACTTCCTTCAGCGTTTCTGAGTTCGCGAGCATAGCATGCCCAAAAAGAGCAGGTCACTGAGGATGTACAGCGAGCCGTGAAATCTCCAAAATACTATGCTATTCACACCAACATATTAATAATAGAGATATTTCCTACGTAGGCTGGTATTTGGCAATAACTGCCATATCCTAGCTTACTTCGCCAAAGCTAACTCGTCACCCCCTCCCCCTAGGATCAAGTATTTTAAAAAGAAAGTCAAAATATTTGTCTGGTAAGCTAAACGAAAGATCCTATAATCATTCCAAAAATTATTGATACATGGCTCTCAACAAGCCCCTAAAAGTCTCAAGATGGGGGGGGGGGCTCTTTTTGCTTTTATAGTAGAATCTATTTGATAAATTTATCTGTCTTCTGTGGATACCCTTATTGATTTTGTACGGTAGAGTTCTAGTTAGGTAACCCCCAAAAACATATTATATTGATAGAAAATCGGATTTTGCAACTATTGGAACTTAATGGAAGATTCATGGACATCGCAGTTTCAACTCGGACACGAAACCGGGAAGTGTGATCCAGCAAGAAAACCCAGAACTTCTAAGGAAGCCCCCGAAGAATTGAATTTTTATACTGGCCCACCGCTGGGCGACTAGAAAGGCGATATTTAAGACCCTTTAGACGATCTTTCGGTTTCATGGTGAATTAATCTCCCATGGGGCAGTGGTAGTGTAAAAAATTGTCAACAGGGGTGTTAGAACTGCGCCGTTCGCGGATCTGGTTGTTGTGAGAGTTGCTAATGGGGCTTCGAGATCTTCTTAGAATGCCGTGGGAGAGACTCTAATTGAATATTCCCACGAACGGGCACCGAACTACAGTGACTACGACGACGTTTATTACGGTGAAAGTGTTTATAGTGGCGGCGGCGAGGGATAGGTCTATAGAAAGCCTAGGATTCCCGATCGGCTTGAAGAAATGACTATTATAACAGCTAACGCTACTGCCTACTCCCATGTTATAACCGGTGCTTAGGACCGTAGATACTAAGGCGTACATTATTTTATACATCATATATATACAGTATGCTAATACATTCACTGTGTAGTACATCCGATTTTGTCTGCTGAAGGATAGTCCATAACTTTTACAGAAAGTAAATGGTCATGCTGAAAGTCTAGGACCTAAACATTGAAGATGTAGTTCAATTACCACGCAATAGATTCGTTGACACTGATATGTACCCCCATGCTGTTTTTCTCAAAGCACTGTCGAGCGGCACTAAGGATCCGTTCACATCAAACATCAGTCTAAGGCCACTAAGGAAACATAAATGCATCGAATTTCTGTAGTATCTTTCAGAGTGTCCGAAAAAGTATCAATGGTATCCTAGCTCAGCCGATTAGTCGGTTCGAGCGCGGTGCTAATATTACAATAGTTGATATAATGTTCCGCTAAGGCCGTGAATTCCTAGTAGGCAGCAGGCTCTTTTAATTCCTTTTGCCCCCACTGATCATGACCATGACATCCGATTCTGAATTTTGGTCAGCGCTACCTACGTAGCTACGCTCTTTCTTTCTTTCTTTTTTTTTGAAGAACATATACGTATATATGTAGACTAGACACTCGGTCAAATCAAATTGTTTTAATTTACAGAGTGATCTTGGAAGCTTGTATACAACAATTTGATTGGATGTAGCTAGATGTATTATTCGAACATATTATATTAATACATATCTATTCTCGCAAAGTTTCCCACGGCTCAAGGCGATTCCCCACACCCTGCGCCGTCTAGCGGCTGCCGGCTGCTAGTTCTGTGGAAGGAAGCTTCGAAGCTGCTAGCACCAGTTAGGCTAGCTAACTCAATCAATGAGGTTGGATCCAATCATCTCCTCCCATCTTAATGCCGTTTCACAACAATTTCAACACATATCTGTTTCAACACACGGTTGCAAGTTGGAAGTAACGTAACTTATCTCCTGCGCAGCCCACAGTGCGCAGCCCGCCCCTTCTCAACCAACCTGGCAACTTCTGAGGCAGTACTTTTATCATTTCAAACTTAACTTATAAACTAATACTCGCCGTGCCACAACCACAGGATTAATCATATTGTTTTAGAGATACCTTATCGGTACCTAGTTAACCCTATCAGTACATCCTTCTGGCTGGCACAGTGATTATCCTTACGCTTTGCCTATGACCTTGTTCTTGATACCAAGCTATGGTTTTGAGGTAAAGATTTTGGCCTGGTTCATAATCTTGGTTGTTCGCTATCCTCCACTCCAAGCTTCGCCCGAACCGCTTTGCTCATCCTCGAATACCTACCCAAATAACTACAATCTATAAAGTCTCGGAGCCCGTCGACTGTTGTTTTGCGCATTCTCACTCAAGGATAGTTTCCATTGGTCCGACAATCTCACATACGGGAAAACATATTTTAGTTATTTAGTCGTGCTATTTAATAATACATAGTCTCGTCCTCAGTATACCCATATCACTCGGTATTCTCGGACACCTTCCCACCATTCCACTTAACCCGGTTTGACAAATTCTCAAATGGCACGATCTCTCCAAATAAAGGACGCCTCCTTTTTCTTCTTTATCTTACTAGGGTTATTTTTCTTAGCCGATTTCGTTGCTAGTGAACGTACCATACCTCGGGGCGAACTCAAGATTGGAACACTTGAGAAACACCTTAAGCAAGCCACCATCGCAATTTCACCAAAGTACCGGAGAAAACCCCGAGATATTGACCGCCTAATTGAAGAGTTTAAGAAACATGCAGTCCCACCTCGAGAAAAATCTATCTATAAAATAGCAAGTGAACACCTAGGTACTTGGGTCGTGGTGGTTGATATTTTCCCGGACCAAGAGGACTGGAAGGGTTTAATTCCCCAGGAAATATTCGAGTTGGTAATCTTCCAGGGCATCGGCAATGAAACGGAGGGTGCATACAGCTAATGCAAGCCACAAATTTTAGATGGAAACGATAATCGAGGAATCTAGTAGTTTCGGTGTTCAAGGCGACCCTGCACCGGCTTGGTTGGGTCCTCTAGCAGGCACTCTCTCGGACGATGAGTTAGAAAGAATGCAGATGGGCTTAGGTAATGCTAATAAAAAGAACAAGCGCGGCCCTGGAACGGGGGATAAAAAGAAGCCAATTTCGAAGGCGAGAGTTGGGGATGACCTCTCGCAGGCCGATATTGAGCCTGTCCGTTCCGATTTTATCGAAAATCTAATTATATCTCAACCTCCTGATACCTCCATCAAAAAAATGAATGGAATTACTTACCGTGAACGTGAAGCTGGGTCTGGGGTTGTGGTTTATGTCATGGACAGCGGTCTTGATTTCTCACACAAGGTAAGAAACTTCAGCCTCCTAGATTTCATAATCATATACATATGAAAACATAGATTTGATTGAAGATACCCATACTCCACGACTCCAACTTTGGGGTCATTTGGGTGCATTTTTCTAATATGCGCATATGTTTCTACAGTATTTCGCCAATTATCGAAACCAATTCACGAGTCCGTCATCACTCAATTGGCTCTATGCAGGCCCAATGCCAAGTGATGAAAGAAGTGACGATGGAAGGCCTTTTATGGGTTTTGGCGACGACGAGCCGGCCCGTAAGATTTTTTACACGGGGACTGTAACAGCTTCTAAGATTATTGGTGAGACAGGAATAGCTCCCTCCGCTGATTTAGTGGCCGTCAAATTACAGACAGGTCGGAATTCTTACTCGTTTACGAACGTACTTGACTGTTTGCTCAAGATTTTCGACCATTTTAAATTATTAAAGGAATTGGATCGAGATAATGAGCTGAACTACAAGGGGGCCGTCATCATCGCGGCATCTGGTTCGAACCAGCAGGGATATGAAGAAGAGCCGGTCAACATTTTTTCTAAATTGATTATAGATATCTTATTTCAGCTCGGAAATTTGAATGCATACACCTTTTTCTCGGGCTTATCTGGGAAGGAGGTAAGTTTAATGTACATCTAATCATTTTAAATGCGTTCGAAGGCTGACAGTAGACAACCTCAAAAAGACAACGGTAAGGTTTCCTAGATCTAGCCTCACTTTGATTAAATTTGCGCCAAAAACTGCGCGTTTTTTGGAGAAAACTTCTTTCGTCGGTAGCACCGATGATGCAAAGGGCGGGGTTCATGCAAATAAAGGCCATATAAGACCTAGATTCTTTGCACCTGGAACCGTTTCAGTACCATGGCTCTATGATCACTATCGGGGCAATGACAAAAAACTGCCTTACATTAGCCAGACCACAACTCGCTATGGTAAGCAGAGCACTTTCCGTTCTCTCCTGTATTCGGACCACAGTTAACCCACAGAATAGCGAGTGCAATGGCGGCGGGTGTCTGTGCGGCGCTGATCAGTCGTGGCTGGGAGGACCCCTTACAGAGAATGGAAGAATTATCATATCGGCGGAAAGATGGTAGCGATTATCCAAAACTCATCTGGAATGGGATCAACAGATCGACTTGGGCTAAGGCTTTGCACAAATATCCCATCAGCCCCAAAGAAGGCGGGACTAGATAATTACATAAGGGAGGAAGATATCGACGGGGTGTATACATGTCCATAAACATAAACCTAGTTGCGCCTGGTCTCGAGGCTAGTCTCGTTGTACGTACGCTGTAAGACGTAAACGTATATCATTTACTTACTTAATTCATTATAAACGGTGAATTTTAGAGCCAATAATGGCTCTGTAGTACTATAGCTACTGTGCCGGAATGGCAGCCGGAATGGGGTGTATTTTGAATACCAGTGCAATACCAATTATTGGAAATATATAAGTTTGAATATCATTCTAATGCGTATTGAGGGCTAAAATACCGGTTTATTTCAGTAGCTATAGTACTACGATTAATCGTATTGATACTGTAGCTCTGGCGGAATACTAACACCCCATTTGTTGGCATAGTAGCTACCTCAAAAAAGCAATACTACTCCACGATCGATCACTAATTGATTAATATTGGCAATTATAAAATTGCAATCCGTCTACAGCCTTTTCGAAATTTTCGTGTAAATTTATAAATCGATGCTACTTGAGAGCGTAGGCGCTCAGTGTTTCAATCTAATGGAGCCGTATTGTATCCTATGAGTTAAAATTAAACCGTTAATTTGTAATTGCGGTTGCTATGGTTTATAGATCTATATATTTTGCTTTATGAAATCGGTATAACTCGCGCCGGAGGCTCGAGACGCTACGTATTACTCAGTATAGCCGATAGAAGATCGACTGAAAACGACAATTGAATTGAACCTGGAACTTCCCGGTGAGCCTCGCCGCCTTTGGTCTACGTAGAGTGCTAGCTAGCGTAAAATGAGCTGTGCCGCCGAGTATTGCGTTACTGTCAAAAAAAAAGAAAAAGGCAGGGATATCCCGAGAGAAATCCAGCCCTGGCCAAATCAAAAGTCAACGCCATTGGGTGCTATGATTAACGTGGTTTCAGGGAGAGTCAACGAGCACAGGAAAGCGTCGTGATCGATGAACCTCTGAAACTCAGACCCCATGGTCCAGGAAGGTTGCAACTGATCGATTAAAGAAAGACTGCCAGACTGAATAGAATCGAAATAATAATAATGTATACTAGAACAAGGCTGCCAAAATCCAAATATAGCATTTGGGCAACTTTTGGGCAACTTTTGGATGAAGTTTATAATACAAAAATCCTTGAACACCATTCCAGGATGTCCCAAAGAGGAAGAAAAAGGGTGCATTGCAAAATGTTGGAGATTACCACCAGTTGCCCGATCCAACACCTGACAGGGTGAAGCGAAAATATATAAAATGAAAGTGAAAAAAAAGGGAAGTAGTATCCACATGTCCAAAGAACGCCGAATCCATCGGGGAATCTAATAATGATAAAACAGAGAACAGAGGGAAGCAAAGCAGATATTTTGTCGTAACTCGTAAGATGGCATCAAGATGTTTTTTTGTCGACATGAAACGCATCTAAATTTAGATCGTCCATGCTGGGAAGGGGAGAAAAATCAGCTAGATGCTTCACTTAATACTCCCACTTCCACCAGATCTTGATGCGACCCTGAAGCTTGGTTCCCAAATGTTGCAAAAATGGCCCTTCGCAGACATCCAAGTCGTTTTCTCCGGGCTGCAATGAATCGTTAGCAACAGATCAAATATCGAATTAAGAACATCTTTAATAGGTGTATAACTTACACATCCGGGGCATTTATCCTGGACGGTGAACACAACACCATCAGGAGCCATATCACTATAGACGCGAACCTTTTTGCCGCAAGTTGGGTTGTTATTTGGGTTGCCGCCGTCCAGCGGTGCCATTCTTAAGTGGCTCATGGCGACGACATATTCTGCGTCGTTGTTGGTAATACCACAAGATCCGAGGCCACAAGCGTAGTAGGTAGCTTCACCATAAAAGAAGTCACCACCAGCAGCTGGTGGGGAGGTTTCAACGGGTGCAGGAACCACGACCGGGTCAGGAGTGGTGGTTGGCTGTGGCTCTGGGACTGGAACTGGTTCTACAATTGGTTCAGGAGTAGGGACTGGCTCAGGAGTAGGGACTGGCTCAGGAGTGGGAATTGGCTCAGGAGTTGGCTCAGGAGTTGGCTCAGGAGTAGGTTCAGGAGTAGGTTCAGGAGTAGGCTCCGGTTCTGGTGTGGGTGTAGTCGAAGTGGTTGGAGGTGGTGGAGGAACAACGATTGGAATAACCTCGGTCGGGAGACTAGGAGTTGAGAAAGATGTGCTGCTCTCAGAACTTGTTGTTGGAGGAGGGGGTGGTGGAGGTTCAGAGGTTGAAGTTGAGGTAGATGTTGATGTTGTTGTAGTAGAAGTAGATGTAGTGGAAATCTCGATCGAGGATGAAGTCGTTTCAATAGAAGACGAAGGGACTTCAGCGATAGTCGCAGGATTGACATAGACAGTCGAGTATATATACTCTACTTCAACAACCTCTTGTGTTTTGGTAATGACAACCAAGGCTCGCTTCGCATGGTGCTGGTGACGATGCAAATGCATGTGTCTCCCACGAATCAACGGTGTGGCGAGGGTGGCAGAGAAAGCTGCAAGAGCTAGCGAAGCTTGGAAGAGTCCCTTCATCGTGGATGTGATGTAATGTGATGCGGCCGTGTGGCACAGGCTATAAATCCGAGATTAAGATCGCGAATTGTGATACCAATCTTTTGGGTGAGAAAGTGGATCCTGATATGTGAATATAAACAGAAAGGCTTCACTGTATACTACTGGTATTTTAACTGATTTTTAAGGAGAGTGTTTTGTGGGCTTCAAGCGCTGACACTGAGGATTTAAGGAATGACGGATATCTGGTATCGGTCGGACGCTGAACTCGACGTCTCTGACGTTAATCGAGATAAAACTAATAAGGAGCGTATTGACAAAAAGGAAAGACAACGTATCTCAAAAACCGAGGGAATGGATTAGTGAGGGGAGATCAGATCAGATCGTATCAAACCATGAAGGAAGAAGGGAAACAAATATCACATAACGCGAGTGGGAAACATCCCTTTTAAGAATGGCCCTAGAGGAAGGGCTCGGACACCTGAGAGTCTGGTGTGATGATGAGAATATCTGCACTGGCTGCCCCTTTTTGACTCAGGTTGCAGCCGAGCTTTGGCTCACCACCTCAGCCTTGGTCCTCCTTGCTCGGGCGGGCCAATGAATATCCCTCTCTGTGACAAATTTTTCAGACTAAACTGCAAAGGTCTGGTACCTGCATTTCCCGGCAGAATACGATTGGGATTGACCACAAGGCAGAGCACGTTTTCATTTTTGGTTGGATATGCCTTGGGAATGGAAGGGAAGAACTTTTCTCCACGGCCAGTCAAAAGGCCTTTCTCCATATGCAATTCATTTTCGATTTGTTTCTCTGCAGGTGAAGACGAGAAGCGAACGGGCGAGCGAGCGAGTCCACATGCATCCATTTCCCCGAGGGACCCGAGGGCGGACCGAGATCGATCTGAATTCTATCTCCGAGCCTAAACCGTCTGATACATATACCCCTCTAGCACCCCCTCCGCTTACCCATCCCTTGGATATGCGTACGCAATCGCCTTTCTGTGTGCTAACGGACCCTGTGTCCAACTTTCTGCACTGAGGTTGTAAGCAGGGGATGGGAGGCACTTCCCGAATGTTGTGTGTTGGTTGCAACAAGTATGCAAGGGGTTACCGAGGGGGTCTAGCCCGAAGGAATAACTCCGCACCAAGACGTTGACTTATGAGAAAAAAATCCGAAATCCATGGAGGAAAGTTGCTGGTTTGGGTTAAAGGAATTCGGTAGATGTTGGAGAAAATAGTATAGTACAGTATGCAAAGCGCTAAGCAGTGCAAAATAGAAATGCCATCGATAGACCAGAACGCCAAAATGCCCAAGTATGACACAAAGCTCCCTAATCGAAGCTTCTCAGCCGTCCGACATATCCACATCGCCATCGTCCTTTTGCTTCTTTTTCTTATCCTTCTTTGACTTTCGCTCCTTGCCGCTCGCGTCATCGCCGCCATCTTTCCGCTTTTTCGATTTCTTTTCTTTGAAGTTGATTTCTTCTGGCGGCACGAAGTCTTGTTCCCGTTCCTTCTGTCTCTGTTCCTTCTTTTCACGTTGCGCTTCTTCCTTCTTTTCAGCTGCCGCCTGCTCTTTCTGAGGTTTGGAAAGAAAGTATTCTCCGGATTCGATCTGAAGATCGACCTTGGATTTCTCTTGGGCTGGTGGGAAGGGCTTGAGTTAAATTAGCTGCTATTCTGAGACGTGAATTTGACATATAATTACATACCGTGTAAACCTTCCTAGACTTGTCTGTGACTTTGAATGGCTTCCGTCGTTTGGAGAGCGTCTTTTTCTTGAATTGAGGAAGAAATCGGTCCCAGCTTTCATTCGCTAATGCAGGGTCCTTCGCAAGCTCCCGTTTGATCATAAGTTCCTAAAAAGTGACATCAGCATAAGCGGCCCAGGTGTGCTTCCCCGGATTTCGAACCTTAATGTGGTAAATTGGATGAATGTTCTTCATGCAATCCTCAACCACGCGTCTGATCTCCTTCAGGCCTTTATAACCGCCCATGGCACTGACCGTCGTTCCCTGAACCAGAATGTAGCACCCGGTGAGAAGTTCCAGGGCCTTCAATGTTGATCCATTAGGCCCGACCATTCTTTGCCGCCGTTTTGCGAATTTTTGCCGGTTTGGTACTAACGACCCGATTTTAATTATATCGCACGCGACATCGTCCTCAAGAATTTTGATCGCCTAAGGGACACAAATTAGTCTGCCGGATGAGTGAGGTGTTGAAAATGGCACAGCATACCTGAGGCGCAGGTACTGATCTCGCCAACAATTTGATAAGATCCCGAGCGTTTAATATTGCTGCTGGATCAAAAGTTTTCCTGGTTGTCTTCACTGTCATGCTACCTTCCACCACATCGAGAATCGCGTTTATTCCACTTTTCGCAAGGGTTCGGGTGATCAATGGCCATGCTTCACGGAGGTACTGTTCGCGATATCTTGGGAAAAGAACTTTGAAGTCTGATTCTTGTAGAAAGGCGCCTCCCTTGTTGTCTTCAGGTTTAAATTCATCAATCTGTATCACGAATAGGCTGTATGTTAGCTATCCAAGGCGGAAGTTTCTGTTAAGAGGGGTGTAGATGTAAATAACCACCTTCCATTTATCGATATCTTCCGTATCCCACGGTTTATCGACGTTGTGAGTAGACGGCATGGTGGGCAGTGGTATCGTAAGAAGTTGGTGGTGTGTGATTGATCGGTGATGAAACTAAAACTTTTGCGCGCAACTTTTTTTTTTAGCAGGCGAAGTGCTGCGCCACAGCCTTGAATTGGCCTATCTCACTAGCCACGCGGAGCATCAGCCCCACTCCACCTGACAGCTTCGCAACCCAACCTGAACCTTGACGCGTATCCCACCTTTCCTGCCAGCTCCCACAGCTTCGTATCCTCACCTGTGACGACCCTTACGCATTGGCATTCGATACCTCCCACCTCTCTACAACACCGAATCTCTAGCTTCTATATCTCCAATAGCCCGATATGTCGAGACGTTACGATTCACGAGTATGAAAGCTGCCCACCCTCCCCGGTTCTCTTGAGCCCCGAGCTAACATGAAATACCATAGACCACTATCTTCTCCCCGGAAGGTCGTTTATACCAAGTCGAATATGCTCTGGAAGCCATCTCACATGCCGGTACTGCAATCGGTATCCTAGCCACTGACGGTATCGTCCTTGCTGCCGAACGCAAAGTCACAAGCAAGCTGTTGGAACAGGATTCGTCAGCCGAGAAGCTCTATATCTTGAATGAGTGGGTTTCATACACTCTCTTATCTCTATAGATACACCCGCGAGCTCAGAATGAAAACTAATACTGCGGATTAAAATAGTAACATGATCTGTGCCGTCGCCGGAATGACTGCCGATGCCAACATCCTCATCAACTACGCCCGCCAAACAGCCCAGAACTATCTCCGAACATATGACGAAGAAATTCCCTGTGAACAGCTAGTGAAGAGATTATGTGACTTGAAGCAAGGATATACACAGCACGGAGGTTCGTGAATAACCTCTTCTAGAAGCATACTGCATACACCCTTATTAACGACAGTCGGAATATAGGTCTGAGACCCTTTGGTGTATCTTTCATCTATGCCGGTTATGATTCATTAAGGAACTTCCAACTATATCTATCAAATCCTTCGGGTAACTACGGTGGGTGGAAAGCAACGAGCGCGGGTGCAAACAATGCCAGTGCACAAAGTTTGTTGAAGCAAGACTACAAGGAGGATTGTAACTTGGAGGAAGCATGCGAGATCGCCGTCAAAGTCCTTAGCAGAACTATGGATAGCACTACGCTGTCGAGTGAGAAGTGTATGTCTCCCTCTTCCCCCGTCTATACTCCCCAAGGGTAATACGTACTTCGACTAACGTCTTAACAGTGGAGTTTGCTACGGTTGGTCAAAGGGATGGAAAGATATTCCTCAATATTTGGAGTGCTGAGGAAATAGACGTTCTGTTGAAGAAGCATGGATTAGGAAAGGAAGAAAAGGCTACAGAGGACTAGATCTTTGATATTGTAGATATTGGAAGCTAGCTATCGGTATCTAACGGAGCAGATGCTCTGATATTTGGTATAAGGCGGATACTTCCGGTAACAAAAACAACCGAGGGGTATCTACAATTAAAATACCAGTTCCCCCGCTGTCTTCGACTTCCATAAGTGGTCTTTACATGCCGATGTCTCATCTTTTAGTACGTCTTGATGCCGGGCTCCGTTAAACCACACTCGAAAAGATTGGTCACATTGGCAAACTAAATTACCCTAGTTTACCCCATGACCTAATCATATGCTTAAATCGCTCGCTAAATAGCCAAATTTGATGTAAAATTAATTCTTAAAAGATCTAGAGATCTGACTTTTGCATTCTGTTTCTGCGGGGTGCATCCCACTCTGTACCAGGTTGTAGACGTTTCTACACGCAAAAATGTGGCATAGTTTTCATTTCCAGCCAACCACAGATCGTAATAATTCCCCGAATATCCGTCCAGGCCTGTAAAAATCGAATTTCTCCATGGAAATTCATCTACAGAACGTATCGAGACGCACAGACGAACAACTCACTCACCCCCCGCCAAGCCGCATCCACACTCTCACGAATCCCACTATAAAGTATTAAGTATTTCTGATGTAAGCAATGCATGCAGTGCTGCACACACCTCTCACGGAAATACTCCACATGGCAAAGCCTGCGGGGCATATGCCAGTCTCCCACTCGGAGGCCCTTCCCATCTCCGCACCAGACGGAGACGAGGTCCCTCCCCACGCCCTCTCAAGTCTTAGTAGGTGACATGACGTCTGAACACCACCTGCAGTCCCCACCCCAGAAAAATGTGACCATGACCCCTCCAGGAACAGAGAACCAGGTTTATGGGTCCAGGATTTTCGTTAGGCGCCGCCGCACACCCTCCTGAGACAGTCCGGCGCTAACGGTAAATTAAGCCACCAAATTTGGTTCGCCGCGCGGGAGTTGTTTGACGTTCACTGTTCCAACGTCCATCCAAACACATGCTTTTCTCGCACGGTGTTCATGGTGAATGCAAATGTCGCATTGCATTCAGAAAAGGGATTTTTCTAGCAAAATTTTGGGGAGTTAGTTTAAGAATTGTTTTCCTGGTTGTGAAAAGGAGGGGAATAGAGACATTAGTACCTGAGCGGCAAATGGCAAAAAATAAGGTTATCTTAGCGTTCCAGATGTCAGTTTTTAGGGGGAAACACCCAAGAATAGAAAATATGGGGGGCAGGTTAGCAACTCGGTTGCCTCGAAAATGCAACAGCAGACGACGGGACTTTATAGCTTTAAATATTTCTTCTCAACAGCTTTAAATCCAACGAAACTCGGTTTAAAAAACAAAACCAGGCATTGCATCTGCCAATGCCAAATGCATGAATCTCGGGAGCAGGCGAGATATGTAGCGATTTCCGTGGATTTAATGCCGCAGAGTCACATGAGTCGAAAGGGGTAATGCAGCGGCTCCGAGTCTACGGTCCGACTCATCTAGTGTTTTGAATTTGACAGGTAGGATCGAGGAAACCATGTCAGAATGCACTGCACTTGCCGGTTCGCATAGACTTTTTGGCTATGCAATGCTTTCTGTCATACATAGCCGAGGAACCATCTCGGCAGAAATACGAGTGATGAGATGTTATGCTGTATGACCGCGAAATGGGGTTTCATGCCTGCAGATTTTGTGTCTCGAAGTTAGTACTATTTGCTATGTCATTGAAAGGATCTATCATGGATACGCCTACTTCGGTGGTTTCAGAGACCTGTCGCTTTGGAGATTTCCGAAGCTGTGAGATTGTTTGCATACCGTCCCCCGCAGCAAAATATGGCGGAATGGGTAGCTAGGTTACACTTGCCTTGAGCTCTTTCAGCCTTGCCGGCGAATTCATGCGTAATGCTCCCCCCTCTATTGTTTCGGTAAACGATATCAGGTGATAAACTGATAACAAGAGCTGATAGAGTATAGCATAATTGGCGATTGAAACTCAGAAAGAATCATCTCGTTCAAGATAGTTCATTGAAGCTTGTAGTTCGCAGATGAGAGAAAAGGGGAAAGGAAAATTTTTTGTCGGAATATGAAGCGACGGCAGTATTAGGATCAATCCCCTTTCATGGGGTTCGAAAACCTAGTTCTCTTCGTCGAAGGAGCTGTCGCCTGTACGTACCTCGCCCACACCGCTCAGTCGCATCCTTGCATACCACGTATAGTAGAGAGGGGTACACGGCATGAACAAGCCCTCCCCACCTCGCTGATTTTCCAAACATAAAGGCAAAAGCAAACCAGACGATCCGGCAAGGGACATTACTTGCGTATCGAGCTCGTGGAGAGTGACTACTGCAGCTACACATGCATCTAACTAGCTCCTTTACCGTAAGGGCTTAATGCCGCAGTAAAAAAAGAAGAGTTCGAGCCTTTTTCTTTTGCCTTCGATATTCCCTCCCCTGCTCTAGAATAGATCACCCGTCTCACTGGATCCGGAGTATCGTTTGAGCAAACGGAAATGAATATCCACTGACACGTCACCAAGAGGGTATCACGCCTCGCCCCTCGGATGAGCAAAGGTGCGAATTAACTTACCAGAAAGAGTAAGCTATGAGAGTCCAGTGAGCGGAAAGCGAGTCGAAAGTATGGACGGCCAAGCCCCATGCGCTCCAGATCGTATTGTCTCGGAAGCCTGTCCGCTGCCCGAGAGAGGATACCTTGACAATGACCCGCATCCTCATGGAATGTTGGCTAAATGTTGATGTACAGAGGGTACTGTACAGTGCTGTCTCTTGTCACTCGCTGCCGCCATTTGGACTTCCCGCCTAGCGAGCCTAGACGTTTGATAAGAGAAAAGCGGTTCATCATTTTTCTCATTAGTTTCTTTTTTTCAGAAGAAAAAGTTTCCTTTCGCGTTCCTTTTCATGTACGCCCGATCAATGCTATTGCATGAACAAAAGGCAAAAAGACGGTGATATCTTGGTTCATATTACGAACAGGGTTGTGTCTATCGGGGTTTTCCTTCTCTCTGCCAAACGGCACAAGGCGAATATTGAAGTACATACGTACTTACATACATGTTGACTTTCAGTCACATACATATGCACAGATACAGGGCATGCAGACCAGCCAGGGCAGAAACTGGGACGGGTTACGATCTATCACCCTCCTCCACAGCTTGGTACATCTTACATAGCTAAATTATGCAGAGTCGGCTGGTAGTTTGAATATCACCTGTCATCCACTGTCGGCGGCCAGGTTCAATCGAACAAACACCGGCGAGCTTCGTTGGCAAACCGATATTTAGGTGGAGCTATAGCATACGAGGTTGTTCATAGCTCAACATCCACCGACCCAGCTACCTATAGTGAATCTGAGTATCCATCTCGATCAGGCTATCCATCTGAAGTTAGTTACGGAGAAACGCACTTTACTGCGGTGTTCCTTGCAATTTCTGAATTTTTGGGGATCTGTGCAGGCTTCTGCTGTCGGCTCTGCAGCTTCTTCGCAGCTCCACCTGTACATAATCCTGCCGCAGTCATTTCATTTGATGATAAATGGGAGAAGCAAAAGAGGACCAGGGGATCGTATCGTATCATATCATATCACAGGCTCTCTCTCTCTCGCTCTCTCTCTCTCTCTCTCTCTCCAACCAGAAACATCCGTGACGAGACATCGACAATAGGCTCTTTTCAGACTTTTTTTCCCATAGAGCATGATCCCTGACTGTCGTTAATGTGTACACATTCAACTGGAAGCCACAGACATACGTCGTTCGAATTTTAATGAATAAGCAAGTTAGTGTTTAACTAGTTATGGTCATGAAGCCACTGGTCTAGTTAGCCAGGATGTCATGGAAGCTGCAAAACATATTCCTAGTTCATTTTCCGATGGATGTCGACATAAGCTGCATAGTAGCCCTAGCATCCTGACCTTTGGTCAGCTGGTCAGCGCAACTCCATATATATCATGCTTTGATAATAATAGTATCTAGACTGGTTTGTGAGCTCTTTCAATTCGAACTTTCCGAGGGAAAAAAAAAAAAAAAAAAAAACGATTGAAGAGAGATGTTACTCCGGCGCAAAACGAGGCGGTTCGATTCTATATTCAAACTTCCAACAATTAATATTGATTGATGTACGCTGCATGCAATATGCAACCTGGACATCTGGGCCCCAAATCCTCGCTCGAGTAAATGAATTGAATATGCCTCAAATGAATCAGGTGACTGACACGGGAGGGAAAGAGAAAAAAAAGAGCAAGAGCTATTACATATGTATTACCTATATTCCATTCCACCAGGCTCAAATTCCACGGCTGCAGCGGCGGCAACGCAGAAACGACGTATAACATGTAACAAATCATGTGACCAGGACGGAATCTTTTTGAGGTTAGAGTGATCCCGGTTGCAATCTGTCGAGGGGATTTCAATCTCGCCGCCGCCCCGGTTCGGCACTAACTGTTTTTGACCCGCTTGAAATTCTTTCGCAAAAAAAAAAAAAAAAAAGAAGAAGAAGAAGAAGTTGCATTCATTTTACTTTCTTTTTTTCCTGGTTGATAAAATATCGGAATTCCAGGCGGCTAATGGAGCTCAGAATTGCGACAAAAATTGCAACAACTCAAAAGGGACATCGCATACTTACACACATTTTCGATTCGAATCGTGATGTTGGAACGGACGAACATGAACAGGCCCAGGCACGAAAGGTTAACTTGCCGGTTCCTGTAGCTCTGGCTCCTGCCCTTTCCCTCTTCCTCACTCCCAAAAGGAAACAAAGTTCAAAAGTCAACAAAAAGAGCCCGCGGCTAAATCATTCTACTAACTCGAAAGGACCATTAGCTTCTCTGCCTGACCGACCTGAACAGCAAATCGAAGGGGAAAAAAGTGTTGATATAGGAAGAATCGAAGCGGCTTAGTTCGTCATGTAAGGTTTGTCAATAAAGCGCGACTAGCTCGGACTGCTAGACAGCTTTGGATGTTGGAGGTCCTGGACTACGCTTGTTCCACCTTAGAAACACCATATGAGACACGACTACGTATTATCAACATGGCCAGTAATTGCTACGTCGTGTAGATGGCACTAAGAGGTCATCGGGGTGTTATAGTTTGCAACATGTTAACAATTGGCGCCTGAGCTGAGCTTTCATGTTGGATTGCACAACTGTTGATGTTTGTATGTGCGTATGCGGAGGAATTGGAATCGAAAGACAGTTCTGTTTTATCTCGACTAATCAAATTAACAACGAGTGATATAATCATATCAGCTAATTAATTATATTAATTAAGTTAACTTGATAAGTATATACTTACTTACTTAAGTAGTTAGTTTTATATAACTCGGCGCAAGCTAGGCCCGGAGTTGGTAACATAGAAAACCCCTACGAGCTGAACAGTTCCAATGGTTGGCACCGGCCTGACCTCGGTGAACATCAACAGCATAACTCTCGCAATCATTCCACCAACTGGTTGTTGCACACACTGCACCCATTGTTTGCTTTCCGTGACTACTCGCACGTTTGAAACGCTCTAATGTTTTCTCGGGTTTACTATTACTTGGAAAGTACTTAACTTAATTAATAATGGAGCTAGGGAAGGGGGGGAAAGAAGGGAAGAGCTCAATGCAATGGGAATCTGTTGTTCGTGTTCCGCCCATTATCTCACCTCCGCGAATCGAATTGAAAGATAAGTCATAACACCCACAGTCCGCCCCGACAGGTTGGAACCGGCCCCATTTTTCTCAGGAGGTGGAATAGATCGAGAATCTTGGCCGGCAGCTGGTCTGAGCTAGGAATATGTTCCGAAAACCTGTGATAACAGTTCTTCTGGAGGGGATAATATCCGAGCAACATGGAACGGAATCGACGGTACGTACTCTAGTATGTACATCCTCTCGACGAACCACCACCACCACCACCATCAGTCGAACAACCCCCCCCCTGGGACTTTCAATGATTGATTGATTGCATATGCTCTCTCGTAATTAGTCAAAAAGTGACAACAAATACATGCCCAAAGCTTCTCCTAAAGCGGCAGAGATTGGAAAGGTTCCTCCATCTTGGATCATCCCCAGTTCCCCTGCTCGACTTCCATCTGTAGAGAGGATAGTATACCAAAGTCGAGTCCGTGCCGCAGGAATGCATCATTGACAGCTCGCTTTGACGCATTTCCCCAGCCCTTCGATATAAAATAGGTAAACAAATAGGCGTTTTTAAAGAGGCTCTTCGTCCTTGGGACCGGATCCTCAATCATTTACCTATTCTCGTAGTTGGTTCCGGCCGGTGACACTTTTTTTATATGACAAAACTCGACCATGCCGGTCCTGGTCTGTACAACAGGACCACCGGTCTCACATTTTACGCCCCCTCACGATACATCTCCAGGTACTTGTTCGACTTCCCCACCTTCTTATTTCACTGATAGGAAGAAATTGTACTAGTCTCATGCAGTATTTTGCATGGATGGGTGGATCTTTCTTGGAGACATTTAAAATTTTCTTACTTTTCCTAGCTCTGTTCTCTTGCACCCCTTCCCTTGAATCCTCGCTCTCTCGCTCTCTCGCTCTTTCTACTCGACGGCAGACTCGACCCAGCAGACTTTCCGGAAAACCACTACCCCCCAAGTTTCTCTCCCAAGTTTCTCTCCCAAGGTTCCGGCTAACTGGCTAAGCTGGAATTAATCGAGAAAAGTCAGCCTCGTCTGGCTTTCCCTTCTGCTCCACTGTCCTATCCTGTCCCAGCTCCCGAGTTCGAACGTTTCCTTTCTTGCTTTCTTGCCTACCTACTTGCCTACCTACTTGCTTTCCTCCATTCTTTCTTTTGCTCGTTCGTCCGTCCGAATGCAAGGTTACTCAGCTGTACTATGTAAGTATGAAGTATGTACATACACAAGTCCAGTTCAGTTCAGTTCCACCACCGATCAAACCACCCAGATGCCCTTGTCTTCGAGCTGTTGCATAGCTTCTTGCTCTGCCCTGCTAGCTCCGAACACCAGATGCACCCTTTAGCCACCAATAGTTAAGGCCGAAGCCCGAGATGGGAACAAAGCAAGTAAGTAGCAAGCAAGCAAGCAAGCAAGCGAGCAGGTAGGAGTCGAAGTAGGTAGATGCAATGAAAAAGCACACAAACTTTGCAGACCAATCGACACCCTGGCTGCCCAACACTTACTCACGTGAAGTGCCTCCGCCCAAATTCGCCGTCTGGTACATTGACTAAAAGCTGTCCAAGCGTGTTCTGCGTCCGCCATCAACTCATGTGAGTTGTTGGTACCCAAAAACGTGACCGGTCCATCCTTGTTTGGGAGACTGAAACTCTGGGTCTCGGTGTAAACCAAATCCCGTGAGTCCAAATATAGTTGGAGTTGTAGGCCAAAAAAATTATATCTCAGAGCATATAAAAAGTTCCTTAGCAAAAAAATACAGCAATTGATACTTCCGCGATAGCTACGATGGAGGAGCTGCTTCCGTCCTGTATCCGGGACGTCCTCCGGGATGGACGCTGGACTTCGAAGCAAGACGTTCTTCAAAAGAACCCCGTCTGTTGCAGGTCATATCGGGTCAGGTCGGCATGTTTCTTGATTGTTGGGGGTAGTCTAATGGAAAAAACTAAAACAGTTCGGTCCAAGATATGTACATTCGTATGCCTTCAGAAGAAACCTCTCGAACAGCCAGGCTTCCAGCCATCTTTCTGACCCCTACCCTTCCCTGACCTCCGCGAGCAAATCGTATGCTCTGAAATATTTTTCTGCATGTGGCAGATTAGCCCCCCCCCCCTCCCTCGTCTAGACCAAAAATAAGAAAAAATAAAATAAAAGAGAGAGAATATATCCTGATGGTGTCGTGTCCACTAGCAAGTGAGGAGAAAGCCGGTTGAGAGGCCATGGCCCTAAAAGCAGCAGGAAAAAGGAAATACAATGACAGGATCATTGCACCTTTGCACACCAATTGCCACCCTTCCCAAGTACACACATCGTTCCCTCTTGGTGTAATGCTTTTCCCAGTAACGATCGAGATTTGAGTTGATCAATTCTCCTCCAATGGGATATAACCCGTGTCTTATTCTTGCGTTGCGAAATCAATTGGCCTGAAGTTAAGTTTGTAAAAAAAAGTGAGCTCCATAACTCCAAAATCAAACGGATAATAGAATCTTTTTTTCTTGTTAGAAAAAAAAAAAAAAAGAAGTGAGAAAAGATAGTTTCCGTTCCCCGTGCAGCATAGCCCGAAACATTAAAATCGAAAGAAAATAACAGAACAAAAGCGGCCGGCAGCAAACGTATCGAATCGACGACCGCCACGTCAACTTTCTCAATGATCATCTCATCGAGAGGCCTGCGAGCGGGGCTGGCTTTCTTGGAGGGATGTATCGACTGCCTTGCATGCCATTGAAGGTATAACGTTTCGTCTAAGCGTCGATGTTGGTATCTAATTTCGTCAGCTGAAATTAAAAGAACTATCGTAAATGCAACTTGCTCAAAACATGCAAATACGACGCCTCCTGGGCCGGGCTATGTTGTAGCTTCCGTAGCTCGCAAAGTCCTGTGACTCGAGATGCAGATAACTCGTGCCGAGGAGTGAGAGACGATGAAAAAAATTCCAAGACAATATCGCTCGGTCCAGAGGATGCATTCGCGATGCAACATCCCAGTAGGCTACCCCCCCATCTCCCGTCGAAAAAGAACTTCAAGGACGGCGAACAAGGTTATGAAAACTTTGATAAACAAGGCCCGTCACAAACTGGATGCCTCCGATCGTCAGCCAATTGAGCAATTGGTGCAACAGCTCATCGATGATCCATGGCAATAACAGAAATTTCCTTTTGCAGGACCAGGGAGGTTGATATGCCGTCTTGTCCAGCCGTCTCTTATGCAATCCTTTCTCCCATCGCCATCCACACTAGTTTCGGATACAATCCTTGATCCAAAGTCTCGTGAGTATGAGAAAGAGACGGGTCCGTTATCGATGGAGACATATGTCCAGTAGGAAGGGGTTCCACCAGAGTGTCTTGGGGTAGTTGCATAAAATTGGATCGAAACGTGTATCCGTTGAAAGCACGTGAGTGGAAAGCGTCAAGGATTTGCCATCTCCATGCATGAGTAGCCTTCGAAAAGCAAGACAACCTCCCTTCTCTTCCTTGAACAGCCGGTGTATCCGATGCATGATCTAGATAATCCAGCTGAGGGATTTTGTTGAACTCCAAAGCACAGGAAAAACTTGGATCTGCACCTTCGTTCAAGGCCTGGGCATGGAGGGGCGCGAGTCGAGAATGGAGGGGAGGCGTCCTTTCGAAACGAGAAGTCCTTCAAGGTAGGTCTGATATTGACAGGGATGTTGTTGGAAAATATGCTGACCATCATGGCCGGAACTCTACTTTGCATGAATTCTGTTATCAAATGTGACGAAGAGTCAATTGACAATGCCAAAAGGAAAAAAACCGTGGAAGCATCCACAATTCCGCCGTCCCGAGCTCTACAGGAGAGCAACTAGGCCCGTCGCCGTCTCCTTGAGATATTGGACTTTTGATGACCGTCGAGAAGGCATAAATAGAGCCTTTTTTCACCTCGAAGACGTTCTCTTTCTCATCATCATCAGCATCAGCTCCAAAGCAAAGCAATCCTCACTCACCGATCTCTCTTCATTCAGTCCTTACTGAGAAGCATCTTCATCTTCAGAACTTCTTGTTACTACTCTTTCTGTTTCTTGAAGACCCTCTTCTTCTTGAAACATATCTCAGCGTATACCGAAGCAATAGCCGGGTACGCACAGGCCAACAGCCCAATCTTCCAAAGTCGCTTAAAGAGACGCAAGTCATCTTAAAACCACACCACCCAAAATGTGCTTCTACGAGCAAAACGTTTTCCGAGACTGCCACTGCTTCAAGTGGGGTCGTTTCAGACAGCACTGCGCTAAGGAGTACCGAACTGGCGAAACCTGCGGTATGAAACTCATCTATGAAGCCGTGCCCAAAGCAGGCAAATGCGCCATCTGCAACAGGATCGATGTTGCAACTAGGAAGCTTGTCGCCTCCAAGGAAAAGGTTGGACGCTGGTTAGCCGAAGGGCGAAACCCGGTCTCCACTGAAAACGAGCAAACAAACATCCAGATCTACCAAAACGAGATCATGGAGCTCAATGCGCAAAAGGCGGCTAAACTCAGGAGCATCGGCTGAAAAACGATGCGTTGTGAAGCGCTCAGAGCCCGTTTGGCGTTCTGTTTTTCTCCCAATTCAGCAAAAAAAAATTTCACACCCGCAAAAACCGCCGAGTCAACAGACCGGTGAATGATAACGAGTTTCCTTTGTCGATGCATTCTATCTGCCTGTTTGCCATTCTCCTTAGCACACTACCTTTGTCTCCTGTCGAGTTTTATTTAGCGTCGAGTTGGGAAAGAAAAATCATGTTTTCTTTTTGTCGGATTTCTTTTCGCGGGTATTTGCCTGGTGTTTTCAGCTCTGCGGAAACACAGTGAGGCTGTGGCACTGCTGAGGACTCGGAGGTTCGAGCTGGCGACTGGACTGTTCGACCAGCCGGGGGAGGAGAAGCACGGCGCTTGATAAGAAATTGCCTGGTCCCTTTTTAGTATTTTCTTTTATGAATTGTTTCCTGGCTTTTGTATATAATTGATTTTAATGACAAAACTGATCATGACCTTAAGCGGATGCAACCGTCCAGAACACTAGGGTAGTTGGGTGATAAGATGGTGAGAAAAATTAGACGCCGGAAGTCTTGCGCTGCTTTTAAAAATAGAGCTGGCCAGGCCACCGGATTGGAAGCAGGAGCCGCCGGGTCAAACAGAGCCCCTAGGAGATGACGACGAAGACATAGAACCATCCCATGAATGATAAATAAGTCGTAGTCCGTAGAGCGATCGAGCGAAACAGTTGTTGTGCTGATTTTCTGTGGTGGTGAAGAGGCCGGGAGAAGTGAGGGGAAAGTTGGGAGGAAAAACAGATGGGAGTTGGCGATCGAGAGGAAGAAATTTGGGTGCCAAGCCTTTTGCAGCTTGGGCAGCCCTTTCTACGTGGACCGACGGGACACCTGGACAACTTTTAGTCAGGTAAGAAGCGAGGACCTTCGATAGGTGGGAGGGAGTGGGAGCAGGGTTATCCCGCCCGCTGCCTGCTCCCTTTCGTAGTTTTCGTGCCCTCCCGTCTGTAATGTACCGCCATCATCGAAGGCTAAGTCCAAGCAGTTTACCTTATCTGCACCCAGCAGTCTCAACAGCCCCAAGAAAATCGAGGTTGCATGCACTGCCAACACAAACACAAAACCACCCACCACGGTTCGTATCTCGGCTGTCTGTGGCCGATCGTCGAGAAAAATTCGTCGAAGTCGAATAATTAAGTACTTAAGTGTCGTAAAAGAGGTGGGTAGGTCCTTTTTAAGTATTGTGTCGTCTAACTAAAGTTTGGTCCAGTTTCCCGAGTTAGTGGGGCGTGTTCCTAAATTTAAGATCGTGAGAAATTTTATTGGCAAGCCCTCTCGTCCAACCGATGGCCTTCTCCGCTTCCGCATAATCTCGTCGAAGCCCACACCCACCCAATAGAATCAAAGGAAAGCCATTCTGAAGTTTATCAAACAAGATAAACACTGAAAGAATGGTCATGAGAGACAATATTCGAACCGCCTCATACCCTGTTTTCTTCTTCTTCTCCTTCTTCTTCTTCCTCTTTTTTTATTTTTATTTTTTAATTTGGGCAAGCAATCAAAAATCAAACCAAGATCATATCTTGAAGCATGGGCTGAGCCAAGGCTGGAGTTTAGCAAAGTCCGAGGTTACTTTCCTGATTATCCCCAACCCGGTTACGAGTATTTCGAGGAATGCAAGTCTAGGGCTGTGGGAACCTCGATTCCTGAAGATTGGATGTGTGGCCCGAGCAAGCTCAAACCTCTCGAGTTGGTACCGATTCTATGCCCATGACCTTTCAAATTACATAATAAGAAGGTGCACATCGATAAACTAGGTAACCAACTGCAGCCCCGCTCCTTCAATCAACAGATCGATCTCACGATGTGCCGATTCGAAATCTTGGGACCTTTCTCGTAGCCGCCCTTCCCCGCTTTCCCGTTAGATTCTCAGTAGTATCTTGATTCTGGAGCGGTCGGCATTCCCTTGCATGATACTATGAATTTTGGGGATACTAATCCCTGGGGCTCTGAATAGTGTTCCGAGTTTCTCCGAAGTTACTGGAACTGGAATAAATGGCCCAGGGCTTTGATAGAGTCACGAGTTTGATCAAAGGTACTGGGTAGTACCCAACGAATCCTTACCTATTCGGAATCAGACATTGTTCCTCTATTCAATGGGGCGGAACACAGAGAGTTCATACCTTAGAGTATATGGATCAAGGTCTATGCCGCAAAAATGTATCCACGAACCGGTTGTGTATCCACTGGGAGAAAAGCGTTGGAATGTCGTCCTTAATGTTGGATCACCATGATGGTTACACAGGCTTCGACTGGAATTCCATGAGCTCAAAAAATTCCAACAGAAGTCCCGCGTTGTCCTGAATATCCGCTGCGTACCCCGAACCCCCCCTACATAACATTTACATCTCCAGGCTTTTCGGTAAGGGCTAAAGTCCAATAAGTCTATCTAAAAAAAGCTATCAGCATCAGCAGAATCTTTAACAACCAAAACAGGGCCACTTACAGTTTATATTTACAATCCACATCACCTGCAGGCTTTTCATATATACAATAATGTAAGTTAACATACCAAGCGGAATCACAGCTTAACACCAGTGTGAATGGCGGCAACCCCAAAAGTGAGATCCTGCCATCCCTTCCCAGCAAGCTGAAATCCAGCATCGCGAATCATACCCGCAAAGTCCTTTTGACTCGGGAACTACATTAACAGTTAGTATCTCATTCTAACAGGACGTCGAGATGGTGTGTACCTTTATGATACTCTCAACCAAGTACTGATAACTATCTCGATCACCAGCGATCAACTGACCCATCATCGGGATCACGCTGAAGCTGTAACGACGATATATCTGATCTAAAACAAAGTTGTCGACCTTGGAGAATTCGAGGCAGGAGAAGACGCCGCCTTTTTTGAGGACTCGGTGGGCTGTTGATAGTGCTTTCTCTTTGTTCGTGAAACTGGTGAATGTTAGTAAACTTTCCAGAATGTTTGATAGAACTCAAGAGAACGAAGAAACAAATGGGATCGAATGCTTGTTTTGTTTTCGAGGCCAAAGCGCCAATGAACCATGGTCCATAAACTCCAAGCCCATGGGCGGTGTGAACCAGCCACCGCAAAGATGTAAACTTACTTCCGGATACCAAACGCAATCGTTAGAAGGTCTATCGAATTATCCGGAATCGCTTCCAATGTTTCACTATGTTCAGCATTATGTCAGAGCAGCCGCCTCAACACCGTATTCGGAATCTCGTGATATCAATGCATACCCATTCTGCACAAGAAAAGATATCGGAGCGTCTAAAGTCCACAAATCAGTACTCTTTTCAAAACCAAATAATAATAAATTCGATGCATACCTTCCCCCTCAGTTCTATACCCTAGCGTATGTGCTCTCCTCACCCCCTCCTTTAGCATTTCCTCATTAATATCCACGACCTTGACCTTCGTCTCCGGGTCCCCGTTAACTGTCCTAGCATGGTCCAGCATCCTAAAAGCAATATCTCCCGTGCCACCGGCAAGGTCTAGAATAGTCATAGGCTCGGAGAAGATGCTCTTCTTTCCTGGATTTAATTGCTGGACGAATTGATCCTTCCATATCCTATGGATTCCGAAGGACATGACGTCGTTCATTGTATCGTAGTTTTTTGCGACAGAATTGAAGACATCTCGAACTAGAAGTTCCATTAGTATTGATTTTAGATCATAAGAACCAAGGGTTAGTTAATACCTTTCGACTCCTTCATTGACTCTGCGACATTTTGAAATCCAAAGTGCGTTGTCGGCTCTCCGGCCTTCTGGTCTTGAGGCCGCACACCAGAACTCGAGAAGCATCGTGATTGCTGTAACAAAGCGCTAGCCCGGGTAGGCCGAAGCCTTAAAACCCTTCCGACTCCCCTTACACTCATCCCTTCGTCAACCGAAAGAGCCCACTGTCGAACCCGAAGTATCCCGTTGAATATTTGTTGTGAAACGTGGGTAATAAGGTCGTAGTTGGAATGTGACAGCCGAAGATCAGAAGAAAAGTTGAAATTCTCATATGTCCATTTGCGTCACGCCAAATCCACACCACAACCATCCTTCCTCATCCTCATCGCGTCAACCTCATCCCAACCATCGTTCTCTGCTTCACTCCCACCGACACACCGCCAAACCGCCCAATCAAACCTCCTACAATAATGTCTTCCGGCCATCCTCCCTCAGCATCTCTGCCACCCTTACCGAAAGGGTGGACGGAACATCGCGCCCCAACTGGTACGTGTCTAAAGCTCCCTACCTCCAACGGTTCCCATACCAAACATATCTAACAATACCCATTTACTCATCCAGAATTTCTCGCGAACTAGGCCACAATTACTACTATCATGCTGAAACTAAAACATCGACCTACACACGACCAGTCGAACCCGCGCATGCCGCACCGGTACCTAATTTTGCGCCTCAAGTTCCACCCCAGAGCTACCAGCAGCCCAATCAATTCAACTTTAATTACCCTCGCAACCATCCCCAACAATACCACCATGCAAACCAAGGCCAATTCCAACCTCCCCGTCGTCCCCGTCATCAAGATAAACCCGACAAACCTAAAACTAAGCGTTCAATCCCCGATGCCGCGCCCTGGGTCCTCGTCACCACCAAAAAAGGAAACACCTTTATCCACAACCCAGAAACCAAAGAATCCCTTTGGGACGCACCGGAATCTCTAAAATCTGCGATTGAATCTCTCGAAAAGTTATCTTTGGACGAAGAACGCGAACGCGAACGTATCCGTCGCCGACAAAGCGCTCTAGACCGCCAAAGACGTGAACAAGAGGAGGCAATCGCCAACCAAGAGGAAGAATACGAGTATGGTGAAGAGGAATACTATGAACCTTCCGAAGGAGAAGAAGGATCTGGGGTTCACGGCATAAAGCGCCAAGCTTCAGCTCCAGCTGAAGGCGAAGAAGGGGACTATTACGACGATGAAGACTTTGACGAAGAGCACGACGAAAAACGCCTGAGAATGGAAACCGGTGGACTAGTGGAATTCACAGAAGACGATATAGCTTGGCAACTCGGCGATATCGCTGCACAATACGGTCTCGGCGAGGAGGACCTAGAAGAGACCGACGATCTAGCTCCAGAAGACGGCGCTCTACTATTCAAAGACCTCTTGAACGATCTGAACATCAATCCATACAGCACATGGGACAGTGAATTGCCAAAACTAGTCGAAGATGGGCGGTACACCGCTCTTCCAACTACCAAAATGCGAAAACAAGTGTTTGGAGAGTGGTGTCAAGAGCGTATTGCTGAGATAAAAAAGGAGAAGGAGAAAGAGGTTAAGAAAGATCCGAGGGTTGCATATTTGGCGTTTATAGAAGCGAATGCGACCCCGAAGCTCTATTGGCCGGAATTTAAACGGAAGTTTAAGAAAGAGGCAGCGATGAAGGATGTTAAAATAACGGACAAAGTTAAGGAAACATATTATAGGGATTATATCAGCCGTAAGTATAATCTCTCAACTAAATTTGCCAAGCGAAGTGCTAATCGGGATGTAGGGATCAAAACAAGTGTGGAGACAAGAGAGAATGATCTTAAGAAATACCTTAAAACCGTGAAGGATTTAAGGCGTGTATCAACTCTCGAGACCCTGCCTCCTTCGGTGGAGTGTGATATCAGATACACTGTTGTTCCAAAGGACAGAAGAGACCCGATAGTGGAGGCTCACATAAAAAGCCTACCTGAAGATGCAGGCGAAGGTGATTCATCAAATGATACTCTAGAAAGACAGAGGAGGGCACTAGAGGACCGTGAGGCCGCCGTTCGAAGAGAACGGTTTTATAATCAGAAGGATATCGCGAGGGGCAAGGAAGTCCTCAGAGAAACCGAAATGGAGATTAAACGGGCCATGAATGTTGGTAAAGAAGGACTGTTGGGACATTTGGAGCCTGCGAAAGAGAAAGATGAGGAAGAGGGTAAGGCACCATGAAGTTCAAATTCATAAATTGTAGGATAGTACATTTTATCTACTATAGAATATACCACAGTTGAGGAGTCTAGCGACGACACAAGAATATACCACAGTTGAGGAGTCTAGCGACGACACAAGAATATACCCCCAGACTTTATTAATGCATAGATAGCTACGATATCATGTTCCCTTTGAGAAGAAATTCAATTTTAGCTTTTCAACCGAATGATTTCGTTTGAAGTTTCGTATTCTACTAGACAGTTACTTGGGTAGTTTTCATTAATATTCACGTCGGCTTATTATTAGCAGAGCCCTGGTCTCGAGGATAGGCTGCATGTCCAAGTCTGTCACCCATAAAAACTACCTCGCCAACACATCTCCCAATCAATTGCAACCTTCCATCACCATCACTGCATCATCCCCCCACAATATAATACCACAATGGCGCAGGGAACAAAAAAGCTCACGAAGCCGACAACTACGAAGAGGTAGGTTATTTCTCTAACATCTTTTTATCGCGTATATCATCGTAAAATCGGGACAGCTATCGGCCGTAGCAACCTCAGCCGCGATTTTCTATCAAAAGTTCAGCAAGAAAAAAAATTTTAAATTTTTTTGAACAAAACTAACAAATATGCATAATGCAACATGAAAATTTTACAGTAGACCACAAACTCTCGGTCCACGCAAGGGCAATCGGGTAATCGCACCGAAAAACCAGATCTTGATTAAGCAAAATGCTATTAAGAAGGTCTGTAAACATCCTTATATTCTACTTTCTTCGAAAAGTCGAAAGATATTCACTGGGTGGCGAAAAGAGAATCTGTGCTAAAGTGTGAAATCTTTATAGAAACACTCCGGCGGCCTGACAGCCAAGACTGAGAGGAATTTGGCGGAAAAGGCAGGACATCTAGAGCTTTTGCCTGGTGGGAAGAGGGATAAGAAGAAATGATTGTTTTATAATCTCAAAATCTGTGTATTGGGGTTATAGTCAAGCGGGATTGTATGTACGATAGATAGAAGGGAGGTTCGGGACTGAGCGCTGGTGTTCCGGTGTATTTTTTTTTTACCAATATCAGTTTTTAATCCAGCTGAACGAGCAGGAATTGGTTGATTCTAAGTATTCCAAAATTCGATGGATCATGATCTTCGTATCGTTATGGTACCAAATGGGCCCGAGAATAGTACTAAATTTATAAATTAAATCCTTCAATTTGGTTTCCTCATAGCCTCTCCGAGCACCTTAATTCCCTGCGCAATCGTATCTTCCTCCAAATATGACAACGACAACCTCAAATATCTCCCACCCCATCCCATAACATTCCTCTCCCCAACCCCCTTCACGACGGGAACTTCAAATCCATCACCTTCACCAACTCTCACTCCTCTTTCAAGCGCTACCTTCGCAGCATCTCTAGCATCATACCCTTCCGGTAACTTCACCCATACAAAGTAACCACCCTCACCACCTTGTACCTCCGTCCCCTCTGGCCAATGTTCCTTTATCAGTTTTTTCAACAATTCAGCTCTTCTCTTATACGCCACACAAATATTCCCAATCACATCATCTATAACCCTTTTCTTCCCACCAGTCTCCAGTAACAACCTATGAATAATCGTACTTGAAAGGTGACATGGTGCCCCTCCACTATGATTCGCTCCACTCTTCCCCATCGCTTGAGCAAGAACACTTGTTGCCCCTTCAACCCATCCACACCTCACCCCAGGACCCAATATTTTCGAAAACGAACAATTGGAGAGTGTGTGACCCTTTTCATCATCTTTAACACCTAATTCACGATCGATGTCGACTAGTCTTTTTATTGCCGTTTTGTGGGGTTGGTTAGGAGAATTTTGGTAGTCGAGGAAATCGTAGACGTCGTCTGTGATTAGTAGCATATCATGTTCACGCGCGAGTTTTACTAATTGGGTGCGGGATTCGAGGGAGAGGGTTGTTCCCGTGGGGTTTGAGAATGTGGGGACGCAGTAGAGAACGTGGCGGTAGAGGGGTTTTGGCACCACAGATTTTATGGGGGATGTTGCTTCTTCTAGGGATGTTTTTTGGGGTGAGGAGGAGGAGGACTCTAATTCTGAGATTAGAGTTGGGAAGTCAAGGGATGTGCCACAGGAGGTGAGTGAAATGGCAGTCAAGAGATTTGCGAAGCCAGAGTCTATATCGATATCATATATACTTTAATTATATTTTGTAATCACGAGGAGAGGAATTTGAAGGGAAGTTGTTTTACCTTGGAAAACAGGACAGGCGAGAAAGTAGACCGGTGTCAGAATAAAAGCTCTGCGTGTATACCCGCCAATAGGGTTTGTGAATAACTCCAATGCCTTCGAAAGACCATTCGAAGCACCCGAAGTGAGATTTATCATCTCTGGGTCCGTTGGAGCGTTTAAGCCGTAGCGAGCGGCAGACCAAATGCCGATTTCGCGGCGGAAGGAGATGTTTCCTACTATTACGATTCGTTAGAACAATATTCTATAAGACAACATACGAAGCGCTTCGAAGCTGTGCAAATTTATATTATATCATATCATGGAAGATTTTAAATAAAATATATTTTATACATACAATCGGGTCCATAATGCAATGGATGTCTATCCTTATCGAAAGAATCCTGAGGTAATTCGGAACTACCCAGCACCGCATTTGCAGCGGCAAGCATTTCAGAGGTTGCTAGCAGAGAAGTAGATGGATGACCGCGCATGAAGTCGATTAACGACGATTTTACTTCTTTAGATGCAGCCATTGTTATAGATCTTTTGCGATATTTTGGGATGAGAGTGGTATAGTTTGAAATACTGGACGTGGGGAAGCTCAAGTTGGTCTTTGAGGTTGAGTGAAGACGACGGAGGAGATGGATCATAGATTTGAGGGGGGTCTGCGATGTAGTACTTGTGGTGGTGGTTTACTTTGGGGGAAGGCTATTCACGGAGGTTGTTCATGTACAGTCGGATCCTTCATTGCTCTCTAACTGTATAGCGGCCTTAAGCTTCCTGATGTGGTTGTACGAATGACGAAAGCGAATATAGCTTCGAATCCCCGGTTCGTCGACTAGACTCTCGATTCTGTGTACCTATTAACGTATTATTTCAAATTGAGTATGTAAAATCAATGAGATAATTGGTACACCCAGCTAAAACTCTGTGGGAGGTTTCCGATCCCATTGATATCCAACATGCATATTTAGTCCAACCAATTACATAAGTCCAGTCCGGCTGATACTTAGACCTAGCGATATTCGAAGGTTGACCGTACATGAAGGACGGTTCCAGTCCGAGTTGGAGGCGTCGAGAATACAACAGCAACACACCGTCCAATCAAGATTATATTAGATCGATCTAGATCAACAGATCTACACAACATTACTACTTAAACATCAATGCAATGCGCAATGCGCAATAAACCCCCATCGAAATCGCGACTTCATGACCACAACCAAAGCTTAAATCATAACTATCACGAACTAAGGTACCTATTTATTATAAGTGTACGTGTATCGGTATCATAAGCAAAAATATGACCCGCCAACTACGTTCTGCCACCAAACCGGCGCCAAAACTGGTACCCGTGTTTCACGATGCAGATACCACACTGCGTATACCAACAACGTTGACATCAGCATCAGCATCAGCATCACCGAGCACTGATATAACCCCTAACTCCAAGCGCAAATCTAAAAGAAAAGCTCTAGATGCAAATCTAGAATTACCAACTGCAAACACCCCAAATACTCCTAAACCCACATCTAAAAAGAAAAAGATAACTTTAAAGACCTCCCCGTTCCCTACCCACCCCTTTCCTACCCCCTCACAGTGCCAAGAAGTCCACTCCCTTCTCACTGCCGCTCATGGCCCCGCCATCCGCCCGGATACTCTGACAGCCTCAACCCTTCATGCCGGCTGTGGTGAAGTCCCTTCGGTTCTGGACTCCCTCCTTCGCACTGTTCTTTCAGCGAATACTTCAGCTCAAAACTCTACAAAGGCTTTTCACGGTCTTATAAAAGAGTACGGTCACGACCCTGTTCATGGTGGTGTAAACTGGTCTTTGGTTCACAGAAGAGATGTAAAAGAATTATATAAAGCGATAGAAAAAGGTGGTTTGGCGAATATAAAGAGTAAGGCTATCAAGGGTATTTTGGAAGAGGTTTGTGAGGGTACGAAGAAGAGAGGAGGGAAAGATGGGGAGATTAGTCTGGATTATTTGCATGAGAAGGGGGATGATGAGGTTATGGAGACTTTGATGGGGTTTAAGGGGGTGGGGGTTAAGACTGCGACTTGTGTGCTGATGTTTTGTGAGTTACTTTTCTTATTCCTCTTCCTTTTCTCCCTTTCCTTCCTCCCTCTTTTTTTTTTTTTTGATGATACCAGTACCTCGTGAACTTGATCGTATGATCTGAATTTGCATCATCAACATCGCGATATGGAATCGTCAGTTGTCAAAGGATCGATTTCAAAAAGGTCAGTTGGACTGACGAAAGGAATCATAAAAAATTGATCACATAGGCCTCCGAAGATCCGCCTTCCCAGTAGACACCCACGTCTTCCGGATCTCAAAGTTACTTGGCTGGGTTCCTACGCCGGGATATCAACGAGAACTTATGTCCCAGCAGTCTAAAATAGCACCTTTAGAACTCTCTGATGAAGAGGAGGAGGGGGAGGGCGAAGATGAGGCAGAAGGAGAAGAAGATAGCAAAAGTGGTCAGGCCGAGAATTCTCATCGCGTGGACGGTAAGACATTCAACTCGGGAGCGGGAGGATCTGATCGGAATGGGAATAAGCGAATGCGACTCGTGAAGCCTAAGAGGGGTGGTAAGGATGTGAAGGTTACACGGGATACGACGTTTTTGCATTTGGATGCTAGAGTGCCGGATGAGTTGAAATACGGACTGCATCAGTTGATGATCCGGCGTGAGTAGATTTACATTCCAAATATACCTATTCCTTCAAATTCATGAATTCACTAAACTATAAACTAGAATATCATATGATTATTGATATTCTCGATTGGGAATGAATGGAATGCTAATATAACGAATTCACTAGACGGCCGTTACTGCCCTACCTGCAACGCAGCCGGCGGTCGAAAATACGGCATCGGACAGAGCGGAAAGACGCTAATTGCGACCAAAAAAAGCGTGATAGTAAAAGAAGAAAAGGCAGACGGAACATTTGAGGAGAGTACAGTTGAGGTAATGGTGAAGGAAGAACCCGCAGATTCAGATGACGATATACCGCCGCCACCACCTTTGATTCTGCAAGACGCAACAGCAGATGCAGGTGATAATGATGCAGAAAAGATATCGATCAAGATCGAGGATCAAGGTGGGTTAGCGAGCGAATTAAAAGGGAAGCCGTACGTTCCGATTGATGCTGCGGGCGGGACTGGGGAGAAGACAGGGGGGAACCCGGATGGGAGCTGCATTTTGGGAGAGCTGGTTTCGTGGGAACGGTTGGTGTAGTATACACACCACCTTCTTTTTTACCTATTAGTTTTTTATTTTGGCATTTATCACCCCCAGACTACATTTATCGTTCACACCATCAAGTGCAAAAGTACACTAGCTTTAGAGGATTGTGGGTCGTGTGGGAGTAGATCGGACGAAGATTTCAGGCAGGTGACGTCCTTACAAGTTATCATTGTAACTACTTAAGTACTTCCTATGCAATGTCGCCAACCTTTGGTCTGTGTCGCCTTACGAAAAGATCCCGGGTGGATTTGTGTAACAATAACGGAGGTTGTCTCTCTTTCGGTTTCCGTTCGCGGTCATCATAAAATTAGTAGAAGTACTTACATCCCTGGGCTGAAGAACAAAAAGACAACGAGGCTAAGAATGCAAATGCAAATGCAAATGATTTTCCATGGCATGTCAGACTACCTGTAGATGGCAGCGAACATACGCGGGACTTCCCCGGATGAACATGGTTCTCTCTACTTTTGCCTATACTCTATACGAACAACCTCCACATCCCACGACAATAAGTAATTAGTAAATAAGTAAATAAGTACTAGTTTTGCTTAAGGAACTAAGTGATACGTATACTTTTCAACATGATCATGATCATGAGCAGTTTAATAAAACAGTTGGTTATATAACAAGGAAAACTAGAAACACGCCATACCATAAATACAATTAAATACGGGGTCTAGTAGACAATATAGTTCAAGCATTTCTGTGCCAAGCCGGGGCATTTTGGGGGGGAAGAGGGGATTAGAATATAGCAGTATAACTGTTGGTCTTTTGTTGGAACAGTTCTGAAGCAGCCGCAGTCGAATGTCGCAGGATTTACATTGGAATTGTTGATAACGTTGGGGGCTGTCAGACAATAGTACATTAATACTACTACCAGTACTAATACCAGTACTGTGCTGGGTACTTATTAATAACTTCTTCCTCTGCCTCACCAACTTCAGTACTTCAGGTTAATATTATCTGACCCCTCCCGTTCGAATTTGGATTCGAGATTCAATCCAACCTCTCTCTAACTCCATCATATCATTTATCGATCATCATCCCGTGCATTGTTTGCTCTAAAAGTTGCTCCATTCCTACTCCTGTCCTGATTGGACTGGAAGCCCATCTCGAGTCTGCTAGCCCGGCCCCTTTCAGGCGACCACTTCCCGCGCATAAGACCAGAAAACCCTCCAGCTGGCCAGCCGATGCGGGTTTCCGCTTCCATTATCACATATTTCCTATCGATTTCCTCTCATCCCTCCCTCCCCCACTTGGAGGTATACGGTACCGGCGGGCACCCTTGCTTTGACATTCTTTAATTTTTTAAATTGCTTAATTCTTCTGATTCGGTGTTTCTTTTTATTTCTTGGAATACTTAAACTGACTTATCTGGCTAAAAAAGCCACCTGAGCGGTTCACCGGGTAGTAGTTTCGCTTTTGTTTTTTGTTCCTGCCGTGAAACGAAAGAGCTTGAAGGGCCGGAGCGAGGGTCCTTACACAGCTAGCTAAGCTTATGGACAGCTAACAGGTACACTTACCTAACGACTTCGTTCACCTATCACCATCCTCTTCTTTTTTTTCCCTCTTCGTATTTTCTCTTTTCTTCCAGATCCTCGGTCGCACTGCATGGAAATAACGGTGACCGTTATCATTTATTTTTTTCTGTTTCGTCAGTAATTCCCACGCAACCACAGAATTGGCCCGTCTTGCATAAAGGTCGATATCATCGGTTGGCTGCTTGGTGTTCCATTCGAAATTCAACCACCCGACATCTCGCATCTTGCATTTCGCATTCGCATTCGCATTCACCGTATATGCATATTCCTCACTATCAAACAACAAAAAGACCACGCGGACTCGACACCACGTTTAGATACAGATCCCATCTTGCATGGTATTCCTTAACCAAATACATCGGAGCACAAGATTAACCTGCATATCTTTATTTTATTTTTTTTATTCTAAAAATAAAAAATAAAAATTACAATTAACAGAAACAAAGAAGCCAAACAAGTGGAAAGACCATCTACTAGCAGGTAGCTAGCCAGCAGAGCCCTACCCGGCCGCTGGCCCAAAAAATCCGCAAATATGGCTTCCTATATCGATATCCATAAAGAACGGCCAAGTCGCCCTGAGGAATCCGAACCTCTCAATGCCTTCTCTCCATCATCATCCCAATCCTCTTCATCCTCACCAGCCAATTCACGGCCGGGCACACCTCGTCCTCCACCTTTATCTCCATTGAACCCTCGAACACCCCTCGAACCGTTCGAGATAATGGATACACCATTATTAGACACCCACCCACATTCTCCACCAACAGTATATACATCCCGTCATAGAAGGACGGTGTTACTGTGTATTTTATTAGAAGTTTTTATAATATTTAGTTTTGCGACGACGAGTTTACCGTTTACGAGGATTGTGGAGAATTCGGTTTGTCAGAGGTGGTATGAGTTTGAGAATAAGAACCAAACGTTGATTGACGAGGGGAGGAAAGGAGGAGGGGGGTTTATGCCTGATGAGAAGCTCTGTAAGACAGATGAGATCCAGGCAGGTGTGGTGGAGATTTTGGGGGTTTCGGATACGATTTCTACAGTTGTTTGTGAGTATTTTTCTCTCGATATATATATATATATATATCTAGATGCGAGTATTTGGGAGGCTAATTTTGATATTTGGGGGGGAATAGCATTGTTGGTGATGTTTCCGTCAGGATTTCTGGCTGGAGTTATTGATAGACGGGCGTTTTTGCTGTTAGCAATTGGAGAGACGGCGGTGGGTTTAACTTTGATGGGGTTTATAGGTGGGTTATTTTCAATACTCTATATAAGTACTAATATAAATATATTGAAAAGAAATGTTGTTAATGGTGAGATGCAGGTTCGAACCCGCTGGCATTTGATCCACGGTTGTTTTGGGTTATACCGTTATTTGATTTAATCGGTGGTGGGTTTACGTTCTTTGGGATTATGATGCGAACGGTGATTGCTGAGAATACGCCAAAGGATGATTTGTGAGTGTCCATTTTATCTACAACTATTTCTCTATATATATACTTAGTGGGTAAAATTGTTAATAATTGTGTGGGTTGATTTAGAGCGGCGGTATATTATAAACTTACCGGATTTAACATTCTATCGACCTTCCTGGGGACTACACTGGGTTCTTGGTTGATGGGTATCATCAGCCCGGTGAAAGTTCTTTATATGGGAGTTGTCCTCTTCGTCGTGTTATCGGTACCTACGATCCTCCTCCTCCCGCCTGCACTACCCGAAAAGGAGAAAAACATGTACGACGACATACGGTCGTCGCAATACCCAGAAACGGCAGATGACAACTATGCAGACGACGAAGATACCACAGCAGCGCCACGTCGAAAAGCAACTTTGTACCAAAGATTCCTAGAACAAGCAAGGTCGAAAACAAATCTATACGCATCAGTCAAGACTTTATTATTCGAACAACGGGCGATTAGGAATGCGCTGGTGATATTGTTTTTCAACATGATCGCAAGAGGAGTTAGGATTCCGTTTCAGACGTGGGTGTCTAAACGGTACTCTTGGACGTTGTCTAAGACGGGGATTGTGCTGTCGTTCGAATCCCTGATGGGGGCGGTGGTGTTATTGTTACTACCATTTGCGAAATCAAAGATCGAAAGGGTGGTTTCCGGGAAGGGTAGTCTATGGCGGAAGCTGCGATTCCCACCAGACCTAATGATCGCAACGTTATCATTGGTGGCGCAAACATTATCAGCGATACTTCTGACAGTAACAGCGTCGGAATTCTTTTTGGTGATGTCGTTGGTTGTTAACGCGCCAGCACGGGCGTTCTTTGATGGATTGAGAAGCCATTGTATAGCCCAGGCGAAGGAGAGCGAGATTATGATCATTCACATGGCATTTGTGATTGTTGAGATCATGTCGGGAATACTGAACGGGCCGTTGTGGATTAAAGTGTACGCGTTCACATATTCCGAGGGGAATGTGACGGGGTTGGGGATGGGACTGCCGTTTGCTATTTGCGCGGTGCTGACTGGGGGCATCGTGGCGGGGATGGGATGGGCGAGGGGGAATCCCAAGTTTTAAGCCGTTCCTTTCACCTCCTTTATTTTTTTTCTTTCTGTTTCTATATTCTATATTCTATATTCTTTTTTTCTTTCTTTTCTTTTCTTTTCTTTTCTTTTCTTTTCTTTTCTTTTCTTATAGAGATATCCTGTACTTGAAGCATGCAGATGTGAGCATTAATTTGGGCGTCATGATGTTTTTTTCTTGTTATGTTTGTTATGTTTTGGAGGAAAAGGGAAGTCGAGTCTCGTCGCTAATTTAATTACGAACATTCCCATCCGATGAATACCATTCGCCGTTGGCCATTCGCCATTCGCTCGGATATTCGAGTTTAATAAGTTAGGCAGCGCGCTAAATTCCCCCGTCCGGCACATTCTTATTGTTTTGACAGCTCTTTGTATATGTCGATGGTGTTTTGGAATCGAAGCTCAGATATGCCATTGTCATTACTCCCATCGCATTGACATTGACACTGACATTGACACTGACACTGACATTGGCATTGACATGGATATCGATCACAGCATTGCAATTGCATTTCCAGGGATAATGTCTTCCGATAGATTATATTGTTATAGTCGAGTATACTTATACTTATAATCTGTGCGACTTGCTCGACGTATTTACCCACATGTACACTGCGCTGTAGTGTCTCTTTCTTACTTTCTTACTTTCTTTCTTTCTTTCTTCCTTGCAAGTACTCGAGCCAGCCAGCCATCCCTTTATCTCCATCTCCATCTTTCTCTCTCCATATTTTTATCCTTCCCTCCTTCCTCTTATTCTTATTCTTATTATTCTTCTTCTTCTTGGTTGTAACTGGTACTCGCCTGAGCTAGCCGACCTGTAAAGAAGTAAGATTAATACCTATCAAATAAGAATAAAAATAAAAATAAAAATACAAAGATCGCGACAAGTCCAATCCGACTAGCCATTTTATTTAAACTGTCAGAAGACAAAAAGGAACAGGAAGACCCACTCTCCGCTATCTTTCTCCAGCCCAGTCCAATCACTTCACTTCGCTTTTCTGGATATAAACATACACAGCCCTACGAAGTATACCACTATTACCATACTAACCACTTAAGTACTTTACTTTACATTACTTCAAGTATATCGGATTGGATGTAGACAGACGGATAGATATCGATAGATGAGATCATCACCACCGTCGCTCGGCTTCTGGTCGTCGCTCGCCACTTCCTTAGGTTTATCCTCTGCTTCTTATTCCCCTGACCATCATCGTCCTTCTTATCGTGGCGGCGGCGGCGGCAACAGTAGCAGCTTTTATTCTTCTTCGACCGCTTCGGCTTCGACTTCGCATTTGTATTCGACTTCAGCGCCAGCCACCGACGTAAACACCACTGTTTCCTCCAATAATAACAACATCCTCTACTACTCCACCGACTCCGGTTCCTCTTCAAGACCGCGCACTCGCGACTCTTCCTCCTCCCTCTCCCCCTCCTCTCTCACCACTTCGTCCTCTCTGACAATGCGCTACACAAACGAAGATCGTCTTCGCCGCGAACAACCCAACCCTCAACTCCCCGGCGAAGTCCCCTCCAAACGTCCTCAATGCTACTGTCCACCTTATCCGCACCGAAATCCTTCTCACATCTCCGGCTCTACCTTCAAACTCACAAAATATTTCACAAAATACCTTTTCGGCGCCGATAGCGACTCCGAGGAAGACGACTATGACGATGCTGGCAATTACATCTCTCGCCCGACCGAGAATTCTCCAAAGCTCTTCAAGTCCTTACCAGCAGAGATATTAGGCCAAATTCTCGACGATGTAGTTTCCCACTCCACCGCTTCGGACGCTTTATGTCGCTGCTTCTACCCTGGTGTCAAGGTCGCCGAACTCAAGAAACGATATTTAAGATGGAAACTCGCCGATACCCGACATGTTCGAGAAACCTGTTCGAGGTGGCATTCCTGGGCTAGCAGGGAATACTTTTCTGCCACTAGAAACGGTGTGGTCGTCGACTTTAGCGATATCGAAAATCTGAGGCTACGGTTGGAAGCTTATAACAAGGAACACGGCGACGATGAAGAAATCCGTCAGGTGTTGGCCGGGTCGTCACCTGGGACGAAAAAGAGGAAGGAAATTACCGGTATTAAAGAATACGGTAGACACCTTACTCCTGCTGGACCTGTGGGGGGAGGGGGCGGGGGTGGAGAGGGGAGCAACAACCCTTCTGACGACGAAGCGCTATTCATGGAAGAACATTCAGAAGGAGGAAGCTATCGGCGCCGACGAAAAGATAACAACTACGACGGCAATAACAGTTACCCACCGACCTATGGGAGAGCCGGCCAGAAGAAAGGGATCTCATCCTTTCTATCTTACTACTTATTACCCGAGGCGGCAGACTCGAAGGAATCGTTCATGTCCGATCATTCGCATCATATAAGGGAGGACGTCGATTGGTCTATTATCCATAAGGAGTTCCTGACCGCTTTCCCATACTTAAGGTCCGGAGGGGTTACCTTACATCTTGGTTCGCCGATGCATATTCGAAATTTAGAAAGCGTTTATGCCATGCTATCTACTTTTGCAGTGGTATGGGGTGGTTCTCTGCTACGTAATGGTGGCGGGATTGTATTCTGGGATTTTACATATGCATGGCGAGAGGATACCGATGTCTTCGAGAGACTCGTTCATGACGCCGAATTGGGAAAGGAGCGGTTCTTGAAGTACTACGACAACCCGGAACGGGAATATTGGGGTATCGATGAAGCGAATTGGATCATGAATCCTTATCAACGACCATCGATGGCTAGGATTCAAAGTAATCGAATACAACAAAGGTTTGCACTTTCAAGACGGGTGCATGAGTTTATCATCGAGCAAACAATTGCGATTATTAAGTCCGATGCTGGGCTGATTTTAGATATTATCACGGCTGCAGCGGGGAGTTCTAGGATTCAAGTTCCTGTTAACATACTCGCTGTCCTGCCGCCAACGAAGTGGGGGTCTTTGAAGACAGCCCTGCAGGCCTGTAAGACGATAGAGTTTAGAGATTGGCTGTATTGTAACGAACAGCAGTTTTCGAGACTTGCAACGCAGTTATCCGAATTGGACCACCCGAGTGTTAGTCGGCAGGTATGGTGGGATGCGTTGGATGTTACATCTCGAGCGTTAAATTTGGAGGTCGACCTTTTGATTGAGAAGATGCATGATGAGTTCAATCGATTGGAACTCGAGAAGGGGCTTTGGAATGGGCCGGAGACACAAGTAAAAGATATTGAAATCAGAGGGAGAGGGTGGATGAGGAATTCTCATTATGCTAGTGGGTTCGTGGGAAAAGGACACGAGAGGAGGTGGTTTGGGGAAGGGTTTGTGAGGAAGTTTGTATTCGGGCAGGGAATCGCCGGATTGGATATGCAGTCGACGAGTAGAGGGATTGAGGGGATTGAAAAATTCTTGCTGGCGGATGGGTGCTGGGCGGCGGAGGTTTCTTTGGGAGGTAAGATATATTTATTATCTTCATACAATATATCACTGTTTAATCGGGAAACTAACTTTGTTATTATAGCATCCTTGGTGCTGCTCCAGAAGTCATTCTCTGCTCACACCCTCAGAACCCTCAAATATGCACCAGCGATTCCTCAGCTATCAATGTCCTCCCGTGCACCGGTTCAACCACACGCCTGTCCGCTTCTTGCAATGTTCCCCAACCTCACCGATGCATTCGTATATAGCGTTTGCTGCCCTGAAATCTTTCGTGCATTCCTCTCGTCCTCTACCGCACCAACTTACCTTGGCAAACTAATGGCTACTACTGATTCTACACCTGAATCTGCAACAGCACTCAAGCTCCCAAGTTACGACAAGAACCTTAAGAGGAAGTGGACTATTGTTGTTCCACGGGTACACAAATCTATCGCAAGGGGGTGTAGGGATTATTCGGTTGAGACGACATTTCATTTACCCGGTCCCAGTGATGCAGCGCAACAAGAGGTTCATGCCGAATATCTACTCAAGACGCCGTCATGGGGCTTAGTCTGGAATCGGGAGGCTCTAACCGACCTTCTAAGCGCAGCTAGACAAGCTGCTGATGTGCTAGTTAACAAACCGACCGTTGTCCATCCAACACCACCCCTCAGCTCATCCAGTGACAAAAGTGGAACATGGGACCTTCGAATTGTATTCGAAGGAATGGTGGCAGTCGAATCCCTCGACTATGCCTCTGGTGTAAATATGCCAAAATACCTTGGATTCGAAAGTTATGACAATCTTTTCTTCGGATCGAGGTCAAGATATCCACATGGGAGTTTGGATATCAAAGAAACGGTGTTCTATCCGCTTAGAGAGCCGGCTAGTGTTGAAGTTGTAGCTAAGGTTCTGCATTCAGGGTACTTGAGGACTGATGAGAGTGAAGATGAGGATGAGGATGAGGATGAAGGCGAGGGGAGAAGAAGAGGGGTTGATGATGGGATTCGAAGGGCCTGGATGGAGGAAGAGGATTTTTTGGGGGGTGAGATGGAACAGTAGAACAATTTTTATCCGATATCCGTGCGTGTGCGTGTGCGTGCATCGTTTGCAAGTTTTTTTGAAAGGCAAGGGATGCATCGATGAGTTTCCTACATTGTCTGCTTTGTCTTTTTTTTATGCAACTGGAGCGTATTTGGTGCGCCGGTGCGATTTATCTTCTTGGGCGAAGCATCTGAGATCATGACCTTTTCTTCATCTTCGATTCGATTCCCTCATTTACCTTTTTTCCTCTTTAACCTTTTATGATTCAACTCTTTTCGTTTATTTTTTTTTCTTTGGCGTCTATAATGTCTATTTTGGATACGGATTTTTGTATATTTCCCCCCTTCTCTTTATTTTTTCTTTCTTTCATGTTTGATACCCGAAATTTTCTTTTTCAATTGGGTTCTGGTTTCTTGGGTTTTTCATAATTTATATAATGTCATAGCATGCTGGTAGCGCGCTGTGGAGCGGGCCCGCGGTGCTAACTAATGAAAGTTTTTTTTGATGTCAATATTAATAGCGTTCTGAAGTGACCGAGATCCTTTACTTTGGATAATTGGTCTGGTGTGATACTACTAACATAGAAATCGAAGTCTTCAGATTCGTTTATTCGTTTAATCGATATGATATGATAGTTCATGCGATTGACTCGCGTTTGGTAAAATCATCAAGTAGATATATATGTCTCATCTACAAAGTTTCGACCAAAGGTCCTTATAATTACTAAAAGTTTCAGCATGAATATTTTCATTGATACAGAGCTAAATACTAGTAGGTATACGGTATATACCTAGGTATCAAACCACTATAGCAGTACGTACTACAATGAACTTCTCAACCCTCCCTCCATAACCACTTCTCAAACTCTTCACCCTCCAACCCCTCCGGCACATCCTCCACTTCACTCCTCCACTTCATTGATAACCCATACATCTTATGAACCGTCGGATTCATTACAAGTCTCTTCAAATCCCTTGACGACTCACTATCCTCACCTTCACACAAAACCCTCATCTCATACGCCCTTCCAACCATGACCTTAGCTCTAGCCTGATCCCCCTGTCTTATACAAACCCTAAATGCATCGTAATAAGCCCCTCCTTCGAAATTAACAGCAGACCCATCATATTCTTGTCCAAGCAACCCTATCAACCTCCTACAATCCTTCAAACAGTCGATTGGGGTTGAGTCAATAGTAGTGGTACTATAGCTAGCGGTAACATTAGACATAATAGATTCATTTAGTTCCAAAATCCTCTGTCGTCTTTCATCGTTCGACTCCAGTTGTTTTGGATCAGAAGTACATAGTTGACATTGACAATCAAAACCGAAGCATTCTTGTAATCTTTTCCGACGCGGGTTACTCATACTCTCCGAGATATATGAGATTGTGATTTCCTCACCGGCGTTGATGGGGCGGATCGCATGTATTGTTTCTTGTTCGAGGTTTTCGTTCCAGTTGTGGTAGGTGTTGGGGATACAACTGTGGTTGATTAGACAGATGGTGAGGTATATACCCGCGATACTGGAGTTGTAACCGCATGGTATAGCGTTAGTTTTGAAGATTCCTGAGAGGGGTGGTGTTTTAATTTTTGAAGTTGAAGATGGTGACTGGTAGTTGTTATGGAGGGAATGGTAGGCGGATTGTTTTTCTTTCGAAAGGGGTTTGAGGGTTTTGGAGATCGAGGTTTCGAGGGATGGGATTGGAGGGCTGGGGATGGTGAATAGAGGGCTTTCTGTGAGGATTCGGGTGCCTGTTGGGATGTTTACTGTGGCTATGAGACCGCGGCCTTTGGATGGGATGGTTTGGACTTTGAAGAGCGGACTTGCAAGGGGGTTGATGTTGGGGGGCGGTGAGGGGGTTGGATCGTTTGGCTGTTTTATATATATATCTCGGGGTCAGCTGATCAGCTAGCTTTCGAATTTCTATGGGAGTCAATGAAGGAAGAGGCCCGGTATTATATTATATTACCATATCATAAGATGCCCAACTCTCCCAAACCTCCTGCCATCCATAAAAACCTTCTCCATCTTCCTTCAAATCGTCACGCCACCATCTAAATTTCTTCCCAAATATATTCTTTGCAATTCCACAAACCGTATGTAGCACGGATAGGAAATCACTATTAAGAATACTATTGTCCCCCGGGTTTGGGTTTATACTCGAACTAAACCGTAAGAACTTATGACCTATGTAAGGGAGCATAGGATGATGTTCTTCCGCTTCAAAATGTTTGAAAAGGATGTAGTTTTCTTTGAATTGTACATTTGGGTTCGATGGATATTGAGTGCGGATTTGGGAAATGAAGGTGTTCCAGGATTTTTGGTCTTCTGGGGAGGTGCATGAGAGTTTGGGGACTAGATCGAAGCCGGCGGTGGTTTTCATGGTTGACAAGAAGCGGTTGGATATAGGATAAGAATAATGTTTTATATCAGCGTCTATATATATAATTTGATTAGAATAAACCCTGCGTAGATTCGGGATTTCTAGTTAGCCGGAATATATAAAATAGAGGCCGAAGCTGAAATACTTATATACATAAGTAGGTATATTGATTCAGAATAGGTAAATACGGAGAGGGTTTTATATTACAGAATTAACTGAGAAATAAATCTTCGATATTTACACTACGTAAGTTATCTCGTAAATTAACATCAATACGCCGAGCTCCCTTTGTTTTGAGGCGTCATAGGTGCATATGCATCTCGCCACAAACATGAAAGATAAACAGTGTAACAGACGAGGAAATCATTAAAAGACTTGACGCTCGTCATGGAATACAAGGAAAAAGTATAATTTCTTTTTGCCCCTTCTTGAAACATAAAAATACTAAGTAATAATAAAAAGAACAACCAAAGTTAGACCCACATTAATTAAAATACTTCTAGTCGGAGAAAGAGCAAAAACAAGAGAGAGAAAAGTAGTACGGACATTATATCAAACTCTGACGTTGTTCAAGCAATTGGATTGAACATCATGCATCATCGATGTCAAAATACCACACAGTCTCGTGGATCTTTTGTGTTGCCGATCGTCTCGGCTCAATCCGGTTGTCTTTTTGTGCAACCTCAGCCAACCCGACTTCTTTTTTCTCGAAATTCAAATTTACCTGCCGCATTGCATTGCATCCGACACCACCCCCCACCCTCAATTAAATTTCGTTATCGCTTCACCCCGCCACTATCGCCACATTTGGGGGGGCATGATCTGATATAAGTGTAAAAAGGATGCAGCCTTCACTTGCCCGTCGAATGACTTCACGAAGTCTTTGGCGTCAAAAGTCCTTAATACCATCACTAGTCACCCGATCCGCTACAAGCCAAAACTACATCTGCAATGACTGTCTTCGCAAATCCCGCCGCATCGGAGCTCGACATCTTCACCAAGGCGTCACATCAACTCCATCCATAGACTCTCGAATCCCTCCCACTGCAATCCCGCCAGCCGTAAACTTTACTTCCACAGAACAACACGATGACGCCCTCCTCCGTTCCATCTTCGACAGTCCAGACGCCTACAAATCCTTCTCTTCTAGAACTCCAAAGCCTCGTACTGGATTATTCCAAAACCGTTTCCTGACTACCCCAAAGGGATTCATCGTTTTTGCAAACTCATGTCTTAAGAAGGCGAGAAGGGTGGTAGACCGTGTCTCCCGCGCTTCGTCCCAAGAAGACCACGTTCGTATAATCAAGGATCTCGACCGTCTCAGCGATCTATTATGTCGGGTTTTGGACCTCTCGGATTTCATCCGGAATACCCACCCGGACCCCAATTTCGTCTCAGCGGCAGATAAGGCCTTTCAGAGTGTTTATGAATACATGAATATTCTAAATACAACAACAGATCTTTATACCTCACTAAAAGCCGCCATGTTCAACCCTGTGGTAGTAGAGCATTGGGATGAAGTCTCGAGATCCGTGGGGAGAACGTTACTAGCTGACTTTGAAAAATCAGGTATAAATTTACCAGATAATTCGAAGAGAAGATTTGTTTCGTTGTCGAATGATATTTCTAGATTGGGACGGGATTTCGTCAATGCTGCTTCAACGGCGAATCCGTACATTACGTTTACCAGGGATAAATTGAACGGAATGCAACCTTGGACGATAAACAGTCTTTCCAGGATCACAAATTCAGGAATCGTATACCTCCCCGTTCGAGGTCCCGTCGCTCATCATGCCCTACAAACCGTTAAAGACGAGGAAGTCCGCTACAAGATCTGGAAAGAACAGCAAACGGCCCCGAAAGAGCAAATAACATTACTTGAGAACCTCCTCAAAAAACGAGCAGAACTAGCCCGTCTAGTCGGTCGAGAATCCCATTCCGCCGTCACCCTCGCCGACAAAATGGCCCGTTCACCAGAAGCAGTCACCACCTTCCTCCACTCCATGCTCTCCCATACCCGTCCGCTAGCAGATAAAGAAGTGTCGGCCATAACCAACCAAAAGGCTAAACTCCACAATCTGACAAACCCAACCGTCTACGCCTTCGAAAAGGATTACTATCTCCACCAAGTAATTGAGCAACAAAAAAATGTTCTAGGAGATCCAGATATATCAGCCTACTTCTCCCTCGGAACGGTAATGCAAGGCCTCTCCCGTCTCTTCACCCGTCTCTACGGTATCCGTCTCGTCCCCCGTGAAACCGCCCCTGGAGAAATCTGGAACGATGACGTAAGAAGACTAGACGTGATCTCCGACACAGAAGGTCACATCGCAGTAGTCTACTGCGACCTCTTCCAACGGGAAGGTAAAAACCCAAACCCAGCACACTTCACAGTCCGCTGTTCTCGCGCAATAGAAGAAGAAGAAATCATAGAGGAAAGATTAGAGGAAGGTGAAGGCGATGGAATGGCTACCGCTAGAAACAAAGATGGAGTGTTATATCAACTACCCACTATTGCTTTGATATGCGATTTTAGTACCCCAGCGGGTAGTTCGACCCCCCTGTTGGGGTTCAATGAAGTTACTACGTTGTTTCATGAAATGGGTCATGCTATCCATTCAATCGTGGGACGGACAAGATTTCACGAGGTGGCTGGTACCAGGTGTCCTACCGACTTCGCAGAGTTCCCGAGTATATTAATGGAACATTTCGCTCGATCACCAGAAGTCCTTTCCCTTTTCGCAAGGCATTACAGAACCGACGCCCCGCTTCCGCAGGAACTTCTACAGAAGAGAGTTAAAATCGGAAAACTCATGGAAAACAGCGAAACATACCAACAGGTGCTTCTCGCATTACTAGATCAAGAGTTACATTCCCCTCAAGCCCTCGAGAAATCTTTTGATAGTACGCAAATATATCGAAATCTAGATAGATCTTATGGATTATTCCCTCATAGGGGAGGGGAGGAAGGTGGTAGTTGGCAGGGATATTTTACGCATTTGTTTGGATACGGTGGGTTGTATTATAGTTACATGTTGGATAAAGCTATTGCGGATAAGGTTTGGAAGGAGGTGTTTGTGAAAGATCCGGTTTCTAGAGATGCCGGGGAGAGGTATAAGCAGGAGGTTTTGAGGTGGGGTGGAAGTAGAGATCCTTGGAAGTGTATTGGGAGATTATTGAAGAGGGAGGATCTGGTAGAAGATGCGCAGGGGAGGATGGAGGAGGTTGGGAGATGGGGCGCTGAAGTTGCGGCGGCGTAAGGTTGTACCTCTTTATCTTCCTGTATATTCATATGGGAAAGCTATATATACGAGAATTGGGTAAAAATACAAAAGCAACCTCAGGAACTCTGACTATACATTACTTCAGTAGATCAAAGACTAGCTAGAAACCTACAAATTGAGAACATACCCCCAATAGCTATCCCATTCCCTTTAGTAAATGGTCACTATACCAGTCCCCATCACACCTTCTCCATATCCTGGTTCCCCCCAATAATATTCGAACCCGCAGTACTACCCCTACTCCGCCTCCCCTCTTCAACCACCGATACACCTTCCTCCCCCTCCTCCCCCTCAGTCCTAGGATTATAATCCAACGCCACAGCTCTACAAATCATAACCCCACACGAAAAAAGCACCACCACCGCCAAAAACGGAATCCCAAGTCCGATCCCCAATCCAATCCCCAACCCCAACTTCAACGCATGATCACCATCATCACCCCCGTTTCCTTCTTCGTTATTATTATTACCACTTCCTCCCTCTACCTCAGAAGCCAAAGTAGGAGTCGTAGTAGGGGCATCCGTATTTTCCTTTATTATAGTTCCGGTACTTCTCGTGGGAGGGACAGTTGTGGTACTAATACTAAAAGTCCTAACGCTAGGATCTCTTTCCGTAGCTGTATATGCAATCCCATCCGGCGCCTTCCCATTCGTAATATTAAAACTTCTACTCCTAAAACTCTGCGATTCATCCTCTGAGTTATAAATCACTAGGTATAAAGGTAAATACGGCGGATCTTCGATGTTGGTCCATACTTCCCAGGAGTAGGAAGTTGCGTGGGGTGAGGAGGTGGCGTTGCTTTCTTGTATATATATTAGTATGTCAGATCAACCTTAATCCTTAAAATGAAGAAAAGGAAAGACTAGAAGACTTAATAATAATAAAACACGACAAGATAAGATACGAACCAAGTTTTAAATCCTCGCTATAACTGACAACTTCACTTCCTTGCATGGAGAACAACTTGAAAGCATCGTAGTTTGTCCTCCATTTTATAGTAATCCGCTCTCCGGCGGTGTATACCGGGTTATCTTCATAAAAATCGTTGGTCGGGTCATACGCTGGTGGGAATATAAATTCATTCCCAGTCGGTTGTGAGAATACCGAAGTTGTACTGGTCAATATCCCTGCGAGAAGGAATAACGTGAAGGAGGGAGTGAACAACGCAGGGTGGAGGAGGCGGATCATGTTGTAACTGTTGGATTTCCCTTTTTGGACGTGCTTGACTAGGAGTTGGTCAAACGTCGTGAACCTTCAACCTCAAGACCACAGAAAGACGTAGGGGAGGAAAGAGAGAGAGAGAAAGAGAAATAATCCATCTGTGGGGTACTCCATCTTTTCACTTATATAAATAACCTTCAGCCGGAGGCTCTGCGAAATATAATCATCAAACTTTCAAAGCCTCGAAATTCCAATCTCCTCTTTTTTTACGTCGCCTATCTAGACGGCTGGAATGCCCCTCTATTCTATCACAATCTCAACGAGGCTGCCTGATATTCGACACATTCCGTTGTGATAGAACAAAAAAGGGCGTGCACTATGCAGGGAAAAATGAACGTTACGAACGCCTCAATATGCAAGTCGCTCGAACGTTTGCAGGAGCTGAAGAAAATAAGAATCCTACCAATCATATCAGCCCTTTATATCACAGGTATTCAATTTATCTATGTATCAACCAAGCACGGGATCGATTCAAAGGGGAAAGACATTTAAATTTGTAAGAGAGGCATTCGAAAATATGCCCATGAAGTTGAATTCACGGTGGTCCAACCTATAGGCCTAGCTACCTTAGCTATCGATGAAGAATAAGAAGGAGAAAGAAATAGTGTATCTACAAAGGGAATCCCATAACAATGATAAGAAAAAAAAGAAGAAGAAAAGAAATCCAAGAAGAATAAACGAGATGCCTTTCGACGCTTGTTCGACATCTAGTCGCTATCATTTGCTCGCGATCAGATGTGTGCTGTTTTAAATCAGTCTAAGTCATCGACCTGCGCCAGCGTTGAATAATGCCCCTTTCCGTTGAAGAACCATCAAACAATTGTCTAGAAAAGAAAAGAACAGAAAAGAAAAGACAAAAAAGGAAAAGAGTAGATAAAACACAGAAGAAACGAAATCATATGCCCATCTTATCAATATCGGTGCCTCTAATGCGAGAGTGCAGTGATAAAACTGTTCTAATTCTCAAACAACACCTTATCATGGATTACCCGCAATGCCTTTGTCGCATCCTTCTCATCAATAACACATGAAATATTGATCTCGCTAGCACCTTGGCTAATCATCTCAATGTTTACATCGCTAGCCGCGAGGGTAGTAAACATTCTGCCAGCAACACCAACCATATTCCTCATGTGTTTTCCGACCAAACTCAAGATGGTCATGTTACGGATCACATCGACTGTCCCGTACTTTCTCAGGTCATCAATGGCATCGCGCATAGACTCCTCACGAACCTCAGCATGTAGAGCCATGGAGACGTGTACCTCAGAAGTAGAGATAAGATCGACAACAAGTTGGTACTTGTCGAGCGTTGAGAAAATGTTGGCGAAGAAACCATGAGAAAGGGATTTACGATTCGAGTGGATGTTGAGAACAACAATCTTGTTCTTGATTGTAACGGCAGTAGGGCGGCGAGGGCGGAGTTGGAGGAAGTTGCGGGCAGATTCTGAGCGGAAGAGTTTGGGTGGATGGGGAGGAGTATCTAGGCCCTTGGTGGACATGGTATCCGGGAAGATAACGGTGCCAGGGCCGGTAGGGTTTTCGACATTCTTGATACGAATGGGAATACGTGCACGGATGACTTGCTCCATGGTGTACGGGTGGATGACTTCGGAGCCATAGTATGTGAGTTCTGCAGCTTCTTCAGGTGTGATGGTAGGGAGCAGCTTAGCGGAGGGGACTTTTCTTGGGTCAGCAGTAAAGATACCATCAACTTCTTTCCAGACTTGAAGCTCATCGGCATCAATCCCGACAGCAACGAGGGCGGCACAGAGGTCTGTGTATCCACGACCAATAACGTCCAGGAGACTACCAGGGACGTAGCCGAAAAAGCCGGTAATGACAGGAACTCTATCTCCACAAAGAAGGAGTCTTTCTCCGAGGCGATGTGCCAAATCATCATAGAAGCTTTGGCAGAGACCCCCCTTCATTTGGTAACCGGACGGAAGGATGTTTTCCAAGTTGACATACTCCGCATCAACCCCTCTATCCTTGAGCAAGGTGGCCATCAACCTGCAGCTGAGCTTCTCGCCAGCACCAATGATAATATCCTTGGACTTTGGAGAAATCTCATTAATAATCTGAGCTGCACCAAGAAAGCTGGCAAGCTTGCCACACTCGGCTTCAATATGGCCACAAAGCTCATCGGCCAGGTCTGGATTCTTAATAAGCTTCTTTGCTTCGCGGACATGGTCTTCCCGGATTTGGTCAACGACGTCGAGATATGTAGTTGAGTCAGCAACCATGGCCTGGGCCGCAGCATTTAGAAGTCTGTCAGATGACAAGCAACCAAATTAGCAAAACCACATAATCTTTACCTAATGACAAAAGTGAAGAAGGGGCCGGAATCTGGGGTAAAAACAAAGCGTAAAAGCGAATGTGAACTCACCGATTTGTAGTTCCTTCCGCTTTTGTGTCTGTACTTCTGGCAGAACACACAATGGCAACTTTGTTCTGGGCCACATAGACCTTGACGATTTCCTCAGCAATCTTCTCTGGGAACTTGCCGACGCTCGTACCGCCGAATTTCTGAATAATCCATCCCGCGGGGGCTTGATTACTACGTAAGAATTCCACAGAATTGTACATGTGGTCTCCATTGACAGAATTTGGCGGCGAGTGCTGCATACCGTTGGTGAAGCCGTTGATTGGCGACGAGGGAGACATTGTATTGGAAGAGTTGTAATTACGTAAGAGATATCGATGGCGCAATTTCGTCTAGAGCTGAAAAAGGTAGATCGTCTCGAGGAAGGAAAAAAAAAAAACCTGGAGAAAATGTGATCCGGGATGTGCAACGCCTTAACGTCGTCGGTATAGAAGAGATGGGAGGGTCTCTATATATAGATGAAAGATTGCGGGGTGGTGTGCCTTTGGGGTGAGTGAGAACGAGGCAACGGCATGGAGTGTTATCTCGGCCAAAAGGGATGTCCTTTATATTGGATGATGTCTAGAGGAAGGGAAACGTCCGCGACGAGGCTATAGTGGGGGATAGAGCTTGAGAAGGGAAGTAGCGAATGGTAGTCTTTTGGACTGCTTTCCATGTGTGGTGGCGGCGGATCTTGGGATTCGAGTGGTGAGCGAGAACAAGTGCGGTTGAGACCAACTTGCTTGTTTAATAGTCGAAGCACAGGAACAAGAACTGTGATTGAGACATAAATCGAGTCGGACCGGGTGGAAGGGTGGCAGACAACGGGCAGGCTCGAGATATATAAATATAAGTATATAAGTGTATATCTTTTTGTCTTCGTGCTTGCTTGTCTTTTCCCGTCTTGTCTAGCTTCAGGAGACGGATAAATTAAATGGCGCTCGCTCGTCCGCTGGCTCTGGCTAGATACACATGAACATCGGAATGGAATAGTCAGTACGACATGATTATCTAGATATGGATGTGTGTGTGCATGTGCATGTGGTGGATATGAAAATGGGGACGGTATGGGTACAGGTATGGGTATGGATAAGGATATGGTGTCGTTACGGGGTATATCCACTCACCTCGCAGACAATTGGATTCCAAATCGCAGTGAAGGATTGACTCTTCGGAAACGATACGTAGCTTCCAGCTAACTTCCAACTAACTTTCGGTGACGGCGGCAAATTCGGGTGCTCGATTGATTGATCGAATGCAAATGCAAATGCGGGTGCTCTGATGGGACGAAAAAAAAAAAGTAGCGCAGTTAAGTTGCAGTTGTTTGAAGGCCAACTCCAAAAAAAAGGATGAGTCGTCGAGGGTTCCTCCGAAGACCGGCCAAAAAACAGCTGCCAGGTAGCATCTGGACATGTTCCCAGTCTGTCAGATCCATGCACACACAGGCACAGCTGCTAGCATGCTGCACGGCTGCACTGCAAAGAACCTTGCATCCAGATCCATGGCTTAAAACGTGCAGCCACTAGTCAACTTACAGCCTTCCAGAGTCTTCGAAAATTCCCGCAGGCTAAGCGTGGGGTCGCCGAATATACATAATCTGTATGTAATATATGTCAAATTCTCATTGCATCGTCACTTTCACTTTCATTCTCACAGTCTCAGCCGGGGTCCGTTGTAGAGTATCACTGCGATATCACGATCCATAGAATGCAAGAATTTATTCGTGTAGACACTTCTTCACTGGTTATTTGTCGACGGTTAGCATTCCTTTTTTTTTTTTTTTTTTTTTAAGTCATGTGAATGTTTGAGTTCAAGACAAATGTAAACGCTAGTCCCTGATGGCGATGATGATGATGACGGACGAGACTAGTCTGTTTAGGCTGCCAGACCCGACCCTAGCAACATTTTTCATTTGCATCGAGAAAACCATAATATAGTCCTTCCGGGATATCTTCGTGGCTGCATAGAATGTACGACGTAAGTATTCATCGACGTCGAAGCGCTAGTCCTCATCTTCCGAGTCGTCTCCAAATATCGCTTTGAACACCTCATCTCCCGCCCTCGGTATTTCCAGCGCTGGGTTGTGATTCGCATCAACTTCTTCCTCATCCACCCGCTCATCAACTTCCATTCTATCCCCACCTCTATCACCATTATTACCATATGCATATAGATTCCCTGCACTATCACTACCTTCCCTCCCCGCACTTTCAAACCCCACGCTCCTCATACCCCTCCAATCGGGATTGGTATTCGCCTCGATCATCAACCGATCCATTTCCCTCTTCCCCACCAGCTCCACACCTCTCCCTCCCCCTCCAACCCCTTCATCCCCGACAGAGGGATCCACATGCACCGGCGGAGGAACATTAAACCTCTTACAGAGTAGCCTCGTCGGGTAAAACTGCACTATACTTCTTGTCATAGTACCATACATCCCCATCTTTGCCGCCATAAGCGCTGGATCTTCGACTTTTGCCGCAGGTCTGGTGATCAGCAATTCTTCTTCATCTGTTCCCGTATTTGTCGGTAATTGCGAAGCCATAGAACTTGATGATGTAAATCTATTCGCCATTAACCCTGTAACTGGCTTGAATATCCTCGCCGCATGTGCAAACTCATGTAATTCTCGACCCCAGTCTTCGAGTGATACGCCTTTATCCTATATGATCCCGATATGCAAATATTAGTATTTTCCTTCCAATAACCTTTCAACCTCGGTAATCTGTTCAAGGATGGATGAAAAATAATACCCTCACTGGCATGCCACATCGTATCCCAGCCTTGATCTCCAAGAAATTCCGATACCTCACTTTCTTCTCAGGTGCATCCGCATATGGTAAGAAGCCCTTCAGCGCATTCTCCGCCACTTCTTTCTCCAAGTATGGTATCGCATCCTTCGCCTTTTGCACCGAGTCTTTACCCGTATCCACTTGTTCACCTTTCGCTTTTGGAAGATTATTCTTCCCAGAAGCTGACGCAATCCGTTCTCGCGCTGCGGGTGTCAAAAAGTCGAATACGGACTTCCCAGGCTTCTGCTCTTCACCAAGAAGTATGCCTCTCGCCTTGCTATCCAATGGTACACTGCTAGCTTCCGCTCGCGCAGCAGCAGCAGCAGCATATTTCGCAGGATCTGCTAGCAATCGCTTAGGTATCCACCCTTCAGGGACCTCAGGTAGTGGGAAATCCTTTGCCGTCCGATCCAAGTACGGTTCATCGTGAAGAATAAACCCAGGCAAAGGCAGTGTCCCATCTCGACACCTTCGTATCTTCGAGCTATTCTTTTTTGAAACAAACACATGTCGTCCGGGTACTTTAAGTGCTGGTTTGGCCGCAGCTCCACCCGCGGCGGTGGCAACTGTCCCAGTTGTTGCGGCAGCCTTCTTCTTCTTCTTATCTCCCCCAAGCACCTTGTTGTAGGCTGACTTTGGCTTGATTTCGTAAATATCCTCATCGTCCTCGCCGTCATCATTAAAAACCCCCACTCCCATTCCTAACCGTGCATTCGGCTTCCTAACAACCGCCTTGGTCTTTTGTACCGCCTTGTCCTCTTCATCAACACCCTCGGTTTTCAATTCCCCAGTATACCCTACCCCCTTCACGTCCGTTTTAACAGGATACTCTATCACCTTGACCTCCTCCGGCAAGAACCAATACGTCTTGAAATCCTCATCACCACCTTCCTGATCCCTAATTTTCCTCCTAACTTTAGGTCCAATCCCCGTCCCCTCCCTCCACCCGAGTTTTTGCATTAACTTCTTTCCGACCGGATATTCATCAACAGTCCTTGTGGTTGGTCCTAGCATTTCGAATAATTTCGCAGTATTATCGAGCCCTCGGGCAGCTAGCTCCTCAGCTGTAGATCCCGTCCCTTCACCAGCTGCAGCTGCAATTTCAGCTTCACGTTGTACCCGTCTCTCCTCTTCGGCTTCGGCTTCAACACGATCTTCATCGTCCATGAAATCTTCGGGTTTTAACGCTGTAATCTTCGCACGGTTCGTACGGGACGAAGTGAATGTCGACGGCGCCCATCCTATATTACGTCAAACAGAGAAAGTGTCAGTCAATTCATGCCCATGATAAATAATAAATTGGTAAAGGAAAGGGAAAGTAAGACAGATAGGACTGGACGGAGCGAGGGGACAGACACCTTCTTTCGACCCAACGGTATTGAAATACCCAGCATTGAATCCACCCATGAACGCGCCGTGTAACCTTTTCCGACCGCGTTCGTCGACAACCTCTTGTTTCCACACGGGGAGATTTGCATCTTCATCTTTAGATTTCGGATCGGGTTTTGGAAACGGAGTGCCGTAGACTAGGTAGGGTGATGTATCTTCGTTTTCGAAGGTTGCGCGCGAGCGTTTGTTTGGCTTGTACGACATTTTAAATGTGCGGTGGGTGGTGGATCGATGGGTGTGGAGGAGAAAGTTAGTGAACTTGGTGATATTGGATTTGTATGGAGAAATATATGACACAGCCAACACATATTCGGCTTCAAACTCCTGGTCCCACATGCATGGCCTAACAGCCCCAAATAAATCCCATGATATGATACCAATGAAATGAAATGTCATAAAATGTTCAATTGTAAGAAATATAAGCCCGCTAAAATGCTCGGAGATAGGTATATAAGATATGCCCAAATGCGATGGAAGTATAAAAGAAACTACACCCTCGCGACGCTCTACGCCCGATGCGTACTCATAAACTTCTCCCTCTCCACCTCCACGGTTCCCTTAATCCTCGCCCCGCTGAGTATACTGCCTCCAATCCAAGCCCCCATCGTCTCCACCCCTCTAATCGTCCCCGGTGCCACCCCTCCAAATTTCGCATACTTGATCCTTAAACTATCCCTCTCACTTTGTAGCATTTCCCTTTCCCTCCTCTCCTTCTCCTTCTGTTCCTCTCCCTTTTCTCTCCTCTCAGTAAGCTCCTTTCGTCGTTCATCGCCCTTCTTATTCCTTGTCTTGACTAGCTCCCATCCTCCTCTTTCTTCCACTAGTTCTCTTAAATCTCCCAGAATCCTTGATTTCAATCCAGGCATACCCGCAGCTCCTCCTGTAATCACAATCCGTGGAATACAGGTCGCCCTAACATCAACTGGACAATGCAATAATGCCAAAAACACAAGGTATGGCAGTGTATACTCTGACTCATCTTCGTACTCTGCTCTTCCTTGACACCCTTCCATTAATTCATCCACTTTTGGGATAGGTATATAACTTTGTCTGCCCTCTCCTTCTTTACTCCCAAAACTCTGTACTTTCGTCCAGCTTGGTAGGAAGAATGCATATTCCGCCGCCACACTCAAGGCTTCGAATGGTAACTTCATCTTTGTGGTTCGTTCCCCTAATAACGGAGTTTTAAACTCGACGTCAACTTTAGCGTCATATATCGTTTCCCTTCGTTTCTGGGCCCTGATATCCGCCGGTGAAATCTTCTTTTTAATCTTCTTTTTAATCTTCTCTGCTCCCAGGTCGCCTTCTCCATCTTTTCCTTCCTCCTCCTCCTCCTCTTCTTCTTCTTCTCCCTTATGTTCCTCTTCTTCCCTCTCATCAGCACCGACCGGTAGCCCAAATGCAGCTCTCGCACGCTGCCTAGCATCCTCCCTCGCATCACTCGTATCCTTACACCATCCAAACCTTGACATTAAATCCTCAACCTCAGCCCAATTAAATATCCTCCACCAGCTCTCTTCGTCACCCTCGGGCTTTATAGTATTCCATAACAACTGTCCAAATACTTCAACTAGGCTCTTAGACCCCCGGCTGGAGAATTTGATAAAGGATGTTAAAGGCCTAAGCTCATAAACCGGGGTTATTGTAGTTTCTTGCCAACCGACGTCGACGACTAACGCTGATCGCAGGCCCGCGGCGAGACAGCTGAGGACGGGAGATGACAGATATGTTATCGCTGGTGGTTGGAAGTGAAGAAATAGGAGGTGCGAGAGGGTGTTTTGAATGGCGATTGGGAATATGGGGGGTAGGATTATTATAAGGCGTTTAGATTTCGATTCAATTAGTAGATGTCTGCAGTACCACACACATTCCACTCCATCCATTAGTATCAACTCCATAACAGCAAAAGTAGATGTAGAAGGAAAAAGAAAAGAAAAGAGAAAAGAGAAAAGAGGGGGCATACTTATTATAAGCCTCACGTAATACCCTCTCCATCAAATCCTCAACGACACCTAGGTCCTTAAGCCTCAAATCAGTCGTCCAAAGCTCCCACTCTTCACTCCCCGTATTCCGTATCCTAGGTCCAGCAGCCTCCCCAGTACGTCTATTCATTCGAGTTCCACCACGACCCTTTAACCCGACCCTTCCGTACATTTCGGGCGTGATGCCGATTTTACACCGTGGAGCAGATTCATTACTAAACCCTGCGCGGAAAAACCGGGTACCGAGTTCGAAGATTAGAGGTTCGTCGACTTGATGGAGAGAGCTGCCGCCTGGAGAGGAGAAACTGGAAGCTGAAAAACGGGATTGAGGGGTTGTGGGGTTGGCGGAGGAGCGGTGACCGGCTGCAGAACTGCCTGTGGTGGAGAGCTTGTAGGGGGGGTTCGGTGAGAGTTTTGTGGGGTCGCGAGAGGACATGTTGTCGGGGTAAGGATGGAGGCTGAAGATGCAATTGGTGGAGAAAGGTGAACGGCTATCTGGTTATCATAATGACTGGTGAGGGAATCGTGATGGTGATGATGTTTCTAAGGACTAGAAGACGTCGAGAGAAAGCTGTAGTGCGGTGCAGTTGCGGTTGCTATGGTGGAGCTAGCTCTGATATTGGATAGAGCTTTCCGGGGATACTCCGGGGACTCATGATAACACCAAAACCACTACCCGGGAATATTCTCCGTGCTCCGGGGCCGATAACGGATCGCTGTTCCCGAGAGCTGGAGACACCCACTCAATTGACTCGACTCGAAGACATCCCTTCTCAACCATTCATCCAACCTGCATTAGTTTGCAAATTTTCGGCCCGTACAGAGTCACCCTCCCCCATATTATATTATTTCCTTCCTCTTTTCTTTTCTTCTTACCTACTCTACTTACTTATTCTTACATCATCATTCAAATTCAACATCCCTGGGATAGAATATACCATTCCCCTCATTCGGCATTGGTATCAATATCAGGTAATGCATCATCCCTCCATTGAGCACCGTAGTGTGTTATCTCGCTATACATCTATCTGTACACATTCAGGTCTCTACAGAGTGTCCTAACTTTATCTCCTCCCCATAGTACCGCAAAACAAGAATAAATAAGAACCAAGAAGACAAGACAAGATGACAGCCCCACCTTCAAAGCTCAAACTATGGGGCGGCCGTTTCACCGGCAAAACCGACCCCCTCATGCAAATGTACAATGAGTCCCTCTCTTACGACAAACGGATGTATGCCCAAGATATCCGAGGCTCCCAAGCATACGCCAGAGCCACCTGCAAAGCAGGAATTCTCACCACAGAAGAACGTGACACCATAATCTCGGGTCTTGAAAAGGTCCGAGAAGAGTGGGCTTCGAACACTTTCGTTATCCACCCTGAAATTGACGAAGACATCCATACCGCTAATGAAAGACGATTGGGTGAGATCATTGGTACTCATATCGCCGGTAAATTACATACTGGAAGGTCAAGGAATGATCAAGTGGCTACAGATATGAGACTGTGGCTGCGAGATGAGTTGGAGGAGATTGAAGGGTACTTGATTGAATTCTTGAGAGCGACGGTAGAGAGGGCTGAAGAGCAGATTGATGCCCTGTTACCGGGATATACCCACGTTCAACGTGCACAACCGATTAGATGGAGCCATTGGCTTATGTCACACGCATTCATGTTCCTATCGGATCTTGAGCGACTAAGGGAGTTGAAGAAGCGAGTGAACAAGTCGCCTCTGGGATGTGGTGCTCTCGCCGGGAACCCATTCAATCTCGACCGGGAGTTTTTGGCAAAGGAGCTTGGGTTCGATGGATGTATCCAGAACAGCTTGATCGGAGTCGCAGACAGAGACTTCGTCGTTGAGACACTACAATGGTCAACCTTGATGATGAATCATGTGTCCAGGTGGAGCGAGGATTTGATCATTTATTCCACTGCAGAGTTTGGATTCGTCACTTTGGCAGATGCATACAGCACCGGTAGCAGTTTGATGCCACAGAAGAAGAACAGCGACAGCTTGGAGTTGTTGAGGGGAAAGAGTGGGCGAGTATTCGGCCAGGTACTTTTATATTCCTAATCCATAGTATCATCAAGATTCCATACTGACTTAAAAAAAAAAAAAATCTTAGATGGCCGGCTTCCTATACACCGTCAAAGGTCTCCCAAGCAGCTACAACAAAGACCTGCAAGAAGACAAAGAACCACTATTCGATTGCGTCACCACCGTCCAGAACTCCCTGCAAATCGCAACAGGAGTAGTAGCAACCTTGACCATCTACCCAGAGAAGATGAAGGCCGCCCTCACAATGGACATGCTTGCTACCGACTTGGCAGACTACCTCGTCCGAAAGGGCGTCCCATTCAGAGAAACACACCACATCAGCGGTGCCTGTGTTCGAGAGGCTGAGAAGCGGAAACTAAGCGGTATTGATCAGCTTGGTTTAGAAGTTCTTCAAAGCATCGACGAGAGGTTCGGAGAAGATGTTTTGGAGGTGTTTGATTTTGAGAGGAGTGTGGAATTGAGGTCATCTACTGGCGGTACCTGCAAGGCGAGCGTGATCAAACAGATCGAGGAGCTTACGAAGGTTTTGCAACGAGCTCCTAGTGGAGTAGTGGAGAATTAATTGGATTTATTTGAGGGATAAAAGTTGGTATTTCTTTTCTCTTCCTTTCAAGATCTCTGGCTTCTACTGTATATATTTTTAGTTCGTTTCTTCTTTTTCTTCTTCTTCTTCTTCTTCTTCTTCTTCTTCTTCTTCTTGTTATAGAGAGAATCTGGATCGATTTCGCGATAGTCCTATAATACACGAAAACCTAGAGTGGTTTCAATTCGAAACTTGCGCTTCGAGATTAACACCATCCTTCCTTCCTTCACAGTAGCTAGTATGTACATAAGTGACTACTAGTTAAATAAAATAAAAGAAACCCCATGTGAAGGCTTAAGATCCGATATCCACCTTTCACCCTTCTAAGAAGAAGAAGAGTAGTAAATTAAAGTACAGTAAAAGAAATCCAATCCAACCCCGCAATCCATGGAACCCGTCCAAACCTCCCCCAAACCAGTGAAGGATGATAGTTATTTAAAGCTCCTGCTTGCCCTTAATTCCAATCAACTCAACCTCGAAGATCAAAGTCGCCTTTGGTGGAATAACTGGTGGGAACCCCCTCTCTCCGTAGGCAAAATCGTGGGTAATCGTCAACTTTGCCTTCTCTCCGACCCTCATTGGGGCGATACCGCTTTCCTTGCTGCCCAAGATACCTTCGTCCCAACCCTTGATGACTCGGCCGACACCGATTGGGGTTTCGAATGGAGTTCCTCGTTCGACTGAGGAATCGAATTTGGTGCCGTCTGAGAGAGTGCCGTGGTAGTGGATGACGATTGTGTCGCCTTTGGCGGGGACTTGAGCGCCGGCAGGACCTGGACGGGTAATTTCTTTGGTGACACCCATTGCGATTGGTTTATTTTTCTTTTAGAGGAGTATTTGGTAGAAGGATATAGGTTTTAATTTTAATTATTATCAATTGACTGAGGATTCCTTGATCTTGATTGATGATGTCGAGAGGGAAGGTCGAAGGGAATACGAATGGAAAGTTGCCAGCGTGGGGTCTTTATATACCCGGCCCGTCTGCAGCAACCCAGCCCAGCCCAGCCCAGAACGGCGCCGCCCAACTTTACCTGTCGCAGGTTTGCATTTGCAACCAGCTTAGCTGTTCCCTTCCCTTCCTCATCGAACTAACCAACCAACCAACTACCAAACTAATCCCAAACCCAACCACGAGCCACATCCGACCGTTATTTTATCCAGAAAGGACACCGTCGACATATTCGATATTCCCGTCCGTATCGGCTGTTTGAAAGAAGGTAGCGAGCAAGTGGAAGGAAGGAAGGAGAGGAGGAAGAAGCCTCGGGTGTCCGTTTCCCCCCAGATGGGCGCTGGAATTCGAGGTTTTATAGATCCTTCTCAGCTTAGCTAGCTGGCTTAACGGGATAAGATGTATCACCTATTCAAGGGGTTGTACTACTATGCCACGACGAAGGAAGGTATGTGAAGTAACCTGATCCAGCATCCCATTATCTATTATCCATTATCCAATATACTAATTGTTCATATTCACAGAGTACTCGATACTGTAAGGATCCCGCGTCGCGAAAGTTGAAGGTTCCCATAGGAAAGTCAAAATAGCTAATACCCACCGATATCAAATCAGCCTCCTCGGTCTCGACAATGCCGGCAAAACGGTACTTCCCCCAAACCCCACGTTCATATATATATATTTCCTCCCTCTCTAATGTAAAGAGTGATGTTCTAGACCCTCCTCGAAAAGATAAAATCAATCTACCTCCCCGGCGCCCCTTCTCCAAAACAAGGCGCCCAACCCCCCACCGTCGGCCAAAATATGTCCACAATCCCCCTCCCTCACCCTCATCCGCCCATCTACCTAAAACTCTGGGACATCGGCGGTCAAGAATCCCTCCGAAACCTATGGACACAATACTACACTTCCTCTCACGCAATAGTCTTCGTGGTTGATTCGACAGATAAAGCCAGAATAGAAGAGTGTAGAGATGTACTGGAAATTGTGACAAATGCAGAAGATACAGAGGGGATTCCGATATTGATGCTGGCGAATAAACAGGATAGGGAGGAGAGTTTGGAGGTTGAGGAGATTAAAGAGGTGTTTAATAAGATTGCGGAGAGGTTGAGTGCTAGGGATAGTAGAGTTTTGCCGATTAGTGCTTTGACAGGGTGAGTAGTTCCTCTTATTATTATTATTGATATTCACTAGGATATCTATAAGCAGGGCGATGCTAATGCGTACGGGTCTCTAGAACTGGCGTTAGAGAATCTGTAGAATGGTTGGTAACGAGGATCATGAGGAATAAGGAGTATAGACCTCCGCTGATGCGGTGATCCACAAGAGTGAGTAACAAAGAAACAAAAAGAGCAAGCGACTTGTGATATCGGCATTTGAAACTTTTTGGGGCATTTTTCATTTTTTCTGAAAAAAAAAATATTCTTTTTGGGTATACCGTATATTATATTGGCAGAGCGAAGGGTGTTTTATGATATCCCCCATTCATTGGGTCCTTTGGAGTTTTCTTATTCTTTTTTTTTATATCTATCGATCTTAAGATTTTATCGTATGCATTTTGTTATACTACATTTGATCAATTGAGGTTTTAGCTTTATAATTGAAGGATAGAACCGATTCCATTGATGGTATTTTTTATTCAGCAGAGTAGTTAATTTCCATATCACTGCTAGGATCATATGTATGGCTAGCTATCAAGGTTAGAGATGGGATATTCACATCTCAAGCTAGTGATCGAATACCAAAAAAATCCTCAAGGCCGGCTATGCAACATAGAAAGGAGTGTCAAGTTCCAGCATGACCGCCATAGTGCATCATCGTTCAATGAGGATGACAATTAAAAAAAAAGAAAGCACCATCAAAACGCCATTTCGCCATCAAATATGCAGCAGTGAAAGTTCCATCATGGCAATCAACCAATCAACCATCTAAAAGAGAGAGAGAGAAAAACACCTCCCGAAAATGCCCATCTAAGCTAACACCATATCGACGCCTCAAAAAAAATCAAAAAAATGTTATCAGGAAAAAGGTGATCCTTACCTTTCCTCCTCAGCCGATAACACCAACAACAGCCTCGCCTGTCTTACCACTAGGTTTATTAGTACCATCTCCTAATACGACGCTTGCCTGAATTCTTGCCCTGAAACCAGCTCTAGCCCACACGCCTTCAAGCTTCTCTAGCATGACCAGATGCGTTTCACTATTTAGCATCTGGGAGAGCATCCTCTCGTCAGTATCACCGTCGAGCTCCTTAATCATAGCAGCTTTCCCACGACTAACTGGCCTTGCTTTAGTTTGTTTGGCCTGAGTCTTTGGCTGTCGTTTAGCCTGGGTTTTTGTTTGTGGTTTAGCTTTTGGAATAGCAGCGGGAGCGGGAGCTACTGGTGATGGTTGAGGATTCAAGTTGAGCTTTGAAGGGGGTGTTTCTTGTAGAGCGCTAGCCCGTGGAGGGGACGGGACGGGTGCCGATAAGGGAAGCTGGGTAGATGTATTTGGCTGTGGTTTTGCTGAAACTACAGGTGTGAGAGTGGGGTTCTTGGGTTTTGCTGCAGGCTTCCTCGGCTTCGTGGCAGCGACATTCTTTTGTGAAGCAGCTGGTTTTTGCGAACCTTTGGGCTTCGTAGTAGCTTTTCGTGCAGCGGGCTTCTTTTTCGCTGGGGTAACAGTTACCGCAGGAGCGACAGGATTTAGCTTGGTTCGTTTAGCAGGACCAGCTTTCCTCGCATTTCCAGTTCCGGTATTTTCGATGTCTTCATCCTCACATGGTTCTTTTCGTTTCAAAGAAGGTGTGTTACTTCCATTACCCTTGGAAGCTTTAAACATGCCAGATACCTTCCCTGAAGAGCTTGGCAGTAGTTTGTCGCCGTGGACTTTGTTGATTTTTTCAAAGTCTGGGAGGGAACGGCGTGGAGGGAGGCTTTCGTCTTCGAATGAGGCTCTGAGAGGTGATAGGTCGAAAGCTTGTGAAGCTTGGGAAGCTTGTAGACGTACTTCCTGTGGGAATGGTTCTGGTGCTTGGCTACTGCTTTGCCCAAAGAGGGTACCACCGGAGGTAAGTGTACCTCTAGAAACAGGAACCGATGTATCGGCTTGTGCGTGAGAAGGAAATGAACCATTTCCATCACTCCCTCGTCGCAAATGATTGTGATAGGCTGTATCAAAGGCGTTGCCTGGGCTCTGGGCAGATAAGTGAGGGTTGAAATGATGAGAAGTCGTAGGGCTAACATATGGTTCAGCTTGTGCCGCAAAGCTAAGTCGACGTTGGGGTTGAAATGGAGTTGAGATATCAATAGTTGATTGGTGCAAATGAGATGATGCTAGTTTCACGGGACGAGGTGGAGGACTAGAACCGATGCCCGGTTGAACAGAAAATCTCATTGGATCTTGGTGTCGAGGAATCAGTTGGCGGGTCGGTTGAGCAGGGAGGAATCCTGGTTGATGGGGGGATTCTGTGATTGACTGCTGGACTCCCATGTACTGTCTATGAGGTTGAGGAGCTACAGCTCCTAGTCCAGTTCCTTGAGGGAACAGTGGCGTTCGATGCTCGACAGGGCTCGTATTATTAATTCGGGACATCATTGTATCAGGTCCCGAATATTGGACTTGATTTCCAACACTCAACATGGAGGTAGCGGTATCAGGTCGTTCATATTGAGATCTCAAGCCTTTCTGCTGCTGGGATGCCTGTCCATTATCTGTATTATGGTGCTGGACAGGGCATCCGATGCGCTCTAAACTCGAGATGACAGCTTGGTAGTCCTCCTGCTTGCAGAATCGGACCTGCAGCCGACGTAGCTATATTATCGCTTTAGCGTCTAATGTAACCTGATAAGCTCAATAGGGTAGGAACATACAGTATGACTTCTTAAATTGACGAACTTCAGTGCCATAGATGGAGATCGAATCATGCACACCATATTCGCAAAGTCAACATAACCGCTTTTTTGGTTGAGAACATCGGATATGTTAATTGATTCCTGTTATTCGACCTAATTAGCTATCGAACCTATCCAGAAATTAAAGAAAGGGAGAAGGGGATGTGCATACCAAAGTCTCAGCTCTCCAGATAACCTTCAATATAAGCTTCGTCATGTATGAAAACTTAGGATCAGAAGGCTGTTCGAGGGGTCCTTCATGTTGGAGGACGAGGTGGATATGATCCCGAGCCAAGTGATGATTCCAATGAGGTTTGGCATCGGGATGTGACATAGGAACCTCGCAGAAAGAGTACTTATCGATGGGGTATGAGATGGTGGTAGAAGCCATTGTTGCTGCTGTTGCTGCTGCTTTTTTTTTTGAAGCTTGTCAGCTACAGCTAGCTATAGCTACCTACCTAGCTGCTAGCTTGAATTAGAAGGTCGAAGGCTAAGGTGGGGCAAGAAGATAAAGAGAATGGAAAGCTTCCAGCATAAGAAGCTTGACGATGACGATAAAGTCAATGATAAGTTGCTTGTGAAGGTGAGTAGAGAAAAAAAAAAGTGGAGATGAGAATGGTTGATGCAAGAATGTTCGAAGCAGGATGAGATCTCGGCTTGGTGGTTGTAAGACTGTCCCTGCAGAGCCAGCTGGCCGAGTGTGGTAAAATATGTGTTGTCGCTGCCACCATTCACACACCACCAGCTTCAGGGCTTTGCTTCCTCCTATATCTTCACGAATTCGAAAGGGTCATCGAAAAAATGGATACATCTTTGCAAGCTTTGAAGTTTGAAAATTTCCTAGATGATATGCAGATACTAAGCGAATGTCTTATAATTCATGTACTAACAATTTGCAGATACATATTTATGCTGGTTCAGAGCCTCGAATTAAAGGTCGAGGTTGGGCAGCTCGGTTCTCTGCATAATTGTGCGACCTCAGCAAGCGCCGGGCCGCATCATGTATACTATTAAACCTATTATACCTGTCTAGCATGCACCGAAGGATGCGCATCGATGCATAGACATGCATATTCTCGTGTCATTACAAGCCCATTTGATTAAGTCGGTCTAAATCGTACACTCCATCATCAATAAATAGCCCCGATGCAAAGCTTATGCAAAAGGTTGGGTCAAGTTAACATTAATATGAGAAGAGCCCTTCCTCTCCATCCCGTCGGTGACGAACTCAAGTATCAATTAAAGACTGATATTAGAAGCCCCCGAAGCAGTTGCCTTCCATTACTCCACCACTCCGGCCGCAGGTGTTTAATATATACCATCAACCCTCTGAATCCTTCAACATCTTCTCCCAAACAGCTACCTGCCCTCTGTAAAATTCAATATTCGCCGTCGCCAAATCCCCCAGCGTATCCCTGAACTCAATCGCTTTGATTCTCTCGAAGTCGTCAATCTCCCTGACTACACTTTCATCAAAAGCCTCGGTCTGCTTTCTTGCGTCCTCAGCCTCCCTTGTCAGCTCGTCAATCCGCAGTTCAAGTTTTCTAATCCTTTCCCGTCTTGATTGTTCGTGGTCAACTCCTCTCATATCCTCCACTTTACTCCTAAAGAAGCCAGAAGCTCCCATCCCTGTGGAGTTCGCTGGTTGGGAAGCTAGTTGATCGCGATCATAAGCCGCTTTGGCGAGGTACTCTGTCAATGCTTCGTAGTCTAGCTGTTTTTGTTCTCTAAGCTTTAGTAACGACTTTAATGCGGCGATGTATGCATCCATATCCTTCAGTGACGTTAAATAATGTTGCTCGGAATGTTCCTTCAGATCTCTCACACCACCGGCAGTTTCCTCCACCGCGGTAGCAAATATTCTGATGTATGCCCTTAGATTGGGCTCCAAATCCTCGATTTTGTGAAACTGTGTCGCCAAATCCGCATAGTCTAACTCAAGATCACCCTCTCGTCTTACAACTCTCGCAAAAACTCCAGAGACATGAGTAAGGTCTTCGGTGAGTTTGTCGGAGCGCTCACGGACTTCGATGAATCTTCTGTCAGGCTTGTGGACTTTGGAAAATGCGTTCAGGAATGTATCTGTGAGACCGTCGAATACTCCATTATCCGAGGCATTGGAAAGACGGGATGACCGATTGCGCATGTGTGCATTCCAATCGGGTGATTCGAGAAATACTGTTAGGAGGGGAGTTTTTCGAAGTACAGGATGGAGGGTTAAGCGTTTCAGGAAACGGCTGAGAGAAGCGGCACGGCGGTTGGTGAAGTCGTAGCCAAAGCGGTCACCTCGGACATACTCTATAGATCGTTAATATGAACTTGATGGTCTAGATAGTCTGGATCCAGAGGATGCGACATACCCATTCGCTGCTTATCGGGCAGCGGCGGAACAGCACAGTTCGCATGTTCTTGATTAAGCGACTTGTACAAGAATACAAAGTCTGTGAATCGCCGGCGCACTCCAACATGTCCTTTCTGGAAGGTGGGAAAGTCGGTCTACCAATCGCGATGAGTTATTAGTACCTATTCTAACAGGGAGTATATATATGTTTAGCAGCAGCGAAGCAAGAGTGGCGTACATTTGTCGTCACCAAGTAGGACGTATATGCATCTTTAGTACCATCGTTCTCCTTCTGGGGATCTGTGACCGTGCACTCCAACCTTCCAAGGCGAACACCTGCTGTATCGAGCTTGTCGGCATTAGGGCCGACTTGCGGTTCCGGGTCGTAGGGCGGCTGGGAACTGCTAGTAGCCTCGACATTCCTCCAAGACGAAGGTGAGAAGTCATCCATGGCTATTCTCCTTTCTCCAAGCCCAAGATTCTAAAGGATAGTATAGCGCTGGTGGCTGATGCTATTGGAAATTCAAAAGCGGTGCGGTGGTGGTGGATCGACCGGGGCTGGTGAAGCCGGGATGCTTGAAAGTGGGATGCTGGCCTCGGCAAAGCTCCCTGAAGCTGTAGTAGAGGAGAACTAGCGACCTCGTGATGGGGATGTATCGAAAAAGGCTGGCAACCTGGAAATGACAGGGTAGAAATCGAAAGTGATGATATTTCGAGCCTGGGGAAGAATACAGTCGTTCTTATATCGAGGAAATAGAAAACTAAGCCCTGTGTATCGTCGGGATGTTGGTTTTGGCGGGTTGCACTTGCGTACGTCATGACGTTGGGGGTTTTGAGCCCCGCCGACGTCCCTGCAAGCCACATTCGGGCCGTGCAGCGCAGCTTCAGAGAGCAATAATTACAAAAATTTCTAGAAAAATTTCTATAGAGATTTTAGCTAAAATGCGGGTTCCCAAATGAAACTGGAACATGAACTTGATCTTCCATTTTTAGTATTTTCTTAGGCTTTTGGTGGTGGAGTCGCGCCAAGTAACGTGATCTGGTGAGTCTTCGCTTTCGGTGTGGTCTCGGACGTGACGCATATTCACGTCCACCTTTTGTTCCACATCCAACTTCAGCCTCCATAAAAGGACCTGGTCATCTTCCCCTCCACCAGCCTCAACTTGTGAACATATTATTTACCTCCAACAATGTCTGCAGACAAGAAGTGGAATTCTGGCGCTGATGCTGCCGATGACGATGACGACGATAGTCGGGATGAGACTGTATGGCAATACTACCTGCTCAGTGTACCGGTCCTCATATTCACAAAACTAATAGTATGCATGCATTTTAGGAATTCCAAGCAATGAAAGATGCCACCCTCTTCGCCATCGAAATTTCAAACTCCATGATTGCTCCCGTAGATGAGGACGACGACGATGTCGCCGGTGGATCTAAAAAGAAGAAGAACAAGAAACCCAGATACAGCAGCGCCGAAGCTGCTTTAAGATGTGCCGAAGCCATTCTCAAGAATCGTATCATCTCTACACCCAATGATATGATGGGTATATTACTATTTGGCACGGAGCAGACAAAATATGGCGAAGGGTCTAGCAATATTAGTTACCCGAACTGCTATTTGTTAATGGACCTGGATATACCGGATGCGCCGAGTATCAAGGAATTGAAGTACCTACTCGACAGTATGATGCCACCATAAATTCCAATTGAAAAAATTGAGAACTAAGCTTTTGGAATACGATAGACCCCGATGAGCTCTCCGAAATACTCAAACCGTCGAAGAAACCAGCAAGTATGGCAAATGTCTTATTTGCTGCTAACCACCTTTTTACCACAAAGTACGCCTTTACCTCCTCCAATACCCACTAAGAACCATATAGCTAAACAATATCCAGAGCCGCAAACTTCAATTCCCGCCGTCTCTTCATAATCACCGACAATGACAACCCAGAGACCGACAAATCTGCTCGCGCGTCCGCCCAAACCCGTGCCCGCGACCTCTACGACCTCGGAGTCCGGATCGAACCATTCTTCGTCTCCTCCCCCACCCATCAATTCGACAAAACCCTCTTCTACACCGATATAATGTACGACACCGGCGAAGATACAACTGAAAACCTTCCAGACGCCGAAGAAGTCGCAAAAGCAACCGACGCCGAAAGCCGATATGAACAAATGTTATCAGCTATAACCGCCAAACAGGCTCCACGGAGGGCGCTATTCACTTTAAAAATGGAAATCGGTAAAGGATTCGTCATCGGGATCAAAGGATACCTTCTTCACAAACGTGTCACCCCTTCTCGGTCCCACTACATCCACGAACAAGGCGAAAAGCTCCAGATAGTGAAAGGCACCACAACCCGTATGGACGAAGAAACAGCCCAAGAAGTAACCCCGGACCAAATCCGCAAAGCCTACAAATTCGGCGGCGAAACCGTCTCATTCAGTGATGAAGAATTCAAGAAAATTCGAAACTTCGGTGATCCTGTCTTGAGAATCCTGGGTTTCAAACCACAAACTGAATTACAATTTTGGCATAACATGAGGAGTTCGACGTTTATTTACCCTAGTGAAGAGGATTATACGGGTTCTACACGTACTTTTGCCGCGCTGAGGAATAAACTTCTGAAGGACAAGTTAATGGGTATCGCATGGTTCATCGCTCGACGCAATGCGGCGCCAGTGATGGCAGCTATCATTCCTTCCGAGGAACCACAGGGGATGTTCATCATCCCTCTACCATTCGTTGATGACATAAGACAAAACCCAGAAGTACCACACGTCGTCGCACCGAACTACTTGATCGATAGAATGCAAGATATCATCAGGCAGCTTCACATGCCCAAGGGCTATATACCGGAAAAGTATCCAAATCCAGCGTTACAGAAGCATTATAAAGTATTAGAAGCGATTGCTCTAGAAGAGGAATTACCAGAAGAGTTTGAAGATAAAACGGAGCCGAAGTATAAAAATATTGAGAAGCATGCCGGACAATATATCCAAGACTGGGGGGATGCCTTATCGCAGGCGATGGCCGAGTTCAGGTTGACGAAACCGGCACAAGTTGAGATCCATGGGACTAAGAGAGGGCGGGAGCCGGCCGGTGCGGCGGCGGCGAAGAAGGTTAAGAAGGATGTTGACAGTGGACCTGGCGATGCCGATAAGGAGATGAGAGCGGCGTATGATAAGAATACGCTTAGCAAGGTAAGCCGGAATCTCTCAAAAAGTGAATACAGATGGGATCTATAGCTAATATCTCGATATAGTTAACGGTGGCGGTACTGAAGGATTGGCTGAATTCGAAAGGAATGTCTGTTGCCGGAAAGAAGGCGGATCTGGTTGAGCGGATTGAAGAACACTTTGAGAATAAGTGAACATGATGTGGAGTTTACTCGGGCGGCAAGTGTATAGGTATTTACTTCTATTTTTAATTTTGTCGGCCAGCGGCGAAGGAAAAGGCGTTCTTTTAAATGGGTTTGATGTGTATCAGTACATAGGTGGTTAGTTAGGAAATGTATGAAGTTATGATGAAATTCAATTTAGTACTATAAATATATAAATACGTATAAATTATTTTGTCTATAGCGCTGCTGATAGGTAAGTAGGTTCTTGGAGATACCTTAATGAACCCCAGGAAAGAAGATTAAAAGACAACATTTTCGATTGAATAAAAACCAATGAAACAGAATATATATGTAAAAGACGCATGCGCATATGCCCGCCAATGAAACCAGGACGCCGTAACTCCTCTAAATTCATAAAGGAGGAAAAAGCAGTTTCAAGAATCAGAATGACGGCCAAGAAAGTTAAAGTAACAAGAACGAAAACTAGAAAGAAAAAGAGAAAACCACCCGCCGGTCCTGGTATATCCCCAACCCAGTGCAATGAATAGTAAAATATCAAGTATCGAATATCGCTCGCAAAGCAAAGATAATGGAAAAAGGCAGCATAGAGGAAGAACAGAAAGTTGAAGGGAGAAGGTAAAAGGTAAAAAAGGAAGAGGAAAAAGTCAACCTGTACCCACTGGACAAAATCACCAGAGATATACCACTAGCACTCTATCCCAACTCTTCACGCCTTTGAAACCCCCTTCCCTTTTCCATGAACGGGTCCGTTACCACCACCTTCGGAGTCTGCTTGCGAACCCCTTGACCACTCAGAGTCACTCTTAATGTCTCCAAGCTTTTCGGTCTTCGCATGCAGCAACTTAAAATTCTCCTCATGGACCTCTTGCTTTTCCCTTTCACTATCAATCTCGTCTTCAGCCTCATAGTCGCTGTTAAACCCGCTCTTGCTACCACCACCGTCCCTTCCCCTAATAACACTACTATGCAACTTCCCATCACTGCTCGTCCTACCTTCCTCATCCGATGAAGTATCGATCGCTGAAGGCGGCTCAACCCTAACCACTGGTCTCGACACTTTCTTACTACTCTTGCCCCTGCTCACTTCATGCCCACAATTTGAGCACAAGTTCCCGGCAATGGCCTTCTCAATAGCCCCCTTGTCATGCTGATCAATCACTGCCGCAATAGACTGCTGATGATGTGAATGCGGGTGTTGGTGGGCGGCAGTAGCCGCAGGCTGATACCCCGCCATCTGCGCTCCATGCATACATCCATCCGGACAACCGCCCCATTTCCTCTTAAGCGATTGGAACTTCTTTTGTTTGGCTGCACGCTGGGCTGCTAGGTTTGGGTCGTTCTTTGCGGCTTCGGCCTGCTGGCGGTCGTATTCGGTCCAAGTGCGTAATTTGGTCTCAAGATCGTATTTGCCCTTTTCGTTGCGGCGCATGATGACGAATTGACAATGTTCGACGTTCATCCAGTCTTCAAATTCTTCGACAGTGTAATCTGTTAAGAGCGATTGGTCAGTTGGCTAGTCCAGCTATTCGTTACTTCTTGTGATCTACTTACGATACCTAGTAGAGATTAACAAAAAGAAGTTAGCTATGATACTAGATCCTATCGAAACAGAATGAGAAACCTACCACTTCATCAAGAATACTCTCGTCATGAGGCCGTGGGTCACAAGGATAATAACACTTGGACAATCCGGCTCTGCAAATTGACGCCATAGACTCTCATTGAACCCGCTTACTCGATCATACGCATCTGCAGCCGATTCGCCATTAGGGATTCGGTAGAAGCTACATTAGGACAACGATAGATACAGTTAGTAAGAGTATAGTAACCAAAGGATGTAAGGGCCAAAACGGGGCCGGGATAAAAAATAAAAAAAATAGGGAAACATACAAGTGACCGTAAGCAGCTCTTTCCTGCCATATTCTCTCTTGATATGCCGAACATCCTTGGAAATTTCCAAACTACACGGGTGTTCCGTCGTCAGTTACCGTAACTTCTCTAGAAAAAAAAACCATAATTATTGGAAGAAATCTATTACATCTTCACCAAAAAGTTAGCATTCCACCCATACCTTGAGTAGCGAAAAGAATGGCAACCAATAACTCACCTTGTTCTCTAATCCTCGGCTCCTCGTAAACTGTAGTCTTCTCTTTCCAGTCGTCTCCCAGGCTTTCCACAATATTGGCGGTCGTCTCTCTCGTCCTTCTGTATGGTGAAGTGTAGATTTGAAGGGTATCTGTGGGCAGAAGGATATCCTTTAAGCGATGTCCCGCCGCGCGAGCTTGCTCGTGGCCGAACTGTGTGAGTTTGACCCGGTGATCTGGAATGGTTTGGTGAATGGCTTTGTTTTCTAGGGCATGGGTATTTGGGTTAGGATTTCGATTGAGATATCAACACGAGCAATGTATGCCGGGGTGTATGTTAAATTGAAAAGAATAGTGAGGGAAAGGAGGAAAACATACGATTGCCTTCGCTTTGAGCATGTCGGATCAGAATTATTAACTAAGAAAGCATAGGAAAAAGCGACGGGGTTAGCTCGTTTCTTGTTAGGCAAAGCGGAAGACTCCATGGAACACAGGAAGTCGTTAGGTTACATACCCGTGGCCGACCCATATTGAAGACTCGATGTCGCAACAGTAATATCTGTCGTAGTTTATATACTGTCGATTGAAAAATTGATGGTTTTTGGAAGAAGTAGTTTAATTGCGAAAGGTGGTGAATGATGCGGATTTTGAATCTTTTCAAGATTTAAAAAATTAAGAATCAAAAAAATAAAATAAAAAAGCCAGTCGTGAACAAGGCAGCCAGCAAAGAGCCCTGCAAGCGTTGAATCCTTATATAAGAAATTCCAGAACGTTATATTAGCTGGCAGGCGAATACCAGCACCTTCTTTGGAAATCACGGGCTGGTTGGCTGGCTGGTTGGTTGGCAGCTGCAGCTGGCTTGAGGATTTTTGTGTTTCACCTTAGAATGGATGACTGATCTGATCTAATCTGAGCGGTCTCTTGCCTGCGGTGTTCCTGACGATATCAATTCCTCAACCTGCCTGCCTGCTTCTGCTTCTGATTTCTTGTTTCTTGTTTCTCGTTTCTCGTTTCTTCCTGCTTGTTGCTTGTTCCGTGGTCGCGTCGGTCGGCGAGAGTGGAGTCACCAGTGGAATTCAAGTCAATGGCCCCGTGCTTGGTCGTTGCTTAATTGCTTTTCGGGGAGGCAGAAGGGAATGGATGGTTAATGGACGGAGGAGCCTTATCTCAAGCCGGCCGGTTCCTGTTTTTTCTCGGTTGGGGCTTCTGGTTAGGCGGCCTGGTTCGATTATCACGCCGAAAGGCATTAAATGCATTAAATGCACCGCCGACCAAAGGAACCAATTGCAAAGGACCCAAAGGATGTATGTCTGGAAGTATGCACTAGGAGACAGTTAAGGTGTCGCAGAATACGTCAGTCAGTTAGTGAGGACTGTCAGTTGGAGTCAGAGCTAATTAAGACTAAAACGACAGGAGGGCTCGTGATCATTTTATCTTGTAATGGCTCGAATTCTAGATCGATGTATGCAATGGATCTCTCAACAATTCTTATTTTACTCTATTCGGTCGTTCCTTGCGGGGTACGGCACCGGCATACTTATATACTTAGGTACACTTAGTAAGTATACTATACGGTAGAGCTATTTAAGTAAAGAGGGTATTCCGTCTTCTAACGACGGTGTATACTACCTGCTTGCTTGTATTTGTCTTCGTGTCTTTCCACCCAATGCAGTGCTCGGGATTTCTATAACGCCTTTCTACAAAATGCATCGACGAAAAGAGTCAAAAAAAGAAAAGAAAGAAGAAGAAATAAGAGAAAAAAGCAGGAGCAAAAGCTGCAATCCAAAAGAAAACCAAGGCCAAAGGGCCAAAAGACACTGAACTTATCACAAGGAGAAAAGGCCTGTAAGCGTCGCTACGGTCATCATCATCATCGTCATCATCCTCCTCTTACCCGTTCCTCCGTAAACCCAATCATAGAGTTCCTTGCCTTACTCCGCTCGCTGTAACAGAAAACTCGTTCCCGCGCCAGTTCACATCCCCGCGCAACATGCCATTAAACCAAATCGGTAGAGCAAGTGCCTCTCGTCCGAACCACTGCAAAAACCATGTGAAAATGCTTCGTTTCCGACCAATTTTCAGCCAGACGGGACAATTCGGGTCTTCCTTGTCGACAGTCGCGTATCTGTGAATATCTTGGTACAGGAACCAGTCCGATAGACACCAGGCCGCCACACTTGCCAGCCAGAATTGGCCGACCGTCCACCCCACGGGCAGCAGATCCAAGTATTTTAGCCCGACCCCACCGAGATACGACCCCAGAAAGCACTCCGTCCCCGGCTCCACAAGCGCTGCCCCTAGAACTGAGAACTTTCGCACCGTCAACCAACGGCTACGACGTGTCCAGTATTCATAAAGCGACATATCGTTCATAGGTTGGAAACACGGTTCGTTCAACAGCTGATGCTTGATCAGACCGGTACTTGTATTGTTTTCGTTGTTGTACTTGATATCGTCTTTAACGCTATATTTCCAAAGGTGCTCTGCAATCAAGTGGTCCTCGCACAGTTTTGTTGAGAAGCACGCAATACCGCCTTCGCTGTATGGGGTTTTAGGACAAAGCTCCATAAGGTGCGATTTTCGGAACATGTTGCTTTTACCGATCATGCAAGGGGCGATGGCGACGGTATTAATTCCGACGTAGAATTTAGCGTGTGAGCTCGACAGGAATGCCTCCTCCAACGCGCATCCGAGTCTATCGAATCGGCCGGTCCAGGGTATCAAAGCTTCGTCGGTTCCGGTCGTATTCACACATATCGGTAAGTGATGTACAACCTTCGCAGGACGTCGGGATGGTTTATGAGGTTCCTTGTCCCAGGGATGGCCGAGCAGGACATCGACAGTCCTCCCCATAGCACCATGGTCCAACCAGACATTACAGTCAACAATCCAGATAATATCGTATTTCGCTTTTCGCCAGCCCCTGACAAGATTGTTAATCTTAGGATTAATCCCGATCTTCTCGTCGCCGATAATCAAGCTGACATCTTGGTCCGGGTGGTCGCGAATCAATTGGTGGATTCCAGGGATGGCAGGATCATCCACGTCGGCAACGGTGAGTATAAGCTCGAAACGAGGGTACCTCTGTCGGACCGTAGTAAGGAGACATTCGATTAGGTGTGGTTCGGTTTGGAATTTGCCAGGGGATTTGATCGGTCGGATCACTGTTACACCAGGTGCCTTGGATTGGTCGAGGGTAGCGGATACAGCTTCTGCTCTCGGGCTTCCGGGCACCAGCTTCCGAGTTACTCCCGTCCGTCTGCGGTTTTTCATGTATGTTAGAGTAAAGGAGACGTCGCCGTTAGGAAGCTCATGGAAAGGACGGCGAACTCACATTCGGACATGGCCAAGTATGCCAATTAACCAGATAACGACGTACCAGACAACCGCGACGACAGCTGAGATTTGGGCGATTAAATCGGCATAAGAGAAAGCTTCTCCTTGTTGGTCGCCCATCATTTCAGAAGCCCGGCGATGAGGCGAACAAAACGAATGGAAGGGGTTTTCTGCTAATTGGAGACGTGGAAGGAAATTAAAAGAGGGAAGAAGAAGAGAGCTAGAAGGGGAAGTGGAAGCTTCGGAATGGATCGATATGTGGAGAATCTAGCCGAACGTGCGACAAGGCAAAAATAAGCATATTGATGACTACGCCAAGCCTTTGCTCGCTCAGCTTCGAGCCAATCCAGCCGCTACAGCTACGATAGCTACGATACTGAATATTAATATCATTCTCTACTCTACTAAAGTACACGCACAATGCAATGGCAATTATGCCTATGTATGACCTTTGTCAGATCGCCGCACGCCGCCTGCCCCGTATCTGGTCCATCCGCTCCTTTAGGGCTTTTTGGATCCACTCGCAGTTGTCTGAAAACTCACAGCGTTTGCACTTCCAGGCCTCCTCGATGGGAACCCCAACGGTCTCCCGTTCTCCTTTCCACCATGAAATTATGTTATCCACATGCTGTTTTAGCATATCATCGTCTGCCATGTAATCCGCGGAGTCCATGAATTGTCCATTCTGTTGCCAGCGATAGACCACAGTCAAATCCGGTGAGACCGTACTGATAGTCTGTTTCAGCTTTTTCTGGAACAAGGTGTAAAGCTTCTCAATTGAATTATTCTCAAGTAGCAACGATAACTCGTCGCTTCCGGGTTGAGTTTCGTTACCATTCCCTGCTAGTCCAGCTATTAAATCATCTGAGAAAGGCTCATCAGCCGGAAGGTCGTGATGCTTGCAAAGTTTCTTAACCATCGACTTCGGCGTAGCCCTAATCATATCGTTTAACAGTTGCCGGTATAGCATCAGCTGAATATGAACAGAAAGCGATTGTGATGACCCCGGTTCGGGTATCCTTGCCGATGCCCTCGTCTTGAGATCAAGAACATAGGCGGGCTGCCCCTTGGATCGAGTCTTTTTTGGACTTGGTGTTATGAAATCCAATATCGTTTTCTGTTGCTTCGGAGTCTTGGGGGCTGGCGATGTTGGTTCAGGTGTCTTTCTCGGACGCCCTCTCTTCTTTTTAGGGGTTTCCAGAATATCACCAGCTTTCTCTTCCATAGGAGCAGCACCCGTAATCATTGCTTCAGTAACGTTTTCTGGCAGTGATACTTCCTTCGCTTCCCCTCTATCACCGACCCTCCCCACGGCACCATTCTCTTTATCATCTCTGTCCCTTTCAAACTTCTTGAAGTTCACTTCATCTATAACCCCGTTTATGAAAACCCCATCAATCCACCCCCAAACCTCCAGCTCCCTCGTCAACCCTGTAGCTCGTAAACTTTCGAGTCCTTGAATCATATTCCATATCCTAAGACCCCACTTATCATGCGAAGTCTTTACAGTGACTGGCACAATAGTATGGACCTCCTCCTCCATTTCCCTATGAATCTTCGTTCCAGCCTGCATTTCCGCAGTCCGCCGCTTGAAGCCTCTAAGGAGTGTGTAATGGTACTGCTGTTCGCACCACATGTTGCACAGCAAATCAGATACAGACAGCTTTGTATTACTGCCCCTCTTGCGCCATCGATCTAATGGAGATCGGGGATCATTGGGTGCTTCCTCAATATCCAATACCTGTCCTACCTCTGATCTCTCCTTGTATCGGTCTTCGTTTTGCTTTTGTTCTTCTTTAATGGCTTTTGTTTGGGGTGTCTCATCGACTATTTCTATACGCTTTTCAGTATCACTAACTACCCCCAAAGAGAGACCGATATCATTTCACGTAGAGAGCTATACCCTTGTCTTTCCCTGGAGCCTCAACGTAACCCGTCCGTTCAACCCATTGCTCATATTCCCAAAGCACCTGACGATCAATTTCCTCGTCATTCCAGTTCTCTTGTGAATCCCAAGCCCCACCAGGCTTTTGCTCCCCTTTGCCCCCATCATCGTGCTGTGCTTTAGGCTGAGAGCTAGGAAGCTCATGCGACACAAGTGCGGCAAGTAATTCTGCATCGTCGAATTCTAGGTCTAGAAGAGAGTCGAGTGCTAGTGAATCATGGTATTCTTCCTGTTCGGCTGGTCCCTCTTCTTCGATTATGCGAGGTTGGCTTGAGCCCGATGAATATTGTGTAGGTTGAGTTGGAAGCAGGCGTTCGAATGATTTTGCTGTTTTCGTCGCAGTAGAAGGGTTTTCATCCACGATGGTCTTCAAATCTATAGGACTTTTCTCGTTGTCCCGTTTCAACTTCTTGTCGAACTCTGCGAATAGTTCTTCGATCGCGTCGGCATCATCATCGTCGAGTCCAAAGTCAATACCGTAATCTTCTGACTTTGCAGACTTTTGCGAGGATTTCTCGCTGGTAGTGCACGTGTCTCGGAGCTGTGGCAATGGAGGTACCGGTCTTGTGTTGGAGCCTGTCTCCGAAGGCTTCGTTGATGAACGAGCATCGAAGGGGCGAAATACAATGCGATTGGGCCTGGAAGCGGCAGCCCTAACTGGGGTTCCCGGAGACATCATGCGACTAACTGCTTGCGCATCGCATTACCGGTCGGAAAGACGGCTAAGCTATGTCATGAAGTCTGGGTAGGTTTGGTGACGTCGAGCTCCCTCCTGTCAAACCGCCGTGTGGAGTCGGCATGTGTCTTGTGATTGTGATAGATCTGAACGCGGGGTGCATCCTGCAGGCAGGTTTATCGTTAACGTTACCGTCGAGTTTACTTCAACTTCATCCCATCCCACTGCACTCGTCCACATCACAGACTGAAAGCCAAGCCACTGGTCCGTTAAGCTAGTTAAGACATCGTATCGATCAGGCAGCGAATTGAACGGCCATCGACCGAGAAATACAACACACCCCAGCCGAAGTTAACCGCCTCTAAAGTCGAAAAAAGATATAAAGTCCCAAGAACGGGAGTAAATCTTCTATTTTAGCGTGAATTCCTATTTCTCTTTTTCTTAAAACGATGTCGACTTCTGATCCGCATCGACATCCGCACGACATGGCGTTGGACCTCGGTGACCTCACTCATTTGCTGCCGACGAATTATAAGCAGACGATTAGAAATTGGTTGGAAGAGGATTGTCCGTCGTTTGATTATGGCGGATTCGTAGTTGGAGAGGAAGAATCGGTGGCGACTCTTTATGGGAAAACAGCTGTATGATGCCTTTCTTATGATCAGTTTTGATATCGACTGGTTTCTGATGATTATCATAGGGTGTTCTAGCTGGTGTACCCTTTTTCAATGAAGTATTTTCGCAATTGGGGTGTTCGTATGTTTATTATTCTCGATCTCTGCCCTAAGGCTTCTAGGATTACGCTAATAATGGCGTTTTATACGATGGGATTCACAGTGTAGAATGGCATTTACATGAGGGCGAGTTTTTTGAACCGGTTAAGCAGGTTGCAACCGTCCGAGGCCCCGCAAGGAAGCTACTTCTCGGTGAGCGAGTTGCATTGAATACTCTAGCTCGATGCTCGGGTATTGCCACCAGGTCTGTCGAATTCCACCGAATTAAAATGACAATAGGCTTATGGTGAGACTTCTAGATCCCGCCTGATGCTTCGGATAGTTAGGAAGGCAGGCTACCAAGGTATCTTGGCTGGTACAAGAAAGACCACTCCAGGATTCAGATTGGTTGAAAAATACGGAATGCTGGTCGGTGGTGTCGATGCGCACAGATATGACCTTAGCAGCATGATCATGTTGAAAGATAACCATATTTGGTCAAAGGGTACTTCTCGACTCATCCCGTAATACAGCCAGATCGTTTATAAGAACTTGCTAATCATTATTGTCATAAAGGTTCTATAACAAGAGCCGTCCAGGCTGCCCGTGCTGTGGGAGGTTTCGCAGTCAAGATCGAGGTCGAAGTCCAATCCGAAGCCGAGGCGGATGAGGCCATTGCTGCGGGCGCAGATATTGTCATGTTGGACAACTTTGGAAGCGACGGAATCAAGATTGCTGCAAAGAACTTGAAGGCCAGGTGGACAGGGAAGTCGAATGTTCTATTGGAATGCAGTGGTGGACTGACATTGGATAACGTGGAGCAGTATATCTGTCAAGGTATGATTATAATCAGTCTTCTTATGGGAGAGAAGCATAGAAATTATTTGCTAACTATCTCTTATTCAATAGACATTGATATCATCTCTACAAGCTCGATACACCAGAGCGTTCAACATGTTGACTTCAGCTTAAAACTCCCTCGAAGTGCATCCACAACAGAGTAAGAAACTCGGTAGATACTGAGACCGAGACTAAGTGGTTAGAATCTACTGCTACAGCTATATATTGTGAGCAAGAAAAAACGGCTCTCATGTCATATTAGCGTGCGCAATACCGATATTTATCATGACCGAAGAATGTATGTTTTAGGAATAGATACTTATTTAGGTCTAGTCTAGTTGTGAATGTCAACTTCTCGAGAAATTGGTTGGCAAAAGTAACACCGTACTGGTCTGGAGACTCCGTACTTATATCTTGCGATATAAAAGAGCTATAGAGCACAGTCTCAACCTATAAACTACTAAGTAATTACGTACAACCAGTGCCTATGTCATACTCCTACCCCCTCCTACCCCTCGTACCAGGCATCCTTATCAACCATGTCCTCGATTCTAGAAGACCAATACGACCTGGAGCTATCCAACGTTATAGACCTTTACCAGAACCAAACACCAATCGAAGACGATGGAAGCGAATATTTTGGCTGGTCTGATGAAGATGCTGCTGCTGCTGATGACGAAAACACCAGTGTTGCTCTCATCGACGAATCCCAATTTTTAGACTTAACGACGCCTATATTTACTTCTACTTCAGAAGCAGAGATATCGAGTACTATCTCTACGGATATAAATCAAGATATACTTCCTCCAATCCAGCCTGCTACTATTTCGAAACTATCACCTTCTATCCAGCTTCCATCTACAACGCAAAACTCGCCCGAAATACCACAAAGTATCACCGCAGCCACAACGGCGACATCAATCGATCCGGCCACAGATCCCACTATAGACCCTCAAATACCAGAGTTAGATATTGCAGGAAGACTACATAAAATCTTCCTCGAAAACCGAGAAGATGAAACAGTCACTATAACATGGGAAGAATCTGACAACTCGTCGCGGCCGTCTGCTTGGGTCCTAGAGAAGATTGACGAGGTATTCACTGCATGGCTGGATGTTATTGATAGCAAAGGAAAGCTAGTGGTGAGACTTAGAGAATGTGAAAAAGTTATATTACGATCTAGGTATGTTACAATATTCTATCCAATAGAGCGTTGAAATTTCGTAGGGAGAGACTTATATCTGCATCAAAGTCGGAATCAACCGAAAAGGTTTTGGAGAACACTTGTGTATCCCGGACCGTGTTCTCGCGATAATCAGAAGTTTGGTACGCGGTCATTTTTCAATATTGAGCAATACGTAGTCACGGGAATATTGGGTGTTTACAGTTACGTAGGGGCATTTGTCAGGGTTCTCGAACTCGTGAGGGAGGCTATAAAACTGGATAAGATTTATACTAAACGGTACGTGCACATAAAGGCAAAGTATACATAAAACCCCGATCTCGATACGAATATCAGATGCTAATTCGGCTATAAATCAGGGATATATACTACAAAGATGTGGCCCTTTTCGGGTCCCAGCAGACTGTCGATAAATTGGTCGATGATATTGCTTCCGCGCTCGGCGTTCCGAGGCGATCATTACATATCGTATGTGATAGATGCCTAACTTTTGTTTCCGACTTCCAATCATTACATTCATTTAGAATATTGACAAAAAAGCATGTGGAAACTAGACAGCTGCCGCTAAAGGTCTCGTCTGTGGAGACCTCAGTATCTTCAAAACCGACGGCAGCATAATAAACTGCAACATAGAAGGCGAAGGCGTGCTTATCCCCTCATCCACCGACATCGAGAAGGTCGAAATCAGAGACAGCGATACAGTTCTCATAATCGAGAAGGAGGTAGTGGCAAATCGTAACCAGGATTTCGTATCATTATTCTTACTAACCACGCCAACTAAAAACAAGGCTATCTTTCGAACTTTAGCAGAGTCCGGGGATTGGAAGCGACTCCCTGGTCGCCCTATACTCATTTGCGTAGGTCGCAACCACCTTTCTCGCTTCAACTACCTTCTAGAAAGAAAGAAAAAACCACATCCCCAATCACGATCGTGATGATAGTAATAAGCTTATCTAAAACCCCGTTCTCACGGAACTACTAACAGGGCAAAGGATACCCCGACATCGCAACCAGAGAACTCGCCCATTATCTCTATCTCACAAAGAGCCTTGCGGGCCAATACCTAGACTTCTACTGTCTAGTCGACTATGATCCGCACGGACTGGACATCTACACCATGTACAAAAACGGCAGCTTGTCATCTCGTGCCACAGGCATGTTTTATGAACAAATGGCGGTTCCAGCGTTACGGCATCTTGGAGTAAAGTTTTGTGATATTCTGGAGTATTGCTCCGTGGAAGGTAGTAGTATGTCTCAGACAATTGAAGAAAGCGGTATTATCTCAACGGACAACGGAGAGGAGCCACGTAGTAAACGGTTACGCTATACTTCGTCGCCTCCGCAGGGATTACTACCAATGACTGCGCATGATAGGGCGAAAGCGGTATCGATGCTCCAACGGGACCATAATACGGTAGCAGCAGAACACACCGACGACCTAAGGAAGCTGCTATTTGTGGGCTATAAAGCCGAGATCCAGGTGTTAGGGGACCAGCTGGTCAGATACCTAGATGAGAAGCTGGGAGGGCAGAGGATCGGATTGGCTTCTTGAAGACAGATATTGGATGAAGAAGTGTAAAACCTTAGGGCAAGGGTTTTTTTCGTGTGCGTGTGAAAGTGGGGCATAGAGGGGAAGAGAGCCGGGATATGGGGTCTGAGGGATTTGAGGTTTCTGGAAGCGGATGCCCGGTTCCTGGCGGGATGCGGAGCTTGTGCATTAGTTGATATATGATGCTTAGTTGTTATTCAGCGGGTGTTTCTAGCTTGGGATGTATGTATAATATTTTGTGTTTCTTTTTTTTTTTTTTTTCCTTTAAATTTTCTTCTTTCCTTTGCTTTGTATGACAGCACAGCAGAGGGACGCTTAACGTCGGATGAGGAATTTATTTTTCTTCTATTCCCTTGCGTTAACTGCGCGTAGATGGAAATATAGACTGTGGAATGAAAGTCTGTATGTAGGTACGTACGTATACGATCACAAGGTAGATGATCATGATGGCCGGGTAGGTATGTGGATACAACTAATAACCTGGGATTGAGATATCCTCACTACGGGCTCGGTAGCACATGTACCTAAGCTTTCTGTATTGTGCTAGATGATTATTTCGAGTGGTTCAGAAACCCTAAGTCTCTTTAAGTAACTGCCTTATTTCTACTAGGCTAGAATATGATCGAGCTTAGAGACTGATAAACCAGTGGGCTATTGATATCTATCTTCCCGAACTAGACAAGCTGGTATCGCTTACTTCTCTGCATTGCTTGGTCGAATTTGCTTGATGTTTTTGATAGAGAGTCTTAGATACTTTGAGTATTCAAATTATCAATTATCAGCATGTTTTATTGTTACCATCGGGATATCGATACATTAGCGTACATGAACTGCGTGCGGTTTGCTGATGATGGCCATGGCGGCTGTGGCTTCCACTGTACTGCAACTGTGGCGCTTGGATTCAATTAATGGAACAGCAATTGCAAACTTCAACCCTGAGATCTAGATAGGTCGCATTTGCATTACGAATTCTGAGTTCGAAATCAGTCGATGGTAGCTCTAAATATGCATAACCTTCAACAATTATCTCCATTGAATTCCCAAGTTACTTTAAGTTGATGGTAAAAAAAATCCCCGATAACACTAGTCGGCAACTAGCAGCTAAATCTCTCGCTTGCTTGAAGAAGTCGTGCTTCGCAACCCCCACATGTGCACATGTGTCTGCATTCCTCATCGTCCAATAGTTATGATTAACGCTAGTTCCAAAGCAAATGGAAAAGCCATACCCGAAACGAAAGGCGGGAGAGAGATACATACATACTCCATAGTATGATCCCACGTTGCTGCTAATATCTTCTGAGGCGAACGGACCTTTTGATTCCTAGTTGAAGATCATGATCATATGTAGACTTTGAATAGCCAAGACCCGCATGTCGCCGAAAGGGTCGAAAATAGTCACCGACTTTCACAGTCCGGTGGCTTTTCCCTCGCTCGGTTATTGGCACCTTAATTAAGGCGATGGTGGTTCCCTGGCCATGGCCATGGAGGCTGCCGATGGGATGCAGCGCGGCTGCTGCTGCTGCTGCTGATGGGATATACGTGGATGCATTGATAGCCAGTATCACACTGTACGTTAACCCTACATGTCCCTGTTCGAGTTTTGAGAGACATATCACGAAAACGAGAGTTATTTTGTTTTTTGGTATTGCTTTTGTGAGGTTTCACGACGTTTCTTTTTGGCAGGATCTAAATCAAATGGTGAGCCTTTTTGGTTGGGAGAATGGCCGAAGGAAGGAAGGAAGGATCGTATCATATCTGTCGTGTGAACGAACCACGATAAGACTTCTAGAATGGGAGTACTAGGTAACTTTCTTCAAGAGCATTTCGATCTAGTCGAATGGAACTTGAACTCGAAAGTCTCTCCGTGAAAATTGATCGATCGAATTCGAATTCGAAGGGGGGGGGGGGCGGGATATATGCGCACTGGAGCTCGGACGTCGGGATGAGAGCGGTCACATTCCTATTCTCCCTTATTCGCAAGTCGAAGCCAAGATACCATGCTACGCATGAGAATGAACCAACTAAGACCGTCTACATTGCATCCATGACACAAGATAGTTATCCATACATAGCGAAGTATCTAAGTAAGTATGTAAGTACGAGTACATGGCACTAATGCAACCTGAAGGGAAAAGAATCAAAGGGTTAAGTAGCGAAATTCTGGGGTACCATGTCACCCTTAAACCTTCCCTTCCCTTCCCTTTGGTCGAGCTATCGCCGACGGGGCACGGGGACCCGATTGGGTACTCCTGTAGCACACCATTTTGTCAAAAAGCAGGGTCGGGACTGACGCATGCGGTGGGCTTTCTTCTGGCAGGTTTTCTTAGCTTGGACAGTACAAGATGTTAACTTGGATGGAGACTTTACTTCTCTGTTCCCCACGATTTTGTAATTAATCTGTATCTGCAGGCTTATCTCCAGACTATAATTGATTATTGCGAAAGCAATTAATACATAACATCCCACCTTTTTTTCTTTTCTTTTTCTTCTTCTCTGTCTTCTATTTTCGATCTGTCTTTGGGGGACATGATGCGATGTCGTGTCAGGTGTTTATGAATTGATGATATGAGGGGGTTAGAAGGGGACTTAATTTTCTATCTTCTGTGATGAATTCTACAGAAAATTGGATTTAAAACATATCGGGACTTAACTACCGAATGAATGAATGAATGAATGCATCCGATGATCGAGTGTTTGGGATTATATCTGGCGAGGTTGTCTTGAACCTACCTTGGTTGTTACTTTGTCTGCTAAACTCAACTTTCCGAGCAGACATCCGTATACGTGAATTCGAAGTTGGAGAAAAGATCACCTCGAACGGTCATGCATACTTAAGTACTTACTCACACATATGGGGGTTTTGAATATAAACGGGAATTACATTCAGAAGAAAGATATTTATAATTATAAACCAAGTTGACTCGTATTTGATATTAATATTGTGATCATCGGCTGGCAAGGTGCCTGTGGATCATTGTAACATCGTAACGGTCAATCTCCTCGGTTCTGTTCCCAAGTCAAGTCTATAAGTATCTCTCTCTGTCTCTCTCTCTTCGTACCTAACCGTCTACCGTATATAATATATCCTCTTGATTAATCTAATACCGAGGATATTATTGATTGTCACATCATACCATTACTGTCGACTCCGGAACCCTCGGCCGTGGTACGGCTTTACGTTGTGCGACAAGCCAGGTAGCTTATCTTTGGACCCATCCCAGCAATTAATAGTTCTACACAGTACACCACCCCCCTCATTGACGTATGCGATTTTCTTTTGGGGTTTATTTTTATAGCGCATACAAACTACCCCGGACGAGGAGATTATGCAGGTTGAGCGAAGAGCGCAGCTGCTGGGTTGAAGATAAGCATCTTAACTTAACTGTTGGGAATCAAAAGAGAATCAAAAGAGAATAATTAATCGATCCCACCTCTTTCGATTTATCGTTAATTCAAAATATTTATTAAGAATATATCTATCTATCTATTTATCTACGGACACTCCCCCCCCGGTTTCCTGTTGTTTCGGGGTGTGTTTTATTCGGATTGTTCTGGGCAGGAGAGGCAGAAAGAGCTTAAACAGGTGGCCCCGGGTGGTTCTCGTTGACCCTGTCGAGACCCTGACCCTCTCTGATCTCAGGTCGGGTCAGGTCAGGTCAGGCAGGCCCAGCCAGTCTGCCGCCCAGTCCAGCCAGCCAGCACATCATACTAATCGACCGGGTCAGTCACACTGGAAAAGGGCCCGCCGAAACAAGCAAGTCTTCTTCCAGATTATCTCACATCACATCACATTACTTATTACTTATTACTTACCTGGTACTTAGACTGATTGATTGATTGATTGATTGATCCTGATCCAAATCTGAAATCTGAAGCTGTTGGTTGGCCTTGTGCTTCTAATAAAGTTCCAGGCTTCCCTTCTTCGTCTTCTTCTTTTCTTTTCTTTCCTTTTCTTTCCTTTACTCTCCTGATGCCCCCGTCAAAATACACAGCCTTACCTCCTCATCTTATAAATACAACTTCGACTCCAGCCTCTTCTGCACCTTTCACAACATCTTCAACATCGTCATCGTCATCGTTGTCTCTGTCTTCTTCCCTTCCGACCCTTGGCACTTCCTTCCAGAAATCGGACGACAGGCTCCCAAATCAGGAATCGTTGCCCTTGTTCCAGCCAGATTCAGGTCCACAACGGACAAACACCGTCAACACTTTTGCTTCCTCTTCGTCGTCGTCGCTATCGTCGTCGTCGACAAGTCATGCAAATCGCTCATCTCCGACGTTCCTGCAAACGACCAAGATGATGGAAATTCAGAATCCCGTTGCTGCTCCTGTCAGCATCCCCATTAAACCTTCGGCTTTGCCTCCTTCGTTATTGAACTTTGGGAAGAGGAAGTCGGCTAGTACCAGGGAGCTGAGCAGGGCATCTCGAAGTAGTAGTAAGGAGAATTCGACACCATCCGTCGCAGCTCTGAAGGTCCTCGCCGCCACTTCTATCCCGCTCCGACCTAGTGCTCCAAAATTTATTGTGAATGGGACTCGTCAGCGACCTAGACTGCCTCAGAGGAAAAGTTCGGATGCCAGTCCGACTTCCTTGGAATCTCCATCCAGTCTGTTGGACTTTGTGTTGAGCGATGCCTTGGATGAGAAGCTGTCGCTACCCATCACACGATCAAACTCCCAAACATTTCTCAATGTCTTGCTGAGTCCGCCTGACCTGTCGGACGACTATTCTGTGGCAATTAGCCCTCCTAGGTCGGCACTATCTATCCGGTCGCTGTCTACGGAGTCGATACCTTCGCTCGCAAACGATGACGAGGGTACCTTCTCATGGGGCGCTCCTGTAACACCATCACCTTTGCGTCGGTCATCGAAACTTAACAAGACCTTCTCACCACCTGAAGAATGTATACTTGACCATCCGCTATTAGCGGCAGAATCACAAGAACCGTCATCCGATGAAGATGTAGATCCTGCGAGCCTCTATACCGAACAGGAGAAGAAACTAGGTGCTTTCAGATTGTCCTTCAAATCCAACCTAACAGCCTCGTTACGGGTCCTACGTTCAGCTGCACGAACTTTCACCAGCCTGTCGACGCCCTTGACCCAGCCGGATGATTTCCTAACTCGCTCTATCCTTTCGATTTCGCCTCAGTACAACACGGACGAGAAGAGACCGAAGTTCAACGATGTACCGACCCCGGCCCTTCGGAGATACCTCAATCCGTCACCCAAGACATTTTCTCGAGAACTGGGACAGTTCACCGACAGGAACGAAAGCGTAAGTGCTTCTATCCAGCTGGAGACGTACAAGCACACAATCATCACTCCACCACCCGAGGTACCTGTCACCCGTAACCGCGAAGTCCGCGAGAATAGCGATTTTCTGCGAGTGATTGTCCTCGAGATGAATATGCGGCGACAAGGCAAGCTCAGCGACACATCACAAGGAAAGGCACGATTCGTATTGCCACCCCGACAATCGTCCAAACTCCGGCCCTTGGGAGATTCTACGCATTGGAAACCCATTAATTTCGACTAAAGAACAAGCCTTCACGGAATGTTCCTTTCGACGTGGCACGATTGTACCGAAGGCTGCCACCTTTTTTCTTCTTCTTCTTCTTTTTTCCTTTTCTTTTCTTTACATCGATCACATAGTACAGGTCTGGGGGTGTTCTTCTGAGACAAAATTGTTGGGTTGGACAATTCCAGATCCAACAGGGCGAGCTGCTGCAGGGTCCAAAAGGTGCCATTGCCATTACACAAATTCGCCGTTTCAATGGAGCCTATACGCACAACATGGGGGCACCTTCCCAGCATCTTCCGGAAGAAACGCCTATGACCTGTTTTCGATTACACAACATTAATTCTTATTTTCTCGGCTTTATTCAACTTTATTCGACGATACCCCTGGAGCCTCGGAAAACCGTATGCTTTCGTCATTCCAACGCATATCTTTTACCTACGATTTTATCATTTATACCCAATCATCCGACTTGTGCATCACATATCCTTTTTCCGGGCTTGCGTGTTTTTTCTTCTCTCTCTCTCTCTACTCCTCAACCACTACTATCCCTCGAACGCTGACGACATGATTTTCATCAAACAACCGGTCCTGATTTTTGCATAAACTATAACTTGCATTTTAGTTTAGTGGGAGAATATGGAGCTTCCCAACTAGACAAGGGATATCCCACTATCGAATCAACACATTGGGCAGATATCGACTCTCTCTTTGGAGCTCGTCACTTTTTGTGTTATCGCGGGGTTGTTCAAACCGTACCATACCACTTCATAACTGGGGCGTTATCAAACTGTTTATGCATTTTTTTCGCATGCGGGAGGCTGAAAGCATTTAGTCCGCCTCTTGTGATCCCTTTATTATTTTTATTTTTCGAATACCCGCTGTTAGCATTGCTTGTAATTCAGACCCTTGGCTCGTTCGGAACTTGGATGTTTCGGGTTCGACGGCCTACTGTCTTTCGTTTTTTAACCCATTTTTCTTGATTTTGATGGTTCATTGAGCGATGTTTGTCTTCTCTCTTTCTTTTTCTTTTCTTCTTTTCGGAACGGTGGGGTTGTGACTTTAGTACTTCTTATTATTATACTTACATGGAGGGGTTGTGTATTTTTTGTATATATTTAGAGCGAAGAATTGAAAGCGGGGCGTATTGGAGCGGGATGATCATCATTCTCTTGTTTTTCTTCTCTCTCTCTCTCTATATCTTCTTGGTTTTTTTTTCTTATTCTTCTTCATGCATTAGGTGAGGGGTTTTGAAAGAAAGCAGACTTGTAAGATTCTTCCCTTTCGACTTTTTTTTTAAAAAAAAAAGATTTTCTTGGTCAAGTGGTCGAAAGACGATGTATGATGATTTGGCACGAAGGCGAAAATGATACCTATTGGATCGATACCTTTTGAATTCTCAACGAAAAAAAATTTCCTCTCTATCGATCTTTCAAATTTTACCTAGCTGATACTGCTATCTATGAAGTAAAAGATGAAGTGCATTGCATGAATTTCGGTATCAAATCAAGGGACCATTCAAAAATTGCGATTTCATCTCCAACTGTGGAGTTTCTTTCCACTTGTAGTGCCTTTTTTTGAAGGAAGGTAGATGCGATATCATATAAGCTTGTTTAATTTTTTTTTTTGGCTTCCCCACAGGGACTATAACTATAACTATAAGCCGGGACGTGCATGCCGGTACGGTACATGTGAGCTGACAGCTAGTCCTCGGGACTAGATGGCAGTTATTGAGATCGGATGAAAGAGAGAAACATTCGAACATTGATAACGAAAAATAAATGGCCAACGTGATGTATTTTACTTTTTAACTATTTCAGTAACTAGCTTCATGCGGAATGCACGCACGTTTTGAAGATAGAGAGGAAGAAAAAAGGGTCATGTGTCGGAATTGATGATGCAGGGTGGTTTCTGTTTCTTTTTGTCTCTCCTCTTTTCTTGAAATTTTGGGTTAAGATGGAGTTACGATGTAATTGAAAGTTTACTTCAAGGAAGAAAAAGAAGAGACAGCTTTGGCAAGGGAGGATTTGCATGAGGGATTATGACATGACTAGAGGACCGAAAAACTATGATCCATGTTCTACCAGAAAAAAAAAAAACCTTGTGAGGAGAAAAAAAAAAGAGATTGGATGAAACCTTTTTTTGTTTGTTATTTGTGGATTGTGGATTCCGATGGTTGGCGAGATCCGATGGGTTACATATTGCTTATATCTATCTGGAACTGTTCTGGAAGCCTTCCTGGTTGGGAAATGTAACAGGGACAACACCTTTATACTCGCTTTCGGTAGAGATATTTCTATATTTACGTTTTAGATACATCGATAATTAATGGATACTTAAGTAAGTATCTGAGAAGGAGACTAGATACGTACTTACTCTTCGCTCATCCGTCAGAATCATTTTGTCTATTCCGAAACTTATATCCAATCTACATGCATAAACGAAACCAAACGACATGCCAAAACTCCCCAAATAACTGACAAGTTTTTATGTAAACCAAAACGCCAAATTTCAATTCAATCCAATCAACTAACCAACAAAGACATTGGAAAAGGAAAAGAAAGGGAGGGAAGGGGGGTGGAAAATTAGAAATATATGAATGAATCTACATTCCCGGCGCCTGCCGCATCCCCAGCATACTCTCCGTACTCCTCATAAACTTCCCAATCCCCACAACCCCCCTCCTATCTCTCCCACCCCCACCTTCCTCGGCATCAAACCTCCCTTCAACACCCTCCGCAAACCCCACGGGCTCAGCCATAAACCCTCTATGCGTCTGCGGCATATCAGTCGATAATTTATCCAAATTACTCATCGAGCTCAAATTACTATGTCTCCTCGCAACATGTAACGGTTTTGGAACCAATGAATCCGTAGAGTCGAGTATGGGATGTCGGATTACAGTTACTGGAGATTTCAGAGAACGAGGAGGGTGGGATTCGTAGTATGTTGCTCCGAGTGGTGGAGTTTCGGGGGTTGTAAAATCGTTGTAGTGCCTTAAATGGCTCGGGACGGGGGAATGTAAATGTCGTTCGGGGATTGGGATGTGAGGTGTTATCACTCGTGAGGGATTACCGGATGGAATCGAGGAGTTTGGAATATTTGGGATTAAACCCTCCTGGTGGTCATATCCTCCTTCTTCTTCTGCGTCTTCGAATCCACGGGCATCGTGGAAGGCATCTTCGTCAGGTGATTCATCAACTTGAGAGAGTTGTGACGCCGCATAATAATTTTGACCGTTTCGACGGGAGGAACGGTTTGAAGGGTGAGTACCGTTATATTGACTTCCTGGGTCTGGATAGCCCTCTCTTTCTTCTTCCCGAAAATCTCTAAATCCACCTTCACCACCGTTCTCGGAGGCAGGATTGTCTACCCCTGGCATGGCGGGGAGAACGTTACTACCACTTGAAGAGGACGAAGAGCTGGATGATGAAGATACTGATGATACCGACGTTGATATCAAATCTTGCTGTGACTCTGCGGCGTTCTTGTCACTTGTGTCTTGTCCGTGTAGCCATTTGTGATGCTGTAGTTTTCGATCAGAGTATTTGAGCGCCGCTAGGATAGTAAGTTTATCCAATATCAAGACTATTTCCTCCAGTTAGCTATATACCCACCGTAAAAAAATCTCAAGAATATAAAATAATACATACGACCAAGGAGTAACAACATCATCATAGGCACCACCCAAGGACTCGTCACAAACCCATCCATCCGCTTTTTACTCGTCGCCACCGTCGCCACCAACCCGATCACCAACCCGAACACCACCCTGTAAGAAATATGTAACCATTCATACCTATCCTTCGGCCACTTCATCAAATACGTAAACAATGCCAAAATCAACAAGAACCCCCCTGCGGCAACAAAGAAATACACAACCACAAGGTTATATATCCTCGAAAACCCCTCAAACTTCCTATCACTATTGAATAATTGATCATTACTCGCCGGTGCTTCGATATGATACCCACTGAAAATAGCATACGCGCACAGATCCCATAGTTTATCGATCTGGTCTCTAATAAAAGTAGCATCACCACTATCCCTCATCGGAGCGAGGTTAAACACGAACGCAGGTTCCGAAGCAACAATCTTTGCGGTTTCTTCGGGGAAGAAATCGTTAATAACGTCTAAGACGCTGTTGGCGATCACCCCGCCGTTGGTTTTCCCACCGTTGTTGTATGCCGTGTCGAGGTTGGCGCCTAGGATGTTTAAAGCGGTGATTATTCCTTGCCAGATCATTAATTGTTGTTGACCCTCGACGAAGAGGATTACGGCGAGGTGGAAGGGGAAGTGGAGAATTGCCCAGAGCTGTTGGGGTACGGTGCTGTAGACGTAGTTTGGTTCGTCGTCGAAGTAGAGCATGTAGAGGAAGTACTATAATGGTGGTTAACAATATAAACATTAAAAGAAAAGAAAAGGGTAATAGCATACAATACAGAGGACACCGGATATTGCTTGTCCGGATAGTGTAGGCGACCAACTTGTCGCGCCCACACCCTCGTTCGTGAGACTCGTGGCACGACATAGGCCGATGATACCCTCGCCCATAACGATAAGAGTGAGTAATCCCATTCGTTGGATTAAGTGGGTACCCTTGAACCCTACGATTTTCCATTTGAGGGATATGCTGAGGACGAGTACTGCTTCGAGACTTAAAACTACATACCAGCCGATGTAGCCTTTTGTGTTACCGGTTGAGGAGAACGAGAAAGCTAGCTGGTGTGTATATAAAAAAAGTAATTAATATTTTGATCCAGGAATTGGGGGGGTTAATGGAAAGGGAGGGAGAACTTACACCGAGAAAGAGAATCATAGAAATGAACATTAGGACTGACATTAGTAGTAATGGCATCTTGGTTTTTGTGTATTGTCTAACTGTCCACCATACTACAAAGTATTGAATTGCTATTGCAAATCTGGACGCAAAGAGTAACAACGAGAGCGTTTTGAACGCTTGCCAGTTTCTATAGTTCAAATATCATTAATATAATTTTTCATGATATAAAAGAATCAAAATGGATGAACTTACTGCTCAGGGTATCTTGGATCAAATTTAGAGTTTATGGCCGAAAATCCCACCATCACACCTATTTGGAGTGCTTTAGCTATTCGCTGGATCAGACTATCCCCTCCAAATCGCAGGTCGAATAATGCGGCTTGTAGCCATGTAAACCATAAGATAGCAAAGTATCCAATATACGATTGTAACGCTATCATCAATATAAAATGTCAGTAAAATTCCGAACAACCTTTCTTTATCTTCAACTTAATATTTAAAGAATGGATATCATCATACTATCACTATCGTTAATCTGATGCGAATCCGTAAACGTCGTCAAATTCGCCACAAAGAACAAATCATAAAACAACTCCACCCACGTAGCCTCCGCATGCCGTGTCCATAACTTCTTCTCATCATCAACGAGTGCACATGCTGGGATATCCTCCTCCGGCTGCTTTTCTTCAAGCGGGACAGCTACGGCGGGTATTCTCTGTGATTCTCGTTTTTCTCGAACGCCCCTTTTTTCAATTAAAAAAAAAAAAAAAGCCGAATATTAGCATAATAATCCACGAAAACCGGGAAAGGTTCGTACTCATGTCTTTCCACCTTTGTATACCCACTATTCCTCGGCGGGTACCCACCGGTACTTTGGTACGCCAACGGGTTGTTTTGTAATAAATCTGCCATTATCGCATGTATTCAGAATGGCAGAAGCGTGGCCGACGCAAAATAGGAGAGTTTAAAGAGCGTAAGAGGGCGAAGATCACTCTCCTAAGAAGAGTTTTTTTTTCTAAACAAAAATGGGGGAGAGAGGGAGAAAGTAGATTTCATTGAGAACATAAGTGGCCAGCGTGCGTGTTTGATGACACGCAGGGAAATCGTGAGGTGTCATTTAGCGGATATATAGTCGCTCGGGTTTGAGCTAGCTTGTGGGTGAGAGGGTTTTTTTTTATGTATTGTTTCTTTTGGAGAAAGGAAACGAGGATATAGATTGATAGGAAGGTTTTTGTTATTGCTTTGGCTGCTGGTGCTGGTGCGGAATTTGAGGCGGTAATGAATGGCGGAACATTGGGTATAAAGATTGAGTGGTTCCTGGATTGAAGTTCATAGGGATGGTTTTCGAAGGCTCTCCCTGGGTGGTATTACTTCTGGATGCCGTAGCTGTTGACTGTTTCCCGGCTGAGATACCCTGGAAAGAAGTTCCGAATGTCATTGCAAGTGCAAAATCAACGGTTCCTTCGGGACCCATTGCAGATAGTAGGAATTGAAGAGAGGGAATGATGATTCCACGTGGTTGAGAAGGATGGGAGACGAGAGTGGCATTGAGGAGGTGAAAGAGGTAGATAGATTTATACACGTTTCTTTGGCTTATGCCCCTCCTCTGCCTCGATGCGAAAAATCAAGGGATTGACTCGTTTTCCTGACTACTTTCAGCTTCTTCTTCTTCTTCTTCCCCTCTTCTTCCCCTTCTTGTTGGCTTTTGAAGCTACCAATTCAATTTCCTTGATAATTTTATATCCCTCACTCTGACACCTCTGAGCTTGTAAAAGCTTAGCCCAAAGTAAGCTTCAAGCTCCGCAGGAGCTATAGCTAGCTTGTGAGGCGATCAGCTTGACCAAATAAAGAAGTGGAGTGATGTCGTTCGCCCTGAATTTTAGTTGAATATAAGGTCTCACAACTAGAATTCAATTAATTTCAAAAAGCTTAAAAAAAACTGCAATATGAAGCTTGTGATCATGCATCCGTGGTATATTTCCTGTTGTTGATTGTGGCTGTGTCTTTCGCTCCTCTGCTTTTTTCGAGACGGGATGGTAAAACAGCGGCAGCTAGAGCTTGCAGTGTTGCATTATGTCGATTCCGAGCTGAAAACGGAAGTGGAGAGTGCAGTTAGGCAAAAAAAAGTGAGTATTGAATTGCAGAGGGATTTTTTTGACCCCTTCGATTTCTTTGATACCGCGGAATCCGAGGATTGTATATCGAGTCGTAGGATATATACTTTTTCCGAACCTATAAATATGAATATTCGAAAATGGAGATAGATATATCAAATTTAATTGAAAGAGGGGAGAAAATTAAAAAAAAGAGTTCCATTCAGCAGTTTACACACATGTACCCGCACACACACATAAAATAATGCATCTAGGGGGAAGAAAGGGGAAAAAAAAGACAACGTCAACTTTATATGCTTTCTCATTGCGAACACATCTTGATGCTTTGCGTGATCGAATTTCGTAATTCTCGCCTGTCACACACAAAATCCTAGTACTATAGTTAATAGTTTACCGATTTCCCATGCATATGTAGGGCCGTTTACATGTATTTAATCCTGGTTGGTCGGCGGGGAAAAGAGAAAGAAAAAACCTTTTTTACCACAAAGAAAACGTGGGTGTAATGTATGGGCGAGGAAAGATGCGTTGCAGGTGTGGTAGTTTTTTTTCCGGTGAGCTCGTTTGTGTTACCTTGGATTTTCTTGCTTTGGATTCCTTTTGTGCTGTGCTTTCCAGACTTCGGATTTTGGCCTTTCGATTCGGATCCTTTGGGAGGCTGTTTTAGGATCAATTGCAAAGGATTTGTGGAAGACGAAGGTATTATAAAATCAATTTGGGGATGTGATCGATTGGTTTGTGCCATTGGGCGTCGGTGGCAAAAATGGCCTGAATTAGACAGACAATTGCATTAATATAATGTATTGATCGTGGGGGAAATATATAATATCACACTGCAGATATGTCCCAGGGCACTGCGCTCCGCTGAACAGCATGCAGTGCTGCAAAGGCATATGTCCGTATGTACACAAACGAGTAGCTTGGCTGCCGGAATAATAATACGCTTTACTAATTCATTTATAAATTTAGCTTATAAACAGACTTGATTGTTCAAGTGCGTTTTCCAAGCCATTGAAATCCGAAGGGCGCGAGCTATAACTATGCGGCATGTGAATGGCTGGCCCGGCCCGCTGCCTCGATCCGAGACCGTGGCCGCCATTTTAAATTTTAATATACTTAATTGATTATCATGGCTATTATAGAGAGCATGGGGAGGACGATGATATAATCTATCGCATACTCCTAGACTTCGTCAAATTTTGCATCGATAATTGTATAGGGATTATAGAGGAATGTGGCTGTCAGTGCCTCGGTCAATGAAGCGCCTTTCCGACAATGATGTATATAAAACTGGACAGAGCCAACATCACTTTAACAAAAGGAGTCAAGGGACCAAAGAATTAGGAAGGGTATTGGAGAGGATCTTGACTCTATCCTCTGCCCGTACATCATTTCAGAGACTTGGGCCTGGGTGAGTGACAGTCGTGAGGGGTTTCGAAGTTGTAGACTTACATCGAAGATTCGGATCGAGATCAGTCCAGCGATAAGCAAGATCCCGTAGAATGCGGTTCCAAATTGAAGCTGTCTACTACTACTAAGATATGAAGTCGAATCCAGTGGAATCACTGAGATAGTCTCGGGTTTGATTCTGTCTCGGATTTTAGGAAATATAACCCGCTGACCAATCCATAGTAGGACTAATACGTCGGCGGCACCGTGAATCTAGATCTCTACCGTCCGGTCAGCCCACGAAAACGATACGAACCAGCGCCTATAGCTCGGCTAGAGAAGCCCATGGCATCCCAAGAAACAACCTGGAAAAGAATCCCTCGTCATTCTGCCTTTCTCATAGGCCAAATATCGATATCACCCCCCTAACGCAGGGCTAGATGCAGTTTGGCGAAAGCTTGGTTAGAAGTGGGTCCGGACGAAGGGCTCATCAAGGCGATGAGGTATCCTGGTGAATGGAAGTTCTGCAAGAGACTCTTTTCAGCGTGCGGGGAAACGCAAATTAAGGAACCTTCAATTATAAACCTGGGGGAAACGCCACTATTCCGACGTGCGACCGTCTCCAAATATCGCGATGGTGTTACATTTCGAATATTTCTAGCAAATTACCGTATTTGATTCGTTCGGGCCTAGGGATATTTAGTACGAATACGTTACCACATTGTTAAGTAATCCAGAGGCCGCTATTTCGAATTCGTTAACGGCAAAGAATCTTCTGACACGAATCGAAACCAGATCCTGCAAGCTCAGTTTTTTTTAGTTCTTTTTGCTCCTTCACATGACATTGCGCATGTGTATGAGGGATATATTGTTGCATAAAAACCCACTCTGGGGAAACTTTGCGGAGGTTATCACTGATAAGTGAAAACAAAAGGAGGATATCTGGAGCAAGCTCGAGCAAAAGCACAAGCCAAGCTTCCTATGATAGATAAGTGTCGTCTCGAGACGGTGGCCGGTGCGTTGCATGTGAAAATTTCTGGAGAAGTAGCCGAAACCACCAGTCGCACCTTGACCGGGGGGGCGTTCGAACGCCGCCCGACTGCCAAAAATCACAAGGAAGCTCGAACTAGAAGTGCAGCAGTCGCGGTGGATGGTACCTTGCATTCTTCTCGAAGGAAAAATAGTGAGACCGAATATGACGGCATCGGAATCAGTTGAGCCCTGCATGGGGGATATGAACATGGCATCTCGGTTGTGCGGTCTAAAATGAAAATGCTGATAGTCAGATGTCATATGCAATCGACGGCCTCGATTTTGGTTTCTGGCCGGGAGAGCGTCATATAAAACCCGGCGCGGGGACACCATTCTCATGTCATCTTTAGACGGTTTGGAACCTTTTGTAACGGCGAAGCAAGAAGCACCTTATCCTCTCACCACCAGGTTTTGTCTTTTTTAATTTCCAGACTGCCATCCCGTTTTCCTAAGAATCTTCTGGCCAGAACTGAGCTGCAAGCTGCAAGCAGTATACAAGCGCATACCTTCGAAGGAATTCCTCGCAGATATCATAATCAATTAAGCAATCTAGACGTAATACAACCGACACAAGCCGGCACCGGACATCAGTATCTGCACCTGTGCAGCAACAAGAGCGCCCTATATATTAAGAGATTGAGGGATTTTAATAGGCGGAGATTCATTGGTTCCCGGCGACAGCACCAACTGTGGAGTTAGCTTACCCGCGTGTGCATCCTGCAGCGTACTACTTGCTCCGCTCGCTCCCTTGTTGCGTAACAAACGCCGCAGCACCGAACGCAGCCAGACAAAGCAAGTCGAGTCGGGGTACCTTTACGTGACGCCCGCGCCCTCGGAGCTAGCTAGGTAGTTAGACCTGGAATTTGAAACCACACAGTGAGTGATTGAGTGAGTCGACTCGGAGAGAAGGGCAGCAATTGATTGCTGTTAGTTCGTCCGTGCATGGGGAAAGAGAGGGGGGGGATTTCATTAGCTGATCAGAACCAAAGGAAGTTTACCTATATTTAGTGCGTCGGTGAGAAGGCGAATAAAAAGAAAGAAAAGATGCATTCCTCAAAGCTAAAAACGTCAACTTCCTCCTCCACATCGACACCACAATCCTCGCATTCTCTTTCTGCTCAGCAGCGTCTAGCTTCAATTTCCAACCACGTTAATCCTTCGAATAACAAAATGGCTTCAGCTTTCGATACCATCACTATGGCCCCAACAGACCCGTTATTTGGGCTGATGGCGGCCTACAGAGCGGACACTTTCGAGAAGAAGGTCGACCTTGGGATCGGTGCATACCGAGACGACAACGCCAAACCATGGGTTCTTCCTGTCGTCAAGAAGGTAAATCTTTGCTTCAATGCTATGGTTTTGGGTGATAAGAGGGTGCTAACAGTTACAAGGCCGAAGAAATAATCCGCAACGACCCTGCCAAAAACCATGAATACTTGCCAATCGCCGGTTTGGCCTCCTTGACTTCCGCTGCTGCTAAGCTGGTCTTTGGCAATGACAGCCCTGCTATCAATGAGAAGAGAGTATGTGTCCAATGTCTATACCTTCAGCAGCCCTATCAAGCTGCAGTATTATTTTGCTAGGCAGTTATCTAATACTGGCATCATATAGGTTGTCTCCTACCAAACAATCTCCGGCACCGGTGCTGTTCATCTCGGCGCTTTGTTCCTCGCAAAATTCTTCCCCAGACCAGAGAACCAATCTGTCTACCTCTCGAAACCAACCTGGGCCAACCATCATCAGATCTTCCAGAACGTTGGTCTCCCAATTGCAGAGTATCCTTACTTTGCTAGGGATACCTGTGGTCTGGATTGGGAAGGCTTGACTGCCTCCCTTCAAAGTGCTACACCTGGGTCGATAGTCTTGCTCCATGCATGTGCCCACAATCCCACTGGTGTTGATCCAACCCAGGAACAATGGAAGGCTATCGCGGAAATCATGAAGGCCAGGAACTTGTTCCCCTTCTTCGATACTGCATACCAGGGTTTCGCCTCCGGAGATCTTTCAAAAGATGCTTGGGCAATCCAGTACTTCATTGAACAAGGATTTGAGCTCTGTGTCGCCCAATCATTTGCGAAGAACTTTGGTCTTTACGGTCAACGTGCTGGATGTTTCCACTTCGTTGCTGCTCCGGGACCCCATGCAGAAGATCTAACTAAAAGAGTTGGTTCACAGCTCGCCATCCTGACTCGTTCTGAGATCAGTAACCCGCCAATCTACGGAGCCAAGATTGCATCGACAATTCTCAATGATGAACAATTGTTCAAAGAATGGGAGCAGGATCTGTGCACAATGAGCGGTAGAATTATCGCTATGCGAAAAGCCCTCCGAGATAAGCTGGTAGAGCTCGGAACTCCAGGAAACTGGGATCACATCACAAGCCAGATTGGAATGTTCTCCTTGTAAGCACAAGCTCCGGCGTCGGGGGAATGTCCATGCTTTTTATAGCATATCAGCTGATAACCATGACTCCTATAGTACCGGCCTGTCAGAACCACAAGTGCTCAAGATTAGAGAAGAGGTAAGCTCCAGCTGTCTCAGAACAAGCTCCACCTTCTCCGAAGCGATAGGGGATTTAGGCTAATTACAAATCTATCATTCTAGTTCCATATCTACATGGTAAGCTAGTCCCGGACCATCCGCTATTCTCGGAATGACTATTTTGCTGGGCCAGAACCTAAAAGATTGCTAACTTGTGACGTGATTTCAAGACCAAGAACGGCCGGATATCCATGGTGAGTTGTGTTGCATCTTCCTCATCGTTCTGACTTCTGCCCCTCCTATTGGTTACTGACCAGAGCTCTTTCCTTCCAATTTAGGCTGGCCTGAATACCCACAATGTCGAGTATGTTGCGACGGCTATCGACAAGGTCGTTCGCGAGAGTTCTTGAGTAGAGTAATATATACGCACGCTCGTTTAGATGGGGGGGAGCCATCTTGGAGGGGCTGGATAATAGATAGGGGCTTTCAGCCGAGGTTTTGGGATGCTGGACCAGCTTTTACACAATACTTACTAATTAGACGCAATCTCTTCTTGCATCTATATACTATTATACAACTACTTATTCTTTGGATTGGGACATATTGTTTCTCGCCTGCTTTGCTTTGGGTTACGCCCTTCATCTGCACACTGTACATATAATATCGGTATCATGAATAGACACACCGCAGTCTCAGGACGTCTACCTTCACTAAAAAGTCGTTGAAGACTCTTCACGAATAAGCATTTAAAGATAATTCACTCGCTCTGACAAAGAATATTTCCGATATTCCTCAAGAATGTCAATGTTCGAGCAGATGCCCGACCGATGCGCAAGCTTGTAATTAGTTTCTAAAGATCTATTGTTACAATTCCAAGGCTAGTATCTCACTAACGCCGTATACGCCCGCCTATGCATAGAATATATCCCATATCGTACACCTCATTGGGTTCAACCGGACCGTCACTTTTTCTTAGTAGACTTCTCTTTCTTGGCCTTTTTCGATTTTCCTTTTTTCGATTTCTTCTTCAAATCATTGTCTTCTTTGGCCTCTAATTCTCGTTTTCTCTTCTTCTCCGAATTCACTCGGGCCATTTCCTCATCATTGGTGTCTTCGACACCATCTGTCTTCGGTGCGGGCGTAGCGCTGGCTGACTTCTCGGCTTCATCGCCCGAGTCACTCATTACCAACCTAACACCGCCATCTTCGTCGTCGTCGTCACTGCTGCTTTCGGGGGCTCTCTGTCCCAAAGGATCCTTTACACCCTCTCCAAGTTCTCCTAGCTTCTCTTTAGCCCTCTCCTTCTGTAATCTAGTATTTTCCGCCCGTTCAATATCGTATTTATCGTTTCCTGCCAGGGCAGCGGATATAAACCTCTCAGCGGCGGCTTTATCTAATACAAGGTTTTCGCGAGTATCCACACGAGCGGAAGATGATGCGGTTGATGCTTTTTCTTCCTGCTTAGGTTCTTTGCTTTCGATATCACGGATCTTTTGGAAGTATTGTCGAACGCGGGTAAGTTCTTTCATGATCGGATGGTCAGCCGTTGGAGTAGCTGAGGTTTCAAGGTAAGCTATATTACACAGATATAGTTAGTAGATATTTAATAAATCCATGACTACGGGCATAGCGCATACTGTAGAGTAATGTTTCGAGGGCGTAGGTGGTGATAATGTAGAGTTTCGCCTTGTCGAACAAGGGCAACCTCGATGCATGTTTCGGAAGGTTCTGCTCTAGCAGGGGCTTCAGTGTCTCCGATATTGCATCGACACTATCCTCGAAGTCGTCGAGGGCTGGCCATAACTCGGACTCCATAGCGGATGATTGCGATTGGCGTCGTGATAGCTATAGCTTTTGTCGCGAATGTCGTGATGGGTTGTGTTCCAAGTTGAAGAGACTCAGCTCGCAAGCGAAAAAATATTTTAAGCCGCCTCTTGCGACCTCTTACCTTAACCTGGCTGCTTCCAAAACCTCAACTTCAGAAACTTCAAAAACCTGACGACACTCGAAACGACAACCCCACCAAACACCCCCTCATCGACGTCATGATCTAATACCAGCCTTAACTCTGGCTTCATCCAACGAAGGAAACAATGGCCCGCCCACCCATCACACAGCCACTACCCAAACCATGAACGTCCTCCCGCGAATCCACATCCTCGGATCCGGCAACATCGGCTGCCTTGTCGCCCACTCCCTTCGCTCTCTCGCAAACCCCCCACCAGTCACTCTCCTCCTTCACAAAGCCGAGGTCCAACAGGCATTCCGAAAATGTAGTAATCGCATCCGCGTCGAGCGGAATCGTATAGCCTCCTTAGTCGGTGGATTTCAGCACGAAGTTACCGACCGTGCCATGTTCGAAACATGGGCCTCGGCCTCTGCCAAACCGATCCAAAACCTTATTGTCACGACAAAAGCACACCAGACTATCCCGGCTCTCGAAAGTATCCGAGATAGATTATCCCCTGAGAGCACCATTATGTTACTACAGAACGGCATGGGTGTGCTAGAGGAAGTTAATTCAACGATCTTCCCGGATGCTAAGACTAGGCCGAATATGGTCATCGGAATAACTAGCCATGGTGCGCATACGATCCGTCCTTTCAATGTCATCCACGCCGGGTATGGTAAAATCGACATGTCAGTCGTCCCGCGAGAGCCGTTACCAAAAGGGGAATCTTATTCTATCGCTACACCTACCATCCTCTCTTTCCCACAGGAAACGAGACCGTTCATCGAAACACTATTGGAATGCCATGATCTAAGTTATGGAATTACAAGTTACCCAGAAATACTAGCCGTACAGCTCGAAAAACTAGCAGTCAATGCGGTAATAAACCCGTTATCTGTTATGTTCAACTGTTACAACGGCCAGCTAGTGTACAACTTCCCGATATCTAGAATGCTGCGATTGATTCTCTTCGAAGTTGCAAAGGTCATCGCTGCGATGCCGGAATTGGATAATATCCCATCAAGAGATATAAGATTTTCTCCAGAGAGGCTGGAGAGGGTTGTCATTGGAATAGCCAAGAAGACATCCGTAAATATAAGCTCTATGCTACAGGATGTACGGAGTGGCAAGAATACAGAGGTGGAGTATATTAACGGCTACCTTGTGAAGAAGGGTGCCGAATTAGGAATTCCCTGTGCAGTCAACTTCATGCTCAGAGAGATGGTGAAGGCGAAGCTAGAGATGGTCGGTGCCAAGATCAGAGCAGATCTACCATTAGAGGATATAGGCCGGGTACCTTATAAAGAAATGCTGTAGGTGTATTGAGCTTACTTTGGGCTTTGAACCCAAAGTTTCTGGCTATGAACTTGAAGGTTTATTTTGTTTACTGTATATATTACTACTCTTTTGGGCATCTTTGGGCACAAGCTGGTGTTTATTGCTTGATATTTGTATATACACTGCATTTGCGGATTAGAATTAAAGGCATATTGATATTGATTCGGCCAATGTCGATCCTGATCGGACTCAAATTTGGCTTCCAGATGTAATTGAAAACTCCTGCGCTAATGCTAACTATGAGAATGGGACGAATGATAACTAGAATAGAAAAACCGTAGAGCTCTCGTTGAAAGGTCATGATTCAACAATGTGCGCTAATGAACGCGGGCACTGAATGTCCTGGCGTAGAAAACGGTACCAGTCCCTAACTAGTTCCCCATGAAGCTTTAAGCTTGATCTCGCCAGTCTCGTCGTCAATAACCTTACCCCTATCCCAATCTCTTCCACCTTTATCCTTGCTCCATTTGATCCTACTTTCGTCCTTCGTCGTATTAGTTTCCCATGCCTCTATGAAATCATTATCAAATCCAGCCGCCTTTAAGCGCTCTTTCCCTTGTTGTTTCCACTTCTGTCGGTCACGGAGAGCTTCTAGCGCTGCTTCCCAATCGTCTTCATCCTCAGGGTTAGTCGGAGTCACATCCATTGTTGGGTCATAAGAAGGGTCAAAGCGGGCGTCCATTGCTGACGAGCCTGGAAGGCCTCGCCCACGCGGCCTTGGGCCATTCTTAGATTTATACGGGAAAGATGGTCCAATTTCTGGTGACCGATCTGCAGATTTCTTTGCGAGATATTCTGCGAGTGGGTCCTCGTCGTCCTGAGGCGGTGATAACCGAGATACCTTTGGTGAATCGGACCTCCTACGTTTTCGTGGAGATTGAGAATCGGAAGGCGATCTAGAACGTGATTTATGCCTTTTATGCGACTTGTGTCTTCGTTTATCCGGCGATGACGATCTTGATCTTGAATGCGACGGGCTTCTTGTTCTCGATCTTCTAGAACGATGGCTCCTCTTTGTTCGTTCCCGGCTTTTACTTCGCCGTCGCTCTTTATCCCGTCGGTCTCTGTGACTTCCTCGTTCCCGACTATAGCTTCTCTCTCTATCCCGATTCGATCGTTCCCGGTCTCTTTCTTTATCTTTACCCTTCTCCCCATCCCTTCTCTCACGCCGCGAAGCCTGTAGAAGTCGATCGATATCCCCAATCTCAACCCTCTGTCGTTTAACCCCTTTCCTATCACCATCCCTATCTCTTTTCCCGCGTTCTTTACTCCTACTCCTACTCCTCTCTTTCCTCCTCGTCGACCTAGCATCCGGACTTCGGCTCCTACTGCTTCTCCTATGATGATGATGCCTCTCCTTCTCCCTATCCCTGTCTCTCCCCTTACTCCTCCCGTCCTCCCTCCTCAACTTCTCAAGCCTCAATCTAGCCTCTTCGGCCTCCTTGGCAAGTAACGCCGCATTATGCGAATCCGCTTCTTTTACCAAATTTTTTAGAAATCGGGTGTTTGGCTTTGGGGCCGAATTTGGTTTTTTCCTACATAGATTTTTTATTTTAGTTTTTTTAATTTTTTTTATATAAATCTTAGCAAACTTATGTCTAATTTGTCGGCGCGCGCACAACGTCCTAGCGGCGGGGCGGCATTCGTCCATCCAAAGGAAGAGAGAGAGAGAGAGAGAAACAAGAAATCCGGGGTAAGCAAAAAAAAAAAAATAGAGCATACTCACCGATCCCCAGCAAAAGCTACAAGTCCGAACGCGGAATATCGGAGCGACCGCTCAGTGGCTTCCTTTTTCAGAAGTGACGCGGCGACAGCATCGGTGATTTCGTCGGACATTGTGCGAGAAAAAAAAAAAGAATAAAAAAAACCAACTAAAAAAGAAAAAGATTTGAAGGGATGGTCTAGAGTGCGACCACGTTGAAGTGGATTAGTGGAAAAGTCGATTGAAGGAGAATGTAAATGGATGGGAAGGTATGTATGGGTTGAGTTTCGTCCGAATTTAAGACAACGTTAGTTGGGGCCCGTGACAACACACAGGAGCGTTGGATTTTGAAACTCTCCCTGCATTTTCTGGGGGTGATGTGGTACAGGCCCGTGGGAGCGAGCGCAGGGAGCTCGGGGAACTAGTTCATAATGTAGCCTATAAGCTTATTAATGGTATTAACGGGACTTAGGCTTATATCGCTGGATGCTAATGCAGTCGCTAATTCTGGGATGTGCTTAGCTATAGCACCTACCCTCCGCCTCGAGCGCCTGAATTCGAGGCTAGCATCTACCTACTGAAGTAACCAAGTAGGCATGCGCATGCATATACACCACATGCACATGCACAGTGAAGCAGAAAGGTCTATATGGAAACAAATCGGACAGGAATGGTAAAGCTAAACTAAGTATCTATGATATCATGATAAAGGTCCCCACAATTGCTTCATTCATCAATTGCCGATATTGAAAATTATGGAATATGTACGAAAATGCTGTTTCTATAATTATAATCGAAGTCCAAAGGGCCCGAAGAGCTCGAAGTAAGATGAAAGTATATACCAGAATGCAGAATGCAGAACCCAAAGTCTAAAAAGCTCGCCCATCTAATTGCATATTGGCCGGGTTCACTTTTATATATCAAATCCAATCTTATCTCTATTATCATCGATCACTCGTCCATACCTATTCCAAAACCGTTAACATCTCGGCCTATAATATTATAAAGAACGAAAAATAGGCAGGGATACTTACTCTAACAATAACCTAAAAAACCATACCTCAAAATCTTCTTTCCTAAGGACTTTCTTCGCCCAACTCCTGCCCTGGCTGGCAACTTTCTTGATCCCTTCTTTCCCTTCCTTCTCCGCTGTGAAGTACCTAAGCACCTCAAAGGACTCTGCCATATCCAAGCTCAAGGGCACATAATGCACCCACGGGACTAGCCAATCCTCATGCCACTCTCTGAACAGTGCCATCTTGAATACTGCGCTGTTACTCAGTAAAAACGCATAGAACCGTCCACTAAAGGCGTTTCCGTCGATGTCTAGCAAGTACTTATGATTCCAAACATACTGCTGATCAACTGCGGCAGCTGGTTTAAAGAAGGCTTCTTGTTCTTTACAGTCCTCTTCGTCGCATTGGCCAATATGTGAAAAGTTGACATCGATGAGAGATTTCAGGGTCTCACGTTCGGCGGATTTAACCCTCCAGATAGTTTGTTTGTCGTTATTCTCCATTTCAAACATCTGGCTGGTTTCATTAAAGGCATTGAGGTGCATGACCACCCTTTGACGATGTTGACGTCTCCAACCTCCTCGTCGTGAAAACCCACCGGTGGTCGATCCGCGCCAGAATAATAAATCCTTCTTTTGGTCCCATGACATATCTTGGGTTTCATCATATGAAACCTTCCCGGCCCAGTACCAAGGTGAAGGGTACACGAGATCGTTATAACAGGACACTTTGCTTTGTGAAAATACCGGGAAGAGATTGTGTGACACATGATATGCATTAGGCCGTTGGAAGAACCCGTGTCGTCGTCGTACACTCGGCTGTAGGCAAACATCCGTCGATGCCGTTTTATTCGTAATAAACGGAATTGGGACCATTGTATATTTTTCAAGTGCATCAGGAGTCCCTTCTAAGGGATCTCGAGCTGGTGTTCCGGGTGGGCAGGATAACTTGCTGTTCCCCCAAATAGCTTGGTGCGCGAATTCATTGAATCGAGTGTCATCCGTATCTTTGACTTTGCCTTGCTCGTCCTTCGGGAAACCGGTGAAGGTATTCTTCGGAGTTCCTACAGCCCCCCTACTCTTTGCTTTGGAGACAAGAGTACTCATTTCTTCAGTAGGGAGCACAATCCTCGGCTCATCATGCGTATTAAACGCAAGATCCATATCTGGCAACCACTGTTTGAAGTTCTCGATCATCCCCACCGTAGCAGTACGCTGCCACTCTTCACCACCGGCAGTATCGATCACATTCCCATTTCGTAGTGACAACTTTAGGAGCGCCTGTGGGAATCCTAAAGCTTCTCTGGCCCTTTCTCTAATCATCTTTGGCGGCATGCCCCAGAACGGTTGGATTTGATGGAATACAACGTCGTATTCGTCAACAAGTAGTGACTTTCGGGATACTGCGAACTCATACCACTTGTCGAAGTTGGGAGGTGGTGCCATGCCGTATCGCTTCTTATAGTTCCTAACGGCATCGCGAAGGGAGGTAGATTGTCGTTGTTTCATAGCTTCGAACTCATTGAGACTATGTTCCATAAGATGTGCGATTGGGTGGATGTGTGGAGGAGGCGCTGTTGGCTGCGAAGACACAGCTGGAGTACGAGGTACAACAGAGATAAAAACTGAGAAAAGGATAAGTAGAATGAAAAACGTCCCAATGACGGCTCTTGTAGGTCCAAATCTTTGTGGCAAGATTTCTCGATTGTTTGGAAGACCGATGAAGTGGAACGATGCAAGCGTGAGGGCGGCGATCGTTCCAAATAGCTGGAAGGGCGAAGTCCACATCACCAATTGGCTTGCAACCAATGTTATCGAGAGATCAACCATGCTCCCAGATGGGGAAGACAATCTGGAGATCTAAATATCATCAGTGACCATTCGTTAACATCTATGCTGAAAATTCAACTCACAAGTATCGGCATGCATAGCCATCTCAACCCACCGAGCATACCCATACAAGTAATCTTCGCAAGGTTGAACCCAGCCCACTGAGGAACAGTATAGTCCCTCAGCGATTTCTCAAAATAAGTTGCCAGAAGCAAAAACCCACCGGCTGCACCAACAGCGGCCCTAAGATATCCACTCGAAGCCAGCGACTTCAAGTCAACGGTTGCGCCGGGCAGATTCTTGCTGTCCTTTAGCGAGCCGAGACTTATATCCTCCAACAGCACATATGCCATCGACTGGAAGACAATGTTTGATAAACCAATCGCCATCGAAGTATCCAGTATGACCATGGGCATCAGCGCAAGGAATGCAACCGAAGAAACCATCAATAGCAACCGCTTTGACCCTCTCATAGAGCCTTCCAATATCCCAGGCTCGCCGAGTGTGTAGTTTCGCAGAAATCTCGTTACTAGTGGTAGACCTGCCTGCGACGAACAAATAGATCACCGAGGGTATCGTTAGCAATTGTCGCTGTTTCTTCTCCAATATTCATACAGAAAGAACGTAAATTACAGACCTTATTCCACCAGGCCGCTTTCCCGGTCCAAGCAGGCCCTACCACCCTCTCACAGATTCCAGATAGCAGAATACACCCCACCAACGCCGTCACCTTCCTCCTCGTTTTCCTATCAATAGTAACCTGTAATTCTCCATTTCTGGTCGTTTGCTTCTGTACCATAAACAGAATCACAGCGACAGTGCACCATGATATCCCAGATACAAGTAGCGAATGTAATTCCGGTGTGAATATCGAAGTTATGAGAGTGGTAAGGAATATGTTGGTGATAAGAATGCCATTGGATTTCGGTTCCGAGCTAGAGGAGGACCCGGATATGCTGGTGAGTATGTAGGAGTTTAGGATGTTCATTTGGGTGGGAACCGTGGGGGTTGCGTCGTTCGTTATAGACTGATTAGGGGAGATCCCTCCCGTAGGAGAGTCTCAACTGGATCCGATAGGCCGCAGTACGAACTTTAGAGTTTGGAACCGATATGCTTCTGATTAGCCGTCTCCAGTGGTGATCGGATAGAGAGAAGTGCCTTGAAGGGGTTAGTGATATCTATAGATTTATTCCACACTCATCACCAATTCGACCGCAAACTTTAGAGCTCTAATTGTAGGTTGAGAACCAGGACTGGTATCGAGGGGCTCCAGGACGCGAGATTGAGATTCTATTCCGTTTTCTTTTAAGAAAAAGTCAACTGGCCAATGGCTCAACTTTATAGGTAGCTGCCTCGGATTGATCGCGATAGGACAGATAGTCGAGTTCTGGGGTATAATTCTAGATAAGTTCTAGAAATACACTGTTCTATCGCTTGGGTAAATATGAAAGTAATGTTCTGGGTGGAAGATGTCAAGGGGCGACGCGCAAAGGAGCTGAATCATAGTGAGCACGGACCGGGGCCCCTGAAGCGTGGTATTTTGGAGAGCCGACCTGCGAAAATGTATTTTCAACGCATCTGCATAACTACCTAACTAATTAGCTGGCCGGCTACAGCTGGTATCGGTATGCATGGGCCTTAATTATACACACGTGCCTCCATGTATGGTCATGGACGTAACTCAAAGCGCACGCCTGCCACGTTTCGCACCCCAAAATATTCTAGAAGTCAAGGCCCCAGCAAGTTTAAAAACTAGATAACGGCGGGCATGAAGCTGTAAGGATAATACTCAGCTTGCCGAAGCGTTTTAATACAAGACTAATATTTAACCAGGTGGTAAGTTGACTACTTGACTAAATATACCAGCTTCTGTACTTTAGCTTGCAGAATTCTAGGTCCCTACGTTGGGATTCTAGGTAGTACGTAGTACAATTGCAATAGTGGAGGGGCACGGGGTTATAGTAATACAATATTTGTGAAGAAACAGAATTTAATATATGATTCGGCCTCACTGTAATGACAAACTTTGTGAAGCCAAACGATAGTCGCTAGACCGGAGACAAAGAGCAAGAGCGAATGTCTAGAATACATTTTTGCATGAAAGTGCTTGTTAGTCCTCTCATCCGCTTCCGCTTCCGCTTTCTCGTCCAACCGTTCTTTCGTTATTTTCCATACGCTTGTTACCAAATCCAATCCAAAAGTATCCAGGAAGAGATACGCTCAAAGTTCGTAGGTAAGGCCCTTTACCTTTCCTATGACTCGTCGAATCTGGGTCTCAGTAGCCTCGGACAAGTGTTCAAGCCCAGTGGCAAGTGAGACACGAGATCTAGACCAATGGAAGATATTGAGACGCTGGTTGCGCGAAGTCACACCGTCATTATCTTCCGCCAGAATGATAATTTTCATCCAGATATCAGCTGGGAGCTTCCCCGGAAGTTGTGGATCTTGGTATACTTTAGACTCCGAAAGTTTGGGGTCGAGTTTAACGCCTTTCGGCTTCGCATTGATAGACTCTTTGGCAGCGGGCGACACCGCCGGTGAGTTCTCTAGCTTGAAAGTGCTGTCAACACTTGTTCTCTGAGAACCTAGATTATAGCGAGTGATGTTAATATTCGGAAGTCAATGATTTCAGATAAGGCTTGTAAATACGTACTCTTCAGTTCGATCTTTAGAGTAGATTCATATCCGTCGATGACGATAGGGCCTGCATAGTCGACGAGAATTGCTCGACTAACAACCACCAAACGCATGACTCTCTTCCACAGCAAAGAAGCCTTGACACCTTGTGCCTTAAGCACGTTTAGCTGGATCCTGGCCCTTGAGCGGTCTAGACTATAGCGGGAGTCATTCAATGCTTTGCGGCTCTTGGACGGGAAGGAGCTGGCGTTGAAGGAATCGTCACGGTCTTGGATGCTATTTCTTCGGTTCTCGCGACGTCCTTCATCACACCCTGTGTCACTAACCACTGAGCTCCTTCTACGACCCTGTCCGTTTGTCATTAGCTCCTCAATAGTAGCCGCATCTTCATCCCTTCGCTCCTCAGCTTCCTTCAAAACGGTAAGGCCTAATGCAGTTACCAATGGGTTTTCAGTCATGATGATCCCACGGCAGCTTGTTAGACCATCATACTTGCGAAGGGTGGCGGCAAATGGCCCTTCTTTCAATGACGGGAGATGTGGATGCAAGTCAGATGGCAAAGGATGCTCGGGAATAACATAACTCATCCACATCGCGGAAAGATCAGTGGCGCCAATATTTGACATCACGACGTATGGAATCCCGCGAAGGCCATGGATATCCGCAGGATCGCGAGGAGCGTCCAAAGAAGATGGGGGACTTGACGACAGATGACTAGAGCCAATGGTTCCAATGCTCGCTTTTCCTATTTTCGTAGTATCGTATTAGTGCGCAGGATGGTGCGAACCGGGATGAAATTATAACTTACTAGAGGATTCAGCAAGATTGTCTAGATCACTGGCCTGAGTATTGTGTGGCGCCAAGTAAAGATGACCGCCAGATGACCTGATGTCAAATCCTTCAACTGAGTAGTTAACATCAGTCAGTTCATCGACAGCGTTAGACTTCCTAGCGTTGCCAAAGTCGTATGGGATGAAGATAGGGTGTTCCAGGGCGTAGACTTGGAAAAAAGCTTCCACTGCAAAGTCACCGAGCGGATTGTGGGAGATTTCAAGACGTCTGACACACTTCAGATTGACAAAGGATTCCAAAAAGCCAACCCAGTTCTCTAGATCTTCAACGGTATCAAGTGAAATGTTGTTGTTACTGATATCAAGATCACGAAGGTCTGGGCAGACAGAAACGGCTCGGCGTAGGTGACGGAGGGATGAAGCAGTTAACTCATTTCCAGAAAAGTTGAGCTCTTCAATTCGGGAAAGTCCAGTTTCCGCCAGTTCGTAAAGTGCATCGCAAACGATAGCAATGCCATCTTCACCGAGCTGGCGTCCAGTAGCATCAAGTTCAACGACCGGGTCGCGCTGAACAGCAGCAAGTTTTTTTTCTTCGCCAATCTTAGGGATTCTTTTCTGGATATCCCGTTGGATTGACTGTGCAAGCTTGACGCCAGCTATTTTTCGCTATAGTAGTAGATAGATGGTTATGTTAGAAGGGCATCATCATATGCATATGGCTTACTGCATGAGTGCTGGTTTGGCAATAGCTTACATTGACATAAGTTAACTTCCCCATTGTAGCAATAACTTAGAGCCTGGAGGCTCAGTAGCGAATGCCTGGGTTCGGTTCTCGATTCTAAGGTATTTGTTCTGTGTACAAAAGGTAGAGCTGATTAGAATAGGCGATATCAAAAGAAAGTAATGGGTGGGTTGGAAAGCTTGGGTCTGGAGCACGCAATGGGAAAGCCTGTGAATAGGGAGTGATACTATTTGTGACAGTAAGGGGTGGGTTCGGATGGTTAGGTGCTGGAGAGCGATAGGGTAAGTGGGAAGGGGGTTATGGGAGGTTATACGCGACGATATGAGATGAGGTCAGATCAGGTGATGTGAGGTAAGGTGAAGTGGGTGAGGTTGCACGTTGAGCGTTGATATAAATGATGTTTTACCGCAGGACTGTAGACCATCGGCCGTCGACCGTCAACTGTACTATACCGTCTTAAAAACTCGAAGTTCGACAAAGCAACTTTAAAGTACGTAAGCAAACTACTATGGAGCGTGACTAACCAGCTTGCGAAACAGCTAGGGAAACAAAGATCTAATGTTAATAGCTGTGGTTTACCTAGCAATATAATATTTGTACGTTTAAACGTTTACGCGAGAGATAATATTAATATTGAGATGTTCCGAGATCGAGAATGAGGGACACCCTTCGTTGCCAAGGGGCGAGTTGAATAAGAGACAACCGAAGACAGAAACAGAATCGATTGGGAATGCTAATTCCAAGAAATTCGAACTCGACAGCAGTGCAGAAGCGGCGGGTTACAGTACTAGTTTATACTATAGTCCAAGAAACACGCTGGGCAATTACTTGTTAAAGCGTTTATTAGTATAGGTCGTTGTTGATGAAGATATATAGACATACAGCTATCACAGTGCCCAACTTACGTTATAGTCCTTTAACATTGATATTATAATTAATGCATTGCTCAGGCCTTTAATTCGTTGCCACTAGTATGCATCTGCATGACGACGACGGCACAGGTGCAGGGACGGTTATAAAATGTTGTATTAGACCAACATCTTTTTGGCTGAGCCGCCTTTGTTATAACTTCGGCCAATATTACTAGCTAGTACTAGCTATCGGACCCAATGACGGGATTTAGCTTACGAACATTGAGTCAAGTGTGGAAATATTAAATGTTGACATCCTTGGCCACGGGATCTCCCATTGTTTCATCGGGTAGCAGCAGCAGCAGCAGCATATGCAGCATGGCACTCTGCAGGAGCATAAAGTTATTTTTAAGCTGCGCCACCCAAAGAACCAAATTGCAATATTGATGAATTGACAGAATAATAGTTGGTATCCAATACTGCTACTTGCTTATGTATCTGTTACATATGACGCATCTACGTAGGCACTTAGGACTCAAAGTAACGTATATGATAATTATAAAAAGTAAGTAACTATGACTTGCCATTGAAATTGCGTTGTTTCAGAACATCCAACAAAGTGGCTTGTTAACTTAATGCTGGTTATGTTGGCCGTTGGGTCGTTCGAATTCGCGAATGAAACCTCTCCCCGAGCTCTAAGCCAACAGCTAAGTGGAAGTTATTAGCTACGTAGCTGCAGAATATCATGCAATGGCTTCACAACGGTGCCTCCGCCGGCTCGCAAGTCTTTCATGCAAGGAATCCGTTTCCGTTTCCTCTGTAAATTCAAGATGGCGTCCGGCTCTTTTACCCCAATCTCGGCGGGTTCACCCCCACCACCTCACGCGACGGTCCATGACATCCACGTCTCTCGGACAAAGCATTGCCAAAGCCATTGAGGTGCGACAACCTGACATATACCCCTCAAAATTTGTTTTGTGAATATGCTAACACTTGCTAGTCGACAGGACCAATCAGTTTGATTCATTACATGAAACAATGCCTAACTGGAAAAGACGGGGGATACTATACCTCTTCCCCAGACCCATTCGGCAAGTCGGGTGACTTTGTGACATCCCCTGAGATATCACAAATGTTCGGCGAGCTGATTGGTATATGGATAATCTACGAGTGGATGTCCCAGAACCAATGCAATGGGAAGAAGGTTGTACTTATAGAACTTGGTCCCGGAAGGGGGACACTTATGGACGATGCTCTGCGAGTCAGTTGTCCTATGAAAAAAAAAACTCTGATCCGGTGATACGGAATGCTAAATTTTGGTACCACCGTAGTAGGTAATGCGGAAGTTCGAACCGTTTGCCAAGTCCGTCTCCAGTGTGAAGCTTGTCGAGGCAAGCGGTCCTCTACGAGATTTACAATGTGCAAAACTATGCGGAGAGGACATCAAACCTCGATGGCAGGGAACCAATTGGACTGAAAATACCAAGCATTTTGGTGCTCCAGTTACCTGGTATGATGATGTCCGGCAAATTTCATTACGTATGATGTTCTTATCCTACCGCAAGAATTATCTACCATTAGTGCCGACGTTCTAACCTGAATATAGAGCATGATGAGGCACCCTTTTTCATCGCTCATGAATTTTTTGATGCGCTCCCTATTAACGCCTTCGAAAACACACCGGATGGTTGGAGGGAACTCCTAGTTGATGTTAAGAAGAACAAACTCATCCTACCTAACTCTGAGGAACCCAAAGAGCCCGAGTTCTGCTTTACACTTGCCCCAAAGCTATCGGCCCCAGCACGTGCATTGAATAGCCTCTCACCACGTTATGAAGCACTCTCAAGGGTCCCCAATGCGATGGTAGAGATATCGCCGGACTCGCATGGCTACATCATCAATTTTAGCAGATCAATACATAACGCAGGGAGCGGTGCCGCTCTCGTAATCGACTATGGACCGGCCAATACGGTTCCCATGAATTCGTTACGAGGAATTCAAAAGCACAAAAGAGTCTCGCCATTTGTACAGCCTGGAAAAGTCGACCTATCGGCTGATGTAGATTTCGGGGCCTTGGTGGAAACAGCTCTGAGACCTGACTTCAATGTTGAAGTTCATGGGCCTGCTGAGCAGTCCCAATTCTTATTTGGATTGGGTATCAAGGAAAGATATGAGAGCCTTGCTCAGATGGCTGAGGGTGATTCGGAGACATTGGCCATTCTGAAATCGGGGTTCGAAAGATTGACAGAGAGGGGTGGTCTCGGAATGGGGATGATTTATAAAGCTCTGGCGATTGTGCCAGAGTCTGGAGGGAGGCAAATCGCAGGCTTTCAACGGGAGGCTCCAGTCGAGGAAGATCCTATTGCAGAGGAGCAACCACAAATTTGAGCTCCCCAGGCATGTATACATGTATATATGTAAATAGGTTCGGAGTTGAGTTTAAACAAGTAAATGGACGAGACCCAATGACGACGTATATAATAACGGAAAGTTCTGTTAACTTCGGTTGTAATTAAACTAGTCCCTTAAAAAAATTGTATCAAATAAAGCCCACCGTTTGGGGCCTAAAAAGCATGTTATGTTTCTGTCTATAACTACACGCACCATCGAGGTTGTGTAAATACTCGAGTATGGATGATCATGATCAGTCAGTACAGTCTGGATGTCAGTCGTGACAAGGCTGAATCCAGGTTATATCGACATTCCATTCAAAGCGATCATTCAAAAAAGAATGCTACTGTAATCAGCGAGTTAAAATCTTGATTCGCATGTATTAAACCCCGCTAGTTTCCTTCCCGTCGAGCCAACATTCTCGATATTGAAAACGGTTGACGTTCGAAGCCTTGGCTGTGGCACCACCATGTGATATTTTTCGCGTTGACCAGCACCGAAGCCGCGGTTCTGCTCTCCACAACCTTCAGCTCATGCACGAACCGTGACACTTCACGATATACCCCGGCCTGTGGTTTCTCCAATTGCCGTGCCGGCAGCATAATCTGGTTCCTTAAACTTACCTTTTAAAAGAACCTTACATCGCTGACTTGAGCTGTGTGATTCGTCAGATGGTATTCTGGTGTATACCGTCTAGTCTTAGCATAGTCTGGTCGGTGCTTTAACAACGTTGTCGCAGCCGAGTTTGAGGCTTGTCGCGCCTTTAGTCCGCGGTTTAACTTGAACTCATCTTAGCGACATCTCACGATATCTTGGGAGCTCGGGCTCTTCGGCTCTTCGGTTTTATACCTTCTTCCTATTTCTCTTTTTTTTCTTTCTCTGGTTTTGGGGCCGCCTTGCTACCGTGGTGCGGGCCTGATTGATACTTGTGAGGATACCCTCACCACTTCGCCACCAAAGCGGCACCTATCACAACGTCTAACAAGCAAGAAGCCATATTAACTTCTAAGCGACCATCCCAGTTCTAGACCCAAACGCAATCCCCTTTCTACTTAAAATATCATATATCCCGCATGGCGGACTCAGTCGGTATGAAGCTTCCCTTTAATCAACCATATCTAATCTACGTATCGAGACTAACCGCCTAACCTCCCTTTTGAACAGACCGAGTATTCGTCCATGCTCTCAACACCGTCAAAAAGCTACCGAGGTCCGGGTCCTCACGGCCGCCGCCAGAGGACAGATTAAAGCTATATGGATTATATAAACAGTCAATGGGTGCGGATGGACCTTTCCGTTTCATACATACCACGATTATCTCGATATACAGTGGAAGACTGACGTGATGGATTTACTATGATTAGAGGGGGATGTTGACGGTGTGATGCCACGGCCTACAGGGCTTAGTGATGAGGAGGTCACAGAAGCCAAAAAGTGGTATGTTAACTACCATAGGGGTGGAAAATATCCACTCTTATCATCAGAGTGATATAGCTAAATGTGGGACTCGTCACACTAGGGACTCATGGCACGAACAAAAGGGCCTGTCAAAGACCGAAGCCAAACGGCGATATATCACAACATTGATAGATGTATGAAAACTACCCCCTCATATGGACCCCCCCTCACCCCCCATGCTATATGCCAGTTGTCTACCCCTCAAACACCTTCCCTAACGAGATATCAATCACCTGCCCAGGCTATGCACCGCTTCGCAGTCACCACTCCAGATGCAAAAGAACTTGTCGCCGAACTCGAATTCGTCTGGGACCAAATCAAATCCAACCAAACTTCCTCTTCCTCATCCACTACAGCTGCCCCGGCACAGCAACAGCAAGCCCTTTTGTCATCGGCTGCGACTACCCCACGAAGACAACCCGCCAGTGGTCTATCACACTCTCAAAATATCTCTGCAACAGGCTTGCAAATCCTCCCACCGATGAGCCCCACCGAGGAAGGAAGACGATTCACAAACTTCCCGCCAGTAGGAATGGGTGTCCAAACCGACTCCGAAGAAACTGGGAACCGTCCGGACACCGGTGACGACGACGAGGATGAGGACGAGCACTACGAGACAATGGATGAATTCGACGAAAACGGGTTACCAAAGGTCACGGTCATCAACGAACCAGCAGGATTTAAAGAAGGTGGCAGTACTGGGAACTTAATACGTAGTATCAACACCCAAACCGCCGTAGGTGGAGGAGGAGGAAGTGGCGTAGAATCAGACATCCTAAGGCAGAAGAAACAACATATTAAACACCTGAGTTCCTCGCAATTTACCACGACCAAAAAGTCACTGGCAGCATTATCATCGACCGGATCAATGCCTCGTACCAACCCACAACAACAACAACCGACGAATGGACAGACCTCCCGTGAGAATGCGCACTACACACGCTGGAAGCAACGCGTTGAAGTTGCACTTACGAAGATGACGGCAGAGGTAGCAGCGCTAAGAGAACAGTTGGATGTTGCTAGAAATTTGAATGGAGGCGGCATGAACCTATCAAGAGGGCGATTGAATTGGATAAGAAGGTGGATCGGCTGGGGCGTTTGGACGGTATTGAAACACATCGTTATCGATGCGATTCTAATAGGGGTATTGGTAGTCTGGATGAGGAAAAGAGGGGATAAAAGAGTTGAAGGCGTATTAGGATTACTCGGTGGATTCCTAAGTGAGAGATTGAGGCTAAAGAAGGATGTACCGGATGTGAGCAGAACATTTGTCATTGCATAAAAGGGATAGAATCCGTGGGCATTAGAAGAGCTGTACGATCAAAAAGGGAGGTAATATGGTTTTGGTTTTTTTTGGTACAATAATATCTGGTTAAGCTTGGGATATGAAAGCCTTCGTCTGATAGACTGACTGATTGTAGACATGATACTGCCGTGCTTTGTTTTTTTTATTAGCATTGTTCATTCTTCGATGTTTATATACTATCTTTCCTTTGCGCTTGTAGCAGGTGCATGTATTTTGAAGCTTCATTAGAACGGGTGGAAGATCGTTAACGTTGTATGGACAGCATTTATACATTACGACCTGGGAATTTAGCCAGCACAGCGTTATCAACGGTCGATCGCGACCTATATTCATCGTTGCTTCTTTGGGATACAGTCTCCCACCTACATCATATATTTGCTTATAGACTAGCATACCGGTACCATGAAAGTTAGGTCACGGTATTCTTTATGGGTGTAGTTACGAGCTGGCAACAATTAGGTAAATCGTTAATATCTTAAATTCGCTTCTAAATGCTGGATTATATATAGTACACAGTATATGCTGAAATACAGAATTCAATTCCCTTTTCCACGCACTATTTCTAATGAAAACTTCCCATGAAAAGAGATATCGTCGGCATAAGTGACGACAATAATAATAATAATAAGAATAAGAATATCCATGAACCGTGTCACCTCTCTGATAATATATGAGTGTGGGCTGGCGCCCCTCTTAAAGTGGTTCGCGGGTCTTCAGGAGGCCCCTAGCCATGCGCAGCCGTTCTAATGCTGAAAGTCTTTGCGTCGGTGATACAAAGTAACCGTCGCCATAATCCTCCTCTTCTTCCCTTGGTGTGACGATCCTTCTCCTCTTTGGCTTTGGCTCCGGCTCTGGACTGGATTCAATTTCGATAACGATTGGTCTCTTCCTCTTTATTTTCACACTGCTATTCATAGGTGTAGGTTTCGGAAACATGTGGCCCTGACGCAAGGGCCGCCGTCGTTGAGGAGGAGTACTCTACTCTCCCTCCGTCAACAATCCAACTTGCTCTTGTATTCGCTCGTCCTCCTCTGGCAATAAGTCTCTAAACTTCACCTCGGCGATATCCGCCTTGTTCGCCTCACTGTCATCAACATCCTTCGTTCTCATCGGTCTTAGAATGTTTCTTTGGAAGATTGGCGAGAAGAATGCTCCTTTTCCTTTGTCCTCTTCGCCCTTTCCTCCACGCATTACGAGGACCACCTCGCGATAAGTATCTTTCATAACTTCGGGTGGGACGACGTATTCGTACGCTCTAAGGCGTTTGAAGCGGTAGAATTTGCGGCCTTCGGCCGAGGTGTGGGTGTAATCTTCGTTTGATGTGTCAGCATCATCATACTTTCGTTTTACCGCCCCAGAGACACTCTTGCCGTCCGGGAGGTAGTAATGAAACTTCGAATCTTCGGGTGCGCCATCGTCGTTCCAGGGTCGGAGGAGAGCGTAATCTAGCCCTGGGTCTCGGGTGTTGGACTGGGCGACTGGGTTTGTGGATAACTTGACGATAACGTAACCGAGACCGTCAGGGTGAGCGTCTAGATCTGGGAGTACTGGCCAGGAGTTTACGGCCTTCACATTTGACTTTGTGGGATGTTTCGGCAATGCCCAGGTTTTACCTGATGGCGGATTGGCGACATCAAAGCCCTTGATGACGGCTTGTAACATGGCAACGGGATCATTGGTGGTGTTTTTGATGGTACGCTTTGCGTGTTTTGTGATATTTTCGATGAGTTCACGGGATGTTGTAGATTGGAAGGTGGAGCGGGAGGCTTCGTTGGCAATGTATTCTGTACGACGAAGGAAGGATACACCGGCCTTAGCATGGCTAGGTTTTCCAAGGGCGGAGATGGGACGGAGAAGAAGTTGGTCGCTTGGGTGGACTTTGGGTTGGACTTCTGGAGCTCGAAGAGCGGCATAGGCGACTAAAAGGTTATATTAGCAATTGATAACTCAATATTTTTGTTTTCGGTTTTGTTTGTTGATTCATACGTGGGAGTTGAGATGAGAATACGTCTGGCCCAAACGGTAGTAAATCGATTGGCATTCCTAGTTCCGAGTCTACTTCGATATTGAGAGGCTGTTCTCGCACCAATCTCGAGGCAAAATTGGCGCTTGTGTATTCAGTTGCAGCATTGTTTGGAATTTCGAGAAGCTTGGGAGGTTGTGGGGGGGCTGGGAGATGGTTTTGATATCGTATTCGGGTGATGAAGTCTTGGTGATATTTGCGCTCCTGGCCGCTCGGCCTCCCCGATGAGGAGGTGGGCCTTGATGCCATTGTGAGTTCGAGACGAGCGAAAGAAGCAAGACAGCGAGAAATTAAGGGTGGATCACGTCGAGATTAGTCAATGAGAACTGGCGATGTGGTGATGGCGATGGGTGGTGAAGGATGATGTTAGGTGATGATGTAGGTTGAGGTGAAGGTGGATGAAGTTGGAATTGGTGGCAGTCGAACGCGACTTTGGCGCTGGGGATTGGATTTCTTGGCGTCGGCAACTCAAAGCTGGCTTCAAGCTCCAACGACAACATCAAGCTTCAGATTACCACATCACCCGTCGCAGATTTCAGGCACTCGAACCCAATATTATACGACCATCTTACGGAACTTGGAATATTTACCTTATAAAAACTTGCAATGGATCCATTCTCGGGCGAAGGAGGTACGGCGACGAGTACACTAGAGGAGTTAGCTAGTACACATCGTTATGAGCTGGGCTAATAGGTAGACAATCAACAGAGCTTCTCAACATCCACAATGCCTTCTTCCAGGTACGTTCCAAGCCATAATTTAGTCGCCGATGCCGTAACTAACTCGGAAGCAGGGCCAATATGACAAAGTAGTCGAGTTTGACACCAAACCCCTTTCCGCAAGCAACCAACTCCCCGCCAGAATATTCCAACTCCGAGCTCGGATAGCCCAGGGCGATTTCGAGGATGTCCTTGCTGAGTTAGAGGGAGAAGAGGAACCAGAGCTTGCCGCTGTTAGAGCTCTTGCCAAGTTCAATACAGAAGAGTTGGAAACTGCGATCGAGGAGATCGAAGAGCTAGCCAAGTCATCAGGTGATAATGCGACAGTACAAGTTATTGGCGGTATTGTACTACAAAGGGCAGGGAAGACCGATGAGGCTTTAGCGCTTCTAAGTCAACATCAAGGAAATCTCGAGGCGTATGTCTCTAGTTGTTGTGAAGGCATATGGAGATGGTTAACGCTAATATGGTATTTAGTGTCTCTATCATCGTTCAAATCAGACTGGCTCAGAACAGAACAGATCTCGCGATCAAGGAAGTTACAGCGGCGAAGAAGTGGGCACAAGACAGTCTCGTCGTCAATATTGCTGAGGCTTGGGTCGGCCTGAGAGTGGTATGGGTGTCGAGATCATAAAGCATCAGATTATGGTACTGACACAGTGGAACTTTAGGGTGGTGACAAGTATCAGCAGTCGTACTATGTTTTTGAAGAACTAGCACAGGCTCCATCTACATCAAGCACAATGTCGCTAGTCGGCCAGGCAATCTCAGAGTTACATCTTGGCAGGCTACCGGAAGCAGAGGTCGCCCTTCAACAGGCCCTCACAAAAGACAAGGGTGACATCGCGGCCCTAGCTAATAAGATCGTATTGACTGCATTGACTGGTGGCGATACTACAGCAGATATAAGGTACGTTACCAAAGCTCCAAGTAACTCGTAGCTTGCCCTGCTAATGGCTTACTCAAACCCAAATAGTGCTCTCGAAGCCCAAGACCCCAGCCACGCAATGGTGCTAGATATTGCTGAGAAGAATGAACTATTCGACAAGGCGGCTTCAAAATATTCCGCCAAAGTATCTGCTTAACCCTATAGACGGTGTCTTTTGTTTCAAAAAGTATGTCTATAACTAGTTAGTAGTTTGAATAATTACATAATGCAATATTAGGATTCTAGAGATCTCCTCCGTTGTTCTTTCTGGGCCTTCTCGTCTGCTTTTGCGAGTTTATAAGCTTCTTGCTCGCCTGCTTCCTTGGGTGTCCTTGTCTTCAGCTGAAGAGCGTGAATACCCCCTTCTTCGTTCATCTCGTCCTTCAGAAGAGCATATATGCTTCTGTGGCGGGCCATTTGAGTCTGTTTCTCGAAAGCCTCCGAGACGATCTCTAGTCTATTTGAAGGCGTTAGAATAAAATATATAAATTTGAATAATAGAAATTAGCAGCGGCGAAAGGCTTGAAAGAGGCCTATGAATACCTGAAATGGGTTTCTTTAGACGTAACGCCCTGCATGGGAGCATGGTGGGCATGCTTATGAGAATCATTATAGATTTGCAAGGCAATTGGGTTTAATGTCTCGGTAATCTATAGGGTAGCCCATCAAATCTTAGTGTGAGTTCATGCTAAATTTTTTTTTTTCTGTCGGATCATCGGATCTCTACAATGATTCCAAAAGAGAAAAAGATACCTTTCGACGGATGATATCCTCCATCGGAGTAGGCGATGAGGCTGCCATAGTTGAGAGCAACCTGCGAAGCCTGATCATACCGGTATTTGGGGTTTAATGAGAATATGAATGCTGTCGGATAGCCTGGTCAAATAGCCTGGCCCGAACCAATGCAATGCGACTGGATGGCAAACATACAGGTTCTACACAGCAGTAGTATGTCAGCAGTCCTTGCGAGGCTGAGTTGGCCGGTCTGCCAAGCACAACTTGCTTGTTTTCACGTGACCTAACACAAACTCTTGTGTTATTTTGGAGCCGGCGTTTCCGAGAGGATTATTGATTGCCCCAAATCCACTGGCTGCATGCAGGTCTGGGTCTGGCATGCAGATGTAAGCCAGATAAACTACAGGCAAGTGGTATTCACAAAAACCTCGACAAGTGACAGGATGGTAAAACGCCTTTCCGTATTCAATATGAGAGCGGGACGCCTTCCTGCTGTCTTTCGCTTATGATGCTGGGCCGTTATATCGTATCAACTCAAGCCTCCTCTGAAATACGGGTACATTCCTGACACACCATCTAGTACCAGTCAAGTTCTTCATCACATACCGACAGATGTTCCTGGGTATCAAACATATTGGGTATATGTCCCATCCATTATACATTCTTTTCAGCCTCGAATCAGGGTAACCCCGCAGTTGTGTGTCAGATTCTAAACTTCTACTGGAATGCGCATGCGTGCACATGTCCACTTACTAAATCCCTGCCTCTATTATAGCCTCGAGCCATGCTTCCGAATCAATTGACGGATCCGGGTCGTGTGTATTATAAAGTGACTTGTGCGACTTTGAAAATTTAGTGAATTTAGCGGATTGTGGTTCTAGAAGTATTTAAATATATTCTCTTTAAACCTTTCCGACTGTCCCTGTCCACATTCGAAATTAATTGCCTGGTATCCCACGATCTTATTGCATTACAATGGCCGCTTTCAAATTTTTTACAAAATTGGCTCCAAAATCGCTGAAATCAAAAGGGAAAAATAAACAGCGATCCAACGTGGCCAACCCTATCGTAGTACCTAAGATACCTTTTCAACAATTTCATTTGCCACCGGGGAGGACAATATTCGATGTGTTCCCAAATGAAATTATCATTGCAATTATCGAACATATGCCAGTGAGGGACAAAGATAGTTTCTCTCGATGCTCGACGCTTTGTTACAAGTTATCTTTTCCGCTTCGTAGGAGCCTCGTTCTTACCCCGGAATCGATTGAGAAGTTTCAAGATGGGGGGGTCTGTCAGCATCTTCGTGGGCTCATTCAGTATGCTCTAATACAAATCCCAATATTGGTAGATGTCAGAAGTTCTTTAATATTTACATACCATTCTTACAATCCACAGATGCCTTAGATTTGGAGACTCCTGGGTGAGGGACATAAGACAAATGCCCCGCTCTAACGATATCGACGAATCCTTTCGAAATATTGAGATCGATTTCGAGGCCTTCGTCACAAATATTCGTATCTCCACAATGGCTTTGAAGCTCTTCCCAAATGTTCAAGAGCTCTATATCTCCTACATGGCACCCCATAACTGCGAATTTAATATTTATACTGCCATACTTCGCGACATGCTTGGATTGCCCATCTGTGATAGTCTTCAACGGCTGGAGTTTCAGATAACTAGAGAACGGAATGTCAGGAAGTTGACCCATTATTGGTGCGCCACGGATTGGGTTCCACCAGCGGACCCATCATACTCGGAATTTTACGCAAAGTTATCACCAGAAAACCAAGAATTCCTGGGGAAAGAACAAAATAACTTTACGATAAACAAAGTTATGAGCGAAATCGTGCCAAAGTTCCCAGCTTTGACAGAAGCAAGGATAGTTGCACACAACTTACCCACGCCGATGGAATCCTTTAGTGATCCACTGTTCGAAAAAACCGCATTTTATTACCTCCCATTGTCATTCGCACCTAAGCTCGAAAAGTTGCGGATAGAAACCGAAAAATGTCAGGTTCAAGGCTACGAAGGGAAAGGTTGGTTTGACAACCGATTGCTCGGTGATGTTTTATCACGGATCAAAGACCTTAGGGTCATAAGTTCCCATCTAGAGGGGAAGGATATTATGATGCTCGTCGGGAAGCTCCCACACTTACAGCACCTGGATCTCCAAACTATCAAGCGTATTCCTCTTTTTCTAACAACCGAAGACTATGCTCCATTTGGAAAATTGAGAAACTTGGAGTATATGAGGCTGCCTTGGCCGTCACCTCGCAGATCTGGTTCGATTCCTGCTGAGGTAATGAGGAAGTGGGTTATCGGCATTGTTGATAGCGGATTAGACCGTCTCCAAACTGTAGAGCTGCTAGGAAGTAGATATAGCGCTAGTAAATACGAGAGGACTGATATTGATCTCCAGTTTTCGGTACAGAGGACAGAAAAGGGTTCCTTGTTGGATATGTGGGGGGCGACAAGCAAAGCAGATTATGCCGACGACAAAGGTCGCTATTAATTAGGGTTGGGATATTGATGCCTGAAATTACCTACATTCAAGCCTCTAGATGTTCATCCTCATTGTATTATATTTCTTTATCCTTTTCTTTTTTTTGTATATACCCCAGTATTTTATATAAACTAGAATTTTCCTTTTCGTCATTTAACTTATGCATTGGGTATTGCATTTGTTTACGGTATAGCGTATCTGCCAGCTGGTTCGTGGAGTTTGCCCAGCAAGCTTAGCTTAGCTGCTGCACCAATTTAAACTGCGACCAAACCATTAACCTGCAGACACGGCGCTGTACGCTTGACTTCTCATATCGTATCTTCTCGAGATCTTATGATGCAAATGGACCCTAAGAAAAGCATACTCAATGTACTCCCAGTCGAAATTACCATCTTGATTGCCAGACATATGACGCGTAGCGCCCGCGAGAACTTCTCTCGATGTTCGGTGCTTTGCTATCAAATATGCTTCTCGCTGCGATTCAGCCCCAGGATCATTCTAACCCCAGATTCGATTTCGCTATTCAAGGATGGCGGTGTATGTGAACCAGTTCGCAGGTCCATCCGGTAATATTATAATCTAGCTACGTTCTCGATAAAATATTCTCTCAAGCACCAATGGCTCACCAAATATTCCCATTCGCAGGTCTATACGGTTTCTAAGTCCGTATTTTTTGGATACAAAAATCAGGCGACAGAATCATATCGTGAATTTTGCGGACCTCCCTGACTACAGCTTTGAGTTTTTCATTACTCAAATCAGGATTTTTATATCGTTTTTGAGCCTCTTTCCAAATATCCATGAGCTCTATATATACTACCACGTACCCCTCGCCTGCGAGTTTAATGTATACGCTGCTATACTCAAAAGGATATGCATGGCTGGTCGTCCGACTCGTAAAACTCTTCGAAGGCTCGAGATCCAATTTCACAAGAATTCTGCACCAAATATCGACGGCCCGTTAGCATATATACTGCGCGGTCTCGTAACAGCAATCTACTGGCTGTTCTCCTGGAACAAAAGTACAGCGTCCCCGGCGCCTATGTCGTATCAGGATCTTTATTCGGCGCTTTCTTCAGAAAACAGGGCTTTTTTGGGAAAGGAGATAGAAGAGGGTGAACTAAAGGAGTTCGGACCGAAATTGTCGTCACTCAAAACGGCCACGATATGGGCTCACAGGTCAACTACGCTCCTGGATGAAGATAATATTGGAATCTTCGAAAGGTCAAGGTTTTATACTGCATCGCTTGCAACTGCACCGGAGCTCGATACATTATATGTGAAAAATGAGGTCCTACGAGACTCCCAGGATAAAGTTGACGCTTGTCAGATCGAACAGTTGGGTGAGCAGTTGGGTACTAAATTCTGCGATGAAGTGTCATTAATTGAATACTTGGGTATCACGCATGCGCGACCGGAGATACCGGAGGACCAAATCGCAACGTTATTCGATAGGAAATACGGTTCGGATTTTTCATATCACATTGATTCGGATATCTCGCAGTCGACTGCTCATGGCGCTCCAGCTCGAACAATGGGTCTTTCTGACAGAAATGGCGTTTCGCACGACGACAAATTTAAGAAATTGGGCAGATCTATTTCTCCGAATCAACTAAAGACCGTAGTGGATGGCCTAGTTGGAGTCGGGTCAGATCACCTTCCGATCATTGAGATTGAAGGGGTGAGGTTTCGCGAAGGGCAGTCAGACCTTGTTCGAACTTCTCTTTCGGTTCAAAGAACTGGGAAAGAAGGCGGATTGAAAATGAAAAGTACAATTGCACCGGCGCAATATGTTGGATTTCGGAGCCGGTACGTTGATCCGGACTATGTTGAGAATCCGGCTGCTTATATCTGTCGTGTCGTCATTATATATGGTTTAATAGTGGTGTTAAGTAAGGTTGTGAGTATTCGGCTGGAAACTTACTTTATGGTCTAAACTTGTGAGAAATATAGAATATTTGCATAAAATTCCACACAGAGGGCTAACACTTATCCTGGGAAATTTTGTATTGTGAATTGCGAATTGTGATTAGAAGTGTCTTGGTTTTTGGTCATAGCCGGCTATAGCTTGTGGTGCAGAATGAAGTTCATGATCAGGTGTCGGCGTGTAGTACCGAGCGTTCGATTTTAATCATAATGGCGCAGGAAAACGACATCCAAACACCGATATCGATCTCAACCTCCCCTTCTTGCCTTGTTCAGGGCTAAGATCCCGAGCCTCCGGTATCAAAACTGATATACAGCTATCTCGATAAGGTCTCTCGGTTTTGAGACAAATCAGCCCTGGATTCGCTACGCGATGCTGGTATGCCATCCATCGGAACGCCATTTATAACCTTGGAGAGTGGCCCGCTGCTACTCTACGCGTACGCCAACCATGCTCCACGAGCTCTTCCTCATTCTTGCTGGCCACTCATCCCCGCTCTTCACCCCAGAGCTTCCTGATAACTTCCCACTTGTTTCTCCATCCGAACGAGCCCTTCTTAACGACCTTGCTAGTATTGGTATCCTTCATCGCCGAATTCGCTACTCTTGCGACCTTATCACGACCCACCACCCATCCACAGTTGCCCGCGCTGTCGCTTGTGGCATCATCAACCATCTTCAAAAGTTCCGAACTCAGGTCACTGAGACCGAAAGACTTATTCTTAATCATGACGACCTACTCGTTGGAGCCTACAATATTGTCCCATTGGCAAAGATCGTGGCACTATTTTCTGGCTGGAGGAGGGTTCTTGAATACATGGAAGGGTTGACGAAGTTGATGCTTTTCGGTGAAGCTGCTGGGCTTCGTACACAAGAGACAGAGGATGGCGAAGAGGAAGAAGAGGACTTGGAGGACGATGTAGAAGACATTGAAGATGATGATGCATCCGAGATTCTTACACAACGAGGCGTCAAAGGTGCCAAAATTATCGATAGGTTACGAGAGGACATGCATACAGGGTACCCTTCCCTCGAGGAACTAGTCATCGAATTATTGAATACGGCAGAACTAGCGTGGTTACGTCAAGTTTCTACTTGGGTTCTTTACGGGCGATTGCCGACATTTGGAGCCTCGGATTTTATGATCAGGGAAATGGCTACGGGGGAACAGGATGAGGAAGACGACGACGTAGAGGAAACGATGCTTTCCCTGGACTTCGCGCTATCGAGGAGTAATATTCCAAAATTTGTGACACCCCAGACCTCAAGTTCAATATTGTTCGTGGGAAGGGCTTTGCATCAGATCCGGAGGAAAGGTGGATTAATAAAGGCTGGGTCCAAGGCCGCTGCAACAGTCACATCAGAGAAGGCGCTACTACAGGAGCATCTGGCTATATTACAGGACCTCAAAACGCCTCTTAGTCCGGTTTTATTTCAGGCTGCGATTAGCTCGATCCGCGATTCGCTATCGATGAACACATTACAGTTGCTTTTGCCGACGGAACAGATACTGGATGTTCTTCACATACTGCGAGAGTTCTATCTACTTGGTCGGGGAGAATTCGCCATCGGATTAGTCGAACAAGCTGACGAAAGTATTCGCAAACGACTCACTCGACCCGCATTATTCAAATCAAAGACGGGCACTTCTCTTGGGGCGATTACCGTAAAAGATGGTGAGGTTGGGAACGTTCTCAAACGAACATGGGCGGCATTATACCTTCGACAAGCGGAGGAACAACATGATGACAGACTCGACCGGGCGAGGGAGGTTCTTTATCTTACTTTGCAGACTAAAGATGGGAGTACTGTTGGAGGTACACCGGGAACGGCGCCGATCAAGGTCCCGTTGATTGTGAAGAATTTGGATAAGACGGCGTTTGGGGATTTACTGTTAGGTGTACCAATCAGCCTAGGGTTTAACCTGACATGGCCATTGGAGCTGTTTTTAACGCCGCAGGACCTGGAGATATATCAATATCTGTTTCACTACCTACTTTCTATTCGACGGGCGCAGATGAAACTACAGGGTTTATGGCAGGCGAGGAGGAATACAGCGGTACAAGGGATCGCTACAAGGCGGAATAAAGAGGAGTTGAAGGGAAAAAGGCAGATTCTAGTGAAGAGGGAGAAGAGCCAGAGACTCGCGTGGGCAACAGCGAATCTTTGTATATTCTTCCTAGAGAGTTTGGGGATTTACTTTCAAGGGAACGTGGTTGATTCGGGGTTCGGCGAGCTGGAAGGATTGGTTGGGGTTGGGCAATCTTCAGCCGCGGGGGCAGATACGGCGATACCTGGGAGCCCGGTCACCGGGAGGTTTGGGTCCTTTGGGAGGAGAGGAGGCCATATGGGTTCTATATCCTCTCGACCTAAAACGCCGCAGAGCCCTCGGACACCGACACTACAATCGTTTGCCAGTCCTATCAGGACGAAGTTTACGGCGCCAGGGTCACCGAGGACTACGAAGGATGGGCTATCGAGAAGACCAGAGACACCAAATACACCCAAGCTCACGACCGAAGCCGAAGACGAGAAGAAGGTTACCAACCCGGAGACTCTGACATTGGCTCATCAACGGTATTTACGATCTATTTGCCAGCAGACCTTTATCACAGATACGATATTCACGAATCGACTGAGAACGTTGTTGGAAATGTGTGAGATACTTGGTACGCATGTGACCGGGCTTATGAGAGCGAATGAGATTCTGGATCTGGTAGACGCGGATGATAGTATGGCAGAGGATGGGTTAAGGGAGTTAGATAGGACTTGTGGAGAGATAAGAGGGGTTGTGGGAGGACTTGTAAGGAGATTACATGAGATGGATGAAGAGAGGGATAGATTCGAGGTTACAAGGAAGGGGCAGAAGGCGAACCAGAAGAAGGGTGGTGAGAGTCTGAGGGCTGGAGGGGCTGGAGGGTCGTTCTTTGAGGGGGCTGGGATAGACAAGCTGCTGATGAAGCTTGATTTTGCAACCTTGAATTTGGGGATACAGTGAATGAGTACCCACTCAACTATTGTACATAGGTAGCTATAGTTAGGCACTTAGATACTCTATATCCGTAAAGCTATTCACAATAGCTGTACAATATCGATATCGATGCCGTGATCTAGTATGGTCCCGCGAGTAGATCTAGATCTGGATATATCCGCCTGGCTGTGGATACTAACCAAAAGACAATTGTGTTGTGGCCGGACATGGGCAAGTGCAAGAGCCAAAGTGCTCTGCTGTCGGAGCGCTGTGAATTTAACGGCTGTTAACATGTTCCACAAACTCTTCAATTGACTCGAATTAACCGCCGAAAGCCATCATCGTCATCATCATCGCTGGTTGTCCACAGGCCACCTGCATCTCGTCGCTCTTTCGGAGTCCATCGATAGCCTCAAGATACCCTTCTTGCTCGTGCTTGCCGTCGCAATATTTGTCCTGTTAAATACAGACATAACGGACGGACACTATTCGACACCCCCCGGTCAGCCACGTCGGCTTGCTGCAAACCTGCATCATCGTCCTTTAAACTCCCCGGCTACCTACTAGTTACTGTCAGGACCCAATCAGACGCCAATTGAACCCGAGTGGTGGCAGTTTCCCACGAGACCCTCGGAATCCCAGGCATCAATATCATACATACTTACCTACATACTCCGTACGGAGTACAGAGTACTTCTTACATACCTTAGCTTCCTGCCTCCTGCCTCCAGCTGACCGTGGACCCGGGTTGCCGATTGCTCACGCCTGCTCGGAAGGTCTCTCCCACCAATACAACCTGCATCGGACTCTCTCCACCCTTCTTGAGATTTGCAACTTGGTTGTCCCCCGACATCAATTGTCTGGCTCCATCTTCTCTAGAAGTGTTCAATTGGTCCATTGTACGGTGTTTGTAAGCGGACAAATCATAAGATTTCATTTTGGACGACAGAGACGTGGTCGGCGAGAGATATCTCGACTGTCCGAACATTCCATCTCGCCTGATATTTGTCTGCACTACACTCCATTGCATTATCACCCCTATCTGCTGACCAAAAGTACCTGACTTCCCGAAGAGCCTACTGCGACATTCAGCCAGATCCCACCCCCCTCTCTCTCATTCTACCTGTCGGATCTGGTGGGACCTCCCTGCATATTACATACGAGAACTGTCATTCGGCCCATCCTTTAGCTGTTGTCTTTCCCCTCCAAACCTCATATTCCGGCAGGCAAGACCCATTATTATCTTAGCCTAGCTAGGAAAACCGTGGCAGTAGGAGGACAATAATAAGACACAGTGCTAAGTTCTGGCAGGAGCTTACTTGCATCAGAATTTCAAGAAGAGAATAACGAGAAGAGGAAAAAAAGCAAAAGGATCTTGTGCTGCATACCCCTCACTTTCAATCGTGCGCAATGGCATCGAGACCGAATCTCTCGCAGCGCAAGTCCACATCGTCAGTTGTTCAACTGGCCAAAAATAACAATGAAGACGGTGACGTAGAACCCTCGACATCAGCCCCCAAAAGACCCTCCAAGCAGTTCGTGGTCCACTCACGCCATCATCGAGTGCCTTCCGGCCGCAATCTAAAAAAACTTGCCGGCACCCGATCCCATGGTGACCTTGTCGCATTAGCCCAAGCTGCCGCCGCCCAGCAAGCAGCCCAGCAAGCTGCTGCTGCAGCGAATCAAGGATCAAAAGCACATTCCACCTCCCCAGTCCCTCCTTGGGAGAGACTCAAAGAGAAGGAACCGCGACAAAGTGGTGGCCACGAGTTAAAGAAACGATCCAAATCTCACCCAAAACGATCACTAAGCACCCCTAACGCCAACTCTAAGAAAGCCAACTTTGAATTTGCCAGCGCCCCGGGAAGTTTTGAAGACTCCGCCGATCAACTAGCACAGGCCGAACTCGAGGACGCGATGAACCAAGACGCTGCCAAGAATGCATATATGGGGGGCCAGTCGAAACCCGTAACTCCGACGCAAGCTGATGTTCCCGACATATCACGACGTGCCCAAGCAGACGAAATACCCTCAAACCTACAAGCTGACATGCCCTCAGCAGCCGAAGAAAAGCAACTTCATGCATCGGCAGCCGATTACCGAAGGACTGCATCCTCAAGTCAGATTAAATTCACGCCAGCGCCAGCGAAGCCTGCTCCTCCTGCAACAGTCACATCGGCTTTAACCAATGGCAACCGCATTGAGACAATTGGTGGTACCGATAGTGCTGAGACTACGAAATTGAATACTCCTGCAACCCCTCAAACTATGTTAACTCCAAAGTCTGAAACACAAAAGCCCCCTCGACCCTCTCCACCTTTCCATACTACAAATCATCCAACGGCCATTCCTCCCCAAGTATCTACTATCACTGCAACTATCACCGCTACCACCCATAATAACGAAGGAAGGCGAAGCATGTCGTCCGTATCGAGCGGACCGGCGCCTCAGCCTGTTACCTCCAGGTTTATCAGTACCTCTTCATCTCCAAGTGGCGCTCTTTCATCTCCCTCGTCGGTTCGCGAGACACCTATGAAAAAGCGCAATTCCCTCTCTTTCGAATCTCCACCGACGCCACATGCGACGCCACCATCGCAGACCCCCCTCTCGACCCTTAATCATGATGCGATCCTTAGAAAACCCGGCAGTACTAATATCGGTGCCGGAAAGCCTCTTCCCAATCGCACACAAACAAAACTACTGCTTCAAAGACAAAGCTCACAGGCAGAGTGGGAGCAAGAAAAGCAGAACCAGTTTCAAAATGGGCAGTTGTACTATCATAGCCACTCTAGAAGAGGGAGTATGAATATTGAAGCAACTCCTGGAGGCAATGCGGTAGCGGCGCCGCCTATGAAATTACCAAGGGAGGCTATTAGAGAAGTCGAGAGAATCAATCGAGAATACGCGAATGTGAGAAGGTTCGTGAGTCCTGTTGGCGAGTCGGTGGTTAGGTTGAAGGGATATATAAAGACCACTCGAATTCCGAATCAACAACAGGGGAGGAAGAGCTTGGACCGCGATGGCAGCGGGCCGGGCAGTCTAGGATTGAGCCAAAGTCTCGGTGCAAATGTGGACGGGAGAGGAGCAAAGTCAATGGTCGGCGTCAGTGGCCATGGGAGCAGGGATGATTCTGGGGTAGTAGGAAGAAATTCTAGTGGTATGGACGAGGCGAAGATCAGAGAACTACTTGTGCATGTCTGGAATAGGGACGAGCCAGGTGGTAACAATCTAAGCTCGAGTAATTGAGCTAAGATTGCCTTAGGAAGGAAGGAAGGAGTGGTTGCGTCTTAGGTACGCCCAGGTACTCTCCACCTGAGTACCTGGCCTTAACGATTTTTATTTTGTTTCTTTCCCCGTTGTTGATGATGACTTAGCAGTTGACATTCAAGATGAGGCCCGTTTCCCTTAATATAGTTCTTTATAACTCCTGTTCCTTTCTTAATACGTTTAGCGGTAGGGTTTGATTTGACTTTTATTATTATTACTAGCTAGGTGAGGTGTTTGGTTTGAGGAAGTTGGAGCATGGTTTGCGGAAGCTCTTTTGCTGTTGATGTGGACAATTGTTGAAGCATATGCCTATGGAGCTAGCTTGCCCTTCCCTTCCTTTTTATTTTATTTTGTTTTCTTTCCCCTTTGATATCCCCCGATCCCCCTCTCTTTCTCTCTCTCTTGGCTCTTGCATGTTCTTTGGTTTGTTATTCTTATTTTTTATTGAAAATGTATCTATAGACGGTGTATTCTTTGAAATTTTATTAGTTAGAGCGTTTAATGATATTATGATCCTGATATCCATATTATGCTAGAGAAACGGTGCGGCGGGATAGTTGTGTTGCATGTGTGGTGCGGCATGGTACTGGGGTCACTGGCGACACAGCAAGGTAGGCCCCGTCCACTAGGAAACGGAAACCGCGCGAACACACTTTAGATTCCACCTTGCACTTACCTTCAAGGCCCCGTCAAAGGCCAGCAACGTCAATGTTACCAAGCTTCAACGCATCCATTAACGTCCAAAGGGCCGCCTTGTGACGTCTACATCTGCGTCCCTCTATTCGCATTCCTCCGCCCCATCGCCATCCTCCCCGCTCCTCCACCACTTCTCTGGATGTCCGACGAGCAACCGCAACAACCTGCCCCACCATGCACCAGAGCTATTGTCGCACTGCTAGATCTTCGATAACCAGATAAAGAGAACTTAAATGGATGTCGACTGGCGGGAGGTAAGCTTTTTGGGGTCTCCAAATTCTGGACATAGAGGCCTTTGTCGGTGGCAAGCGTCCTTTGGTTTAGGTCCTATGCATGCTAATGGTGTCTGGGGTGGTTTTAGGTGTCCCGCGTCGCCATACCGGGGGCTGTAGTGCCAGGACCTGCAGGCACTCTTCACCGTGCGGCTCCCACCCCTCTTACAGCTCTTGCTTTCGATGTCCACCAGGACCTCTTATGGACCGGAAACGATTCCGTAAGCTTCATCCGTGATGGAACCTAATTGTTGCTATGGACTTTGGGAGCTCAAACAGAGTGGTTATATAGGGTCGTGTCACGTCATATTATGGATCAGAACTACAACGATACACCGTCTACAAGGGACATAATGATGGAGCTGTTCGAAACTTTCTATTCAGTGATAGGGGTATTGTTAGCTTGGGATCGAAGAGTCTTCATATTAGTGCGAGAAGAGGGCTGTCTAAAGCCCACATCACGTATGTTTGGAAGCTCGGCTTGTGAATTATGATGGAAGTGTCGGAGACTGATCGTGAGAACAGGAGTGATCGTATGTACGATTTACGATGCATGAGCTATACTTCGAAGGGAACGTCAGAGATTATAGCTGGTGGTGTTGGTGGAGTACAGCAACCATTGCTAACAATCAATCTTGACCGTGGGACGGTTATTAATGAGGTATTCCAAATTTCTCCTCAGTCTTTAGTATTTCTATACTAAGATTGGGTATTGAATAGATACCTTCCAATGACGACGTCATCGTGATGCGACGGGATAGGGTCATATGTTGTGGAACTGCAACTGGCAGCGTCAACATCATTGATCCTAACTCTTTCAAGATAATCAAGACGATTCGAGCCCATGGAGCCACTGTCTCCGATATAGATGCTCAAAATAATGTTCTCCTAACCTGTGGTTATAGTTCAAGGTTAGTTAGGTTTTGTTTCCTACTATGCAGGGGATTAAATCTAAAGCTATCATAGGCAAACTGGCTTCGTCCTCGACCCTCTTGTCAATATCTACGACCTTCGAACCTTTCGATCTTTACCTCCAGTTCCGTTCCCGGCTGGTGCAGCTTTCTGTCGGATGCACCCAAAAATGTCAACAACTGGCATCATAGCATCTCAGACCGGCCAATTTCAAATTATTGATATCGCCAATCCAAATGTTGTTAATCTTCGACAAGCGAATGTTTCTAACTACATATCGTCCTTGGAGCTCGCCCCATCTGGCGACGCTCTCGCCCTTGCCGATACGGATGCAATCCTTCAACTATGGGGTAAACCGGATAAAATCCGATTTACAGAGCTTTCCAATCCTATCGAATGGCAATCTGTTCCTATGCCACCCCCAAATGTCCCAGAGATGAATGATTACAGCTCGCTCGCGTCAGTTGGCATTCCATACTATCGCGAGCAATTGCTCTCAGCATGGCCATCCCACATGGTTTTTGAGGTTGGGAAACCCGCACCAAAAATCGACTCTGACGTCCTGTCAAAAATGAAAATGCATGACTTTGTCGGATGGGCCCCCTTTCATAGAAGGACACGGAGATACCAAGTTGAATCGACAAAAGTCCAGGAAAAACCAGGACAAGTTCAAGCCCCTAAGTTCCGTAGCGAGAAGGCGAGAGAAGGTCCTTCGGAGGATAAAATGGATGTGACTACACCTTGGAGTGCCGTTGCGGCGGAATTAAGACCATTTGACGTCCCTGCGAGGTACCATAAGGTGGAAATCAAGTATAGCAGGTTTGGTGTGGATGATTTTGATTTTGAGTAAGTTTCACTTTTCTAGGGGCATGGGGGTATTGTGGTGATACTAACGCCGCTTTGTAGATTCTACAATAAAACTAGATACTCTGGTTTGGAAACTCACATTACGAACTCATACTCCAATTCACTCCTTCAACTTCTTAAATTCACGCCTATGATGAGGAACTATGCTTTACACCATACCGCAAGAAATTGTTTGTCAGAAACTTGCTTACTGTGCGAGCTCGGTTTCCTCTTCGACATGCTTGACAAAGCAAATGGACAGAACTGCCAAGCTACAAACTTCCTGCGAACATTTAGCTCTATTTCACAGGCCTCGGCCCTGGGGCTTTTCGAAGAAGGCATGCCTCGAAGTAGCCAGTCTCTCACGGCAATGATTCAATCCTTGAATAGATTTCTAATGGAAAAACTCGCTACCGATTTCAAGGCATGTCCGATCGAAGGTCGTAACGAATCAGAGCTTGAGAATGCTCTCATAACCTCATCGATGACGTGCATCAAATGTTCCAACTGCGGAACCGAAACTATGCGCCCCAGTAATAGTTTCGTCCGTGAGCTCGCCTATCCAAAGAAAGCGAAGGTGCTTGGCAGCTTCAGCACGGTATTGAAACATAGCATAGAACGCGATGGACAAACCCGAGGCTGGTGCGACAAGTGCCGTCGATACTTATCTTTGACGACGAAAAAAGTTGTGCACGACGTTCAACCCGAGGTATTGATGTTCAATGCGGCGGCGGGATCTCCTGAGTCAAAGCTTTACTGGGCAGAGAAGAACTGGCTTCCGCGAGAGATTGGGATTGTGGTGCAAGACAAAAAGTTCCTGTGTTACCAAGGGCCAGAACTTCATAAAATTAAGGAAAGGAATCCTAATATTGTGGTTTATGAGCTTGTTGGTCTGGTAGCTGAGATTACAGGGGATCACGATACGGCGCCGCATTTAGTGAGTTTGATTGATGGTAAGTGAGCCTTTTACTCCTTATATTGAGAATTATATTAATCTTATGATTTAGTTTCATTTACGGATCCCGGTGAAAGAACAGAAAGCAACTGGCATTTATTCAACGACTTTTTGGTTAGACCAGTATCTCAAGAGGAAGCGATGAACTTTGCACCATCCTGGAAATTACCGTCTATTCTTTGCTTCCAACAAAAGTCTAAAGGCAATGTCGTGGATAATTCTTGGATGAACAAAATTGATACAAGCCTACTATTCAAGAGTTTGCCTAATGCGTGAGTAACTTACTACCAAATCTACACACTGTTACGATTACTAACTGCTTTTGACTCAATATAGAACGCCAAATGACAATTGCCAACCGCTCTCTATTGATGAAAACCCGATGCCTGGAACAGTGTTTGCCATTGACGCTGAGTTTGTGGCCCTACAAAAGGAAGAGATCGAAGTTAAAGCAGATGGTACTCGAGAGACTATTCGGCCCAGTCGCCTTAGTTTAGCCAGGGTCTCTGTCTTGAGGGGAAACGGCGAGGCGGAGGGTGTGCCGTTTATCGACGATTACATCCATACAAGGGAACCAGTTGTGGATTATTTGACTCTATTCTCGGGTATCGAACCTGGAGACCTAGATCCTATGGTTTCAAAGCATGCTCTTAAGCTTGTATCTCTAAAAGTTGCATACAAGAAGCTCTGGATCCTCCTGAACTTGGGATGCATATTTGTGGGACACGGATTGTTGAAGGATTTCCGTATCATCAGTAAGTTTGAAACCTTGTTAAAGGGATATCTCACAATACAAGTACTAAATATAAACCACAGACATCCACGTCCCCCGGGAACAGGTGATCGATACCGTGGACATCTACTTCAAAAAGGTTCGACAACGTAAACTTTCTCTGCGTTTCCTCGCCTATTATTTCCTTCGCCAGAACATTCAAACCGGAAACCACGACTCCATCGAAGACGCAAACACAGCTCTCAGGCTATACAAAAAGTATTTGGAATTTGAAGATGCGGGAATCTTCGAGCAGATGCTCAACAATGTTTATCAGGATGGAAAACTGACGAATTTTAAACCTCCTGGGGAGAATGAAGCCGCGCTTGCTGCCCTACAAGCAGAAAATAAGACTAGCGGTGCTACCGCTACAAGTGTGGGAGGGGCTACTGTAACTACGACTCCCGTTCCCACAAATATTGCTACTGCTGTTTCTTCGGCCGCAGTTACCCCAGCAGTCGTCCCCTTGAACTCATCTGGTATTGGAGGATTTGGATTAGACGGAGCGGGGAGTCGGCCCATTACACCTTTAGATGCCGGGATTAGTATTGGGGGTGGTGGCATCCTCGGTGGTGGGATGGGTGGTAGCGTATCAAGTCCGCCATCTTTGGTGAGGAACGTCATATCACCATTCAAACCACACTTACAAATTCAGTCGCAACAATTAATGTCTCAACCGCCTCCTCCACAGCCAATATTTCAACCTCAACCGCCGCAACCACAGCAGCAAACTCATCATAGAATCCATCAGCTCGGCCATACTAGTTTACAGCAGCAGCAGCAGCAGCAGCAACAGCAACAGCAACAGCAGCAACAGCAGGGCCACCCATTGCAGCAGCAGCAGCAGCCAATGCAGCATAGAAGTTTTGCAAAGGTTATTGCCTCACCCCCACCCCCACAACAGCAGCAACAACAGCAAAAGAGGAACATGCAGGGGCGATGGAGGTAAACTTTTGAAGTTACGTATCACTCGGGCGACAGTTTTATTTTCACTTTTTTCACTTTTTCTTTTTCACTTCCTTTCATTTCATTCATTCCTTATTCTTTATTATTATTATTTTCATTGTTACTCATGTCATGGGATGATGGGCGTTTTTTTCTTTTCTTTTGTCTTCTCCTTTGTTCTCTCTTACCTGCTTCTAGCTTGTTTCTTATAATTCATGTGAGATATTAGTCTTCATTTTGTTTTTGGTTTTGTTTCTTCCGTTACAGCTTAGAAAAGGGGAAGTACAGCTTAGCGGAAAATAGAAAGAAACGGGGACAAAAACAAGTTAAAATATTCTTTTTTATATCCATTGGAGGGTGATGCGATGGTATCGTGATGATATCATGTATGCATATCTACGTCTTAAGTAAGCGGACGGAGTTACATATAGTAAGATCTATAGGGAGCCTCATGACAACATGCATAACTGGATCAAGATCATATCGATAACAAAAGATCTTGATCTTGATAAGAGCCGCATGCCACGTCTGCATATACTCTATTGGAACGACATCCACACCGCTCTGTAAGCTCTGTATGTGTATTTCATATAATATTAATTTTAGAGTCATACGAATCAGAAAAGACAGTCACACGGGTTCGTCAGTACACTCTCATTTCTAATGATTGAAATCGATCTTTTTTTTTTCCCAATAAAAAAAATGTTGGGATTTTTTGTCCCCTCATATTGTATTTGACTTTCATGCGCCCCGGTTTGATATAACGGCGAACAAGAAGTAATATACAGGTTTTAATGGTTATTGTTTTTCTTTCTGTGGATTCAGAATCATAAAAAAATGATATTTGTAGTAGTGGTAGTAGTAGTAGTAGTATTGTTTCCCCATAACCAAACGACCAGCCCCGAATTTCATGAAAAGTGATTAATTCCAGAGGGCATACCCGCAATTCCCAAACTTGAAAATAAAAAGAGGAGAAAACAAAAAAAGAGACAAAAAAAGCATTGAGTAGTGAGTGTGTTGAACGCGGTTGATTCAATTCCAGAAACAACTGCACCTGCAGTGTTTCAATGGAAGAAAGGTCTTTGTTTTATAAGACCTTCATAAGTTATGGGTATTGGTGGAAGAATCCATCTTAGTCACCACCCTTCTTCTTCTTGCCAATTGGTGCACCTTCCTTGCCAGCACCTACTCTTATGATTGCATGGCCGAGGTCGTCTTCGTCAACGTAGAAACCGGCAAGGTATGGTTCCGAAAGTTCGTCGTCCGCTCGCTTCTTGTTGTGCTTGTAGATTCTGTACCACATCAAAGAGACATCCCGTTAGCCCATCATGCAAGCAATCATAGTACATCCTAAGGAGGTAAAGCGGTAAGGTAGTAAAGAGCGTGTGTGCATGAAAGAAGGGGTGTGTGAGTGTATTTTGGGTATGCGTATGACCTCCTTCTCAGAATCGAAGTGCGGGGTACATTCGGCCATGGGTGGGTTACAAGGGTCTCGTATCGGGCCAAGGAGTAAGAGAGAAAAAAGGAAATGGCAAAAACCGGCTTTTTAGGGAGAAGGAAGGCTAAGTATTGTAGGTAAGGCAACAGAGGCAAATGTTAATGCCCGCCCAATTCTACCGTCTTCGCAGGTAGGCTAAGTCCAAACCAGCTATCCTGAGCTAGAAAGGATTGGCTTTCCTTTTCTTCCAACCCCCGTCGATTGACGGATTTGGTGGGTAATCCTTTTCGTGCAACGTTTGCAGCTTGCAGCTTTGCTAGGTTTACAAGGGTTGCAAGGGGTATGGTATGGTATGGCATGGCATGGTATGGTGTGTGGTGTGATGGTGCTGTGACAAACAGATGGGTAACGTCGAAGCGAAGTCCGGCGGATGGATTGGGAGTGCAATGGAAATCGGGTGATAGTGCTATAGATAGATAGTGATGGATAGTACTTACGCATCGAAAACATCCTGGAAGGTGACGCCTTTGAGGTTTCTTGCGGTGATTGTCAGACCAGTCTGAGGGAAGAGAAGCTCAATAGACTTCAGCGGCGGAGTGGTGAATAGTTTCTTGAGAAGGTCCTGTTCAGGGTAGTCTTTCGGGTGGGTGTTCATCTTCCTGTATTCGAGTCAACAATTGTGTTGTTTTCTTTCGGGGCGAAGGAGAGCGAGGCCTCGTTAGATCTCCCGGGAAGAAGCCGGACGATGATATCATGGTCGGGTGATTTGACTTCAAAGCGGGCATTTGAGGAGAAAAAAGAAGGGATGGTTTGGAGGTTGCTTACCAGTTGATTTTGGCGGCATCCTTAATCAATTTCAGTTCGACTTTTGGATCCTGAGCTTCTTCATGGAGGGTTAGTATCATATCATCCAGGGCAATATATACGATATACATTAAGATATCACGCAACAATGATATATATACTATGATATGATGATGACGATGATGATGTAGAAGGATGGATTGTTAATTAATTACCAAATTCCTTTGCCGATAGAAGACCAGCTACGGCGGGTTTGCTAGAGCTCTGTCGTCGAGTCTTGAGGGGGCTGGATGGAGAGGCTTCTGTTACGTCGGCGGACATTATGAAGTTGATAATAGAGGATTTGATTTAGATTAAAAATCTAGGAGAAGCAAGAAAGAAACTGTTGATAGTTTGAAAATTGACTTTGAATTTGATACAGTCAAGAAGAAGTGGTGGTAGTGGTGATGATGATGATTATGGATGGATGGTGGTGATGGTGATGATGGATGGTGATGATGATGATGATGGAGGAGAGAAGAGAAGACAGACAAAGTGAGGGGTAGTCGGCAGCTATTTAAACGAATTCAACGGAGATACTACCGGTATTACCAGTATACTGTTACTTAATAGATTAAAATCAACGATTCAACGGAGGAGCAGTGTCATGGCCACATGATTGATTGATTAACAGGCCACTCGACTCGACTCGACCGGATCCAGCGGCCTCAACCTTGGCCTGGGATGATCCAGACTGAACTTTCTTTATGATGGCAGTTCCAACTTAGCCGGTTTGCATTGGATGTCTGTGATATGCCGTGTCCTCTCTCCCCTCCTTCCTTCCTTAAGTTCCTTCCCTTCCAACTTGAATAGAGGTACTTTATAGCTTTAGTATAGTATACATCGATCGTTGGTTATATCATAATGATTCCCCCCCAACGGTTAAACTGTACATGTATTATATCATATCAAATTAATGTTAATGTACATATACTAAGTAGTCACTCTACACCGGTAACCCCCCTCCTCATGGCCCATTTGAATTAATTCTGACAAAACCGCATTTTACACTCCAATTCCCTTCGATTCGATTATAAGTATATCTATGAAGGATATAAGTATATTTCGGCTGGTCACAGGTACCACGCGACTCACCCTCAGCTGAAGGGAATACCCCGGCTAACGTCACTTCAAATGGGAATGGGCAAATGCGGGGTACGCTCCACACTAAACCTCAATCGAATGCCCGTCGACCAGTCCGGAATCCGGGGAAACTCCAACACCACAAATTATCCCTTCCAACAGCCAGCCAACATTTTATATCGATCGAATCCATACCGGACATATGAAAGATGTTGTATTAAGTAAGTACTTAAGTAAAATATGTATATATGTATTTCTAATTAAAAGAAATATGAGTGGAAAATTTTAGAAACGCCAGTCCAGATGCTCCCGCTAAATTTTAAACCACGCTGGAAAAAAGGTTATAATATGGTACAATACCATGTAATTAAATCGTCTAATCAGACGTCCATCCCGCATCTTCGTATTCAAAATCATCTCCAATATCATCATCATCATCACCATCACCATCTCCTATATTCTCTTCCATAGATTTGTCTTCTTCCTCTTCTTTTTCTCCTTCTAGTAGACCTTGGGGAGGTTGTTCGTTGTTTTGCCGTGTGTTAGTATCGACATCAGCTTCGTCAACCATGAACCCCCCTCCGAGATCTTCTGTACTATCTCTTTTCCTCTTCCCAATATTAGCTGTCGATGTTGATACTAGATCCATTTCGGATTCTTCAACAAGAAACCCGCCTCCCATTCCCTCTCCCTCAATTACCGTTGGTTCCTCTGGAAAAAAACCACCCTCACCGGTGAAAATGTAACTGTCAAGAGCACGTCCTTTCCCCTTATCCACCTTAGGCTCCTCCACTATAGTATCTTCAACAAAGAAACCACCCCCACCTTCAAATGCATCTGGATCATAGTACTCCCCAGTCTCAACCTTCTGTAGCTCAATCTCCGTAAGCTTCGCCCGTCTCGCTCGAGCTTCCTCGAGCAGTCGTCCCTCCTCTTTCTCACGAGCCAGTTTTGTGTTATTTCTCATCAACTCCCCTGCCATATCCTCAAGATCATTTGTAAAAAACCCGCCATCGCCAATATTTGAATCAGCAACAGACGTCATACTTTCATGTTGATCAACCATAAACCCTCCACTTTCAGCCGGGTCAACCGTACGCGATGGGTATGAGTCCTCCTCTTCCTCTTCCTCCAGCCCTTCCTCTTCTACCACCGCTTCTTCATCATCCATTGCATACTCATCAACCCTCTCCTTGATCCTCAACCCCACCAAAAACTTCCTCCAAAGATTAAGCGCCGTTAACCGTCTAACTTCATCCGCCTCTTCCTCCTGTTCCTTCTCAATATACTCAATCATCTCCCAAATCCCTTCTTCGCACTCAACACCAGCCACAATACCATTAATCACGGGCGTCGATTTCCCTCCATTCCTAAAATCAAACCCCGTAACCGCATCCGCCACAAACCTTTCCAACCCCAGGAAGTTCGCCGCAACCCTTGCAAGTTTGTGAGGAATATGAACACCCCCTTCGGGTAGCATCGACGGGACGTAAAGATCGATGTTTCCGTAGGCGTTTTTGGGGACAACAGGTCCAATGCACGGTTCCGGTTGATACGTAATCGTTTGAAAGTGTGCATACATCCCAGTATCCATTTCATCCATATCTTCCATCTCATCGAGGTCCATGTCATCGGGATCTGGTGCACGCCTTGCTTTTCGAGCTTTCTTGTGCTTCAAGGGCTGTTCTCCTGCTTTGATTTCTCGACCGAGCATATACCATTGAGTGGCACTTTTGACTTGTTTGACATCCTGTCTTCGATAAACGGGGGTAGGTTTTTTATTCTTCCCGGCCATGGTACCGCATGCATTCTTTGGATGGATGACTTCATTCTGTCGTAATTGTTCTTCAATCGCGAATACCGGATGATTTTTCATCGCGGCCAGACTTTTAGGAATTCCTTCGCGTAGTACTCGATCATTCATCAATCCGTCTTCGAATTGATCTCGATCGGGAGCTAGAAATGTTGGTAGGTTATACAATTCTAATGCCTTTTTCCACCATTTTTCGCCATCAAGAGTAGCTTCTACTCGCAGAGATCTGGTGTAGCTGTTATATGCTTTAACATATTTCCTAGTAATATCTCGAACGTAATTATCGTTATCGAAGGCGATCACATATGACATTTCGTTTTCCCAGTCCCATTGGGGTGGTTCTAGGTTTGTAAGAGGTCGGATGATACCGGCGCCCAGTGGATCGATTGTGATCCAGGATTGGTTGACGACGTCGAAGACTTCTACCCAGTAGATTGGGAGTGTCGGGTCATGGATTTGTATTTTCTTTGTGGTTTCTGCCGTTGTAGCCTTAGTATCACCAGAGCAAAGCGAGAAGAAGAAAAAAAAATGTATGAAATAATAGATAGATTCATTGAATAACCTACTTTTCTTGCCTTTCGGAGGCCCCACCACTCCTCCAGTTCTCACCGGCGCAACAGGTGGTGCAATCCTAAAGTTCGTCTTCACGGGTCCCGCACCTCCAAACATCATATTAGGAGTCCCCGCAAAAGTCGCAGTATCCACATCCTCATCACTCGTTTGATAATCATCTCTATCCTCGTCCAAAAACTTCATATTCTCCCGTTTCGTGTCATCAATACAATATTTCGCTTTAAACTGCCAACTCAAGGGTTGTAAACTACAGACTATTCTCGCATCTAATCCCATCCGTCTCAGTAACGCACAAAACAATTGGGTTCCTAGATCTCTAGATCCTGATAATTTCTTGGCTGAGGATCGGAATTCATCGATCCCTATGGGTATGTCACCCCACATTGAATCGAAAGAGGGAGGGGTGTATCCCCATAATGCTTTTCTGGCACCCGGTTTTGTGATTTTATAACGTCGCTTGAAGGCTGCAGCGGCATTGGAGAGACCTTGTTTGAAGATTTTGGATTGTTGAAAGGAGGTGTCGTTTAATTCTGATATTATACGTTTTTCGAGGATGGGGAGCAGGGAGGATTGGGATTTCGGGTCGTTGCAGAAGGTGGAGCGGAGGTGAAGATGGGAGATTAGACAGAGAAGGTGGAGTTTGTGGACTTCGAGACGGATTTTACGTTCTGCTGGGGTTGGGGGCTTTTTGGCTGTGGATGATTTTTGTTTGGAGGGTTTAGAGGGGGTGGTGAGGGTTAAGATTAGTGGTTCAGAGGGCGTGGATAGTGGGTTTGGTGTATTTTTTTCTGAGAGAACTTTGGTTAGAAATATGGCGTCGAAGATGTGTGATTTGAAGCAAGAAAGGACATACTGAGGGTACTTAGATCTACCGTTTCCCATTCTATTTCATCGTCGTCTCCGAATTCGTCGTCGTCGTCATCGTCGTCTTCATCATATTCACTTTCACTATCCTGCACCAGCGCAGAAGCTTTTTGTGTAGGAGCTGGCACTGTCGCGACAGATACCTTCGCAGGACTAGCGACACTCTTTGTATTCTCTTTAGATCCCGCCTTTCCCTCCGATAATTGCGATTGCCCTCCACCAGCCGCAGCTGAACTCGATGTTTTACTACCAATTTCACCACTATTTAATCCACCACCAACCGGCGCTTTCACAGCAGCAGCAGAAGCAGCAGAAGAGATTGTAGGTATAGACGTCGTAGTAGCACCAACAGCCCGTCTCGTCAACGGTTTCTTACGCTTCGGCGTCTCGGAACTTGTTTCTTGTATCCTGTTATTACTACCACTACCACTACTATTATTCGCCCTCGATTCTCGAATATTACTGGCTAGCATTTCACGAAGTTCGGGTGGTATATCATGGACAGTATTTATTCTTGGAGTTTGCGATGCTGATGCTGATGATGACGAGCGAGGTATACGAGCCGACGGCGGAGGGCGTTTTCGGTCCATGACGTCTTCTTAACTCTTTTTCTTTTGTTTTGTTGTGCTGCGCTGCTCGGCAAGAGGTGGGCGCCGGGATGAGGTCTCTCGTCTGCGATCTAGAGTCGAGTATTAGCATAGAAAGCATCATATGAAATCATTGAGAGCATCGGGAATACTTACAATTATAATGGTATCTACAGTCTATACAATAATCTATGATGATGATTGGGAATCTAAGTAATTACCTAGGTAATTATGAAGATGAAAATGAAGATATTCGAAACTTGGGGGGAGGGCAAAAAGGTTGGTTGAGGTAAACGTTAGGCAGGCCGCGAGGGAGGGAACCGGGATGGATGACTAATCCACTCGCATTTAAAACGCGACCAACACAATGGCGCGTAAACTGTTGTCACGATGTCACATGGGACCCACCTCGATATTGGTGGAGTCTATGATATTTCCCAGATTTCTAGGGTGGAAATTGATTAAGAGGTTAACTAGATTTTGAAAAGAAATGGAATTGGTTGGTAGAATTTAATTGTGATTTCTATTGTATGTTTTGGCATGTATTTTTACTGTTACTAGCTAGTACTAGATGTTAATTCTATGCATATATATATATATATATATATATATATTCATACAAGGTTATATAATCATAAAAGAACTCGAGACTTCGAGAAATGTATCCTCAGTGATGTGACTTTAAGTTTAAACAAAAGTTCGAATCAAGTTCGACATGAGATAGAACTGATTCGGATTTTGAAATCTAGGTACAGGAAAGGTTTATAATTTAAAGCAACTAAAAAGGTATGATTCTCCTAGATGTAATCGAGTATCGATATATCTGAGCTCCTATAACCTCTGACATGTGCATGTCTCCCTCGGGTCCCGTTAAATTCATGAAATCACTTAGCTAGCTAGTGAAAGTTTAAAGTATATATACCCGAGGTGGCGTACTTTACTTGTAAGAATTACTTTTCTTGTTGAAATCGAAACCTAGGACTTTAAGACTGTTTCTTACGCTTTCCGCTCTGCTTCGTTGTTGTTGGGTCGGTTTCCAACCCGAGTACTGTCTTGATGATCCGCTATTGTTAGAGTAGCTCCCCGGGTATGCCTGGCTTCCTTGTCCTCCATAAGAATTTTGATACTGATTATAAGTCTGTTTTTGACTATTATGGCTCGATATCTGGGCATAATAACCATTACCACTTGGTTGGCCTCTCGTGTCTTCTTCGATCTCTTGGATCCGGGAGCTTGGAAGGTATTTGGGTGTCTGTTTTGCGGTCGATAACATTGGGGCAATGGTGGTAGAGATTCTTTGGGCTAGTTGTCCTAGAATCGCCATGGCTTCTTGTCGGCCTTGACCGGCGACGAGGTTTAGATGGGAGGCGTTTTGTTCAAGGGTTCCTCCTGCTAAGGCGGAGCGAAGGGCGGAGATGATTTCTGCTTGGAGGGTTATAACTATTTTGGAGAGTTGGGCGTGGGATATTGCTACAGCATAGTGGGTTAGAATAGATGGCTCCTCAAAGCTACATATTTATTATATTGCAATATGCGTATATAATATACACATTAATAGTTCCAAACAGGAAAGAGGGAAGTTTTGGACCCCGAGGGCAAAGAAGAGGCCACTTACCATCACCATTGGAAAACTTGGTCCCATAGCTCGAATAAAACTTATCATATCGGTTTGCGACACTGGTACTACTGTCTTCGAGCGTATCCTTTAACGTGGAGGTTGAACCGCCCGTGACTAGTATCTTGTATTTTTGTCTCTGGCGGTACTCTTTGACCATTACGTAGCCTTCTTTGAACATTGGAACGAGTCCTATCACACCCAGTACAAGGCCAACGATTTCGAAGCCACTCATTTTTAAATTTGGAGTTGGTAAAGGGTGCTAATTCTATAGAGGAATATCTTTTATTATATGTATATGTATATAGTATGGCAGGCTGAGGATCGATATCCTTTGTATACTGGTTGCGGAATGAGATATCGATACCATGCGTACCGATGCGTATCTCATTCGGCCAGTCCTCCGAAGGGTCCATGTCCATATTTATACATCAGATTTAGTCCCGGAACCAAATCTAGCATGAGCGGGAGAACTCCTAAATTCGACGCTGACGCGGACGAGGCTAGCAGGATCCTTCGAAAAGAGAAATTGCGGGATTTTGATTTTGATAGTATGCACGATAACCATATGCATATATATGCATACGCGTGCGCCTTGCTTGGTTTGCCAAAAGTGAGGGCCTTCTGGGCATCTATTACCAACCGATAGTTTGAAAGCTGAAGGGCTGAGCGCATGGCACGGCATGGTGAACCGGGACCCACTCCGTGCAGGCGCTAAAACGAAAGCCTGGACTATTGAATAGCTAGTTTTCGGCCGGGAATTCGGCCTCGTCAGCCTTTCGGTCTATGTTGATATGGAATTAATGGCTGATTCGTGTCAATAGCGCTATAGCGTTGGAATCTTAGAACTTAAATCGAATAAGCCGATATCTCGTCTCGGAAGGTGGGCTCATGGAGCGCGTGACTCAGCCGTACTGCAGCCGTCGTATATATTTTCGTGAGGAGGAGAGCATACCTGCCTGCGCAGGGGCTTTGCAAACAAGCTTTTTTGGCGAGGTCAATCGCTCCCCGACCCCCCACTGGTCGAAATTGAAAATTTGAGACACTATCGTTCTGGAGCTGGTTTCGATCGTTCGTAGACGCCATATATGCACGATGCAAAGGACGGAGTCACTTTAATTCCCATAGCTCTAAGATGCGGAAATATGATCCTGCTGTGAGCTCATGAGGGAGCTCCGCACTTGCCGAGTCTCCGACGCAACCTCTGACCTAGACCTGCAGTGATTTGTCTTCACTCGAGGCCGCGCACGAGGTTAATCGGTTTAGTTCTTTGCCCTGCTGTGTAACATCCAATTCAGACCAACGATTGCAACACGCAACATGCAACGCCGCCCACGGACATGGACAATTCGTGAACCCCGTTCACGTGGAACTCGAGTACATACACTGCGGGTATGGATGGGATTTAGAACGGAGGTCGATATGAGATTTAAATGTTACATATGTTGTAGATAGGTATATATATTTCTTTTCTTTTTTGGTGCACCGAATCGGCAGACTGATCAAGGGAAAGATCCGGGGAAAGATCTCTCCTCATATGCTATCACGAAAACAACACATCCATCTGTTGTATTTTTCGCGTGAGCTGGAATGTGGTAGTTCGCGGTATATAGGCTTCTTAGTTTAGGTAGGTAGATGGAGGACCATGAAATATACTTTCAAAGCGAGACAGCAGAACCGTATACTTTCAAGAACGTGGTAAAATCCTTTACTACTCGGCTTCATAAGGGATTGTGATCCCTGTCTATCCCATCACATTTTACACACTCCTCGGCACACGCCTTGAAGGCGCCTCTCAATTCCTGGTTATATATTATCGCTATTGCCGCCGTACACGTGGCGGAAGGTCCGGACCTCATCCACGAAGCAGAAATTTACCCTCTCTATAAGCTCATATTCTAGCGGTCGGCCCTTTTTCCCTACTATGCAATTCGGCAAAGTACTTGGAACAGCATGCAGTACCTTCGCTATCACCAATATCGACGACCTGTTCGTGCTGGCCACGTTCTTTACAGAGTCATCGGTCAATAAGAATCTGACGCCACTAAAAATCGCGATCGGTCAATATGTTGGATTCTCTGTTATCATTGTTATTAGCATGATTGGATTCGCGGTAGCGCAAGCGATACCCTCCGAGCCTATTGGTTTTCTCGGCCTCCTGCCAATATTGCTAGGTGTTTGGAAGCTTTTGGGGTTAATATTTCCTTCTGATCTCGAAGAGGAAGAAGAACAGACGGAGAATGTCAAGACTGCTGGGATGAAATGCATTTTTAAAGTTGCGAGCATTACCGTAATGAACGGAGGGGACAATATCGGGACCTATGTCCCGTTATTTTCGCAGGCCGAGGGAGCAGAGATCGCAGTTTATGTTGTCACATACTACATACTGCTCGGGATTTGGTGCCTTATCGCCTTCTTAATCATAAAACAGAGGCATATATTGTTGATCGCCCAGAAATATGCTGGTGTCGTAGTACCACTACTCTACGTTGGCCTCGGTATATTTATCGTTATCAAGTCACATTGTTATCCCTGGTCTATCCAGAATATCAATGAGGGGTTTCTGGGAAATCCCGGTAAAGCTATTCTGGCGACTATGACAACTTTTTTGTTGTCTTCTTGCATAACGACTATGCTTTGGATTAGACTGCGGAAAAGGTCGGCGGGTCGACGGACCATGGCGGATACGGATATGGAACTTCAGTCTATGGACCCGATTAGCGAAGCGGTTAACTCTAAAAGCGGGACTTATGGAAGTGGCGCAGGCGTCGCTGGAACTGCTGAGGAAAATACTGGTAGTAGCTATAGAGATGTGGTTCCCGCTGTGGAATCTATATCTAAATCTAGGGATATATAATTATATAAGTTTTTGGCGGGGCTCAAGGTTGATATTCGGTATTCGCATTCCCGCTATCTAAGTGGATTTTTTATCGTTGTGTATGGTGCATGCATGCTCTTGTAAATCGGTAGTTACCAATATTATAGATGTCCGAGCAATTTAAACTATTAGAATCATGCTGTTATAATGTACTAAGTACCCTCAGAAGCCCCTAACTTCTATCGCTGACTTATAAACGGATAAAATCAAAAACCGCATAAAATGCTTAACACCTCGAAATTAGCCTTATCATAAGCCACGCTTCTCACTGTCGCTTCAGCTACTAGCTATGAAAAGGCCGATCATCGTTCGAACTTTTAATACACATGTATGCACGCACGCGCACCGTGTCAGCGTCATGAGGCGTGCAAAGTCAAATCACTCATACAACTCAAGCTGCACTTAGTCGCGACGACTCGGTGAGCGTGTTTTGAAGTGTATAAAAAAGACGATCGCCGTTTATAAGTACAAGATTAAACCCCGTGTCATCTGCCATGGTACCAAACCAGACCTTTTCGAGAAACCGGCCTGCGAACATCGAACAAAAAGCTCGAAATATCTTCCACGACTCTAGCTCTAGGCCCCAAGAAATAATTAAGACCGAAGCGATCCCGAAGATTCAGAGAATTCTATGTGCGGTATCGAAACATGTTAAGAAGCACGCATTTAGTTATACGTAAGATGTCTGCAATTCTAATTATCATTATAACCCACCGGTCACCAGCCAGCCCGCACTCCGAGCCCAGACCAGGCCCTCAAGGTCAGCCAATGAGATCCCTAGCTGGGATCCCAAAATCCCATTTTGGAAATACAACAGCCAACACAAATAATATAGTGTTGGGGTATATGACCGTTATGTGGAAACGCACCTAAACACCATGGTACCAGGGCGTAGATGCCAAAACTGGTCGCAATCCGAGCTATAGACGCCTTCAAAGCCGTCACATCTCTTTTCCCACAAAAAAATTTAAAAATTGCTCCTTTCCTCCCATCAATGGATCGGAAAGAACCCTCCATCTCCATCCCCAATCAACCTCACTCCCCTTACCATCATCACCCCTTTTACCCATCTTTAAACCCTCCATCCCATCTCCGGTACCCTTTCCCTGTGCTGATTCTTAAGGTACCAAAGTATATATATCAAACGAACCTCCCGGTTGCCGAAAGTAGAGCTCGTTAGACTTCACGATGTCATCAAGGCTTACCTGCGTCACAATGGCGCTTCTTAATCTAGCTGCCCTTCTCTGGGTTCTCTGGATCATTGGATCATTTCCCCAGATGGTTGAAGCTTCGGCTGTAATCTCTTCTATGACTTCGGAATCTAATGGAAATGGAGGTTTGTTATCTACCAATTTCCTATGTCCCTTGATTGATATAAATCAGAAGTTAAAGTGACTGATTGTTAACAGCTATTCAATCCCTCGAAAACTTAATCTCATCTCATAAACTCCACAAAGGATATGAAGACTCACTGGCCCTGATTAACTCTCTGAACCTTCCACACTCCTGCCTTTATAGCTCATTGACTGAGTCCATAATCGAAAAGTGTTCTGTTTCTCCGACCGTCCTGGACGGAGAAGAGAAGAATTTCTTTGCAACGAAGCTTGCTATCTGTGAATTGTCGTCAGCCAACGTCGACTATCCGCGGGAGTGTCGAGGTAATATCCAATCGTCGAAGGAACTCAAAAAGTGTATCAAGAAGCTTGAGACCCGAGCTCAGTGGTGGACTAGCTGGAGCAATTGCATCCAAAGTGTGGGTGTATTATGTCAAGCCGTCAGGGAAGAAGCACAAAGAGGTATGTCAGCATTTCTTTTTTACACTATCAAGCTGAGCACACAACAACCTTGATGAAGCCTTGGATGTTTGTTAGTATAAAACCCTAATTCTAGTTACCGTCACAGATAGTCTTCTTCGACTCCATCGCAACCTCACCGTTTTACATCACCAACTTGAAAACCGTCTTGTCACCTCCCTTGACTTCCAAACCTCAGCTATCAAGCAAGCATCACAATCCTCCAACATGATTAACCAACGTGTCGCCATTCTCATTAGTGAGATGGATACCTTGCTCAATCATACTATTGTTCCCATGAATAGCCACCTCAAAAACATCAAGGCCGTAATGGCCAACATCGACAGGCTCCAAGTAGCCCAGGCTGCTCATCTCGCGGAACAGGGGACTGTTCTCGATGAGCATGCCCGGGCTCAGAGGGAAACGATGTACAGGATCGATACCATTGTTAAGCAAGTTATCGAAGCTGTTGAGACGTATGAGAGTCTCGTGGAGAGGAAGAACGAGGCCGATGACGAAGCTAGGCGCAAGAGCCTTTTAGAGGTAGCTATCTCCTTTCTCACTTTGGACTTGTTAAAGGTATACCTAACCTATCGAATTAGATGTCGTCGGCCATTGCGGCCACGACTGGTGAAACCATTGATGCCATCAAGGCTACCATGAAGGTCCTGGACGACCTCGGTGTAAGTTCGTCCTGTCACCATGAATACCTTGTTACAGGTTTTAATTCATAATATATTTAGAGCGAGACTGGCATGAAGGTTTCTGGTCTCGTAGACAAAATCACAGAGGGACATGCGGTAACTATAATTGCTTCGCACCTCGACGGCGGCGAGATATATCTAACGTGTTCTGAAATTTAGCAACTCAGCAACCTTGCTGAGAACTATGACTCGCTGGCCACGAGCCATGAAAGGATCTCCCGATCCATGCTTGAACAAGAGGTGTGTATTTACTACTAAATATCCAGTTATCTTTCCTTGCTAAAGCGTTATTAGGAAACGGCTACCCGTCAACTTGAAACTGTTGTCCACCAGGCAACTGTCTTCAACAACACGTTCCTCAATGCCATCGCAGAGAGCACTGGGTACCTTCAGAAGCTCTCAGAGTTGCGAAAGAACTCTCTCTATAACATGGGTGTAGTTCCAGGGTTGGCTTTGGTATCAACTTACCTCCCTGTTCTCGTCAGCATTCTTGTTGTCCTTGATCGCAAGAGAACAGCTATTGCTGTCATCTTCTTTGCGACCTTGTACATCTTTTTTATGACGTATCCTTTTGAAACCGCTCCGGAGTCGAATGATTCGGCTGGTGAGACGATGAATACAGAAGGATTGCTGCTCGACGCCGGAAATGATAAGTACCGCTGGTTTCAGTCTCGTAACCAAACTGTGCGCTGGTTTCAGGATCATGCCGCCGAGATGATCGGGTACTTCCGCGCCTTCTGGTAAGGATTGATTTGCCATCGTCCTATCGCCCTTAATACTTACGCCCATTATTATTCACTTACCCTCGATTCTATTCTTACTACAATGGGTTCTTTTTCATGCTTATTCTCGATGGGTTTGCTTAACGTTTTATTTCGTGTTTTATTATATGGTGTTTTAATGTTTCTTTTACCCACATTATATATTTTCATTCTGTTTTTCGAATAGGGACCCATTTCCTATTCATATCGAATGTATGACGTCAGCGGGGGAAGGTACCATAGTGTCGATTAGTGCCTAATAAATACAAGACTGTATCCAGCCGAAGGGAGAAGAAAAAAAATAATATGTACAATTCCCGTAGCTTTCACAAGACTATCTACCGTGAACGGTGGTGACAGCTCACCAGATAGCATGCCGTTATAATGCCGAGCTTCCATTAGAGGGGAGTTCTTCCTTCCTTCAAAATATCCAAGCAGAGTCCACCCAGATAAACTTGTTTATTTCTTTCCGTCCTTGCTATCCTTGTCGCCATAGACGTTCAATCCTAATCCCTCAGATTCCAAGTAGACCTTATTCCTGCCACCTGCCTCCATCAACAATTGTGCTATCGTCTTGGCGTTCTCAATCTTCCTGAGTTCGACGTAGCTCTTCGATTTCTTGATAGCCTCACCGATAAGCTCTGCGGATCGTGCCTCACCCTGGGCTCTATATTATCACAAGGTAGTCAGTATACCACCTCATTATCACACACATATCAAAACCAGAGAGAGGAGTGAAAGACAAGATAAACCACGAACCTAACAACCATAGCCTGCTTCTCCTGTCTAGCCCTATCAACCACGAACGCCGCCCTCTGAGCCTCTTGCTGAGCAACCTGCTTCGCCTCAACAGCGGCAGTAAACTCCGGAGAGAAAGCCAAATGTGTCAAACTGACGTCGTCCAACAGGATATTAAACCTCGCAGCTCTCTTGACCAAATTATCCCTGACAAGTTTACTAACGGCCTCTCTCTGAGTAATCAACTGACTGGCGTTAAATTGTGCAACCACGGATTTTAGAACTTCGTTAACGATGGATGGGAGGACTCGTTCGTCGTAGTCGACGCCGAGGGTTCGGTAGATTAATGGGAGGGCTTCGACACGAGGGCGGGAGAGGACACGACAGGTGATGTTCACCATTTGGAGATCCTTTGTGCCGGTTAGGGAGGCGACGTTGCGGGGTTTGGCGCGGACGTCGTAGGTTATTGGGGTTTCGAACCATGGGATCACGAAGTGGGTTCCTTTTTTTTATTAAGCTACCATGTTAGACCTTCTTGAATTGCTTATAGGAGGAAGTAAACGGCGTAGTGAAGTGAATTAAGTACCTTCGCTATAGATCTCCTGCTTGACACCTCCAAGTCTGGTATACTTGATAGCTCTGTGACCACCATCGACTGTATTGCGTAACACCACTCAGTCAGCAAACTGAAATGTCCCGGAGAATAGTTATTCCCAACTTCTCAAAGGAAAGTAAAAGAGAGAAAAACTTCATATACCGTTGAAAAGAGCATTATTTGCCGTTAATGCCAATCCACCGAGTAACACCAGCGCGGCTCCTCCACCAATGATTCCGCGCGGAGTTCCACCGCCAGGCATTCTTCCTCCACTCTGTCCCGCTCGCTGTTGGACAACGCGCATCAGACGCTCCCAGGCCTCGCGCGGTGATTGACTGGGCTCCATCGTGGTGAAGGGGTTATGTAAGTTTGTCGTCCGAAAATCGGGGAGAGGGGGGGGAGTTTTCCGGTAGATGTTGTTGAAGGTGAAGTTGAAGTTGAAAGCGGTTCTTCGGAATGAAGCGGGGGGTTGGATATGTGGGGTGGTGGGCAGAGTTGTGGTACTTTTTTTTCTGGAGACATCAAAGATTTTGATTGGAAGGAAAAAGCAAGTTTTAGGCGATGAGCTTTGCGCTTCGATTGGAGGAGACTTCATAACACGGCTTCAACGCACTGCAGAGCCGCATCGATCTTAATTATTAGTTTGGAGTTTTATTCTCCTATAAAATTTAAATAGAAAAATTATGGAATTCATATTGTCTAGATATTATCTAATATGTCGTATCAATATGTCGGGGTAAGGAAGTATGTACAATAACTCAAGAGGAAACCGATCATGAATGCCCTCACTCGCTAAAAAGGCTATCAAATCCAAACACCAGTTGCTAGTTGTCGAGTTTTAATTTCCAAGAACAGTGAACAGTCGTATCAAAAGGTCGTATGTATCGTACTATCTCGGGTGCCGGTCAACTATACCGTCAAGTACTCCCTCTTCTATCCTGACTTCATCTTCATTCCACTCTCTATTCGCAGCAATATCACTCATACCTCCGTTCCAAATCTCCCACCATCGTCTCATCAATTCTGGTTCTTCTGTTCTCTCGGTCATCATTGCGACTCTAATCGCTTCGTCTGTAAATTTGTACTCTCCCAAATCAACACCCTTGTTCTTCATCCTGGGATCTCGAACTCTTCTTCTCCATTCGATAAGTCTTCGCCAATAAGCCCCTAGACCCATTTTGTTCTTTCGGTGTTGGTTTATGGACGTAGCCCAGTCTCTGAGAAAGTCGGCGATTTCGATGAGACTAAGCCCCTCGTCGAGCATGTTATGGCCTTCCGAGAAGCATTCGTTGGCGCTATAGATAATCCAGAATTCTGACTCGTCTTCATCGTTGAGTGCCTCCAAGACCCCAAGATTTACATCTTCTTGTTCGTCTTCCTCGTTCCCCTCTAGTCGGTCAACTATTTCTTCGGGGAGCCCGTTTCCGTCGGTATCTGGACCTGCTGTCTCCTCTTCACCCGCAACTACTTCTACAGGAGCTGCAACTGGGTTAACGGGGTTATTAACTTCCCGTGGAGCTTGCCCGGGCACCACGATTTGAATCATCATGGGCTGCTGAGGTTCCTCCGGTGGGGGAGGTGGTGGTGCAGGGGGGACAATATTTCCGCTTTCATCGACTCCCTCCCATAATCTATTGTAGCAAGAGCTCTTCGGTTGGTTGTAATGCTGGTATGGGTTATCCGGGAACAAGAAGGCTCCGCATAGGAGACAAAAGTGAGTCCAGCATCTCGAGCAATACTAGAAAAAGAAGAAAGATGCATATTAGTAATGCGGTCCTGGTAGGCATCTATTAAGAACGTAAAAACATACCATATGATTGCAGCCTCCAGATTTTGAGATTGGAATAAGGCAAGTGGGACAAGGTGTGCAGTTCGACTCCAGAAATTCTGCAGTGAGCTTTGCTTCCTTTTCTTCCTCTACCGTAAGTTTAGAGCCAGGAGTTCGACATGAAAATTTATATCCATGCCACGACTTCCCACAATTTGCACAAAATGCCAAATGGCAATCCTGGCAGATTGCCAATTGATCTTCCGCATTATCTCGTAAGGCCGGGCCTTTGCAGAAGTTCCTGGGACAGTAAACCACGTTCTTCATGCTCTCGAATGCGCGTTTGCGTTTTAGTTTTAGGTACCTCTCGACGATATCTGCTTCTAGGAGTAGCTGTAGCTCAGCGGGAGCTATGGCACCGGGTTTTCGGGGTATCTTGTGGATGTTTCCTTCTTCGTCGATGGCTTCTTCGGCAGGCAGGTCTTTTCCGCAGACATAATTAAGACATTGGACGCTACCAACCTCACCTTCTTTGATCATAGCGGTGAAGTAATCTTTTAGGCATGGTTTGCAAAAGACGTGACCGCATTGGTTGATGCGGTGGCACGTTGCACCTTTTCGAGGTTCTAAGCAGACTCCACCTGTTTTTCCATTGAATTGTTAGTAAGTTTTTAGTTCAAGGGTCTTCTTAGATGAAAGACCGTACAATCGAAAGTTCCTTCATTAAATTTCTTGATTTTTGTCGCTTGGTCGAATTCTAGAATCCCAATTTTTTCCTTCTGGTTCACCTTAACATCCAGAGGGATTGGAAGATCAAACATCTGGTCTGCAGCGCTCTGAAGTGTATCAATACACGCAAAGATCACTTGATCTCTCAGTCCCTCCCATGTTTCAACTAAGTTCTCCTTCAACCTTCTAATAACTTCTGGTTCTAACCAGGTACTGACAAGCCGTATATTCGGCGGCTGAGAATAAGGGTACCCCAACGGCAGCTGAAATTCAAACACAAGGGGTGGTAGATGCGAAAGATCTGCCGTTTCCTCCTTTTTCACATCTTCGGCGCCATCAAGTAACGTAAAATTTGTGGTTATGGGAGCAGATGGAGATATTTCGATTTCGATAGACCCGCCGAGTTTTCCGATTTTAGAGAATTCAGGATAGATTACAGCGATAGTAGCGATTTCAAGGATTCGTTCGTCGTCCGGGGAGATATTCTCGGAGGGTTCGAGAGCTAAAGTGGAGATTTGGGAGGAAAGGATGTCGGACGCATCGGTGGGGCGCCGGGCGAGAGCCAGGGCGGGACGGTATAAGTCGTCGGCTCGCTGTTTGCCTTTGAACTTACTGGACATTTTGGAAGGAGCGGAAAGGTATCTGAGGGGAAATTATGGAGGAGATGATGATGATGGAAATAGAAATGATGAGGGTGAAGGTGGTGATTTAGAGGAAGAGAAGGAGAAAACCATTATATTTCTGTTATGGCATGCACATGCACACTGGATGAGATTGAGTCATGACGAGAGGGTTTTGGGACGACGTCTGTTAATTCAGCGGTGCACGGTGGATAAGCCAGCTACCAGTGTGCTGCACATTTGCAGGGAGTAAGCCGGTCTCGGGCACCCAACGCGGACAAACTGGGTCCAATTTGGTGACTTCATGATTGGCCCCGGCCTGACTGCGCTAGAACCCGAACGGGTTTTCGACGGCAAAAATTTAAAACGTCTGATTTAGCTACAGCGGGATCGATTAGATTAATAATATATCGAGTTGAATTCATTGATGTCCATGCGCTAACAGCATTTGAATATTAGGATTTCGAAATTAAGCTTCACAGGATATTGATATTAATAAGCAAGTATCTATACGGTCCACGAGACTTACCTGGGTACATATCCCTATGTCTAATATATCGCTACCTAGTACTTATTAGGACCGGTAGCCGTATACGTACCGCAGGACCAGTTTAAATTTATAAATTTGCTATTCTAAAAATGGAGCTTAGATCGATCGGCATGCGCTCCCACGTTCAAACGTTTACCTGCGAACGATTTTACATTGATATGCGAGATATTAATAAGCAGTATCCACATTTAATTTGACTTGTGCTCGACAGATCGATCCGATTATCGAATATCCCAGTGCTGCAATTACAACCGCAAAATGTTAATCGTCTGGGGTCGGTTTGTTAGTCGTACACACACAATCATTTCTACATCTATGCTGCCTGTCACAACATTAGCCGGCATCCTTCGAGACATTCGGACTATATCTTTACCACCAAGATGATTCGCCGTAACAAATTCGACCTTTTTCTGCTCGTCGTCCTTATCTTCACTCTCTTTGTGATGCTGAAAGAATGCTTCTCGCCTTCTGCTGCGAGAATTCGCCTCACCGGTGTCTACAAGACAAAATACCCGGACAACAACGAAAGGGTTACCGAGCTGTCCAGTAAAGCCGATATATCGGCGTTGAATACATCAGCACCGGGTGGCCCCACGGCATGGTTTCCTGCAGGGAGTATGTTCGCCAACAGGCCTCATAGAGGTGGCCCCCCGAAGAAAATTGCACAATCTCGACCCTCGATCCTCAAGTCGGGAGAACCACCCGGCTTCCTCAAAGGTACTGAGATTCCGAAAATCATTTGGCAGAAATGGAAGAATCGAATCGACCTCACCAATGTCTGGAGACAGGATGATTATGTCCGCGAAGGATGGATGACTTGGCAGGTGTTCAATAAGGAGTTCGAACACGTCGTCTTCTCTGATGTCGATGCTGAACTCTTCGTCAGGAAGGAGTACTCCCATCGTCCGGATATTGTGAAGGTTTTTACGGAGATCCAGCAGAGGATTATTGCCTTCGATCTGTTAAGATATTTGGTCATATACAAATATGGGGGGATATATAACGATATGGATACGATGTGCCGTAGGCCAATAGATAGTTGGTTTGATGACTTTTGGGATTATGGGATCGTAGTGGGGATCGAGTGTACCCTCCCACTTGATCCAGGTCTTCCGGAGGACCTGCAGTTGGATAACTTTAACCTTGTCTATGCGGTTCAGTTCTTACAGTGGACTGTTATGGCGGCACCGGGCCATCCGGTCATAAATCGTACAATTGAACAATTGGTGGCGTCAGTCATTAATGATACAAGAGAAGATGATGGGAGTGTTCAATGGGAGATTGGTGATCTGTGGTACGAACCGATGGCAATATTGAATGTCTCAGGACCCGGGCTGTGGACGAGGACAGTGAAGCAGTATATCAATGAGCAGGAGGGGAGGATAGTAGCTGATGCAGAGTATGCGGCCATGTGGGATATAGAGATATTCGGAGATCTGTTGCTCCTTCCACAGGCCAAATGGGCACCAACAAATTCAGAACAGCAGAATGAGGTGGCCTTCTTGAGGCATTTCTGGAGGGGCAGTTGGAGGTGATGATGTATTGGTTATTGCATATTTGTTTCTATATACCTTATATTTGAGTAATTATTTACCTATTATTAGTAACTAAGCCCCTTAATTTACCGGCGCTATATGCTAGTGACATAAATTATAATACAGGTTCTATGATATTTATATTTGACATGATACCCATCTACTACACTGCATATGCATGTTTTGAGTATGAATGCAATGTATTAGGGTTTTGTACATTTTTGTGTTGAAGATGTTGGGAGTTTAGCAGAGCAGCTTTAGGCTCAACCTTCCAAAAATGAATCTCGACGTCAACACCAAACATTTGGCTGGAAATCCAAGAACCTCCATTGGCCAGCATAACAACCTCCCGCAGTCATCTCAATACTTCGAATGACGAGGACCCTGGGAAGCTGATACATCTTCCATCCCTCCTACTCCGACAATGGCCTCATTACGTCTTCCCGTCCGGTCGCTGAGACCGTCGTCGCTGTCGGCACTTTCGTCGAGTTTACGACCCGCTCCACGAAACCTCTTGCGACAGTTCGCCTCATCCTCCGCTGCCAAAGCCGCAGCGCCTGCGACAGAGGATCCAGTTCCTAATATGAGAGCGGCGCAGCGTCCTCGTATGTATTTCTTATCAACTGTGGACGGAATATGGTCTAACGAAGGTTATTTGAATAGCAATTGGTGAACTACGAGCCCCAGTTGTCAACCCTGCCGACAAATATGCCACCCAGTCTGAGCAACTGCATGCCTATGGCAAATATCTCATGTCCTGTCTTCCCAAGTTCATCCAGCAGTACTCTGTATGGAAGGACGAGCTTTCCATCTACATCCCACCTCGGGCCGTCATACCGGTCTTCACGTTTCTTAAGAACCACCATGCTGCGCAATACACCATGATAGCGGATATCACTGCCGTCGATTTCCCTACCCGTCAATACCGTTTCGAGGTCGTCTACAACATGCTCAGTGTCACATATAACTCTCGGATAAGAGTCAAGACTTATGCAGACGAAACCTCGCCTGTGCCCTCGATCACACCGTTGTACGACGGTGCAAACTGGTACGAGCGTGAAGTCTACGACATGTTTGGCGTTTTCTTTACGAATCACCCCGACCTAAGAAGAATCATGACGGACTACGGGTTTGAGGGACATCCGTTGAGGAAAGATTTCCCATTGACGGGCTATACCGAAATCAGATGGGACGAAGAAAAGAAGAGAATTGTATATGAGCCTCTGGAGATGACGCAGGCGTTCAGGAACTTCGAGACCGGTACAGCGGCGTGGGAACAAGTTGGTCCGGGACAGGATAGAACACCTGATTCGGTACGTATCACTCATCCACCTATATAAAGAACTATGGTTAGGGTTGATCTGGGTTCTTACTAACTATTCTTCCTTTTTCTTTCTTCTACCACAGTTCAAATTACCAACCCCAAAGCCAGAGGAACCGGCGCCTAAGAAGTAAATTATAAACGCAGCTGGCTTAAATTAAACCGAATTTTGATTGAACGTCCGTTCGGATGTGTATATTGCACGAACGGTCTTGCTGTATATTGTGGTTCTTTTGACTCGTACATACTTCATCTAACTATTATATTATGTGTATATTGTTTGATCCGCCAAGTTGATAATCCGAATAGGTCCCGGCCTCTGTCGGAGTGTTCGAGAGTCTTCTCGAAATACCCTTAGCTTCCAAGTCGTCAAGTCTTGAGCCTGGGGACGAATGTCACGAATGTCCCGAAGGTCACGTGGTATATAGATGGAGCATCCCAGCCCCCGATCCACCCTCCGATAAGCCAAGTGGGCATGTAAATGAATAGCTTCGGTGGTCCCGAGGGCGAGCGGGCCATAACTCCCACCCGTGTGTATCCAAGGGGCAGTCGCAGGGTGCTTAGTCAGGAGATCTGATAATAATAGGCGGTTTGTCCCTGTGCCTGAGCTGTGTGCTGTGCTGTGCTGTGTGTGGAGCGTGTTTGTCGGTCAAAGTTTTTGTTCCTTGCATCTTTCCTGCCAACATCCACACCCATTTTCATTTTGCTACCTCGACCTTTGCCATCTCATCATTTATCATCCTCCAATATCTCCAGCTTCAAAACCCCTCCCATCATCGCCCTAGTCCCCCTACCCGTCATCTTCCCTCTTTCCTATTCGAATATTCGACTTTTGAGTACCTTTACCTGGAACCCTGCACCCCCGCTAACTGGACCTTATAACCGATCTTCCATCACGGTTAATTCCTTCTGGATTCTACTCCCTCAAAAGGACTACTAGCACATCCACAGCACCATCTATATTCCCTATATTTGTACTTCCATTGCTCTATAAGCCTCGATACCCAATATCTCTTCTCTTTGGGTTCGTTCGTTTCTGTTTCTACATACATCTACAACACATCCGATTTCGGTCTATCATGGCTCCTCCAACGGCACAGCAAGATACCTTCATAGACGATTCGGACGACTACTGGTACGCCTCAATCCCGTTATCTATCAGCCTATTTCTTGTGGACATACACTGACATGGCTCTCTAGCCCGTTATGCGTCGAAGAATTCGATCTCTCAGACAAGCACTTCAAGCCCTGCCCGTGTGGCTATCAGGTACGATACAGTTGGCACCTATTACCATTCAACAATGGCTTTGATCCCCGTAGTTCGCTAACTGAAATTTAAAAGATCTGCCAATTTTGCTATAACAATATTCGAAAGAATCTGAACGGCCTGTGTCCGGCCTGCCGGCGAGAATATACCGATGCTACAATGGAATTCAAGCAGGTTTCACCAGAAGAGTGTGTTGTCCCGTTCAACTCCATCCAATCGAGTTCAGGAGCTGACATGAGCTGAATTATCTAGGTATCGGGCGGAACAGCAGAAACAATCGCGTAAAAAGCAGGAGCAGAAGCAAAAAGAACTGCAGAAGCGCGAGCTCGAGCAGACAACCCGCAAACACTTGTCAGGCCTTCGTGTTGTTCAGAAGAACCTCGTCTATGTGACCGGACTGAATCCTCGTATTAAGGAAGAAGATCTACTCCAGACGTTACGTGGCGACCAATTCTTTGGACAATATGGCAAGATCCAGAAGATCGTTGTCAACAAGCGAACCGCAGATAAGGCCCCGACGGAAAGAAGTGCTGGAATGGGTGTATATGTCACGTTTGCGCGAAAAGAGGATGCGGAGAAGTGTATTGCGGCTGTTGATGGCAGCCAGAATGGTGATCGAATCCTTCGGGCGACTTACGGAACGACGAAGTATTGCTCTGCATATCTCCGGAACGAACATTGTCCGAATAAGAATTGCATGTTCCTTCACGAGCAGGGCGAAGAAGTTGATTCCTTCACGAGACAAGATCTCTCTTCTTTCAACGCCCAATCGTCCCAACGAGCTGCGCCATCCACTTCAACCTCCCAGAGCTCTCAGAGTACTGCACCATCCCACCATCCCCACCCCCCTGCACCTCCTGCACAATCAACGCCGACCCTACCTGTCAGAGTTCCGACTTATCAAAATCATCCGAGTATCAAACCATCAAAATCTCCAGCCGTACAGGATCATGGATCCCCTCCTCCTTCAGAATCATCTGCATTGCCGTCGTCCGCCAGTTGGGCTGCTAGAAGCACCGGAACTCCCGTGAACAACCAATCCAGTAATGCACCTGAAGAAAAACCTACTAAAGGAACGATCTTACGGACTCACCCTCCTGAAAAGCGGGCAACCCCTGAGCCCAGAAGAGTGGTGAAGGAGACTGCGAAAGAACGCCCGGCGAGCCGTGTTTCAGCTATCGGGCCTACTTCCCTCGACAGTCCGGAATCTAGCGATGCGGCCGCCAGTCGTCCTAAGAGCAAGGCTGAGAGTGCCGAACCTAAACTTTCACAGTCGAGAGCACCTTCTCCACCCGCAAATATACCCGCTCCACCCGCAAACCCGCCTGCTCCACCCGCAAACCCGGTTGAGATCATGTTGGCGGAATGTGTTAAACGCATCACCTCTGGTAAATTCAGGTTCTGCTTTGATAAGTCGATGCTGAGCGAAGAAGACTATGAGGAAATCCAACAGATGCCACCTTTGATCGACAAATACGGTGGAGCAAAGCGGAGGGAGAGGCTATTGAAAGAGCGTGAGCGAGAAATCGAGGAAGAACGCATCCGCTCACAGGCCCAGATCCAACAAGCCCAACATGTTTCTCCCCTACCAATGCATCAGCAAGTTCCGGTCCAGCCTCCGCAGCCTCCGCAGCCTCTTCCACCTATCTCGCAACAAGTTCAATCAAGGCAAACTGTAAACCAGATGTTCACGATTCAGACCCCCCAGTCCCAGGTCCAGGGACCACGAACTCAGACCCCTGGTTCCGCACTTAGTCAGCAGCATCAAAACATATTGTCGGCTTCCCAGGGCTTGATGCAACAGACACAGTTGGGTCAGACACTACCTCAACATCACACACAGCAACATACTCGGTCTTCAAGCCGATACAACTTTGATGGAATCAAAGCTCCACCACAACAGATTAATCACCAACAACTCCTCCAACAGCAACAACATTTGCCTGGCCAAGGTCTGCTTTCGAATCAGATATATGGTCTGAACGGTTCTAATGCAAACGTTCAAGGACCGCCTCCTGGTCTGAAGTCTGCGCAGACGCCACCAAACTTGATGCTCTATGGTCACCCGGCTTTCGGGCTCGGCGGAGGCGGGATGGGAAGCAACAACCAGCAAATTGGGCATATGCCTGGTCACGCTAAGAGCGAGAGCCAGGACTTGATGCAAATGATGAGGAGCGGCGCTGGAAAACGTAAGTCCCATCTCTCCCTTCTAGGTGTCCCGAGGTTACAGCGCCAGGCTGAAATGGCGATGGGTAAAGATGCGGATCCTGCGATCCTTCAGTCGCGTCTTGGGCCTCAGCAGCATCCGTTGCAGCATCAACTCGGTCTCGTTGGTCATAATCAACAAGGTGGGTACTTGAACCATTATCATCAAACTGCTGCCGGCGGTTGGCAAGGCAGATAGAATCTTCCTGTTTGAGTGATAGGTTCCTTCATAGGCATGATGGGTTTTAAGCCGGACACAGAAGACAGCACAAAAACACGCCATTGTTCACGTATAGAGTTTTTTCGTTTTATAACACCCTTATCCCTTTATCTACTATATATATCTCTCTCCTTCGTTCTGATGCCGCTTCTTCCCCCCTTCCTTTTCCTGTGGAGTTACTGGATATCCTCTGGCCTGAATTTCTGATCTGCAGTTCTTTCTTCTTTTTCACGCATCGTTCTTCGATTACTTCTTCCAACGCCCCATTCAGCACCTGACGACTTAGCATCTTCAATCATTACGATTCTATGACGACCGGCAAAGGGATACATGGCGTTTATTTTACTTTTTCTCGGTTCCTCAAACAAAATCGCAATTGTTTTTTCGTCCTTTTTTTGTTTTCTCTCGCAAATATCTGCCCTACAACTTGCCTAGGGCTGGGTACGGTTCTCCGTGGTCTTGTTTTATTTATCCTTACCCTGTTGCCCATAGTGGTTTAGTACTTAATGAGGAGGATGGATATAAAGGATGATGCTTCGTTTTCTTCAAAACAGTACGTAGCCAACCCTTCTTAATCATCCTCAACATGGTTCGCATCTCTCCTTTGCCCGCTTCCTCCACTTTTAGCCTTTCTTCGGCTTCCAGTGAACATGAAATGCTCTTGTCCGTCCCGTAAGCATGAACCTCTTCTGATTTTGCCTTCTGGAAACATAGGTAGGGAAATGCCCTCACTGTTGCTGTCTTCTGTGTTCCCGAAACCCATTCGTGACGAAACCAAAATATTGAAGACCAGGACCCTTGATTGTGACTGACCGGATGCTGGATGAGAACCTGACCTACCGCCATCCACCCACAATCTCAGGAACAAATGCAACGAGGAGCGTAAATTAAACCCAGAAGGCTAATCCGGAATTCTGTGAGACATAGTAGAACCCGTTGATGAAATCATCCCCTCCGCAGAAGAACTCGAGACGATCGATAAACTTGTAGAGGACAGAACAGAGTTTGTGCCGGCTACGCCCCCCGCTGTTAGCACGCCATCTGCACTCCCTCCCCTTCGTCCCCAAGATGTCCCTGTTTTGCCTGCTACACCTCTGCTGGATTACGCAACTGTAGGCAAAGCAAAGTCACCCATGGTAAAGGCGGCCACGCCCGTCACGCCAAAGGTGCAGCCCGTGGTTTCGGAACCTAAATCTAAAAAGAAGAAGGATGACAAAGCGCAAGCCACACTGACTATGGCGGCTGTGGCTAAAGCCCCGCCCCCGCCTCCTACCCCTAGTAAAACCACGTCAAAGGAGCCCGCCGGGAAGAAGGCGAAACCCCCCACTTTGCCGCCTTTAGCTGCCGTCGTCGCTGCTGCTACAGCTGAGCATTCTCCCACGTCTGCTAGGTCACCGGCGGCCGCGAGCCCAAAGATTCTCAAGCTAGCGGCGATCAACCAGTCGGGAGATGCAGGACCATCAAGCGCTGCATCTTCAGTTCCTCCAACACCTTTGTTGGCGACTGCTGCTCCAGTCCCCACATCTCGTGCCCGCACTATGCGTATTGTTTCGTCTACTCCTTCTGTAGAAAACAAAGCGAAGGGTGATGGGAAGGACAAAGATAGTAAGTTGCAAGATGGCCCTGCTATCGCAAACACGGCTACAAAACAAGTTACCAGGCCGGCTACACCCGCTAGCGAGCTCATCAGTGATACTGCTTCGACCACCTCGAGTAAGCGTGGTAGTATCAGTAGTCCAATGGTTCGCAGCGACTCCATCGCATCTAGTACGCTTGCAATTGCCGGGAAAGTAAAGTCTAAGTCAGCGTTGAAGAAGGAACGCCAAGCACTTGCGAGAAAAGAAGAAAGGGAAAGAGAGAAGGAGAAGGAAAGAGAAAAGGAAAAAGATAGCGCCCCAATCCCTAGCCCTACCGTCGAAGATCATGCACCGGTCGTTGCCCGTGCTAGGAAGAAGGAGAAGAAAAGTAAGGCAGCTGCTGCTGGTAAGACCGTCAAGACAACCGCTTTGCCAGCTTCTCCGGGGATCCTAACGCCAACCGGCATCAGTCCCGCCGCGGCTACTGCTGCTGCGGCTGAGATTGAACACCGTGATGATCGCTCTAGTCGCGCGGGAAGTGTTAGTGTTGCCGCTCCAAGTGAAGCACACCACGAACAAGCCAGTGCCGACTCGGGTAATAACGATGCAGAAAGCGAGCCCAATAAGCCGGATATTTCTTCCACAATCAATGCAAACGATATCATAACTGCGCTGAATGAATCTCGGGAAATCGATTTTATGGACCTCGAACTTCTTAAGCCAGTTGTAGGGCTTCAGCATCGGTTCGAGATCAATTCCGCAGAGATATCAGAGTTTGCAAAGAGACTTAGCATGGTAGCTGCCTCAGCGGGCGATGTTGGTGACCATCAGATTAGTGTTGAGATTACGACGAATCCTGCTGCAATCGCTTCTGCAGGTTCAAATTCTCAGCCAAATAAGGGCGGTGCTGCGACCACTCGGCTCATCGTTACACCTGGTGGAGTTATGCTCAAGGGACTAAGCGCAGAGCAAGAAGCGAAGTTTATCAGGCTCGAGGAAAGGGCATCTAAGACACCGACTCCGTTCAAATCGTCCGACCTGGCTAAAGCGACGTTTCCAGTTGCTAAGAAGGAACTGGCAACCACACTAGCCGAGACTTTGGCGAGCAAAGCCGCTGGCCTTGCGGATTTGAGCTTGGAGGACACATTGGCCTATCTTAACCAATTAAACCAATTCTTGGAGTTCTCCCCAGAAACCGCTGCCGCAGCAGCAGCAGCAGCTAGCCAGCTTGCCCAAGCTCATACGCAATTTACAACGGGGAGGTTCCAGCCGGCCCCGATACAACAAGGTCCAATTCCTTCCTCCTCAAAAGTACTTACAAATTCTCCTTCGTCCGGTTCTAAAAAGCCTGGGAAAACCCCTCCGTCTACGGCCATAGGGCCTCCACCTGCACCAATCAATCCCGCAAGCGTTGCTTCAGCTGCTGTTGCCGCAGCCGCAGGCTCTCTCGAGCAGATGCTTATGGTTGGCTTTCAATCTGCGTTTAATAGTAAACCGATGACCGAGAGTTCCATGACAGCGGAGGAGGCCGAGAAGCTGTTGGTCATGAGTAGGAAAGAAACGGAAGCTTACGAAAAGAAGCTGAATAATTTGATGAAGAGGAACAAGAGGCTCATATTTGGGGCCTTAGGATTACAGGTTTAACAAAAACAAACAGGAATTCAAAAAGTCAGAATAGTAGGTGCTCGGGTAGCTACTTTTTTTTCTCTTTCTTCTACTTCCTCTAGGTAATCATGGTATAGTCTCATGCATTTTGTGGTGTTCTTGTGGCGTTTGCGGGTTGAAAATGGCGACGCTTTCGTCGCTTTTGTTTTTCTGTGTGAAATATGGGCGGTTGCGTGTGTTCTTGTTACCTAATACCTACTGGCCTAGGTACTTATGATCGAGCGCTTGTGCTTCGATGTATGCTAACGTCTTTTAAGAGAAGGATTCTTGTACAATACATGTTTACCTACTTACCTTAAGCTTTGATATCAAAGCAGAAGACAGAATAAATTCTTTTACCACATCAAAAAGAACAATAGAAAACCCTTTATATTCATATTGATTTTAAATTTTGTAAGTTTAGACCTTCGAACGAAAGGTCGAGGTAAATAGAATTAATAAACATTATGTGCGAAAATCGTTTAGAGATTTATTTGCACTTGGAATATATAGTAAGTGAGAAGAGAAGAACAAGAAAAATATTCGCCGAATACCTTTTAGTCTGAGGAATATTTCTGGGAACGAGGCGAAAATTACCCAGGCCAAGGCCATGTAGACACATGCTTGAAAATAATATAGTAAAAGAGACCTGAAGCTCTTCTCCAGGAAAAGTTCAAAAGGCTTAAGAGAAGAGAGGAGAAAGGTTGGAAAAAACTCCAAAGAACGCCAATCCATCACTGTAAAATGGAAAAAGAAAAAGATGGAAAAAGAAAAAGAAAGAAAGTTGCAGATCACTTTTAGATATCGATATCCTGAGAATTTCGATTAAACAGCCGTAAAATCTACAATATCCACATGTTAGTCCCGGTTGTGTCCGTGAACCCTCCTAGGGAATCGCCTGCAGTTGTTTCTTACTATTTGCAAAAAGATCGGCTTTGCAGGTAGGGCCGATGTAGATCTACTATCCTCCTCACTTGTGCACACAGAAGCCGCATACTGATAACTAGCTGTGAAAGCAGTTCTAGCGGGGCCTTGGGTGGTCGCAGGAATACGAGAGGTGTGTACGTATTGTGTGGCTTGAAATTCGGCTTTGGTTGTTCTGAACGGTCGTGGGAGTGAAGACCGCCGTTTGCGGAGGGGCCGCGTTTGGGTAACTGGTTGTTGCTATTCGGGGAATGTTAGCGATACACAGGTCATTTCTCTTCCGTTCCGATAGTAGCTTGTGGACAATTCATTCTCGGAAACTTCGCCACAGTACAGATTGACGGCGGGGGTAATAGCTCTTTGAACCGTGGTATCGGGTCCATAAGCCACTTTTTTTTAAACAAAGTATTTAATTTTTGTTCCAGGAACATACCTCGAAAAACCAAGCTGGCATTAACGGAATATACGCGGCTCTTAGAACTACATCAAGAATATCCTGCTCTTGTTCATCTGAGGCGACGTCGAAGAATCGTTTGCGAAGCATACACTCAAAGTCGACCTTTGCTATTCGTTCAACGAATGGTAGGTTTAAGATGTGACAGCCGTGAGCGTAAGCTTGAAGATATGTGATATAGCAGACCGCAGAGGGCGTTTCGCAACTAAGGAGGTAATCCATTGCTTTTTGATTGTCCAGGACCGATTTTGGATATATTCCTTTTTGTGCTATTTGATAGAAGAGACCAGATAGAGTTTTATTAGATAAAAATGTGGAAGATAGAGTATATATCTAGATAAGGACAGACGAGTGTATCGATTCAGACGGCCGTGAAGTAATAGAGTCCGTGCTCTTTGAAATTCGCTTGCGAATTTAAACTACATGAGTCCCTTAACCAGAATAAAACGATACTAAGAGGACCTTCTTTTCCCTTCGGACTGAGCGCAGGGCTGGATATATATATTTAGGTCGGTTTTCCGCTACATGCGAAGGGGGGGTGTTATCGGAAAACTAACTACTATAATGAATCACTTATCACAACCATCAATTGAATGCTGTGGGGTGAAACATCTAGGGCCATTACAAATTCACTGAAGGGAAAACTAACTAACTCTTCTCGATAACGAACGGTACGGCATTGTTATTTTTTTTGTCACTGTATGTCTCTCTAATTCAACTTAATAGGATACAATTTGGACGCTGACGGGATGGATGGTGAGACCCTTCCTCATGCATAACACTGGCATATTGGATTCTCCACGGTAGCACAAGACTGCAGATACGGGAAATTTGACCAAGCTGTAGGCAATAACATTGTGATACTGTGCTAGTAAGTTGCATGAACGGTTTCTTTTCGGCCTTATCTTTTGTATTTTTTTATTTTATTTTATATTGAGAAATGATACGAACAGCGGATTTTGGTTGGAAAATGTTGCGAGAAAGGCTCCGTAGCGTAGGGCTTGGCATGGACTTCAAATCCAAGGCTTTGATTTTACAATATCCTCAATTTCACCGTACTAATTTCAGCCCGCTTGGCATTTGGATAAGTAACTACCCCGGTGGCCTGCATTGCTAGCTTTGAAAGCCAAATATTAAATGTCTGCTAGCTGATCTACTCTAATGCGAATGTCCCTTAGAACAGTCCATGCAATGCACAGCAATTAACTGCGTTGTGGCTTGCATTGGATAGTTAACTGCTGGTAGTATACGTATACAGTTTTCTCCGCTATCTTTCCTTTTTGATGTGCACCTGAAAGTTCGCCGGGGATGGTAAAGACTAATCGGTTGGAATGTGCCGTCTTCGATCGAGATCCCAACTTGTTGGTGAATGGAGATCTCGATTTTAAGCCTGAAGATGGAGAGCAGTCTGGTTGCAAATTTTCAGCGAAAAAGAAGTCCCATGTCTGCGTGTCCTGATGTGGAAGGGCTGCTGTCGATTTGCCCCCGATTTGTCTTTCCTGGCCAGGATGTGCGGCTTGGTGTAACTAAATGCGGACGACACACAACGCAAAACAACCGTTATACATACATATCCTTTTTTTCTTTTCAGGTTTGGCTTGAAGTCTAGTCCGCATCTTTACTGGCTGTTGGTTTCATATTATCATATATTTGACTGGTATTCCGGCTTGGTAGCGAGGGGAGGCGGCCCCTCGATAGATTCTAGCCTCGGGGTCTTTTATCCGCTCCTCGTGGTAGGAACCCCCCGGCCGGCTGCAACTTTTGTTGTAGACATTATATTATATCATATTGTACGATTGTAGATTCATCGCCTGCAGATCGCGTGCCCGGCCCTTGGGATTCTGTTTGGAACGGTGTGTGTGTTTCTGTTGGGTAGATTATCGGGATAAGAGCAGCGGCGGTTATTTCGAAAGAAGTATTCTACTCAAGCCACTTAATGCTCTGGCTCAGCCCAGTCGGAATTCTATGAGGAGCCGTTGTAGGATCGTCGCTTATCGCGTGGACTGGTCTATGCCTGACGAGATACTTGTCCTCAAGGTGAATGTTAACCCTGGTTGTTTTTTTGGCCTAGTTATGAAATAGTCCCAGCTGAAGTCGTTAACGTTGGGCTCTTTGGCTGGGAAATAGATGTCGCCCACTAAGGCCAAATTTGAATTGTCCTATATCCTTTTCGAACTTGACCTGGACCAGATACTTTTGTTGTTCCTCCCAAATCGCCGACTACAGTTGTCATGAGTGGCGTAAATTGAATTACTCATCGTTTACCCTAATTACATTACCATTATATGGACACTTCTTCGTGTCAGAATGTGGAGCATCCAAATGCCAAGACTCCGTGATTGTTTGATGAACCGATCACGATCGCAAGCATCGAGCCAAGATCAAAGGGTCTTATTCAGACAATCTGGGGTATCTACAATGCAGCACGAGGCCTATATAATTGTATATATATCATACGTATGCATACAGCTTACAATATAGCCTCGCTTCGGAGCTTGGCGTTTTGTGAAAAGAACTGTTTAACGAGAAACACTTTGTTCCGTTTTCAGTTTCCTTCGGTTCGTATGAGCATATGAGAGTAACTGCTTTTAATATCCTCGTACATCGTACCGGGAAATTTTAGCCCCATATTTAGTTTAGAGAAGTAAGGACTTAATAGGGGAAAAACATTTAATGTCCTATCAGCTACGAGGTTCGATGCGTAATCCCGAAGCTAAAGGATAAGTTGCTGGTTTCAACGGAAAGCGGAAAATAATCCGGAACGTTGCCCTTCCGGGTCATCAGTATTCTTTCCACCCTATGGATTCAAAAAAGGTACCTAGGAATGTAATTTTCTTACCACAAGCTTTCGGGTAAATCCTTGTACCTCAAGTGTTAATCCTAAACCAGGGAGCGTGTGGGTGGGGTTAACATAGCCTGGTCATGAGAACCGAATTATTTTCTAATTCCGGAGGACATAGGCGTATCAAGCCGTCCCAGGAAGCGGGTACGGACCCGGGATATTGGTATCGAGACATGTGTCAGTGCTGCATTCCACTGGTCCGTTTTGGATATTTTGTTTGTTGAAGGATTGATGTGTACGTGGTGTCACCGGACCCGTGGTTGTAAGCTGGTGCATACGTCGGTAGATGCATTTGCATTCGTCGATATTGGTAAACCCCGATCTCAATCCTACGTGCAATATCTAACTAGGATTCATTCCCGATGCATATCATATAGCCCGAAAGATGCATGTCTTAATGTATTACTGACCTGCATCTAATATCGGCAGCTCTCTTTGAGGATACGTATAGGGGCGACCGATGTGTATATCGGGCGAAAGCGTACGTGTCAAGCGATACACCCCTTTAAATATCCTTTAAATATCGAAATTACCTAATTAGTACCATTGATGTAGAATTTCTAGAACCGCTGCGGGGGATCCGTTAATGCTTGGCATAATTGTGGAAGTCCTTCACTTTGATCAGTGGGGACTATATGTCGGATATTCGAGGATCCGAAGAATATTTAACTTTCACTTAAAATAATAGAATCGATCGCCAAGACTATTACGCATGTATAAAACTCTATCCCCTCTTTTATGTCTATAGAGGTATATACATATTCTTGTTTCATCTTCCCGGCGCCATAAGTACTGTGTTCTAGTGTCCAGGGCCACATTGTTACCATAGCTTTTTGGTGATACAGTGCCATAGTCTTAGATTCTACCTTTAGATACAGCTGTATACGGGACTAGCTAGCCGCCAATCGTCTTTTAAGTTCAGTAGTCAGGGTGCAGGTTGGTCCCTAAAAAGACTTTAGAATATTTACGTCACTAGGATCCGGAGGCAAAACGGTCGGCCGGCCGGCCATGAAACCTGATCCCATCTGGCCGGCTGGTATTGCTGCGGCTACCACCTGTGCAGTTTTCAAGTGTAGTACACTCTATATACATTAACTCACTCTACCGTGTAACTATACTGTAGGACTATTGGGCACTCTAAAGAACTACGGCTATTATATATTGAATTAGTAGTTTAGGACACTAGATACGGATATATATCGGACAGGTGGAAATCCAGAATCAAATCTGTAATACTCAGCCCTTGGTTTAATTTGTACCATGCACCTCTCATTCTGTATCATCCAAGACTACACGCAAGGTACATCCCCTCACGTTTCCATCTACCTAGTTAGCGTCCACCTAGACCAGAAACAAAACGGCGCTGCACGTGTGTTCACCAAAGCTAGTTCTGATTAGTGAACCGTTGGGGGTTTTTAATTTTTGTTTTTCGCCAATTAATTGGCACTCCCTGCCCTGTAATTTAGATGTAGACCCTATTTGCTTCCCCGCTCGAGAGCTTAAGATCCTATAGCTACAGGGTAGATTGGGGGGTTGATAAACGCGGGTATATAGTTGGCCTGGATGGGAGACTAGTGCTCTGCCGTGAAAACGTCTTAAACTCTAGGGCTAATTCCTCGGAACAGGTCAACCATCGACCTTCGGTACCTGTGGTCAGATGTTAAAACAAATCAGGAAAAATTACAGCCTACGACGACTTGGGTAGTTAGAAATGTCACACGATAGAATTTATGCATATTCGTTTCCAGCTATGCAATGCGAGATACTTTTATGGCGAATATACGAACCCCAAGTACACTTCTATAGGTGCGGATTGTCCTTCGATTGTCAGTTACAAATAATATCCTTTGTGTTTTGAATATAACTTGTGGCAAGGGTCAAGGAATGGTGAACATATTATCTAGTTATTCCGTGGTCTCGTCCGTCGATTTGTGGGGAAACCGATCGATCTGGTTCTGCGTCTATCGCATTGATCAATTGACCAGACGTACTTGAGCTTCGGGCCAAATGAAGTTCCGGCCCCGTACGTTTAACTATGAACCGAAGGACCATAAGCTCAACAATCATTAAATGCGCACATGAGTTCAATCTTGATATACGAGTATATATCTACAAAAAGAAGGTCTTATATGAGTATGGTATGATCGAGGAGTCTGTAGCTATAGCGCTAGCGGTGAAGCTAGCTTGAGTGCTCGAATCCGAATCCACCTTGGAACTGGCTTCGCCAACACTTTAACTCCAAAAATGCAACAAATCGCTAGCTAACCTCCGACTAAGATCAGGTCGTTCCCTTGTGTTCAATCCAACGTTACGGCATGTTAATATAATGTATATCTACTGCTGACCGTTGAGATCAGGTGTTTAGAGGAGTAATGTTATTTTCAATAGAATGGAAAATGACAGAATTTGCAGACCAGGCTTCCAGTACGAGTCAATTGACGTCAAAGACCAGGTGATATCTATGGTAGTTAGCTCCTACGAACGTGGTTATCGATCACCGTGAGGCCTATTGGATAAAGAAATAGGTCAGCTGAGGCCCAGAAGTACCCCAGAAGTAAGTTCCTAGGGGGTCTGATAAGTTTTGGTTTGTTAGATCGAAGGAGATTGAGTATATGTATGTGTTCATGAGAATGGGCTAGTAACTAATAAACATACAGTCCCAGATAGTTTAAAAGGTCATACCTGGGAACCACGATGGATGGAGAAAAAGAAGGCGGGGAAAACTATAAGCGAGCGAGATTAACTAGCAAGTAGGAGCTCCAAGTCTATTCGTTTCGTAACAAAGTTTGATAATCGATGTATACTAGCTGGCTATTCCAGCATTAGCATTATATGAGTGCTAGCTCTGGATAGACGCTTTACAAGGCCAAGGGTTAAGCATTGACACCTTACACAACCCCACGAAACAAATAACCTACCGGAGCTCAGGAGTTTCAGCCCAAGGATACGGATCTACCAATCCACAGTACAATATTTCGTCATCCAAAGGGTCGTGTGGTCCACCGTCGAGTATCCGCGCCGTGGATGCCTACCCAGGCTCCACTTCGGTTATGATATTACAGATGCACCAGTCCTGATCAGGGAACTCATCCGTCAAGATTACTGTATCTCTTATTGGTTGTGTTGCATTTTTTTGGGGGGTTTCGATATGATTTCCCCGCAGTCCGGAGCTTTTAGCTCGAGCTTGGATGGAGTGCGCGGGATGTCTATCGATGACAGTCGAGCACATATGTAACTGATAGCTACTAGAAACATAGCTACCTAGCAACGGAATAACCACCATGCCCCCTACCCCATGGCCTCGTGGACAAAAAGAGATCACGATGATCGGCCAAAATAGCCTGCCAAATTACTTGCAGAGTCCCAAAGAGGAAGGTATGATAGCTGTTAAGAACACATCTAGAGGGGGGCTGAGAAATCCTAAGAACAACCGAATTCCTACGAAAAAAAGCTACGTGGAGTTCACAAACATCTGGTCCCAAAGCTCTAGAAGAATGCAAGATGGACGGGGATTCTCCATCCCCAAGCGGGGAGTGTGGTAGTTAACGTCTGGGGCCACTCCTCCTGGACCTTGCTCGGTATATTTTGACTACCCATGAACCTTGTCTAGCGCCGTGGACAGTGTGGAGTTGCAGCTGTGGGGTAGCACTTCCTGATGATGTTTCTCTGCAGCCTCGTAAACAACGTCTATCAGTTACGTTATAAACGCACAGACAAGTCTGCTACCCCGTACTCTTATGCAGCTCTCCAACAGCTTAAAATTATAAATATAAGCCCGTTCGCCCGCTCGGTAACATGTGAAAGCAGAACTCTTGATGGCTGTTGACCTCGTGCCAAATTATCCTTCGAAATCCAACTTAACGAGGGCTGAATTCACCCAAGCAGCCTGGAAGAAGCTGCAGACTTCATCGATTTAGTTCGAAATCAGTGCAATCGACCTGAAACACAACATCCCAAACCAAGTATATTCAATTCGGTCTGGCGGAAAAGCGTCGCCGTTCCAAAGTATTCCCGACAGGATCAAAATTTTCCATTTCGTACGGCGCTAAGTGCCAATTGCGAGCGAATAATTGGAGAGAGATATTCAGGGCCCCATTGTGAAGGTTGAACATGGCGACCTTGGAGCGGCAGCTAAGATAAGTTTAGGGGATACTAGACGTTCTTGGGAAGGAGCAACACAAGTTAAGCTCAACCACAACGATGTTTTGACGTGGCCACGCGTGGAATGGCCGGCGACGCTTGACCGGAGAGAACGGATAAGATAGCATTTTTAGTTTCGAGGGTTATCGTCGGATGCTAGATTGTCCGTAAATGGGAGCTCCCTGATTCGCCATTTCTCGTTGAAGCCAAAGACAATCCGTGGATCGATATACCATTGCAATCCTGAGATCCCACTCATCCCAATAGTATACTTCTAATCCCTTTGCGGGTCGAAATGCGACAAGAGAGTATCTTTTTTTGCCCTTTGATTTCGCCGGAATTTTTTCTTGACAATATTGGTCCCACAATAACCTGGAAAAATCGTCAAAATTATAATGCTATGTGGTGTCGCACGTCGATTAAATCTGTGTGGTTCTGGATCCCCTTAAAAGTTATAATTGCAAGGCCCCGGTTATGCAATGCATGCAATGTTTTCGCGCATTAATTCCCAGAACACTACTTCTTCCAGAAGTTTGATTAACCTTCGAACCTAAGAATATTCACCCATCGAACAGCCTTTGGTTCTTTATGCACAGCCTTGAGTACTTAGTTAGCAGCCTCCAGTGGTGACAGTGGTGACAGTGGTACGGCGGGAGCGAAATAGGGAGCTCGCAGCTTGCCCAAAAGCTTGATCAGCCACGACTGTTCGAAGCTGCCCAATCTGGGGCGAATTGGTGAAATTGAGTTTCGAACGTTTCGAGATTGAGAATGTATCCCACTGGCTTCGTGGAACGGTTCCCTTGGTTCGCCAGGAACAGAGTTATTCCAGACGCTAGAGGGCCCCTTCGTGATATCGGGATCTAGCACTAACGAATAACGTTCGTTAGATCCGTATCGTCGAGGTGGTTATCAATTGTTAACTATTGTTGTGTTGATGTTCATTAAGTCTAATTAATATCGGCCTATGTTATACCGGCTATTTCCCGTGCTCGAAGCTGGCTTCGGTTGAATGATTGGACCAGAATACCGCGCTTCGTTCCTGACTAGACCTGATCGACCCCCTCATTCAACTGAGGGCAAGCGCCGAACCTCAGAGTACTTACGTAGTATACGTACTAGTCTTCTTGGTTTTGATATTCATGAACTTATGTCCCGAAATCCGAGCCCCACCGGCGTCTTTCTTGCATGGCTCGACGACACACCACAGCATCCCAGGCCTACCAACTGCTCACATGAGACCCCAACTATGGTTGGCACACCCTTGACAAGACCTCCAGACCTTGGATTTACCAATCTTTGCCTTTTCCACGACTATGGCTTGTCGAACCACCCATATCCCGAGATTTGAAGCCTGCAGGATCTGAACCATGACCGGCATGGAGGCGTCCTCACGTATCGGTGCCTCGCACAGACAGCTGTTTTCGGGAAACTCTGCCGTAACACATATGCAAGACACTTTTAATCGGCATCACAAGTGAAAATTTTAGATTGAAGTTGACGGCCTCGTGCGCCTGCATAATTTTTGGATCCAATGAAACCCGGGTCGGTGGCGTAGGTATGTATGTATGTATGTATACGAGGAGGCTTTCAGATTCGAAGCAATGGCGACCCCTGTAGGACGCTGCTATTGGACAAACGAAGCGGTATGAGATCAACCCTGTTGGATTTGTATCTGGAAATTCCATTCCGACAGGCTACCAACCTTCAATCGCACAGAAAAACAACATTGAGAAGGAGGAACAAACGTCAACCGCATTTTGCGAGAATACGGTGTCAATCTCACAATACGCTTCCACGCATGGCGTCGTGCCACACCATATCGCTCGTAATGCCTGTATGTATCAGCTGCTTCACCTGCCAAGATTTCTCCGGCACAGCTCCTACCTTGCGCGGAATAGATGCTCCCCGCAACGATTCAACTCCAGAAACCATCTGGTCAAAATAGAATACCAGAGAATGACAGGATTCAATTGGAGTTGGCAAGGCCCCTAGAAGGCTAGGCAAGAGGGATTTCTTTTTTGGAGATTCCAGGCCCCATGCCCGGAGCCGAGTTAACCTTATTGGTATCGTCCCGGCGACCTCAGAAGGGATCGTCTCGCCCGATCCAACTGGCATCTGAAGCTCCTAACACTATGAGATGAACATGGTACCTCGTCGGAATGCAAGTACCGGACAGGCAGAGCGCCAATCTGGCAGCTCTCTAGTTTTCACTGCGAGATAATAGTGAAGAGGCTAGAGGGTATAAAACTTCCCATTGATCCCCTCGATTTGGAGTATTCTTTTTTTTTCTGATAGTGTCGAAGCCGGTTCCTCCCCTGGTAGTCATTCACCAGAGATTTCTTGTCGATTTCCTATCTATTCTTCTCGGGGTATTTGTTCTTTTTTGTAGAAATATATATATTCGATTCTACGACGAGAATGATGGAACTGGCGACGACCCTCCTTGCCCTGTTGGGATTATTTTCCAAGTCAGCTTTTGCAGTACCACTCGCAGCACCAGATACCACAATTGGCATCGGTATCGACTTCACACCAGATTCAGCACTGCCATTGTTGAGATTACCTTATGCTACATACAGAGCAGCAGATTATGATGTCTTGAATGATGTAGGTTTCAAGTTCAACAATGCCGCTGCAAGCCATCCGAACTGCTTAAGCGAACTTCTTTTGCGTTGTCGCAGATGTTCAGACCATTTCCTATTTCGGTGTCTGTGCAATTTCCCACGCTAACAACGCGAAATGCTCTTCTTAATGTTGTAGCTCTACAAATTCAAGAACATCCGTTTTGCGGCTCCTCCAACTGGTGCTCTCCGATGGCAGAAGCCAGATCCTCCTCTAAAACAAGAGGGAATACAAACGGGAAGTGTTGGATACCAATGCATGCAAGCTGTGCCTGAGTATCTAAAAAGTAAGCATTAATTTCAGGATTCTCAAATATTAATGTTGTCCTTGATATTTAATTTCAAATTATCATGCGCATATGCATTAACCATATATTTGAATAGTTGCCTACCCGATTATCACAATTGAACCCCAGTCCGAAGATTGTCTTTTCCTCGATGTTTATGTACCTGCAGCAGCGATCAAGGGCCAGGCCAAGAATCTCCCGGTGATGTTCTGGCTTTATGGTGGCGGATACGGTAAGTCTCACTGTTTCACACCCAGCCTAGCTAGTCAAAAAAAATTGTACTAATCCTCGCTTTTTGTTGTAGCTCTTGGCTCAAAGAATTTCTTCATCTATAACGGTACCCCACTTATGAAATCCGCGCAAAACCAGATGATTTTTGTGGCCCCGAATTACCGAATGGGCGCATATGGTTTTCTTGCCGGTCCAACCGTTGAAAAGGAAGGTGTGCCAAACGCAGGTCTCTGGGACCAACGTGCTGCCCTTCAATGGGTACAAGACTATATTGGTCTTGTCGGCGGGGATAAAAACTCTGTCACTGCTATGGGTGAAAGTGCAGGCGCCGGTAGTCTCACACACCATTTGGTCGCCTACGGTGGAACAGTTGATCCCCTATTCAAGCGAGCGATTTTACAATCTCCAGCATGGTATCCACAATACGATAGTGGACGACTCGAGACCCAGTATGCAAGCTTTGCATCTCGCGCTGGGTGCGCTGGCAAGGGCCTTGCCTGTCTCAGAAGCCAATCTACCGATGCTGTTGACAGGGCTAGCCGCGGCGTTATCTCTGCTCAACCATATGGAGAATTCGGGTTCGGTCCTGCTGTTGACAATAGCTTCATTAAAGACCTTCCATCACTCGAGTTCGCTAGGGGTAACTATTGGAAGGATCTTGATGGAGTTATGGTCGGACACACCTCGAATGAAGGTTTCTTATTTACTACCACAGTTCCTACAAGCAACGATGATGTTTTGAAGGTTATCAGCAGAACTTTTATCAATGCCACCCAACCCACTGTCGACAAAATTATGAACATCTACCCCAAACCCGGTTTGTTCAGGAAGTACTTGACAAACTTCCTTCGTTCTGCAGATCTCATCGGTCAATTCATCGTTACTTGTAATGCCCGATTTATCGCCGAAGCCTACTCCGGGAAGGTTTGGAACTACCAGTTCTCCGTCATCCCTGGTATCCACGCAATGGATTTAATCTTCACTTTCTGGTCGCGGGGTGTCAATCTCGGCCCGATCGAACTTGATTTTAGCATCGACTTCCTCACTTCGAAGAACTTGGCCACCGGATGGCAGAGCTATTTGACTAGTTTTACACGATCCGGTAATCCAAACACCTACCGTGAAAGAGGCGGATTACCAGCAACTGCCGACTGGCCAAAGTCGGTAATCGGCTCTGAGATTAAAGCATTGGATATGGATCTTCTTGGTTTCAGGATGAAGGACGATCCGGATACTGATGCAGCTAGGTGCAACTTCTGGAAGAGCGGAGTCTGGACCGGAAGAGCATAAGGGGGTCTTTGAGTAGACCCGAACTACGAGAAATATACCCATACCCACACTTCTAGCTAATACCCATAGCGAACACATCATCTACGAGCGAGGTGCATACCATGATTAAGTTTCTTGCTATTCCTATATATATACCCACATCTTTTGGCGTTTCTTTAAGGTTTTTTTGTTTTATTTTTGTTCTTGTTCCATGGATTTGGAGATAGGGCACGTATTACGCTCATTATGATATCCCACGAAGTACTCGCACATACCCGCATGTTAGTCCGATTGTTACTCACATGTATCTACTTAGTAATGAAATATTATTAAAACAATGCACAGCTGTTCTCATATTGATGGTCGTAACTTCAAATTCAACTTTAAGAGTCCAAATTTGGCTGCATATCACATTAGAATCGCCACAGGAAGAGTAGAAAAATATTCTTCAATGATAATATTGTTGTCGAGATCTTTATTTACATTAAAGTTACAGGACTGCAATGCTAGGCTGTTGAGCAGTCGATATGATCCCAATGGTGATACAACGAAAAAACTAACCCATCCATATGCATCCAATTTTCGCTTCGTCAATCTCACAAATGCTAGATAGACACATTCGTAACGTCGGGCCCGGCGGTAACCTTAACCGTCCTTTCCCCGGTAAACTCGATTCTCAGCATCCCCACCCCCTTCGAATTCTTGAAACCGTACTTCCCTTTCGCTGTGATGATACCCACCCCTTCAGCGCCGATGCCAATACCGGCAGCCGCCCCCATAAAACTAGAAAATATACTAACTGATATCTTCCACACAAGCAACTGATTATCATCCAGATCCGCCGCAACAATTGTTTTCCCATCTTGGCTGAAGGTTAGGAACTGAGTCGTTTTCGATTGGCCTTCTAGGCTGGCGACTGGTTTTGCAGTGTTGAGGTCATAGATCGTCACAGCACGAGGAGACGAGGAGATCGCAAGCTTTTGTGTAGGGCGATGAAATGCAACAGTTGGATAAGCATCTGTGACCTCATTTACGACCTCTGAAACGTATTGTAGAACCCTATCTCGAATTTGCCCACCTTGAGGATCTATAATCTTGACAATGGCGTCCATCACCACCTTGATGATTTCTGGCTCAGCAAAGAGGTAAGGATCCGAGCGGACGATCGAGACTACCGTCTTTTTAGCGGCAATACTAAGATTGATAAGTTCTGTTAAAGTATTTGATGCGATCCCCTTCTCCGGTGTACCATGGGAAATACAGTTTGCAAGACCAGACGCGAGCAATGGCGCATTCTTTTGTGCGATTTTGATAAATGCTGAGTTGATCTTCGTGATGCGTTCTTGAGTTAAGTTTGGAGCTGCAAGAATGCGCATCAGGATGTGAATGACTTCAAAGGCATCAAATTCACTCTGCCAACTTAGCCAGCCTTCGCTGACGAGATCAATCGCAAGGTCTTGATAGACCTTGTCGTTATCGGTGAGGAAGAGTTCAATCGAGAGGGCGACATTGCGGCGCAAGCTAAAATTTAAAACAGGCTATATTAGGATCATGGAATAATCCAAGCGGGTATGGGATGGCTAACCTTCGATCGATCTTAAATCCTGACTCATTACTGATATCTAGAGATACGATGATCACCGATAATACTACAACAGACCTTAAGACTGCCCGTAATGAAAACAACTCTGGTGAGATCTGGGTTGGTACTGCGGAGAGAAGCTATTAGCGATGCTGCAGGTATGGTGTAGATGTCTGTACCCAGGTTCTTACAGAAATCCTGCCAGTATTCAATAACCGTTTTTATGTCTGCGGGCTTTAGTATTGATAGTTCTGATTCCAAGAGTATTCGGCATGACTCCCGAATCCATGCTACTTCTTGTTAGCTTCAAGTCTTTTCGAAGGACTTATATTTCTGACTTACGGTTTGAATCAGTCCAGAACTCGCACAACAAAGCAAGATCCAAGCCTGTTCCTCCTTCCTGCACCTGTTTAAGAATCGAAATCACCGTCTTTTTCAGCAATTCTTCACCGTCTGAAATTGTTTCTGAGGATGTCGTCAGATGACCAATAGTGTATATCAAGGAGCAAATCGACATCATAAGCTGAGTCCGGCTTCGAGGGCTCATCTTCCCCCATTCAATACTCTGTTCCTGAGACCCATCCCGAAGCATGATCGATATGTTGCCGTCGCAATCGACTTGTGCGATCGAAATTTTATTCTTGTAGCCTTCTATAAGAAGCTGCGAAAGTTCGAGGCGGCCCTTGTCGGACAAATCCCCTCCTTTACGGTAGATACCTAAGTAATCTACTAGGACGGTCAATAGGCTCCTAGCGGGCACGAGGACATCATCATCCGGTGCCAAAACCTGCTCTTTATCTGTGCCTTTCGTCTTTTTGTATAAATAACGAAGGATAGCAAAAATATCTACTGTGGCCGTAGGATACCCATGCGAGCTTGGAACCTTGCTATCCTGCACAATCGGCTTTGATGAATTTTGAGAGAACCCATTTTTAGATCCAGCGAGCCACTGTTCTCGCCACGGTTCTTTTGAACTGTCCAATTCTTCAGAGCTTTGAGCTTCACGGAATGTCGCGGATTTTGGAGAGTCCGAGTCATTCACCAGCGCCACCCCGTCCCCTGAATCAACATCCCAGAGCCTTTTCCGGCCGTCCGCATCTACCAGAAGAATTAGATTTTTACCCTTTTGGGTGGCCACGCAGGCAAGCTTCCGAGAGGCCATCCCGGAAGGCAGTGTCAACAACGTCCGCACTTTGAACGACGACGATTCGCTGACCGCTGGGATGATGTCTATGATCGAGGCGCTTCCGTTCTCTGAATACACCAGTAGAGTAGATCGTATCCTTGGTGCAAGGTCCGCAGGCAGTACTACCGCACCCTTTATAGGGCTAGCATGTAGCGATAGACACTTCGACATTTGGAACTTTTTAGGTTCAATGAGGTATATACAGCCGTTGGCAAGGCCGACTACAAGGTAATGTCTTTCTCCCGAGGCAGAGGATTTGGGGAGTTGGATCGATTGAAGAACATTCACCCTATCGCAAGAGCTAGATACTGTCATTAAGTGGTTCGGTGACGAGAGATCCAGTAGATATCGGTCGAGCGTGTATAGATTCAGCTCGTTCCTCACAGCATAAACCATATTGTACTCAAAAACCGACGACGCGGTAGAATGCTTGGAATTAGCATCAGTTGTGGTATCTGCAACAAAGATGTTAATACCATCCTTAAACTTCAATACCTTTGATGTCACGAACGCACCTTCCTCAAGCCACTGAAAACTAGAGGCTTTAGACTTAAACCCTGTTATAAGACTGTTTCCACCAGTATTCTTCACGATAAAAGCCGTAATCTGAGCGTCTCCGGTTGGGGTCTCGCTGGCTGCATAGTACACGGCGCGATAACGCGGTGATTGACAGGGTGATATTTTCTCTAACAAGTTGAGGTCTTCATCGTAGATCGAGATACTCCCATCTTGAAGGACAGAAAATACCAGCTGGGCCTGGACCGTCGCACTTCTGAGTATGGAAGCCTCATCGACGGACGCTAAAAACTCCAACCTAATCCCTCCACTCTTGATACAATTGTAGACAGAGAGCCCGTTCTCTTGCACAACCAATACTTTGTCCTCGTCATCTTCTTTAATATCGTGGAACAAACGAACTTCAACGATATTACCAAATTTCGGATCCCCCACAGCTAAAGGTGTTTCTTGAACTTTAGAGATATCTATCGTGCTGGTATGTTTTCGCACTAACGACCATGGCTGTAGCCCTCTCCCGTTTTCAACCGTAAAGATGGTATTATGCGAGGCCCCTGGAATCGATAAGAGAATTGGCCAATCCTGGTGTCCTGTCCACAAAGAAGCCAATGACAAAGTGGTGAACGATAAGACAGTTATTGACGTGGAACATCCATAGACAAGTACGTAGTAGTCCGTCAACCAATTAAATTCCAATGGTTTCCCTTCGGAATTGACAGCCGGAATCGGGATTACGGAGAGCCCACGTGGCCGGCAGTCGAGGCCTCCGTCCCCAGATTGGATGCACCGGCCATCGGTGGCGTCCCACTTGCATATCCGGCCGTCCAAAGATAAACTTAGGAGGATTATATCGTCCTTCCCGGAGGGTGATCGAACTGCCAGCGATTCGAAGGCAACAATAGACGAATCGTGACCACTAAGGTATGTTCGGAGCCGTTGGTGTGCGCCATCTTTAGCCGTCTCAAGTAGTATGATGGCACCGGAAGTATAGCCGACAGCTAGAAACTTAAGGTCTTGTATAAAGTACGAAGCGGTCGGGAGGCCTAAGGAATATGGTAGGAGATGGTCCGGGGTATGGGCGAAGCCAATAGTTAACTGCGCCGGAGACGCCATTGAATCCAGCTAGCTGAAGGAGGTGTTGTGCCCACGGAGGTCAGCACATGATCCTGAAGGGTTGGAGATGCATCCGGTATCGCCAGCTAGCTGTTTATCGGCCAATCCAGCGATGAAACTTCACATATCATGGGCGTGAACATACTGGAACTGATCAGTCGTATCCACATGAGCATAATGAGCATGACGTTGCTTCGGGGTTGTGACGCCAAGCTCCATGGACTAGGTTTAAGGAGCTCGAGCTACTGCCATTTTAGGTGAAGGCTGGTTCTCGAGCGCACAACACCTGAGCCCTCGACTAGTTCAACCTCTTGTCTCCTCCCCCAGACTCTTGAAATATGGTTCACTCAGCTTGATCCAGTTCGATATTGAAATGTAATTTTATCAAACCTCTTCATTAAAAGCCAAAGTAGTGAGAGTTCAATTGTAACATAGATTAAATAGTCGTTATTTTGATATTGCAACCCCGATTAATATTGCACGTTGTTAGCGTGCGTACGGGCGCTCGTCACACCGCAATCCTGTATCTAAATTTTGGAATATACCTATATATAAGTAAGTAAGTACGTATATATCAGTATTGCCTTAATATATTAATAGTTTTACCAGAACTAACATTAGTATCGCTATCAAAGTATTCAATCAGGGTGCGTCCGCAAGCGTCGGCCTGCAAAATAGCGAACGAAAATGATATTTGACAATCCAATGAAGCCATGCATTTGGCTTGCTCTGGACCGGTGCACTGCAGAGGTGCGTGTGCCATACTATAGTTATAGGGCATCAAGACTGGTTTACAAGCAATGCTCCATGGATCCAGCCCCTATAACTAAATTTGATTTGTGATGAATCTCTTACACGACTATAGAGAGGCTTCTGTGCTATACCAGTAGACTTCGTAAATGATTCGGCTTAAAAGGTTTAATTACGTTAGCGTTACAAAGTTATGATCACTTCGTGCGTCCGATTAGGAGATAAAAGTTTGCGCTGGTGAGTTCAGTACCAATCTTGAAACGTACTACACCAGTAGGGGATCATGATTTGCTGGCATCGGAATATATTAATCTCGTAAAGCCTAGAATCTACCGCCGTACTTGATCTTAGTACTTTCAATGTTCTAGTGTTAATATACTATGCTATATGGACCGAAGAGTCAGAATCTAGTTTGAAGCCTTCCAAAGAACTAACTACAAGTGATTTGCAGTTTCTACAGCTTATATATCTTTCATTATGAGATTTTCTTGTCACGGGTCTTTTGGCGGGGTCATGCTTACCTAAGTATTTACCAGTATATATTATGCTAGAAAAGTGGTGTTTTTCAATACCGTTCGAATCCGAATTATTAGTAAAAGTTTGCCTCTAATCCTATTCTAATCCGTATTGAACACCGTAATACCATATTATAACGAAAAAACTGTATTAATACGGTGTCGATACCCCCCCTCCTTCTGGCACAGTATGCAGCTCGATATCGAGAGAATACTTGTCGTGAAGTTTCGCAAACTGCTAATCCTTTAAATACTTTGTGTTGTGTTGGATTTCTAATTTGGCTTAGTCTGCTAATGCCTGATAGCCTGCGCGCAGATAGCTTCAAATATAATAACTGAACCTAAGCCTAGGTCATCTTTTGATGACAAAACCTTGATCACTCTTCCATCGTCACAAGTAGTCTTGTATTAAAACGCTTCGGCACGCAGTTGAGCGTGGCGTCACAAGTACATTCCAATGGGCAAATCGTAAGTGTGTGTTTTCTATAACAATGATTCCACGAATCCTAATTGACGAAGTACTCTTCACTAACACTCTCCGACCGTTCTAGATCGAAGGATAAACGAGATTCCTATTACCGGCTCGCAAAAGAGCAAGGCTACCGCGCTCGGTCGGCCTACAAGCTTCTCCAGCTTGATGCTCAATTCAACCTTTTCAAAGACGTTACCCGGGTCGTCGACCTCTGTGCGGCACCAGGTTCATGGTCCCAAGTCCTTTCACGATCGCTCGTAGCCAAAGGGAAGGACCGAGAACCCAACGTGGCACAATCCGAGACAAATGAAGTACAAGAAGTTCAATCGAAGCCAAAAGTGAAGATTGTAGCGCTAGACCTCCAGCCGATGACTCCTTTACCTGGGGTTATCACTCTTCAGGCAGATATTACACATCCATCGACGCTCCCACTAGTGTTGAAGCATTTGGAGTCAGACTCAGCAAATGTGGACCTAGTGGTTTCGGATGGCGCACCCGACGTTACGGGTCTACATGATTTGGATGAGTACATTCAGGCTCAGTTGTTACTTGCGGCTTTGAACCTTGCTACGTGTGTACTACGTCCCAGTGGAAACTTTGTTGCAAAGATTTTTCGGGGACGGGATGTTGCAGAGCTGTACTGCAAGCTGAGGATATTCTTTGAAAGGGTTACAGTGGCAAAGCCGAGGAGCAGTAGAGGAAGTAGTATTGAAGCTTTCGTGGTTTGTGAGAATTATACCCCGCCGGAAGGGTTTCAGCCATCCTTGGAGAATCCTATATGGACTGGACCAACTCGGCAGGAGGATATTGCGGGGCAGATTGCAGAGGTTAGCCTCGATGATGCGCCTAGCGGGAGATGGGTAGCTCCATTCGTTGCTTGCGGAGACCTGTCGGAGTGGGATTCAGATGCAACATATCAACTACCAGATACAGATGAGAACGGAGTTAAAAGGGTCAGCATCGATCCAATCCAGCCGCCTACAGCCCCGCCGTATAAAACGGCTATTGAAATGAGGAGAAAGCTAGGAAATGGTGGCAAGATTAATTAAGATATAGCATCAGCTTTTTGAGCCTTCTCCAGCTGGCCTATCAGGATCCTGTCCAAATCTGATTAAATGATGCCTGCATAATGTGTGTTACGGGTGTGGGGATAAGAATCTGACTGGCATAGCCACGTGTAATACGTCGACAGCAAATAAGGAAGCACCAGATATTCAGGAATTGGATCCTACTTATGAAGTTGAGACATGAGCCGAACTAGGGTTTACGTCTTGCTAGACGACTTACGACCAGAAGTGCAATCCTCACCAAAAAGATTTATCGACCTTTTTTTTTATCGATAAAGCTGTAGATGCATGCAGAAAATAAGCGAGAAATCATATGCGGGAAGGCTATTCTAAATTAGGAACCGAGCGGACCAGCCAGCATTCCGTTTCAATTTGCCAGTTTAATTTGACGGCTTCATGGAGACGGTGAGTCAGAGAACCCGCGGTTCGTATATGGACACTGTTTAGTGTATTTAGCGTCAATCCGGGATTTTTCTCTGAGATATTTTGTTCTAGAAAAAAAATAGTACTGAGGGAAATATTTAAGAGGGATCATGAAACATAATCAAACCAGCATGTTGGAAGTCTCAAAGGAGAGAGGATATGTCTTCACTAACGTCAGGTCCTCGTGCTATGATGCGATCCTTGTTCTGAGGTATCGGTCTATATAACGTCATGAGAAGAGTGACCTTTTGGGTCAGTGGTCGCGAGCCAACATTCAGCCGATCGGACAGGCCCCTTTGGCTTGAAAGAACCACAGCAGAAACAAGAGGCAAGATGCTTTTGCTGACCAAATCACTTGGGACAAAGAAGGGTTCCCGGTCAAAGTTTCCATGCATGTTCAAGTTGGTCACCTGTCCGTATTCCAGTCGAGACATGTAGACGCACCGGAAGTTGGCCGGACTTTTTGACCAATCCTGGTGCATGTCAAAGGTGCCCGAAGAAACGGTCTGCGCATATACTTTCCCTTCGAATGTAATGCTTGTCGCTGATAAAGTTCGACTCCTGCGCCTGTTGTGACATGTGTATGTACGACGACCCGGAGCTCGAAAATGAACCATCCCCATGTTATTAATCGAACTAATTTGACATATTCTGTCAAAGAGCTCGAAAGCACAGCACAGGATCACTCGTTGGGACCATATCGGGTGTTCGTTTCGTTAGCCTGAAACGATACTTGGCACGTCTGTGGTTATCTGCATGGCGTCGGTCGAGCTCGCAGGGGGAATTGATACCAGACTGCGTACTATTGCCGTTATATGCAGACGATCGCGATAGACAAGAATTAAAGAGATAGAGTTAGTATGACTCCGAGCTCCTCAAGAGGATTAATTCGCTCTTCGAGATAATCAATTTCAATCCTTTCCCTGCCTTCGGAATTCGTGCTAGCCTCCGGACTTTTTTGTTCATGCCTGTACTTACATCCATACTTATTACGGCTCTGACCCGGATCCCGCTGGTAAAATAGGCCCATTGAAACCTCCACCGTATATTGTTCCCGTTCCTTTGTATTGAAGACGGACTAGTGGCTTCCCCCCTTTAGAAATCGATTCGAAGACGAACTTGAAGTTGTTTTTAAGTTGAAGTTCTCGATCGATAGTATCCACTTCTAGATACCCGTGTATCGAATAATAATTCGAATCCGACAGCACCGCAGTGCATGCAGAGATAAACGGTCACACTTGTTCGCTCCGATTCGATAGCCACCTGGCCGGCTAGAAAACCCGAGATTGTTAGCCATCAATTGCAATATCAATATCAAAGATTCCAACATCCCGTCATCCTCGGGCTTGTTATTCAACGGCGGTGTTTGTTGGCGCATTGGATCCTTGGCCGATTCGGGCTTCGAGTAGTGTTCTGGAATTCGTTTATTCCGCGGGCCTTACCTGGCTGACTGTTAACGTTGCCTGGCCTGCCAGCCCAGCTGCCTTGCCCCGGAAAATTAGCTTGGGCCGTGCTGGGAAAAGACGAAATATCCTCGTCATCCTCAAACGTCCCGAAGCATCATCTTTTCTTCTGAGTCCCTTCATACTCCATAACTTGTCCTCACCTTCATATCTACTGTACCGTCGGTCCCTTTTTCCCTCCTTGTTGGTTTCCTCGTGGGGGATTGCATTATCGCTCAATCTACGACACACAACACTGCACTGCTCCGCCATCCATCCATCAATTCGGCTTCGAAAGGTCACTTGACGCTGGTTTCGTTAACTAGACTAGCGTCTGCTCTCCAGCGGTCCCTGCGTCCCAGAAAGACAACCAGCTTGTCATCATCATTACTACTGTTCCTCAGGTAGACAGCCAGTTTGTCTACCCAAGACCAAGAAAGAAAGAAAAAGGAACCCCCGGGCGAGCGAACGAGCGACCAAGGGAGCAAGGGAGCAAGCAGAGTTCCTTCGTCGGTCCCTTGTCAGATCTTGTTCTTGTTCTTGTATTATACTGTTCGGGAGGTCATCTGTACCAATCCCCATCCTGAGTTCTGAGTTGCCTGACCTCCAGCACCTCTGCCGACAGCGACGACGCGTTCAACAGACACTTTTCCCACATCATCTTGCAGCCTATCAGACTCCGTCACTTGATTCGCAAGCCTCTTCTAGACTTCGATAACCGACTGCTTCACAAAATAGCCATCTTCCATCTGTTTCTAACCTCGATCTCAACTCGGGAGTGTATTCTGCTTTTTGTGTCCATCTCATCTCCACTCCCACTTCCATCTCTATCTTCACCTTCATATCCAACGGTTTAGCCGGTACCAGACCTCTCCTATGTTTTAGATAGGAAGACTACAGTGCTTCAACAGCTTCGGACACCGATATCCATCCATCTATAACCTCCGGACGGCTCTGTTTTCCAAATGATATGGATGTGGACAGCTCATCTGAACTTCGCACCATTCGATTTTGACCCCTTCATAGCCCCTTCCGCACAAATTATATTCAAGCTCGGTATTCCTGTGTTACCTTGCACCAGTCCCTGAAGGAACGTACCACCAAGTCGTTAGTGGGAAGAGAAGAAGAAGAGTAGAAAGGAGGAAGAGAAGAGAGAAGAGAGAAGATAGGAATCTAATCCTTCTCAGCAGTTTCATTTTGCCTTATTCCCATCAGGTACTGCCACCACTTTCCAGCGTTATAATTATATCAAGATCAATAGATCACCGAACACCCGAAAATATGCCACCATCCCAAAATTTTCCTTTACCACATTACAATATATCATGAATATATATACAGCGATGCTGACCGTCAATTTATTCTCCTTTAACAGGACTTGTAGATTGCTATGCAAAAGAATGCCTCAAAAGAACCCGTGACATCCAAACCTATCCAACAACAACAGCCAGACCCAGCAGCGGCAAGTAGCTCTCGCCGGCTCTCAATAGAGGCAGCAGCAGGCCCTTCTCGAAGATCTTCGATCCAAAGCGCCATGGAGTCAGACATCCGGCAACCGAGGCTGCACCAGCACCGACTATCACTTGGGCAGATACCCCAAGAGGACTTCTCCGGGACCTACACCAGAGGATCAACACAACAGGTATCCCACTCAAGATCGAGTTCTGGAAATGTACAAAGCACATCAGCCAGTGGAAGCCCGGTATCATACGGCGGTACGCAAGGCAGAACCACAATCCAAAGAGAAAGCACTGGCGGCGGCGGCGGTTCGGACTCTAATTCCAGCTCGGGTGGTGCCCCGCAAGGCAGCGATCAAAAGGCCATGGAATCCGAACGGGGACGACTCAACCAACTTATGACGGTTCGATCACCACTCCTAGATGAAATACTCGAAAGTTCTAGCCAACTAACGAATTCCGGTTTCTTGCAGAATTTCTTCTTGAAGTTTTGTTTGGTTATAGTGAGATCCCGGATGGATGTTCCGCCTGTATTCGCAAGGGGGACAGCGACACGGAAAGTTAATAAATGGGCATGTTTTTGATCCTTAACTCCTAAAATAGAAGGGGCGCTTTGCTAAGCAATTTTCACAGTTCAATGTTGAGTTAGAAGAAACGGACGTCTTCCGGGAAGATCTACGACCTTGGAAATACGCCGAAGCCTACGAGAACAGGCCGCCGCCTCTGATAATCGAAACATACATCGACGCCGAAGAATTAACTCCAAACCAAACTTTAGTAATATTAGACGACAACGAACGGAGACACAATGTAGAGACAACTTTGCTCGCCTTTAGGAATTGGAGACGAGGTAACCCATTGAATTCAAAGAAGGAAGTCGTCCTAGAGAGGTGGAGGGTTGATTTAAGGTATGCAAATCCGGTCAATAAAAAGAAAGAATACCTTTAACACGCATATTCGATTAGCCCACCAATCGGAGAGTCTGGGCCAGAATTAGCAGTCGTGTATAAGAAGAGCATCGTACTCTTTAGATCTTTATACTCTTATGCCAGACTACTGCCATCATGGAAACTCCAGAAGAAGCTTGCCAAGGGTAATAAGAGTAACCTACGGATCTGTTGCAGGGTTGTGAACGGCGATACGACTCCGATACCCCAACCTGATCCACTAGAGATTGCATTGATTCCCCGAGAAACCAATGTTACCAATAGCTTCCAGTTCGGAGCTGTTGATTCTCCGGCTGGTACCTTCACCGTCAAGGTCGACTATCGACGACAATGTGAATTTCGGGTAGACGACTCGGAGGCTTTGTTGAGCTCGCATTTCCTTAATCTGGATGAACATTACTTCAAACCTTCTCTCCATCAAAGAGCCCCTTCACAACCTGTCAATCTTCCATCTAGAGAACCAGGGTCACTTCCCTCTCATAACCTCAATTTAGTGCAAAGAGGGGACCCAAGTTTGGCCTATGGCAGCCTAACATCCTTCCACCAAGTCTCAGGTGGTGTGAGCCAAAGCCCGATATCCGCATTAAGAAACCTCCATATTAGTGGTGGATCATCAGCAGGGTCGCCTAGCGAGGTAGCTTCGATAGCCGCCCGTTCCGCTCATGGATCTAAGGCATCCTTGAGATCTGAATCTGGCGTTCAACGAAGACCCTCGGTATCATTCATGCAACCCTTCAAAAATCCCCCGGTTTCAGCCTCTCCATCACCAGCAGAACAGTATGGTCACTCGCCACGGACATCCCTCACCCGAATGTCGCAGGTGGGCGTCGCGGTCCCTGCAAGGCAGCGTCCTACGACAGGAACAATGTCTCCTTCCTCTCTGAAATCAAGTATTCCAGCCGAAGCACCAACTTCGAATCCCGCGACACCAGGAGTTCGTTATAGCAGTAGCTTTGGTAATAGGCGGCCTCGACACTCCTCGGGTGCTAGCAAAACTGAAGATGATAATAATAGCAGTGGGAGGGGAAGCCTTGCATCCTCAGCTGCGGCTCCGGGCTCAGGATTCGTAGAAGCATCAGCAGTAAATTCCGGGATAAGCGAGGAGGACCGAAGCCTTACCGATTTCATGAATATGCTTGACCAGAAACAGCCTCTGAAGATCTTTGATAGCTTCTCCGAATCATCGGGAAGGCGAGCCGTTGCGGCACTTGGGAAGTATCAAAAGATGAGGGACTCAAACGCTGCGCTTCAGGATTCAATGTCATCCTCTCTGTTACTCCCTCAACAGCCGACAAGCAACCCATCTTCCGTTGGTAGAACTCAGCCTGGAGGCCCGCCTGCATTATCAGGTAACTCAGTATCAACATCATCCTCCCCAGGGAAAGCAGTTTCGCCCCACACGCCAGCTATCCCATCTCGGCTCCAGCAAAATGAGACAATCGTGCATGAACAACCCGAGAACCCCAGCTCATTAGACGAACGGCTTGCACAAATATCGCCTCCAACCTTTAATTACCTCAGAAGGCCAACGGAGTCAGACCCAGCTCCTTCGGCACAAACCACTTCTACAACCGCCACAACATCACCCATGAACATTCCGTCGTCACCTCGATTCGTCCAGGTTCGCCGATCCAATTCAGTTTCCCAGGAACAGACTGAGGAAGATGGCGCTGGTCGTTTCCAGAGCCTTCGACAGATGATAGGGCCCGTGGAAAGGCCCACAAGCATAGATAATTTGGATCGTTCTCCGCCTTTTATATTGGCAGACGATTCCCTAACAACACGCGCGCCTGGTTTGGCCACTGGTGAATCCGGTGCTCTAAGGCAAACGACAGCTGCCACTAGTCTTAGCGGGAGCTCACCCGGAAACAGAGCTGGTGCATCCAGGACTGCATCAAGCGATCGAGCACCCGCTTCTGCATTCCAAGGCAGACGACCATACAGATCTTCTGTTACCCCTCGGGCACCAGTCGATGGTCGAACCCCAAGCGAAAACCGCGGAATGTTTCCCTCGGATGACGACCTGCTCTTTGACTTCAGCGAAGGAGATGTGGTACAAAGACGTAGTTTGGATCGAAGCCGAGGCAATAGCCATGGAGGCGACAGCCGAGGTGGGCGCGGTAATTAAAGAGCTCTGATATGCTCTTATGGAGGTTTTTTATATATTCGGGGGGATTTGTCGTGGTTTGGTCCTTTCATTTTTAGCAATATCTCCTTCAGCGACGATTGGTTTGTGTTTAAATACGGTTGGGTCATTGTTCTTTTTGGGAAATTCCTTCTCTAGCTGTCTCGATTATAAGACCGCAGTAGTTCAAGGGGTTTGTATAGTTGTGCTTGCTTGCTTATATGTTGGCCTTTGCCCGTTTCATAGTATTCTTTATTGCTTTTTGTTTAGTTCAATCCCCTGGCCCCCTTTCGCCGAGTTGTATCCCTAGCCTCGGGGCCGGGTGTATTCCTAGAACCAACTTTTCGGGAAAATGTTTATACGGTAACACTTGTTCATCGGCGCAACCTTCTTCTTTTCTCGCTTCTTTCAAAAGATATCCTTTACGGCGAAGAATTAAATTGTGGTTATAGTAATGTCCTTCAAGTCGATCCGCTTCTCTGCCTTTTGTCGTCCCATTCAGTTGTTTTCCTGATTACGTACCCGAAGCGCGTTTCTTATATATTTTTCGATGTTCTTTGATATGCCCGGATTTCTCTACCTTAAGCTACTAACTAACCAACAACGTTTCGATCTCCGCTCAGCCTAGCCATAGTCAGGAGTTTTTTTTTATCTTTTCTTCTTTCACCTTCTATGATATCAGCGATATACTTTCTTCGTCTTCTTTTTATATTTGTTGGTGTTTTGTTTCCTACGGCGGTGATCATCAAGGGATCGGACTGAAAAATACAATACCTTATATTATATTATACTAGTCTCGGAGCCAGAGCTTTTTTTGTTTCCTTTTAATTCTTATAATTGTGTTATCCATGGTTTGGATAGATCAGGATTAGACGGGAAATGAAAGTACTTGAACTTTCGAAATTGTGACCGGAACATCCAATATTTTAGAGATCTAGACCGAGTTATTCTATAGTGGTACCTAACTGCGCATTTTTGAGTCGCTTGGCAAAGAGGTTAGGTCGAAGACACGTAGATAATTAATTGTTTTGGATCACTCGAGTACGTTGTATCGGATATATATGAAGCCTAGTGGATAAGTTCGTGCACGACTCGAAACTAATAATAATAATATTGTCATTCTATCTAAGAGACACCTTCTATGATCTATATCTATCACGTAAAGCATAAAAATGCAAAACAACAAAAAGATTTGTACATGAATATTCGAATGAAAAATGATAGGTTAAATGCCGGGAAAACTCGATCAACGAAGTAACATCGAGCCTAGGGACTATCGGGACAACTTCCTACTCCCCGAACCCCCCCTCCCGCTTTGTTCGTTCATAAATTGAACGATTGGTTCATCACTGCACTATATCATCCCAAGAAACTAGTTAGTCTACAAAAATCCCCAATTTCCAGAAGCACTTAACGTGATGTACGTATCAAACTCACAAATTCAGTCCATGTCGACGGATTCCGTAACACCTCAGACGAAATTTCAGTATGTCGTCCCAAACACGCGTATGTTTTGGTATCATACACGTAACCTGCACCTCTCTGCCATACTATCTTTCCGGTTTCGTAGTCCCTGATTATTCTAGAATATAATTCTCGGAGGCCTGGCGCATCCTCTAGGGTGGCCATTTCTTCTTTTAAAGCTTGTATGCGAGTTTGAGCGCCTGCGCAAAGTGGTTGGCCTCTGGGAGGGGATGGGGTGGTCATTTGCTGGTAGATTCTTTGGGATTGAAGCTTTGGGGTGTTGGATTTGTATTCCATTGTGAAATATGATGGTAGTATAGTGGATCAAGTTGTGATATATATCTATATAGGCCGTAGCGCTGGCGTTTATTATTTATCTATATGGAAGTATGGTCAATATAATCCACAATTAATACACATTAATGAAGCCTTACCAGGTGGAATGGAACTAGAAATATTCAAGATATACGGTACCAGCCGTTATATATAGAGGAACAAAATATTTAAAAAGAAAGAGAGGATAAATGAAATTAAAGATAGGACGAAATGAAGTGCTCCGAAGTGCTAAGACCAAAGCTTAAAACCTAAACGAACGAACAAGCTAAGTTTAACGACCGGAGAATTATATCCATGGTTCGAAGGGCCCCGCTTTATTATTAAATACGAATCATCATCATAGAGTCTTCTATAAGGTTCACGGACCCACTCTTCAGGGTTGACACAAGATCATTCGAACCACGTTGTTCCTCAAAACGCTCTCTTTTTTTGGTTCACCGCAGTACTGAGAGGATTTCAATTCAGAAGTACGTAAATCGTGGTGGGGTGAAAGTGGCTTCAGAACGGAAAGTAGGTCCATTGGGGGGATCGTAGGAGTCTGTAACTGGTGTTACAGCTGTCACGTTGGTGCTTTGAGCGTTTGGGGTGGTCGCATTGTGATGTTGAGACATCTACCCGTTTAGCTGGAGGTCTCAGATGCCTCTTTGGGAGTGTGTGTTCTTGTGGTATTTTGTGTGTTGAGGTGTTGAGGTAGTACGAATTGGGGATATCGGATGTTCATTGGCGGGACGGGCCAGCCGGCGCCAGCTGATTGGGGGAATTCGAGTTCGAATAGTTCGGTTCCAGAGTCGAATGAACCAGTCAGACTATATTTGGTGTGACTCCATGATCTCTGGGTTAGTTCAGTTCGGGGTTCCTTGCTGGATTATTGTGTAACCTTCACTATATATCATGAAGAGGGGGGGTTTTATATGGTTTCTCTGCTGAACTTCGTGCCTCCAGAATTTCTGGGTTCGGTCTCTTGGGGTTCTTTCCGTTGCCTGGAGCTTGATCCTGGCGATTTTTCTGGGATGTATGAGGTTTTTGAAACTTCAGAATGTGGAATGAATGATCCATGGTTTCCCTCCCTGGTAGCCTCGAGTTCAAACATTTGCGCCGTATGTCACTGTTACCCTTTAAAAAAACTTATCAAAATCTTCTGCCCCTGTGAAAAATGCTTAATATAGTCAATCTGGGGTTCTTTATCAAGATCCTAGAGCTTCTGTAGCCTCGATACCAGGCGCGGGTATTTAGTGTTTTGGTTCTGACTGACCATACCCTTGGATTTAATATTCATGCAGGCGACGGAGGTATTTCGATCCAGATTTGATATATATGCGCCATCCCGTGGGAATTATATAGGTCGCAGTAATAATTCCAGCCAAGGCGCACGGTTTGTGATAAGCGAACTGATTAACAGATTTAATTCTTGACATTTTCTTATACCTGGATTCCCTAGGGGCGAGACACCTCGATACCGGAGACACCTGATAGGTCTAGATTCAGGTCGATGGACGGTATTCCACTGCACGATCGATCCTACGTGCTCGCGGATCAAAGACATGCATGTCGCATATTGAAGCCCCGGAATTATGTAAGCTGATGTCTTACATGTGTACAATACCAGTGGAACTCGACCTGAGATTTAACTACTCTAATTGGTAAAATATTGGAAAAATGTTGCAACTGTCGACACAACAGCTTCAAAGTACGCTAATACCCTACATACTTGAGAATTCAAACTCTAATTCTAAGAACTGGTGGTTTACTTATATAAATATTGATATCTACCTTTTTTAGTCATACCTTCTACCTATGGATAAACAAAGAATAAATGTTAACGGGATAATGGGCCAGATCATGTCAGTGGCCAAACGCACCTGTAACAATATCATCCGTATTGCAAGTATGCCATCTCCTATCCTAGCTATATAGCTATTATAATGTTAGCATGCATGGGGATTGATCTAGCTTTTGAGGTGTATCCAACGGTAGAATTGCGTATGCTATTTACTAACCTTATCGAAAGGATCAATCATACCATCAATCTGAATTTGCATTTGCGCATCAATCGTTTGTTCGATGTCGGGATCCGATATCCCGGGAGGCACTGGCGGCAAAGGCGGACCGCAGTGTTACTAGTGGTACCCGTGGTCGCTATTTGTAGCTCAAATACATTGGTTATCATGGCTTTTGTCGTACGCGTAACGAGACTAGCTGCCATGCTTTGGGACGATTGAATCCGCACCAACAGGAGCTAGACCATCTTGATTGAGATCTAGAATCGAGTGAAAATTGCCTTCTTGTCCACTAGCATATTCTAGTTTGATTATTTACGTGTTTCAATTACACTCTCATGTATTACAAATAGCATTCAACTTTGATACTTAGATATTGAGCTGTCGTTATACTTTATAGCCTACCTCAGATTTAACGAACGTACCGGCATAGATGTCCTATATATACAGTTACCTTTATTTTTAATTCTATAAATCACGTTCGAGCTCGCAGATCTTGTCTTTGGTGGGGGTGCCAGAGATTCCTTCGGAGAGCCAATGATAGACCTCGCCGACGCAGATGAATCAATCCAAAGAGCCTTCTTTAGACCAATAGCCAAGGCGACCCAAGTGTAGGAGGCCTGTCCTATCCGGGCAATCCGAAAAGATGCGAACGTATGGAGCAATTTAAACCCGATATTGCGACTATGAATACTGAAGTTGAGGAATTGAAGGCAGATATATATATAGTTAATATTTCACTTGCTCGACAATTAGCACTTAAGTACTTAAATTCGGACAGGGACTTATCTGGTTGTGCCTCGGCCATTCAATTATATTGGTGATAACATTATTCCAGACTATCAATTAAAAGTCTCAAAAGTCTCGCGCGAAGCTGGTTTTAAAAGCGTCTAGGGGATGGAGAACAGGGTGAAGGAGGTTCTGCCTCCTGAGGCGCTAGCAGGGTAGGAGGGCTTCAAGAGGGCTAGTTGGTATACGGTATAAATAAAATTGTTGATATTCTAGATTCCTTTTAATGGCCAATCAGCAACAGATATCATTAAATAATAATATAGCCTCGATCACAGCGATAACATGAACAACTTGGCATCTGCGGTTAGCAGCCCAGTGGCAATTGGTACAGGAGTTATTAATTATTGGATACGGGCTCGCTGCCTGTGGAATACTCGGTGTCGCCACAGCTGGTGCAGTATTGGCTCTTGTCACGAGTGTTGGCACATGTACAGTTAACAGTTTTGGCGATATATAATATTAATCGTAACAATCATTAACATTGCCATCATAAATTCCGACGGGGAAAGAACGGTAACCTGTCCCTTGTCCCTTGTACACCTTCCGATACATGAACAGCCTTTTTAAATGTTAAAATTATATATATATATATGTAGAAACTTCGGAGGTTATATCGAAACTCGCATGCACTAGGGTTAAGTTTGACGCAAGGGCAATCCTCCCGCAAATGCAGACTTACAAGCAACATGCGGACCGGTGGCATTTCGTAACGTAAGTCTAAAAATGCCCTGCTTTCGAAAATTAAATTTCGTGATCTCTAGGCCTTGGGAACTGATATCAAGTGTATTTAAAGAATCAGTTATGAATATTGGATTGCTTAGCTAGCACCCGGAGTTATTCCCAGAGCTTACAGCTACCGCCATGGACAACGAATTGAAATCCCTAAATAGAGAAGTTAGAAGACAGGCGGGTGCTGTATATTGTCTATATTTCCTCTTTCCTGATTTGCAAACTGGTGTTTTTTTATTTTCTGGAGCAACAGCGTACTGGAGGACCGTACATGGGATTCTACCTGCAGGTGCCAAAGACGTTTTCCGGCCTGGATGTTCATACCTCCCTGGATAATAAAGTAGACCTGGGGCTGATCAAAAAAGAGGCAGCCGAAGCCAAGCCGATAAGCTTGATCCTTGCCCTGGGTTAAATTCCAGGGTTCTCTTGGTAAGGTGAGCACAGGATACTTCACCCAGGCATTCTGTGAGATTAAAGTGCTTAAACTCACAAGATCGGTTTAACTGCGATGCTATCGCTGTGGACACTGTGAGATCAGATTACCGAATACTTTTATTATATTATATGAACTTAAGAAGGGAGATAACTGACATATGGTCTCAGAACGATAAGAATGATAAATGGCAGATAGCAGCGAACGCACAGGGCGATATTGATACCGAAAGCACTGCATTCAAGCTGCGATCCTCCAACAGTGTTATTTGGAGGAATTGTGACATTTTGTCGGAGAGGAATCTGCTGGAGAATGAGAATCGATCTTTTAGCTGGCATGGTCTCGTGAACCAACCTCTCTCGAGGGTTTAACATGGTTGTCGTTATCGATGTACATGTAGTGTACATGTACCGACTTTTTACTTCCCTGAAGCTAAGGAGCGATAGCTTAATCGCTCAACTTTGACTTCGGTGTCCATGTACCGTAGATGTACCCGTATGTATGATGCTGCACGTAGACGTAGGTACATTCGGCACCTAACCAGTACTAGTTTAGCGAACTAGCTCGATGTAGCGCAGCTAGTGTATGTAAGTACTTACATTGACCGCACCTGCACATGATGCAGACCGGGCTCTGAGTGCAGTGCAGGAGCCAATTAAATGATGCATAGGGGCGGAAATGGTTTGATTAGGGCAATTGGTGAATCCCAAGGACCAGTCAAGGGACCAGCCGGGCTTGTGCTAAGGGACATGTATCACAACTCCACCTCAACACCAAACCTCTCGTTTTGGGAAGTCGGGCTCTCTCTCTCCTATTCCTCGTTCCTCACGGCCCCCTTCTTACCTTTCACAGCATTCCCGGCCTATTAATAAAGTAGTTCCTTCCGACGCGACGGCTAGAACTATCTAAATCTCTTGTTTTCCCCTTCCTCTCTCTTATCCTTGATGTTAAAGATTTTTTAATAATTTTTCTCTCTCTCATTCTTCTCTCGCTTGGTTCCCGCGTGGTTTATAGCATCATACATACATAGATCTATAGAGTAGGTCCGCTGGTTTATCTCTGATCTCTGACAGCACAAGCTAATTAAATATCTCGGGATAGCTTCGAAACAAACCTCCTTGCGGGTCCCCCCCCTTTTTACCTTTGCATGTCTCTGCTGCTTTGCTGTTTGATTTGCCATTGATCTTCAGCTTGGAACAATTGCAAACCTCCTGGGAGCCGACCAATTCTCTCATAAAAACACCCTCTTAAGCCAAGCTCTATAGTGCATCCCATCGACAATCACTGCAATGGCAGACACAACTGCAGATGCACCTCTCACCTCATCTACCCCGGATCTTGACGAGTCTGCAAATATGACTGATGCAAACCTGTCTGCTACTGAGTCAGGTCGAGAGACGGATACCAGCGTCGTATCCGGCTCGTCTGGCAAGACTACCACTAATAAACGGCCCACTAGCGGCGCGCCTAAGCGGCCACCCGCTGGAACGTTGGCAAAGAAGCCTTCAACCATCGGAGCTTCTTCTAAAACTACTGCTACCACTGGATCTAGCTCTAGTGGCTTGTCGAAACCTCCGACACGTGCTGGGACATCTCTTACCGGTGCGAAGAAACCGCTGTCTGGTTCTACTCCGGGGACGACTTCATCATCGCGAACGAGCACTGCTGCTCCGATAGGTTCATCTGCTACTGCGAAGCGTACTGTTGGGTCTACGGTCGGTACGAGTTCAACACGTGCTGGAGCTGCCTCTGGACCACCTGCTCCTTCCACTACTACTACACGTCCAAGTTCATCTCGACCAGGCACGTCATCTGCCGATGCCACCGCTACTAGCCGACGAACATCCTCCGTTAGTGTTACCCCTGCTGCAGGAGGACCATTGGCCAGAAAGTCCTCCATCGCAACGTTGAATTCTAGTCCATCATCAGCGGCCCCGCGAACAAGGCCCACTTCTACCAGCTCCGCTGCTGCTCCTTCAGTCACGTCGGCAAGCCGTCGTGTTTCCGCTGCCACTGGTACTCCTACAAAACCTGCTTCCAAATCTCGCTTAGATCCAATCCCGGCTACCCCTGCATCCACCTCCAGACTCAGCCCGAAACCCGAGGGACCAGCTGCTAATGGTGTTGATTACACCACACTCCTCAAGGAGAAAGATGAGGAAATTGAGAAGCTTCAGACGACCATTTCTGAGTTGGAAAATGAAAAGGAGCGGCTAACCAGCGAAATTGAAACTGCTGGCAAGCAAAAAGACGAGATTATTGCCAAGATAGAAGAGGAGAAAGCTAAAATCGAGGAGGAAAAGACAAAACTCGAATCCGAAGTTGTCACAATCAAGCAAGAAAAGGCAGAACTTGAATCTAAGGATACTAGTAGTACAGAAGCTAGTGACGGTAGGGTCAAGGAGTTAACAGCTCGATTAGAAGAATCCGAAAAAGCCGTAAGACAAATGATGCTTTGAAGCTATAGCAGGATAGAAGACTAACATTGTTTTAGAATGGGGAGCTGCGGAAGGAACTTGACGAGGTCAATGAAAGGCTGGCCACCGCTGAAGCCGAAGCCGCGAAAATAAGAGCCGAATGGGAAATTAAGGTGAAGGATGCCGGCGTAGCACACCAACAAGAGCTCAACAACTCGAAAATTCGGGAAGATGGTTTCAAGAGTGAGAGGGATGCGTACGCCAAAGAGAGAAATGATCTATCCAAGAAACTCAGTGCTGCAACCGAGGATCTGGCAACCGCGAAGAGTGAATTGGAAGCTGTCAAGGCAAAGCACGAGGAAGAAAAGGCTGAACTCGGCGAGAATCATTCGAGGGTAGGTCGCTGAGCGCCACACTAAAAATCGAGACACCACTAACAAAGTTGACTACGTAGGCTTTGACGGAACTGGCTGCATCGGAGGGTAGTGGTAAGGAGCAACTACTCGAGCTCCAGAAGAAGATTCAGGATACTGAGGCCCAGAAACTCGAGGCCCAATCAAAACTTGAAGCAATCGAAGCCACAGTTGAGTCCCTTAAAGGCGCGCTTGCAGTGGCAGAAACCAAGCACCAAGAAGCTACCACAGCTCATGAGAAAGCTTTAGCCGACATCGAGGCCAAAGAAAAGGCCTTGGCTGATCTCGAAGCAAGAGAAAAGAATTCAGAGAACGAGGTTCAAAAACTGATAGAAGAGGTCTCGAAGCTTGATTCTAAGCTAGAGGCGGAGAGGGCTATTTCGAAAGAGAGTCAGGAAGCCGCCGAAAAACTGAAATCGACCATTGTAGAACTCGAAAGTACTGCTTCACAATCGAAGGGCGACTTGGAAACCCGACAATCTGAGATTTCCGACCTTAAGTCAGCGCACGAAGCTGAACTGAGCCAACACCTTGCCGCCCATACAGAAGAGAAGCGTGCTCTTGCTGAGAAGAGTGAAGCCCAGTCGGAAGAACTCGAGACCATTCGCGCACAAATCGAAAGTCTTAAGACTACGCATGCTAGCGAACTTGACGCTACGAAGAAGAAGATCGAAAATTTGGAGGCAGAACATGGTACAAAAGTTGAATCCCTTGTTGCCGAGCATGAGGAAAAGCAGAAGGCCCAAGCGACTGAATTGAAGTCTCTTCAGGATAAGTCAGAGGCGGCTGCCGGTGATCGCAAGGCCTTGGAGGAGCTTGTAAATCAAAATCAAGAGCTACAGACGACCCTCGAGGAGGTCAAGCAAAAGGGTGCCGATGAAGTTGACGCGTTGAAGAAGACCATCGAGGTTTTGACTCAGGGCGAAGCAGTAAGGCTTTTCAAAAATCGTCCAAGTTTTACTCTTTCTAACACTCGTTTTCTCACGACTAGGATACCATGACCAATTATAACCAGGAGCGTGACAAGCTGAATGCTGAAATCGAAGATGTTCGGACTGCTTTGGCCGAAAGAATCAAGGAGATCGATGATCTCACCGCTGCTCATGCGAAGGCTCTGAATGAAACTCGGGGCGAACACGAAAATAAATCGAATAGATTTAGCCAGGTTCTCGCAGACAAAGAGTCTTTGCTTGCCGACAGGGAGTCATTGGTTGCTAAGTTGGAAAGCACCAACGATGAACTTGAAAAGCGACTCGAAGATAGCAAGAATGCATTTGCACAACACTCCGAGGAGACAATTGCAGTACAAAGCAAGCATACGGAAGAAATTGCGAAGTTAACCGCAGAGCATCAAGAAATACTCTCAGCAAAGGAAGATGAGCACAAGGCAGCCATTGAAGGCTTGACGGCGGAGCTTGAGAAGGAGTCGATTGCCCGAGAGGCAGCAGAGAAATCGTTCAGAGATCTCCAAGAACAGCCAGCTGATACTTCTGAGTTGGACGCCTTGACTTCTAAGTACAACGCAGAGAAGACAGCATTGACCGCAGAAGTTGAAAAACAGACGAAAGCGGTTGAATCTTTGAATGCCTTGGTAGCAGAACTCCAGAAAGCAGTTGAGACCTCCAAATCTGAACTCGAAGCCGCTAAAAAATCCGAATCCGAATCTGCCGCTAGCTTAGTGGCGACAAGGAAGCAGCTCGACAAGGCCGCAGAAGCAAATGCTTTCGATATGCAGGAGATGTCAAATGTGTATAAAGAACAAGTTCGAGGATTGGTAGATGATGCGGCGGCATTCGAAACCAGAGCTAAGGAGGCCGAGAAAGCCCTTGCCGCTTCTCGTGCTGCTGCGGAGTCTCACGAGGCTACCATTGCTACCTTGACCCAGAGGCTAGAATCAGCCGCTACATCCTCTGTCAACAATACGAAGGACAGGACGGACCTAGGAAATCAAGTCAACAGCTTGCACGAGGTGATCAGCAAGTTGGAGATTGCGCTTGCGGAATCGAAAGCTGGGCGTAGCCGAGCGTTGAGTGATGCAGAGGCGTATAAAGAGCGATGCAACATGATGGAAGAAATACTGCGTCACAACGAAGCAAATGATCGAGAGGTGAGCAGAAAAGGCGAAGAGGATGATAACAAAGAAGATGAGTCATTGACTGGACATGTCAGTACCCCCCGGTCCTAAAACGTCCTAATGGTAATGATGATGATGATGATAAATCGCACGGTCTTGTAAGTTGTTCCTCCTAAGATCGGAGAGCAAGAGTCCTTAAAGAAGGATACATTGAGCGGAGTGGTTTTGACCAAAATTCTTCCCTTTGGCAGGCTTTTTGAAGGCGAACATACTTCGCATAGGTTTAGTCAACAGCCTTCATTTTTTTTTTTTTCTGTTACGTTTCTCTGTTTTTGTCATGATTGTAGACGGATGGGTTTTCACACAGCATTTTCCCATCCCATCCCCACGTTATCATCTATTTTTGCTGCATTATTGCTTCTGAGTGGTTTCTGTAAACTATCATCATCATCAAAGCCATTGTTCGGACGCCCCCTTCCTTATTTCCCTAATGAAATGAACGTTACGAGCATGAAGGCTAAATTATTATAATATCTCTTTTAATGAGGACATTGCTCGAAATTTTGTAGATGTCCGGAATTTTATGCACGTTAAACAATCTGAATATCGCGATCAAGCAGAACGGAACGGAAACCGAAAGGTACGCCTCGAGATTCCTGTTACTTTGCTTTTTTTTTGAAGCTCCTGAAAGAACACGTTATCATATGATCATGATCATTTTGGCTAACTCGATCCGAAATGTCGTGCGTGAATAGAATGGCGAACCATCTTCAAAGCCTCAAATCGACGTCGGCTTCACCGATAAGACCGGCGTCTAGAGATGAGCCGCTACGACGTCTTAGTGATCCGAAGGCACAGCTCTATTCCGAGTAGGAATGAGAGCCACAGTCTAACCTGCTAAAGACAGCAAAGACAGAACGGGTTTTCTCGATTCCGTCCCCTGTCTCCGTTTTTCTCTTACTACACTTTCTTAATACCTTTCTTCCTTTTCACTCCTTCCTTCCCAGCCCTCTTCTCTTCTGTTCTACTCCTTTTTTTTGTTACCTTTGGTATTGTAATCGGGGGAAGCGACAATTGCCCGCCGGACGTGCAATAATCCACTTGGATGATATGAATTTTGTAATTTGCGTTCAAGCGCTGAAGCTTCAAGTACCTGATATTGAGGCTTTTTTCTCTGGTTATTCATTAATTTATGATTTCTAATCGCCTTGCCTGTACATAGTCTTCAGCTTGCCATATACAAAATAGAAATAAAACTTATGGCCAACTGTTTATCTCATTTCTGCAAAGCCCTTCGATGCATAAATACCTATGATACAATACCGACCACAGCCTAGCCTAGCCTGACTCTTAATCGAAAACGATCTTCTTTCCAGCCCCGGCTCCCTTGCCGGCCATCATATCCTTAACAATCCTATCCTTCTCATCCTTCTCCTTCTTCTTGAGCTGCCAACTGACATGGACAGCTTTCGTTTGTTTCTCCTCCCATGCTTTCTTCCTATCCTCTTTCGCTTTCACTTTCGCTTCTTTCTCCTCCTTTGCCTTTTTAACATGGTTTGCTCCCGTGCCGTACATTTTCTCAGCAAGGGCGCGGCGAGCTTGCTGGCCCATTCTGTTCTTGCGGATTTTCTTTTCCGGAGGTCCCTTTTTCTTTGATTTCCTTGATTTGTTCTCGGCGGATATGTCTGAAGCTGCGTCGGAGTCGGAGCCAGAAATATAACCTGTCATGAGAGTTGGAAGGAAGGAGGATGATTTGATAGGTCCTGTTGGAGCTGGAGCGAGTGCTGGTGCAGCCTGTTTCTTGGGTTTTGATTTTTCGGATTTCTTAGGTGGTGGAGAAGAGACGTCGGAGTTGCTTCCTTCCTCCCCTTCCTCTTCTTCGTCGGATAAATCTATATCCAAAGCTTCGTCTTCTAATGCTTCTATCTTACGAAGTTCGTCTTCAGGGATTGGTGTGATAGACATTGAACGCCCGCGAGGTCTGTCGTCTTCGGATTCTGAGATATCTTCTTCATCTTCGCCTTCGCCATCGTCTTCAGAGGACCATGCTATCCTGCCATCGTCTTCGTCTTCGGATTCGGATTCATCGCTCGATACCGCACCACTGTTGCGAAGATATTTTGCAGCTAAGCTTTTGAGCATAGAAGGATGTATTACTGCGTCTTCCGAGTTGTCTTTTGAACTTGATTCAGAATCATCTTCTTCCGAATCATCATCTTCTTCGTCTTCGAGTTCCTTGTCGGCCCCGTGTATAACAGCTTTCGATTCCTTAACTTTCTTTTCCACCTTCTCTGATTCCTTTGTCGGTTTACCACTATCCTCGTTCCCTCCTTCGATACCCAATAACCTGCTTAGATTCCCAACGATCTCCTTTACACTCTCCTTGACCGGATTCGCATTCAACATTCTGGCGCATACGTTCGCCACAGGACCAGTCGGTACGGGAGTTTTAGCCTGTTCCTCGACTTCCTTCGCAATCTCCGGTGGGAAATAACGAGAATTCGACAACGGCCTATTTTTCACCAAAAGTTTATTCAAATGCCTTGTTGCCAATTCCGCCAGATCGATGTGCTTCAAAGCTTCGATTTCCTTTTCCAGTCTTTCTACTTCATCTTCTTCTTTCCTCCCTTCTTTCCCATCTTTCTTACTATTCTTATTCTTATTCTTATTACCATTCTTTTGATCTTTCCCCTTCCGAGCGGCTTTTATCCGTTTCCCTAGCTTTTGCTGTTCGAATCCCTTTGCGGTTTTTAAGGCGCGTTTGAGGAGGGTACGTGAGTGGTGGATCTTTTGGGAGATGGTGGATTGTTGGATTGCTATCGAACGGGTGGATTCTTCGGCTGATGGGTCTGTGGTAGTGGTATTATCGTATGAGTCTTCGGGGAGAGGACGTTCGTAGTCTGAGCGCTTTCGTTTTGGCATTTTATCTTAGAAGGAGGGGTTATATAGGGGGGCGATTGAAGGAGTTTGGAGGTGAGGATGGAGTTTTTATCGGGATAGTTGTGCGACGAAAAAAAAAATTGGCGACAGAATATTTCATTGCGACGGGTTCGGTCTTGGCACGAAATACACATACATACTAACAGCGCTGTAGAATAGGACTAGCAAATGAATAAAGAAGTTTAAAAGGCGATTTTAAATATTATGAATCGCTCGCTGTACGTAATAGCAATGTAATTTCTTTTTTTATTATTTACTTTAATTTTATCGAATTTGAAAAGGTTGGATTTGAAGACGGGTCTCGGTTTTTGATATTCTTGGGTGTATAGTAGCAGTATAGTAGCAGTAGTAGTAATAGCGCGAGGAGCTTCCTCTCCAAGTACTGTCTCCCAATAGCTGTCCTAGCTGTCCTAGCCTATCCCCCCCTTTTTACCCCTCAATCTTTGCTCTGCAAAACCGGGCGATTGAATCGAAATGTTTCCCTTCTTTCTCTACTGAATAGTGCAGGGGATACAGCTATTCAACGAAGAATAATACCAAAAAGTTAGCCTTGTACTGAATTAATGTATGACGTCAAACAGAAAGGCTGGGGGTGTACAAGACAAGTATCGGCGACGTAAAGGCAAAGATATCGACGCTAAATTATTTTTAAAAAAAGAAGGGAATCATACCAAAATTCGCAGTCGCCGCAATCGATGCAGCGATTACATTGTGGACAAAACTTCTTGAGCGGGTTACCGATGGGCTTGATCGGGCCGCTGCTGCTGGTGGTAGATTCTGGCTTGTTGCCGGCGGCGAGAGGGGTGATTTCTGAAGCGGTCATCTTTTTTATTTCTTTCTTTCTTTCTTTCTTCTGGTTTTGGAAGGTATGTATACTGGTGGTTTCAGGAGGATTGATGAAGTTGAAAGTACTGTGGTCTCGATCGTCTATGATATCTTTGTATGTATATCAGGAGGTTGGGATTTTTAAAATAGAAAGATGGAGGAGAGAAGCAGCTGAGAATTCAAGCCAACGTTACTTACAAGCTGCCAATGCAATATACTTATAAAAAGTCAGTAAGTGTTTAAGATCGAAGTTAAGAGCTACTACAACAAAAAGGATACAGTCTTGGCGTTCAATGCGAAAGGGCAAATCGTACCGACCTCGAATTCAAAGGAGAACCTCGCAGTTTGGAATTGTAATTGGTAAAAGCTTAAAAGCTAGCAAGCCATCTTCTCTTACGTACGCGTCCCCCTTTGATCGAAGTAGTTATTTATACTAACTCTTGTAATCCTTTGTGGCAAGTGTAGTATACCCCTGCTGGAGGCAGGTTACCTGTCAGAAAACCTGGAGAATTAATTTGTATTAGAATCCAGTTGGGACTGATAAACCGGCAGGGTTTAAATGGAAAACGATGACGACAACACGCATGGTATGAAGTAGCATGGTTTCAGGCGAGATTTGTGGTTGATAGCTGATAGGCTTGAATGATTCACGGATTTGATATCCTAGCAGTATATCATAATTGATTTTGAAAATATATACTTAAGTGCTTAGGTAGGTAGGTAGATAAGTAAGTATCTAAACATCAAGGAAGTAACTTTGGGAATCGGAGTCTAGCGGGTATATATATATATATATATCGGTACCCTGCGGCTGTAACCCATCCTACCTCAGTTGTAGCCTCTCCTCTGTTAACATCAACTCGAAAGTATGTCATTTGGTAGCATTTCATTGCAAAGCTACTAATTCCGATAAATATTATAGATACTTATATAAGTACTTGCGGCGTCTAAAAGAAACGGAGTGGCTAGGTTTAATAGCTACTCCAAAGTATCTGACAAGCCGTTGAATGACCGAGATTATTTCAACCACCTAACAATCAATGGTAATGAATGGATGAATGACTCTAGGAACTGCCATCAAGTGTCGAAACCGCATGCCTAGCGATAGAAAAAAAATAAAATAAATAAAAAGTAAGAGAGTGCTCCTTGTATGTGTCTTCCAACGCCTTCTGACTTTTCTTTCTCTCCTTTTTGGTTTCCTTTGATGTCGCATATATCACTTCCCGCTCAAAAGCCCCCAATTTGTCTCCGTTTAAGATAAACAAATCCCAATTGTTTTTTTGTTTTTTTGTTTTGTTTTTCAATCCTAAAGTAACAGAGGGTGTTCACAATAGTTAGTAGTACCCAGTGCCCTCGCCAGTTCCACCTGTTATATCGTCATTGTTGTCAAGATCCGTAACCGGTCCTCCAGAGTACGTCGTAGGAGGAAATTTGTCTGTATCACCGAGTAGTTCTCTAACTTCGTCCATGGATCCGATAATCGGCTGGAGGATATCTGGAAGTATTTGAGCACAATCGCCCTTAAACAGCCACTCGCTATATATGTCAATCAAAAACAAAAAAAAAAAACAATTAGCACACTTGATACCCAAATAAAATAGAGGATGGAGAGGTATGATAAGGGCATACGCAGAATTGACACCGCCTAGATGAGGATTATCATCTATCTCCATATTGATAACTGCGACTTTAGCTCCTTTGCCTCTGCAGATTTCAATATAACCTGCAGCCGGCCAGACCTGACCGGTAGTACCGATGACGAGACAAAGATCAATTGGTCCCTGGTCTATCCAATCGTCTATACTTTCAAGGAGGTCATTCGGGAGAGTCTCGTTGAACCAGACAACACCGGGTCGCATCATCTATGTTTCGGACAAACGTAAGCTTTCATTAATATTCTCTCTAAAGCACGAGCAGGTAGTAGGGGACAAAAAAAAAAAAGGTATAACACACCCCAATACCACATTTCGGACAGTATGGAAGTTCAATAAGAGGAATAGTCGGTGGCTGAGCATCAAGATCTGTAGGTGTCCTCGAAGGAGCTAGGGCGGGTGTAAGTGCCATCTTGAAGTTGTTATGCTCCGTATAGCTGCAAAAGATGCTCGTGCACTTGATGGTCGATAACGAGCCATGTACGGGGTAGAGTTGCTCCGGTGGGTGTCCGGCACGAGGTGAGAGGCCGTCGACATTCTGGGTTACTGTGATGAAATCTTTATGCTTGACGGAGAGGGCGGCGAGAGCTAGGTGGGCTGCATTCGGTTTCGCCGAGAAAGCTGCTTGTCTTCGAGCCGAGTAAAACTAAAATGTGTATGAAAGAATGAATAACGATATCGAAATATGAGTGATGAAACAAGATCAAGATACGAAAGGGTGGGTACGAAGTAGTGTTGACAATGTTGGAACGGGAGGGAAACCAACCTGCCAAACCAAGCTAGGATCCTTAACGAAAGCTTGGGGAGTCGCTAAGGACATAGCATCATGGGTTCTCCACTAGAATAACAGAAGGGGGTATCAGAAGCGTTAGTCCTACTATTACCAATTTAGAAAGCAGGTGGATCATTGTATCGTTGGAGAAGGGCGTCGGGAGCTAACGGCCACTCACCAGACCTCCAGCACCTCGAAAGGTTGCCAACCCTGGAAAAACGCTTTGGTCAAATCGGAGGCTTAACGAGCACAGCTGAAGACGCTAGGACATGTATGACTTCCATATGTCCGACGGGAACCCATTCAAACCGCACGGTGACATTCTAAACACGTATTGATCGCTTACCTGAAGAGGCAGATAGACCTAGAAAAGCGAATGATGACAGAGACGGTTAGGCAAGGGATTTTACTAAAAAGAAAAGGAAGACTTGAGACGTTCCCATGTGGTTTTGGGATTTCGGAATCGAATGAACCCTGGAACCACTCCGATCGATGGAAATTCCTGGGGATGGAAGCGGGAACGTACCTGCACCGCATAACGCTAGTATCCGTTTCGACTTGACCAGGTGGTTTTTGAAAGTATGAGTATTCGTCGGATCATGTTCGATATACGGCATGCTGGATAGCTGATGACGCTGATGATGCCTGTGTAGCGGCGTCGTTGATGAAGAGCTCCAACGGAATGTACCGGTCGCAATTGCAATTGCAATTGAAGCTGAAGCTGAAACCGAAGTTCGGATGTGGATGGTTCTTATTTGTCGATTCAACAGGAAACAATGATGGTGACGATGATATTCGGGTCCAAGCTTGTTCGAACTGGATTTGTGTGTCAGGAAGTCGAGTACATTTAATTTTTGCAGCGCAGTGCAGGGCGGAGGAAAACGATAAAGCTGTACTTTTTACCGCGTGAATGATTCGATTCAATCCAATTCAATCCAATTCAATCCAAGGGAAAAGGAATTTAATGCTTGTGCTTGCTTAGTACCAAGTAGGTAAGGTAGCTAAGTAATTAAGTACTTACCTTGATCTTATCAACCGCATATTGGTGGGGATCGAGTCATCATCGAATAGCCTCAAATGCAAATGAAGGATCCAGATTGCTAGCTGTTAAGTATCCACGTTGAGTCTGCGAAATTCCTGTTTGGATGCCTCTTGCATGTAATTTAAGCAAGGACACTGCCTAAATCCAATAAATCTCTTAAGAAGGAAAGAAAGAAAGAATACATTCAATCCACCGGCCCAGTGCAGAGTCGAAGAGTAGCTAAACCTATGGGGTCCTTCGGTATATCTCACGGGTCTTACCCACCCTTGTTTTTGCGGGAAAAGCTCGAATCGAAGCTGCAGCTCAAGCTTCCCCCGGTCAGACAACCTAGTAGACCCGCCCTGTTAACTTCGATTTCGGATGCCGATTTCAGATCAACTGCATTGGACGACTGAGGCTTTTTTAAAAGGGCTTTTTTTCTTCTCTTTCTTTCTTTCTTGACTTTCTTTTCTTTTCTGCTCCCTCTTTTAAGCCAATCATGGGGAACTCGATTACAATCGCGCAGTGCGCATGTATAACCCCCTAGGCCAGGCCAGGTTATCTCGCATGCCGTCCGTATCAGTAGGGTACCTATCCACTATCGAATACAATAAATCAGTTTGGTTTCTCACTCGATCGGAGGGATTTTACTGCTCGCTGGAGTAGCTTGATCCTGTCATGTAGATTGTAAGCGGTTGCCTAGGACCGTGCAGCAATCCGGTATCCGTCGATATATACTCAAGTACATAGGTAACTACTTAAGTATATCCCATATACTTAAAGTACTTACTTACTTAAGTATATATTGTCAATGCAGTGGCAATTGGATTCAAACCACCTGTCCCTCAGTTCAGCAAATTTTTGCGGGGCCCCACATCCATTCGGACCGGCGTGCATTGCATAGAGTTGATTGGGAAGCTTTTGACATCCGTGGCTGGTGGTGGTGGTGTGGCTGAACAGCACGCCCAAATACCATCTTAAAGGGTTCGGAACACCTTGATATAAATATATGTGGAAATTTGAAATATTAAAGAGAAAAACAATAAATTTAATACCGTATATAACTCACTGCTTTCGTTGTTCGTTTATCCATATTAACAGGTACATAATATAATAAGAAGCCGAATTATTTCAACATCAAGAGGCGATATCCCTCCACGCACGTCATATGTCAAGCTATCTCTAGAGCTCTTCTTCTTCGAGTTCAGGGTCGAATTCAGAGGCATATTCATATTCACCAGTCCTACCCGCCATCCTTACGACTCGGCTGATATTGGCGTGAAGCCACAGAAGGTGCGGATGAGGAAGTGGGTGAGTATCCGGATTATCTGTCTTAAATCTGATAATTTCGCTATTTTGAAGCTCTCTCTTCTGAACTACATCGTATACCGGGTTAAATGCAAGAATAGCATCATCCTCTAAGCTGCTTGCTGGGATATCATTGACGGAAAGGTTATGTATACTAGAACCCCTCCGTACTAGAGGTTCAACCAACCCGGCAACTTTGGTGTATCTCACAGAGTATTCCGCTGGAACAGCTGGTTCGCAAAATTTTGAGACATCCACTCGCATTGGAGACCGCTCGTCTTCATCAAGAAGTTCCAAGATGAAAGCGCCGTCATTGAAGAGAGCGTGAAGGTCTGACGACAAGCAGATACAGTTTTCAAGTCGGTTGATAAGGGCACCGTTCTCGGATTCACCGATTACATATGCTCGTATTTTAAGCATGCCTTCTTCGCCTACTAGCATCGCGACGAATCTCCAAAATTGACCAATCGAATATGCCACTAAGTGATACACTTGAACGTTGTGTGTTTTTTTTGAGAGTAAACACCGATGCTTATCACGAACTCTGGCCTATATTTCATATCTTAGAAGGAATTCGAGGTGGGCCAATAGAATGTATTTCATCATACCTCTGCTGATAAGCGGGTGTTCCGCGGCGTCACGACGGAGACGCTGGCATAAGCCGGAACTACCCGAGAGACAGGACTTTCCATAGGATTGGAAGTTGAGATGCATTTTCTTTGAAGCCCTAAATCATTCACGCTAACATGTTAGCCAACCGTGTTCAAGATCTTGTATCCTAAGGGGATCACCCACAGTGTGAAAGTGCACTATCAACTGTTATTCCAGCTTTGTTGAGAGTAACCCCCAACTCTCCTAATCGCGCATCACTTACTCCCTTATAATCAAGAACCTCTAAAGAATTATCGACCGCTGATTTTAAACCCGAATCGTCGGATAACAGTGTGACGTACAACATCGCTGCGAAACTTGCCGATATCGACAAGCCAGAGGTTTCTAGTGCGGCGTTGACAATGCGACAGAAATCCTCCACTTTCTCGTTTGTACTAGTAAGTCTCTCCAGCGGCCAGATGACCGGAGCCGCATCACCGGGAAGAATCTGCCAAGTTGTTTCGGGATAGGTTTCGCTACCCAGCAGATCGTGGATATCTCGTCCGGTAATGTTGAAAGCAGCAATGAAATCGGTTGTTAAATCATCTATACTAGCTTTGTCGAATGCTCGTGTGGCGGCATTGATGTATGCTTGTTCCCTCCGGGGAGAGTTTAGTAGCAACATATATCTCTGGGCTATATCCTCAAAGGGAGCTTTCCAGCGCACATAGTGTCTACGAGACCATGCTATGATTCGGGCTGCGGTCCGTGATTTTTCAACGGTGGGGGGTAAAATGCATTCGGTGGATGTTAGATGGTAGGATTGATTTTGGGCCGTGTATTTGGACATGGTGTCATCTACGTGGAGCAGCCGGTTGGCTTTGTAGATCCGCAGGACAAGGACAAAGTCTGCCGAATAAAGCCGTACATATGGACGCCTTTGCCGCAATCTTTATACGAGACTACCTGCTAGGTGCTGGTAGGACCTCAATTCCGAGTTACTCAAGGATGCCTTGAAGCTAGAGCGTCAGTTGGCAGGTTGGCAGAAATTATATATAGATACTTCCTTATATGGGTACTAGATAGGTACTTAGTTAAGGTTTTAATGTTCTCTTGCTTGAGGTTATCGATTATCATACTGAATATAGCTTTTTCGTTCTGATCTGTAAACTAAAATAGGTAACTTACCAGCTGAGTACAACATGGTACCAGCACACATGGGCACTACAGTAAAGTCCACATAGACCAAGTTAAACCAACAGCCTCCACGATAATGAAGCACCTATTTACTTGGCAGTGTCTATGTACAAATCTGAGGCTGGAGAGGTCTGTCTAGATGCAATTGCGTTGCATATGTGGTATACCGGCCTGTGCAGGGATCCCGTGGAGCATACCATATCTCCCACTCCCTCCCCAAAAGCAAAACCGGGACACACCCAGCGCTAGGCCTTTCCCCGGACGATACGATAACTCCATCCTATCGTTTGATACGGATTTGATATGTAGCCGTGTTCGTACATGTTTGCAGTTTGCAGTTTGCTGAGCTCAGGTTTGGATCAATCTGCCTAACTCGATATGGCAAGTCCAGCCGGGACGCGAGAGATCTTAGCCGGGGTGGCTTTCTCATGATGCAACAACCCTTCGCTCCCAATATTAATAATTAATGTCAAGATAGAACCAGTGTGATCTGTATGTACATAGACGTCGTGCGACGCTATGTAATGCCTACTTAATGTATGTACGTATGTATGTATCTCCACGGCACTGCCGAACGTGGATAACTTGCACTCCCGAGCTCGTGCCCTTTTTTTTCTTTTCAGTCTTTCTAACGTTAACGTTAATCCTGTGAACGTCGAGTCGACACGAACATCCTGTGTTACCTATGCGCATGTCCGGCCAGCGAACACTGCCTTCTCTTCCTTTCTTTTCTTATTTTTCTTCCTCTTTCATTCTTCTTTATTCTTTTCCTTTTTTGAATTCTCAATTACGAAATATCTACTACGTTACTACTTCTTATTAAACTTAAGTTTTTTCAGGGGATTGAAACAAACGAGGGAACGAGAGAGATATCGTGGGTATTGTAGGCCGACAACCGGAAGCCGTATTGACTCATTTTAATTTCGTCAATTCTTGGTATTTATCATATTCGTGAAAGTTGTCTATTTAAACGGCTCGTGGTTGCCCTTTGAATAATTGGGAGTATCAAAGTATCAAAGTATCATTCCGGTCAATCCTCGGGTTACATATCCTCGAGTCGCTTTTAATTTTTACATCGTTTCTGTGAAAGTTTGATAGAAAGTTATTTTATACTATCTTCCATTCCGTCTTCATACAACTTCATTGAACCAGAAGTTACGGATATATCGATACCATATCAACTTTTAAAATTGGTTGGTCCTTTTTATACCGAAAGAATGTCGGATCTATCATACCCAAAGTCCAAGACGAACAAAGTCAACCGTCTGGGCGAACGAGGTATGTCTATATCCTCTATCCAGTATACGTATTATATATAACAAGGTAATTAATCAATGACCGGCCAACCTTGATGGGAAATATAGGAAAATACGACTGCAAAACCGTCCACGAAATCATCGCCTCCTCCCCAGTTCTCCATGTATCCTTCAACACCGCCTCACCGGAAGACTTCCCTGTCGTCCTGCCCATGATCGGAAAGCTCGGTTCCTTCGAGAACCCATCCGCCGATCTTTCAGAACCTCTAGACCTCTACCTCCACGGTTACGTCTCCTCACGAATCATGAATATAGCACGTTCCTCCACAAAGGAGAACAGTAGCTTAAAAGTCTGCGTTTGTGCCACAAAAGTCGATGGATTGGTATTATCCCTCACTCCGAACAGTCACAGTATGAATTACCGCTCTTCGGTGGTATTCGGTACCGTTAATTTGGTTACCGAACTTGATGAGAAACTTTATGCTATGAAGTTGATTACGGACGGTGTTTTGGCAGGGAGGTATGAGAAGACTAGGGTTCCGCCTGATGGGGCTGAGATGAGTAGTACACAGATCTTGAGGGTTAGTATTGAGACTGCTAGTGCGAAGGTTCGAGCTGGAGAGCCTGGGGATTATGATAAGGATTTGAAGCAGGAGGAGCTGTTGGATAGGGTTTGGACTGGTATGTATAACTCGACTCATAATATTTGTCTCGTACCCAGACCTGTTTTAACGGGTGTCCAATATTCTTTTATAGGTGTTATTCCAATGTATACCACCTACGGTGAACCCCAGCCTTCGAATTACAATAGGGTTAAAGAGGTTCCAGAGTACATTTCAAACTACGTCAAAGATACCGGAGACACTGAAAGGGAGTATGCATTGGCTGCAATTACGATGGATGAAGCTGGAACTGCTTAATAAGGGAAAAGAAAGAAAGAAAGAACGTTATTACAGAGTCGAGTTCAACAGGAGACAGATATATGATGGTGTAAGTTGACGTTTGTAGTTGATAGCCAGCAGCAGTTATACAACATGGGAGGCTTGTACTATCGGACATTTCTAAAGGTGTTTCTTTAAGTTTTTTCTCTATTGTTCATCTTATGCTTGGTTTTTAAAATTTCTTTTTCTTTTCTAGTCTACAACTCGGCGGTTGTGTGATATGTGTACAAAAGATCGTGTGCATCACAAGTGGAGTTTAGAGGGGTCGCATGCAGAAGAGGAGAGAGAGGGCATTTGTTTCTAAATTTGTTGCAATACAATGGTCCTCAACTGATCGCATTCTGGAATATTTCAATTGCAAATTCAAATAGAGATATAATCAATAATGAGATTTTGAAGTCAATCATTAAAAAGGTATACCAACTGCTCTATCACCAGAATCAAATGCTTCAAAATTTGGATATGAAAGGAAAGAACGGAAAAAAAAAAACGCCTTGTGTAAAACCATTCAGAGAACTACTGTTCAAAAATAACCTCTCCTATTTCTCTTCCTCCTTATCTTGATTATGACTGTTTGTATATTCAACCACCTTCCCTCCAGCCAAGCTCCCCGTCTCCCCAACAGTCACACTACCACTTCTAACCCTCCGTACCGGCGCATCAACCCCTGTCACTGAATCCGGAGAAGTGGGATCTCGCCCCACCGCCTCACCACCTCCACTTCCCTTTCCAAATCCCGAGGGCCCGGTAGGAGGCTTAGCCCATGGAGCTGTAGTAACAGCTATCCCACCGATTGCGGGTGCGAACCCACCAGGCACCGGAACAGTTGTTGTAGTTTCTGGGTTAAGCGTAATATTATGTGGTGGGGTGGTATTATTTGGACGGGAGGGAGGAGGCATTCCCATAGGTGGACCTCGGAGGGAAGAGACTGGAACTCTATTCGCAAGATTTGATTGAGAGATAGGGGTTGAGGCTCGCATCCTTGTCGTTGGAGGAATTGCTGATAGATTTTTAGGGGGGTCGGATGGGAGGGTTGACCATGGAGCTTTTGTACCTCCTTCCTCACCACCACCTGGAAGGAGGGTTGGTGGAGGCATTGTTGAAGATGACGCTGCGGCTGTGGCACTAAATGATGGGAACCCGGGTGGTAGTTTTGCGCCCTCGACGAGATCCCACGAAAAGATCGAGCCGAAGGGGAAGTGCTGAACTACTGGGAACTTCCCAAGTACTTCTGCAGCATACATCTTCATCATTCCCTAAGTTGGTGGTGGTAATTAGTACAAATTCCACTATGAAGCTCAATAACACTAATTTAATGATACTCACCAAGTTGATCTTCTTCCAACCGCCGATGGCCCCGCTGATATCGTATAGGTACGGGCTATGTTCCCAGAACGGGCCTTTCTTTACATCTCTGATGAACCCGATGGCGCCGAAATACATATTTCGGTTTCTCTCGCGTTCTACTGTATTTGCCTCGACAATCGATCCGGGAGCGGGAGGACCCATTCCTTCAGGTGTAGCAGCAAGCTGTGCTGACCCGAATATGTATGGTAGGAAGGAATGATCGTCCAGTCCCCATACTCCGTGAGAACCTGCCGGTTCAAGGCTGTAGGTCAAGACTAGCTTTCTTATGATTGCCAAGTACCTAATGTATCCATCCAAATCAATAAAGGCTTCTAAGATACCTCAGGATGATTAAAAGTACTCACGCATCGAAAGCCTTGAACATCAAAGCTAACTCATCCCTCCCAGGTTCAAACCCACCGAGCACCCAAATCCCACACAAAAACGCAAAGAACGAAAGTTCATGCCCGGTTCCATAATCCAGTCTTTGCGCACTTCCGAATCCACCAAGCAGGTATACCTGAAGTTCTTCAAGAGCAGAGACACCGTCTTCCTTTGCCGGTGTGTTTACGATACTATCCGGTAAATACTTTCGCAGCAGCTCGGGTGACCTCTGTTCTACCGTCAAAAACCAAGCCCTAAACGCCACATTTCCAAATCTTCTGGGCCCTTCAACGGGTGGGACTTCATCTATTATAGCTTCTATGGTAGCCAGTAGTTCGACGATCTGGCTGACGGGCTGGGAGACGACTATGGCTGGCGAATTTGCATATCGAGACTCTGTGGAATTGGTATCCGACCCCGTTGGCGTTAACGCGTCTGAAAAGTGCTGGATATACGAGACGATAAGATGGTGAGCTTTTGATTGGAGGAAATGGGTGAGGTCTTCATTTTTGTTTATGAGTTTTTGAGGCTGCCGGAAGGTGTGTGTAGAGAGCGGAATGGCGAGAGAGGTCGCCATGGTTGAAGATATTGATATTTTATTTCTTCTTTACTTTCTCCCAATCTTCCCTTTAGGCCGTTTTAATTTGGTTGGGGAGGGTGGGATTCTGAGGTTTTGGATGTCTATGATTGTGGATGATAGACGGTTTGAGGAAGTCGATATGTTTCTTTTATACCGGCAGGAGATATGACGAAGGACAAGAGCTTAGAGAGCTTATAATAAGAGCTCAAAGCTGTGCAGTTGATATTCCCCCGCACCCCGAGCCCGTTGCCGGCAGCTGAGTGTCCCACTCCCGGGCTGAGATTGCCATCCCGGGGTTGCTATGCTGCCTCGTTTGTATGCCAGCCGATGTTTGTTCCAACAAACAGCAGCAATTGCAGCGGGCCGAACCACGCGAGCATGTACTGTCAAGCAATGCTGTATGACAGGAGATCTTCAATAGCTCAATCCTAGCTAGTTTTTAGTAAAATATTAAGTTCATGAATAGCCTCAATTTTCAGATACTGTTTTTTGGATTTCATTTTCTTCAAATAGATATTTGGAGAAACCATAATTATATCAAGCTGAGAGAATCAACACTACCAGCAGGTTCTGAGGCTTGTGTTGTTGTGTTTAATCCTCAGCCCTCAAAGAATCCTGGCCACCCAGTCTCGTAACCAACTGGCCACCATCCCTCCCTCCCCCAAACATCAACCTCTCCATCTCCTCATCACCTACCTCTCTATCCCAGAAACCACCTACAAAACTCATCGCACCGACTGTTTTCTGTTACCATCTGAGTCGCCTCTATAGATTACATCACTCTACCAATTCCCACTTCTCGGAAAACAATTGGTTCGTTCTCAAAAGCTCGTTCGCAATGGTCTCCACCCGAACAAAGGGTAGTCCAGTCGTTATGCTCGACGACCATGACAAACCCGTGCAGCAACCAACGGCATCGCCAACAAAACCCGGCAACAAACCGTCCAACAAACAATATAAGAAACCCACCGAAGACCCTACCGATCCGAAATCGAAAACCCAGACGAGGAAATCCATACAAAAACCTTCTGACGGTAGACCTGAGGACAAAACCGTAGTAACAAAAAGCACACGGAGTACGCGAAGGAATCCAAACCCAGCCGGTAAGTCGACTACCACGATTAACAGAAAAAAACATTTCTCTTAGCTCTACAATTCTAACTGTCAAATGTCAAATCTCTTAGAACCTGAGGTAGCAGTGTTATCAGAGCCAGAGCAGATCCTGCAAAAGCGAAGTCCGCGTAAAATACAAAATAATCCTCAACCGCCGAAAACAACCGCTTCCAAAAATGAATCGTTTGATTTACCGCCTGATAATGGAGAGATTCAGTCGACACCTAGAGCTTCGGGGAAAGTAGTTAAATATAAAGGGAGGAATGTCGTTTTGAAAGCCCTGAAAGCAAACCCGACACCGACAATTGAAGTTGAGATCATTGAACAGAATGGAAAGGAAGCAAACGGCGGAAGGGAGGAGCAGGAAGTTACGGCTGAGGGAGATGACGGAGATGATGAGCGGGACGAAGACGATTTACCAGATGTGGACGATACCCTGGGAGGCGGCGAACTTCGAGTTGGTGCCCAAGTCGAAGATGCTGAGTATGTTCCAGAAGTAGAGGTAGAAACAGAACAGGAACCCGGAAAGCGTCCGAAGAAATTAGGGAGGCCACCCAAGGGAAATGAACGTTCTAAACTCAACCCCCCCAAAACCCGAAAGCGTAACGGCGAGAATAGGCAGCCGACGAAGAAGAAGAGGCGAAACGACATTGGGGAAAACTACGGCGACTACGACGACGAATCGGAAATAGATGAGGACAGGCTTCGAAAGATGCGCCTGGGAGAATGCGAAGCAAAACTCATAGCTAGAATGACTAGCATGCAGCAGGAATTGACCATAACGTATTCAAATATGGAAAGCGACCGTAAATCGATCCAGAGACGACTGAAAGCAGCCGACTATATCATGATGGACACCGTCAAAGACTTTAACGACCTCGGCATCTATAACGGAATAGCAATCGGGAAGGATGACCCCAATTACCGAACCGCCCCCCCAAGAATTCTTCGTGGGGATCCGTTCCCCCAGGGTGCAACCGACTTCGATGCCAACCACCCGGCCATCCAAGCTTTATTCCCAGACGAACGAATGGCCTATGAGGCCGAGATATTTACCACCCAGCTTAATCATATCGAAGAAGCGCTTGATGCAGTTAACAGTCTCCACAAGATCTCCGAGAGGATCTGGTTACTGAGTGTGAAGTACAGGACACTTTTGCAAAGACAAAGGGACTTTTTGAAAACTTGCAAGTCCCATGCGGAAGGTGTTAAAAAGGAGTATGTCGCAAGGAGGGAAGAGGAAAGCGAATTCAATCGGGAGCCCGTAGGGGTTAGGACCCGACCCTGGGGTCCGGTTCTCGCCAAACCGGAACGCCTACACCAACGAGGGGAACAGGTTCGAGGGCACCCAGCGAAACCCTCCTCGCCGGCTGTTAGTCGGAAGCGAAGATTGGATGTCCCTGATACCATCGCTCCGAAGCGTCCAAGGCCGACCATTGAGCAAGGTCGACCCAGTCGACAATACGAATCGTCGGCATCGGAGTCTGCTAGCGTCGGAGGGCCTAGCACTCCACCTCCCGCAGATAGGGTTGTCGTGGAACTATTCGGGGATCATACCCCGGGTAGGACCCGACGTATTCACCAACACCCAGCGGCCTCGACTGACCAAACTTCGGCCCGCCCCTCCGGTATCCACGACGATAATGCGCCGTGGACGTCGGAGGAAAACAACGCTCTCGACGGCGCCCTCCGCCAAATCAGAGGTAGGATTTTAGTAGTCTCGTACCCACTGCCCTTGATTGGATAACAGCTAACTTATGCCTATAGAAGGGGAGGGCCGGTGGCGCTTAATTAAAGCGCACTTTGGGGGACCAGGGACGGTGCTCTCAGAGAGGAGCAGCCGGGAGATCCGAGAGAAAGCGTGGGAGTATAAGATGAGGATTGAAAACAGTGGGCAGGACCTTCCAGACTACTGGAAGAATATTGGAGATCCCTCCGACTACAAGGGGGAGGATTAACTTATGAGGGGGAGTTTATGTAGACGTAGCATAACATATGAGGTCCGATCAAGTGCTGAGAGGGCCCGAGTTGAATGGCAAGCTTTTTTTAACAATTTAAGCAATATTAATACGTAATTCCAACATTCTATTCCATGCCATATCTATATCTCTAGCTCTAGCTCGATCCATAGCTCTAGCTCTAACCAAATATCCGACCCAAATATTACAGTTGTACATTACCACGCGGACCCAATTCATCCCTCTACGTCTACAGGCTCCACTCTGGGAACAAGAACCCCAACTTCTCCTTAGCCTCCTTGCTGATCCCTTCTGGCTTTGTGCAAATAGACCATTTCGAGGATTCCTTGAGTGCCTGACCCGACAGTAAATCACCGTGTTCCTCCTTGACCAATTCTACCAGCAAGGCTCCAATCAGACGTTGAGCGTTAACAGCATTAGCTGCCATGTGAGCCAAAACTTCCGGAACATTGACCTGAACCAAATGAGTTAGCTCTAACTTGATTACTTCCCTTCAACAGGTGATAAAGCAGATACTTACGGGTGGAGCATCATCTCTGAAGCAATCATAATCTGTTGCCATACAGATCATTGCATAGTGTATTTCAGCCTCCTTAGCGAGTTTTGATTCCGGTAGGACAGACATGTTGATGATATCGCCTCCCCATGAGCGGTACATCTTCGACTCAGCTCTTGTCGAGAACTGTGGTCCCTCTATTACCCGATCGCCACCTCACATTAGCCATTCCATATCACCAATAAACAAATCCCCTCCCAATATTCTTTGTGGAAGTTATAAAAAACATACCCATACAAACCAACGTCTTCCCCTCGTGGATCTTCGCACCACCGTCCAACGCCCCCTCGGAAGCCTTAATAATCTTCCCAACCCGTTCATCAAATGGATCCGCAAATCCCACATGCGCCACGACCCCACCATCAAAGAACGTCGCCGGTCGAATACCCTTAGTCCGATCGATAATCTGCGTAGGAATAACAAAATCCCTAGGAGGGATTTCCTCCCTCAAACTTCCAACCGCTGAGAAAGCAATGATAGTACGAACACCAATACTTCTCAATGCAGCGATATTCGCACGAGAGGGTACTTCGGATGGTGTGTACTCATGGTGAAGACCGTGACGGGATATGAAGGCTACTGGTGCTCCGGAAGGGGTTTCGAGGATTATGACTGGTGAGGATGGAGAACCCCATGGTGTTGTGATTTTGAGGGAGGCGACGGATTTGAAGCCGTCGAGACGGGAGATGCCGGTTCCGCCGATGATGGCGAGGGAGACGGGGGCTAGTTTGAGAGGTAATGATATGGGTTAGTGGGTGGAGGGGTCATGGTGGGGGCGGGGTATATAGATAGGATGATTGGATTGATTGATTGTTAGATTTGGGGGAAGAAAAAAAAAACTAACAATCGTAGGTTTCTGGGAGAGACATTTTGAAGGCTGATTGGACTGTTCTTAGACGGACGCCGTTGGGGAATCGAGAATATTGACGAGACTGTAGGGAATTGTAGGATCCTTTGAAGGTTTGGAGAGCGGATGCCTTTGGTATTCGATAAAGTCGGAATGGTAGAATCTGCGTTGGAGTGCCAAAACACCACACGCTGGATCGCAAACAGGCACTCTTCAACAGAATCGTTAGATATTATAAGTACTTAGAATATAACTATTGTACTCCAAAGGAGAAGAAAGAATAGGTAACTAGTAAAAAGTGACAGGAAGGTTGCTTATATAACTAACCCCCAAGTACATATACCTCATCGATAAATCGGATAAGTAGCGGAACCAAAAAAAAAAAACGTTATCAACACCAAGGTAAAATCACGCAATGTAATGTCTTGTAAGCCGGAGCCTCGGTGTTCGACGCGGAGTTGCACACGAGCTATACTTCCGCTCCGTCATTGGTAAATGGCTTTTTTCCCATGGGGCCCTGGACTCAGCTCAGTTAGTTGAAACTAGCTTAACCTTTTCCTTTTTTTTTCGCTTGTGTGGTGGTGGTGGGTAATGCAGGGACGCAATAGTGCGATGGGCTGCAGGCAATGCAATGGCGCCTTATCAAGACCCGCGATATCGAGTCATTGCATCGAACATGCACATATTCCGCTTGGGGTTTCCCCTTGAGCTATATTTTCTTCACCTACGTAGGGATCTGCCAGGCCCAGACGGCAGGTTGCATTGGGCATCCTTTTTAGAGGGACTTAAACGTATGTACATACTTATGTATGTACGTCTCATGTATCATGTATGTACGAGCGTTAACCCGTGGAATTCTGCATGCAGTGGTGACGTATTTCTACCGCTCGCAATTACAAAATGCGATGATGCTAGGGTTAGGATGCGATATCTAGGTATAGTATATAGCTATAGTACATTTTTATATTTAGATGAGATGGATTGGAGATATCTACTGGACTCTGTTTCTTACATGTATACACTGATTTTCCTTTTTCTTTTTCCCACCCCCTCGAGAGCTTCTAGAGTTCTCATATAGCTGACTATACTTTGCTAGTATCGATTCTTCGAAATACAAAAAATGAGAGAGAGAGGGAGAAAAGATGAGAGAATACACTCGCGCGACGTCGCCAGTTTCGTTATTAAATCAAGATCCGGCGGAAACAAGGTACAAATAAAAAAAAAAAAGCGAGTTATAACGCCTAAACCCTTTGTATCGATATCCAAAAACTTAAAAAAAAACAATGATGTTGAACCGGTAAGCTTGATCCATGCTGCTTCCGGCGGAAGCAAAGAGACCTCCAAAGATATCCACCATTTTGTTGAAAAGAGCTGTCCAAAAAGCTGTAAAAAAAACACCATATCCATGATATCAAAGATCCAGAGAATCGAATAGGAACAAAAACAAAACAAAACAAAACCTTTGTACAGACTCAAGATGAAAAAGAAACCATTACCCAGTTCTTTATTAACAAAGCAAGAAAGAAATCAAAAACGTCTCGTTATCACCTGTAAATGCCGAAAAATATACTTTGCTGCTTTTTGTGGTACTTGCAATTCGAATGTGCGAAGTTCTCACAGTCCCCACATCGACGGAATCGGCTTGTTCAAGATCTTATCGACGTCCTTCTTGTCGACCACGACTCCTTTCTCGGAGCACTTGGCCTTGGCTCGAAGTTCGCTACAGAGATTGTCCATATCAATCTCACCGCTAGCGAACTTTGGATGCGATTGAACCTTGTCCCTACAAGTGAAACACAACAGAGTTAGATTTCTTGTTTATTTATATAAGGGGGAAATGTTCGGAAAGGGGTTCAAAGAAGCGGGAGGAGTTCTTACCATATCTGATTACACTTCAGAAAAGAATTAGGTTCATCTGCTGGAACGACTTCCTCCTCGTCATCATCGTCTTCGTTAAGGCCCGGTGCACTCGGCTTGATTTTTTCCCCAGAAGTTACAGGTGGAGTTGGTGGAAGCGTCAGATCGAAGGCCGAAGGGAAAGCATCGTCAAAGTAACTCATTCCAGCAGCGTTGAAAGCAGTCTCCCCGGCCGAAACCGCTGTGGGATCTCGATAATCGTTGAACATCGATGTGTCAAACGTATTCCCGTTTTGAGCAGCCAACCAGGAAAAAGAATTATCGGCAAGAAGATTCTTTTGAGTTTCGTCTAGTAATGGAGATGCGTGTACGAGTCCTGCCGCGGTGAGAGCATTATTAGGTTTTACACAGGCTTTCCCAAGCATGTCGCAGAAGGAGACGGCATCGCCTACGGAGGATCCGCGGTGCTGACGATTCGGCAGGACTCTTTGCTCACCTTCCTCGGATATCGAATTTAGCCGCGGAGCGGTGTCCGTTTTGTTTTGAGAAGGTGGAGATGCGACGTCCATTGCTTCTGGAGTAGTCCCGCAGGATGAGGAGTTGTTCTGCCCGTTTTTTGCAGAGTGCTGGGAAACAGATGAGGCAGATGGGGAGTCGGAGAAGCTAAAAAGGCTGCTCATATGTGGTGTACTTTGCGAGCTAGAGAAACTGGTCCCTTTGGTCAGATAGTCGGCAGTTGTGTCATTGTTTACAGCCTGGATAAGGGTAGGGCTGAAAAGTCCACTCAAGATATCATTCGATGGGTTGAATCTTGGCTCGTCGATTGAGACTCGATGCACTTGGAGTGGGCTCTGGTGGATGCCATTAGAAAAACTATTAGGGTTCGACCTGAGTGCTGGGCTATTATTGTTAGAGCTCTGCGGGCTGACAGAACTTCCTAGACTGTTCCGAGTGCCACGATCAATCTCGAGGACTCCGTTTGGGCCAACTCTGTAATTTGTGGGCGAGACATTACTTCCCCGGTTCGGGGAACCGTCCAGAGTATTCTTCCCACCGATCACATTCTGACCAGGTGCAGCAAAGTTACCAAATAGTGGAAAATCGAAGTTGAAGCCACCCGATGACCGAATAGCACTGTCGAGAGAGGTGAGGCCCTGCGATATCGAATTGGACGGGGACCTGCTATGGCCACCTCCCATGCTAAATCTCTTGCGGTACTCTTTGAGTTCCGTCTGAAGTTTTTCGACTTGCTCCTTTAGGGCCTTGTTTTCTTGATTTGTGCTTTCCGAGACCTTTTCCAAATCTTGGACTTTTAGCTCAAGATCCTTCAAATGCTTTTCCTTGCGCTCGCGGAATGCGCGTTGCGCGGCTCGGTTTTGGGCCTTTCGCTTCTGTCGGGATTGTTAGAATCCGAAATTAAATACAAATAGTATAAATAGTAGCAAAGATTAGAAATAACTTACAGATGTGGGTTCGTTTGTAATTGGTTTGCGGCCCGGCTTCTTCGCTGTTTTATCGTCCCCTTCTATTCATCAAAAGTCAGTATTCGCCAATTACCTTAAACACCGAGCCAGAAGTGGAAGCACCCACCTCTTCTCTTTGGCTCCGCTTCATGCGGATCAATCTCATCTTCATCTTGATCATCAAAGCTCAACTTCCGTTTCTCATGTTCATTCCCATTCCCATTTACAGGACTATCGCCCGTTCCAGACTCCAGTCCAAAATCTCCAAGTTGATAATCAGCAAGGTCGAAGCTATAATCTGCATCTGCCAATGCATCTGCGTCTGTGAACAAGCTTGTGTCGAAAGAAGCTTCTCCATTTTGAGGGCTTGTGAGGGTATCGGTATTCTGGGAGTCCTTGAGGCTATCGGAACTCGATCGAGGTTGCGAATTAAGAGGGGCATTCGAGTTTAGAGCGGCCAACAGCAAGGCTCGCTGGTCAGGTGAAAGGAAGAGTTCGGGTGATTTGGTAGACATTTTGATAGAATGGGTATCTTGGGAATTATGTATAAAGAAAGAAGGGTGACCGCTGACAATTGGGGGTGGCAAAGAATTTATGGTAAAAATACAGGGTCAAGAAAAGGGAAGTGGGGGGCAATCGGGTCAGATTACTGTGCTGGGGTTCTGATGTATCTGCAGGATTGAGCAAAGTTAGCGTCGATTTGGAAAAGAAATCAGGACAACCTATGTCAGGAGAAATAACGTTATAGAAGGATAAAGGAGTTGGGCCGGCTAAGCCATGTGAATCAAGTTACGGAGAATAAGTGAATGTTACCTTCGAGTTTGGTATTTTGGGGGTTAGAAAATGTGAGGGTTGGGTGAGGGGACTCCGGCCTGACGGAGAGTGACAGCAGAATGACGGCAAACAGCAAGCCGGAGTTATTCGGAGACAGGTTTATGCTTTATATCCGTTACCGGGGAGGCTTAGTGTTTGTAGAAGCTACCTTTCTCTCCGATTTTGAATTGAATATAAATGACGTAAACGGCTCTAGGAAGTTGGGCAAGAGCCCCAGAGTTGTATGGGATATATATCTTGAAGCAGAGAAAAAAGAATGAAGGGAATAAATTCACAGGAGAGTTCGGTTCGAGAGAGCGGAGGATTGGATTTTTTATTTAACTAGAACGTTTGGGAGGGCTTGAGGGACAAGGGTCGAGGGGGAAAGCTAAAAGCAAAAAAGTGTGTGCATACTCAGGTTTTCCGGGTGGACTTTTGGCTTCTAGCTTCTGTCTATGCAACAGAGGCCTGTAACGTCTGCAGTCGGTGAGACAAATGGTAAGGAAGGCGAGCCTGCTATAAATTGACGGGCAAACACAAACTGTCAAATGGAGAAAAAAAGTCTTCTTGGGCGTTGGTTGCTGCGGCTGCTTCGTCGTCTTCTTCTTCGTTATTTCAAGTTGTTTAGAGGCCTCTAAGCAATATTGTATCTTGACTAGTTCGAGGGGGTCGAGACGAACTGGGGAAAGGAATCCGTGAGTCCGATAGGCGCCGGTTCTTTCATTCCAAGTCCAGGAGAAGATGCTTGAATGTTGGAATTCAGGCGAGCAACTACCACCGGATCTGCTGGTTAAGCGAGCCTGCGGATCGAGGGGAGTTGGTTGATGGCAGAAGGGACAAAGGTCGAGGCAATCTTCAAGAATGAAGAATTATGTAATGCGTCTTATATAGAACTTCGGGGAAGGGGAGAGAATACGCAGCTGGATCATATAATTCTGAATGATAAATTGAGGACGCCGTCTATCACAAAAAACAGAATTAAAGGGTCTTCTGCTGACGGTGTTCAATATCGAATTCTCCCTGGGTGGCTTCACGACGGCGTAGGACGTCTCGCGGACGGTCCGCGAATTATCCTCATTAATTGCATTGAGCCTAACCCGTTACCCTGCGAAAACGAATATTAACTTCGGGTTTGGGCGGTGCAATATTGAATCCAATTCTCGATAAGATTTTAGGCCGGATCAGGGCAAGATCTTAAGATTGAAGCATTCCAGTTGTCAGAAGAAAAAGCCACATATAAGAGTCATACTCTCGCTTTGATTCGGGTCGTGCAAGCCGTTATTGCAAGTTCGTATTTTAATTTCTTATATTGCAATGAATTGCGAAGTGCTTCGAGGTCCATCATGCGCGATACTTGGTGCCCAAGTATCGCAGGGTGGGGTAGCCCGCAGCTGCAAAGACATGGTCTGCCTAAACCTATCACATCTGAGCCCAACTTGAATCGGCCTGAGCTCCCACGTCTGGCCGGCATAGCTTCGGCAGAACCGATTAGTGATCACGAGGTCGGTGTTCGAGGTCTAGAGCGACCGGATTCAAATAAAGGCCAGCTTTCCCTCCCTCTGCTGCTCGGCCGTTCGTGATTGACCTGCCCCAGATGTATGTACAGCCAGAAGCCAGAGACTTCAAACGTGCCATCAGTTACGCTCTGGCTAAAGTAACTCGAAACACTGGGGGTTAGTCAATAGAGCAACATGGAAGGCAAGAGAAGTGCTACTTCAGAATGAGTCGCAGAGGAGCATTGAATTTTTTGCTTACAAATTCAAATCGACATCCGCTTCGGCTTTCGGGTGTTAAATCCAATGTTGCGCCGAACCAGGGATCCCTGTCATTTCCACTGGTTCAGGGCTGGGTGGCTAAAGCTAAAAATGGGGAACATGCATGCCCTGGGCTGCTGACTTCGGGTCGAGTAGGAATGTTGCAGCTCTATGACCTCTTCCGGCCGATTGTGGGATCGAGTGGTCTACGTCATCTAGAATTAAGATCGAAAGGACTGGAGGTTTTCCAAATACCGGAACCCGGCCATACGGCGGCCATACATACAGTACCCACTCGTGGTTCGTTTGCCCAGGAACCAACGCACGGAACCGAAACCTGCTGTTTTGGCTTTGAAGACTTCTAGAAGGACGAGATGTGGATCGCTCCCGTCTGGGCTCTGTCGACTACTGCCGGATTATGGGGAGGGTTAGGAAGATGGGGACATGCAGATGAGTCCCGACTGATTAAGTAATCGGAGCTCGACTTTGCAGATAATTTATGCTGTCAGCTTGCAAGCTTGGAAGATGTACAGTGTAAATCTCTGTTCCGAAATATGCAACAGTCTACAACACGTTGACGTTGAAGACCGGCTTCGGGTGAAAATTTGAGCATGACATGATAAAGATATACAGATGTCTTGTCATCTCCAAACGTGGGCCGTAAGCGGATTGGCTATCCGTAGATTAGGTTTTATCGGTTCAGGATTACGTAAATACTCTCTAGAGAATCAAAATTCATATTCTCTCGGTGATATACCTATCGCGAGTTTATATATGATATAATACGGATCACTATCCACAGGCATTTGCCCCTGGTTCCAATCAGAAGAACCAGTGCCATACCTGTTCTGTCGTTCGTTCAGACGTATACGCTAGGTAATTACTTAGTCATCTGCAATACAATTCCTCTTCTCCACACCAACAGATCGCTCGAGCTCTTATAGTATCCTGCACTAGCTTCGGCGTATTTGCTGATCCCATATATACCCGCAGGGCCGGAGACGAGGCTTTATCGTAGGCTAGGGCGTCATTATTGTAAAATAACCGTATCATAGGAGTTATGAGCCTTAAAACCCGTAAAACCCGCTATCGGATCAACTAGGCTGTAACGAGGCTCGAGGATTGCATGCCGCTAATTGTGCTTGTTCATACTCTTAAGGATCTAGCCCAGACTCCTCAAGCACATGGGGTGAATCTAGGCTTCGAATACTACCCAGGAAAATATATCTCCCCTTTCTTCTTCTCGGCTCTTCACATACCATTCAATTAACCCGGTAGATCCCCTCATGTTGATAAATCAAGTTAAGGAAGTCCGACGGACGCTTAAAATGGGGAATAGACCCACGATATTGACCATAAAATGTTAGCATTGTTTCGTACACTAATTATAGTACAAAAAAAGAGAAGGAAAGAAGCGAAAGGAATTTTACGAAGTTATCCAAGTGTAAAAATGATATGAAAACAGAAGAACGCCAGAGTGCTCCCAAAGAGAACGTGAACAATCCAGGTAACGGTGGTACTTCGTTCGACTAGTTACCCCCTATAACCTATGTCCGTGTCTGAAAAAGAATATGTTTGCATGCCCAGTATGTCGTTAGTGATATCCAGTCAAAAGACGGAAAGGATAAAAAAGATGTCTTGAGGATACTCATGAAATTAAAATCCCCCGAATTTCCAAAGAAAAGCTCACACCAATCATAAAAACCGTGAAAAGGGGTTTCTGATACGTCAGGTGAGGAAGAGATATCACCTCTCCCTTCCAACCAAGTTAGAATATCCTCTTTGCTCTTCTGGTAAAAAATGCATCAAGGGTGATAATAATAGATCCACAAGGGGACCTAGACTTAATCATCATTATCTGCCCTTTGGTAGATATGCCTCTCTCTTGCAACGTCTTTTCTCATAGGTTGTCCGGATCCAGTAAATCCAACTTTGCGAAGGGGGCATGTTAGCTACTGGTCTGAATAAAAATTGGGGCAATAGTCAATGGATTGGATAGATTCTTACCTCGTCCGTGAATACCATCTGGTGTTCTGAACATGCTACCTTCGCCGATCTTTTTTGCCTTCCCATTCTTGCCCGATTTCACACCTTTTGCGGCGAAGGCCTGCCATTTACTCTTGCTCTCGTTGAGCTCTTTCATAGCACGGACCTTTCGAGAGCCTTTCTTTCCTGCTGCATCTCCGTCCTTCTCCTTTTTCCCCGCTTCCAATGCACCGGGATTCAATGTCGGGGCCTGAGAGATAACGGCCGTATTTGCCGGAACCACCTCGACTGGTGGGCTGACCCTCGGCTTCTTGTTGGTATTTGGTCGAATATCCTTCGCAGACAAAGTTTCAGTGGTATTGTCGTATCCTGTAAACGAAACAAGGTAAACAGGGTTCTTGCTCGAGCCTGTGACAGTTGTTATTCTTGCTGGGTACAGTGCGCCATCTCCCGAAATCCAACGGGCTTGAACTTGATCGCCAACATTGTACGTTACTGTTGGAGTGACTCCATTGCTAGTAGCCTCTGCGTCGGATTCGGCAGGGCGCTTTCGGCTGGCGGATGTGAATTTCGGGGCCGGCGCAACAGCAGGGGCTGGCGTTTGCTCTTCGGCGATGGTTTCTGTGAGAGATATTAACTCTTCGAGTTCTTTCCTGAGGTCGAGAAGTTCTTGGTTGTCGGGTGACCCCTTCAGGGCGGCCTCAACTGACTCGAGCTGATAAAAGGGGTTATTAGCTTCTCGTCGCAAAGTAGCCCAGATAAGATGATTTACCTGGAGTTTGTATTCTTTTAATTCGCTATCCATTTTCGTGTCGCTTTCTTTCGCGGTCCGTACGTCGAGTTTCAATATCAAGTTTTGGGAGCGCTTTAGAAATCGGTGCGCTATAGGAGGTTTGGATATCTAGTTATAATGGTGTTCGGACTTGAAGTTGGTTGAATATGAAGTAGTGGCGGCGGGATGATGATGGGTGATGGAGAAAACGAAGTCAGGGCGGTTCGGGCGAAACAAAAACCACGATGGTAATCACGTGATCTTTAAATTTAGATACAAAAATTTCGAGACCCGCTTCGACTAAGAAACCTTTTCAACCGTCGACTTGTCGCAGACTGTACCAATCAGCAAACATCACCCACTGAATCCGATTCGCGGTAAATCAAGAGTCGCACATCCCAATGGCAGAGAAACGATCACACTCACAGGCCTCTAAGGCTAGAAAACGTCGAAAAATCGGGTCGGCCCAAGCTCAAGCTGTCCCAAAGCGGTGGAAGACGGTGACACCAGACTCGTTGAAATGGCGCAAAGTCGATATGCCAGATCGCCTTGACGACGTCGAAGGCTTTTTCGGATTGGAGGAGATTGACGACGTCAAAATCATTAATAACAATGGCCTTCTACAGTTTGAGGTATGTCGGCATAATCGCAAGGCTAGAGCAGCCGACTAATAATTATTCTCTAGGCTGTTGGAGCTGCTGATAGTGAAGCCGAAACCGAGGGTAAAGGCTCCGATGTAGGCGATGATGAATGGAACGGTTTCTCGGACGTCAATACAAGCGATAAAGGTGCCACGACAGAGATGAATGATGAACCTAAGATGAACCAGGCTCAAGAATCGCCCAAAGAGAAAGCGCAAGCAAAAGAACTACAGGAAAAGAAAAAGGAAAAGGAAAAAGGAAAGGGCAGTGAAAAGGAAAAGAAGAAGAGGGAGAAGCAAAAGAAAAAGCAGAAAGAAAAGGAAGAAAAATCAAAACCGAAAGCGAACAATACCGTCGTGATAAACTCCTTTGCAGGATTGGAAGGCCTGAGTGACGATGATCTCGAAGTTGACCTTCCTGCATGGGAGTCGCTATCGCTATCGCCATATACGCTACAGGCACTTCAAAAACTAACATTCACGGAACCAACTCCAATCCAGAAACTTTCTATCCCTTCGATAATAGCAGGACACGACCTAATAGGCAAAGCAGCCACTGGATCCGGCAAAACCCTAGCTTTTGGTATTCCAATATTCGAACATTGGCTGTCTAGCTCGAAAGACCGGGCAGTACCTGCTAAACTGCTCAGCGAAGAAGATAAGGAAGCCGATGCCTCGAAGTTAACAAACCCTCTCTCGGCATTGATTCTTTCTCCAACTCGTGAGCTAGCCCATCAAATCACCGAACATATCCAAGCGCTGATAACGGCGTCTGGGGTAACATCACCCCCCCATGTTGTGTCACTCACTGGCGGCCTATCTATCCAAAAGCAGTTACGGAAACTTGGGCAGTCCGGTGGCGCGGATGTCGTGGTAGCTACACCTGGGCGTCTTTGGGAAATACTCAGTGAGAAATCCGGGTATACACGATGGTTTAGAAAGACTCGCTTCCTGGTAATTGATGAAGCAGATCGTGTTCTTCAAGAAGGCCATTTCAAGGAGGTCGAGCAAATCCTAGATGTTCTGACCCGTGACGCTGAGGAAGAGGACGTAGCGCAAAACCCCGAAGTCTACGGCACTATTAAAACCTTTAAAAATTCGAAGCCGAAGGATCGCCAGATGCTTGTCTTTAGCGCCACGTTTAGCAAAGACCTTCAACAAAAACTCTCTTCCAAAAAATCCTGGAAGAATTCTAACTCCGGACTGTTGGACGACAAGGATTCTTTGGACTATTTGCTGAAGAAGTTACCATTCCGAGAAGAACATCCACAATGGGTAGACGTAAATCCTGTTGACCAAATGGCTGAAAATCTTCGTGAAGGGATTGTAGAATGCGGCAATATGGAGAAGGACCTTTACCTTTACTACCTTCTACTTCGATATCCCCTGCGCACTCTTGTCTTCACAAACTCCATATCAACTGTCCGCCGTCTCACCAACCTCTTTCAAAATCTAGAGTTATCGGTTAATGGCTTAAATTCGAATATGATCCAAAAGGCACGCTTAAGAAGCTTGGAACGATTCTCTGCGCCTACCAAGCCAGTGGGGAAAGATGGAAAGCCAAAACACCAGATCCTAATATCAACAGATGTTGCTGCAAGAGGTTTAGATATTAAAGGCGTAGAGCTAGTCATACACTACCATGTTCCGAGAGCAGCAGATACCTATGTTCATCGATCCGGACGAACAGCACGATCAAAGAATTCCGGCGCTTCGATTATACTGTGCGCGCCAGACGAAGCATTGGGTATCAAGAGACTAATCAGCAAGGTTCACGAGGACCGAGGGTCAAAGAATCATGCAGGTATCAAGTCCGTATTCGTGGATAGGAGCCTCGTTACAACATTAAGGACAAGAATCGAGCTAGCTCAGAAGATTTCGGGAAGTACAATGGCGAAGGAGAGCCAAAGAAAAGAAGACGACTGGCTCAAGTCTGCCGCCGAAGATTTGGGAGTGGATTATGAAAGCGACGAGTTTGCAGAATTATCCGAAAAGGGGAGAAGAGGTGCGAAAAAGAGGCAAGAGGCAAGGAGTGTAGGGAAGGATGAGATGGCGGCATTGAGAGCGATGCTGAGAGAGGAACTCTCAAAGAAGGTCGGCAAAGGAAGTCGTTTGTACCTTACAAGCGGGGTGGATAACCTGGCACAGAGGTTGGTAGACGGCAAGGAGCATGATGTGTTTTTTGGGGAAGAGGGCGGTTGGGGTTTGAATAATCTGTAAGGATAACTATGTGTTTCATTTCATCTGTTAAGTAGGTCGACAAAAGCTGCCTAAGAGGCTGCGTGATATGGGACACCAAATTAAGCCCGCAATCCTAGTACATATGGACATACACCGAGGTTTTTCGTAACGTAGAGCCAAAGGCAATCCACGCCTTAATAAGAATATACATTCGAAGACTGAGAAAATATGTACGAGCTAACATATCTACAACCCTATTGAACTTTTACAGAAGCCTCAGCAGAGGTATTCGCTTCTTGGCCTCCCTTACCTCTTCCCCTTCTCCTTCCACGGATTACACCCTTTTCAGGGGGGCCTCGTTTTGCGGTGCCTGGCACGTCCTTCGGCAGTTGAGGATTTTGCCCACTTTGAGTCGACTTTCCACCCCGTCCTCGAAAGTTAGCCCTCCCGCCTCGTGCCCCACCCCGTCCCCTTCCTCTGTTCACCCCTACAGCCTTCTGTTCCTGTTGCAATACCTGCCTCCCTTGCGATTCTTGCTGGTACCTCTCGCTCTCTTTTTCCCACCAATCCATAAATTCTTGCTCTTGTTGAATCTCTTGCAAACTTTGTTTAGGCCCTTTTCCCTTAATGATATCTTGCTGAATCTGTTCTTGTTGGATGATTTCGGCAAGAGGTAAATGTATTTGCTCTACTCTCCCGGATAGAGGAGGGAAGTCGTCATATCGCTCAGAGCGTGGCTGCGTTGGGGAAGATACAGATTTCAATGGGTCTGTTGGAATCACATTGCCGCTGCTATTATACCTGAGGGTATGCACTTGGGGCGGTGGAGTCGGGAGATTATGCCTTGGTGGTACAGGTTGTGTTCCTTTGGGGGATGTAACTTGTCTTGGCGGCGTATTAATGTTTAGTGGAGATTGAGCGGGCGGGGGAGTCTGGAAAACGTCGAGTAGTTTACTCGGAGTATTATCCTTCCGTGGAGTCGATAGGGGCGATGAAGATGGCTGCTGTTGAAGTGATAATGGATTAGAGGGCGAACGCACCGCCTTCCATGGTGAAGCCTTCGGTGTTATAATTGATTTGTCTGGTGTTGAAGCCAAAGGCGGCACAGGACTACATGCAGCTTGTTGCGACTGGAGTTGCTGCTGACGCTTACGCTCTTTCTGGGATACTTTTGTAGTTATCGGAGCATTAAAGTTTGATGCGGGTAATCCACCTACGCCCGCCGGGTCGATTGATGCAGACGACAGGCCAAGAGAAAGATTGCTAGTCCTGTTCTTTGAGGCCTGCGTTATGATCTCCCGCATATCAAGCTTATCTGACTGTATCCCAGGCCCTAAAATCCAAGGTTTAGGAATAGTTTCATCAAGACCGACTTGGCTCGAGACCCCTTCCAAACTGATCTGTTTGCCCTTGCAGTCATACCACACGTCGGTCTTAGGAGTAGAACCTAGCCCATATGAATCATTCCTGTTAAGGGCGGGACTCTGAGATATGGGTGTTTTTCTTGACTTGGAGCTGGAGTCCTCGTCATCCATATCAAATATAAGCTCGCTGCCTTGAACCGGGAGCAGGGGTGGTGTTTTAGTTGGTGGCCTTTCTTGGCCAGATTTCGATGACCGTCGACGCCTCTGCTTTTCGTAACTTCCAGCACGAAAGCTAGATGACTGCCTGTACGAGGCTGGGGAACTTGCGAAGTCCACTTCTGCTGCCATCGAAATACTCATTGCCCCGCCTTCTAGTAACTGCACCAGTGCCTGCTGCTCGTTTTCTGCGGAGGAGGCCAGGTGCGGATGCCTTTCAAGAAGCTCGACCTCCGCACGGCCACTTCGACTAAACGGCATATATGCCAACTGGCGTTCTTTGACTGCTTCGTCAAGTTCTGCCATCAGATCCTCGTCAAACTCTTCAAGGGCACGGATCTCCATCATGGTATCTAGATTTCTGAAAATATACTCAAGGCATACCTCCTTAAACGTTGGGACAGAAGACTCCGAGATTGCAGCGAGAATAGAGGTAGCATTTCGGGTGTTGACTATATCAAAGTTAACATTCAACTGCACGAGAATATGAAGGGAAGGGCTTCTAAGAGCTTACCAAATCGGCCGATGACCCTCTGGCAAATTTCAACCAGTCGATCGAGCATCAGCTCGTTAGCCACACTAAGAACGTCGATAACAAGATCTATAAACGCATCTACCCCGTCCTCCGTCGCCTTTGCGCTATCGAATAAATGTAGGGACTTGTCTGAATAGAGGAATTTTAGAACGATACCCATTGTCTCAATCGTAACATGCTTCATGTCAACTCGAATGAGTTGGTCAGCAGCATATTCTTCCTCTTCCTTTCGGGTCGCAAGCCATCGTCCGGAACCTCCGTGATAAAGAGCGTCGAAAAATGAACATCTTGCACACAACAAGGAGCTATGAACCTTAACGGTATCGTCTTTCAATCCTAGAAGCATATCACCGGTTTCTTGAAAAAATGGATCGGAGAGAGCCTCTTCAAGATCAGTATCCAGCGTTAGCTTGGTTGAATAGAGGCCGGATGCTATAGCGGCAAGCTGCTTTAGACCTAAGCTATTCGCAAGCATTCCAAGATCCGCCCGTACTCGTTGGAAAAGTAGCGTTTTTTCTTTGTTCTTGCTAAATTTCGTCCAAACTGTAACGACGACATCTTTATATAAATAGAATATAAAGATGAGGAGTGAAAACCAATTGACTCCTTTGAATGTCAAGTCGAAGGTGCCACCGGGGTGGTGGTGTAATTCGACAATACCCTCATGATGGACAGTGCGAGATTTCATTGCTTTTGCAAACAGGGACCGTAGCTGTGGACAGCGGCCAGTAAGCATGAATGAGTGCGCCGGTACGCTGATTCCAATATCATCTAGTTCCGCAGACCGAATGACAGTATCATACTCAGTTAGGTCCATTTCATGGATCGTTTCCTTGAGAATATTTATGAAGTCCTCCTGTAGAAACCAATCCATAGCTCGTTGTCGGAGATCATTTGGATCCGGCTTTGTAATGTCATCAGTGTTTTCATCGACCCCAGGTGAGTTAAGATCGTCGTGAAATGAGAGTAAAGAGCCCAAATCGTCCCACAAAGTCGGTCTGCGAACCTCCAGTTTCGTTTTAAGGATATCAACATCCCTTCGGATAGCCGCGAAGGAGCCATATGCATTGCTTCGGACCCCCACAATATGCGTCAGACCGGGAATCCGGGCAAACTTGTAGTCTTTTGCTCGATCCAACAGCTGTGGGACCGGAGTAGCTGTCGAATATGCACTCCCCAAACCTTGGATTTCTTTGACCTTACTACGCCTGGTTCTCTGCCACACGCTTCCAGATTCAGTACAGATAATCACTGCCCCTTCTTGACCAACATCGATGTCTCTAACTGCCATGTGCCTCTTCCTCAGGGACCAGATACGTTGAGGTACGGGAAGTGTTCTAGTCGTGGTGGCTGTTGATTTTTCGACATTAATAGTAAAAACATCTCCCATTCTAGCTAGAGCAGCAACGGTATTACCCCCTGAAGTGATCTTTGTGATAAAATTTGGTTTACTCTGGTACTTCGACGTTGGTCTTGTGGGTTTAATTCCCGTGTTCGGAAACCGTTCGAAAGGAAATGTAAGTTTCATTATCCCAAAGTTCATGAGAACCCAGACGTCGTGGTTCTCGAGAAGAATAGCCGTAGCTTTGTCTGTAACTGTGATCATTGATATCGGCTGCTCTGATAGAACGGCTGCCGCAACTTTTCGTGGAGATGTCTGTGCTTCCAATGTTCTGGAGTCGGCGTCGACCAAACCTAGTTGCCCTTCATTTTTGCCAAAAACGAATATGGAGTCAATAGTATGAACCGCAGAATGATGCTTTGATGCAGCCGCGCCAATGACTTTCTCTCTACGCAAGTTTGTAAAAACTTGTCGTGGAACTAGCTGGTACTCCTCCTTGTCATTTTTGTCGATGTTGGCTGGGTATCCGAGTTGCCCGTATCTTCCAGTTCCCCAAGTAAACACATCACCATTTTCCAGCACGGCAACAGTATGGCCCTGACCTAACGCCACGGTGCTCACTCTTCGAGGGAGTTCCACTCGCCTAAAGGTGAACTCTGTAGACTGGTGGCCCAAACCAAGTCTTCCACCCTGTCCATGGCCGCAGATATAAAGATTATTCGAGAGTGCAGTTGTTATGATGGCTGAATGAAATTTTGCCAACTGGATGTCTTTCACATAGATGGGGGCAAGCGTGATTAAGGAATCCTGAGACCCATCAGAATCCGGCCTCGGTATCGGCATTCTCTCTGGAAATTGTCTATCATCGCCATCGCTGAATCCCAAAGATACGTTCTTGTTGCTTCCCCAAATAAAGGTTTCATCTCCAAGATATTCTCCTTTGAACTGGCCGACCTCGAGATCCAAAAGTTCAGGTTCTGGGTTATCCTCGTCAGAATCCTCGCCAAATTCGTCGGTGTTATCGGGTTTAAGTCCGTGCTTCACGGTTTCCACTTTGATCGTCGATTCGAATAATTCAAATGGAGAGTTTCCCTCTCTATCCTTGATTTTAATTAGGCCGACTCCCTCACTCCTCGACAAAATTTGCTTTGCTACACTTATATTACCGAAGTACAGGGCACTGGGCGCGTAGGGAAATCAGTAAAAGACTCCAGGTATCGGCGGTGACTCCCACTCACCGATGCAAAGCCGTCCAACCAGACTCAAAATCCTGGAGAAACAGATCCGTTTGAGGGTGTTTCAAAAGCGCCTCTACAAATTCCAGCTTGTTTGCTGTGGCAGCATGATGAAGCAGTGTAAGACCCGTAATCGGTGCTAATGGGTTCGCAATAATATTGGCAGGTAGCCTCGAGTTTATTTGGAATCGATTTAGCGTAACAGCCCTGGATTCGGTGCCTGGAATTGCATTATAACCGGAAAACGTGGATTGTCTCCTTGGTGGCGATGATAGATCGAAGGAATGCTCATTCGTTAAAGACCCGGCGGGATGTTCATTGGTCCCTCCGGTCCTATCTTCAGATAGACCCAAAAGACTTCTAAACTTCTCCAAGTCATTCTCGAAGTAGGCGCGCCAAAGATGGCTGCTCATATGCTAAATGTTGGTATGAAGGGAGGAACTTTCCCGTCGCTCGGTTTCCACTATGCAGTTACGTGAACAGCAAGTGGCGAGCGAATGGTAGTTCCTTAAGAAAGCAAGCGAGAATGCGTCGAGCGACGGGTGGGTCCTTTGATACCACAAGGGTGTGTACCGATTATCGAGCTGGGTTATTCGGCTTGTTTTACGAGAATCGAAGTCGTTCGTAGACGTTTACGAGAATCGAAGTCGTTCGTAGACGTTTACGAGGGCAATGGCTCCTTTTAACCGCCTTTTGGATGTGATGTTGGAGATGTTAAAGTTCGAGTCGTTAATTTTGGTTTATCGTTGGGGGCGAAATTAAGATAACAACACTTTGTCTTTGATGACCGACGCGAGATTCAGGAGGGGCAAAGCAATTGAAATAACAATCACGGATGGCCGGAAGCTGTTTGGTAGAGCGGACTGAAACGGAAACAAAGGGGGACATAGATATCGAGCGACGGTATAGGAGGGTAGTGGTTGTGACTGCCATTTTCACCGCCGCGATCAAATCGCAATAACTTGGGTGTCTACGCCCTAAATCGGCGGGGCTACATAATGCGGGACATCTCATCTCGAAAGCAAAGATGAGTCTACTATGATTACATATGATATATCGCGCAGCCCACCTTGGGACTTGGAGCCAGCTTAGTCGCCTGCAGTTGCCGGCCCCTGCTCCGCGTGGGGTTGCTGACCCAGCCGAAGCAAGTCGACCAGGCCACATGGGTGCCCTAGCGTACGTAGCCGACCTCACCTCCTGTCCAACCAATACCTCCACGCCTGTTACGGTGCTTACCAGTCTCGCTGCTTCTGTTGCCGAGAGTAAGCTCAAATATAAATATACGCTTTAACTTAAGAAGATAGGCAAGCTATTTCCAGGGGATCGGATTAGAGTGCCGACTAAATAGCTAAATGTTATATTGTGCAGATTAAATACTCATAACTTGCTCCGAGACACTTTACAAATATCTATCCGCTCCCAGTGTGAGTCCATTAACGCGGTAGCAAGACGTTTTTAACGGAGGACCGGGGATACATGATTTTCCAAGGTATGCCACTTCTTCAGACTACCTTTGCATCCATGATGCATAGAAGTGTATATAAATGACCTATTAATATTTGGATGCAGGTACTTGGTTACGAGACTCAGTATTCAAGTTAACGGATACGAGGGATAAATTTGGGTCAGTACAAGGCTAGGTTTGGGTATATAGACGTTATAACTCTTAGGACTAGCCCTCAGCGGGTTCTCTTTGGCTGCTAATTGGTAGTTACTTCTTACACGACGCCCGGATTCGGGGGAGGGAAGAAATAAAAAAAAAAAAGAGCGATGGAATAACTATATGACTTAATGACCTTGCAACATCCTTGATATTCTGTTAATTTGCGATCTATCCATTGAGCATTGGGTAGTTCAGCTCCAACCGATCAAGCCTGGTCTCGTTATCAAGCCTTGTGTCTGCGTCGAGCGGGGCACAAATATCGAACGCCGTTACGGGTCATGTGCTAGATGGCTACCTAGACCGCTCTGGGATACCCGGGTAGATGTACGAAACGTTCTGGTTAAAGTTAAAGATCCCGCATATTCCCATTAGCAGATATCGATAAATATGATAAAATCGACTGAAAGTGTGAAGTCTCGTTGTACAGTTATGAGCGCCGGATGAATTGAAACGAGTTGTTTGTGGTATTTTGGATCCCTACCGCTTTTGGGGGCTGCAACCATCAACCAGGCCTATTTCAAGGCGCACACACAAAAATTCTTCTCTTCTTTTTCTTCCACCCTCATTCCTCATTTTGACGCGATATCGACCCTGACGCCGACATGTTCTCAAATGTTACTGTTATCAATGCTTATTCTACAGTAATGCGATTTAGTGGAGCCTTTTACAGCTTATAGTTAGTAATGGTGAGTCGAAACACCCATTTCATATCAAATACTCGTTTTTTCCACCATAGATGATCTCGATGATGAGTCTAATACGCATACAAAACATGTTTCAACCCCATCTGAATACATCATGTCTGATACTTGCGCTTTAAATGAGAATAACCCCTCTGAGTCCATCGTCTATGGTTTATTTTGATATCCGTCTACGAATCCCCCTCTGACCATCTCGTATTTGTTATCAAAATATGTCCCAAGGCTAACATTCTCGAAAAGATTTTCTCAATATATCTATAGGGAAATATGTAAAGTGCTAGTTACGGTGTATCCTCGATTCCTAGAGGGGCTAGGCTGGTTTCGGTGTCCGGGAGCCATTACCCTTCCATTCATTCGGTGAAAACCCTCCGGCCTCTCGGGCATTCGACCAACCGACTGGCCAATATGCATCTGTGATGGAGTTGGAAAACGGAAATTGCTAAGGAGATAATGGATTCTCCGAGCACGATAGAATTTTAGACAGCCATGATTTTCTTCAATATTTGTAAAAATACATGTTTATACAATGCGGACTTGATATTATATAAAATTTATCGAATGTAGTTCATATGATCATTCACATGTTCGTCATTTTCGTCGAAGTGACGTACCGGAAATAAGCTAGTTCCGGCCATCCAGTGCGCATGCAAGAATCAAAAAGGTTAACCCCGGTCCTACGTGATGCCTCTTGATCTATTCGGTTCACAGTATTAATATTTAATTGGACCCAATTACACGGCGGTAACATTCATTTATATTGGAACCGACTTAGATTACTTGTTTACCCATACCAAAAGTACGAAGTAGGTTCGTACTTGCAGCTTAATCGCAGCCATGACCACGACATTTGCGTTACTCGGAGCCACTGGCCTTGTGGTATGTTCCACAATCCCACCCATTGTTTGCGTTCCACAACTTATATATAATTCCTTGGTGATGTTATAATATTAATACACATGTATATGTGGGTTCTGTGTAGGGAAGCAATATTCTCAAATATCTGATCCAATCACCAACGCCCAGCGCAATCGTCACCCTCACACGTCGTGAGCACGATGAGACCATAGTTTCGTCAGCAGCCGCTGCAAACCACACCCTCACAGCCAAAATCGACAAAGATACTTCGAAATGGGCCACTATCTTCGGCGAGGCCTGTAAAGTGTCTCCACCCCCCATTGTATTTACGGCGTTGGCCACCACCCGTGCTGCTGCTGGCGGTCTCGACAAACAGTATGCCCTTGAACACGATGTCAATGTCGCAGTAGCAAAGGCCGCAAAGGAAGCTGGTGTTAAGACCTTTGTCCTGATTTCCGCTTCTCGGGCCGACAAAGACAGTCATATGGGGTATACTAAACTGAAGGGAGATATTGAGCATCATATTGAAGAGTTTGGGTTCGAGAGATTCATAATCTTGAGACCTGGGTTACTGCTTGGCTCTAGGAATGAAACTAGGATTGCAGAAGGCATCCTACAAGCCGTTGCAAATGGATTACGTAGGATTAGCGGAGGGTATTTGTCGGATTCTTGGGCACAGGCTGGGGATGTAGTGGCCAGAGCAGCTGTGCGAGCAGCCCTAGATGATAATGTCAAGGGCAAAAAGATATTATACCAGAATGATATTGTGGAGCTGGGCAATAAGGAAGGCTGGTAAGTGTACTACTGGGGTATTTGAATATTTGATGTCAGTAGATGAACCCAGACCAGCCATGACATATCAATTCATGAAGGAGGTGTCGTTTACTTGATCAATGTATTCTTTGATGGCAGATGGGTATATACCGACATGGGTTTCTAGGATGAATTTGTTAATGATAATGTGAATTTAAATATTTGATCATGATTCAATCGATCAAGTGGCTAGCCGTCATCGACGGGATCCAGTTAGTATAAAGTATCAATGCATCTCTGTCAATATATTTGATTCCTCGAATATCATGATATTATATTAGAGGACACAGACTAAGACTGTTACCTACTTACTTATGCATATAAACATTCAGCAACCAGACTTTGTATACGACCCAACTAGTACTACCCGATTGCATAAATACCTAAGTAGTAGGTAAGTACAGAGCAGGGAACTAGTGCAAATGCGAATGTACGACAATCATAAATTTCATGAAGCTATAGTGTTAATCTACTAAGATGATCTTATATGAAAGTGCTCTGCGTGAAGTTAGAGCCGTTAACACAGCATTTTAGCATGATTGATGGCTTTCATCCTCCTACTCATCTCTTCCTCCCATCAATTGCAACCGTCAATCAACTCCTTCTCTCCGCATGCTAAACCGCCATCACTAACTTGAAATACCCAAAGTCGCGTCCCATCCGCGACTTCAAGCAGATAGCTCACTTCCCTCCTACCCGGTAAGTGCTCTCGAGCTCTCGCATGGTTGTGTGTTACTGGCTGCACACAGGCTTGTTGTTCCCTTGCAAGGTTGTTGGTTGTGGCCCACAAACTCGATCCAGCAACAGCAGCGAGCTTCAGCGCCACAACTCAACCTCCATCCTCCCTCCATCATTCCCTTCCACACATCCTTCTACCTCTCCAGGTGCACTTGATCGCATCAAGCTTCAAACACCGAGCTACTCCGCCTCTTATACCCTCTCACGTCATAAATTTGCATCGTTACCGTTTTTTTCTTCCAGACTTCCTCGTTCCTGACTGGTCATCCTATCTTCTCTTACTTCATATATTATGGCTGCAGCTGTAAGGCTTCATATTTCTCCACCACGCAGCTCCCACCACTACCCTCCTTAGCTTCGTTCCATCATCAATCTTTGTCGCGATGGTAGCTTAAAGCCTTGGAAACGCTGCTAACATCTCCAATCGCTTAGTTTCCTTCCAGACCCGGATTCGTCCCAGGTGCCGGAATGGCTCCCTCCAATCCTATGCCCAACGGGCCAGTCCCGGTTGTCTTGCCACCAAATATCGTCCATGTCCCGAAATCCAACATCCGTATCCTATGCGTCGCCGACGTTAGAGGTGAGTTCGTGCGCGTTTCGTAAGGCTGTGTATGAAAGTCGCGACTGACAGGCTCTCAAGGTGATCTACTGTCATTGAACGAACTGGCCAAGAAGACCAATGCCGACTACATTCTTCACACTGGTGATTTCGGATTCTACGATAACTCATCGATACACAGAATCGCTGAAAAGTATGGCAACTTTCAACTACATTGCTTCTTTTATACACCGTATCTAACCTTAGTCGTGCATTCAAATTAGAACCCTCCGTCATGTTGCTCAGTACTCGCCCCTCCTCTCCGAAGGCACTAAAAAGTTCATCCAGAACAATCCCAGCGGCCAGCCGATCAAGAGTCGGCTCGCTGATGAGCAGCTCTCACAGCTACCCAAGTTTCTGGACAGAACACACGCGTTTGACGTTCCTGTTTACACAGTTTGGGGAGCGTGTGAAGACGTTGCCGTCCTGGAGAAATTCAGGTCCGGCGAATATAAGATAGACAAGCTGCACATTATCGACGAGGCCTCTTCACGGTTGCTAGATGTTGGTGGTGTCAAGCTGCGGCTTCTTGGCCTAGGCGGAGCCGTTGTCATGCACAAGCTGTTTGACAATGGTGAAGGCAAGACAACTATCGCTGGTGGTCAAGGCACCATGTGGACCACCCTTTTGCAGATGGGCGAACTTCTCGATACTGCAAACCGGGTGTATGACGCTAGCGAGACTCGTCTTTTCCTTACACACTCCTCACCAGCTCGCGAGGGTCTTCTCAATGCTCTTTCCGTGGCTATCAAAGCGGACTTCTCCATCTCTGCTGGCCTACATTTCCGATACGGAAGCTCCTATAATGAGTTCAGCGTCAACCCCACCCTGGATCATTACCGAGGTAAATTGGCTGCTTCGAAGGCATCTTTCAATGATGTTTGGGAAACTGTTAAGGGTGAAGTCATGAATACTGTTGCTCAGAATTCTGCCCAAAAGCAGCTTCTCGATAACGCCCTTAATATAATCGACAAGATGCCTAGCACAGCAACTGGCCCAAATCCATTCGGCGGCTCGGCACCCGGAAGCAAGGGCGAAGTTGATGAGAGTGCCTTTAAGAACATGTGGAACTTTAATCTGGCTGATGCTTCGTTCGGTCATCTTATTCTTGATATCGAAAATGGTCGAATCGGTACAGAAATGAGAGCCCAGGGTTTCAATTTCGCTCATAGAACTGGGAAATCAACTGCTGCAACAGCCGCCGCCGCCAATGCTGCAGCGGCCCCTACAGGCCCTTCTGGTGTCGAGGCTCCTGTCCAACCCACCAACCAACCCACAGCACCGACTCAACCCGCAACCGCCCCTACCCCGCAAACCACCGCGCCACAAACGAATGCGCCTGCACGAGCCCCATCTGCTCCTCGCCGTGACGAACCTGTTAAACCTGCGACACCAATCAATGTGCCACCACGTACTCGTTCTGCCACCCCATCGAAACCCGTCGCCGTTGAAGCTTCAGCAGCGCCAACTAAAGTTGAAGAACCAGCGAATGGTGCTTCCGTTTCAGAGGCTACTGATGCAGGTCCAAAGGAAGAGTTAGCTGAGCCAAAACTAACATCTCCAACTCCACCCCCACAAGTTGAAGGCCCTAGTGGTGGCTTGAGAATTGGTCTTTATGTCACCAACATCACTGGAAGCGATAAGGTCAAAGAACTGTTCCCTGAGTCTGACCGTGAACTCATCGACCGAGTTGAAGAGAAGCATCCCAGGAACGGTAGACCCGTCTACTACTATGTCTTCTTTAGGAATCAAGGAGATTGGAAACCAGTCTTAGAAAGGTTGCCCAAAGATCTTACTACAAAGGGTGACCGCAATCGTCCCTTCGTAAAGGAAATCGATGATCCTAATCAGGGACCCGGTGGAGCAGGTCCATGGCGCCGTGGTGGTGGCGGTATGGGCCGTGGCAGAGGAGACAATCCCAGGTCGAGCGCTTCTGAGAGTGAAGGACCGCCTGGAGGTGGCCGCACTGGTGGTAGAGGTTTTGTGGGCGGCCCTGGTGGACGTCCTCCACGTGGTGACCGAAACCAACCCTTTGAAGGTCGAGGAGGCGGGCGTGGAAATCGCGGAGGGAATAGAAGACGTGATGGACAACCAGATCTTCCATCCTCTTCAACACCAGCCTAAACCTTACCCAGCATTCCTTCAATCTTTTTTATTCACGACGAACGAAAATTATTTCTGGTAAAGTCCAAAAGCATTTGTTTATAAACGGCGACTTCTATTCTGCAACTCGCGATTCACTTCATTGTTTTTATTTTCAGCGGTCCATTTGTTGGACATCCTTTCTACAGGTGTTCGTCTGTGTTCCCCAGACTGTTCATCTCCTCCTCGACTCTTCCTCTACGCTTCACGATTTTGAAAACCTCTACCCCATGTTTCATCAAAAGACCTTTTCTTCTTTATTTTTTTTTTTACTCGGCTTCGTTTCCTTTTTAATGTGTCAACGTTCTTACGAGAATGGTTCTGTTTTCATACCATCGTTTTTACATCAACATGACGGATGTAATTATGAACCTGTACCAGAACAGAGCAGAAAATTCGAAATGCGAAATACGAAATGCGGGGCTGTTATAATTTTTCCTTCTCTTATTATAGAATAGAATAATTATAATACCCTTCCTAGCTATTAATTACTTTGCGTATCTCCTTGACTTCGTTTGCGGAAGAGACCGTTCCACAGGATACCATTCCGTTGTCATACAGTTCTCGATCCTTATACCTGTAGATTTAGGGAATTAAGTAAACAACCAAGAAGGTATGAATACAAGGTATTTCGACTGGCCTGGCCGCCCCGTCGCATCCATTTCTACCGATAAATGCAGAATTGGCCGGGTTAGTCTCCATCGGATCATCAGGGGCAGCCAATAGAGCTGCACGCTGACGTTGTCCGAATCCTTTACTCCGCGTGACCAGCGTTTTCGGTGCCCCGGAATTCGTCCTTCCCAGCACTAGAAGGTGCCAAGCCCTGTCCGCGCTAACGAGCCGGTGTATTCATGTTCGTCATTGTTTGCTCACACTTCCCATCTCCATCCTTCTTCTCCATCCTAGGCACCGTCGTTACGGTCCATCAGCGTATTATTTACACTCTAGAAAGCCATAGATTCGCGATATTCTATCGGGCGACCAGTTGTATACATGTACCGTTTATAGTGGCGGGCCGATCACCCTATCTTTCTCACCAGCGTTTTTTTTTTTGGATACCAGCCACTCCGGTCGTCGGATGCCAGCCACCCGGGTCAAGCAGTCAGCTAACAGACCGATTTAATCGCATTTATCTCCAATCGATACTTACAAAGCCAACGGCTATTACAAATACGACTGTTCTGAGCTTAAACTCTTATTCCTGTTACTTCGTACCTTTGCTGTTTTGCTTCTGCTTTGCAACACTGGTCCGAGGCCGAAGTTACCCCTGGGCTCCATTTTCGTTTCGACTTAAACTCTGTGCCGTTGGAGAGAGACATTACAGATCTAGGCTTTAAACCCCCGATATAGATACACAAACTTCGGCACATAATAAAAGGACCTTCTTGTTCATATCCTTAGTAGCGACAGTGAACAAAATGGATGGCTCCTTCGGAGCCCCTCGGGGATCGCCTTGGGGAATACGGCGGTTACTCTATCTAGGACTTTCGACTTCTATACTCCTTACGCCATTCGTCTCGGCCGAACCGACGGGGAAACACAAGTCAGACTATTGTGCGATAAGGGATGAGTGTGGGCAGAGGGGTTGGTTCGGTAAGCCGTTACCATGCCCCGACAACGGCCCGGCGAAGGAGCCTTCAGCAAGTCTGAGGAAAGACTTGGTAGATTTCTGCGGGCAGAAATGGGCGGAAGGCGCAGTTTGCTGCACGGATAACCAGGTAGGGTTTTTGCAAAACTAGAAGTCCGTAATAGATATCTAATGACCTCAATTCAATAGTTGGAAACGATGAAGGGCAACCTTGAGGTTGTCCAGCAGCTTTTGGCACCATGCCCCGCCTGCAAAGCCAATTTCTTCAATCTAGTCTGTACGATGACATGTTCGCCGAATCAGTCCCAATTCCTAAATGTTACAAAGACGGAAACATTAAGTGGAAACGAGGTGGTCGCAGAGCTCAGCTACTATGTCGATCCGTCCTACGGACGTGGCTTTTTTGATTCCTGCAAGAACGTCAAATTCTCGCAAACTGGTGGATCTGTGATGGAGTTTATCGGTGGAAATGCAAAGACATGGCCTGAGTTCTTGAAGTTTTTGGGCGACGAGAAACCAATCGGATCACCTTTCCAGATCAATTACGTCCTCAACGATGATACCCCAACGCCACCGAACCCTATTAAGGCCATGAACGATCCAATTATCAAATGCAATGATCCGAACCCCGCATATTCTTGCTCATGCCTGGATTGCGCAGAGGCTTGCCCAAAACTTCCAGATTTGGAGGACGAGAAGGCTTGTCGTGTTGGAATTATCCCATGTTTATCATTCTCGGTCATCGTCATATACGCTGTTTTCCTTACGGCAATCTTGCTCTGCTATGGGTATTTCTTTACTAGGGACTATACCCATCGGTACCAGCGGCTGAGATTGCTTCACGACGACGGGCCATCTGATGACGAAGATGAGGGCGACATCTTGGCGCCAGCCGGATTTTCAGATCACCCGGCCTCCGAGTATCCTTTGAATGTCAAGCTAGATAATGCCTTCCAGAAGCTTGGGTACGGCTGTGCCACTTATCCTGGGCTCACGATCGGAATCTCCGTTATCGTAATTGTCCTGATGTCGTTAGGATGGCTGAATTTCCAGGTTGAAACTAACCCTGTTAAACTATGGGTTTCTCCAACTTCAGAGACTGCATTGCAAAAAGACTTTTTTGATCAAAATTTCGGACCTTTTTGGCGAATCGAACAAGCGTTTTTGGTCAACGACGTTTCTGGAGAACCGCAACCAGTACTGTCGTACGATACGCTCCAATGGTGGTTCAATGTCGAATCGACTGTCAAGCGGATGAAGAGTTTGGAAGAAGGAGTCGCACTTCCGGACATCTGTTTCAATCCAACCGGAGCTGGGTGCGCGATTCAATCCATTAGTGGATGGTTCGACGAGAGGCCCGATCTTCTGAACCCTAGTGATTGGGACACCCGCATTAAAGACTGTGCAGCCAATCCATCCTCCTGCTTGCCGGCTATGGGACAGCCATTAGATCCTGAGGTTGTGCTTGGAGGCTACACTAGCACAGACAAAGTCCTCGACGTGCCAGCCATCATGGTTTCTTGGGTTGTGAACAATCACCCTGAAGGCTCCAAAGAAGTAAAGAAGGCCATGGACTGGGAGGAGTCGCTCAAAAGGTATCTTCTCGATGCCCAAGCCGAGGCTCGTGATCGCGGCTTGAGGCTTAGCTTCAACACTGAGATTAGCTTGGAGCAGGAGCTGAATAACAGCGCAAACACGGATGCGAAGATTGTGGTTATTAGCTACGTCTTCATGTTTATCTATGCGTCCTTCGCCCTTGGATCTACTGGCTTTTCGCTTCGAAAGTTACTTGCACGCCCATCGAGGGCATTTGTAGACAGCAAGTTTACTCTTGGTGTCGCAGGAATCGTTATCGTCTTGATGTCGGTATCAGCCTCGGTGGGCCTGTTCTCGGCCTTGGGTGTAAAGGTTACACTGATTATTGCGGAAGTGATTCCGTTCTTGGTTCTTGCTATTGGTGTCGACAACATCTTCTTGATTACCCACGAGTTTGAACGCGCAAATGTCTCCCACCCGGACCGGCTTGTCGAAGACAGAATCTCAAAAGCTCTAGGCAGAATGGGACCATCTATCCTTCTGTCAGCTTTTACGGAAACATGTGCATTTGCTTTGGGTGCTGTTGTCGCGATGCCCGCGGTCCGAAATTTTGCTATCTACGCTGCCGGTGCAGTAGTAATCAATGCAATCCTTCAGGTCACGATGTTTATCTCTGTCCTGGCTATCAATCAAAAGAGACAAGAGGAGAACCGATTCGATTGTTTCCCTTGCGTCGTAGCTCCCGGTGGTCCTATCCGACAGAACGCCGGAGAAGAGGAGAGCTACCTGCAGAAATTTATCAGAAAGACATATGTCCCGAGACTGCTTAACAAGTATGTCAAAGTCACAGTTATTGTAATTTTCTTGGGACTTTTTGCCGCAGGCATTGGCCTTATGCCGGAGATTGAACTCGGCTTGGACCAAAGAAACGCCCTCCCTGATGGAAGCTATACGATTGATTACTTCAATGATCTTTATGACTACTTCGGATCAGGCCCACCTGTATTCTTCGTCACCAAGGAGTACAACATTACCCATCGTGATGAGCAACGAGGGGTCTGTGGTCGATTTACGACTTGCAATCAGTTCTCTTTAGGTAATATTTTAGAACAAGAAAGGAAGAGACCGGAGGTCAGCTATATTACCAAACCAGCCGCAAATTGGCTAGACGACTATTTTCAATGGCTGGATCCTAGACAAGAAGGCTGCTGCGGTATTAAAAAGAATACCGGGTTTGCCTGCGACCCCTCAAACTCTGGCTGCGATGTTTGTTTCGAAGACCGAACTCCGGCCTGGAATCAAACACTTTACGGAATGCCTGAGGGTGAAGAATTTTTGAAGTATTTGGAACTCTGGCTTGATTCCCCCGTTGGAGAAAACTGTGTCTATGGTGGCGCTGCCGCGTATAAACATGCAGTTAATGCAGACTATGATGCTAAAACGATCAAGGCAAGCCATTTCAGAACACTTCATACTAAGCTAGCGAGCCAGAAGGATTTTATTGAATCGTTTTCAGCTGCTAGAAGAATTGCGGCCACTATAAGCGAGAAGATTGGGTCCGAGGTTTTCCCTTATTCGTCGTTCTATATCTTCTTTGATCAGTATACCACCATTGTGGGACTGACTGGAAAATTGATTGCCGGCGCGGTGTTGTCAACCTTTATCATCTCAAGTGTCCTTCTTGGAAGCTTCTTAACAGGTCTAGCAGTCTCGATCACTGTCACTATGATTGTGGTTGATGTTATCGGAGTCATGGCGCTATGGGGTGTTAGCTTGAACGCTGTAACCTTAGTAAACCTTGTCATTTGTGTTGGTATCGGTGTCGAATTTTGCGCGCACATTGCGAGAGCCTTCATGTTCCCAAGTCGAAGTCTTCTGGAGAAAGCAAAGAAGTTGACTGGAAGGGACTGCAGGGTGTGGGTTGCTATGGTTAATGTTGGTGGGAGTGTAAGTTCTAAATTCTAGCCTCCCAGGGTTGGCCACGATTGATGCTAATATCATTATTCCACAGGTATTCTCCGGCATTACTATTACAAAATTCTTAGGTGTTTCTGTTCTCGCTTTCACCAAAAGCAAGATCTTCGAGATCTATTACTTCAGGATCTGGCTAGCGTTGGTTGTCTTGGCTGCCTCACATGCCCTCATTTTCTTACCCGTCCTCCTATCCTTGATCGGAGGAAGCGGATACCTTGATTCCGACGAGGATCTGGGGCTAGAAGAGGACCTTGCCAGTCGCCAGTATGCGTCCAGAAACTTTGGACCTCATAACTTTGAAGATGATAGTGATGATGAATGACTAGTACGAGCGTTGACGGGAGAATGTGATTCCGAGAGATGCGGGTGACCGTGGTAGTGAGAGGTGTTTCATATGCATGCCTTAGGCGTTAGAGAGATTGTACCATTATTATTCCCCATTCATCATTTAGTTGATTGCTGCCTAAGATATCCCCTTTGTACTCTCTTTGTTATTTTTGTCTTTCCCCTATGAATTACTCTCCTTTGCATTTTGGGAGGATACACTAGATGAGATGATGACGGATTATTGAGTAATATAATATTGTTCTACTCTTAAGATATCGGAAAATCGGTACGCCGCAAATACAAAATAAAATGATCAAAATCGTTAAGCTAAATCCAGATAACTGCTCATTAATTGTGACTAATATATTACATATCACACGGCCTCTGCAGTACGAGGCGATGTGAAATTCGAATTTCCCTTGTCAAGAAATTTCGAGAAGGTTTGGTTTTGTCATTCGACTGGATCTACACCAAGCGTCGACCAGTCATGGACCCACTTCTTGTATGACTGGGGAGAATATCTTCTTTATCATCTAGTGTGGGGGATGATGGAGATTCGATCCCACCACTGCCGCTGCCGGTTTCGTCGTCTGCGGCATAGATACTATCTTTGTGCCTCGTCTTACGCCCGACAAACAACCAGCGGATACCACGAGCTGTGGCTTTGCAGAAATCCTAGATAAACCAAAGGTGTTAGAATGAATATAGAGATCGAAAGTACTGTTAAGGTTAACTTACCCAAGGATTGAAAGCATCAACCCATGCCTTCCACCCCCACTTGCCACCTTTCCGTGTGACTTCCATATCCTTAACTGCGATACCCATTCTCTTGTATCGCTCCGCCAAACCTTCCTCCGTGTAATCTCTCCACGGATAGGAAAACAAATGCAGGATTGCGAACCCAAACATTTCAACCGATATTAAAACCGCATTTATTCCGGTTCCCAAATCACCCTCCGAAACATATTCTCCAGGCTTCATAACATGGAAACCCATTAGGACGCTAATAATGATCATCTGCCAAAAGATGAAAAATACCACGAGTTTGATACTCATGAACTTCAAGAACGGTCGGTAGGGGTCCAACTCTTCCTTCAACGCCGTATAAAAAGCCACCAAGACGTAAAGCGCAACCGAAATCATAACAATGATAATAATCGTAACCCAAAGATGAGCAAAGACCGGCGACCATGATTCCTCGCAATATAACCCGTACCATTGTGTCGCCAAGGCTACGAAGGTACTAACGACTCTGATAGCACAATATTGAAATGTTCCGATCCAGATGATATTGAACCATGTTAGACCGCTACGGGGGGTGCGAAACGGGATGCCGACTTTTAAACACCAGTCTGCGGGCCAAGGCCAAGGTTTTGGTTCCCATCTTCGGAAGAATTTCTTTTGTTCGTGGAGAGTCGGAGCTATGAGATAGGTCATGAGGAAGAAGAAAGAGGCGAGTGCGAAGGCTTCGTAACAATCTCGGATTACTTCGAAGTATATGGCCCAGAAGTAGTAACCATAGCTGAATGTTGTGATTACGGAATAGACGGGGAGCATAAGAATGATACGAATGATGCTATATGGCAAGGGGGGGGGTATGTGTTAGAAAGAGGGGGGGTTTTGTACACATAGTCATATGGATCTTAGAAGGAAGGCTGGAGAACTTACTGTCGCTGCTCGTCAGGACGAGTATAATTACATGCATGTCTTTGGATGAGGTACAGTGCTATACTTGCTGTAAAAATGGCGAAGATCTACTCTCGGTATTAATATATCAGAGTCCGTCCAGGTCAATGAAACCCAAGTATGGGGGGGTGTATAAATAAACCTACACCGCATATTATGAATCCAATCTGAGAGACTGTGAGGCCAAAACCGGGTAATGGAGTAGTAGAGTCTATTTCACCGAGATGCCTTGTTAGCTTCAGAGTCGCAGGTGGCTGGCTGCAGTCATGCAAGTTATCGATCGATCGATCGGAATAGTGTTGCTTTTGTTGTATATTTCTTTGATGCAACGGGTGTGTATCAGTAAGTACTTACAGACGTGCCCGTCTGTAGAATTACAAAAAGCGGGCATGGCTTTTTCGTTTTGAGAAATTCGAAAAGAAGTGAATGGAAGCTAGAGGTGAAGAAGGGTATTCCAAGAATTATATTTATTCTGTTCGGCCAGCCGGCATAACGCCTCAGCCCCCCTTCCTTGGGTTGGGCACGTTTTTTTCCTTTTTCTTCGAGACTTGGATAGCTGCTTGTCGATGTTCAGGAATGCAGAGGGTGGCTGTTTAAGAATTTGAGCGTATTATAATATGTCGACCTTCGAAAAGCACGTATGCGCTGGTCCTTTCCGTAGATGTCTTCAATCGAGAAAAAAAAGCGGGTCAGACGGATTATCGTATAGTTCTATAGTTCGAGAGGCTGTCGAGCGAAGGGGTTCGGATTATCGATATTGGACCGAATGGGAATCAGCATGCGATGTTGGGATATTCGTTGCGTGTTGAGGCCACCAAATCATGATATTTACAAAGATGTCGAAAAAGATATATTTTATAAGATTTAAAGAGCCGAAGGGAAAGGTGGAGGGATCTAGTCTAAATATAATAACTGCTTGCGAACCCTTTTTCTTCTTTGCAAGCTTTAGGTTCCACGGCCGGATCTACGAACCCCCATTGTGATTGTGATTGTGTAATGAGGGGGCTAAGCCTGGTTAGGATATTTTAGAGATGTTGCATGAGAGGTTCCAGGGTTCCGTGGTGTTTCAACCAATTACACTTGGCCGAAGCTTCTCCAGACACACTCTCGGGCCCAAGAGAATTAGGCTTCTTTTGCTGACCGAATAAGGTAACAGTCCCATGGGTTCTATAGATGGTTCTCTTGTCATCAAATGTAACGGAAGACGGTTGATCAGATCCGAATCCATAATCTCACTCTGTACTAGATATTACGCCAATTGCAAATTAGCCACGTTTAGGAGTGTCGACGATATGATTCATCATATACCATTTTCAAGTCTATACTACACTCGCACTCGATCGAGTGGTACAATGGCGGCTGAGTGATTTAGCCTTCTCATGCATATACGTATGTATGTATACGAGGTATGTAAATATGCAGATAACTATCGGTGGTATCGGTCAGGTCGGGCTCCGTTATCCAATCGGTCAGCCTGATATGCCGCGTGGACTCGACGTATGCAAGTTTAATGGTTAAAATTGATTAAAATAATTAAAATGATTTAAATGATTTAAATGCCACACTGGTGGATCCCTCGGGCCCTCGAGCGGCTCGCTGCGCAAAGGATTCTCTGCGTGCGGCCATTGGAAGAAAATACCCCTGAAGGGCTTCGCTGCACGCCACGGACAGTTTTGTATCCCGTAGGGCGAGATTAGATTAAACATCGGCGTTTTATAATTATACTTGACGCCGACATGGGAAATAAAAAACATTTATATATTTCCCGAGTACCATCCGTCCAGGATTCATGACGAAAGGCTGCAGGTTTGATTCAGAAATCGTGCTCGGCAGCACAGCCGGATGTTTCGATTCCCGAATTTATCGAGCCCGAACTGCGCCCCAAACAATGGACATCTATATGTAACTACATGTTTATGTACGGACGTACGTATGTCCGTGTAATTATTAAGAACGAGGAACCAGATCCGAATTCGAATTTAATTTACCAGGTTATAAATGTTCCCGAAGGTCGCCCGTCCCGTCCTCCCAGGAGTTAATTCGGGCAGATGTGGTGTGTGCGTCTCTTAGAAATTCATAGCGAAAGGCTGGGTCCAATTCCTCCACTTGGGCTTCTACCCCAGCCAACATTGCATTAAACAACGTTAGCCTTTAAGTACCTACGCGGAGGAGCAAGTAAATACATACTTAAGTTGGTATGTTCTTAAGTATTGTCAAAAGATGAGAATCATATCAGGTCTGAAATTTGTGTTGGAAAGACGGCCCAGCCGGATTGCCCAGGGTCTTGTGACAAGCCAATTGCGAAAGATGCCTCGGTAGAATTCGCTTAAGCACTGAACGCGGCAGTTGACATCTTCACCAATTGACGCGGGTCTCGAATCCGAGGAAGCTACTTAAGGATGCAGCTTTCTCCAACTTTTTACCCCGGATAGTTTACCAGGTACCCCGTATAGATATCACCGACAGAGTACATTTCGTGTTTTATCGAGTTTTTTCTAGCGCTATAGCCCGACATGCCCCAGACATACAACTACGAGCACTACACTGTGACATTCCCTAAAGATGGGGTTGCGGTAATGGAGATTAATAGGCCAGAGGCCTTGAACGCCTTTACAGGAGAGTAAGTAATAGTTTTCCCAAATTCATAAAAAAATATATTAAAAAATAAACAAAATCAATAATATACTGTAAACTGAATTTTGCAATCTGAGAGGTTTCCATGAGCTTAAATTCTAATATATTTTGCCGATTTTAGTATGATAGTAACCATGGGAAGGGTCTTTGACCAATTGTCCACTGACTCGGACTGTCGTGTGGTCGTTCTTACTGGTGCTGGAGATAAAGCATTCACTGCGGGATTGGATATTAAGCAGACCAATCTTGGCGGGAGTGCTACTTCAGTTGACCCTGCCCGCAAGATGATTTCAGAGTTACGACCGATGCTTCTTTCTTTCCAGAATGCTGTTACTCGGGCTGAAAAATGCCTTAAACGTAAGTCTAGACGCAATATAATATTGCTGTATTCAGAAAAAGCTTTCCGCGATCGTCGGTCTAATCGCCGGGGTTTAAACAGCAATTATCAGTGTTCTTCATGGCTACTCGTTTGGCATGGCTATTGACATTTCAACTGCGACTGATATCAGAATCTGCACATCTGATGTTAAGTTGTCAGTGAAGGAGGTCGATATTGGATTGGCTGCCGATGTGGGATCACTCTCAAGATTGGTAAAAGTTGTTGGGTCCATGTCATGGGTCAAGGATATTTGCTATTCCGCTCGGATATTTGGAGCAGAAGAGGCTCTTAAGAATGGCCTTGTAAGCGCCGTCTTCAAAGACAAGAAGGAGGCATTGGAAGGAGCTATGAAAATGGCTGAGTTGATTGCTTCTAAGAGTCGTAAGTTCTAACAATCAAATAAGCTTCAAGTCGGGCTATACTAAGTTTCCATAGCTGTCGCTGTCCAATCTTCCAAGGAAATCCTTAATTATTCCGTGGATCACTCAGTTGAAGATGGTAAGTATCTAATTATATCTAATTCCTAAGCTAAGACGAAGAGATAAGCCACTAACGAAACATTATAGGTTTGAGATACACCGCTGCCTGGAACCCAGGCGCCCTTCAAACAATAGATATTCCAGCTGCCGTAAAGGGAAGCTTAACAAGGACGAAGCCACGATTTGAGAAACTCTGAGTGCATTGTCTGTGTATATAGGAGTTTTCTTGCCAGTTGTACAATATGATTAATGATTGCCCTTTGCATTTGAAACCATAACTCGGGTTTATGAAGCTGCCCAGATCCTACGCCTCCGGTTCAACGGTGACATCTCGTATTCTTCTTTTGTGGCGGGGCTCCAGCTCCGCTAACACAATATCACTACCTGTCAAATTTGTGTCCATATGAGATATCGGAAGTATCTCGTCACTGCTCATAGACTCTGCAGGCAACTCTGCCAGACCCTGAAATACATGCCTCGTGTCTCGAGGGTATTCCCATGGAGGTGAGCATGGCGAATCTTTGAGAACCGAGTTTCTATCCATCATAGAACCTACATATCTCATAGACTTCATGTTAGTGATCGATTGCTTTTATAATATATATCGCAACGGGGCGACTTACCGGCAGTAGTGTCAAGGACACTCAATTGATCCCTTCTTCTTTCCATCGGCCTTCTTGGGATACTTGGCATTGTGTTGGATGGTGCCCTTCGTAGACTCGCCCAAAATCGCCTCGTACTCTCAGGAGAAGGTGGAGAAGGTGGTGGATCTCTGATATCATCCGTAGGGGGTTGGGTATTTGGGTCGATACCTGCAAATACTTCATTATGAAAGTTCTCCTGGCCCTTCTCTTGACCGTCTGACTCTTTTCGTTTTTTCCTTCTCAAAACCGAAATCATAGCCAAGAGGATGCTAACACCAGCTATGGAACCGACGGTAGCGCCAGCTATAATCCCGTCACGGTTTGTCGGATCCGGTCCAGAGGGTGGAGGCACATCTAAAGTTGGACTTGGACTGGCGGTAGCCTGCCCGAATTTATAAAATGGCGAATTAGTGTCTGTTGGGGTGATGAAAGGTTTATCTGCCCATTTTGAATTCCCCATAGAATCGCCACCAATAACCGCGAATACTTCAAATGGCAGTCGGTAAGTCGCTGGGAATGCTGAATATTTTGGTTCCCATTTTAGCGTGGAAACATTGAAAACTTTCACTGGATTGTTATCACACTGTGACGAGAAATCCCTTCCACCAACGACCAACATGTTCGTGCCTTGGAGATGGCAAGTATGGTCTTGCAAACCGCGCGGTTGAAGTGCATCCGACCTGTCAACAAAGACCCACTGGAATGCCGGAATTGACAAAATCCACATCTGCTGGCTTTGGGTAAATCTGCCGGCTTTTGATGGTAAAGGATTGATTTAGCTAGTTGCTCTTGACGAGTAAACAATATTGAACATAGTACTAACCGTTGTTATCGTATACTACCCCACCATAGTTGTAGATGTTCACTGAACTACCATCCGATGCATATGCAGCCACTGCACACACTCCGCGAACGTTGGTTGGAATATCCCCCGCTGTAGGTTGTTGAAACCATTCTTGTCGTTCAATGTCATAAATATACACATTATCCAACTTTAGCCCAGTGCCTCTCCTGCCACCACCAGCGTAACTGATAAGATAGTCCCTTCCTGCAAGTTTAATAGGCACTAGCGCGCCTTGACGATACCCTAAGGAGATCGGATCACCATACACCTGAATCGTTGAGTTATCGCTATTAAACTCCCCGGAGGTCATATTGAAGGTTCGCATTCTACAAGTTATTAGTTAGCATTGACACTATTGAGAACACTCAGTGGTAAAAGTTATGTACCCGGCTAAAAGTCTAAAATCCGCTGGTTCAGGATATCCTGGTGTAGTATGGGCGTCTTGTTGTCCACCTCGATAGTAACCAACGTCGTTTACAAATGCTGAAGCGCCAAAAGTAGCCCTTGATACCGGATCACCCTTTGCAGTAACGGCAGACCATGAGTCCTGGATAAGATCATAACCCCATATAGCTTGCGGTAATGTATCTACGTCGCCGCTAGTTTTACGGAAGGCGCCCCCGTATAGCAAAATCCTATTTCGTATTTGGTCCAGCCATAAAGTCGCATTCACTACCAGTCGTTCTGTTAGCTAGAACATCGGGGTTCATAACCAGTAGGACTCAGAATGGTATCCTACCCACGTCAGGAGGCCCTCTCCTAGAGAGGATGGAGATGGGGAGCAGTTTCGGTTCATCAATGTTAAAATTTCTACTCAAGTCAAGAGAGAAAAACTGCGGGGAGTCGAGGATTCCTAAAGTTTGGGAAAGGTATCTTTTTAAGATTATTTTCATACATGTTGTTCTATTGTTCTGGTTTACCTGAATCATTCCGCAGACCTTCAGCGCCGTATATATAGATCTTATCACCGGACTGTACACCTTCGAGATAAACATGAGCCAAACGTAGCCTTCCGAAAAAGATAGTTAAGAATGAAATCAACTTACTGGCATGCGACCAAAATCCGCAAGATGTCAAGTTACTTGGTGGAGGCTTCTGTCGACGTAGGATCCCGATGGATAACGAAGATACGTGACTGATACATATCGTCAAAAGAATGAGTAGTGGTACCATGTTACTTGACAAGAGGGCAGACAGCATGTGCGGGCTGGGAACAGTTTCGCAATTGGCTTCGGGCGTTACTTTCGAGGAATCCGAATAATAAACTATAACTAATGATTCGGTGAGCCGAGTTTATACTTGAAGGCCGGCCTAGTCACTCTTATAGGAGCCAGAGAAATGTTCAGGGGACTATTTGTCCGCCTAGGAGTAAGGCTAGTTTTCCAACATCACGGCATGGGTTTGTATATCATGTGCAAATCGATTTTTCCTTTGTTTGTTTCACAATCACGGTCTATTGGTGCATTCATGAACCCAAAGCATTTAACATGCAGGTTGGATTGTTCCTGAGCCGCTAGCAAGTTGCTTTCAAATTTAGCAACTTAAGAGCAAACATAGGATTGAGGCTACAGATTTTAGGTTTCCGAGGCAAGTAGAGTATGTTGTATCATCCAACATCCAATACAATAGGAAGCCTACTGCTAACAACATTCAACGTTCGACAACAACGAAACGTACACAGGATCCAGTTAATGATGGCCCGTCATGTTGTATGTTAGAACCCGACTAGGGTAATTTGTTGGATTTTGAGGCTCAGGTTCCATGGCTTTAGAAAAAGATGCACTAACCGGCAGAGAAAATGTCGAGGTATACAATTCACAACTACATACTGCGCCGTTATTTCATCATACTCTAAGCTGCCTCAAAAGTCTCAGGCTCCATTAATGGCAAGCGCAAGCTCTTGATATAATTTGAGTGAGGATGAGTGAGGATCCCTGTAATCTTGTGCGAGGGTTGTGTAACATGATCTGCGATACACCGAACAGCTAACTATGCCAAGCCTCGCGATCAAAAGTACCACAACGTCAACGCATCTCCTATCCCCTGTCCTTCTCTTTCGAGAAATAATAATCCCATAAAAGGTCAAGGTCAAGAATGTGGGAGGCATCAATGAAAGCAGAAGCTGTTCGAGAGTGGGGAGTATTTCGGATTTTTTTCTCTGGGCTTTTTAGCGGAGGATTTGAGTCCGCACCGTCGAAAGCTCTATATCTTGAAGATCAAGAGGCCGGATATCACATAACTTAGCATAAATACAACGCAGAAGTACAAATATAGCTCTCTATCGATAGCTATCTATCTCAGGGCGAAGATATCCTCATAGGTGATCATTCTGGTACTAAGGGGTGACGGCATGCCGTGTTCAAGCTGATATGCTCTTCCAATTTTTGAATTTAGGATACTTCCGTCTTTGAATCAAGCATCACAGGAAGTGTCTTCGATGCCAGATCAACAACCCTAGTCGCCAAATACAATGGCCGCCCCGAGCGGCGGGTACAAGGAGCCTGTTTCGGCGCAGTTAGCACGGGCTTTACCAGACCTTCCGCGATTCGATCAAACTCGAGTACCTTCAACAAATCGGTACATTATATCCGGCCGCTATATTACCGAATGGATTGGGTTTTCGAAGAATGTGAGAGACTATATACAAAATCTCAACGATGGCACGAAGTCGGTTACAGGCGACTCGATGGAGGATATTCTCGTCCCTCGCGTCCTAATGGACCAGGAGGACTTAATTCGTACCCCGAAGGGGATTAGAAGGAGAATTGAAGAACAGTTGATTGAGCCGATTGAGAGGATACTTGCAGCATCCAGTCCTGCGGTTCTCCCGGTAGAACTCGCCGCTATAAAATTTGGAGAGATTGACACGGCAGGATTGAAATTCTTTGTTCCCAACGAATCTGAGATTGTCACAATCCGAACGGGTACAGTTGAAAAATGCCAGATTATACGGGCTGTAGCCGAGTTTAGGCCACCTTGGGTCTGTGAGCTCCGTAATTGGCCGGTGACTGGTGGCATAGATCAGAGGAATGAAATGGGTAGGCGACTAGGTACGCTCGATCCATGATATTGGGCGATGTTGTGATTTTTTTGAAAAAAAAAAAATACTTGCGCTAATCATAATGTCAATTTTCCTTAGGCCAGCTTTGCAAATATATGAATGCGGCTCATATACAATACGGAATGTTCAGCACCTATAATTCCACTGTTTTCCTTGAGCGTTTTAATACAACGGAGTTCAGATTTTCCCCATTACTTCAACAGACTTCAACGAATCCATCAACACGGGAAGCTCTTCTATATTTCCTAAGCAAAGTATCAAAGAGTCAAGGCTTTGAAGATTTCATAGAGCCATCTTCCATTGTAAGTGTACATGATGTTGATGCCCACGGGTCCCACTTGCTCACAGTAAATAGGCTGTATTACCGGTCTCTAACCCACAACAGCCAAAAAGGCATTTGGTGAATGGAAATAAGAAAGTTATAGGACAGTCTCCACAGAGTATGGTGGTTCGTGGAGAGAGTTGTGTTATTACTAGCCGTGAGGGTGTTTTACTTGGGGTTTTTGATCCAATGACTGCTCTTAACCCAAGGGTATATAAAGGGTTGTTTACAGACTGCGAATATGCCCGGCCTACGCTTGCTATTATGAAAATCTTCACAGAAGATCAAGAAGAACGGTTAGTACTGTTTAGGCACCACTAATTAACACTCCCCTAATTGCTGATACAAAAATTAGATTCACATCTGAGTCTATAGCTTCTGAAGAGATGTCCTTTTCAGAATATCTTCCAGATTTCATAGTGTCCGGCTGCACATCCGGCGGGTACAATACGCCTGGTGGGCTCGTCGTTGTCAAAACATTTCGACCTGGCTTAACACTTTCCGACAGCGTCTGGGATTGTCTCCACAGATCGACAACTTACCAAGAAATCTTTACTTCTATGAAAAAGGCTTTACAAGACTTTAGGGATCACAATCTTATACTCAACGATTTAACAAGGGATGATGTTTTATGGGATGCTGAGCGACATGTTTTGACAATCGTTGACTTGGAATCTTGTTCCTGGCAACCGGAGGGTCAGAGTTCGCAAAGCATTGTATACGAAATGGCCTATCTTACTGGAGATTTTAGTTTACTAAGTCATGCAAATATATAGCGGTATGAATATCTCATAATTAAATTTGATCCATTTCCGTGAATAATCAAGCCATATGCGTCGTTATCATAAACCCACCCCGAATGTTCAATTCCATTTAATTCCATAGTCTTAACAAAAGAGAAAAAGAAGAACCTCACAGGCACAGGATCGCAGTTTGTATCCATCTAGCGGCCCGGGATTTACGTGGTCCTCCTTACACAGAACTAGAAGCCTCAATCACTATTTTTTTCAATTAGGTTAAGTGTAAGGTCTTTATGATAGACTTCTGGGTGAGCAGCCTCTTGTGCTGCATAGTGTGAATGTGGTTCAGGCGCTCGCTTATCAATGTCTACGTGGTTGGATCTAGAACAGGTATTTATTAGTCTGTATTCTTACAATGCAAATTTAGTCTCGGGTATCGATCGAAGCGTACTTGTAAGCTTCAGTGCCAATACTATTAGCTTGGTTCTCGTGATCTCGTTTCGAAACACTGGGTAGTGACCAAGTCTTATGAGGAGCATCTTTCGTTGGTTCCCGGGTTTTTTCGTGATGACGTTTCTGGGGCCCGGGATTGACAGCAATACGTGGCCATCTATATTTCGGTATAGTTGAGGTGTTAGAAATATTTTATTTTCCACTTTTTAACTCTGTAAAATGCGAACAATTCTTAATTAATATGGGACATACGGGTATAGGTATATCTCCGTATGATTAAGTGGGCGTACACGAATCGGACTTCCAGAATCGTGTGTTCTTTTGCCCAACGGAAGAACCGCACAGGATGCTAGCGGGAGCATCAAGGTGAGTCCACAAAGTAGAGTAGAAAGATGCATCATAAACAAAAAAAAACCAGCTGTATCAGGTTTATAATCGCGGTGATAGAATTGGGTTTGTTGAAATTCAGCCCGAAATATTATGATCAATGAGTCGGAGGCCAGAGGGAGTACTATATACTACGCATTGGAGCTCGGCTCAAACTATCGGCAAATGAGACTCCTTTATAAGAACTTGTATAGTTGTCAGTATGGAATTTATGAATCGTGTAGGTGCGCAGTATTGTCTCATACCATTCCTGGAACTGATTACGCGGGCCTCTAGATTCATAGCAATAACCACCGAAGACTACATGCAGATTTCTGAATTCTATGAGTGTATACAGGCAACCTTGGAGAACGGCTACAAGGCAGGTTGAAATTGGCAGGTTCCACTGACGCCACTAGATCAGACAGGCTCCCAATTGTAGGACGAAGTTGACAAATAATCAGCATCCTAGCTATAAAGAGTGGTATCGCTGTGGTTGGTACACCCGCTAGTAGGTCCGAAGCCAAAAATGTAGCGATGTTGATGTTTGTGACTACCCCCCAATATTTGCTAGAACGATTCCCTTTTGTCGGAGCTGCCGATTGATGGTTCAGTTCCTAGTGACTGGGGTTGGTTGCACGATTGTTGTGAGAGATTTGTGAAAAGCTTAGCTAGATAAATACTTCATTGGATTCTAGGCGCTTGCCCAATATCGAAGGTGGAGCTGCAACTTACCGTCTTGTACTGGCCGCGATCTTAAAATTCTAAAGATCTAGATCTAAAATATATGGAAGATCGATCACCAGGGGCATACGAGAGAGTGCATAACGTTATATGACTTGATTCGATTTGGGAAGCTGTCGGCTTTCGATTCGAATTTTGGGGGATGACAAGATATATAGAGGCGAATCTTAACCAAATATTAAAGTTTCTACTTAGCATATCATATTTAGATAGATCCTACTGGGTCCTCTAAGATCGAGTTTCAGAGCTCATTGTTACTTTAATTTTGTGATACATAAACTGGTTAACACGGAATCTATGCGGTCTTCCATTTCCGGGTCTCAAGAGCACGAAGGTGGCCAACTTTCGAGCACAGAGACCGGTGGTATACTATACGACAGCATAGTTCTCTTTAGCTTTGAAATTCTGAGTATCAAACCCCACTCTCTTCGAAAGCCTATGGTGAATATGAGATTTATTTCATTTTGTATAAATTTACTTCTTTTAAATTCTAGTTGTAGATATATCTGGCTGGTTCGCGAATTCGATTAATTCAAACTGTAGCCCAAGCTAGTTCCCAGAGCCTTCCATGGAATCGGCTAGTTCCAAGTTGCTCTAAATGAGGTCGACCAGTCGCTCTTACTTCTTTTATAGAACCTCATCTTCGATATTTTCGCCTTCAACATTTCTACCCTTCATTTCTTTCCTCAATTTCGATAAAGAACCCTTCGAATATCATCATCCCCATAATGAACTTTTTCACAACACAGAAGCCCCCAAAATACAACAGTCTACCCTCTCTTCCCGAGACTGACACCGACAGCGAGAAGACTCTATTAAACACCCCTAAAGAGGAAGTACTTTCCTGTACAGACACCGAATCAAGTTTCTACGATAATGAAGAGTCCCCTTCTCGTAAAACACGGGGCTTTCTAAATGCACCTGCCTGCATAACTTTTCTTAACATAGCCCTCCTCATCGGATCTAGCTTCTGCTATTATCAGGCTTTTCATTCAAAAGGCCCTTTATCAGGCTATACCACATCATTGAACGAGGAACTGAAGGCGTTTTCTTACTTCTGTAAGTCTAGAGCGGATACTTTGGTTAGGTAGTCAAATGTATGTCAAAACTTTGTAGTTGGGGAACTGAAAACAATCGAGAAAGCGAGATAATTGCAAGATAGCCATAGACTAAATTTTGTTTCTCTGGCCAGCCCCTTTACTCGATATTATCGACGTACCCACAAAAGTGGAGCAAATGAACGGCTCACTCTTCCCCGGTCCTAATCCATCAATTTTCCGTCTCCCACCATCCCCAGAAGTTGACAAAGCCTGGGACTCCATCTCAGAAGTTGCACTGTTCACTATCACCACCAAAGATGTCATAAAAATGGGGAAAGACCCATCGCAAACGGTCAGGCTTCCCGAATCATCTGGGTTTCCACCAGACACACACCTAGCTCAATTCGATACAGTACATCAAATCCATTGTTTGAATGCACTTCGGAAAGCGGCCTTCTTTAAATATTATTACGACAAGAAGTTTGTCAGTAGGCTCTATTGGATCCATTTAAGCCATTGTGCTGGGATAGTCCTACAAAACCTCATGTGTCAAGCGAATCTTGATGTTATAACCCTGAACTGGGTCAATACTCAGAAAAATCCGTTCCCGGATTTTAATGTAAACAAAAAGTGCAGGGATTTTGGGGTCATCAAGAAATGGCAAGATGAACATATGTTAGGTGAAGAGTTATTGAAAAAGATAGTGAGGCCGAAGACTTACGTAGAGCTTCCTGCTCCGATACAGAATATCATGGATGCGTTTGAAGAGGCAAAGACTCCTTGGGATTTTGACTGGACTACTATGTAACTTAGGGGCTTGTGGAAGACGAGTTATCATATGTTTGAATGGAAATATAGAATTGATTCAACTTTTAGGAAAAAACGGAACCGCAACAGTCTATCTATGAACTAGAGAACAAGAGGAAAAGCAAACTCTCATGGAGGGGGGGGAGGATAAAGGTGCAAGGAAAACGCCTGTAAAGAAATAATGGGAGCAAGTGAAAAGGTAAATGAGAAAGTGTGCTTTCATTCATTGTTCATTCGAAATGTAGCTCGCTAAGATAATCAAGAGAGCCAAGAAAGTACGAAACAAAAACCCCGACTCGTCTAAAGCATACCAAAACAAAATCTATCTAATTATTTGTTCTGGTGAATGTAGTTGACCAACTCTTGGAGCTGGGTGCGAGTACCGTCAAGGAGTGGGTTCTTAAACTCATCGTATGGGGTAGTCAGCACCTTTTCGAAGAGAGGGAGAAGTCGGTCGGTTCTTGCGTGAACAGCTTGGTTTTGATCCTTGTCTATAGACACATTGGAACACGTTAGTATCGTGGTCGTGTAACATTCCACAAAGCTCGGTACGAGGATGATTAAAAGGCAAGTGTCACTTACAGAGTTGGACAAACATGGTGTAGATTGGCTCGTTCTCTTCATAATCTTCTTCAAGCGGCAAAACACCAGCTAGCACGTCGAGTGCCTGTCCCAGGTCGGAAATGGCGTTGATATTTCCCATGATCATTCTTGCAACGCATCCGCAGGCATTGTCTCGGCCGCGGTGCTTTTGTGTGCCGAATAAAACCTCAAGCCTCTCAAAGATTGCATTATAATGTTTTGCGATCTCGGCCTTGTCCTCACTGTAGAAGCACAAAAGTCCTGTTCCATAAGCTGCATTAGATTTGACTTCGAAGTTTTCATCACCCAATCTGCGTAACATGACTTGCATGAGGGTGGATGTATGTGGAGTTACACCCCCTTGCATGTATCGGATACAGTCTGCTGTTACACCGATGGCGTGAGAACGCTCGATAGCCTCGGTGGAAGAGGCATATTTGAGAACTTCACCGCCAATCTTGCTCCAGGCGGCAGTAAAGGAAGGACCAAGGGCAGCGGCCAAGCCCTGCAACCAGTCGAAGGCAGACTCTATCAAGACCCAATCGTACTCGGAGCTCTCTTCCAAGCCCTCAAGAAGCTCCCCATCGTCATCCATTTCGAGTTGGCAGAGGTGCTTCTTGGAGAGGATTAGACTGATTTGAGTCATGGTTTCAGTGATGAGAACCTCGTCAACTTCACCCTTGTCGTTTGTGAAGAGAGAAGGTCCGCAAACTTTCAAAGTCTCGCCAAGGTTATGTGCAACAGCGGTGACAACTTCCCGTTCGGTTTCTTGAAGACAAACGGCGAGAGTTCGGGTCATAATAAGATTTCCGAACTTTTGGAGGTCCGCAGTTGGTTGAACCTTCAATGGAAGTCCAGCCTCCCAACGTTGGTTGATACCGGCCTTGGTCTGCGCGGACCAAAAAGCGGCGTATGCCCTCCACAGGGTATCAATGGTGGCCCTGCGGACACCCTCATACATGTGGCTGAGTCTTTCAATCAGGACATCAATAGTCTTTTGGAACTCAGCTTGATCGAGGGATTCAGTGCAGTGTGAGATGATTTCACCGATAGCATCAATAGCAACCTCCTTTTCCAAGGAAACTGCAGTGACAGCAGCAAGATCTTCCCAATTACCGTCATCTGATTCATCGTCTTCAATCATGTCGGTAATAACGACTGGAGTATCAAGTTTGGTTCCGCCGATTTCAGAAACAACTAGAGGTGCATCATCATCATCATCTAGGTCAAGCTCGGCTTCGGCCTGAATGATGCTCTCGAGCAGAGCGCTAAGAACAGGGGTCAAGAAAGGTTTGAACTCGTTCTTGTAAACACGGGCCAGAATAGCCCAGAAAGAGAAGACACCTTCCTTGAGCCTGGTGTGGTCGAGCTCAAGCGATGCCTGAGCAGCGTGCATCAAATCTTGAACGTATGGGGTAAAAGCAGTAGGTCCAACGGCCTCCGCGATAGCGCCCATGCAATCCAAAGTGACGGATCTCAAACTGAGTTCATCCTCACCATCACTGATAGTCAAACAGCTGCTGAGAGCTTGCATGGTTTCGGAGAAGTATGGAACAAACTTCTCTCCGGATCCTCGAGCGGTAGATGCGATGGCTCCAACAGCGGCAGTCTTCAGTGGAATGTCATCTTGAGTAAACATGGCACTCAACCTAGGCATAATGGAGTTAAGGTAGGTTGGCATTTCCTTTGAGTCAACTTCTCCCAAGACTGCGTCGATGGCGTAGCAGCAAGCTCGTTTGATGTCGATGCTATCACCTTGAACATCAAGCATCTGGATGAGGATTGGAACTATCTGGGCGTGGAACTGGGCGATTTCGTCACCGAGCTCATCGGCGAGGTTAGCGAGAGCGTGAAGGGCAGCCTTGCGAACCTGGACATCGTGGTCGGTAAGGGCATTGTGAATGACTGGAATGACCTGTTCTATTTGTGTCGCAACGAAGTCTGGAGCCCCCTCGACGCAAGACCCTATGGCAAGTAAGGCGGCTCGTCGCTCATTTGAGTTCTGGCTTGAAATATATGGACCAAGAGCCTTCATAAGCGGAACAACAACTTGAGATGGTGGAAGGGCTTCGGCGAGGAAGTTGATCATCAAGATACCGATTCTACTGGGTGCAGAATCATCACCACCCTCGTCGTCTTCCTGTGGCTCAGCAGCAATTTTGATAGCCATCAATGTAAGCCTTTCTCCAAGTTTCATGGATTGGACCTTCATCTTTCGGATCCTAACACATGTCAAAAGGAAGTTGAGAGCCTTGGATCGAACATCCTGATCATTCCCTGTGTTTTCCGCCAAGCCAATCATAAACTCAATCAAATCTTTGAGGTAGTTGCCAATGAGAGCTCCCTCAGATCCAACGGCATTAATGAAGACTTCGAAGGAGTCGTCGAGCATCTTGGGGTCATCGCTTTGAATGACCTGCTTGAGGACTTCGACCATAGCTGGGAGAAGGGCCTTGAACTTCTTGATGCTATCTGAGTCCTCATCTGACTCGAAGTTCTCGCCCATCTTTCCCAAAGCCATCAACGTGTAGACTCGGACCTGCAAGCTTTCGGGGTCGTTGAGGGTTCTTTCGAAGAGAACGAAAAAATCGGACCACTTATCGGAAAACTGGTCCTCGAAGGTCTCGATGAGATTGTAGAGAATGAAGACACCGAGCTCACGGTCAGAAACGTTGCTTGAGGTAGCAGCTTGGTGAAGGTGGCCTGGGAGGGATTCCCATTTTCCCTCAGGGAGGTCAACCCTGGCAATTGCAGAGATGATACGAGCAATGGCATGTTTCACGATTGGAGTAGGCTCCTTGACAGCAGTCTGGAGAAGAGCATCGCGAATCTGGGCTTTCTGGCCTTCGAGCTCAGATTCTTTTCCGGAGCTACCTTGCCAGAAGTTCGCAACAAGTCTAGCAGCTTGAACAGCGGCAATTTGTCGCAAAGCTTGCTCTGGATGACTGGCGAGAACTTCGATAAGTAGGGGTAAAGATTGCGGATATGTAAAGAAATCCTTCTGTAGAGTCGCTGTCGCCTGCTTGACAGTCTCGGTATTGGCTTTGAAAGACGTTAGTCTGCTCTGCATTATACAACAAGCAACGCGAAACAGGACGGAACCTACGTTGAAGGATGCCTTCCAACAAGGAAAGGAATCGCTGCTTGTCAAGAGCAGCCATTTTTGAGAGATATTAGATGGTATGAAAGAATGAGAGAGGGTAAGAGGTTCTTGAAGAAAAGTTTTCGCTGTGAAAAAGCAGTGGGTTTGGTACTGCCTATGAGCTTGTTAGGAGCAGCGCGATGAGGGGAGATGATGATCAATGAGATACAGCAGCTACAAGCTATGCAGTACACTGTACGTACCTATACAAGTTGATACCAGTGCTAGATGGTATTCAGCGACCCGGAATATCCAGGAAAATAGAAGTAGAAAGATACGAGGAAGGATAGATGGTGAGTGAAGTAAAGGAAAAGTTCTTTTTGGAAGGAAGCAGAGCTTAAGATTTTTTTTGTCTTGGAGAGCGCAGCAGAAACTTTTTTTCATGTCGGTGCAAGGTTGTTGCTTGCCAAAATGCCTTCTAGCCGAGTTTGGGTGTAGTGCCCCACCAAGACATCTTCGTTATCGATAAGGACGAAGACCCTTGACAGGCTATTTGGCATGTGGAAAACGAATTTACCCTGAACAGAACCGCTGGGTTTGATTCCTCAATGTGAGATTTTACTCTAAATGAATAAACCTTTTATTCAAAATTTTGTTTAATTTTGTAATTGTGAAGCTTAGCAACTAGCTTTGGGATGTCTTGAAAATTTATAGCCGTTGAATTGATTCAGCGACTGTTTAAAAAAATTAAAAGTGAAAATACGCAAGGAGCTCAGCTAGAGTACTCAACGTGTCAAATGGATCAATTCGCCAACAGGTTACAAATATCTAAGTATTCTACATAGTAATTACATTATCAACGTCGGGTGTTTTACACCAAGAAAACCCTCCCACTTTATGCAGATCCGGTTTACGAGATAGCTCCCACTAGCGAAGATACTAAGTAATATTTACTCAATAACATCGATATCGACCTTGCCGATACCCGCACCAAGTTTGACCAATTCCGCCACAAACTTCAACGGGGTCAACTTGTACCTATACGGAGCCTTGGTGAAGGTTCCGACTTTGGTGATGTTAACAGTAGCGCTGCCCCAGTCATTTCTATATCCCAAATTTGCAAAGCCATCCTTCTCGTCATCACCGCAGACGCAAAAGTTTGGAGAGTCTTCTGGAACAACAAGGCCGTGAGTGCTGACTGCCTCACCGGTATCCCCTCTAAAGACATTGCCTTCAATAAGAGCCTGGTTGTCAGATCGAGAGTGGATGGCCTGATAGTAGAAATCCTCGTAGTAGTTGTTGTAGATATGATGGAAACCGAAACGGCCGGCAGGGCCACGGGTTCCGAGACGCTGCCAGAAATTGTGATGGTATGTAACGTGATATTTGCCTAGTTCATGGGTGAAAGTGGGCTCGTTTCCGACTAAAGATGTTTTCCAATGATCATGAAGATAATTCCACGAGACAGTGACATAGTCCGATCCTCTGATAATATCGATTAAGCCATCCTATATATTTATAAGGAGTTGATAAGTATCTATGCATACACTCCATTTGTATTGGAAGAGACATACGTAGTGATCAGGGCCATGGTTGTTATCAGATGTGAGTTCGTTATGATCAATCCACACACGAGTGGAGTTGCTAATAGTAATAGCATCGTTTCCGACGACATCATTTATCTTCAAATTCTGGATGATTACATTGGTAGCATTGGCGACAGTTACTCCTATAGAATAAATTCTGTGAGTTAGTCGACTTGGGCTTTAATTATGACGTGGTTGGCTAACGACCTCACATACCTTTATCATAAATACTACCAGAGTTCTTGCAACCAATTAGAGACTTGTTCGAGCCGACAATGACACGCGCCTCTGGCTTGATAGCTCCAATAACTTTGACGACTCGCGGTTCAGAGCCAGCAAGTGCCGTGGCCAGAGAAGGGTAATCCGTAACAGTCACAGTAGGACCGCCCTTTCCTCCAACAACCTTCCCTCCAACCGGGTTATCCTTAGCGTATCCCTCAACGTCCCACGAGAAATCATCTAAGCCCTTAGGGGTTGTAGCGGCGGCGGCAGCTGCAAGAGCGCCGGCTGTGACGAACGTAGAAAATTTCATGTTGACCGGCGAGATGAGAATGAACTCGAATACCCTTGATTAAGAATAGCTAAGGGAAAGGCGATAGTTGAGGATGGGATTTCCAAGGGCTAGATCTTGCGAAGCAATGCGCAGTGATTATCCTGGAAAGATCCCACAGGCTGAGCCACTCCGACATATTTATATTTCGAACTCCATTTTAATGAAGGCTTCAGCCTGTCCGCCTACAAAATCCAGCGCGGGAACTGAATGCCACTCTCCGCAAGATACCTCCACAGTTTCTCCGCATGGATCAATTTCGTGATTGGACCAGAATCCATATCCTAGAACGATATCCCCACAAATAGGGACATTCGTAACGGCAAGCCCTCAATAAAGTGCGTTGTCAATTAATCGAATTCGTGATTCTCCAGGTTGCAAGGAGTTGGCTATGAGTGTCGCGGTCGCGGTTTAACCGTTGGAAATGTCGAGAGATGTCAACCGCGCCCAGAGTTTAGCTAAGCCGCTAAGATTTTGTGCCCCTAAGCCCCCTCAGATTGCTAATCCTCAGCCGTTGATGTGCATCCAGTCGAAAATCTGGTGGTGGAATTTTATCGCAAATTTGACAAAATAAAGTTGCCGAGCTTCGACAAGAACTCACAAGAGTTCACAAGATCCAACAAGACAATATAAGCATATTCCCAAGTGGGATCAAGAGTCGATGGAAAAGAGCCCAGTGGTGGAAATAGCTGTTGTCAAGACGGCGCAGCAGTCGAAATGTGGAAGTCAAGAGCTTTCCAAGACGGCGGAAGTTGGTAGACCAAGACGGAAGAACATAAAAACGTCTCGGTGATCTGGATCCAAACGCCTCCCCCATGTTCTGCTTGACGAACAAGGAAAATAAATGACGTTCATCGCACAGATGTCCGGATAAATCCCGCTTGGCGGCGCCACTAGGAATGTTAACTCTACCTGTCCAGTGGGACATATTACACGACTATCAGGCACTCATATTGGATCTTCGTGAAACTGATTGAAAGGGTGATGTTGAAAAAATATACGGCGCCTGAACGTGGTTGTATACTTAGAGAACTAGATTAGGACGTCGTCAGGTTATTCGACCTTTTAGACATACGGATCCAGATGTGTGCATGCAGAAAGCTTCCAAACTAGCTGATTTGTGGTATTATATGTGTTGCTTTCGACATCATGGCGATACAGTTTGCCAGAATGCGTTGGGCACTAGAGTTTCCATTGTCCCAAGATCCTTTGACCAATTGCTCAGACATGCGCAATTCGAGAATAATTTAGGCGGATATACCTATTTGCACAGTTGAGGAGTCTGGCGACGAGACAACCTATTTGATACATGCCTTAAGTACTTCGGTAGGTAAACCGTAGATAAGGGATACTTGCCCACTCAGTTACGTACCAGCAGACAACTTAATTTACGGGGGTCAGGAGATTCCTGCTGTGTTAATGCAGAGTAGTGTCAGGCACCGATCCGCGACATCATCGATCAAGGATTGTGTGATAAGCGGACCCTATCGAAAATGCAAGAATACAATACGCCATTGGTTGGGCAAAGCTTATGGGTTGTATACAAAGGGCGAAGAATAGGTAGAACGCCGCTGATAATTGTCATTCTAATCAAGAATGTCTTTCGGTGTCCCCATCATCCGATTTTGGTTACATTAGTTACCTTCGTCCATACAATGCGGATTCCGGCTTGCGCTGGGGCTTGGAGCCCCCTGCACGTGGCGTTTTCCCTTGCGGACGGTATGCCTCTTCCGTTGAATATCTATCCTGATCTCTTGTTGACATCGAGTTATCCATGAGATTCAGCTTATTACCCAAAGTGAATGCGAGCTCGTCGTCATCGTTGTGCAATTGTTCAGCATCCTTCTTGAACAAGAACAAAAGATCGTTCTTAGTTAGCTTGCCTGTTTCTCCCTTCTTGAGCAGATCGCCAGAACCAAATGCTGCCTCTGCAACCTTGCGTTTTCGGTCTTGTAGCTCTTGAATTCTCGATTCTATAGTATTTTCGACCGACATTCTGTACACCACAACATCAGAGGTTTGACCGATTCGGTGAACTCTGTCGATAGCTTGCTCTTCAACAAACTACAGCCATATTCCATTAGCATAGATCCGCTTCTGAATGTAGGAATGATAAATTCTTACCGGATTCCAAAATGGTTCCAAGATGACAACCCGATTTGCAGCCGTCAGATTCAGGCCAAGTGCTCCACACTTCAAGCTGCAAAGCAGAACCTGGCAACTTTCTGAATTTCGTAGAGTCTCCAAACTTCGCTCTCGCTCGTCATTTTTCATTTTCCCGTCGTAGCGGACGTATCTGATACTCCGATGTTTGAGGAAAGGCTCGATCATATCGAGCATGGAAGTGAATGCTGAAAAGACAATCGTCTTGTTGTTGTCGGCGACCTCCTGCTTGAGAATCTTCATCAAGTTACGGATCTTTGCCGACGCGAACGAGTTCGAAGGATCAGGCTCTTCGATGTCGGATTCGTATTCACTATCAGAACTATCAAGCGTTATACCACTGGTTTCTTCGATCACAGACTCGAATTCGCCAGATTCCTCGCCAGAAGATTCGATAGCCTCGTCATCCAAGTAGCCATTCTGATCAACTTCCCGACTATCTTCCTCCTCTTCTTCCTCCTCTTCGTCATCGTCATCATCCTCGTCGTCGTCTTCGTATTGCTCGGCTCCATCGGAATCTTCATCACTTTCCACTTGAACTTTCTTCTTGGGAGCTGGCTCGTCTTCTTCCTCATCTTCATCTTCTTCATCCGAATCGAGAATTATGCGACGATTGTTACGTGCCTTGGTTTTCGCGTTCCCTTGTTTCTTGTCTGTTTCGTCCCCTACTGTAACTTTTCCAAGGCCGCTGATCAGATCATCCAGACCGTCCCCTTCACTAGCCTCTTTCGCCCGTTCTCGGCTCTGCTTGTGAAGGGACGTCCGTCTTTCTTTGAACTTCTTGTTAAGGTTCCCCAACTCATTTCTACAGGATTCGCAGTGGTTTAAGCCCTGTTTAACCTCAGCCTTTGAAAGGTCAATTTGACAGAGTTCGCATTGTCTATTATCAAGGTTCATGCCACCCATTATATCCGCGAGGCTGTCGATCTCCCCCACTGAATCTTCATCTACCAATCTGGAGACTCTGGATCCCTGGGATGTCTTTCTCGGAGTTTTGGTGCTAGTAAAGACTCGCTCTTTATCCTCGGTCAGTTTCCCCGCTAGTAAATGTGGATGATTGCAAGCTTGACGTAGCCGTGTCATGATGACCAAAACGCCAGCCATGCCGTGTTTTTTGTTCCCAAATAGCAGATCATTCAAACGATCATCCATACGCGATTCAAGACGCTGGTAAAACTTATCTTCGTCGTCATCGAAAGAACAAGATACCGTCTTGACGCTACGTTTGACCATATTCAGCTTCAGAGTCTTCTCATTCTTCGCGCCGGGTTTGGCAGGTTCTTTTGTCTTCTTCGGGTCATTCTTTTCATCAGAAGCAGCCTGAAGAACAGCTTTTGTACGTCGTAACATAATAGAACCGAGGAGAGCTCGAATACGTTTAAGAGCCAACCCTGCTTTATTGCTGGTTAGTAGGCGGGTAATATCTTGTTTCCATTTGCCCTTATCAGCGTATGGGTCCACTCGAAGGAAACGGATCAAACTTTGAAGCTCATCAACGTTATTCTGGAGAGGGGTTCCTGTGAGGCACCAGCGGTAGTGAGACCTTAGGGCATAACAAGCGATAGTACTCTTCGCCAGGTGGTTTTTGATTGTATGCGCTTCATCAATAATGACTCTCCACCACCTCACATCCAAACAACCGATGAGAGCATCTGGAACACTGTCTTTATGCTCGCTGACAAGAACCTGGGGCGTCGTGACAACAACATCATACGCCTTGAGGTCCTTTCCAGATCTTGTTCGCGCAGGACCGTGGTGGACTAGAACCCTGAAGCGGCCATCAGTTTTGTCCTTGATTTCTTTTTCCCATTGTTTGATCAGAGCCAACGGGGCAACTATCAAGGTTCCTTTATGAGTATCAGAAGGGATTTTGTGCTCCTTGATGTATTTTTCTCGCTCTTCCATGGAATGGGTTTTGCTCGAAGGCATAGGGTTAGAAAGGAGCAGAGATATCGATTGAATGGTTTTACCCAAACCCATCTATATGATGTCAGCGATCTAAGTCTGAGTCATCCGTGGCGATATCTGCTTACATCATCAGCCAAAATACCCCCCTTGATCTTACTATCCTCTTGTTTTAAAAGCCAAGCCAAACCGCGAATTTGATGTGGAAGGAGAGTAACAGTAAGCCCTTCGACATGACCGTCTTCTTCTTCTTCCTCCTCTTCCTCCTCCGCTGCTGCTGCGGCGGCTTCTGCAGCCTTCTTCCTAGCCCGAGTCCTTCTGCTTGGCGGTTCGTCATTAATGTTTTCAAGCAGGTCTTTGAGACTGTCCATAGCAGCCTTTGAGTCCATGTAGTCTGTAGAATCATAGGCATAACCATCCGAAGTGAACGTAGTTCCCTTTCCAGCCTTCGCCCAGGAGCTTCCGATCATTCCAGTAGCAGGCCTCATAGGGGCAGCCCATCGAGACAAATCGTCCATTGGCCGGCCCCCTTGGGAGCTCGACGATGACTGCGCGGCCCGAGCATACGGATCAAATGAGGTTGGTTGATGTTGCTTGTGACTTGGGCCACCACTGAATTTCGAACTACCACTCGGGAATAGTTGGCGAGCTGGGTTTTGGGATGGTGGGTGCATGTATGGGCCTTGTACATCTGGAGAAGAATCTAGAGATATAACGGCCGGTGGCGAGTCCACATTTATAGGTGCCTGGGCACTCCCCGCTTTTTGACGCCACTTAGGGTCACCTGGGAGGAGTGGTTTCGAAAGATCCCATACCGATGAAGGAGCTAGAAACGGAAAACTTAATCAGTATATTGTGCATGCGAGCAGGCCATTGGGTGTAAACCAACCATTTCCCCCTCTACCCCGTCCTATACCTGCCGGGCCTTTAAGAGGGGTCGTCTCGCCGAACTTTGGGGCATCTCGGGACCCCAGTGTGTTCTTCGGGTTGTAACGTCCATCTGGTATCCCAGACATCTTCGATACGATATCGTGACAAGAGATTCGATGGAATCAACTAGTTAGAGCTAGCTAGTAGGTTTATGAAGGATAGTAAAATTGCGGTCTTGAGAGCGATCTCGATTAAACCGCCTCGTTCGAGGAAAAGTTTTACGAAAGTAGAGAGATTCTGCCGTATTGATGCAATGTCTCACTGATAGCCTTGAAAAGCTTGACGCTGCGAGATATTATATAGGGAATCTACTGAGATGCCGAAGACGATTAAGCACAAATCGTAAAATAAAGCGGGGCTAAGATGAAGTCGCGTAAATCGAGCACGCGTGAATCCAGGTGAATGAGGGGCCGGTATTCTTAGTGATTCAGCAGACAGCTAGCAGGCCGCTGTGTTTGTTTCCATAGGCGCGCTAGGTAGCTTGAAGCCAATTGTCATGGGCAACGTATGCACACAAGACGTAGACTTTAGCCACAGTTGCGCCATAATTTTGTGCCACAGTTGTGCCACAGTTTTGCCATAGTTTTGCCACAGGGATCGGCGTCAACCCCTGCGAAATGACATCAACACAAAAGCCTGGAAATCCCTTCGATTCCAGACGACTGAGACCGGCCTTGTGCCACCAGTATACCAGGTACTTAAGTACTTAAGTATATAATATATAATGTAGTATGCTATTTTTTAATGCAGGTTTTCACGATGATGCCCCTATGACCAATTCTGTGTACAACCCTTGGAAAATATTCTATTCCAGTTTTTATGTCAAACAGGGTCCATCGAGGGTCTATTAATTTGAGGGTCCATCGAGGGTTCTCTTCGAGCAAATTGGCGATGTGGAAAACTCCGAGCCGAGACAGGGTTTCACCGAGCCGAACTTAAAGCTCGCACCCGATTTACCTGCAAACGACGATTCGCGGCGAGAATATAGCATTAGACCATAGTACACAGAGATCAGTTTCCATTGGCGGATGCAAGCCGGGTAGTGGAATTGTGGCTTGAACCCACAGGCCCTGTGCTATGTCCATGGCAAATTACAGAGATATATGCAATGTACAAGCGTATAGTTTAATTAATAAATTTTAATACTAGTATTTGCTTACCTACTATTGATCTACTGTTATAAACCCGTAATTTGATTTAATAGCTTTCGAGGATTGTATGTATAGAAATATTGGACGAGATTGAGTCGTATTGAGACCATATTCGACCTCATGTCGCCCGATATTCTGGCCAAGCCTTGGTCCAGATTCCCATGTTCCAAGGATGCGAAAGTCGAATCTTCCATAATCCCGAAAATTCAAAGTAACTTCCAAGACAATTATGTCATACTTGATCATGTCAAGACGACTAAGAGTATAGTACTGGTAATTTCGTCTTGAAAATTAAAACTTCTTGGGCTTTCTTACGCAAGGGAAAAAACATGGCCCAGGAAATTAAAACAAGGCGCTTTAGTCTCTATCTAGTAGAATTACGGGTGCGAGATAAATTTAGTCTAGCCTGGCCCTGGAAAGTACAGGTTTAACCAATCTGACGTTTCGACGGATTGGATTGAAGTCGTCCGAGAATTTGCCTCCAGGGAACAAGCTTGCAAGGCATGCCGCGAAAAACACTTCGCCTACATACATCCCACCTGCCTCCAAACCCTAGGCCCTGTAGACCTTGTAGATCTATATCCTTAAACCGTTCTGATGGGGACAAAGACACCGGCGAATGGGGTGCTGGGTTTAATTTCTGGCCGTAAAGTCTATCTGGTGTGCTTGAGAACGGGAAGGGAAAAAAAAAGATCGAAGCGGCCTCTAAACTCAAACAATGCCAGGCTCGTCACCCCAACTTTCTTGCGCTTGGAATCTCAAAGCATGGATCATCTTCTCCTGTCGACCAATACCTTCGTAAGATCTTGATCTTCTAAATCTTCCATCACAATAAATATATATACATACCGGGGATCCGGATATCCGCCTTCCATATATAGGATCTCGTCATAGGGCGACCAATAACCGCATCTTGGCCGTGCCTGCAGGACCTAAAAGCCAACTTGAGTTGACGTCTCAAGCCCCGCCACAACTCTATCAAACCGTACGACGCTACCGCCTCATGACAGTATACCATATAGAATGTAAGTTATAAACAGGTTACACTAGTATATTCGCCTACCAGGCTAAATGCAGGGCGGTTTTGTATTCCGTGACTGCTGTTAGGGAATCAATCCTGCTTTTGCATGATTAACAAATAAATCTATTATCGACTTCGGGGACAGCATTTTCAGATGCATGAGACACAGCTTCCCACAAGCGGTACCCTTGAAGACCCCTGCTCTGCTTATACAAAGGAACTCCATAACAGCTTCCCAACTTGAAGATACAAGATCCAATAGACTACAAAGCCCCTTGCTAACTTATGAACTGGCAGTGCTTGCAGCTAGCTTCTGGCAGATCCGTCAAAGAAAGCATAGATCAACGCGAGAGGCCTGATATACGCATTCCATTATAACCAGACCACTCCGCCGCTAAGGAGCCCTATCCTATAGCTCCGCCGAGAACCAATATTTGATAAACATCTGTTTACACTTATTACGACTTATTTATATCAAATTCCCTGGTCATTGTGGCCCTCTAGTTGGATATAACTTCATCACAAACAGCTTAGTACCTAGTACTTACAGTACCTAGCTTGGTACACACACACGATCCATTACCCGAAATCGGCTAACATTCACTCATTCGGAGGATTCAAGAAATTATATTTTATATTCTGCGACAAGGCCAAGGGCTAGTCTTGTTAGTGGCGATCCGGCCAGTTCATAGATATCACCTAAAAGCTACCAGCACCAGGGTCGGGCCAGGCACGTTTGAAGCCGCAGCCGGTTACCAACCTATTTCCTGATTAATAAGACAGTGGAAGAGCAATGCATGTCCTATGAACAGCAATAACTTAATGAACATTGCCTCGACAATCCTAATTCAAACGTTGGATCTTACACCAATAAGATGGCGTCCCCTTACCGTGGGGCAGATTCTGGAGATGTTCCCACCCCGAAGCCGAAGATATCAACTTCTTGTCGCTCGGTATCAGAGTCTTTAAACCAAGTCGGTTCGAATTCGAAACAACCTTCAAGTATAGGTTCTCCAGTGTTGTCAGCAAATACGGACCCTCTTTCGCCAGATGCGGCTGACCGGGTTTTTCCTATACGCTCGGTGGTTGCTGTTGATACTACTCGACAAGCCCCTGGACGATCAGAATCTCCTTTGGGATCGGAAAGAAGTTTCGGTTTAATATCGCCGCCAGACCCTGCGACTGTTCTTAGTAGTGATGCAGGAAGCGTGCGTAGTGCCCGCGAGAGCATCGCATCTATTCTTTCGGCCGGTCAAACTCTTCCTCCGGCGCAGAATGCTGGAGCAGAAGAAGGTTTCTTAACTCAAAGGTTTTCGTACCAACATACATCAGATGGGCACATGGTTGTCACCGGTATCGCAGGGGCGGAAACTTTGCAAAGATGCGAGGATGAACCCATACACTGTCCGGGTGCAGTTCAAGGGTTTGGGGCGCTTATAGTTCTCAAGCAGGATCCGAAGGACGACTCAAAACTGGTTGTTCGAATCGCCAGCGAGGTAGGTCTTTCCAACAAGTACTAGGCTTCATTTTTAGAGGCCTCTTAATAAATTGATGTATTTATAATTAACGTTACATCTAGAATACGGGAATGATTGTTGGATACTCACCAAGAATACTGTTTGGACTTCCTTCATTCACCAGGATTCTCTCCGACGAACAGGCCGAAAATCTCCTGGACCATATTGATTTTACTAGAGAAGGAGCGGATGACTTGGCGCAGAACGGCCCTGAAGTATTTTCACTCATCGTCACAGGGCGGGATGCTCTCCAGATAAAACTGTGGTGTGCTGCCCACATTGCTACCCACGATCCAAGCCTCATTATTTGCGAATTCGAACTTGAAGATGATCAGATCTTCCCGATTGCCGCCGCGGATGACGAACGACCACCTCCAGCAGAAAATACCCTCGACTCCGACCCAACAGAAGAGGAGCTTTTAGAGTCGACAACCAGCCTTAGTAAGCCATTGCGGGTTCTACGCCACGCTAGACGGCGTCGAGGTGAAGCTGCGGCCATGGAAGTCTTCAATATTTTGTCACAAATCCAGGAACAACTAGCATCGGCTCCTGATTTGACCAAATTCTTGAGAGTGTTAGTCGGTGTAGTCAAGGAGCTTACCGGATTCCACAGAGTCATGATATACCAGTTCGACGAGGCTTGGAACGGCAAAGTCGTATCAGAACTTGTGGATTATCGAGCAACGAAAGATTTATACAAAGGGTTAAACTTTCCAGCAAGCGATATACCAAAACAGGCGCGAGAGCTTTACCGGTTAAACAAAGTCAGACTACTATATGACCGGGACCAGGTTACAGCTCGACTTGTCTGTCGAACAGCAGAGGATTTGGAGGTCCCGTTAGACATGACCCACACTTACCTTCGAGCGATGTCTCCAATCCACATTAAATACCTCTCCAACATGGCTGTACGTGCGTCGATGTCAATCAGCATCACAGCATTTAATGAGCTCTGGGGATTAATATCCTGCCATACTTACGGGAATAGAGGTATGAGGGTGGCATTCCCTATAAGGAAACTCTGTCGTCTCATTGGAGAGACCGCAAGTCGAAATATTGAGAGGCTATCATATGCGTCCCGACTGCAAGCAAGGAAACTCATCAATACTGTGCCCACGGAGGCCAATCCTTCCGGATATATCGTTGCCTCGTCAGATGACCTACTAAAGCTTTTTGACGCAGACTTCGGGTTATTATCAATCCGCGACGAAACGAAAGTTCTCGGGCATCTAGAAGATACACAGGAGGCTTTAGCTTTGGTGGAATACTTCAGAATCAAGTCATTTACATCTGTAATAACGAGCCAACAGCTATTGAGTACGTTTCCGGATTTAAAATACCCTCCTGGATTTAAAACCATTGCTGGTGCTCTCCTTGTTCCCTTAAGTGGTGCTGGAAAAGACTTTATTGTTTTTTTCAGGAAAGGCCAGCTACGACATGTCCACTGGGCCGGCAATCCGTACGAAAAGACTCTCAAGGCGGGTACTTCTGGACTCTTAGAACCACGGAAAAGCTTTAAAATTTGGAGCGAGACGATAGTTGGTAAGAGCAAGGAGTGGACCGACGACGAAGGTATGCAATATTCCCTTTTGGGTTTGTCCTCTTCTTATGGTACGCTAATGATTCGCTTTTATCTATTCAGTTGAAACCGCGGCTGTATTATGCCTCGTCTATGGAAAATTCATTGAGGTTTGGAGACAAAAAGAGGCAGCACTTCAAACCAGCCAACTTACAAGAATTCTGCTCGCAAATGCCTCACACGAAGGTATGTCTTCCTTAGTACGCACCTTTCATCTCACATACTTACCAAATTCCAAGTCCGAACTCCGTTGAATGCGATTATAAACTACCTCGAAATAGCCCTAGAAGGCCCACTTGATACCGAAACTCGCGAGAATTTATCCCGGTCACACTCCGCTTCTAAATCTCTTATCTACGTCATCAACGACCTACTTGATTTGACAAGAACGGAAGAGGGACATAATCTAATAAAATTCGAGGTTTTCGATCTTTCCTCAACTGTGCGCGAAGCCGCGGATGCCTTCAAAAGCGACGCTGCGAGGAAAGGAATTGATTTTGAAGTCATTGAATACCCTGGACTTCCCCAATTTATTAAAGGTGACCAATCTAAACTACGGCAGGCCGTTGCAAACTTGGCGGCGAACGCAATTTCTCATACAAGTACAGGCGGTGTAAAGGTGGAACTTTGGCTTTCCAGCATAGTGGAAAACCGTTGCGATATCGAAATTGCAGTCCAAGACACCGGAGTTGGGATGTCCCCAAAGAAACTCGACAAATTATTCCGAGAATTAGAACAAGTACAAAGTGATATGGATTATGAAGACGGCGGGTCAGATCTTCTTAGTCCAGGCCCTGCCACATCAACGGAATCCCAGTTTGAGAAAGAGAATATCTTAGGTCTGGGCCTTGCCATCGTGGCCAGGATTATCCGCAACATGAACGGACAATTGCGCTTGAAATCAGAAGAAGGGAAAGGGTCTCGATTTTCTATTCAAATGCCCTTTACCATACCTGATGCCACCCCCATAGCCCCAGGAGATAACAGATCACCAATTTCATCACCCGCTGGCCCGAGGACACCGCATCTCGAGAACGACCCTTCTGAGCGGACTCTGGTCCGGAAGGATCGCTCAAGAAGTCGACCAGCTTCAGCTGCCATGCCTGCGGTTATGCGCCGACACAGCGACGACAGTATGCATTCGAACAACAGTATGAACAGCTTCAGGAGTGGGAATAGTAATAAAAGTGAGGTGGATAGGTTACTAGAAAGTTTTTCTGGTTCTCCACTTGCTCAAACCCCCATTACGGAAGAGAAAAGGTTGGTTTCGGGCCCCAGTAGATCTGGCAGGTTGTCAGCTGGTTCTGCGAAAGAACTATCTCCACCGCCAAATACAGTTCTCGCCAGTACGATCACAAAACCTGGGCTGGAACCTGTCACTGATACAAAAACGCCGCTCAAAGCCGTCCGCATTGATGAAGGAGATTCTCAGCTAGATATTGGAGATACTCAAGCAGATGTAAAGGTTGCTACGGGGTCTGCTCCAGTTTGTCCCCAAAGGGATACAAGTCAGCCATCTGCATCCGGCAATACGTACGAGACTCAACGGCAGAATGGTGAGGATCCGGACCAAAAGGAATTCCATGTCTTAGTTGCAGAAGACGACCTCGTCAATAGCAGGATCATCAAGAAAAGGCTTGAAAAGCTCGGCCATCGAGTCACCCTTACTGTGAATGGGGAGGAATGCGCGGCTGTCTTTGCGGAACGAGGCACTGATTTTGATGCTGTCTTGATGGATATACAAGTGAGTTGTCTTCTTTATATATATATTTATATCATAAAATAGAACTGACGGTCCCTCTTAGATGCCTATCATGGATGGCTACGCTTCTACTAAAACTATTCGGAAAAGTGAAACTGAAGGCAATAGTGATGCCCTTCCAGACACACATAAGCTGAATGGAAGAATACCAATAGTTGCCGTTTCAGCCTCCTTATTAGAAAAGGAGCGGCAAATGTACATTGATTGTGGCTTCGATGGGTGGATACTTAAACCCGTCGACTTCAAACGCCTAAATACTTTAATGGATGGTATAGTTAACCCAGAAACCCGATTGACCTGCCTCTACACACCTGGGCAATGGGAACGAGGCGGTTGGTTCGGTGGCTGCCCATCGTCTTAGCCTGCACTTTTCAGGTCGGTGGATAGTCCTATTATTCCATGGGTATGCTGGTAAATAGGTTTCTTTGGGGCCAGAAATAGATGCTACGGACTCGGTGGTCGCGGGTGTATCATCACAACCCGTGTCTTTGAATATTGTCTTTCGTTGTTTTTCTTTTCCTTTGTGTTTTGTCTTTTGATTCTAGCATTCTTACCTTTCAAAGGTTGCAAAACCGTAATACAGGCGTTCGCTTTACAGGACTTGGTCGTTTTTGATCCTCATTGCTTCGTGTATCCGGGTTCAAAAGAAAAAAAATTCTGTCTCTTTAGTTATCCTTTGGATGCAACCGTCTGCCGGCGTTAACTACCGATTCTCCTGGGCTGTTTGCAATAAGGCATTCTTTTCCGGTGTGTATTATTTCTACCTTTTTTGGTGTCTATTCTTTTTGATATCCCATTGCTTTTCTTTTACGGGACCTCGGTCGTTTGAGTGGATACCAACTTTGATCATATTGTTTCATGCGGCTTGTTTGTTACTTTACTTTCCGCCTGATGCCCTTCGAGGCAAATTCCGTCCAGTCTGGTGGATGCCGCGGTAGCGGCGTATTCGCAATATACTTAATATTCTTCGACAAATAGAGACCGGATGTGGTGTGTACATAATTACATGTATATAAAATGCTAGGCGCTAGAAAATGATACTTCGAAAGCTTAGCAGTTAGAAATTGTCTAGTCTGCCACAAGCTCTGACCAGGCCGGCCTTGAATGCAGTGGCAAAAGATTTCCGGTCAATAACATCAATGAAAAATTTGCGTTCTCATCCGTTTCCCCCCCCCTCCTATCGACTCCGCGATCCGTGCGTTTGAGTAATAACGGTCAGTTAAGTTGTGGCGGCATCCTTAACCGACGTTTTGACATTTTAGACGACCCGCTCAAGCTCGCTATGCGGTCTGATCCCGATTGACTTCCCGATCTCGTATCGGTCAATCTTTCTAGGCATTCAGAAGTGGAGACCAAAGTTTGCAAAAAGTCTTCTATATAGGACATTTTTCTAGATATTTTGAGGTCCGTGAGTTAAAGAATTTCCCGGCTTGTTCCACGATCGATCGATTGTTCAAGTTGATGCAATCCTGTTGCAATGTTGTCAACGTTCTTGCATCCGTTGCGGTCATATTTTGAATTCTCATGTTTCCAACAAAGCATTCCGTGTTGCCAACTGTTGGCGATGGGTCCAGGCAAGGACCCTTGCGGTTGCTGCTGCCACCCCACCTTCGCCACCCTTGCATTGTGAGGTTTTCGGGACGACTGGTACAGGGTCAAGAGCCAGGCCTTGTCAGCCATGTGATGTTGGTACTGATATCAGCCATTATCAAGCATGACATTGAAGCAATTGAGCCAATTTAGCTATAACGGTGGCTCGGACTTTCTACCAACACAGTTAAAGACCAGGTTTCTCCAATTGCGACTGCGACTGCGATTGTTCATACTTTGCTATCAATTGTAACTTTGGGGACAACCAATTTTCGGGATGCATCTTGGAGGGGATGATGTTTCAATTGCTTTCGTAAATTCAAACTTCTGGCATTCACGAACCGCTTCCCCGAGCGGATTTGTTGGATCTACAGAGCGCTAAGCATGATATCAACATCAACGTGTGTACCTTGATTGAAGAATTATTAAAAAGGGACTAAGTTTCGTAAGTATTACCTTGGCCTCGACCGTCTATGGCTGAAAACGGTCTTGATTGAGACATTTCAATGGGAATAATTCAATTTTCTCAGCATGGTGGAGAAGTTCGGACCCATGAAGTCCATTGAACATGTAACTTCCAACGATCTTCCAACATTATATCACGACCCTCGAAATTCCAGCCTCGCACTAGCATGGATCTTCAGTTTAACTTCTGTGGGAAATTTCTCCCGCAAATCGCACAGACCCGAATTATGGTTCCTTAATCATAGGAATTTTGGGATAACTAGGAGATCCTTATCTCTGGGAGATACCGTTGGATTCATACGTATGCAAAGGAACCAACGGTCGACCGTTTTATCGTGGCTTTTGGCGGTGTTGGCGTTTTTTTCTTTTGTTTTCTGTTGTTTTCTTTTGTTTTCTTCTTCTTCCCCTTCGAAAGCCTCGATAATGTCTTTCGGCTACAACCTGTGGGATCAGCCAACGCTTCGCGAGGAGGTAGCAAGATACGCCCCACGGCTGTGACCGGCTTTTGAGTTTTTCCCCATAGCTTTAATGCAACGTCTTGAATTCACTGGGGGTTTTTTTTTGCCTCTCATGTATAATGGGTAGAAGTTGATCGACGATTTAGTGATCGGTTTCGATAGCATTTCGCTTGGGAAAGATGGTTAAAGCCTCATGAGACGAGCTCGAGCTCTTATTCAAGGTTATCATAATTAATTGTGTTGCCGGTATTTCCGTCGACTGACCACTTCATCGACTCGGTGCTTCCTATTCGCCGTAGATGATATCGGATGTGTATGCCGAAACTGGTAATTTCTAATGTTTATGTTTCGACGTCCGACATGTGGGCATGCAAGTATGTGCATGCATAGACGTGTAAGCAGGTAGAGGTAGGCAGGCAGGCAGGCCTTAAGCACTTGTCCGTAGGTATCAGAAATTTCTCATTCATCGACTGCACTGGAAGGATCCAAGAAAAAAAAAAAGTCTTCGGGCATCTCCTTATCAAATCACATTATGGTAACAAAATTCCTTTCCGTCTCAATTTAGATGTCTGAAATGTGACTTTTTTCTCTCTTTCTTTCGTCCTGGGCGGGATATAATCCCTACTGTGAAGAGGAGATGATGTGCTGTATCACCGTGCAGCTTGCAGTTTGCATTAAAGACATGGGCATTGCGACATACGAGCAGCATACCTACATAGTAGGTAAGTAGTTAGCTTGGACTCAGATGTTGCTCTACTTCTTCTCCACTTTATTATGAAGCAGGAAATTCTGTTAAGGTTATCCAGTGACAAAGCGAGCTGTCTAGCTGGAGAGGGTTTAGACCCATCGTAGATTATGCAAGCGATCAGAAGGGATCTTGGGTGGGCCTCTGTCGTTTTATTTTTGTGGGTGCTGTATACATGTAACTTAACAGGTGGATGCTGGAGGATTAGGTATGTAAGTACCTAGGTCAGTACCAGCGGACCTGTGGATGTTAGAAGCCTAATCACAAGGGCAGTGAGTTTGGAAGGCTCCTGAGAGTTTTATCAAATCAATTCTTTTTAGATACCTGTTAAACATTGTACATACATAGTAGGTCTAATAGCCTTATTTTTAGAGTTTTTGGCTAGGAGTATTTCCAAGCCTATAGTATACCTCGTATAATCGTAGAATAGGACGATTTCCAAGATCCTATGGTTCGGCGAGATGGAGTCTTGGTGGGAGAACATCCGAACTCGCTCGGAACTATACTCCTTTGTTTGCTTCACATGCAACATTTCTTTTTGAGTTATGAAGATTAGTTGGCTATGAAGCCATGGAAATGGGATCTTAGAGGGGTAGTGGCTTTTTTTGGGCTTGGACCATGATATCACGGCACAGATTTTGGGGGAATTATTTGGTTTTTGGTAATGTTGGTTTTCACCACCTTTCGACGCATGGAAGGAATGGGGATGAACCCTAGGCAGTCAGCCAATCCCAAGCGTCTACTAGTCGTGATCGGCCCTCCATCGTCTGTTAGTTGATTTCCGATACTTACCATTTGTCTCGGTTGACGCTGAAGATAGGTAGAAAAAAAAGAAGAAGAAGAAACCGCCAGCCGTGGGAGGGAAAAACGTGGGTGATGTGGTTGGAACGGTCGATTTAGAGTTGAAGCTCGACCTTGATGTTTCACACCGTTCGATGCCTGTTGGGCCGGACGATCAAATTGTAACTGGGAAGGCGAGGTTCGTTGAGACGAGATCCGAGCTAGTCGGAAAGCGGTTTCCCTTTCTTTTGTAGGCTCGAGTCGAGGATGATGGTGGGGTGGACAAGCAAGCCGATATTCGATTTCCTGGAGAGCGCCGTTAGATCAGGAAAGTACGAAAGAAATGCAATCTGGGTCGTCATCAAGTTGAGGAAGCCGATGAAATGGAAAAGAACCCCGCTTATAAGAATAGGCCCCTCCTGCTCTCGTGGCTTGCGAAGTCCAAGATCGTTAGGAGCTTTCCTCAAACGTTCATATATCTCGAGATATTATTGCTTCCCGCCTCGAAATTCTTGTAAGGCAAAGGAACGGATAGGGTTATAGTGGGCCCTTTGAAACCCGAACGTCGTCACTGGATCGCAGCACGGTTGTTGCCCCTCACTTTTTCCTTCCCAGGTGGAAGCGGGCTTGCTTTGAATCCAGGATTTGGCAGTTCAGCCGAAGGAGCGCATCTCGGCGATTTACGTCCTAGTAATTAGTTACACATTGGGTATTACACACCGCGGAATTCACATTTGTTACCTGCGACATTGCATCTGCGAACGGTTAGAGGAAAAGGGAAGGGAAGAGTGAATTAGAAAGGGGATCACGAGACGGCAAGTCGGTTCAGGTAAGTCGCAAAAAGACCGTCGGTGGTACAGCCACCAACAAACAATTCTATATTATCACCAGTCAGTGTTTCCGAGGGTGCTAGATGATACGTACATATAATTACGTCTCAGTTCATCCGATTTCTCTCTGACCTGTCATTCTGATTTCTTTCGCTGCCCTCGTCGGTTTGTTCCACTGGTTGTGCAACGTTCGATTTGTCACGAAAAACAAAGGTTGCCCATCTAGCATCCCATTTTCGTCATTCCTGTTTCTGACTTGCATGGTGGGCTGTCTTCTGATTACCTTTGGGGCATATCGTCGTGTGTGCTTTTTGGGACGAAACATCCCACCAACCAAGCCCATCATTTGGCAGTCCCGTATCCACTTGAAAGGGACCATTCGTCCTGTCATCCAATCCGCCGCCGCCCACGCCCTCCACCACGCAAAAGATAATCTCTGACGGTGGTGCAGAAGCGTTAGTGGTACGGGACGCTCACGTTATCTCTGCGCAGCAAACCTATTCTTGAATTTAAAGTATCAGATCCCTTTTTAAAACGCGGCAGCGGCCCTTGTGACCGTGACTGCTTCGCTGGCAAAGCCGCTTGGGGGTGTCTCTCCCTGTGTGTGTGTGGGTTGAGGCATAACATCGACGGACAGGCCAGAGAAAGGGTAGTAAGATTCCTCGACGGAGTATCAGTACTTCGAACGGCGAAGAGTTCCCCTTGCCTTGCAGATGTCTGCTGGGTTTCTGACAAGCGAAAAGCCATAGCGATTCCTGGGTCGGCCAGCGTTAACCTCAGGGAACGAAATACCTGCGCTAGAACTGAGAAATCAGTTAGTGAACTTGTACCTTGACTTCCATTGCATTCCGTTTTACGTTTTCGCTCCACCAAGCGTTCGCTGCGAGTGCATCATCCTATCGGTTACGGTGACTTCCTCCCATTCCGGGCCACCGCTCCTCCCAATTTCTCTCCCTCAGGCCGGGGTCGTCCTTCTTAACCACCTGGCTGCCCTCCAATATTGCTCCTTGCCTTTCTCTCAACTCGCAATTCTCCTGCCCTGTTGTCATTCCTCCCCTCCATCATCATCATCAACTCCATCATCGTCATCTTTTTCCTCTTCCCCATTCATCCCAACTAGTTTCCCTCCATTTCTTTGTTGAAGTTTGGAGGGAAATTAAACATTTGTGTGCGTGCGTGCGTGCGTGTGCGTTGTGTTGGTTTGCCAGTCTGAGCACGTTCCAACATTCTGAATAAGGGGAATACTGAGCAGTTCACCGTTGGGTTGGTTGGTTCAGTCCAAAACAAAACCGCAGAAACGGCCCACCGCTCTGATATCATCGAGACTACGATTCAAAACGCTCTTTGACGACTCGCCGCGTTATTCCGGATTCATTGTCGACTACTTACGGAGGATTCCGTTCGATTAGAAGGTGTTCTTGGGCATTTAAGGACGGCGCGGCTGCTTTCATCGTTGGATTTTCTCTCCGTCTGATCTTTTTCTCTCGTTCTTTCGCATCCTCGAAATCCATCCTCATCCTCCTCCAATATCACAAAACAGAGACAACTTTGACAATTACTACTACACGACGATCAAGTTTCCAGGCGACGTAACGGTTTTTCACGATAGAAGAGTGCGACCAGAATTTACGACCTTGGACCAAATTGGTCAACTGCCTTTCCTCCATAATGGGTGCCTGTGCAAGCTGCCTGGGTTGGAATAGCTCCGATGAGGTACGAACCATCTACCCCGAGTCTCGACCGGCCCGATTCCAATTGCGACTGTCGACCATCCGAAAACATATCAGCTAATGGTGTCCAAACCAATTAGGAAGAGCGCTCGCGACTTTTGAACGCAGATGAGGCAACCTACGGTTCGCAAAGCCAGCATGTACCCGGATACCATCCGCAAATGACAGATCCTGGTGATCTGGAACGGGAACGAGAACAGCTGCAGCGAATTGTAGCACAAACCAACGAGTATGTGTACTCTGAAAATCGGCAATCTACCAATCAAGGATCCCGGTTGCAGTCCGTCAAGGTAGCGCCACGGCAAGCAGAGCTAACGTCTTCTCCCTTTCCAGGAACTTGATCGATATATTTGCGTTACAACCTCCAGGTCCCTACGTTGACAAGTCCAGAGTTGAAATGTTCAAGTACGTGAATCCGAGACGCCGTTTAACTAAAACCTGGGCACGAAATTCTGACCCTGTGCTACCATAGAATGCTACTTCAACGAACTTCACCTCCCTATCTTGCTCCAATGCCCCAGCCTCTTCCTGACGACTCCATTTCTGCCGAGGAACGCGACTTTATGGAAACTATCGGCAAGATGGCGGATGACGCCGTCATTTCCCTTAAGACCATTAAGGACGTTGGTGATTTGGTCGTCCGTATTGAAGTCGACGTCTAATTCTCGCCCAAAGACCTCCCACCCGTCCATCAGCCTCAAAGCTTGGCTCTTCTCCCCCAGCCACACCTAACATCCAATCACAACTTTGGTATAATCAACAACATGTCTTCAACTCCTTCGCTTCGTCCTTCGAATTCTCGGTTCTTGTTACAACAGCTAGTGCTATACCCATCATGACAGCTACGAATTTCCTTATTGTTATTATTATTCTTTTTTACTCTTTTTTCGAAATACCGTTCAAGCTTTATCCTTCCCAACTTCTCATTAACGGATAGATTAGACGGATCCACAATCAACTTAACATAATACTCTTTCCTTGTGTGTCACACCACCTCTTCCCCTTCTCACTACGCTTCTACATAATTATCCTCCATCACTCTCGCTCTCGCTTTTTCTTTGTTAATTTTTCCCTCTTTGGTTTCGGTTTTCACAACATTTTTTCTTTTGGAAAGGAGCATGGTTTACAGGGTGTCAGTCGAAGGTTCTTCGTATAATTCTTCCACATATCACATTTTTATCCTTTTTTTTACTCGCCACGTTTCTTTCCCGCTTTGGTCTCGTGGCTGATCATCCGGCATTTTACAACGTCCGAGGTTCTTGAGCGTGTTTTTTTTTGTGTTGCATTTTCCGGGTCTCCATATTTGTTCATTGTTAAACTATCGCAGTCGCTTTCTGCCTTCTGCCTTCTGTATTCTGTTTCCTATTCTGTATCAGTTACACTTAGAGGAGCACTTCAATGATACCCATATACATAATTCATAGGAACCATGCATAGCTTTGTAGCTCGACGCTTCGATACCCCGTAAGACTGCAGTATAGTGACTCGAGATCGTACTCGAGCCATGTGAAGGTCTGTGCTAGGTGCGTGCCGGTGCAAACTTGCAATGCTATAAGCAGCAGAATATATATAAGCTAGCCAATCTTAGATAAAGGTACCATTGCAGAAGCAATATTCATTTACATGCCCGTATAATATAATTAATATGGAAGTGAGGCCATCGAGTACCTATCTCATTATAAAAAGGTTATGGCTCTAGCTAGGTAAGTTACCGGCCGCATGCATGATTGAATTATAATATCTAAGAAGCTAACATCCAACTACAGATGAGCTATATAGAAAGTCTTCAATTGGAAATCTGAATCAAGTTGATGATATCAATCTTTGGGCAAGAGAGTGGTGGAGTAACAGGCTCTTACTCGATAGCAATGGATCCAGATAGGATGGGATACAGGAAAAGTAGCCTGGTGTCAAGCAGAACGCCATTGTTTAGGGCACAACTACTATTTGGAGAGCCGTCTGTGTGCTCAATTGATGACATAATTCAAAGACGTCTATGGTCAGTGCACGAGGGAGTGGTCTTGCTCAACACCGGGTTTCTTTTCTACTAACTTTTCCATCTTTTGTGCTCCTCCTCCTCCTCCTCTCTTACTTTCACCTCCCATCTCCCATCTCCTTTCTCATCATCATCAACCATCCTCTAGCTTCCACCCTTAAGACTTTCAAGCTCCCCCAAACCTCTTCGTTCATCGAATCATTTAACTTGTTATCTGTATCTTGCAAGATACACTCTCTTCTATCCTCTTAACGTGATATCTGATCTCTGACGAACATCGAGGCAAGTTGTTAACAGCTAGCTAACTCAACACCATCAAGCAACCAGTTGTTGATCTTCATAACCAACCATCACCAACCATCCTCTAGCTTTCAGCTCCAGGACTCTCGAGGTTCCCAAACACTTTTCTTCATCCAATTGTCTAACCTGTGCTCTGTATCTCATAAGATACTTCTTCTCTCATCTCTTGACGCGTCTCCTGACCTTCAGCGGACGTCGAGGCAAGTAGCTAGCTCAACACCATCGAGCAACCGATTGTGAATCACTTCCTTCATCACCTCCCTTCTTCTCACACCGTCTCACTCTGAGTTTCACCCTCACCACCTCTTTCATCCATCTTCTCTCGAAGCAACCAGTCTTCTCTTGAACCCATCCATCATCTCTTGAATCCATCTGTTTCTTCATTGAACCCATCCTCGTCATCATGGATAATCAAGATTCTTTCCTGGGAGACTCTGTCTCGGGCAATGGCCCATCCATCTTCGAACATGCAGATGATTCTCCGGATACTAGCTTTAGCGATAATTCGCTGCCGGAAGTTCTCATCCTCCCAACCTCTCCAGACAATGGTAAAGTTCCTATCCCGATAACGATTCTTCCTGTCTCTGGACCTAAGGTCAAAGCCGAAGCTTCTATTTCTCAATCGAACGCTTCATTTTCCCGTCAATCGGTTTCACAATCCCTCCCCATGGATCCATCCACGCCTGCTATTGCGGTCAACAAAGTTGGACTCGATGGAATCCACAAAAACTTCGCATTTGCACAAGGCCCATTCGGTCCTGCTATGTCTTCCAACCCCAAAGCTTCACAGACACGAACTGGTAAGTGCGATTTAATCACCTCCTTCCTTCTCTCTCCGTTTTTAAGCATGATCCCAATATTTTTTCTACGAAGGAATGGAACCACCTCCCGTTCCTGACAAGGCTCAAGGCCCAAGGGCCAATCAAACGGTTTCGTCTTCTCTCCCTGCTTCAGAAGACGTCCAAAAGACCAATGACGACGGTCTTCGCTCCCAGAGTGCACTAGAAGTTGCACCATCGTAAGTGATAATTCCTCTACCAAACCATCCGCCCTCTATATCAATGCTAATAATCGTATAGAGTCCTCCAAGATAAACCGAGCCCTATCGTTGAGGCCAGGCTTGATACCAGCCCAACTGATATGCCCACTGTGGTCACGAAATCCACCACTGCTGTCAAGGAAGAAGCCGAGTCCAACTCGGAGCGACCTTACAAGCCAAAGAGATCCAAGCCTCTGCCATTCGGGAACATCCCAGTTCTGAACCTCGTTGACCTTACAGAGGAGGCGGGCGAGACTTCTCAGGACGAGGTCCCGCAAGCTGCAAGCCCCCAGGGCGAGCAGATCGGTCCCCGAGCAAGGGAACCCTTAGTGGTCCCTGCTCCGGACGACCGATCTCGCTCGTCTTCGGTGGGTGTCGCAGCCACCGCGAGGACGACGCCTGTCGTCAGACCCGTCCTCCTCCCACGAACGATGTCAGATGATGGGCTGGCCACCAATATGTTTGGTGGACACACGATGTCACGGCTTCCTAGAAGCCGCTCGGCGGCCGCTGGCTCACGGGGAGCTGGCGGCGCCGAGATCAACGACATCGAGATTGTCCACAGCATTCTCGATGACAAGTTCCGGAGGGCCCAGCGGCTCGAAGACGAGCTCGCCCAAATGCAAGATGTCATTTATGACATCGACAACAAACTCGGGTCGATTTTCGACCGAGACCAAGAGGTGGGCAGGTTGAGGGACCGTTGCCAACGGCTCCAAGATGCTCTTAATGAGCATCGAGATAGGCAGGCCTCCGCCAATGAGGAGGTCAACGGGCTGCGGTTCAAGTTGCAGGGGGCCCATGATGAGCTCAAAAGGATTGAGCTCAACATGGCCCACCAACTTGCTAGAGAGTCGGATAAGTTAGACCTCAGCAAGAAGATCAACAGGCAACTTCGGGACCTCACCGAGAAAATGAGGGAGGGCCTTGGGGAGTTGGAGGAGGACTACAGGGGCCTAAAGGCCGAGCTCGCCGGTGTCCTTGAGGAAAGGGACCGGCTCAAATCGAGGATCCGGGAACGCGACCGAGAGGTCGAAAAAATGAAGGGGGGTATCAGGGAGTGCGAGCGCGCTCTTCAAGAGCAGCGCGAGAAGTACAGGGCGATACACGAACAGTGTATCGACGCCGATTCTGGTGAGTAGTATTCCTCAATATTAGCAATAGTTGTGATCGCTAAAGTAGAGTCTTGACAGTTCGCCTCACCAATGAGAGGCTCCACACCGACCTCGAAAATGCTAGGTCCGACCTCGGCCGCGAGAGGGGCATCACGGCATCGCTTGGGCTTACGCTCAAGTCGATGGCCGTCGAACTCGAGGGCCTGCGATGTTCCCTCGGGGAACAACATGATGCGGTGACCGGGGGGGTGGGGTCAACTCTTGCTGGGCTTGGCCAGCTTCTGGCCTCCCAGCAGGAGGGCTTCAAGGAGTACGTACTGTAGTTGTTGTATCATACCCCTACTGTTGCAATGTGCTAACAATAATGAAGGTTCCGGGACGGGATCTCCAAGCTCCAAGCCGCCTGCGAGAGCCCGCAGTCCGAGCTCTTCAAGTCTATTGATAAGGTTATCAATACGACGGACGCGAAGTGGACTGGGTAAACATCAACCGTTCAAAAAAAACCAAAATATTAAAGAATAAGTACATGGACACTAATATGATGATATAGGGTGAGCGAGGCGATGACGTCGCTGCAGAAGCAGCAGGAGACGGAGGCCCGAACGTATGCCGACAAGCTCGAGAAGTGGAAGGGGCTCAAGGAGTCCCTGGCCAGTCAAGTCCAGGACTTGACTGGCCAACTAAGGGACCAACAGGAGTCCATCCGTGTGCTTATGCAGGAAAAGCACGGGTTCTCTGTCGAGCTTGAAAGGCAGAAGGAGCTGAACCGATGCTTGGTTGAAACAACCAGCAAAGAGAAAGAGCTTAACGATTTGAGGTAAAACGAACCCCTGCCCCCCGAGCTATCACAAGAGTATACATTTTTGACATTAAGTCTACATATTAGGCTCGCCGAAGTCAGCCATAGGGCTGAACTTCTAGAGGGGACTAAGAGAGAGTACCTCGTGAGAAACTCTCTCCTCGAATCAACGGTTCGGACTCTCGAGTCCAAGGTCGAGGCTGAAAAGAAGAACACGGAAGCCGAGAAGGTATGCCTATGAGCCCCTATAACATGGCGAATGATTGAGTCTAATCAATGTTGACTTCTTAGCTGGCGTTGGAGGATGAGAATAAGAAGAGTGTTGAAGAAATTCTGAAGGTGAGTTTGTAAATCTAATTTATTTATAACGTCTACTAACATCACATAGCTTCGAGGGGAGTGCACTGCAGCGAGGAAGAGCCTCGAGGAACTGGACAAGGTTAAGGACGAGTTGGGTCAGGCTACACGTTTGACCACCGAGCTTGAAGCATCCATCGACGAAGAACAACAGAAGACGAAGGAATCGAATGAAGAGCTCAAAGCTCTCAGAGAGCAACTGAGAGTTAAGGTAAGCTCCATAACCAATGTTGAATGACAGGCCATCGATATTTGAACGTTGCTAACCTGAATAAACTTCTCTAGGATGAACAATTGAGCCTCGCAGCTTCTCGGTGGACGGATGTAAGTACTTTTCCTCACTCTGTTGTGTCGACATAAGCGCTAATACTATGTAGATATCCGTTAAGGTTGCCCGCTTGGAAGAAGCCGCTAGTGCAGCAAGGGCAGATGCCCAACTGAGAGCAGAAGAAGCCCAGTCCCACAGAGAGAAACTGAACCAGAAGGTTTTGAGGGTTGCCGAACTTGAGGCAGAACATGCAGCACAAGCCTCCCGCTTGGTAAACCTCACGAGCGAGTTAGAGGGCTCGAAGAATGAATTGAAAGAGCAGTCCGCAAAGTCGAAGGCCCTGCAGAAGGCGTTCGATGAATCCGAAACACTCTGCGATGATCGAGGAGTTGAAATTGAAGCAAAAGATAATGAGATCACAGAACTCGAAAAGTTGCTTGATAAATCCGAAAGCAAAATCAAGTCACTCCAGGCAGAACTGTCTGAAAGGACCGAGGAAGCCAAAAATCTGAAGGCCGAGCTTGAAGCCACCAATCTCGAAAGAAACAAGATTCAGCAGACAAACAAAGCAAATCAAGCAGAGAAAGCGGATCGAACAGAGAAAACGAAGCAAACAGAGAAGGCAAAGCAAACGGAGAAGGGTAAGCAGATAGACAAGGGTAAGCAGGCGGATAAAGGGAAGCAGACGGACAAGGGAAAGCAGACGGAGAGGGCAGTGAATGCAGTGAAGACAGGGAAGACAAAGGAATCGGACAAAAAAGACAAAGGACCGAAGTTACACCATGCGGCGTCTCACAAGATTGGGAAAGTATCAGACCTCCGCAGGTCAAACAGAGTTAAGTCGAAGACCCCGTCACACCTAGACGTTGTTGCTGTGAACCAAGGATCCACCGCCGGAGGGAAAGACGATGTCGAAGTATCAGCCACGCAAACCTCGGTCGCCACGACGGAATCGTCTGTTGCTGCAAGTCAGCCTGCAGCCGCACCATCACAAAATCTTGCCCTCTCTCATTCTGGACCTTCTCACTCTGGACTTTCTCATCCTGGACCTTCTCATCCTGCCCCCTCTCAAAATCCAGTCCTTGGAACCATCCTCCCAGCCCCGTCGACAATAGGGACAAAGCGAAAGCCAGCTGATGACTTCCACACCGACTTCCCCACCGACCTTCTGATGGATTCCGGTGTCACCGCCTGGCTAAAGCCTACAGGTCGCGAACCGAAGAAAAGAATCAGATCTGAAGAAACCCTTGATATCAACATGAAGAACTCTGGGGTATGAAATAAACCCGGTATCCCGCTAATAACGAAAGTTTACTGACCGATTTACAATAGATTCCGGCTTCGGAAGAATCATCCCAACAAGATGATTTGACATACAATGCAGCTCGCCATAGAAACAAGCGCCGGCTCAGGAATAATAAGTAGATAGGCTAAATCTGGCTGTTTTATTGTACCTTCCGTTCACCAGATCCGTCTACCTTATTCTTCTTTTTCTTTCAACCCCAAATTACATTACTTTTGACATCTCGACACTTTTCGAACGGTTTTCAGAAGGCGTCCTAGTTAGGTGAATGATATTATTACGGAGGGTTTTTACTAGAGGCGTTTTATGATATGGGGATTTTATGATAAACTCGATGATAGATGACGTGGAAGCCTTTTAGGTTCTCGTCTACTGATAGCTTTTTTACTTTTCGATATTCGTTCAAGGAAACCTTCTCTGCTTACATGTATATACTTCGCGGCGTTATAGTATCAGAGCAAGACACTAGTCAGGCGTTTCAAAAACATCATAAGCAGAAAATGGTATAGAATAAGTCTATATGAACAAAGTGGAGCTTATAATTAGCTTGCCCGCATTCTTAGAACAGTATCTTACTATACCCTCTCTTTTTTTTGATAGGCTTAACAAATGTGAACTTATGGGTCGGCTTAGGTCAATTGGGATTTCTTCAAGACCAGGCGCAGATGAAGACCTGCAGGGCGAAGAGATTCAGAATCTCAGATATGTGTATGTACAACATGCGGTTTATGAGAAACCTTCATCTGATATAATACAGGGAATCAATGCCTTATTGAAGGACAATGAATGCAGTACCAAAGCTACAAAGGCATTTAATGTACCTGCAAGAGGGTTTGTATACGGTAATCTGGTATAAGGAGAGTCATTTGAGACATCTAATGACCCTTCTTTCGTTTTTGCTCAAGGAAAAGGACTCGTTGCTTGACTACATAGGGTACACGCACACCAGCTTGTCAGCGAAACGACCCTCAATCATAATATCCAAGTGACAAAACTTTCATGAAAATATACAAACAGCGTAGAGTGAGGTTTCACATACCAATTGGATCGTAGCTAAGCAGACTCAGCGGCCGGTGTGTCCTTGGTCGTGTTCGAACTTTGAAAAACCCGGTCAACGCCATAGAGAGGAGGCGGACAACGACGGTTCGTGATTTGACTAGTGATGAGGGTATCGGTTAGCTATATGAGTAGCATTACGGGGGTTGTAGCAGTGGTTGGGTACCTTTCTTCGCCATTGTCGCGGTTGATGATTGCGGTGTCGTTAAGGTTCAACGGGTGTCGTTGAAGTTTGGTAGTTTTTTAGATGTGGCGTATGTGGCGTATATCAATCATCCGAATTTATGTGGCGCAGAATACATCCTATTCGGGATCCCTGTCTCACCTCCTGCAACACATCGGACCTCACATCTTTGTGTTTTGGCGGCCCTAGCTAACTACAGGCCCGGGCCTTCTACACACACTGTACTGCACCGCATCTGCACGTTATACCGTCGAATATCTAGAACGGCACCGGGACTCCATGGTTCTCATCACAGTCCCCCGTGGCAGCCCAGCCATCTACATTCCAATCTTCGGGCGTGGCTAAAACCACCTTCCGAACTTATCCAAACATCTTGCCATCTTGAGTATCGCCCAGCCGGCAGCCTATAATCAAAGAGGCTACTTACCCGGCGGCAGAACGTTCGACATGACCATACAGGCATCCCCAGCTTTTCCCGATATAACTGCTTTTTACGGAGTTTCTCTTTAGTTGGTCTCGAGGGAGAGGAGGGGAGGCTACGGAGAGAGTGAGAGAAGTATAAAAGGGTATGCCTGTCAATTTTGATCAATTGGACCTTGTCGACGATCAAAAGCTAACGGCTCGACCCATTGGATGTACCGAAAAGCAAGCACATGATAGAAGGAAGACTTCAGGGAACTATGGTCTACGGAGATAGGATTTCAGGTAGATTGCATACGACTTGCATTGACGATAATGGAATAACTCTTTCGAAACAGAGAAAAAGAAAAAGAAAGGGAAGTAAAAAAAGGTACGCTACGGAACCGCATTCTCCCTCGTCCGATAGGTAATCCTTTAGAGGGAGGGAGAGAGAAAGAGCAGCCTTCTGACCTGATCTGATCTGTCAGTTAGACAAATAATCCGAGCGCAAAGAGAAAAAAGAAGTACTAAGAGGTAGCTGGCTGGTGAATGTGGGAACCGTCTAGACCGTTTTGATACTGAGGCGCCCCCGGAATGTTGGAAGTAACGTACGAACGGTCCAGGCTACAGGGCTCTTACGGATTGAAGGAGAATTCGAATGGCCAAAGCAGACGTAATCTCGCCCCATAAGCTGCCATCGATCTTACACTTGCGAACAACGATAGACCCTGATAGTGAAAAACAAATGGCGCTACAAACAGTAGCAGAAAGAAAGGAAAAAGTTCGTGCGAAAGGGACAAAAGGAAAAGCAAGATCTTAAGATGGTTCCGCCGCCCCAGGTTTATATAAGTATATATCTCGCATCTCGCAACGGACAGCTAAAAACAGGAATTCAATTGCTATGAAACACAAACGCTATGGCACCGAGTCCGTGAGCGCGCCCAAAATCTCACCTGATTGTGGGGATCACTGAAAAAGGCAGTATGGTAGGTTTCGCCCCAAAGTCTAACAAATCAAACCAAAATCTCGTGGTCGCCGTCATCCCAGTCTGTCCCTTGGATCAACTTTTTGCGCAAGAAAACGTGGTTTTTGTACCATCTTGGTGAGACCATCTCCGCGATTTTGGTTACGCTTTTGGCCTTCCAGAGGTTATTATAAGCGCACAAGGTTTCGGCGGCCTGACGTCAGGTACAACACAACAGTGTCATTGGATTCGAGATAATATATATTCCATTATCAGGAACAGTTAGCAATTGAATTCAGGTTCAAGAATGTCCTTTTCATGCGAACCCGCCGAGCCAATGAATTCAAGGCGCTCTATCTTCGAACGTATAGTTGATTTTTTTTCTTCCGCTTTTCGCACGAATCCCATACCTATGAGAGAAATAAAAAGTCGCAAGGTAAATTCGGGATCCACACCAGGGTCGTCTGACCATCCCTTCAGGCATGGTTGGCTATTGGATAGAAATCGACAGTACCTCTACATATGCAAATCGGCTACCTTCTTACTGTACTTTTCTAGCTTCTGATTCGATTCCGAGAGCGGGCCCACCGACGGCCTTGTCCTTTTCATGCAATGCAAATTTCACGCTGCCATGTAATGTACGTACAGTATGTAATGTACCTACTCCGGCGCGCGCGCAGCGGACGAAATCGCTGAACTATCATTCGCAAAGGAAACCCCAAAATGCACGCAAGATCATGCTTTTTTCTGTTCGGGTTTCCCTTAGCCCTTTTCCCACCCTTTCCCTTCTTTACTTTTTGATCTTTCGTTCCTGTTCCTACATATGCGAGGAATTTAGTTTCGTCGCTTTATTTCCCTCTTAATGGAAACCAATGACATGTTCGCACATCTTGGAAAAAAGGGGATGAGAGATGTGGGATGGATCATGTAAAGATGTCAGAAGGCGGGAATCGACATATATCTGCATTTTACATTTTCCATGACACCGAGCGCTTTTTCGCGATAGTGGTTTTATTTTATTTTATTTTTTATTTTTTTCTTTCTTCAATCATTTTAAAATTTTAGGATCTGAAACGTAACAGCGGAAAGGCGTCCCATGACAGCGACAGGTTCTTTTTTCTTTTCTTCCTTCCTTCCCGTCCTTCTTTTTTTCGCCATGGGTCCAACATTTGGGATCGTTCAAGTTTCTCCGATCTGTTTTCTTGAGCTTTGACAGCTTATTAACCCTTACCCCCCCTCCAGTTTTTAAACCATTAATTAATTCACTGAAAGGAAACAACTGCCACATTCTTGACCCTCTTGAACAATACACCTGTACCGTGTAAATAATTACGTAGAAGGGACAGAAAAGAGGCGGAAACGAACCCCATGTTCCCTCAATGATGCCACTTTCCCAGCAAGCCCCATGGAAGTGGGAAGAGGCTAGTTAGTTTGGTCCCCTCCCCTGTCATTTCGAGGACGGGAACACCCTTCCTTCTTTTGCAGCTGTTAAAGTCGAAGAAAAAGCAGGACCCCACCATCCCACCTTTTTCTTTCTTTCTTTCTTTTCTTTTTCTTTGGTTCGGCTAGCGACGAAACTTTGAAGAAAAGGTGGAGGAGGAGGAAGACGCCGAGGGAGAGAAAGAGAGAGAAGCCGACCGCGCCGCTCACAGTGCCTATGAGCGAAAAAAGCCGGAGAGATTATATTAAGATCCCAATATACATACGGTACGTACTTACATACAGTACTTTTTGTCCCTCCTGTGTGCGCATATGCATATGCACATAAGGTTTTTTTTGGGGTAACTTGGGTACTTTTGTGAATTTAAAGGCTCGGAAGGGAATTGATTGGTTACTTTTTGAAGTCGATTCTTGTAACAGGTACATGTACATGTAACTATCCTAATAATTTCGAAGAGTCTTCATGGCCTCCTTTTTTTTTTCATTAACGAAGGTTTTTGTTTGTTTGTGTGCGTAGTGGAGTTGTATTGGTTTTTTTTATTTATATTCTGGCATTTGAAGGATTATGTCATGTGCGAAAAGAGATAAAATCTAGAAAGCTCGAATTTGTTTGAGAACAAAAAAAAAGAAGAGACAGGACCCGGTTCCAAAGGAGATCGAAAATTCTTCAGCTGAACGGGAACAAGCGAGGAAAAGGGTGTGTAGGAGAGACAAAGAGCACAAAAATAGGGAGGAGAGATCGCACACAGACCAATATGCACATTCATTCATTCATTCATTCAAGGAGAAAAAAAAATAATAGGTATTTTATGAGCTCGTAGATGGTACATTACATGCAAAGAATCGTTTTTTGAAGGAGACAGGAGTCAAGACAGAAAAAAGAGAACATCCTTAATTTTCCCGCTTGCGAATCATATGCAACTGAATATCAAATCATCCAATCATGTCTACATTCCTCTCCGTCCTAACCCTTCCTCGGTCTATAGGAAAAACATATTTCTTTTTTTTGTATTTTTCGTTCTTTTCTGTTTCTTTCTATGCTTTGCGAATTAGAAATCAACTGGTTTCCCCCCCTCCCCCCAAATCGTACTATACTTCTTCGACGCTGAGACGAGATATTGTTGAGGGAAGAAGCAAATGAAAAAAAAAGAAAAGAAAGGTAGTAGTGAGGAAGAGAACCACCAAGCAAATAGTGCTTCATACGCAGAAATGTCGCCCGTTTGACTTTGATGAAAGAGAATAGATTTTCAGTATAAGCTGAAACCGGACTTCCTTTTCGCTCTCACTCATGATTAGTTCTTTTCGATTTTTTTTTTTTTTTGGTTGTTTTGAGAATCTTCCCATTCGTCGTAAATGAAAAAAAGGATTATCCCCCAGACTGTTGCAGTCAGCAGCACACTTTAGAGAGCGGCTGTAGTGGTCCTCGTAATATTCGCTTGCTTCTTTTTAAAATGATAAAATGCAGCTTACAGAGGACACAAAAAGCCTTGCATCTGTAATAGGTGCGGCTGGAGGAGTGTTTTTGTGGTTTGAAAAGGATGGTTAAAGACAACCCCGAAAAGCGGACCTGGTTGCATGTTGTGAGAGAGGGCAAGAACACTGTTCTTGGGCTATCTCTCTACTAGCTGCAAGCTGGAGGTCGGCGTTTTTCGTTTCGCGCTCTTCCTTTAGGCCCTGGCCAAAAAGAAAAAAAGACACACATCCAAGATCTTGAAAAAAAAAGATCCGGTGACTGATTTTTCATGGCAACCTGTTGCGCTTGGTGAATACGGTGTAATGATAATATCCTTTTCTCTAGGAAGAGATGGATGCCAAGTACCGGTACTATAGCGACAAGACTGTGCCAGAATCAGGTTCTTTATACAAAAGATAGGTGTGTATATAAGAAGTCTTTCGTTTTGTGAAAAGGCTTTAATGTCTTGGTGGCGCTATCATTTAGTCGAAGCCGGGGGCAAGGCATTCTCCAGAGATGTTGAAGAATACGTATTTCTCTTGGTTGGTTGTCTTGGTGGGGGAGCGTGGGGTTTTTGGGTCTCTTTCAAGAAGGTGCTCCCGTTCAAAGGAGACTGTTTTCTTGAGGATAGACTTTGGGCGTTCCTTACGGCGCTTCATGTCCTCGGCGTATTGAGAACCTCGGCGGAAGTTATCAGGAGACCCTGGAGCGGTATCATAACCGCTGTCGGTAGATCCGTTGCTGGAGCTGGCACCGCCGTATGGTCGGCGTTCTCGCTCTTGGATTCCGATGACGACTGGTTTGCGTCCGGCATTTCCAACAGACGAGCTACGTTTTGTGGAGCGGGAGCGAACAACGACTTCCGGCTCCTCACGATGGCGAGAGCGAGAACGGGAGTAGAGCTCCTCATCAGAAGATGGGCCAGGTCGGCGTTGGTACTGAGCGAGCATGGCATCATCAAAATATGTCCTTGTGGTTGGAGTAGCTGGAGTAGCTGGAACCGAAGTAGTAGCAGTAGTGCCTTCTGGGCGAGAGTTGATATTAAGCCCCCTCTCCATAGCGTTGATGAGAGCGCGGACGACTTCGCATCCCTTCGGGATATCTACTTCGATAGATTGCCAGCCATCTGCTCTTCGTCGGGTGGTCTTCGAGCGACGGTATTGATCATTGGCTTCCTCGTAGAGTGCTTTCGAGACTTTCCTGGCTAGTTTGTGTCCCCTAGAGCAGAGTTGTCGTCCCTCTAGGTGAACCCGGAGTGGGTCGTAGCAAACGTCACAGCGATAGGCATGAGAAGCGAAGTCTCGGAATGTGTGGTGCATGTACGATTCTGGGATGGGTGAGGGCAGCATGGTTGGAAGTACTTGGTCATACATAGGTGGAGATGACCTTGGAGCAGTGAGTGCTCTTGGGGAAGAAGTGGGAGGCATGTGGGAAGCGGGGGAAGCGGTATAGTAATAGGAGGCCTGTTGACCGGTCCAGGATGGAATGTCTCTTGGGTAGGCAGCCATCTTGGGTTGATTGTAGTAGTAATAGGAATACAAATAGTCTGGAGATTGCAAATCTAGGTATGAAGAAGGAGTAGCTTGAGCGTGAGAGGAAATTGCGCCGGTATTAATAGAAGCAGGATATAACAAGGATCTGTTAGAGATTGCAGTAGAGCGTTCAAGAGCCTGTTGATATAAATCCTGTTGCGGCGAGTTCGAGTAATTCACGACGTTTGAAGTCAAGCTGTGGTAATATGGTTGTGGTTGTGTTGTGAGTGTTGGAATTGTGGTTGTGGTTGTTGGGAATGGAAATGAGGCCGCCCGACGGTGCTTCTTATTCACAGCAGCGGTCGATGTTATATAATTGCGGTTGACGGTGGGAAGGATTGAAATTGGAATTGGAATGTTGGACTGGTTACAGTTCGAGTTCGAGTTCAAGTTCAAGTTCGAATTGGTTTTGGTCGAATGCATACAACGGTCCCGCTGAAGACTTCTTATATGGATAATAGACTGAGAGAATGATGATATGATATGAACTAACCACTCGGAGGGGAGGGAGCAGGTTTATTTAAGTGGTTGCGATCCGATACAGTCGTCCTGCACTGAACCGCACCGAGCATGCAGGCGCAGGAGGGCCAGGATCTATCTCTATCTCTGTCTGTATGACTATGACTGGTTTGAAAAATCAACTTTATGGACGGACAGGCGCAGCCCACCCTCAGGGGAGGTGCCTGTGTGGGTGTATCTGTGGGTGTGTCTGCAAAGCAAAGTACATTTTCTTACTCCGGTCAATCGACTCTTCCCTCTTTCTTTTCTTCTTCTCCTTGTTTTTTTTTTTTTTTTTTTTTTTAATTTTGGCCGGGACGCACTGCCCGGTACCCAAACCATCCCATCAACCGGAAAGTAAAAGATGGGTGGGAGTGTAGTGCGGTGCGAAAGGATCCACCGGCTGTAACAAACAGAGGTAGTGGACGGCCTTGGATTGGGCGACCTCAAGGCACACTACACACAAGACGTACTTTACTTACTTACAAACTCGAACAGACTTCATTTCGGGGTGGGATAGCCCCTGTCACAAGCCCGCACTGTCCTGTCAGAAAGAAAAGGACTCCGTGCATACGTAACGTTTGTAACCGTCCAGCAAGTCGTCAAAAGCAACTTGGGTATCCTAATTTACTAACCACTTGCTTGCTTGCTTTCTGGCTCGCTCGCTCGCCTGCCTAGCACCGCGCGAAAATTCAGCACGGTATTGCTATCTGGAAGTCAGCAAGTAATAAATTACTTAGTAACTTAAGTACCTCAGAGGTACTTCCAGCCCGACTTCTGCAAACTTCAGACTTGCCAGAAGTGAGTAAACCTGGTTGCGCCGAAACAGAGAAAAAGGAAGCAAACGTTGCAAACCTTTGTCCATTTGCTTCATCAAGCACCTGGCCTAGCTGGCATGACCTCACAACAAAAATTTCCTGCTTGCTTGGAAAGCCCATTCCTACTTTCTTCCTTTGGAATCGGTGGGTGGTACTTTCGCCCTGTGTGCTTGTTCACAGGTTCCCGAGACCAAGATACTAATTCAAATTCGCTTCCCGTGCAGGGTCCATACTAACCCACAAAAAGAATTCGAACACCGCCACAGGTGAGGCTCCCAAACTTGCTTACTATCCTCTAAATGATACAGTTGTCGCAAAAATATTTTCCCAAAATATGAATTTTCAAGAATATCATTCTAAGGTATATCACGAGATACGAAGATACGAAACCTCGAAGCTCATAGTTTTGCTGACTTATGAACACGGGTCTTCGATATAAGTTGAGTAATTAATCTGCGATCGATGTACTTCGATGGTGATGCGCGATGACTCCCTTATCGATAGTCAATGCAACGTATTACTATACAGGTTCCGCAAAAGTATTGAAAATGTATTCCTAAAAGTACCCGATGAGATGACTCTGTACGTCTCCCCGCGTCTGGGGAGAAAGTCCGTTAAGCCGTCTACGGTAAACAGGTCCGGGCTTCAATCGTCTGCAGACGACTTGCAGACTAACTTCGAACCTTTTTTTAGTGTGAAGGATCGAGTCATCGTTCTTTCTAGATGAACCCACAAACTTACATGTACGGCTTGCAAGGGGGCATTTTACATGATTGATCACCTTAGCGACCCTCGTAAACCCATCAAGGGCACATGCGCAATGCACTTCGACGGAAATGCACAGCATCGCTCGTTCTCGTCCCTCGATGTGCGACACGAGAAGGGGGGGTGATGAGCGCTCAGCCGTTCCGTCTACTGTCTACAGCCTAACAGCACTCAATCGATTACGAAGGCTTCTTTTCATAGTAAATTTTCAATCCGTTCGTTTCCTCTGTCGCAAATCTTGATTGTAGGAGATCTATCGACGCGAAGCCTGAGGCTAGCCCAGGCCGCAAGCTGTTGGTAAGCGAGAAGGCCTAGGCAGCTCTACAGGCACACACAGGTCCTCATCATCGGGTGAAGCAACATTCTGTGGGCACGTATAGACGCCTACGCGTTCAAAAATCCACGCATATGATTACAGTCTGTCGCAAAGACGATTTCGAGGACCTGTCAGCAAGATGGATACCAGTTTTACCCTGCGGAAAATATGGGGTAAGTTAGTCTAGCCATCCCAACAATATCAGCAGGCATATACATATACTATAACACGCGCACGGCATTTTGCATAATATTCTCGTGCGTGGGGACACTTGGAGGTCCATGTCCAGCTGAGAATTCGAAATTCACGGAATCTCGATCTCAAGAAAGAGTCAATATGATAACCCTTTCCGGCTCCAGGAAAAACTGGGCAACGTTATCCCGCTCGGTTAACATCCACCCTGGGTATCGATAAAGGTGGACCCAGCGCGCAGCGACCTTGTGCGACACCACAGCTGAACATCATCCACCAGCCAAACTATGAACACCAACGTGCCGCAGGTACCCCCATGTACCAGAAAACGGGAATCACTCTGCTTCCCGGTCCATGATATGACGAATACCGACCATTTCCCACTATCAGAGCTCCCTATCGATAAAGAACCGGACAGAAAACTGTGGCAAGTTCTTGGATGCTCAGTGGATAACTTTGCGCTTTTGTTCTGGACTGCACAGTGCTTCTGTATCCAACAGGACGGCGGGCTACCCGTGACACCTTTAGCCGTGGCTTTTGTCATGCAACGATAGAATCTAGCCAGCGTGAGTCATAGACCTGTAACTTTTTGTCGCTGAAGCTCATTGCATCGCCATCCCTCAGTGCAAATCAAAATCTCACCAATAGGCGTTCTGATACTCTGTATATGTACCTCGTTTGTAAGATCTCTTACTGCCGACCTTTTGTTGCCGACACGGATTTGTCTCGCCAACTTCGACAACTATTTCTCCAACAGCCGAAGTCATGCTCCGCCGATGACTCTCAAGTAAGAAAAAAAACGAGACTATCAAAGCCGATAGTACGGATATAGGATGCTTCGGACGGAATCCAACATACAACAAAAGACACTCGGGAATCCTACTTGGACCCAACCGGAAGGGTGTGTTCGGGGGCATGTTGCACAACCGAGAAGGTGTGGCAGTGCTGACCCGGCTTGGTGAAGCGAACCCCAGTCCATTTTAAATTTTGACGAACGTTTTTTTAATTTTTGCACCGCCTCTGAGCCTCGAATGGAGCCTCAGCAGAAAGTTTGGCTGAAGGTATGCACCATAATAATCTTCACGTCAAACTGATAAGGATGATGGGCATCTCTTGATCTGACCAGGCCTCCCTGTATGCAGATTCCCATCTACACCAGCCACTTTGCACCCCATTGAACCCAGCATCTCTCCTATTTCACGCATACACTTGATGTCATGATACCTCTGCGAATCTTCTATCCAGCATTGGATCCTTGAGCCCTACTGCAACTACCCGCATCATACCTGCATAAAATGTCTAAGGGATTCTCAGGTTTACGATATTCTTAAATTGATCTAACCGGACTCGGAAGAAGTTTTTTTCTTCTAATGGACCACCGGACCATTCAAATGGCTTGAAGACCACCAGGCTTCGGCTTAGATGGCGTAGGTCCGAACGAATTGCGTAAACCTGAAAAACCTGAAATAGGATTTCCCACTATGCAAACACTGCAGGGTCGCCCAGTTGAACCCAATGATCGAAGGATCACTTGTTCTCGAACCATTGATCTCGCGACTTGTTTGGTCGAAAAGAGCTTGCATTGCATGGGCGCCTGTACGATGTAAGTACATACGTATGCAGAATAATTAGGGAGGTGTCTCTCATTGAACTGCTGACGCCAGCCAGCCAGGAAATATCGTCCCAACGATTTTGGATTTACTACGTACCAAAATTAACGTTGGTTCTTAACGAGCTTATTAATGGAACCGAGCGCGAGGCGACAGTCATACCTGGGTAATTGATTTGCCTTGTCAGCACTAGGTACCCAAAAACAGCATCTCCCGCCCAAAAAAACTCCATTGCCGGATTTTGGGGCGACAATTTTTTTGGGGGAGGGCTTTAAGCCGCAAACCCCACATGCTGATAAATACTTTTAATATATTCAGCTGAACTGGGCTGTCAACGTTTCGTGGACATGGGATAAAAAGCTTAGTAAAGTGGGGAACGGGCGACCCAGTTTCTGCAGAGGTTGTGCTTAAACGAGCCGGGCAAGTTGAACCTGCATTGTGCAGCCTGCATCGGCATCATAGCACTGCTATCAGAAGTCATTTTTTTTATTTTCTCATTTTTTCATTTTTGCTTTCTTTCCCATGTCCTTTAAACAACAGCCTTGTTCGGTTATTGTTCTATTCTTTGCGGGATTTGAAAGATTTGGAAAGATTGCGTATCCACCCGAGCGTGTATCCGCCCTAACCTTTTCAACAGTCTCAGACAACATGCAACACGACAGCACAAATATAGCTCAATGGTATATATCCATAACATCAGGAATTGTGGGCAGTGTGTACGGAAGGGAGTAGAAATCGAGGCTGCATGTATTCGTTTAGCTACTATACTCCCCATAGGACAGCAAAACGAATGATCACGATGCAGTCCCCCCGTTCCATCACATGCATGATAATCGATAAATAATTTGATAAAATGTACAAAACCATAGAGCTACATAGTGATGCGTAAAAACTCTCTCCGTAGAATAAAATATCAATTTGCTAAATCACCAATTAAACCTAAGAAATTTGAAGTATTAAATGGAGATATCTCGTTTGAGTGTTTATGCGTGTTTAATGTAATAAACTACATACTTTAACTAGTTGCGAGACCACCTTAAGGGCTTGAGGGCAGCACATGAAGAGGTTTTTTCATTGTTATGGACTTTGATAAATATTCAGACCTTAAGACCTAGCGAAGAATATAAAGGTTTTATAAATATGGTATTTCAAGGACATGCATGTCGATAGCGATGAGTCCCTTCAGGACTCTATACTTTACGCGCTTATACAATTCGCGACGAGGTCAACCTGTCAAAGTGAGCGCCATATTATTGTTCCTAGACTGCTAGAGGTAGGAGTTCCCGATAGAAGGATATCTACCCAAGAAGGTGAGGAAGGATGGAAATTTTAAGATCTGGAGTGATCAGCTGGTGCTCTCCTCAACGGAGGGTTCTATCTTAAGCTACGTGAAGTAGAAGTGAGCCCTCATGGGGTCCTTCCTTTCCACAATGTTGCAACCACTATCATAACTGACATTGCAACCACGGCGCTCAGAACTGGAATCCGTTACAAGTGAATGGGATTTGGTATCAGCTTTGATAACATAAAGACGGATCCGCGGGCACAAAAATGGAAAATATCACGAGGATGCAGATGGAGATTATCACGAGGACAGGAGGTGGGGGCGCCGCGGAGGCAACAACGGCATGAGGTTGTCTCGTCGCCAGACTCCTCAACTGTTGCATGAGTTTTTCAACGGTATGTTTCTGACCTGGGATACACGGAGCCCTAGTTATACAGACGACTTACCTACCTACCGGCGATAGATTCTCAATCCATGGCCCGGAATAGTGCAGATAAGAAAGAAGCAACGACAGTAGGCATCACTACATAGCTTTAGCCTTCATTCCGCCGTTCACTTGCTCCTTGGGGCTCCGATGTAATATTTATCTAAGTGCCTAGGTTGATGAAGACCGGTAGTATCATCGAAGGGATAGACATTCGGGAGCGGGGCATTGATCAATTGAGAACATCATGAGCTTTTCTTTTTCCTTTTCCCTTTTCTTTTGGCTAACTTTTTCTTACTGGTTGACTCAATCATTATGAAGACAACGGTTAATGAATGATGGCACGCCATGGCGCTTATGCTATGCATATCGCAGCATATCAGACGTTCGTATTGAAGGAACTCATAGGAAATTTACCTTTGACAGGCAGACATGGTACGTACACGTCGCTGCCCGCCTCTTAATGGTGTTGATATAGAAAATTCTTTTGCAAAGTTTTTGCCCAGGCCAGTCGACTCATGGTTAGATGTAAGGTGATCTTGGCTCAGCTGTCAATGCCTGTTGGTTGATATTCGTGATTCACGCCCTACTATGCCATGCCATGTTCAAATGTTAAAAAATTCATGGGTCCGGGAACGTTAACCATTTGGCCGTGCAAACATTGCAAACGTGCAAACCATATGGTGCCATCCTGTCTGTTAATCAGCAATGAACACGCTACTCGTGTTTCGTATTCAATCAACTGCTTACTTACGAAGAAAAATTTTTTGATGCGGTATACTATACTTGTTGTCATATGCATACCTCCCAGGCCAGGCACTGTACTGGCATCGAAAAACCGCCTTGCCCAAGAATGCGTGAGATAGCAGCCCGATTTGGCTATCTGAGACCTCCCACAAACCTCGTTTAAGCCACACCCAATCCTAACTCGCCACACCTATTCCTTTTCGGGAAGCAAACCAGCCCTGGTCGCACAGGGCCCAGGGAACAATCAGCAGCCCGCCAACAACAAGTCCAACACATTTCATGTTTGAGGCTGATCCCCAAATATAACAACCCAAATGCCGTGCCATAGACCCGCAGAGAAAAAACCAGGCTGCCCTTTTCGATTATGCGTTCAACGAACTTGTTTCAGCGAATCGTTGTCCCAAATTATTACAATGGCTCGCGCCTGTTACCTTTGTAACTTACGTATACATCCTTATGAACAATTATTTTCCCCCAAACGCCTTTCCGTGTCCTTCGATCTAATGAAGGTTGTTACTTAATCGGTCGTGGCTGTGAGCTTTCCCGGCGGTTCATGTGGACGAATTAGGGGATCCTTTGAGCGCTATAGAAATAGCACTGCTATTAAAAGATGTACTTCTTAGGTACATTTACTGAATATTCCCTATCAGAAAGAGCATGCGACTTCTTAACCACCCCAGGCTGCGCTTGTGGGATACGTACTCCGGGTGGGCAGGCCTAGCTAACCATTAATAGCAAGAACTTTTAATTTTTTTAATTTTTTCATCAGCTTACGTAAATGGAGATGAACCGGTCTGGGTGCTGCAATGTGTATGTATTGATTGCGTGCATCGCATACTGCATCGTTTCTCCCCGATTAAACGATTGCTAGTTTGCGAGGGGGGACACAAACCTGGCAGTTTGTCGGTACTTGCAGCTGGATCCTTCACAGATCGACGAATAGGAACTTCGAGGGTAGCACGGCTTCAGAAAACTGTATCCGATGTTGATATCTGCAGTATTTTCCGTATTAGGAGCGATGCTCATCGAGTGCCAAAAAGGGTAAATAAATTCTTTGCCCCTACGAATCCTAGGCTTCCCCGATAATACAGAGTATTGCATATGGAGCTCATGTCCGTTTGCTTTGACTTTTTGAATCCTGAGACATCCAATCCAGGCATGATTTATACACATCAGATATGATATCAAACCATGTCCTACTGGCTGCCATGTTCACCTGGTCTGTCACATTGTCACATATTTGCCATATAACCCGGAAGTTCACGTCTCCGCCAGGACAAAGAGACGGACGGACGGGCTGTAAAGCTGAGACGCGGAGAGGTTTCCATCTATTCCGACTGTCTTGATCGGCTACCTAGATACCCAAGCCACCTCATGACCTAGCAAAAGTACTCTGCATATGATCCCCTCACTTCGCCGTAATATACGTACAAAAAGTTCAATTTTACACTACATATGCATCGAGGATTCCGTGAGTTTCCATGTATTTCCGAAAAGTTCGTCCCCATTCGTTGATACGTTAGGTACATACAGACATACCACCACCCCCTCCCACCAAGACTTAGGACCACGCGTGCTGCATAGCTAGTAATCCCGAATGCCTCCGACCCCTCCAACTAGGTTGGGGACATCAACTTCGCATCTGCGATGTAATGGATCGTTTTTGCCCCGGGCGATCCATTGGCATAGTCCTAGAGATCGAAAATCGAATCCTTCACAAGTTCACTCGGCCGGCCGGACATACCAGCTGATACGCTGCAAGGTGCTTGCTGTAACAGACTATTTCAGCAATCGATTCCTGGACCCCATGGCCCTCAGTCTAATCGAGCCAAGAAACCGATAGAATGATTTCGAAAGATTGTTGCATTTTGTGGATATCCTCATGTTGGTGATAATCTAACATGACCATGCAATCTGGCTTAATTGCAAGTTGAATACAAATTTAAATATGCTTTAGAAATGGCTACCTAAAACGGTAGGAATCGGATACGATAATTAAAAGATATACCAAAAGCTCTCCAAAGAACATAATATGCATCACGTCTTTATATCGCCAGATAACATACTTCAATCATTTGCAAGCCATCCATCCGTCCGATAGGTATAGTCATTAGAAAAAGAAATGGGAATGATAGGAGCTAACGCCAAATACACCTTATTTTGTGCCTTCCAACTTCTCAATATGTCCTAGTCGAAACAAGAAATAGAAATAGTGAGGGAAACATGCAACATAGGTTTTTCTTAGGATAGGAAAATAAAAAAGAACACTCGACTGGGCTTTCATAATGAAATTTCGGAATATATCATGACCTGAAACTTCACAGCTAACAAGCTAAAGGGCTAAAAAAAAGGTATGAGAGAGCCTAAACAGTCGTAACAGGCTCCAAGTGTTGAAGATAAAACTGAAGCTAGCCGCTAAGCAAAAGAGAAGAGAAAGGGGGGAAAGGAAAAGGAAAAAAAAGAAAGCAGATGCATCAGTAATCCAAACTACTTGATCACACGGAAACCCTACCCATGACCAAGGAAAATTATCTTCAAACGATATATCTCTTATAGGACACAAGAAAATACATCCCGACATTTCATAACCGCTGCAATATGCCACGGTAAAACTTCTTTCATCATGTCGGTTACACCGAAGTGCTGCGCCAGAGTAACAAGCCCCCTATATTGTGTAAGAATTTCTCTTAACACATCCTCGTTTGACTTCGAAATAACGGGCGGCTGCTGCTGTGCCATGGACGCTGATACCCCGAGCCCACGCTGTCCCACACGAATTAATGACACTGCCAGAACTGCAGGCTCATCTGTCTCGTTCGGTCCACTCCGTTTAATAAGGTACCCGCTGGCCAGCGCTGGACGGGTTACAATTGTCGAATCTGAGTTGTTTAATGGATGCTGAAGTAGAGCACCCCATGTTTCATCCGTGAAGTCGACGAGCGCCATGTCGTTATCTACTTCTGGGGCGGGAGTATCGCCCGGCGTGAGAGCACCTCCTTGAGAAGACGAGGCTCCGAATTGATCTGGTGACACGCCTGAAGACTGGGGCGTTGCTCCAGGCGTCCCAACAAGCTGTGCTTGTCCATTAAATGCCTGAGGCATTATTGAAGGGATGGCATATTTGAATGTTAGAGGCGGTGACGGGTCGGACGAGAAAACTGTTAGGGTGTTTGGAACTGGACAGTCGTGTGAAAGTTTCATCCAAACTAGTTGGATAGTTTGTTTGTTAGTTAGGGGGAAAACATGATACCGAGAAGGGGGTTATAGACATACATTCAATTTCATCGTCATCAATGGCACCAACTTTGACAAGTGAGATGCGCCAATGCACCCGCTTTTTTGATATAATTTTATTTGTCACAGCCCAAATCTCTCGACACACGTCCTCAAAAGCACGTAGTACAACTGTTCCGGGCATTCCTAAACAGAAGTTCCCTACTTCTTTGATATCGCCGCAATCGTCACCCCAAGCAACCGATATCCACCGTTCATCTATGCTTTGAGCGTAGGCCATGTGAAGGCACATGTTTTCCTGAAGGATCGCAGGTGAAGGATCCGACGAAACCCTAAATGCTATTGATTTTGGGGGTAGTTTTGCGAGTGTAACAGATGGCGAATATGTCTCTTGCGGGAATGTCTAATTGGGTTGTTAGTTTGTTATAGTGATACAAATGTTGGGTGACATACCTGTGAAAGATGATCCTGAATTGTTAATGTGCACCTTTCATATACCTCGAGGGCGCACCGGATCGATTGGTTATGGCTCTGCACCACTAGACCGTCGTATACTGCCATATTTTTGATAGGCACTATTTGAAGGATGATGTTGTTCGGAAAGATACGAAGCGATGAGTTCAAGGCGCTCACGTAGGCTTTCTTGAGCATGTGGAAAGCGGTACAGATTTCCAGAACTGAAGATGGTGTATCAAACGGGTTTACAACGAATAGCACTACGTTCTGTAACTCATCTTCGATTTCAACTAGAGTTTCACCTATGGGGAAGAGTGTCAGAATCCGAGACTTGTTCCTTAGGATAAGAGGTGGGCCGCTATGGAATTTACATACCTAATCTGATGATACCATCGCAATATCTTCGCAACATAGTCTTTTCATCGATGGTTTGTTGTTTTCCTTGACCCTGGAACGCTATTCCATGTAAACCATCAAGGATTTGGCTTGTCTTAACGGGGAGAATTTCACCCAGCCGGCAATTCTCATAGGTCGAACTAAATCCTTCCAAGTAGACTCTCGCCGCGGTCGCTAGCCCCGAATCTATCGGGAAAACGGCAGCCATAAGTAAGTCCTTCGGCCCACTATGGGGCGTGAGGCCGAACGTATCCCAGAAATGTAGGGCTGGCGGTAATAGCTCGATAGCACTATTTGGCATTGTGGCGTTTCTATGAACATGTACGTGTGGTGCACTAATTTTGAAGAGCAACGAAGGGCTGCTGTTCGCGTCCGATGATGATTTGGGTCGATTAATCGGGGTTAATCCTGTCGAAAGGCCGTGCGGATCCATGAGTCCAGGGCTGACACCGTAAATGGAGTTTTTGGGGCGACCGATAGCGCCGTATACTAGCGTTTCTAGTGAACACCTCGTAGTCAATGTCCCAAAAAGGTCTGTTAACAAATCTTCCATATCGTCTTGATGCCGCATAGATTGTTTTCGAAGTCTAAGGGTTTGTTCTGCTCGGTCGTTGATCCCATTCGCATCGAACTCTATACTTGATATACGCCCAAAAGAAGGGCTTCCAGGGCAAAATGTTGATATCAGGTATGTGTTCCAAACGATCTGTTCTTGTAATAAACCCACAACATGGCTGAAGTCTTGGGATGATAGCCGATTCGATATATCGTCGTTGTCGGGTATGAATTTGAAGACCCCATCTAGCGCAATGTCTGTTGAGATAAAGTCACAAAGTGTCCGTTGGGCTGAGCTAAGGTTGTCTATATCCTTGTCATTCACATTTGCCATATCGGCCCATTCTGGCGCCCCATCCAGTTTGTCAGAGTGGTTCAAGGCTTCAACCCCATGTGCTTTGTTGCCGCCTCCCCAGTAATCCCGTTCTGAGGGTATCCTTTTCCTCTTAAGTCCTTGTCGAATACCTTCTGGTGATGTAGAATAAGGGGAATTGTCCTGAGCTCCTTCGTTCCGAATTTCAAACATTTCCTCGTCGCCGCTTTCGTATTCGTCTGTACTCGAGCTTTCCTCGTCCGAGCTTCCGGTGTCGGGAATCAGATCGCTACGGTCTTCATCATCTTCTAAAAACATGATATCCCTGCTGAGGGGCCGTCTAGAATTTCGATACTTTTTGACCCTCGGAAATGTAGCGCTAAAACGGCGGTCTTCTGATGGGGCCTTTCTGGGGCTAGATTCGTCTTCTGCACAAAAAAACCGTCCACCAGCCATATATTTCTCATCCGACCTCTCCATGAACGAAGCAAAGTCCACTGGACTGTAGAGGCTCTTCCTGCGGCTGAAGGGGAGAACAAGTCGCCCTTTTGAAGGTGGAGGGGCCCCCCTGGGTGACTGAGGATCAAGCAATAGTAACTTCATTGCTCTCTGTGGACTAAGGGGTGGGGTTTCAACTTGGACGATGATATGCTGGGTATCGTCGGATTGCGTTTCTAAACGAACAGATTTATGTCCCTGACCATTTGGTTGGGATGATGACTGCTCGCTCCCTGCTTGAGTCGGTGTTGGGTCTTTTTGCATCTCCGCCTGCATATCCATCGCAGCTCCAATATCATCTACGTCAAGATCCATATCGTCAAGAAGCTTGTCGTTTACATAGGAACCGATATTAGTAAACCCAAGATTTAGATCGTTCATGTTCTCGGACAAATGCGATGTAGTTGGTCTTGGTTGAAGATCTGTCGAAACCTGCGGTTTTTCCAATCCCATGTCTGCGAAACCACCATCGCCCCCGACCTCATCGAAAAAGCCAAAGTCGTCCTCCGTAATATCTATATCAAATAAGTCATCCCCTATCCCCACACCTTGCCCCCCAAAAATATCATCATTGACCTTTGTAGAATCACCTTTCATCCAATTATCGTCGAGGTCCATATCAGCACCATTGACCGTTGCCTCTGCCGTTGGGGGGGCAGTTGGCGGTTCCACTACTGGTATCGGCTCCTCAGCGACTTTAGTCTGTCCTGGAGTTGGCGCGGTTGTAGGCCCGCCAGGTGTCGGATGACTATCATTCCCTGAGAGACCACCTGGGGGTGTCGGATACACCGTACCAGATCTATCTGTCGTCGGGGCGGCCGCAAAAGGTGGTTTACGGTCGACATCCATGACAGGGATTGCTTTGTTTCGCGCTTCCAACCTCCGTTTCTTCTCGGCATCTCGAGATGCTAACCCCGATAGCCACACCTCGGCAAATTCTAAGCTATCTCCAGCATTATACCAGGTCAGCTGTGTGGCGAGGTCGTTCAGTTCATCGACATTGGTTCCTAGCTTGAAATCAACTGCCCCGGTTGGCGATATTGCAGGATACGAATCGATGTCAGATCCTCCATACTTCCTTACGAAAACCAAAGATGTAGGCCAGAATATTTCAATAAGACCCTCGATATCCGACCAAACCCCGATCTTAGCCCATTTTGTTAAGCCCGGTTGCTCAATATCAACCCCCCTATCGGCTAGCGACTTCAAAACAAAAGCCTTCCATTCTGGTGTTGCCTGCGAGAGCCCATCAATACTGGACTTAGGCATATGCCGGCCTATAACTCCACCAGGGGCGAGCCAGACATCTGTCTCGGCTGTATCTGATAAATCAGTGTTCGATAGTCGTTGGAGAGCGCTCTGTGATATTGTTTTAGGGGTAACATGTAGGCTACCATCGTCAGACAGGCCGAGTGAAACTGTTGTAATTATTGTAGGGCCGTGTGATATTGGAGAGTAAGAAAGAATTTCGGGCTCAGCATCTGGTCCTAATACAAAATATCAGTTAGTAGATTCGATACGCCTGAAAGGTTTATATTCAAACTACCTTTTTTGAATTTTGGGAGGAAAGTGCACAGGTTCAGCGGTAGCCATGAAAAGGAGCTTGCTAGTCGATATGATAGAAGAGACATCATCGCCAAGAGAAGCTTCTGGCCCACCATCTCTTGCTTCGATACTGGCCGCGTAGTGGCGGGGTGAGGAGTTCCAGTTGTTGAACTACCATGCCGACTCGCAGATACTGGCGACCCAACCGCTGACATGGACATATTCGAACCCCTTTGCTTCGAAAGCTGCTGTAACATATAAACATCTCGGTGAGCCCCGCTAAGGTCAATAGGGTCTAGTTGGGTTCCGGGGGAGATAAGAGGGTCGATTTGTGAAAGGGTCTGAAGTTGAAATAAATCCTCGGGCTTTTCCGACGGGGTTGGCCTTAGAGCCTCAAAGATTTCGTGGATATTCAAGACCTCCTTTGTTTTCTCTGTAATACGATATATTAATATGGGCTATGTTGTTTTCGACGATGACTCGGAACAAATGCGTACCCTCTAGCCCCCAGACCATCGGCTCCCAACCTTTCTCGCCAGTACCGGACCCATCATAACTGTTATAGCCAGAGTCCGATGTGAATGCAATGTCGGTATCGTGGTTGTCTATCTGAAATAGCCATAACTCCGAAGAGTCGGAGCATGTCGTAACACATTTCCCCCTGCGGCGTAGATTCGTTTCTGCCTTAGACAGCACTCTCCATGCTGGAGACGAACCAAAAGTTGAGGATATGCGGTATACAGAGTATGAAACTTCGGATAAGTTGTCCTTATTTCGAGATTCAGGGTTAGGGCTACGTGATATGGCAAAAGAGCCCAGGCGACAAAACTTACTATCTTGAAAACATTTGTAAGGCAGGTTTCCGGTAGTTCCATGCTTGAGACATGCACCTAAGCGGAAATATGAAGAATCCAGAAGCGCGTCGAGTGAAAGATTTAGGGCCACCGCGCAGCCGTCCGAGACTTCGGGAATGCAGTCGTCTACGGGTGGATGCTGTAGTTTTTCCGGGCCAATGCACAATAATGACTAATCGAGAGACGATAGGAACTCCATACAGGTTGCATCGGTTCGGGATCCTTCGAACATACGTATAACCCGATGGGAAATAAAAAACTAAGATGCTATATCTCCAAAGCGCTGGGGCTGGGGTACGGTCAAAGATGGCGATATGAAATGTTGGGCGGATTTGGCGGAAGGTCACGAGAAAGTAACGGATCGAATGACAACAGTGAGGCGGAGGTATGCGACCGATCAATCCAAAGACTACGGACCAAAGAAACGGCAAAAGGCTCCGAACTCGAAAAATGCAACGCCAGATAATGATACAGGGGGTCGTATGCGGATATACTGTATGGTGAAGTCAAGTTTCAGACAGTCGCGGGGGATATTTCGACTAACGCGAGGATTGGTGTCGTTGGTGTGAGCGAACAGGTAAGTTTTCGGCAAGCAGCTGGCGCTGGTTGATTATATTACCCTCCACACCCTAGAAGGTAACCGAGAGAGCCTGTCAAGTTAACTCACAGCAAAGAGTAAGATTGAAAGTCGGATATCTAGGCACGAAAATATCGACGCCGCCGGCGGGTGACGGAGGATATGGGATATGTGATATGAGAGATGACTGATGAGGTACCAAATATTGCGTCCCCTCAATCAGCGATTGCATGCAAAATTCGGCGGATAGATTGATCAAGTCTAGGCGTCAGGTACTCGGGAACCTGTTAGTGAGGCCAACTAGTGCATGATTATGATGAAGACCAGGGCATGCATGGCATGATGAGCATGCGGGAAGGCGCCTAGGCTTCTCTCTGAGGAGCGCCGATATCCTGAAGAGCTTAGCGCTTTTGATGATAAATATCGAATCAAAGGAGGCTGAGATCAGAATAACCACACCGACAACACAGTTTTTTGTCACAAATCGACATGTTAATTCACAGCTGAGTCGGGTTGATGGTGTGAAGTGAATCACGTGACTCGGGCTATTTTTTCTTTTTCTTGTATACTTAATCCCTCATTATTATTCTTAGAATAGCTCACTCTTTCTAATATACATCCTACCTTCCTTTAGAATACCCAACTCTTCATATCATATCTTACCCGTAATCTATTTATTAGATTACAGATGGACTCATGAAATGATTAGATAACTAGCTATATGTAGGGGGTAGAGAGAAAGGGTGTATTATAAGTTGTGAATGGGAAGATGTAGGGACAGGTGTGTCAGCAATTAGGGCTAGATCTAAGTATATAGCTTGGTAGGTACCTAGGTAGATACTTAAGAAGTAGTTTAGGACTGCATTTGTGGAGTGTTTATACATGAACTGCTATCACAGAGGAAATATATTCCTAGACTCAATTATACGACCCTTCCGATATATAAGTATTCTTTGCAAGATATGATATTTAAGTACAATTGGGATTGATATGATGGAACACCAATAACATGGCCGGCTATCGTGTATATTATATATTATAATACCGGTTTAGAACTATAGCTCAATTGCAAAGTTCTGGCCAATATTACGAGGAAACTGAGACTCAAGCATACTAATATTTTCTATTGTGCTTGAGGTGAATGATAGCCCGAATACTACTATTAGAATCAAGGGACCTAATATATGCTCCCAGTGCTCTAAAATTCAAAACGAACACAGATCGATCTCAATATATAGGTATGCATACGTATGTAGGAGTTCGGGAAAATATAAAAGAATATTGTAAAAATATTAATCCTGCACAGCTAATTAGTTCATTCAGCTGGCCAGCTGGGGAGAGGGGTACGTTCGTCTGATATTCCAACTGAGACATTCTTAAGGTCTTCTCTTCTCAAATTTCTATATATTTTAAATTTCTTTGCAATTGTAACCTACAGAGTATCTTGAGTTTTGCTAATTTAATATTTGAGATCGGGCGGACACCGTGACAGATCTCGTCGCTAACCAATGAACATCTACTACGTGGAAACCCCCACGCCATTGTCAAAATTTCATAATATATGCTGTGCGCCACGTGTCATAGCCACATGTAGAGGCGCATTTCACTCCGCCTTACAGCCTTGGGGTGGTTTCACCAATTGTTTTCAGTTAACGGACTGAGGCTACATCGCATAGTGTCAAGCAGCTAGTAGTATTATTAGTTCAAAGTGTGAATTAAACACGTAAGAAATTCGAGGACCAGTTTTGGATATATTCTAGAGTTTGCGTTCTTGCTGGACAAATTTGAGGAATTCCTAATTTACTAATGTATCTTGTGCGTGGCCGTAAGGCATAAAGACATAGCTTAGCTATGGACGCCATGGACTAGGGTTCATCTCTACATATGCATATAGCTTCGTGTGTTTCGGGGTATCCGACGAGTTATAACGTTAGCTGACCGATACATGTTTACATGTAGATATTACTCTATATAGAAAATATTTGGGGTATCAGTTTCGCAACTCTTTACATCATAGATTTGTATCTCAGCCTTTGTAAATTTAAGTGGTTACTGATCAATCAGCGACGTCAGCTTTCGTATTCAGCTCCGATTTTCGCCGGAGACACAGGAGTTTTTCTAACTATGTACCATGTATACCGAGGGGGGTTATGCTTTTTGTACCGGCCTCTACCAGTCCCCTCGAAGGGAGTTAATGTGTTAGTTGACCGATAATCAGAATTCAAATGACAACATAAAATCTATTTGGAAGTCCGCCGGCGAGGTATTGCTTGCAGAACAAATGCATATATAAATATACCGAGTATTGGAGATTTAAACTCCGCGGACCTTTATAGCTTGGACATTCAGTCCTACGGATTCACGAGGGTGAGGAATCCTGCCTCGATTAAGGCTTCCTGCTCATCAGGAAACCGTAAACCGTAAAACTCAAGTATAGTTATATATACCTAGGTAATTATACAAACTAGCATAAAAAGCTATACCGAGCGATCCTTCACTAGATTTAAGACTCGCACCTCCTTTGTTTCGCATATGGGCTTGTATGCTCGACTATCCTTGAGAACTCAAATATTTAAGGATCTGTATAGTTTGAAGGGACCGAGCAAAAATTGTATATAGCTGAAAAGTAGAGGGTTGACTTGTGATCAGACTATCACAAGCAACAGTAATAACGGGTAATTCCAGGTCTGCCTTTGGCCCGATTTGTGAAAATTCCTGAAGATCTCTTCACCGTGCATAGTTCTTCGGCTGCTGAAGCAGGCAAGCTGGAAAATATGAACTTACGTCCTTTAAGTTTGAAGCGAACTTGAGGCTGGATGTGAGCTTATATCCGTTGTAGCACAATATGTATGCGTACCAAGCCCTAAACCTCGACTTGAGGGATTAAACGAGAGCCGTGCCCGCATATATCATAAATCACTATAATGTAACTAACAATGATTAAAATTTTTGATTCTCAATTTCTTCGCCTATTTTAACGGTATTTGGATTCCTCAAGATGGTAGATTCAGGAGACTGCAGCTCGGCCAAGATCGTAGATTAGCCGCACGTGTAGGTTGTTCGCTATTCCGTTCCCTGCCCTGCATTTGAAAACACCCGAGCCTCCCTTCTGCGAAGCGATTCGGAATCTGAAAATATCCTGTCGCACGATTTGGAGTTAATATGGCTAGGCTATAGGTCTGCATGCTCTCAGCTGCATCGAAAGTTCTAAGGCGCAGAAAATTGCATAGAAAGAACTCCTCCCCTTGCAACTGAAACTCTAGAACGCAGAAATAAGGTAAATTGATCCCGAAGATCCGACCAGGCTATTTTCCCGGGGGGCTCTCTCAATAAGAGGACGAAAAAGAGCACCCTGCGCTGTGCATGAAGCGCTACCAGAACGGGACGTTGGCAAAAGTGCGAAGGACCGTGTACATATATCGTTGCACAAGGATTGTGGTATAATATCACTCAACAACGCATAATTAGTTCGCTATTCTCACCCCCCCTTGACCTGCTTAGTTAACATACACTTAAGCTTATACCCGGTGGCATTCATATTCTGATCGCTAAAGCAAGGATGATTCACGATACTAGTATTATGGCGCTTTTATAGTCTAGAAAACGAGAGAAAGTACCTTGAAACATTTCTTGCGAGATGTTTCAACCAATAGCGCGATCCTATCCATCCGATTTCGTTCGATTTCCTTATCTGCGTCAACCTCAAAACTACGGTAATTCTGGGGGACATGGCCCTCCCGTATGCATGCTAAAAGCTTTCAGTTTACCCCGCAAGCAGCAAGCCTCGTCCCTTTCAGAATATTTCTAATTATGCATATATGCCTTATCACTTGCTTTTGATGAGACTGGGCAGGTATCCTCCTATACCCGAGATGAACTCCGTAGCACAATTCTCGCCAAGCTCTAAATTATAGACCAGGTTAAGCGAGGGAACTGTTGAAGCTTCAGCTAATCCTCATATCTACAGGATCAAAGGCGGTTGAATGTCCCTAAATGCCGCTTCATCGATGCCCCTATCGCATTACTCATGCAGGCCATACTAACGGCATCGGATATGTGATTGGTGCATTCTTGATGCTATCAATCGCCGACGATATGCCGTCATAGCCAAAGCGTTTTTTTTTTCAGCAGCTCAATCTCACTCCTCAGGTATCACAAACAATAGCCGTTGGGAAGTCTAGCTATACCTGAATAGCCTTGCGGGTTTGAAAGACCCTTCTCGATATGCGCCTAGAATAATACCATCCCGTCACACCGGCTTGTCGTACAAGGCTCAAAGATGGCCATGCCTGTACAGCTGTCGCGTGCGAATTTGTCAATTACGGTCAAGTCGCAATGGCCCTCCATGGTCCACCATGGTCCACTCCTAGGATGACCCCAAGATAAAAAGGCCACGATCCGCACGTCGATCCACTCTCATTTAGGCCTTTCAACGTCAGGCCAACGCAAATATCTTCCTTCATCCTCTTGAATCTAGTAGTAAACCTGCGGTTTGCAAGGTTAAACTCGTGACAAGATGGTTTCTTGTAACTGGGCGACTTCTGCCCTTCTTGCTCTACTATCTGTATCCTCTGCCGGAGTTCATGCTGCTCCTCAGAATTACCAACCCAATCCAGGTACGAACTTATCCCCTATTAATCTTGTTACGTTTATATGTGTATTACACCAGAATGTTATTTGCAAGAAGGCTAACTAATAGATTCCGACCTTCAATAGACCCCGTCAATGAGAAGAGACAAAAACTTCAGACTCTTGTCTCAGATCTTGTCCCGGTGACCCGTGTGCCAGTCACGTTTGTCACGATAAACACTGCCCGAACACTAGAACCAACTTTCACTCGAGTCCCAACGCTCAATACTTTCACTCGAGTCCCAACGCTCAATACTTTCCTCACTCTTGCCACAACTAGAATCCCAGTTACATTACAAACACTGCAGACAACTACTAGCTCAACCCTTCCAGTATATACGCCTCCAACTACTCCTCCATATGGATATACTCCACCGGGGACCACAACCACGAGCTCAAGCTCAAGAACAACAACAAGTAGCTCTAGGACTAGCAGTTCTGCCACTCCTACATATACGCCAGTTACTGGTGCAAACAATACTTGCTACAACCGTTTGAAGATAGATGTTCTCCAAAGAACGGATCCAGACCAATTTAACATGCTTCTGCTAGCATGGCAGAAGATTCAAACCAGCCCTGACTCAGATCCATTCAGTCATTACCAGCTCTCTGGTATTCATGGTGCTCCGTAAGACTTCTCTCTTATCATATATATAAAATGTATACCATACTTACAATAGTGTATAGATTTATCCCATGGCAGATGGGCCCTGGCTCGTACGACTACAGCCAAGGCTACTGTACTCATGGTAGTGCTTTGTTCACAACTTGGCATAGACCATACCTTCTGGCTTTGGAACAGTCCTTGTTCCATGCTGCCCACGCTATTGCCAATCAATTCGCTCCAGCTGCCGTCCGTACTCAGTACTTGAACGCTGCCGGACGTGTCCGACTTCCATACTGGGATTGGTCAGATCCTGTAACTCAGAGCTATCTCCCACCTATTACCATGCAGCAAACTGTTACGGTTACAAGGCCAGATGGCTCAGGCAACCCAGTTTCTGCATCTATTTCGAACCCAATCTTCGCTTATAACTTCCTCTCATCATCTTCTATTTCAGTTTTCGGGGCCCCATGGAACTCACGTCTCAGCACCCGCAGATATCCAGACGGCAGCTGGAACGATAGGTCGAATCTGGCTTCGAGTGCTATGCAATCCGGCTTTTCCACCCGTGTTACAAACACATACAATGCATTCCTTAGCACAACCTACAATGTATTCTCCAATCGGGTTGAAGGTGTTCACGATTCCATCCACGGAGCCGTTGGAGGTGGCGGCCACATGAGCTACGTCGCATACTCCGCATTCGACCCAATCTTCTGGCTCCACCACTGCAATGTCGATCGTTTGATGGCCATGTTCCAGGCTACCTCGCCAGGACTCTTCGTCACTCCAGCCTCCGCAGTTGGAACTTTCGCCCGTCCAGTCCCACCAAACACAATTGACGACGCCAGCACCGACCTTTTCCCCTTCCGCCGCGCTGACGGTTCTTGGTACAAGTCCAGCCATCTCAACCCTGTTAGCACCATCTGGGGAATGAGGTATGGATACCCCGAAGTTCCATGCAGCTACCAAACCCGCACACCGGCCGAACTCGACACCTTTACCACCAACCAAGTCAACACTCTTTACGGTAATGGACGTACCATTCCTGGAACTTCTCGCGAATGGAACGTTCGTCTTCTCATCGATCAAGCGGAAATTCCAGGCGGTTACGATATCTACGTTTATGGTGGTACTCGCCCACAAGACCCATATGCCGATCCATATGGCAAGGGATACGTTGGCAGCTTGAGCTCCATGAGCATGGGCTCTGTAGACCAATACAAGCAGTCTCGTATTCGATTCGTTGATATTTCGCTTAACTCCTACCTTAAGGAATATGGATACGGTCAAGCTGATCCATACAAGATCACTGAATACATTAGGAGGGACCTCACCTACACTATCATTGCCGTATGTTTAACTATATCCGAATTTCATTGATGATAACTTCTTACTAACGGTATCTTTTCTTATATATAGAACGGAAAGCCGTGCTATTTCCAGGATCTCTACACCGCTAGGTATGCAGTATACTCCAGAGACGTCTATGACAGCGGCAAGAGTGACGTCCTCCCATACTACACCTCGGATCCATACTACCATACCAATGTCACTGAGGGTTATCCTGGCGGCATTAAGTATCTTGACGAAATTCTCTACCCAGTCAAGGTTGACGGAACTCGCGAGGTTCCATGGGCCGAGAACAACTCTACAAGAATTCAGACTTAAATAGGGGTTCCATAAAAAATTGTAAATATGTCTACATTCTTATTGTTATGATCTTTCATAATTATATATATATTATTGGAAAAATTACTTCAATATGCTGGGATGGATCTATATCTCCGTTTTTGGAGGGGCCGGGTTTGAAGGGGAAATACATTTTTGTATTCGATTCATAGTGTACTGAGAAAAAGCTTTTTTTGCAAAAGAAATTTGATTTAATCTCCATCACGATCAATGATCAGCCAAACGCCCAACCATAAAGAACCAGCTAATACCAAAGAAAATTGATTACGCGTACAAATTATTCTCAATAGTAAAAAAATACACCATTCGATCGTGGATTTTAACACCCTAATCAAAAAAAAAGTATTTGCTTGTGTTGTCCTGTTGCAAAAACTCATTAGGGCAACTTGGGCTTGCTGCACCTTGTCTTCCGAACTTCATGCAATCCTGCATTATTCCTTGAGCTCTAGAGCACTCTCCGTTATCCGAACGTCCATGTGGGCCTGTGGGGTTATACTCGACCCATACGACCTGCTTCTACATACATCTCCTCAAATGTCTGAGTTATTTTAGATAGTCAAGAGCCTCGGCGTTGGCTGTTTTTGAGCTCTTCCTCGCGAAAAACTCACTCTAAACTCTCGATTTCATGTTTCGTGATAGCTAAAAAGGAAAATAACCTGGTATGCTTCGGCCAAGCTCAATAAGCTTCAAAATTGAGCATTAGCGATGTTGCATTCTTCCGTCACCCATAGATCGGTTGATTGAGCCGAATTCAACTACTCAAAACCGAAATTTTGTAGAAAGTTAATTATGGGTATTTCGAATTGTATTGAACGGTTTGAGAGAAGAAGGAAAAACCCAGAAAAGTTGGTCTCGTAAACCAGACAACACACGTCTGGACTTCTATGAATACAACCAATATTTGGCGTTTTTCTATAAAACTTCATAATAGAATATAAGATAACAAAAGACAGCTATAACATAACATCATCAACGGACTTTCTCCAACGTTGTGATTCTAGTTAAAATTTAGTGCCGAATTCCGAGCTTGGCATTTGCGGGCTTGCGTAACCCTCTGTCCACCGATTACTTTATACGGCCCAACCTCAGAATTGCCCATCGCGGAACGGGAAGCTATAGCCAAGTTCTGGCTCGGTGGCTTCTTAGCAAGCTCCATGGCCATCGTTTGAACTCCGCCAAGCCACAACCAAATAAAACACCGAACCCATCTCGCAATTGTTGTCAAATAAGGTACAATGATATTTTTTTTCTCTCTTAGGTACAAGCTGTCATGATCTTAACTTAGATCGAGACCGCCGTTAAGTTCTATATTCTTTGGAACTAGCAAAGAGAAAGATTACGTACCCCAGGTGGAGACCCTATAAACGTCCGATTAACCACTACCGAGGATCGTCTTGCCTCTTTCCCTCTTCGCGACGTGATCATATCGATATCGATTGGAAAATGGAGTCTGGCGTGATGGACCAAAAAAGGGAAAAAAGGAAAAGGCCGTGAGCGCCCCCTCCGGAGTTCGAGTTTCCTAACACACACCCGTGCCACTTATTTCGCACGCCAAAGGGCACATCGCATCGACATATCACAATTAAATTTTACTATGGGTCTTTTGGTGCCGTTATCTGATCCGGCCTACTCGTCGAATGAGCTTTCACCGCTTCTTTGGTGTCGGCTGCTCGAATCCGGTCATTCTTCCGACAACTGTAGGCGGGGTGCATGAGTTATGCTGCAAGCCCTTCGACTAGCTACCCTACTTTGTCTGCCCTTACTCGATTACTCGAATTCGAATCTGTCGCTAGTACGACTATCACGACAACATATACTATATTGGCGAATATCATCGTGAAGACTTCCTCGTCTATAAATACACAGCGATCCCACCCCCGAAAATGTATTCTTCTTTCTTACCACCATCAAGCAAGCAATCAAGCTTTCTCTTGTCTCTCCTTCTAGATCTTCCAGTCACTCTCTAAAACGAACACTTTCGTTCTTTACATTCTTTTTCCCAAAAAGACTTCCAAACGAAAAGCTCAAGTTTTAAGCCACTCTTTCCAACCACAAAAAGAACTTCAAAATGCAACTCACCAACATCCTCGTTTTCCTCACCGCCGCTTTGTCGGTTGCCGCTCTCCCATACCCAGAAGACGGCGAAAAGGCCACTGCTGTCCGCCCAGCGCGCCCAACGGGCTCCGGTCACGTTCGTGGCGCATGGAAGGGTAAGGAAGGCTGGAAGAAGGGTGAGAAGCCAGCCGGTACCTGGGTCCGAGGACCACGCCCATCTGGCGTATCAAAAGACGGCAAGGGACCATGGGCCGGCAAGCGCCCACCACCAAAGGACGGAAAGAGGCCAGAGAGGAAGAAGCCAGCGGCGAAGACTGAGGAGAAGACTGAGGAGAAGGCCGAGGAAAAGGCTGAAGAAAAGGCCGAAGAGAAGGCCGAGGAGAAGGCCGAAGAGAAGACCGAAGAAACGACCGAGGAGAAGACCGAGGATGCCGCTGCAGAGTAAAGTAAGTAACCTGGTTTGAAATTCCACGGCTCTGGAATTGATATCAATAAGATGCTAACATCAAACTGCCTAGTTATCGATCGTGCCAACGATTTTTTACAATCTTGACGACCTTTAAACTTACGATTTACGACAATTTATGACAGCTTCATGGCAAACGAAATTACGAGAAAATGACAGCGACAATGATGAGGTTTTTGCATCTTTTTAGTTCTTTTTGCAGGGGATGGTTTGGTGACATTAGACTTGACTTTTGAATTTTTCTTCCATTTCTTTTTTATATGTATCTAGATCTAGATCGAAAACAATGGAATTCAAGTGATTGGATTGCACAAAAAAAAGGACCTTACCTTGAAATTTAGTATATCATAAAAAATGTGAGGGACTCAAACAGCGCAACTTTCGAAGTTGGTATTTGCGTTGTTTTTGTGTTCAGGGCGATCTGTAACAGCCTGGGAAATAAGGATTGATGATCCGTTGCACAAGATTTTCAAGGATGTTGACAAGCCAAAAACATGGGTCTGAATTCCGAGGCTCTGCCGCATATGTTAGAACAGCTAAGACTATCCTATTGGGGTGCCACTGGTCCTATCGGGTTTGATATTGTAAGTGGAATGCGTAACATGATTAAGTGCCTCCTAGATTCACGCGAAAACGACTAACGCTATTAAATTCCTAACAAAATGTTCGCCACGAGCCGTTGTACGCCGGATATATGATTGCAGGAAACATTAAGACTTTTGTAGCTTATGAAGGTCCACCTGTTACTCGCTCTCCATTTCATCGTCTTCCTCGTCGTCCTCTTCTTCAGCTTCGTCATTTGAGTCTGAGACCCGGTTCTCGCCTTCCTCCTCATCGTCTTCATTCTGCTCATCATGTGAATCCGGAACTCTCTCTTCTTCGTCTCCAGAGCCCTCGCCATATGGAATCTCTTCCTCCTTGATCACAGGTTTCGGCTTCCTCTTCTTCTTCGAATGTGATACAACAACTTCTTCGTCTTCAGACTCGTCATTCCCAGCTCCAGCTATAACAGCCCGTTGCTCTGCCAAATCTCTTTCCCGAGCTTTTGCTTCTGCCAACCGCTTCGTGAGTGCGTCTGGTTTTAGATCTTTAACATTAATCAGTTTCCCACATCCCGGAGTAGGACAAGTATTTTCCTTCTTTAGCTGCTTGTAATTTCTCAACACCTCTACCAAGGCTTCTTTCTCGAAAACGTGCCCACAGCTCGCTTTCACCGGATCCTTGAAAAGTTGCATGGTGAGAGGGCACTTTAAGTTTCGTGTGACGGCTACAGCTTGGATACCATCGTCGGAGTCGTCATCATCTTCGTTGGCCATTTCAATATCCTGCTCGACATCTTCACCCTCTGATTCCGATACCGGCTCTTCATCTGAAATTTGAGCTTCACCATCACACACAAACATTGGAGTCTTAAACCAATCTTTCTTTTGTGGTTGTGGAGCGGTAGGTTTGGCAAGGCCGTGGACTAAAGATCGTAGTTCGATATATTCCGCCGAATTTCCATACCTAAATAACACCAAAAAGTTAGAAAAATCTAGCACGGTCCATTTAGTAATCTTAATAAGACCATACCTATCCTTCAAATCTCTTCTTCGGTAAGCTCTACCCCCCCTCTTCATCTGGTTCAAAAATTCCTCAACAGGCTGCACCCCATCATTGTTCCCTCTATTCTTCTCAGCCTCACTAATATCCTGAAGAACAGTCTTCATCATCTTCAACTGTTCATCCACATCCACCAAACCCCTAATATTCCTTTCAACCCTCACACCAAGTTCCGCTATCTTCTGTTCCGTTTCTTCATCTCTTTCTAAATTCTGTTCGAAAACTCTCTGTCGTCGGCTCTCTGCAAATTTACTGGACGAATCTCGGAGTGCTTCTGTGGCATCTTTGATCCAACGATGGAGGCTTTGAGGAGGTAATCTGGCATGGAGAGCTCGTAGGTCTCCGGAGCAGGATTGGTGGATTGGAAGGACGCAGGAGATGTGGTCTGGTAATGGAGCACGTTTGACGCGACGTGGGGCATCTTGACGACGATGAGGCGGCATTTCCTCGGCGTAGATCTAATGGAGGTATTCAAAAGGTGACTGATGCTAGTAGCTGCGATTTTAGAAACCTAGTTAATTTTGCAACTATTTGTAGCTCTGTATAAGCTTGTTTGGTGGCATAATTCTGTGATGGTGTTGAGAAAAAGTTTGAGGGTGATGCATGGTGATGGTGGAGCTCTGGGTAGACGCGACTGAATTAGCTGGGATGACCAGCTCCGTCTTTGTCACGGCCGCAATGCGGCACAGCCGACAGACAACACAAAGGAAAGTAACAATCTCCAAAGCCCCGATTCGGCAGATATGTTTCACACTGGACTACATACCACGCTAGGAAGGAACATTGATTAAAGTAGATACCTAAATAGATACTAAGTTCTTAGGTAAATAGTAGAAGAAATAAAACTCTTGAAGCTCGTATTAAGTATATTCACAAGTAAAAGATCGAGCGACGACAACCTGGTAACCAATAGTCCAAAATTTAAGAAAAAATAACCCAAGGTAGTTCGCCCAGTTCACAAAACAGTATGCGCATAAGAGGAAACAAGTCAAAAGCGATATCCTCCGCTTGTTTACCAATCCAAGAAATGTAGAAACACATGGCCTATAGTAAGTACTTAGTAAGTAGCAGGAGTATATCTAACTCCGTGTCCTAGTCCATACGATGGCCGTATTTTATTATAACCAAACCTTTGTTTTTGCTTGCTTGCTGCTGCTACATATTCAAATCGTGATGATTCCTCAAGACGATTTGAATGTTACAATTCAAGCAGTCTTGTCCCAAGCAGCCATACATCCAAGAACACTGCTAACGGTACCGGCCAATCCGACAAAGCCGTCATCTAGGTTGTTGAATCCGTAGGTGCTCAGAGCATAACCTGGGATGGTGATATCACAGATATCGCTAAGAAGCTGCTTCTTAACGGCCTTCTGGTCCTTAACCAACTTCTTCTCCTCGAGCGAATGCTCGGCCTCCTGCTTGTTCAAGGATGCATGCCTCTCAGCAATTCGCTTGAGAGTATATACGGAAGATGCGATGGAGAAAACAAGTCCGGTAAACCAGAACTTGTTTGCAGTATCGGACAGTCGCTTAGGATTGGTGATTTTAAAAATACCCGAGGAGTCGAGCTGCAGATTGTGGTACCATTCTCGTTAGCGAAAGAAATTCCCCGTTCGGCCGGGAGGGAAATAAGTAGTATAACCAGGGGAGGGAGAGACAAGGGAAGGAAGTGGGGGAGAAAGAGTCACATACGTAGTGAATGCTATCCAATGTTAGGTAACCAGCGTATCCCAAATGTCGTCCGACTGCGGCATATTTGAGAACTGGATCAACGGCCTTCTCATCGTAGGCAAGGCTAGCAGATTTGAAGCTCTCGACGTTCTTTCCCACACGCATGAGCTTTCGGGTCATCCCGAATTGCTTCTTGATGGCATCGAATGGAGCAATGATGGCAGGGCTGTAACCCTTCCGGTAGAGGTAAAAGGAGAGGAAACGGGAGATGTATTGGATCAATCGGAGGAGTTTGTCACGACCAACTGTTTTCGGATGATGGTTAGCGATCGATCGTACCTACGACTCCAGCAATTTCGAGCAGATAACGGGTGGAATGGGGGATATCTTACGGGTCGTAGACAGGAATTTGAGGAGATGGGAGATGGTGGGGTGGTATGTGAGGGCGTCGGCAACCATTGTGTCGTTGTTGTTGTCGTGTTGTGATGATGTTGGAGGGACGCGGGGAGTTTAGTTGCGAACTGTGCTGGGGAAAGTCCGGGGAGCGATCAATCGATGCAATATTAATTAATAGGGGATATCGATATCTCTTCGACAGTGTACAGGTACTACGGAGTACTGCTAGATCGAATGAATTCAAAAGATAAAGAATACAACTTCAAGAAAGAAGAACAAAATAGAATAGAACAGTCAGAATGAATTAAAATGAGAAAGAGAGGGAAATGAACGTGAAGAAACGGAGTCGCATGGAATTTGCGAAATCGCCAATCCAAGCAGGTCCGGGCCATTCAGGGCCAGTCCAGTCCAAATGCAACCGACAGCCTTCCTGTCACAGGTCAGCCGAGGCACAAATCTCCACCCCCGGATTTTTTGGACCGAAGGAACCTTTTCTTCTCCCACAATTGAAGTTAACCTACATGGTTAGCTTAAAAGTTGAGCTTGTATGTAAGTATGTAATTCCTATTCGCCAAAAGACCGTTTTCGGAGACCGGGTCAGATCAGTTTACCAGACATAGCTATAGGCTCGCATATATCAAATCAGAATTAATTCAAAAGCTACGTCGACGTCATAAGAGACCATATAGCCATTCGGTTCAAAAATGTAATGCATGACTGCATATTTCGAGGATCAATTAAGAGCTGTAACAATATCAGTGGTAGCTAAGATGAAGCTTTGGACGAAATAGTGGAGGGATGTACTGCTGTCTTGTGCTCACCAGCCGTGCCAGGTGCTAGCTTACGGGACCAACCGGCACTCAAAGACTAGCCCGATTGGAAGGCTTCTCGAATATGACCGTGAAAGCCGAATAGGAAGTGAGGCTCTTCCCTGCGTACCTAAAGTACTTGCTCAGGTCGGCAGTAGTTCCATTTGAAACGGCGTATAACCGGCAACTTCGGTCATTCAGATAACCAGCCAAGATACGTGGATTTTCGGGGGGGTCGTATGCATGAAAAGGTCTGTTGTCGGACTCTTCGAATCTTCCTAAGTTCACTATAAAGCCTTAAAAAGTTCGCTGGAGCCACCTATACGGGAAACGTGAAGAGAGACAAAGAAAAAAGAAAGATCAGTAGTACTAGTGCGGTAACTAAAAAATTAGGTCCTGAATGGTGAGCTGCCTTACAATTGGTGGCTGCCAATTGCACAAAACCCGACCTAAATATTTAAGTGGCGTCCCTTCTACTCGAGTTTTTATGATAGGTATACATATATGGTTAAGATAATATATACTTAAGTACTTAGGTAACCAGCTTGATATACACAATGAATTTTATCTAGATATTTTTCCCATCTTACAGGCACACAAAACCGCTAACTTAGGTGTATTTTGCCAAATTAAGCCCCATTATTGCAAAATGGGAATATCAGTACTATGCCGGTGCCATCCTTAAGGAGCCACCTAGTAAGAGCTAGGTCTAACAGTGTAATTTGGAGCGGGACTGTTCTTAACAGCTCCAACACCTCCTTCGACCTTATTTCTGACAACTAGGTCGATCGATTCGAGCGCAGCACCACCATCTTCGAGAGACCATAACGACAGAGCGAGAGTATTTTCTCCTTTATAGTTCAAGATACCTTGGGCTAGATTCGCGGGGAATATTAGTCTAGGTTCAATTTCTTTTCCTTTTTTTTTTTAAAAAAAAAAAAAAGAGGGAGAGCAGAGATAGCACTTACGAATTGGGAAAGACGTCTGAGGACCGATATCGTCGATATACTTGCCGAATTGCCATCCCTATAATCAACCGTTAGAAGAACAATTACTTCATCTTAAACCCTAATTTTATACTCACATTAACATAGATTTCAACCCTATAAGACTCCTTAACCTTATTTCCAAAATCAATAGAAATCGGATAATCAACTCCATCGGGAATGTTTAAATTAAACGTTGTCCTATAAAACTCGGCGCCAGGACCACTAATCCCCTTCAAAGGTGACTTGGAAGCCCACTTTGAATCATCAAATCCAGGCAAATGATATCCTTTCCGAATCGCGAAAAGTCCACCTTCGTTATACCCACCACGAGCCCAATCGACAAACTTCTCACCACCGAGGTTCCCGGTGAGTTTCCAGTGTTTGAGGGTTGGATTCGCACCGCCGAATGAGTAGTCACTCAAGCCACGGAATGATTTGAAGTTTTCTTCACCTCCAAACCAGTTCTGTTCCAGACCCATATGGTCTTGGAGGATTGTGATGACGTGGTTGCTATCTTTAGCCCAGGAGCTGAGGGTGTAGGTACCATTATGGGCGCTTGGGGCTGGGGCACCGGTGAAGGAGCCGAGATACTTATCGTTATCCCAGACGCTGTAGGCAAAGGCGTTTCCACTAGAAGAGATAAAATGTTAGATTGTTTTCTTTAAATATCATGAAATAGAATTCACTTCGATATAGCATACCCTTGGATCGAAAGATTGAATTCACTCTCACCGCCAGCAGCTGTAAAATGACCTCTCCACAGAATATTTCCGGAATGGAAACCATAGTCACTTGCATACAAAACAACCGGTGTCAATGGCTTAATCTTATTTGTGGTGGAGGTATGGTCCGCAGTGACCCAGTTCGAATCATCGTAGCTGTTGGATACTTCTGGCAGGGTGTTGATATATTTCTGGAGAGAACCTTGCGTTAGAAACACCAGTTCTAGTTAAATTTAGGACACCGCTAATAATTACCCATTTCAAACGGGCGAGATCTGGGATGTCAACTCGAGGAGTAGTTGTTCTATATCGTCCTTCTTGTGTTCCATGTCTAGTAAGATCGGTGTCGATACGCTTGCCGTTCCATGTATAAGCTTGAGCTTTCTTTGGGGCAATGACCTCAAAGACAGTAGTTCCGTTTGTGTCACCAGTTAAAGCTAGAGTGTTTCCGGAGAACTTGGCGGTTCGGAGCAGATAGCCTCCCTTGATGATGACTGGGAGGTCATCTTTGAGGTTGACGTCGGGAACCCAGAAGTTGTAGGCGTTAACTCTGTCTGTTGGATTTTGGTCAATTAGCATATACTATTTCCTGAAAGCAATTCATGATTTCGCCGTGTGATATATATATTAATAGGAATGCATACCAACGACATAAAGGAGAATATCATCATCAAGAGCGACAACAGTCTCATGTCCGACGACAAATTGCAGTGTCAATGAACTGCTAGTTTGCTTGAAAGTCACTGTATTTGATTTTCCTCTTCGAACATCCACCTTACGGGCTGTATTTGTGAGAACTGAGATCTCACCGGATTCCCCAGTGTTGGCGTACAGCAAAAGCACGGTCTTGCCATCAATAACCTTCCATGTCAAGATTTCTAAAGTGGAATACAGAATATCAACAGGCCCTGCAGGATAATCCGTGACAAGGATTTTTGAATCATGAGCTGGAAGACTGAAAGCTGCGTTTCCAAGTTGAGGAACAGTAAGTTGTCCCGCACTTGTTTCGATATCGACCTTGAAAGCAGAATTTGTATTCTCGGAAGGCTTGCTTTGGCGGATGATATAGAATCGTTGTTTTTCACCAACTTCATCCCAGAGCTCTGTAATGGTTATGTTCGGGCCACTAGTAGGGAATTTTTGAACATTAACGGGAACAGATGTAAGGTATGCTGGGCTGACCATGAGGAAGTTGGCTTGGAGTTTGATTTCGTAGTATTTCTCGCGGAGGGTTCGGTCTTCAGCAATAGCAGCGGCATAGTCGTAGCTAAATTGAAGATATTATATTAGAAGAAATAGTATATATGTTGGTCGAGGGGAAATGATCACGTACGAAGAATAGCCACCAGGGTTCGTAAGATGGCCCCAGTTTGTTCCTCCAAAAATCATATAAATGTTCAAAAGATGCGTGGCCGAGGCATATGCATTCTTGTAGTAAACTAAAACACCGAATTTTCAGTTAAAAGTTCGATATAGGATATAACATCTTGAGATCAGCAGCATTTTCTTACCTCGGACCATCTCAGGTCCAATCAGTTTATAGCATTGTTCGAAACCAGCTCCTCCCCATGGATCAAAGGCTCCACCTTGATACTCCAGGATTGAATTTGGAGTATTCGGAGCAACATCTCTATGGGCCGCATAGAAATAATCTGGTGGATCCGGCCAGCTTGAAATCGGATTTGCACAGTCGAACCCTGATATTTTAGTTAGTCTCTTGATAAATTTCGAAGAAAATCCACTCGCATTTGGAATGTATAGTTACCAGCGGGGTAGTTATCGTAACCGTATACATCAACAGATGTGAAATGGCCGCCTACAAAATTAGAATCGTTATTAATATATATATAATTTACTCTTAAATCGACGGTCTGATTATGGCGAACTCACCAATCCAGGCATCATTAGAAACGGTTGGGACAACAATTCCTGCTTCGTCAAAGGCCTCTAGCAGCAATCGCTCATATTCGAGATCCTCCTGGGGGTTAAGGGTTCCATCCGGGTTCATGAAGCCAGAATACTCGTTTTCAGGCTACCAAAAAAAAAAAAGTTTCTTAGTATCAACTGAAGTTTAATGAAGGGAGAAGGTTCCAGGTAGTACCTGAGCAATGATGATTGGCCCACCATTCGTAATTTGATTCTTCGCAATAATCTTGCCCACGGAATTGATGTAGGGTTGCCATGCAGCCGTATAATTGGCATTCGAATTCCTCCATTGGCCTTCAACTCTAGCACCCCATCCGGGAAGGCCACCACTGAATTGCAGTTAGCATCTAAACAAACTAAAACCAATTGCCGAATCACTCCAAATACATACCCTGCAGATTCAGCATTGATCTAGGCAATATAATTAGCAATCGACTAGCCAAAGGGAAAATATTCCAACATACATATGGCCCAGGTCTAGCAATAACCCACAACCCAGCAGCTTTAGCAGCGTCAAAGAATGGTTGCAAATTGAAAACACCATCCCAATTGAACTTTCCCCTCTCATACTCTACAACACCCCAATGGACGTATATCGATACCGCATTGAACCCCAACGCCTTGATCTTTTGGAGGACGTCGAGGTGTAGATCCTGAACTGGGTTACGGAATGGATGAACTTCACCGCTATAGATCAATACACGCTCGCCATTGACGAAGAAAGAGTATTTATCCCAGGTGACCTAGGGAATCATATCTAGTTAGAGGAAAAGATCTGTTTTCGATGGTACAAGTAGACTCTACACCTACAATGTCTTGATCGCCTGATCGTTTAACCTTAAGGCCTGTCGGTGATTCTTGAGGTATGACAGCAGCTTGTGCTACCGCAGCAAATAATGCGATTTTGCTGAATGAAACCATCCTTGTAGCAGATAATCTTCCAGGGTCAAGCTCGAGGTACCAATTCCCTGGTCGTCAGAAAGGATCTTTCTCTCTTCCAACATATCTCAGGGCGGAACAGTATTGCCTTTATATATATTGACGATCAATCAGTAGCTACTAAACTATAGCCTCATCATTACCTTCTCATCACAAATAATGATCTGCGGTGTAGGCAGGTACCTGGTTATGCGTCGGATCAATGTAGTGCAGCTCCAACTACATGGATTCAGGATTAATCTGCAAGCAAGCATCTTGAAGATTTGCCAGAGTTTCTCCGTCGTACATACATGCGTCGGTCGTCAATTTCCCTATAACTGGCAAAACCTCGAGGATTATCACAAGCTTCGGCTAATTTCAAGTAGAAGGAGGTTAAATGCGGAGAACCAGGCTTAATAGCGAATTTGAATGTTACAGACATCGGAGAAGCTAAGTGGGCTTTTTTGGTTGCGTAGTAGGCTAGTTCGTTCCCTGGTACGAAATCATGCAATACCTTGGATCGACTCAATTGATGCGCCATATTTTCGGATAACTATTGGCGACATTCGAAAGCGAGGGTAACGAATTTAGGACCTAAGGTAGCGACCTGCCTGGTGCCTGCATACAGGAACAATTTCTCCACGAAAGCTTTCGATTTCCCTGGTTACTATTAGCCTGTTATCGGTCGGACTACAAGCTTCCGCTATGTTGTTTCATGCAAGGGAGCAATTCTAGGAAGCTGGTGTTTCGGTCTACAATTTCAACCATGGATATCCGTTAGCCTTGATCAAAGGGATGGTATCATCTAACAAGCTTAAATTGCTACGCAGCCACGATTTTGAGTCGACTCTATCTATATACAAGACGCTAGCTAGTTGAAATTTCACGGGTATTAGACTCAATTGTCTAAACGGTTTAACCCTATAACGGGTGTGACTACATCTAAGATTCAACATTCTCTATGGATCACAATTCGGAACATGGCGTTGAATATAGCCATGACAGTCGGATTTACGGATTTTGCAAGCCTTTTTTTTATATCATGCGATAGAACCAAATACCGCCTAGGTATAATACTGTAAAACATTAACATACTGCTGTGGAAATTTTCCGGTTCGAATGGAATTCATAACTGGTTTGATTCCGGGCTGATACCTCCGCTCACAAAACGGACTGACAAAGTCCGAATCAAACCAATGCCAGTTCATATCGATTTCAAATGTGATAGTGGGTCGGCCGGTTATGGCTGGCGGGAGGCTTTCAGGCAAACCGGTTCGTCTGGCTAAAATCAATTTTACCACAGGTAAACTTGACGACATCTTAGCTTTCGGGCTCGCATAAAAGCGGAGAGAAGTAGCTTGTCACGACGCCGAGAAGTCTTAGTTAAATCGCACTTCTCTGCATTCTTAGGCTTTCATATCCGTCTCGAGCTTGGTTCAGGCTACTCGACCGAAAGTTTGAACCTTCCCAGCCCTTTCCCCAACACAACTGTCAAACTTGCAAAAGCCCGAATTCGCGAACCTTTTGTAATGTTACTACATGGTAGTAATTTGCATTAGTTGTTCTCAGAAATTTCGAGGTCAATGCTAAATATTTCTCTTTGGATCCATGGATCGTGCCCCTTTTCGCTCTTCTTTTTTTTTTGGGTCCGGTATCGTTGGTGGTCTGTATCGATCTTGTACTCAGCTGAATTTAAATACGCAAAGTTGACTGGTCCAAGGCACCCCCAATTTTACAACATGGAATATCGTCCAAAAGTGTTGTGAGAAACCTAGTTTGAGACAAAGTATATACCTTCATGCCGAGTCATACCAAGGCTACTTCATTCCAAGATTGGCGGTCCCCCAAACACTCAAGATCTCTTCAACGGAGAGAAACGTAACGCCTTCATTGGTCCTGGTGAAGCAGATTACCGAATATAAAACTGAGTTTTGCGGACAAAATCCCTGAGAATAACTATACCCAATCTATACCAAATCACATGTAATTGAAAAAGAATTGGGTTGGGTGGTAGTGGCGGCTGGTGGCTGGTGGGGTGGTCCCGTAGTGCCTTTTGATGGTTATATCTATTGACCGAACGAGATCGATATCTCGAGATCTCGAAATGCTACGATCTTCATGAATTCATCTGATATTGCACTCAGATATATCGATATGTACCCAATATATTCCCTATTAATTATATGGAGGCTCTTGATATTCGCCGTTCTCCACACCCCACCTATTTAACTTTAGTTGTGGATAGTATAAATATAACTGAAAGATCGTAATATGTCGTCGTTTAAATTTCTTGAACTGTCTCATGCCTAACTCTAACTTAGAGGTACTACCTAGGCAAGTAGTTTATGGCCTTCAGTTGGGTATCAAACAGAGAACGTTACGTTACCTCAAATAACCTTAGGAATTTCCGCGGAATCTTCGAAGCTTTCAATATGCACTTTTGGAAGCCGAGGTCGCTTGATAACTATAGCTTCTGCGACAATGCGAAGCCTCTTGCGCATATCTACAGGCTAAAAGGATAACGTGCAACTGTTGGGAAAATACGTAAATGGGCAGCGTCATACCTCAGGACTTAGGACGGAAACCTGTCAAAGCAATCCCGCCAAAATGGCACCTGTTGTTGGCTGCAGAATCACAGCCTCAGGCCAAGACCACCACATCCAAAGGGGCTAGTTAGCCCCAACATCAAGGCACTGCCTGCACTGCCTTACCGGTTCAACATCATAACGCCCAAGTCTCAATAGACGAGTACCAAAGGACCGAGCAAAGAGAGAAACATCCTGGAAAAATGTCCCTTTTCAAGATAAATCCCAACATCACAAGATATCGCGAATCTCGCGGCCTCGGTATCTCGAAATAGACTCCCTCAAGCGTTACCAAGAATTCGGGATCCAAAACACTCGGCGCCGAACTTGGACTCATATTCCCCCAATCCTTCGAGTGAGACGCGCAATTCGCCTAACGACGTCGTGTGCCACTTTTGTAATTTAAACCTTCGCTTTGTGATGCGGCTGTTGGAAGTTTATATAGACTTGTCCAAGTCGCTCTTGTTTTGTAGGTCCGATATCCAAAAGAAGACATTCAAAAATCATATCATCATCGTCGCCTTGAATCGGACTATCTTTCTATACTATTTCTTATTTAAATATCCCAAAATATGACCCGCGAGGACCCCGTTCCCGAATATACGGAAGGTGGCTCCCTGGAAGACGACCTACGCCGGATAGCCGGGGCATCAAATAATACAACAGCAACAACACAAGATTCTATAACATTTACCCCGCCCCCACCTTCGAACAACATTCCTGAGCCTGAAATCAACAGTGGCGACCCCGACACTGATGAATTAATAAGGCGCTTAATAAGAGAAGATGCAGAAGAAGAAGCAGGTGCACAAAGACGCACAAGTGCTAGTGGGCCTATTCCACATGCAAATATTGTTCAGACTTTCTTTGATGCTATCGAAAATGAAAACAGTGAATTAATCTCTGCTTTTATTGACGGTGGTTTTGTGAAAGTCGATACGAAAAATAGCCGTGGTGTTACCCCGTTAGTAGCCGCCGTCAGGGCAAACCATGTTAGAATCGTCCAACAATTGGTAGATTATGGCGCCGACGTCAATGAAATGACTGTGGAGGTAAGAAATTGACCTGTACTAGAATCGGGAATTGATCGAATAAATCGACACGATATCTGACATTTATCAATTATAGAGCGACCCATCTCGCCCATACTATCGAAGATACCGCCACGGGCACCTCATCCCAAATCCATATGAGTACCTTATGCGAACACCACTTATGGTAGCGGCAGAAAACGGCCATCTACCTTTAGTAAGACTCTTCGTGGAAGTTTTCCATGCCAAAGACGACATTGTCCCACCAGATGGAATGATAGCACTCCGCCTTGCAGCAAAGAATGGGCACCGCGAGATCGTTGACTACCTTCCATCCCGCAGAACCGGTGGCATGCAAAGATGGCAGTACAAAAATAGGAACTCTGTACGAAGGGCAAGAGTAATTTTGATTGATATCTACTGGTTTCTCAGGATTGTCGTTTACGAGGTTCCTAGATTCTTCGTCTGGTCGATTCCAAAACACGTTATTGTTCTCCCGGTGAAAAGGAGTGCCGTGTATTTGTGGAAACACAAGAAAGATATTGCGGATGGCATAAAAGACGGGATCGTTGCTACAGGCAGGGGTATCGCCAAATATGCCAAGAAAGCTGCAGTCGGAACGATCAAGGGTATCAAAGCGTTCCCAGCAGGAACAGTCCGCGTTGTAAAAGCAACCGCTAGGGGTATCGCCACTGGAGTTAAAGCAACGTGGAAATTCTTTAGGGTTGACTTCCCGAAATTGCTCGTGAGATTTATCAAGGCTACTCTTAAATTTATCAAAGATGCCGCGATAGGACTCAAAAATGCGATAGTCAGTACTGCTAAGGCCCTCAAAAAGTTCACAATATGGCTTGTGAAGTCTATTTGGAAACTGATTACGGTTACAATCCCTAAACTCATTTCCGTCACCTTCAAATGGATTTGGAATGCGATCAAATACGTCAGCAGAGGTATTGCCGGATTTTTTGTTCGTTTGGCCTCTGCCGTACATACTCTTATCACAAAGATGGTCAATTGGGTTTCTGGAATTACCTGGAAAGATGTTCTCAACGGTTTCCTCGAAACTTTGAAGTTTGTGTTCGTTGGTATACCCAAAATGATCGTTGATGGAATTATACACACCGGAAAGTTTATAAAGAAGGTTCTGAAGACTTTGTTTGGATGGGCTGGGGAGGTTATCTATTACATTGGCATAGGTATCGTTCTCGTGGTTGTATATCTGCCACGGAAGATATTCGAACTTTTCTTAGAGCTTTTCAAGTCGATCGGGAGGGGTCTACACGAAATTGCCGTCTGGATCAATCCAAAAACGGTTGGTTAAGTGACTGGCTTGCACATACGTCTTCATGGTTGAATCGATTTAGGTTAACCAGGCCGATTTCAAATATTTACTGTACTTTCTATGTTAGATTTAATTTATGGATTTGGCGTAAGGATACGAGGTGTTTAGGGTGTTATATCGGTCGGACTTAATATTTTGTATATTTCAGTTTTTGTTGGCGTCACAGATTTTCAGGAATCCATACCTTATCATTGTCCCAATATCTAGACTAGCTCTCACTGTGAACTCTAGCCTGAGTAATCGTCTTGATTCTAAAATTCTTTCTCGAACTCCGTAAAAAAAACTAGAAGATTAAGAAGAAGAAGAGAGACTTTATAGATTTTTTGTGAAACGAGGAGTGCCGCTCTACCAGTCGATCTAGCTATTTCGTCTCGCTTATTACCGATTACATACATATACTTAAGCATATAACAGGTATTTTCTTTAAACGCTTAAGCGATATTCTGTGGCTCGGAGGTTTTTGGCCCGAAGTTCATATGCAAGGACTAATACTAGTATATTAATTAAAGGTATTGCATTCATCATTACCACACCTACGGTATGATATCAGCTGGGTTATATAGCTTCATAGGTATATAGACAAGCTCAGTAAGTTAAAGGAGATATATAGGATAGTAGTGTTTAATAGGGGGTTTCCCTGGGCGCATGAGGAATGGTAGACTTGCGTGCGCCGCTTCTTCGACTTTGGATACCCAGTCATCATTGGAGCCCAATTCATATGTATGCGGACTGGGATTACTTAAGAGCCATTCAACTTTACACTTGCAAGTTTTGGGGTGTAAAGGAACAACTGGTGCTTTTATTTTCTTAGAAAGACACAGGGCTGCAAGGCGAGCCGCCCAGTTGTTTTTTGCACGGAAGACCGTAGGGTTTGAAGGCCGGTGAAAAAATTCTCCCCAACAATCTATTGACGTAAGATCCTCGTGGATACCTTCTTTAATTTGGACGATCGATTCGTAATTTCCGTCCGCCCTCCCACAAGCGGGGCAGTTTGCAGTCATTGAGGCAATGTTTTCTGCTGACACTTCGGGATCGAAGTTTAAGCTAGTCAGTCTATGGAGTGAAGGGGTGTAGTAGAGCTCGAGAGGGTTGATATCTCCAATCCATTTCCCAGCCGCATGAACAGATGTTGCAGCCTCGAATATCCAAGTTTCATGATGCCGTGCACCACTCCTCCCCACAAGCTCCAAAGGCAACTCATAGCCAGTCAATGTGAGATGGAGGGTTGTGTCTCTAAAATAATCGATGAGCCCTCCGTCAAAGGGTGCATCTTCGAGCAGCGTATTCTCGTGGTTCGGATGCCGCAGACTTTTCGGGGCGACAAGCAGTACGACACCAGGCCGTCCGATATTTCCTGGCAGTCTGATAATAGTTGGTGGGTTGGTGATGGAGGAAGAAGGATCCTGCAGAAACTGAGAGGCTACAAAAAAAGAATCTTCAGAAGAAATAGCTATGAGTTGAGAATGTATGTCCTTGATCCATGGACCTTTTGATTCTAAGTAATGTATCCACTGAAAAGCGTCTAGCTGTGTTGTTTTTTTAGGGAAGAGTATCTCTCGCCACATGGGAGTCATATATGGGGCGAAAGGCTTTCGGTCCTGAATTCGAACTTGCTGTTGCTGAAATATACTCTTCCTTGGGTATAGATCAGTGAAACAAGTAGCAAGGTGAGATAGATCAATAAGGGGAACATCGTATTTCTCATAAAGGCTGGAGACTGCGCACATATCTCGAAAATATTGAAACCCGTTCCCATGTTCAAAAGCGCATAAACATTTGCCGAGTACGTTCAGTAGGGACTCTTTTTGAGCTAGACCCTCCTGAAGGAGAAATTCAACAGTAGAAATATCCAACGGCTTTTTAGCTGGTGGATGAAAAAACACCTGCTGGGCAGCAGCCCAAGAGCGTGGTTGTTCACAAAGCATAACATATATTACTCGAGACGACGAGTCGTCCTGGAGACGTGGATGATCCATTGAATCTACCACACAAAAATCGAATGCCCCGAATATGGCTTCGAGAATCAGTCGGTGTACTTCAGGTAACGGGCTGAAACCTTTCACGAGCCTGGGTGTTTTGGCCATATCGCACTGCATTATGGGAACATGAACTTTCTGTAAGTAATAAGCTGAGTATAGAACCATTAGCCTTTGGGTTAGATCTTGGCAATATATACTAGTAGAAAGAAGGGCAAAAGGGCCCTTCTGCGAGATAGCCGGAGAGCTACAGGCATAGGGTTTGGAAACTCACTTAGTTCTGTAGTATCTGGTACGCTTCCTATTTCAATCGTTTGTATTCTCCACCTTTGATCCCAAATCGATTTAGTTTCATACCCAACCTTCATAAACAGATAGGGAATATTATTCGTAAAGTACTCTAAAAGCTTTAAGAGTGTATTGCTCTGATATTCCAAAAGGTGCAAAAGCACTTCCCCGAGAGCTGCTTCTCCAAGTGACAGACTTGTCTGGCAAAATTGTCGATAGGATTTATGGCCAAGGGCCATTAGCTGTCGGAAACGTTTTCGTTCTTCATCAGTACATCGAAAGTACCTGTTGCTTGCCTGGTTCAGCCTGTGAATCCAACTAGTTTCAACTAATGGCCCATCGTCATTCGCCGGGAACGTTTTTCGCATCCAATCGACTACTATATCGGATGTTGCAATAACAATTCTAAGTTTCCGCTCGAGATGGTTCATGCTGATACCAAAGAACCCGAAGCAAAAGCCTAGTAAGAACGCCCACACATCGGGGATAGATACCCGTTCTTTGGTACTGTTTAAATACCCTTCACGTCTTTCGACATTCCCATAAAATTGCAGGTGCGACAACGAGACTGACCAGTTCACACCACTTGTATTTTGGCTATCCGCGCGCTCAAGCCCAATGGTTACAACCCCACCATGTTTCACTAGAGGGTCGTTTTGCTTGATATGCTTCTGGTTCTTAAGTAGAATCAAATCCGGAAAGATATGCCAAGCTCGGAAGGCAACAAAAAGGCTGCCATTCTGGACATCCTGCCCATTCCCTTGAACCAGAGCATCCATCATTTTCAAACAAGTCTGCCATGTTTCGATAACACTCCTATACGCATCTAACGACGTATGGACTGGGAGATTTATGTTGTCAATTATAAGACGCAATTGGTAGCATTGTAGCTCTTTAGCTGTATTAGCTGACCTTATCCAGGCCCGGGCGCTAGCGTCCCAATTGGCAAGATCTTGTCGAGATATATCCCAAGTAGACGCCGCTAAGGTTCTAAGACCATATATGTCGCCAGGATCGGATTTCAAGACCTCTTCCTTCCTAGCTTCAACGATTTGTACCCATATCGCGATTGCTTCTTCAGCCGTGAATGCAACTCCGAGGAGACAGGCCAGGAGATGCATGGCAATGGCAGCCCCACTAGATGTTGCAGCCGCCCAAATAGATGTTCCATCCACACCAACATAGGGTGTAAATGGGCCATAGTCGGATTTACCACCTGGATTAGAGGATAGTTGTTTATCATGGAATTCTATGATCTCAGTTGCTCTGATTCCGTAGGCCTTTATAAGCTCTGGAGTTTGTGGTACGATGTCCTCAAAGAGCATGCCTAGCTTCCTCGCAATACGATGTGCTGATCCAACCTCGGCCTGGTTTCGACGAAATTTCGTCAATGCATTTCCAAATGGGAGGTATTCCGCCGGCGCATCGACTTTAACAAGGGAACAGTCGAGATTGAGGTTAAAGAGAGCGAGCGTAGTTTCCTGAGTGATTGATGCCAGGGCTGTTTGTATCTTGCTGATGTTCGTCGTCATTTTTTTATTTATTTATTTATCAACTCAGCTGAATTTTAGTGTGAGCTCCCGAACTCGATCTTAAGCTTTATCAATTACCTAACGCGCAGTGAGGAACTGATTTGATTTGATTTTTGGGAGAACAGAAGAGACTGGTTGATTCCCTGTATTCATGTGAAAGAGAGATAGGAAGGATGATGAATTTATGAGAAGCTTTGGGATAACTCGAGATAAGAATCGAATCTTGACAACCGATAGACGTCGAAACCTAAGTACACGATTATCTCGGAGGATAGGGAAGACATTTCTACCGTGCGAAATAATGGAGCCTTGCAGGTTGCCCCGCACTGCCACTGTGCTCTGCAGGTTATGCATAGTACTGGATAGTTGATAATATTCTGAAAATCGAACGTGGATGATTGGGCTGCAACAAACGGGACTGTTGGATTTTGGCAGCAGAGTGCCAAACCTTGCATTCTCAACTTGAGCCCAGCCGACATCATATATGCATATTTCAGGTTGAAAATTTTTACTATGACGGGTCCGGCCATGGATTTAGACGCCAGCCGCACCTCAGCAGCAGACGTAGGAAATCTGGTTCTGGATTTTTGTGTCCTACATTGACGCATGGTAGTGGTCCAGCTATAGGTGGTATCAGATATCTCCAACCATGACACCGCAGATTCGCGTACGAGGTACTGCGTTATCGCGCGACGACTGCGGATTTCTAGAACTTTGGGACTAGTTTTATATAATTACCGGCGCCGGTAACGGTGGTCTCGATTGACGGCGGTTGGATTCAGCCAGATATATAATATGGTGCGACATGGCCTGGGAGGGAAGAAAGTAATCTGCAAGAACCATTGGAGGTTAGTTTTGATAATATTATAGTGCGAAGCAGAAGGCGACTCCAAAAAACAATCCGATTAACACACAGCTGGTATCTGAAGTTGAAAGAAAGTTTTTAAACTCCAAGACACACGACTTTCCTCCTGTCTACCAGCTTCGCCAACTTTTTTTTATTTTTCATCCCAAGTTTCTTCGACAATTCTCCACAAGCTCCGTGCGCGGAGTTAATACCAACTCCGACCACACCCGTTGGCTCTTTCTTTTCGCCTCATTATCTGGTTTCCGATTCTCCCCGTAAGGAAGGATAAGAAGGAACGAAATGCGATCCAGGGCCCTCCAGCATTTCCCGCGGTTGCAGCTCGCACCGACTGCGCTGGGACGATCGCTGCCTGCACGAGGTAAGTAGTCGCTAGGATTTCGCGCATTCAAACAAATTTGCTTCTTTGCTTCCGGCCATCTTTATAAGCTTTTGCTATAAGGTCGCCGCGCAAGAAATTTTTCCTGCATTTGAAGAAACCCGATATTGCATTCTGGGCACCGAGAAAAACGAAAGAAAGTCACGCCAAATCGGCGTGGTTCTCGACGCAGTTTGTCGAGGTCGCGCATAGCCGAGTTTGGCCCGATCTGACCTAAACTAACCCCTCCAAAACATGCACTCGGGCCGACTTAGACCTCAATCTGGGCGGAGTTCTCCACGGGAGGCGGGCGACGATGCCCGCTAGAAACTTCCCGTATGAGGCCTAATTCTTCTCGAGGTCGCATCGTTTTGTAATGGTTTCACGAAAGGCTTTTTCGTAAATGCGGAGTTCGGCCTATTGTGGAGTTTTAGCAGCCTATACAACTGCAGCTCTGCGATATTGCCAGCTCCGCACACGCGGCAGGCATCGGTTTCGACTCGAACATCCCACGCAGACCGCCTTTGCATTACATGAGATATTTCTGATATCGGGAATGGTCACTGCTTTTTATCATGTCAGCTGGTCGCCGTCCCTGACAGAGGTTCCTTTTTATGGGGAACCCCGAACTCTAAAGTATAGAGTGCTGGAGCTTGCTGCCCCCTCTCCACATATTGGGATGCTCCAAAGCTTGACCAATATTTGACGCACCTATTCCTGTCCCACCATCGATGAGCTCTCGTCGATGATATATAAACACCGGTGCCTAGTCCCAACCGATTTTTCTCTCTCTTCTTCTCTCCTTTATTCATTCATCTATCGATACCGGTTCTTTTGTATCGACTTGTGGAATCCCCCGTTAATTCATCATCTAACCCTTTGAACTTTGCCGTCGTTGTGATTAGTATCATACCCAGCACGAGCCATGTCGTCGACCACTCAACTTCGCTCCCTCAACTACGACAACATCAACCCTCACGTCAAAGCCGCCAAGTATGCCGTTCGTGGTGAACTTGCTGTTAAGGCAGAGGCAATCCGCAGGGAGATTGAGCTTGACCCATCTTCCCACCCATTCGATCATGTAATCTTCGCCAATATCGGAAATCCTCAACAGCTTGACCAAAAACCAATTACTTTCTTCCGTCAAGTTCTATCGCTTATCCAATACCCGGATCTTCTCCAGGAATCGAATGCTGAAGTTGCCAAGCAATTGTACCCGGAAGATGCTTTGGAGCGTGCCAAATGGTTGCTCAAGTCGGTCAAATCCGTCGGTGCATACTCTCACAGCCAGGGTGCTCCTCCCCTGCGTGATAGTGTCGCCAAATACATCGAACGTGAGTATTGATATCTTTTAATTTCTGGCATCCAAGCCTTGAATGTCGTTTTTATATCTGGGAAATCGGGTTCTGACGATATGGTGGAACGGTGAACAGAGCGAGATGGTCATCCTGCTGATCCTGAATCCATCTACCTCACCACTGGTGCTTCTTCTGGTGTTAACACTCTATTGCATGTCATTGCTGCTGGTCCAAATACCGGTGTCATGATCCCAATCCCACAATACCCATTGTACACCGCTACATTGGCCCTCCTCAACGCTAAACCGGTTGAATATTTCCTCGAGGAACATGCTCAGTGGAGCACCAACTGTGATGACCTCTACACTGTTATCGAGAAGGCCAGGTCGGATGGCACGGATGTCCGCTGCATTTGCGTCATCAATCCTGGAAACCCAACTGGTGCTTCCCTCCCATACAACTCGATTGAGGACATCATTAAATTCGCTGCCGAGAAGAAGCTGGTCATCATGGCCGATGAGGTCTACCAAACCAATGTCTTCATTGGCGAATTCGTCAGCTTCAAGAAGGTCCTTCGTGACCTCCAAAAGAAGGAGCCTGGCAAATACGATAATGTTGAGCTCGTCAGCTTCCACTCGACAAGCAAGGGTATGGTTGGTGAGTGTGGACAACGTGGTGGTTACTTCGAGCTTGTAGGTTTCGATCCAAAGGTCGTCCAAGAAATCTACAAATTCGTTAGTATCTCACTTTGTCCACCAGTCGGTGGTCAATGCCTGGTGGAGTTGATGGTTAACCCTCCAAAGGAAGGTGAACCTAGCTTTGACCTGTAAGTCAAACACGCTTCCTTTTGTAAAAAGCTCCGGAGGAGTGGAACGTAAATCCTTACTAATATGGAACCTCGGCAAATATAGTTACAAGAAAGAGTATGATGATATTTACAACGGTTTGAAGACACGTGCTTATGCACTCCACAAGGCCTTTGGCGAGATGGAGGGTGTCGAAAGCCAGGACCCACAGGGCGCTATGTATATGTTCCCAACCATCAAGTTCCCACAAGGCGTCGTCGCTGCCGCTGAGAAGCTAGGCAAGAAGCCCGATGAGTTCTACTGCATGGAGTTGCTCAAGGCTACTGGTGTCTGTGTCGTTCCTGGAAGCGGGTTCGGACAAGTCGATGGAACCTGGCATTTCAGAACTACATTCCTTGCTCCTGGTACCGACTGGATCGGCCGAATTGTTGAGTTCCACAAGAACTTCTTGAATACTTACAGAAACTAGATACTTGCATAAAGGGTGAATTCATTGAGGTTTCACTATTGGAAATTACGACACGGGTTGCAACGTTGGGGAGTTTCTCTTGCATTTGTACATATTTTTCTTTGCTATTGTATACCCTATTATTATGGCGGATAGACACCAAGATAAGATAAATACGTTATTCTATCGGGTTCGGTGAATGGGGGCGTTTGAAAAAGTATCAAGGAAATGATCTTTGGCAGAGAAGACGTTGATTTCTCTTATTCATTCGTGAAAGTAAGGGTATTAAATACATGCGTGAGGAGAAATCCAGTCCTCTCTCTCGTCGTCAAACCGTTGAACCGTACAAATAGACAGTTAAACCTGAGGAATATTGCGCCTGAAAACGATATGCGAAAAGGCTTATAAACAAATGCAAGAAAACAAAACTAACTCCAAAGATAATTATATACCAGATGAACCACCGATTAAAGAATTAACACGCCCGTCAGACGTTAATTTACTTTCCAGCAGGCCAAATCCCCACCCTAGGTGCACTGTTGCCTCTTGCAGGTCCCTTAAACGGGTGACCGCCTTCTAGCGCGCTCAAAGCCTGGTCCACCGGACTTCCAACTGTAATCTCAGCCACTTCAGTAACCTGTCTATCCTCTCCACTACCCTTCCCCTCATAAACCTTCAGTACATTTCCATCCAGCATTCCGCTCTTCCTCGCATTTTGTACCCTAGCATTCAAGTTCGCCGACATCTGGTCCATCTTAATCTGTGTCCGTCGTCGACTCAAACGCTGACGGTATTTACGATAACCATAGAAGAGAGCACCAATGGCAATTAATGTGATGGCGACAACACCGCAAATGATACCAATGGTTACAGAGAAGCCGCCAACAGAGGAGTTCGATGCGCCTGTGGGGTCAACGTAGACTGATGTTGTTGTCTCTGGAGTAGATGTTGTTGTGGAGGGGGTTGTTTGTGGGAGAGCGAGCGAGTAGGAGAGTGTAATCTGGAGGAGAGAGAGGAAAAGGAGAGACGTTATTGAAGACATTTTGTAAATTCGATTCCCGGTGTCAGGTATCTAATCTAGATAGACGGGTCTGCTTGTATGGGCGCTCGAGGAAGGATCGTTTTCGTTGTTTAGTCTCAAGAAGACCTCGAATTTGTTGATTATGTGTTGATTATGTGATAATTTTGTATGGGATTTTAGGTGTTGTCGAAGCGGATTTTCGATATCTCCAACTTCAACTTCAACTTCAACTTCAACTTCAACTTCGACTCTGAAAGAATGAATGAAAGAGAAAGATACCAGTCCAAAAAGTCTTTCTTGAATGAAGACCAGGATTTTCTATTCCCCTTATACTACTTAAGCTTGAGTAAATGCCTACATCATCCTCCTCGATTGATTCCCTCAACCGCCCTCGCTAAACCCCGACCCATGAGCAAAAAAACATTTAATCTATTCCATTCTTCTCAGGTCCCAGTGATATCAGCCCGCAGGTATAAGGGAAAAAATCCTCAGCGGGTAACAATCTTGGCTCCCATGGCTTCCAGGCAACTCTTCACTGCCTGTTGTAGGGAAAAGGGCCTCAGAGACATCGACCACAATGCCTATTAATTCCACGCTAGCGTGCCGTTTTCCATATCTAATTGCACATCTCGGCGCTCTTATTGGACCTTGCTGATTGTCTATTTGTCTCTTCTCCCCTCCTCGTCATGACTCTAGAACTCATCAGGAATCAGGTCATGGTTCTGTTTGGCTGCGGTTGTTGGCATATACAGCATCTGGTTCAAGGAGGCGTTGGGTCAGGGCACTCTTGGGTGGCTTGCAATAACTGGCGGCGCTTAATTGGACGTCGTGATTCGGCCTCAGCGAATTTCGCGAAATGCTTGGGAGCCATATAAACCGGAGTGCAGCGCAGCTGAGGCCCACAACGGGAGGTCATGTAGCCCGCACGGGAAGTGCGTTATTCGTCGGAATCCGGAGCTAGGGCAGCTCTGGTGGGGACTTTGTGCATGAAATTTCGAAATGAGGGCATGATGATTTCAAGAGATGGCGGTTGGCCGTGCGTTCTCTGTTGACGGTATATGAACATGGGGTTTTCTCCTTCGACGGAAAAAGTTTGGAGGGGGGTTTTAGGCCAGGATGCCTGGCGGGGTTCTATGATATTGCAATTACGAATTTGTTAAATGGGCTTTGCACAGTGCTTAAACGCCCTGCAGAGGAACTCGTGACTTTTTGCATATATAACTGCTTTTGGTCTTGTGAATTTAAATGATTATCGATCGAGCAATTACTTCTTATGGTAGGGCTGTGCTGTCGGCCTTGAGTCTGAGCGACGACATGTTCGGTTTTGCAATATGCATTCAAGCTTAGCGCTTCTATCGACAACCAACAAGAAACTTTTTCCAGAATGCAAAAACTGAACGCCAAATCCATGATTCCCCATGACATGATAGATATCTAACCGCAGTCTCCACATAATCGTACATACTCACACATATTTTACACACCCATCCTTCTAAACGTATTTCCAGAAGCGCTTCTCCTGTCCTTTCTTCTGTCGGCGTTACCACCTCTGTTGACAGGCCTCTGCGCATCTGATTTTCCTCCTGGCTGCTTCTTCTCAACTTTGTACGTGAATTCGGTGTCGCCGTAGACCTGTCCCTTGGAAAAGTTTCTCTCCCGTTTCCGGCTGTGTTCCCCGGCCGCCATCCGTGATCCGAATGATTGTTCTTTCCTTGCCGGGCCAGATTCTTTGCTACTATGGCCTTGTGTCCGGTAAGATGCCGTTGATATACGCATAATTGGTGCCTTCTTCTCCTTGAATTGCTTCTTCGGTTTCTCCTCGGGCTCAGATTCCGAAAAGGAGGATTCCTCGTCCGATGATGCGTTCGAAGATTCTGCATCCTCTTCCTCCACAGCGGTGAGGCGTTTGCGGGTGTCGCCATTTGCGCCATCCGCAGTGGGGCGAGATGAAGGATTGTGAAGCATGTACTGAAATGATGTCTCGTCCACCTCGAAGTCTGGATTCGTCCAGAGATCCTTGAAACGAGGATCCTCCATAACTTTGGTCTGTTCTTGAACTTTCTCTTCTCCGGCCTCGTCCTCGCCTTCCATTTCTTCGTCGCCTTCGGCCATCGCTTTCTCCTTCTCCTTCTCTGCCTTCCTTGCTGCCCTACGATCAAGTTTCTCTTCCAACTTGGCCAGCCTCTCTGCAAGTTTCTGGTTAATCTTAACTTTCGAGGCAACCTTCTTTCCAGAGCTTCTAATTCTGCCTTCTCTCTCTTTCTCGATTCTCTCTTGCACCATTCTCTTCCTCTGTTCCTCCCAGCCCCATGGGTTCGCGATCAACCTAGCCTGCTCGTATAGCTCCTGTTTTACGAAGTAACCATGCATGTACGGCCTCAATACACTGCTTCCCACCAAATGCGATAACGAGAGTTGTTCCAATTGTGGCTTTGTCAAGAACTTGTAGTTATCATATGTCGTAGCCGTAACTTCACCATTAACTCCACTGATTACCGATTCCTCCATTTCTTCCGTAACGTTGTCCAAGAATGAACACCACTTGGGCGCAGGTCCGAGTTCTGGGATGAAGAATGTGTGCATATCGGGTCCTTCGTTGGCTGTGAAGAGCATTCCGGATCCTTTGACGTGCGCTACGTCGTTGATGTCTACTGAAGGTTCTATACTTGTCCATGGTGTACCATCTGATGGACTCCAGATTTTGATGATCCTCTTATCAGCGGAGAGGAGTTTTGTTTCGGATTCTGAGTGTACGGGTGGTAGATATATTAGGTTTTGAATCGGATAAGAGTAACCCTGGTCTTTTGTGAGCAATGGCATCGGGGATCGTAGATCGTATAGTCGAACTAAGCCCTCCGCGTTACCAGTAGCCAATTGTAACCCAGTAGGATCGAATGCAAGCGCTGTTATGGAGTCCGTTGATGCCCGTTCAACTGTAGCAACTCGAGAGCCGACTCTTGGGTCCCAGAGCTCTGTCGTTCCGAGATCTGTGCCAAAAGCTAGAAGACCGTGTACATCACTTTGTACACCGGTCAATACCTCCTTGACTTCCTCGTTTACTTCGAATGGCTTCATGAAACCTCCTCTTTCTAGGTTGATTCTGTAAACCTCTCTACCTTCCGCGGGAACTAGAACTTCCGCTGCCCATCGACAATATACTAGATCTCGGCCGTAATGTGGTATTCTTAGACTGTGGTGTAGACCCATAGGTGTGTGGAATTCGATGTATCGATCGATTTGGAGGTGTACTGATTTTCTCCAAGAGTCTTCAAGTAAAAGGAACGTAAGGTTCTCGATATTTGTGTGCCGATCGAAAGACATAGACAGGGAATTGAAGTCAAAAATTCGCATTTGTGGTTTATAAGTGCCAGTGGCCATACACCATTGTCCATCTTCGGTGACGCGAACTCGGTTAGATGCTTCAGGGAAACCAAAGTCCTGAATGAGCTCAATACGGGACTGATAAGCTAGATTGTAGGATATAAGTTAGTCATTGGCGATGAGAGTCATGTTAATAGTGTCCTGCTTCGAACCTAAGTCATTTTTTAGAGATCGCTTTCGCTTCCTTGCAAGCCAGTCAGGCAGCGAGCGGCCGGTATCCGACCCAGAGACGGTATATACTTTGACGTCGTTTGTTTGTGTGAGCTTCATTTTGAAGTTTCTAAGCAATCAATGGTGGGGAGGGTGTATCGCAGATTAAGGTTGGGGGCTCTGATGCCTGGTCGTGAATTGAACTGATTCAGAATTAGAGCGTGCTTATCATAATGATATTAATTGTAGACGCCGTGAGCGGTAATAAAAAGATGTTCAGCAATACGGCGACTCTGTTAGTGCTTGTCCGAGATCGTACTTGAAATGCTGGGGAGCAGGAGAGGTTGAAGACGAAGAAGGCTTGCCATGCGACATCTCGAAATTTTTTTGAAGAACCAAAGCGCGACAATTGCCAAAATAGGAAATATAATTGGGCTAACCGTATTTGGTAACTATAAAGTTTATAATTCCAAAAGAGGCAAGGGGCTGGACACTCTCGTTTTGGCCTCATCGCAACACACAAACATTCCGGTCTGTCTGTTCCATCATCTCGTCAGCCTCGAAGCCTCCTTCATCCTTTTCTCAACGTATCATCAGATTTACGAACCAGGTTTCAGTCTTTATCACTTGTAACTTACCGTAATATACTGATGCAGCGACATCACCTCCTCATCAGTTCCCACTAGCATCTCAACGCGACTACAATATCCTTCCAGCATGTACGATCCAGTTCGCGGCTTCTTTACGGCTGTTGCCAGCGACGATAAGCCTCCATCCTCTCCATCGAAGCCGAACCACGATGATGACTATGAAGATGAACGATCCAAACGACCCTCAGATGCATCAGCCAATCCTCACCACGATGATGAACCGTCTAGGCATCGTCGTGAACGGGAGGCAGACTCACAAAGCCAGAGCCCGGAACGAAAACGGAAGCGTGAACGCTCTCCTGACGATGAACGGGCACGAGCAAGCACCCCCGAAATAAAGCGAGAGCGATATGAACAATCTCGAGACGACAGGTTTTCCCGGGATGACAGACATAGACCCGATTCAAACCAGGATGACCATGAGAGTAAACGGCGACGTTTCGACGGCGAGAAAGACCGGATCAGAAGATTCCAGAACCAGAGGAGGGAAGCCCACGCTGGTGCATACGCTCGCCGCGATGGGGTGACAAGATATGATAACCAGCATCACAATCAACGAGACCGATATGACAGACAAGACAGAAGGGGACCTCATCATGGAAATAATAGAAGAACTTCGCCTCAATTCCGCCATAATGATGCCCCACCCCTACCACATCTCGCTGTCGAGGCGAGATACAAAGACCCAGAGCCAGAGAGACGCCAGGAGCAATCAGCTGAACCACAAAGGAAGCTCAAGAGGCCCATGGCCCGTTATAATGCGGCCGAGAGGGAAGCCTTGCGAAAGCAACAACAGCAGTTAGAGGCTGATAGAGAACGTGAGGCAGCTAATGTAGCAGCCTCAAGGGGTGTTGACGACGTTGTCAGATCGCATTACAATGCGGTACCAGAGCGAGGGAAAGAATGGAGAAAGACGGATTCTAAAATTCGTGGTCTTCGTTCTTTCAATAATTGGGTGAAATCCACCCTCATTCAGAAGTTCGCTAAAAACGAAGACTATCAACCAGGAGACCGGAGCAATGCCCTCAAGGTCCTGGATATCGGCTGTGGAAAAGGTGGTGATCTACTGAAATGGAAGAGCGCCCCACAACCAGTGGAGCTTTATGTCGGAGCTGATAGCGCAGATGTTAGTATCAGTCAGGCAAAGGAAAGGTTTACCAAGATGAAGGACGAGGATCGAAGAAGAAACCGAGGAAGGCCTTCGAATGATCGATTCCATGCCGAGTTTTTCATCTTAGATGCTTGGAGCGATACAGCGGAATCGATTCCGCTTATTCGAGATGTCGGATTCGATATGGACACCAACAACCGATGGGGTGGTGGAGGGTGAGTTTTGCACAATACCATACTTGGTTATCTGATGATATACTAATACTGAAAATCTAGATTCGACGTGGTTTCCCTTATGTTCTGTATGCATTATGCATTCGAATCTGAAGACAAGATACGCGGGATGCTTAGAAACGTTTCAGGGTCTCTTCGAAGGGGCGGTCGCTTCATCGGAACAATTCCATCATCCGATAAGATATACGAAGGGATCCAGAAAAATGGACACGATTTCGGCAATAGTCTGTACAAGGTTTCATTTCCAAAGATCGAAAGTGCCAGAAAGTTACCAGATGATGGAGCCTGGCGTCCAGCCTGGGGCTGGAAGTATTCCTTCTTTCTCGAAGAAAGCGTCGAAGATGTTCCGGAGTATGTTGTCCCCTGGGAAGCCTTTCGAGCGCTAGCATTTGAATACAACTTAAAACTGGAATACAAACGCCTCTTCGAGGATATTTGGGAGGATGAGAAGGAAGATAGGGTCTTGGGACCCCTTAGTGAAAGAATGGGGGTAAAGAATAAGGATGGTAGTGGGGATATCTTGGTGAAGGGTGAAGAGTGGGAGGCATGCAGCATTTATATGGGTTTCTGCTTCAGGAAAATCTAAAGTTGAAAAGGCACTGGCATTTGTACATAGAAACATCGATATTCTCATTGACATTGGGCATGACTAGCTTATTTAATCAATTCAACATTCAGAGCATCTATTATCATTGTAGTCGGGCCTCGGCAGGGCCAGTTATATATCATCAAGCAGCCGTAATCGTGATCATGGTTTGGTGGTGTAAATGCGTTGCCGCAGAAGGACGACGACGGCCTAGCTAAGCTGCGGTGGATGGTGTTCGCGTAATCCAACCTCAACCTCAACTTCAACCTCGTCCCCAGCTTCAGTCCTCATCCCTCTACATCCTCGTCATCACACGGTATGTCCCTCCGATATCATAATATTTTGAACTTCATAGATATAGATATATCATAGAACCCCGCCTCTCAACGCGTCTACGAAAGTTCCCAAGCTAATAGCAAGCTATCACACAGCTCACGCCTGACTTCGACAGCCAGCTGCCTTCCAATACAGCCTTAGACCCAGTTCGCATTACCCACCACCATCCTCATCTAATCCCTCCCATCTCATCACCGTCAAGATGGGATCCGACCCACAATACAACAAATACCCCGATCTCTCGATCGCCCAGCACATCTACCAAATCTCCACCCCAGGTCTATCCGCCCACCACGACAAATCCGCCTCCGCCCTTCTTGAAACCATCAAATCCACATCGGCAGCTCCACTATTCAAGTACCTCGTTGGCCCTACCGATGGTATATTAATTAAAGGTTCGCCGCTAAAGTGGGATGAAAAACTATACAATGAGCTACAGGAAAAGAATGAGAAGGAGCTGCAGGAGTGGGAAGAGAAGTTGAAGGATGCCGAAGAGAAGGCGGGAGAGACGGAGGTTGTCGAGGCTATGGGTGGTAAAGCAGAATTTTGGACACGGATAGGTGATAAGGTACGCTTCGATAACCTTATCTACGAACTTCGTTGATGGATGGGAACGAAACGCTGCTAAAGTATTGTGTGTTTGGGTATACAGGAGAAAGCCGTAGCCGCCTACAACGACGTCTTTGAGAAGACAGCTTCACTTGGTGCAAAGATCGATATCGTCCTCGCCACGATACGCGTTGGAATGTTCTTCGATGACAAGCCGCTTGTTCAGAAGAACATTGAAAAGGCTACCCAGTACGAAATCCATGTCTTGTGTTCGATCGATTTTATACTACAACTTACTAACTATCGTTACCTTAGGCTCGTTGAATCCGGCGGCGATTGGGACCGTCGAAACCGTCTAAAAACATACCGCGCAATCAACGACCTCACCCTTCGTGCCTACAACTCCGCTGCCCCACTTCTCCTCGACTCCCTCTCAACTTTCACATCGACAGAAATCTGTACCTATGAAACTTTAGTAATGTACGCCGTTTTAGCGGGTGTCATTTCCCTCTCCCGCCGAGACCTCAAAGCCCGCGTCATCGATGGCGCTGAAGTCCTCGCTGTCTTCGGTAGTCGTAAGGACTCAAATATGGCAGATGCACCAGCAGGAGTTATGACCGAAATAGGCCAGCAAACGGTCGATCTTGACTTAGGAAGTTTCAGCCCACTCGACGGCTTAGTGAACAACTTTTATGAAGCCAAGTACTCAGATTACTTCGTCAACCTTGCAGACGTTGAGGAACAGTTCTTGAGAAAGGATCGGATTTTAGCTCCACACAGACGGTGGTACGTGAGGGAGATGAGGAGACGAGGGTATGCGCAGCTACTTGAGAGCTATAGAACGATTGAGCTACAAACTGTTGCGAATCATTTCGGAGTCAGCGTGGACTTTGTGGATAGGTATGTTTTTTTTTTACGGGTGCTACCGGCCCTTTATTCAAACGAACAAGTGGATTCAAGATGCTAACGTGGCAATAAATCAGGGACATGTCATCTTTCATCCCCTCCCAGGGTCTGAACTGCACAATTGATCGTGTCAATGGATCTATTGAGACCAACAGACCCGATACAAAGAATAAACAATACCAGGAGGTTATCAAGCACGGAGATCAGCTTTTGACAAAGCTGCAAAAGTTTGGACAGGCGGTCAGAGTTCGTGGGAGCGAGCGTGTATAGACATATTCTTTTTTTATATCTTTATACTCGAATTGATGGCTCCCTCTCTGGAGGGAGTAAACACATGTCAAGCATAGTTGTGGAATAGAAAGTGGTTAAACTATGAAGTAAACGGGTTTAATCACAGGATCTTAAGTTTTAGCGTGAGATTATTCAGAAGGTAATTGATAGAAACAACGAGTGACTTCATTAGTTTTGCTACACATATAGCTTAGTACTCATGATCCGAGACTGAGTACTCATTGGTGATTGTAATCTTGACAGAAAATCGTCACACAAAAGCTTCGACTGATACCGAACGCTCTCTCAAAACTCACAACATGATCAACACACTCCGGCTGCCCCCATTCCTTACGCAGCATCATATAAGACCTTCAAAGCTATTCCAAGAGACAAAAAGGATTAGTATATGATATCCGAGAAGCACTTGAATTGGAGCGTCAAATTACTCACCATAAGGATACGACCCAAGTTGACCCCAATCCTCGGAGATATATGCATATCCTGAATCCACCACTCCATCCCTCGTAATAGATTCAATGGCGACAGTATGAATCTTACCCTGCGGACCCGGTGCAGAACGAAGGTTTGGAAGAGATCCAAATACTTGAAGAATAGCTGTGAGGACCTTGAGAGGAACTTCGTGGGTTGCAGTCTGAGCGAGAACATATTTTAGTTATCTGAATAGAATTGAAAAGTAAAGGGATGATAAGAGTAGCTTACCGTCCTCTGTGCTACAGGGGATTGCTGAAGAGCATGAAGCGCAGCTTCAATAACATCGCGCGAGTTACCGTCACCGACACCCTGGAGCTTCTTCAAAGCCTCTGCGTTATCCGGTAGGAGGTAGTAACCAAGGATTTCAGCGAACTAAATGTATGAAATGTATGTTAGTCTGTATATCTTGCTGCAAAAAAAATACATCAAAAAGACTTACCCCGATAGAAATATCCAAGCAAAGCTTCGAAGCAGCCAGGATACCTTCCCTTGGATCACTAGCAATAAATCCTCGAATCTCAGCTGCAATCTTACTCAACTCCGTCTTTCCAGTCGAAGATCCGTTCCCCCTCTTGAAACTATACTTTCCATTATCATTTACGAATGTAACGCCGAGGAGGGCATCCCAGAGGTTATGTGCCGCCTCAGACAACTCAAATCTCTTCGCATCAGGAACTGGAACAACATGGTAGATATAGTTTGCAATGGTACAAAGTGTTCCATGAAGCTCGTAGTCAGTGTATGCATCCGGAGTGCCAGGGACGCCGGTAAGTGGCAAAGAGAAGAGTTCTGCCGTCGTTCGGACGGCAACAAGGTTGCTAACATCACGGATGGCATCAACCCAAACTCCAACGTTGAGTTGGGTCGATCTAGAACCAAGAACTTCTTTCGCAATCGAGATGACTGATCGCTGGATAATTTCTCGGAAGTCGGGAACATCTGCGATCAACTTGAAAATGACACTGTAACCCTTGAAATCAGACGGAGATTGAAGAAGGGCCGCGGTTCGAGTTTCCAACGTATGTTCGAACGGGTTAGTCGGGCGATCGAAGTTATACTTGTAATCCTTTCCAAAGCCCTTGTAGATCTGTTGGTTCTCCTGAGGAACCGTGAATGGGAACATTGCGTATGCAGAGTTTGATGGGAACCATCCTGGGAATGCACGATGGAAGAGTTTGTAGACGACACCTCCATAGGCAATTTCAGGATCAGAGCCGACTTCGTTGTAACCCCAATTTGTGAGATTACCGGTTGTGTAATCAACAGTATAGAATCTATCACCACGGACGAGAGCCACGGCATCACTGAGAATAGCAGTACTAATAGTGTAGCCGGGTAGAAGACCAGCACCAGGTGACATGGGAACTTTTGGTTCTTCAACGACGATACCGGGGTAGATTTCTACGTAGTCGGGGTGACCGTAGAGTTGACGGAGAGCCTCGGCGACCTTTGGGTCGGAATTGATATCTTCGAATGTGGTGTGCTCCTTGAGACCGAAGAAGGCACGGAATTCATTGAGAGACCCGAGTTCCCAGGCTCTGGTTTGTTCGATACCGAGTATCTCAACTGCGCGCATGATTGCTGGGACGGCATTGGCACCATATGAGTCTATAAAAGTGACGAAGTTAGCATGTTTTTTCAACCGCGAATCAACATCAAAGAGTAACATACTTGCACAATCCTCGATACTATCTGACAAAATACTAACAAGATCCTCATCCTTGAATTTCCCAGTCTCCGGATCCCTCACCAAATCTTCGAAAGTACGCTGGCCAGGGTCATCTGGGATCGTCTTCTCCCATTTCATAAGGCCTGCAATAAATTCTGGCAGAGGAATGTCTACAGAGTCGCTGCCAAAGATCTTCTTATACAACCCCTTAGTCCACTCTTCGTCTCTGTCACTTATAACAGAGTGCCAACGATAGACGAGATTGAATTCAGCTGTACATAAAACCCATCATTAGAAAGCATGGTCATAATGCGACTCAAAGTCTTAGATATCCTACTCACCAGAGACCTGATTGCCAACGCCTTGTGGTGTTCCAGTCTGGCTGAAAACTTTGTGGATCTCGGCACGGGGGTCTAGGCACCAGGTAGATTCCGTTCGTGTCAAGTTGAGGATGACACGAATGTAGTCAATCAAGACAATGTTGATGTAGAGACCGCATGTAATGCTATATTTTCAATTGTCAATTTTTATGTTGGCTCTCAAGCTTTATCGTGGGGTTTAATCACTTACAGTCTACCAGTCTGGAAGAGTTTCTCGTCTCTATCTGCAGCAGACCTAAGCCTTGTGAATCTTGCGTCCTGATTGATCTTCAAAAGAGTGTCGACGACGAAATTATGGAATCTTCCAAAGGAGAGAAGGAGAACTAATATGAAGCGAGTTAGACATACTATATCCACAGATAATTTTTTTAAAAATCAAAGTAGGACTGAGCTTACCACAAACACCTGGTGGGAAACCAAGGAGCCTCTTCTCAGAGAATGCATCTGGCTTGATCTTGCCGTCCTCGAATGTCCTCATCGCCTTCTGTTCTTCCTCATTACTTCCATAAAGAGGAGACAAATCAAGATACGAGGATGTATCAGAGATAGAATAATCTTTGCGGTTAGTCCGGAATAGATCTAGAGTACAGTTGTTAGCCAATAGTCACCAAAATAACGCAATCTCTTGAATTTTTACCATGAATAATAATCGTAGCGAGATAAAACAGCATGCTCGAGATCTTGTTTGCATGAGGTTCAGACTTTTGGCGAGCCAAGAGGACTACATGATTGTTAGTGGTTCTTTCGATAATATAAGGGCTAAATATTCTAACCATCGAAAAGCAATCCTGGATCTGGACGAGCGCCAGGCATCTTCTTCATGGGGCGGACGCTTCTAGCATATGGTGTTCCCGCCTTTCCCAAATGTGGGTACAAGATATTCTAAACACCAAGCTGTTAATAAATTTCGTATATGCACCACATGGACAGTTAAAAGTACTTACGTTGTAGGAGCCATCTGCTGAGCGATACTGCTGTCTGTGCCACAGGAAACCAATTGTAAGCCAATACATCTCAATTTGATAATATAGTATTGATGTGGATCAGTAGCGTACTTTAGGCCGAGGTACGACAATGGTGGATGCTGGAGCTGGTTCCAGAGCTTATCGAGCAATGCGCCAGTAAGCGCCTTCTCGTTCTTCGAAGTAGCAGGCAGCCCGCTTGCGACCTGAATTATTCTCTCCATCTGTTTACAGCACATGTTCGTATTAGAGCACGGTACCCCACTATATTGACACAAAGCGTATTATTATATATTGTTTTCAAGACATATCGACATACCAAGTAGGTTTTATCATCTACAATACCGCCATCGACAACTTTGGACTTGAGGACATCAACAAGAGTCCTCATGTCTCTGAAGGCACCTGTCAAGCCAATCTTCTGCAAATCCTGGAGCAGGCCGGTTGGAATTGGCTCTTGCGTTGGGCTACTAGGCCGCGACAGCCGCTCGATGGCTTGGGTAAAGACGCTCAGGGTATTAACGACCGGTTCCTCCTGGCGAGGAGGAGTCGGAGGGAATGTGAGGAACTCGGTCCATTTTGATAGAGCTTGGTTAAGGTTCAACTGCTCCCTCTGCTGGGCGAGTTTTCCTGACATGGTCAGCTTCGGTTATCGATATCGATAGAAACTCGGTATCAGGCCAGTTATAGGTAATTTTGTATATAAATGAAGGGTATAAATATATGCAAAATATCCAGGATAAACTGATCGACTAGTGTGTGAATCGAAGATGTAGAACAGATATCGATAAGTTCCTCAGGCGTCGAAGGACATCTTGCGGTTTATATAGACAGCTGCGGAGCTTCGAACCGTAAAATACTAGCAATGTACCACCCTTCAAATCCCTGATGATACTCAGCCCTACATTTGAGCCAGCTCCGAAAGAGAGCTGCCCCTCGTAGGATCGGCCCACGTTAAGGTCATGTCGTTCGGGAATCCCGTTCGCTATTGCGAGCACTCTGATTCGTCGGTGGTCAATGGCGCTTCTTGGGGTGTGTGCTCTGATAGAGTTGATATCCCAGGGTCTGCAGATAGCTCCTAGCCTCTCTCCACCACAGCTCGAGAGCTAGAGCTTCCAGACCATAGAAATTCCTTTCGGTTAGGGTAGGAAGGTGGGGTCACACAAAACGATAGAACCCCGCCAAGGCAAGCCATCATTGCCAGTCAGCGCTAGCAACTTTGAACAAAAAAGGCACAGATGTTGCGGGAAGTGGTCGCTGCTGATGTGGGATGTGCAGGCTGTCTGGAGTGAGATTCCAGCTGTATTTGGCGGGGAATCAGGCAATCACAATTGCGTATTGGGTGGTATCACCTGGAAGAATGTTCGCAATTATTGCTGCATCCAGGCGGGTGTGACTCTGCGAGTCCAGGGTTTGGGACATTTTCTTTCCTTTGAGCGCCCGGCTCTGCTTCCGGTTCTGCAAATGCAGTGTCAGACTGTCAAGGGCTTTGATGCCATAGGCTATATTTTGGCTTTGAATTGGGATATTTCTTACTGGCCGGCAGCTTCCGTGCACGCGTGGGACTGGACGACGACAACATCGATCGAGTCTTCGAGAATTATATCGATACCCGCACATTCCGTTGTAATCGATGCTCTAATCAAGCAATGATCTTGAATGTAAGACTTTGTGCTGGAATGCTGACTGTACATCGAATATGGTCTCAGGTTTTGCCATGAATTGAGTGCTGACTAGATTGAATCTGGATCGAGGCATGGCGAGTACACCCTCCCCGCGCCCCCATATCTCCCAACTGCTACGTCCGCGTGTGACAGCGACTGGTGCAGCTGGCTTTCGAGGCGATCCCATAAACTAAACTGCAAAAAAACTATAACGCGGACGCCGGGAGCTATGGAACCGGCGTCCATGCCACATGGTGGAACATAGCTATTCACTTGCGAGGCACAGAGCCTCCAAGCGCCCGAGAACTCGAGAATCCGTATTAATATATTCATTATATTAATTAATCATATCGTTTGTTATCCAGATCATAGATACCTCCAGCCCTTTTGAATTCGCAGGATGCGAAAGGATCATATTATTGAGACCTGATGCAATGGGTCATCGGACCACCCGATTAGTAACAAGTGCAAGTTCACACCCTGCAGATAGCTGAAGTATAGCCATGCCCAATTGCCGGCGGAAATGGAACCAAGGTATTATCCGTGGAATCAACATCTATGAACTCATTCGACCTTGAATTAATTCCAACATTCGATAATTTTCAAGCAGTGAATTCGGGAAGTTGAATAGGTTGGTAGGACTGGTGGTGGTGCTATGACATCATCACGGTCCAACCCCAAAGCGACCTGATGGCAGGTCCAACAACACCTTGGCCACCTTCAAGGTTCTCATATGCTCATGATGCAAAACTCCACCTTATTATACATAGATCAACTACTCCAGTTCCCATAATTGGTTCGACTATTTGCCAATCGCTGGGATGTCATCCGGATATCTTGCCGAACGCCATTTGGGGGAATTCGAATGACTTAGGAACGATATCTGGAGCAGTGTTGTCGTCGTTGAGCACGCGGGTTGCATGTTATGTCAAGCATCTGCATCCTTATTCAAAGGTACTAGCGGGGAGATAGTCATTCCAAGAATTATTTCAAGTCCTTTTTTCAAAACCCGCATTGCAAATCCGGAAGAAAAATATTTAATCGATGGATGGACCCTTCTGCGATCACTAGAATCGTAGATTGTTTTTTTTTCCCTCTCTTGAAGTCTATCTAGTTGTATTGACGGTTGTTTTAATACGATAAAATATTCCAGCTTCTTGGGTTTGAGAAACATATTATGATATCATAAGACATCCACATACCATCCCATCGCGCGCATTGCATTGCCTGCATATTCATATTCTTCACTTCCGTTCTACATTCGCATTTCCTTTCCATCAAGTTCGACCTTAAATTACCATTGCAGAGAAATATCAATTCCATCATGGCGGAACGAGTTCAGTCCGAACGTCAGTCTAGCCATCCGACATCGTTTACAGGGAACCACCCTCATCTTGAAAAGATACACCAAAAGTTACACCATGCGAAAGTCGAAATCATCCACTTCAAACATTCAATCGGAAAATTAGGAAACATTGTTAACCCGAACCACCGTCATGACGAAGAACATGAGCAGGAGGTAGACCGTAAGAGGTCTGAGATTGCCGAGTCGCATCGGTTCGAAAGCTTTGCTCCCATTAGAGAAGGACATCTAGCGAAGTTCTATATTGATGGGAGGGATTATTTTTGGGTGAGTATATTCCTTCTATATTGTTTTTAAGATATATACTATTCCACGAACAAATGCTAAAATCCGAAATAAATAATAGGCATTAGCTACAGCTCTTGAAAGCGCTAAAGAAGTCATCTACATAGCTGATTGGTGGCTTTCACCAGAGCTTGTAAGTTTCGAATTCTGCAAATCTATAAAAAAAATATCAACTTCTAATTTAAAGCTGGCAATACTGATTTACATTTGAAGTTCCTCCGCCGCCCACCCGCTTATAGCGAAAGTGACCGTGTAGACACAATCCTTAAACGCCGTGCTGAAGCCGGCGTCAAAATCTATATCATAGTCTACAAAGAAGTCGAAGCCGCCTTAACATGCAATAGCCAACACACAAAGCATGCACTCCATGAACTTTGCCCCAAAGGGTCTCCGGGACATGGTAACATCAGGGTAATGCGCCATCCGGACCATAACGTTTTCGATAGAGGAGGTGATATGACATTCTACTGGGCCCATCATGAGAAGTATTGTGTAATCGATCATGAGTTGGCCTTTATTGGTGGGTTAGATATATGCTTTGGAAGATGGGATTTAAAGCAACATCCATTAGCAGATGTACATCCTGAGACCGTTAGGAATGAAATATGGCCGGGACAAGATTACAATAACGTAAGAATCTTGACGTATATTTAAGAGATAGAGTGGATACTAATACGAATGTCTGCTCTAGAACCGAATGTTTGTATTCCGGGCTTGCTATTTACTGGTATAGAATTATACTAACAAATAGCTGGTAGAATGGACTTCCAAAACGTTGAAGATTGGAAGCAAAACCAACTTTCCAAAACAGAGTATGGTCGTATGCCATGGCATGATGTTGCTCTAGCAATTCGAGGACGGTCAGTGTTGGACATTGCGCAGCACTTCGTTGAGGTAGGTTCCAATCGTCCATACATAAGGTACCCCCGATTTGACTCTGGGTCGATGGCTAACCAATCCAACCATTTAGACTTGGAACCATGCGAAACGAGGTATTGTACTTACCAAAGACTCTTATCCAAATGGTTATTGACAGTTTCACAGACAAGTACAAACGTGACGGTAGATATGACTGGCTACAACTAGAATGGGCCGAAGACGACATCTTAGGAGTTCAGCACCCACGATTCCCTGTTGGAGACTACATTAAACATCCTCTTCACCCTTTAAACAAAGAAAAGATGGAGAAGCTGGGAAAAGTAACGACTCAACTAGTCAGAAGCTCTGCTGATTGGAGTCATGGTATTTTGACTGAACACAGCATTCAAAATGCCTACCAAGAAGTCATTCGAAACGCTAAGCATTATGTTTATATTGAGAATCAGTATGTTATACCCTATTGGTTTGATGTTACCCAGCTTTCAGTGCTAATATATTTTCTAGGTTCTTTAGTACGTTGAAAACATTGACCTCCGAACATAGCTAGCATTCTAACTATATCGTAGTCACTGCGACGGGTGAGAAACAAAAGCCTATAATTAACACAATCGGTGCCGCTATTGTCGATGCGATCACAACGGCGCACTCCGAAAATCGCAAATTCCGCGTCATAGTCATAATCCCTCTCGTGCCAGGTTTCGCCGGCGACCTACGAGATAAAGGAGCAAATGGCACCAGAGCCATAATGGACTACCAATACAAATCAATGTTCCGAGGTGAACATTCTATTTGCGGTATACTCAAGGGGAAAGGAATTGACCCGGTGAAGTATATTTCGTTCTTTAGCTTGAGGTCGTATGATCGGTTGAATCGAACGGAGAGGATTGAGAAGAAGGAGGAGAGGACGGGGGTTAAGTATGAAGACGTGCAACACGCGCAGGCACATGAAGTGGTATGTAGAGCTCCTTACGATTGTTGGCAGGAATAATATTAACTAAGAGGATTCCAGATGAGTGAAGAAGGTGTCACTGGCGGTCACGGGTATGGTAAGGATGAAAGTGTTCAGTATCATATGCAAAAGGATCGAGAAGCTTTTGAAAAGGATCAAAAGGAAGACAAGCCACATGATAAAGAAACCAAGGATTCAATAGCGCAGGATGCGTTAGAGTCCAGTAGGAGACCATCTGAAGAAGGGTTTCAGGGAGATGAAGAACTCGAGAAGGAGAATATCGTCACAGAGCAATGTTATATTCATGCGAAGGTTTGTTGTATTTTCTTATGGGTATGGATTGCAGAATTGAGGCTAACTCGAAAGTAGGTTTTGATCGCAGACGATAAGATTGCCATCATTGGTAGTTCAAATCTAAATGATCGTGTAAGTGAACAGTAAATAGAGATCGAGAATTTGGGAGGAATAAACTGATGATATTTTGCTTAGTCTCAACTTGGATATCACGATAGCGAATTAAGTATTGTGATTGAGGATCAAAATACCGTTGATTCCAAAATGGACGGCGAGGACTTCGAAGCCTCATACTTCGCAGCACACCTACGACGCCAACTCTGGCGTGAACATCTAGGTCTTCTACCACCTCAAGATCTCGATGCCAGTGGTGATCCAAATGCAACACTTCCTGGCGAAGGAGACTATGATTTCCAAGAAGATGAAAGATCCAAAATTGTTGAGGATCCTCTAAATGACGAGCTATGGGATACTTGGAATCGCCAGGCTCACGACAATACGGAAGTTTTCAGAGAACTGTTCCACTGTATTCCCGACAACGCTGTTAAAACGTTTGAGGACTACGACAAGTTTCTCCCCAAGGAGGAGATTAAGGCTGGACATCTATTTAACCCAGAGATGCCACTGAAGGAAGTGAAGAAAAAGTTGGATGGTATAAGGGGACATCTTGTGAGATTCCCTACAGAGTTTTTGATCGATGAAGAGATGGCAGAAAGAGGGCTGGACTTCAATGAGGTAAGTTTTCTCACTGTTGACGATATTATATTTGTGGCGTGATAAGATTACAATACTGACGGAATAAAACAGATTACTGAAAGTATCTACACCTAAGATGTAGCCCGAGGTCTGAGGACGAATGGCATCTTCAATTTTTTCTTCTTCATCCTTTCCATTTCCCTATTCTATCCCCCTCTATCACTTGTTAACTTATCAATACCTCATGTATCATGATATCACAATATCTGCTGGCAGAAACCCGTGTAATGCATAATAACGTATCGGAATATTGTATGTCCGCTGAATGGCCAAGTGCGGACTTTCCTTCCGCCGAAAGAAGAGCCCCCCGTACGCCCATACGATTACCGGTAGGATTCACACTCTTTCGTAGTATACCGAAATTACCTTGCGGATACCCGATGACCGTCCCTCCCAAAAATCGCTCGGGATGCCGAGAGCCGTTTTTTTTCGGCAAGCCTAGGCCAGGTGGTCAGATTGATTGGTGCACAGGCCCCATGCGCCGGACGCTTCTCCCCTTTCGCCTTTTCCGAGACCCTTCACACACACTCCCCAAAAAATTGTTCCGTGGGCTGGTTTCGGTGCAGGATAAGAGATTCGGTGCAGGATAAGAGATTCGGTGCAAGATCCGGGACCCATGGGATCGGAAAATTAAACTTGTGGTCGGGAAACGAGAGCCACGCGGAGCCACATAGAATCCTTTTTCCTGTTCGCTGAAAGTGTGATTGGTGAAAACTAAAAAAGCTTGCAAGGGCAGTGTCAATGCGTTTATGAAGGTCGGTCAACGGCCGACAAAGCATCCAGATAAGACAAACAAACTGATTTCCCCAAAGAAGTACCAAGTTTTTTAACAGCCTATCTATAGTGAGACAGACTGATTACGAGGTATAATTTCTGCTAAACGGGTTTTTTATTGTTTTTATTTTTAATAAAAAAATAAAAAAACAGTCGTGTCGATGCGCCAGAAGCAGGTTTGCTCACCTGCACATGGCTGGCTATCAATCAGAGACAAAAGAAGAGAAGAGGATTACAAACAGCGAATGGAAGAATGGGCAATGAGGTAACATGACATGCGACTCTTGGCTATCTGTGACGGAAAAGGCTTAGTGAATAGCGGGGTAAAAAGAAGCTAGAAAGGCTAAAGGCTGCCAGGATTATAACTCGCTCGCTCGATACGTCTTTCGAATCGAATCGATAGATGTACATACATATACATATACATACCTAACTGCATACATGTACATATGTAAGTACCTGATATGTACAATGAGCAAGCATCGTTTCGTGTTCTGGGTTCTCCCTGCCTAGTTTGTAACCTTTTTTTGCTATCGGTTATAGGATGCATTAGCTTAAGTAGTCACTTATAAGGCATCTAGCTGGGATGGGTACATGTTCCAAACACGGTTCGCGGTGTAGCTCGTTGAATTGAAGGACGCCTCGTCGAGGTTTCTTGGTACCACACACCCATTTGGATCTGCAAGTGATAACGTAACTTCTGTATAGGCCGGCTCATTTGCAACTGTTGTGCAGAATGGCACAAGAAGTGGGAGATGTACATGTATGAGGGTGTAAAAGAGTTTGGATAGCCAACAGTTAATTAACAGGTAGTTGGTTAAAGAGGGGGAATTCGGATTGGAATGCTTGATCGATAGAGAGTCATGAAGTAATACTTTTACTTGTGCATCTCTCTTGATTCGATTCTCCTGAATACCAGTATTCGATCGATCGATAGATCATTTTACCGTTACCATTATATTTGCGTAGAGAACGGATATCGCCTTATCTGCATTTCCTTAGTGATCTGTAATCTTGATATCTCATTCGTCTCTTCCTTCGATTCTCTGACTGCAGTATACTACATACTGTCTGACCCGGACAAGCCTCCACCCAGCTGGCCCGGCACAGGTCAGCGCACCTTATCTTCGGCCTTCTACCTAAATATCATTCATATCTGGAGCCTCTTCCGGATCCGAAACGGTTGAGTCCTGCGCGATTTCCCGGCAGGTTGACTCCATCATTTCAAAAAATTGCCAGGCAAAATCCGAAAGCTCAGAGAAGGAAAAAAAAATCATCTCGTAGGATAAGAATCCTTTCTCACCTTTGGCTTTTTGGTGGGAAAGACCCACCTGCGTTCTTCCAGTATCCGAAAGCGACGAAAGGTTAACTTGGTTGATGTCGTATATAATAGCTTGCGTTGTTCCCGCCTCGATCAAAATTAAAAGGTGAGATTGATTCGATCATATTATTTAATTGCAGTAGACTTGATACCCTTTTTCTTTCTTTCTTCGGGCATCATCTCTTCGTTTATTATTTTATAGATCTATTTTTATTTTTATTTTTATTTTATCTTTTGTCTTTTGTCTTTTACTATATTTCATTAGAAAAGGCAGCCTACAACCTGTTTAGACTTCCTCCAGCCATTCAGCACTAGTTATCCGGTAAGCTTAAGCTTAAACTTGTGACTTCTGGTTTTTCTATTGCAATCTACATACACTTATGCGCTGCCCCCCCTTCCCGGTCAAATTTGAATTCCAAGATCTTTTGAAGCATTAATTCAAGCAAAGCAAACGCTGTTACTGCTGCAGTGCAGAACGGTGCGGTGCGGTGCGGTGCAGTGCGCACACCATGCAGCTCTCCAGGCCGTCTATCCTGCTGCAGCTGTCTCGACCATACAAATGCAAAGGATACTAGTAATAATATACTAGTATACCGTTCTCCCACACCCTCTTTCTTCTCTCCTGCTAGATCGAATTCAGGCTATACCTCGGCCTCTGAGCTGAGGAGGAGCTTACTCCGCTTTTCTCTTCATTTGCTCTGACTCTTCTTTATAAATACAAAGTCATTGCATTGAAAGATAGACAGACAGATAGACGGTTGCAGTTCTATATTTGTGTTCAATCTTGTGTTGGCGAGCGCTATTCTTTGCCTATCATATTAAGCAGGTATACTGACATATTCCAGGACTCGACTTGTTCTAGACTGCTGTAGACGCCCTGAAGATTTCGATATTATTCTCACGGAATTAATTATCGTATTGTAAAAACCTCTTCTTTACCATCGCTTTTGGTTCCATCATCAAAATCATCATCATCGTCGTCGTCAATAACAGTTTCAACTTCACCAAACTCGAGCTTTCGTATACCATCGATTCTATCCATACATACCCCACATACAAATTACATTACTCTTAAAAAAACCTATTCAAAATGGCGCCAGTACACGTAGATTCAGGATCTGGTCATCTCCTCGCCGCCCATCAACCAGACTTCTTGCATAGACCCGCCGTTCGCAAGGTTCTCCCCTTTGTCAATGGTGGGTTTGCTGGAGTCATGGCTTCTTGTGTCATTCAACCAGTCGGTATGGATATACCCTTTATCCTATTATAAATACGGATCGAACCAGCTATAGTATATCGGCTACGTAGTATACTAATGCTATTCTATAGATATGATCAAAGTCAGAATTCAATTGGCTGGTGAAGGAACCAAATCCTTTGCCGGAGGCGCAAAAGTTACACCTATCTCTGTCGCTAGAGATATTGTCTCTAAAGGCAAAGTACTCGATCTTTACTCTGGTCTCTCGGCTGCGGTTCTGCGACAGGTTGCGTAAGTTTTATATTCAGCTTTTTTTGGGGGGGGTTTTGGTTATTAGGGATTCGAATGTTTTCTAATAAATCATAGCTATACAACCGCCCGAATGGGATTCTTCGGCACATTCATGGAGAGCTTCCAAATAAAGGCAAAGGAACAAAACAGAAAAGTCACATTCGGTGAACGTGCCGGTGCATCCCTTGCAGCTGGTGGTCTCGGAGCTTTACTTGGGTATGATCTAGAATTTTTGAATTCATTAGCCCCACTTTAGATATCTAATGCTTTATCACACATAGCAATCCTGCCGATTTGAGCTTGATTCGAATGCAGAGCGACGGCCTTCGACCTATCGAGAAGCGCGAAAACTACAGATCCGTTTTCGACGCCCTCAAGCGTATCTCTCGAAACGAAGGCGTCCTCGCTCTTTGGGGTGGTGCCACTCCAACCGTCATCCGAGCCATGGCTCTCAACTTCGGGCAGCTGGCTTTCTACTCCGAAACCAAGGCACAACTCCAGCAGAAGACCAACCTCGCCGCCCCCGTCCAGTTCTTCGTTTCATCCTGCGTCGCCGGTTTCGCCGCTTCGGCGTTCAGTCTTCCATTCGACTTCATCAAGACCAGACTGCAGCGTCAGACCCGCGACGCTAGTGGACGCTTGCCATACAAGAATATGATGGACTGTGCCGTCAAGGTCGTCCGCGAGGAAGGTGTTCTGAGGTTCTACCGAGGATTCGGAACATACTTTGTCAGAATCGCTCCACATGCGATGATGACATTGCTCTTCGCTGATGCCCTTGGTATTCTCACCAAGTAGATACCGACTCTTTTACATATTTTCGGTGGGATCGATGCTATGATACTAACTCAGCGATTGTGATTGTGATGTGCCTGTGCTCTTCTAAATCTGCTTTCAATTATGACCTGTCGATTGCTTGTTTTCGTTTCCTTTTCCTTTTCCTTTTCTTTTCTTCTCAGGGATATCCAATGGTGCTCCGGCGTTGAGGTCTGACTAGTGTTTCTTTTACATTCTATCATCACTCTTTCTTATGCATGGTGGTTACGGAGTGAACAGGTACTCAACCCAGTACCACTCACCACCACATGCACAGTTAACAGTTCGCAGATACAGTATCAACACAAGTGCTTTTTTATTTTCCTTTTTCTCTTTTTTCCTTTGACCATTCTTACTACAGCATGTATACGCACGGACTCGGTGTTTCGTAGGCGAATCCATGATTCTTTAGCTCGAAGATTTCATTTACAAAGTTATACCCTCATACTTCAGTTCCTCGTCCAGTATCGTATCAATCGTTTCTTGACTGAATACCCCCCCCCCATTTGTTTCGACGACATGCTGCGTTTCTATTATCTTGAACATAGCAAGGGAGACTTCGGAAAATCTAGGACTTTAGAGGGAAAGCATATGTAAATAAATTTTACACACGTAGTAAAAGATAGGTTTATATGCAGGGCATGTTTTGTTATATAACATCGGATCGTCATAAACCGAATGTTGTAGATCCCGAGAATCAGATCGATTTGGGTTGTAGACGTTGTATTTTGGTGTCGGCAACACAACAACGCTAATCGTTCCATCGTTTCTCAATATGGCTGGCGTGAGTGAAGATGAATAGAGTCTGCATTTCTATTTATATAATTTGATTAGTGTGATAAATCATTGAATGCTCTTTTTTTTATTTTTTGAAGATCTTATAGATTGTAAATGACAATTCTTGAATGAGAAATTTCGAAACGAAGGAAAAGATAAACGAAAGAAAAAAGAAACCTCTGTGCTACCATCTATAACATGCAATCGTTCGCTAGGTCGACGGTCGGTAGTATACTTCCTAGCTTAGCCCCCATTTAAGCACCTTCGATATCAAGAATTCGTATCGGGTCCACTCGGATACATCAAAGGCCTGCCTGCCTACCATGTCTGCAGGACCAGGGGACCGAATTTAGGCTTATATTGGCTAAACAGCGTCACCCTCTTGCATAAAAAATTCACTGGGCATTCACATGTTAACATACGTTTCGTACACCCACGTTTTGCAACTCGCTCTTGTTGTTCGAGCGGCTAGCTAAGCAATACCCCACCATTGCATTGAACGACGTCCAGCACCCGCTTCGTGGGGAATATTAATTCGACCGAAAATCAAGAATGCCGCCACCACCGAATATCATTCCTGAGGCAGATGCCGCCGCCGCCGCCGGGCAGGCAGGGGAAGTTACCGTCTCTAAGGCACCAAGCTCGCCGACGAGTTTGAAGCATCATCATCACCCGCATAGGGTTTTTAAGGTTTATGTTACTGGGTTTGGGGTATGTGGATCTTTCTTTTTATATATTTGTATTTTGATATTATAGACTTTTTTTAATTCATGCGTATATTGGTTATTTAATTAATGAATAATACATACATATATCTTGATTTTAAGATTAATTGATGAGAAGATAGACATGCACTTACAAATATTTATATAAATTATAGAACTTCGAAGGAATCCCAGTAAACGCCTCCTACCTCGTCGCCTCCTCTCTCCCCTCGGTACTCCCGGAGAAATACATCAACCATGCCCCCGACTCTGTCAAATCCCAAAACCTCCAGGTCTCCATCATCCCACACTTCGAAGCCGTCCCCGTCTCCTACGAAAAAGTTACAAAGTTGATCCCAACTTTATACGAAGACCTACCCGGGGTGGATTTATTCGTGCATATCGGTGTTATGCCGTTTAATTATTATAGGATCGAGGAGAGGGCTAGGAAGGGATCTTATGGACCGCCGGAGGGGAATCCGAATGGGAGGGCGGATGTGGATGGGAAGTATCCAGAGAATAATGAGGCTGGGAGAGCGGCGAAGGGGAAGGTACCTAAGGATGTGACGGAGATTTTGTCGGGGTTGGATGTTGAGGGGATATGTAAGGATTTGGAGAAGGCGAAGAAGGGGAGTACGGTATGTTTTTTCTGGCTCTTTTTCTTTCCCCCCCCTTCTTTCTCTCTTGAAATATATATATACCTTATATATAACTATTTGGAGGGCTCGCTTTACTAAGTTGGTCATTGGTTTCACTACAGGATAACTTTGAGGTCCCAAGAGTATCCACTGATGCCGGGCTATACCTTTGCGAATTTATTTACTATAATTCGCTAGCGGAGTCGATTTATGATGATGAAGCTAAATATGAATCCGAGTATCCGGAACCAAGACCGGTTACGGATCCTACCGCGGAGACGCCGTTGAGCTCGAGGGCGGTGTTTATTCACGTACCGAGTATTATGACGGACGAGTTTCTAGAAAAGAGTAAGGAGACGGTTAAGAGGATTATTGGGGCTATTGCGGTGCAGAGGCTTTCCCCGTAGATGTTTTTTGTATATATATATTGGAGGATATCGATTCGTAAGTCGATGGGTATGTGTGTATGTACGGGTTATCATAGCGGGTGTGAAATTTAAATAAGGATTACTGCATCCATGGCCAGTCTTGTATAAAAGAATTTGAAGATTGTAACTATTATATTACTCCTAACTTTACTTTCTAGGCTTCGTCCCACTCGATAATCCAGGCCAATCTACAGAATATCAAAGGTTAGTTAGTATCCCATGAGAATGAAATAAGATACCAATTGAAAAAAGACTTACAAAACACCGTCCTCTCCTCATTCTTCTTCGTAACCGTAACTTCCTCTCCAACCTTAACCTCCTTCTCCAAACTACCCTTCTCAATAAACCCATACCTCCCAAAGATAGGCGAATACCCATACCCAGCATCCACTCTCCTCTTCATATCCGACAACCTCTTCAACATCTGTCCATGAACCGGTAACTGCTTCCCGGTTTCGTAATCCACGTTTAAACTCTTACATCTCCCACAGTTTCCCGTGAGTATGATCCTCCTAGCCTCTTTTCTATCACCAACTTCTTCTTCATCATCACCACTCTTCCCATTAGAAACCTCCAACTCAGCCCAATAATCTTCTTCAAATGGTGTCATCTCATTTGAAGTCGAAGGCTCAAGCACAATATTCGACCTCATCTTCGTAATATCCAATACCAGTTCATTCTTCCCATCCTCCCCTTTCCCACTATTCAACTCTTCCAAACTAACGGTAGACGTCACGAGCACGGGCGCCACATCAGCGAATTGTATCGTATACTTCGAATGACCTTCAATATCGTTTTTATTCCATCCCAAAAGATACCATAAAATCCATGTGAAAAGTCCAAATATAAACCAGTCATTCGACCCCGCTGTTGGGCCGCTATCGAAATCATTCTCCTTCGTCAAATGCGTCTGATTCGGCGCCAGGTTTCCCTTTACCTCCCTGGTACTATCACCCACATAGACCAGTTTCGCGGGGTATCCGAGATACTTTGTGAAAAATTCCTGGTATTTGGGTCCCATATCGTACCCCACACAATCCGATAGGTGGATACTCAAATCCACTTTTACCAGATTCTTGTAGTCTGCGATAATGGGGAACTCAATGTATGGATTCCCACCATCATCACCACCATTATCTTCCTGTTTCTCCTTCTCATTCGCCCCTGATGAGGGTACGGGTGTATTATACGTCACACGGATAACTTCCGCGTTCTCGTAGTTTGGTAAGATACTGGCGCTGAATAGGCAGAGGGAGTCTACACGACCGACGTATTGGCTTTCGTAGGTATATTTTCCTTTCCCACCTGTGCTGCCATTGACATTATTATTATTGCTGTCAACGTTGTTATTGCAGTCGCTGGGGGTTATGCGAACGATCATGTATTTGCGGTCATGTTTTAGACCGTGACGGGTTAGTGTTGCCGTTGGGACACTGCAACCTCGGAGGGATTTGACCGGGTAGATGTAGAGCTGTATATACACCCGTTAAATTTATAGAGCGCGGTGAAAAGTTAGTGACTATGCTTATATAAGTATATGATTGGGGCTTTTATATTGAAGAGGGAGGGGTGTAGATTCGGTGTGGGAGGGGCTTACATCTTTAATCTTCATCTTTGGATTGGATAACGTAGAGGTAATCGAGAATTAAAAAGGTGAAGCTGGTCGATGTCGTTGATATCTGTGCTAATATAGCACTTAATTACCTAGCTTGGATTGATAAATGGTCGCGCGGATGAGTTACAACACCATGGAATTTCATATCCACAGTGGAACGGATCCTCCACTTAAATACACTAGAGCCGTGGGTCGAAAGTGGGGCTCACAGACTTCCTCGACTATAGAACTATGCTGCCTAGTTATTAGGTAAAAAGTAAAAGACGAAATCAAGGCCTACGTAGCATGTAGGTACATGTCATCTACTGTATTGTACATTCCGTGACATTTGATACAGATGCATTCCTAGACGATGTGGTCGTGCAGCGACAGACGCATGCGACATCAAATTACAAAAACGACGGAGTGGTTTTAGTGGAGTGTTTTTTTTTCCCCTCCGTCTTTCTTTCGGTTGTTAACACGCATGTGCAGATACTTAGTAAGTACATAAGTACGAATATGCAGAGCAAACTCGGAATCCTTGATAACTTCTAGATATCGATTGAAAAAAAGGTCTGAAACTATACAAATAAAGCGTAGGGCTTGTTTTTGGGGAAACACAAGGCCGGGAGCGATAGCATGGCAAAGTCTGAAAAACTGATGAGCAGGATCACGGAGGGCGAAATAGGAAATGACATAAACAAGGGCCGTCCCGCTGAAGCCTGTGGAATAGGTGTCAAAAATAATACATCAAAAGTGGAAGAGAAGAATAAAGAAGAAACATCGAAATAAAAATAGCATCATAGGCATCCTTGTGCCTGGGGGGGTTGCGCTTAATCTTGCAGAGTAAAGAGGAAAAAACGAAAGTCATGACACCATATCCCGTCGCTCATTTTCATCATAATACACAAAAGTTCCGTTACATAATGACTATATCTAGTCGTTAGCGATAGCTGTCATTGGGTTTATAGAGTTATAGAGTGGGGTTTGACTTACAAAGCAAATCGGTATCTAAAGGATGGCTACAGCTGAGCTGTGGCTTCTGAGAGTATTTACCATCGAGTTCTTCACGCAAACTGTTGAGCATTTGCTTGTAACTCTGACCCGGGTTCCGCGACAAGCACTTGATAAAGGCACTAATATGATATGTTAGTCGCTGCTATACCATGATGGGTTTCGGAAGGGGGGTCGGGACTAACCGTGACATGACACCACCACCCTTGTCGTCCGCTCTAATATTTAGTTAGTACCATAATCAGAAGCATGTATCAACCGAGATCTTGTTATTGAACTTACGAAGTTTGCGAGTCTTTGCTACCGCTCCACTGGATGACATCTGCAGGACTGAACTTCGTCTTTTTCGCTCGTTCTTCAGCCCCTCTGCCAACCGTGGCTTTGTTCAAAAACTCAAAGGTTCCTTGCATGACGCCACCTAATGTCAATGTCTGCGGTTGGGCTACAGCTCCTAAGATTCCCATCCCGGCTTCCTTGAAAAGATTCTGCTCCTTGAGAGTACCGGCAGTCGAGTAGACAAATGGAAGGTCCAGAGCTGTACCGGAATGACAACTGTCGAAGATAGCAGTCAGACGAACACCAGGTCTCAACGGCTTCACCATAATATCGTGCATAAGATCATCCACGATATGGCCTTTTGTGGCGTAGTCGACGGGGTAGATAGTTTCGTCGTATCCATCTGCTTCGTCTCCGTCCAAATCGCGAACTTGACCACCATGGCCGGAGAAGTGAAAGAACAAAGAGTCGTTAGGTTGAGCATCCGTTACTAGCCATTTCATCGCTCGCAGAATGTTGTCGCGCTTGGGAACCGAAAGAGGGTTGGATTGGTCATCTGTCAAGATTACCATATCTTCGGGTTTATATTTATAAGACTGGATCAAGAAGTTTCGGACGTTCATTACGTCGTTGATACACCCACTTTATAGAGTATTAGCGATAGCTCCTAGCCATTATCTTTTTTTTTTTTTTTTTTTTTTTGCCATATTTTACTTACTTTAGCTGTCGCTTAGTATTGAAATAGTTCTGTTTTTCTCAAGTTAGTGACGGTTCCAATTTCGCCGAAGTTATTCGTTTGCAACTATATAGTACTTACAATACCGATAACTATGAAATCGAGTTAGCACATTCTCAGATTACATCTCTAGAAGACGACAAGACAAATACATACGCAAAGCTTTTCTCTTTCCCTGGCAGGTACTGTGTTGATAGCTTAACCCCGTTCCACCTCCATGGTTGTATGTCTGCATCGAAGTGGGCGGAGGCCGAGGCCCTTGCTGACTCCTGGTCCATTGGTTCGTACTATAGGTTGGAAGCTGCCCAGGCGTAGGGTATCGCCCGGGAGGTGGTGCCCCCCATTGGTCAGCGGAGGAGTATGTTGGCTGATGAGAGGGCATTCCATATCCAGTCGGTGGTTGCGGACTATGCGAAGGCGGGTACTGTTGGGGGTTTCCATAAAAGGTCCCCTGGTGTTGTAGACCGCCAAACGGAGGCTGCGGACTCGGGTAGCCTCCTGGAGGCCCATAGTTTTGCGGCTGCTGATATTGAGGGTATGGCGGCGAACCCTGGGGGTATGGAGGCTGCTAAAATTCGAGAGAATGTCAGCATGTATTATATTTATCGCCTCGCGTAGCCCAAATGGCAGAACGGATAACGTTACGGGCTATCGTACCTGTGAATTCATGTAGCCAGAGTTCGAATTCGGCCTCGGAGGGAGAGGCGGTCCACCACCACCGCCATAGAACTGTCTATCGAACTGTCAGCATGCTATTTCGAACCCAGACACCGATTAAGAACTTTCGATTATCTGTCTGCAATTGCATATAACTAGATTTAAGAGGGACAACATACGATGTGGCATATGAATCGCTAGGACCGTTCGGTTGGTAACCGTACGACATGTATGTATGTATTCGAAAGGCTGAGGGTCTCTACGCCGAAAATACAAAGTTTGATTCGAAGGATATCCCGGATATCGAAAGGATAGGTCTCCTGTGTAATGTGTAGAATTCTAGAAGTTGTAATTTCTAATTTCGACCTTCGATGGTCGGGTTTTTAGCTTGAGGATTTGTAGGCGTCTGGGGTATCCGTGGTTCCAAGCCAAGGACAAGCAGGCGCTGATTCGATGATTCGGAGGGGCAGCTGCAGTCAAGTTGGCGGGGGGCCTTGGTGCAATGCAACGGCCAAGGTTTAAGTTAACGGTCACCCGGCAGATTTCTATTTCTATACGTATACTATATACTCGACGGTAATTGATTTCTTGAATTTGCTCAACGTCCAGCGAAAGTTGGGAGAACGGGTAAATTTAAAAGGGTATATGTTAGGGGGTAGAATGAAGGAAGAGAAAGAGAGAAAGAAGGATTTAAAGTCGAGATAGAAAATCCACGGTTTTTGTAGAAAGCTCCGTGCCTTCTGGTTTCTGCGTCATCTCCCAGTCAATGGATACCAATGCTGACACACTAACATGTAATATGCCTCTTAGTTCCTTATAACTCTTGACTCTTCCATGCGCGCCATAACTTTCTGTGCACTGCAACTGCGGGACTATGTAAATACATGTCTAGCTGCTGCTGCGTAGAATTTTTCATCCGCCAGCCCCGTGAGGCCCGCTTCGTTCGCTGGAATTCGAATGGGACTGCTTGCCGACTACCGAGGGCCCTGGTCCGCTTTCATGTCTAAATGAGGGAACTCTCGAGAATGAAATCCCTTCGACCCTGGTCTTGAACTTTCAATGACGATTCGTAGTTCGTAAATTTGTGATACATACTCCCACACAGAGGCTAAAGATTAACTATAACCTTCCGATGCTACCGGCCGGTCTATTTGGAGATATCCCGGCCGGACTAGTGGTCTTGGCTAAATTTGAAGCCTCGTGCGACAATATTGCATTTATTCACAGACTTTTTTGTTTATTTATATACACTATCGGCGGACGGGTTCGCCGACTATCACGGAGGGTCAGACCGTCCGCCCAATGCATATTCTTTCACAAAGGAATAAGATGGCTGGGGGGGTTCGTTCTATTCTATTCTGGTGTGTAGACTCATCCTTCCAAATTGAATACGTAATCCGAGACTCGAGCTCGAGAGCTCAAGCTAAGCTCTAAAATAGAATACCACAAAAACAACACGTGCAAAAAGGATCTCAGCACAGTTGCTGCCTATGCTTAGGGGTTTCTTAGTTAATGCTACTCGATGGTAGGCACTGAGCACTGTGTATTAAGTTTGTACGGATTTTATGCTTCCCTCCGACATTTGGGACCCCAGAACGAGGCCAATACTACTCGTTTAGACTTCTTGCTTTATAATTATGGCCGTATTTTTCACTCAGATGTCTCGTCACAAGGGTAGCCCCGTACCCACCAGCCTATCCATTGGTCTATTCCTAGTTGATGCGATAGCTTCCCAGTGGACATATCAAGCATGTTTGTCCCCGTTTATAATTTATTAACCTTTGTGTTTAGGGGTTGAACATCATGTGTCTATCAGGTAGCTAGTCAGCAGACTGATAGGTATGCATGTAAGTGGAACGCTGATGCACAGATACAACATTCGGAGCCGCAGGCTAAACGGTAAAGGAAACGAATACAGAAAAGCCAAAGGACTACAATGATCCGGAACAATTATATTATAACTACTATACTAGATTACCAATCTAGCTATGTGTATAACTATCTTAATTTAAGAACTTTATGTAATCGTACAACACAAGGCTTAAGGGACATCAAATACTATCACCACCCTTGTATATTGCTAGTAGCACTCTTTTTGAGATTGTTCTAAGATCCTTTCGAAATTTCTTGGACGTAGTTCGTATTTTATACATAATGTTAACGTTTGGGTCACGCAGGGGGGGGGGGGGGGGGGGGGCTCAAAACGCTAGGGCTAGACTGCTATGTATCTACAGCAACATAACATATATCAGAAATATTAAGATAGTTCCAGCAGTAAAATTATGACACCTCCTACGCACAGTCTCATCCCATATGCATATATAAATAAGCATTTCAAACGGGGCCGGTACATATACCTTATTTTAATTTCGAAGAGCGGAATTCATATAGTTACACATATTGAGAGACTCAGCAAGATACGTCCGAGCTAGATATGGATATCTAATTGGGTTTAGGAGACACCGTTTTCCCTGTTGCTTAGAATTCCTTGGTTTAAACATGTTACAGTTTATTACATATATGCATCATGATCATCAGTACTGTGCCAGTATCATGTATATAGACGGTAGATGCGAGAATACTCTGCGGGTACTATGCACCTGACCCTGCATCAATCATTCAAACTAAAACCTAGTACCTAAGCATAAAAAAGTTGCATAGTGTCGTCTCTCTGGTCGATTAGTTAGAAGTATTTGAGAACATGGCCCATTCCATAGCTCACTCTCGGATGATACTTGAATGTGCGAATATGTTTAAAATCTGTTAGTTGACAAACGAACTGTGCCACGTCTAGACATCAAACCCTACAATTGTTCCAGCTCTCATATACGCTCATGACACAGCCTACACAATTATATTGTCGAGTTGGGCTCGCATCCGTGGGTATCCATACGAATCAAGGCAATCTCAGTATAGTATACGAAACTAGTGAGATATACGTATATGCTGAGAAAATTTGATGGTGAATATTTAAGCCGGTCTCCCTCGCGCAAACCTCTATGAAGCAGTCGCCTTGATCACTGAAAAGCGGTGCCACTATCGGGAATACCGAGGAGTTTCTATGCGGGTGCGATAATGGCTGGCAAAGCGAGAAGTGGGCTAGCTATAGTACCTGTGCCACCTGCACATCAGGCGTGCGGGATCTAACACCAGCCCAGCTTTTGCGTTTCCTTCGAATCTGGCCCTATGCATCAATTGTCGATGATTAATTAGTATCTAGTCATGCGGATGCTAACCTAAAAAAATTGACAGGATAGGCTCAAAGCTGCAAAGAGCTTTTCATCGAGTTCAGAAAATAGAATGAATCCTCGGAGCTCTTTGTAAGCTGAACTCGTAAGCTAGGTTGCAATGTTGGGGGAACCTCGCCTTAAACCAGGGTTCGAATCGTTTTGATAAGGTTAGCTAATTCATTAGACTTGCGAAAGCACGTATCTTATAATTTGGTCAATTAAAGGTATTGGTATTTGGGCATAGCTAGCATCATCATCATAATTAAACTATTATATTAGCTTGCGATCTCTCGCTCGGTTTCTATACGAAATTAGGATATCTAGATCGATGCTCTAAAGAATGATCGAAAATGATGTATGTCGGTATTAGCAAGCTTAACTCGTTGACTTAGGTCTATATTTATATCAAAACAGCAAAAGCGGCCGCCGAGCTACCGTGGCGATCTGTTTAAATCGAAGAGATCTTAAACTTCTGGTTGGTCTCGTTCCTACTCCGGATACCGATTACGTACATATGAGGCGAAGCCCAACATCACAACAATGACCAGCACAGCCGACAGCTTCTCTGTAGGAGTTTCATCCGCGTGTACAAGACTTATAACTTAGCTGTCTTGTTTGATCCCCGATGAGCTTACGTCTGGTAACGCATGCGGCTCAAACATTGTTGAGCAATGCCTCTCTCGGCGGACCTATTCTTGAATCTTTGAAATCCGCCCGAATATTTATAAATTGTCAGATGCACCGGGGTGTGCGCACGCGTCCAGGTATCGACCCAGGGTGTAGCCCTGGGGGGCGGTGTTTCGCATGAACATAGGATGTTTGTAAGTCTTGCTCAATCGTATCCGGCAGATCTCCATGACGATTTTTTTCATGTGGTTCCCTCATACGGACTCAATGGCTTCATCAAGAGTAGATTACAATACCGATATGGATACTGATTCCAAATGTCGGAATCACCCACCTCCCCTTTTTCGGCGTACGATTCGATACCAGCCTGATTGATTGAGACAATTGCTGCATCCCTATGATCGATCTTGCTCGAAACGAAGAAACAGAGATCTTAAACAGGCCCTTTTGACGTCCTTCTAGAATGCTTGATCCGGGTTTGGCATGGTTAGAAGGTCAGGGGTTATGATAAATATAATGCGTTGTGGTTGTGGGATTCGATTCGAAACCGTTAGGCAGGTTAGAAGGTTACAGAGATCCCAAATCCCCAATATAGGCTTGGTCACAAGTGCCCCAAGTTCCATAAGGGTAGGATTTGTCTCATATTGATCATGGCCGATGGTAACGGTCTGGAAGGATAATAGAGTGGGCCCGGGTCATTATGTAGTAATGAATGAACGCGACGAACGGATGTCTGAGTTTCTTGAGTCGTATGTCAACGACGTTACCGCAAAACACGATGTCTCGATCTCGGGAGCACATGTTCGGTGGCCTGTTCGGATTCGCTACCAGAAAGCTGACTATGTCTCCTCTCTGCTCTGGGAAGGAGGTCAGGTCGCAATTTGGGAACTTCGCAGACTTCCCACAGTTGGCTTTCCACTATCAGATCAGATTCTGAAATCCTTCTGTCAGACATTCTAGAAAATTGCCGTTTCGCCTGCGGCTCCTATTTTCATCCAGTTCCGAGATTAAGGGCACCGGTAAAATTGAGATTTCTGGCTTGTGGGAATTAAAGCATTTGGATTTAATATTTGAGAAATTTGAAGAAAAAGATTAATAAAAATAATTAAAAATTAAAAATTAAAAATTAAAAATTAAAAATTCCGTTTTGAGGTTCGCACCGTCAAAGCGTTCACCGAACCAAGCAGCCGAAACAAGGATAATGGCCGTCAAAGGCTGTGGCCTGTCGAAATTAAAAAGAACCAGACCTCGGGAAAACCTTCGGGTCAGGGATTACGTGTGCTCTAGAACGTCATAGAGTGTGGCTGCGGCGCTGTTGTGGCTTGTGTAGACACATGTCAGCTAACATCGATAACTCCGTGCTCCCGTGGGCTGCAAGAAACGGCAGCTCGAGCGAAGGCAGCAAGCTTGCAAGACATCCTACTGGATTTCTAGCCAACCGATAGCAACGAAGGGAAAATTTTTTACCGGATTCGTTCTACCCCGCTCGCTTTGCCTCCTCCAGTTGGATCCAGAGATTGATGTGCCATGTCTTCAAGATCGTAACGTAAGGTAAGAGCTCATGCTCTTTGAGCATGAATCGTTTGCATCCTTGATTCAAAGCTGATGTTGTCTACTCTCCATCCAAGGAAATCTCTGGATTCGAGATTAGGATTTTTTTTGGATTCCAACTTCAGCTCCGGGAATAGGCATATTGATATCATCGTTTTATATTTGGGCACCTGGATGGCTTTGAGGGTTCTAAAACCGGTTCCCGATCGATGCACCTGTGGAATTTGCATTGTAAAAGTGACAGATGCAAACCAAGCTCATGGGGATCTACGCTGCCCGTCGTCTCGGAGTCCACCGGGATGCGCAAACGGCCCAGCATGCAAGAATCTGGAGACAGTCTGAAGACATTGCAGAATCGATTAATCGATTTTAGTGGATCGTCTCGAGATTTGAAAAGGTACTTTGTCTCGATGTACCTCCGGACCCAACAGAATCAAGACCTTTGCCGAGACTTCGCCTCTCCTTTGCGAGAAGGTCTACCGAAATGTATACATTTTGGGTGGTATTGCAGATGGAGATAACGCAAAGGAACCTTTTCTTCGTGATCCGATAGGCGTTAAATGCAGGGCTGTTATTGGGTGCTGCCAGATGTGGATGGGACCTCGGTTCAACCTGCAATCACATCGACGGTCGAATTCCTTCCAGGAAAGTTGAATCGTGAGATCTTGCCACAGCAAGCGATGTCTACAGAGTCGCTGTATACTTAAGCGGTCGTACCATCAAACTTGATTCATGAATTTTTGGAAGCATCTAGGTATCGCCAGTCGACACGATATTTGCCATCCAATCGAGAGCAAGTCAAGGCCTCGTCCCGTCTGTCGCTGCTTGTTTTTTTGCAGGGTGATTCCTCGAGCGAGTTACGTCCGCTCTAGCACCATCGTCCGCAAATAGCAGCCCTTGTCCTTTCTGGGAATCGACCCACACCTCCACTGCGATGAGAAGAGGAAAACAGGAAAAAAAGAAAATAAGGGGACGCTGGTGGATCCAAGGGTCTTTGCTTTTTCGGTTTTGTCATTTCCTGTGCAAGGAAGCGCAAATTAGTCTGGGGTTAAACTTAGAAACATACAGGAACAGAGACTTTGCGCCCTTCACGAACGATCGAAGCCTTCCCCCAAAGACAACCTAGCTTGTTTTTGGTACAATTCGTGCCTATGCATTCCATGTCTTGCAGGCAAAAATCTCTGCAAAGATGGTAGTAGACATGTCACCGCCGGTACTTCCTCGCTCTCGACGTGACCGTGGCGGGTCTTCTCTCAAATTGCCATGCGACCTTTACATTCCTTTTTCTATCTATAGACTGCTACCATTTGCCCAAAGGTACCGACCTTGGGAGTACCTCGAGCAGGTATTTTGCTCCACCCCTCACACACCGGTATCTTTCCCTTTTGCCGCCCCCATCCATCCATCCTCTTGGTCTCTTGAAGGTGCATGCTGCGCATGCCCTCACACTAGTTACTAGTACGGAGTACCTGCTCGGGCACTGGTTCAGTACGTTACTGGGAAAACAAAAAGCATATGGCACCCACCCCTCTTCCCTTGAGTTCCTGCTTCTCTATCAGCAATCGATATATATACTCCCCTAACCGCCCATTACACATACATATTCTGATCATTCATCAAATACTACTACTACTTCTATACACTATTTCCTAATCATACCTAATGATCAAGTATATACGATCTTAACGACTCTTAAAAAAAGTATCAGCTTCAACTCATTCTATTCGACCTGGACTGTTGGATCTGCGACATCAACAGACTTCCACATTTTGCGTTGTACAGCATATAGCCGCCTGACTTTATAATTATCGGCACAGCCATTCATTACTTCGAATCCGACTTCGACGTTCCCCAATTCATAACCACTACCTATAATACATATATATCATTTGTGTAGTCCAGGATGACTGCCTTTGCCGTACGACCTCTCCGACCAGCGCTGTCGCTCCCTCCTACTCTTTGCAATAATTCCCAAAGCCGATCTGCACCGACAAAGCTTTCCCTCTTTATCCCCTCCTCAATTGACACAAGCGCTCAAAATGCTCCTTCGCCATCGTGTAGAACATTTGGCACTCCTATCGCAGTCAAGAAGCCAAAGTTGTCATTGAGTTTTGGAAATGACACAAGAAAAACATCCTCCTCGTCGAACTCATTGAAGCTGAGCTGCAGTCCTTCGAGCGATGATGAAAGTACCGCTTCGCAAGAGGATATCACATCGAGGAATACAGCTGTTAATACACATATCGGACCCGGGTCGTATAACCCATTTGGTTCTTGTCGATGGACTCGAACATATTCATACACTGAGGTCCGTGGAAAGCGATCGATATTAAAGGGATCGCCTTCCCATTCCCAATCGAACTCGCCAGCCTACGAAACAATGACCCGCAGTGTAACTTTCCAATCGGAACACACTGTGATTCCTTCCCCATCCGAAGAGGAGGAGGACTATGAGTTCGTTCCTCGCAGACACGAACTGGAAGATATTGACAACATGTCTCCACCATCCACAACATCCTCTTCTGATTCCGAAGAATCCGAATCTGACTCGGAACCAAAGACCCCAGTCGATGACGAAGACACCAGAGGTCGATGCGTTGACCGATTTGCATCTGCTCTGTCTCGCAGCGGAAAATGGAAAAGGTCGAAGAGAGAATGGGTATGGACATTAGGAGGATCCGACAGCAATGACATTATGCAAGAGTTGGAATACAGCAGTGCCAGTCTCATGCAAGTTGAAGCGATATAGGCTTCACTCTAATCATTAATTGTCTTGTTTGTGTTTTATATCTCTCTCTTTTGAGTACAGTATAACTTTTTTTTCTTCAATTTCTTTTACTTTGTCGATTTAGCGATCATTTGTTTTGTCATCTTGCATTTACACCAGTGGTCTGGTTTTTTCACTGGCCTGAGTAGCCATAGCATTCATTGGTTTTCTTATTATTTACTTTTACATTTTCTTCTCTATCCTTTTCCTCATCGGAATGGGGGGTTATTATTTCAATCTTGTCAATTTAGGCACAAGGCTATTGACATTTCCTAGTCATCCTTCGCGGATCTGTCTATTTCATCACTGTCATTTTTTATTTTATTTTCCTATGTTCAAAAACAAAAAACTCTTCCGGTGGTTTTCTTTACGCATTCTTTGTTTTGATACCCTAAAATTAAGGCTTCACGGGAAAAGGAGACAATAGTATAGCAGTAGTAGTTCAATATCAAAAAACCACTGTCCTTACCGTCTATATCAAAATCGAATTATAGTCCTCCTAAACTGAAGTACGTTTCGAGTTAATCGCGCGTTAAACCCTAGACGGAAGATAAAATGGGATCGACAAGGTGCGGAATCGCCCCTCCTGTCAATGTCCACCTTTAGTTTTAGCTATCGATTTGTGGTTTGGTCGCATCCACATATCAATACATTTTTACACAGGTGCATGTTTGTTCAAGATGGTGCGGGCGGGCCTGTGCGGTTCTTCTCCTGTTTCAAAGATGTTTAGTTTCACCGAACTGACCTGGCCCACTTTTCTACAATCAAGAAGCATCTTGGAAGGAAGACACTTGAATGATGGGTGTGCAGAACCGAGATGAGAATTTGTCAATGCTTGCGTCTCCTAGTCGCACTTGGAATTGCAAAAGTGGAGAAATCTACTATTTGCTGGATTGTGGATTGTTCGAAAACTCAGCCAGGCGGGTCCCGCAAAAAAAAAGCCACCGCGTATTACAGCACATGGCAGTTATTCCGTTTTGATCATAAAGGGATTTTGGGTAGGTAATTTGGTTACCGGTATTACATAGTATTCTGACATCCATCCACTTCGCCTGCCCAGGTTTACGTTGATGAACTTTTGGTTTGCCACGCATGGGGGGCCGTTTCCCGTGATATTGGCGAGACAGAATTGGAAGCTCTATCAGCCGAGAAAAGCCCCTATAACGGGTCTTCACTGCCATGATAAGCCATCTATCTCCGAAATGTTCAAACTAGCTTCAGGCCTCCATATGCAATATACAAATCTTGAAAACGATCATATGAAGCACATGGACGTGCGCAACTACCACACGTACTATGGTATGGTCAGCAGAATAAAATAAAAAAAGAATCATTGATTGGATCTCAAACAAGAGACCGAACGGATCGTACATCAAGGGATCTCATCACTCCTTTCGACAATGGCTTCTCCACAAATGCAAGGCAGGGTAATCCTTTGCGAACTACGCAGGGCTAATGCAAGAGCCGATTTTCGGCTCTCAACTTCTGCTATACCACAGCTTACTATCATTACGAATACTGTTAGAGAGCCTTTATTGTGAAACAGCCGAATTCTCGATCACGACCAGAAACTCTCCCCCTCTGACGGAGAAAATATGTGCTTCAGCTACATAAATGTCTGTACTTACTTGTACAGTAGATACAACCACACTCTAACGACGGTGTTTCTATTTTCAACATTTATAGAATCCCAACGGGCCAATAGTCGGCTTCATAACGTTGCGTGAACATGGAATAGCCTAGATCACTCGCTCCGTCTTTCGCTCCAGAACGACCGTCCGTAACTCACTAATATCTCCTCGCCCTTTTTGATCCCCTTGAATCCTTTTATTCCGTTGTTCACAACAACAAATACCCCCATGATCCCGGTTTCTCGTTCTTTGAACTCGGCATTAGGCTTCGCGGCGACGCCGCGATAATCATTTATCATACGGGCTTCATTGCCGCCGAAACGTGCATCGATTGCAATGCCTCGGTTTGTCCCCCCCACGTCTCGCGTGAGTACCAAGTCGTAGTTTGAGGCTTCATCAGTGTCCTCCGGGCTTGTTTCGTGATAATGGCCCAAGTAGTCTAGGATATGGGTTCCTGGAGCTAGATTTTTCGTTGCTATACAAAATATTTCAAATTTTTAGTTTATTCAACAAGAAAAAAAAGGAGAATTTAAAAATAACGTTAACTAGCTAAAGTTGGTTCAAAACTCTGTTTTGTCTCGTGCCCATCATCCATCAACTAATTGTGGGCCAGCTTTAGGCTGCACCGGCAATTGGGGAGAAAGAGAGGTATATGCATACCAAACAGTCCGTATTCACCATCGGCTGGGTGTGACGAGTCCGAAATTTTTTTTATAGCCACATTCTCGGAGGGGGCTGTAGCGAATCGAGGCCCGCTGCTGCTGCTCTTTGATCCAAACCCTAACGGGCCGAGAATCGTCTGATCTAACTTTTCTGACAATGTTGGTTTAGTGAGATACTTGATGTCCTGCGGCCAGTTCTTGGGTTTGGAACCTGAAGCCATTGCATTGGAGGAAACTATACGTGGTACATGGGAGCTCTGCAAATGACTTGCGTGAACGGAAGTACCCAGGTTGAAACTATGTGGTTTGAACGTGCATTCATATTCAAAAAAAAAAAAAAAGTTGAAACTAAGAGGCTGATACCAACACATCGATGCATTCCTCCCAACTCCAAGTTGGAACGGCAAAGATTCATGCATACCCGCCGGATGCAAAGAGCTGGATTTGGTTAACATTGGAGAGTAGTAAACATATTGTTGTTCAGGCTAAACTGAATTCGCTGATCAAGAAACCAATGTGAAATATAAGGTTTTGTTAGGTCAGATGCTGTTGGCTCAGCCTTTTTTTTAACATAATCGATAAAAAATCCTGGGAAGGGCTTAAGGACACAAGACGATGCGACGCAAGCTCAAGCTAGACACAAAAAGTGAAAGTATATACTGATGGATAGTTCATGTACATGATCCCAGATCCTGATTATTAACAGCTAAGAATGAATAATAAGAATAATAATATATAAACATGCACAAGGTGGCAATTTTCAACAAGTTACGTAGAAGAAGGAATGATGCAAAATCGTAAGAATAACAACGAAGAAAAGTATAGGAGCGTAAAAGCTAAGCCACAAACCATGAGGCTGAATCGAATTTCGTATATGCTTGCAGATGTCGATGCACGAGTGTTTCAACGAAGGTACCGGGTTGGACGTAGTTCCGAAATGCTTGACTCCTGCGTGGGGGGACTTTTAGAATTTTAAGATAGTAGTAAAACACCGTTGAAAGTTGAAAGTTGTATGTTGCAATGTGATATGTTCGAAGTCTGGGACCTGTTGTACTTGGTGGCTGTGACCGAATGCATTGACAAAACTGCACCGGAGTTAGGTCATATAATCATAGGAGCCTCAGGTCTGTCATCATTGTAGCTCAGGCAGTGTAAGATGCATGCACTTTTAACCACTGATAACAAAAGTTGGCTTCAAGCCTCGAAGTCCAGGTTTGATTCGTTAGATTCGCATCCCAGATTCTCGCAAGAAATAACGTCTGCGCTCTTCAGCCTCCTGGACAAGCTCCAGAGCCAGTTTCAAACTTGGTGCAAGGTGTGCGTAATACTGGAGCTCAGTGATCACATCCTTCAACATTTTGTCGATGTTATCTGGGAACTATAATTAGCTACTCGAATCACAATCCAATAGCACGAATTTGGGACTCACCGGCTGGAGGTAAAACGGCGGCAAGGGAAGGTGACATTGTTGCACCCATTACCAAAAGGCTTTGGGAAACCATGCTACACAAATTTTAGTAATCGTTCTAGAAGAAATCTGGAATCGAGGCATAACTTACGACAGTGCACCTTGCCACAGGTAGGGCATATGTCCCGCATGACTATGAAATGACGTATAATTAGTTCACTGCCGGGTTTGAATCAATTTGATTGCAACTTACTGCTCAGTTATATGCTCTAGCTGTCTCAAGCATGCCTCCAAACACTTCCGGCAATTCTCTCGAACAACTGTATCCATTCCAAGCTTCTCGTCCTTCAGGACAGCGTGTATATATGGGCGGAATATGATTGTCCGACATGCGAAATACCGAAGCCTCAGGACTGTTTGGATCGGGTTGTTAAGTTGCACCCGACTATGTGGGAATTGCAGCGCTAGTGGTAAACTCTCATACCATTGCGTTAGTTGATAGTCGAGTTCGCCAACAATAGGTCCTAAGGAAGATATCGAACGTTCTCTGTTTGCTTCGGAGTAGATTAAATGGCTGACACGGTTGAGGAGACGTCGTAAGGCGATTTCAGCGAGGAAGTACCAGAGGTCGTCCCGAACCCCGGCAGGTGAGTCTTCGTCTTCGATTTCAAAGCCGCAGGGGAGGCCTATGGATTCTTCAAATGTTACAATTCCGGAATGCGGTAAATCCAGCTCGGCAAGCAGATCGCTGGATTTGAATACACTAGTATCAGCTAGATGAGTATTAAAAGGTCCAAAATAAAGGGAATTGGTGGTCTACCTCTCAAATAGCAGGGCGTTCCAGAACACCCGCTCGCTAAGTTCTCTACTCGAGGTTGGTAGTAAAGCAGGCGGATTGGTGGTGAGCAGAAGTTGTAGTTTCATACTAATGCTGCTCAGTAATGTCCACGCTTCCAATGGTCGTACCAGATAGAATAGATATGCAGAAGTTAAAATCATGCATTGGGCGGATAACATCGTCGTCCTCGTCATGAGCGAGGGGAGCAGTGCCCAAGCAGCGGAGAAGTAGGACATCCCTGGTGGATCTTCATGGATCGGAACTCGTGAAATCGATCCTCTGGTACTGGCTTGTCCTAATGCTAGAACTAGTAGTACCACGCAACTTTCCGGACCCGTTCTGAATCCTTGTGAAAGGGCAGTTTTGTACAAACTTGTCCAGTTGTAAGGATTGACGACGGCATACCAGACATTGACTCGCTCAAAGTAGGCCTGGACATAGGCATTCGTGTTGGAAAGGTCGAGGTTCATACTGGTATTGAATTGCAGTGGTGGCCGCTCTAATTCAACTTGAAGGAGTGTCTCTGGCGAGTAAGGTAGAGAAACCAAGTGGTTGATCTTTGGCCATTGTAATAAATTCAAGGCCGGTGTCGAGTGGTTCTTAGGCATGCTCGAGATGTTGTGGATATTCGACCAAGCACCCATCCCACTTGTGAGGTTATTGCTCATCCCAATATTTAGCTGTGCCATTCGCCCGTCTCCACTTAGGTTTGTCGAGTGACTAATGGCAGGAGACGCCGACATTGCCATCCCGCTACCAGGTGGAGTGGACGGCAAAGCGTTCTGCAATAAATTCTCGATTCGATTTAGATGTTCCAAGATTAGCTTATCTCCGGCATCAAGCTTTATCCCTGGTTCGCGGTAGATGCACTCTGCATTCAACTCGATACAAAGTCGACATTTTGGTCGAGATCCATCACATCGAGACTTCCTCGATCGACAAACCTCACACTATATAAAATTGACCGTTAGCTTCCAAGCTGCTTTATCATCTAAATTCAAAATGGTTCTTTAGGGAAGAAAGCTCACAGCTATCGTAGCTCTTCGTCGAGGATATTCAACACCATCTGTATTCGACCGTTTCCGCCCGTTGCCAGTTTGTGAGACGGCACTCATGGGAACGTCACCGGGCCCCTGAGAGTCCGCACGTTCAATATCCGGTCGCGCACTGGTTGGCTCGACACTTGTGGCTTGAGATGTTCGTCTTGCAGCACCGTTTCCATTTGATAAGTTGTTCCCATTGGTAACTGCATCTGATGTGTTTATTGATAGTTGTGGTACGCCTGTCCCTGACATTGCAGAAGACGGCGAGGCGTCCGGTGAGGACGTCATGGCTGTTTGTATACGGCTAAGCCGCACTAGTGTATTTGCGTTATTATGTGGTGTCGATGTCGGTTTTCGAATTCCAAACAGTCTGGATCGAAAGCCACGCCGTTTATTCTGGAGACTTGCTCCCAACTTAAACGGCCCTCGATTAACTACTAGGGGCTCCAGAGTTGCGACTGGTGGGGTGATTCTAGGGAGACTGTAGTGGATCTGGAAGTCGATGGATCCAGGTGATAATAGCGTCGGATTCAACAATCCAGCGTATACTCAAGATGTAGAATGACTAATTTAGGAAATATGTTTTGACTGATCCGCCAAAACTTGCTTCAAAGTTACAGTAAACCGAGCTTGTAGGTTAGTACTAGTAAGATAAGATCGAAGCTTCGTGTTTTCAGGTCCTGTTTTGCCGATTATGGACTTGATAAAAATATGGTTGGTGTAAATGAAAATGAGGAGTCGGTAAATCGTAGCGGTGAAAGAGATAAGGCTGCCCAAAACCCGATTTCATAGGTTAATATGGCGACAAGAAAGCGAAGAAATATATATTGAGCAGGGCTACCCGGAGAAGAGTGGTGGCGGGCTACTCGAGTGCCTGAGAATATGTATCAGGGCGAAAAATAATCTTCTAGAAACCAATAGCGTCTTTCCCATCAATGCAGCGTCTGTCTAGCTACGTCCAGCCCATCGTTCCGCAAGGGTCATCGGATACATTTCAATAGATATTAAAATTGATATGTAGTTAATTATTTTCGGAAAGACAGGACGAACCCAAGGGTCGGTGCCATCTAAATTTTGAAAACGGTGCCGTCTACTGAATACCTATTGAAGTTAGCTTCAAACATTCTTCGGGACGTTTGAGGGAAACAGTTACTGAAAGACTTGAACAATCGTAGATCATACACAGGTGACTGGCAGGTTTGGCAATGTCGGGTAAAAAGTTTTGATTTCTTCGGTCTTTGTTCAAGGAGGAGAGCAAAGAACAAGGGGCACTTGAAGGTTGGGAATTGCTTCCCGTCAGGTGAGATACCTCGCAAAAGAAATAGCACTTTTGGATTCTGGCTCTGTGATATTTGCGATGCGAAGAACAGGGATTCGGCAGGACTTGCGGGGTTAAAGGGAGAGGAATTGCCATTACAAGGGACGAGCGATTATATGTAGGAGTAGCTCGTGATTGCGGGGGATGGGGATGGAGAAAGGGGAGGGGCACCCAAAAGACCCCGGCGTGCGAATGACGAGAAGCTTTGATTCATCCGCAGTCGACGGTCTCGTCTACTGCCTCGCGGACGCGAGGTTGCGCCAGATTGATATTGCAAGCCTGTCACAGCAATTCAAGGCACCCAACCGACGGAGAAGATGAGATGAACTTAGCTGGAGGTTCTAGGGCATGGGTGTATGTTGCATCCAGTGATCAATAAAAGAACGGATATTATTATATAAGTACATCAACTCACACAGTTTGAATGGACAAAAGAGCCTGGTGCTCAAGTTCGAATTCCGGATAAGTAAGATGCAGCAGGCTGTTTGCCCAGGCGTAACATTACCACCACTGCAAATTCTAGCGATAAATAGCCGTTATATATCATGGACAAAGCTCGGAGCGACTAAGTGGGTCATGCGGCAATCACTAAAAATTCATGCATCCCCAGTTATGGCATGAAGGGGAACAACCTTAATCAATGTCAAGTTTTTTAAGAAGGCTCCACAGACGTGCACATCGACAAGCAAAGGTTGGTTGTTCTAGATGTGCCAAGAGCTTCCGTGCGTCGTCAAACTCGCCCCATGTCAAATCTCCGTGGCACTCAGAGAAAGGACGACTTTGTCCGTTCTAACCTTCGTGGGTTCGTGATTTTGGGAAGGTTCGGCCAATGGGCGGAGGGAGACGTCCCATCAGCAGGCTATTTTCCTTCTAGAAACGATATTTTGCTCCTCGACTGCATTATTCAAGTGTGTGCCAATTTGACGACAAGGGTCCCATAGGCGATCAATGTCAAGCCGCCTCGACGCTTTCGAGAGTGTAGGAATTGTATCCAGACAACCTGGCATCTCGTACAATATATCCCAGACGGGTGTGGGGAATTATTCTTCCAACTCCGATGGACAAGTCTCGTGCTCCCTTCTCAAACTTGCTGCTTTTTTCCTGGGACGTGATTCCACCATGTTCTGAAACCTTGGTGCTGTCCCAGCGTTTTAACCGGAAGCACCAAGACCCACTCCGGCGATGGGACAAGCTTTGATGCCCGATTTATGGTGGAGCTACCCCGGCACACGGCGACAGTCGTAACTGGAGACGTGAATACGACCTAACAGATATCACAAAAAACTACGATATCAGCAAAGAACAAACGAAGTCAGATCGGCTGATCATGTTGAGTTCGGGCCTGTCGTTGGACTAGATCGAACCATACGGAATTTGATACGTACCGTCGGGTAACGCTTGGGCGGAAACTCTCTGGTCCGAGCGGAATATATAGATCAATGCCCAGGCCCGTTATTCTGGTGTTGGTATTATTGTTATCGATATATATATATATCACATCCCCCTTCATGTATAACAGGAAGAAAGTCACATCAGATATAGCAGTCAGTGCGCGCGGGTGACGTGGACGTTGAAGATGTTTCGATAAACAGATCAGACGAAGCCTGTGTTACAGAAAATCCCAAGTAACCATTTGTGTGACCTTGTCTTAAAATCAATCTCACAACAACTCATTAGATTAATTAACTTCCTCGGTTGCCAATACTCGAGATAATATAATATACTCAGCTCAGCTGCACACCTGGGAGGGAGGCCCTCCGGATTTCTGACAATTGACCCCAGATTTTGGCGAGAAAAAAATATGCACCATACTATAGGGCTTGGGACATGTCGAAAACGGAACTCGGTTCGGAAGTCAAGACGGCTAAGTTGCTTGACAATTTTAATTTTCTTTGATTATCCATTCACCAAGCATCATGGGCATAATTTAAAGGTCAACACTAAAACAACAATGATATATCATATTAGTATGTTATTATTCAATCGCTGGTAGCATTCCCTGCGCCTCTAGTATACATGACACGTAAGATACTTTCTAAGATCACCGTCGAGTATATAACGGTTGCATGGGATATATCGATATAAGCGTGTGATAAAACAATCTTTCAGTTTTTAATCTCCCCTGGCGCCCATAGCTAGATGCACTATGCTCACATGAAATATACTATACTATATTACTGTGACATATACATGTTCAAGCTCATGTCGCTTTATTCCCAGGCAACCGCCTATATATTCCAGGATGTATTTTCTCTTCCCGGTTATGTTAATACCGCATCGTTAATGCCATTCATTTCATTCTTCTAAATAAGCCGAGCGAATCACGATTCATCAGAAGATCATGATATAGCGCACCATAAGGTCAGCCGCTGCACATGCGTATACATGCAAGCCAATATGTACATGTCCTCGTAGCATATCAAAGGATCGACGCGCCACATGTTTCGCTCGTACAATACGCACATACATACGAAGAATATGACGCCAAGAGCGGGTCCTATTTTGTGTAAGGATAGGTATGTAATCAACTGCGACGGGGTTTGGGTGCGGGGTGATTTGGCGGAGTCAAGTGGTGGAGTGGTGGAGTGATTTCTGAACCCGCAAAAAAAAAGTATTTACCCGAACCCGGGTAATCTGTTTCAAGCAATTGGGATAAGCGGACAAGGAAATACTTCGGCTCACAGGAGGGATCATGTTAACCCCGCAGAGCTTCGCCTCAGCGAGGTCGCGAGGTTGGAAACGTTGACCCGCATCGAGGATTTTGCCTCCGGTAGCGAGGTCTCATGGTGTTTTTACCATACCCAGCTGCGGTGCACAAAGTGTCGTGATCTTGCGAGCCAGACGACCAAGTTGGGAAGTACACATCTAGATATCTAAAAATAATACAATCCCTCCATCTCGCCACCAGCCTTCTTGGTATGGCCTATTTTGAGGTCTCTTCGGTTGAGATATGACCGAACCTCAAAAACAAAACATGTTCACAATATCTATTCAACCAATCGATACGTCAGTCGGCAAGCGGAAGACGGCTTAGACAGTCCATGGTTCTCCCCTAATAGTGCATGATTCAAACCCAGTAGGATATTATAATTCACTGGTATCTAAATGCTGCATCAACAGGGTCTAACGGTCCGAACATCCCGTTCCAATTGATGATCTGATATTCACGCAGACTATTGGTAGACGCATCTGCGGCTGGTACATTGGATCCCACAAAGTATCGCCAAGGGTAGGAATGAAATCAAAGTCCACGTTTGCATGAAAACCGTTAGACAAGCAAGCCTTTTTTTTTTTTTTTCATCCCATAACAGTGCTTGAATTGTATTGTTTCCTGAAAAATAATATTTCGCTTGCGGTCAGGGCCCTGTGAAATACAACGCCTGATATATGCTTCAGTAAGCTAAAGCCGTGTTGTCTATAGTATAGCGGACAACCTTGGTAAACTATTTCAAAATTGATACGGTCAAGAAATGTTACAAGAATAGGATCTGAATCTTCATCTGATTATCAAGGAAAGAAAAGTATATAGAAAGGGGTAAAGATATGCCTTAGCGAGAAACCTTCGGGACCCCCCCCACCTCCATTAGACCATCTGATAGCTTATAGCGGCTCAAACCGAAGGAAACCATGAAAATCTTGAAGATATGCGATATCTCGGAAGCTTCTCCTACATGTCCAGTGACTAAAATGCCGCAAAATCAATTTCTTAGCTCTTATGTATTCATATATTCTCAATTGCTACTAAATCGGACTTTACCTGTGGGGAGTTTCGAGTGCATCATTGTCCTCATTACCATCATCATCCCGTCGAAGCTTGAAGTTCGCTAGAATAGCAGCAAGTAGTAGTGACATTTCTGTTAATGCTAGGCTATATTTGGTTGTTGTTCGGCTCGTTAGCATTATTCATATCCCCGATTAGTTTTTTTGCATTGTGATTCATACTGTTTTCCGATACAGCCTTAAAATAACGGTTAGTACAAAGAATGTTCCATGGAAAGTTTCAAGAAGGAACTTACCTCTACCACCGGAACCAAAACTCCACAGCCTTCTTTCGAGCTCCTGCACCCTGTCTTTGTCTGCATCAGACTTAACAAGCCACCGACTGGGTTTCCACTGAACATTTCCGGGGTTCTTCTCGAATTCTGGAAGAAATGTCAAGTTGACTGCTCGAACCGAAGAAGAGGCTAAAGTTCCGGCCGGAAGCCAAAGCCCGTCTACAACCCGGCCGCCAGATGGCACAACTCGAGGCAAAGTGACGGGGATTGCGGGAAATATCAATAGCGTTTCCTTGATCACACTGTTAAGGTATGTATTATTCAGTATCTGGTTAATATCCGCTACGGTCAAAGGCTGATCAAATGGACATAAATCGGGAAGGCTGCTCCTGATGGTTTCCTGGTATTCATGGTGTTCAGGAAGTGAAAGCATGGCAAGAAGGAATGAAAGCGTGTCGCTCGTGGTATCCATCCCTGAGTGCCGTCAATGTCTACCGAATCTAGAAGTCTTGGGAACGGCTATTACGTATCTTACCTGCAAGCATATGATCCTAGATCAGTGAAAGTTACACCGTCAACTATGTCCGTGCTCATATGGTGGGATAATGCATACCATTGATTCACTTGCGGCACCAAACTCATCAAAAACTTCAGATACCTTGCCTGAAACTTTGCCCGAGAGAAGATTCTTTGCGACCGTGAGCTCAACTGAAGGGCGGTCCTTGAGCTCCCGCATGTTCTTGTAGGCATAGTTATGGAGGAAAGTACCGCCAATATACTTGGAATCCGGATCTACTCTTCGCTGGATAATACGGATAACTTTCTGGGTAGTCCGCTCAAATGCTTCAAAACATCTCAACGCAACGTTGAAATCGGTCCAAAGATATATCTATAGAGAGTGTTAATATCAAAGCTAAACGTCATTTGAAAGGCTCTAGAGCTGTCGCTAATCAATTGAGAAGTTTTCATGAAAGATTTCTGTCCCAAATCTTACCTTTTCTCTCCTTGTTGGGACATACCAGTCGTCGATAGAGTCCCGCTGAAGTTTGATCTCTGCACTATCCGCGAGTGACCCCAATGTCTTTGTCCCCCGCTCCTCTCCAAAAACATGTGCGCTAACATTGTCGCACGCAAAGTAAATATTGGCGGGATATATGTCAATAGATCGCCCGGGTCCATTTTTCGACTCGCTGCCCTCCCTTCGTGCGTATTTTACATATTCCCCAACTGTTCGCCATATGTCGCCTCTACTTGCTTCTCGGTTCAAGATATTTGTTAAAGAATAAGAGCTCGCAATCATTCGGCGTCTCCAGGAGTGTGCTTCAGAGGTGAGGGATGAGAACATATTATACCTCCCATAATGAGTGAACATGGCATAGAGGAAACCTATTCAAGTAATGAAGGCTCAGTATTTATTCCACCAATAATATTCTTGTAAGGTTCCGGGCAAGTAAGCCGGCCACGATTTCCTTACCTTTAGGGAACCCGCTTTCACGACCGGATCCAGTGTATATATCTTTCACGGCAGTAGTGGAGGTAAATGAGACTTCATTTGGGGCTAATCGCACAACTGGCCCGTATTTTCGATGAAGGTCAATGACGATATCAGTTCTTTGATCCTGGTAATCGTGATATAGAATCCATAGTCGGGTCACCGCAGCCAGCTTTGGACCCGGGACAGCTGATAACGGCGAAAAAAAGAGCCGGTATACAGTAAGAATAAACCCATATGCAAAGAATGGCAGCAGGAAAGTCAAGAAGGGATGATTGGTCACGGGCTCAAAAAGTAGAGAGCTTCCGAGTTTTGCTGAAACTTGAAATATTGCCATTGAAGTTAATCCGTAGGCTCGAGATCTCGAGCCGCAGCTAGTTTCCGAAGCCCTTGATTGATCACAATATCACTCGCGTGCGCGCTAGCCACGAGCTATGTTGGATTTTAGGCGAAGACGGTGTTGCTATAATCCTTAGAGATTTCACCGAAATTGTTGAAAGTATGCTTTAATTTTGCGTGATGTATCTGCGGTCCCCCTCTCTTGGGTATTCCCTTGACTGATAATCGGATATCGGGTGTAAATTTGATATCTATTTCGAGATAGTTAGGTTCTCTATTGAGCTCTCTGTTTATCGTGCGCCTCAACTCTAACTAGCGCCCGATAGCAATATCTACAACAAAAACAACACACTTTATTCCGAAGCTACGTTATTAGGTCTATGTAGCTTTGAGATCAGGGTAGAGAGCAGGGCAATACAAATTGCTGCATGCGCATGCTGATACTAAAACAATGATGATAATGTATACTATGCATTAATTGGAGGTTCAATTATTTATCCAACTATCTGTCTCGGGATGTATCGAATTTGGGAATTTAAAGGCATACGGTTGGTGACTTTCGTGAGATTGTTGGAGAGCCCATACCACTGTCCATTGTCCAACAACTTTTAAACCTTATTGAAATCGATAATAGGGTCCACCATTGACTAGCTTCTGGGACGAGAGTGGATTTGCAAATAGGCCTATGCGATTATTGTGACACAAGTCGGGTCAAACAGTTTGTCGATTAATTGATCTAGAATACTTGTTCGTGACGGATTATTTTGTTCCTTTCAAAATAGCACCCTCACAATCTGTGATGAGAACGACTTGGCTAGCTAATGTAGGAAATGCTCTAAATGTTGGTTGGAAGTTAATTAGTTGCACACGTCGGGGTAGCTGGGCTGTATTTCTTCAACTCCACAGTCGCAAGCGGCAAAGCCACTAAGATATCACTCCGGATGCAGCGTGCATAAACAAGCAGTAGTAATATTATAATATGAAGCCTAGTATATCGCGAAATTCATCTGGCTGTCGCTGAAATCCGATGGTTTTCCACCGGGGATGTAAGCTTAAGCTTACACAAGCTCACACAAGCCAAGTTAGAACTAATACAAGATCTTAAGAGTGCATGGAGCAAAATTGTAACAAAAGACAACACAGTTGGTCACAATGCTTGTTATTTTATAGCGGAAAGGTCGTTAGATTCTATAGCTATCTAATTAATACACAGTAGTATGTATAATATAATATTAGTCTCATATTATAGATATTTTGAGATCTAGGTCGTGCAATCTCGAGTAAACTGAGCGCCGGTGAGGTACTCCCTAAGGAAAAAGGAAAAAAAAAAAGGTTCTCAGAAAGAAAATATAGCAAGAATCTAATATAAACATATACTCGGACGCTGTACAACTTGACCTTCTTTGCAACCCTTCATTTTAATATTATCTTGAATGAGACTATTGTAGTTTGAATTTGATAATTACATAATTGTTCGTATTGGCGTTTTCGTAGGAAGAGATGTAAATGAAACCGGAGGTCCTCCAGGTGAAAGACAATGGTACTGGCGGTGTTTGAGGACCGACCGTGCAAATGATAAAGGATTCTGCATCTTTAGTGCAAAAAAATGGTTCACGGGTGTCTGTGGAAACGTCTGGGTCAACAAAGGAGAATAGTAGACTACCGGCACCACTGTTGGTGGGATTTCCCTTAGCGACCCTGCCCCCAGTCCAGAGATGACCATTGGAATCAAGTCGGAGAGGTATTGCCTCATTTACATTATTTGTGTAGTAAGCGTATGGGACATTTGATGACAAGACCTTTTCTCCTATGTAGGAGTCTCGAGCAGCGTTGTTGACGTAAATTCGACCTATTTGGGTGATTTCGGTTGGAGGCGCCTCAACAGTTGTTGCAATTGTATTTATAACTATTTTATCAGTCGTCGTGACGCTCACGGTAGCATCCGTGATTGTAACCGAAGTAGTCTCAACGACTTTGGTGACTTCTGTGAGACTTGTTTCGGTAACTTGTAGCGTGACGGTAGTCGATGGTGCAGAGGCGGTAATGATTCTTGGGGTGACACCAATACAGGAACAAGCACTGGAAAAACGGTAGAATCCAGAACATGGAGTCGCATAGGCAGGGAAACTGATAGAGCTTGAGGTAACCACCCTCTTTTTATTGGCCGGTTTTGTGATGGTAGTCAACAGATCCGTCGTAGCCGTGGCCTGGATTACATCGGTCTGTGTGTCAAAGAATGTTTCGACCAGTGTGCTAGGGATCGTGCTAATATCTGTCACTGTAACAGTGGAATACTCTGTTTTTGTTCTAGGTTTTGGCAAGACATATTAGCTTCATGCATCTACATTTATACAGATAAACCCCCAAGACTTTAAAACTTTGAGGGTCTAAGGCATAGTACTACGTACACCGTAGGAGGGGTGTAAGTAACATCGATGATGCGTGTGCAATCCGCAGAGGCTTGAGCCAGGCGTGTAGGTGTTTGTGTAGCCCTCAATGCTAAAATTATATTAGACATTTGTTAGTCGACATCACTTTATTTTTTTTATATATTGATATCTCAAGTATCGCAAATCTCCTCTTACCTCTCAAGCAATTATCTGCATTGCATACACGCGGTCGTGCACATGTCTCCGTCGCCGAAACTGCGGAAATCGCACTGAGTGCGATAACTATCGATCTAAGATACGTGTCGACCAATCCCTTTTTTCTAACGGATGTCTATTAAAAAAGAAAGGAAGGGGAGCTTTTCGAAATAAGCTTTCAGGCCAGGATTTCGATATTGATAAATATCGGGGTTTCAAGAGAGCGAGGTGCTGGTGGTAGACAAGGAGGATATCAGGGCTCCCCTTTATAAACCATACCCTTGTCATTATGGACTGTAGCAGCGAACGTCCGAAATTAAATCGATTTCGCGCTACGAAATAGACCCACCCAGCTAGACAAAATGTTAAAATCAAAGCGTACATGTCTCAAATGCCTGGTCTGCAGCTTGATAAATCAGGGTGCGGGGCGTGACGAGTAATACTGTATAGGCGCATTGCATTTGGCGATTTAGACATTTAAGTCTTTTGAATCTTCTCCCGTGATGAAGCCGAGTACTTGCGAGTTAATGTGTTTTAACAAAGAACCTAGGGGTTTTTTTTTTTTTTTTTTTTCTCAATCACAAACTTTGATCAAGACCTCGAAGAAAGAAAGGAACGCCCCACCGAAGATTGTCAATGCCGGGGAAGAAAGTTTTTGTGGACCGTTAGTGGGCGCCGACTAGAGCGACGCAGCTCGAGGAGATGGGACCCTGAGCGCCACTATTATATCATAACAGCTGATTACTCGCTACAGCCCACCAAGCCGCACACCATACCCCTGAATATCATGCGATTTACCAACAAATTATTTTTTCTGTGCATGCGGCAAACGGGATTTAAAAAGTGTGTCATTTGGACTGCTCGCGAAGAACGAAAAACAGGCCACTCAATTGCTCAATGCCTGATAAAATTCGATAAAGGCCGGCTTACGGTCAACCGATTTATGCAGCCATCAACACATTCACGGCAGAACTTCCTGTTAGGAGTTTAGGGATACGAGGAAATTGTTTTTTTTCTTCTTCCTTTGATTCAAATTTGAAGGGACTCTGTTCTCTTAATTGGTATTCGTAAAATCTAGACTCAAGCGAGCTGAGTCCCCAACTAGACTCGAACCTTTAAAACATTAGAATCTCAAATTCGTCCTGATGGGGTTGCTTTGAGACCAGGTCTTAAAAGATCATTCTTCGGCCTCCTTCAACACCTCGCGTTCATAACTCTTCACCCTACTAAAGTAAAATGGCTTATCGTTCTTCAACGAATATGCCCCTTTATCCTCCGTCAAAACATTAAAACTTGTGTAACTATTCCACGAAAGTCTATCTCCATAACCCCTCCGCCCACCGATACCCCTCGGCCTCATTTTTAGCGTCAAATCAAGAGTATTTATATACCGACCAGCCGTATCGGATCCTTTGCTTTCTATCTGAATTCTATGTCCTGGTTCGTCTGTTGAGTTGGGTGAAGGATATGTGTGTGGGTTAAAATGGACACGCCAGCGGGCGGGAAGAATGTGTTTTATGTTGTTGAAGTGGCTAGGAAGGTTTGTTGAAGTTGTAGCTTTTATGGACGAGAGGTAGTTGTAGTTATCAATGGTTATGGAATGGACAACATCAGAAGGTTCAGCAGGCGTGAGAAGATGTATGGCAAAGCCGGAGGGGAAGAAGCGGACTTTTTTTTTTCGAGGCGAGTGGTTAGATAGGTCTTCTTTTGGAAGAATATTGTGGGAAATAAACTCACGGTATCGATAGTATGTGACCATGTGGACAGGTATAGTTGATAGTGCCATACTACTTGCGGCTTGGTGCCCTTGACGAAGGTAAGTGCAAGTTGAGATATAAATTCCATTATATCTGATCTTGGGACGTTCGATGAACATCAACCTATAAGACGAATTGTATTTGATGACTTCGATTTCGTCGATCGGACGGGTTGGAAGTACGTCCAACTTCGAGATTTCCTCCTCGCCAGAACCCTCACTATCATCTTCTTCGATAATACCGAGGCTGCTGAGCCCGGTTTCTATTTTATCGAGATCATGGTCAAGTAATGGACCGCCTTTAATATCGCAAGCCCACGAGGGACCCCATATCATATTTTCATAGGCATTCTTGCAGAGTTCTCTCCAGAATTGCCGTTCAGTATATATCAGATAGCAAATAGATTTGCAAACTGTTGCTGATCTGACGAATGAGGGAAGATCGGTTGCAGCAAGCATGGAAAATATATGTATCAGGATTTCCCTCGGGATCGTAGAAATCGGACATGTTGGCGCTTTCTTGTAAGAATTTTTCCCTTTGAGTGAAGCGAGGTTGATACTTTCTCCTGCTGTTATGGGAACCCCAGTGAAGGTATTCACTAATTCCTCGGTGGGAAGAAGTCCTTGTTCCGATGTCCTAGATAGAACCTGTTAGCTCAATAATATCCATTATATTGGGTTGCCGATCGCCAACATACTCTGCCGACTCCGCATTCTTCGGCTTTCCTGACGCAGGCTGCTTAGGATAATACTTTTCCTTAAACTTCTCATGGACAGAAGGGTCAAGCTGGAGAAATGTTAGTTATTTACCCTCTCAATGCTTCATTATATATCCCACGTGCTTGCATCTATAGGTCGATATAGAGCGCAAGCCCTTTGCATACCTTGAAAGCTTTCCTGTATAACCTAACACTTTCATTAATCCTTCCATCTTTCTCCTTCTCGACCGCTGCCTCATAATGCTCCAACCCCGTCGTCAATGGTGCACTATCTAAAATCCTCTCTCCAGACCCAAGGCTAGGGGTAGGCTTGACATCCAAATCCAAACTTCTAAACCCATCAATATCATGTTGCCTTTGAGCCAATAGATCTTGCGGGATGGTATCACGGGCATTCTGGGAATGCCGTCGCTTATGCGGAGCCTTTAGTGTAGTATGATCAATAGGGTTTGAGGATGACGATGAAGTAGGAACCACATCCGAATTCGGCTGGGGAGTAGTAGTAGTCAATGGCTGCCTTTGGAACTGGAGGTCTTCCTTCCATTGGCGCCTGAAGGACTCGAGCTCGTCTGCGAGCTCGCCTGACGAGGGTTTCAATTCAGTTGGCTTTTCGGACATCGTTTAACCTTGTTTTGTGTTGTTGGTGTTGGAAAATTGTCAGGGATTTTGGGGGAGCTTTAGGGTTGCGGGATTTCCTTTGCGACTGCAAGGTACCAGAATCGATCGAATTGGAAGATAGGTTTCGGAAGGTGAGAGCCTTTGAGGATGTGCGAATTATATTCTAGGATATTTTTACGAAGCTGCTTGGGGGAACTTGAATGGACTAGGACACGAGTGTTAATACTTTGAAGGTTGTATGATTGTCCGACCTCATATACACATACTAGCTTGTCAATGACGAAATATTGGGTTTAGATCTGAGATCCGTTGATCGGTTTAGAATTACGGAATTCAAAGGGCGGGCTCGAGTTTATAAGCAAGCAAGCTAAGCGGGTGGATTCGATAAGGCGAAACCGCCGTTTGACCTATCTGCAGGCGAAAGGGTGCACTAAGCAAGCACGAATGCTATGGTACTAGTGCCATCACATCACCTCACCCCAAAAACTGCACAAATGTGCCATGACTCAAATGGAAAAGTCGGTTCTGCAGGTTACAGTCATTAAGCACGATTTTCGGCAGTTGTGTTTACCTCTTAGGGCTTTATTTTCCCACAGTATACAGTAGTGATCCAAATGTCAAAAATACCGATTGGCCCCGACCGTATCTGTCAACGGAACAATGACGCTGAAGAGTTAAGTTGTTTAAACTAGGTTCATGGGTTTGGGGTTTGGGAGTTGTTGGAGTTATAACGTTAGTTGCCTACCATATAGCCCTGTGTCGTACAGGATTTCTAGGGGGAAGTTGGTTAAGTCTTGTAAACCAGTCTTTGTACACACATCCACAGTAACGAAAATGTATTACCGTCCGGTTTTTTGACACTGGTTTCGCTAGCCGTGATAGATAACATGGAGCTGCTGTAACGAGTTGGCATTTAATTAACGATTGTAGACCGTGTGTATACTACTGCACGTGTGGGGGATAACAAATTCTGACCAGTCTCGAGCCATGAAATCGCACGTGGGCTCGGAAGACATGGGATCTATCTGTAAAATTGAGATCGAAACTTAGAAACCCGAGAGGAGGCATTTTGATTATTCCGGTGGCTAGTGCGCTACTAGTGTAGCTATACAGATTGAAGAGCTTCAAGCTAGCTGTAGTTCTCCAGCGGAGCATACGTGGATGTGACATCTCTATGATTGAAACCAAAACCAACATGCAATTCCTCTAAATATTAAATGATTAGATAGTGGTGTATATACTATACTCGCTCCCAAAGCTATAGTTATATAAAGAGATCGAATCTCCCACGGAATGCCAAAATATCTATCAGCGAACCAGACTCCGAACTCCTGTCAGCAAATATACAATCTACTCAACGTCTACCTTTTTTCAGACACTCTAAAATCATATCTTCAACCTTATAAGCTTGCATATATCCACTACAAAAATGAGCGGTCCATTGGATTGGTGGGCGAGCTTTGTACGGTCCTTGGGCTGGTTGGATGCCATACGTCCGCCCTTCACATCGATGAGCGCAGTTGCCCCACAGTTGCATCCAGTGCAATTGGAATCACAACAAGTATATCCTATTCATAGAACCTGCAACCTCTTATTCGAGCGCGTGTACTATGAATACGACAACCGCGAATCCAGCCTCTCGGACAGTGGTCTCGTCGACCAGGTCGGCCAACTAGGATCGATTGAAATCAAAAGAATAGATGGGGATAGATTACTTTCTGAAGAACTTGGAAAGGAGTTTCAGGAGTGTAAACTTAACCCAAACAATCCGGAACGAACGTGTTCCTTCCAAAGCTTGCCTCCAGCGCCCGGGGACGTTTTCACAGTGTCGTTCCCGGGTGGGCTGGAGAGTCAAGCTATTAGTATTGAGAGAGGTCCGGATACAGCCCGACTCTTTCTGGCAGAACATCCGGATCCTGAGCATCCGGGTAATTGCGAAGTTGGTGAATGGAAAGACTGGCAGAAGGAGGATGATGGAAAGTTTGCCTTTCCATTGAAAGATGTTAAGGGTGTCAAGTCGGCAAAGGTAAGTTGCAAAATTTTTGATTTAAGCAAGTCCAAAGTCACATTGGGTTCTTCAGTTGTAATATATTTATTTCAAAATCAAATACGGAAAATTAAATACTGACGCCAATGGAAATATAGTCCCGTGTCTATACTTGCAAAGACTTTGATTGCAGTACCCCTCGTCCAGCACGCGCACGAGCTCGTCGAGGCTATCCGATTGACTTTCGCTTCTATGCATAAAGGGTTTGATATCGGTTACGGCTATTGGGTTTGGATGATATGATGATTGAATATGCAATACAGGCCTTGGGGAAGGGTTGGAATGGTTAGAAGGCTGTACCGTGTATATGTAACGAGACATTTATGAGACGTCATCTAGATCTAGATATTTGGGCGTTCAGTGATTCTGTTGGATTTTGGTATACGATTTGTGTTGGCGGGGGAATCGATCACGATTTGGAAGCAATATTTGTATTTATTTGGGTTTAAAGGGTTTTTTTGGACAGTAAAACCAATATGAATGAACAGGCAGATTTGATAAATATATATATATATATATTTTTTCTTAAGGGAAGTCAAAAGATACATTTAAGCTTTTGGAAGTCGACGGATAGCGTATCTTGTCCCGAAGACTCACATGCAGGGAGTTGTGGATCCCGTCAACGATCAAGATGGAAATTGGATGCTTAAGCGGTTAGTGGAAACAATTCAACGAATATGACCTGCCAAGGGAGCATTCGTAGCGGTGTCGCTTCCAGAGAATGCTTCGAATTCGTATTAACATATTGAGAATTGGAATAGCTAGCCATGCATGGCCATGGATCTGCAGGGTGGAATGAGGCGACAGGAGGGGGTGTCGGAAGACTGTCACTGCACTGCACCGGTCGAATTTGCATGATTGTGACCATTTTTTTTTTGATGTTTTCAGGATCAATTTATCCGCCTGGCTAGTATACGAAGTATAATACCGAGGATATAGCAACATTCATGGCTTCGAATTTACATTCTTGCGAATCAATCAAATATCGATAGGCGGTGATAGCCACCCATTATGTGCAGGGTGTGTTGGCATTCTACATAGTATTGATCATGATATCGCCTCGAATATCTAACCGAATCAACGAAGGCTTTTTATAATTAATTTTTAATTTCCGTTTATAAATTTAATTTTATGATTTGCGGACGAAGTAGTAGATACTAATAAGAAACAGAGAAATAATGGGATCCAAAGCCTCTCAAACGAGTTTGAATTCGAATTTTGAGAATTTACTCATGGTGATCGATAGGCTATAGGTGCCCAGGCTGGCTAAGTGGCAAGGATGAAGCCCCCCTTCGTTTGGAAATTGGACTCGATGTTTTGAGTGTGTCGGATGTGCCAAGGCTTCGAGTTTCGTTCTGAGCTGTGCCATGCTCCAACTTTGCCATGCTTGTCGCTCGCTCGTCAGGAGGATCCCAAGATTATCCCGATTACAGATTTAGAAAATTAGGATTAGATTGGGCAATTGAGTGGGCAAGCGGGGAAGTATTTTTAACGACCTGTTTTCTCGCATTTGCGTCCCTTGAATTGTCTACTTAACCTCTCGATCGAACTACGTACTACTCGAACTCTTTGATGCGATTTTAATACCTTCGGCGTCGACGTCTCCGAACCCCCAACAGTTTTTCAATATATAAAAAAACACCATTAGGTGGCCAGTGCTAACGGGTAGTTGGCTAAAAGTGCGCAGCTGGTTAAAAAGCCGCTGCCATCCATCAAACAGCCTTAACTGCTAACTGCTAACTGTACTGTCGCCCTCGCCGGTCCTGGACGGACACATCGATTGACAGTGCAGGAGTCTCGAATTCGATCCTAGTTCCGAACCACTCTCCTTTATATATACCTAGTCTCGGACCAAACTTTGCCCCGGAATTCCTTTAGCTTTAGGATCGCATATATATAAATGCCTAAGTAGTACTTAAGTATAAGTGTGTGTGTGTAATATCATAGTCGAAATACCCACATTCTTCCGAAATCCCTATCGACACGTATCAAAGCCGGCTTTTTGATACCTCGACTCCGAACCGGCCACTATACTGTACTGTCAGCAACTGTACTTTACTCTACTCGAAAGATTTAACGAAACTTGTGCGACACATCCCGCTGCTAGCTGCCCCATTTCTTCTGCTTCTGCTTCTGCTGCTGCTGCTGCTGCTCTAGTTTTGGGTTTGGCCTGTACGTCACCCGGCCCGTTAACGTTTGCACGCCTTGTCTCTCAGTTCTGCGACAACAGCTGTTATCAATCAAAGCGACAGCTGTAGCAACCTTAAATTCCGCCCGGAAACAGTCAAAACCCATCACACATCATCCATCATCTCCAAAGCCGAAATTTACACAACGACCTTAAAAAACAAAAATACAAAAAAATAACACCTACCTATCTCTGCTGAAGCCTTGTAGGGGAGATGATGCGAAGTGGGGAAGGGGCTAGATATCGACAGTAGAATTCCGATCTCCACCTCTCCTTCCGCCGCAGGCGACGTCTTCATCCCTACATTTGGCCCAACATGCCATTAGCTACCTCCGAAGCTTCTGGTTCGCCACCAGTCCTATCTACACTTCCGGCAGCTGCCGAGTATTCGTTACCAGCTCAAGCTCTAAATCAAGATGAAGAGCTGGACTCTACTCCTAGGCCAGAACCCGAGCTGTCCTCTTTACTACCTCCTGGTCCGGCTATTGGTAGTACCGATACGACAGCACCCACAAAATCTACCAGCGATGGCAATACCGCAACTCCGAATCTGGAAACAAAACTACAATCTGAAGATCAAGTACAGCCGTTACTGGATAGGTTGTTGTCGGCAATTAGTGGTGCATCAGAAACAACTTTGATAGCTGGTTTGTCGGTTATAGCTCTTGTCATGAGCACGGTATTTGGGAGGATCGGCCTGCTTCTGGTGGGCACGTTCTTGGGAGCTATGCTCCATGCTGCTCTACAGAATCAGAATGGCCTATTAGACGTTGTCAAGTCATTGGCTAAATCTAAAGACTCAATTCCAACAGAAAGAGAATCTAGTGATAATACCAAAGAACAGGTTTGTGGAGTTCTATTTAGGATCTCGGAAGCTAGGGTATCGGCTAATTCGTTGATAGAAGGCACAGGAAGATAATATTGTCGCCGACTTTTCGTCTTTGAACCCAAAGGTTGGGAGTGCATTGGACGAGCTCTGCAATGCCGTCGTTAAGGACTGTATCAAGTATGCATTCTCTGAAATTCTCACACTGATTTCTAATACATACTAACCGCAAAAGTTCATGGTATATGCCACTCATCCCGGACGACTCATCTTTTCCTGCAACATGCCACCACTACCTGGCCCAAACATTCCTTCGATTCTCCAAGCATATGAACAACAAGCGTCCGGCCGATGTTTTCTTCTGGTCGGTCATCAATATCTCGGGTACAATGACAACCTTCATGCAGGATCTTTCCCGGGCTTTAAGCGTAAACAGGGAGCTCAAAGCTGGTGTCCAGGCCTATACCTCAGCAAATCCGAAGTCAGATTTGGCCGAATTGGTACATCGGGGGCAGCAGGACAAGAAACTCAGAGAACTATCTTCGGATATTCTTCAACAATTTGCTCCTCGCGATTTGAAAAGTAGTGAACCCGTGGCATTGTTTCTCAAGAATATCATCCGGAGCGTTATTCTTTGGAACATGGTGGAAAAGTTCAGCGATCCGGATTTTATCAACGAGTGGATTATTCATTTTCTTGAGCAGAAGGAAAGCGCTGGTCCCACCAAGGAAGGTGTTGGTGCAGTACTTCAAGCCTTTGATAGAAGTGTCGCAGGCGCTGCTCAGGGAAGTTTGCCAAAAGTTTCGACTGTTATTCCGCAGGAGCCAAAGTCTGCGACTCAATCTCCGACAGCTAGGAAAGAAAACTCTCGACCAGCCCAGACGCAAACCAATGGTAGAAACGGCACAAATAGTATTAAGATTACCAACGGCACAAATGGAGTGAATAGTACAAACGGTACAAATGGAACTAATAGCCCATCGGCCGAGAGGCCTTTGAGAGTCCTGCCACTCGAAGTTATTCGAAACGGGAATATTTCGAACCGGAGCGAAAATGATTTTGAGGGTAGAAAGAGTTTGGAAATGCGGTCTGCTAGCCAAAATCAGAGCCCGGTTGATAGTCCGCCGCGTTCCCCGATTGAGATGCCCACCAAGAGGGCATCTTCAAGTGCTAGCTCCCACGCCAGTGTATCGGAACTTTCCATGACACCACAAAAAACTAGCTCCGAATCGAGTCGCAGCGGGATCTATCCGTCTCAGGCCGTTGAACAGACAAAGCCTTCCCCTGGCTTGGAGCTTCTCAATGGAAGAGTTACGGTAGTAGATACTGGCCCAACACCCGACCCAACAAGAACTTTGAGATCAAAGCCTAAGAACCAATTCATGATCCAGCTCGAACCTATGGCCTCAGCTGGGCGGATTGTCATGAGAACTTATCAGGACTTTGAAAATCTACATAATACTCTTTTTAGTGTTGCGAGGATTTCGGGTTGTGAGAAGTACATGATGGCTTTCTCGGAAGAGGGGCTACCAACTTGGAGGAATCGATCTATAGATGAAGTGGTTGCTATGTTGGAATTCTATCTTCGAATGGCACTCAGCGAAGAGCCCCTCGTGAAAACTGAGGCACTTTACAAGTTCTTCGAAAAAGACGAGGATAAGCGCGAGCGCGAAAAACAGCTTAAGCAGGAGGCACCAGCTACTCCTTGGCGCAGTAGCACCTCTCTCGAAAACATGGGAAAGAATCTTCTCGGTACTATTACGAAAGCTCCACAATCCGCTAGTGAGGGCGGAAAGGCCTTCTTTGGAGGAATTAAGAAAGCTCTAACTTCACAGACTTTGGCTCAATCACCATCAGACCGAACCGAGAACCGTCCCTTTGGTTTTATCTCTAACAACGCCTCCCGGGCAGCCTCTCGCGCTCGCTTGAATGAAGAAAATCCGGAAGCAATACTTCCTCCCGAAGACGACTCACTAGCGGAGCCTTTTACCGAAAACCGTGGAAGATTTAGCATTCAACTAACCCGCAGAACCACTAATCCGCCTCTCCCACCACGGAGATCCGCAAGTGTAGCGGCAAGGTCCTCAAATCTGTCGACTGTCAACGGAAGCGACGATGAGGATACACTAGCGCAATCCACTCCTTCTCTTCTTGAGAGGGATCCGGCGCTGGAGTCCGAAAATATCACGATGACGTTTGAAGAACCTCTTCCTCAGGAGTTGGATGGGATTTCCCTCCCCCCACCGCCCAGTGAAATCGACAACTACGACATGAAGTCCGAGCACGAAGATCTTGGTAAGTTCCGTGAGCTAGTTCTTCGGGTTTCTCCACGAGCATTCACTAACTTTGTTTATAAACGTTAGGCTACATGCCACATATCCCACCGGCCGCTGTCTTCGAGGGTATCACAGAAACTGAGACCCAGTATGTCTTGGAAATCATGTTCTCGATTATCAACGAGTTGTATGGTCTGTCGACTGCCTGGATGATTCGTCGCTCCTTCCTCAACATCGCGAAATCTGTGATACTACGACCTGGGAACTCGCAACTTGCCGGCATGCGCAACATGATTCAATCCGATGTATTAGAAGCCAATACCAAACCAGAGGTAATCGCGGATTACATCCGGCAAGTTCGTAAGAATGCACTACCAACACCAGTAGAAGCGAAGAAGTGGGAACAGACGAAGAAGCCACGAACCGATGAAGAGAAGGAAGAGTTAAGGCAGAGAGCGAGGGTTTTGTTGTCCGAGAGTTTGCCGCAGGGACTCACAGCACTATTGGGAGTGAATCAAACGAAAGAGGCGATGTATCAACTTTTTGATGCTTTACAAGAGAGAGATATTGCGAGGGGATTGTGGACGGCAATTCTTTGCGGGACTATGAAGTTCGTCTGCCAGTAGAAGGATATGAAGGAGGTTGGAGCGGCCGTATATACTTGGGCCGGGAGGATTCGAGATAAAAGATTATGGTTCCATTTTTCACATGCATATGCATGAAGCACTGATGCATTGGTCGGTTCTTAAGCGATGGCGTTTTTTTACCTTTTACGATGGGGGCTGGTTGAAGATAGACCTATTGTTTGGACTTCGAATTCAGGTGTGTCAAGAGTATTTAGACGCACGGGGTTTTTTAATGGAGTGTGTAAATATTTGAAGTACCTCCCGCCAGAATTCGGCGGAGGAAAAGTTGGAGTTCTGGTGCATCCTTTCTGCTTTGTTAACCACTGTACGCATAGGAAACTACCTTTTTTAAACTTTAGAACAGAAGAATGGGGAAATAAATGATTACTGTTTTTGTACTTTTTAGGAAGCAAAAGGTATTAATATCAATTGTGCTGGATTCTATAGATCTAGTTAACTAGTAGTAGTATAAATTCTTGGTTTTGGGGCTAGCTAACTATAGACATCGAACTCGCGTGAGCGTGCACGTGTAGCTAGGCTTTTATGATCCTCTAGGAGCATATGAGTGCTCGTTGTGAAGGGGGTTTTCCTCGTATTCACCATTTTGTATGTCGAAGTTGTGCAATCAAGCTCTCACAAAAAAAGACTTTTCATGCCATCAACTTAGATGCCCAAATCCACATACTTTTGTCGCACACACTGCGTATCGTCCCCCCTCGCTAATATGTAATAGATGCAATGCAATGCAAAATATGCAATCGCTTGCTGCTTCAGTATGTGATCTCTCAAAGACAAAAGTTTTGACCAGTTACGTGTGCGTGTGTCAAACAAACACACTCCCACCTCTGCCCCCCGCCCAACATTTTCTTTTGCTCCTAATCGGTCCTTCTCAACCAATTCATGACCGCCATGACTGCTTTCAAAGCATCGATTCGTCCGTCGACTTCAATCAGACTGTACCATTTTGATCGTCCGATTCTGCAACAACACCATTGTGGGTTCTTTTCCATGTATTCTTCGGATGGGAGTTGGCCTGTTCTGATGAATTTGATGTATGCTTGTGTTAAGAATACGTGTGAGACTGCGAGGTGGTGGTTGACGGATGAGAACAAGAAGAGCTGATTAACTCGTGTTAGCGGCCCCCATACTCCCAAAATCTGCGAGTGTAACAAAGATGTATAGATATAAAAAGGAAAAACTCACGTCATCACCACCAATTTCTTTATCCTTCCCAACAGCCTGGTATCTGACTTTCTTGTGCATCCCCGTCCTGGATCTCTCTTGACTCAGTGTTAAAAGTGCCAATAGTTCGTGAACTGCATCGGGTACGTCGTCTGTTTCTGTAAAACTATCCTCGTTACGGGTTTGTAGTATTGCTGCGGGTCCGAGGACTACTCCTTCTTTACGCTCTTGAATGGTGGGCGGTTGGCTATGGAGGTATAGATCCGCTTTGACTGAGAAGAGGGAACGGTTTGAGAGGAGCTTTGGAGGGTAACGTGGTGGGCTGTTTATTATCATTTCCCATTGGGGAGTTTTGGTTAGTATGGTTTTCTTGTCGGAATGAATCGAGCAGTGTATTCTGGGATAAAGTTCCAATCTCAAACGTCTGGATTGGAAGCTTAGGGAGTAAACTGAAGGAAGGAAGGGGGATTCCATACTATATCCTCATATCAAAACCCCAAGCTATCGGATCGATGAAATTTCTCAACAATTCTTCCCGATATTTCGCAGCACTTCTAGCCGCAGCACCGGCAGCACCACCATCCACGGGTATCCCATCTCCCGTCTTAACCTCCTTCTTATCCGCCGGATTTTCCGACGACAGAATCAATTCCACCATCTCCATCGCCTGAAAGAACTTATAAAAGTTCCCAATCTTAATATCCCTCCTCCGTCTCGCAATAAAATCATACGCATCCTGATTCTCCACTACAATCTCGTTCTTCCTCTGATTGAACGGACTATTCTCATCGCTATCGTTCTCGTTAGGGTGATATTTCGTGGGAACTATGGAGGATAATGGAAGGTCGTAGGTATAGCTGACATTGAGAAGTTGTAGATGCGACGGAAGTACGTCGGAGGGTTTTCGGAGAGTGGAGAACAGTTGGGTAATCGATTCTAGAGATGGGACCGTCGAAGGGGTATCTTGCGGAGGAGGAGTACAAAGTGGGATACACCGGGGATAGGTTATGGAGGTTAGACGGGCCTTTTTGATGGCGGGGTTACGCGGGGCGGATTTGTCCTTATCGGCAGGGATTAGGAGGTTCCAGTTTGCGAACATCTTGAATTTCTGTCTTTCTTTCTTAATTTCCTTTTATTATAACCTTTTTTCAAAAAATAGAAGTTTCCACCCTGGTACTAGCTCTTTTCAAGGTTGAACCTTTCCAGGGTAGAATGATGGGGAGTTTACGACGCGGGAGGGGATATCAGGAAGCCAGCCATGTGGATGTTGATTGTTGGGGAAGGATGTGGAAGGAAGGAATGTGCGTTGTCAATTGTTGGATTTTTCGTGGGGTGCGTGTGCTGTTTCTTTGGTGAGGAGTAGCTCGGGTAGAGTGACCCTCCTCAAAGACAGACCTCTCGAACCCGAACGTAAGAATGATTGAGAAAGAGAGGTATCCTGCTCGTGTGAGAAAGGGAAAGAGGAGAGAGAAAAGGGGGCACGCTTTAAATGTGATCAATTGGATTATCCGCTGTCACATTTACACCGTCCTCTTTTTGGATGTCTTTTAGAAAAAAACAAAAAAGTGAAGGGAGAAAAGAGAAAAACAGAGAGAGAAAACAGAGGGAAGAAGTATGTAATAGGAATGGGTGCTTCAGCAAAGAGGAGTAAGCAACCAAAGCAAGTTCAATCCGAAAGCAAAAGTCAAGGTCAATTGAAAAGGGAAGGGTGGAGCAAAGACCTGGTTTAATGCTGGCGTGAGCTAAACCTAGTTCGCGGCTGCCGTTCAAGCGGTCCCGCGTGCAGGGATTAGCTATCAAATTGTGGGTCCGTGGACCCGGGCTATGATACGATAATGAGGACGTTGCAAGCCAACAATATAATGGCTCTGTGGCTACGTAGTTTTAGTTGGAAGAGCTAGCTGCATGCCTTCATACACAATAAAGACAGAATGGGAACGTAAATTTAAAGGAGGGGTTAATATAGTATATTGTAGTTAAGCTTAGTGTTAACGTGTTATTCTTAGGGTTAAATTTACAAAACATTAAGGGGAAACGGTATCCCTTAGCTCTTATGCTCTCAATGCAGGCCACTGATTTTCATGATCTAGTTAATTCCTCAGCCAGTACTTTTAAGTCCAACCCCAATGTGTAGAACCCATAGGTCCTACCCGAATAAGAAACCACAATCGTTCCATCGCTGCCGCACTTGTAGTCATTATAACCGTATGTATCTGGAATCCAAACGATACGGTGGGCGCCAAAATAAAGCCAACCATCCCGGATATATAATTGTGCGTATTTGGGACGCAGCACCTCATCATTTTCGAGCTGCACCCGTTCAGCCACGCCCTTCTGTTGGTTGACTAAGAATTGTAGGTTCCCGACTATCAAGTAGGTCTCATTTTGTAATTGCTGAAGTAAAAGTGGACTCTGATTTGATGCCAGTTCTTTCTTGGCTAGATTTAGATCTAGATTTATCCTCGTCAACTGTTTCGTCTGCAAGTCGTACAAGCTCCAATATGCGGTTATATCCGTATCGAATAATTTAGAGTGATAAAAGGTCACTAAGCGACCATCTTCAGAAAACGTGGCGGCTCCCGAGTTGTATAAATAGTTAAACTTTACTTTTGAAGTTTCGCGATGGGATCGGGAGTGACTGAACCCCGTCTTGAGGTCAATATGGCCGGCTTTCTCGTTGTTCGAATACGCAACGACCGAGCTATCCGGTGAGAACGCAATAGCAGTTACATTATTGAAATCCTCGTCTAGCTCGTGTGAAGCAATCCTTCTTGGCAAAAGCCCATCAGAAAGATCGTAGACCTCGATAGTGTTCATTTTACGTGGAAAGACCGTATATGCTGCATATGCAACCATGTAGCCGTTCGAGCTAAATTGGATCGACGAAACCCTACCCATTGTCTTGACTGGGAGTATTTGCTGTAATATCTGGTCCTGAGTATCCCAAATATATAGCTTCCCTGCGTCTATATGCGTAGCTGCCCTACCGCGTACTGGAATAGCTAATTTGGGGATACAATCATTTCGCATTCCCTTGAAGACTTGGCCTCTAGTCTCTCCTTCCGCTTGTGCACGTGCTTCGGTGAAAGCACAAAGTTTGGAAATTGCGAAAGTCGGGCTGATTTCGTTGCTGTGCCTCGCCCCCCACATAGCAGGTAAACGAAGTAAGGAAGAAAGGGAGCGCTGAGCTTGGATAGGTCGAGGTGGCGATACCGAAGAATTTGAGTATTTTTTTAAGTCAAATAACAAGAGGCTGGCGGCACACCTGTCCGAGGAAATTGCTACCGTTGTCCTATCCGGAGACATTGTAGCACCCTTTAACGTTGTAAAAGCATCGCTTGGAAGCTTTAACTGAATAAGATCATCAGTAACGAGATCCCATATGAACCAGTCACGTATACGAGGATCCTCAGAATTTGCGGGTGAGGAAGCCAAGGCCCATCCGCTGCAAAGAGACACATGAGTTTCTATTCCCCCCACACATCGCTGATATCGGAGCCGGAGCGGCTTACTATCCCGATCAATATGGAAGATATAAATATCCAAATTCAGGCCAAAAATACCGCTGTTCGCATAGATGAAAGGTATGCTCTTTAAATCTGATGAGAAAAAAAGTTGGCGGGGTTGAAAGGGGATTTTAACAAAATTAGTGCGCTCCCTGGTCGAGAGTTTCCAGACCCCAAGTTTTGGTGTAGTTCCTGTCTCGTACCGAATCCAGTCGGGTACTATACCGTAGACGATCGCAATAAATTGATGATCATGCGAGAAGCATACGATCGGAGCTTGCAGTACCTCTAACTCCTTTTCTTGGAGCTTCTCGCTAGGTATATCGATCGTATATAACTTTGTAATCGGCTGCTTCGTAGTCCATATGCTGACTTCGGTGAAAGTCACAGTCGCAAATCTCTCGCTATCCGGCGAAACCACTAACGATAAAATGGAATTACTATGCTCGCTAGAGATTTCTTCGACGTTGCAAGTAGTATTGTAACTGTGGAATTTGTCATCGGTCTCAAGATATACGACGAGTCTTTTGTAGAACCCAACGCAATATTGACCGTTCGGAGCGAATATAAGCCTACCAGTGGTCTTTAGGAGTTGCAAGTCCACTAAATCCCCCCCAGTAAACATAATGTTTATCGGAGTCTCCCAGGCTTCGGATGCCAAATCAAGGACACGCAAAGTAATTCCTCTCCGGGGGCTAGGGCTTCCCTTTAAAGTCCCCCGGAGGGTGACCATGAGTTTTTCATCGTTTTTTGCAAACCTGATGCTGTCAACAGCGACTTCCCGACTTCGAATTTCACCCGAATTTTGAAAAATTTCCGGAGGTAGGTTCAAAGGATCCATAGAATAGGGTTCAAGAATTTGGGCACCAGAGACTATATCCCATACTTGAACATAGCCCCCCTTATATCCGGCCGCTATGTATCGATTACTTGAGGATAGAGCCATAGCAGCACTAGACACTGAATTTTCTATAATCCGGAAGCAGCGGCCCCAGTCTTCATCCACTAATGGCTTCGTCTTAATCCACGGGGGGATAGTCCAAGAGAAGTATCTCCTGATAGCACTTTTTGCCGGGCTGAACAAAACAGCAGAGTATATTTGAGTCGGCGTATCCTCGAAAAGGCTTTGATTGTAAGATATGAAAAGTTGGGCGTCCAATATTGTTTCAAGAAGAGTTCTATATAGGTTAGACTGCATCCCACTAGCATTTGAATCAGTGCCATCTCGTCTTTTTATATTCTACGACACAATATTAATATGAAAATCTAGAGGAACCGGGGCCCGGGGGCTACTAGTCTATACGTACCCCAAAGATCGTCCTAAGGTTGTCTAGTTGTATAATCCCGTTCGTGATTTTTTGCAGTATCCCAAGGGCCATTAACCAATTGAGTAAATCTCGCTGGAAGAACTGTAGAATTTCTTCTTGAAATTCTTTTGACTCTTCAGCCATCGGGATATTATGAGGTGCCCATCTCATTGTGACATATCCTTTAAGATGATTAGCCCAATGACAGCAAGCATAGTCCAACTGTCTGATAGCCGAAACGTCGGCGAGGGCAGCATCTGTAGCTACCCCAATCATTTTTTCGAGGTTTATCTTGTCCTTAATCTGACGACGACAATTGATATACATATTCCGGTGGTGGAACCATTTCCCGCTGTCACTCTCAGTTGGTGAGATTATTTGGAATACTGAAGAGTTCTGTTCCAAATACTCCTTAGCGGAGTAGTGAACGAAACATATAACATCTCCTTGGAACATTAGGAATGGGTTACACCGGACATAACTCCTAACGGTATTGATGTCGAGTTCCCTTTTAGTAACTCTCGCTATCGACCCTGTACTATCGGAAGTATGTTCAAGCAAGGCCACAAACTCTGCCAATACTAAAGGCCGAAAAGCCACTACCATTGTCCCTAGAATCGAGAATAGAATATCCTTATGCATGAACCTATTGGTTCGTAAGCCCCCCAATGCCTTGTCGTAAATTGCTGCCAGCCCGGGAGGTATATGTTCCAAGCGGTCAACTCCAGATATAGACCCTTCTTCGAGAGCCTCGCAAGCAAAATTAATCCATAAATAAGTTCCCTGAGCCTTTTCAAGCAATACTTCCGAGAGCCTCCTTTTTTGGTCGAGAGTAAATCGAGAATGGCTAAACGATGCCACTTTCCCCGATATGTACCTCGCTACCCCCTCGTTTACTTCCGGCCCATGTGCGGCAAAGTCGATTATTGAATGAACTTTGTCCTCCTCCAAGTCCGCTAGGAATATATCAACTTGAAGATTGTTGCGGTGCGATATCAGCCAGCGTATTTTCCGAGAGACGAATGTTGTTTTTTTAATCATTTGTAGCAGGTACTTTGGCTCTTTGCATTCGTCCAGGGCGTCGATGAAGAAGTAAACTTCTGGTAAGTGGTCGTCCCTTATCAGTTGCATGAGGACGTTCTGTAGAATTAGAAAAACATTCTCCGAGTCCCCTTCAAGTATTTTGCCTCCACTTTTGCGGTACGGTTCCTGGAGATACTTGACAAGTCCTTTATTCTTAGGCTGAGAAAGGATTTGGTACAGCAACTCCTTTGCAGCTGCTGCGGGACTACTCAACCGATCGTCTGTACCCTGGCATATATAATATGACATCACTGGGCCCTTTGTCTTCGAAAGCTCGTTTATTATTCCAATCATGGTCATAGTTTTCCCCATGCCTGGGCCTGCTGTAATGCAAAGAATCTGAGGTCTAGTATTGGGGAGCAAGGTTTCTGGTTGGGCAGTCTCAGATGAAGATCCCATAGTAGAAGGGATTTCTGGTGCCTCTTGCCTTTCCCTCTCTTGCTGTTCATCTTGAAGCCATAATTTGAAAGATTTGTTTTCAAAGATCCAAGCGAACGATTCTTCGACAAGCCTATCTCTTTGTTTTTCTTTTAAAATAAAGGCGTCGCGGTCGACAGAGTAGAGGTCTCGGACACATTTGCATTCGTCTAGTGTAAATCCATGCAGCCATATCCGCAATCGCGGGCACTTCGAGTCAGTGATGAGCAAGAACCTCTATCAAAGGCCAAAAATATAGGTCTATGGTTTGAATTTACCCTCTTCAGCGTCTTTTTTAGGTCCTAGGTTGATATTCCCCGCTTGGAACGTTTGGCTCCCTACGAATATGTTCCCATTATTCGTGAAGTGTGCCTCCTTGTCGACCAGAAATTCTGCAGGACCATGGGCGCTCTGTGCGGGCTGGTATACGAGGCTAGAAGCCATTGGTGAATTGACGGATCGAAATAATTAATGACTTGATCACATATATTTCTATAGCTAGGACCTAGGGGCTGTATGTATGGTCGTGAACGAACGATCATGAGTTAGTACCGGGAGTATTAAAAATGTGCACCGATATATGAAGATAAAGCTACCTAGGTGTATATATTATGAAAGAAAGATAGTTTTATCGATGGTCAGGACGGTGCGCCCATTTATGGGGTGCTAAGGGTATGTCAGGATATATATTAATGATACTTCGTCGATTGCATTGATGACCAGTCGAGTCGCGCGCTATGCTGTGATAAATTCAAACCCCTCTTTCAGGATCTCAGCGGTGCCATTTCGCAGCCTCGTACCCTACATTGGATATATAGTCGCGGCATATCTGCATCAAAGTTAACACCGGCCGGTTTACACGTCTGGGCTGCAGTACTGCCAGCCAATCATGGGGGATCTCCAACTCAGCCTTGCCTTGGCTGTTCATGAATTCACAGTTCAGTATGCATCTGCCATACAACTAAAACCTAAATCTCAATAACACAATTTAACCTAAACTCGATAGCTAGTATATCTGGCTATAAAAGGTTGTGTAGCCCTCATATACATAGAAGTCGTTTTGGGAAGGCTCTATTAAGGCCCTGTTCTTAATTGCCATTTGCCTACAGACCCAAGATATTGTATTAAAGCTTAAGTGTTGCATTTTTGGGGAGGCCCTGCTGTAGTAGCCTCGCCCCAGACTTAGTCTGGGGGACGCGCAGGAGCCGGGCCGCTAGTCTGGGGCCGGGCCGCTCGACTGCTAGTAGCTAAGTAGTCTGGGGGCCGTTGCGAACGCCAGGAAGCGACTTCCGGACTAATGTAAAAAAATACGTTTGAAACGTTAATGGATTCCGGTCAATCAAATTTCGTCGGTCATCTAGCAATTGCGTAGTTGAGTAAAAAGTGACAGGCTGGCCGCATACACGCATGACTAGATCTATAGATTAATCTGTGCGTAGATCCAAGTAACGTACCCCTACCTGAAATGGGTTCCCGGGTTTAGTTTACGAGGTAGTCTGGTGGAGCTCTATGTGCAACTTTACGAGGCAACTAAGTGCCCCAGCCATGAAATTAGTTAAAAGTTACATGTGCTTAAAGGTATTAGCCAATAGACAAGGATACAACTAACAATAAACGGTTCCACCTGTGTTATTTTGATCTTCAGGCATAATTTGATTTCATGGGAAGCTACAGATGCTATCAAAGGTTCCAAATGGTAGACCTGGGTACTTGATTGGCTCGCCGCAGCTGTTGTGCCGCCTCGGTACGGTTAGGCGCATAGCGCAAATAGCTTTGAGCGACATCTAGTATCGAATACAAGAATCTTCTGGCTGTGAGAACCGATTCTTTTCCCTCCATCCTCCCCCATCCTCTCTCTCTCTCTCTCTCTCTCTCTCTCTTTCATTATCAGAATACCCATCCGCACTTGCCTCCTTTTCTTCTCGCTCTTACATAGCTGGATACTCCAATCTTAGCCTTGCATTAAAACGCTTTGAATGAGACTGCTCCGATCCCTTTGAAGCTTTTTTTCTTTCTTTCAAAACAAGAACCAAAAGAAAACCAAAACCATTACGAGGAGAGGTATGCGTACAATCTAAGAACATGCATTGTATAAATCTTCGCGTCAGTTCTGATATCATGGTTTAGTCACAAGCCAATCAACCGACGAACCTCTAAGATGCTGCATCCAGAAACTTTCGACGGACACGGGTACTATTATCCCTTGGGAAATAGTCCCGCAATCAACCTCGTAGGATTTCTCCCACTAGAGATTGATGCCGAAATTCTCCTTTTGGGTTGTGGTGATGTTCGAAATATCTTATTCACCCTGTTCACTGAATCATCCGAAACTGCAAATAAAGGTACTATACTAATAACCCTGTGGAAACCTTTGGTTGTGTTTGGTCACTAGCTTGCTAATTGTGTTTCCAAATTCTGCAGTTCATCGAAAGTACCATTTCACTTGTTGTGATTTTGAAGGGGCAGTTATCGGTATAGTTTTCACCCTCTTTACTCTCCGAGCCTGGAATATGATTATGTAACGTAGCTGATCAGGAGGTGTACTGATGCATAGCTCGAAACATTCTGTTACTGGCTATGATCTTGAAAAATGAAGAAGCTTCAACCATGTGGCCAATCTATTACGACATCTTCATGTCAGAAACGTGCTCCCAGGCCCTCAAAAGCCACTTGGCCGAGCTTCTATCCGCATCTGAAGATATAGAATCATGGCTGAAGTCAGATCTGGGAAAAGTCCTCACTGTGGGTTCCAAGTACACCCTTGCTGTTGTCAGACGGCTCTGGAGTGCTTGGGCAAAAGGTTTAGACGAAAAGGGGAAAGGCCAACGTAGGAAATCCGTCGAAAGAGAATTGGCCAATATAGTTAAGGAAAGACATTCAAAAGGTTCCATTCTATCCGTAGCCCGGTCTGCTGGCCCCTTAACTATAGAAGTGATGAGAACATCGATGGATCACTTCAATCACTACTGGAAGCATGGTACCACAGATCATCATACGGAAAAGCCACCAGTCTCCAATCCAACGTTCTCATTGACGAAATATGGAAGGAAGTTTAGTGTTCACTACGGTTAGTTCCTACGATCTAAAGGCTACCCTAAAAGAACTCTGCTAAAATCGAAACCACATAGGAACAAACCCCCTGGCTGGGTTCCATCTCTCAACAGCCGTTGTCCCGTTTGGATCAAGGGACTTCCGGCCTATGAAAAATTCGTCGGATTTTACTCCATTGGTCAAGTGCGCTAAGGAAGAATTCAATCTTTGGTGCCAATCTTTCCGAAATGCCCAAAAGAATAATACCTTCACCATATGCTTCTTTGTCGATGAAGCCTTAGAGCTTTGTGGTAGTTTGAGTCCAAGAATCGATGCTACCGGGATAAAAGAAATCAACGAGAACAATGCAACCTCTAAAGGATACCTCCACAACCATCCTACCCAGTTCAATGTCATTGACATTTCCAACTTGATTGACCACGTCGGGACGTACAATATCTTACTCTCAATTCTGACATTGCTTCGAAAAGATCACATCAGCTACCTTAGCACCGAAACATTGCTCAAGCATGAATTCAACATCGATCGTGGCAATGAAGCTTTATACAACGTCTTCGGCGTCGATCCAGCTTCGGTCTTTGCTCTTCTCGGGATCACAGTTGTCGACTTTATGTGTGCCCAAACCAGTATTTCTCAGGTTAGCGAGCATCAATTGGAGGCATTCGCCGACGGTGAGCAAAGGCACGGCCGCCTTGTATGGAAGTGGATTCCTTCGTTTCAACCTGAAGGTTTGAACGAAGACTGTACATCAATCTCGCAAGAGCCAAAATTCTTATATGATGTGAAAAATATGGTAGATTTCTTAGCCGCAATCTATAAGAAACTATTCTCAATCGAGAACCATACGTGGTCGCTGCAACAAATGGAGGATTGCGTTAAAAAAAGAAAGCCTATCAACATACTACAGCACAATACCCGCATGACGTTCTCATTATTGCTGCAGAAGGCCAAGCGCCTCACATCTGCAACTGTAAACTGGAACGAACTCATGGAGAGACTTCTCCTATTCGTTACCCGTGATTGCGGATGCTTTATCGCCCCTTGTTTTGTTCAAGAGCAAGACGCTCTTAACCTTCTCCACAAAGTCAAAACCGCGGACTACTTGGATATACCTCCTAGTCTCGCCGCAACTAGATTCAGAAGCGTAAGGGGACATAGAACCAGCAAAATCAACTATGAGAGTGTTCTCACTTGCGTTACTCTATCCGTCCCCATCAACGCTTTCAACAAGCTCTCGATGCGAGACATGAAACAAGTCGGCACTCCTCAGCTCCAGTTGACGCTTTCATGCGGCGATCTGATGAACCATTTCTGTGCCATTCAACGCAAATTTGGAAATCTTGATGCGATAGACGGGACAGAACCCGGTGAAATATACTTCGAAAGAAACGCCCCAAAATTCAAAGAAGATCTTGACGGCTGGATGGGAACATCGTCTATTTTGTATAGCTGCATGGTTCCAACGTGGTTCTTGATGCTCATCGGTTGCAAAATCTCCCTAGATGTTGTTTCTAATCCCATGACGTCCCTTCTCATCACGGAGCTCGGTCCATTTATGAAACTCTTTGAAACCGACGTGGACGACCACAAAATTGTTCGACTTTCGACGATGTTTCCCTTGGCTAAGACCTTTCTTGGTGTCCCAACCGGCTTAAAAACGGCTAAGGATCTATATAATACCAGATTCGGGGCCTCAAGTACGCTAACGGGAGATACATCAAAGGTCGGGCCTACTCCCAAGCCATCTGGACTACAGCGCGAGTACACACTTCTCATGTTAGGAAGGACCCGCCGACTGGAACGCCAGCAAGCTTCCGGGCTCGGCCCCTTACCGGGATCCCTTGATTATGGGGCTCACCCAATGATTAGTCGCATTCTATACCGTTGGTCTGTTGAATCCGACCATTCTCTAGTCAAATTATTAGAAGATAAGGCAACGATATCGACTACGAGAGAAGGTTCCTCTGGGATCAGAGTTCATCTCGGTCCTAGTTCTAAACTAATCGTTTTCCCATTCCCGATTGGAGAGCCGATCAAACTGTCGGTAGCTAGAAAGTCAAAGTACATTGAGGTATGTGGTTCTATTGATCCGTGACTATACAGCTTGACTAAAAACAAACCTTTCTAGATCGACGCACCAATGTACAACGGCTTCATGGGAGCCCCCCTTTACTCTCAATTTCCCATTTTGATAGCAAACAAATCACTCCGCAGCATCGTTCCGTGGGGTATGCATCGAATCAATCTTGACAAATCACCAGCTGTTCTAATCGACCTTCTTAAACATGGTAAAAGTGGTTACGACTGGATCAGCTCGGCAGCTACGTTCTCCCTTTCTAGACAAGAACGCGCAAATATTAACTCTTGTACCCACAAGTACTTCGGAGATCTCATGTCAGAGATCAAGGAGACGATTCACATGATCATCATCCGCTACCTCGGAATCCAGGGGTTCCAGCATAGTTGTTTCGTCTTGAGTTGCGAAGGCGTCGGCGGCTACATGCTCATCTATGTCAAGGACATTCGTCTCGACCTTTCAGGTCAGAATATCACCGCAGACTGTGCCCTAGTTCCATTCGAGGATAACAGCTTGCCCCAAATCGCCCCAGACCTCGTCGATTTTCATCATGCACCGCTCAGATGCTCTCCTGAGGAATCAAAGGCCTGGTTGCAGATAGCACCCAACTTAGTCGAAAGATGTCGAACTTGGCAACATAAGCAAAGCTGTGAATACATCAAGTCTTCACGGATTCCACTCTCCGCTCCCGGTCTCAGAATAGGTGACCCTCCAATCTGTAATTGTGGAAAAGGGATCTTTCCAAAGACATTCTACGATGACCCAGTCATCAAACCTTTCTTACCCCATGCCACACGCGCTGCACTTGGTCTCTTGTTTCCACCACCCTATTCCAAGCAATTGCAAAACATGCGACATCTTATTTCCAAAACATCAGGTCTCAGTTTACCCAACATTCTCTCCGAAGAGCCAAAGAAAACAGGGTGTGCTCTTTGCGGAAAGGAGGAAGATGGCGACCGAAAGTTGAGGAAGTGCACCGCTTGTATGAATGTTGAGTACTGCAGTAAGGAATGTCAGAAGAAGGACTGGAAGGCACATAAAAAGACCCATGGGACTTAGAGCTGTAGAAGGAAACACTTGGTATTTCCCTTTCTTTTTTTCTTTCTGAGTGCTCACTTTATCGTTAAATTATCGAATACATGAGGCTGTATCAATTCAAATGATGGATTTATGAAATGGAAATGAAATATGTTCTTCAAGACCCCCTTCATCTAATCTAATTGCATTTAAGTTCTGCGTTGAACTGTTGTAAATCGATACCGCCAAGAAATTGACTCTTCAGGAAATCGCCCAAATCAGATGGCCCGAAAATGAAAACCACGCTCTCGTCACGACCTTCACGCTCATTTTATAAGCTTCAGACCCGGTATGCATCTATTTGTAAAGCAACCATGGTCAATGCCCACGAGGTAAGGTATAAGCAGTATTCGCTCATTAGTTCTACTTCAATTCAGCCAATCTCCTGGCAACTTCCAATATCCCCCCTTCATCGTGTCGAACCCACATATCGATCCAATCCTCCCCTTCCTCCAAATAATTAGACCCAGCTTCCACATCATCATCTTCTCTCGGCCTCTCAATGTAAATAGTCGTCAATCCACACGCTTTAGCTGCTCTCAAATCCCCGATGTGAGCTCTATATTGTATATCAACATCGATGTCAGCAAATCACACTTCCTAAAAGATCCACTCCTGCATGATATAAAGAAAGAAAAGAAAGCGTCACATACGCAACCATTGCAACTTTGCCCCTCTCCTTGAACCTCCATTTGTCTTCGTCCTCCTTCCCATCACCCCCTTTCTCCTCGATATACTCATCCCATTCCTCTTTCCCACCTACACCAAGCACTTCACACGACCCAACATAAACCTTAGACTCGGGTTTATAGGCCCTCCAAAGCTGAGCGCTCAATAGCACATCAAACACCACCCCACTATTCTTCTGCAAATCCACCAGTAGCCTCAAATTACCATTAGACAAAGTAGATACAATCGCCAACTCCCTCAACCCTTCAATACCAGGTTTTGAATCATCCCATGGTTTGAGAGAATGCCATACTCTGGATAACTCCTGAATTTCAGAAGAACTGAAAAGGTGGGACAAGGAGTATTTTTTCAAAAGCCCACGGAGGGATTGTAAATGGTGAGTATCCACTGTTGTATACGGTGGTTCAGAAGGGTCTGTAGCACGCGGGATGGATGGGGTTACATTATTCAATCCCACTTCTTCTTGGTTATCGTTGATATCAGGTGATTGAAGAGGAGACTTCGTACCACCGTGAGTCACGACAAAATCTTTGTAACTATCCCTCCATTCCTGAGCAAATTCTTTTGAGAATTTAGAAATTGCGTCAGGAGTTGAGAGATCTGGTTTGGATTTATTTTGAGAGGAGCCAGAAGAAGAAGAAGAAGGATGTGCGCCTATTGCGTCTAAGGAAGTAAGCTTCTGAGAAAGAAGTTGAGAAATTCGTGTAGAGACCGTCGTGCGCCAATCGTAGACTGTGCCGAAAACGTCAAAGACGAAAGCGGTAGGTAGAGTGTTAAGTGTCTTTGGCGCCATTTTTTACTTTAATATCTCAAAGCAAAGGTGTATTTGAGCGTTTGAATTAAATCTTGTGGGATATTCCGTGATAGGTATATATATATTCGTATGTGATATTAGATTTATCGGCGTAGTACCGAGACCTCGACTCCCTTCGACACAGCTAGCATCGGTGTATGTTCCGTACCGCGGGGAACAGCAGGATTTATAATACAAGAAAAAACCCCGCAGCCGAGGTAGTTAAAAGAGTATCACAGGCTGTGGTCCAACGTCATTCTACCTACCTATTAGCTCACGATTGTACAACCTTGGTGCCAGATCCAGATCAGATCAGATCCATTCCAGTCGTCCCCGATTCATACGGTGATAGACGCTTCAAAATACCACATGACAACACGCGAACGTATAGAACATCAGAACTACTTTTAAAGTACCTTGGATACGATGGATCGATCTTACGAATTACAACTAATTGTTATGAGAGGCTGGTTGTTAAATGATAGATCCGAACCGGAAGAATCCTCAAGTAGAAACATCTGTAAAGAAAACTAGAGTGGATATATCGATATAAATACCCGAGCTGACTCATTTTCAGTTGGCACAAGGCACGAAGAACACTCCCCTACCCATGCACACATATTCCAATTCCCTCCTCAACTTTTGCCCATGAGCGCTCCAATACATATAATCTTTCCAGCCTTTTCGGCATTACTACGATTGTGCTTCAAATCTGCCAGTTCTTTGGCCATAACTTATTGATACACTTGTCCCGCTTTTACGATAATTCCCCATCCTCCCCCAAGCAATACATCACAATCTCTTAGCAATAATACTCTCAAGCCGTCGCCTTGAATAATCCTCCAACCCAGTATTCCGCCTTAACAAAGCCTCCTCCAACCCCTCAGTGATCCTCTCCACCCCTTTCAACTCACACCGCTTAAGACCACAAACCCTCACATCCTCAATCAATACTTTATTCGGTGCAAACTCCTTTTCACACCGTCGAGTCTGCTGCCTATTATGTCTACACCTAACCCTCAGATACAGTACATTCTCAAACCCACACCTCGCAAACCTTCTGAACCACTCATGCGAGAATAAACCTTCATAGACAACTTTTTTACAACTCTCCGGTGGGGTAATAAAAAAAGATGGGTGGAAGAATTTACCCCGGATTTCGAGGCTTTGGAGCCTTTGAAGGGACTTGATGGTGTCTTTGAGTGTTATTAAGTGGTATATGAGATGTAATGATCTATACCGTCGACGATAAAACTCTTTGACTGTTGAGATGGAAAGAACCTTTAGACTAGACGTTCTGTTTAGAAGATTGGCGAGGGACTCTGCCGTTTGGGTATCAAGTTGACTCTGATCGTTCGATATGGGTCCACCATTCGCATCACTCCATGAGCCTGAGTCATAGTCATTAATGGGGTTGGCATTGCCGCCATCATCGTCGCCATCACCATCTTCGTAAGCTCCGTAACTTCCTTGGTTTTCAAAGAATCTAAAATTTTCTGTTCTAGGAGGGTCAAAGTACGGTCGTCTGGGGGCTGTGATCGTCCAATCCATTTCTAAATAGAGAGTTGTAATGTTCTGTAACGGAAGGGTGTACAGGTGCATAACTGCATGTGCGTTATGAACTGTCGTGACCGCGAGAGAGAAGTCTTCTGGGCCTTTCTTGAGGGAGTATTCCCTGATCTTTTTTAGGAAAGTTACTCCATCTTGTGTCGGTCTGTTAGGGTTATCGATACGATCTTCCTCCCCAGTAGTCGTTAGTACATGTACTTACCAAATATATATATGATATGAAAAGTAAAGGAAGCAAAGAACGATAATAACCAAAAAAATACATACCATTAAAATACGACAATTCAACTCCCTCAAGCTCCAACCCCCCATCATCCAATAGCCGTATAACCTCAGCACACAACCCACTTCTAACAAACCCTCCACCACCTCCTCCCAAAGATCCCCGATGTAGTCGTAGAACCCGAGTATACTTCAACCCACTCCCCCCCACCCCTCGATTTTTTATAGCTTTCAATATCATACCACAGACTAATTTACACCGTTCACCATCCTCCGAAGCATGGACTCGATAAAGTCGTAAGTCCGTCCAAAGATGTTTATAACATACCGGATAGAATGATTTACACGTAAGAAGGAGGGAGAATGTATCCTGTGGAGTTAGGTAGGAGAGGATCTCGTAAAGGAGTTCGGGGATTGTGCCGATGGTTTTGAGGGAGGCCGTGATATTGTTGTGGTTAGCCATATGCATAATTCCGAATATATAGGTGGAAGAGCTCTATAGATTTTAGAGGAGCATATGAAGCTTCGAAGTTATAAATTTTATTATTTTGGGCGTTCTGTATGATATTTTGAAGTTCACTGTCTACGACAGGTCCATTTTCCGCCTTTTTAAAGTTGTTGAGAAATGACGAGCGATAGAAGCGAGGTAAATACAGCCCCGTGCACGCAGTTAAGGAGCTGTCATTGGTTGTTCCAGGGCCTATACACAAATTCCAGGAGGCTGTGAGTTTTCATCAACAGCCTAGCTAGAAACCCCACCCAGCCAGAGGCTGGAAGTGCGTGCTTATCTGAGTCTACAAGATACAAGTCTAGTCATCTCGAAGATTGGGAATATAGACCTTCATACAAAAAGTCACGTTCGCATAATAAAACATCTTTATCATATTCAATCATTCATTCATTCATTCATTCCGATTCACCACCGTCATGACAGGGTATCCGATTTCTCTCCTCTACTGAAGCAAGTTATACAACCGCAGGTGTAAAAAAAAAAGTGATGTAGTAAAGTCTTATAGTCAGGGCGGATAGAAGCGGCGTAGCTTAACCCGAGCGTTTTTTTGAGTATACCCTCCAACAAACCGTGGAAGCTGTATATAATAAAGTAAAGCGACGTAATTAATAATAGGAAGAAATAACCCGAACGCCGAAGGCATGACAGAGAGTGAGGAAAGGGAGGATGGTGATGATGATGATGATAAGGCGTAACACCACCACCACGACAATAGTAGCAGTGTTCGTGTGTAAAAAAGTGTACAGCTCAACAGGATATACAGAGAAATCGAATTGAGTAATATGAGGAGTAACGGCAAGCGCCTCAAATCCAAAATACTTGGACGAGGTTGCCGGTGAGAAACGAGGATTGCGGGTAAAAAAAGTGCGGTAACAATCAATTGCTTTATCACATTTACTCGGCTGGAGTATCTGCGACAAGGGCGTTTCTCTTCTCCTGTACACGGGCCTGTCTCCTTTCCCTGGCAGCCTTGGTCTTCGCACGCTTGGCATCCATCTCCTCCTTGATCTGGCGCTCACGAGCCTTCTCAGCCTTAGCCTTGTGGATCTATAGTTTCAATAAAATATTAGTCTCTTCCCCTTCAACAGAAATAGTTGTAAAATAAGTTTGGAGGGTGAATGGGGGAAAAAACGTACATGCTCAACGAGAGCACGCTTGTGCTTGAAGGTGTTACCCTTGCTCAAATGGTAGAGCTCGTGGTAAAGGTGCTTATCAATCTTTCCGGAGGCACGGTACTTGACGAGCAAGCGGCGGAGGACTCGGAGACGACGCATCCACAGAACCTGGCTAGGCATTCTGGCGTCTGCGGTACCCTTCCTCTTACCGAAACCCATATGTCTACCCTTGCGACGGGCATCGGCCAAAGCACGGGTTCGGCTGCGGGAGTGCATAGTCACTGGCTTCTTGATGATGAGGCCGTCGGCGACGAGCTTGCGGATGGTTTGACCTGGATATTACGTGCATGTTAGGATGCTGGCGGATTGAATTTCGAGGTAAGGTATTAAGATGGAAATTGGACGTACGAGAGTTGGCATTGCTGATTTCGCTCATCTCATTGGGGTCAAGCCAGATCTTGCGCTTACCGCAGCCCATAACGGACGCGGCGAGACGCTTCTGAGTCTTCAAATCAACCCTATATTGAAGAAAAAGAGATTCCATGTTAGACATATGTTCTCGAATTCTTCATCTAAAAAAAAGAGAAGCATTGTGAAGATGCTCCTGTTATTCCTCCTCCGCTGCCTTGTGATCCGGTCGTCTGGACATATGTTTTTCATCATATTGAAATATTTCCCCCTCTTCCAGCTGTATTTCGAGATTCCAGTATATTTGTAGTCGAACATTCAATCGAATAAGTAGTTGGTAGTCGTATACGCCATAGCGTTTCATCGGAAGTGCCTCTTCTGTCTTTCTCATAATCTTGCTTTTCTTTCTTTCTTTCTTTCTTTTACAGCTGACAATCCCACAGATGAATTCCTTCTCCAATCGTCCCAAACTCCCAGATCACCCAGCCAGTCGAAATGCAGGGGAAAAATGGAAATATGGAAGCTTACATTGTGTCTGTATATCGTTAGTAAACAAGTCGTGAGATTCCGTCAAGGAAGAGGTGGAGGAGGGAGGTTGATGTCGTCGGTGGTCGATGCTTGCTGATGGGGAGGAGGAGTTAAGGGAAACACAACAAATTCGAAGTGGGAAAAATGGTGGTAAGGGAGAACGACAACCACCACACAAATTACAAACAAGCAAACAGGTCTACAACGAGTAATAATGATTCATACTACGCCGATTCAAGTATATATCGCAACTAATAACTTCTAATTTCTAGGCTAAATCAGAGTTAGTTCGTACATTATCCAATCATTGGCCTCTTCAGCACACCAGGATTTGGCATTTTAGCTGGTTTGACGTCGATATTGCTGCTTTTGGAGTGGGCGATTTGGCCGATGGGACTGTCTTTTAGGGCATGCCAAGCACGTCCCCGAAGAGGCTATCTTCAAAACTGTCAAACAATAGTCACAAACAACACACCGTGTTGCTGACTGACAAACGACAACAAACAAACTATTGAACAACACCGAGCACTTTCATAGGTGAGCGTATGATCACCACGAAAGACTTCATCCTCTAAGCTACCACCTACTGGGTACTGTGCCAAAAAGAAGGAGTTTATTGATACCGTATTAATGCAGTTTTTTCGCTATGATACGGCATTACAATTTTCAATCCGGATTAGAACAGCACTAGAGGCGAATTTTTACTAATAATTCGTATTCGAGCTGTATTGGAAAGAAGCACCTATATGATACTACAAAATATTCCCATATCAATTCCATGTCAATTCAAATTTTCAGATTATACACAAAGATCCTCATAAGAAACAGTATTCCTCCCGATATCCTAATCCCACGTAACATAAAATATCCCACTTTTGTATTCCCTTCATTGCTGTTTCACTTCCCCCCAGAAAATGCAAAGAAATTCGTCCCATTGTCAATAAAAGAAAGCAATTCAGAAAGACAAAAAAACAGAAGCTCGCTCGTGCTAAACTCGCTATGCGCTAGGTAACAACAGCAGAAATGGACCAAAGGACAGAAGAATCAGAAAACCGGACAGCAAAACAGAAGAGACAAGAAAAAGACAAATAAAGCAAGTCGCTCAGATGGTCGCTAATATGGTCGGGTATCCTAAGATAATGATGATAATTTTTGATTCAAAGGGTGAACATGAACCGGCACCTCGAAGTAAACCCTCTTAATACGCATTCGATTTTGTCGTAGGAGATCTGAGAAATAAAAAGAAGAACAGGCTCAAAAGAAATCCAGAACCCCCCAGTCGTGATAAATAGAGTAAGAAGATTCGTAATTTAGGGGGTGGGTGGGGATCCCGCCACAATTAAACGCCTGGCACGGTTATCGACATGAACCTAGATATGTATGCATGTATACTATAGAAGTTTTAGATGGATCTGGTCTCGTTAATGGACCCATTAAAAGCTGTATTAGTTGGCAAAGCCCTCCTCACGAAGTGTGTCGGGTTCCTTGCATCAGGCATCTGAACTTGAATCAATGCCTGTAGAGGATGGTGCGCTAGGCACTTCGCAATCCCGTCCGAATTTCGGGGTAGATAGTGAGACAGACAGGATGTATGACAGTCCCAGTCCGCGTCATGGCAAGATCGGCAATGAAAATATGTCGTCGATGGAGCAATTTGCTCAGAACAAAGATCGCAGCGGGTGGTTACCGAAACAGGTGCTGGCTGAACAAGTTCGTGTGTGGTATGGAATCCCTGGCGGTGGGGAAATGATCCAAGACCAAATCGACGTAAGGTCTGAGCACTAGCGCTAAATGCTACGAGATCATGATTGCAGGATGCAGCGCTGTTGACACATTCGGGGCAGTACTTATATGTTCCAGTAGAGGTAGTACAAGTCTGCAGGGTCACGTTAGTACATTTTTGATATCCCGAAGAGAAGCAACGTAGCAGAGAAGTACCCACCGAACAAGACCAAAAGATCTCATTGCACATCTTCCTGCAAGTCTGTGTATCGCAAAATATCCCCTTCTCCATGACCCCATTATCTGTATTAAACTTTCTCGAGATCATCTCGTGGCGTCCTGGACAACGTTCTCCACGCGAGAAGCAACCATGGCACATATCGAAATCATCCTCCCGGCAAATATTGCAATGATAATGAACGTGTGATCCGATATGAGAATTGCCGCAGTGATCGCAATTGACCTGAGGTGTATCAACGACTACAGCGTGGGCTGGTGGCAGGGCAGTGGTAAGAAAGGTCGGACGACGAATAGCAGAAATCCCAGTCAAATGACTACCGCTTCCCGAGGAAGTCCCAGCATGGCCACTAATCGATGAAGAGGGCGTGGCGAACCCAGTCGTAGCTCTTGGTATCAGATCCCTCAGACTAGCGCTGATGGCTGCGTAGAACTGTTCCTCGTCTCCTTCGTTGTTGTCGTCAACCCAAGCATCCCACCAGCCTTCCCCAGCCCTGCGATTGGAAAGACTTGAAAGACTACGATTTCTGCTATCACCGGGTGATCGGTCTGTAATAATCCTGTCGCCAGGAGTATAAACCTTGGCCAACTTAGTGATTTCCTCCGGATCCCGAGCATGTTGAGGATTGTGTTTGATAAACATCTCGGTTATGGAAGCCAAGTGTGGTGAAGGCTTGATAGCCCGAACGGATTGTCGACATGTCGGACATCCCTTCGACACAGGGTAGGAACCACCTTGTTGATTTGAAGGAGCGGATGTGAACCATTCCTTAGCACAAGAACCACAATATGAGTGTAGACAGTCGAGCAGGGTGACGGGATGGTGGAATATGGATGTGCAGATCTATTTTTGGAATATTTGGGTACGTCACGTCAGATGAGCTCCAAACTTTTTTCTTAAAAATTTATATTTGTTGTTCCAGGGAGAATTGCTACTTACGGAACAAGTCAATTCCTTCTCGAGATCGGTGCTGATGGCATCACTCTTATCGGTTGGAGTTGGAGCTGGAACCGGCGGAGAAGGATTCCAGCGGAGAGGGTCCATGCGTCCATGGAAGCGTTTCTGCTGTTGAGTTTTAAGTTGTCTTGAAGGATCCATGATCCTAGCTGGATGGATCCGATGGGATCCTGCTTAAAGCGGTTTTGTAGCTTTTTTTATGTTTGTTTGTTGGTTGTAAAAAGAAGGAAAGAGAGAGGAGAGCTTGGAGGTGCACTTCTGCTCTGGTATCGACTTTCTGAGATCTGCTCTGGCTGGCTTGTGCTTTAAACAAACTAGCTAAGTAAGAAGTACTACTATTACTTGCTTCCTTCTTACTTACTTACTTAACTAGCTGGGATAGCTTGCTTGGTTGCTGGCCAGATATAGAAAGCAAGTCAGGAAAAACAGGCGAGACCTTACTGAAACCAAGATCTAGAGCGGGCAGGCGTCATGCAATGTCTAGTAGAAAGCAAGTGTGAGTGGATGATGTTGGACGAAAAGAGGTTAGTCTATGGTTGGATGGATGAAGATGTTGGATGGTTGTTTGATTGATTGATCGATGGATTGACTTGATTCGATTGATCGATTAGTGAAGAAGTAGAATAGGAAGTGAGGTGGAAGAGAAGAGAAGAAGAAGAAGAAGAGGAAGAAGAGTCGAGAGGATGTCGAAGTAGAAGTAGCAGAAGTTGTGCGAGGAAAAGAGAAGGTTCACCAGCCATACAAAGATATACAACCACTAACCACCTGACAGATATAAGGATAAAAATAAAATAAAAACAATTCTATTCAATTCAATTCAATTCAATCCTTTCTTTTCCCTCGAATCGAATCGGATCCATCAAATAAATACGTGGAGCCTGTCCTTTGCTTTGCCAGCCTCGAAGTTTCATCTGCCTGTTGTTTCACGCCGCATTGAGCTGCTGTCTTTGCCTGACTTTTTGCCTGCTTCTCACTCGTCCAATCGCCGTCTTCTGCCGCCTAGTCGCGACTTCCATAAAATATCCCTCTTCCCTCTTTTCCTGCCTCCAATTGCAACCTCCTATCTCCATCCATACAGCACCTCTGCTTTATATCATCCATCGTCCTTCTGAACACTCTCGCTCCCTTAGACCAACTAGCCAACCAATTAGTCCGTCGGTCACCCAGGAAAGACATTCAAAAAAATCAAGAATTCAATAAAGAGAGAAAGAGAGAAAGAGACAGAGACAAAGAAAGAAAGAAAGAAAAGATGTCCAACGAAGAACCCCTCACCCCTTCCCTCATGCTCAGTCGCATCCAATCTCGAATCGCCGACAACCTCTCCGGCACCTTCGGAACCCTCACTGGAACTGACTACATCCGCCTCATCGCTATAGTCGGCGGCTACCTTCTTCTCCGTCCTTACCTCGAAAAGCTCGGTGCCAAGTATCAAGAACGAGACCACGCTCGTGCCATCGATGAAAACGAACAAGACTCCATGGCTGCAACTGGTCAGAAGGCAAGGGTTATCGCCGGTGAAGGTTATGACCTAGACGAAGACGAAGACGAGAGTAGCGACGAGGAAGCTTGGGGTCGCAAAAAGAGACTACAGCAGAGGAAGGAGAGAGCAAGGAAGAAGAAGGAAATCGAAGACCGGATAAAGGCGGAGGAGGATGAAGAGGATAAGGAAATCCAGGAGTTCTTGCAGGATTAGTCAATTCCGGACATACGATTTAGTGACGACACTTCCAGAAGGGAGAGAAAAATTCGCAGACATATATAATATATCTCTAATGGTAATGGGCATTCGTTTCGGTGTACATATCTTTCATTCATTTTTGGCGAGCATCGCGGTATAAATTGGGTTCTACGATCAATCGAGTACGGTTTTCTGCGCAAGCTAGGAGGTAAAAATCACATTTTCATAAGGACGGTTCTAACGCATCTCCTTTTCTTTCTCTTTTCCTTTCCTTCTCTTTTTCTGTTTTTTTTTTTTTTTGCCAAGGTTCGATTCATAGAAGAGGTCTCGAGGAGTACGAGTATAGACACACTACGAAAAAAAAGCCTGCATACCACCATAGTACCATATTAAACATCTTCCGGGCACAATACAATCCACTTTAGCTTCCACCATGAACATTTCGCATCACGATGTCTCCAAAGGCTAGAAATTTAAGCTGAGCAGAAAAATCAACAGAGCTAGCTGTAGTCAAATTAGAGAGGGACAGCCATCAAACTACCAATGAAGGTGGTAATAAGACGGGTTCGCAGTCCGACGATATCCTCAGGTAGTAACCTATCGCCGAAAATATTAGCTCTAGCTCAACCTCAACAATATCTAAATCTAAAAAGGGGAAAAGAAAACTAACCAGATAGTAGCCCCCATCTTTCTTGCAATCGAAATACTGAGTTTAGCATTGAGGTAAGCGTCCTCGTCAGTTCGTCCTGGTGTTACGAGATCATAGTCCACATAGCTGCCTACACCAAAAAAGTTAGCAAAAAAGGCCCCCACTATTCACTCACGCAATCCACTTATGTAATACTCACTCTTCATTCCACTAAGCACATCCAACAAGAAAATACCCGACGCCAAATTCTGGTCCTTGAGACCCCGAATTTGCGTCTGCTTCCCCCCCTGTCTTGCCTTTGCATTTGCCCACTCAATCATATCCCTATCGGACAATTCCCTCTTACCAGCCTTTTGCGCTAATCCGCCCAGAGTGTTCAAGATGTCCCTCCTCATCAATTGCCAAACAAGTCCCAATGTCAACTTCTTCTGTCCATCTGTAATATCCGCACCCTGGATGCCAACAAGCGAAAATCCATTCTGCTGACCAAGCTGGACAGCATAGTTGGTATTCTCGACAGCCTTGAAGCGCTGGAGCTCGCCGCCCTGTGGACGCTTGTTGACGTGTCGCCAGCTGACGGAGCCTGGGATAACTTTGTCGTATGCCTGCATGATAATAGTACCGTCCGAGAGATCATCGAATAGCGAATTGATGGATGGGGTAACGTCGAGGGAGTTCAACCACAGTGTGAAGACACGAGCCTCACGCTCGCCCTCGGCATCGAAGTCATCGATATCGACCTTCTCGTCCTCAGTGAGGGGTTCGAGGCATGGATGGGTATTGAACAAGTGAGCGACAAAGGCCAAGTTAAGCTTCGAATTACCCGCAACTAACGACTTGGGGGTCAAGAACTTCCTGCAGTCGAGCTTGTCGGCATTCTGGAGAACCTCTTCAGCACGTTGGAGTAAATCGCGTGTCTGCAATGGGGCTCGAGAGCACAGATCCGGCGAAAGCTGATTCAACAAGACAGTGTAATTTTCACCATCCTTAACATCGCTCGAAAAGTTCGACACCCGTCTGTTCCAATTCGCGGCCTTAAGATGGTAGTTGAACCATCTCAACAAGATCTGCTCAGGAGGAAGTCTCAAGAACTGCTCGAGCGTCTCACCGTCCTCTAGTAATCTATACAGTTCCGGATGGAGTCTAATATCAATCTTGGACAAGAGACCGCGTCGGATAATCTGCCATATTAACCCGAGGATGAGATGCTCGCGCACTTCAATGATATCACCGGCGCCAATGTTGACGACGGAGCAGCCGATAGCCTTTGCGGAATTGATGACGATGTTATTGTTCTCGGTCATATGGAAAGCGTTGAGCGCCTTCTTATTCTTAGGACGATTAAGAACACGCTCGTCGATAGTGTCGGGAACGCTGTCGTTAATGAGTTTTGCGAGGACAAAGCCGTCTAATACCCGTATAAATCAGTATCAATCCACATACCCACCCCTATACTAAGAAGCTCGATCATACCTTTGCACTGGTCAAACATCTCGAAGGTATCAGTCGGGAACGGCAACCTGTCGCCGATATCCGCATCTCCCGCAAGAGCGGCATTGATATGGCGCGTAAATTCAGTCCGTTCATCCTCATTGATGGTATGTTGCGACGTTGACGTAGAACCTCCCATCCGGATCTGACCGGCTGGTGGCTTCTTGCCCGGCGAAGGTGGTAAAGGACCTCCAGCAGCCGAACTGGCGCGGCTCCTAACTACACCAGACGGGATAGCTGAAGGTAGTGCTGATGCCGGTGTATCTGCAAGTCGCAGTTTGGAAACAAGCTGTATTAAATGATACCCACAACGTCAGCCTGCTGATATTAGAAGCTCTGTAGAGCTACTAGTAATTCATGGTAAGTAATATATAACTCACGTCAACGAAATCGTCAAACTCGACTCTCCGCGAGCTATCCAATTCCACTTCCTTGAGAGCCTGTCGAACAACGTCGTATTGCTTCCTCTCCAAGTTCTGCACGGCTTTAATTGCTGTCGCTTCGTCCAAATAACCTTTGTCATCGGCATCCAGCTGGAGGAACTGGTTTTGCAGCTCCATGATGCCGCCCTGACCCAGCTGGGGGTACTTCTTGGCGAGCCTGATGGCGTTCATCTTGAAGTGGTTAACCTATCGAGAAAGGGCGTGCCCTACGGGTACTTGGTAGATTTTGTCTGTCAGGAAAAGATTGATGATTGTAGACGGTAGAAGGGGAGAGGGGTGGGGTGGAGTTGAGGGTAATAACGTTTGTTGGAAATCGCGGGGGCTTTTTGGGTGTTGCAATTGCTGTCCGGTCAGCTCAGCCACAAAGACGTTCGGAACGGCAGGGTGATGTCACGGCAGTTATGAGATGCCTTGAAATTTCGGTCACTTCTGTTCTGTTATAACTACCACAAGACAAAAGGGTCTTTGAAAGTGAAAATGAAAATAGCGATGTATATTATACTCGGAGTCGTGAAAGGTCTATATAATTATACCACTACAAATATTAAGAGCCTCATGGGTTTATATCATATTTTGTAGGCAGAAAGGCAACGTAAGGGTCGTCGTTTAAATGTTTTAGCCATTGTTTGCCTCTCATGGGATTGCGTATATCGTATATCTCCAGCTACTCTGCCTATTCGATTTCCCAAGACCTAGTTTCACTCTCAAGCTTGACGATATATCTTATATCAGCAAACAAAAGGATAAATTAGACTCAACCAATCGTCTTGTCCTTTATATCTATACCTATTTCCTCGAAAACGAAAGCTTGTCTCCCAAGATCATCAGTAACGTTCCTACAAGGCGCTAGTGCTACTATGCTGAGTGCATACGTAATTCCAAGTTATAGAGAGGCTCAGCTGGTGATACGTACCACCACTACCACCACCACTACTACAACCGTGGAAACTTGCCTCGGTCACGGAATCATATGCCCGCCTGAAGTTTGCCAGATCGTCCTAAGGATCCTGATTCAATCCGCCCTGGTTACTCAGGGTTTCACAGGGACAGCTGGCGAGTTGTGTAAGTATACTTAACTTCCTGATATCCACTTACATTCTGAAGTACACACATGAAAATGCAAGTCATGATCATTCGTGCAACGTATTAGGCGGGAAGAAGAGGAGTCCGACTGGACTAGAACAGCGGGGGGCTGCCTTAGCGCCGACTTCCCGTGCTAAAAAGCACAAGCTTCCAAGTTAGCATATGCTTTCGTGCATCTTCCCTCCCTCGTCCTGCAAATCGTAGCTTTACATTCCCGGTCGGCTGGGTTTTAGGAGCCGCACGGTTCTTTGCCACTTCGGATATAGATATATATAACTACCTAGGTACTTTGGTGGGCGGGGTCTGTGGTCTTGCAATATCAAAATGGCTAAGAAGGATGAAACGAAATGTTTCTGCAAGTGTGGTTAACGGTTGGGAAGGCTGACCCTCATCAATCCCGTTGACCTATGTTCTCGGTGTCGTATTTATCAATATTTAACTTCAATGTACAAATCGCGATACAAAGTACTAGTAGGTACTTAAGAACGTATATCTAGCTCTTTCAAGTATACATAGTAGTATTCGTAATCGTTGGATTTAATCTATACAGCTACCTAAACGATATTTAGAACATATCTACGACTCAAACGACCACATGTACAGTCTATCAGTGCAGCATGGAAATAAGTAAATATCTTGATATAAAATAGAGATAAACTGCCAAAAGAAGCTCAAATAACAGCGGGTACTCATAATCTCACAATTTGATCAAAGTCCAACTAATAACCGAACGTGGGGTTGAGACAATACATCGATATCAGTTTGATATCGTCGTATCTTCAAAATAGGAATCAAATAGAATAGGAAACTATGGGGAAGCCGAGAAGAATAGAGGGGTATGTCTGAGATAAACTTCAAAGGAAATAGCTGAACTCCAAAGAAAACAAAAAAAGGGAAAGAAAGTCGAAAGAGGAAAAGGCAAAGAAGAAAAAAAAGGGAAAAGGGAAGAAGGAGAGGAAGGGAATAAAGAAATAAATAGAAAATAAAAAAAGGATATGGGGGAAAGAATCAGCTACAAGTTTAGAGGACGCTGTATTCGTTGCAGTTACAATTTGAGAATTAGGTCTCGAGAACAGACGACCCAGTTAGAGGCCGTGTGTTTAGCCCAGTCAGAAAAAAAAATAATGGCTCAATTATAACAAAGTAGACTAAACCCGTAGAAAATTGTGGGAGTTCCCGTGTCGCAATCCTTCGAATAGGAAAAAAGGATTGGAACGCGGGAAAGAAGGGGGAAACGTTATAAAAGGGGTAGGTGGTGAAAGTGAAAGGAAAAAGAAGAAAAAAAAGAACAACAAAGAGGAAGTAGACGGGCGAAGAGGAAGGAAGGAGCTCGAATTCATAGAATAATGAATATATTTAGCTAAAGGGAAGAAATAAGGGGAAACGAATAAAGGAGACATTGTAAGCCGAAATAAACCGCGAGATAATCAAGATGCGCCGCGTGACAGATTTGTTGAGCTTCGTAGGTGTAAAGTTAGTCTGAATATCAAAGTCTAGTACATATCTTAATACTGGACTCATATCAAAATATAACATGAAAGTCTTTGGAGGGAAATTCGGAGTTAGGTCTGGGGAATTTTCCTATATCCATGTGAACCGCCTTGGTCCCCATGTCAGCTTGTCCATCGGTGCCTGGAACCCCTTTGTCCCTATGGGCCATTCACAGAATGCAGCACCTCTTCTTTGGGGGATATCGGTCTTTGTCGGCGTTCCTATCCCGGACAGGTGCATCGTCTCGGCGAGCATACGGTTTTCGGGAACTGCTTTGTCTTTGTTTCCTTAACAGCCTTACTACGTCGTAGAAGGCCTTCTCGACGTTGACACAATTTTTTGCTGATGCCTCAACGAATTGACATTCTAGCTCACGAGCTAGTTCCATTCCTTCTTGGTGTGATACCTCCCGTTCAGTGACCCTATCGCTTTTGTTTCCGACAAGCATAATGGGTATTGGCGATGTGGTATCGCGGCCGCCGGAAAGGACAGGGGAGCTAAGTGGGGAGCTTCCACCATATGCATTTGGGATCGAATCCTTTACTCGCTGAATCTGTTGATGAAATTTCTTTATTCTGGTGAACGAAGATCGCGATGAGATACTGTAAACCAGCAGAAAGCCTTCGCCGTCGCGTATCCATTGGTCCCGCAAAGCAGTGTATTCTTCTTGACCAGCAGTATCCAAAACTTCCAGCATGCACGACTGTTGGTCTATGACGACCTGCTTTCGGTAAGAGTCCTCGATAGTCGGATCATATGTTTCGACGAAATGATTTAAACATAGCTAAGATAGAATGAGAAAACTATGTTTAACTAATGATGTCACGAGTTCCGTTCGTCGATGGAGGAATCTGTCAACTTACCTGTATGGTTAATGCAGTCTTGCCGACACCACCATCTCCAAGCACCACCAGCTTGTACATCGTCATTCCCCCTTTCCCTGCCATTTTTTTTTTTTTTGGTTGATTTGGAGATTATATACCCGTTATGACGATTTGAGCGAAATACGGGGCAAAACAGGCCGAGGCGGAGAAACGGTGGGTGCGAATCCTCCGCTCGGACGCTACTGCCTAAGGAATTGGACTGTCTACAAAGATCAAGTCGGATAGGACTCGATACGCCGCTGATTGAGGAAAGAAAATCGAGAGCTTTCACAAATTTGGTTTCTTTTTCTTCTTCTCTTTTTTTCGCGTTTCGAGGGCCGGCTCAGGGGTGGTCGCTATAAGTTGGTGTATTGTATCAGAGAAACTGCGAAATCACTGAGGGTCACAGTGGTGGTTTAGTTGGAGTAATCGATTTCGCAAAGGCCAGAAGTACGAGAGCAAAGAAACCAAACTGCAGAAAAAACGAAGAAAAAACAGCGGCTTTAAAGGCAGGTGAGAATAATCAGGGTATAGGTCTTGGGTATACAGAAGAATGCCACGGTCGAGAGAATGCTCTTGGAGGAACGAAAGCCGGGCGGTCGTTATGTTCGGAGGCAGGCGTGCATTCGTTTAAACAACACCCCCCTTTGCAATGAAGATCCAGATGGAATCGAAGGTTGGATTAATTCGGTCTATCGATGGGATGGGCAGGTTGACCAGAATTAGATATGGATGATGGGGGAGAGTGGATGAATGATGGTGGTGATGGGTGGATGGATGGATGAAATGGGATGCAATGGCAATGGCGGTGGTGGCGGGAATTTGCGAAGGGAAAAATATTAATAACCAACCAACCAAACCAGCCTTTAGAAAGAAGAAGACGCTGCGGCCTGTCTGTCTGTCTGTCTGAAAGTACGGCAAACCCCAGTCTGAAATGTCATGTACGGCTCCACGCTATATAAATTGCTTTTGCTTCGGATAGACTTGAGTCCTCTTTTTTTTTTTTTTGTTGGAATCCCGAACAAGGGTAGCTGTTTTTATTTTCTGGGCTTCGAATTCGCTGATTTCCAATTAGGTCCTGATCTATATCTGTGCAACTCTCTTTCGACTCGATTTTCTGTTCGTCTGCCTGCTGTCGCTCCGCCGTTCCCCGGGCTGCGTTTTGGCAGGAGGCTGAGCTTGCTGCCGCTGCGGGAGGTGACCCAAAAGGAGGGAATCGCGATTTTGATGATTCAATAGGGCATGCAATGTACTTACATGTAAGTACGTATTGCACAAGACAGCACACCTTGCCTCTCTCTCTCCTCTCTATGTAATATACGCCGTCTCCACGAGCTCCAGCCTAAGTCTCAAGGCAAAGACAAAGAGGTTTCGGAGTAGGCGAGAGTCTCGGTGAGTGGGTATGTATTCAAGGTATCAAGGAAGTATTTCCTTCAGGGGAGCTGTCCTCTTTTGGCCGACCCGGTTTGCAGGTTTGATATTGGACGAGCGGACGACAGACAGAAGCACACAAGAGGTACTGGAGATTGCAAATGAAGGGATATGACAGACAGACAGACAGTATTCATATACGGAGTGCTCGATCGAACCCGAAAAGACAAGAGCTTGGAAAGAGGAGAAATGAAAATAGCCTTACCGATTTGACTCTAAACTGTTGGCCCACTTCCTTCTTCGTTTTCCCTCTATTTGAGTTTGTGAATGAAGTTACTGGCTAAGTCAGTAAATCAGTAAGTAAAAAAGTAAGTAGTATTACTTGCAAATCCCAAATCCCGCCAGGATCTTGCCGTATGGATGTATAAATGTGGGAAGGGAACAAAGCGACGGCTTCTTGTCAGAAAGGGATAGTTTTTCTCAGTGGTCAGTTAACTAGCCCGGGGGGTGCGGTTGAGACCTTGGAAAAAATAGAGACGGTTTAACTGGCGGGATAAACCACAGGCATGGACACAGCCAAACCCGAATCAACGGCAGCGGTATAATACTCTCTGGTGGGTTAAGGGGAGAAGCCTGCCATGTTGCCTGGCCTTGCAGTGACAAAGTGCAATAAAGGAGGTGGACCGCGACCTTTCCAAAGAGAGGTCAAAGTACCCGTGAGAATTTTTTGCCCTGCAGATAAGTCGTTAACGACTCCGGACCAGAATATCTCTTCTCTTTTCGAACCTGTCAAACCGACTTGCCCGCAGCTGAACCCGTTCGCAAAATCAAAACCATACTGCGCGCTACGGAAACATCTAAGCTAGGGCAGGTAGTCAAGCAGGCGCAGATGCTATCGGCGACGGCGACGGGTTCAAGAAACAGCTAGAACCATCCCGTCCATCCTAATCAGTTTCGGCTCATGCCTAGCAGTTTTTTTTTTTTCCCTCTTTCCCTTCATGGAAAAAAATTTTATACGTCGATACAGTGGGAGATTATTTTTGGCTACACGGTTTCAATACCGGAGCTACATAGCTCCCCCCAAGCACATGCACATATGTAGGCGAGACAAGCTGCATCTCAACCGATAAGTTACATGCATGCACGCAGATTGAAGTGTGTGCGCGTGCAGAGCTGATATTGATTGACGCTTGCTGCCAGCTGCCGCAAGGTTAGGAGGTGATTCGGTATACTTTCCACAGGATACATATATCACACCCACGAGGCATACTATAGGTATCACCACTCTGGTACTTGGAATCCCACGCCCACTGGAACCATACAGTCGGCACAATTGGAACAAGATGTTCCCTGAACTATGGGTGGACTGTGGACCACAACCGCATGACGACTAGTCAGAATTCGGCTTGGAGCGAAACCCACACCTCATTCTTGGATTTAGCGGGTGGAGTTCACAGGAAAGGGCGGGAAGGCAGGCGAAAGCTCACGCAGATACAAAACAAGTGGCACCGTTTGCTGTCTCTGTTAGGGAGACCTGAAGTAGAGCTTACGTAACTATCAGCGTCTCCAAGTAGACAGCGGATCTGTCTCCAGGATTCCGATGGCGAAATTATCGATCACGAAGAATTCGACTAGTTAGAACATTAGTATTTGACGGAATGGAAAAAGTAAAAAATATGGGTGACTCGGGATGTCCCTGCGGCCTATAGCTAGTACATACCTGCCCAACTTGGGAGTTAAATTTATAAAACATCTGGTTATATTGTGAGGTTCTCATTAGGTTATGCCACTCTCGAATCGAAGAATCAGAATTGCGTCGGTGTCAGCCTTAGGCCCAAACGTTACTAAGTGTCTCGATTCTACTCTAGATTCGGATCTAAACCCTAGTGCATTGATCGTATCTGCATATTCTGGCCGGCTCTTTGATCTAAAACCCCGCAGTTTAATACCTCAGCGTCTGGGGATTCCCTTTCGCAATTCCGAGCCTTCTAGCTCCACACTGAACAGCGTGTGATAGAACAATAAGGGCTATCATTGATACTAAGAGATCGGGGCAACTGTGCATCATTCCGGTTTGACTAAGTATCAATCGTGCGTAATTGTGAGTGTCCGAACGTTGGATTTGAAACTCCAACAACAGGCTAGTAGCGCCATGCCGCGCCGGCCAGAACTAAATCACGGAAAACAATTGTACAAACTTACTATAGTATAGTACTACCACCAAGGCTATAACCTAAATATATTTTTACCTTTCAGATGGCTATCTGTGTATGAGCCGCACCCCGCAGCTAATAGATCCGCAACATGGATATCGGATTTGGACCTTGAGCGTTAAAACGTAGGCCAACGGGCTAACGGTTGACCACCTGCAGGCCCATCGATTCGCTGCAGTTATTTATAGCTGTAAGTTAACTACTCAACAGCTAGAATCAATGAGCCGGACTTAGGGCTATAGCACCAAAATTAAGCTTTAGTTACCTAGGTAGTTGTATTTCATTCGCTTCTATGGACAATTGAAGCTAACGAAGTCGTTAAAATTCTTAGGTTTGCGCTTGCACGGTTGTCATAATACACCGCATATAACAGGTATATATAGCTGTTAGCTCTCGTAGCACCAAACGTACTACAGTACTATGGTAGGCATATGCTTAGCAATACACTGATCAAATCGATATCAACATCCAGTTTCCAAGTTTAAGTCCCCACGATCGAAGCTAGCCCCAAAACACCAATTACATTATGCGATGTTCTGATAGTTACACAAACAAAAAAGGAGGTTACTCGCGCTCACCTAATACGAAATACATATATATTGAAGGGTGGAGAGATATGCTATTAGTCTCGATCTTGATCTTGTAAGGGTGGCTGCGGTTATCCTGGCCGTGGCCCTTCTTTTCTCAATACGGGATACCCGCACCGATGCTAAAATCATACGCTTTAAGTAGATCTACGGGTATAAAAGCGGCAATATTGTTACGAAGGGCTAAGTCAATACCTGTATCATTCTAGACTAGGGGTAACCCAGTATTAACTTCTTGGTGTATATTATACTAAAGTATCGCTCGATTAGTATCGATAGGTTCCGTAAATTTCTATCATCAGTACTTGCGAGTAGTCAACCGTTAACCTCACAGATCGTTGGAAAAGGTCTAGCCGTATAAAACCTAAAACAAATACTCCGACTCGAATAGAAATGGTAGGTAAATCGTTGAGGTACATAGCCGTTTCAGAGTAGGGACACTCCTGCACCGTTTTCGACCCACATATCCTTAAGAATATGCCGACGGATCCGTGAGGATATAAGCATTTGAGAAAGTTTAGACAGATAATCATAAACCATCATATATTTTGAAACGGTGGATAGCATACTACACTACCACAGGGTGTTTTTAAAATCGCATGGGCGTCTATGCCATGCAGCTGTATGCAACAACGGTCCCACTAATCCCTCCGTCTACACCGAAGTTCCGAGGTGCGTCTATAGATGGTTCCAAAAGAATCCGAGGCGTATGAGGCGCACATAATAGGGGCTTTAAATTAATTCTCCGGTAAAAAGATGGCTTGCATGCCTGCATGTGCACAAACACATTGTGGTTTGCCTACCATCACCGTTGAAGTCGGATATTTATGTTCCTGGCTAGCTGGTGTATTTCGTAGGATCGAGGTTGGCGAAGAAGCAAATGTACTGTTATGGATCCGAAAGCCTCACTAGTTGCGTCTGGACAAGTGAGTGTTTATATACTGGTTATTCCATTAATTGTACTTTCTAAAGAGTCGAGAAGGTATCGCAATGCTTCGTGAGTCGAGGTCCTTATATATGCTAAGTTTATAGGAGGATTCGACGGATGTGGATTCTGGGCGTTAATTTTATAAAGCGTGGCTTATAAAACGGTACAGATGGGTCAACGACCGGGAAATTATTTGCCTCCATCAAGTCGATGCTTTCGTATTTTAGGAAGCTTTGAAACCTTGATCGAGATTATTATTTCGCCGTGGCTCGAGGGATTGCGGCTTGTTTACTAAAGCTTTTACCTGAAGTTCCATCAACATCGAGATATAATATCTGCATGTATGATTGATATTTAATTACATATAATCTAACGGGTGATGTCATGCATATACTCCGATATCGACCGGATTCTGGAGAACAACTGATAATTTCCTTTCGAACCAAAATAAACCCACGGCAGAGTAGCTTGGTTTTGCTCCACAATCTCCAGATAACGTCGGTATCGTCGCGTGGCTATGGAAGAATCTATGGTGCATCATTCGTCGATGTCGACTCGCAATAACCCAACGCGTTAGAGGCGCACCCCACGCCGCTTCGACATGGGCCAGGTCTATCAGGAAGAACCAAAAAAACACCAAACCCTCAACCTCGGAGCCCACAGAGAAACCATCTATCATGAAATCCCGTCGGATGCCATGCACATGCAATACACACTTTCCGAACCGGAGGCATGTGCGTACACGGGGGTACCAACGCGTCTTTTCAGAAAGCAGTGCGTGGGAGCTACATGTACTTACTACCTATGTAAGCTTCGAATATCGACGGACCCCGGATGTCGACTGTTGAAACAAGCCGTGCCGCCTCATCCTCTACGGAAATTTAGTTTCTGGATTTTATGGAAGGAATACTGGTCCCAGCCGTCCGCTTGTGATCGTATCCGTGATATGGGTTCATAGTATCACAAAATATAGCCTTCGGCCGCTGGTGGGATGCCGGATGAGCAGTTAATTTCGACGGCAAAACAAGCGAACCCTGGGGTTCTAGTCCCACTGCGTATCTGATTATATCCTCCCACGATTTGAACGATATCGATGTTGTTGTTGCTGTTGGCGGGTTCGGTTTCATGTTGATGTCCATATGATTTATCGATATCGCAAAAGAGCGGATTCGTTTCTCACATTCCAAATTCCGAGGCGACGAGCTCGGTCCACTTGATACAATCCGCTAGGGGTTTTAGCTGTTGGTAGAGCTCAAAGCCGTGGAGCCCTATCCTGTCCGAATAAGGGGAGAAACTTCATGCAAAAATTTGCTTCCCCATGGCATCTTATTCGCCGACGGATGAGGCTATCACTTTTGGGTTAACCTCTTCTGGCGCTTTCCCGACTCTCTGGAACATAGAACCCCACCCACGTTCACCCATAACTGCCTGTTGGTTAACGAGCCGGGTATCGAGACTTAGCCAAGGGCAGCGACAATCAATCGTCGCTGACCAAATGTCAAAGTTGTAGCAGAAAACCGTTCAAAACATGAGGCATGGCTGTCAAGCTGACCCCCTCGTATTATTGAGATCCGTGGGACCGACTTGGGGGCCTGGACCAGCGTTTTCGCCCACAAAAGGATGAAATGAAGGCCTCTCAATAATATCACGTTCTTAAGAACCAATCCCTTTATCACAGCAGTTTTATACACAAAGAGTCAGCCCACAATCTCGATCAACAGTGTGGTTACCCAATTCTGCCGGTTCCTCCAGAATCCCTTTATCTCGGCTGGCCGATTTGGCTGCCCCGTTGTTTACGATTCGCTGATCGAGGGCTTTGTTCCCCACCATCCCCCTCTGAGTGGTTGCCCCCCCCGTTCAAATTTCTCCATTAGATTATCAAGCACGACACGGCTCTCCAACATGCAAAAGGATGAAAAAAGGGACCTGCAGAACCGAAGCGAACCACGGCCAACCAACATTAGGGTGGGAGGGCGTGTTTCAACATTCTTTATGCTTTCCAACAATTGGTGACTGCCTGGCCCAGGGTCTTACCTCGAGCCGCCTAGCGAACGGCTTGCAGCTTAACCTTCGACCGCCGACGGGCTCCTGACGGCAGAGTTTAAATGTTGGTGGTCCTGAGGTTTTTATGTTTGGTTCAATCTGATGCATGGACTCGGGCGCACCACTGGGCCGGAACACTCCCTCTTGGCCCAAGCTAAGGACTGAAACTGCTCAGCTTGTCAATAATTGGCTTATGCTGGTCGGGCAGGGATGAACGGATGTGATCCTATACCCCTGACCCATGTTCGGATAGCCTTTTAATCAGCGTTCATGCAACCTATCGGCGAGAGTCTTGAAAGGGACGAACTATTAGGGACACAGGGCCTCCAAGCATTCGTGGAGGTCAAGCAGATCTTGTCAAGAAAAAATTGAGGAAGAAAAATATTCACAAGAAGAAAACATATTTTGAAAATCAGAAGAGGCGAGATCCCAAGGACCTTTTCATACCTTCCTTTCTTGTTGTGCTCTTCCCCTTCCTTCGGAATAGGCCTTTGGTACGACAATCGTCGTTCATCTTTCTCTAGCGACTCCTGTCTGTTCATGATTCGACATTCCATTTCATTTCATTCTTTAGGTAGACGGGGTCGGCCTTTCTTCACATTATCGAATTCTATCCTTACCTCATCGCGCAGCTGAGTTTTTGGGTCTAGCAGCGGCCCACCGAAGTTTCGGACAGCGTGCTCGAAAGATATGCCTTGACTGCGCATCTCTACATCATTCCATATCCTTTGACCCCAAGTAAACCTGGGGCGTTATCCTTATCAGGAAAAATCTACGTCTAAACAACATCTTCCCCTTCTTTCGCGCGCGTACTATATACGTCAGTTTAGAAACAGCGTCTGTCGATATATGGAGTAGCTTGCGGGCCATTGCACTATACGTTTTTCAGTTTACGGTATTATAATGACACTCGTTTGCAGAACTTCTCTGTAGTCTGTTTTAGAGTTACGAGCGGTAGATACGTACCATTCAAAGACATCAAGTCCGAGCTTGACCACCCCCCCAAAAATACGACGATACAATGGACGAACATTACAGGAGACCGCAGTCGGAAAGCGAAGATGGCGCGGTCACTGATAACTTTATGCCGATACAGCGTATGGGATCTAGAAATTTTAAACGACACAAGTCAAGATCACGAAGCAGGAATGGTTCCACATCGCCCCATAAAATGGGTAGATACACGCCGCCTCTCACGAACGGTCGAACGTCACCTATGAAAAACCGGCATTCAAAGGATATCCCTGCTGATGAGCCGATTTCGATACTTGACCCTCGCCGGTTCACACCAACGTTGCACGCGAGCTTAGTAGCCGAAATTCTTAGCTTACGTCGAGACCTCGAGGCCAAATCCGGATTGATCGAGTCGTTAGAGACGGATTTGTCGATTGCTAGGGCGGAAACCGAAAACACTGCAACAACTGCTGCGTCAGCCCGCAGGGAGGCAAGGGATGTCAGAGAACAACTCAAGTTGAAGGAAAATGACGAGGCTCTTGAATCCCTCTCTTATGAGAGAGACCAGGCCTTGGAAACTGTTGCAGAACTTAAACGCCAAGTTGAACGGCTGACTAAATCTCGAAGGAAAGCTGAAGACGATATTGAACGAGATCGAAGGATATTTGACAGAGAAAGATCTGAATGGGAGCTGAGCAAAAGGTCGCTGGAGCATCGGGTTCATGTGGCTGAAGGGAGGCTAAAAACACTACTACAGGAAATTGCTTCAGCGAATGAAGCAAACCAACAGGCACAGGAAATAAACGGCGATGAGGCATATGAAAATCATCTCATGCGCCCAGAAAGCATTGCTCGCCCTGTGAGCAGAAACAGTATGCGGTCTATTTCTTCATCGGGGTCTGAAGACACAGACGCAGAGAAGCTCGGGATTAGATTTTCAATGATCAATTCCGAGGCTTCTCAGTCTGCACTAAGACTTGCCGATGAGCTTGACTTTATTCATGAAACCAGCGAGGCTTCTGAAGCCGAAACTGAAGGTTCTGTCTACCCAGAATCTGTCGGAGAAATGGCCCAAGATATCATCCCTGCGCCCGAGGAGGAATACGAGTTTGAGGCAATCAATGAGCATTTGATTCCCTCTCGGAGATCCTCTGGCGCCCTGTCTCCCTCAATCATCGGCGATGACAAATCAGAGATGACCGAATGTACCGTTTTGGCCGCAACCAACGACGAAATAGAAATTCAGGATCTACGACGCGACAATAAGCGAATGATGGAAATGGTTGAGCAATTGGAGGAATGCATCAGACTTGAAAAGCAAGAACGAGAGAACATCAAAAACACTATGACGGAGGAGCTTGCGGACTGGAGGGTTAAATATGAACAGCAAGCCCAAGTTTACGAAGCTCGAGAATACGAAGGTCGACAAGAGCGACTAGTTCTTCAGCGTGAGCACCAGGGTCAGCTGGAGCTCCTTGAATCAATAGCTGCAGATACACAGCACCAGCTTGAGCTTCTAGCCTCTGAAAAGGCAGACCTTAAACGATCAATGGAAGAAGCCTCGAGGAGAGCGAGAGAGGCAGAATTGGAGGAAGAGGATCACCCATTAGTGGCGAGTGTCCTCGAGGAAATTATTGATGAATGTGTCTTTGTGGAAGCGCTTCCTCCAATTGAAGAGATGGACGAACCTGCCATCGAGCTCATCAAACCACTTGAGACACCACGCAACAGCCTTGTTCTTCAAGATGATTGCGTTCCACAATCCCCGCGAGAGATATCTGCAAACCAAAGCCGCAAGAGGATATCCCTCATGGGGCCGGTTTCCCCACCTCTCAGCCCACCATCCACCATCACCCGCAGGTCATCCGCAGTTATATATGTTTCTTCGGATTGCCAGACCTCCCCTGTTGTATTTGCAGAGCCGGGCGTGGATATGGAATGCCAAACTACTCCTATTGTAATCGCAGAGCAGGGTGTGGATGCAGGGTGCCAGACCGACAAGCCGCCTAGTCCTCCACAATCCCCCACATTCATTATACCATCTATCACAATACACCCTCCTGGTCCCGCAATCATTAGTTATGAACCGAAGCCAACAAGGAGCATTGCCTGCCAGACTACTCAGCCCCCCAAGTCAAAATCTACTTCAATGCAAACTGAGGTTATTAAGGTCGATACTCGGATTCTTAACAAGAACTTCGGATCTCCACCACTGCAAAGAGGACTTCCGAAGCCCCCAGTCCATGTTGCAATTGCAGCTCCAGCTACTCGGCCGCCAACTGCAGTAGCTCCTCGTCCAACTACTGCAGTTTCACCCCGGCCGCCAACTGCAGTAGCTCCCCGTCCAACTGCAGTAGCTCCCCGCCCAACTGCAGTAGCTCCCCGCTCCCCTGCACCTGCGCCTATCCGCACCCAGCCTGCTGTCCCTGTTAGCCCCCCACCGATGACCTCACCTCCAATGGTTTCACCACCCATGATTTCGCCGCCAATGATTTCACCACCGATGCTTAGCCCCACCACGACCATTAGTTCGCCACCTGTACCCCCTGCAAAGAGTACTAGGCGTGGTGGCAGGGTTCCCCTGGCAAGACTAAACACAGCTCCAGGCCCAGTCGCGGCGAGAGAAGTCATGGAAAGTCCACCTCAATCCTCACCACCTCGGAGATCGATGTCTGAGGCCGCAATCCATCACCTTCCAATGGTATCGCCGAATGGGGTATATCGGCCTCCAAGAACAACATCACTTTGGAAGTACGGTGATATACCATCTGATGAAGACGATGATGAAATGGATATTGAGGAGCAGGAAGATATGTTTGGTACAGCACTTTCAGCACCAAGACCACCACGTCCAAGACCTAGCGAATCCACCATTGCTTCAATTGCTTCGAATCGAGATAGTATGATGCTACCAAAGCGACACCCAAGTGTCAAGCGCAATATGGCAACTGGAAAACCTATCTTACCAGCTCGCGCATGGGGACACAGTGTTCCAGGTGGTCCTCGCCGAATTCCTGGTATCCCGGTTGGTCCACCTTATCCTGTACCACTTCGTCACAGCTCTCGAAAGCTACCGCCATCGATAACAAGCTCGCGCGCAAGCAGCCCATCACCTATGTCTGGCGGTATCAGACGTACACGAAATTCTGTTCGGAAATCAAGGTCTGCTTTGGGCTTGTCACAACCACAAAACGGTTCGATTCGGACAAGGTCCCCACCCCCAATGTCATCATTCTCATCTATTACTCCGGAGAGCCCAATGGACATCCCACCATTGCCCCGTGATACTATCTTGCCAAATTCCGCGAATAGGCCGAACTATGGACATAGATACCAAGATTCGAGTGTCACTGGGACAGCGTCGATTGATAGTTCGCAACAGCAGACTAGCGTCGTGGATGCGATTGCTCAGACAATGGTCGGTGAGTTCCTATACAAGTATGTTAGGAAGAGGTTCGGACAACAGGAAACTTTGGAGAAGGACGACGGAGGTTCTGGTGTGAGGCATAAAAGATGGGTCTGGGTGGCTCCGTATGAGCGTGCTGTCATGTGGTCGACCCGTCAGCCTACGAGTGGGTCAGCTTTGATGGGCAAATCTGGACGCAAACGTAAGTTCTTCTGAATCCTACAGATTGATACAATTACTAATTTCCTTAAATATAGTGCTCATCCAATCCGTTCTCGACGTGAAAGATGAATCTCCTCCGCCAAAGGGCGTTACTCTCTTCAACCGCTCAATTCTAATCCTGACGCCCGCTCGTGCCCTCAAGTTTACGGCTGGAACACAGGAGAGACACTATATCTGGCTAATGGCTCTCTCCTTCCTTGCTCACTCTTCCCAGACCCCTGCAAATGGCCTTACTCTTCCACCTGCCCTGCCCTTCGAATATGAACAACTCGCGAACCGCTCCGAAACTGAGAGCAAGGGCAAAGAAAAGGCAACAGCTCCATCCTTCGTTTCTGGTGGCGAAAGCGAGTTCTACGATGCCAGGCCCACTTTCCAAAACCCCTTCTCTGCTCGTGGTAGCTTCACCACTAGCCATAGTTACGCACACTCCAATGGGTACTCCAACGGTTACTCTAACACATACTCAAACTCTAACGGTACAGTCGAAGACATCTATGGTGTTCCGAACCGTAGAAACAGTCGATATGGCAGCATAGTATCGGACGACAGCGTGGCGGACTATCCTACCGTCCGTCGGCATGCAAGGAAACGATCTAATACCGCGTATCCACGAATGCCACCCCCAAGAAACTTCACTTCTCCAACCTTCAGCGGCTTCTCTGGAAATCACAGACCTTCCGACTCCATCAACTCCGATTTCAACTGCAACATTCCAATGTATCACGGTAATCAAGGTAATCAAGGGAACGATCGAAATAGTATGATATCTTACCAACAGAGCATCAGGGATGGTGCTGGCAGTGCAGCTGGGAACTTCTTCGATGCTATTCCAAACAACGGCACTATGAGGATGGAGGCATTCATTAGCGCTACCCCCAAAATCGGTGGGTACGAAGATGATGACTTTTTCCCGGATCTTTCCAGGGCGTTCCAGAGCGGACGGTCGAGCAACAGGAATAGCCGAGCTTTTGCAGCGGCGAGAAACGGCTTCATAGATACCTACGGAGTCTCTGATGATCCATATAGCATCAGTCGTGGACGGTATAGCGAGGACGATGACGGATCGTATCACCAGAGGAGGGACCTATTTGCTGGGTTTTAAAAAACTCTTACAACCTTTTCCTCGGAAACCACCTTTCACACCTCCTATGATTTTATTACGGGAAACCATTTCTTTTATATATATATTATACATTTCTTTATGAGTATGTTCCGGCTTCACGCAGATATACCTTTGTCATGGCGTTTACTATTGCTTTTTACCCCTCGTTTGGATGTATAAAAATGTGGGATATATCCGATCTTTTCACTTCTATGTTTTGGGCTTCTTGTTGCACAAAAGGGGCTTGCACGGTGTGCGGGAGTTCAAAGTCTCTTTCTTTTTTCAAAACTACCTTATATTCTCATGATATAATTTTTTTGTCTTATACATGTCTGTCGGCTGTCAGGCGGATAATCTTTACATCTTATGATCATATCAGAAAGTTCTTTAGTTCAGTTTCTCTCCTTTCTTTTTCTCTTATGTACTTTTAAGATTTACAAAGATGTACTTTTAGCTACATGTTTCCTTGAGTTAATGGGTGGGAATGCTAGGAAAAGTTACAATACAACTGGTTCATCCAAGATATATACATTCCACAGATATACACCTATTGCATATTGACCTCTACGAAAAGAAAACGATAATCGTTAGTCGACTTTTCTCTCACTAGATAAAATGTGATATCATTTCTTGCAATGAATGTCTATTTTATTATATTATATAGGTCTACAAGATGGGTTGCAATGCAATGCAGCTGGCGTTTTACCCAGCTTCATGCTTCGCAGCTGCAGGGTGCGCGTGCGGAGGGACTTAGGCAAATTTACGTAAAGTTCCCGTCTGTGTAACCGACGATTTGTGTAACAAAAGGGCAACACACAACTCAAAACACGTCCTAAAGTTACCGTTGATCGAGCTCGAGGCGCGAGGTGTTAACTGTCTGAATTCAAGAACTTGGACTTGGACTTTACAAGAACTTGGGTTTTATAAAATAAAAAGTCAATATACGTACAAACTTGTAGTTCGCATCCATAAAATTGCTAACGTTATTAGAAACAAACTGCCTTGGTAAATACTAGCTAATTTTGGTACTCGTCTACAAACCTTTGGATACATTGCAACAGCCGATCCACAGACTCATCAGTATGTAAGAGATTTAGACAAATAAAACCCCGAAATCCAATCATAAACCCGTGCCGCAACAGATAATAAAAGAAAGATTCGCGAACCGTTACAGCGTCATCCCCTCGAAAATGAACTCCTATTTCGCTTCCATGACCAGTGAAATACATATCCTCAAACCCAGATGCTTCCATAATGGCATGGGCAGAAGCGCGAAGCCTGTCACCCAAGTTGTTCAACCGAAGAAGTGCTTCAGCAGTAACAAGCTTTGAAGCCGCGATCGCTGCATTGAGTGTGAAAATATTCCCGTTGAAAGTCCCCGAGTGGAATAGAGTATTCTCGATGCCCTGAGAGTAGGGGTCATATAGATTCATAATATCCTCCCTACCACCAAACGCTCCGAATGGTAACCCTCCTCCCATATATTTGCCCACCACGGTCATGTCAGGGATCACACCTAGTGCGCCTTGCATTCCATTAAAGTGAAGGCGCGATGTGACGCATTCATCAAATATTAAAATAGCATGAAGTTCGTCTGCCGCCTTACGTAAAAACGCAAGGAATTCTTTTGATGCTGGTCGTACACCACCGGCGGCTTGTAAGGGCTCGACGATGATAGCAGCTATGTCAGCGTTTAGCAATGGCTGAGTGCCTTCAATGCTGTCGAATTTACCGATAATAAAATCGTGAGGTAGGTTCAGAGGGTTCCCTTTATCTGGAAAGCTCATTGTTCCCCCATGGTATCCACGATCGAACACAAGAATCTAAATTAAGTTAGCCTGTTGGCTTTCTATTGTGTCAACTATGTGGAGAATATTGATATGAATCTTGTCTACCTTTTTTCGCCCAGTGAAAACAAGTGCCGTCGCCAACGCATACATATTGGCCTCTGTCCCAGAATTACAGAACCGTATTTTCCCCATACTTGGAAGTCTTTTTCGTATTATCTCCCCCAGTTCGGCCTCCTTCTCAACTACACCTCCCAGCGCGAACCCCGTAGAAAATATCTCTCTCAAAGAATCATAAATTACCGGATTAGAGTGCCCGTATAGGGCCGCAGTGAAGTCAGAACTGAAGTCTGTATAGACTTTCCCATCCAGCGATGTAACTTCACACCCACAACCAGACTCAAGGACAAGGGGGAATGGGAATGAGTTAAATACTGATCTCGTGTTTCCGCCGGGTAAAATTTCCTGTGCTCTTTCGAAGGCTTTCTGGGATCGAGGGTTTGATACAATAAACTCTTCGACCAATACATCCTTTGCCAACATCATGAACAGATCAACAATAGTGTGGGGTTTGGCACGGGGTAGTAGAACACTATGGAGATGAAAACGTACTTGGGAAAGTAATATATCTAACAACGGGGTCACAGGACCAAATTTATAAAACCCTGCTTGATTGTGAATTTACGGTTGAGGAAAATGAGCAGAGGAGATGGTCGATAGACATTCCAGTTTATATAACTCCTTTGTGCTTAATATAGATAGCAGGTTTGCATAGTGACTAGATATAAGTTGATAGAAAGCTGCTGACTTTGAATCCTGGTCTCCTCTCTGGCTTCTACCTATTATGATGCAATGATCAGTATACCTACATATCGAGTTCATTTCGATGGGAGTTCGAACATTCCCAATAGAATACTTGGCGATATATCGTGCGTAATGAATATGATGTCGTCAATCATCTTCGGCGATGCACAAGCAGTTCCGTGAGCTAGTCGTAGAAAGTCGGAGGCCTTAAGGAATGTGCATATGTGAACTAACCAGTTTATATAGTCTCGTATCCGCGATATCCGGTTATATAGAAGTGCAGGCAACAGAATTGAAAACAACATCTTTCGAATTCTTTTATGGATTAATATAATAGCCACTAGCAAGGCGTAAGATCCCAAGGCCGAGGCGTGACCCACACATGCACATTCTTTTGTACTTCGTTGCATTCTTGCCATGCATAAGACGCCATGACCGGCTGGAACCCCTGGTAGAGCTGTTTTTTGCTTTCGTCTCTGTAGAGTTTCTTCCATGCAGGGTTAACGTTACGCATATACGTATCAGACCTCACATATCCGCGCGAGACGGCCAGAGTCCCACAATATCAAGTTTACCAACATTGCATTGGCTAATGAGATGGCCCAACCTAAGATATCTGTGATTCTTTATCGATCTAGCTCTCTTTACGTTGATGTGTTTTTCGGTAATATATAAAGCTCCGGTCCTTGGTTCCCTAGATCAATGTTGATTTACCATACCACAAAGCTCTCCTACGAATTTGCAAAGGCTCATGATCAAATCACTCTATATAAACACTCTTCGGGTTTTTTCATAAAATTAACAGACCGTCTATCACGATTTTCTATCTTCCATTATGACTGTCAAAGAACTTACTCAGCATCTAGCTGATACCATAAGCACCTGGAAAAAACTTGACTTGCTGAGACAAGATGACGATCTGAAATTGGACGGGATGTCGCTTGACATTGCTAGTGTCGTAGCAGTTGCTCGGTATGCCTCTGAACTATTCCCTAGGCTAGAATTCGAACTTTAGAGATGAGAGCTCATATAATGATTGTTACATAGGGAAAACCAAGCTGCGCAGGTTTCCCCAGATCCAAAGGTGTCTAATCGCGTAATTGCCGGTGTTAAAACACTCCATGAGTACCTAGAAAAGGGTTACTTCATCTATGGTATAATAGAGCTTCCTACATAACAAAAAAGATCGCATATATCTAATAGAAATTTGTTCTCCAATAGGTGTAAACACCGGATTCGGAGGAAATGCCGATTCTCGAACTCCTGAGGTCGGCAAGCTCCAACAAGCACTTCTTCAGCTCACCCAAACAGGAATCCTGGCGGGAGATAGGAATATTCATGGCAGTATCGATTCGTTACCTCTTAGTTGGGTGCGGGCCTCAATCGTTGTGCGGTGCAACCACCTATTGCGGGGACACTCTGGTGTCCGTTTGGACATCATTAAGGCTATGTTGGAATTGTTACGCAATAATATGACACCCATCATCCCATTGCGTGGTTCAATCTCTGCATCAGGTGACCTCATGCCACTATCCTATATCGTCGGGGTCTTGGAAGGCAACCCTGATATTAAAGTATACTGGGACCGCCAACCGGAGCCTTGCGTTCTCTCGTCTCCGGCGGCCCTGGAGGCTATAGGAATAACACCTTTCGTTTTGGGGCCCAAAGAGGGGTTAGGACTTATTAATGGAGCTGCTCCCTCCGCCGCTGTTGGAAGCCTTGCGGTCTACGATGCTAATCAGCTTGCCGTCCTATCTCAAGTTTTAACAGCAATGACCTGTGAGGCTATGGTTGGGAATGCAGAAAATTATCATGAATTCCCCGCCTTAATTCGGCCACACCCAGGACAAATCGAAGTTGCTTCCAATATTCGAAATGTCATTGAGGGTTCAAAGCTTGTCGAGACATCAGCAGCAAAAGACCATTTCCGACAAGGGCTCTTCCAAGATCGTTATGCTCTCCGCGGTGCATCTCAATGGCTAGGACCGCAGCTCGAAGATTTGGCACTGTCAATGAAGCAAATCACAACAGAGCTAAATTCTACCCAAGATAATCCCGTTATCGACTCCAAGTCCGGAGAAATATACTTTTGTTGCAATTTCCAAGCGGCGTCGGTCACTTCAGCTATGGAGAAGACTCGTGGAGCATTACAAATGATGGGGAAGTTACTCTTCAGTTATTCCTCGGAACTTATCAACCCGGACCTTAGCAAGGGATTGCCTCCAAACCTAGTGGCAGACGAACCTAGTTTGTCATTCACTATGAAGGGCGTAGACATCAACATGGCGGCGTATTTATCTGAGCTAGGATGGTTTACGCATTCCGTTACCCCGCATGTGCAGTCCGCTGAGATGCACAATCAACCTATTAACTCTCTGGCTTTGATTTCAGCCAGGTACACGATGCAAGCTGTCGAGATAGTTTCAATGATGTCAGCTTGCCTTCTCTACGTGGCTTGCCAAGCGTTAGATTTACGCGTTAGGGATTTGAAGTTCATGGAGGCCCTTGAAGACCAAGTGAGGAAAGCTGTAGAAGAGCAATCGGGCCACTTGGGGGAGGAGAAAGAAACCCTTCAGAAGAGCCTCAAAGCAGCAGTTGTTCGTTCTTGGCGCGAGTCCTCTCGAGAAGACCTGCACGTCCGTATCCGCCATATGTCGGATGCTATAGCTGCAACTTGGGTAGCGCTCAGTCATAACAACATCGCGGAAAACTCAATCGACCATCTCAAGTTGGTTCAGAAGTATATTTGCCAACAAGCAGAGGCTCTATTCAAGAAGATGCAGCAGAAATCTTTCAACGGCGAGTTGGATACCGAATCATACTTGGGAGTTTCTTCAAAGTTACTGTATCTTTTCGTAAGAAAGGAATTGAACGTACCTTTCCATTGTGGGCTGGTGGAGCACCCGACGGTGAAGGGCAGTGATGTTCCAACTCGATCGAGGAAAACCATTGGGTCCTGGATCTCTATCATCTTTGATGCAATTGTCGATGGCAGGATCCAGACCCCCATCTGTGATTCTTACACCAAAACAGTGGGAAAAGGCGTTAATGGAAAACTTCAGAACGGTGTTAAGAAATTTAAAGGTGCAGCTGGAAAAAGACAAATAAACGGGAATGGAAATCTGGCAGTATGAGGTGAGGGCTATCGGGGACACATCTGAGAGGTCGTGTAGGGTTCCAAGTCACTTTCAAGTCCTTCAAAGTAAGGGTGGACGTTTGTATCGTGTTCATCGTGAGTGGCATTTAATATTTGCAATATGTGTTCAAGATGTTTGGGCTTTGTGGTATTTTGATATCCAACAATCTGAATCCATCATGTATAGACTCTATTAGGTAGTAACAGGTATCTCCCATCTATTCGAACTCTTTTGTAATATATCATCTATTCTCCAAATCTAAACATTCAAGCCATATTGTCTTTTGCGCCCGACTCTATTAATTATGCATGTAGGTAGCCGGTTTATCAACGGTCTATTACCTTTCCCAGAAGCCGCTCATTGGAGGTACTGAGCCTAAGTGAAGTCACCAACATAAAAAGCCGACCTCACAAAAACTAGACAGCGCTGACATCAACAACCAGGTACCAGGGTTCAAATACAGTGCATCCCGCGAATACTGGCTGTCTATCGTCTGGAACTTTACCTGCAGCCGAAGGAAAACCATAGTTCGTTCCTCCAATGAACAGCCGTTTGCTGTCAGCACCTTCCCGTTTCGTCGTAGGTTGCTGTGGTGAATCGAAGCACCAAGCCAAGACGGCCGAAATGAGCGGCCTCTTGGCTTATAGTGTTTGGTTGTCCACCAAAACTTGAATTTTGGGGCCATGGAACCACAAAGCAGCAAGCTCTCTTGGCTTTTGAGCTTGCTTCACGATCTGGTTGGATGTGTGTGGTAACCAGATGGAACATCGGAGGCCGCAGGTGGGACAAACAGATTTCCTGACTGGAAAGAAGAAGGGCGTGCGCATCAAATTGTGGGATACATGCGAATTAATTATGTCACTGGAGCATTCCACTATTTGATCCTCTTTATCCTCCTCCTCTTCCTCAGGGTCTCTTTTGATTTGAACTTGATTTTCTCCTTGTCTGTTGAGTCTTAGTAGTTATCGTCGAGGAGGCAAAAAGGCGACACCCCTCCCATGCATTCGATTTCATCATAGGCCAGCGCATTCTGAATTACGAATTCCATACACCCATAAACATCCATTCGACGGGTGCCCATGTGCATGATCGACCTGACGACTTACGAAGCGACGAAACGAACTGAAATCGAAATCATTGCCTAGTGGCCAGATGGAGTAATCGATCCTCAGGACCAGCATCTCATCTAGCTTTAGCCTGTCGCACCTTGCGCTGAAGGACTGCATATACTATTTGTTTGGATTCTCGAGTGCGACCTGGAGTTACTTCATCCAGCGGATACTTAATAAACTCCCATTCCTTTGGTGATTCCATACTTTAGGATTTACCCCAGAAAGATATCACATATTAACCTTTCGAACCTCATTCTGGATCCCCTCGATATCTATCGATAACCTTGACGGCAATTCTTGACGGTAACTCCGAAAATCCACAACGCTTCGACGAAAAAAGAACGAAATCCCTGTCCCATCTGCAACCTGGTCCAACTTGTTACTGCAAAATTCGTAGGCGAGACCTTTTTTTATCATCACTTTCCCGTCTTTTTTTGCCATCTGAGTTCCGCTCGATAGGCCCATTGTCGAAGGCCTCGGATACAGTGGCAGTATTGGGAAGCGCCCTATAGCTAGGTTCCTTTTTTGCGCCTAATAACCAAGTCAGCCCATCCATTTTAACCAGGTTGAATGCTTTCGACGAAACGAGCGACTCAATTCCACTCTCCCTATTGCTTTCCCCTTGAGAGGAGAAAGTCGCTATCTTAATTTTCTAGAAGCAATAACCTTTTCGAATATTCTCGAGAAACGACTTCCCTTTTTTCATCTTCTTGTCTCCTATCCTTTCCTATATTCCGACTCAACGGCCGCTAGTTTCAACAATTGTTTCTGTTGCCTTTGCATTGAGCGAGCTTACGGGTTGAGGTTCACCTAGTGGCTTAGCAACCGCCACCACGAAACAGCACCCAGCGACAGGGCTGGATTCGAACCTCAGGAGGTTTTCCAATAGCAACAGCACCCCGCAGCTTCAACTGGACTGTTCGAATTTATTCTGTAAGTTGTCGCCCGATATCTGTCTCATAGTTTGCCCTTTCCCCTTGCCTTTTTAATCTTTATTTCTGTTTTTTTTTTTTTTTTTTTTTTGCATCATCTCTCCTTTTGCTCTCTTTGCAAATTATGTAATTGGATTGTGATCTTCGACACGATATTGACAATCCCTTAGCCCGGTGCCACCTGCGCTTTCCGACATAGTAAATACATTGGACCCGAACGATTATATCTCAACTTGCGGTTCCAAAGTCCTCGGGGGACAGCCATTTTATCCTTCTATCCTTACATCACCATGAGATATCGGTCCTTCGCTGAACTAATCCTTCCTTTATAATCTCTATCCGATATCCCCTGTCCGACATCCGCCCATTTCTAACCGACGGCCAGATATTTCGCGGCGGAATCACATTTTAAACCCCCAGTTGGCCCGATTCACCGACCTATTGTCGTTTACGTTTCACTGACGAATTATCATACGCAAAAACGGACGGAACGTCCCGCCAAGCCTGAGGCGGAAAAGCCGAAATAGCAGGGCGCAATGTCTTCAGTATCGAGTGTAGCGGCGAGCGTGACGGATGCGGCAGCTTCTATGACTTCTTCCGCAGCTGCAGCGACTACTTCAGCTCACGGGCTTCACGCTGGAGTTAACTCTCGGCCTCCAGCGTATGTCAATGCTCCAATATATCATTTTCCTGACCTAGCACTAAATTTTAAAATAGCTACAAAGCAGTCGGCGTTGCGCTCGCCATTGCATCTGGAGTTTTTATCGGTATTTCTTATGTCCTCAAAAAGAAGGGCCTCCTTCAAGCCAATTTGAAAGATAATGCAAAACCCGGCGAAGGTGTCGGATACCTCAAGAATGCCTGGTGGTGGACGGGTATGATTCTCATGATTATCGGCGAAATCTGCAATTTCACCGCATATGCCTTCGTCGACGCTATCCTTGTCACTCCCCTCGGTGCACTCTCAGTCGTCATAACCGCCATCCTATCTTCAATATTTCTCAAGGAGCGACTTTCGTTCGTGGGAAAAGCTGGATGTTTTGTGTGTGTGATCGGAAGTATTATTATTGCTATTAACGCACCGGAGCAGAGTGCTGTTAGTGATATTCAGGACATGAAGAGGTATATTCTGGCGCCGGGGTTTTTGTCGTACGCCGGGGTTATTATCCTTGGGTGTCTTTTTGTCATATTTTGGGTAGCGCCAAGGTACGGAGAGAAGAGTATGTTGGTGTATTTGAGCGTATGCAGTTTAATCGGTGGTTTGAGGTAGGTTTACGCATATATTTCATATGGTAGCGGGGCAAAACTAACCCGAGATAGTGTCGTCGCTACCCAAGGTTTGGGGGCAGCGGTCGTCGCACAAGCCGGTGGAAAGCCGCAGTTCAACCAATGGTTCCTCTACGTCCTACTCATCTTTGTCATAGCCACCTTGCTGACCGAAATTTACTATCTCAATGTATGTTTTAGCACCTACGTGTTATCGGGTATCACTAACATTTTTATAGAAAGCATTGAATCTCTTCAATGCCGCTCTTGTCACACCAACATACTACGTCATCTTTACCTCCGCAACCATTATAACATCCGCCGTTCTCTTTCAAGGTTTCAAAGGCACTGGCTACTCGATTGCAACCGTGGTCATGGGTTTCTTCGAAATTTGCGCTGGTGTGGTGCTACTGCAGCTCTCGAAATCCGCAAAGGAAGTTCCGGATACTGCCGTCTTCCGTGGAGACCTTGACCAAGTCAAGATTGTGGCCGAGCAAGAAGAACCGGAATCCGAGCCCAAGGCTGATGCCATCCGTGGCGCTGCTGCGATTATCAGAAGAATGAGTACTGTTCGAAAACAAGCCGAGACAAAGGAAATGCAGCAGATTCACGAAGATCAGTTAAGGGATATCAGAGATAAAGACCACCTTAGTCCAGACGTTATCGTTGAGTGGGATGGGTTGAGAAGAAGGGTGTCTTTTACTAGTGAAAAGCAAGCTGGAGGCAGACCGAGACGACATACGAGTGCTAGCCAACACCCGCGGACTATGGAACCGACCTTGTCAAGACTTGAAGAAATGGAAGAAGGTCGGGCATCCATTGATATGATGAGGATTGCAACCCACCAGAGCAGATCGCAAAATGACTTGAGGCAAACTGCTGAGCCGGTGACACGAGATCAATTGGCGCTACCAGATTCTGTTACGCAAATGAGATCCAAGATGGAAGAGCCAGCCAGCCCGGAGTCAACGCCGAAGAAAACAATTAACATAGTCCCGTCAAGCCCCGAGCACCGTCCTTGGTTCTTTGGCGGTAGATCTCGAGGCAACTCTGCAGCGGACCCTCCAGCGATTTCCCTAGATGATGAGAAACCGGCCGACGACGGCATGCTACGCCCGGACACCTCCCAGACTCAGAAAGCTAGGCGCCAATTCTCATTCCAGGGCATATTCAGTAGACTCGGACGCGAGCACCATCACCAACCCGTACAGCAAGACGACGGAGTGGATGAAGAGTCGAACGAGTCTCCAGGCCACCAGACACCAGGAACAGGGACACCACAGCGACCCAAACCATCTAGGGAGTCGTCAAAACCGAGTTCGCTGACCCGAGTTCAAACTGAGGAAGAAAGACTTGGCTTAGTGACCGGAGATGCACCTAGCGCGTTTGAGGACGGGGCCTCTGATTCGGGGTCTCTCTACTACGATGAGAAGAAGCGGGTAGCTGGTGATTCCCCTTCACCGCCGCCGAATGTTGCCTCGTCCCCGATCACGAGGAGGCCGGTGCGAGGCAGTACACAGAGCCTGCAGCAGCAACTCCAAGATGAGAAGGGAGGGAAACAGTTATGAGTATGATTGTGAAGTTTCATTCGTTTAAAAAAAGTCGTTCACATCGATTGCAAGCGTTGATTTGTTACTGTTTCTGTATCATCGTGCATTTTCCTACACAAAACGCATCGATACCCACCTGTACAGTGTTTCGTTTCTCCCGCATCCATCCTTTTTTGAGTTATAGCATTTCTAATGATTGCAATATTGAGTATTCCTTTGCCATCCATCCACCTTTGACCTTGACGGCATGATGTTCTGTGTTTGTATCAGCTGTGATGATTCGTTTGTTTTTGCATATATGTATGTATATTATGTAATGCGGGATCGATATATACACGATCACAGGTAGGTACTAAAGTAGGTAGTATAGCATTGAATGAAAATATTTATAAAATGGAGTCACAGCGCGTAGACAACAACTATTCCATCCCCAGCCGGCCCCGGTAGACATCCCGATCCCTTCTCCTATCGTTGAGGGTCGTGATTCGTCATACCAAGGTCTGCTGCGGGTGAACGATCAGTGGTTCTGATATCTCCCATCATCAGGTGGTGAGAAGCGGCAGTGGGAGTTTCCACAGCGCCCGCACGCTAACGTTCGAGTCATCTTTCGACGAAAGAACATAGGGCGGGAGCTGGAGCGGATTCCGTTTGGTCGATGCCTGTCATCATTTCGTTGAATTAGTTGTATGAAGAGAAAAGAAGAAGAAGAAGAAGAACAAGCGAAGAGGAAGAAAGAAAAAATAAATTTGTGTGTGAGTGACCTCACCCCTGCAACTGCAACGCACTGCACGTTAGCTCCCCGCGAAAAGCCAGTGAAATAACCGACGTCGGATTAGTTTGCAGTCTAGTCTGACAGACGTCGGAAGAAAACCGTCGATAGCCCGAACGGACCACGCTTGGCTTTGGATAAATAGGCCTATGACTCTTTAGAGAAGGGTGCCTTGAAATCCGGGGAAATACCATCTGCAATTGTACGTTGAATGATGTCTGTATCTTTTATTTATTGTTTGTATGGGAGCTATATATCTGCTAACAGGTGTGCAGTTCGATATCGATATATACCTAATATCGGTATTACATTAACGGCGAACGAAACGTCTACATATTAAAAACGCAATACCACAAACGATGCAGCGACAAATGACCGGCAGGTTGCTTGCGGCTACTAGGAGCCTACCTAGGCCGGCAGTACGACCATTGGCCGTCAGGCAATGGGCTGTCACGAGGACGTATGCATCGGATTCGTTACCAGCGAGCCATGATAAAGTATGGAAGTTGTACCTTATATCATCGGCGGAGATGATTTCTGATGGCCGGCTTCTAACAATTCGATAGCTTCTCACGGCCGCCCTCGCAGATGCCGATCCTACGGTAGCTGAAATCCTCAAGAAAGAAAAGCTGCGACAACGGGAGTTTATCAATCTCATTCCATCTGAGAACTTTACCTCCCAGGCAGTTCTAGATACTCTTGGTTCGCCGATGCAAAGTATGTCACGGTACGGTAACGATCATACAGAGGGAGGGGAGCTAACGGGCATAGACAAGTACTCGGAGGGTTATCCGGGTGCACGGTACTACGGCGGTAACGAATTCATCGACCAAGCAGAGCGTCTCTGCCAGCAACGGGCTCTCGAAACCTTCAGACTTAACCCAGAGGAATGGGGCGTCAATGTTCAGCGTAGGGTCATCATAAAATCAATATATACGGGCAAACGTGAGAATCTAATGATTTACAGCACTATCCGGCTCCCCCGCCAATCTCTACGCCTACAGCGCTGTCATGCAGGCTCACGACCGTTTGATGGGTCTCGATCTTCCACATGGTGGACATTTGTCTCATGGTTACCAGATCCCTTCTAAGCATATCTCTTTTATCTCCAAGTATTTTACAACTATGCCATACCATCTGAACCCAGAGACTGGTATTATTGACTACGATGGACTGGAAAAGACCGCTCAAGTTTTCCGACCAAAGGTTATCATCGCTGGAACATCGGCTTACAGCCGAACAATCGATTATGATCGCATGCGGAAGATCGCGAACCAGTGTGGTGCCTATTTGTTGAGTGATATGGCTCATATCAGCGGTCTCGTGGCAGCGGGCGTGGTTGAAAGTCCGTTCCATACGAGCGATATCGTTACCACTACCACGCATAAGAGTCTGGTATGCCTCTCTCTCTCTCTCTTTTTTTCCCTCTCTCCTCATTTGTGCCGCTTATTTTGTTCCCCTCACTTGGAGTTGTGATTGATAGAGTGATAAATAGAGAGGACCCCGCGGTGCGATGATTTTCTTCCGCAAGGGAGTGCGATCAACAGACAAGAAAGGAAACAAGGTCCTCTACGACCTTGAAAACCCAATCAATGCCTCCGTTTTCCCAGGCCACCAAGGAGGCCCGCATAATCACACCATCACTGCGCTCGCCGTTGCGCTCAAACAAGCGCAATCGAAAGAGTTCAAGGAGTACCAAGAGCAGGTCATCAAGAATGCAAAGGCACTAGGTGGAAAATTGCGCGATATGGGATATAAGATTGTGGGCGGAGATATTGAGAATCATCTCGTGTTGATCGATTTGAAGCCTAAGGGTATCGATGGAGCAAAAGTAGAGAGGGTCCTAGAGTTGTGCAATGTCGCTGCCAACAAGAATACAGTACCGGGCGATAAGTCGGCGGTAAGGCCAATTAATCTAGTAAACTTTCTGTGATGAAGTTTTTGTTACTGATGTGCCGTCCTTTAGATGAAACCGGGTGGGTTGCGACTTGGATCACCGGCCATGACAACCAGAGGCTTCGATGAGAGCGACTTTGAGAGGGTGGCAGCAGTTGTCGACTCCGCTGTGACGATCGCCAAAGAAGTCGAGACTTCAACTGGGAAGACAAAGATCAAAGAGTTCACTGAGGAGCTTGCAGATGGTGCCAAGTTTGAGAGCTTGGTCAAGCTGAGAGAGGATGTCAGGAGCTGGGTGAGAGAATTTCCAGTGCCTTGGACGCATTGAGATAGGCATCGGAAAATCCGAAAATGTAACATAGCTATTTAGTATCCCGTAATTGATTTTGAGAGACAACAAGGTTCCCGATGTGGATGTTCCATCCTAATCTTCCAGCTGCCTGAGTTTTGGCTCCTGAGTCAACTTTCGGGGAGAAGGCCGAATTGTGCTCCACCATAACAAAAAAAAAAAGTAAGGGATGGAAAAATGGATCAGTAAGCAGGCGTTTATTCCAATCAATGACGGCCAGTTGGCTGGAGCAAGACATGCCGACAGGCGTTCAAAGTCCCGTGCATGAAATTATGAAGTTACATGGGCGGAGAAAAACTTACCTGCAAAGAAGGATCATATCGTCGCAAAATACCCACAAATTTCGCAAAAGTTGAATCCAACCTGCACCAGTATCGCAAGATATTTCCCTCCTTGTAAGATTTGGTCCACAGCCTGGTCGAACCACTTGCTTCGTTTAGAATTTTCCCTTCTCCCCTTAATTGTTGCTTGGGTCGCCACCAAGCAGCTGGTAAGGGAGTTTGTTTTTCATCAATTATAATTGATGGAATGCTGAATCGCGTGGGATGTAATTTTGGAGGCGGTATGGGGGAGATCATCCCCAAGGCCTGCCTTACCCTTGGCTGCCCTACCCTTCCGTCCGTTGAAGGTCTCTGCCGTATGATTCCCACGCGCCGAAATTGATCACGGACGTTTTTTTGTTCCTGGACTTTGCCTGCTTTGGCACCAGCAGCCGAAATCCGGAACCGATCTCAAGATGCAAATTTACAAGAAATTTTACAATTATTAAGCCTCAAAGCTTGGGGTTTCCGCGGATTCATGATTCTGATGTCATCGGATATATTCATAGAATCAAACGTTCCGAATCATGTACATGTGTGTAGACCTTTTGGTTTCTGATCCGTCTACGCGCATTAACTGGTCTAACGTGGTGCGGTTTCGGCCGTGCATGCCATGAGGAAAAGCTTGTTATGGCCAAAGGCTCAGCCCGTTTCAGCAACAGCACAGGAAGACCTGTTTCTCGAAACGACCTGAGGATTACCGAAAAAAGGGTGCAGCGTGCTCAGCACAGGCATATTAGATCTTGTTAACGAACGTTTCCTGTCTTGCATTCCCAGGAGAGAGATCTCAGCCGGCTCCATTGATCTCGATATTGCCGTCGTCTCGCGGTCCAAAAATGCACGGCATCGAAACCAAGCAAAAAAGATGGGGTGCGAATCGAACGACGAATTGCGACGTTTGAGATCCAGACCCGCAGAGGTAGTGCGGCGAGGCTTCTGTTTGATTGGAACCCAGCGGACACGGCGAGGTGAGGGAATCAGCCAGTTGGAAATTTGTTCATTTCGCTTACAATACTTTTACAAAAAGAATGCCCTCCGTTCGGGGCAAATTTGAGTTCGGTTTTAGCATGGTTTTTGTTCTTCTGGCCGTGGAAACCATGAGCCAGTTGGAAGAGGGAGAAAGAAAAAAGTTTGTATCCCTTCAATTGTCAACTTATGACACGAACGAGGCTAAAAAGCTAGTGAAGTGGAACCGAGAGTGGTTCTGACGCCCCTTTCCTCGATCGCCACGAAATGCTTGTTACATTTTCGTCCTTACATTGTGCAGTACATACGGAGTACATTTGTGCATGAGACACACTATGTATGCGAAGTTTTTGCTAGATCAATTACGAACTTCTCGAGTCAACAGTTTTGTGCATACGCGATGAATGAATTAAGCAGGCGGTCTGTACAATGCTAGAATACATCGAATGTCGGCAGAATTCTCAATGACTTCGGGAAGGGAAGGCAGGCGCCAGAAAGCCAGAAAGCCAGACCTTGCTAGACCTCTGCTAGCACACGACCATGATATCACAGCAAAATCACACACCTCGTATTGGCTAAAGCCCTCGCGATAGGGTTATCTAGAGCGAGTCGATTGATTCTCCGTCCATCCATTTCGATAGGAATTACCAGAAAAACGAATTTTAAAATTAAACATGTTGCGATATGAACTGCCAAAAGCAAAAGTTGGCGGGAGTTTTGTCCTGGGCCTGCCGCTCAACCCCTTTTATGCAGGTGTGCTATTGCTTCGTTAGTCTGTTTTGTGCCTGGTTCTTTCCGCTGCCCGCGAAATCTCTGCGACTGACACGTACCCTGTACATGCACCCTTGCAAGCCAACCCAGGTTTTCCCTGGCCAGTCAGAAGGGCGCAAATCCTCGCCCTATGTACGTCCCAAATAAACCATGTCGGGAAAAAAAAAGAAATTCTGCAAAGCTTCCTAACAAAGCGTTCAAGCGGAAAGGGGACCTACTCGTTTTGACGGCAGTCGAAATTTCCTTCCCCTTGCAATTGGAAAAGAAAGGAAGAACACACACACGCCCGCACGCTAATATGGGTAATTACGATCGTACGACTGAATTTCGAACGTAGCCGCCTGGTCGTGCTCCCAGGTATAAGAAGTGCCACCCTCCCTTACTTTGGGCTTCTCTTCTTTCTTTCCTTCCACCACCACACTCATTCGCTTTTTACAAAGTACCACGCTCGCTTTTCAGCGCATTCATTCGTTAATCTTGCAAATCGCGACTTAACTGTCTAATCCCCAACCCTTAATATTAAAAATCTTTAATTCGTTATTTTTAATAACAACCAAACCAAACCGACAAAATGAAGTTCTCTGCCGTCCTCGCTACCTTCGCCTCCGTTGCCGTTGCCTTCGGTTCCGAATACTACCAACCACCAAGCAACGGTACCGACTATGGTGTCGAGACAACCACCACCGTTGTCACCGCCTACACCACCTACTGCCCATACCCAACTACTGTTCGTCGATCATTTCCCCATTCGGAGATTGTAGTCAGTTGCTAACGTAAATTTACAGATTGTTGAGGGTACCAAGACATACACTGTCACCGAGGCCACCACCTTGACCATCACCGACTGCCCATGCACCAGGACCTTGACCTGCTCCACCACCACCTCTACCTCCTGGTAAGTTTTATAATAATTTCAGTAATTGAATAATCACGATCTAACAATGATATAGCCCACCAACCTCCACCCCAGTCTACACTAAGCCCCCAGTTGAGACTACCCCAGTCTACACTCCACCAGCTCCAGAGCCAACCCCAACCTATGTCCCACCACCAAGCTACAACACCACCGTCCCACCACCACCAGTTGCTACTGGTGCCGCCTCTTCCATGAAGATGGCCTCCGGTGCCTTGGTTGCCGTCTTCGGTGCCGCTGCCATGCTCTTGTAAACAGCTTAGTCTAGTTGTTGGAGATTTTGGAGGAAGTAGAATTTAATAGATGGTTTTAATAATCGGTTCCTAAGCGTCTTCATTTTCTATATTAATGGGTTTCAATATATAATGTGGTCTACTGTCAATTTCTGAACAAGCCTGTACGATGCCTCTAATGTACATGTAATTGTCAATGTCAAACTTGTCGATAACCAAAATTTTTATCTACGATTTCTTAAACGTTTAAACAACACTTTCAATTTTCCCGTAAATCGTGTTGACCTTGTTGGATCCCGACATGCTGCAGATCAGTGACCGGGATTGGTCGAATGATTTGCGCCTTTAATTTCCTTTTGTCGCAGCCTAAGTACACGGAGAAATACATGTCTCGGACGAAATGAAATATCCACGAGACGGGCCATGTCACTTTTCGACAATTTAGTACCTCATTCGCTCTCCGTCAGAAAACTCAATGGAAGGAACTCCTATGTTCTGCGATATCTTCACATTGCATGAGCTCTGTCTGCAAGGGAAACTTTTTCTGTCACTTCTCGATACCATCTTATTCATCGAAACTGCAGTTGCGTTTAGCTTATGGCCCTGCATACGTGGCTGTGGTCGTTGGACGAACAAACAAAACGTTCATTCGCAACTGCCCACTCCTTTGGTCTCATGTGTGTTCTCGTTTAATTTCCGTTCCATGCAAGGGAGGATCAGATTCCTTGTGAATGCTTGATTCTCCTTCATCATGATCATCACTCTATTTTGGGTTCGATATACTACCAATTTTGTCTTCAATAGATTCTTTGAAGGATCGAGATTATCATGAATTGGACAGGTACATGTATATGTACACGTCCACAATATCCAGCATTCGCCCCGGTCGGACCGACAGCGGTCGAGTGACTTGTCAGCATTACCAAACAAGCGCCATTTATTGGGTCAGCCTGTTTAGTGCGGTAGCATCGAACGCCACCTACTCGTTGGCCCCGGCTTAAATCCCATATGATATGATGGGTATGATACTCCGTAGTACTCTGTAGGAATAGTTCGTGGAACTTGCAGGCGTACAACCATGCATGGAAATCACCCACGGCTTGCCATTGGTTGTATCGTATCGGAATGCAATTAATTATTTCCCGAGGTTGGTTGGTCGGTCATGCACAGTTGACGGATAACTGCGAGAGATCTATCGATGTCTTGATGATTGTTCGATATGTACTATGTAGTGATGCCCTAGCGAATGGAGACGAAACAACAATGGGGTTGAGAAAATGGAAACGAGTGGGAAGAAAGAGATTATAAAAGAATATTTATAGAATTAGAATGTTATTAATTGCAATATAACAGTTATATTGCAATTAATAA